TATAAAGATAAAATGAGATATCCTATTTTACAAAATACTATGACTATAAAAGAATTAGAAGATCAAATAGAAAAATGGAAAATATTGTGTTTCCTGCCATTGTTGAGAGAACTAAAAAGATTAATGAAAAAATAAATGAATACTACAATGATAATCATAAACTCATTAATATCCCTAACGGCACACATGTAATAGTAAGATTACCTCAAAGAAGTAACAAACTAGCTGCCATTTATGATGGTCCCTATACAGTCGTCAGACGTAATCAAGGTGGATCATACATATTAAAAACACCAGAAACAAATGAATTACTAGAACGTAACTATGTTCCATCTGAATTAAAGGTAGTTAATATAGATGAAGGCGTATTAGAAGAATATTATGAAGTTGAAGATATACTGGATCATAAAGGTCCTAAAGGTGACAGAAAATTTCTAGTAAAATGGAAAGGATATTCACATGAACATAATACATGGCAGAAAGCTAGTGATTTTTCGAGTCCTGAATTAATCCAGAGATATTGGGACATATTTGATTTGAAACAAAAATTGGAAGAAGAGTCAAAGACATGGAATCCTAATGATGCTAATGGGATACCTAAGAGAATACAATCATCTAGAGTATCAAAAAGGAAATTACCCATTGAATTTGATGAATACAAACAAAAATTAAGAAGGAAAGTAAATAAACCTGTGGTGCAACGTAAAAGAAGTACACAAAAGAAATGAACTAGAAAGATACATACAGAGACTGTCATATCAGAAAACAAAATCGAAATTTAACTCTTTAAGAAATAAAAATGCCCTTAATAAAAAATCTAAATGAATTGAATTGAAAGCCGAATAATAATCACAAGGTGATTATATTCTGGGGAGAGAATAGTGTTGTGTACATAATGATGTATTACATAATATCTTATAATATACAAATCAGAGTCATGAAGGACCAAATGATATTATAGTTATTAGTTATACACTTTATGCATACAATATTATTTGATTTCAGTTTATAAGACATTCTTGTGATGAGAAAAATAATGTTATAATAAATACTAACTCTACGAAATAATGATAAGGAAAACATAGTGTAAGGAGCTATTAATGATAAAGATATATGAATTGTAGATTATACCTATTAGTTATATATATATTATTGTTATAATATTGTCTAAAATACTAATTTATAAATATAATCATATACTATCTATGTTAACTTTATTCTAATTGGATACACTATATAATATAATGAAATTCATTTAAGTAGTACATTGAGGAATGAATATAATATAAAGAAGCTGGTTAGAATATAAATCTATATATCAAAAGTGTCTTTCCTATATCATTCACAAGTATGAACAAACGAGATTTCATTATTTTGTTTCAAGAAAAATAACCGGCTAGATCAAGCACCAATAATTTAATATTTATTAGAGTTAACTGAGATTAATTCTCAGTCAGGGCAAAGACTAGAGCTCTAACACAATAACTTTAATTATTCTATGGGAAAATATTCTTCTTTCAAGATATCTTCATTCTATTCCTGTCGCGAAGTAACCAGTTCTCCACAAGATATAAATAAGGATCCATATTGGACTCATCTTTTAGAAAATTCAGTTTTTTTTTAAGTTTTTAATTTTTATTTTTTTTTTATTTTAATAAAAGTTTTATACAAAGTTCTCACAGATTTATTCTGTCATCTTTTTTTATCTTTACCTTATCAACAGTAAGTGATATTAGTAGAAATATGGTTCAGATAAACAAGTATTTATATAATAAAGCGTTTTACATAAAACATTGTCTCCGAATAATTCTGCGATCAATAGGATATATCTTTATTTCTTTTTTCTTCCTGAGTTGTCGCTGTTCCTAGAAACACAACGAATTATTATTATTGGACTGCGACATATCAATATTAATTCTCAGTGAATATGTCTAGTTGCGGCAATACCAATTATTTATGAATTACTATCATTATCATTGTATAAGATGTTATTAAATAACAATATTCAATATTATTAATGTATTATATATGATATGTATTATTCATGAAGAATTATATAATTGAATACACCAGCCATAATCCTGTTTGAATTATGTATATAATTATTATTAGTGCTCGAACATTCTAACAATGACGATTATTAAAACTGAGTGTAGAATGAATATTATGCTGTGAAGTTCAATACACTAGCTTTAAATGAACAACCTCTTTATTATGTAATAAATGAAGGTTTATTTCTGTTAACTTATTACAGAGACGACTACAATCATAACAGTGTGATTCATACTAGCGTAAGAATACTTAGTGTTCCCACCTCTCAGTTCGTTACTGTCTCGGGCTCGGGCAAAAAAAGAAAGATTGACACCGGAGTGGCAAAGCCGCAGCAAAAAACCGAAAGGTACTACTGCTAATCATTTTTATGTTTTTATAAAAAAAACTCTAGATGTCATGGACCAATTTGAGTATTTAGAAGAGGCATTTTTAGTTATGGATAATACCTCTATTCATAAAAGACCAGATGTAACTGATCTCATCACAAAGAGGGGCTATAACTATATTTTATTGCCCCCTTACTCACCAGAGCTCAATCCGATTGAGCAATTTTGGTCTGTAGCAAAAAGTAAGATCAGAAGAGTTAAAATACTTAGTGGGGAAACCTAGCAAGATCGGATAACTGAAGCTTGCAACAAAGCTCCTCAAAATCATCTTTATAATGTTATCAAGCATTATGATGATAGTCTATACGACTGTTTAAATAAAAATCATATTTGTTTTTTTTTCCTTCTGTATAATCGTCCTTATTACCATTGCTGCAGAGTTTAGTGAAAATGCGTCAAGTAAAAAAGTGGAATTTCAAATGTGAGAGGGCGGTGTTATAGAACAAGCTCTGGATATAATCATGAGTAATATTATAATAGATGAATTACATAATACAGGATAAAATATAAGCCTGAATATGAAATAAAACTCTGTATATAACATCTTGTAAATAATATAAAACTTATTGACATCCAATTGTCTAGATGTATCAATTATAAGACATCGTATCATTTCTAAATATTTATTTTTATAACCTTGATAAAGGATTCAGGTCGTCTTTGATCCACTGAAATAGATGTCAGGAACCTATGCTTAGATCAAACAATCAAATTGTATATTTAAAACCTTTATCAGATCATTATAACACCCAATAGATAATCCATACATCAGTCTCTTGAATCAACAAGACGTATATCCGAATACTAACACTGTTTCATGACTCATGTTCTTTGACGGTTATTTTTATTTCTTTGATTCAGGATTCATTAATATAAATACAAGCAGTTGTTTAGACACAAAATAATCTTTAACTTCTTTCTTTAGCTTTTCTTTTAACTTTATTTATTGAATAAAAAACAGTCTCAAACTATACTTCCTTTTGTTCCCTTTCTCTCTTTTTATTTTGTCTTTTATCTTTTATTTACCTTCCATCACAGGCGGGTCTCCAAAATGAGAGGGGGGGCTCCAAAATGACAGGGGGGTTTTTTCCAAAATGTCCTTTTATTCTCAATGTCCATATAACACTTATTTACCTAAAACATGCATATCACATTTGCCAAAAAGAATTCAAAAGTTCATTTAATTTACGCCGCCATATCTCAAGTATTCACAACAAATCATTACCATCTAAAGACGCAGATGATTATTACTCTTCATTGGATGAAAAAGTCATAGTGCATGCAAATACTTCAGATGCTGTCCCCTATTATGCTTGCCCGTGTTGTGATTGTAGTAGCCTTTATAATTAAGTTAATAGAAATAAACCATCATTTATTACATAATAAAGAGGTTATTCAAATTAAACTAATATATCGCGCTTCACAGCATAATATTCATTCTACTCTCAGTTTTGATAATAGTCATTGTTTGAGTATTCGAGCATTAAAAATAATTATATACATTACATTATGTAATAATAATAATTCAATAGGATTATGACCGTTATATTCAATTACATAATTATTTATAAGTCATACATGTTGTGGTTCAGGTAGGTTTAAGGGATTAAATAAAAGAAATAAAATAGAAAGAAAACAAGACAGAAGAAGTACGTTGAGACTTGTCAATAAGTTTTATTAAAAGTTAATTCAATACAAGTATTGTTATTAGTTATAAGTTATGAGTTATACAAAATAAGGGTGAATAATGTAAGAGTATTTATATATTTTGTGAATAAGGATGATGAGTAATAAGAAGATAAAAATATAACAAATTGTATTTGATAATATAATTATAGAAGGATTACTAAGAGTTATAATTATAGATTCATGTCTTTAGTATATATTTATTTTTATAACTAATACGTGTATTCTGAGTAGAATCAATTATTACGCGTATTTGTATTATTCTTAGTTTACCCCAGTTTAACTTGTATAAAGTTATTTTTATAAATTAATATTCAGCAGAACAATAATAGAAGAAAGTATATTTTTAGATGTAGGACTTTTTATTAATTAGTTATTTTTCTATACAAGGGTAAATATACTAAATATGTTTATAGAGAGAATTATTATACAAATGCACTATGTATTCTATTATGACTATTTATCTTATTGAATTAAGTTATAAATCTTACAACCATGACAATACATAGTATATATAGATAGCTATAAAGATAAATATTGTTATGTAATAATATCTTATAGGATAATAATAATAGTAGCATATAAATAATTGGTGTTGCTATAGCTGACATATTCACTGTGAATTAATATTGACGCGTCGCTTACCCCAGAAATAATAATTTAATATTTTTAGTAACAGCGACAGCTCAGGCAGAAAAGAATAAAAATAGATCTTATTGTAGGCAGAATTATTCGGAGAAAATATTTATGACTAATGCTTTATTATAGCAATATTTGCTTATCCAAATCATAGTTCTATTAATATCACTTACCTTGCAAAAACATATAAATAACCCTTTACTTTTTCACATAATTTTTCCTTGTACAATTTTTGTATTTTTTTCTTAATAAAAAAACTACGCGAAGTTTTCACAGACTTGTCTTTTGTTTTTTCTCTTTCTTTAACTTTTTGCTGTCAAAACAGCCCGTCTTGTTGCACTTTCCGAACTGAATTTGAATGGATGAAGAACCACATGTCTACTCACGAAACACAACATTATGTTTCTAGCATCCCCGTTAAAACCAAGAAAGATACTTATCTTTTTCGCGATGCATCTTCAGCCTTACATCCACCAAAGCGGCCCAAGATCACCAGCGAGAATATTTCCACATTATCCCCAGTTGCAACTATAATAAACCCTTATAATGAGCATTTGTCGCCAGAGCATAAACACCTTGCAAAACAGCAATTTACGGATCAAGAAAACATGGTGTCATTAAAACAATATCCAACAACATACAACATGCTGAAGCCGGCCTTGGATGCGGAATTACCAAATTTGCCTCACTTTCTTTGGACATTTGTACAACCTAATGACATTATGGCTCACAACGCAACCCTGATCAAAATCATTCAATTCGTTTTAACCGACTTCTGCAGCAAATGTCATTGCAACGCGTTCTATCAGTCAAAATTTGAACGTACTTGTTATGATTATAGTCATCCTTACAACTAAGTTAATAGAAATAAACTATCATTTATTTACATAATAAAGAGTTTATTCGAATAAAACTAGTGTATTGTACTTTAGAGCATAATATTCATTCTACACTCATTTTTAATAGCAGTCATTGTTAGAGTATTTGAGCATTAAAAATAATTATATGCATTGTATTATGTAATAATAAGAATTCAATAGGTTTATGGCTGTTATATTCAATTACATAATTATTTACACAAGTCATACATATTATATATATATCTATAATGTTAAATATTGTTATAGAGGGAATATTCACTGTAAATTAATATTAATGCGTTGCTTACCCCAGACATAATAATTTACAACAGCGACAGCTCAGGGAGAAATATGCATACTGCATGCAGAATTATTCGGAGACAAAATTTGCGCATAAAGACTCTATTATACCAGTATTCACTTATCTAAATCACACTTCTATTAATATCATTTACCTTGTAAAAAACATATAAATAACCCTTGTCATTTTTCCATATTATTTTTTCTTGGTACAATTTTTTGTATTATTTTTCTTCTAATAAACTATACCGAGTTTTCACAGACTTGCCTTTTCTGATTTCTCTTTCCTTATCTTTTGCACTCAAAACATTGCAGAATACACCTTCAGAAGTTAGCAAAACCGTGCATAATTTCAGATCTGGGATTAACTTCAGTATATCTGTCCATTGTTTCACTGTCAAGGGCTTTGATACCGAAAAACTGGGAAGGTGGATACGATTTAAAGATCATTGCAAAATGTTGCGTATCTGTCAGATCAGGAACTTTAGAGATGTTAAGGAAGTAAGCATTTGGTGCGAACGCATATTGCCATAGTTGTGTAGAAATAACTTTAATGTCGTCTGGATATCGGGATGTCTCATTTCGTTACTAACACATAGCTAGGTGTAGTTGGTGGTCTAGTGGTTGTAAGGGAAGGAGCCTTGCGGTATAAACAATCAATATCAGGAAGAGTCATGTGTATAATTAATTTTAATGGTCGAATACACTAACTATGATTATTAAAACTCCGACATCGTACGAAAGTATAATTTTTTTAAATATCAAATTGTGCTAAATGGCAGGTTTGGCAGAGTGGTCTAATGCGTTACGTTCAGGTCGTAATCACGAGAGTGGCGCGAGTTCGAATCTCGCAACCTGCATTACAGCGTATTTTACTATTTGTTAGGATTTGGATTCTTTTTACTATTTATTTTGCTTGTTTTTAAAATTGTTGTACTTTTCAAGATTTTATTATTTTGTTGAGGATAATAGGATAATAACTTTTTCAGTAAAGGGAAACTGCATTCATTATTATTCCAAAATATAAAATTTCTTCTTAATTGAATAATAGTATTATTATTATCGTCCGAACTACTTGTTGATTATATCAATCTACATTATATGTTGAGTTAATAGTATTGCTTTTCTTCCAAGATTATATACGACATTTATAGACCAACAAAACCAGATTTAAGGATTTCTTTCAAAAAAAAAAAATAAATAAATAATCCGAAAAATATTTAGATGAAATATAAAATATTAGTAAGTAACATCTTAAAGAAAAATTTTTTTTAAGAATCACAAAGATAGAGCATCCAAATTGAATAATATTCTGTTTATGCAGGTACTGTTTTTGACAAGTCCTATTCATTGGGAAAGATTTTTTGTAATACTATTGCAGTGTATCGTTCTCAAAAAAATGTACATTTTACTTATTACCATTAGCTTAGGTTGAATCTATACTTTGTTCCAAATTAAATTATAAGGTATATCTATAACAGAGAGAGAAACTTTAACTTGACTCAATTTCTCAACTTTAATAAAATAAGACAACTTTATTATAATTCCATCATATCCTTTTTGCTATTCTTATTAGATGTTGATGTCTCTTGCTGCTCTTTCGTTTCTTCTGGTTTATAAATCCGAATAGTAGCAATACGACTCATACCGTTTTTATCTCCATTCCATTCCCGTAATAACTTTAACAGTTTACCATTTGTCATATCAGGTAATTCTAATAAAATAAGTCAATTAGTCTTTTATACTATCTTTTTAACACTACTTCTACTTACCCATGCCGGATATATATTCATTTTTCTCACTATCTCTTATTGACTCTAATAATTCTTGTCGTGAGCTCTTTGGTTTTTTATGTCCTCTATGTCGTTCTTGTTCTAAGTGTTCAATTTCTTCATCATGACGTTGAAGATAAAGTTCTATTAATTGATGCATCTCAGCCTTTGTTGCTGCTGATTTCTCTTCTCCAAATGCTTCTCTAAACCAAAGCCATCTTTCACCTAGTCATTATTGATAATTAAAACGATATATATATATATTTACATGTATCTATATCTTACCTATCGGATTATTTTGTTTTTTCTTTTCTTGTTGTGCTAATTTTTCTCTACGCTGATAAACTCGAGATAATTGATGTGCTTTTCGAGAATAAGGATGAATTGAATCTCGATTTTTGATTGTCTTTAATGTGATTTTTCTGTTTCCCTAAAACAAAAAAGAACGAGAGATAAATATTTCGATTTTGTGCTGATCAAATGATTGTTAATTACCATTATTGATCTATGGCTTAAAAAAAAAGGAATACTGTGTTTTTATTTTATTTTATTTTTTATTTTTGCAGTCACAATATATAAAGAAAAGATAGCAGACCTTTTTTTTTTTTTTTTAAAAAATAAGAGATTCTTTGTGTCTATTACTAAAATTAAATACGATAATTGTATTTTTTTTTAAAAAACAACAACTAATAATACAGGTCTTTATTGATACGAAATTTTGTTTACTTATACATGAAATTTCAACTTAAAACTTTGAACATGGAATCATAAAAAATTGTAATAAACATTCCTTTTTTGTAGAATTTGTGACAGTTTTAGTCGAACATCTTATTGTCACTTTTAAGCTCATAAATATTTTTGCCTTTTTTTTTTTTTTCCGTTATTGTTTCCATTACAAGTAACATGGAATCAGTTAGAATTGTTATAAATGGTCTACTTTGTAGCATTTTCTTATGGGGTCATACATCATGCGTTGTAGCCACACAATGGCTTTCTTTATTCATTAAACCGTTTTCTAAAAATCTTTATTATGCCTACCATGCCAGCATCATGAGATTTTGGTCTCAAAATCTTTTTCAAGTCATGAAGCTATTTGCTCCTGGAGAGCTAATTATCTCATTTGATAACAGCGTTGTTATGGATGATAGTGTAATTGATGACAACGATGACTATGAAGAGAAAATAGAAAGATTGTTAACTTTTGATAAGAATGGGCAAGTGAACGGAGTATCTTTTCCCGATAAATTAATAATGATTGCAAATCATCAGGTAAAAGTTTTTTTTTTTTTTTTTTTTTTTTTTTTTTTTTTTTTTTGAGTACTATTATTGTATATTTAATTGTACAATAGATTTATGCGGACTGGATTTATATCTGGTTTTTAGCTTATTTATCAAAAGCACATGGTGCTTTAAAGATTATGCTTAAACATAGTTTAAGTCAGATCCCTATTTATGGCATGTAAGTTTATATTATTGTTATAGTAGAGCAGTATATTTAAGCTCTTTTCTTCTTTTTTATGTGTAGGGTAAATTATTTCCCTTCTTTACCTCTCCCCCCCCTTTTTTTTTCTTTTTCTAAGATTAGGATTTCTTTAGGGAATGAAATTCTTTGAATTTATCTTTTTAAGGCGTAGACTTGAACATGATAAAGATAATATTGTTAATAATCTTTTAAAGACTAAGGAGAGAGATAGACCTATGTGGCTTGTATTATTTCCAGAAGGCACAGGTAGATATTAATTTAAATACGTATAAATATTTATGCATATACAGTATTATTTTTTAATGCACATATTTTTAGTTATTTCTGACAATACACGTGAAAAGTCAAAAAATTATGCAGCTAGACTTAACATGGTAAACACGTATAGCAATTTAAATAAGCACTTTAAATTAATATATGCAATAGGAAGATTTCAAATATTCTCTTTTACCTAGAACAACTGGATTATTACTTTGTAAGGAAACATTAGGTAATAGCGTAAAATGGTTATATGATCTTACAATTGCATATCCTGGTATTGAAACTGGCAAGAATCCTGAAGATGTGATGACAGTAAAACGTATTTTCTGTGAAGGAAATGGGCCTCATAAAATCCATATCTTTGTACGTCGTTATCGCCTTGATTTGCTACCCAAAGAGACTGAAGAATTTTCACAATGGCTATTACAGTTATGGGCAGAGAAAGATAAAAGACTCATCTACTTTAATAATTATGGTAAATTACCTGAAGAGGAAGATAAACTAATCAAGACTGTGGCGGTACCTATCAAGTTAAAACATACATTTAGAGAATGTTATGCTTATTTGATTTATTTAATCTTTTACATCCCCATTTTTTATCTTCTTTCTTTGATTATTCATTACATCTATATAACTTTAATTTAAATTACTAATTTTTTTTTTACGTTAAAAATCGTTTTTTTTTCTTGTGGAAATGGTTTAGCATGTAGAGAGTGTTGACAAAAAAAAATGCTTTCAAGTAGAAGAGAAGACGTAAAGAGAGGAAATGATGGGGAAAAAAAAAGGGGGGGAGGGGCGGCGGCATATAACTTAAACAAAGAATATACAAACGATACTAGTAGTAATTGAAGCACATATTTCATGTCATGTCGAATCATGTTGATTTGTTGCGATAATTGCTGAAGCACTACTCAGCAATGTTTTCAGTATGTTTACCTTTTAAATTGGGTCAGACGGCCATTTGAGTCATATATTTAAAATACGGTTAGCGTAACACTAAAGGGCGATTTTTTAAATAAAAGGGCAGCTACTGTTTTCTCAAAGGGCGGTTACAATTTTCTCAAAAGGCAGTTTTCGATCCTCAGTAGATATTTTTTACAGTTTTTTGTGACATTTTATTAGATAGGATTGCCTTTTAAGCAATCTTTAAATATGTTTACCGAATGTTGTACAAATGCTCGAAGATGTTCTGGAGGAACATTATTGCAAGCCTCAGTTATTCTTGTTGATAAGTCCTCTTTGGTTTGAAATTGACTACGTTTGACCTTATTTTTAACTATGGACCAAAATTGCTCAATAGAATAGGATTAAGCTCAGGGGAATAAGGAGGGAGATAAATGCACTTATATCCTCTCTCTGTCACCATAGTATCAATCTCATTAGATGTATGGATTGGTGCATTATCAATAACTACATAATATCCTTTCATTTCCGGAATGCAATCCATTTCATGCATTGTTTTCTGAATAAAATTCATATAATGGCCAGTGACAGTTCCCTTGGAGGCAGACTTCTTTGGTTTTGATAGTGCTTTTCTTTTGCGATTACCAGAATCGATTTTTAGCCTTTTGAATATGTGTTCCTGAGGATTTCGAAGTTCCATTGACACGAAATACTTCGCCAAGATTGCACCCAAAACTGTGTGTGATACTGCTCTGATGGTAGGAGTGATTACAATAGCTGGTGTGCCCTTAATAGACCATCCTCCTGGAGGTCTCATGTTAATATCGAAGGCTGATTCATCGACAAAAACACAGTTTTCAAGGTAATCCATATCTGTTTTGCTCCACTTCTCAACCCCACGCTATGCGGTTTGCAATTTTGGTTGAATCGTTTCTGGGAGCTGGATGACGAGTGATTTTTTTTTTGAATGAAAGGTTGCATTCTGTTTTGAGGAAACTTCTCACACTTGATTCTTTCAGTGTGAATGATTTGAATTTTTCAGTAAGTGAACAAACTGCATCCACAACCCTGGCTTGAGGATTACTGTCATAAAAATTTAAAAGGTGAATCTTATGCTTCTCATCAAGCTGGCCTGCTAATTTATTGATTTTATTGGTTTGTTTTTTTCGAAGATATTCCAATCTTTATCCTCTTTCAGTCTCCTAGCCCATTTCTGTGCAGTTCTTTCAACAACACCGCCTGCTAATCTACCAAATCTGGCAGCATTGAACTACCTAATCCTATTGTAATAGACAAAAAGCAGTTTCTGATCATTGGTGTAGTTGTTATAGCTCCTACCCCTATTGATCTTTACGTTAGTGGCAATCTCCTCCATCTCAGCATCTAAGGCTTCCATCTCAGTGTCCTTCTGCTCTGTATTTTGCTTCTCGCAGTAAAGTCAAAGACGAGTTAACGTTTTTAGATGGAAGGGGTTAATCTCTTCTTCGTATTTCATCGCATCGCGCCCATTTTCATCACAAATATTTCCCTGACCATCTTCATAAAAAAAGTATGTACTCATTTAACAAAAGTAAAAAAAAAAAAGAATATACCGCTCTACAATTTGAAAAATCCGCCTTTTGAGAAAAATGGGACTCTTACAATCACGTACAGTGCTTCTACTCTCAATTTACCGAATACTTGAAAACTCTGGTTACTTTTTTGAATTATTTTGGATACTTGTGTGAGGATAAATTGCCCAGGAAAATGAAACTAATTTGATCAAGTACTCGAAGCTAATTTGCCCTGCTTTTTGAAAATAAATTGCTTACTTTTTACAATAAGATTACCAACCTTGGTCTTTGACCAGTCTTCGTTACTATAAAGCCCAATTTTCGCTTTTCTACTATCCAAAATTCGTTTTAGTAAAGACTCAGTTTTTGTTTTTGCTTTCACCAATGTTCGCTTTAGTATTACTCAATTGTTGTGTTTTCTTTAACTTTTATTTTCACAGCAACCAAATGAATAGCAGTTTCTTTCTTTCTTTTTTTTTCTTTTTTTTTTTTTTTTTTTTTTTTTTGGCAAAGACGGATAAAATAGGATTTTATAGATGAGCAAGGAAACGAGGAAGAGGAAATCGATTCTTACAATCTTGGCATTTCGTTGACTTTATCACAGTACTTACCGAGCTTTTCGAATTCGTTTTCCTACAAAGGAACATAGAAGAACTTGAAAACTTTTGATCGACTGTCAAAGGTACTGTTAACTGAAGGGTTAAAAAACTAGAGTTACTGAAGTTAGCGAAAGCAAAAGCAGAAAAGCTCTTCGTAATATTGCCCGACACTCAATCAATAGTTTTCCATAAATGCTTCAACGAAAGTAACGAAAGTAACTGGCCAATCATTTTTCACTAAAGTTATTTATTTTTGTTGATACGTAAATTCGGGCTCAGATTCAGGAAAAGGATAAATTGAAATAATGTTTTGATCTGTACTTAATGTGATCGTTACTTATTAATATAAAGGTAGTTGTTTTGTAAGTTGATAAGCATTGGTTTTAAGCTGATTAACGTACAAGGAGTGAGCATAACGTTGTTTTGATAATATAAATTATATGATTATAAAATATAGCATCCAAGTTACGATCTTGAGTATGAAGGTTATATAAAAGTATATAGAGAGCTGTCAATTAAAGTATACCGATATTTGTTTTATGCACGTCTAAATATAGGTTTGTCTTATGTAATTGAGGGAACAAACTAATATTATATAGTGATATTCAGTTATGGATCGGTTAAACTATGAAGTAAAAAGACCAAAGTTTATTTAATTTGAGTTATTTAAAAACGATAAAAGTCACGTAATATTGTTAATAGATAAACTTTGGTTGACAATAGTAAAGGAGGGTATTGGTTTCACAATGTTAACTCAAAGCGTGTGGCGATGAAAGGCCATTTTTAGTGTCGAATAGGATGCAAATCTACCAAACAAACCTTTCTCGGTTCCCTTGTCATAACAAGGTGACCATTTCATTTTGCCTTGGTTTTGTTTCATGAACTCCTTTACAAATATAAGGTCCTTAGATTCAGTGGTTTGAATAGGTGTTATACAGACGGTCTCTCCTTCCCCTATATAACGTCGTTTAAAGTTTTCCGCAAAGCTGACACCATCCTCTGCGTATTTTTCAATACGTTTCCGTGAGATTTCATCGTTCAAAGTGTTATTATGAATAACTTTTTTAAATTGAGATGCAACAGCATCACAAAAGGATTCAATCTCAATATCCCGAATTACTTTGCTGTTTGATTCACAGGTAAAGATTTGAAAAGCTATTCTGTAAATTTTTTGAAGCGTTAAATCTATGTATTCATCCAGGGCAACAATATGTTTTTCTTGCTGTGTTAGAAAGTGAATTAACGCAATCATTTTTGGCATTGGTACTTGTATTAGCGATGCGATCGAATCAGCATTGTAAATATGAACTTGTTTTGCCCAAAGCAAACTGGAAAGTATATAGTACGGCTCATTATCGCGTTTGGTAAAGTTTTCCTCGCGAAAATGGTTGCTTGAGAACCCATCAATATTGATGACTATAACAATTGGGAGAATCTTTGTTTGACCAAATACATTCAACGAATATTGCATTAATCGTACAATAAACTCATGTGTCACCTTCTTCTGAATCTCTACTATGACAGACGCAAGATTCTTGGTTTTATCTTGGGGATAATATGTTATGTCAGTCCTTTTGTTGTCGTTTTGTTCAGTTGGTCCGTTATAATATGCAGAGCCGCAAATACCACCGCCAACAACGGAACTAATTATAATATCCTTTATATAATCTATACAGAGCAATGCTTTATTGCAAGAATCGCTTCCTGGTATAACTGGTAAGGACAACGTATACAAATCTTCGGTGTCAAGGGCATTGCATAATGCATTGTCACGCGTAAAGGCTGTCATTGCTGTAAGTGTGAAAGGAAAAAGAAAAGAATTTTTTAAAAAATAAAAAATCACATGATGTGAATCTTTGAAAGAGAGCCACTGCAAAAAATTTGTCCGTCGTACGTATGGAGTACTATACGGCGTACGCGCGTACGCTATATAGTACGCTGGTATATGCAGTACGAACGTACCACATATATACGGCGTACTATACGTACAACGTATAACTTTTTACATTTGATTGGCTATTTCTTTGAAAAAACATGAACCATCATTGGTATTTTGCAGAATAAATAACGTTTATTTACGTTTGATCTTTATTACTTATTGGCTTATAAAATACATTTAATTCATATTAGACTTTTATTATTGCCTTGTTTATTGGACGTTATTTAAAAATAAACATGTAGTTTGTTTACATAAAATGTGGCTTTATTTACATTTAGAATAGTAATAATAATAATAATGGAAATATACAGCAAATGAATTATTACAAAAAATAAATTGCTTTTGAAATAATAATAATAAAAAAAGGGTATTTCTTGCAATTGATAATAGAAAATACGATTGTACTTACCTTTGCATCTTTAAAAAGAAACAGTGCAGATACGCAGCAAATAGATACAAATAGATAAGAGAAAAAGATAGAGATAATAATGACAGGGGAGCCCAGGAAGCTAAATTATTAAGCAGTTAAACAGGAGTAAAAAACAATCTATAATAAACAAAATTGATTAGTTAGTAAATAAAAAAATAAAAAAGAGTATTGGTATTCAAAAGAATAAAATGCTTACCGAAAACAAAACAAAAAAAAAAAGGTTTTTCAAAAAGGACATAAGCTATTTGAAAAAAAAGTAAAAAGTCCTAAAAGAAGAGAATAAAAGGTAAGGTTGGTATATCTTATATTAGACAAAGAAAGTATACTTTTGGAATTAACAGATAAATGTTATGTTTTATTTTACCTTTATATATACATTTATTTACCTGTTTAAAACGTGTTTGATTAATGATAATAGACAAGTCAGTATATGTGTTAATATGAACAATAGTTGTTATCTTACCTTTAATATATCACTGAAAAATGCTCTGTATAAAAAGTAGAAAAAGCTACTACCAACATAAACAAGACTCTTTTGCTAAGAAAGAAATAAAACTGGTCAGTATAAATTCGTTAATAAGGATATTCTAAATCTTTATACTACCTTGAATATAATAAATATCTATAGAAAATAAAAAAATTGTAAGTAAATAAGTATTAATCTAAAGTAAAAGAATAAAAAAGAAATAACAATGAATGTAGAAAGACAGTAATCTTCTTAGCTTTCTCTATGATCATATGATTTTCTATAGATCCATTTTTGTAATTTCACAATGCAAATAGTGTGATTACCCCCCCTTTTTTTTCTCTCCCTGTAAAAAAAACACAGCCAAAATAGCTGTAAATTTAAACATTAAAAAAATAATGAATATTAGCAGTAGAAATGTCTTTTTTTTTGGATATATTCATTCCATGATAGTATATTAAACATAATATATTTTTTATTTGGAAATAAACAATTAAAGAAAAATTGCAGCTTAAATTGTGGCGTACGACGTATAAAAGTACTATACGTCGTACGCAGTGTGAGCTTCTGTTGTCTACATAAGTGTAAGGCTTAAGGAAATCGCAAGAATATTTACTTTTCTATAAAGTTCATAAATTAAACAAATTTAAGCGCTTGATGAGAAGCTTCTATTTTGTGATTATTGATCGCCTCTTCTCATATTTTTAACATTCTTTATTTTTATAGCCAGCAATATTCAGAAATATATTCAAGTTCTCTGTTCCTTTTTTTTTCCCTGCAGTATGGCTATTGAAATTCATGGGTGAATTATTATTCACCTTATAAAAAAAAATCAGAACGAGCTTTAAAAGTCTGAATGACGCAAAGCAAGCTTTTACAAACATAAGCTGAAGTGATGTGTCCAAATCAGGTGATATAAACGCATTGTTTGCTATAACCATGGAAACAATATTATTAACGCGTCATTTATTATTTTACACAATATTAAAAAAAAAAAACTCTAATAAAATTAATTATTCATTTATCCTTTATTTTTTTTCTTTATATAATAAAAAATGTCATCCTTAGAATGGTTAAATGTTAACGATCTTCAATTAAAGCAATCTATCGAAAAATTAATCAACGAATATCCTGCCAGTTCACAAACCATTCAACGTCTTGTTCAGTATTATGAAAACAATAATGATAATGATAGAGACGCTAAACGCCGTAAATTAGATCAATCCATCATGAATAATGAGCTTTTACGTCTCGATGACATCTCTTTCCAATTACCTGCAAGAAAGAAATATGATCTTATCATCACAAAACCTAACGAAACGCGTCATGTTCTATTATATAATAACAAGACAAATAAAGTTGAATTTCAGTACACTGTTGACCAATTTTCGCACTTGGGCGGTGCATGTGTCCTCACACCTGATAAAGCCATTAAAACCTATACTTATACACTCTTTTTGACAGAAAGGGATTGTCTAGTCTTTACAACACAAGAGAAAACAGATATTACCATTAAAAAATCATCTGTGACAGAAATATTTTCAAGCGATCAAAAACATGTATCGATTTGTGAACTTTTAACTGAATTCACATCTGTACCCATCGCACAACCCTCTAAGGATTATTTTACGTCTACAGGGGATAATAAGCCAACAGAGAATAAAGACTATGTTGTAGCCTACCATAAAGCTAAAGATGGATTCTTATTCTTTTTACCCACTGGTATCTTGTTTGGGTTCAAGAAACCAACTATTTTTGTGCCTGCATCAAGTCTTATGTCAACAGTTATTACTTCTGTTACAAATCGTACCTTTGATTTTATGCTAAAACTAAGACCTGAAGCAGTCTTGTTGGGTTCTTCAGGTTTTAGGACTACTAAAGAAGGAGATGAAGATACAATTCAATTCTCAATGATTGAACAGTCCGAATATGAAGGTATCGAAGCTTATACAAAGAAGCTGAACATCAATGACCATAGCATGTTAGAAGAAAGAAAGGCACCTGTGAATAAAAAACAACAAAGACAAGATGAAGATGTGGAAATGTTACAAAAGGAAGATTTGAAAGGAAAAGGCAAGGAACGAGTTATTGATCAACCACCACAACAGAATAATGAGGATTCTGATGAATATGATGAAGATTTTGAACCTAGTAGTGATGAGGAACACGATCCTTTAGAATATGATACAGATGCAGATGAGGAAGAAGCAGATAGAGAATTAGCTGGTGAAAATATACACGAATTTCAAGATGCTGTATTCAATGATCAAGATGAAGAAGAAGAAGAAGAAGAACAATTACTAGATGAAAGTGATTAAATGTATATAGTCATTTTAAAACTTTGTCAATAAAAACAAAGATGATGTATTATATTGAACCTTTTATTGCTATAATTTGACATTACAATAATTTGCATAATTTACAACAATAAATTGTGGCTTATTTTCAAATAAATACCATTATTTTTTATCATTCATTTTTTTTTTTCATTACTCATATAAAATGGTCGTTTGTAAAGTCTGTGAAAATCAAGAATCTAAATATAAATGTCCTACCTGCCACATTGCTTATTGTTCCTTAACCTGCTATAAAAAACATAAAGAGATCCCCTGTAGTATAGTTGAATCAAATGATAGTCAACAATTCACAAGGAAGGAAATCAAACCAATAAGTGCTCCCGATGAAGAAGATCCTAGTCGTTTAACATCCGAAGATCTCTCCAAATTAGCGTACTCGGAAGAAATTTATCATTTCCTTAAAATTATCCTCATTTAAAAGAACTTATAAAACATTTAGATTCATCCTCTAAACCAGAGTCTGAATTGGATTCAGCAAGAGATAATGATCCTATTTTTGACGATTTTGCAAAGAAATTAGTGGACATTACTTACACCGAAAAGCTGGAAAAATTTATGGAAAAGCAGAGGAAAAAAAAGAAACAAAATATCAATAATAAAAATAATCCTATACCCTTTTATCAAATAAAAACTGTAGTAAAAGTATATTATTATTATTACAGACACATTTTACAAACAAAATGCTGTGATTTTATATAGATTGAATTGCTCTAAAAAAGAATGTTTATTATGTTCTCATGAGTTTTGACTCGGTAGAAATTAACATTTACCACGTATAAGATAAGAACTTGTAAAATAGTATTATTTGTTAGTGAACAACCCGACATAAAGCAAGTTCAATATTCTTATAATAGTACACTCTCAGATCTTTTAGTAAAATTATACAAAGTATAATGTATGAGTTTTATTACAATAGTCATTCTTTTTTGTATATTAAACTAGCTTTTAAGATGCATGTCAATAGCAATATCAAAGGGGTATACATTTCAATAATAAAGGCACAGGGATTTATCTAATGCTTAACTCGCATTTTATTCCTTTTTTGGAAGTTTCTAAACGCGTTGTAAATCGCCGTCGCGACTTTAAATAAACTAAATAAATAAATAAATAAAAAAAAAAAAAAAAAAAAAGCAAGTGAATAAAAAAAATTCGCGTAGCTCTGTTGTATTAATTTTTATTTCTTTGCTTAATTAAAATAATGGCACAGCTCTCAACTGGTTCTGTTAAAGTTCTTTACGATGAGGATAAAGCCAATCCTCTTCATAACAATCCTACTGTTCAGATAATTAATATTAAGGCAGTCAATGTTCAAGGTGGTGCTCGTCATAGGTAAAAGATTTAAATGATGATCGATTGTTGTTACCATTTACTCATGTTTTAAATCAGGGTTATTGTTTCTGATGGTGTTCACTTCATGCAAGGTAAATTAATAATACTATCTTTCTAAGAATAATATATAATTTTTTTATTTTTATTTTTATTTTTATTTTTTTTTTATGATTAGCTATGCTCGCTGCGCAACATTCTCCATTAGTAGAAGAAGGCAAACTCAAGCGTAACAGTATTATCACTCTTAACGATTTTGTTTGTAATCCGCTTCAAAATCGAAAGTAAATTATATACTATTGTTTTTTTTTCGTATGTTTTTCTAACTGTCACTTTAATAGAATCTTGATCATTTTGAATTTCGATATTGTCCAAACTGATGTTGAAAGCAAGATTGGTACACCTACTACTTTGGAAGGCCATTTGCCTTCTACAAATAGCAGCAACAATGTTGCTAGCAGTAGTAATCATCCCAGTCCTACTATTCGACAAGAAAGTTCTCCATCTTTAGCAAACCAATCATTTAATAGTGGTACTAATATGCAGTTAGAGGCTAACTTGACACCCATCAAAAACTTAAATCCCTACCAAACCAGGTAATGCAAAATATCATGTTCATTTTTAACTGTGACTGATTTTATTTTATTTGCTAGATGGCACATTAAAGCAAGAGTTACTCAAAAATCACCTATCAAGAAATGGCATAATGCTCGAGGTGATGGTCAATTATTTAGTGTTAATCTTCTTGATCAAACAGGAGAAATTAAAGCCACTGCTTTTAATGATCAGGTGGATCGTTTATATAATATGCTTGAAGAAGGAAAAGTGTATTATATTTCAAAGGCTCGTGTTACAATGGCTAGAAAACAATTTTCTACTTTAAATAATGAGTATGAATTGGGATTTGAGCATAGTACCGAAATTGAAGCTGTAAGTTTGCATAAGTAATATTGATATAGTATAGATATTAATATTTTATTATCTATAGTGTCCCGATGGCGCTAATATTCCTCAAATGAACTTTGAATTCGTTAAGATTGGAAACCTTGAAAAATATGAAAAGGGGGCTAATATCGGTAAAGTGTCTTGTATTCATTGTAAAAGTAGAAAAAAAAAAAGGAAAAGTAACTAACGTTTATAATATGTTAGATGTTGTTGGTGTCGTTATTGAAGATCAAGGAGTCTCTGAGATTGTTTCTAAAATGACTGGAAAACCTGTAAGTCTATTCACTTTCTCCCCTTCTTTTTTTTATTGTTCATTCTATCTCTAATATGTTTCCTTTTTATTAATAGACAAAGAAAAGAGAACTTGTAATTGCTGATGATTCACTTCGAAGTGTTCGACTCACTTTATGGGATGTTCAAGCTAAAGAATTTGTATCGACGGGTAATCCCATCATTGCTTGTAAAGGAGTTCGTGTGAATGATTTTGGTGGTCGATCACTTTCTTTGGGTGGTAGTAGCTCTCTTAAAGTTAATCTTGATATTCCTGAAGTTCAAAATCTTCGCCGTTGGTATAATGATCGAGGACAACATGCACACTTTACAAATTATTCTAACAGTGGCATGCCAATTACTAACAGTGGTGGTGATATCACACAATCCTATAGTAATACCAAAATTACATTGCAGCAGGCCAAAAATGATAACTTGGGATCAAGTGACAAACCTGACTATTTCAGTTTCCGAGGCACTGTAGCTTTCATTAAGACCGAAAACCCAGCCTATCCAGCCTGTCCTGACTGTAAAAAGAAATTGTTAATGGAAGAGAACGGTTGGCGCTGTGAGAAATGTCAAAAGGTACATCCTACGCCTGAATATCGATACATTTTAACAGTTAGTGTTGAAGACGCTACTTCGCAACTTTTTGTGAATGGTTTTGATGAATTTGGTAATACCTTATTGAAGAAGAATGCAAATGAACTTATGGCTTTGAAAGAAAATAATATGACAGCTGCTCAACAAGTATTTAATCGTGCACTTTTCCAGACATTTAACTTTAAGGTTAGAGCTAAACAAGAAACCTATAATGTAAGTTTAAAAAATACATTTGTCTATATTTATATAATTTCTACAAAAAAAGGCAAAAAAAAAATAACTTCTTCTATTTTATAGGATATCACACGAGTTAAATATAATGTTATTGAAAGTACACCTATTGATTATGTAAAGGATGGATATGAATTAGCTGCTGCTATTGATAAGCTTTTATAAGTAATATAATGTTGTATTTTGCTTTGTTTCTTTTTTTTTTTTTTTTTTCAAAAAAAAATATATCATATATATATCATATAAATAAATAAGTATATTGTAATACATATAGACCAATCATTGTTTAATGATAGTATAAACAAACAAACAATCTGTTATAATACATATAGGTATAATTATACACATATAAAAACATACGTGTGAAAAGGGGGGAAAAAGAGAAAAAAAAACTTTCTTTTTCTTCTTCTTTTTTCTTTTTTAAAGAAAAATAATATATCCATATACTATATTAATGACACAACAAAAGGAGCATAAATTTCATTTTGATACACTTCAATTACACGCTGGTCAGTTACCTGATCCTACTACGAATGCACGCGCAGTTCCTATTTATGCAACTTCATCTTATGTTTTCAATAACACTGAACATGGTGCAGACCTTTGTGCACTTCGAGCTAATGGCAATATTTATTCAAGGTTAGTCTTATTCTCCCTCCTTTACTTTCTTTTTTTCTTTTTTTTTTAATAGTTTCAGAATAAATAGCTTCTAAACATATACATACATATATATATTAGAATTCAAAACCCTACGAATGATGTATTTGAAAAACGTATGGCAGCACTTGAAGGAGGCGTTGCTGCTACAGCAGTATCATCTGGTATGTTGTTATATACATAAAGTAATATTATATATATTTGTGTGTTAATAGATATCTATTCATTAGGCCAGGCAGCTCAGTTTCTTACAATTACCACAATTTGTAAAGCAGGAGATAATATTGTTTCTTCTTCAAGACTCTATGGTGGTACTTATAACCAATTCAAGGTTACTTTCCCTCGTTTAGGTATTCAAACCAAGTTTATAGAATCGAATGATCCAGAAGCTTTTAAAGAAGCTATTGATGTCAATACTAAACTCATTTATGTGGAAAGTATCGGAAATCCTCAATTTTCTGTACCTGACTTTAAAAGATTGGCTGACATTGCACATGCAGCTGGAATCCCCTTTGTAGTTGACAAGTAAGTAATAATAATATACATATATTTATATACTAATAATATATATATATGTATATATATATATACATGTATATATGATTGTATGTATTTTAGTACATTTGGTGCAGGTGGATATATTGTAAGACCTATTGAGCATGGAGCTGATATCGTTGTTCATTCAACTACAAAGTGGATTGGAGGGTAATACCATCTATCTATCTATTTATTATTATTAGTATTCTACAGTTAACTGAACTCATCTATAATCTAGACATGGAACTACAATTGGTGGTATTGGTAAATAATAAACACAATTTATTCTATTTACTCATATCATGTATATTCATAACATATATATGTATATATTAAAGTGATTGATGCTGGTAAATTTAATTGGGATAATGGTAAATTCCCTGAATTTACGGAGCCCTCTCTAAGCTACCATGGTATGAAATTCTGGGACATGTTTGAACATTTGGCCTTCATATATCGTCTTCGAATTGACATACTTCGAGACATTGGAGCTTGTCAAAACCCTTTTGCCTCCTTTTTATTACTGCAGGGACTTGAAACACTTTCGTTTCGTGTTCAAAGACATAACCAAAATGCTCTTGCCTTGGCTGAATGGCTTGATGCTCGATCTGATGTTGCTTGGGTCTCTTATCCTGGTTTAATCAATCATCCATCTCATGAAACTGCTAAAAGATATTTAAATGGATATGGAGGTGTCCTGACGTTTGGCATTCATGGTGCTTTAAACTGTTTTATTGACTCTGTTCAATTGGCTTCTCATTTGGCTAACGTGGGTGATGCAAAGACTTTAGTGATCGCACCTTCCTTGACTACGCATCAACAGTTGAGCGATGAAGAACAAGCTTCTACAGGGGTCACGAAGGATATGATTCGAGTTTCAGTTGGCATTGAGTGAGTAACAATAATAATAATAATAATAGTAAAAAAGATAGTCTTCATATTTATAGAATAATGTTTATTTTATAATAGGCATATTGATGATATTAAATGGGATTTTCATCAAGCACTCGAAAAAGCTAATAATCAAACAAAGTCTTTTACCACTCATTATCCAAAATGATACTGCTCTTAAGAAGGAAATTAACCAAATTATCGAACATGTAAAATTACCTTATTTCTTTCGAAAAAAAAAACAGTTTTCCTTTCGCTTATTAAATAATAAAGGAACCCCCCTATTGTTTATTGCATAATTTACACATATTTTCCTTTCTTTTCTTTTTCTAGAAATAACATCAAGATTAGTAATTGCTATCATTTCTTCTTCTTAGCAGTAAAATGACACTCATATTTATTATTTGAATCTCTTTTTGAAAAAAAAAAAGAAAAGAAATCTTTTTGCTGCTGTATAAACATATTTTCGAAAATATACAAAGTAATACTTGAATTAACTATTAAAATATGATATCAAAACGGCTCCACTGTTGAACTATTCTCCCGTAGTTTTATCTGTTTATAGATGGTAATGTGTGTATCTTCTCCTGTACAACGAAATCCTTCTGATAAGATGTTACAATCAATTAAAGGCATATTATAGAGCATTAAGATTTAAGAGGTGAAAACTATAAAGAAAGAAAGTGAATTAACTATCGTGTTGCTTTAACCCCGAAAGTTTAATAATAGGAGAAAATAGGAGGCATTCGAATAGAAAAATCATGATCTTGAGCTGTAACTGTTTGTTTGCATAATATTAAAATTCCGTTCACTCATTAGAATTATGATTAAAATAAAAAAATAAAATAAATAAATGTGATTACATTATTCCTTTTTTTTTTTTTTTTTTTTAATGTCGAAGCCTTCACCATTAGCAACTAAGATTGTCAGTTATGTTTTACCATTTGTTGTTTTCGGATTAATAGGATATACTTGGTACATTTACATTTTTCGAATTTGTGGTAAAATAAGCAAAAATAAATAAATAAATATTTTATGTGTATATGAATGTCTTACTATTTACTAGTTTATCTATTATTAAGTAAACAATCTGACAATAAAGCAGAAGCAGGTATACATATAAAGCTTTATTACTGTAATAATAATTATAAAAAAGGCACTAAATAGTGTTTGCTTTTTTTTTTGGGTTAGTAATATTCATGATGATTGCTAGCTTCCTTTGGATATTGGCCCTTTTGAGTTATATCCGTATCTTGCTTACTTCTCCAGGCAAACCACCATCTTTAAATGTATGTAACTACATATTTAATAATAATCATTTTAGTAACATTTTATAGAATCATACCTCATTACTACCACCTTATTATTATTCACCTAAATTATTTGATTGGTCTTCAAATGACGTTGTTCTTTCGATCAGTCGACATGATGGACAACCTCGCTATTGTCATTTATGTCAATCTTATAAACCTGATAGAACACATCATTGTAAAGAATGTAACGCTTGTGTACTTAAGATGGATCAGTAATAATGACATTATTATTATTATTATTTAAGAAAAAAGAGGAGGAGAAAGTGGACTTGAACTGACTTTTTTTTTTTTTTTTTTTTTTTTTTTTTTTTTTTTTTCTATATCTTTATAACGTATAGTCATTGTCCCTGGGTAAGTGGTTGTGTTGGATTTAAAAATTACAAATTCTTTTTCCTATTCGTGCTATATACTGGATTATACGGGCTTTGGGTATTTGTAAGCTCATTACCATTAGTCATAAAGGGAATACGAGATATGGTAAAAAAGAGAATGTTATATAGATAGATGTCATGCATTTAATCACTTACACACATCTACACTAGGATACAAATATAGATGCGCAATGGTTAGCACTGATTATCATGTAAGTAGTTTATCTATTCTAATGTATTTGTAATATTCACTTTATTTATTAGAGCATTTATATTTGGATTAACAGTTTGTGGATTTGCAGGTGTACATGTCTATTACATAATCAAAAATGAAACCACAATCGAGCATTTAGCAGATAGGCCAATAGAAATTAGAATTGATTTTGATACCTCGGGACAAAACTTTGAGGTTGTTCAAATGCCGCCTCAAATTAATTTGTGGACGCGTTCAAGGAGTGACAATTGGAAATCTGTCATGGGCACCAACCCCTGGACATGGTTTAGTAAAGTATTAATATAAATAGGTGATGATTAAATCTAATCCATATCTTAAACTAGTTCCTGTAAGAGGTGGGTTAGTAGGTGATGGTACTGTTTTCCCTTACAATGATACTATATATCAACAGCTTTTAAATAAAGCAATACAGCAAAGACAAAGTATGGATGTTGTAGTACAAGATTATTACGAGCCAGAAAGGATATCTTCAATAGAAAGTACAGCATACATGACATAAAATAGACCTGTTCTATAATAATAATAATAATAATAATAATACACGCATGAACTATTTATTGTTAAAAAAAAAGGAAGGTCTATTGTTTTATTGTCTGTAAAAAAAAAAAAACTCAGCCAAAAAAAACAATCCTTCTTGTCCGATTTAATACAAATATATCCTGTTTTTTTAGTCTTTTTTTCTTTCCCTTTTTTTTTTTTTTTTATTCTTGTTATTATTATAAAAACTTGAGATGTTTGCTGCTCGCCGTATTACAGCTACTTCAATTGCACCTGCTGGTTTATTGACTCGTTCAGCAGCTATTGCATGTACTAAGGCTCTTCCTAGTGTCAATATCTTGGCTCGTAAAGCCTTTTATACTGTTGACAGCAACAGCAACAGCATCACCACCAAAACCAACAACAACAATAATAATAATAGAATGAATAGCAATAATAGAGCACAGCTTTACAAAGCTACTGTTCAAAGTAATGATTAGCTAAATATATATATATATATATGTATGTATGTATGTATATCGTTAAGCTAAAGTATATTATATATTATAGGACCTGCCCCTCTTTGGTCTGCTCCTGCACTTGTTAACGGTGAAATTACAAAATTAAACTTAAGCGACTTCAAGGGCAAATTCGTGGTGATGGTCTTTTACCCTGCTGATTTTACTTTTGTTTGCCCTACTGAACTTATTGCCTTCAGTGACCGTATCGAGGAATTTAAAAATTTAGGTGCTGAAGTAGTCGGAATTAGTGTGGAGTAAAGTATTACCTATTTTTATTTGACAGGGGGTGTGTATGCGTGTTACATGCTAACTAATTATTATTATATCTTTTTTATAGTAATGTTCATTCTCACTTGGGTAAGATAGAATCTTAGGGAAAAAAAAAAGAAGTGTTCCATATATACTGATCCATTTTTCGTTATAGCTTGGACAAATGTTCCTAGAAAGCAAGGAGGTCTTGGAAGTATCAATATTCCACTTGGTAAGTATATATTTAACATGGTAAATAGCGTATGTATACTTAAAAAACTATAATGTAGTTTCTGATATTCATAAGAGAATTGCTTCAAGTTATAATGGTAACTAAATGAATGTTTATTATGCATTCTTTTCATACATAATTATCTAATACTTTCTCTCTCTCTCCAAAAAAAAAAAGTTTTGATTCCAAAGGAAGGTGTTGCCCTTCGTGGTTTGTTTGTTATTGATCCAAAGGGTATTCTCAGAATTGCTACTATTCATGATTTACCTATTGGTCGTTCTGTTGACGAAACTCTTAGAGTGATTGAAGCTATTCAATTCACTGATGAACATGGTGAAGTTTGTCCTGCTAATTGGACTAAAGGTGAAAAGGCAATTAAGCCTGATCCAAAGGGTTCTCAAGAATTTTTTGAAAGTACAAATGAATAAATGTTTATTTTATAAAAGAGTAGAATCTTCAGGATCATAGTTATCATTAATAAGTCTGTATACATAAGTAGGAGGTGCAGAACCACTATTAGATAATAAAATGTGTTAGTGTCTCTCTCATTTCATTATAAAAAAAAAAAAGTTGAGATTTAAACTTACAGATTATGAATAAATAAACTGACATAATCAGGTCCTACATAGTCATAATATGGATTGCTAATCGTAATATCATCAATGATTGATCCTTCCTGGAAACTCATCACATTTTGAGGAGATACCGTAACATTAAATGCGTCTGCAACATATGCAAACAGAGGTGATAATTTATATAACGCAGTGCAGACTAAGACAGGTGTTGAATGATGCTTTGCTGCTGCTGCTAATAGATGTGAACCTGAAACTGATACAAGAGCTCCATTAGCCAATACTATGTAAAATAAAATAAGTCTATATGATAGGCATGCCTTTTTTTTTAAAAAAAAAAATAAATATTTATATACCTGCATGAGCACCTAACACAACTTTATTGACACGAGGCATAGCTGCAAAAATTGCAGAGTCAGCAATCACTGTAGTGTCAATACCTGCTTTTGATAATGAAAGAGCCATTTCATGACCTTGATATCTGTAGATAATTAGAATTAACTTATTTGTATCTATACTCTTTTTCCTTTTCATATAATCTTATCTTACGTTGGTGCGGTTTCAGCCACAATTACTTGAAATTTACGCTTTTGTGCAGCTCTTACTAAGAATTCTTGCACTGTTCTCGAAATACCAATGGTCATGATCACTTCACTATCATATATATATATATATATATATATGTATATAAAGTTATAACATTAGTATAAAAAAGATGTCTAGTAAACTGTGTACATTACTTTGCATGAATGAAATCTAATGCTTGATCAGCGATCCCCTTATAAATTGAAGCTGTATCCTTTGTATCTAAATCTGCAATAATTTCATCAGTAATTTCTTGAATGATCAAAGGTTTTAAATGATATGTATCTCTAATTCTCTTTTCATTCTCAAGTCTCTTTTGTTCTTTAGTAGTTAAAGTAGACATGTCAGCTAGTAATCGAAACATGGATGTTTGTGTTGAAAGTTCAGGTCGAGGAGCGGTTGAGGGGCTTATTTCTTCGTCTGAGGCTGTATCGTCTTCGTCGTCCATGTCAGTTGATAAAGTTGTTTTCTCTTCTCGATTGTCATTTGAGTCTAATTCGCCTCTTGAAACTTCTCGAATGACTTTTAATACACGCTTCACAATGTTTCCAATAGCAAGTTCTAATCCATTTTAAAAGTTAGAACAGACAGAAATAATTAATTTAATCAAGATTTTTACCGTTAGGTTGAGCAGCAGACAAACGAGTGCCAACTTGTGTTACAATATCAATAAGAACATGAGCATCGCGCCAACGTGAAATAGAAACAACTTGACGAAGAATGAAGGCTGTTTCTCTTGCGACAAAGAATGAGCCAACAATTTGCCTAGCAAAGAACGGATTAGTTGAACAAAAAAAAAAAAACTAAAAAAAAACCCCCTTTTTTTTTTTTACTACCTTCTTTTAAGCTTTTGGATAAAATTTTCTATTTGTATATCAAGGGCTCTAGGAATACTCATTTATGTATACACTGAAAGGAAAAAATTAAAACTATTTTTCTGCCTATGAGGATATATCTTTTAGCAAAAAAAAAAAAAAAAAAAAAAAAAAAAAAAGTGACTGTTTACATTATGTATAAAGTAAAGCTGCAAATTATTATTATTCCTCTTTACAGCTATTTCCTAAACTTTTTGTAATGGAAGGTTATCAAGGCACTTCTATTCGTCAACCAGTCGCCATGACTTATTTATGTGCTGGTAATTAGTTCTTTTTTTTTTTTTTATAGCTATAATAGTTATTTATCGATTATATTGTAGATTGTGGCGCAGAAAATCAATTAAAACCTAGAGAGCCTATTCGTTGTCAAGATTGTGGTCATAGAATCATGTATAAAAAGAGAACCAAAAGAAGTAAGGAACATTATTACATGATGCTTTCAAAGTTATTAATTTAAATCATGTATTTTTAGTGGTGCAATTTGAAGCTCGTTAAGCTATGTAAATATTTTGTTGGTCGGTCTATGTAAATGAAGAGTTTATGAAGAAATAATAAAAGTATAATAGATTAATAATAATTTGATTCGTCAAGTATTTTACATAGATGCCAATTATTCTTTGTGTTTTATTTTATTTTATTTTTCATCACTGCTGTGTATTCCTTAAAGGCAGTAATCTTTCTCATTATCCGAAAGACAATTCTTTAATCATGAACAAGCAATTAAACTTATTGAAAATTTAGTTTTTTTTTACTTTTTTTTTTCGCTTTAAACATGATTACCTCTTCTAGAAACTATTTAGAAGAGAAAAGATACGATAAAAAAATAATTGGAATAAAAAAGATGATTACTTTTTTCGTCATTTCCATTAATTTCTTTATTTTATTTGGCTATATTTTAATTCATTTAAAGCTAAAACTTTTGCAAAAAAAAAAAAAAAAAAAAAAAAAAAAAAAAAAAAAAAAAAAAAAAAAGAAAAAGAACTCTTTTAATCTGTTAAAAAAAAATCTTATTAATGGTGCCTTATGGAACATTTACCAGATGAATTACTAATTTTAATATTTAAATATGCCATTAAAGATGTCAATAACTTGGTATCACTTCAAAGAGTATGCAAAAAGTTTCACAGGTAGCAACTAAAGGTGTAAAATGATAGTGTAATATATTTCTCATTTATTGTTTAGAATCTCAAATAACCCATTTTTATGGTATTACTTATTTAAAGTCAAATATCCTTCATGGTCCCGAAATATTCTTATGAAAAATTCTTTGATTGACTGGAAAGCATTCATGGTATCGCTAACAAAACAGCATAATCATGTTACCCGTCGATTCAACTTAACATGTCCTTTTTCTGATAAAATTGGAGAGACGTTTGTTTTTAATGTTGATCCTGAAACAAATGAAGGCTTGGTGGCAATGATAAAAGATAATTTAGACCATATTGGGCAATATACGGTCGCATTTCTTAAATATCCCTCATATACGACAATAGCTGAATTTAAGCTTTCATTTTCTATACCACCTTCCTGGACATGCCAAATTGCAGGACTTCAAACGGTAAAACAACAACAAGGCGAAAGGACACATTTATTTTCTATTGTTCTAGGCGAAAATATGCCGTTAATAGATGATGATCAAGTATTTATATGGAAAGTGATATTTATTTATCGTTTATTAGACAACAATCGTATTGTTTGTCTAGGCCATGTCAATATAGAGAAGATATTTCTAGGAAGACAAGTTTTCTTTTTTAACGCTGAAACCATGTCGCTATCATGGTTGAATATAGTAGCACCTAAGCATACAGTAAAGTATACAACATGCTATATGATAGCCTTTGGGCCCACTTTACCACGATATGCAAGTTATGGACAAATTATTCAATTTGATCTATCTGCCTCAGATGATGAACTAGATCCATCTCGACATCATTTGGAATGGAATGAAGAAATAAATGAATTTGTTAAACCTGATGAATATTCATCTTCAATGTCGTTAATTTCTATTGTTCGATTAGGATCTGCTACAAGATGTTTGATGCATTTACGATATCCTTTCCAATTGAATCACTTGGTTTTTATTGGAGAAACAGATGCAATATCAATTTATGATTGGAGATTTGGTATTAGAGTGGGCATTATTCCTGGTACCACCAGTCATTCATTTTCTTGGGGGTTGGAGATAGCTTGGGCCATTAGCCCCCCATTTTCTTGTTATGAAAGTTTGGAACGACTCATTCCTTATGGACTACGATTGGTTATTGTAGATGATGATGAATTTAGTAAATGTTGTATCAAGATATGGGATATATCCAAGTTACTTTCTGTAAAGTGGAATCCTTTTAAGCAAGAAGTCGATAATAATCAGCTGCTAATATTATCTAAAGAAGATGAGTTAGACATGCCTTATATATATCCTTGGTGGCATCAAGGGACACAAGCACTAAAGCAATTGGCTATTCAATTATATCAAGAACCCAAGAAATATGAGATGTTATTGCCTTATACGTTAGATCCTAACTTACACCTATTGTGTGTTCATCAGTTAGACGAGAAAATTATGGCTTTTAATATTTTAGGTACTTTATTATTTACTCTAAACGAGAAAGGATGCCTTAAAGTCATGGACATAGAAACCTGCCAAATAATTAACTCATTTAACACTGATGGTCTTGATATTAATGTGATTGCGGACCAAGAAGTCATTATGATGACTAAAAATAGTGAAATACTTGTAAATAAATTCATTACATAATAATTACTACAGCATTCGTATAAATTTGTCATTTTTTTTTTTTTTTTTTTTTACTTGTTAAATGCTTCTTTCTCAGCAACTGAAATCTTACATTACAAGAAGAATGATTATTAAACCTGTCAACTGTTTTCAAGACAAGTAAAAGTCATGACCATGTTTAACACATGTGTGTGCGTTTACTAATGTATTATTATAGTTATGCATACATTTTGTTAGACGAAAGTTCAAAAAAAGGTAAAGCATACATGTCCATAATATACTATTTACTCAATATTATTTATTATAGCTGCTGCTGTAGATCCAGTTGAACCTGATAATATACTAAAGGCTTTGAGTGAATACCCTGATTATACATTATCAATGTAAAAGTCTGCATAAATGCGTCTCTCGTTTTTTTTTTCTTTTTTTTTTTAAAAAAAAAAAAAAATTAACAACTATTTTATATAGGATCCTTACAACGCATCATCATCACGATCATGCTGGCGGTAATACTTCATTTTTAAAAAAGCTTGAACCCGAAAAAATCAAGTGTTATGGTGGTTCTGAAAAAGTCAATGGCGTAAATCACATTGTCAAAGATAATGAAACCATTCAATTAGGTTCATTGTCCATTCGTGCCATAACCACTCCCTGTCACACAATGGACCATATCTGCTATTATGTTGAAAACAACGACGATGATCGTGCTGTGTTTACAGGTGATTGTCTCTTTAGTTCGGGATGTGGTCGCTTCTTTGAAGGATCAGCTAAAGAGATGTGGGAAGCTCTTTCTAAATTGGCTGCCTTACCCGATAACACTAAAGTCTATTTTGGACATGAATACACTTTGAGTAATCTCAAGTTTGCAGAGTCTGTTGAGCCTCATAATAAGGATATTCAAGAAAAAAAGAAATGGGCTCAGCAAGTTAAATGTACAACGCCTTCAACAATTGGTAACGAAAAATTGACAAATCCATTTATTCGATGTGATTTACCTGAAGTGTTTAAACATATTGTACATCATCCTGAAAAGGCAAAACAGGTTGACATCTTGGGTCAACTTCGAAGAATGAAAGATGATTTTTAATAAAGGATATATTATGTTATGTTGATATAATATGATACGATGTATATATATATATGTATGTGTGTGTGTGTGTGTGTGTGTGTGTGTGTAAAAGGTATTTTATAGAATACTTTGGTTATTAAGAACTGTCAGCATTTTATAGTGATGCATGCAATAAGAATTGTTTTTAGTAGTTTTCTTTTGCGTATACCAAATCTAAAGCTTTTTTTTTATATATCATTCTTCATCGTCTCTTCTTCATTCTTTAGTTATTCATATTATACTACTGCTTTTGCATTTTCATTCATTATTTTATTTTATTTTTTATTCACATTTAAGGAATTGGGTTCATTTATCTTATTTTTCTCTTTCTTCCTTGCAAGACGTTTTTTGGTATAATTATTGGTATGATTGGAAATTGTACTACTGTTACTCTGGGCTATATAATTGCTAGGAACCTTTTTCATCTGTACCTCAAGTTGATTTCCCATTGAATCTACTGCAATAAATTTGTCTCCTTCTTTATAGCCTATCTGTTGAGTAGTTGTAGAAGAAGAAGAATTACTCGTAGGAAGCATCATTCGTTTGTTATTATCTATATTATATTTCCCTGTAACTACTCTTTGAGTCTCTATAAACCCTTCTTGAAATGTAGGAGATTTAGACTGCTGCTCTCTCTCCCTTTTGGGTATAAATTCACCTTCAAAAAGTGCATGATCTCTAAGAAATTGTGATAATTCTGTCCATCCTCCACCCACACGTACCATAACCATCTTACTCTTTAGAACGCGACAATAGCAAAGTTTAGGATTTACATTACCAAACCAATATCGACCTACTTCGCCAGGAACCATTTTCACTTTTATATGATAAGGTGTTTCATTAACAATACGTCCGATTTCTATGTCTAAAATATTATCGGGATCAGCAACATACATGTTTGACGCAGTTGATGTTGTCTTGAGATTAGTGGCTGATTTAGATGATTGACGAGGAGGTAGAGACAAGTACCTACTACTATCATGATTGCTGCTACTGCCACTACTACTACCAGATCGTGACGTAAATCGTGGATTAAGTATCACGGGATGACCCACAACATGGCTACTCGTAGATATCTCAAGTGACTTCATTAGTAAAGAGGATGCCTTTCGTGTTGGTAAGGATGATTTTCGAAGACGTTGTTGATTTGAATTCTTAAAATTGTCTAACGTATTAATTCTACTCAACTCAATCTTGCGTGTCTTGTACTGTTGTTGTGTGTATGCTTGTTTCGATTTCATTTCTGCTAGATAAGCATTCACAATCGTGTTCTGAATTTTCTGGGCTAAACTTTGAGATTCTTGTAAATGTTGATTGATTCTTTGATCATAATATTTAAAGCGAGCCTCTAGTTCGATCAGTTTAGCCTGTAGATCAACACGAGAATTGACTAAAAAATTAGAATGCTGAGGTGATGCTCGATTAATTGCTTCTTCTAAAGAACTTTGCAAAATACAAATCTCATCTACTTGAGTTAAATAAGAACCAAACAACATGAAACTTTCGATCATTTTATATTTTTCTACAAATTTGTCTTTCAGACTGGTCATCTCTTGTTTTAATTCCTCAAAGGATTGCTTACAAGTTGCATTGCCAGATAATATCGTTTTATTCAACTTTTCTATTTCATTTTCGATTTGTGGTATCATTTCTTGTTCTTTCTCGTTCAATTGTTTCTGAACATTTTGAATTCCTATCTTACGTGGCAATGATAAAAGTTTTTCTTTATCAAGTTGTTCTATATTAGGCAATTCTACTATACTTTCAACAGACCTTTTCGTGTCATCCACGAGGTCCTTGATTTGTCCTATCGTTTGAATCATAATCAACTCATCTGTAGATTCTTTCAACTGTTTCAGAGCATCACGGGTAGATATCCATTGATTTTCGACCTTATCTGCAGTAGCCCTGACAATATCATTTATCCATCCTTCCTCTTTCTCCAATAATTTTTCTGATATATCTCTAAAAGATATAATCACTTTTTCAAAATTTGTCATTTTTTGTGTTAATCTATCAACTCCCAGGACAGTCTGTTTAGTATTCAGGTTGGTGATCGTTAATTGACAACTGTCAAGCCATGACCGAATATCATAAGCACTTTTGCTATGCCCTATAACTGATTTCATTATTTCATGTGCAGCATGAGCTTTGGCTATAGTATCTTGCCATTTTTCAACACTTTCTGTAAGTTGCTGTTGAATATCCTTTGTTTCGTATTTTCCTGTAAAAGAATCAATATGGGGCTGGATAACAGTCTTGAGTTGATAAACACATGTTTGGTATGTATTTTCTCGAATCGAGAAGGCCTTGATGATGTGTGTGTATTGGGTTTCTAAATCATCGTACCCTACCAGTTGGTGGTTATCATTAAGAAGGATGGCTTGAACTTCATCAAGAGCATGCCGACACCAAATACGAACGGATTCTTGACAGCTAACAAAATCACTATACTGCCGAATCATCGCTTGATGTTGATCCACTTTTGTCTGAGCATCTTCAACTTTATTCATCAGCTCATCATGTCTTTGTTTAAAGATAGTGGAATTTTTATCGACAGGTAGATGAGAAGCTGTCTGTTGATAAGAGTCAAGCGAATGGCGTAATGTGTCTAATAACGATACATCTAGATATGTAGCCGTATCTGTTGGATCAAATACCTGTAGTTGGTCCTGAATATCTTTAAGTGAGTTGTCTCTGATATTATCTAGATTTGTATGTAGTTCAACCCATTGTTTGAAATTTGCTAGATGATATTTGGAATCTCCTATCTGTATCTTACTATACTGCCATCGTTGCTCCAACTTCGTTTGGGATTTATTCACCTTACTATCTTGCAAAAGTTGATTCAATAAATTAAGTTTCGTATAATGCTCATAATAGTGATTAAAGTCTTTATCAATATTAGAGATTTGAATTGTGATAGCCTCAAGACGTTTCTTATTATCTTTAGAACTATCTTGAATTATTAAAGGACAGTTTTGCTGTAAATCGCAAAGTTGGTCCTTGACATTCTTCAGAAAGTTATTTAAGCTATCAATAACTGTGAAATATTCTTTCTTTAAACGATGATGATGAGCGACCTTTATACGTTCTTTTACTTGATGTTGAAGAACATCAAACTGTTTCACAATAGTAGTAGTAGTAGTAGTAGTAGATGACATGCGTGTCTTGATTTGTTCCAGTACTATTTCAAGGTCTTTCAGATAATTTGCTTGCCATTCGATAGCTACTTGCTCACTAATATCATCTAGACATATAGTCTCAATCGTTTTTCGTAATGCTTCACATTGTGATTCAAATTGAGATTGCAGTTGCAAAAGCTCCTTATGATGAAGCTCCTTTGAAAGCCTCTGGTTATATTCAGCTATATCTTCGACAAGCTGTTCATAATCTAATTCAATAGTAGCTTGCCGACTCATGATTGACTTTATTATGCTTGTTTTAAATTTTTGTAAATCGTTATTACCTTCATCCTGGATAATGGATACATACTTATGAGCCACATTTTTTAAACTTTGAATACATGTTGATTGAATTGGCTTGGTATGATGTACAATCGCTATTCGTAAATCTTCAATCGTTTCATATTGTCGTCGTTCAAGCTGTTTGCGTCTTTCACTAATCCAGTTAGAGACAACCTCAGCTTCTGTAAAATAAGATGCTTCAGCTGCTTTGCAACGCGACATATGCTCCCTTGATTGTACAATCGTTTCCAATGTATTACCTAACTCAGTCAAATGTGACTGACGTTCGATTAACATATCCTGTATGATAGCATTATGTGCAGCATCCTTTTCATTACGATAATAAATGGGATAAATCATAACTTGCTTTGTATAGTCATCGATTTGCTCTACATGTTCTTTGTAGTCTTTGAGTATTTTGCTCATGTTAGGTGAATGATCTTGTACTAAAAGTTGAGTTTTCACTCTTTCTGCTATAGACTCTATATCATGGATACGATTTAATACATGACATACAATAGTATGTTGTTTGACAACCTGATTCAAATATAGTTTGTGATTTTTTAACTGTGTTTGGGCTGTCTTTAGACGTTCGTCTTGAGATTGAGCCGATACATCATTTGACAAGATGTTTAATGTATCAATTTCTTTGTCAATATTAACATTCAAACTGGCCAACTGTTCCTCATTGATAGTATGATGATTTGTTGATGACCAACGAAAGTCTGTTTCAATTTGTTTTTCAATAGCAGACACTAATTCCTCACACACCTTGAGTTCATTATTAACGCATTGCTCCCATTTATAGTATTGCTGTAGTTTTCGGATTTCTACCAAACAATCATGAATAGACTCTTGTAATCTGCTTGTAAGATTGTATAGATCTTGTTGCTGTTTCGTGCTGACATCGTCTTTGTCTTTTAGAAGAGCATCATAGAGTGATTCAAGTGATGCTTGTTGGTCAATATATTCCATGATCGTATTCTGATACCCTTGCATTTCATCTTCTAGTGCTACTAAATCGATAGAGAGGGACCTTTTCTTATCCCATTCGTTTATACTCTCCGAAAGCTCTTGGAGAGCCAGCCATTGTTGTTTCCAAAGCTTTTGCCATCGTAATCGGATCTCACATTTGGTAAAACAATGATTGAACTGGTTTTGGGCCTCTAACAAGGCCTCAGTAGCAGTTTTTAAATCACTATATACTCCTTCTGTAAGAGCATGAAGATCAACGTGAGTGCTTTTCACATCTCGTAGTGCCTTCCATTGTTCTACAAGCTGATTTACATTGTCCTCCATCACACTTTGATTTAAATGACGGCATGAGTCAATATCAACTACTTTACCAGAATGAAGAATAATGGCTGTACTTGAATCAAAGCTATATTCTGATAAGCTCCGAGTCTGTTTTTTGATATTATCTATCGTTTGTTTAGTTTGTTGACACCATTCTTCAACCTGTGAGCGATATTCAAGATGACTTTGTAATTTTTGAAGTTGCACTGTCAATTGTTTAGAATAGAGCTCTTGTAGTTCGGTGTAAATTTTGTTAACAGTGTTAGCAACTTGAAAAGATATATTGTCATCTTCAGTGGAAGGCCGTGTAGATCTAGCATCCTCAGGGCAAGTTGGATAAGGTAACTGAGAGCCAGATTGTAACCAAAGCTGTATAATATCTTTGCCAAATTCTTTAACATCGTCTTCAAGGGACTCATTATTATTATTATTATGATCAAATGTCATAATAGTAGTGATGGCCTGTTGAATACTCTTTAAAATGGCTTGACCTTTATCTTGGAGTTGGTTTACCCTTGAAGAGAAATGAATGAGAGCCCGACGTTGTTGTAAAACAGCATTTGCAAATTCAACCAAATCGCACAAGTTTTGAAATGACTGAGTTAATGCATCCTGTCGTCTTTGAACACGCTCTGGTGTATTTGGTTGTTGTTGAGTTCTTTTGTCTAATAACGAAAATGATTCTAATTATAGTATAGACAGAGTAGATATGAGTTTCTTGTTATTGTTATTTTAGTTTTATTTTTTTTTTATTCAGTTCAATTTGTTGAAACTTACCAAAGCTACAGACTAATTTATTAAATAATATATTAGCAGACTGAAGTTCATCAACATGAAACCTTTGGATGTTATCTTGCAAGTCCTCAAACTCGCATCTAGTTAAAGCAAGATCATCTACTGATCTCCATTGTGCTCTTCGAGAAATGAAATCCCAAACTTCAAAAGTTGTGGTTGATATCCATAACGAAGCCTTTGCATGCTGTGATTCCCAATAGATACGTTGCTCCAAAATATCAATTCGATCACTGTGCTTTGATAGTGCGTATTCTAAAGTATTCAATTGATCATCTAATGTTTCCAATAACTCTAAAAGATGAACTTGTTTTAGCTCTTGAACATGTTCCTGTAGCCGCTGATACTCGTTTTCTTTTATTCCCTTCAATTTCACAACTTGGCCGTCCCTCTCCCTTTTTAAACGAGCAAGGTCTGTTTCATCTAGAGCACATTTATTATCACTGAATACATCCAATTTAACATGATCGATTGACTTTAGACGTTCATCTACCCAACTTCCTAATCTGACTATTTCATCCTGTAGTTGTTTGGAGCGCTTTTGTAACTGAAGGGTACGTCGTAAGTGAACCAGGCTTTGCTTGAGTGATTCATTCAAGAGCGTGAGAGCTGATTTACGATCTTCGATCAATCTTTGGATCCTCTCATTTGCCTCTTCATTTTCAGCTTGTTGTGTCATAGAGAAGAGGCCAGTTATGATTTCTTCCGGATAAGGTATATTCATTGTCACAAGTCTTATGATACTCTCTTGAAATGCAGTCACCTTCATATTGCATTCATCTATTTTTATTGATGATGATGGTGCCGTTGTCGTCATCATCATCATCTCATGACATAAAGCTTCACCTTCTTGTCTCAGCTCCTCTGACCTTTCAAAAAAATTTTCCGCCATCAAAGTTTGTTCAACGACTTGACGAGCAAATGTAAGACGTTGTGTGAGGTATTGAAGGGCTTCTTCAAGTGCGACCTGTCTTGATTCCAAATGATTAGGAAGCTCAATATGACTTGTATCATCCATCTCTTGATACAAGTTGATTGTCTTTGTAACTTGATCTTGGTCAAAGGACGATAGCTGATGTTCAAATTGAACGAGACGGGTGACGATATTATCTATCGTCGGTTTCCAACGTGCCCTTTCAGTGAATGATTTAATTTTATCCGTCATCGTGCGAGTCCAAACGATTGTCTTTGAATAGGCCTCCTCCCAACGTAAACGCAATGTAGTCATCTGAAGCTCATGATGGCGACGTTGCAAGAGATGCATGAGTCTGTCAAGTGTCATGAGGGTTGTAAATGTGATTTCAATCGTGGTTGTATCAGCAGGACTCAAGTCTGTTTGTCCTGATGTGAGTTGCTTGACATGAGTACGTAGCCGGGCTATATCCTGAGTATTGAATAATTCTACTTGCTCCTCTAATTCACGCTGTGCCTCATTCCATTCATGAACCTGCTCTAATGTCCATTCACACTCAACTTCCTCTAGATACGATAAGGACGCTATCCCCTCAAGTTTATGTATGCGTTCTTCAATCCATACACGAATCCGTTCAGCTTCTAAAAACCAAATACGCACATCCTTTACCCAACCCGCAATGCGTTGGTATTTTTCTAACAATCCTCTGTTGTCCTGATCACCTATAGATAGAGATGGAGCCTCGTGCTCTGGCAACACATTCTGTATAACCTGTTTTATTTTATCACAACGCTCTTCAAGGTCTCTAATGCTAACCTCGCTTGTCGTCGTCTTGAGCATCTTGGCCTGTATGAATTCGAGTTCATTATGGATAGAGGCAGCCATAGTTGTGAACTCAACCCTAATGGCCTCTTGTGAATGATGAGTCGTTGTTGTATTCGATGATAATTCTTCTTCTTCTTCTCCTGCTGTCTGCTGATATAATTGTTTACAAAGAGCCTTATAAGTAGCATCAATGGTTGAAATTTGAATAGCAAGTTGTATAGTGTTGTCGTCGTCATCCTGTAACTGACAACGGGCCATTGTTTGTTGAAATAGAAGCCATTCATGCTGTTGCTCTATTTTTTTTAATGCCGCTTCGATCTTCTTTTTATGGTTACTGTATTGTTGTTGTTGAGGAGGAGGAGGAGGAGGAGGAGAATTAGCAGTAGATAAGGATTCTTGTTGATGTGGAGGTGGAAGGGTGATAACTAGTTGGTGATACAACTTGTTAAGTGGGGCCAAGATGTGCTGTTGTAGGACATCAAGTTCCATACTGGTTGCAAGCGACCTATGTTGTTCAACATGTGTTTTGATGAGATTAAAGTAATGCATAACTTGACTGGTGCGTTCAAATTTAATGTGCCATCGACTTTTGAATAATTCTAAAGCAGTTGTTGATGATGATGATGATAATGCTTGATCAAATTTTTTCAGGGCGGCGGGGAAAAAGCGATGAGCAAGACAGACAAGAGGTTCTCCAAGCCAATCGTCTGTAGAAGAAGATGAATGAGGGATGGAAGGTATAAAGTTGAGATCAATATAGATTGTTAACTCTTTCTGTAACCATGCCAGCACGGTATTTTGTTGTGATACGATCATGTCACTTGATAATAGTAAGAAAGGAGAAGAGGAGAATATATTATTAAGGCGGGGATTGTCGTCTTTACTACTATTATGATCACTGGCTTTAAATTTTAATAAAGAGTTATTGCTGCTGCTGCTGATTATCATTAATACTGATAATAAGAAATAGTTTATCAAAAAGGAAAAAAAAAGTAATACTTTGTATGTTTAATTCCTTTTTTTTTTAATTTTCTGAATGAGAAATATTAAAAGACTTCTAGTTCAAATCATAAGTAACAAACTTACTTTAGTCAAGAGGGGAAAAAGGGAAAAAAGGGAAAGAAATCAAGAAAATATGAAGTCAGATAAAATTAAGGGAAAATTTTTAAGTGTTTAAATTTAAATAAAGTAATTCATCTTGTGCTTCTTATTGAACACGCACACAAATAATTATATAAAAAAAATATTGCTTTCGTTTTATTTAAGTTTTAATAAACTTAGAACTTGGAGAAAGACTTGGAGGCAGACTTAGCCTTGGTGACCTTGATAACGTTGAAACGAACGGTCTTAGAGAGAGGACGACATTGACCAATGGTAACAACATCACCACTACAAAAATAAAGAAAGAAAAGTTAATATATGGAGTCAAAGGCTTGGTTGAGCCGCTACCTCACCAACTACCTCGTCCGTCAAAAATAAAAACTCCTCTTTTTGCACCCTTTTCCCTTCTCACAGAAAGGAGAGAAATATGATGATAGCACAAAAATAATAATAAATACAAGTCATCTTCTTTCGAAAAAAAGGAAAAAGATGGCAAAAAAGTCATTTGTTTTCCAAATTTGAGCGAACAATAGTTGATGAATATTTTCTTTAAAAATACTTACACTTCAATGGCAGAGTTATCGAAAGCAGGAGAAACATGAGCAGGGATGTTTCTGTGACGCTTTTCGTAACGGTTGTACTTGGGAACATAGTGAAGATAATCACGACGAACGATAAGGGTACGCTTCATCTTGGTAGAGACAACGACACCAGAAAGGATACGACCTTGAATGTTGACTTCACCAACAAAAGGACACTTCTTATCGATGTAGGTACCGTTGATGGCTTCCTTGGGGGTTTGGAAACCATAACCAACATCCTTGTACCAACGTTGGTTACGCTTCTTAAGATCCTTGGAGTTTTGGAAAATACCAGCTTGCTTTTGGAAGGCCCTTTCGGTCTAATAAAGAAGACAATATATGTAAGTAATTAAGTAAACATAGCTAATGAATGATTATTTGATACATACTTGATGTTCCATTTTTAATAGATGATGATTAGAGAAGGAAACAAAAGAAATATATTCTGCTCGACTTTTTATTTCAAAAAATACAAAAATTTTTTTGAAGAGTCACAAATAGCTATGATTGGGTAATTTACAAAAAGCCACTTGAATTTTTTTTTTTTTTTTTTTTTTTTTTTTTTAGGCCTCAGATTATAGTCGAAGAAACTAAGCTGGGTCAATAAAAAAAATTTTGGCCATTTCCAAAATAAATTAGGACAGGGTTGCAAAATTGGGATACCAATATGAAAATGGGACATTGGTACGAAAATAGTACACAGAAGGGAATATGGGAAATTAAAATACTTTAGTTTGTTTGGTCAAATCAAAATTGTTACAACTTCTTATCTGTAACACCATTAAGTCGTCGGCTCACCGGAGTGAGCCGAGACAACCATAATGGTGGTGGCGGTTTGTCGTTTGAAGACGGTGGGGCGATCATTGTCATTCCATATAGACTGAGCTATGTAAAACATATTTTTGCTGGCCATTACATCTCGATTCCAAAAGATATTGCAAGTTTTACACTTCAATACTTGATGGATCATGGTCATCTTCCCTACACTTCAGATTTTCTATATCATTTTTAAAGCAAGAATTGCAGATCTACAAAGGATTGGTTTTAGCTGAAAGTGCAATACGTAAACTATGTGTTGTTTTTTTCTTAATAACCTTTGATGTATTAAATTTGTTGATGTCTAATAGCAAGAGTTCTCCAAGCCTTTGTCTTGTTTTTAATTGTTGATATATTTTGTTAGATACGCCATGACGGAGACCTTTGAACTTGTTATGATCTTTGTTTTTTTTTAGTCCGTCACCAAAGACCACCAGAGGCATCTTGCTGCTGTTTCCCTTTTCAAAACACACTTTGTTGTTTCTGCTGTAAGTTACAGATATAATAGTTAGAGTTTACTGAAATAATAATAATAAAAAAAAATTGTATACCTTTCTGATTTTGGGATGGTGGTGAGTACTCTTTCTTCTTGAGCAGTACGAGGCTTGCGAATTTTCCTCCTTCTTTTTTCTGTTTTCCTTTGTCTTCTTTCTCCTGCTTTTATTATACTTCTTTCCACCATTTAATAAGATGTTGACACTTTCTTGGATGGCTTTTTGGGAACTAAGGTAGTTCAACCATTTAATCTTAGAAGTTTCAAAGCTGTAGAAATTAAGCAAAGTATTCATGTGCTACAGCATGTAAGTTATATACAAAACAAATTGTTCCACCGACACAGTTTTAGGCGAAGGAATGTCTGTTTCAATCTTTTCAATACCTAGTCTCTGTTTATGCTTCTGTTGCTCTTTCATTCGTCTTACACTTCCACCCATATTGTAATATTCGATTGAGGACAAGCGATGTATGTCAGTGCCACCGTGATAAGAGACAAAAGGACCCCGTCTTCCTGGGTCTACAGTACATGGACGGAAATACCTGTCCACCTCTTCGCTTGTAAAATCGTTCAACTCTAGACAGATATTGTCTTCTGGTGATGACGGAAGCACTTTTCTAGCAAATAGAACTCTGCACGTGTAGCCATTCGTATACAATCCATTGAGAAACATCTTTCCTTTTTGTTCAGGCAGTGCTTGAAGCTTTTCACAACTATATTTTTTTTTTCGTCAGTAACTTGATTTATAGATATATGTAATAGTAATGTATACCTTTGAATGCCCAGCTTCTTAAAGTCAAACATTTGATAGAAGCATCTTTGTTTATGATCGAAAGGAGATGATTCATTAGCTTGCTTTTGTTGTTTAGCATCTGGGAAAATTCCGGTTAGGTTCTGAGCATCCATCTTTATGAATCGCTAGTGCAATCCAGGATTTAGGAATAGACTAAAACGTCTTGGAAGTAGGGACTTAATCAAAACGCTTTTGTCATTTTGAGGAGTTTGGGCCTTGTATATATCATCGTATTTTTTAAGGATATGCCCTTAATGCGGATAGATTTTTGAAGGGTTCATTGTTTAAGCTTTCTTTAGACACTGGAAGCTTGGACATGCGATTCTTCACTTCTAAAATCAAAGGATTTAAGAAACTTGGAAGATTATTGGCCACATCCAGATCAAAAAGGGCAAGAATATCATTAGGTATAGAGGATGACTGGGAATGTGTAAGCACTTGATCATATACATGATTATATATCTAAGTTCTTGATACAGCCAACTTTCGCATTCTAGCTTATATTATACACAAATGAATTTTGTCTTTGACAATTAGATCATGAAGTACTAGAATGATACGAGCACTATAGAGGCTGGCTTTTTTTTAGGGTTACAACCCTTAAATCAAGGCAAAAAATCTTTAAATTTGTTCAGTATAGTCCCATATTCTCATTCGTGTCCCATATTCCCTTCTGTGTACTATTTTCATACCAATGTCCCATTTTCATATTGGTGTTCCAATTTATTTTTTTTATTGATCCAACCTAGTTTCTTCGACTGTAATCGGAGGTCTAAAAAAAAAAAGAAAAGAAAAAGAATGCTTCCTTTCTTAGTAATCAAGGCTTGTTTTGTTCTTCTTCTAAATAAAGCATACTAGATGCAATCAAAGATTTATTTTAGCAGGTCATATAACAACTTAATAAAGGATAATAAATGCTTAATAAGTCTCTTATAGTAGTAAGAGTTTACTCTCTCTCTATTATTCATCATTATAAGTAACCTCTGATCATGTGATACATATTTTAACTTAATAAGCTCTACTTTTTAAACAATAAGTTTATTTATTTTATTTTATTTTTAAGAAGGTGATTTTTTTTTTCTTCGTCGTCTTCTTCTTTTTTCCTTTTCTTTTTCTTTGATGTTTCGGCGTTTTGTAGAGCTAAGCTTCTTTTTTTTTCTATTTGATTTATTAAATCTAATCTAAATTCTAAACTATTGAATTTATCTTTTACAGTAGGACAAAATAACTTTTCCACTATATCAAAAGCTTTATCAAATGCATGCATGCTACATAACGTATCCACGACAATATGTGTCGTAATACAATCGATCTCTAACTTCTCATCTTGGTTAATTTCATCCAATAGTTGTATGAACCGTTCCCAATTCTTTCTTTTATAGGCATGTTTCATAAAAATATTATATGTAACAATGTTAGGCCCTATATTTTGTCGACGTAATTCTTCAACTAGTTTCCACGCCTCTTGCTCATAGTTTTTTTTTAGTAATATTTTGATTAACGTATTATACAGTGGAAGAGTAACATTGTTTGTGAATTGAGGCATTTCTTTACATAACTGTTGTATGATGTCCATGTTGACGGATCGAGAATGTTTAGAAATAAGATTGATGAGCATTGTGTACATGTAAGTCATGGATCGTGCATTTCGTTTAGATAACATGATGGGATTTTGTTTGTAATAAGATGTTAGAGTTTGATGAATGATGTACATGCCTGTTAGATTTGAATTTTGATACATGGCCAGTGTTAGCTGATAAAGTGATTCTCGACTAGGGAATCCGCCATCCTTTAAAAGTTTAAGATAGACAGATAATGCATCCGCCAATCTTCCTCGTGCTGCTAGCTTAGTGATGGCAATAGAGGGTTCGGCAGGTCGTGCTTTGGCGGGTAAATGGGCATATTTCTGTAAAGTTGTAGTGGATGTTGGAGTTACTTGGGTATAGGACTGGAAAAGAAACATAGGTCGACCACAACCTAAACATGGAGTGAAGGTCTTTCGTTTAAGGGTTAAGTGTGGTGTTAATAAATGAAGAAGGCGAACATGCCGCATGCCATGAATATAAGGGTGTATTAAAGTAAAGAATATTTAAGAATAATGTGAGGATCCCATGCTTTCCATTCTTTTTTTTTTTTAAAAAAAAAAAAGTTAAAATCAGCTAAACACACACCATCTTCATATTAATTGCTATTATTATGAGGTGTATGTAGTGATCCTGTCTAATCGTCTTTTTTTTTTTTTTTTGTTATAGTGATGAAAACTTAGTAAAGTAAAACGAACATGCCTACTTTCTTTCTCTCTCTCTCTCTTCCTTTTTCTTAGTAAAATGGTAGTTAAATACCAAAGATATCTGTAGTTTATACTTTGATTAAATGAATGATTTTTATGACAGGAAAGAAAAATCAGTACAAAAAAAAAAAAGTAATAAAACTTGAAAAAATGAACTACATAAGCTAGGAGATTATCATGATATATACAGTACTTTTCAAGTAGAATAATTTGGTAGACAGAAAAGAAAAAGAAAAAATTAGAGTATGTAGTATGGAAATGTATTCTCCAGATCGGCTCAATATGATGACAGGGAAAGGAAGGAAGATAAGTAAAATAATATTAGTAAATGATGATACTATGTCATCAGTCGTCAACACAAAGAGATTTGATGCTGTGTCAGGAGGTATTTTTGTAATCAAGTTCAAACAGTATATCACGAATAACATGGGCTATTGTATGCTCTCAAGGGAAAATAGATGCATTACTATGATGATTCCTTTAGGTATAATATAGACAGTCATTCATGAATGGTTTGTATGTTGTATGATAAACATTACTTTGACTACTTTACCTTGATAGCTATCTATTTTGATTTTAAGAAAGGACCTGAAAGAGACTCGTTTCTGAGTTATATCACAAACAGCTATTTTAATATTATTGAGAATCAACTACTCATCACCGCTAATACTTCTCTTTGAGGATCCACTCATTGAACGTTTCAAGTAAATATTTAAATAGAGATTTTGAGTTCTACAAAGAAACTACAATGTCAAGAGAAGCAGAGTAGTAGTTGTCACAATCAAGTTTTGTCTATTCCCAAAGTAACTAACTTTGTTTGAACGACTTAACACAATGAAGTGAGTTACGAAAGGATAAGTACCAATTTGAGCAAAGAATCTATATTTTACATAACACCTTTTTTATTACTATTATTATTATTTTAAAAGCGGACTCTAGTACTTGATAACTTATATTCTGCGTATACGATAAAGTCAAAATGCCAATAGTGCTTGACTTTATGCATATGACAATTTCTCTCATTACTATTATGGTATTCCTAATAAATGACTTCTTATTGGTTTAAATTAATAATATTACTTTAAGCTAAAGAATTATGCAATTTGCTTTTTTTTTTTTTCATAAATGTATATTTATCATCTAAAGACAATTTATTATAAATGACTTCAGAAGCACCTGTTAATGCTGTAATTACTAAATGCTTTTAAAACTACTAAGAAGTTGATGAATAAATATCTTTATATATAGGGACATCGTTTTGCAAATGCCGCTGAAGAGTATGAAGAACAAGAAGAGTGGGAGAAAGCAGCTGATTCACATTCAAAAGCAGCAGGTAGGCAAAGTTCAATATACCTCAGTATGCATATAAATATATATGTGTGTATTATTTTAGAACATTTCGAAAATGCAATGAATGACACAGTTGATGCAGAGGTATATCTATTATGAATTAAAGTAAGTTACATAGCTAATTAAATGTTAATGTAGGCTATTAGAACATTATTGCTATTATCTTCAAATCATAAAAGAAAATCAAATGAATTAAGACGTAAAGCACAACGTGTATTAAAGTCTAATAATAATCAACAAATAAACCTTACAAATGAAACAAAAGATAGTTTACAACCATTACAACAAAAGAAAAGCATTGTTTCTAGACTTGCTGGAGATGAAAGTCATAAAATAAGTGAAATAGGTGAATCTTATGCATTATTATCTAATGTAAAAGAAAAAGAAAAAAAAAAGAAACATTTTGTGTATAATTGCTTTATATAAATACATCTGTTCATGTATAGGAAGATCAAGATGATGATCCATTCAATAAATTCTTGGAGGCAGTGGAAAGTCTTGTTCAACAATTATTTAACCCTGCAGTGGCATTTACATCAGCGCCACTTAATGAAAATGATAATCCAATACCTACTTTACAAGAAGATAATACCAAAACAATATTAAATATGGCCGATTCTTATTTTATAGTACCAAATCCAAAAGAATTATTAACGTTTAAAAGTGATTGCAGGTAAAATGTATACATGTATATATATAAATGTGTATATGTATGTATATATTTGTATCTACATATTTGAGTCTTCTTTATTAAACAAATTATAGTCCAGAAAGGGATCCTTATGAATTAGAAAATGAAAAACTAAGAATACAGGTCGCTCAATTAAGAAAAAAACTGAGAGCGTTAGAATTGGTAATACACGTCTTATTGCAAGTATTTATTACTTATATTTTTTATATGTATATAGTCTGCTGAAGAAAATAACATGTTAAAAAGCAGTGTACTACAATTCAGAAATGATGTTCATAAACAAGCAAAAAGAATCATGCAATCTCATCATGAGTCTTCAATGAGATCTTCTGCTACTACCTTATTAGGCGTCGATACGATTCATAATTCATTCCGTTATCATTTACCTGTGTTGATGAATGGTGGAACTGATCTAAGTACGTACATGATTTGAACAGTTATTAGATACTAATACAACAAGTAGCCATGAAGTTAAAGGAATTAGAAGAAGAAAATAAACAATTAAAGATACAGAACGGGAAACAAAAATTATTAATGAATAAATATAAAGAAAGATGGGAAATGCTTAAAGAGAATGCAAAGAAAAGAAGATCAAATGCCACTATTTCTGAAGAAGCAGTAGCAGTAGCAGCAGCAGCAGAAATCTTGTAACCATTGGATGTATATCATGTCAAAAATAAAAAAGGTTAAAGCTAAGATACAGTGTTTTTAACCTAAATAAATAAAAATGCTTGATCAAACAATGGTAGACTTTAGCTAGAAATTAATTAATCTACTACTTTTCCATCTTTTTAAGAGTATTTTATATATTTTCAAGTCTTATTATATTGGTTAAAATAACAATATGAATCATGAGGCATAGACACAAGTTAAAATCTTTATTACAGAAAAAAAAAAAAAAAAAAAAAACTGACCGTTCCTATGTACAAGATTCCGGTTACTTTTATATATTTTTGTTTCATTTTGTATTAGATTAACACTATTTTAATTGATATTGGCACAGATATAGAATCTCTTCTTGATATAGTCGATAGTCATGATCATTAAAGGTCATTATCTGATATTATAATTAGTACAGTCGTTGCTTTAGCAATAAAATTTTTTTTCTCTATATATACTTTTTGAGCTAGTCTGGGCAATTTAGTATGTGATATACTTGAATATATATAAAAAAAAAAAGAGTTGCAGGTACGCAAAATTTAATGATGATGTGCAGGGAAAAAAAAAATTAAAAGTGCGCAAAAGTAAATGAAAAACGCTGTTGTATCCTTAAATAAAAAGACAGTAATATATAAAGCTTTGTCATGTTTTTGGTGATATTGACAAGTATTTGAAATAAATGTTGCAACTTATTATACTTATATGTTAAATTAACTTTAATTTCCATCGTTACCTTTGTTGTTAAAAATTGCAGTCCCTTCCTCCCCTTTTTCTTCTTCTTTGCTAGTTAAACAAAATGTAATTCTTTGATAAAGGCATACATGTTATATATGATAAACAGAATTGAAAATATAACACAGATAGTTGCTTATTCATATTTGAAAGTATTTTTTTTTCTTTAAAAAAAAAGGAGAGGAAGAGAGATATGCTTTTTCTTTTTTAATGATGAATAGAGCAGATAAACTTTTGATAGTATTAACTACGACAAGTCTTGTATTATGTGCTTAGTATGTTTGTTTCTGGTTCGATTTATTGCTTACTGATTATTATATTTGAAACAAACTGAACCCATCAAATAATTTTTCATTTATAAAACCTAGATCATTTATTCTCTGCTGATTCAAAGAGGTATAGTTAGTAGCAGCAGTGGTAGGAAAGGAAGTCGTTTCAGAATAAAATAACATTTAGGTAATAGTTCCGGAACGTTTTCCATGTTAAGATCCCGTTAAAATAATTGCAAAGTCTATTAATTTCAACAAAATTCAGCATAACACTCTTTTCATTATTATTGTTCCACTTTGCTAGTCTTTGTGAACTTTTTTTTTTCTTTCTTTGTATATTCTTCAAGAAATAAAAATAATAAAATAATAATAATATATTTTTAACGGTCGAAGAATCTTCTGATCCATACTATTTAACTATTTTAATAAATATAATTTTTAGGTTGAGAATAGGGGTATTACATAATAACAGTTATTTTTTTAAATATCATTAATAGCTTCTGTTCTACATAACCACTATTATATATATTCGTTTTATCGCAGTTCATAATAACACCAATGTTTTATTTAAACATGCTTAATTAAAAAAAAAAAAAAAAAAAAAAAAAAAAAAAAAAAAAAAAAAAAAAAAAAAAAAACTAGTTATGAAGATCAATTGGGTATGTTTTACCAAATTTTTGACGAAAAAAAAAAAAAAAAAAAAAAAAAAAAAAAAAAAAAAAAAAAAAAACTGAAACAATTATTCTAATTTTTTTTTTTAACTCTCGATATCAATGTATATAGATGGAAATTAAACCACTTCTTATATTACATTTTGTCTAGATGCATGCGTTATTAACAGTAATGGATTTGCTACCAAACTTGTGTTTTATTAAAAAAAAAAAAATTCCTGTTTTGGATTAATAGTACGTTTTTTTTTTTTTTTGGCTGAATCAGTATAAGATTAGATATTGTTCCAGTAAATAGTATGATGCAATAACTAATGAATTCTAATTAATAATAATTATTGGTTGTATAAAGAAATGAATACTAACAAATATACAGCATAAATAGAGTTTATGATCTATTATACAAAACTATTTCTAAAGTAATAGCTGATGTATATGTATTACATATCGTTAAATATATATACATATTTTTATATAAACGAAAAATATACGCATCTTTCATCTTATATGTACTATATTCAGTGGATCAGAATATTAAACTGAGTTAACAATGTGTCACTATAGGAGAATAAAAGTTCCTTTCGATTTCACTACTTGGTAAGAAGAAAAAAAGACAGTAGAGTCAAGAGGATTCAATTAGTTTAAAGCAAGAATTATCAAATAACGTCCCCTTTTTCTAATTGATTAACATGACCAAATCTAAAACAAACTAGAATCTTTTTTTTTTTTACAGCATCCAAGAGGAAATTTTCTTTATCTCTTCAAACTCATTCATAATTATATAGTACCCTAATTTGTCAAATAAAAAAAAGTTGGGAAGCCAATACTACAAAAAAAAAAAAATGGATTCACGGAATCAAGGTTACAAAGAACACAATTTTACTTTTTTTAGGAATCAACAAATTGTACATAAAAATTGTCAAGAACTTTAATTCTACTACAGCGCTATTACATAAATTAAACTCAGATATTAATTTTTTTTTTTTTTTTTTTTTTTTTTAGTATTGCTCAGTTTGTACTACTCTGCTTTGAGCTTATTTTCTGCCAAATTTGCATAAATTATACATTTTAATGTAGAAGAAGAGTAGAGGGAATTAAAAAAAAAAGATTGATTGCTGATAAGTCTTACTTTTAATAACAAATATATTCACGTATCATACTAGTAGTGATTTACGGTTAGGAGAAGATCTTTGATAATTATCGGTATAATAAGGCTTATTAATGATTTTCATCTTTTTACTGCTATTATTAGTAATCACAATTAATAAGTCAGCCCCATATTATGGTATATATGGAGTTATACACGCTAGTTTCGGTTTCTTCTTCGAGATCCTTCTTCTCCAAGGAGCAATATATAAAAAGTCTACTATTCAATATTCAATTCATCTCTAGTTTTTTTTTCTATCCCCATAGAATAATAAATTAAATACAAATAATGAAACACTTTATATTAATTAAGAAAATACTATATATTAAAGGTGAATCCATTCTATTGTAAATTAAGTTAAAAATTATTATGAAAAAAAAATGGTATCATCTTATTGTATATAAACTATTAAAGGAAGGAATGAATATAAAATAGAATTTTATGTTATCTATTTTACTTGATGATATAGAGTTGACTCATTCACCAATATGAGTAGTCATAGTGATTATAGGTATATTTTAGTAACTAAGCAACTTTATAATAAGGACTTGACTTATTCTAGATTTGAACTAGAAGGGGAAACATAAGTTATCATTGAAGCTTTGTACTTTAAGTTTTATCGAATGACCTAAATAGTAATAGTCATAGCAATAGTAATAATAACTTGGATGACATCATTTTATTATTGTCATAATAATCACTATTTGTTTTTAAGGTTAAAAAAAAACTTGTGACTTTAGTAAAAATATAATAATATACTTTTTTAACCAAGCAAGTTTTTAAGATGCTTGCATTATGTGTATAATCTATGTTTCACCTGTTAAAGATATAACCTTAAGTATTTTTTCAATTCTAATTCATATTATTAATTTACCAAAAAAAAAATCTACATTGATATGATAGATAGGTTCAATTTGTTTTTATAATAACATCTTATGATTAAAGAAATTCCCAAAAGTGTATAAATATTATTTTTTTCAATAGGAGATTATTATGAAAAAGGATCGCTTAATCAAGATAATGATATTCAATCCAAAAGCCGCTTCTCCTGTTTTATTTATTTCTCAGCTTTGAAACCTTACATTTCAGTTTCTTAAGGACAATAAAGGAAGAACGGGGAAAGAAAAGAGAAAAAAAAAAAAAAAAAGCATATGAATTCAGGGTTTTGCTGGAAACTTCGTTCTTTCTCTTTCTCTTTTTCCTTATTGTTTTCTTCTTTTTTTTTGTCCATTTTCTTTAACTCTGTTATATATGGTCTAAATAAAATAGAATAAAAATAATAATAAAATTATGGGAAACAGTCATTCTCGAGTATTACACCATTATCAACGTGATAAATCTATAATACAGTTTAAACGAAAATCATCTGTTAAAAAAGTGGATGTATCTTCGAGAACAACATCGCCTGGATTGAGTCGAAGTTCATCTATTTCACTTTCTAGACCCACTTCAATTATTGGTGATGTAAAAGACTGTGTACAAAAATTTTTGAGTAAATCATCTACTCTGGATATTTCGACACAAACTATTTCATCATTAAGATCCATGTCAACAACTCCTGCTGAGATGTTCTCCGTTATGGAATGTGATGATGACGTTAAATCCTGTAGCAAATATTGCTTACCTATTGATGAAAAAGAACAAGATCGTTTAACAAATACTGTAAATAATAATACTTGAATTGACAAGGAATTATTTTTTTTATTTTATTTATTTATTTTATTTATTTATTTATTTATTTTATTTATTTATTTATTTATTTTTATTTATTTTTTTATTCTATTTTAGCATTATGTAATTAAACATTGCTTTGGTGGTAATTTCTCGGCACCTGTAAATGATCTTTTATTAGGCTTGTCTAGTATGACAATATCTGACAATTCTAATTCTGTATCCTCTTTATCTTCTTTATCTATCAAGAATTGTTGGACAAATGCATCTACTCGTGTACTGGATGTGGCTTGTGGATCGGGAGTCTGGGTCTTAGAAATGGCCACCACATTCCCTCATACCCAATTCTATGGCATTGACATTGCTCCTATATACCCAAATTCAATTAAACCTCCCAATACTCATTTCCAACAATGTGATATTCTTGATCCTGAAGGCTTACCCTTTCCAGATGCTTATTTTGACTATGTTCATATGCGGCTTGTCTATAACTGTTTTTCTAAATCTGATCTTAAAGTAATTATACATAACATACATGTATATTATGAAATATTAACTCTGTATCTATTTCTCTATAGATCGTTTTAAGTGAAATTAATCGAGTCCTTAAGCCAGGTGGTTATATTGAATTAAGAGATATTGACCCCATCATTAAGAATCCCGGACCAATAACAGACGATATCTTTTCTCAATTTTCTGATCGTATGAATCAACTTTATTCAGTAGACACTACTTGGACACAACATATCTCTGATTTACTTTTAAATGAAGGTGAATTTACTGATGTCTATCAACAAATGATATCTATTGGATTTGGTCTAAAAAGTCCCCTGGCAACATCTATTAATAGCAGTATTACAGATGCTATCAAATCTTATAAATCATTCTTTATGGAAGCTTATAGCTTATCATCGACTGAATGTGATGAGACCATTGATTGTATAATCGAAGAAATTTCTACTTTTCATTCTTATCTTAATTATTATTCAGGCTGGGCTAGAAAGCCCCTCGTATTTGAAAGACTTTTTACAAGTAACAACAAAATGGATCTTATCACACCTGTTACAACTATAACTGATATCGACACAAGTGTACCCATAACGCCACCTTCCATTTATATCACGTCAATGAATAATTTGGTTATATCTGATTCACCTACTAACAGTTCTCATACTCTCAATCCAGACATGATAGAAAATGCATTTGATATTGTTCATTTAACTCATGGTTTTGTTGAATAATATATACCAAACATACATACAAACAAACAAAACAAAAAGGAGCTGTTTATTAAAATACCCTTACCTTTAACTGTTCTTTTTCCTCTCTCTCTCTCTCTCTCTCTTTCCATTTTCGCCTTTTCTTATTGTAAATAAAATTTTTTCTTTTTTTTTTCCAAACTTCTTTATTGAAAGCTCTTTATAATGGCTATTGTACTATCGATTATGTAATAGTAATGATGTCGATTCAAAATAAATAAAAGAAAATTATTTGATTTAGAGGAATAAGTCGTCTTTATAATGAAGCCACAGTGCCAAAAGTTTTTTTTTCTATTTTTTTATTTTTTTATTTTTATTTTTATTTTTATTTTATTTTTATTTTTATTTTTATTTTATTTTTATTTTTATTTTTTGTTTTTATTTTTTGTTTTTATTGTTTTGTTTTTATTTTTATTTTTTGTTTTTTGATAGGCTGTATTCCATTGTTTATCTACTGCGTCTATATGTTTAACCGAGTTTGAGTATATTGTTAGTATGATTTTTTTTTTGGTATTTTAACTTTCAATGAAATCAATTGTAATGGACCTATTGTCTTAATAAGTAATAAAAAAAGGAAACATACTAAATTGCCTAAGATGAATCTTTGCGTTAAAAAAAAAAAAATTGTGTAGTCCTTCTTATTTTTGTTTTTCTTTATTTCGCTTTTTAGTTACTCACAAGTTTGCTTTTGTTACGCACTATACAATACTAATATTGAACAAGTATTAATCCTACTTTTATATATTAAAAGTTCAATAGTTTATTTGCATACTAATTCATTTTAAGTTAATAAACCGAATAAGGAACTCCCTTTAGGCTCAATATGTTTTACCCTAAAGTTCCTCTCATATACTATTAACCGTCCTTCCTTCTTATTCTTTCTTTATTGATCTGTTTCTTCTCGGTTGCTCCTCCCTTCCCGTAGAAGCTATCCTTACCCATCCAATTCTGTAATTCATCTGTAGGGACAGTCATGTTATAAAAGTATACTTTGACTATATTACAAAATTTCTTCAGAAAGAAATATTTGATTAGTAATACTAGGAATGGGCCGAGGAAGTCACTATCAACAAATCTAATACTACCTCTCTTGATGAAGGGACCTAGTGCTAATATAAATCACCATATATCTATATATACATACATAAACATCATAGTAATTTACCTTCAACTTCTTTTATTTCACTACTATAATTAAATCCATTGTATTTCCACTGTTCTAATCGCAAATTCCTTTTCCCTATAACAATAGCTAATGAAGGATCTCCATTTATTAACTGATCCAACTGACTCAAATTCTTTCAAGGCTTTTTCCGCATTTTTAAGTAGTAACTTCTAAGTCATAGATAAAGCAAGTGGCCATTTCTTTTGTAATTGACATTTTTTTTTTTAAAAAAAAAAAGACAACAACAGAAAAAAGGTTAATGGAGGAGGACGAGGAGGAGGAGAAACAACTGATTCTGGAAATATTTACAATAATTATGTCGTGTGTTAAGAGTTATTTCCTTAATTTCATCTTGAATATAATCATATGCAATCCTGCTCCATTCCTGCCCTCATGTCTTTGGCTAGCTCTTCTTCCCTACTCTATCAACAATATCTGGTTTACATACCCTTCATTATAAAATTTCTTCTCGTCACACTCTCTTTACTCTTCTACCTTCCTACTTTCCTTCAGCTCTCTGTTGAATTTGTCACTCCTGGACTAAGGAAACCTTCATTCACTTTTTTTTTTCAACTATTCCATCAAAGTTTCTGTCTGGTTACATCTACAGTGGTTATATTTTACAAAGCCTTTTTCTGTCCACAATTATCTATGTAGTGCTGCTCTTGAATTTTATCTTCCTTCTTCCTTATCAATTTCTCCACTGTTTTGTCTCGAACTTATGCTTTTATCTATTTGGTGCCATCACTTTACATTTCTTTTTTTTTTTTTTTTTTTTTTTGACCATCGTTTCTTTTGTTTCTTCTACAGTCATCTCTTCTACGCAGTCTCTTATTCCTTTCTTCTTCTTCTCCTCCTCCTCTACGAACTATTATTAGTACTCTGGGTTGGTTCCTTATCCTTTTCTAGTATGTCTCTTTACCCTATTAATAACAAAAAACCAATCCACCTCCAAAGAAAAAAAGAAAAGAATATATGCATATATGTATGTATATAATCAAAATTATATACTCAAAAAACCATAAACCGCCTTTTTTTTATGATTTCTTAACTTACAGTCATAATCAAATCTGAACAACTATCGCTCCTTACAATATAAATGCAATCTCCTTCTTATAGGCTTTATCCGTATACGGCCATAAAAACAGACAATTATTGCATAAGATGGATACATAATAAAACGAGTAATTTTTATATTTATAATTTTAGAATGTTAGGGGAGGGGGGAAGTTCATCATTATAATTGATTATGTCATTATTGGAAATAATACACTACCCTAGAATAGCATACATATTATACATGTATAGATGTTCTATATAACTCAGATGTTGTAAACAATATAAATACTCTTTTGTAAATAAACTTTAACCCCTTTTTCGATAGTGCAATACTACAAAAGGGCATTGCTGAAATTTTTAAGATCTCCCAGTTTTTATTGTTAGTGCTTTTAATAACTATAATTATATCACACTAGTTTTGTTATAATAATAGGGCAGTCAAATCTATAAAAACCTTATTTTATAAATATATGTATATATATATATAGATATATATCCCCAACATAAGTTTATAACGTAACTACCATATCACTAAAAATATGTACAAGGTGATATTAAATTAGCTTCTTTTGCTTAAACAAAGATTGTATTTATAACAAAATAAAAATAGAATGCCTTCTTCTTCTCCAAATATGGAAGTAGGAACCAAGACTATATCAGAGCCATCTACATATGTTCAAAAAGAGAGAGAGCGAAGCCAAATAGCAATAATGGCTTCTCGTGGATAAAGATACGTGCAAGTAGCAACATGGTATCTGAATAACGGTTTCAGAACTGGTTTTTAAGTTTAACAACAGCCATACCATATACAACAAATGGAAACCTGCAAAGGTAGCTGTTTTGAAAGAGAGATTATTGCACACATTTGTGTGTTTTTTTATTCTTTTTTTCTTTTTTTCTTTTTTTTTCTTTTTTTCATTTTTTCAAGAAGACTTGAATACCAAAGTCTTTAAAGTGAATTTCTCAGTAAGAGATGCAATTGCATCGCTCACACCGTGCTTGAGAATGCTCATCATAAAAGTTGATTAAATGGGCCTTGCGTCTTTCTTGAGGCTGACTTGTCTTTCTGTTTATTTTGTTCACGTTTTTTTTTTTTTTTTCACAGATGTTCAAATATTTATTTTCTTTGCCCACTTTTGTGCTGTTCAATTCAGTAATTCTATCTGCTAGTCATCTTTCAGATGTTGCAGAGTTGTATAGCTTCACTTTGGTTATAATACACACACACACACATAATAATAAAAAAAAAAGAAAAGAAAAAAAAAAAAGAAAGCCTCTACTCACTATTGTAGTTATTATAACCTATTTGCTACAAGCTTGGCCATGTCTTCTATTTTAATGTCTAGGTCTTTAATAAGTGATTCTTGCCCTGATTCCTGAAACTCGCAGTGACATAACATAACGTTAGTAAAGGTTTGCAAATGGTATGGTGGATTATCAACCTCTTCCACATCCATAGTGTTATTTCTGCTTTGGCCATCTCTTTTCCCTTGCTCATCCTCGTAAAGCAAAATAGCACACATTGTATTCCTTTGTCAAATTATAAATATAAAGTAGAATAAAATAAATAGGCCTTCGACACTGTTTTCACTGTATAACAAGGTGAATATTTTATTAAAATGAAAGCTTTTTTTTAAAAAAAAAAGAAAAAAGTACTTGGATGATATTCTTTAGTAAGAAATACGAATAGACTTTATCCTTACTTTAATAGCAAATTCTACTTGATGAATATCTTGTCGTTCAAATTCGATTTTGGTTGTGTTTGATGAGTGGCTACCAAAAATGAAATGAATGTAAAACCTTTCTTTATAACTGATTTATACAGCTATTGAAATTGATATATAAATATACATGTATAAAAAAAAATATTTTTTTTCTAATAGAATAGCTGATAATTGAAAACTCCTTTACCTGTCTTCACCTCTTTCTCTCTCTTTCTCTTTCTAACCTAATGGAAAGATTTATACAGTTTTGTAGTGATAATAAATTGCGACAATAAATTTTTTCATAAGATGCGTAACACCTTGAATTTCCTTAAATAGTATCAAAATACACGTTAACAAAAGCCCTAAAAAGTTATAGCTCCTTCTCTTTTATATATATAGACTGTTCGTTCAAAAATGAATCATTTCATTTCTTTATTCTCTCTTTTTATTTTTTATTTTTATTTTTTTACTTGTCCTTCCTTATACCTCTAAGTAAACGCACGATAAAATTCTATGCTTAAAAATAATTTATATGAATACAACAATAAAATTCTAAACTCAAGGTACATTTTTTTTTTAAAAAAGAAAAAGCAATGACGTTCATTATGAATGATCTCACTTTAACCATTTATAATAGAGTCCCTCCTCCAACTCCACCACTCCATGAGCAAAATGTAAGTTGAAGTTTTTTTTTTTTTCTTTAAAAAAAATAATTCAAGAAACTTAATGAGTATTATCATATACAGATAAATATGAATGCTTCTTGGGATAGACAGATGGTAAATGTAACACAATATTTTTTTTTTTGGAAAAATAAGCTTAATTTTTTTTTTTTCTTTTTTTAATAATAATTTTTTTTTTTTTTTTTTTTTTTTTTTAAAAGTCAACGACAAGAACATCTTCTTTACTACCAACATATCATTTTGAACGAGAATCACTTATAGATCCGACAAGTAATTCATTTTATAATGATTTTAATACTAAAAACGAAACATTCACAGGTATAAAAAAAAAAATTAAACAAAGGGCAATCGAATACTTGATAAGAAAATTGACATATTCTATTTATACACATCTATTAATTTATTAAATTTATTTTTCTTTTCTTTTCTTTATAATAGAATCAAAAATGTCAAATTTAATAATTGATCCTTATTTTTATGAACCTTTACCTAAAATTCAGACAGTTCAAGCACCAAAATCAGTAACTGTAGCACATATACAACATGAATATTTAGATATACCTCAATCATCACCCACCATCACTGTGCAACAAGTGCCGCCTATTATAGCTTCAAAATCAAATAATAAATTACCAAAGCCTCCTCTTACACCTCTTGTCATTCCATCTACTCCTTCTATTCATTCTAATCACACACCTACTCGTACATCATCTCGATACCATTATCTTTCACCTACAAATTTAAATACACCTGGATTTTCATATTCCCCTCTTTCTTCCACCGGTCTATCACCTTCTACACCTTCTCCAAACACACCATCACCCTCTTCTTTACCTCAACATAAGGTTTCAAAAAGGACACTTTCCATACAACCGGAAGAGGAAGCAGAACAATTGATTCAACAAGGCATTAAATATCATGAGGCAGGACAACTTGAAAAGGCAACTGATATGTTCAGAAGAGGCGCCCTAATGGATTTACCTATAGCTATGTTTCTATATGGTGTCTCTCTTCGTCATGGATGGGTAAAAAAAAAAAAAAAAAAAAAAAAAAAAAAAAGAAAAAAGAGAGAATCGAACATATAGAATTGACCCTATTATTATTATTATTATAAAAATATAGGGATGTAAAAAAAATGAACATCTTGCATTTCAATACCTTCAAAAGGCAGCAGAACATGCAGTTGAAGATTTAAGTCATACAGTAAATACTTCAGCAGCTAAAGGTGAACTCATTATGGCCATTTATGAACTCGGTGTCTCATTTTTTCATGGTTGGGGTGTAAGTGAATGGAGGATGATTATTATCATTATTCTATTTTTTTTTATTCATTCATTCATTCATTTATTTATATAGTGTAAAAAGAATAAAGAAACAGCAGTTTATTATTTCAAAATAGCAGCTGATTTAAATGACCCAGACGCACAAAATGACTTGGGACATTGTTATTATCATGGTCATGGTGTAAAAAAAAACGTGTATTTAGCTGCAAAATATTATCGAATGGCAGATAAACAAGGACAAGGAATCATGGGGAATTCATGGATTTGGAAATCAAAATATGACCCAAAAAAATAAATAAAATAAAAAAAAAAAATAAAATAAAAAAAAAAAAATAAATAAAAAAATAAAATAAAACAGAGTAAAGAGAGCGATAAGTTGAGAGGGGGGAGGGAAGGGTAGGAGGGAGAGGAAGAGAAAGGGGGTATATTTATACTATTACTATTAGAAAGGTATGATCCTTTTTTTTTTTTTTTTTTTTTTGAGGGGAGAAAATCGTTCTCGTTGATATTTTTTATAACAATAATAAAAAAAAAAAGGAGTGGAGCCAGCCGCCATTTTTTTTTTTTTTTTTTTTTTTTTTTTTTGTGTCTATCTTTGAGTCGAGAATCTACACCAAAATTCATGACTATCACACGTTTAATTAGTTTAAATTAAACTTCTTGTCGACCAAGAATAAAACTTACTCAAAAACTGAGACATCAACTCCACAATATTGACAAAAATTTGTTACAGTGATAATATTTTGATGAAATTCAAAGCATTTTATTGAATGTTTATTACAAGACTTGTTTACCACACCTTTTAAAAGGAAAGAAGAAGAAGAAGAGTCCATTGTATATAGATATAAATATGTATGTAAAGAAAAATAAACAAAATGAAAAAAAAAATAAAAAGATAGGGAAAAATAGAAGTTTAAATATATTTCTCCATTTTTATTTTTTTATTTTTTTTTTATTTATTTACTCATTATTATAAATATAGATAAATGGGGCTTTTAAATAAATAAATAAATAAAAAAGAACTTAAATCTGTAAATCGTAAAACCTCATAGTAAATTTCGATCTTTTTCATTCTATTACCTATTTAGACTAGTTTGATAAAAATGATTTTCTTGGTGCTCACATACTTTTTTTTTTTTTATTTTATTTATCATAATAATAGGCCGCGTTCTCTTTTTCTTTTTTATGGTTTGTCGATAAGAGAGTGATAAAATGGATATTAATCTACATGTATTATATTTATTTGTTTATTAGTAATAATAATAATAAAAAGAAAGGGTGGAAAGAAAAGAAAAGAAAAAACAGCTTAATAAAACTCTAATAATGTAAAGAAGTGAATAGAATTTAATAGAATTTACTCCTAATGATACATACATTTAACATTGCATTTTTCTATAAACAGAATAAATATGCTGCTGTTTATAATGATTTTGTTGGATTTTTACTAATTTGGAAAAAACGGGAGAGAGAGAGAGAGAGAGAGAGAGTGAGAGTGAGGAGCGATAATAGTATGTTTTTATTCACATAGAAAAAATTCCTGTATTAACCTTGATTTAGTAATAAATAGAAACGACATGATCATACTAGAGTAAATAATAGTAGTCACTTTTGTACACACATTTTAAATAACCCTTTCAACTGTCCAAAATATTTCTTCAAGATGATTGTGGATTATTTAATAAAGGAAAAGAAAGTCTGTTCGTATGTTTGTCTATTTATTTATTTATCTTGAAAAAAAGAAAAATATCATAAATGTATGATATTATAGAAGAATAGTAACTTCTTATAATACATTTTATTCTTTTTTTTTTGAAAGGAAGAAGAAGGTAATTCCAAGTAAATAGATGAATAAACAGTAGGCTTTTCTTTAATTCCTCAATAGAATAGACATGTTTATTATCTGTAATATGCAGCGTTATTATGTAATCCTTCTTTAAAAAGCACTTTTCTTTTTCTTATTGGTAGTAAATATTGTTTCACAAGGAAAAATAATAATTTTGAGATTAGACTTCCAAATTTATACATTTGCTCCAATTTTAGATAAAAAAAAAAAAAAAACTTAATCTACTAATTTAATTTATCTTTTTTTTTTCTTTCTTTCTTCCTTCCTTCCTTTCTTTCCCTCCTTTTTGTTTTCTTCTTAATTATGATGGGGATAATAACAAAAATAGGTTCCTACTTGTTATCGATCGTCTTTACCGTCCTTCTCTCAAAGGTGGGCCAAAGTATTGTTTGGAGTAATAAGCGAGAGGATGGTTCTACCAAAAGTCCTTGGGCACCAAGTCCTTCCAATTTACCCTTTTTGACAAAGGGGCTAGATGCATTTCAAAGGGAATCATATCAAGCTTTAACTCGCTGGTTTCATGACTTGAAGGCTCCTATCTACTCAGTTCAATTAGGTTTAAAACGTATTATCGTCCTTAATACTCCTCAATTAGTTTATCAGGCCCTGATTGAGAAGGAACAGTTAAATTCATCTCGTAATTCATCAGACACCATGGAGAGGATCTTGAGTGATCAATGCAAGACGGTGTATACCGCTCCATTTTCACTTTATTGGTCTCGTATTCGACGTGCTATTTATCTTGTGATTGGTCAGAAATATGTTGCGCAATTCACTCCATTCTTCAAGGAACAGGCGAAGAGAGTATCGATAGGGATTGAGGAAAGTATGACGAATAAGGAATCCAACTCACTTGATACAGCTGAATTGAGACAATTAGTGGATGTGATTGCCATGGATACTGCCCTATCTCTTGTTTTGGGTCGCCATCAACAACAACAGCACTATGATCCTGCTGCCATGCTGTCCTTGATTCAAAAATGTCATGCCCTTGAAGCTCGTCAGACACGTAAATACAATCGTCTCGGTCAGTTCTATCGTTTTATCAATGCTTGGTTAGATGTCAAGAGTCTCTTTACATTAGATAGTATCAATATTAATCTTCGAAATGGGATCCTGGAAATCCTTTATCCATGGTTTGAGCCTATCTATAAGATACGGTCAAGCGATGAAGAGAGACGTAAGCTCAAGTTGACCTCCATTGCCACCAGTTTATTAAACATTGATCCCTCCAAGAATGATCCTAACCCCGTTCAGTTGACAAAGGATGAGATCCTTGTGAATGTCATGCATATCGTCTTACATGCTCATACCTATCTGGCTTCATCCCTCTTTACCCTCATTCAACGTTTAGCTACTGAACCTGATTTTCAGAATCGTCTACTGCATAGCGACTCATCGGAGGAGAGACTTCGTTTAGCCTCTGCCTTTGTCTCTGAGACCTTACGTCTAGATCCACCTAACCGTCTCTTGGCGTATGGTCCTCGCACTGATTATGACTTTGAGGCAGTCGATGGTACCATGTATCGGGTTGATCAAGATACTGATTTGGTCGTCAATCTAGATGCCATTCATCACGATCCACATTATTATTATCCTAACCCGGATACTTTTTATCCCGATCGCTTCTTAAAACCCGAAACTCACACAACAACCCTCCTTTCCAACTCGTCGTCGTCGTCGTCATCCCCCATCAAGCCAGCAAGGGATCATCTCGCCTTTGGTGCTGGACGTCGTGCCTGTTTAGGTAAAAGCGCTAGTGAGCAATGGTTGGCTACGACTGTCATTCAATTGGTGAAATCCTTTGAACTTCGAGGTGGTGATGTATCAGAGAAAATTCAAGTGTCTACTAATATTTGGTCTTGGGTAGGTCGAACTGAAACGAAGGGGGATACCATTAAATTTATTAAACGATAAAAAAAAAAAAAATACCCAACTTATTTGTTCATCTATTTTTATACAAATATTTATATTATGTTTCTTTTTCTTTTCTTTTTTCTCTAAATAATAATATTAATTATATTCCACTACCAACTACTGCCAATAAGTAATTTTAATAAATAAAATAATAATAATAATAACGATCCTATTTACAAGCAAGAAAACACACACACACACAAAAGCTATGAAAACAATGCTTCGTATTTCTTTTTCATATTATCCGCAAAATCTTTCTGTTGACGTGTAATAGAAAATTGATGATGAACGATATCGAGACATAATATCAGATTAGCATGAATACGATCCAAGGTGGAAGATGGATCATTTGGCTGTTGATATCGAAATCGTGCCGCTCTCAATAATATCTCCCAGGCATTCAAGATCCATTGTATATCCACTAAACAAGCATAATCACGAGATAACATGAATTGAACGAGTCGAACCATGTTTAGGGCAACCTGGATCGATAGGTGCACAAATGGCATATCAAAGTTAATCTTGGAAGGATTTAAGGATTGTATAAATCGAATACAAAATTCATCATCAGATAACCTGAGTTCTTCCTCTGTAAAGTGTTCTTGAAAGTGTCCTTTAAGGTGTTTCATCTTGAAAATCATTCTAAGCCAAAAATCAATATGATGATGATGATGATGATGATGATGATGATGATGATGATGACGATGTTGTTGTTGTTGTTGTTGTTGTTGTTGTTGATGATGATGACGATGATGTTTATCATCTGGATTGTCATCTTTCCATATATGTTTAAAATTTATTTGAGCTTGCTTAAATTGACGGATAAGCTCCTCAGTGCTGGTTTTGGTTTCTATAGGGTCCTTGGGAACATAGGACTTGGTCATGACTAAGTATTCGTTATAAAGTACAGTTGTCGTTAAGAGAGCGATCGGTAAATTATCACACTCTTTTTCTAATATCGTAAAGAAATGAAGATCATCCCCTGGATCTTCAAAGAGAGGTAATGACAGTTGAAATTCTTTAGGAAGTATAGATCGATACCAATGTCGCATCGCCATCTCCACATGATGACCAAAGAGGTTTATATAGGAAGGGAGATCGTCAGCCTCCACTAATTGTCCTCCCTTCTTGATAAGCCTCTTGAGTTGTCGAATGTACTTTCCCATTCTAATAAACTGTCTTTCTCGTTCCGTATCACCAGATGAAATGTTGACATCAATCATATCATACTCTTCCAACAAATTCAATATGCGATGTGGCTTAACGGAACGTTGCCTAAACATATGTTTGGTAACAAAGCGCAAGTCTAAAACTGATCTTGTGTGAACGATACAACGATAGATACGACTGAATAACACACATTCTTCTGCAAGAGAGGATGACGCGTTTAAATTCTTGGAATCATTATAATGAGGAAGTAAAAGATGATAGATACGCTCTGCCAAACTCAAATATCTATCTGCATCAGCCTCATCTAATAGCTTGATCTTATAGATTGACATAAAAGTATAGGTGAAAAGTGTTTCTAGATTGACTTGATCAAAACGGTCTTCAATCAGTTCTCGCGCTTGTTCAAAATAATAAGCAGCATACTCTGGAAGAGCACTTTTAGGCAAGATGGAATCAATGTGCTTGCATGAAGTGAATTGGCAGATATGACTACATAAAGCCATGACAGCAGACGATTGGAGCAAATCGTTATCCTTCATAAAGAGTCGAATAAATTCTGGAATATAGATATGAAAATGTACAAGATGAAGACATTGAAAGTAAGTAAATATGAGTCGCATCGTGATGGTTGTGAGATCTTGAGAAGAAATTACTTTTGTTAATTCCTGATGAGAAGACTCACATTTCAACAAGGTAGTCGTATATTGAGTCATACTCTTTAAACGAGATTTACTATACTTTCGCCAAACCAAGATGGTAATCACGGTATGATACGATGATGCATTTTGTGACTCAAAATAGACTGGTTTATTAAATGGGAATGGTAGACTAGAGGTCTTTTGTTGATGTATGGTAGCTGGAACCATACTATTTAAGCAAGATATCAGTTGAGAATAAGAATTAATATGAGTATCCAATGACATATTACCATTCCTGACAGTCAAAATCCAAGGCTTTCTGGGTTCCTTTGATAATTCAGCCTCAATATCATTCGACTTGATGAGTCTATGATGTCTCTTTAAGTTTTGATGAGATGGAAAATCTATTTTTTCTTTATCCATGCTATTATCCTCTTGACAGTATCTGGATGCAGGTATAGGATGTAATAGCGTGGGTGACTCCTTTATATCTTCAGCAATTGATACTGTGTTACAGATGGTGGGATCTATTGAATTTTCAATTGATACAGGTGAAGGATAGTTGTTCATCATCCATTCGTTCTTTCTACAACTACTACTCTTCTTATTTTCTTTCGGCCTATTTTCATTTACAAGTTTTAATACAGCAATTTCTTTTTCCATGCTACTTATTTGTTGTTGAATTTCATTAATTTGTTTAATGTATTCAAGTTCTTGTAAATATTCTAGATCTCTTGGTGAAGGAATAATTGTATATTTACAGTCAATTCCAAAATTTTTGCATCTAGTTAACATGTGTGTGTTTTTAAGAAAGAAAGATAAATAAATGTTAGTTTTGAATGATGTTTCTTTTTAATAAAAACATCTACCTCGCACAGGGCTGTTCATATGAACATTTTCTTTTTCTTTGTCGACAACCTTAAGAAACCCAATATTATTAGAAGAATGATGATGATGATGAGTTAATTCATTATTATTATTATTATTATTTTTTCAGTTTTACCATCACAAGGTGACTTTTTTATAGTTGACATTATGAATATTTATCGTTATATATATATATATGTATATACATTCATATATATACATAGATTATACTATTTTGTTATTGCTTTCTTTTACTTGAAGAAATAAAGAGAGAAAGAAAGTAAATATGTCAATATAAACACATATTACATAAGTAGTATGAATGCAAAATTATACAGTTCAAGGTAAGATATGACTCCAATAAGAAAAATTTAGCCAATTAAAATAAAAGAAGAGGTGTCCGAGATACCGCGACCCTCATTCATAGACGACTCCCAGCATGAATAATGTTGCTCACTTTCAAATGGATGATATGATAGGGTCCTATTTATGATCTATGTATGTTGGACTAGAATAAAGGCAAATTATGACACTATATACAAGTTTAATATATACATCTCCACTCTAGTATGGATGACTCTAATATTCGTTTATCGAGTAAAAGTGATCTCTCGGTAATAAGAATAATTATTAAAATGAATAAACAGTATTTTTTTATAACTTGTTCTCGAGATTTAATGAATAACAGCTTAAGATATGAATATAAATAGATAGATTATTCTTTCTTTATGTGGAATTAAATAAGAACAAGATAGTCAATGTCCTATACAAGAGAGCCAATACAGGTCCGTCAGAACATGTTAATTAGTTGCAACAAGAAAGAAAAGATACAAAGGACTGCAAGTACATGGATACTTTTTTTTTTTAATTTTTTGAGCATTACAGTGTAATAGTTTTACATGATCAACTTGTCTTGGTGTGTCTAGAATCCTTTGGATAAAGTAATCTTTATTAGGATGCATTATTGAAATTATTTTATTGATAAGCTATATTGTGTACTATTGCTGACAACACAAAATTCAATATTTTGTCTATACATTATGATTGAACAAAGAATCGTAAAACTGATAGATACCAATTAAAGAATAAAAAACCCAAATTTGGCAAATACATAAACGTTGTTTTATTTGAAAAAATCTATTTGTTAATGTCTACTTTGCAGTAAAAAAAAAATAGGACATAATAATTGGCTGACTGAAAAAAAAAAATAAAATAAAATAAAGATTAGAAGAAAATAAAACGAGTGGTTAAACTATATATTACGGAAGCGGATGACAATACTTCCTTTCTAAGATTAAATCTACTATTTTGTTGTTGTAATAGTTGTACATACATTGCGTGTATGTATGTATGTATGTGTGTGTGTGTGCATAGATTTCCTAAACCGTTTGTAGTTGTTCATGTCTGATTAAGATTTTTATAAGAATTTCTTATTTTCATTACTATGCTTTAAAGTTTTATCATTATTTTTTTCCGATTGTTCTCTCTAGTTCTATAGACCAAAAAAAAAAAAAAATTTCCAAGATGAACATAATATGTATGTATTTAATAAGAGCCAATAAAATAATCTTTTGTTGCTGCTGCTGCTGTCAATACATCATAAAAATAAATATATTTTTATATATAAATAAATTATAAAAGTCCGCAATTAAAAAGAAAAAAAAAAAAAAAAGGATAGATTAAACCAACGATATGATAAACAGCCAACTGTTTGATCAGATTATCGTCGGGTGTGTGTGGGAGAGAGGAAGGAAAAAAGAAAACAAAAGAAAAAGATGATATTCTTTCTTTCAAAGGAATAATGACAATCATCTATTCATGAAAATCTATAATCACAAGATAAACCAATGATTGGCTTCTTATATTATCATAAATGATATGTGTTACATTATGCTTATTGGAACAAAATGCTTGTCTAAAATTGCATAAAACCAATTTATCATCTGAGAAGAGCTATTTAAGTCGTAAAAAAAATATCTTATTATTATTACATCTGTATTTACAAAAGATAGATGATGTGAACTGTTACTATTTTTCTTTTCGATTCAAAAAAAAAAAAGAAAGTAAACCGGGGGGAGGAGAAGGGAGAAAGCGGGGGGGGGGCTATTACTATGTTATACATTATTATACCTAGCATTTTATTGCTTAGGAACATAATAATGAAGTAGAAATAATTATCAAAAAAGTAAGGAGAATGATTACGACAACCGAAATTATCTTTTTTCTTATTGGTTTAAAATTATGAAATAACAACAGGACAATAAAATATTGCTTTTTTTTTATCAATCATTCATGATCCAATCATATTTCATATTTAATTCACACGACCCTATGCCAATAATCTAGAAGATGTTTTCCTTATTTATTCAAGCTATTACCCATCTCATCATTTTAGTAATAGATATATTTGAATTAATAATTACTATTAAAAAAAAGAAGTCATAACATGTTTGTATATTAAGAGATGGAAAATATAGGGTAGAAGGAGTTTAGATAATCTCTCTCATAAATATCTATGTAAAAAAAAAAAAAAAAAAGAATTTCTCTCGACTCAGTCAAAGTGACAAATTTCCCAATTAGGGGAAATTGCAAAGTTATAATATACCGTGAGTCATGGGCTGACAGAGGATCAGTCGAAGTTTCAAAATCCGTTATATCTTTCCTAAATTTTCCTTTTTGCATATAAAACGAATTAAATTTTTTCCTCGTACTTGGCCTTTTTTTTTTTTTTAGTTTTTTTCCCCTTTTGCTTTTATCTTCATGTCTACTAATTTCAATAATTTTATTCTTCCTTCAATTAACAATAATGGAAATTGTTTAGAAAATTATTATCGTTATTTAGTAGGCATGTCGATAAATCAGCCCTTATCTCTTGTAAATACTATTATTCAACAAAATGATATGAATCAATATCAAAAGCTTTATGTAGATACATTAGTTGGTAAACAAGAAAAAACAAACAAATGATAGCAAAGTTACGATGGGTTAACATTATATAATGCATTTCCTCTATTAGATATTACGACACTTACAATTCGTATGTCTTGGCCAATGGAATTATCCAGTACAAAAGAAGGACAGCCAGTTGTGAATACACATGTCTTTGTTCGCCATTTATTAAAAAGATCTCGTGCCACCCGTTCTACCCTTCAATTAGCCATCTTTTATCTCTTTCGAATTCGTCCTTATATTGCTAAACGTAGTCAATTGGATCCTATTGTGAAATGTGGACGACGTATGTTTCTTGCTGCTCTGATTTGTGCTCATAAATATTTGTACGACAATACTTTTACAAATGCGAGTTGGGCCAAAATTAGTAAATTACCTGTCAAAGAAATCAATGCTGCAGAAAGATCTATATTAGAGATGTTAGATTATCGTTTATATGTCTCTACTGAACTTTATCAAAAATTTGAATCTCAATTAAGAGAGGCAATGCCATCTGCTACTACTACTACCAATAATAAGAAACGATCATTTAATCATGACTCTGATGAAAGACAAGAACCAGTGATTATTAAGAAGCAAAAACAGCCCTCCTCCCATATTAACATCACTCATGGCATCCCTACACCTGAAGATGATAAAGTTGACTTTTATTAATTTATTTAAATTATCCAACAAAAAAATACCCCTCTCTCTCTCTCTTTTTTTTTCTTCCTTTACTATGTATGTACATTTATGTTCAATGTAAACAAACAAACAAAAAGTATCACGTAGTATATAACCCATATTTTGTTTACTTTGTAATATTACCAATAATAAAGAAATATGTAATCATTCTTATTATTATAATAAGAGAGTGGGCTTTATTACTGCTTACATAAAGTTGAGTCGGCGCATTTGGTTGAAAAAAAAAAAAAAGAAAAAAAAAAGAAAAGATAATAATTAAAGCTACGCGGCAGCCATTCATCTATACTGCGGTAGTTTTTATATTAATAAGAGAAAATGGATGACAGTGATAAATGCTTTTTTAGTGGATTTTATTATTACATTGAATTGACTTATTCTGTCTATGAAAAAAAAAAAACAAGAATGGTAAAAACAAACTTTTAAAAATCCTTTTTAGAGGTATAAAAGAAAGACAATAGTATCAATCAAGTAATTATTATTTTAACACCTGAAGAAGTTATTATACATCAAGTGGTGCAGATAATAGAGCAACAACAGAAATTAAACAGAAGAGGCTTGTCAAGGAATATCATTACTCATAGTATAATAAGGATAGATTATGTATACAAATATGAGTAAAATATAGTTTTTTATATCAGGGCAAATGTATTTATTTATTTTAAAGACAATCATGTATACTTCAAGTCTCTATTTCAAGCTTACTCTTATTGGATCAAAGGAGTTAAAACCTAATCTTCTACATCATCCATTATTATATAATAGACATGTTGATTAGATACAAAGTTGACAAAGCCCTAACACTTTTAGACTTGGATGTAAAAAAAAAAACAATAAATATATTGCTTCCAAACAGTTAGAAGTAGTATAGTTAATAAGGTCTTTGTCCTAAAGAAAATTAAGCCCATCTCAGAATTGTACAAAGCCTTACAAAAAAAAAGGGTGAACCTATTACTACTTTTAGCAATGACTCATTCTCTTCTTCTATAAACGGTAAGAAAACAGCTCCAACAAAAAAAAAAAAAAAGATTTGCCGTATCATGTCTTGCAAAATAATCTAGAGGTACTAATTTAAAGACACAGAATGGACGAGGAGCTAATAAATATGTCATGCTTATAAGATGAAAGATGCTTATTCATGACTTCAAAATATAATATGAGTACTTTTATGTGACATTTTCAATTGATCTGTATCATTTTAATGTGGCGTTTCTCTTTTAACAAAGATATGCTGTTTATACTCTAAAAGTACGCACGTACTAACTTGGATTCTTTGAATAAAAATAAAAAAAAGAAAGAATTGTTAATCACTATAATTATTACTTTGATCTTCTTGTTCCCATATTACTTTTTTTTTTTTTTTTTTTTTTTTTAAAAAAAAAAGCTTAAAATTGTTATTCATTTATTTTTTTTTTTTTTTTTAAAAAAAAAAAAATTTCAAATTACCACATTATAAAGCCAAATATGATTGTTTAACGCTTAATTGTTTGGAAAAAAAAATATTATTTTTTTTTTTTTTTTTTTTTTTTTTTTTTTTTTTGTACTTTACCTCCTTATATCCCACATTATATTATATTACACTTTTTTAAAATAAAATAAAATAAAATTATGGCAACAAAAGAAAATAAAGCATATACAACTCTTGATCAGAGTTCAATGCCTAACTTTAATTCGTCTTGGGTTAATTATAAAGGTAAAATTTATATTCAATAGATAATGTAAAGCTTAATTGTTTATTTCTTGTAGGAGCATGGCTTACAACAATCTTTGTGATAATTGCATTAAAAGCTTTATTTACAATCATACCTTTTTTTACACCAGAAGCAAGTTGGACATTAACTAATTTAACTTTTAATTTTGTAAGATTATTGCATTCTTGTAAATTATACATCGACATTTATGCTATTCTTTGTTTTTTTTAGGGTCATTATATTATGTTTCATTGGGTACAAGGCATCCCATTTGAGAATAATCAAGGAGCTTATGATGGATTAACATTATGGGAACAAATTGATGGAGGAGTTCAGTTTACTGCAACTCGTAAATTTTTCACAGCAGTTCCTATAGCTTTGTAAAGTGAAATGATATATATATATAAAAGATAAATTTAACGAACTAATACCCTTTTTTTTGTTATTATTATTGATAGATTTTTATTAAGTACACATTATACACATTATGACTTTTTTTGTTTGCTATCAATTTTACTGCACTTTTAGTTGTTTTAGTTGCAAAGTTGCCAGTTATGCATCGTGTTCGAATCTTTGGCATCAATAAACTTGATTATGAGATGGATTAAAAAAAAAAAAAAAAAGAAAGACATAATTCTTTCCTTTCTCTCTTTTTTTTTTTTTTTGTTTTGTTATTATTTGCTGTTATTACATAAATTACACTTGGTAGTGTGCTATCAAATAAACTTTTTTTCTTTCTTTCTTAGCAAAATATAATCTATTTTTTTTTTCCTTATGAAAAAAAAAGTGGTACAAAGAAGCATCATGATATCATTCAAACAGTAGTCATAGTAGGAGTTTCATCGTATTTTTTTTTTTTTTTTTTTTTTAAATTTTATATCATCATTATGCAGTAATATTAATAATGCGTGTATAATAGATTTATAAATATAAGAAAAAGAAAAAAACTTCAAATCAAACTATTTTTATTTTATTTTATTTTATTTTAATCAATCATGTCAACTTATAATACAGCTAAAGAAAACGAAAAAAAGATGAATGAAAACATTGACAAGTCTGCAGAAGAAGCCAAGAAAGAATTGTCAAAGTTAAGAACTGAATATGAAGAATTTAAAAGAAATGCACAACCTAAAGTAAAGGAAGCAGAAAACTATTTAACTTCACCAGGCGCAATTGGCTTCTATCAAGGTAAAAAAAAAAAGAAAAGTTACAATAGTGTGATTATGTTATTCATAAATTCAATTTTAGGTGTTGTTGTTGGTGCTTTCATTGTATTAGGTTATGCTAAATATAAAGGAGGATTAAAGTTTTAATAATAAAACTACAACAAGAAGGTTTCAAGTAATCTAATTTTTGTATAGAAATCCGCTGTTGTCAATAAGTAATTTGTTTCTATAATAAAGCCCTTTATTATTATTATTATTAAAGGAATAAGAAGAATAGAAGAAGTGTATTTAATATGCTTTATTTTATTTTATTTTTACAGCAAACAATAAACCGTCTATTTTTTTTTTTTTTTTTTTTATGTATTTTCAGGACTCAGTTTAAATATCAATCCTTTTTTTTTTTGTTTATTTATTTATTTTATTTTCCCTTTCCTTTTCTGTTATTTACATCATGGTTGATAAAGGACTTTATTCAGACTTAAATAATCATCCTCTATCTGAGGTGCAAAATAGAAAAGAATCAATAATGACAAAGTCATTGAGTGATGAAGATAAAATACAAGAAGCAACAAATACACTTGATAAACTCAAAATAACAGATCGTATGCTTTTTCCCTTAATTACTCTTTTTATTTTACTGATTACGTTTATTTTTATTATAGAAAATAGAGTATTTAAAAATATTTTACCTGAAAATAATGACCTGGAAACTGAAGTAGAAGGTGCATATCATTGGCATATTAAAGATTGGAAAGCTTTAAAGAACAAATCCCATAGTCCAATCTTTCACTTGAATGGATTTCCTTGGTAAATTAAATAACATTTATTTTTATTCTTATTCAAGGTAGACTTGACTCTCTTTCTTTTTTTTTTTTAAAAAAAGGCGTATTTTATTGTTTCCTAGAGGAAATAGTCAAACGAAATCTCTTTCTGTTTATCTTGAAATTGCTAATCCAAAAGAACATGGTATTCCTGACGATTGGCATGTGTGTGCTCAATTTACACTTGCTATATCTAATCCTGAAGACCCTACTATCTATTTCACAAACAGTAAAACCAACTTACTAATCATTCATTTAAAATTGTCTTGTAAATCTTACTTATTCTTTATTTTGTTAGGTGCTAATCATCGTTTCACAGCAGAGGAAGTCGATTGGGGATTCACGCGTTTTTATGATATAGAAGAACTTGAGCAATGCACAGTTACTGGTAAAGGTCCTTTTATGGTCAATAACGAAATGATTGTTTCAGTATTTGTTCGAGTTGTGAAAGATGAAACTGGAGTCCTGTGGCATAACTTTGTCAATTATGATTCTCGCAAAGAAACAGGTTATGTAGGAATTAAAAATCAAGGAGCTACTTGTTATATGAATTCTCTTTTACAATCCCTTTATTGTACAAATCAATTCAGAAGGGCAGTCTATCAGATACCTACTGAAAAGGATGAACCTACCAAGTCTGTCGCACTTGCTCTTCAACGTTGCTTTTACAATTTACAATATGCTTCAGACCCTGTAGGCACAACTGAATTGACTAAATCATTTGGTTGGGATTCGTTAGATGCATTCATGCAACATGATGTACAAGAATTTAATCGTGTCTTGCAAGATAATTTAGAGGAAAAGATGAAGGGAACTCCAGCGGATGGTGCTATTTCTAAATTATTTGAAGGCAAAATGAAAAGTTACATAAAATGTATTAATGTCAATTTTGAATCTTCAAGGGTAGAAGATTATTATGATATTCAATTGAACGTAAAAGGATGCAAAGATTTAAAGGAATCGTTTGATAATTATATTATGGTCGAGACATTAGAAGGTGACAATAAATACATGGCAGAAGGGTATGGACTTCAAGATGCACATAAAGGGGTTATCTTTGAAACCTTTCCTCCTGTTTTACATTTACAATTAAAGCGTTTTGAATATGATTTTATGAGGGATACAATGGTGAAGGTAAATAGAATTTTCATGTCATGTCATTGTAGTCTATATTTATTTATCCCTTTTTTTATAGATTAATGATCGTCATGAATTCCCCGCTGAAATCAATTTAGACAAGTATTGTTCAAAGTCTGACGAAGATGGGCCATATGATTATGAACTACACGGGTAAAAAAAAAAAAAAAAATAAAGAGAATTATGTCTATTATCATCACTCATATTCAATATTCTATAGTGTTCTTGTTCATAGTGGTGATATCTCTGGTGGTCATTATTTTGCATTAATTCGACCTGAATCAAATGATAAATGGTTCCGCTTTGATGATGATCGTGTAACACCTGTTTCTAAAAAGGAAGTCTTTGAAGAGAATTTTGGTGATGAGCCTCTTCGAGATAATCATTCATCTTCTCTCTATTCTAATGGTCATATGAGAGTGAATAATGCTCGTATGATAAAACGATTTACAAATGCATATATGTTGGTTTATGTTAGAAAGAGTAAATTGAATGATATTTTGGGTCCTGTTTTAGAAACAGATATTCCTCTTCATTTAAGTAAGTTTATATCATTATTTTATGATAGGACTAAAAAAAATAGTGAACCTTGTCCTTTTTAGAAAAACGTTTAGATGATGAAAAGGCAATAATTGAAAGACGTAGACAAGACAAAGAAGATATGCAATTGAATGTAAAAGTAGCTGTTTTATCAGATAAATCATTTGAAGACTATCAGGGCTTTGATTTAGCTACTTTAGATGATCAACGTTTAGAAGTATCATCTCAGGTAGATGTATTCAAGAGGCCTAAATTAGAAAAGTTGAATGTATTTAAACAGCAATTAGCAGAACATTATCAATTGGAGACGGATCAATTTAGGTTATGGAGTGTTATTTATCGTCAAAATAAAACAATACGTGTTGAACAATTGATTACTACAAATGAAGAACGTTCAAGTAAGTCGACACTACCTCACTAGTCTTCTTATTCTTTTACCCTAATATTTATCTGTGTATAGGTCTTGAGAAGCTAAGAGAACAATGTTGTGTTGAAGCTTTACATACTGGATTTACAAAATTATATTTGGAATTGGCTGATGAAGATCAACCTTTACCTGTTATTAAAAATGATCAATTTATTATATTTATAAAGTACTTTGATATCAAGGAACAAAAGATGAGGTTAGTCATGATTTTTTTTTAACAAATCCTTTTTTATTTATATTGACTGTTTTTTTTTTGTTACAGAGGCCTTGGTCACTTATTTGTTTCTTTAAATGATAAAGTCAGTCATATTTTATCTACTTTGATTGAAAGAGCTGGATTACCTAAAAATACTTCTATTCAAGTATATGAAGAAATTAAACCTCAAGCTATTGATATGATTAAGAGTGATCAAACATTCCGCAAGGCTGAACTTCAAAGTGGTGATATCATTTGCTTCCAACGAACATTATCTCAAAAAGAGTAAAGTGAATAGAGTATAGTAGAGAATAGAATAGCATGTGTATTGTATTAACTTGCTGTATCTTATATTATAGAGCATATGAAATGTCGAAAAAGGGATTTATTACCTCTGTTCCAGATTATTATCTTTCTCTCTATAATAGAGCTTGTGTCTTATTCAAGCCAAAGCACAACAATACGAATAAGCATCATGAAGAAATTAAATTAATTCTCGATAGAACTTCAAATTATATGGCCATTGCAAACAAACTAGCAAACGAAATCCAAGTAGATGCTAATAAAATTCGTTTAACTTCATCTCATGCTATCACAAATCAACCTCGAGACGTTATTCATTACAAGTCGGGTATGCGATTAGATGAAATGTTGATTCACTTACCTAAACCATTGGATTATCTTCATTCTGTTAACATTGATACTTTAAATGCACCTGTCATGTATTATGAGGTGATGGATGTGAATATTGCTGATTTAGAAACGAAACGATCTATTGAGGTCACTATTATTGGTCCTACATTACGTAAGGAAACAAAGGTGACAGCTCTCTTACCACGAACAGGATCTGTACATCAATTATTAGATCAAGTAATTACAAAGGGTAAAATGGATATCAAGGACCCTAATCAAATTCGATTGTATGAAGCTGTTAATGGTAAAGTTACAAAAGAGTTTTCACTTGATCAAACTGTAGATAATGTAGGATGTGAAAAATCATCTATTGTGTATGCAGAGGTAAGTTTTGTATTAGCTATTCTTCGCTTCCCTTCCCACTTTTTATTTATTTATTTATTTTTTTGTGTGTGTATACATACGTATACTAGCCTATTCCAAAAGATGAATTAGACATGGATTTAGATTCAGATCGTCTTATTCAAGTAGTTCATTATCATAAGCATCCTACAGACTTTCATAGCATTCCTTTCCGATTCGTAGCTATCAAGGGAGAACCATTTGAAGAAACCAAAAAGAGATTACAAAAGAGAACAGGATTAGGTGACTTGGATTGGAAGAAAGTAAAGTTTACGATACTAAGAAATTTGAATGCTCCTGTACCTCATGTTGAAGTCATTGATCAACCTGACTTTGAATTACGTAAAGCACGCCTTCAAGAAGAAGATGCCCTTGGTTTAGATCACATAGATAAATCATCTAAAAGCCGTTTTAATAATGTATTTGAAAAAGGTATCTTTATTAGAGGTTAAACACACACACACACGCATCTTTTGTGTATGTAATTTCTCTTTTTAATTCTTTTTATGTATTTTATAATAAATGTATAATAATAATAATAATGACAATAAGTAATTATGATCTTTGTTCCCTCCTCCCCCCCCTCCTTCAAATTTGAATATCCTTAAAGAAATACTTCTATTTATCTATTTTACTGCTAGTAAGCATTTAACCCGTTCTTCATAATGAGTTCGATTATTTCAAAAAAAAAAAAAATAATAATCCATGTTCCTTATTTAGACTAAACATCTTATTCTGAACATTCAATGTTTATTTTGTAAAATTCCATATATTCTAGTAAAAGAAAAAAGTACATATGACCCATTATTGTTCCAGTTCAGGTATATTGTAATATAAATCAAGACTTTCTGGATTAATCAATGTACCAGTTGCAGTTACTTTTTGTCCACTAATGATTTTCTGTATTTAATAAAAGGAAAAGAAAAAAACAAAAAAAAAAGTGAATCCATGTATCTATTTTTTTTTTTTTTTTTTTTTTTTTTTTTTTTTTTTTTTACCTTTACAGCAACTTCGACTTTCTTTCCATTGATTGTATGCTAAAGAATAAAAAATAGTTAGGATGCGTATAAAGACACAGACAAATACAAATAGATTACAGGAATATCTTTAATGGCAAGGATAAAAGCAGGAACATGTCTAGGACTTAATTCATTTCGAATCATGACCTTGAGTTTCTTGACCAAATCCTCTGAAAGTTGTTTAGTATCATCCTTCATCTTTAAAAACAAGATCACTCTTTCATCATCTTGTCCCTTTAATTTTTGACCGACGCATAAGGAATCCTCAATTCCTTCTTGTACATTGATTTTATTCACAATGTTATAAATCTCCGCACTACCAAATCGAACACCATTTGGATTTAAGGTACCATCTGAACGACCCAGCATGACGACACCCCCTGTCTTGGGATTGATCCAGACAAAATCACCATGATACCAGATATGAGGATAGACATCAAAGTAGGCACCACGGTATCTGCTACGTTTAGTGTCATCACCATACATAGAGACAGGCATACATGGGAAAGGGGTCAGACAGACTAAATCACCCGATTGAGCAAAGACAGGTGTCTGATACTCTGTCCAGGCTTCGATATTCATGCCTAAACATAGACATTGAATCTCTCCACGATAAACAGGTAAAGCCGCATTATGGCCTGCAAAGAGTGAACAGATATCTGTACCCCCCGTAATGCTACCCAACATGATATCCTTTTTGATATGATTGTAAACAAAGTCAAAACTATCTGGTTTAAGAGGAGATCCAGTAGAATATACTGCTTTTAGTGTATTTAATTGACAAATATCCTCTGTAGATAGATAGATAGATAGATAGATATATTTAGTTAGTTAGTTAGTTAGTAAGAAAGAGACATTAGTTTTCTTACTTGGATAAACTTTAGCTTCTTCTAATGATTGGATGTATTTTGCTGAAGTGCCGAAATGAGTAATGTTTAATTCGTCAACTAATTCCCACAAGGAAATAGGAGCAGGTTTAAATGGACTGCCATCCCAAATAACAATAGTAGCACCTAGACTAAGACCCGAGACAAGCCAATTCCACATCATCCAACCTGTTGTTGTATAATAAAAGAAGACATCCTCGGGTCCCATATCACCATGAAGGATATGCTCCTTTTTAAGTTGAAGTAAAAGACCTGCACCTGAATGAACAATACATTTAGGTAAACCGGTCGTTCCAGAGCTAAATAAAATAAAAGCAGGATGATGAAAGGGTAATTGAACAAAGTCAATTTTGGAGGGCAAATCAGTCACAGTTTGTAAGAAGTTGGACCATGAAATACAATTTGGGATATCCTTTTCATATTTCTCTAAACCCGCAGCTTCACTCACAAATGGAATTAATACCACTTTTTTAAGACACGGAAGACCTTTAAAATCATGTATATATATATATAAAAGAAGAAGATGAACACATAAGTCTATGACCCAATTTCAATTTCGATTTCTTTATACCTTTGACAACTGTCTCCAACTTTGGAATATGATTCAACGTTTTACCATTATAAATCACAGCATTAACAGATATTAAAACTTTAGGTTGAATTTGTGAAAATCTATCAAGTACGCCCTATTATTTGGATACTATTAATATTATGTCATCTATTCTATATTGTATAATAATAAACTTACTGTTGTTCCAAAATCAGGTGATGTAGAACTAAATCATTCTATTAATTTCATATTTTCTTTTTTTATCGAATATCATGGAATTTACCTCCAAATGGCACCAATACTTGTTGTTGCCAACATAGCAATAATAGCTTCTGCACAGTTAGGAATATAAGCAGCAACGCGATCCCCCTTTTCAACACCCATTGCCTTAAGGGCTTCTGCACATTTCAAAACATCGTTGTAAAGTTCTTCATAACTAATATATCTTTTACCATGTCCCTCACCTATTCCATATATTTAACTTTAATATATAAAAAAAATTTTTTTTCTTTCTTTCTTTACCAGTAGCTATGATTGCTGTCTTTTCTGAACTTGTACACCACAATAAATTCTCAGCAAAATTAAGTCGAGCTTCTTTAAACCAGATAGGAATATCATCCATCATTTCAGATTTATCGAGGACATGATTTCCTTTATTGGATGAGATTATATTTGTATAATCCCAGACTTCAGACCAAAATAACTCGGGATATTTAACAGACCAACTCCATAATTGACGATATTCCTTTAATGCTTGATGTTTATACTTGCTTTGCATAAGCAAGCGAAATTTTTCCATCTGTGTTCTTTCTGGATGTGTAGGTGTCCAAAGACATTTAGGATCCGTTGTCAACACGTTTTCTAATACAATAGTAGCCGTCATTAAATAATTATATAACTATTTAAAAAAAAAAGAGAGAGAGAGGGAAAGAGAAAGAGAGAGAAGAAGGAAAGAAAAGAAAAGAAAGAAAAAAAAAAGAAAGAAAAAAAGAAACACATAAACACAAAGACTTACTCGCACGCAAACCAAATAAAAAGAGGCTCTGCTATAAAACCGTGGGATAATTTACCTGACTTAAAGACGGACATAAGGCGTTTAAAAAAAAAAAAAAAAAAAAAAAAAAAGAATAGAAACCAGCCATAAACTATTACAATTCTCAGGGCAACAGTCACAAGGAACTGTAAAAAATAATGATAATATTCTCACACGAAAGGATCTTCATTATAAACACGATTAGGTAGCAAGTGGGTACACCATATCTACGACATATTAGATCACCCAGACCAGTGCAAGATACATATTTATAAGATTTAAACAAAAAACCTCTCTCTTAAGAGACAAGAGGCAATACATATATTTAGAAAAGAGAAGGGGATAAAAAGAAGATTATTCTATCAAGTCTAATTCGCTAATGGTAAATCCAAACAAAATATATCTTCGAGGCTTCTCTAGGCTTCTGTTAAGGCAAAAAGTTCAAAAGAAAGGAACAATTATAACCACTATCTTAAGGTAAACGATATTTATTTATTTCGGATTATATAGAAATACTTTTATTTTTAGACGAGTTAATTTTATTTGTAAATCTATAAAAAGAAACTATTACTCGCTATTTCCTTTTTGTTTGACAGCCATTGAGACCCAATTTGGATCTTTAAGTTTACAGCTATGACAAGTACATACATACATACATTCTTTCTCTCCTCTTCTCATTAAATTGACATTTCTTGACCTCAGTAATTCATGCTCAAAAGTTAGTATTAAATTCAAGTGTAATAAAAAATCACACTCTACTTTTACATATATTTTTACTAGCTTCAACTTTATTCAAAAAAAATACTATAGTATCGTTATTATCTAATATAGAAAATATCATTTGGACTTTTTACGCGTAAAATAAACAGACAAGTGCATAAATCAAAAAGATAGGACTGAATTGAAAATCTATGAATCTGACTCATAAATAAGGAAAATTATTTTTCCTTCTAAACATTTATTTATTTATTTTTTATTTTATTTTTTTTTTTTTGTAGTCTTCATTAGCAAATAATAATGAATGCGCGTAAGTCTTTATTTATTAACATCTTCAAAGATCCGCTTTTCAAGATCATTCATCATTCTTAAACAAAAAAAAAAAAAAAAAAAAAATAAAAGTTAAAATTCCTCCAGGCATCAAAGTTTTTAATAAGATTGCTGATTTTCGACAATGGCGTCACAGTCTTCTTTTAGACCGTAAAACACTTGGTTATGTACCTACTATGGGAGCGCTTCATCAGGGCCACCTTGCTTTAGGTAAACAAAAAAAAAAAAAAAAAAAAAAAAGAAGAAGGGGGAGGGGGAGTTACTCTTTTACTAACTCTTTTTTTTTTTTTTTTTCTTTCAATCTCTTATAGTGTCGGCTGCTAAAAAAAGATGTGATCATGTTGCACTTTCAATTTTTGTTAATCCAGCCCAGTTTGCACCTACAGAAGATCTTGCAACCTATCCTCGTACTTTACAAAATGATTTAAACAAATTAGCAGACTTGGGTTTTGATTCAACTGTGTTTGTTCCTCAGGTAGAAGAAATGTATCCTGCAGGTATTGATTTGGATGTTTCTAAACAAAAGGGTACCTTTGTAGAGGTTTTAGGTCTTTCAAAGCAATTGGAGGGTATCACCCGTCCTAACTTCTTTAGAGGTGTAGCTACTGTTGTATCTAAATTTTTAAACATTGTAAATATACATACGTATACATACATACATACATATATATATCAAAGAAGTCTTTTTTTATTTTCATTCATTAACTTACTTTTATTTTCTTTATACATATAGGTTCAACCTGAAGATGTCTTTTTTGGTCAAAAAGATAGTAAGTACATATATACATCTATCTACATAAAACATATTGGTTTCTCATTCTTCTCAAGTTCAGCAATGCTTTGTAATTCGTAATATGATTCGTGATCTTCATTTTCCTTCCAAGATGCATATTTGTCCTACTGTAAGAGATGAAAATGGCCTGGCCTTATCTTCAAGAAATGCCTATCTATCAGCTACTCAAAAGAGATACGCACTTGTCTTGTCTCAATCACTTCAACATATGGAGTCCCTATACAGATCTGGGAATACAAATGCTACAGAGCTTGTTCAAGCAGGTGTTCAATTAATTGAACAAGCTGCAAAGGAGGTAGATGCATTGAATGAAGACTGGAAGATTCGTATCGATTATGTCTCTATTAATTCTGGAAAGGATTTAAGAGAGATAAAAGGAGAAATTCCTAAAGAAGATGGTTGTGTAATCAGTATGGCTGTATTTGTTGGCCATACTCGATTGATTGATAACTTGTGTTTAGATATTCATTCGTAGAGGAAAAAAAAATTAGATGACATTCATTAAATAATTTTTATTAAGCAATTATATATACATATACATATACACATACATATACACATACACATACACATACACATATATTTATTTATATATTAAGGAGTTATTTGTGACATGGAAGGCATTTTTGTTGAACTAAAAGTAGGAGGAGGGGAATCATTTTTAACGGGTAATAAAGTAATCACTGATTTAGGTCTTAATAAGTGTCGACTCGCTGAGGATTGGTGTTGTATCATGAATGGAGTATAATGACTACTACTACTACTACTATTAGTGGGTATTATGTCCGTTGCCAGCAATGGATCATTCCATTCTGCTGTTGTTGCCATCATGTTCTGTTGAATTACACCTGTAATCCAACCACATGCAATACGAAACACTTTAGAGGATCCATCTAGCTTTGATAGTTTTAGAGCTACAATACGATTCTTTTGTATATCTTTTGTAAGAGAAATGATTTCAATGGAAAAGACAGCAATGCCAGGTTGCTTTTTATCAACAGGATCCTCCTCATCTGGATTGTTATTATTATTGCTCATGATGTGTGATGACAATTTACTCGTAGCAGCAGCAATTGGTAGTCGATGGACATTAGGGGGTGCTAGGGCTAAGCGACTATTTCCAGTATTGACGTTAGGAAATGGTGGGAAACGGAGAGATCGACTCTCGTGGGTAACTACAGTAGATGAATGATATGGGAAAATACTGGATAAGACATGACTTGTGATACGTTTAAATTTATTACTGAATCGACTATTGTTAATGAAATGATGTGAAGAAGAACGATTTGTGTCTGATAGCCCTGCTGTGCTGCTACGACTAAAAGAGGCTTGACTGCCACCATCATTTGTATTGATAGATGGATTCGATGATATCATTTTACTATCTCTTCGTTTCAACTTGTAAAATGAGCTTGTTGGTTTAATATCATTGATATAATCATTAAGAGCCATTACACACATGAGTCGATCGCTAGTGACTCGATTATAAGTGATGCCCATGATATCACAGATACTACAGATAACACACATCATTGTGATTTCATCTTGTTGCACCATATTGTTTTGTAACGAGACTGAAGATTCTCCTACACCAGTTAATTTCATTGCTATCTGTGGGGTCAATTTGAATGTATAATAATGAATTTGATCTTTAGCTACACGTTGATACAATTGTGACAGACTCACGTTCGACGTAGATTTACGAATGATAGATCTAGGTGGCGCAGGAGCATTATGATTGTTGTTCTCAGACGATACATTCGTTAATGATCCGGTATTTAAGAGGTAAGTATTAGATAAGCCATGAAGACTAGTACTATTACTAGAAATGACATGACTGTTCTCTGGTTGTTTTAATTTTCGAAGTAAATGTCGAATAGGTGACTTATTGATACTACCATGTTGAGTAGGAGAGAGTTGGATCTGACAAGCAATTTCGTTGATTTTCTGAAGGAGTAAATGGCGTTGTCTTTCACTATTCATAAATATATCTTCTGGTTTGGATGAATGTGGTATAAGAAGACTTGTAAAATACATGGAAGGGCTTTTAGGATGACAAACAAGGGTTCTTTTAATCAATTTTTTGGACCTTTTCTCTTCTTCCATATCTTTCATATACATATATTTTAATTTCTTTTCTTCGTTGTTAAATGGTGTATCATAAGTTGATATCTCTGGTAAGGCACCATTCTCTGTCAACCACTTGTCCCCTTTTAATGCTAAATGAACTCGAGCTCTCTTTGTTTTATCGACAGACATACATTTCATGATGGTATCTCTTAATTCTTTACTAACATGATTTGGTATAGTAAAATTACCAGATGTTACATCCTTTCTTAGATCACCTACAGCTGTATAACAAAAAAAAAAAAAAAAAAAAAAAGAGGGGTATAAATAGATATTAAATATGAAGTCATAGTATTACATACTATTTGCTTTGGAAAAAGGTTCTTCACCAACAGTCATACGATATAATGAAACACCTAAACACCAACAGTCTACTTCTGGGCCAGTATATCCATAACCATTAATAATTTCTGGGCTATAATATAACATAGATCCTTAAAAAAATATATATAAATATATACATATATAAATATTAAAAGATAATTATCAAAAAAAAAAATAAGGTGGAGTGAGGGAGAAAGGAATCTATTCTATTTTACCACAAATTGTCTTTAATCTTCTTCTACCAAATCTATTTCCTAGCCCGAAATCAGCTATTTTTACTTGATTATTTTTTGTTAAAAGAATATTTGGTGCCTGAATATAAAAATAATCTCAGTTAGGCATAATTTTTTTTTTTTTTTTTTTTTTTTAAAAAAAAAAGGGAGGGGGGAGGGAAAGGAAGGGGATGATGGGAACTACTCACCTTCAAATCTCTATGTACAACCCATTTAGAATGACAATAATCCATTGCAGCTGCCATTTGCCGAAATATATTTCTAGCTTCAATCTCTGATAACTTTCCTCCTCTTTTCTGTAAAAATTCTTCTAAATTTAATCCTTCGACATATTCCATCACTAAATACAATGAATCCGTTGTTTCGTAAGTTTCATATAATTTAACAATATTTGGATGATCTAAAACTTCCATGAGGGCTATTTCTCGAACAAGTCTTGACATGACACGATAATCATGGATTCTCTTATCAATAATCTAATCATATACACATATATATGTAGATGTAAATAAGTAAGATACATATTCATATACATTTATATATATATATATATATATATTATACACACATATAGATATATACCTTAATAGCAACCTGCTTTTTAGTTAAATAATGATATGAAAGCATAACTCGACTAAATTTGCCTTGACCTATTTGTTGAATAAAAGTATAATCTCCAATGCCTTGCAAAAGTGTGTCTGGACTTGGAGGATATTGCTTTTTAGTTATAGTTGTAGTAGTAGAGGTATGTGGAGGTTTTCGAACCTTTTTTGTATGTGTTGATATTGGAGGTGGCGAAGAAATAACAGGTGATGTCTTTACTAATTTTTCATTGCGATGATTGATTTCTACTTGTCTATTATTATTTATATTCGGAATGGTTGAAGTCGTTTGTTCTCGATTCTGTGATTGCCGTTTCCATTTTCTAAATTGATCTGCAACTGCATTAAGCCCCATTGACTGACAAAAAGGAATTACTTGGAAGAAGAGAAAGAGAGAGAGAGAGAGGAAGGGCGAAGAGTAAAGCAGGAGTAAGGAAAAGGAAGGTACAATAAGAAATAAAAATAAAATAAAAGAATGATAATAAAATTCATTTTTATTGCTTTTGTCAATTCCGAGCTCTGATCTAATTTCAGGTAGAAACCATGCCCTTATTTTCCCAATATATAAAAAGGGACTCCGACTTTAGATAGCAAAATCAACAATAAGTTTTTTTTTTTTTTTTTTTTTTTTTCATTATACAGTCTAGTTTAATTAAAAAGACATACATTCCTAATTTTGCTATAAAATATATATTATATTAGAAGCTTCATCGTTGACATCAATATTGCATCTTGTTGTATCTTGAAACAAAAAAAAAAAAAAGAAAAAGAAAAAAGCAACTATGATCTATTTAGCGTGGTTCAGTGTAACTGTACACAACTTCTTTAAAAGATCTAATTTTATCTCAATTCTAAACTAATAATTCGATATCTATTATAAAGGAAATGTAATCATTTAAATATATTTATATATATCGGTTCTTTAAAGAACTATTCTATTCTTAAAGAAGAAGAAACCTAAGAAATGCGTCATGCTTTATAAAAAAAAATAGTGTTGTATGCCACTAAAAAAAAAAGAACCTGTTTGGTACGTTGTGAAAGACCTTCTTAAAAAAAAAAAGGAGGAGGGGGGGAGGATATATCAGTCTCTTTAGTTAACAATTAGTCAAAATATACCTATTATTGTATATCTGTTTGTTTTGACATAATAAAAAGTATTTATATTCTTTTTCATTGTTAACTAATATTAACCAATAGAAAGTTAGTTATTTGTGCCTGATAATTCTCTACTATTAAAATAACAATTCCTACACTACAAAAAAAAACAGTTGGTTTCAGTATTATTTCTGAATTTTAGACCTTTATTTGTATTCTTATTCTTAAAAAAAAAGCGGGGGATATTCTTATCTCTTCGTTATTAATGAATAGCCAACATTGACTTGTTATGATTCTTCTCCTATTTAAAAAGAAATGAACCAAATAAGGAAAAATAAATAGCACCACAAGGGTCCTTTTTGAATATGAAACAAACATTTTGTTATTTTTTCTTTTTTGGAGATTTCTGCTTATAATAAACAATATCACAATTTGACAGCATAAATTTTGCTTTTTTCGTCTATTTTTTTTTTATCCCTTTTCCCTCTATTTCTATTTATTTTCCTTTTCTTTTCCTTTTCCTTTTTTATTTTCTTTCATTTCATTTCATTTCATTTTATTTTTTTTTTTACACATATATTTAAAATGACAGGCATGATTATGAGTAATAAACAATGCTATATCCCACCCTTTTATTTTTCAAAAGCGAGAATAAATGATGAAAAACGAACAGCTGAAAATATTGAATTAATGGTTAATAACTTCAAACGTCTGTGCGCACATGTGTAACTCATTTTCTTTTTTCTTTTAGAACAAAGTTTCTTGTATATTTGGAAATAAAGAGTTTTTAACAGAATATGAATTTCAAGCAGTGACAGAAGCTTGTAATTTACCACGTTATATGAATCTTGCTTTCTTTCGAGCTATAGATGCTCTTTATAGTCAAAATGAACAAGTAACATTTGAACATTTTAAAAAGTAAGCAAAACAAACGGAAAAAAAGGACTATTTATTATTATACAAACATACATACATACATACATACTTAACTATGCGTTTATAGGAGCTGGTCTATATTTACAAGAGAAATTGATAAGAATGATATTGATACGCTTATCTATTATATTTTAAAGAAACCAGAAAATGATTTTATTGTATCAAACGATTTTTTACCTATACTTGAAGATATTATTTTGAACCATCCTGCTTTACAATTCTTGGAAAATAACATTGCTTTTCAAGAAAGATATAGTAAGCTAAGCTTTATTATAAAAGAAGTTGTGTGTGTGTATACATATTTAATTTATTTACTTTTTTTTTTCTTTTATTTTTCTTTTTTTTTTTATTTTTCATATCCCTAGTCGAAACTGTTATTTGTAGAATATTTTATGATGCTCATTGTCCTTCTGGGAATTTAACTTTGAAAAAGTTTCTTAAAAGTAAATTTTCAACTATAATTAGATCATTAACACCTACTGTAGATCTTTATACTGTAAGAAGAGGAGACTTATCCTAACAAAAAAAAAAAAAAAAAAAAAAAAAAAAAAAAAAAAAAAAAGACATACACATAATTATTTTTCTTTATTTATTTATTCATAAAGTTGTCTATAATAGGTTCATAATATCTTTTCTTATAAACAATTTTATGTTCTTTATTGTAAACTCTGGTCATTGGATACAGATCATGATTTGATAATAACAGAAACAGATTTATGCAATTATAACATGGGTGCTTTAGCTCGTTTAGCCATAGAAAGAATTATGAAAGTAGGTCATATCATGGCTTTTACTGACCCCTTAAATGCGGATATTAATACAGAACCTGTTGATACAACTTGTTTAACATATTTTGATTTCATTTGTAAGTTTATATTTACGCATAATATGCATTTATCATGTATAGACCCCTATCTTTATGTGTAGAAGAAAAACCTAACCTAACTTTCTCTCTTTCTCTCTCTCTTTTTTTTATCTTCTTATCTTCTTTTATATAGGGTTTTTACTATCTGAAGTGGATAAAAGTACTGCGGTGGCTATAGAATATTGGTGAATAATGAATGAGCCATTTAAAAGAAAAATAAAATAGAATAGTTTATTAATTTGTATTTCTTAGGTTTCGTTGCTTAGATATCGACGGAGATGGTATTATTTCTGGGTTTGAATTAAGCCAATTTTGGAAAGACCAGGACATAAAGTACGTGTAAGTAAAAAAAAAATACATACAAATATGCGTATATGTATATGTATATGTATATGTATATGTATATGTATATGTATATGTATATGTATATGTATATGTATATGTATATGTATATGTATATGTATATGTATATGTATATGTATATTTATATGTATATGTATATCATATTCCAGTTAATAAATACTTAATTATTATATTAAAAAAAAATAGACAACACTATTATGCAAGTACAGCTAGTGAAGGTCGAATCAAGTTTGAAGATATCATGCGGCAAATGTAAAGATCGAAAATTCCAATTATATACACATATATACATATATACTAACTTGTTTAATGTATTTAGGAATGATTTAATTCTACCTGATATACCTGGTCAATTCACACTAAAAGACCTTAAAAAGAATGGTTATTTAGCTGAAAGGTTTTTCGATACGTTTATCAATTTTGATCGATTTCAAGTTCATGAATCACATCAAGAAGGTGCAATTCGAGAACATCAAGACTATGAAAAAAAGAAAACTCTTCAAGATGGTATATGTAGTAAATTTGAACCTTTAGTATTGACAGATTATTTAGGTTTCCCAGTATTAAGGTACTAGACTATTATTAGATAGATAATATACATGTATATATATATATATCTTAACTTGTCCATTCTCCTATAGTACTTGGAATGATTATACAGATTTCGAATACAATCGTATTATCATGGATGAAAACTATGTTCATTCATATGAGGAAGAAGACATATTTTCCGATAAAACGGAAGATGAAGATGAATCTATTCTTTTATCTAGTACTGAAAATCATCATGTTGATTCAGATGGTATTATTTCAATTACTCATGATCTTCAAACTCAAGACTTATTACATGACGATGTGCTTCTAGTGAATAACGATGCCATTACAGTACCATCATCAGATGAATCTCAATCAATAATGATTATGACGGATAACATAGATTTATCAAATCATTCTCTCTATCATAGTGAAGAAGATGACTCTAGTAGTTCTTCTGATGGCATCGATACTAGTGCACTTAATTCCCCTATTCTATCTAAAGAAGAAGAAAAAAATAGCAAGTTGTCTTCGACTAGTGATACCCCTACTTCCTATTTTGAACATCACCATATTTTATAATTTATTATTAAAACAAATATCCACTATGTTATGTTAAAAGTTTCGTCTCTTCAGTAGTTGTAACTCGTTAGCTAATTGTTGAATCATAGTATCTTTATAAGCTATCTTTCTTTCATATTCGTCCTTTTGTATCGATAGCCTTTTTGAAGCCTTTATTTCTTCTTGTTCCATGGCTTCTATTTCATTTAATAAAACTTGTATCTTTTGCTCACAAGTGATATTAGATAATTTTAAATGTTCCCTTCTTTCTACTGTTGCACCCATGGATTGACGACGTAAAGATTTTATTCCATTCTTGTTATCTGTATGACCTAAAGACATCATGAATAATTTCTCTAATCTTTCCATCTTTTGTTTTAATTCCTGTATTGTTTGCTTTGCTGACACAAGTTCTTTTCGTTCGTTCTTTTTCTTATTTCTCCATTTCTCAAATTGCTTCCTTTCAAAGAGTATCTGTTGACAGAGTCGTTTATTTTCTTCATGAATGAATTGAATGGCAGTGGATGAGTCGTACTCTTCTTCTGTACTATCACTACTCCTGCTAGCGGTAGTTGCTTTTGATGAACTATCCCTACCTTTATTATCCATCATAAAATTATCATTATCATTATCATCATCATCATCTGAGTAAGTGTCACCGTTTATATGAATAGGATGATTGGGTCGATGTACAACAATAGCTCCATTGGCTTTGATGGGTAAAGGACCCGTAAAAGGTAAAGGAGGATATTTATTCTTTTCTTCAAACAAATGCATAACGTGTGCTAATGTCGTAGTAGCAGTAGGGTTTTTATGGTAATAATGATTAGACTTTTTTGTATTCTTGTAGTTTCGATCTAATAATGAAACAGTTTCTTTATTGAAGATCTTCATTCTATATACAATATATATATATATATAGCCTTTTTTAAATTAATTTATATAATTAAAGAAGAAAAAAAGGAGAAAGATAAAAAAAAAAAAGAAGAAGGGGGTAAAGGTCAAATAAATATGTGTGTTGTGATACAATTGTAACTTGGCCAACTATTAGACTTGCATTATCATTGCACAAATAATTGTATGTTTATTTAATATAAATTGGAGGGGGGGAGGGGAATAAGAGGAGGAAGGAAACAAACAAAGGGAGAAAAGAACCACTTTCAAATTTAAAAGTTTATAATAACTTGACTAGAATATAGAAATGTATATATTTTATTGTTAAATTGATTCGAATATAAATCCATCTAATAGAAATTTATATTACGCGGTAGTAAATATAAGTCGAATAACATACATGTCAGGTTCTAAAGTATAAAACAGACTCTCTCAACAATAGGTAATTGTGATACAAGCAGAGCCTTTTATTTTATTTTATTTTATTTTGTGTTGTGAGCATAAAAAATAAAGGAGAGGAGGAGGTGGAGAAGGAAGGAGGGGGAGGGGGATTTCTACCTCGTCTATCTTTTTTTTTTTTTTTTTTTTTTTTTTTTTTTTTTTTTTTTTTTTATCTTTAAGAACTGCTAGTTTCATCATGAAGCAATTTAGATGTTTATGATCCACATTATTTCTGCAGAGTATTTATTGTGACTAATGGTAATAAGAGAAGAACTGGATGATGTAAAGTCAATTCTATTATTACCTTAAACTCATAATATTTGTAAGCTTTATTATTATTATTATTAAGTTAAATATTCGATATTAATGATATTCTGCATAAATCCTTCAAAATAACAATAACAATAATAGTTTCCTTAATAAGGGATTTGTAAAACAAAGACAAAAGCAAACAAAAATAAATAAACACATAGAAGTTAATATTCATATTGAAAGCAAAAATGATTCTCTTTGACAGTAAAGTTATCAAAATGAATAGGAATCTATAGTCAACTTACCCTCTCCTAACACTTTTATTTTATTTTATCTTTATTTATTTATTTTTTCAAAAAAAAAAAAGAAAGAGTTTTATTTAAACTAAATTACATTATCTTTATATGAAATTAGGGTATTTATAAACATAGCAATGAGAATAGCTTCAATAGGATTAAAGAGCAGTCTTCTATTATAAAAACAAAAGTTGATTATGAAAGATCTTGGAAAAAAAAAAAAAAAAAAAAAAAAAAAAAAAAAAAAAAAAAAAAGAAAAAAGAAGGAGAAATTTATATTGAATTCTATATATGGCAGTGGGATGGTTTATTTTTTAATCAAAATTTTATCATTTTATTATTTATGAGTAGACAGTGGATTAATATATTATATGTTAGGCTATTTATTTTTTTTTTTTTTTTTTTGAAGAAAACAAAAACACAAATGTACTGTTTTTAATACCTTATACTTATTAAAGCAATATATATAAATATATCAATAGATATTAATAGAATAGAAAAAAAAGTACTCATATTATTACAATATAATACTTAAATGCGTAGCCTTGAATCTGTTAATAACTTTTGTGATTGCATAAGGTACGGTGTACCATTCAAATGCCTTGATATCTTTGTCAATATTTCTTGGTTTTGGATTAGAATAGCTCATGATCAACTTGTAAAAATCAACTGTTTTAGGATCGTTGTTCTTTATTGTTATATTACTGAAAGCGGACAAGTTACGTCTGACGCGATTCTTTTCTTGAAAAGTATATCGAACTCTTAAGAGACCTTCCAAGAGTCTAATGTAGTCTACTGAGGTAATAAAGTATTTGTCTACAGCTTTCCAATAGATACAGGAAACCAAAAGTGGATCATTTGGTTGAGCATAATAGTCACTACTATCCTCTTGAATATGATATCCACATTTGAGTAAATCATTACTTTGAGAGCCATTCCGTTGGACATAGTGTTCACTCCAGAATCTGACAAGGCGTCGGCTTTGACATTTTTCAGTCATGGACCATCCTCTAGATACTTTATCAGGTTCATCACAGAATAAAACATTAGCTTCTCTAATGATTCCCTCATAGGGGTCGACAAGATCAGGTTGTCTAATAAGACTGTAACCCCCATTATCTTGATAGTTGTAAGGGTAAGACAAAGGATTCCTTGGCATCATCTTTCCCATGCTTGAAAAAACCATAGAAGTAGAAGGTAAGATAGTGCTGTCGTAATCTGTGATAGGTAGTCCATTCGATATCAAATCTCCTACGTTGATGTTATTGTTATTAAACATTGGAAGATAAGGTAGCTCATTAGAAGAGTGATTCAAGTTTAATATCATTTGGGTAGAAGCAGAAGAACACGAATGACCGAGGGATTGAGGTGCTTGAGAGGCAGAGGAATAAATGTTGTGATTATCAAAATCAAATGAGTCGGCTGAAGTTGGAGGATCAGTTACCGCTACTTGTTGATAATTATTCATCGAGTCATTACTTGACTGTTGATAATCAACAATAAGAGATATGGAAGTTGCTCCAGAAAATGCATCAACAGAAGATAATGCCTGATTACAAAAATCCTCAGAATCCAATAAAGTTGAAACTGGTGTAGCATCCGAGTAAGCACTGTTGTGAGCAGGCTGCTGATATTGAAGGTGTTTCAATTCAGATGAATTAACTATATATATATGTATATGTATATATATAAAATCAATTAATATATATGAAACAATTATAAATTAACTTTTAGTTACATACCTTCAGTAATAGATAGGTTCATTTCAGTACTAGAATCGTTAAAAGCTCTCATTAAAAGCTCTTTAAAAAGTTTTCTTGTTTTTTTTAGTATATTTTATATATGTATGTGTATATATATATAAAGGAAAAGTTCAAATGTAAAAGAAAAATACGTGTCCTTATATATCTTTTTTTTTTTTTTCGTCGAAAGCTAATAAAGTCATTTCCTCGTTTATGCTTTCATGTTTTAAAATGACATTAGTAACGATGTTCCTCAATTTAGAGTCAAATATATACAATATTCTGATTCGAAAAGTTGCTGATTTCTTTCTATTATTCAATAAAGAATAATAATAAAAAGTCTTGGAACAATATTTAATTTAATTAAATTCTCGATTTATTTCACTTTACTTTGAAAACAAACTGTATAGTTTTAAATGTTTCATTGGTATTTTAATTTTGATTTGATTTGTTTTTGATCCGCTGTTTGCTCTTTTGATATCACTAGCAAACTTGTTCTTCATCATTATTATTATTCTATATGCTGGATCTATGCTTTTATTGTTTCAAAATGCATGCCTTTAATTCGTCTTTTTGCGTTCTTTCAGAACCAACTAATTAACAAGAAGAAAAAAAAAAGAATTAAGCGTTTGCCCGATAAAATGGAATAAAATTCAAAGTAGACAGCATATATACTTAAAGAAAAAAATACAATAAGAAGCCAACTATGAAAGCACGTCATGTATCAAAGAGCTTAAAGATAGTGAGAGCCTCCACGTTTATTTTCTTTATGTCCTGTACCTATTAATCCAAACAATATTCTTTTGTCCTTTTCTGGTATCAAATTACCAACTACCTGTGAAAGCTAAGCTCGAAATATTCGATACATTATTTAATTTCAAGAGGTTCAAATTGAATAGAAACATTACTTGCATGATAGTGTATGCATATATTTATTTATTTTATTAAAACACCTGAAACAGTTTTCAGAAATTCCAAGATCCAATTTATAAAAAAAAAAAAAAAAAAAAAAAAAAAAAAAGACTGCTGGAGATTACGTTCATTATTCTAATCAAGATGTTGGGATTTCATTATTAGGAGATGTAATGAAAAATGAAAATTTGAAAAATATTTCTCTTTGCGCTATAAATCCTAACCGAAGCCAAATATTTGCTTCAGAGTATGATGATGATAATGGTTCCCATCAACTTAGAATATTCTCTACTTTAGAATATTATACTTGTGCAGGCTCAAAAAAAAAAAAAGACATACTTAAAGAGAAGATCGGGAAACTATACTTTTCGAATATTCTAACAGTTAAAAATGACCATATTTCGACATATTTTTAATATGTTACTTGTATCTTAAAGCATATTCAGAAAATATTGGTATTTAATAGCCATTTGACAGACAAAGATTGTTTACCTTTATATCAAGGTATCTAAAGAGTCAGACAAGAGATGCTAAATATCTTAATTAATGATGGTAAAAAAAAAATGCAATAAGTTAAAACGAAAGTACATAATAAAAAAAGCTAAAAATGTAAATGATAATTATAGATTAGAAGCATATACAAGTACAAGAGAGAGTTCACAGAATATAACAATGATTGGTATACTAATTTGGTATTCATTACAACAATAAATGAAGCCTGAAAACCAAAGAAATTTGAGCATTATAAAGACAAGTTACTCATTGTATCTTTTATTAATGGGATGTTTAGGAATGATTTTAAGTATTATAGTAAAAATTACCACTTTCTTCTTCTTCTAAATATCGTTCGGTGTAATGAATATAAACTACTTGAATAAGTAATAGTGTTCACTATTATCATTTAAATATTACAAGAATGACATACATAAAGTATAAAAATATTTCGTTTTTAGTGAATCAGAAACATGCATATTTAAAATACGTATAAAATCATGCATGAATATAAAATGAAAATAATAATAATTTTATGTATAAAACTTGGATAATCATGAATCATATATGAATTCTGACCGTTTATAAAGTTTCGAAATTTCATGAAATTACTAGAAACTTCTTGCAAGATTGGAAAGATAAGGATAATGAGTTAAAACTGTAGATCTTCTTACTAATTATATGCATACTTGCTTTATAGAGAACTTTTTTTTTTTTAAAGAAAAAAAAATATCCCTTATATCATAATTAATATTATTAATCGCTGCATAGATTCAGATAGTACTATTCGAAGTAAATATCTCGTTTAGTTGAATATTAACATAATCTATGATGTATATTTTTAATTTGTACTATGAAATGTAATCCTTTTTACTTGTTGATACTTACTCTCCCTCAGATTTAGAAATCATTAATTTACCTGTTTCAGTATATAAATTATATGAGCAAAGGTAGATATTATTTTCAAGTCAACAAATCCTGCTTTCCATTAATACCAATATTTACAGTTTATATTTTGAAGTCTTGAAAAAGTAGCTCTATTACCTTCAGCTAATTCTGGATAACAGCAATTAAATTAATTCTCTTTTTTTTTTTTTTTTTTTTTTTTTCCATTCATATATACAGCAAATATTTATTTACTTCAAGTCCTCACATTCTTTTCTTTTCCTCTTACTGCTTTTCAAGAGAATTTTATTTTCGTTTGTTATAATTTCCTATTCATTGATTTAACTTGGACAGCTTAGACATCTTATATTATATTGGACCATTAGAACAAAACAGAGTTAATCAAAGTCTATGTTTAAGCGTTTATTATTCTTATTCACTGCCTAAAATATCTATCTTTTTGTTTTATCTCAAATTGAAAACTTAATACAAATAAAATAAGTCTCAAGATGGAGTATATTGAATTATGTAAGCAGATAAAAAACGGAAGCATAATTCCCCGAAGCCCCAAACAAAAAAAAAAAAAAGAGTTCTTCGTCCATCTCTCATATTAATAGTATTTCATTCTACTTTGATTCGTAATATTACTCCCTTTAGGAAGTTACATTCTAGTTTATATCGCTTTAAATTCACTCCATAAACCATTATTGATTATACCTATTTAACCGTTAACAGTTCTAATATTATGAGTTGAGCATAAATTATACAAATGGCAAATCATAATCATTTGTAATTTTTATCCATGGATACACCAAAAAAATAAAGAAGCAATTTTAATAATATAATATTAAATACTGGACATTTTTTCTTCTACTTATCTTTTTCTTTACACATATTTATATATAATGTCTTTAGGAGCTACGATTTTGTTGTAAAGCGTTTATACAACTAACTCAATATAATTATAGATTATAATCTGATTTTAAATATATAGGAATAATGGTGTTATTATGCCTGCTTTTGGTTTAGGAACTTGGTAGGAAGACATGAATAAATACTTTTTTTTTTTAAAAAAAAAATATTAATAAATTATAAAGGCAATCTAAACCAACTGAAGTTTATAATGCAGTTTTGATTGCACTTGAAGCAGGGTATAAAAATATAAAACCATAGGAAAAAATAAAATAGAATAAAAAGCAGAATGTATATTTATTTATGATTTTAATAGATATAGACACATAGACACGGCTTATGTTTGTAAATTATTTATAAAAAAAAACAATCAGGTAAATAAGAACTCATTTCTTTTATATAGATCGTAACGAAAAAGAAGTTGGACAAGCAATTAAAGATAGTGGAATACCTCGTGAGCAAATATTCATAACCACTAAACTGTAAAAAAAGAAAGAAAAAAAAAAAGGAACCACATGTAAATACAAATTTTTTTTTTAATATAGTTGGAATACAAGTCATCAACCAGATCTTGTTGAAAAGGCACTTGATGCGTCTCTTGCTAATCTTCAATTAGATTATGTTGATTTGTATCTTATGCATTGGTATGTTCTATGTTTCATTTATAGGTATCAATAGTGTTAATAATACCCATTTTTCCTCCTTATAAAGAAAAAGGCCAGTTGCTTTCAAACCTTCCAAATATAATATACCAAAGGATGAGAATGGAAATATTGCAATTGATCATTCTGTTGATTTTATTGACACCTATGCCGTAATATACATACATACATATATATATATATATATATTTCACTTTTCTTTTCTAATAGTTATCTATAATAGGCTATGGAAAACCTACTCGAGTCAGGTAAGACACGTGCTATTGGTGTCAGTAATTTTAATATCAATCATCTTGAACGTCTTTTAAAGAATTGTAAAGTAATTCCTGCAGTCAATCAAGTAAGAATAGAATATTATACATGTACTATATGAGATAAATATATAGACATATATTTATATAGGTAGAAGTACACCCTTACTTACCGCAACCTGAGCTAATTAAATACTGTCAATCAAATACGATTCATGGTATATTATTTATTCAGTAATTTATGCAAATAATAATATCTTTTACTTTATTTGTATAATAGTCACTGCTTATTCTCCCCTTGGCAGTACAGATTCTCCTATAATGCAAGAACCTATCGTGGTAATATATTATAAAATTGTACTTAGATAATCCTCAGATTAATTTTTTTTTTTTTTAAAAAAATATATAAATATGTATTTGTATACAATTATAGCTTGATATTGCAAAGAAACATAATAACTCTACTGCTGCCCAAGTACTCTTATCTTGGGGATTGCAACGTGGCCTAAGTATCATTCCAAAATCAGTAACCCCATCCCGTATCATTTCTAATTTCCAAGTTTTTAAACTTGAAGAAAAAGACGAATTTAAAGCTTTAGAACAATTAGCAACAAAAGAACCAAAACGTCTCATTGATCCTTCTCCATTTTGGGGTGTCGATATTTATAACACTAATAAATCTAAACTATAATAAAATCTTTTTTTTTTCTTTTCTTTTCCTTCCCTTCCCTTCCTTTTCATAAATTCAACAACATTTAGTACTCCATTTTATTCGATCACAGATACTAGTATCTAACCATAATCTACCCGTTTTATCTGATTTACATTCCTTTAGAAAGTCAAATACAAGTGATTCCACTTTTTCTGTTTTGTTTATTTTTAACCAAGCATCCATCATCACACTATACGTAGCTGTATTAGGCTTAAGATCGTGGCTCTTCTTCATTAATTCAAATATCCTTTCACTTATATCGGGTCGTTTATGTTTACTAAAGGTGTTTATAAGTATCGTATATGTATAAGTGCTTGGCTTGACTGATTGTGTCAGCATATCTCGATGAACTTTAAGTGCTCCTTCAATACCAATGGATTCTGCTTGCATCTTTAGGAGTATGGTATAGAGAATAGAGTCTGTTTTGATACCTGACATAAAGGCTTGATGCGCTATCCGGAGTATGGTATCTGGCATATTAGGATCTGGTTGATGTGCTAGAGCCTTCAAGATAATCGATATAATCACTTCATTTGGCTCAATTTTATCCTTTAACATCTGTTGAAACCAGTGAAATACAGACTTTAGATCATTGAGTCGTGAGGAGGCCTCTATAAGGGCACTATAAACATAAACATTGGGGTTCAGATGCTCATGCTGTAGTATTTTATTATAGAAATGTATACACATTTTCATATTCCCTACATAAGCATTCACACGTATCATCTCTGTATAGGTCGCAATATCAGGCTCCACATCTAATCTCTCCATCGTATTAAATAAAAAATATGCTTTGTCTACTAGCCCTTGTTCTGCAAACAACTGTAAAACTGTATTATATGCTCGTACCGTCACCGGTTGTCCTGTTTCTAAAAATCGTTCAAATATCTTGAGAGCTTCATGATATTTTTTTTGCCGTCGATAAGCGTTCATCATGTTCACAAAGACCATCTCATTCACATTGACCTTGTCGGATAACGTCCTTTGTACTCTATCCAATACCTCATGTGCTTTCTCTATATCACCTTGACAAATGATGTGCCATATTAACTCATCTAGCGCATCCGCTCGATTTCCCAACTTTTTTTTAGATAATCCATCCACAAATTCATTAATTAACACATGTGCCGTCCTTTTGTCTTTTTGGTATCCGTGGCAAATATGTGCTAAACGTGTCAGATCAGCGGCTGATAGATACCGACTGTCAAACTCGGACGTCCCCGCCCCATGCAATGCAATCAACTGTAATCTCATCTTGAGTTGATTCTTATCAAGTCGTTTATTTTTCATCATCAACAACATCAGTTTTAGACACATGTTGCGGGGTAGCTTCTCTGAGCTATCTTTATGAAATCGATAAAACGTGATCCAAGCCATCTTTTGGTCCCTGGTCCTGATTGCCTTTAGTAATAACTTGTGATATGTCAGTGGGATATCCGTAACGGATGCTAAAAAGATGTCCTTGCTTTGATGCTGCAAAACATAATTTAAAAGTTGATCCAACTGTCGCTGTCGAAGCTTGTTGGTGGTGCTAGTGGTGGTAGCAAGACTTTTGGCAAATTCTAAAAGAGCATATAATGAGCAACAGAGGCTTAAGGGTATGGAATCAGCACCTCGTGTGGTAAGGGTAACAAAAATAGACCATGCACGGTCTGCATTACGGGATTGAATGGCAAAATCGAGATCGGCCAAGGTCACCCGATTGGATAAATTAAACAAACTAAAAGAATCATAATGTCGGAGCGATCTTGGTTTTGTATTCTCTATAATGGCTGCTGATGAAGAATGGGATCTTGAATTTGAAATCATGATGGATCGTTTTTGATGAATAGTTGTTAACTGATGATAAAGTAAGACTTCTCGTCTACAAACAAAAAAATTCTTTCCATTATCTATAATTGTATTTATAAGTCTAGACACAAGAGTCGTAGACTTTCGCATTTAGCAACGAATGCGAAGAGGGGCAGAAAGAGAGAGAGAGAGAGAGAGAGAGAGAGAGAGTGTGTGTGTGTGTGTATGTGTGTGTATGTGTGTGTGTGTGTGTGAGGAGTTTAAAGATACAAAAAAATCAAAATACAAGATAAATAAGGATATCTACAACGTCGTCTTCAAGCTTCAATGGATAAGTCGTGGGGTTGTTTATTATAGCCCTCCGCCTTGTTATTTTTTATTTCGGAATTACAAAAAAAGAAAAAAAGAAGGAAAATGAGAAAAAACCAAACCAGCTAGGCACACACATGGGCACCGTTTTCGTGACTTCTAGATGACGCATTGATTTGGTGCATAAGAATACTATATTATGCTTAAAAAGTAGTATAAAAAAAAAAAAGTTGGAGATTTTATTAAATGTTTCTAGATTACATTAACCTCATGGGATAAAATAACATTTTTTCTTTTCTCTTTTATTTAAGCTTTGTGTTTTTCTTCAAATTCATTCATATAATTAATCAAAGCATCCACGTCTTCCTCTGACAAGGCATTATAGATGGAAGCACGAATGCCACCTACTGAACGATGTCCTTTTAATTGTTGCATATTTCTTTCTTCAGCACCCTTTAAAAATTCCTTTTCCAAATCTTCTGTCGGTAAACGAAAAACAACGTTCATATGACTTCTAGAATGAGGCTCTACGGGGCATTTGTATAAACTTGATTGCTCAATTGCCAAATAGAGTTTTTCTGCTTTACGTTGATTAACTTTTTCGACTTCCGTAAGACCACCTCTTTCAAGCAGCCACTCTAAAGTTAAACCAACCATATAAATGGCGAAAGTAGGTGGTGTATTATACATAGAATTATTATCAGCGGCTGTCTTAAAATCAAGCATTAAGGGACGTACAGGTCCGACATTTAAATCCACTAGTAAATCATTACGGATGATAATAATCGTGACACCAGCAGGACCTAAATTCTTTTGTGCGCCACCATAGATGATACCATATTTAGAGACATCAATAGGACGAGACAAAAAGTTACTTGAGACATCAGCCACGAGAGGTACAGAAGGGTCTACATGAGGGGTAACTTGAAACTCAACACCATGGACAGTTTCATTATCACAGTAGTAGACATAAGCTACATTATGTTTACTGGGATCTGTCAAGTTCCATTCAGTTTGAGGAGGAATGCTTCCAAATTTACCGTTCGCTTTTTTGACATCCAAAGCGCGATTAATACGAACTGGGTTATCCACAATAGTAGGTACGAGACGTTCTGCTTCTTGAGCTGCTTTGTTGGACCATGCACCTGTAACAAGATAATCGACAACAATTTCCTCTCCCTCCTTACCTTGTTTTTTTAATTCTTGTTGCTTTGCAGCAATGAGATTATAAAAAATGGAAGCAAATTCAGTAGTAGCACCGCCTTGCATAAAAAGAATTGAATAATTGGAGGGAATGTTCATAAGCTCAGTAAGATCTTGTTTAGTCTTTTCAAGAATAGCACCAAAAGGCTTTGAACGATGAGAGAGCTCCATCACTGACATGCCTGTACCATTGATATTTAAGAATTCTTTCTGTGCTTTTAAAAGAACAGGTTGAGGGCTAAACAAAGAAGAAGAATAAAAAAAAATAAAAAAGATAAGTTTGAGCCAATCCATGTATATAAATGCATATAATTGTACTTTAAAAATAGTGTTAGAGAGAATTACATTTTAGCAGGTCCAGCACCAAAGTTGATGACATGTGTAGATTTAGACATTTTTTTTTTTAATTGATTTAAATAAAGTGTTGAAATAACAAAAAGAAAAAAAAATAAATGCTTTTCTATACAGATTTTTTTTTTTCAGTTGAACAAGAAATTTAAACTTTAAAATTATTGGTTAATTATAAAGAAAACGAGATTTCCGTTCAAGATGACAGTTTTCACATATTAACTGGTCTTTTTTTTTATTATTTTTTATTTTTAATCAGACATGGTATTTATTTATTTTATTTTGTAATAGAAAATTCTGAATTGATTATAGTCTTTTTTCATTAGTTAAGAATACTATTGTTAAGCTTTATTTGGCGTGTTGATGACAGATATACTTGCATAAGGAGACTGTCTTTATACTTTATATTGAACATACTTTTCTTCTTTTTTTTTAACCAATCAGATGAGTAGCAGCCTAGAAACAAAAGCTGTCTACCAGGTATGACTCATACATCTGGTCTATTGAACAATTTCTAATATTTATTTGGTGACTTTTTTTTTCTTGTTTTTGCTTATGCATCGTAACAAAGGCAACTTTTTATCTTTAATAGTGCACATAATGTACTGGGTTTTGAATAAATTACTAGAACGCATTTTTCTTTTTTCTTTTTCTTTTTTTTTTTATGGGCCAACTCGTTTTTAATTTCAGATGGTTTCCTTACTTAATTTGGACAAACTTCTTTACATTTCAAACTTTATCATTTTAAACCAACTTCATTAGCAAGACATCTATCCCAATACATTTCAGCATATCTTTTTTTTTCTCGAAACAAAGTACAGTTAAGTCTAGAAAAGAAAGTTCTTTAATGGCTACAGTGCTTACGACTAAAGTGAATACACCGTTGATTTTTGGTGCAGATCGAAAAAGAAAACTTGGACGTGAAATTGGCACTTGTAGAACAGGAACAGTAAACGAACATTATCTAAGTTTTTTTTTTTTTTTTGAGATCTATAAGAGTTTAAAAAAAACTGTTAGAGTGTTATTTTCTTTCTTTTAACTAATTTCTTGCCTGCTAGTCCAGGATGTTTCGTTTTAAAAAGTGCAGATTAATCACAGGAGAAAGCAGACCTGAAGAAAAAAGGGGTTTATTACCAAACAGTTAGAAATGAGGTAAGCGTGTGTGATCTCTAAGGGATCTTTTTTTTTTGTTTAATTATGAAGATTCTTGTGCTGAATATTTCACAGCTAATGAAGCCTATCTAAGCTTCAACATTTTCAGCTCAACCTCTTGATAGCTCCAAAGGCCTGGAATTGATTTTAAATGTTATTGTTATGTAATCAACGAGAATTCTTCTGAGGTTTACACTTGCGTTAACATCTCTGTTCCAGTATTGTATTTTACACAAGAATTAGCGTATGAATAAAGTTGTCCTGCAAAGTTAATTTTACATACCAAATCAACTGCGTTATTCACTGGACATTATGGGCACAATTTTAATGTATAATTTGGTCAAGCGTTTGCTAAATGAAGAACATGATGAGTTATGAAAAGTTATTGTAATCAAACTTAAATATAATTTACCTGGAGGAGCTCATTTGGTACAAGTATTTGTTCTATGCAGATAATAGTTTTCAACGTCTTGTCATGGTTGTAAGATTTGTAACTTGATTCAATAAAATAAATAGTCATAATAGAACATATAGTGCACTTGTATGAATAATTCTGTTTATACACATATTAGGTATATTTACTCTCATATAGAAAAATAATTAATGAAAATCGTACATCTATTTTTTTTTAAGGAGTAATTGTTGATGTGCAATTAAGATTATCCAATTAGATCCATTACAGAGATTGTGACGCCTTTTTATGACAGTGTAAAGCATATGATAACGGATCAAAAAAAAACTATAAAAGGAGGTCATTTTCATGCTTTTTTCCTCTTTTTTTCTTTTCTTTTTCTCTTTATATAATCCTTTTTTTTCATTTGTTGGCTTGTAAAAGGGCTGATGAGTGATTTTTTGGGATGGCTTCATAGCTTAGTTAGTATTTTGTATGCTTTCTTTCTGGATTATGCTCACCTCTCCAATGTATTCTAAAAACGATGTAAACCATCATTGATAAACATTACGAGTACCTCCGGGATAAGTATATGGAACACTGCGACGCTATGGGGCCCAATTTTTTTTATTATTTATATAGCAGATTTTATTATAAATGAAAAAAGTAATATAAATACAAATATTACACGTATAAATAGCACGTAAAGAATATTTCACTAAAAAGTTAGTGATAATTAGTTTTCAAGTAATACATGCAACTTTTTTTTATCTAATGTAATCTGTTATGATTCATCCTAATTAAATAAAGTCAAAGGAAAAAAAAGCAACACTAGGTCAACAAGGAAAAAAGTATACTTATTTTCATATAATAAAGTATAAAGTGAAATAAAGAATTAAATACAGCAACAATTGAAGGTGGATACTAAACAATAATAAAAAATAGTTTACATTGTAGCATCTAGTTAAGAGTAAATATGGCAGGCTATTTACAAGGAAAATAGATAATAGAATAAATAGGCTAGACATATAATTAAGCTATTCTAACATGAGTGAATGTATGAAAAGAGGATATTATCATAGAAAAAGCAAACATATATCCTTATCCTTAAAAATCTTTATCTTTAATCTAGTTTGAAGCTTGAACATTTCAGTTAGTTTATCTTCAGCTTGCTTCAAATTATCTTGTAAAGGATTCCATTGTATTGAATTCCTTTCTAGAACACGAAGATATATTTTTAAATGTAATGTTTCATTTACTTTTATGATGTGTATATAGAATTTAGAGACTATAGTTTATATTTTCATGATTAATTATTGTTATCTAATTGGACTAAGTTATAGATCACAGCCACTATGACAGGCATCCTCCTTTTTTTTTTTTTCCTTTTACTTACTTTAATTCAAGTAAGACTTCCAATACACGCTTCAAAAACAAAATCAAAAGTGATAAATAAGCTATAGGTCATCTCTATAGAACAATGGAAGAAATGAGTTAGAGGAGTCATTTATGTTATTATCATTAAAGAAGATGGGCAACCTCGATAATAAAAGTTAAGTCCTACGCTGTGCAAAGGTACTTTTTTTTTTCTTTTATTACTATTGTATGATTTTTACAGATAATATCATTTGTTCTTGTGTAAGATAAGGATCTTAAGTTATATGAATAAGACCAAGTGTTTGAAGGAGCTGATAGTATTTTTTTTAACCATTTAGTGAAGAGTACAGGGAGAACGGAGTTCTCTGATTTATTAAGTCCCAACTGTGTTTTTGGGGTTTTATATTTATGTGAAAGTATAGTAGCTTATCTGTTTTTTTATGTGTGTGTTTGTGTGCTTTCGAGTGTTGAAAGTTGTGTAAGCTGGAATAATAAACGAGGGCACATGGAAGTAAGCATCCATAATGCTATTCGGTATTAATAAATGGTAGAGGAATATGGGGGATACCTTGAATGATAAAAGTTTCTTGACTTGCTTTCATGATTTTCTTGGACGGTGAACTAATAACGGTATTGACAGTAAAAGGAGTATCATTGAATACATAAGCCCAGTGAGATGACCAGATGAATTCAAGAGTAGCAACAAAAGCTTGTAGAAAGTTAGTATTATCGGTGGGAGTAACTGACTTGAGTGTGGATAGGACATATATAACAGGATAATAGGAAATTAGTGGAGTGGATGGGTCGACAAATGTGCGCCAAACATATCGCCAAACTGAAAATTTTAATGGACAAGTAAAAATAAAATGGTCAAGAGAGTCCAAATGGGTATAGGTATGGGTATATACATAGAGGGTAATTTGGGGACGAAAAATAATCCGGTATCAAACGATGAAGTAAAGTTTTATGAGGAATTTTTCTATGTAAGAAGCAATACCAAATATTTCTACAAGAATGAGATAGTCAGAGGTCCCAGAAATCCGACCAAGGAAGTCCAAGATGAGGAGAATAAGGCGGTGGTAGATGAAGGCGAGAAGGTGGAGATGTAGAACAAAGAGAATGGAATTTCTTGATAGTCAACAGTTTTTCACGACGAGTGCGATGGTCAGCAGAAAGCATTAATTGAAGATCAATTAAAAAAAGGGGGATATAACAACTAAGTTGTGATCGGAGACAGGATTAAAACCTAGCGCTTGTGGAGGTGGAATAAAGGTGCGGACAAAAAATGGAGCTAATTTAACTTCATCTTTACTCACCATGTTAAGTATTTTGGATGCGAGATATTGATGGGTAGACCATTCCTCACGACGACGGGATCTGGAGCAATAATAGTAGTCCTGGTTATGAGTGTAAGCAAATGAACCAGGAAGATGAGCAATAGAACGAGGTAAAGCATCTAACGAAGCGGTATCAGGAGCCAAGAGGGAGGTAAAAGGGATTTCAAAACAAGTGGCGGCACTAACAACAACATTAGTAAATGTTTTAGGAAGTGAATTAATAGCCCTAAATAAAGGAGCAAAGAAGCTTTTGGTTATATCAATGAACATGGTGTGAGGAAAGGTCCCCTTTAAATAAGGGCGATTAACTTTTTTCGAGAAATGATTGACTGGAGGGAGATGACGATTCAGCGCTTGGTTGGGATATTCCGGATCCTTCACCAGGCTTATTGAGCGGACGTCGTTTTAAAGGGCCTGCTGATGAACTGGAGACCTTTGACGATCCTCCAGAAATGGCTTGTGCTCATGTTTTTAAAGCGTAGCGGACCTTGAAGGGTGCTATTGTGATCTTTAGTGGAGGAAGCCATGTCGTCACTAGATAAATAAATAAATAAATAAATACATATATATATATATATATATATATAAAAAAAAAAAAAAAAAAAAAAAAAAAAAAAAAAAAAAAAGCGCGTTCCAATATTTATTCAAAAGCAAGTATTTATACTCAGTTCTTCTTACTCTATTTCTTTGAATACTTTCTCCTCGCATAGATACATTCAGGGTAAATCGTATATATTCGTGTATCCCATATCTGTGGCCTTTTATTGACACATAATTCATATTCATATTCAGATCAGGGATTTGAATTACATTCCTCTGAACTGAAATATAACATAAATATAGTTAGTAAATTATATGAAGATTTGATATAATATCATGATTGCATGATGTTATACAAATTAGCTTACATAATATGCAAGGAATAAACTTTACGTCATCACTCTATGCAACTGTAAGATGAAAAAAAAAAAAAAAAAAAAAAAAAAAGTTTATTTCAAAAATGAAAAATAATACAAAAGCAGCTTTTATATACACATATTATTTATCTAAGAAATGGCACAAAATATTTTACGTAGTTCAACCAAGACATTACCTAAAAATGGCTACCTCATTAAAGCAATGTTTAGTAGCAAAACTTCGGGTAGTTGGTTTAATCGTTTCCTCACTCCGGCAGAAGAAAAAAAACTATATTTAGGCATCACAAGTGCATTTCGTGAAAAATTAATTGAACAGTCTAACAAGTCTATACAAGACTATAGTCATATTATCGAACATGCTATTTCAAGCACAAAACCTATTATATTACCCAAAATAACTAAAGTAAGTATGATTACTGCCCGTATGGAACAACTGAAAGCAGATTTAGATTCAGCGGGTAAACAAAAAGACATTGAAAGACTTCAAAAACTTCAACTAAAAATGAGCAAAGATGGATCTATAAAAGTGACAATATACAATAGACTTATTCGAGCTTATATATGGTGTGATGCAGTGGAACTAGCGCATGGTGTATTGAATCAAATAAAAGAGCATGGATTACTGCCAACCACACGAACTTTTATTTATTTAATACAAGGTTATTTAAAGAATGACGAATTAAATATTGCAAAAGAATTAGTAAAACAAATGAGTCAATTATCATTGTTGACATTACGAACAAGCTTTGATTGTAATGTGATGATGAGCTATTACCAAAAGTGTCATGATGCTCCTGCCATTGAAAATTTATGGCATGATATTATATCAAATATGGATCTTATCAAACCTGGACCCAGTCTCTTTATACATTATTTAAGTTGTCTATTTTCATCAACATCTATTAGTGATTTACAACAAAACAGTGTTTGTCAAACAATACGTCATTTTCTATCTCATCAACAAGACATTCATTTAAACTTACATCAATATATGACATGTATAAAAGCAATTCGAGTTTTGACAAGTACAAATGATAAATCAGATACCCAAACAGCCGAAACACTTTTATTCTATTTAATTAAAAATATGCCAACATCTAAGGTGGTAACTTGGGAAAAGACGGGTGAAGCTATTCAACAGATCATAAACTCCTATCTCAAAGAAGAGCAAGACTTGAAAATTATTGCATTTTATTATAAACTTCGAAAATCAGAACATTTGCCTGATAAAGTCTTTCATCCGAAAACAATGCAAACGATTAATAATATATTAGGACGTATAGAAGAAGATAAAGCAAATGGAGCCATGACGAGTGAATTATTAACAGCAGAAATAACAGCTGAAGAAGATCCCTCTGCATTTCTTAAAGCTTAGATATATTTTTATTAGAAGATAGTTTAAAATGATCTATTAATAAATGATTATATCTTTCAGGCTGTTCTTCAGGAATAGCATGACCACTTCCTTCAAATAATTCAAACCTTGCATCTTCAAGTATCTTTTTCATGTGATAAGAGTATTCAGGTCGTACTAAGTTATCAAAGGTCCCTGTAACAATCATAATAGATAAGCCTGTAGATTTTATATAATTTAAGCGTTTATCAGAGACATAATGGCGTAAACAGGCTGCTGTTTGTCCTATATTTCCATGTAAAGTTTGACGACGTGATCTTAAGATATGCCCAATAAACCCATGAGTAGCTAAATCTCTATTTGTTTCAAACTCTGTTTGCACTAGAGGCTTTTTATCTAACCATTCTTTAGGATAGACCAAATCAATCGCTGCTTTTAATTGATCTCTAGGATCTCGATAAAGGAAAGTAATTTTTGACAGTGTCGAAATAGCAGTCCACTACAACAACAGATAAATATATTAAGTAAAGTAACGATAAAACGAGATATTAAATAAATGAATAAATCATTCAATTTACAGTGGGTAGATTTCTTCTAGCAGTAGTGCTTGTAAGTGTTAAGGATTGAAATCGAGTCACATCAGCATCAGCCATTTCTAAAGAAATCATACCTCCCATAGAAATACCAACGAGATGTACCCTTTCCTTCCAATTAAAATAATCTAATAATTCAAGAGCATCCATTGCCATTTGTGAAGTACTACATAAAATATGTCAATTTTTTTCTACTTGTACTTTAATGAGAAGTCTTACGAATATAAACCAATAGGTGCATCTAATATATACAAATAGGTAAATATAGAATGTATGCGTATATATAAATGTAATATGAATGTGTACCTGAAAATCCCATGCCTCTATTATCAAATACAATGACAGTATAGTCTCCAGTTTCAGCAAGAAATTTTGTCTATTATAATATCCATTGAATTAAATTCATATACATACACAGATACAGATACATATATAAAAATATATTACTTGATGATCCCAAGCGCCACAAGGTGTACTTAGACCTATAAATATATGCATTAATATCTATTATGTAGAGTACAAGTATTTTTATAGTGTATGTGTATATACCCATCACTAATAGCACTCTTTCAGGCCCATTTCCATGCATTTCATAATATAATTTAATTGGCTTTCTTTGGCGTTGATGTCCTACTTGTACATAGCCTTTCTCTCTTAAAGTTGATAAATGCTTCATTTTTTTATTATTATTATTTTATTTTGAAAGAAAAAAAAAGATATAAAAAAAAAGAAATATTTTATAAATATATAGCAGTAAAAAAAAAATGAATGGGGCAACAGAAAAAAAAAAGGGCACCGTATCGTTGTACAATACAGCTCAGGAACAAAAAAGTAAGAAATCATATGAATTCTATGTGTATTTCACATAAAATGGCATTATATATCGTAATCCTATTTCATTTGGATTATATTTCCAAGTAGAGACATAAGACTATAAACGTAATTTTACATCTGGAAAAGCCTAAATTAGCCATATCTTTAAATTCTATTTATTCTTTTTTCCTTTTTATTTGTACATTAAAATGTCAAGTCCAAATAGTGTACAAAACTTAGTCCCTAATAGTGACGAGCATATTTTATATTTACTGAATATGCATGGTCTTCTCATTATAAAAGTAGTATTAGAAGGACTGTTTAAACGAATGCTATCTATTTGACGTATACATTGAATAAAGGACAATAAATGATCAAAAAATATATACAGGGATATAAACTGAAATAGTTTGGGGGCTTTTTTTTTTCTTATGTCTATTATCTAGCTTTTAAATACGTATATTATTACAGCTTGAATCCCATGCCTTAAATAGCTTCACATAGCATAATCTTACTTTTTGAGCAAGACACTAATTCTTTTTTTTTTCAAGCTCTTTTATCATGGCAGACAGTAAAACAGATAAATATTGTCTACATGAAGGCCACTTTGCTTGATTATTTTGTTTCTAATGTTGGTTGAAAATGAATTATCTTCAACAAATTACAAACAAAATAAAAAGCATAAAATTATATTATTTACAAATAGCAAATTATTTTGTACTATAAAATGTGGATTCTTCATTAGCCAACAGTAAAAGTATTACTACTGCCACTTAAAGTTGGTTGCATGGAGATTAGCGTTTTTCCCCCACTTTCTTCTTTTTTTAATAGGATGTCTTTCTTATCTATATTAGTTTTGGGAAAAGACGCTATTTTTATCGCTCTTTCGTCTATAGTTATCAAAACTCCAACGCTACATAGAACAACTACCATAGACTATTTTGCATACAAAAGAGTGATGGTAGTAATATCCATAAAAATATAAGCATTCACGCACTATTATAGTAAAAGAGAATATAAAAGAGTAATATGATAAATAGATAACATATAAGGGAACAAACAAACAAACAAACCAAAAACAAGCTTCTATAAAATTCAATAGTATTTGCTTGATATACTTACCTTCAAGTAATACTAATAAAAGAAAAAGAAAAAGAAAAAGAAGTAAATTTGGTTATTTTTTTTTTTTTTTATTTTATAATCTAAAATTAAGGAGCTTGTTGTTTCATCAAAATACAGTCACAATCACATGAAATTTCCCCCACATTCAATATTTAAAATTAAAAAGTTACAAGACAAGCTGTTTACTTCAGGGTAGACAATAAGATAATATACGACATCATACTTGACCAAAACGGATGATTTATAAGAGTATAAAGCGCCATAAATATAAAGAACGAAATATTTATCATGAGAAATACATGACAAGCGTATTTTATATCTTCATCTTTTTGATAATCTTTATGATGGCTTAAGCTTAATGTATATGGACTATCAAATAAAAATAAATAAAGGAAGCTTGATGGAATGACTTGAATACAAATTAGCGATCCATGGATATGTTTTTAAAAAAAAACTATCATTCACGCTTTTTTAATTATTTATCTTTATATATGCTATTTCTTTTTCAAGTATTGAGGTGGAGCATCTTACAGTTGACAATATCAAATCAAATCATAAAATATATATACTATTCAGCTGTGATATGATATTATAGCCTATTCTTATAGAGTTAATCTAATGGAAGATATTAAATACAAGATATCGTCCTCTTTTTTATTACGTAAAAAATTCTAACCAACAGCTACATAAAAGCAGTCCTTTGGCAGCTTTTGTCTGAATTCCAAAAAAAAAAAAAATACCCCTTCCCCTCTTTCAAAAAATACGACATCATATTTCTTACAACTATCATAATGCTAAGAATCTCGAATCAAGTTGCAATAAAAAGAACGTTAACTAAAACAAACTTTTTATACTTTAAAAGATACTCTTCAACACAACCAGTAACAATCTATACCGGTCCCCTGGCTAATGTTGCAAAAAAACTTAAATTGTTCTCTATTACTTCACTTGGCTTAGGTGCTGGCATTTCTCCATTTGTGTTTGCAATTGATGTGCCTGTACCTTTTATAGCCAAAGCTATGTTAGTTGGAGCAGGTAAAAGAAAAATAATAGAAGGAGGGGGGGAGGATGAGTTGCAGAACTTATTCTATATTTGTATATATACTAATCTATTTATTTTTAGCTGTTGTAACAAGTGCTGCTTCTACAGGCCTCATTCAATGGGTCATGTCACCCTATGTCACTAAAATCACAATACCAAAACAAGTCAACGATAATGACGAATTACCTAAAGAGCTAAATATTCATACACTTTCTTTTACAGCCAAAGATTATGTTACTACAGTTCCTTTAGATGCTATTGGACCCGCAAGTCGTATTTTTACCAGCTGGATGATTACGGATCCTCAGACTGCAACAGGACAAATTGGAAAAAAGGTAATAAAGCCCAAAACATTATTGTATATACATCCTGAATTATGTCAAGATGAGACAAACATAATGAAGAAAATTGTTGATAAAACTGGCATCGGAAAAGGATTTTAATTGTAAATAGATTTATTAGAAAGAAAAATAAATGAGTATACATATATAAATATATAAAGTCTATGTAGAATTTAACCATGGATGTGCCAGCACTTGTTGTATATCAATTCTTTTATCTACATCACGTTCTAACATTTTACGAATAAGATCCACTAAGCCTATATATATATATATATATATTAAAGTAATGTATGCGTGACAATAGCTTATTTTGTATATACCTTCTGTTAACACAAATGGTAATCTTAATTCCTTTTCCATAATTTGTTCTGTATTATAAAATGGAGTTTCTCGATGTACAAGTGTAAATAATAAAATGCCCAAGGCCCAAATATCCTGAGGCTTTCCTGAATATGAATGTCCTTGTAAAACCTCTGGTGCTGCATACTCAAGTGTACCTACAAATGTCTCAAACTTCTTGTGAGGTCTAATATAAGCAGCACTTCCAAAATCTATAAGTTGTACATGTCCTTGACTTATGATTATATTTTCGTCTTTAATATCTCGATGAACGATTTGATTGTTGTGAAGATGTTGGACCCCTAAAACCGTTTGTTTAAATATATAACGAATATCTTCTTCTGGTATAGAATCATGCAATTCAATATAATCAAATAAGTCCATACTACTATCACCATATAAACTCATGACTATATAATAATTATCTGCATCTTCGAAATAATCCACTATGTAAAAGGGAAATGATAAGTTATATATATATATATACATGTATTACTTGTTCATCTTACACATATTGCATAAATTCTCATGTGGTGAATTTCTTAGCGTATTTAAAATATGAATTTCTCCCGGTACAGTCCCGAGTTTCCGGTCTCTTGCCCAACAATCTACTAAAATACGTGATTTGATAACATATTTGATCACGACTTTTGTCTATAATAAGATGAGGTTCAATAAAGTGAAGATATAGATAGATTTGAGTCAATATACCTGAGTGAGATCATCTTTCCTAATGGCTGATTTAACTACACCATATGCACCTTCTCCTAAATGATCCAAAATTACATAATCATCAATAGAGGAAGTGACTCTAACCTTATCAGCTGATGTCTGAATGACCTTTGACGATCTTCTTTTAGATGGTATGATGACTGGATAATTATACCCATTTTTTGATAATAAATTATTTTCTGACTCGAGTCTCTCATTAAATCTTTTAAACCCCAATCCTCTATCAAAAGAAATCCAAACGGCATATTTGTCTTTATCTTCAACTACCATAAGTTCAGCTTGAACCTCAAATCTCGTTCTATCTCGATGAATAATCCAAAAGAAATTAAATGATTGACTATTCACTATTAATTGTTGGTGTTGATCCATTTCTTTGAATGGATCCATTCTTAGTAGCTTCTGACAGACACTACTGTGAATTCTTATCATATTCGTTTGTTTAAAGAGTTTAGTAGAATCAAGTAAAAATTCAGAAATAGGCCTATTACAAATTTCTTGTTGGGAAAAACCAAACAAAGATTTCACAAATGTATCGTTCCCATCTTTTATAATACCATTTCTGTCTAGTATCATAAGACCCGCGATAATAGGCATCGAAATAATGGTGGTCGTGTCGCCCTTTTTGACCATAACAGGGAACGTTGCTCCTAATTTGGTTTGACTACCAAAATAGAAACGATAATGGTCCCAAGAAGGAATCAAGAACGTAATTGAATATCCAACAATATCTGCTATGTTATTGAGATCATATAGTTCTTGAATGGTATTTTCGTCACATTCAGCAGATTGGATTATATTCTATAATGAAATAAAGATGAGTAAATATATAAATATATATATGTATATACATAATTTGTATGAAGTCAACAGAGTATGTATGTATGTATGTATGTATGTATCTATATACATATCTATATCTATATACATATACATATCTATATCTATATACATATACATATATTTGTGTTTACATCTGAATTGACTGATAAAGAAATTATATTTTTTTGATAATATTGTTGTTCTTCAAATATCCAAATAAAAATAGAAGGCTGCCCTGACTCGTCTTTTTTCTCCTTCAGCCAAAGTAAAGCCGAGGATCTTGTGCCATCTAACTTAATTATAGGTACCTATCAAAAAAAAAATAATGATGATGTATATTTTACCAAAATAGCTTCCTTCTAGTAGTATTATTATTATTTACCATATTACCACTCAATATAATTAGATCGTCTCTTTTATTAATATTATATAATTTATTTCTTCGTTCTATAATCATAGTTTTTAATCTTTCTTGAAAATTAGGCTCAATTATATCCATGACTGATCTTCCAACCTCAGTTAATTCTTCTTGAGCTATCGAATTAGTAAGAACAATTCGCCAATCATCACAAGTAGTTAAGATAGCTTGTTCTGTTATTGTATTTGTTGATAGGTTACTCTCTGTTGATATTACAGATAGCTTGTCACTACTATAATCTTCATCATAATTGGATCTCGTTAACCATGTATTCGATTCTTTTTTATGATCAAGTTCATCATAATTGCCTAATATCAATAAGTTATCAGCTTCTTTGTCGCTATTAAAATAAAATAATTTTATGAAAATTATTGTAATACTAAGATTTATATCTATAACGAGGAAAATATACCTTGTCGTAGTATAAGTATTTATTATAGTATCAACTAAATAGTCTTTTTTTTTTTGGTCTATGTATTATACATGTAAAATATTGTTTATACCTCGCTTATAAGTAGTGAATTCCATTTATACGTTTGTTTGTTTTTTTTTTAAAAAAAAAGAAAAGAAAAAATAAATAAAAGAAAAGGAAAGAAAAGACGACATGTAAAATACTCACTAATAAATTAAATGTGTGATTCTAGATAAAATAAAGTCTCTTTATCTTTACTCCTCGATTTTCCTTTTTGTATTGATTTGCATTTAATGCGCTTGTCTTTTTTTTTTTTTTTTTTTTATTGTTGTGTTAGATATTGCATATATACAACAAAGTCATTTTATGACCTAATTTTATAGTATATGTATGTGGGCTTTCTTTTAAGTATTTTATTGCATAATAAAACAAGTCGGAGATATATAAAAGACATAAATCGAATACGTATAACACATAGTATTTAAATATTTTTATTGCGCATAAATACAAATAATAAAGCATAGTGTCGATACATTGTGATACAAGTTGCAATATATTTTATTTACAGTAGAAAAAAAAAAAAAAAAAAAAGGCTGGAACTCAGAAACTAACTAGAAACAGAAATAAGCATATTTTTATTAAATAAAAGTTCGAGTACTGATTTCTTTTCTTTTTTTTTCCCACTCATAAAGCTTTACATTAGTTAACTCTTGATGTGGTACGTGTCTTCTTTTTTATCTAAAATTGTATATGATTTTAATGCTATTTTATAAAGTTATAGTTTTGTCTCATTGAACTTTTCTTGATTCATTCCTGAAAGGTTTAAAAGAGTACAGATAATCAAGTAGTAAGTTATACATAATCTTATTTAATAATATTTATGGAGACGTTTGTATTCGTTTATTTAGAGCATTTGAAAAAAAATAAAAAATAAAAAATATCGACTTTTTAAAGATTTCGTGGGACGTTTGTCGAAACTAGTTTACATACCACTTAGAGGAGGAGACTTAAAAGCTAACCTTTAACATACATTGAAGAATACAAAGCAAAATATATTCATGATAACAAGTACATTATGACGTTAAACTGAAAGCTGAATATTACTTTTCTTTTCTAGAAAGTTAAATTATATTTATTATATAAAGATAAGGGTTTATTTATCATTTCTTATTAAAGATTTTAATATATGGTGGGTGGGGAGTAGGAAGGATAAATATATATATATATTCATATACATATATATAAACAATAAAGTCACCATGTTCCCCATCTATTTGTATCTGTATAATATCAATATTAACTGCTTATGTTGTCGTCCTAATCCTCTTATTGCGATACTATTATCAGTTGCTCGTAGATAGAAGATCGTGTTGTTTGTATTCAACAAGTTTTTATTTGATATTTATAAGGTGGTTTGATTGAATATAAATTCTTAACATGTTGATGACAATAACATGGCCCTTTTAAAGATAGACATATATATCATACATAAGGGGGATTATATAATACCTGATACTAGTTAATCTTTATGTTGTATACATATATCTATGAGCTACAATAACAAATATAAAGTGCTTAGACAATGTAAATAATGCTTAATATTGTACATATCATATCCAGATTGTGTATAATGTATTGTATTTGAACTAGTGTATATTATCCTAGTTTCTATTATACTACTTTGGACTTAAAACACTCATTTAATAGCATCTTTATTTGTTTAATTAATGTATGTCTTTTTTGCTATTCTCTTATTGAATTCGTTTTTTTTTCCTTTTTTCTGATAATATTCATTTTTTTTAGAAGCCTTCTTCGTACTGGTGAGCACCTTCAACTGGAGTAACATAGCCTACTCGATCTTTAATGAAAAGTTCATTTTGAGGTCTAAACACATCCAATCTGTAAAATTATCAATTATTAGGCTATATCATTATATCAAAATTCATTTTCTCCTCCTCCTCCTCCTCCCCATTCATTCTCTTTTTTTTTCCCCCATCTTCTTACCCTGGTTCTTTATCAATTCGGTCCAAAAACCCAGTCTTGATTACTGTCTTTTCACCCTCATGACTCATAGGTCGATTGAATAAGGGGGTACCACAGACACCACAAAAGAATATATATTTTTCACTTCCACTACTTACTTTTTCTTTAGGAGTGATATAATATTTTAAACTCTGATCTGGATCAATCACTTGAACTCTTGATGTAGGATAGATGGCACAGGATTGGTAGGGAGCACCTGCTGATTTTTGACAGTCTAAACAATGGCATAGTAGAGTTTTGACGGGTGGGCCATCCAAGAGGACTTTAATCGATTTACAAAGGCATGTCCCCTGATAAGCTTTCCCAAAAGAAGTTGAAGACATGATTGAATGAATTTAATATAAATAAATAAATAAATAAAAGCTTTACTAAACAAAGGTATAATAAATATGGAAATTACTTGATATGTTGCATATTTATTTTACGTCATTAAAAAAAAAAAAAAAAAAAAAAAAAATTCCACCAAGAGAATTTTAATATTCAGTTTTCTTAAATTAAACTATAACCATATCTTGCATCATAGCATTTGCTGCTACTTTTTTAGTCTTGTCCATTATTGATCATTCTATTAAAATTATAGAGCCTTCAGTATTTGGAATACTCGACATGTCAACGAATTTACTTGTCAAGAATTATATGATTACCAATCTATATATATAAATATTATTGTTATTATTATTTCAACAGGTAGTTGAATAGACATGTTTGTTCAATTCTGCTAGGTACTATTTAAGACTGTGCTCATATATCTGCTGCAAAGTTTAGATTAAGGAAAAGAAAAATATTCCCCTTTCTTTTTTTTTTTTTTTTGAAGCAGGATATTAAAAAAAAGTGTACAAATGTATTGATAACAAAGAAATAGTTTATAACAACTATTTATGCTATGTAGAGACAGATAATGTACTAAGGAAGATGACATATCATGTATATTTGTTCGTTACAACGAGTTTAAAATCATTTAAACTGAAGCCACAGTGAATACACCTCTAGAAAACAGAAGCTAAAGTAATAATGGGAGATAATCTGTCTGATTTATTGAGTTATTACCAACTATTATCCTCTCTTAGTCTTGATAAGGCCCTTACTATTAAGAAGCTTACTTTAAACTATAAACCTTATAGTAAGATTAAGCATGTAGAAGGAAAGGAAGAAAGCCAGAAGGAAAAGGATATTATAATGTATATGAATGATCTATCTTTTTTTTTTTTATGGTTGCTGGATGTAATTGTGCATTTACTTCCTATCCTTATTAGACGGACACATTTGCTTACTGACTAATTTAATATATATGCATATATATATTTATTTATATATCCCAAACACTAAAATTGCTTTTATACGACTTTGCCTCACTCTTGATAATGTTTTCAGTAAAATCTATAATAAATTTAGACTTATTGATTCTATCATTATGCCTTGCAAGTTCATAACGTATCAGGAACTCTTGTATGTACAAGTGAGTCAATTAAATTGTAGATGGAAAATGAACCTTTAAAATACGAGAGGCTAGCAGGTACACAACAAGATAAATAAAAAAAAATGCGGGGAGGGATCTTTAATGATGGCTGCATTTACTGCTAGACGTCATATTCACTTGAGAAATCTCCGAAATCTAGGACCAGATTTAACAGTGGAAAAAAAAAATGTATGCCTTGGAAAATATTCTTTTTAGAAACTGTTCTCATTCCTAAAATGAGTTTTATTAATTTTTTTTTTTCGGAGCGAAAAGACATTTAAAAGTTTATATATTAACTAAAGATCAGTTACATGTATAGAATACTGAACTATGAATAATATATATATATATATATACAAACTTATTACTATAAAAATACATTCGGTATACATATTGTTTGCTCTTCTTTAAAAGCTAAAGATAATTGAAGGAAAATTGCGTATCTCTTTTTTTTTTTTTTTTTTTTTCCTTATCTATTTAAAGGACTCAACAAAAATCTAAAACAAGACCATCTTCCACAATAATAGCTTATTAACTTAGGACAGATTAATGAATGCAGCAGAAATTGATATCAAGTTATATATATATCATTTAATTCGAACAATATCTAGTAAAAAGGTATTTAAAGCAATAAAACATGCGCAAATTAGAGCTTAGGCTTAAAGAATAAAATGAAATTTATGATTATATACCTTAATTTACAATAATACGCATCTATAAAGCCTTTTTTTTTTCACTCTACTACTAACAAGCATATACTATCTCTGAAAAATTAAAGACACGATAGCTAATACGTTAGTTGATGAGTCTGTGACAAAAAAAAAATGTGGCACATATCTGTCCTTTATGGTTGGATTTTCTCAACTATAGATTATAATTTGTTGTATTCTTAACTTGACATAAATTTAGCTACTTTAATATAAATTACATATGCTCAAAAAGACTAAATAAAAGCGTAGCAAAGAATTACATGTGCCCTGTTTCAGGCTTATCAACTCATGTATTATATTAATAATGCCGGGTAAAAGAATCTAATCTTATATTCCATTCTATTTATAAACAAAATAGAGATTGTTATAAAATAACATGTATTCATTTTATTGCTATAGCTAGTAAATTATGTAACAAATAGAAAACCGTCTTCTTCTTCTTTTCTTTTTTTTTTTAATTAACAATAATGCAAGAGAGTATATATAAGGGAAGGGAGGAGGTGTCAAATACAATAAACTAAAAAATAATATACAAATATTTAAGAGGAGGAGGGAGTAATGATAGAAAACCTAATATAAGATAATTTCATACTATTTTTTTTTTGTTGGTAATAAAGTCTAATATGAAAATTTCTAATGCTTGTGTTCTTCATGAATGTTGTGTTCACCATGATTGTGTTGCTCTTCTTTCACGAAAGAAGGATCTTGGACATGAATACTAATATCTTGGATGTTTTCACATTCATGTTTTATTGTAGATCGTACATGTTCTTCAATTTTATATGCTTCTTTAACTGATATATTTGGATTTAACTGTAAAACTAAATCGATATGATTAAAACGTCCAAGTTTACGACCACGAACAGAATGAAAACTTAATAGATTTATTTCCTCTTTCTAACAGTATATAATATTTAATATTGTAGATTATAAACATATATGTATATATATTAAGCTTACTTTCACTTTAGCTATCGCTGTCTCTATAGATAGTAACTGCTCAGCCGTAATACCTTTATCCATTAATTCTTTTACTGAAGATCCAAGTAAACTGACACTACTCTTGATAAGCATACCAGAAACTACAATACCTCCTAGTGGATCTAATACTGGTAAACCTGCATAACTGCCTACAATAGCAACGAGAGCTACTGCACTTGAATATGCATCTGATCGATGATGCCTATATAATAATAGATAGCCAACCAATTAGTCACTTTTATATAATATGGTCATCCCCTCTTTTTTTTTTTTTTTGAAAAAAAAAAATATACCATGCATTTGCCATTAATACGTCACTGTGTTCTGCTATTCCGACCTTAATAGCTATGAAAAATGAATAAATAAATATAGTCATATATCTTGTATGTCAATTTTACTTACTTGCTCTATAAAGCCATTCTTTAATAATAACGCTTGCCAATGCAAACCAGGCAGCATTGGGATCCAATACGCCCCCACCATGGTGGTGGTGGTGGTGGTGTACATGACTGGCTGCTTCATTTGCAACTGTAGTTACTGTAGCTGCTGTATCTGAGATAAAAGGGAGTGTTGCCAATAATAAATCAAATGAATGCCAACCAATACCAATAGCACCTGCTAATAATAACGAAGACACAGTGACTGATCCAACTGTTTCAAATTTACCTATACACGCAAAAAAAAAAAAGAAAAAAAGAAAAAAATTAGTTGAGTTTATTACTAAGACAAAAAAAAATCGTACCATATCCATATGGGTAAATACTATCAGCTGGCTTTCTAGACATTTTAAATGTGTATAATGTCACAAAATCACTTAATAAGTCTAAATAATAAAAAAAAAAGGTAAGTCTAGTTATAAACATTAAAATCCTTTGTTTACTTACCACTAAAAGAATGAAAAGCTTCTGCAAGTAAAGAAGCTGAATTCATTACCCTTTTTTTTTTTTTTTTCAAAATAAATAAATGATTATTAATCAAAGAAAAATTGCTTCTCTTTATTCTTACCATCCTGCTATCCCCTTTGTCACAGTCAAGCCAACGTTAGAGGCTAATCCAATAACCGTAATCCTTGTGCCTCGTTTACCTAACAAACAAATTGGCTTTTTTAAGAAAAAATAAAGTATATATACATGTAGTTTGCATTACTTGAAGTTTTTAGTGAGGTCATGAGGTCTGCATCATGATGATGGTGATGACTTCCATGATATCTCACACTACCCAATAACGCCATGCGATTCATCAATGGGGGTCTTTGGCGTACATAAAAAAATGTTGATTTCTGTGTAAGCATCCGTTTTGTCATTGAGTTTAATAATATAGTCTTCTTTGGTAGTCCATGTCCTTTAAAGAATAAATGTGTACAACCAAGTAGTTGCTTACTTGGTAGAGTGGTTTTAATCATTGTATAAAAGGAACTGTTTATTAAACAAAAAATAAAATAAAAAATAATAAAATAAATAAACAAATAAAACAGTGTTCAAATACATGAGTGTTATTGCTGCAATTTAAAAGACTGCTTTTTTTTTCTTTCTTTTTTTTTTTGCTATAATTAACCGAAATTAAAACATAAGCGTACCTGGCCAGTGTTTTTAGCTGCTATTTGCCACAGTTTGCGTAATTCTTAAAGAAAGAAAGAAAAAAAAAAGGCGAAATAATATGGTTAATAGTCCTGGCATAGTCAAGTCATATCTAGCTAAAATATATGAATTCTATCTCTTATCTGATATTCATACTTTTTTAAATAACAACTCTTTCTACAATTATTCTAGTTAAACTAGGTACTTTTCATGCTTCAAAGTATGATATAAAAAAACTAAGAATTTACAAGCTAATAATTTCTTTGAATTGCTAATTAAATGCTACAAAGAGAATTTATTTATATATAAATAAACAAGCTGCTCTGATAATCTAATGAAAGGATTAAGGGCATTATTGAATTGTATTTAATAGAGTCCATTGTAGTTTTAGAGTTAAATAATTTCTATTCACTTATTTGTTAGATTCAAGTATCAAAGACATTTAAAGATCCTTTTCGGTCCTACCTTTAAATATGCTACCTCGGATACAAATCTTGATTTATTATCTTTTATCTTATTCTTGTTATAAAAAGAAAAAAAAACAGCTATTAAATCTTCAGACAAATTCCTTAATTGACCTTCCCTTCTGCCTATCCACTCTTTTACGAATAATATAATCCACATATCTGTATCTATATTTACCCCTGATCTCAAAGGAAGTATGGAACTTCCTATTCTGTCCCAGGCAATTTTGATGTGTTTAACATTTTGCGCCCAATAAGATTTTAAAATTAAAATGCTATTTATTGAGCCAAATCCAGAATTTTTTTTTCTTTTTAATTCTATTTTATTACTTTAAAAAAAAATAAAAAAAAAATAAAATAAAATAAAAATAAATAAAATGGCTGAAGAAAAAAAGACAGAAACAAGGCCTATTGAAAAAGAAGAGATAGCCTCAATAAAAGTATCAAAGGTTAATGAAGAAGAAATAAAGGCTAACGAAGAGGAAATAAAGACAAATAAAGAAATAAAAACGAATAAAGACGAAGAAGAACAAGAAGAAAAAAAGACAGATTCAAATGAAGAACAAACAACAAATAGTTCTTCATGGACACCAGTTTGGGATGATAATGCACAAGCCTATTACTGGTGGAATACTGAAACAAACGAAACAACTTGGGTTAATCCAACAGAATCTAACAACCCTTTAGATTTTTTATTAGATAGAATTGATAACGTTGTTAAAAAGAAATTAGATGGTCAAGAAACAACAGACGAAGATCCGTATGCAGCATCACAATACTACAACAGTCAATATTCAACAGCTTATAATTCTTCTTATTATCCAAATGAACAAAACGATAATCGTTATACTGCTCATGCTCATTTTAATGCTAGAACAGGACGATTTACAACAGATGCTGAAGTGAATCGATTGAATCCTGAAATGTTAACTATAGAATCACGTGCAACTAGACAAATGCAAAATTACTTTGATGTGGATAGCTATACAGAGCAACGTAATGCTCAAATAGCAAGTGGTAGAGTGAACAAGAAGAAACCTCTAACACGTAAAGAAGTAGAATATTTTAAAAAAATGAAAAAAGAAAAGAAATCAAAAAGAGCAAGAGAATGGTTATTGCAATAATAGATTTAACTTTATTACATTTACACACATGATTAGTAGAATGTTATATTTCTTAGTCAAATATATACTAGTTTTTTTTTTCTTTTTTTTTTCTGCTTTTTTTTTTTTTTTTTTTTTTTTTTTTGTAATAAAAAAAAAGTGACTTTTTACAAAATTTCGTCTTTCACACATTATAAACATTTTTTTTTTATTATTATTATCATTTATATTATAATAAGTATTTAGCGCGTACTATTTTTTTTTTTTTTTTATACATATACACATTGAATATTTTTTTGCTTCTAAATTATAAGAAATGAGGTAAATTCATTGTTTCTTTTCTTTTTTTTTCCCCTTTTATCTCCTTTTATTTTTTTATTTTTTGACTAAGCCATTATTTCTAATCCATGTTCTTTTAGTAAAAAATCAAGATCTAAGAAGGGTGACGGTAATGTTCCAAACTTTGTTTTCAAATTAGGTGGTAGTGACACACCAGGTACACCAACTTTTAGTTTCAGTGGAAGCGCACCTGCAAGTCCTGCTTCTTCTGTTGGTTTTGGATTTTCAAATAGTAATCCTTCTAGTCCTGCCTCTACAAGCTTTAATTTTGGGTCTACTACTACTACCCAATTTGGTGACCAAAAGTCAACAATGGTGCAAAGAGGTCAATCTGAACTTAATCTTAATTCTACTGATCATTCTTCTCTCAGAAGAGCAACATCTGATATAACTTTTGGCTCTAATCAGCCTAACACGACTGCACCTGCATTTAATTTTACTGCCCCCAATACTAGTTCTACTACAAGTAATGAACCTACAAAATCATTTACATTTGGTTCATCTACTACACCATTAAATCCACAAGCTTCGTTTAATTCAGTTACTAGTACAGGTAGCCAATCTTCTTTTAGTGCTCCTGCTGCATCATCAACTGCAAATACGCCTTCCTCTTCTTTTGCTTTTACTGCACCAACAACTTCTACAACTACACCTTCTGCTACCAAGCCTTTTACATTTGGTAATACAACAGCTACGCCAACCCATAGTAGTACTACCACAAGTACCAATACTACTCCAACGTTTTCATTTGGTGCTAAATCTACAACTACTACTGATAAGCCAGCAACTCCATCTTCTTCTATTGGATTTACATTTGGTTCAGCATCAACAACTGCTACAACAACAGCCGCTGCTACTACTGCTACTGCTGCTACCACAAGTACTTCTACTACTAACAATAGTGCATTTTCATTTGGTAAATCAACTGAAACACCTAAACCAACTACCACAACAACACCATCACCTTTTAATTTTGGTACAACTACCAAGTCAGAAGAGAACAAATCAGGTTCTGCACCCAGTACACCAAATGCAGTATCTAGTTTTTCATTTGGTACAAGCAAGCCCACCAGCACCCCAGCATCTTCTACAACAACAACAACAACAGCAACAACAACACCTACTTTTAATTTTGGTAGTTCCACTACAAGCACTACAAATAGCACAACATCAACAGTACCTAAATTTACATTTGGTGATAAATCCAAAGAAACGCCAACTACATCTACTGCCACTACCACAGTGACCAGTAGTCCATTTACATTTGGTAGCAACACAACTACCCCAGCTACTACTACTACTACTATTGTAAATCAAGAAAAACCCAATCCATTTTCATTTACAAAGTTATTAGAAGATTTAGCCAAAAATGCTGCACAACCTGCCAATCAAATGTATGCCACATTAGTTACACCTGCATTATCTGGACTACAGTAAGTTGGATATTTTCATTATGTTTTGATAAATTAAACAATATTCAAATCCTCTTTCTTTTCTCTTTCTCTGTTTTCTTTCATTTAGACAAAATCAAGTTGTTCATCATACAAATTTTAGAATTGATAACATTATGCCAACCACTCGTTATACAGAGCTTCCTGACCAAGCCCAAAAGGAACTGGATGAACTAGAAAAATATATTAGAGCAGAAGGGCAACGTAATGAATATATTAGTAGCCATAAAATGCCACGTCATATTGATGCGATAGATAATGTTAAGAAGAATACAGAGTTTTTATTACAAGTAATGTATATGCACGCATACTAAACAACACATATAATTACTTACCAGTATTGTCTTTTTTTTTTTTTCACTAGCAACTTGATGCATTCTCAAGTACACTTAAAGGACAAATGGAATCCGTTGAATCATTCTATGATACAGTGAAAGGACAATTAAGATATGCTAATGATGGAGCTGCCGTATTGGAAGCATGTAAACATCCAGGAAATAATGCAAGATGGTTATTTGGCTATTCAGAGGATGATGAGTAAGAAAGAGAGAGAGGGAATACGATTTGATGTATAAACTAAATTCTGTTTAATAGTTATTTCTCACAACTTACAAAGCAATTAAATGGAAGATTAGAAGAATACAAGAAATGTATTTGGGAAATTGAAAGAACTGCTGAATCATGGGCACAAAACAAAGTACAATCACCTCAAGGTAAAGTTATATACACTAAAAAAAGCTAGTTTTTTTTTTTTATTTATTTATTTATTGACTTTATTTTTTTAGATATTGCTGATATTATGCGTGCACAAAATCAAGCATTCTTGGCTCTGTCAAACAAGGTTGCTTCTTTACATGAAAGTGTTAATATGGAAAAGAATTATTATAACCAATATTTAAAAATTTATTCTTAAAAGAAAAGAAAAGAAAAAAAAAAAAAAAAAAAAAAAAAAAAAAAAAAAAAAAAAAAGGAATCAGATACAAATTTACACCCCCAGACCTTATTACTATTATTATTATTATTTTTTTTTATCATATCATTTTCCTTTTTTTTTAACCTTTTGTCTTTAATAAAAAAAAAAATGTTGACGCTATTTCGCCAAATAATTAAAAAAAGAGAAATAGAACAATTAACCAGACAACTATCCATTCTAAAAATAAGTTCAAAACATGATGAATTGTACTCTGAGGAAGATGACAAAGACAAATTACTTCCTATTGAACGACTACGTATGAACGCGCTCAGGATTGAACAGTCTGAAAACCTTCGACCCCGTTGTCGATGGTCAAAGGATGAAGACAGTAAACTTTTAAGTCTAGTCTCTGAACTAGGGAAACGATGGACAACGATCTCTAAAGAATTTGTGGATCGTTCGCCAAGCAATGTAGCCAATCGCTATTTTTTATTGACGAAATGCGAAGAGCGAGGACCATGGTCAAGCGAAGAGATTGAACGATTACGAGAGTTGGGAAGGGGGAGAACGTATGAGGAGATTGACGATTGGGATGAGATTTGTAAAAAGCTTCTAAGGCCACGTCCATATTCATTGGTCAAGATGACATACAAGCATTCGTTAGACCCTCGTATTAAGCATGGACGATGGACAGAGGAGGAATCGGATCGATTGGAGAGGTTAGTGATGAGGTATGGTGAAGATCAGATGAAGTTGGTGGCGCAATTGATGGGCACACGTACAAAGCGTCAATGTCTAGAACGATGGCGATGGCAGATGGTGAATATCAAAAAGGGTCATTTCTCAGAGCAGGAAGATAAACTGATCTTGAATGCTGTTAAACGTTATGGTGAAAACTTTGCTGTCATCTGTAAGGTCACCGGTATTCAACGAACACCACGTCATGTGAGTCAACACTATCAAAACTTTCTCGCTCCTGGTCTGGATCGTTCACCTTGGACTCCAGAAGAAGAAGAATTAGTCCACAAGGTCTGTACTGAAAATGGTCGAGATATGAAAAAAACAAAGGAAGTGTTAAAATCCAACAGATCTATAAGAGATATGTGGAATCATTTTACAAGTTGTGAAAAAAGACTTAAAAAAAAAGCCATTATTGCAAATGATGATAATAATCATAATTAAAAAGAAAAAGGAAAAAAAAAAAAAAAAAAAAAAAAAAAAAAAAAAAAAAAAAAAAGAGAAAGGGCATTTATTAGAATAAAAAAGGAATAATAGCTTTTCTGGATGAGGGATAAGTCTGTTTAAATTCTTTTCTGTACCAAGCATGAGTACGCCATGCTCTGGGAAATAAATTAGCTGCTGTACCAATAGCAAAAACAATGGCTGGTAAACTACTATGACTAGCTATAGCATAACCTATCCATTCTATCGTTTCACTAAAGTAATTAGGACAACTAATATATTCAAATAATCCTCCATAAGGAATAAAGTAGCGTTGTCTTTCATGTTCTTGTTCTTCCTTTTCCTTTTTCTTTAAACGTAATTTAAATAGAATAGTATCATGGTATATATTCGATATGCATCCTAGGGCCCATAAAACCATACCTGTCCAAAATTGAAGGTCGTTGATACCACGACTATGTCTAGCAATCCACATACCATTTGTGTATCCATTCATCAAATTAAAGACGATCGAACTTAAAAAGGTGAGGATATGAATAGGTGCCATTGAAGGCGCTCTGAATGGATAGATAATACTACGATTTAAATAATGTAATATCCATGCAGATATCATGATGATCTGAAAGTGAGTTCCAGTAGGTCTTGTTAATACAACTGAAACAATAAATGTAATAGGAGATATTAATTCCATTACACACCAACTCCATTTCCCGGATAAACTCCAATCAATACCCAATTTTCCTGCAAATTTTCCTAAATAATATCAATGTATAAAAAAAAACGCGTATCTTTTTTAAAAAAAGAAAAAAAAGATATTATTTACCATAAGGCGCATTTACAAAGAATAAAGCAGGAACTATAATAAAAGGTAGACTTGCATAAACAGTTAATACTGTATTATATGTTGATGGCTTTAGCCAATATTTGATAATAGTATCATCCATTGGATATATTTCAAAGAAAAAAGAAAAAATGGCGAAATATGTCTTTGGTCCTTTTTCTTTTTTTTTAAAGGGAAAAAAAAAAAAAAGCGGAAATCAAAAAAAAAAAAACATAATAATACTTTGATATATCTTTGTTGATTAATAAAGACGTTTATGATGTATGAAGAGTAGAAGGATGCCTCTGATAATAATGATAGCTTTGTATAATATGATTCAATAACTTTATTATATAGAATTCAATATATAGTAAATACTCGCTATCAATAATACAGCATATATTATGTTTTCTATTATTGTTGTAAGTATGTTATGTCATCAAATATATCAAAAGTATCGTTGATTAAACTTTCTCTATAGTCAATTTTATGATGTATTTTATGCTATACAAATAGATATATACATACACATAAATGTATATTCTTTATTATTGTGCGAAAGGATTTTCAATTTCTTCCATTCCATCAAAAGGTGAAATTAAAATGACAGCAGTTCCACGAAGTACAGACAAACCTAATGATCTTGACTTTTCTGTAAGATAACCAGTTTCTAAATCTATACATTTGTGAGTTGATCATCTCGGTTCATTCATTCAAATAAATTTACCCTTCAAATATTCAATTGTATTATCTAGAACCAAATTTAATAAAGGATCATAACCCATTAAAGTACCAACAACTGCACAATATATATAAAATGACATGTTATGAATTAGAAAGTAAAAAAAAAAAAAAAAAAATATATGTTTATATAAATATACATGTATACATATACTACACTACAAATTGCTTTTCTTTTTTTTTATTTACCTTCTCTTCCACCATTAAATCGTACACGAATCTTTTTTTCCATGTATTTACTCAAGTCCAAGATGGATTCTTTCTTTGGTTTTTCTTGTTGATTCGTGTTATGATAACCTCCACGACCTCCTCTTGCTCCACCACGTCCTCCACGTCTATCATTTCCTCTGTTATTATAATATCCACGTCCACCCTATAATAAGAATGTTAGTTAGAATTCATTGCAGCTAGTTAGTTAGTTTTTTTTTTTTTTAATTTTATTTTTACTCGGTCAGACATGTTAATCTGTATAGTTAAAGTAAGAACAGTTATAATAAACACACAAAAAAAAAAACTGTTTTATTTGAAAATTTTGTATTATCGGAAATTTAATAAAATCCATTGTCAGAAATGATGCTTATTCCAGAACAAAAGGCATGCTATGATGTTTAATAGCCCATGTTGATATTAAGAACATAAAGGAAAGTGAGTGAGTGAGTGAGTGAGTGAGTGAGTAAAGCGTACAAATATATTGAATATAAGCTAGTTAAATCGCATCAAGAAAAAGATAAAATTTGGATATATTATTACCTTTTTTTTTTTTTTTTATTCACTCATATAAATTGTGCTTTAATGTTCTTTCGAGTTAATTTAAAGAAACACTATAATATCTCATTTTCTGATATTCTTCTCTTCTCTCTTTCGGCACCAAAAAAAGAAGAGTAATTGTCTTTACATACACAATAATAGCTTTTTTAATAAAAGACAACCATTCATTCTAGCAAGTGCTACAATAAGTAGTTTTATATTATTTTAATTATAAACATAAGCTTTATATATGAATATATAAAAGAAAGAAAGAAAGGTCATTACAATGGTGTATATTAATCTAAAATATGAGTATATAAGGAAAGAAGGAAAGAAAGAAAGAAAGAAAAAAAGAAAAAAAAACTACCATGTGAATTAGCTGAAAAGGAAAGACTAACTAATAATTTTCTATAATAAATTTGTATAAAGGAATGGCATTATCCAATTGTAGAAATGGTCCCATGAATTCTTCGATAACGATGTCGATGAGTATGATCTTTTTCAAGTTTAGAAACATGATGTTTTCCATTACAACACATACGAACATCTTCTAAAGCCTCATCATCATCATTGCCTGTTATTGAAGTAAGCATGGAAGGTGTAGAGAGAGAAACAGTAGGTGGTTGAAAGATATCATGTAGACGACGGAAATTAGGTCGATTTAATAAAGAGACGCTACTAGAAATGGATCTTGATTTATCATTTGGATTCGATAACCCTATACTTGAGCTATGTCCATTACGTGTTAAAAGATAGGATATAGACTATAGAAGAAGAAGAAAAAGCAAATGAATTAGTTTTACTATTGTTACTTATTTATTTTTTATTACCAAATGTAAAACTTACTTCAAACCAAATTTGATGCTTTTCTATAGTAGGAGCTGTGATTTTCAAATTACGACGACTAGTTTGAATTAAAAGACTAACATCAGGTAAACCATTTGCATTAGAAGTATCATGTATAATTGAAATATTTTCAATTAAAGCTATTAAAAAAAAAAGTTAGGACAATTTTTTATTCCAAATAGAGTTGCATATTTACCATTCTTAACATTGGATTCATTTCCATGAATACCTGGTGTAGTTGCTGACCAATACAATGTACGAGTATAAGGATGAATCCAGAAGTAACGTTGATGTCTAAATTCAGAGAAGCCTCCTCCTACTGCTCTTCTTGTATATTTCCATAACCAGTCACCAATCATGGTATGTGTTACTAAGCTAATCGCAGGATCTACTTGACTGCTATTGGGGTATTGTACTGAAGTAGCTGAACGAAGATGTGTATTATCACTTGATACACTAGATAAACTAAGCGATCGTTCTGCCTTTTTAGAACTATTCATGTCAGAGTGACTAAACTCTTCATGTGGATGATCTACACTACTATTAAGACTAAGTACACTATAAGTCGAATTAATCGCCCTATTTAATAATTCAGTAGGTGGAGGATTAGAAGGACGTGTGGGGATATCAGTATCTTCATGAATAACTAAAGAGGATGTGGTGTTCTCAGCTGGCTCTTGCTCAAATACAGTAGAGGGTCCCATAGATAATTCTTTTAAGGATTGTTTTTCTTCTATGCTTCCTTGATCAGATGCCGTATCATTGTCCTGCTGTGTGCTTGAATCTTGAAGAAGGTCTATGAACTGTTTAGACTTATGGTGTTCTTCATCATAATGTACAGAAATATGTTCACTTGGTACATGAACAATAACACTACCAAATTCTTCTTCTTCTTTTTCCTCTTCTTCTTCTTTATTAACATGCTCGGGTGCTGTTATTGCTGCTGCTGTAGTAGTAGTAGTAGTAGCAGTACTATGAGGAGCTTGAATTATGTCATTAGCAGTTTCTGCTTGAGGACTTGTGTTATTTGAGGCTGCATTAGCAAGGGCAAGAGTAACAGCAGAGGCAATAAGTTGATCGAGTTCTTGCTTAGTATACAATTTTTCATCTGAAGCCTCCTCTTGTGGAATGGATTCATTCTTTAAACTATCATCAAAATCAAACTCATCTGTAGTAGTATAATATCTTGTTTGAGTTGGTTTAATACGATTAAAGACAGGATTTCTTATTTCATCATTTTCTGATAATGGAACATCGACAGAAGGGTCGCTTTCAAGACTAACTGGACTAGAAGTCATATCGCGATTCACTACCGTCTCCGTTTTCAGTAAAGAAGGTTGCTTTTCGAAAACAGCCATAGAGGCTTCTGCAGTGGTGTCAGACATGATAGCACTATCACGTTTGATAGACACAGGTGCTTCATTAGGCATCGAGAATGTACTCTTGGCAGAATATAAAGAATAATCACTTTCAGTCTGACGAGATGTAGGAGGAAGCGTACTAGAGTCATCACCACCTACAGAGGAATCTCTTTTCTTTTCATCTGCTATACCTAAAGAAACAGCACCGATGGAAGAAATATGTCTCATTGTATTTTTACTAGAACGCTTTATGTCCGATGTAGCATCATAAAACTCATCTTCATCACTTGATACAGAAATATCAATAGCTCCATGAGGGATAGATTGTTCATATTGGACTTGAGCATCCTTGGTCTCAACATGGGTATTTACACCCGCCTGTACCCCTAATTCAGTGAATTCAGATTGAGTACCATTATCTATGCCTATCGATCTATCATATTGTGTTTCATGATCGTATGTAACCACTGGTTTGATTTGAATAGGATCAGAGATTGAATCTGTTAATTGTTTAATGTTGGACTCTTTCCTCACTATATCTGTTGATAAATCGGGTACTGCAACTATTTTATAATAATAATAATAATAAAAATAATAATAATAAAAAAAAAAAGTTGTAAGCACATATATTTATGTATACGTATATTTTTTTTTCCTCCTTTCTTTATACAAGAATATATACCTAATTCATCGTCACATTGAACACCAATATCGTTTGATTCAGGAGAGACACATTGAACTTCAGAATCTTTTCTTTCAACGATATCATACTGAGTTCCAAGATCAATTGTAGAGATTGGTTCGTATTGAGTATCAGAATCAATAGCAAGTCCTGAAGAGGATAGATGTATAGTATCATGATTCATAAAAGTTTCTTCACATTGAACTCCACAATCAACAGCAGATTCAGAGGAGGAGTCCTCGAAAGATGAAGGAGTCATATCCAATTCATATTGAGTTTCATGATCAATCGCAACTTTAAGACGATCTAAACGTGCCTCAGCGATAGCAGCAGACATGAGAGTATCCAGATCAACTTCACATTGAACACTACAATCTATAGCAGCCTCAAGACTTGCTAAACGTGCTTCTGCAACCGCAGAGGCTAGAGCAGCCTGAGCAACACTAGGATCCTCGGGTTCTATGGAAAATACATCTTGTGATGTGACCTCAAGTGAAGTAGTCATTGGCTCATAATTTACTACAATTAATTCCTCTTGTTCAACTAAAACACTGGGATCTGTTTGAGTAGCGATCTCCAAAGTGGATTGACTGTTTTCTGTTTGTACTGAGACTTCAACAGGACTTGGGGTAGATATATTGGTTTGTATAAGGACATCATGACCAGTAGTAAGAAGAGCCTCGGTTTGTATAAGGGCATCATGACCAGTAGTAAGAAGAGCCTCGGTTTGTAAAGCGATTTCAATACCAGGTTCAAGCACAGTTTGAGTGGATACTTCAATTCCAGTTGTGTCGTTCATGTTTAGATTAAATGGTGTTGTTACATCTCTAACCGGTGTATGATGCTCCTCTTCAAGAAGAGGAGATGATTGAGACAAGGCCATACTTAGTTCATCACCAAGAGAACGAGGCATTGGAATCGTCATGTTAGTTGAAAGAAGGGGTTCTAGCTCATCTAATGGGTCTGTATTTGTTTCAGCATCTACACCCACTGATTTTTGAGAGATTTCATTCGATGACTTTAGTTGAGTAGTATCATGTGATTTCACACGAGCTCCCGTATCATCCTCACTCTCTTCAGAACTATCACTTAGAGAGCCTATTGTTGAATAAGAAAAGAGAGAATCATTATCACCATCATCATCCTCATCATCGACAGTATTCTCCTTTTTATTTGAACACTTCATTGAATGGCCTCTTCGTTTCTTTTTCATACGTGGTTTAGTAGAGCTAGAGACTTTATGTAGACGACGTGATGATGGTTTATTTGCAGAACGTGAAGAAGATCTTCCATCCACAGTATCCTCCCAAAGCCGGGGGTCATTCTGAAAGCGTTCCACTTTTTCCTGTAACTGTCTCAATAACTTTCTCATTTCCTTTTTTTCCGCCTTATCTTCTTTAATCTCTACACGATGATTCATGATAATACGATGAGCACGAGCCAACATCATGTTATATGTTTCAAGTGGAACAGTTTGACCAGGTGGTGGTTGCGGAGGTAACGAGGTCTGTTTCAAATTTGAAGCCGTTGTCAAATCCCCAGAGGCATCATGTTCATTGATGTCAGTAGCCTGATGGGTCAACATTGTATTATCCACGATAGCCGGTTTAGCCATAATACGAGATTTTGACTTTGCAATCGCGAGTTCTGAATTAAGCATTTCGATTTGTTTGGATTGATCTGCCTTTTCGCGTTGAATAAGGGCAGTCTGTCGTCGTATAGATGACATATCCTGTTCATGACGTAACTTCATTTGATCCATGGTTGCCATCAATTTTTCTTCACGATCATGTAACTGTTCAATTTCAGCTCTTAATTTGTCCACTTGTTTTGCTAGTTTATTTTGTTCCGTATTTGCTTTTGTCAAATTGGTTTGCAAAACATGAATACTTGTCGTTAATTCTTCATTTTTACATTCGAGATTCCAATTGGCTTCCTTTAATTTCTCTGTATATAATAAAAGAAAGGAAGAAAGAAAAAGAATCTTAGCAATCTAAATGAAAGAGAGAAGGGGGGAAAAAAAAGAAAGAAAGATACCTACCTTCATTTTCCTCTATTTGATGCATTTGCTTTAACATCGCTTCAGCTGCTTTTTCAAGATCAGCTTTTTGGGTTTCTAAAATTCTAAGCTTTTCTTCCTTTTCTTGTAATAAAGCTTGCATCTTTCTCACTTCAGACAATAAACCTTGACCAATCTCGGTAGCAAATTCAATATCGGTATTTCGACGGTCTGTATTCGGTACCTTGGAACGGCGTTTTGTAGGGGTTGAGCCTGAAGGAGGGGGAGGTAAAGGTAAGAGATGTGATTCATGTAAGGTAGATGCGGTTGGACTCGGTAATGGATCATTATTTGCTGCACGTAATATCTTTTTTTTTTTTTTAGGAGTAGAATAATAAATATTAATAAGGAGATCAAAAAACCCCTCCAGCAAAGCACCACACCCAGTTTTAATTTAATTTTTTTTTTACCTTTTCTTTATTACGAATAAAAGGCCTAAGAGATGATAAATTTTTTTCAAGGGATATTAACCTATCTTTTGATGAAAATTCTTCCAGTCTTTCTTCAAGATCAATAATCTCTCTTGTTAATACATTTTTTCCAATTCCGCTGTCCAATTCCTGCAATTGATTCTGCTTTTCCAATAGTTGTTGTTCCAAGTCCTTTCTTAATTGGTGAATAGAAAGAGATGAGGAAGGCGTAGGTAATATTTGAGGCGTAATAGTACTTGTCGTAGGTGAAGATTGTGATTGTTGAGGAGAAGGTGAACTCATTTATATGAAAGGAATGAATTAAGATTTAAAGAAAAAAAATAAATGACTATTTTTGATATTATTTTTTAAAAAGAAAAAGAAAAAGTAAGAAATTTTTTCTTTGTTATAAAATATAATTCACTATATTAAAAGCTAAGCATAAAGAGATTAAAAGGAAAGTAAATAAATAAATATTAAAAAAAAAAAAAAAAAAAAAAAAAAAGAGTTTGCACAACAAAGAGAAAGAAAATAGTGAAAAAAAAAAATAAAATAAAACAAATAAAAGGTTTTTTTTTTCCAATTTACTTTTCACGCGCAAATAATATAAATTTTTATATTGAATTCTCAAAGTCCGAAATTAATTGTTGTCGCCCTGAAAAAATATAATTCACATTGTTATCAACCATGATGTTTCAAAATGATGAAAATGTAACTAAATTCCATGATTATTTAGCTCTTTAATAAAATCAATAAAGATTATAAACGTGTTTGACAAATATGTATGCAGTTACTTTATGATACATAGTCACCATAAAAGATATATAAAGCATACAGCATGTCACAGTAATAAATGCTTATCGTTAGTTGATTGTCGTTAAAGTTATAACGAGAATAGGTTTTTTTTTTCTTGTAACGTGTAAGTAGAAAGTCTTACTATTAGAGTAATATGAACCCATTCATTTATTGTATAAAATAATTATAAATCCAAGTTATAGGTTTATTTAAGATGATTCTGAATATTTTGAAGTATCAACGCCATGATTATTATGCTTGACAAAGTTGAACCATGGATAAGCACCTAAATTATAGAATGGTGAATATAATTCTCTATTTAAGAGATAGAATAACTTACTAAACTTGAGTTGTGAAAATCGAGAGTTTCTGGCCGAAGTATCTTGAATATGTTCAGGCATATAACTATCTCCATATAAGGCTTTACCTTCCTTTAAACGTTGACTCATCTCCTCTTGATCTTTCAAGACTTCCTTTGAATTTTCAGACCAACCCCAGAAACGGACTATATAAAAAAAGAAAAAGTAAAAACATGTAATAAAGAATAACCATTTTTGGTCAACACTTACAGCTACTATTTTGGTAAGCAAAAAGGAAACCACCAACAGCTCCAATAAGGGTGGTAATTTTTAAAGGAAGTCGCATCTTACGAGCATATCCAGAAGGGTCCATTTTCTCTATATATATATATATAAAAAAAAGTTAAAATCAAAAGCACAATTTCTACATGTGTATACATTTTTACTTTGACGATTTACCCATTCCTAAAAATAAAAGAGGAGCAGCAGCAGTACCTGCAGCCCAAGCAGCATAATCCGAAGGCCTCATGTAACGAACTACTCGAGTAAAGTGTGGATCTGTGTCGATGACTGGGTAAGGTGTATTAAATTCTTTAATAGGCATTTTTTTTTTCTTATGAAAAATAAAATATAAAAATTGAAATCAAGTGTGTTGTATTTCTTTTAGTTTCAAATTCAAAAAAATAAACAAACATCCAAAGTTCAATAAATTGATGAAGCATGCATAATTAAATTAAGGTGGTAAAAGTTGAAATAATAGGATTAAACATAAATGAATATAGTTGTTCATGAGTAAAAGAATATATATATACATATAAATGTATGTATGTTAGCAACTGAATATGTATAATATCTTTATCTATTTTTATTATTATATGTTTGCTTAAAACTCACGAGTTAAGAAGAGAGAGAAAAGGGCTTTGACTGTGTTAATATGTCACTGCAAGAAAGCAAAAATAAAGGCACCGTTGATTTATATACGTGTGCTATTTTTTTTTTTTAACCAGGCTCAGAACTAAAAATGTCCGCTGTCTCGAAATTAAAGTGGGGAGCAATGACGTCGGCAATAGATCATTTTACTATGATCCAAGCTAATGTACATTAAGCATTATAAATTTACGTGCTTATTAATTTGAATACCATTGACAATACTTTGTTATATAATAATCAGGTATTCCTGAAGAACATTATTTATTTATATTTCTGATATATCCACGTATAATAATTCAAATGTACAATTTAACAATCATTTTTGTGAATTTGATTAGTTTCTTATAGATTTATTTCCAAAAGTTGCATTAATTAAATTTTATTGATTTTTGATTGCCCCTCCCTCTCCCTCTTTTTTTTTTCTTTATCTTCAAACAGTAGTATCCTATGTCTACATTATTTCATCCTTTTGTTACATACGCATAACAGCAGCATGATACTTGGAGTGAAAACCAATAATTATATTTACAAAAAATCTGACCAATTATATATTGAAATTAAATTTGCGGGGTCAACTTTTTTGCATCCAAAAAAAAAAGGTATACAACAACAGTATTAAATAAAGCACTTTTTAATACTGCTTTTTTTTTCTCTCTCTTTCTCTCTTAATATACATCTCAAAATGACAATACAACGCACTATGACAACTACAATTAATACAATGATGAAGCAATTAAAAGGTTAAATTCTACTTGTTTTTTATTATTATTATTTTGCAATGTGTTCTAAATATATAAAAAAAAAAAAAAAAAATAGAAAATCCCGTCAATTGGGCTTTAGTTGCTGTAAATAAAAAATAAAAATAAAAGTTAAATCAATATATACACAAGTATTGATTCTGAATGAATTAGATTCTTGCTTATCTTGTTCGCTCCTATGCTACAGTAGGCAACAAATTACCCCTTATTCAAGAAGCAAAACATCCAGAAGTTATTTTATTTAAAAATTATACGCCTTTAGAATTACTGCCTTTTGATGGAAATGGAAAAGATGGACGCATTTTGATTGCTGTTAATGGGTCTATTTATGATGTTACGAGAGGTCGAAACTTTTACGGACCAGGTAGCGATATGATAGCTCTTTTGACATAAAAAAAAACAAAAAAAAGAAAAAGAAAGAAAAAGAGAGAGAGAGATGGTATTTACAATTATATTAGGAGGACCTTATGCTAATTTTGCAGGACATGATGCTTCTCGTGGATTAGCTAAAAACTCTTTTGACGAAGAAATGTTGGTTGATCCTCATGGACCTATTGATAAGTTGGAAGATTTAGCCAGTGATGAATGGGATTCATTAAGAGAATGGGAGGTAAATAAACAAAGAAATAATGTATGTATTGTTTATTAAAGTACAAATATTAATAGCAACATTTTGCTACTAAATACCTGTTTGTTGGTAAATTAATTGAAAATAACTAATAAAGTAAATACACAAACATGAACTATTGTTTATTTATAACGAACATACACAAAAAAAAGAAAAAAAGAGAGTATAAGTTATATTTAACAACATCCACCACCTTGAGAGTTGCTCTTTGAAGGTGAAGATTGGTCCAATCTTACTTCTTCTCTTTGACGAGTTTGCTGAGCTTGTTGAGTGTCAATCAATCTCTTTTTAATATCCCTTAAAGAAAAAGATACAGTCATTAATGATAAACTAAGTCTAGTTTAATCATCTGTTTATTTACCTTGCCAAGTCGAAAAAGGCTTCTTCAACTCCAATATTTGCTTTTGCACTAGTTTCCATGAATCGAATACCTAATTCATTAGCTAAAGTTTGACCTTGTTCTTTTGTAACAACCTAACAAACTTGCATAAATACAAATAATTTATATTCATGTATATGTATTCATTTATATATAAATGTATATAGTCCTTACTCTCTTATCTTCCATATCACATTTATTACCAATTAATATCTTATTGACGCCTTCACTAGCATGTTGTTCAATATTTGAGAACCAATTTCTAACATCTAAGTTCACCCCCCCAAAAAAGAAAATAAATAAAAAAAAAGATTGAATATATACACATATAAAAAAAACTTGGATTATTCTGTAAATAAAAAACTTACTTCCAAAAGATCTTTCATCTGTTACATCATAAACTAATAAGATACCCATTGCACCACGGTAGTAAGCTAATGAAGGATGTTAACTTTTATTATTGTTCTATTTCGAGCTATATAGTTTACCTGTAGTAATGGTACGGAATCTTTCTTGTCCAGCAGTATCCCAGATTTGTAACTTGATACGTTTACCATCAAGTTCAATAGTACGAATTTTAAAATCAATACCAATAGTTGTAATAAATGATGGTGTAAAAGAGTCATCAGAAAAACGAAGTAAAAGACAACTTTTACCAACACCTATAGTTTTTTTTTTCATGTTAATTATATTTAAAAATTATAAAGTAAATTGGATGAAGTTATTTACCAGAGTCACCAATAAGTAAAAGTTTAATCAAATAGTCGTATGAAGCACTTTTAGCTGTTGTCATTTTTATTTTATTTTTAATATTTGTTGAGAAGTAGGAAAAAAAATAGTAATAATAATAATAACAAGTTGCTGTAATAGTTCGCGCTCAATAAAAAAATATAAAAAAAAAAAAAAAAAAAAAAAAAAAAAAAAAAAAAAAAGATCACGTGGATTGTTCATAGTAAGGTGTAATAATGCATGTAACGCTAAACAGTGGTTGCACATTATTTAGATTCAGACTTGTTTTAATTAGTGATAGAATTACTACAAATGAGATATTATTGTAAATACTTTTTTACAATAAGAACAAGCATCAAGAAAAAAAAATACTATCTTTTAATATGTACAAAATAGTTTATTTTTCAAATTGAACTAGAATAAGGAAAGGTTAATTCTAAATTTAATATAACTTTAACAATAAAGCTTGAAAGACTAAGAAATTAGTGTCCAATATAAGCATAGCGTTAGTTGTTGTATTGTTATCATAAAGTACTATTATTAAATTCATTAGAAAAGACTATAAAATAGTTAATACTAATCATGTTAAATAACATTAAAAAAGAAAGAAAGGGACTAGTTCGACAAAGAAGTGACTTTATTAGCATATCAGTAAGGCAATTTTAATTCCCTTTGCTACATTATTTTAATATAGTATATTGACATTCTATTTTGTTAGCGTTCATTATTATTATTATTGCTCAATAAGTTGATAATACCTTTGTAAATAATTTAGTTTGAAAGAGAAGGAATTTATTATACTCTTTCATGTTAACCTGATAATTCTTTATAATAATAATGTTCAGCACTATGCTTGTTAAACAATCTAACATAACAGTATATGCTTTCACATCTAATTATAACACTCATATTACAAAAAGGACAACGTCACGATTATTAACGATTGTAATAGTATTGGTCTCATTTTCTTTTTTTACTGCATTTACCAGCAGATCAAGTAAAATAGTAAGATTATCTCTTTACCTTTATATTTAGAAAACAAGAATAGACAATTATCTATTTATTTATATAGATATATTTTATATCTTATATTTATATATAAAATGAAAATAGATGTCATCTCTTTCTTTATTTATATATAATCCTTGCAAAAAGGAAGAATTAATGCGTAATATACATAAAAATGAAATATGTATGCAACTATTTTGAGTATTGAATTGAATATAGTGAAGAATAGCAAAGCATATTAAATACTACCTATTGTGTGGAGTACAATACTACACATAATAGACGAATTATAGAATATATTTCATTGTATCTTACAGAGCTATGTCAGCAGGGTGTAGTACATGAGGTATATAGTTTATTAGAAAGCGTATTCTTTATTTCGTTGCATAATCATTAATGTATAATACTTGAATTAACCTGATTTGTTTATAACATTAGATACTTTAAGCATGCTTGTATGTTATATATATTTATATATATAATTTATAAGACATATTACTTTACGCCTAAAAATGAATTAAGCTCTTTATATGTTACCAATTGTTATATAACCGCAAAATACAATTCAGTAGCAACATTAAAATATATTATTTTAAGCTATTTACATACTGTTACTTTATCATCTATTTTACAAATACATCAATTCTTATTATATATTTCATTTTGTCTTCTCCTTTTCTCTTTATTTTTGAAAGGAAAAAAATCAAAGACAATATAATGCGTAAAGCTACAAAAGATAGACGACTTCCATTCCTTTTCAAATTGACAAGCTTTCCATAAGCTAAAAAGTGTTTAAGCCCTAAAAACAGTTCCATTTGCAACCAATTGATCAGTATACCATTATCCTCCCCTTCTCTACTGGTTGCTCTTGATGTGTGGTTTTTCTTTTTTTTTATATTTATTGTCCAGAAGCTATCCCTTTTCAACTGCAATACAAATCAATTACTCAACAGTTATATAATGATAGTATACTAAATTATGTGTTTTTTTTTGAACTTGTAGCCAACCATAAGAAAGCTATGATAACGACTTTTTTCTTTTTGCGTTTGTATAACAACTCTCAATTGAAGTTTCAAAATGGCATTAAAGTTCCTGAAGATTTACTAGATACCCAGCTCGAAAGAAAAAAAAAAAGAGAGAGAAAGAAAGCGTGCCATTGATTGCCTAAATGATAATAAAATTGTATAAATATAAATGCATCTCTAGTTAATCACCATCGCTATAAGCCTCATTACCAGCCCCATCTATGTTACCACATACACAAGTGGATGCACAAACTTTACCATCATCAGAAAATTGGAACTGTATTAACGACTATATATAAAGCCTTGGAGATGAGCAGGGAAGAGGGAAATGAAGTGGAAAGTCCACTACTTGAGAGATCAGCATCAGGTTTATTTTACAAATTATACCAAATTTGCTAGCTTCAAAAATGCATATCAACGTCAAAAAAAAAAATCTTCATTTTCTTGAGTAGAAAATACGTTTGATAAAGATACAAAAATTTTCTCTATTAAACGTATACATAAAATTAGCCTTCTCTATGTAAGCCTTACAGTTAATTTGATTCGTATAGCCGAATAATAGCAATATGATGAGAAGTTGTTTTTTTTTTGGATACAAGGCCACTGAGTAGTATTCCAAGTCATTATTAACACATAGTTTATTGTAAAATGCAGCAGCAAAAAAAAAAAAAAAAAAAAAAAAAAAAAAAAAAAAAAAAAAACGCGGAAACGTTAGGTTTTTTTTTTGTAGTACATTATTTAGACAAAAGGCGCATACATACATTAACAAACTACTCGGCAGATCTTTTCTACTGATTTGTGTAACAAAATCGTACACATGACTCTTTATAAAAAAGGGAAATACCATAATAACAAAAAAAAAAAAAAAAAAAAAAAAAAAAAAAAAGGGCGGGTCAATTTCTATTTTATTATCATTTTTATTTATTCTCTTTTTCATTACCCTTTTTTTTTCCTCTTATTCTTTATCAAATGGCTCAACAACAACCACAACAATATCAGCAACATCATCAATATCAACAACAACAACAGCAACAGCAGCAGCATCCACCACCACTACCACAACAACAACAACAACAGCAGCAGCAACAGCAACAACAACAGCAACAACAACAACAACAACAATCACAATCACAATCACAGCCTCAAACAAATCCTTCACCTTTAATACAGCAACCACAACAACCATACCCTTTCGGTGGATACTTTGAACCACATCAAGGTAACGGTATTTTAGATCTAGTTAAACGAAAAATTCGAGAAGCAACAACAGGTTATCGTGGCTTAGATCCAACCTTAATGACTCGAAATAATATGATGATGCCTATGGCTCCTATGCCAATGCTGTATTATCCTCAGCAACAAATGGTAGGTAATAATTTGGATCAAATGATATTGCAACAGTTGCAACAATTATCACCACAACAACAACAAACTTTATTAGTGAGTTTATTAACCCAGAATGGTATGTTAAATAGTAACAACGCTTTATATGGACAACATCCTATGCTTATGAACCACAATGGTTTAATGACAGGAGCAGCTATGAATCAACAACCAGGAGGAGGAATGATGATGCCTCATATGCCACCACAGCCAATGATGCCACAACAACCTCATCAAATGATAATGCCTAACAACGCTGGATACTATCAATCACCTTATGGCTATGGTAACTATTATAATCCTCAACAAATAAGTTACTATGGAAATGGAGCAACAGCGCCTTATTCAACGACACATGGGTATCCTTATTATGATATTCCAAGACGAGGTGGTGGATATTTTTAATTATGTTTATAAATATGTATATTTTTATAAAAGAAAGAAAGAAAATGAATTTTAATAATATACCCAAAACGGTGAACAAAAAATAAAAATAAAATAAAAATAAAAAGATAAAATACGTGAGATGACGTACAGCGGTTAGTTTGTATTATGTATCTATTGTGCGTCTCAGGGCATTAATAAGCGCGTAATATTGGAAATTCAAAATTTACACACACATATTTTTTTGTGATTATAATTTCTTCCCTTTCACCATTTTTTTTTTCTCCTCATCTATTATTTTTTATTTTATTTTTTTATTTTTTAAAAAAAAAGAGAAAAATAGAAATGGATTCTCAACTTATTAAAACAGGTAGTAAACACACATCATCTTCATAACTTGATAATACTAATCTTGTTTATAAAGTAAATAAACTTCAGGATGCATTTGCAACTGTCGGTGTTCATAATCCTGTTGATTTACCACAGATTGCCGTCATTGGTTCACAATCGAGTGGTAAAAGTTCAGTTCTTGAAAACATTGTAGGAAGAGACTTTTTGCCACGAGGAACAGGCATAGTCACACGTAGACCGCTTGTAAGTTTTGGGAATCATAATTACAGTCTCCCCTCTCTTTCTTCTTCTAATTCTGATTTTGTTTATTAGATTCTTCAATTAATCAATCGACCTGCTTCCGCTCGTTCTAAAGAAACAGCAGAGTCACCAACCACTGATGCACAGGAAAACGCTGACGAATGGGGCGAGTTTCTTCATCTTCCCGGTCAAAAGTTTTACAATTTTAACAAAATTCGTGATGAAATCGTCAAGGATACAGAACTGAAGACGGGTAAAAACTTGGGTATTTCACCTCAACCCATTAATTTGCGTATCTTTTCGCCCAATGTCTTGACGTTGACCTTGATTGATTTGCCCGGTCTCACTAAAGTTCCTGTTGGAGACCAACCAAAGGACATTGAACGACAAATTCGTGACATGATTCTCAAATATATTACAAAACCAAATGCAATTATTTTAGCCGTAACGGCAGCAAACACAGATTTAGCCAATTCAGATGGTCTCAAGTTGGCAAGGGAAGTGGATCCTGAAGGCTTGAGGACTATTGGTGTATTGACCAAAGTCGATTTAATGGATCAAGGTACAGATGTGATTGATATCTTAGCAGGTCGTGTCATTCCCTTGAGATTGGGTTATGTTCCTGTCGTAAACCGTGGTCAACGTGATATTGAGTCAAAAAAATCAATTTCAAAGGCATTGAGTGCTGAACGTGAATTTTTTGAAAATCATCCATCCTATCGCAGTAAAGCCCAATATTGTGGTACACCTTTCTTGGCTCGTAAATTGAATATGGTATGTATAAGTATTTTATATTATATATATATTCATATATTTATTTATTTATGCATACATTTATTATTTCTTTCTTTTGTAGATTTTGATGCATCATATTCGCAATACCTTACCTGAAATTAAAGCCAAAATTCAATCTGCATTAACAAAGTATCAACAAGAACTATTGCAGTTAGGTGAACCTATCTCGGATGGTAGCTCTTCAGGACAAGCTAATCTTGTTTTAAATATCATCACTGAATTTTGTACAGAGTTTCGAACTATTATTGATGGTAACTCCAATGACTTGACAAGTTTTGAGTTATCAGGTGGTGCACGTATTAGCTTTGTCTTCCACGAGCTTTATGCAAATGGTGTTAAAAGTATTGACCCTCTTGAACAAATCAAGGATGTGGATATTCGTACTATTCTCTATAATTCTTCAGGTTCTTCTCCGGCTCTCTTTGTCGCTACCACAGCTTTTGAGGTTATTATTAAACAGCAGATCAAGCGATTAGAGGATCCAAGTATCAAATGTATTAATATGGTATACGATGAATTGGTTCGTATCTTGAGTCAGTTACTGAACAAACAATTTTTTAAACGATTCCCTGCACTTAAAGAAAGATTCTATCAAGTCGTTTTATCATTTTTTAAGAAAGCCTTGAATCCTACGAGTAAACTTGTCACTGATCTTGTTTCGTAAGTTGAAATTGCAAAAGCCTATTATTATTATTATTAACACAATTGTGTAGTATGGAAGCATGTTATATTAATACAGCACATCCAGATTTCTTAAGTGGTCATCAAGCCATTGCTCTAGTGAATGAACAATTACAACATAAGAATAGTAGCACTGATAAACAACAACCACAGAATCGTCAACAACAGTTAGCAACAGTTAATAATCTTACAGTAGATAATAATGATTCTTCATTTTTTGGCAGCTTCTTTTCTGGGCCTAAAAAAGCTAAAAAAGGAAGTGCCCTTATGGAAGCAGTAAGTGATTCATTGTGAGCAATTTAAAATGGGTATTTATCGTTTTTATTATAGCCTCCTACTACCTTGAAGGCTGTGGGCGCGTTATCGGAGCGAGAATTTATGGAAACAGAAGTGATTAAATTATTAATTCAGTCTTATTATAATATTGTGAAGCGTACAATGATTGATATGGTTCCTAAAGCCATCATGTTGAATTTAGTGAATCATGCTAAAGAAGAGCTTCAACGTGAATTGTTGGCTGAACTTTACAAGGCAGATGTCCTCACCGATCTTCTTCAAGAATCTGAATTTACACAACAAAGAAGAAAGGAATGTAAAAAAATGATTGAAGCACTACAGAAGGCAGATGAAATTGTTGGCTCTGTTTAATACCATTATTTGATTGTGTATGCACTTGATTAAAAAATGATATACATATAATTGCTTATTTTATTTTATTTTTCTGTTCCTTGAATAATTTGTGGCGCTAACCAATCACTAAAATTAGTTTTTGTGACTAGCATTTCTTTTTCCTTTTTTTTTTCTTTTTTTTTTTTTTTTGTGTATGTACAATCCATCATAAAAAGGAACTTTTTTTTTTTTTTTTTTTTACATATCATTTTACATGTTTTCTATAGCGAAAAATAACAACCACTTTTATCGACCCAACACTAAACATTTCCATAGAAATAATAATAATAAAAATAAAAAGCAGAAATTTGCTAATAAGAAACAACCAGGAAATAAAATAGAGAAAAATAACATCCAACCTATCAATACCAAAGTCAAGGCACCCCTTTTCGATAAATCAAAGCTGACGGCCAGTTGGAAACTGAGTCGACGATTTGGGCCTGGTCTTATTAATAGCCATAATACCTGTTTCCTTAATTCACTATTACAGTGTATCACTTATACACCCCCACTAGCACAGTACTTGTTACAAGGCGAGCATCGCAAGACTTGTCAAGTGAAGGGCTTTTGTGCTCTTTGTGCTATGGAAATTCATACTAGACGATGTCTTACAGAACCCAAAAGTTTCTCTAAGGGAGCTGCTATCCTTCCCAATTATTTTACGGCTAACCTTAGAGGACTTTCGAAAAGTCTTCGATTAGGTCGACAAGAGGATGTCCATGAACTATATATGTTTCTTTTAGATGCATTTCAGAAATCTGTAGTCTATGGTTTAGGGTAAATGGAAGCACTTTTATTTCAATTTTTTTTATTTTTTGTTTGTTTGTTTGTTTGTTTAGATTTTGACAAATATTAACCTTTTCTTTTCTTTTTTTTTTTTTTCTGTTAGAAAATTACCTCCTCAAGTTGAAGAAACTTCACTGATTTATCAAATTTTCGGAGGCAAACTACGATCTCAATTGAAATGTTATAATTGTAAAGCTACATCAAATAATTTTGAAACTTGTCTCGATCTCAGTCTTGAGTGTCCTCCACGAGGTGATAGTCGACTTTTAAAGGCCCTTGAACTTTATACCAAAGTTGATGTGATTGGGGATGATCCCAATAACCGATATAACTGTGACAAATGTAAACAAAAAGTGAAAGCAGGTAAACAAATGACCATCTCTGAGTTACCCATGATGCTTGCCATCCATTTAAAGTTATTTGCATTTGATTTTGAGCGTGGTTATATGACCAAGTTGGGATCACGCGTCAAGTTTCCCGAAGTACTTGATATGGCACCTTATGTAAGTAAAGATAAGGGCATTCAAAGGGCTACGTATCGTTTGTATGGTGTTATTTCCCATTTGGGGTATGGATGTAATTCTGGACATTATCGGGCGCATGCAAGAGCTCCCAATGGTCAATGGAATTACTTGGATGATGAGATTGTGCGTGAATGTGATCTGGAGCAAGTGCTTTCTCAAGCACCTTATATGTTGTTTTACCAACAGGAAAAGATTGTCCCTCCATCCGTAACAGATACAACTCATCAGAATGATACCACTACCACTACTACTATTGCTGCAGCTAATGTTATTAATGAACAAATATCTATAAAGAAGTCGTTAATAGCAGCAGAATCTACAAAAGAGGAGAAAAAGAGAAAGAGGGTTCAGTTCGTGGAAGATCAAGTCATTTCAGATAACCCACGAGCTTGGTATGTTCGATCTTCTGAACAACCTAGACGATCGTTGCGTGGTAACTTATCACCACCTACATTTGGTGCACATATTAGTCATGATATGACCTGGGAAATCTTGGATGCTAATGAATTTTATGATCGACGAAAAAAGGCTAAAAAGCAACAATAATATCTGTTTTGTTTATATAAAGATATATATATATATGTATATAATAATATATATCTTTTTTTTTATTTTATTTATATAATAAAGGCGTGTTCTCTTCTTCTTCAATAGGAGGAGCTAAACTATAGATTATTACGCCTATCATGACCAGCACATAAGCCAAAGGATAAAAAGACGATATCTACCAGTATTTCATTAGTTTTGTCTATACATGTATACATTTATATACATATATACCTTAGCATCTAAAAATAACAAGCCAACGATTAAAGAGTAAAAATTACTTGTGATCAAACTCATGCTTAGAAAAGTAGCACCCATCATACGGTAAACAGTTGGTACAAGTGAATACATACAAAATAGACACATGATATAAGTTAACATGAGGAAGACTATAGAAATTTAAATATTTAGAAAAAAAAAATGTAATTCATGTTCTTATTATGTACCTATTGGCCGTGACCACTTAATTTGAACTACTTGATCCAATTCAAAGTAATATCTATTATATACATTAGATAGATGTATTAAATGACTTATTATGTAGCAATCTTACGCTTGTAAACCACAGAGTAAAGCACCCCAGCACCCAGCTTTACCAAGGAATTCGATCGTTGTATATTTTTTGACTAAATGCTCTTCTGTTACATTACTGACTGCATATAACGTAGCACTTGATAACTACAATGTATTTTTATTAGTCGAACACATACACATATATTAAGGAGAAGAGAGAAGAAATAGAATACTGTACACATATGATATCACCAATCCAACTGTGATTGACTAAATAGGTAATAAGTAAAGTGACTATAAATGCATACTACGAATTATATATGCTTCTTACTAGGATGATCATTATCACTATTCATCGTAATCGTATCTCCCCAAATAAGTAGTATTAATCCAATCAAGCACAAACAAGCACTTTGTACATGAATTCGACTATATTTTAAATTTAGAAAATACGTTGATAATAGCATAACACAAGGAATAGACCAAGAAGATAAGACAAGAGCAGACAACACAGAGGTATTTTGAAATGCTAGGACAGCTAACACATTTGCTATAAATAGAATTTTAATGTCTGTTTGTAGGCCTTTCATTCTTTTTTCTTCTTCTTCTTATCATTTACCTTGAACATCGGCAAAAGAATATCCAAAAACTTCATTTTCTTAAAAGGATTAATGATCTTAAACAAAAATAAAATAAAACAAAAATAAATTACAATAACCTACATTGCCAATTAGTTGTTGTTGTCAAATGATTATTTGGTTTTAATGAGGTATATATGATGGCTAATAAAAGATAATTACAAAAGTTTTGTGTAAAGGGTATACTAATTGAATAATGTCTCCATAGAGCAGAGGATGCTGAACTTGTGCCTGTGATACATAATGATAAAACCTGTCCTAAACAAATTGCTATATATGTTTTTTGACAAGGCATTTGGTAATAATAAACAAACAAACAATAAAAAAAAAATAAATAAATAAATAAATTAAATTCTTTTTTTTTTTTTTTTATGAATATAAAAAGAATTTATGAATTAATGGCTGTATTTTTGATACAGGCCCAATAGTGACAACATGACCACTTTCAGTCTTATAGAATAAATAATGTTCTCCAGCCATATATCGTTTATAAACTGGATTATCATCTCGTTTAATGCCATTGATGGCATCAGCATAGTCCTTTGGATCACCATAAGTTGTTGCTATACCCTTTGAGTTGATGATGATGACTCGATTTGGCTTATTATGTATATTAATCGTTCCATCATCCATTAATGATGTAATTTTATTAGACCTTTTGAATAGCCTTGTTGATAAAGTCTTCTTTTCAAATAACGGATTATTATTATAAGCTGTTGTTACAGTAGGCGGAAAGAATTTTTTTGAAGATGCTTTCCCTAGTATCGGTTTAGGATGGAATTCTTTTATTTTAATATCCTTTCGTTGTTGTATATGTCTTGAACTTTGATCTATTTTTGGTCTTTCAGGATCTTTTTTCTTTTTATTTAATTGTGTGAATTCTTTATCTTCCTTTTCCTCTTCATCTCTCGATTTCCTCTTTGATGTTGACGGTTCTGATTCTAAATTATTGGGTGTTGGTGATTTTACAGCAGTATCTATAACTGGAGAAAGACGATGTGAATGATCAATAATGTCGTTAGGAATTAATGCCAAATCCTGTTCTTCATATTCTTCTAATTTCCGAAGTTGTGCCATGTGAAAATTATTCAAGTCATTAAATCCTTGAATATATTTTTTCTACAAATTAAAACATGAATATAAAAAGATACCTTATCATTATGAATGAACTTACTCTGATGATTTCTATATATAATTTAGAACGTTCTTCCATTTGCAGATCATCTAACTTATCCCTTTCATCTGCTATACTTATATCACTATGAGTAGATGAAAACAGTTCTGATATAATGTTATTATGTTCTGATAAAAAATCGAGCCCTTGAATTTCTTGACAAACAGCTGTGGAAGGAGTGATGAATAAATCATTCTTATTTTTCTGAATGAATTCTTTGTGATAGGCATGTAATTCGCTTATTTGATTCTTTAAAAGTCGTTGACGTTGTCTTGCATGTCTCTTCTTTAAACTTTCGTAGAGTCTTTTAGGGTTAATATTATTCAAAGGTGTACCAGAAGAAAGATAGATTTCTTCATTACTAATAGTAAAATGAGAAAACAGAGTTAATGTATCGATCAATGAACTTACTTTATATCGTTTTCTCCAATTATCCAAAATAAAATATCATCCATAGTCATGATTCTTTTTTATGATACAACATAATAGACGAAAGAAAAAAAAAAAAAGGATATTTTTTTTTTTTGTTTTTAAAAAGAGAATTCTTTTTTTTTCCCAGTTATTTTGGGATTTCATTATTATTATTACTCATCCTTCTCCTTCTTTAATATATGCAATACATTGAAATAGGATATATGTAAATAAATATAAACTTATAATGTGGTATTTAATAATTTATTTCTGTCCTTTTCCTTTTCTAATAAGCCATTGTAATGTGATATCAATATTCACCTGATTTTTTGCTGAAATTGAATAACAAGATACTTCCCGATTCGTAATAGATTTAAGATGTCTACCATATATAAAAAAAAAAAAATTAAATATAAACAATTATAAGCCTATGTAGATACTAAACTTACAAGGCTTCAATAAGCTCATCAGCTGTTAATGCTTCAGGTAAATCATTTTTGTTCCCAAGTACAAGCACAGGAATGTTAGCTAATTGAGGCTTTTCCAAAAGGTTTCTTAACTCTGTATTAGCTGCCTCTAACTTTTCACGGTCAGCGGCATCAACGACAAAGCTATAACACATGAAATAAATAAAAGATAATTCAAGCTTTGTATGTATACATGTATATATATATATATATATGTATATGTATATGTATATTATATATATATTATATATATGTATATGCTTTACACTATCGCATTCACTCCTCTACAATATCTTTCCCACATACTTCTAAAACGTGGTTGCCCTCCAATATCCCATAACTTCATAGTCACATTGCCCTTTGTAACTTTTCTCATGTTAAATCCAACAGTTGGAATGGCATCTTCAATAAATTGCCCTGACTTTAATAATCATTAGTATAGTAATTGTATATTGTATTTATGTACATTACAGCAATAACATTAACAAGTGTAGTTTTACCACTATTTTGAAGGCCAACCAAAGTTAATTCCATTTCAGTCTATAATAATTGTGTAAGTATATCAATGTATATTCCCATCTATTTTCTGTTATAAATTTACTTTGAAGAATAAACTTCTTAACCAATCTATTAACCATTGGATAATTCCTGACATTACTATTATTAATATTATATATACAAATTAAATAAGGAATAAAGAAAGAAAAGGGAAAAAAAAATCAAAAAAAAGAGGGAAAAAAATACACATAAATTTGTAAATATTGCCCGATTTCTTTTTTTCTTTTTTTTTTTTTTTTTTTTTTTTTTTTGAATACCTAATAAAATTTGCATTAGTTTTTTTATAAAAAAAAAAAATTGAAGATGATAAAAGTCCAACTGAGCGCGGGTATTTTGTATGTTTACCAAAATTCTCCCTGACCAGTTCACAATGCTAGAGAATGATAATAATAAAAACTCATGGGTTCAAGGGAATAATGGAAAGAGAGAAAAGGGAAGGGGGAAAAGAAGTGTGATAGATATTACAATATCTAACATGTTTGAATCTAATGAATTAAAAGAGGGAGCCATAAATAACGCCGATAGTAAAGATTGGAGCTCGAAGGACATACTATATTTGTATCATGTCTATAAGCTATAAAATTTGCGGGTTCAGTTAATATGTTGAGGATATACAAATTAGGATTAGTAATAGTTGTAGGAATATGTAGACTAGATTGTATATGAAGAGATTATATGATTTAGGCTTCAGTAATCTTGTGTTCAATATGAACAGAATTTGGGTATTCCAACAGGTAGTTATTCTAAATGCCATTGTAGAAGATGATTATTATCAGTAGGATAGGATGCATAGGTAGCCACAGTATTGGATTCAAGGATAAAATTGAGCGATACACGGATAATAACTTGCTGTACTTGTGTTTAAGTACCTGTTAAAAATGTCTAAAAAAGAAAATCTGTTGATACTTACTAGATGCCGAAATAGTAAGGTCATCTAATAAGTTGGAAAGAGCCTTGGCAAAGGGTATATTTGTAAGTTTATATCATTGACTTGATCTGAGGTTAGTGATGCATGATAGTAAGCATGTGAGGAACACATTATCATTAAGAAGTAAAAATGAACGTAAAATAAATTTGGCTTGTAGTATGTGTTACCGTTCTTGCATGGAAGGTATTTAGTTCACATGTCGCATTACTTTTGTTAAAGAGTGGGTGAAACCACCGAAAATTGCACGGAAGCAAGTATTCTGTGTTTGTTCTAATTGTTTATGACGAGCAACAGTGAATGTAAAGATAGTCAAGCTATACTTTATTTAAGGTTATATCTTTTTTTTTTACAACCGTATTGATAATAATTTAGAGAAACCGGATGTAATGATGCCAATATATTTAAGAACTTACATAGAGATATGATCTTGAATAAGTTTTTTGACACTAAGAACATCAGTAGCTTTGAAAGGAATACCAGGACAAAATTAGATATCTTGACAAAATAAAAACGGCCGTATAAAATGTAAGTTGTATTATCATTCTATGTAATAAGTGTTGCATATCATAAAGTAAGTAGTTGATATTAGGTGTCATTGTAGGTGAAAGCTAAGTTATTGTATTTGATATAAAAGTGGATCTAGGTAAAACGTTTGCTTTAATTTTTTTCTGTATTCTACATACCAGATCATTATAATGATTATGGATCACAGTCTTATAACTTAAAAATTCATTAGTAAAAAAAAAGAAAAAAGTCAAGTGAAGGATTCTCTTTTTGTAAAACCTTGTCAAACCATGTTTCATGCTTGTAGTCTTCTTTAATATCACAAGCTTATTTTATTAGGAGACATAGTTTCAAAATGAGTTTCTGAGCAACTTACTTTTTCTTATATTTGTTCTATTTAATATACTTGGCAGATATAAATGATTAGAGTCAGAGGTGTGATATATTGTTATCATTTTAACTAGTCCTTCATAGTAATTCTTCTTGAAGTATACTACAATATTATCATGAGAAGAAGAAGAAAATAACACTGATCAGATTTACAACCCATCGTATTACCTTGTTAGACATTTGTATACAAATATATTCCTCAGGGAGAATTGTATTACAGATTTGATTGATTTAAATCTCTAGAAATAAATTATGATATGGTATAGGAAAGTTTTGGCCGGGGACAATTCATTATAGCATTGATCGACGAAAAGTCGTTGGCAAAGACAGCTCTGACTTGTCAAGTGTATTGCTATCAAGATAGGACAATATGAAAAACCCTAACCAAAGGGAAATGTAATTAAATTCTTTAGATAACTGAAGTCAGTATATTTATTTAATAGGACAGTTTATCATTATGTGAAGTAAGTTCTCAGGCTCAGTACTATAGCTACGATATGTTTCTGCATACTAGTTTCGTTATAAAAAATTATCTGCTATCACAGAGTATCCAAATTATAGTTTAAGGAATAAAAATACAGGGTGTCAACCAATCCATCTTTTCATTACCCTTCCATTCTAAGACTTTCTTTCTTTTTGTTAAAGTAATTTCCATACTATTTTTTGCTTTGCTGATTTTCTCTTCTTTTTTTTTTCTTTTTTTAAAAAAAACAGTAGTGAGATAAACAAGATGTACGAAGGTTAGATAAATTGATTGATAAAAACCAAGGAAATATTTCGAGAAATGTGTCTCTAGCCTACTATAAAACAGCGTCTGATTTATGATCATTGAAGCCCATCAAAAACTTCGTATGTTTAGGTGAAAACTTTCTATTACCGCTACCTTTAAATGAGTTCTTAATATCTAATCACCTTTTACACAATTTTGAGATGCTATTACAACTATTTCAGTTAATTTCTCCTACTACAGTTACTTTAAGTCCTTAAAATATAACATAATTTCTACATTTCTTGAATTTATCCTGGAGCATGCGTATGGTATGTGTCTCTTATGGTTGCATTGTTTGTCTGCTTTTTATTTTTAGGCTTAGGTTTTTCTTTTGGAGATGAGTCTACTACTAGTGCTGGGCTACTTGTAGAAATCTCTCGTCAATAATTCAAGAATTGGCTAAAAGTTATCATCTGTCCATTCTGTATGTACAGTATTGTAAAGACCTGGCACTAAATCATCAGATATATCTATAGGTCTACTGGCTGAAAAATCATTGTATATATTAAAATCATAAAGATACTCTCGAGTGATTAGAAATTTACTCACATTAATATAATATAGACTAATGGAGAAGGCCTGAAATGCGCAATTTGTCGTTATTATATAGTTTATGCTAATAAGCCTTAACATTTTTCTCCTCAATCACAGGGCAAATAATTTTTTTTATAAAATTTTGCTGAAAGTAAAAATTAATCTCCAGAGAACAAATCCTAATAAATAAATAAATAATAATAATTATAACAAAATAGGATGCAAATTCATTCGCAAAATCTAGTATTCATTGAGAGGGGCAATGTAATATAATATACATTGTAATAATATCACATGAACTTTCTTTTGTGTGTGTTTATTTTTTGTTTTTTTTTTTTTTGAGTATAATATCACTATAGTTATTCTGCATTAATGAGCATCAGCACGATGACTAATATATTCAACAGCTTGCTTGGCAGTTTTAATTTCATCAGCCTCTTTATCTGGAATTTCGACAGAGAATTCTTCTTCGATAGCCATGACTACTTCAACTGTATCTAAACTATCGAGTCCAAGATCTTTAATAAAATGAGCATCAAGTGAAATCTATATAATGTTAGTAAGTGAATGCTGACAAATTAACGATCCTCATGTTTATACCTTGTTACTGTCTACTTTATCAAATCCTCTTAAAACATCTAAAACACGAGTTTCAATATCAGCATGTGATAAAGCTCCACTACTATAGAACCGAGCTAAGGAAATGGGTGCAATGCGTTGAGTAGTAGTGTTAATGACACGAAAAGTAGCAGCTCTGTTAGCAGCTTTGAGAAGAACAGTAGGTCGAAACATGTTTAAAGAATAGAGAAAAAAATTAAAAAGCTAAAAAATTAAAAATTAAAAATTAAAAAAAAAAAAAAAAAAAAGCGGGGATGTTCGTTGTATATAAGCCAGGGGCGCACACAACTATGATGATAGCTTGGTATAACACAAGCCACTATTTTATTTCTTTTTTAATCCAAATTGGAATCCATTTGTCTTTTTTAATCCAAAAGACAATTTCTTTGGAGCCGAATTATGATTACTATCATTTTTTGTAAGTAGAGTATTAGCAGCTGGTATTGTAGGTAGTTTAGGATTATTAATCAATGGCTTATTACTTGGAGGTATGGATGCCCATCCTCCTCCAGTAATGCTATTTGAACTCGTATTCTGAGTTATCGTCCATCCTTCAGTACTACTCGTAGTTTCATTACTGTTATTAGGTATGATCCGTTCTCTTTCTGAAGTACTATTACTAGTACTTGTAATAGTAGTATTTGTTACTGTTGGTATGTTTCCATTACTGCTATTATTATTAATACCCGCCTTTCTTTGTATTGCTTCTTGCATCCTTTTTAATTCTTTTTCTTCTCTCTTTCTTTCTCTTGCAAGTTTCTTTTCTCTTTCTGACTGATTTATAATTGAATTTCTAGCACTTTCTTTCATATCCTTGAATCTCTAGAAATTATAATAAATATGTAAGCATCATATGCGTACGAATATATTTGTTTTTTTATTATTATTTTGTACCTTTTTATGGTGATGATCATAACTTTGTAAATGTTGTTCAAATTCACTAATCTTCTTGTATTGCTTGTCGCATAATTCACAATAAAATGCTCTTTTTACTTGTTCTAATTCCTTTTGAATTGCCTGTTTCTTTTGAACTCGTTGTTCTCTTTCAAGTCTTTGTTGTTCAGATTCTTCAAGTTGCTTTTCACTATCGAGAGCTTTTCGCTTTGAAGTAGTTGAAATATGTGTTTGTTGATACTCTTCCGCTTTTCCAACCCCCAAAGAATCATCTTTGACTTCTATACGGATGGGATCGACTCTACCTATGTTGACGTATTAAATTGTAATGATTGTAAGTAATTTTGATTCTTTTTTATATACGCTTGATTTACCTTGGCCTTGAGTTCCTAAACCTTTCCCTTGTGTCCAACCCATTTTTTGTAGCATTTTATAGCCAATATTATTAGATGATATATGTGTTTCCATCGAGACAGGATCCATGGAATCGTCTAATTCAAATAATTTATCTTGTTCAAATAACTCGTAATCATCTTGCTTTTGATTTTATGGAAAGAAGAAAATGGTAAAATAATATTCTAAAAAAAATAGAACCTAACCAAATTCACTAGATAATTTGGCTTTTAGTTTACCTTTGATGATGAACTCATTTTTTTTTTTCTAGTTAAAAGAAACAATTGTTTAAAAAAAAAAAAAAAAAAATGGAATATATTCAAAAGGGTTTCATAACTGTATTTGAAATTAAAAAAAAGACGGTCTACTAAAATAACCGTTTTTTTAAGAGTTCGATGAAATTAATAAAATTACTTTTAAACAACATAAAATAAGCAAGATAAAAATAAGTATCTCTATTTAAATAAGAGTAATCTAACGTTGTAAATAAAAGCAACTAGAATTTTCGATTTTGTAATAAGGAACTGACATAATCGGGCTATTTTATTTTTTGTTTAGCATCGACCATAATATGATTGCAGACTGATCGGCTTTAAGAAGTAAACTCTTCTCCTTTAAGGTATTAAAAATGTCATTCTATCTTTTGATTATTGAGAAGGATATATATATCCATGTTATATTTCTAAATAACTGCTAAAATGGTTCCTCTTTTATGGATGAAGCATTTTAAAGTATAGTTAAAGGATAAATACGTTATTTTTAATGCATCTTCATTATAATCTTATCCTTTAGATTTCTGCAATAGGTAAAATGGCTAAAGATACCCTTCAGTTCTGCTTAAAGATTCTCGTATTAATCTCGATTGTAAACTACTTTTTAGTTTCATGATATATAGGGGAAATATAGCATAATAAGTAACAAATTATTTATTTTAGTATCAATCAAGTGCTGGATAATATCTAATTTGCTTAAAAGACTTGTATTCTAAATAGGCTATACGAATAAAGGTGATAAAAAATAAATAAAATGAAATGAAAATAAGGAATAAAAGAGACTTGATAAATAAACTTTTCCTCTATTAATAACTTTAGGCTTTTTGTTTAGAAGGAGACATGATGGTACTATACAATACAATTATTTTGATTCTGGTACGACAATAGGATACCAATGTAAAAATTTGACAATCTCGATGTCGCACATTAGTTAGAAAGCCTTGATAGAAACGTTACAATATATGTGTATATGTATCTAAGTATGGATATAAATATAAAGAAGATGATCTGTATTGCATTTGCTGATTTAATCGTTTTCATATCTTGTTCTAGTATTGTACTTTTATATAGCGGATATATAGAACTTTATTAAGCATTATCTGAAATCACAAATATATCTTTCTTCATATTATTATCCTATCGTTATAAAAGAGAAACTATATTTTAATATTGTATACAGTTATATAACAAATACAGATGGTTAAGTCTTATAAAATATTACTACTTCAAGGTTAGATACAGCATAAATCAAGTTACACAAATGTGAATAGTATTCAAATACATATTTAATGGTCTTCTATATTATCTGATAATAAAGAAATAGTTGTCGTGCTTAATATCTGATATTAGAGCATTGCTTAATATTAATAGGGTGATCTATATAAATATTTAATAAGGAGAACAAAGATGGTTTTTATTTCATCTTAATATCTATCATTTATGTAATTCTTTTTATATCACATACTATTTCTTGCCTACACGATCTAGTATCACTACTAGTGCGTCAAACAGGAGTGTCATGGTATGACAATCCAGCTTGGATATAGTATTATAAATACAAGTATAATGCAAAATAAAAAAAAAAGAGAGATACACACTTTTTTCAGAATTAATAAAGAACAAAAACTTAATCCAAATAATTATTAGCGTCTATTATATTTTATTATAACTAATTGGAATTACGGTTGTCTCCTTGTAAAGAACACGACACGAAAATTAACATAATAAAAACATTTTAATTTTAATACATTTTGAAAAAAATAAAAATCAAAAAAAAAAAAATTTGCTCAACCTCATTTATAAAGATTAAAAATATCATGCCTTCTGCCAGAATCGAACTGGCGACCTTCTGCTTACTAGGCAGACGCTCTGCCAACTGAGCCAAGAAGGCATTTCCTGGTGTTGTCAATTTAAATAGTAAGTATAAACCCGATTCAACTCTCTGTGGTCACTGCAGATAAAGTCTAATTTCACAATTGTGAAATTAGACATTTCACAAAAAATTTTGAAATTTTGGAAGATTAAAAATTTTTTTATACCAAATGAAAGAGAAAAATTTGCTCATTTTGAATATGTTAATTTTTTTTATTTGGTTAAGAATTGATAGAGATATTAGCATTTAAAGATTTGTTTAATGATTAAAAAATATAACAAATTTTTGGGTATAGTCTTCTTTACTAGAAAATAAATTTAGAATCCCGACATTTTTTTTTCTTTAAATTTCATTGGACAAAAATATTTTTTTTTTTATTTTTTTGAATAAGTCATCAAATATAAGCGTGTGTTAGCTGTGTTATATTCTGAATTCAAAAGAAGTTGAAAAAAGATAATTGTAGCAATAATTCATTCAAGATGAATGTTTAAAATGTAAAGTCAAAGTAAGTCTTTTTTTTAAGAAAAGGTCAAATTATTTAACATTTTCAAAAAAAATTTATTAAAAAAATAATAAAAATTCAACATGTACAGTAATGAGTTATGTATAATGTCAATTGTTAAAATAAAACTTATATTATTACTTTACAATAAATTACTTTATCTAGTAAGATTAATTTGTCGTAGTTGAACATAATGTCAAAATGTCTAATTGTCATTCCAAAATCAGCTTGAATGTAGATGTAAAAATTAAAATATACACTTGTTAAAACAATTAAAAATAATAAAACTATTTATTATTTTTCAAATGTAAGATGCATCTTCTCTTGATTGTTAGTTTTTTTTTTTTTTTCTGAAGAATGAGTAAAAAGAAACTCAATTTTTTAAGTTTAAAATACAGCAATAAATTTAATCGTCTGTAATAAAATTATTTTCTTCTTTTTTTATTATCTTATATTGATTATTAACAATTCAAATTAAATTATAACTTCATTGCAACATGTCCATTCAATTAAACAAAGACCAAAGAGAATGCAAATGCTCAACTTGCTCTCAAAGTGAGTTGGGATATAGGGTTGTCCACAGACATACAGCCCGTATACATCAAGAAATTGATGAAGGTCTTGCAGATGCAAATGCAATTGAACAAAGTAAATAAAAACTATGCATTTCAAATGTTATAATTAATAAATGCAATAATGCTAACTTTTTTTTTTGTTATCGTGTTAAAGATGTTTATGATGCAAATGATGATCTAATTTTTGAAGATAACAATGCCATTGATGCTATTGAATTAGAGGATATGGATTATCTAGAAGGAGAAGAAGATGTAGTTGAATGTATGTATTACCTTTTAAAAAATAATATTGCTATGATAATCTTTATATAAATTATTTATGCTAACTTTTTTATTTATTTCATATATAGATGAAGCTAATGATAACTTTGCAACTAACGATACAAAGTTATTCAACATTAGTGAAAATGAAGCTTTACCTTACTTCATTATGATTTTCTTGACATTCTTCCAAGCCAATAATTTAACCATTACGGCTACAGAAAGCTTGTTCAAGTTCATGAATGCTATACTTTTTCTACTTGGAATTAATTATGCATTCCCCTCTAAACTCCAAACAATTAAATCTAAAATTTCTGCTAATTATGCTAGCAAGGGTATTTATTTTATTTATTTATTTATTTATTTTTTTTTACTAATACTAATTTCTCATTATAATAGATATCAAAAAATATATTGTTTGTGAGAAGTGCAATGCAATTTATGTATACGAGGAAGTTATCGATAATTCGAATACAATTAAAAAATGCAGTAATAGAACACTTCCCTCGTATGCTAATGGAATGAGAGCACGATGCAATCATCCATTAGTAGTTAAAAATGCTAGCAACGATTCGGTCAAACCAATCAAACGTTATGCGTACAACTCAGTAAAGGCAACTTTGATGAAGTTTTTCATGCGCCCTACTTTTGAGCAAAAAATTGAAGAATGGAGAAGTAAAACTGTAATGCCTGGAATGATGTTTGATATCTTCGATGGTCGATTTTTTAAGGAATTCAAGAAGGATGATGAAGACGAACCATTTCTTCAAAAAGAAGGTTCATTAATGTTAAGTTTAAATGTTGACTGGTTTACTCCAACTCAAGGAATGAAATATCACGTAGGTGCCATATATTTGATCATTAATAACCTTCCTCGTAACGAGAGGTTTAAAAAACAAAATATGATTCTTGTTGGCTTGATGCCTGGTCCTCGTGAAGCTGCTCTTTCGGAAATTAACCATTTCCTTCGACCTATGGTGGACGAGCTCCTTGAACTATATGATGGAATAATTATACCTACATATATGGCTCCTAATGGAAGAATGATTCGCTGTGCTTTGGCTTCGGTTAACTGTGATTTACCCGCAGTTAAAAAAGTATGTGGCTTTACAGCTATTAATTCCTTTGTTCCCTGTCACAAATGTGCAGATACCTTTCCAGCCCGTACAGATAATCCAGTCCAAAGATGTTTTTCTAATGTTGATTGTTCTTCTTGGCGTCTTCGAGACAGACATAGCAACTATGAACAGGCACTTTTGTGGAAAAATGCCAGTACAAAATTAGAACGACGAAATATTGAACAAAAATATGGAGTCAGATGGAGTGAATTACATAGATTGCACTACTTTGATATTATACGTTGTAACATTATAGATGGTTTACATAATCTTTATCTTGGTACTGCTAAGAGAATGATTCAGCATTGGATTAAACCAAAAAGCAATGGACAGCATAATATCAGACCTTTTTTAACTAGCAATGATCTTGCCGAAATGGCTGAAGAGGCTAAAAATATAATAGTACCTCCAAGATTTACACCATTAAGCTCAAAAATTTCAGCAAACTTTTCGGATATGAAAGGTGACGAATTTAGATCTTGGATTCTGGTATATTCACCAATTTTATTAAAAGGAAGATTAACTGGTGAACATATGATTAATTGGATGCGATTTGTCGATGCAAATCGTATTCTTGCCTCTCCATCTATCACTCATTACGAGGTTAACCAAGCCCATAACCTTCTGGTTGAATTTGTTAGAACAAATGTTATGCTTTATGGTGAAGATTTTATCACACCAAATATGCATTTTCATTTGCATATTCATCAAACGATTGAAGACTTTGGACCTCTATATTCTACTTGGCTATATAGTTTCGAACGAACTAATGGTGATATCAAGGCAATTGATATTAACTATAAAGAAGGTTTAGAGTTCACGTATATGGAAAAATACATCCAGCAAGTACATATGCAGGATTACATCAACATTTTACCTAGCGTAATTTCTTCTAATCCTGTTATGATGAATACATTAAGACTCCTCCTTCCAAATAATGAACGCCAAGCATATGATACGAATGATGGAAATGAAGATGATATGATGGAAACAGACAATAGTGAAATGCATAGTCCAACTACTTTTGATGTTAGTGCATTTTTGAATAATGCCATTAGTGCCAGCATAGTCTTGACCGGTAGTGAACCACTTCCACCATCAAGCTATCCCATTAAAACAAAAAAAGAAGTATTTATGAATAGTGATCACTATGAATGTCTATTCCAATTTTATTCTTCCGTTTACGGTAATTTCAATGTTCTTAAAATGTCTAATATCTCTTCCTCTTTATCAAGTAGTAGCATAATAGTTAGCAATTTAATCAACAAATTTGATCAAATTAATATACTTGGACAGCAATTTACATCTTTAGAATGCCGAAATCGACGTGGTATATATATTCAAGCAATGACTCCTGCACAAGAAGGTATATTTCGTATCGGCCGAATTCTCTATTTTTTCACACATGAGCTGTCATTTCCAAATGATCATAGCATCTTCAATACGCGCTCTACTAAAAAACACGTTTTTGCTTTTGTACAATGGTATCAACCCTCATCTCAAGAATTCACTTCATTTTATCCACATCATGTTGAAGTTTGGAAGCGAACGTTTGAACCAATTAGCGCTTTATCAATTCTTCCAGTTCAACAGATAAATACGTGTGTTGCTGTTACTACTTATGTTGATAATAACATTCTTGCTATCCCTCTTCCAAGAAGAATAGTTGGTGTCTAATTTTCAACAAATATATACAAATGTATATTTAAATCTAGTATTTCCAAAAACAAGTCAACTTTATTGACACTATCATTCTTTATATACATTAGTCGAACATAGAAATTAATATAATTACTATCATTTTATGAATATTTTTATTTTTAAAATTCTATTTTATTTTTTATTTTTTGTTTTTTATAGTGTTTATAGAAGGAAAGAAAAATTATATAACAGGTAAAAAAAAAAAAAATCAAGAACTTCTAAAGGCCCAATCAGGAAAACCACTTTCTTTCAAGTGAGAAGGGAAAGGGATATCTTCTTCAACATATCTCCTCGTCAAACGGTTGCTTCTTTGAGCTGCTGCCCCGTTTTTACCTTCTGGATGCCTCCATTCATCATCAAGGAAATCCATCAACTGATTAAACTATACAAAATTTGTAAGTATTATATTTATACAAATATACTTATTATTCTAATCATTACCTGTTCACTTCTAAATGCGGGGCGTACGACCTTAATGATCTTACCACCTTCGTCATCCCTCTCGTTGGCGTCTTCCTCATCCGACATCCAACCGGCAACCATTACTTCCTGGAGTCCAGGATATATCTTCTCAATTGCTTCATTTTTGGAAGCAATAACAGCCAGACGACGCGCAAGTTTCTATTAGAACAAATAAGAATAGTATTAATCGAATGGTAATATTGAGTAGGATATAATATAATTATTTTTTTTTATCTTAGAGTATTATATGGTATATAATTACTTAAAATACTTACGGATTCTCTAATATTATTTTTAGCAATTTTGGCATTTCTTACAGCCTTTTGTTCCTCCGACAACTGCAATTCTCTTTTCTTATTATTGAACATGTTGCGAAGAATCTTCTCTAGGGTTTCCCCGCGTATAGGATATTTATGTTTATGGAAGTCAGCAAACGCAGTGAGAGACTCACGAGTCTCTCTGTTTGCCTCATCCATAAACGTCTTGGAGTAGTCGTATTGTTTATCAACTGGCAATCTTTCCAGCTGTCTTCTGATCAACCCCTATTATATATATTATCAGAGATGATTGTAGTAAATAAGAAAAAAAAAATTCTTTCTTTTAACTTTTTTTTTTTAGCAATAGTGTTTAAATACGTACCCCAAGTGCTTTGACATGCTTACGATCATCAGATGCGGATTCATCAACAGCAGGAGGTGCCCTTGATTCTTGCAACTGGATTAAGCTATTGCTTACCATCTCTAATTGAGAGGTAAGCTGCTCAATCTTTTGCTCACAAGTATCAAGGCGAGCAATGAGCATAGCTCGATCCTGCAGCAATTCTTGAATAAGAGCATCCTTACTGCTGGATGTACTATCAGTATCCCTGTTTCTAGAAGGGATACCAATAGGTACTGCACAATTTCTTGTTCTTTGGGCCTTATTAGCTTGGTGAAGACCCAAACGTTCCTCAAGAGACAAAGAACTTGAGACTGTTCTCTTGTTATTCGAATTAACAGGGTTGGCAAATCTGTTATTCATATCGGTGTTGTTAGAGGAGAACATTGTTATACGAATTAGAGGTTAGTGCAAATAAATTTATATAAAATAGTGGAGAAGAAGAAGTTATAAGCAATATCAGTAAATGATTTAATATATGATAAAGATTTATTATCGGCTTTTGTAATATTTATTAAAAATATTTCATCTTTATATTGTTGATTCTACGTTACTACGTGTTTATTAAAGTTTATTAGACAATGAATATATGTATACATATTTATAATATTTCTATGAAATAAGCATTTTATTCAATATTTAGAGAAATATTGACATGTTACCATCATATTTAAAAGTATATTATGCTCTGTATATGATTTTCAAAATTGTTAGATAATTGTTTCGGCGATAAAATACTTAAATAAAACACTTCTCTGTCCGCTTATACAAATGCCTTAATAAGATTTTTTGTTTCTAAAAAAAAACTTTACTTTATTTCCTTTTTTCTTTTTCCTTTTTTTCCTTTATCTTTGTTTTTTCTTTTTTTTTTTCCTTTTCTTCCTTTTCTTCCTTTTTTTTTTTTTTGAATTAGTACTGAGGATAAATGACTTGAAATAATATACAATCCAACTGGTAAGTAACTTAGCACGGCTTGATTATTCCCGGCAAACATGTAATGAGCATGGTTAGCTCTTTATATTTAAAGAAAAAAAAACTATATTCTAATCAATATCTTTTTTTTTCTTTTCAAATAGTTCTACTTTTTTTTTTGGGTCATTGCGTTTTTGCCTTTATAATGACTTGTAGCGAATTGTATAAAACACGTAAGTAATGAAGATAAGGTAAACATAACATAAATATATCTTTATATCTTACTAAAGTTGTTTTAATGATAACATCAACTAAACTTTTTTTTTTGTTTAGGCGTTAAAGGTTTATCTTTATAGCCTTTTCTCTTGTGGTGACCGATTACAAATAAAAGGTAAACAATATAATAAGCATACTAATTATTATTTTAAACGCGTAAAATATTTATTAATCTTTCTTATCTTTTATTTAGGTAAGTGAAAAAAAAACTATTCTGCTTTGGTGGCCGTTAACGTGTAAAGAAATGATAACTTCTTTTCTAATGGTAAGAAACTAAAATATAACCTATTTTATTTATTTTTTTCATTGACTAAATCGTATTTTATTTTATTATAGAAAGAATTCTATTGTGAAAGAAGCTATCTATGGTCCTCTTAATGGCTCTATTACGCGTTATCTCGGTCCATTCCATGGCTTAATTATTTTATTTTTCGATACATATTTTTATATATATTTTTTTATATATGAATATTTTATATATTTTTTATACACGGTTTATAGCCTATTATAAAATACATATTTTATATATCCTAAAAGGAAATAATAAATAAAAATAAAATCGTTTTTTTAAAAAGAATATAAGCTCCATTATCTACTGTATTTTAAAGAAGTGCATAATGTATCATAATACAACGAATAAGCAGACGTTTAATTTGAATGTAAAGGCCAATAAGAGTAAAAGAATGTAAATGAATAACCAAGGTTAAAGAAGCGTAATCCAATAGAAGCTTTGAGTTATGAAACGAAATTTTGTGAAAGGTGATCTTTCACAATTGTGAAATGTTACTGAACTGTCAGGTTTTACAATTGTGAAATTAGATATTTCACAATACTGAAATGTTATTGAAATGTTATTGAAATGTCTAATTTCAGTAACATTTCAGTATACTGAAATTAGACGTTTATTTGCAGTGTAAAGTCTAAAGCAAATCTTTTTTTTTTCAATTTCTCTATTTCCATTTTAGATATGCTCAATGCATGCTAACATATTATTATAGATGATACTTAATAGTTTATAATTATCACATGTCATGTTAAAAAAAAAAGTCGTTTTAAGTATATATAATTTCTATCGTATATTTTCCTTTTTAAGCCTAATAGAGCTGCTTAAACAAGTATTACTTGGAAAGTGTTGAAGGGATATTTGCCGTATTTAAGAGACACTTTTCTGTTTATTGATAGAGAGAAGTCTGTAATGTTTTCAGGCGTTATGCATTTTTTTTTATCTCAATGTTCATTGAGAATATGAGAAGTGAATTTAGGAAGAGAGGAGCGAGCTCGAACTGAAAAAAAAAAAAAAAAAAAAAAAAAAAGAAAAAGAAAAAGAAACCTTCCAGTACAATTTTGCATGCATCCTTCTCCACTACTCATTTCCCGAAAATCAACAATGAAACAATTGACTATCCTGTAACTAGCTTGCAGCTTGTTTAGGTAGCTTACTTTCTGCTTACCATGTATATGTATATATCCTTTTATCTTGAAAGGAGTTTTCATTTTTCCCTTTCTTTAAACTGATAACTTCCTTGCAGTGCAGATTATTTAAGATTGTTGTGTGCTTCTATGCTCATTTAATAAAAAAAAAAATTAATTGTACTACACTTCGCATAAATATGCTACTATAATTCGGTTATTTTTTTTTTTTTTACTATAAATGTAAATATTGGTCATCGTAATATGAAACAATATTTTTATTAATACTTGGAAAGAAAAATACATTTTTTTTTCTATCTTTTTCTTCTTATTATTATTTTGTTAGATTACACAACGTATTACCTAACAAAAAAAAAAAGAAAAAATGACTACAGTGTGTGTTGCATTTAGGGAACTGATTGCCAATATATTGATCATTATGGTAAATATTATGTGTTTACCTATAATGATTTGGAATTGCTTTATGAGCTTTTTCCATGTATGTACTGTTAAAAAGCCGATTGTTCCAAGAGTAGTTGCCATCACAGGTGCAAAGTAAATAAATAAAAAAAAAAGGATGATAAATACTTTATTTCATGTAGAACTAAATTACATCATTTTGTTCTATTTTATTCCCCCCTAGTGCTGGCATTGGTGAAGGTATTGCTCATGCATATGCAAGAGATAAAGCTTCTTTAGTTTTAATAGCTCGTAATAAGGGTAAGGAGAATAACTTTATATATTTTATTATTTATCACTCACACACTCACACTCACACTCACACTCACACTCACACTCACACTTACATACACACACACACACACACATATATATATATATATAGAACGTTTGGAAAAGGTTGCTGAAGCTTGTAAAGAACTTGGCTCTCCTGACGTAAAGATTGTTCAAATGGATGTATCAGATACAAAGGCAGTCGCTGACTTTTTTGATGAAAAGACGGTTGAATATGGTATTGAACTTTTTATTGCTAATGCAGGTGTCTCAACGATTCCTAAAACACCTCTCTTGGATCAAATGGAAAAGATGTTTCAAATCAACCTCCTCGGCGCTCTTGCAGGTGTTAATTCTGTCTTTAAAGCCATGAAAAAACGTGGACGTGGTGGACAAATTGCTGTCGTTTCCTCTGTTTTCGGTTTCCAAGTTCCCCCTACATTACTTAACTATGGTGCATCGAAGGCTGCTTTAATGAGCTATTGTCGTGATCTTCGTGCGTTAGGCAAAGATGAAGGTATCAAGGTAAACACAATCGCTCCTGGTTATATCGCGACTGAAATGACGGCTGCTTTGCCCAGAAGAAATAAATTCTTTTATCTTACCCCCGAGAAGTTTGGTGAACAAATTAAAAAGGGTCTTGAAGATGATGTCGCCTTCATCTCTCTTCCCCTTCATCAATACTTTTTGTTCTCCGTTTCGGCTGCTTTACCTATCTCTGTTAGGCAATGGATTGCTATCGCATTCCATAAAACCCTTGATTCTATCATAAAGATGAATGCCAATACAAAGGAAGAAAAAAAGATTATATAAAGTAAAATAAATAAGTAACAAAGGCTTATAAACACATCGTATTTGATCTTATATTAAATTTGATGGGCTCCTTTCCTCCTCTAACTTTCTCACCCTTCCTTCTTCAAAATAATAATAATAATAATAATAATAATAATATTTACATTGAATTTATTGGGTTAATAATGATTCAGAGAAGGTATATGAATCAAGTTAGTTTAAAAAAAAAAAAAAAAAAAAAAAAAAAAAGGAAAAAAAAAAAAGAAAAAAGAGATATATTATATATATGACTGTATACGAGTGCATAGTATATATGTGTTAGCGTGTGTGTATAAGTGTGTGTATGTATGCATTTTTTTAAAAAAAAAAAAAATAAACAAAAAAAAAAATCTATAATAACAAGAAAATAAGGTTAAGTGTTAGAAAGGCCTGCAATCTTAACTTATATATATATATATGTGTGAGTGTGAGTGTGAGTGTGAGTGTGAGTGTGAGTGTGAGTGCGAGTGCGAGTGCGAGTGTGTATGTGTATGTATATGTGTATGTGTTTTATAAAGGTGGAGGGACGTGGACAGAAGTTGGAATTGAATTAGAGGAAAGTCCGTTAGTATTAACATGATAAGCACCAGAATGCTTTTTTCCCTTCAACATGTTCTTTAATGCACGTAATGCAAATACAGTTAAACCGATACCTGCCCAATCTTCGTCATGGAGGTCACGAAGATCACCTACAGTCATAATATCTTGATTCTTTAACTTATTTGCCCATTCATGCGCTTTCTCTACATTTCGATGACTGGCAATGGCACAGTCCTTTACAAATAATTCAATATCAGTATCATCCGTATATTCTATAGAAGAGAGTAAAAAGAAGAAAAAAAATTTTTTTTTCAAAATTAGATCATTCTTCTTTTTAAAGATACTATATGTAGCATTACCTTCCAAAATACGAGATACAAGCGCTTCACGACAAGTTGGAGCAGTTAAAGGAGGAGGAGAAGGAGAATCAAAAGAGTTTTCAGCTCTTTTTATTGATTCACTTCTAATAGTTCCATTACTTCCAATAGAGACAGCACTTAATGGTCCATCATTATAAACAGTCTGAAGACGAGCAGTAGTGGCAGTACTACTACTACTACTACTAGTTGTAGAATTCATTGTATCTGGACGTTTAAGACGAGAGGTATCAATTCTCAAGTCGTGATCAAAACGAATGTTCTTCTTCAAGGTCTCCAATTGTTCTGCAGATAAATGCTGAGTTTGTTTAAGTTCTTGTATACTACGCATTGCTTCACGATATCTATTTTCAGCAGTACGAGCCCGAGTTTCAAAGTCATCACATCTCGATTCTACCTCTAATACATGTTCAGCAGCTCGTTCTAATTCTTCACGTGTTCTTTGAAGCTCAGAACGAATATCGCTTTCTCTTCTCCAAATAGATTCTTTTATTTGATCATTTTGATCATTCTCATTGCCCTTATTACTTGGTTTTTCCATATCTCTTAGTATACGGTTAATTTCCTTTGTAATGTGATGTTGATATCTTTCGGGTAAAACTTGTTCTTCAATCTTATGAATATAAATAAGAGTATAGTATAAGTGATGAAAGTAAGATTAATGGGGGGTGTACAACACATATTTACCATTTCACGAACCACTTGCTCAGCGGTATCTGTTTCCACATTAAAATCAAATTTTACAGACAGTTTATCCATTCCTTTAAAAATGACTTGAAGTGTAAGATGAACATGAGCGGGATCTGCAGCAAGTAAAACAATATCAGGTTCAACAGCAAGAAAAGTATGTTCAAGGATTTCTTGGGCTGACATTCTTTCTTCTTCTTTTCCTAAACAATTTTCAATAATCTTACGAACTTCCTCATTTTGAACTTCCATTAGACTAGCCGGTTTAACACCCTAACGATAGATGATAAAGCCAATAAGTTATAATAAAAAAAAACAAAATAAAAAAGACAGCAACTTACAGAAGAGACTTTTTTATAAATTTGAGCTGCATTTTTACATTCACCATATGGATAATCTCCAGTGACCATTTCCAAGAGACACATACCAAAGGCATATATATCGACTTTTTCATTATAACCTTGCTCTTCATACATCTCGGGGGCCATAAACTCGGGTGTACCGATGATAGTATATTTCTTACCCATCTTCATTTCAGCAGTTCCCATATCACCAATCTTGACTTCACCATGAGCCCCATTAATAAAGATATTATCACATTTAATATCCCTATGAATGATAGAGGGATTATAACCATGTAAATAAGCCAAGCCCTTTAAAATTTGACGAGACCATCGTTTGACAATTTTAATATTAGGTAAATTAAGTTTACGAATATATTCTCGAAGTGTACCAGACGTCATAAGTTCAGTAATAAAGACGAATTCATTTTTTTGATACCAAGCATCATGAAAGGCAATAATGTTTGGATGACGTACTGATTTTAAAATACTAATTTCATGTTCCATTTCTTTGTTGTCAATAAATTTGGTTGCCTGCATTGTATTCCAGGCCACTTCATAGCCCTCTTCCCGATCGACAGCTTTATAAACAATCTTATAAGCACCTTTACCTAAAAGTGTATTTAAACGAGCATAACGTTCATTAGGTGATGTTTCAACCACTTTTTCAGCATCATGGTAACGAGATTGGTCTATAATATCATTTGTATAAGCTGCAGAAAGACCGCCCGAACGACGTTGTTGAAAGTTAGCTGTCTTTTGATGCATAGAATGATAGAAGCCATCATCCGATTCGTTATAATATCTATGTTGCTGTTTTTCCAGTGGATCATCGTCATAATGGACGATTTCATCTTCAAAACTGACAGATTGAGAACCTGACATTATTGTTTAACAAGAAGAATAAAAGTCCAAAAATAAATAAATAAATAAAAATAAATAGAATATGTATAAATGTATTGTACAGATAATTTTAGATGCCTTTTTTTTTTTTTTTTTTTTCTCTTAAAAAATAAAAAAAAAGAGTAGTTAGGTGATTTTTTTCAACTAATAATAATTATACTAATAATAAAAAAAAAAAAAAGTTTAATCACACGCTATATATTCAGATGCCTTCAAATAATAATAAAAAAATTTATGGCTTGAAACAAAAAAATTTCATTGGACAAGCTACTTTTGGTTTAATTAAACCTGCCCGGAAAGAAGATAATTTGGAACGGGTGCATTATTAATAATTTCTTATTTTGAATGTACATGGATGAAAAAGATAGTAACAAACTATTAAATAACTAATACATGATAAACTGTTCATTATTAGTATTTCTTTTTTTTTGCTCTTGAAAAAAAAAAAAAAAAAAAAAAAAAAAAATGTTACTCTACGCGAATTATAAAAGTTTTTTTATTTGTCAAAGAAGTTGTGTCGAGGGATCAAGCCAATAGAAATTGATAAGAAATTTTTTATATTAAAGTTAGAAACTCGAGGAAAGGAAAAGACTACTAATAAAGAGAGAATAAGAGGGAGAGGTTCCTTGTCGTTTCTAATATTAAAGTTAAATTCAAAAGTGAATAGAATCTAACAATTAACTAGATTAATACGCTAAATGGGTTAAGTCTGTCATAAACCCTGTTGTAAGGAATTGTTCAAATGTCTATTTAAACATGTAAGATTGATGTAGAAAAAAGAAAAATAAATAAATGAATAGTCATCTGAGCATAGTTGTAAAAAGAAATTATAAATGTATCAGCAATACAGAGTTCTTTCTTAAAAAAAATATATACACATAGTGTATTTTGAGAAACTAAAGGTTCTCCCTACTATTAGACTGCCCTCTTAGTTTGTTAGTCATCATTTAGTATAAACACTTGGCACGTCACTTGCTTTTGGACTCTAACGTCTTTGACAGGAATGAGGAGTGACGGGAAAAGAAAAGAAAAATAGATAGAAAACTTTAAATTAAGCAGACCATTCTGGAAAACAAAAATAAAGTTAATATATCAAACTAATATTTTCTTTTATTGAAATAGAAAAAAGAAAAGGGTATTAAAACTGTAGACATATATTCAATACAAAAAGAGTATAAAAAAACAAGGCTATTTGCCCATTATATTAACACAAATTAATAAGGACATATTCAAAGGCTTGTTTTCTAGTCATGAAGCCAATATCACTTGATAATTTAATTTATTAAATCTTCCATGTGTTCATGTCGCTGCTTTATTGAAAAAGAGAGAAAGAGAGATGGAGAGAGACATTTAAGTCCTTGAGACATATACTAACAAAAAAAAAAGAAAAAAAAAAAAGAAAAAAAAATATACATGCAAATTTAATGGAAAAATAGAACAATTGTGTAGTAAAGCTCTATAATGTATACAATACATTCAAACTATCAAACAATATTTTTGAAATTATTCTTGTTTAATTATGTATGTAATATATCGTTGCTTACATTATTATAACATTGTTTAGATAGCTCATTATTGCACTGTATCTCAAATTTTCCTAATTTGGTATTTTTGATTGCTTAGTTTGATCACATGCATTATAAGTTTGATGACTTGTAATGCTAGTATGTTTCTCTTATTTCTATTTGAATACAATAGAAAAATAATAACAATAATAAAGTGTGTGATAAATACACTTTTCTTATCTTATCTTCTTTTCTTCTTCTTTTCTACTTCTTCTTCTTTCCTTTATACATAAAAAAAAAATGTCCTCAATTTTAAAATTAAATATTATATCAGATACAGACGTTATAAATACTTTTATTGATGGCAATAGTATAATACCTAATGAAAGTTATGTTATTTCTGGCAGAGTTGAAATTGAATTAGCACATCCAATACAGATTCGTCAGCTTATGGTAGAATTTAAAGGGAGAATTGAATGTATCATTACTTCTTCGGATTATTTTCAAGATAATACATATAACACAGCGTGTAAAGATGAAATACCCCTTGGAAAATGGTTTACTATCACATCCAATAATGAATTAGGCTTTATTGATAAAATAACACGAAAGGCAGCTGGTCAGAGTAAATGTTTTATCGATATTTGCCATGAACAACTTATTCTTCTAGACGAACCAGAGATATTAGACATAGGGAAAAAGAGTTGGCCTTTTTCATTAAAGATTAATAATGTTCATCTTTTACCACCTTCTCTTCTAACACCTCATCATACAATTCAATATCTACTTTCTGCTAATATTAAATTAAACTCATTTCGTGAAAGATTTAAAATCTCTTATTGGAATGCTTTACATATCAATAATCGCAAAAAACTGAAGGGGGGAAATTCATCTCTTATTTCACCTATAATAACGACTGTATCACAATCATCGTCTCTTCATCATCACAATAATCGACTTCCCTTCACTGTAATAGAAGATACCAGTAACAACAACAACACGGTTAATTATTACTTAAGAAACAACAAACGACAATTACTTCATGTAACCAACATGATTCAAATATGTCGACATACTTATCCAAGTCTTTATTCACTTTACTCTGTACCTCGAGTCCGATATCGTGGTTGTCGACAGGGCCGTATCCAGTATGAAGTAGGCTTATCTAAATTTACCTGCTTACAGAAAAGGGGATTTCCTTTTGTTTGCACTTTTAATTCAATTAGTGAAGATGCTATCATTGACACATTAGAATATTATCTTGAGCAAACTGAGATATATCCGTAAGCTGATAATTATTGCTTATATGTATATATGTATATCTGTATATGCATATACTATTTGTATTCATTTTTATGTAACACCTTTTTTTTTTTTAGGATTCGAGCTGGGAACTTTAATTTGATGTCTAAATATTCACCTGATTCTATGATAACTCGACGTCGAAGATTCTCTCGTAAAGTATTTACTTTATATATTAAGAATTGAAATCATCTAATTCATATATGTATATAGGTACTAAACATGATATGAATAATTATAGAAACGGAGAGGAATTAAGTAATATATATATATATATATATAATACATATACTTGTCATAACTTACTCTCCTTATGTAATAGAATTTATACTGCCTTTAAATTTACCACATATTGCACCACAAATTCAAACAGATATTTTACAAATCAGTCATAAATTACGTTTAGCTATTAAATTTAAAGATAGGAAAAAAGAAAGAGATATGTCACTTAGTTTTGTCTTAAATTTGGGTACAGTTCCGGGCTCATATTCATCAAGCAACCATCCTTCTTTATCAGCGACGAACGCTATACATGTACGGCATGAATTAGTTAATCAATGGCCTCTAATAACCTCAGAAGAAGAGCAACAGTCACCTTTATGTTATGAGGAACTTAATAAATTACCAAGTTATCAAGAAGTAATCCTTGAGGGAAGTCCCCCTTCTCCTTTCTTGGAAGATCATTATTAACATTTACATATTCATTATTCCATTCTATTTAAATATGCATCCATTCATTAAACTATATACGCATTACCATATATATAAAATACGTTGATTAATATCTTTATACGTTAAGGCATAATTTTAATTAAAAGTAAAATTCACTCTTTATTAATTTTTAATATCATATTCTCTGCGAAAGAAATTGACGATTATCAATCATATAAATCACCCAGAATCTTAACTCTAACGTTATCTCTCTATCTATCTCTATCTCACTTTCTCTCACTTTCTCACTTTCTCATTTTCTCTCACTTTCTCTCACTTTCTCTCTCTCTTTTTTTTTCTGTCCCTTATAATACATTCACTTAACATCTTGTTACTTTTTTCTTTACTTTACTTTATATGCATACATATTCAAGTACTGCATTGTAAGCTTCTTGATACCTTTTGGAAATTTATTATAGTAAAGAAGTTTAATATAAAAGATTATCAAGGAGTCAAGATTCTTCCGAATATATCTCATGACTCACATTTGAACTTTTTTTTTGGAAAATAAAAAAAAAACCAATGAGAAAAAACTATCCGTGTTGTTTAACTGCCGATCATAGCCTTTATTTACCCTTTAAAAGGCAACAAACTCCTTTTCTGAATAATGATATACAAAGTCAATATGATAGGGTCTCAATTAAATTCATTATTATAATAATGTAAAATCTCGGTGCATATAAAGGCTTCCTATTTATAGTTTCTTTTTAATTATAATTATTTATTTATTTATTTTCATTCATTCTTTATTTTTTCTTTTTCTTTCTCTTTCTCTCTTTTATTATCATTATAATGCAAAAATCTTCTTATGGAACCATTAAACAAAATAATCTATTATTAACAGCAGCAGAAAGAGATCTATTACAAGCTGATAGACCAGGTTATGGCACACGTTCAAAGATAGAAAGTGCTTTTAATTTGGTGAATTCCACGGTAGGAGCTGGTATTATTGGTTTACCCTTTGCAATTTATCTAGCCGGTTTTTGGACAGCTATTTTATTATCTGTTATAGTTGCGATTATTTCACAATTGGGCCTTCATATGCTTGTTGTATCCGGAAAACGGGTAAGAGCTTACAAGTTTGCAGTTTTGATGGAGTATGTCTTTGGACGACCAGGCTATTATTTTTTGAATTTCTTGATCCTTGTTCAAGCCTCAGGTGCTTGTGTTAGCTATTTTATATGTAAGTCAAATTAAATTCATCCTGTCCTATTCTTCTATTGTTGTACTCATCTATTATAAAAAGTAATTGGAGATACAATTCCTGTATTGTTACAATTTTATTTCCCTCAATACAAAAGTATGACAGAAAGGTCATTTGTCATATCATTCATTGCAATCTTTTTGTATGTTTGTTTTACCACTTTGTCATCAATGTCGTTGTTGTTGTTGACCTATCGTTTTTTTTTTCTTTTCAATAATAGGTTTTCCCGCTAAATTTGTCAAGGTCTATTGGCTCAGTTGCAAGATGGTCGATATTATCAGTTCTATGTTTACCACTTATTTTAATTACATTACTTATTCGAGCACCTGCTTATGCAAAATCACATGAAGCACCATTAGATTGGAAGGGTCCTGATATCTTTGGCGCTCTCGGGATTCTAGCATTTGCATTTGCATGTTCTCATGTCTGTTTTAGTGTATTCTTGAGTTTAAAAGATCAAACAATTAAATCATGGACTATAACCACGACTCTTGCTTCTATCATGAGTTGGTTTTCATCTATTTCCTTTGCTATTATCGGATACCTTAGTTTCGGTAAAGATGTACAACCTAATCTCTTTTTGAACTTTCCTGATGATGACTTCATTGTCAATATCGGTCGATTCCTTCTTGGTTTTAGTATGATTTTAACTATTCCGTAAGTCTTATTCGTCTATGTTTATATATGTATTTATGTATGTTTCTATTTTACATAGTATGGGATTTTATCCAACAAGAGAAGCAGTTCAAAAATTATTAGGTTTTGAAACTGCCACTACACAGCCTAATCATATTCAACATCATGTAGTAACAATCCTTTTATTCACTATCCTTACCATACTGGGTATCGTAGTACGTTCTCTAGGTAAAGTATATGCTTTAATTGGTGGATTTGCTGCCACATTTTTGGCCTATATTCTTCCTGCTATGGCATGTCTGATCACAAGACGTCATCAAACGACCTCATCATTCAATAATACCCCCATCTTAGACGATGCAAAGACCCCATTTGTCGATAGTTATCATTCTACTACAACAGCTTCATCATCATCGACGACTAGAAGAAGTGAACAGAAACAAGTAGGAGAGGAGGAAATTAGGAATGAAGAACGTATTGTTTCAAAAGAGGATCATGATCTTAAATTTGGTCTATTGGATGCATCTGCCATTTTTTTAGTTATTTGGGGAATTGTGGTGATGATCTTTGCAACTTCCGGCGTCTTTAAATAATGAAAATCTATACTCTACTTTCCCCCTTTTTTTTTATTTTATTTTTCATATTTCTCCTCTTCTTCCTCCTTCTCCACCACCTTCTTGCTTTTTTTTTTTTTAACTGTAAATAGTCTAGACATAGACGTACACTTATCCCAATATACCTTCAAATATAGTGCTGTGTGATATATTTATATAAATGATAATAAATACAAGATAATAATGACTCTACGGTTGATTTGTATTGTTGTTGGGAGAGGAGTTTTTCATTTATTTATTTTATTTTATTCATATCAAATATAATCAAAGCTGTCCACAATCTACGATAGTTACACGTTTTGAAGTTTTTCCATTTGATGATCCACATTTCTCCATTTCGCGTACTACATTCATACCTGACAAGACACGTCCGAAAACAACATGTTTCCCATCTAACCAAGATGTCTTTTCTGTACAAATAAAAAATTGACTACCATTTGTGTTAGGTCCTGCATTAGCCATTGATAAAATACCCTAAAACATGAAATTTATTAATATCTGCTTTATACAGTTAAAAAAAAAACTTACGGGTTCAGTATGTTTTAAGACAAAATTTTCATCTTCAAATCGACCATCATAGATTGATTTACCCCCTGTACCATTCCCCTTTGTAATATCACCACCTTGACACATGAATTGAGGAATAATACGATGAAATACAGAGTTTTTATATCCAAATCCTAATTCACCTGTACATAATGCTCTGAAATTTTCTAAAAATTGAATAACAAATAGTTTAATATGATCTTGTAGTATTATTTAATAATGCAATTACTTTACCAGCTGTCTTGGGCACTACATCTCCACGAAGCTATTAATTACAAAATAAATATATATATATACTTGGCATTTTCCTAGTCTTTAAAGTCATTACCTCAATTTCAATACGACCTGCTAATGAACCTCCAATTTGGATATCTAAATATACACGAGATTTACCACCTTTAGACGGAGCAGGTTTTACATGACTAGCTTTATTGTTATCTTCATCCTCATCTGAAGTATTCTCTGGTGCATCTTTCATTTCTTTATCCTTATTATCATTGTTACTATCTACACCAGCATATTTCTGTAACCAAGACTCTTCCGTCCAAACTATATGATGATGATGATACTCAGTAAAAGAAAAGGTAGAATTCATCTTGTTTAATTATTACCTGCACGATTAGATGTGGCTGTAACAATATGAGGATTGGCTAATTGTACTTTGATTACTTTGCCATTCAATTCTGCTAAATGCATATTATCAATAGCTGCTTGACAGTCTTCAGGTAATTCAAATTCAACAAAACCGAAACCCTTATGTGTATTAGTTGCTAACAATTTAAAATACAAGAATGGTTACTAATGTATTCTTGCTGCAGTCTTTAAAGAATATATGTATATATATATATATATATACTAATTAACATACAATCATTTGATGTATCTAAAGGTATTTGGACTGCCACAATTTCACCAAAAGGAATAAATGCAGCATGTAACATGCTTTCAGTAATTCCTTGATCGAGACCACCTTAAGAATATATTTACTATTATTATTATTGTTTTTTTTTTTTGCCCGTTAATTATTTAATCATTAATCTACCTATATACAATGTAGTTTTATTATCTTTAGAAATATTAACAGCTGCCATTATAATACAATATAAAAGAAAGAAAGAAGCAATACTTCAAAAGATGGAAAAAAAAGGTCGAGTCACAGTCATTTCTACAGTAATTTTTTTTAAAAAAAAAAAAAAAAAAAAAAAAAAAAAAAAAAAAAAAAAAAATTGAAACGAATTACTGTTAGTTTTTTGGACAAGTGCGCATTACAATTTAGACAAATTATCTATAGATATCTGAATCACTATTACTAGCAAAACCGTTTCGTCTACGGTGATTTCTCTCTGAAAGACAGCAGGTCTATCGAAATGCAGTTCTTGATCTAGGCTTGATTTCTCTGTCAAGTATTGCTATGGCACCTGACATCTGGCCTTTTACCCTAACCGTATCCGATATTCTTCATTCCATCACACAAACACAACGAGAGGTACAGAAGGAGAAGGGCTTGAATTTGGCTTTTTTTTTTTCCATTTTGCTGGTGTAGTTTTATATTTATTATCGTATATAATTTGTGAATCCTTTTTGTCCTCTTGTATCTTCTCTCTTTTTTCTTTTTGTTCTTTCTTGTATTCAGTCTTTTGGCTTTATTGCACTTTTTTTTTCTTTATTAAGTAAGATATTGGTCATCTCTTTATTCGACCTTTGTCTGCCTTGATAATCATTGAAACAAAAGGGTTGCAGACCTTTCATTGTAGAACCTGAAGATTTGGGGACACATGTTTGAGAGCATATAGTATATAATTGGTCCATTTTTTTAATGTTGATGGTTTTTGCTGAAGGGGAATTTGTCTCGATGATTTTTATCCTAGCTTTTAATTTAAGTTTTTCTTACATGACAAGCCCTTCATCTGGCTCGGGCAACACAGCACACCAGATTGCTATCTACCCACCCACTCGCCATTTGAAATTCGAGGGGAAAATAAAAAAAAAAATCCTAATTATAAAAATTTAATAGCACAACCTCTTTTTTTAATTACCACATAAAGCAAGTCACGAGCTTTTCTTCATTCTTCCATCTACATATACATATTTTTTTTCCCTCTACTAACACTGCAATGCTTTTTTATTCTATAGTATAAATTCTTTTTTTTTTTCTTTTTCCTTCATATAATGCCAAGATCCCCAACACCAGATAGATATCGAAAAAGAGAATACCGCGATCTTGATGCACCCCGTTCAAGATCACGTTCATATTCTCCACCTAGAAGACGAAGAGACGATAGTTATGATAGATATAAATATGACGGCCGTAGTAGACGTAGAGAAGATAGCTATGATAGATATACTCGTGGACGCTCAAGGTCGAGTCGATCCCCTTCAAGAAGAGATAGACGAAGTGATAGAAGCATTGAGCGTAGGGGTAATGATCGTGTTTAAGATTGTAAAGCATTTCTTTTCTTTTTTTTTTTTTTTTTTCTTTCTTTTTTCCTCATTCCCTCTCTGTCTCTCTCTCTTCCCCCCCCTTCTACCCACCCACCCACTTTTAAATAAAACTAAAATACTATTTATAAGATAGAGGTAGAGGTAAATATAAAAGTCGTAGTCGTTCTAAATCACCCTCTTACCGTCGTCGACATTCCTCTGAGGATGATAGACGAAGAAGAAGAAGAGATGAGAAAGAAAAGGAAGAAGATGAATCTGTAGAAGAAGATGGAGAAGAAAATATCGATGAGGAAGAAGATGAAGAAACTAAAATGATGAAATTAATGGGATTTGGAGGTTTTGATACAACCAAAAATAAGAAAGTTCCTGGCGCAGATGTATCTGGTGCTAAAATTCGTAAGCCTTTAAAATATCGTCAATATATGAATCGTAGAGGTGGATTTAATAGGTAAATGTCAAATGAAATATATGGTTCCATAATAAGTAATGTGTGTACTTGACATCTCTTTTTTTTTTTTTTTTTTTTTTTAGACCATTGGATGGTTGATAATAAGAAGATATTCTATTATGTAATATTTTCATTTTGGGATTACAGATAAAATAAAATAAGACTTGACTCTCCTCCCCTCCCCTTTATTTGACAATAATAAGTCTATTTATAGTAATGCATTATTATATCTTTATTTTAATCAATTCTTTCTTCCTCAGTTAATTTCATTTATTTTATTTTATTTTATTTTTTCAATTATATTTGATTCTGCTGTATTTGATGTATTAGTACGATTAAATAATTGTCCAGATCTGCTCAATAAAATAATAGGCAAAAAAGACACTAAAATCGCTTGTAAAAAGACACAAGGTAAAAAAAAACGAAAGAGAGAGAAAGAGATGAATTAGGAGAAAATGTCAATGAAAATTATAATAAGGTAATAAGAAGAACACACTGGCGTCGATTATTAAAACGACCCAGCGCAACAGTTTAGAATCAGGATTTTCAATTGGGAGGGGTAAAGTTATGATGAAATAGATAATCTGATTCTTGAAGGATAGTACATAATTCAGGCTAGAGGATATTCCATACGAATTCCATATCGTGAGGGACAAGGCGGTTTGGTAGGCAACTGGCTCAATAGAAAGGAGATTGGATTAGCAACTGAGAGAGAAAGATAGAGAAGATGATGCATGTGTAGACAACAAAGTAAAACAACATTTGATAAACTTTTTTTTTTTTTTGGTTTAGGATAATAAATACAGGATCGAGGTTCATCGCTTGGTAGCCAACGGATAGGATATGACTTTGTTCGACAGATGATAATAATAGGTAGCCGCCAACGAATAGGATTGGGACGACGACACACATTCAATAGTTTGGTGTTAGAATGCAGCAGTACAACGATTATTAAGATCTTTTTTTTCTTACCCAGAAACTAGTGACGGTATGAGTTAAACATAGAGTAATTCAAATCTTCTATACAATACAGGGCGCACATCTTGTCCATGACGGGGATTTGGTAAGGCGATATCATTGTGAGGCGCTGGAGGAGTTGGTAGTAATTTATTTTATTTTATTTTTTTTTAAAAAAGTGTATCACTTGGTAAACACAAAAGAATTGGGGAAATATATTGGGGCTTGTAGGATTTAAGTTTTTTTTTTTTGGCATTGTAGGTTGATTGGTTAAATAGAGCATAAGCTTAATGGAGGACTTAGAAGAGCTACCAAAGACACAACTGAAACATATATGTTGACAAGTGTCAAGCTGTTTGAGAAGTTTTATCATTCATATTCTAAACTGAGGGCCTACTATTTGTAAATAGAAACGCACAACCAGCCAGCAACCGATCAAAACCTTTTTTTTTGGATTAAGACCAATAGATGCTAATTGATTCATAGTTTGAAGAGCTTTAGTGGCATTACTTTCGACTAAAACTACAGGATCCAAGTATTTGCCTGGTTTAATGGGTACACCAAGATATAGAAATGAACCTTGTCGTTTCAACAAAGGACTATCAGTTAGGTTATCTTTTTCTCTATTTGATTTAAATATAATATCCATTATGCTTTTATCTAAAAATAAGTTTTTTTTTTTTCTTTCTCTTTTTGTTTATGTGTATATTATATTGCTTACTTCAGTATTATTCATATTGATTAATGCAGCAATTAATAAGAGAAGTAAGTTAAGCTTTAATAGATGGGTTAACCTAATTATTGAAAGGAAGTGATAGTTAACAACTGAAGAAAGTATTCGTTTATATATGAAGGAAACTTATTATCCAAAATTACATATTAAGTTTAAGGGATATCATTATTATGTAAAGATAACTATTTACGGACACATATACATTATACAGAGATATTATAAATAGGAAGGATAATGATGTACTCTTTATAAAAAGTGCATATTTTTATGTAATAATACTAGTTGCTATAATATATTTGAATAATATTACTAATTAATTAAGTTTGTATTTTTTTTAGTGACTTTAATAAAATATTACTGATAAATGATGATGCACAGATGGCTGCTATTGCTTAACTATATTTTTGCTCATACATATAAACTGCAGAAATAGCTCGAGTGAATAGTATATAAAATAATGAATCAAGTTGTCTATATACCATGTTATGAAACATCATGGTGAAAAGTACTGAAACATGAAAATAATAAAAAGAATGAGATATAATAGCTTTTTATATAATTATTGAAAAACAAAAGAAAAAAAAAAGAGAGAGAGAGACTCAGTAGTATTACTTTAATAAGAAAATTTATTAGTTAAATTGCTGTGTTTCCCTTTTTTTTTTTCTGCTATTTACCATGGTTACGGGTATCCACTGATATGTAGGATAAATTTCCGCTTTTTTTAATATCTTTTTATTTTTTTTAAAAAAAAAATTTCATTTTTTTTTGTTTTTTTCTGTGAAAAAAAAAACAAGTTGATCTTCAAAACATTTAAGAAATGTCTATTCAGTTAGATCTTGATGATGTTATTACCTTTGAACGTAAGCTAAAAACACATGAAAAACAACTTCTTTCCTTATTTAAGAAAAAACTGATAATAGGTCCTTTAACACGTGTTGTGAAGCAGAATATTAATATTAGGAACCCTCATTCTCAACCTATTACTTTTAAAGTTAAAACAACAGCTCCTAAATTATATTGTGTTCGTCCAAATGCAGACATTATTCAGCCTAATCAGTCTATTACCGTCCAAGGTATTTTAATCTTTTTTTTTTTCCTTTATCTTATTGAATGTTTTTTAATTTACATGTTTTTTTTTTTCGAAAGTCATGCTTCAAGCATTTAAAGAAGAACCTCCTTTGGACGTTAAATGTAGGGACAAGTTTTTAATTTTGAGTGCTTTTATTCCAAAGGAATTCAATAATGCCAGGTTACAAGAAATAGTAAGTAAATATATATGTATATATACAATCACCTAATCTTTTTTCTAATCTAAATATTATTGTAAGTGGTCCCATCTTGAAGCAAATGAAAAACAAAACATTTATCAACATAAGTTACGTTGTAGTTATACTCAACCTGCTTCTCAAGAATCACCAAATCCTCCTGCTGAAGCACCTATTCAAATAATTGATACTGAAGAGATCACTGAGGATGAACCTGTTACTATGTCTAATACTCCAAATGACAACGCAAGTATTATAATTTATATTGAGTTCTATGATTATATAATCTTATTTTTTTTTTTTTTGCTCTTCTTGCTTTAGATAATTGAAAATAATGATGAACAATCTTCTCAAGTGACTGAAAAGATGCGCCAGATGGAAGAGGAATTAAATAAGTATAAAAAAGAGATAGAGAATATGCGTAAGGTAGAACCTGTTGTTGTTGAGAAGGTTCAAGTTAAGACAACAGGGTATCCTTTAAGTGTACTCATTTTAGTTTCACTACTAATCGCTGCAATTGCTTACTTTATTAAAACAAAAGAATAAGCCCTTCCACGAAAAAAAAGAGCTGTTTGAGGATTATTGAGTTTATACTTGATTAATATATATTTATATATGTATGTATGTAATGTAAAAGGAAAAAAATAAACAGCTATTTTTATGTAGAAGTAAAATACATACTGTAACTTATTAACTTACTGCAATATTTATTACTTTTTTTTTCTATTAATATAAGGTCATATTGTAAAGTGTAAAAGCTAGATACGCTTTCATTATGCAATTACAATAAAATAGAGTGTTAAGATCTATGTTTATTTTTATTTTATTTTTTTCTAAGCCTCCTTCGGAGAATGGTACTGGCGGAGCGCGTATAGTTTTATACAGAACAAATATGCATTTCTTTTTTTTTTTTTTTTCTTAATTTCTAATTATTTTTTCATTTACTCCACATTTTTTTTTTTTTTTGAAAACACGCTATGCCAAGTTTAGAGAAACAAGGAGAAGGAAAAACATACATCACTCTTCAATACCTGTCGAGATTAGCATTATGGATATACTTTCGTAAAATTCAAATTATTTGTAGAACACCTATTCCTGCTGAAGGACCTTTATTAGTAGCAGCCAATCATTCTAACATGGTATTAGATCCCATCGTGTTAATTGCGACGTTTCCTCACTCAAGACCTTGTCATTTTTGGGCACTTGATCGTTTCTTTCGAATTCCTCTTGTTGGAAAAATATTGGAAGCAGCTGGAGTATTACCAGTAAACACGAAGACACATAGTAATGCTGCATTATTTAAACATACATTAGAATCTCTTGATCAAGGTGCTGTTGTTGCTTTATTCCCTGAAGGTAAAGAGTAAAAAAAAAAAAAAAAAAAAAAAAAAAAAAAAATAGATAAATCAATTAATACACGTTTAATAACAAAATTATTATGTAATAGGTACATCATATACAGCGCCTAACCACTTACCTTTTAAAAATGGCATATCCTGGGCTAGCTTTGAGTATCTTACGCAAATAGCTAATCGAAATATAGAAAATGAATCTAAAAGTATATCAATTATTCCCGTCGGTATTACATACACTACAAAGAATAAATGGAGAAATGAAGTCATTGTAGAGTAAAGTATGATATATATGATGTATACAACTATTAATATTAAGCCTTTTTTGTTTGTTTTAAGATATGGTGATCCTATTATTCAAACTTTTGATGAACTTGAAAAATTCCAAGAAAATCCTAAAAAGACAGTTAAATATTTGACAGATCGTATTGCTAAAGAAGTTGAACGTAGTACGATCAATAGTCCAGATTGGTAATGATGATGATGATGATGATGATGATGATGATGAGAGAACACGAATAAATAGATTTAATTTATAGGGATACAACAAATGCTGCAAACGAAGCAAGACTTATTCTATTTGGAGATAATAAAAGTATTCAATTAGAGGAATATGTGCATATATGTCAAAGGTATTGTTATGCTATTTTAACGTCTAAATTCTAATAGACCTATTCTAGTTTTATTGCATTATTTAATCTTAATAATACGACTGGATTGTATTTTGCAGAGCGAAATGAGCTTAAAGAAAATCTGCTTTTAATTTCCAAAAAATTAAAAAGTCTTCGGTTAAATGCTTGTGACATTAGCATGTATGAGAATCAAGAGATTACAAAAACAAAGGCAGCACTCAGACTTGTATCAACTTGGATGGCTCTTGTTGCTCAGATACCCTTATTTTTACCTGGAATGATCATCAATTCACCTTTCTATATTTTGGGTAAATTAATTAATTCTTATGAGCCTTATACAGAATCAGTGGCACAGGACAAGATTATTTTCAGTTCCCTTTTGGCTATACCTGTTTATGGTACCTTGATTTGGTTACTTTGGAAAATGACAGGCTACGGCTTTATTAGTTTATTATGTGTTTTAATGTTATTACCATTATTTGCTTGGTATCATATGGCTTTGATTGATAAAAACTATGACATGTTAAAAGAAGTGATTGCATCTTGGAGAATATTTATTGCTGTTACCAGTAGTACCATCACTGTAGATACTAACTGGACTCGTAGTAGAGAAGACTTGGAAGATTGTGTACGACTACGTCGTTGGTGTAGAGAGCGAACAAAAGAAATTATTCATAATTTAGCAGAGCAGGACAATCCTCAGGCAAAATATTTAGTTAAATATTATAATACTTTATTTAATAAATAATTTTTTTTTTTTTATTTTAATCTACTATTGTATTTTCTATTTTAAAGGCCTTATAAATAAATAAATGATCGTCTTTGATTTCATAATCGTGTACGTCCAAGAAGGAAAGTAAATGTATAAAATAGTCTTTAGTTTTGCATATTAATTGAATACGATGAATATTCCAAAGACAAGATAAAGGCAAGACAGTAGGCGTCTTTGTGTAAAAATTAGTTTGTTGATAAGTAGTATCTGTTTCTTCTTGTTGTGGTATATACTTTGACAGGTCAAAATTATTCCAATCAGTAATTAAATCAAAATCGATTGGGAAGGTATCTTCTTTTCTTTTCACTTTTTGTCCTCTACTCACTTTTTGTTGCTGAACATAGTATTCGGCTTCACAAAGTATTTGAATATATTTTTTTAATTCAGCAATAATCTCATCTTTGCTCAACGGTGGTTCATTGTAATACGGAAATTCAATATGCTTTAATAATTCATGTGGCTGACCATGCGAGATTCCATCTGTATTCATCACTTTTTCATTCTTATCATTTGTCCGTATAAATATACATGCTTGTGTACAATGACCATTTTCTAGTTGATCATATTTATCATGTAGTAACCCAATACCATGGTATTCTGTCTTGTATCCGAACTTTTTTGCTCCTTCTTCACACCTATCGTAATGTATTAGTTAATAGCAAATGAATTTAAGTCCATCTTATAATACCAAGTTTCAAATTCTTTTCTTGTCCATTCAAATTTATGATCCTCATGTCTAAAGATAGATTCTTTAGTGCCATATTTTAAATCTGGGAAATTGATATTATATTCAGCATTAGGCGTAGTGACAACTAATATCTTTGGATGATAAATGCCTAGTGTTAAATTAAAAAATGAATCCAAGACATTAGGTTGAACATGCTCAATAACTTCTGTACAAATAATAGCTTGATATCCTTTTAATCTATCATCAGGGATTCCTATAGAACCTATATAGAGGAGGGGTTGCAAATCTAATAACTATTTATAAATTAATAAAAAGATGCATCATGCTCTACCTCGAAAAATATCAATGGAAAGAGGATGTGGTCGTAATTGTTCAAAGTCGGTTTTCCAAGGCATGCAACGTTCAATGGCTTCTTCTAACGCATTTTGATCAATATCAATGCCTGCCAGTTTAGTAATCTTATTTTCAATTGAAGGAATTAGGAATGATAGTACAGAGGCTTCACCACAGCCATAATCAAGGATCTAAATTGAAAATAATAAATAAAATGCATTCTTTAAGAATTAAAAAGTTAGTTAATCTTACAGTTTCGATTTCAAACCTATTAACGACATCTAAAATAAAACTTCTTCTTTGTCTCCAAAGAGGAGGATAGAACAATGTTGATTGATTATATAGATCTTCTTCCGTTTTCATTTTTTTAAAAAATAAAAAAAAATAAAATAAAAGTAAAAGTAAAAGTAAAAGTATAAAAAAAGTAAAAATAAATATAAGGAAAAGGTTATAATTTTGTTTCATACTCAAAACATACTGAACACATATCATTATACATGTTTACATATGTGCCCTGAACCCAACCTTCCTTGATTTTTAATGTTGATCTATTATATAAAAAAAAAAAAAAAAAAAAAAAGTATTTTGAATATTACTGAATTGATCTTTTTTTTTTTCGTTTAGATACACACCTAATGCTATCATACTTCAGGGCTCCATTCTATTATCGTTTCTATATTCTTACTATATCAACAATCTGCCAGCTTTACTAAGGTACACATCAATATTAAACACTATAACAAAGCTTTTACTTACAACGATACCTAGCGTTAACTGCTTACTTCACATGTATAATGTTGACCAGATTGCTTATAAACAAACGTTACAAAGACTTCTTTATAAGTGTCAGCAGTATAGCTTACAACTAGGTTATTAATGAAAACTAACCAAGTGTGCAATTATCACTATCAGATGATAATACAACTTACATTTTATATAGAAAGTCTTTCCCCTCGTCATTATGTCTTTTTTATACTTTCGGTATTCCTTTTGAAGCTAAAGCCGTTCTGAGTACCAAGGATTTTATCCGTCATAATATAGCGAAAGCTCTTGTCATTATTCAAGCTCTCAAAAGTACTAGCGTCACTGCGCCTGGTTTTTCCAAACTATTATCAGCAAGGCTATATATGCAAAAGATATAATCTCAAATGGAGTATATGGCTTGGCTATTTTTATATCCACAGCTGTTCAGCATAAACAATGATAATAAACCCAGCATATCTGCTTATATAATTCCACCTATTCTTCAATAAAAACAATGCGACATATAAGCCATTTGTCTTCCATGCAAAAGCGATGCCACATACTTCAAGTCAAAACTTATTCTGCGTTCCTTTCTGTTTCCTGATAATGTGCTTCTCATATGCTTACTACCATACAATACCAACTTTAGGTCAAGTCAATGGTATAAACTTAGAAATTCATCCTTTGTCAACTCACTTCCCAATGTTAGATATCATTTCGTAAATATCGACAGAGTTTTCATAGCGGAAATTTTCAATAGGCACTTCAAGTGCAGTAAATTATAATCCGCATATCACCCAACTCCATCCTTGGATCTAATTCTCTGACTGCCTATGCGCTCGCTCTGACTCTATTGAACATAGTCGTCTTCTTTTACGACATCGTTTAGGAAAGCTATCTGATGGAAACCTCAAAAACTTTATTCATAACGACAGTACAAGCTTACTAAAACTCATATCATACAATGCCTCTACGTATACTCTAGTCTACACGTTCCTACAAATATTGCTGATCCTATTTCGTGCATCCTCAGCTTACTTTCTAACCTAGCATACTGGAAAACTCTTTGGGCCCTTCTCCAACAAACCTTACCACTTGTATATTAAATGAAACATAGTATGTCTCTCGAGCCCTGATCTTTACTGTCAATATTATTTATGAACTTCCCTTTTCATTTATTAAATTCAAAAACATGAAACGTAATATCTACACTCCCTATCCTTCCTTTTTCTTTCATTTTTCCCTCAACCCCATAAGGGAGCCTTTTTTTTTTTCTTCTGTCTCCTCTATTATGCATTGTGAACCGGTTAGATATATAAAATATAAATGTTTATTTGGGCTTTGATAAAACTCAAACTTTAAGGAAAACACCCAATATTTATGTGACCTCTTAAAAAATCATGTACTTTTTTTTTTTTTTTTTGCCTTTCACATGCTAATATATACCCTCTTCTTTCTTTCTTTTTTCTCATTAGTAACAATCTATGTCACATTCATTTAAAGAAACAAATTTCGGTAAGCCAACTTATTGTGATCACTGTCAAAATTTATTATGGGGCTTTGTTAAACAAGGTGTTAAATGTTCAGGTACAATAATGATTTATTTACTACCATTAGTATAATCACTAAACAAATATAAAAAGATTGTGGAATTGTTTCTCATCATGATTGCCAAAAGGAAATTGCACCTTGTAAAGATAAAAAACTAGTAACTAATTCATCAATCTATTCTACTACTGATTCGCCTGCCACAAAATCCTTGCTTCGTACTCTACAGAAACAACCAGTGGGCTTGAATATCCAAGCATCATCTTCTAAAATGAGTGTGAATAATGATAGTGCATCATCTTTTAAGAAATTAAAGACAATAGCGACTTCGGACGAATTCCAAAATGTGCTTGTATCAGCAGCTATGCATTCAACTGATACAACCTTACCACCCAATGAATATCTTGCTAATTTACCACCACTAAATCCACAAAATACTGCAAAAAACTTCTCTCGATTTGTTTCAAGATGTGGTCCTATGTTTACTTTTAGGGACAATGTTATTCTCTTGTTGAGTTGGAATAAACCCGTAGACACTTTGGTAGCTTTACTTATGTATTGTTTAATATGTAAGTAACTATACTTATTACATTAAATGAATACTGAACAAAAAAAAACATGTTCTTTCATAAAAAAAAAAAGGTCTTCATTCTAAGCTCGCATTATTGATACCCCATATAATTTTATTTCGGATTATTATAACTGGATATACAAAACGATTTGGCGATGATAAAAATGTGAACACTAACGATATAACAAATGAACAAAAACAAGAGAGTTTGCCGCATATGTCTACCTCAACAGCAACTACCAATAATGTAGGTTCCTCCACGAATCGATTTAATTTTACATCTTCCCTTTATCCAACAGCTTCTGACGAAGCTTCACCAGAGTACTTGAAGAATATGCAAAATTTGCAGAATATGATGGGTGAAATGAGTGATCTTTATGATTTGATTGCCTCTAAAAGCCATTATGTAGATTGGTCCTCTGAAGCAGTAACGATGCGAGTCTTTCAATTTGCTTTGATTTCATTTGTTTTCATAATGATGTTGGTTTGGTTTATTCCATTAAATATTATCTTTTTGATTGCGGGAATAACTCTCTTTTTGTTAAATACAAGATTTGCTAAATTTGTTTTGAAAGAAATATTACCTCAATTGACTGAGGTTGGACAAACACAAATTAATTCAATCCTACACTGGTATACTCAAATTGAAAAAAGATTAGATGAGCAATCAAATGTTAAAGAATTATCATTATACGAAAATCAACGATGGTGGCCAGAAAGTGGCTTTATTCCTCACGTAAATATATATATATATATATATATATATATATGTATATGTTGAATTATATGTTCCCTACTCATGTACATGTAATATTAGACATTGTCTAGTGAGCGCGGATTATGGACAGATATGTCTGGTACAATTGAATTAACTCATAAAGAAGAATTACCTGCACCAAAGGGCTATCATTGGATTGAAGACAATTGGACATTAGATACTACAGGGCCATGGATTGATGAAACACTTGAAATTGGTAAAAAAAAAAAAAAAAAGGGGGAGTTTAATGATATAATATATGTTTGAATAATTTATTTATATGATCAAGTAGAAGTGGCAGTTATACCAGAAAATGGTGGCTGGGTTTATACAGATAATAATTGGGAATATCCAAGAAATGGAATTACTAGACTTAATGATAGTGTTATAGATAATGATCACATAACAGTTGGAAGGTTTGTTACGAGAAGAAGAAGATGGGTTCGAAAATGTGAACGAAATCTGGCTGATAAAAAGAAAATAAATGTTTAATTATTAATACTGTGAGCAGTAATAAAGAATGATAGCTTAATTTACTCCTGCATATCAGGAGATTCACCAAAGTATTCATCAACTAATTTATTTGCAAAAGCATAGAGTTCCGGATCAGGTGCTGGAGCAACAGATGCTAATGCTTCCATACAATCAGGTACATTATCAATAACTTCCTTGCCCTTTATAAATGTGATTTTTTTTTAAAAAAAAAAAATGAACAAATGAAGTACTCTTTTTTTTTTTCTTACCCTAGGCGATTGTGTTAACAATAGCTCTATGTACCCTAATCCTAATCTAATCATGTCAGCATCTTGAGATTTTATTAGGTCTAAAAAGGCTGGTAAAAGCTGTTTATGTGCTAGCTTTTCTAAATGCTCTGGTCCATGATTGGCAATATTCATAAGACAGTAAGCAGCCTAATATAAAATAAGACATTAATTAGAATTCTGTCTATTTCTATCTTTCTTAAAAAAAAATAGATCAATAATAACTTACCCCTTTACGAATATCAAATGCGCCATGAGTAACAAGCTTAGATAAGTATTTAATGATATCAAGCTCTTCTAATGCTTGAATTACTTCAGTACGTTGACTAATCATTTACAAATATAAGAAAATGATTACTCTTCTTTAATTTCAATATTATTTTTACCTTGAGGTGATATTTGATAGTACCCAAAGAGTTTCCTTTTTGATAACTCTACTTTATTAAAGAAAAAAAAAATTACTATAACATAATCAAATTCTTTATGTATTATACATATATATATAGCGAAGCATACCTTTGATCTGACTTTATCAAATTAATAATAGTTGGTAAAAACTCATCCTGCTCAGCCAAGATATTTAAATAATCGTCTGCATCTACTAAATTACCAAGTGTTCTTAATACAGGTAGTACGACTGGTCCCTGCTCAGCTAATGATGTTAATTGTTTAACTAATGGTGTAGCAAATCCTTTTTCCATAATATTTTCTCTAAACCTCTCACTAACAGCAGTCAGATAGCTGATAACCCAGCAAACCTCTGTGGCTGTATCTTTAGTGTCCAAATTCTTTAATAACTTGTTTGATAAATCGTTTGAGAAAAAATCTTGCAATTGACCCTCTTCACCACGAGCTAAATTAGCTAAAGCAAAACACGCGGATTGTATCAAACGAGCATCAGTTGAATCGAGCATACGAATTAGTGGTTTAACAGCACCATTATTACGAATTATTTCTCGAACTTTATCGTCTTCATCATTCATATCACCTAAATCTTCTGCTGCCAAATTACCTAATGCACCAGCAGCTATTTCACGTAAATTCTTAAGAGTGAAAGTATTAGCATATATTTACATATATGTATATGTTATTATTCTAATACTTGTTACCATGTTCTCTGAATCTAAAAGGTTAATAAGGTATGGAACAGTAGTGGAAGCTTTTATCCAAAGATTATAGGGACCTGCAGCAATATCTATTAAAAAAAAAAAAAAAAAAAAAAAAAAAAAAAAAAAAAAAAAAAAAAAAAATTAAAAACATAGCTTTAATTTATTTATTTTTTATTTTATTTTATTTTATTTTTTCGCTTACTAGATATAGTTTGAGCAGCTTCAACTTGCTCTTCAGGGTCTGAGCTTGTTAGCATTTGCTATATAATTAAAATATAAATGTTTAATAGAATTATAGATCCATAAAGTTATAAACACTTACAGTTAAAGTTTCAATACAATCACCTTCTGTGATATATTTGATTAAAGCCTGTGCAGGTTCCAAAACAAATTTACCAATATATTGAGCAGCAAATATACGAAGGCTTCTATCATCACTACTTAAATCTTTAGCAATACCATCAACCTGATAAGCATTTAATCTATAATAAGGGCTAATATCCTCTATTCCATATATTAAAGGAGAGAGAGAAAGATAAAGTCAATAATATATATATTCATATGTATATTACTAACTAAGTTTTCTGTACCATCATTATTATCCTTCTGCTCACTTTTGGGTTCTTCTTCTCCGGCACTTTCAAATTCTTCATGACGAGACAAGTTACGAAAACGCTTTGCTGTAATTAGCTGCTCGCGATGTTTCTTTCGAAGTGATTCATTAATAGCAACTCTTCTTTTAATAAGTTCATCTGGAGTGCGTGAAATACTTGTTCTTTTATATAAACAACGATGATCACCATTTGAATTTCTTCTTGCTTTACCCATTTTGAATAAATAAATATGGAAAAAATGGAAAAAATGGCCTAGGCATGAGAATTTATGCAAAAACAAAAAAAAAAATGGGAAACCTTCTTTCAGTAGTGACTGTTATTAAAAGGAGAAGGAGGAAGACAATAATAATTAGGTTATTCAGTGAAGTATATAATATTGTATAAAGTATTTAAACTATTTTTTTTTATAAAAATAGTTGTTATAACTTTGCTATAAAAATAAATGTGTCTTTTGTAGAGTTTTTTTTTTTCTTCTTTTTTCTTGCGATATTTTTTCGTGGTTAAGAATGTAAAAATCTAAATACCAAAAAATAAGTAGATAATACAATTTTAATAGACAAAAAGTATGGGTAATTTTTTAAATTCATTTTTATTTCTTAGATAAGCTTGTATTCAAAAATTATCACAAGAGAAAGCATCTAAAAAAAGAGATATTATTTATACGTAAAATACTTAAATTTCTCAACTCATAACGGTAATTTGATTTATTGATGTTAAAGTATATCATTATAAAATATGTATTAAACTTTTCTTCCTCAAATATAATTGATTAATGTAATGAAAGAAAAAGAGGGGGGGGGCGTTTGAAAGGAAAAGACTGAAGATAAAATCAGATCTAGTAAAGTTATCTTACCATTGCAACAAAACAAAACAAAAATTGTTGTCTATTATGTTTTATTTTGCTTTTTTTTTTTTTTTAATTGTTTTTATTATCATCATTTACTTTATGGTAGCTTAAGAATAATGCCGAAAACACCACCTCTTATACTTCCTTCAAGTCTTCCAGCAACTTGGATAAATCGTTCAAAAGTTAATAAAAGACACAAGTCAAATATATATGTAACTCATCAGAATAAGTCTACTGCTGCAGTATTTGATGAAACAGAAGAATGCCAATTTATTTCAAATTTTAATAATGAGACTACTTCTGTTATTGATCACACTAATAGTAATATCTCCAGCAGTATCATACTCAATAGTGCCATGGATCATTCTAATTATATCAATAATGATCTTAATATATCATCTAACAATAATTTGAATCAAAATGATACATGTCAGACTAATACTGCAGATAGCTCACAGCAGCATTCACAAAAGAATACCTTATCGCAAACATCATTCAAAAGCTTACGTCAATCAGGCCAACAATGTTATAGAAATACTACTATTGAGCAAATTGAAGAAGAAGAACAAAAAGATTATATAGTTGATAAAATGGGGTGTGAAGATGCTCTTATAGAATCTAATCATCAGCAGCTTCAAAGTCTTTTAACAGGTATGAATACATATTATATTTATAAATCAAATAAACATTTTACTTGTTTACTAGCTTCAGAAGACCTTACAGAAGAATTCAAAAAATTTATGATGGAGCATCAGGAAATAAAAAGGTAGATTCAATATTTAACAAAAAAAAAAAAAAAAAAAAAAAAAAAAAAAAGTATTAAATAAGAAGAAAATATACAGATCAATTGATGACAAGAAGAAGGAACTTAATTCATATATCAAAGATCGTATGCAATACTTGGATCAACGTCAATTCTATTTTCAACAGCAATTAAAAGTATTAAAGGATTTCATGTGATAAGCAAAGTAAAATGTGCTCTTTTTATATTACTATTTAAGCTTAGCATGTTATTGGGATAGGTTTATAGAGAATGCCATTATATGATGTGCAATATTTAATAAAAAGAACTTATTCTATATGCATGTATATTAAGAAAAAATATATAGCTAATTTATTTCTTTTGTTTATAAAATTTATTTTTGATTACTTATGTGACTGAATTAAGTTATCCATAACAGAGAGGATCTGGGAGAGTCTAGAAGTGTTGTGATTGTATGTATAATATGTAGTGTACAAATTGTTATAAATGGCACAATACCGACATCTTTGTATAATAAAATTATTAAAACTTGGCGAAAAGAGTAATATGTTTTATTTTATTTATATACAGAATAAAGATTTTAATAATTACTTCCTTTTAGAAAAAAACTACGCATATTCTATAACATAGCATCAATCCAGCAGTTTCTTTTGTATAATGTAAAATAATAAGGATACCCCTTTTTTTCTCTCCTATGCTATTATATTTTAATGCGTATCACATAGATTCAAATAAACTCGTATTCAAAAATATATTACAACAAACAAAAAAAGCAAAAATGATAGCATCAGTCCGTTTCGATCAGACGACCTCAGGGTTATGAGCCCTGCGCGCTTCCTACTGCGCCATGATGCTCTCTTGTTTGTGTTGCGTGTTATGGTAGATTTAGTTATAATCTCAAAATTTCAGCCACACTGCAAATAAAGTCTACTTTTACAATTGTAAAAGTTTGTAAAAGGTGACCCAGTCACAATTGTAAAAGGTGACCTTTTACAATCGAAAATTGAAAATTGGAAGTTTTAAAAAATTTTTATACCAAATGAAAGAGAAAAATTTGCTCATTTCGAATATGTTAAAATTTTTTTATTTGGTTAAGAATTGATAGAGATATTAGCATTTAAAGATTTGTTTAATGGTTAAAAAATATAACAATTTTTTGGGTATAGTCTTTTTTACTAGAAAATAAATTTAGAATCCCGATTTTTTTTTACTTCAAATTTTATTGGACAAAAATTTTATATTCTGAATTCAAAAGAAGTTGAAAAAATAATAATAATAGCAATAATTCATTCAAGATGAATGTTTAAAATGTAAAGTTGTAATAAGTCTTTTTTTAAGAAAAGGTCAAATTATTTAACTTTTTCAAAAAAAATTTATTAAAAAAATAATAAAAATTCAAGTCAACATGTACAGTAATGAGTTATGTATAATGTCAATTGTTAAAATCAAACTTATATTATTACTTTACAATAAGTTATTTTATCTAGTAAGATTAATTTGTCGTACTTAATATTTTTTTTTTTTTTGTTGAACATAATGTCAAAATGTCTAATTGCCATTCCAAAATCAACTTGAATGTAGATGGAAAAATTAAAATATACCCCTGCTAAAGTATTTAAAAATAATAAAACTATTTATTATTTTTCAAATGAAAGATGCATCATCCGATTGTTAGTAATTTATTTATTTATTTTTCGTAAAGATAAGTAAAATGAAAGGGAATTTTTTACTGCATATATAAGTTTTAACTACAGCAATAAATTTAGTTATCTGTAAAAAAAATATTTTCTCCTTTTTTTATTATCTTATACTGATTATTAACATCTCAACTTATAAATTTATAAATTCATTGCAACATGTCTGTTTAATTAAACAAAGATCAATGTGAATGGAAATGATTAACTTGTTCTCAAAGTAGACTTAGATATAAGGTTGTTTACAGACATACTATCTTTATCTATATTCATATATTCATTAAAAATTGATAAGAGTCTTGAAGATGCAATTACCAATGAACATAGTAAACAACAATAATAAGTATTCATTGCAGATGTTACAATTAATAAATGTAATCACGCTAGCTTTTTTTTTTATTTTGAATTATAAAAATAACCACTGCTGTTCGTTTTTTTTTCTTTTTTTTTTGTCATCGCACTAAAGATGTCTATAATGCAAATGAAGAGTCGATTGCTGACAATGGTAATGACATTAATTTTATTGGATTAGAATATTTAGAAGATAAATATATGGTTGAAAGTATGTATTAGTTATTAAAAGAAATAGTATTGTTATAATAACTTCTGTGTAAGCTATTTATGCTAACTTTTTTTTATATAGTATGCTTTGTATATGACTTTGGAAATTGTTATATAATTACTTCGGCGATAGAATACATAAATGAAAGACTTCTTTGTCAGCTTATACAAATGCTTTAATAAGACTTTTTGTTTCTAAAAAATTTTTTACTTTATTTCTTTTTACTTGTTTCTTTTTTTTCCTTCTTGTTTTCCTTTTTTTTCTTTTTTCTTTTTTTTTGAATTAGTACTTAGGATAAATGACTTGAGATGATATACAATCCAATTGGTAAGTAACTTAGCACGGTTTGATTATCCCCGGCGAACATGTAATGAACATGGTTAGCTCTTTATATTTAAAGAAAAAAAAAAAAACTATATTCTAATCAATATCTTTTTTTTTTTCAAATAGTTTTACTGTATACTTTGAATCTTTGGCGTTTTGCCTTTTATAATGACTAATAGCGAATTATATAAAATACGTAAATAATAAAGATAAGGTAAACATAACATAAATATATCTTTATATCTTACTAAAGTTGTTTTAATGATAACATCAACTAAACTTTTTTTTTTGTTTAGGCGTTAAAGGTCTATCTTTATAGCCTTTTCTCTTGTGGTGACCGATTACAAATAAAAGGTAAATAATATAATAAGCATACTAATTATTATTTTAAACGCGTAAAATATTTATTAATCTTTCTTATCTTTTATTTAGGTAAGTGAAAAAAAAACTATTCTGCTTTGGTGGCCGTTAACGTGTAAAGAAATGATAACTTCTTTTCTAATGGTAAGAAACTAAAATATAATTTATTTGTTTTTTCATTGACTAAATCGTATTTTATTTTATTATAGGAAGAATTCTATTATGAAAGAAGCTATCTATGGTCCTCTTAATGACTCTATTACGCGTTATCTCGGTCCTTTCCATGGCGTATTTATTCTATTTTTTTGGATACATTTTTATATACATTTTTTTAAATATTTTTTATATATTTTTTATCTATTTTTTTATGTATTTTTTTATGTATTTTTTTATATATTTTTTTACGCGTTTTATAGTATATAATAATATAATATTTTATATATCGTAAAAGGAAATAATAAACGAAAATAAATAAAATCGTATTTTGAAAAAGAATATAAGCTCCATTATCTACTGTATTTTAAAGAAGTCTAAAATGTATCATAATATAACGAATAAGCAAACGTTTAATTTGAATGTAAAGGCCAATAAGAGTAAAAAAACGTAAAGGAATGACGAAGATTAAAGAAGCGTAATCCAATAGAAGCTTTGAGCTATGAAGCAAAATTTTGTAAAAGGTGAACTTTCATGATTGTAAAAGGTCTACTTTCAGTATAGTTTCACAATTGTAAAAGGTCTACTTTCAGTCTACTTTCACAATTGTAAAATGTCTACTTTTACAATTGTAAAAGTAGACTGACTTGGTCTAATGGCATCATTGTGAAAGGTCACCTTTTACAATTGTGAAAGTATACTGAAACTTTAATGAAAGGTCACCTTTCAGTCTACTTTCACAATTGTAAAAGTAGACTTTTATCTCCAGTGTCAACAGTCACGTGATATACCGGACTTGTCCGGTAATTCAATTTATTTTATTTTAATTTACCCTTCTTTAATAATTCCTTTTATATAATATCATTTTTTATTTAAGTATCATTTTTTAATATAATGGAATAAAATCAAGCTTTTACTTTGCTTTAAATTTTTATTAAGTTGTTTAATTGTAATTTGATTAATTGAACTGAAACGACAATACAGAAGATTGTCAATTAAATATAGAAACAGTAACAGAAAGAAATATCAATACATTAACGACGACATAAAGAACAAAAGCAATATTCAACTTACATTTATACCTTTGTCTCAGTATAAAAGTAACTAGAAGAAACATTAGCTTCACAAATAGAAAAAAAAATAAAAGAAAAGGATTCTACTGTTAAGCACCACGAACATATCATTGAAAAAAATTATTTTCATATATTTTTAGCATTAAAATAGAGAAATTTAGCAGTCACGTAAAAGATGACATCATCTTTAAGTCAATTAATTTATAATAATTTTTAATTTTTCTTCCATCTTAAAAAAAAATGGGGCATTTAACTAATGTTTATTGTCAATTAAAGAGCCCAAATCAGGAGATCATTGTTTGGTTTTGTGTTTTTTATAGTTTTATGTTTTATTTTATTTTATTATTTCACACATAAGTACTGCAGAAGTATCATTTCTGTCGTTCTGTATGCTAGTGATAGTTTATGTTGAAAAATTTCGATCAAACAGATCATTGGAGGCTTTTAAAGACATCCAATATTTCACCAACTATTCTCAAATAGTATCAAACCTTACACCTTCTCATTTTGTTAAAAAAATATTATTATAGTAGATTTTTATATGCAGATATTTTATAATAACTGGAGTTAATATAAATTATATTATTATTTAATTTTTAAATAAATAACCCTTTTAAAGCTCTAAAAAATCTTTTCAAGTGGTTTAAACGTGCAAAAAGATGAAGAGAATATAAAAGCAAAAGACAAGTTTGTGAGAAATGGGCATAGTTTATTGAAGAAAAATAATACAAAAATTGTACAAAGGAAAAAAAAATAGTATAGAAAAATGTCAAGGGATATTTATATGTTTTTTTTGGATTCAGGAAGAAAGAAGATATATATTGTTTAATTGACTTAAATGCTCAAAGTTATATAAACTCTTTCTTTACTAGAGTAGACAGTATGTATTTAAAGGAATAGTAAACATATCAGCTGTCAACAGTTATAAATTTAAAAAGAAAAAGTTTCCTTAATCATTTTTGGTGGCAGAATAAAGAGCAAAGATGACATATCAAGCAACTTGCATTAGTAGTTGAAACAGAAATTAAATGATTTATTATTGATAGTCGTTAATGAATACAAGATATTTAGCGAACTCATTATTTACAAGTGCAAAAGATGATTTTGCTAATAGCACTATCTGTTGTAAAAAACTATGATAGATTATAAAACACGGATATATACGTACTAACAAATATAATGGATTTCAATATTATCATTTGAAAACGAAAAAAAAAAATTAACCAGTAGCTTTCTGATAAATACACATGTTTCCTTTTCTTTTAATTATATGTCTTTTGATAGACTTTAATTTTTACTTACTCCACATGTATTATAATAAAGTATTTAACTTTATTATAAATAACATAATGTAATTTGATACAAAAAAGCTTTTTTTTTTCTTTTTAGCAATATTGATGTAAATTATATACCATTGCCCAAATAAAAGTTATTCATATCTACTTGGCATATTTCTAAAGCTCGTTAGTGATATTGGGGGAGGGTTTTTTTTTCTATCTTTTATTTCAACCAAATATAACGTTTACACGTGACTTATTTTAATTACTAGTATTATTATTTTTGTTGATGGAAGACTTATACCACTAATGGAGTTTTTTTTCTTCTTCTTTCTATGCTTTAAGGTTCTTTTTCCATCCAAGCTTATACATATATCTCTTCCTTTTTTTTTCTACTATTTATTCGCTACAAAAGTCTTTTACAAAACTTATTAATTAAAAGAAAAAAAAATAAAACAAAAATGACAACAAAAAGACGTTCACAACAAAGAAATAATGACATGAGAAATAATGATGAGTTGTTTTCAGATTTAAATCATCCTCATAAAGATCGCTTCATTGATCTTGCACAAGCAGCTCTAGAAGAAGCTGATATTGAAGAAGAACGAAAAGGTGTCATTCAGGAAGTATTAGAAGCACTCATTGCTAAAACAGGAGCACCACTTGTAGCTGAAGTAATTTCAGAACAACTACATAGTCAAGATGTTATTGAACGTATAGCGGAAAATCATGAAGAAGATCGACGACGATTAAGTTCCAGTCCACATATGACACGAATCGACTCAACTAGTAGTGTCAACTCACTTAAGTCACCCGATGATGAGGAATTAGAAAATAAAACATTACAGATTAATGCAAGTAATAAAGAAATAATGGCGCCACAAATGGATGATGACAGACCAGAACCATTAATGCTATTTGCAGAATATTTATGGCGATTTTTTCGAGCTTTATTACTAGCCAGTTTAGTTGGTTTAGTATGTCATTATTTAAATGGTTTAAAGTATGCAAGGATCATTTAATATGCAATACACACAGAAAAAAAAAAATAATATAGTAAAATAATATATATTTATATATGTACATTATGGAGTTGTAGAGTTTAAAGGTAAAATGTATGACTGAGCGTATATATATATATAAAAAAGGATTTCTAAATATGGACGTAGAGGAAGAGTAAGGGAGGATGTATATGAACATTGCATGAAATAAATCAGAAGTAGAATTGTTTTACATCATGAGCACCAAATGATTCATTACATGTTGGACATCTCTTTTTTGATTCAAGACATTCTTTACAAAATGTATGCATGCATTTCAAAATAATATGTGATTTTAATCTAATTCGACAGGAACTACAATTTAGTAACGACTAAAAAAAAAAAAAAATGCTTAGTTAAATGATCAAATCCTTTTTTTTTCCTTCCTTACTCTATATTCTTCTCTTTCTTTTCTTAATCTTGCTTCAGCAGGACGATCAACTTTATTCGTTGAATCTATTTTACGTTTTAATATTTCACTGCTTTCTTCTAATCGAAGTCTCATATATGCACTATCTTCGATTAATCGAATCTTATCAAGTATCGACTTTTGAAGCTACAAGGAATATTTATTAATTTATGCTTTTAAATTTAGAATTCGTTTTCTTACATCAATTATTTTATCTTTAGAAAAGGCATTTTTTTCTTTTAATTCATCTAATATCATCTTTGCTTCTTCTCTTTTTTGCTTATATATTTCGTATACAGAGTTACTTGTATTCAATTCACGTTCAAGGCAAGTCTAATATAAGAATAATCACATAGATATATATGTATATGCCTTTAATATTGATATTTTTGAATTTTAATGGAATACTTACTAGTTGGTTATTAAGATTCTTTTCATGTTCATTCATTTGCTTAACATGAGCTAGTTGTTTTTCATTTTGTTTACTAAGAGCATTAGCAACCATCGCATGAGCATCCTTTGACTTGTTAAGAGCAGTGAAAGTTTGACTATATTTTACACGTTCGGTTTGTAATTTTATAACTTCATCTTCAGCAGCAGAAAGTTCTTTCAATCCGTTCATATTTTCTTCTTCTAACTCATTATACGCTTTCCCAACACTTTCAATTTCGCTTAAAAGTTGTTTTTCCGTCTAATTTAACAAACATACAATAAATAAGATGTCTAAATATATAATAATCATACTACACTACTTACAGCTTCTAAACTTAATATCTTTTCTTTTGATTCTGAAATAATCTTCTTTTCTTTTTCAATTCTGTCCTGCAGAATGTTTTGAACTTGTTTATCATCTAAAGAATAAGAAGGGTGAAAGCCATATCGTTTTTCAAATGCAGTAACATCTAATTCTAATTGTTTTAACTCTACAATTTGAGAAAGCCTAAAATCTACAGTCTCTTTAGGAATATCTTGATAGATACGAGATTTCATTTGCTCTACTTGTTCTTGCAACGTGTTGAGTTCATTTTCAACTGGTGTTAAGAATGGTTCTTGGCCATTACTATTCACTAATAATTCGTAATATTCTTTAACACCTATTTTTGCTGCCATCTTTTTTTGTAATCGTAATACTTCCGTTTCTAAATAACTAATTCGCTCCTTTCTTGTATCTGCAATCACTTTTAATTCAGCAATCGAAACGCGCCCTCCTTCATTAGCAGCTTTACATTCTTCTAAACTCATTTGAGATGCATCACGTTGACCACGAATACGGGTTAAGTCAATATCTAATTTCTTTAATTGATCCTCTAATCCTTTAAAATAATCCACTTGTTCAGAATCCAAGTCTTTAATTAATCGACGGCGATTAGCAAGTAAATCATTCAGTCCATTCTGAAGGTCATGACATATATCAGTTAAACGATTACATTTGTCTTTATGATAAGCGCGCGATTGTGATAATTGTCGACATATGGGGGCTTTATATATACGTGACTCTGGCACACATACATGATCCATTTCCAAACGTGCTATTTGCTGCTTTATGGCAATACGGTCTTCCTTAATTAACTCAATATCACGTAGTTTTTGTTCAAGTAACTGTTGTATTTGAGTAAGTGGATTTTGAGCAACACCTGGGCTCTAATGTTAACAACATAAAATGATCGATTAATACTGTTATACATATACATATATATATATATATCGACTTACAGAATAATTAGCTAAAGCTCCTTCAGTTTCTGCATTAACTGTAGAGGAAGAAAGTGTTGGAGGCAGCATAGAAGTTGCAGGTATACTAGGTCTTGCATGAATAGAAGATATATCTAAAACCTTTGTATCTTCTTTTTGAATATTATTTTGGATTTTAACCTTTTCAAGTTCTTGTTGAGTTTGATATAAATTAGATTCGGCTGTTTCTAAACGATCATTTAAAATTCTTAATTCTTCTGAAAGCATTAAATACTAAAAATTTAGACATTATAATTCATTTAATATAATGTTCGTTTCAAATTAAAATAAAAAAAATACCTTAAAGTTTGCATATTTACAACGGCTTTTCATATCCTGAAGTGATTTTTGACCATTAACCCAAGTTAATAAAACACGTTCATGATCTCTTTGGACATCCTTTAATGAGCTTTGGTCTAAATGGCGCAAAAATTAATAAATTTATCACTTTTAGGCTATTATTTACTTGTAGCTTACCAAGAACAGACTTGAAGTTTGTAGTCATATTTTCTCTTTTAGTAATCCAGGAATCAATCAATTGATTCAATTTAGAAATGGTTACATCATAATGTTCTTTCTTCTTGTAAGCATTTAACATGTTAGGAGTCAATTCTGTTGCCCAAGATTGTTCCAGTAAACCATTGAATTCACTACTATCTATGTCTAATAAATAAGATGCGAAGATCAGTATTTTATTTTTAATTCAAAATAGCAGTTTTAGAAAGAATAAAAAAAACATAAACATTACCCATCGCAGTATTAGAGTTTTGACCAAAACTTATCATGCCTTCATGTATAATATTGGAAAGAAAAACTTGAAGCTATTTAAATTATATAAGTATTTGAAATAATAATAATAATAATAATCAGAATAAAATTACCTTTTTAAAGGCTTCTTCCCAAAGTCGAAAACTATCTTCATTTTCAAGTTTTTTTAATTCAGCTTGTTCAATATATTTCTTCCAATTTTTAACAGATCTCTAATTAATTATAAAGAAGTGTGTTATTTTTATAATGCTATTAACAGATATATATACAAAAATATTGTAACTTACAATATAATCTTTCCATTGCCTCATAATTGCATCTTTACGAAACGCTTCTAAAGGTTCCTATGTTGTTTATAATTTAAATAATTAATTCGCTAAAAAAAAAAACTTTATTAATACCTTAAAAGTATCAGAGGCATCTTCATTCTCTTCTGGATCTTCTTCTGGAGAAGAAGCTCTACTAGATAGAAAGCGCTTTTTTGGGGGAGGTCTTGGGGTAATACTTTGCTCTTCTAATTCGTTAGAACGACGCTTTGTGTTATCTTCTAATTTTGCCATCAAAAGAGAAGAAAAATAAAAGGAATGTACTTTTATATATATAAATTACAGCTTTGTTGTTATTTAAGATTAAAAATAATGAAAAAAAAAAAAAATAAAATAAAATAACAATAATAAAAATAACAAAAAAATAAAAAAATTAAAATAAAATGGAATAAAATAAATAAAAACAAAAAAAAAAAAAAATAGTAAAAGACTTTTGATAGGACGGATTTCAAAAATAATTGTAATATAATTCTTTCAACCATGCAAAAGCAAAATATACACCTTTTCTATACATTTGTGTATATGGAGTTTTAGAGTTAAAAAACATGAATAATATTACAGCTGTCAATATTGTATTGAATGTTGGACAAAGAAGGGCTAAAATGAAAATGATCATGTTAACATGTATATAAAAAAAAAAAGGCTAATGATGCAGTAATTTACTTATTTTATCTACGCCGACAATGTGTAAATTAACAGCAAATTTCTTAGTGAAGACAGTTTGAGTCTAAATTAAGATGGAATAACAATGAAAAGATGAGTTGAATACACTAGGGATTGGAGCTGTCAATAGGAAAATAAAGATATAAGAATGATAGTAAATTAAATTTCGTAGCAATATTCAAGCTAATATTCTATTTAACAAGGTATAAAGCTTGTCGTTAGATGCTTATTTCTCAATGTAGAATATCTATTGCTTTTCTTTTTTTTTAAAAAAAAAGTCCATATGATTATACTGAGTTCATTGCTACATATATTTCTTATAATTTACTTTACAAGGTCTGTTAAAAAGAAAGAGAAAGTAGCTTCGTTTTATTGAATCAAACTAGTAAATAGGGTCCGCATTACAAGGTTTAAAAAAAAAAAAACCTGGAAATATTTAATCCATTTATAGTGAAACATAGCTTAATAAGACTTTAAAATAATTACTTTGATACATATTTATTATGTCATTTTAATATCAAAAAGTGCTAAGAAATGATCTATCATCTATGAAATCGAGATCTTACTGCCTATATATCAATATGGCCACCATTGTTCGCTCTCGTTGTTTCCGGGAAGATAATACTGTAAGATTTCAGTGCTCATTAGAATCTCAAGTAGGTGTGTGTGTGGGGTGTACACAGAGAAGAACAATATAAAAATCATAATTATCATTCCTATCCAGTTATCATTAAATTTCTAAAATTATGCTTTATGTAATTCCAAAGTTTTTTCTATTATATATACTATGGTATACCTTTATTCCACTCACACTATCCCTCTATCTTTTACACTGTATTTTATAAGAGTTCTTTCTTTTCTATTGTAACTAACATTACTTTAATTTGTTATATTCGAACTCACTACTCTTAATCTCTTTTTTTCTACATTTTTTAAATCAATACAACTATCTAAATAAAATGATTATATGGTATTATGCTCATATTAACATGACCGAGATTATTTCAGTAAAGTAGCCAAATAAGTATTTTTATTTTTTTTATTTTTATTATATATATTTATATATATTTAAATTACGGATTCATTTTCATATATATAAATATGATATGAATACTTATTAATTAATAGTGGAAGCACTGTCCAGTGGGGTTCCATTGCCAATTCAAAAATTATGTATAATTGTTTGTATATTGTAATAGTATACTTAGATTGGAATGCGGGTTGAACAGTTTACGAAGCAATCTTTTAAATACTAAATTATAATACTTCAAAAATACTGAATAAGCTCTCTTCTTGATCTCAAATCCTTGCGGGTAAGCGTGTCATCAACAGTGTCTTGAATATAACTATTTGGGTCATCATTGTAAAATTTGATTCAAAATGACTTATACTTTTCCTGCTACCAATCCTTAATATACTCTGTCTGTAGCTGTGATTTTGATCTGTTTAAAGTGTTGGTTCACTTTCCAAGAGGAAACAAATTGTCTAAATCCTTTCCATCATACATGGGCAGTATTTTGTTTGATATCTGAATTCAGAGTTACAACTCTAACCAGTATTAAATATTGAACTTTGTGCTGGAAATAAAAAGTTCGTTTTGCGCCAAATCCATAATACATATAGTTAGTTGAGCGTTTTACGCCTATTTTCACAGTTGTCTTTATTTCTTCTTTGCTTTATGCAATACGTTATTTATCATTAGTTAACCATTGTTTAAATAAAAACCAAGATTAACTAATTTATTTAAAGTGTAAGGATCAGAAATTTTTATCAATTGATATATGTATATTGCTTTAACTCCATTCTTGTTATAAATATTTCTTTTGCTATTTTTTTTTTTTTTTTTTTTAAGAATAATAACATTTTTGAAATATATCTGTTATAAATCCCAATTTTTATTTTAAAAGTCCGTTTTTTTTTAATAAAATATCCTCAAATTGACAGTGAAAGGAACGAGTGTAACGCTATTTTTAAACTTGTTTGCTGTATGCAGCATTATATAATACTTTACGATTGCATATGATTGACATGGTGACATAATTTGGTACTGATTTCTAACCTGATACTTGTTTATTACTATGACTTTCACAAGGAGAAAGAAAAAAAAAAGGAATTATTTAATTTTACCATAATTATACTCTAGTTATTAAATTTAAAAGCAACTAATAAAAGTTTAAATAAATTACTTTTTTGTCTCGTTTTATTATATGAAACTTTTTGAGTCTTAAAAGAAACATATTTATTGTACAAAAAAAAAAAAAAAAACGGGGGGTTTACCTGAATTATTATTTCTTCTATGTTTTATACACAATTCTTTTTTTCTTTTCTTCCTTTTTTTTTCTTTTCCTTTCCTTTCCTTTCCTTTCCTTCCCTTTTTCTTTTCTTTTTTGTTATATTTATTCCATTACACATAGAATGCCAGTTTGCGATTCTTCTTCAGAAATGAATAAAGAAGATGAAGTAGTGGTAGCGGCAGCAGCAGCAACGTCGCCGACTATTCAAAATCGTAGAAATTCACTTGCTATTTCGGCATTATTAAATGAAGTCTCTATTAATCCTTTACAGCATCCTTTAGCACCTAATAATACTCAAAATAATGAAGATATTGAAAAATATCGTTTTTTACCATTACCATCACCACTACAACAACAACAACAGCAAACTGATTACTTTAATATATCACTTTCTCCTGCTTCATCAAGTGGTACATCCTCTCCTAATGGCTCATCAACAGATAGTAGACAATCCTCTATTCATCATGAACCAACTGATTTATGGAATCATTCCAGAACCGGACTACACCAAACAAATAATGGTAATATTGTAGTTTCTTCTTTAGCGAAAGCAAAAAGGAAACGTATCTTACCTCATCAATATCAGCGTTTGATGGAAACATTTGAAAGTACCGATACCCCAAGCTCGGAAATAAGAGAACAATTAGCTAAAGAATTAGATATGACCAAACGAGAAGTCCAGGTATAATATCTATAATAATAATAATATTAAAGAGAGCATGCTAGCTGACTTTTCATCTTTTTTTAGGTTTGGTTTCAAAATAGACGTGCCAAAATGAGTAGACATAGACAGCAACAACGCAGTAGTAGTAGTAGTAGTAGCAGTAATAATGATAATAGTGGTAGACATCATAGTTTAACATCAATACATAAAAGCTCATATATACAAGATATAGGTTTACATCGTCGACGTGCATCAGAATATTCACAATCTTATGTAAAATCAATTGCACCTAAACGATCTTCATCTTTTAACCATTTTTTTCAACCCTATTCCAATCCTACTACTACTATTAATATAAATCATGCTACAAATAATAATAATACTAATACTAATAATAATAATAATATGACTACTACTACTACTGCTACTACTACTATGATAGTTGAAGCACCATACCATACCACTACTACTCTACATAATCATACTGCTATTAATGCGCGTCAAGAATCAGCTATTGATATATTAGCTTCTGCGGCTGAAATGATGCGACCTTAATAAAATCAAGCATAAAGTTAGGATTTTATTTTAACCAATAATTTCTATTTCTCTTTAAGGAACCAGAGAAAAAAAAAAAAAAAAAAAAAAAAAAAAAAAAGATCAACAAATGTAAATGTTTCTGGACAATAAAACATAAATGTTTCATGCTAAACAAAAAGGATAGTCATTATCTTCTAAATTAAATTTTCCTTTTCTTTCTCTCTCTCTGTGTCTCTGTCTCTGTCTCTCTCTCTCTCTTTCTTATTTGAGTAGATAAGAAGAATAAAAATAAAGTAAAATAAAATAAGCTCTATTTATTTTATTTTTTTTTATTTTTTTTTCGAATTCAATTGTAATACAATTTAATAAAAATCCTTTGCTTTTTATATGTTTATATATTTTTCCAAATATAGAAAAAAAAGGCCGCTAAAAAATTAGAAATATAATATCTGTTTTGTATCATCATCATGACAGGGGAAGAATTTAAAAGAAGCAATTTTTTTTTTTTGTTTCATTACATAGTGTATATTTGTTTATTTATATATATAAAACGTGATATACATACATTGGGTATTATTTAGACTTTATAAAATGCCCTAAAGAATAAAGTCAATTATAATAAATACATGTACACATATAAAAGACTTACTTGTGAATAATATTGAAAGGTATCATAAAGCCTCGTAAATACATTACAACAACTACTCATGATTAATTTATCAACAAATTCTTCTGCTTGAGGCTCTGTTAATTGTAATTGAAAGCGATCACGTAGTTGTGATACAGTCATGTCCCCATTTTGAAAACATGGTAAATTAGAGTCTTTACTCATCATTTCAGTTAACAATAAAATATTTTCACTATGTTTTCGGACTGCTAAAAAGGCTGCCTTCATTAATGCTTTGTATTCTGCAAATTTTTCACCATGAACACCTCCCAAGATATCAATGTATTCTTGTGGTAATTTAAAGGGTGCCATCTCGAACCCAACTGAACCAGGTGAGTTGGAGAGCATGAAGCCAAAGTCAATATGAATCAAATGTCCTTCATCATCAATCAATAAATTACCGTTATGTCTATCTTTAATTTGTAACACGTAACAAGCGATTGAGTATCCTGTTAAACTTCTCATAAATGCGTCCTGCGCTTTTAAAAATTCATCTGAATCAGGCGGTCCCCATATCTAAGAAGAGTCTATTCGTTAGTAAAATATGTATATATGTATATATTATAGGGCTTTACTTTTTCATAATAATCATATAAAGTATAGACTGCTCCTTTTTGATTCCAGCCTCTTGTATATGCAGTCTTTTTAATTGAATGAATAGAGATTGTATTTCTTAATGTCTCTATTAAACCAGAACTATCCGAAGTAACTAGAATACGGAAACTATTACAAACAAAAAAGTACTTGGTCAGTCATGTTATCCTTTTTCCCCCCCCCCTTAGGAGATAGAGAGTGATATGATATTTACTATTTCACCCAAACATTGACACCTGTATCCTCCCAAATACGTTGCATTTCACGAATTAATTGAATTGCAAATTGTTCTTGTCTTAGATCGGCACCATGTTTGACAATCACAGATAAAAGATGCCAATTAGGTAAATGACCAAAAGGGGAGGCACGTCTTAACCTTTCCTTCTTGGTCTCCCAATCTTCAGAAAGTACAACTGCACTTGGATCATCATTATTGGCTTTATTATTCTTCATCTTGACCCAAGCCATCATATGCTCTTCTTTATCTTCTAATAATCGATCACCCCCCATCATAGAGCCTCCTTCAGTCCCTTGAACAACACTACCCACACCCTCTATCTTTATCTTCTTCATCCTTTCCTCTTCTAAAGCCATCATCTCTTTGATGATCTTTCGTCGAATATGCTCTGTATTATGAGTATGACTCGATGAGTGTAATCTGTATTTAGAAAATAAAGAGGAATTTATACCGCCATTAAGACTATTATTATTACTGTTATTGTTACTGTTACTGTTACCACTACTGTTATTGCTATAATTGGAAATTATATTCGGAGATTGTAATTGTGCAAGCATCACAGCTGCTGTTCGCATTCGCTCTGCATAATCATCAGCAAAGGTGGATGAAGAAGTGGTGGTAGTGGTGGTGGTGGTCTTTTGAATGTTGATGTCTTGTTCATTTGTCATCATCGCCTTCTTTTTCCTCATCTCTCCTATATCAGCAACTGTGTCATCATCTTCTTCCTTTTTTAAAGAAATAGAGGTCCGTTTAGAATGTGAACGTTTAGGTCGATGATGTTGATGACGGCAGTAATAATGTCCTGATGGACTTAGATAACTACTCTCTTCAAAACTCATTTCATCGTCCAAGACTTCAATCATCAATAGATAAGGTGCTCGTTCAGCTGAATTAAGGACAACGGCATCTGTAGGACTAATACGAACGATACGATGATGATAAGGTTTCTCTGCTGTGGCAGGACACCATAACGGTAAACAGATCTCGGCAGGTAAATTATGATTTAATAAAGTAAGTTCAGCGTGTAATGCACTCATACGTGCTTCCTTGGGCACAATCACTAATCGTGTTGCAATATCCACAAGTGCCAACACAAATTGCATCTCTGATCTAAAATAGTTGCTACGAAGTAATAGTTTACGATGATCTATACTTAACTTTGAAAAGGAACGTCGTATAGGACTATCCGCACCTTTTACTGAATCATGATCATGATTATGAGAGGATGAGGATGATGATGATGATGATGCTTGCTTTGTTTCTTGATGAGCTAATAAAAATGGATCTTGTTCATCCTCTGAAGAAGAATGAGGGTGGTCAGTGGTGATGATTTCTTCAGAAGAAGAGGAGTGATAATGAGATAAAGCAGGTGAGAGTGGAGCTGTATTGGTTGGCACAGTGGATTGTCCAAGGGCTGTTAAAGTAGGATCAAAGACAGAAGGGAATGATGTTTGTTTGCCTTTTTTCTTTCGAAGACTATTATGATCTGACAAGGGAGAGGTCACTGTGAGCTGTTCCTCTCCTAATTGGATCATTTTTTTGTTGATTTTGTGTTGAGCAGATTTAATATATCTTGTCACTGAAAAGGCTTTACCTCGATGTAAATCTTCTAGAGAAGGAGAGCTTGCAAAAGGACTAAAATAAGGATGAGATTTTTTCTTTTTTGATAATGATGTAACGGGTAGATCAGGTTGTGAAGAAGAAAGGTAATGGTGATGATGATGTGAAGAGGACACATCGAGATGTACTGACTGATTAGTAGAAGACAAAGGAGAAAAGGAATCATGATGATGATGATCATCATCATCTGCTGCTGTTTGTACAAGTGATGATGGATGAGTCGTACCATGAATAGAATTGATACGATTTCTACGCCCTTGTGCAATCGCAATTCTACCTGCGGGCTTGGTCATCAAAGGCTGTCCGATACCCAATAGGACAGCACCCATACCTACCAAGGCAGGGAAAGGATTTTCGCGCACTTTTTGACTGTTTCTTTGTTGATGATGGATCATTCGTTGACTTAATGATTCTTCTATTGCATGTTCTTCTTCTGCAAATACAACAGCTTGCGCTTTATTTAATAACCGCTTACATAGTTCAAAAGATGGACTTGATGGATTTGCACAAAGGTCAGATAAATAAGCTTGTAAATACCATAGTGACTATATACAAATAAAACATATTAATGCACACACATTTTTTTTTTTCGTGTATATTAAAAATATGAACGTACCATTAGTGCAATATGAGTTGATTTTTCAAACATCTCTATTAAAAAGCATTCTAGTGCCACCGAATCTGAAGGTTTTGTAATTAAAAGATGACTATTATATGTATATGAAGATTAATAGATGCATTTTTTTTTTTTTCATCTTGACTATTGTTTTTTTCTTTTTTACATTAACTGAGGTAAAAAGAATTCAATCTCGGATATAGGAAAGCTTTTTAGTTCAGCACATAAATAATGTTGGATGCCAACATTGTCAGAATATCTAAATAGATAAGAAACTGCAATCCAAGAATTAAAGAATTCAGAAGTAAACAGCCTTAACAAAAGCGCATTTGACATGATGAACTATGATAAAGTGAGACATCAAATGAGAGCTTGAATATAAATAAATAAATAAACTGTATACATCCATATTACCTAATATAAGGAAAACTATATATTTTTTTTAAAAAAAAAGAGCTTTAAATTGAAAGAAGGCGATTTCCTTACTTTTATAAAAAAAAAAGGAGAAGTGTTATTTTTGTTTTAAAATAAAAAGGTAATTATTTGATGTGTTGTTCATTTTAAAGCACGACAAACTTTTTTTTTTTTTTTTTTTTTTTTTTTTTTTTTTTGGCTTTCTTATTTTTGTATATGTATTATATCCATGGAACAACCGCAACAACCAATAACAAAAAGAAAAAGGCAATTAATTGCTTGCAATGTTTGTCGTCATAAGAAGGTAAATACATTGTGAATCTATACTATTTCCATCTTGATCATTTATAAAGAAACAAAAAAAATAAAAATAAAAATAGATCAAGTGCGATGGACAAAAACCTTGTAGTAAATGTGTAAAGTTTAATCTACATTGTTCCTATAGCAGTATTATTAGGAAACGAGGACCTAAACAAAGCCATATCGATGTATTAGAACAAAGAATTAGAAAACTCGAGGAAATGATCGAAAGCAATAATAATATACCTTCACAATCATGCTCTCTGACTGAAAACGTTAGTCAAGCTTTACCATCTTATAATACTACTACTACTACTACTACTACTACCACACAACTTAATGAATGGCCTTCTGATGATATTATTGAAGATGCATTAGATATTTATTTTAATCAATGTGAATTATTATTATCACCTATTGTAGATATTGAAGCATTTCAAGAAAGTGTAAAGAATAAGACTTGTAGTTCTTTTCTACTGCATTCCATTTTATCTGTAGCTGTTAGGTATGTGTGTATGTGTGTGTGTGTGTGTGTGTGTGTGTGTGTGTGTGTGTGTGTGTGTGTGTGTGTGTGTGTGTGTGTATGTGTGTGTATATGTGCATGTATATGTGTATGCGTGTGTGCGCTTTTTCATTATTTATAATCAAATATAAAGGTTTTTGAAAAGATCAGATATAATAGAGAGTCCATTATGGCTATCAGGGGAAAAGTATGCAATAAAGGCAAGATCTATGATTGCAAATGTGATTGAATCACCAAATATAGAACATATTCAAGGACTCATTTATTTGAGTTTATACGAATATGGATGTGCAAGAGGACCCCATTATTGGAGGGATTTGGGTATTGCTATTTGTATGACACTTGAACTTGGACTAAATAAGGAAATTATGTTTGAAGAGATAATGCCTGGAATGACGATGAGTTTAAATCAATGGCTTTGGTATGAAAGTCGACGTAAATTATATTGGACAGTATTTATTAACGATAAAGTGGCAAGTGCTTATTCAGGACGGCCCCAGATGTTAGATAGTAGAGATGCAGATATTTTATTACCTATTTCTTACCATAGATCCATACTCGATGATAGTAATGAATTATATCAAAAGTCAATAGATGGAAGAAGATTAATACGATATAATATAATACGTGAGAATAGAAGAATAACTGGTGTTCAAATGATACCTATTGACTTGAGTATGAGTACTAGGACTATTGAAAGTATTCAGACTATAGGAATCGAATCACACATCATAAAGCAATATACAATTTTAGACAAAATTATACATTTTATAAATCGAGGCGCTAAGGATTTAACACAAAAGGATACACACACATTCAAGGAATTAAACAGAGAATTAGATGATATATGGCAAGAAAGGCTGTTATCTGATGAAAAGGGCTTTTCTTATCATTATTCGCTTTTATTACAAAATGGACTTATCGTGTTACTGAATCGAGTGTCACTTGTATTAGCGTCAAATATGCCAAGATTAGAAGAGGTCACACAAGAAATGCAGGAATTAATATATAAAAGTCAAGAGAGATGTCTTTCCGCAGCATATCGTTTTTCAACTCTACTCAAAGATGTAGTTCATAATTTCAAAACTGCAACCATACCTCCCTACTTTATTTATTTTGCTTATGTAGTGGCTACTGTGATGGTCAATCATAGTTTTTCAATAAATCCAGAAGAATGTGAAAAGGCAGAAGATGCTTTAAAAGAAATGCTTACATTCTTCCACGTAAGTTATAATATACGTGTATACAAATATGCATATGAAACGGATATTCTTATTATTTAGGAAATGAAACTGTATTGGGCCATGTCAGAAAAGATGGATTTCTTAACAAAAGATTTATATGCACTTCATGAAAGAGTAATGGATTTATATCAAAGGAATAGTCAAGATCAACACATGACAGAAGAGAACCATGATGGTGATACAACAGTAACAGCTAAAACATTATCTCCTTCAGCTCATATGGAGAGTAATGATGATTGGTCATCTTTAGTGAACGGGACTACTTCTTCCATGTTGCCAGTAAACCACCTTTTATTTGATAACAATAATTCAACTTCATCTTTAAATGCAATATCCTCATTTGATATTTGGTTACAACAACAAATAAAAAAATAAAATCACATGAAAATTGTCAGTGGGCGTTTATTATTTACTGTCAAAAAAAAAAGGACTTGTCACTTGTTCTTTTATATATTATCCCTTTCTTTTTTTTTTTTTTTTTTTTTTTTTTTTTTTTTTTTCTCTCTTTTGCTTTTTCTTTATTTACATGTAAATACCGTTTTTTTTTTGTTTCCTTTTTTTTTTTTTTTGTTTTTGAATATATCTCTTTATATTTATTAAAATGACACATCAAAACTTATTAAATCAACATTCACGACTACAACAACAAAATAAAGAGTTATTTAATTCTATTGAACCTTGGCAGTTATTATCAAATAATAAAGATATTTACTCTTCTAGTTTATTAACAGGTAATAATAATAGTAAAAGATAGATAAATACATGAAATAAATACCATTTAAATATGGGGTCCAACTACAATTATTATTAGAATCTATTCAAAGTGAACAACCCACAAGACATATTGCTATACTTATAGATAGTCATTTATGTGCCAATGAACATAATGAAGTATTAAAAGACTTGTTAAAAGTAAGATAGTTAAGCATGATTCATCATCATACGCTTATTAATGTATTATATCTCTAGAATACAGGTGATGTACGTACTATCTATCCTTATCTTGTCTCTGGTCTTCTCATCATTTCTTATTATTCTTTAAAAGACGCGAAATATGGTTTAGAAATCATTATGCATAGTAAACTGATGAATGCCTTTAAAGTTGCTTATTATGTAAAACCATGTACGATTAATAAGAAAATGAATGAAAAACTATTTGTTGTCCTAAGCACAACAAACGAATTTATTGATTTAAAACAGTTTAATTATATGGTAAAAAACAAGTCTAATTTTTGATTCTATAACAAAACTAAATAAATAAAAAAAAAAAATAGACTTATTTACAACAAATGGGTTTAATTACTTCTACATCAGAAGTCAATATTTCTTCTAAATGTACAATCATTAACCTGGAATACGATGATGAACGTTCTAATGAAAAGATATTAAAACAATTGAATCATGCTATAATTGAAGTAAGTACATATTTATAGTGAATGAACGAATAAACGAACAAACATTTCTTTTGTCTATAGAATATCTGCTTTAATGTGTATACAAATACAAAGAATGATCCTTGCTCTTGCTCATATCATTCACCTACTACTACTTCCTTAGTCTATCATCATCCTCCTCCTCCTTCTCCTTCTCCTCTGTCGATGCCTTGGGAGGATCGTTTACCTTTTATAAATACTGGGAAAGCAATTACTTCAAATTCTATTCATTCTTGTTCTCCTACAATCTCTAGTCAAAGCTATTTCTCTACTGATCCATTCCCTCCTTATAAGAAATCATTATCCACTAATACTAGTTATATGACATCATCATTACTACCACCTTCCCCTCCTCTTCTTTATCATCAAAAAAAGAAATGTATAGAAGAAGAAGAAGAAGAAAATAACGTTAAATTCAAGATGGAAGAAGAACCTTATTCTTTTTCAACTACAACCATGATGGCTACAACAACCAATAGTACTGTTTCAAGTCATAGTACAACAAGTAGTTGTAATAATACGAATACAAAGAATGACATTGATTTTGATAAAATTATACAAGGTGAAGATAAAAGGACTACGTTTATGATCAGAAATATTCCTAATAAATATACCCAGGTACTGTACTTTATACGTGAATAGCCATAGATTCTTACTTTAATATCCTTTCTTTTCTTTTATAATAGCAAATGTTGATTGATTGCATCAATAGTAGTCATGCTAATACTTATGATTTTCTTTATCTCCGTATCGATTTTAAAAATAAATGTAATGTAGGTTATGCCTTTATTAACTTTATTGATCCAAAGTAAGTAGTCTAAATAACGTTTATACCTCTTTCATCTTCTAAGGAACCTGTCTTTTATTATTATCATTGTCTAGATCTGTTATTTTATTTGCTAAAGAAAAAGCAGGCAAAAAATGGTATACACATATTTTGTATGAATTAATATGTATTTATATTAACCTTACCTTGCTTTTATTTTATGAAGGGAACATTTTAATTCTGATAAGCGATGTGCTTTATCTTATGCGAACATTCAAGGAAAGGATGCCTTGATTAAAAAGTTCAAAAATTCTCAGGTCATGTTTGAAGATGCTGCTTATCGGCCTAAAATATTCTATTCTGATGGTCCTAACAAGGGTAAAGAACAAGCATTCCCTGTACCTTCAGATCTTAAAAATTTGGAAGAAAATACTTATGTTTTAAAAGAGAGTCGTCACTTGAATAATAGTAATCATCATCGTCGTCGTCAACACCATCATCGTCGTTCTTAATTTATTATAGTATAAATCGTAATGGTCATGTTTTTGTTTATTTTATTTTATTTTATTTTTTTGGCTTTATATAGTGAATAAATATGATTTTTTTTTCTTTTTTTTTTTTTTTTTTTTTTTTTTTTTTTTTTTTTTTTTTTTTTTTTTATAACATTTATATGGTTCTTGATCAAATTCCTGTTGGTAATCTATTCTGTCAAAGAGATACATTTGCTCGTCAATTAGTTACAAAATGTATCTCTTGCTCAGAAAAACCTAACAAACAAGGCTTTTATGAAGTAAAACTTTATGATACAGGTATATACATACATACATACATAGTGCGTCAGTTATTAACTTGAATACTACGTTACTTCAAGTTTTATTCCCTGAAGGTGGAGGACAACCTTCTGATACAGGCTATATTGATAATGTCAAAGTTCATAATGTACAACGTCAAAAACTGGCTCATGTTCATTATACAAAAGAACCTATTACTCAAGGTGCTGATGTTGAAGTCAAATTGGATTGGGAACGTCGTTGGGATCATGTTCAACAACATAGTGGTCAACATTTATTAAGTGCTGTTTTGGAAAGATCCCCGTTTTTTATTGAAACCATCTCTTGGAATCTGGGTGAAAGACGTTCATATATCGAATTACCTACAGCAGCAGGAAAGAATAAAGGACCTGAAATGATCATACAACAGGAATTATTACAGAAAGTGGAAATCAAAGTCAATGAACTTATTCTTCAAAATAGACCTGTCATTACACACTCACAACAGGCTGATGAACTAGAAGAACATCCTGACAGTTTACCTGATGATTATCCTAGTGAAACTGGGAAGGGCTATATTCGTACTATAGAAATTAAAGATCTTGATAAAAATCCTTGTTGTGGGACACATGTAGCTGAATTGAGTCAACTCCAATGCTTTAAAATATTACATACTGAGAAGGTAAGAGGAGGAAATACGCGTGTCTTCTTTTTATTTGGTCAACGTGTCTTGGATAGCTTTCAGACCATGTATACCATCAGTCGTCAACTGACATCATTATTATCAGGTCCTCAGGAACAATTTATTGAAAGCATACAAAAGATTCAACACCAATCGAGAGAGCATATGAAAGGTGCAAAGCGTTTATTAGAGCAATTAGCAGCTTATACTGTAAAAGAGATTGAACAGGCTTTATTAAATGATTCCTCTCTGATCGTGATCTATAAGGAAGACGGTGATATGGAGTTTTTGAATAAAGTCGCCAACATCATCCGAGATCGTCAAGTGCTGGAGAAACAGTTCAATAAAAAAGTCGTTATCGTCTTAGCTGCAGGAGAACAAAAGACGGGTGGTCCAATAGTGGTGATAGGTACAGAGAATGAAATTGTACAAAAGACTGGGAAACTGGTTATGAAAACTTTATCTGGTGTAAAAGGGGGTGGAAAAGGACGATGGCAAGGTAAAGCTCAAAACTGGCAAGGAATAGAAAATTTAGAAAAGTGTCTTGAAGAAGAATTATTCCAATAAATCTACTACTTTATGTACCTTATTATGTAATCATCCATTAGAAAAACAAAACAAGGGTTCTCTCTGTCCTTCTCTTTCCCCGAAGAAAAAAAAAAAAAAAAAAAAAAACAATGGGTGGTAAAAAGGAATTCTCCCCCCCCACTTTTTTTTTTTTTTTCGAAAAAAAAAAAATTATAGACTTCATTTGTTTTTGACACATTTCAAATTGTAATTAATGAAATATAAACCTGTATTGCAAATAAATAGATTTTTTTCTTTAGATGTAATTATAATTAAAAAGCATAAAAGAAACATACATGTATATAGATTTATATATATATTTTCAGGGACGAAATCGTTTATCCAACAAATTCATTCCATTAACAAAAGATAAAACATCAAGTTCAGATTTAACGAGCCATTCCACCTTATTAAAGGCTGGCTTTATTAGACAGGTAATCCATTACAAATAATGACTTTATGAAAAATAGGATTCTTATTTTTTTTTTTTTTTTTTTTTTTTTTTTTTTTTTTTTTTTTTTTTTTTTTTTTACTCTAGAGCGGTGCGGGTATTTATTCGTTATTACCCTTTGGTTTAAGGACTGTTGAAAAAATAGAACGCATCATTGATGAAGAAATGCAAGCGATTGGTGGTGAAAAACTGTCATTACCCATCTTGCTTAATCCTGACAGCTGGAAAAGGACAGGTCGTTGGGATGGTGCGAAGGGAGAGGTAGTAATGATGATAATAATAATAATAATGAGAAAGATTCTAACGTTATCTCTTATATAGTTTTTTCGTTTTAAAGATAGAAAGGAATCCGATCTGCTATTAGCACCTACGCATGAAGAGGAAATAACTCAATTGGTAGCGAATGAATTACGTTCAGCAAGACAATTACCGTTACGTTTATATCAAATAGGTCGAAAATACCGGGATGAGCTTCGACCGAGAGCAGGATTATTAAGAGGACGTGAATTTATAATGAAGGATCTTTATTCGTTTGATAAGAGTCAGGAGGATGCCTATGCTAGTTATGATCAAGTAGGAGAGGCCTATCGTCGTATCTTTCAAAGGATAGGAGTCCCATTTGTAGTAGCAGATGCTGATAGTGGTAATATGGGTGGCTCCAAGTCACATGAATATCATTTAATCTCTCCAGTTGGGGAAGATACCCTTTTAACCTGTTCTCATTGTGGTTACACTGCTAATCAAGAACTTGCCGTAGGCCACTATAAGCGCGATGATGAGAATCCTGTTTCGACTTTAGAGGAGCACCCGTTTCTGAATTCTATTATTCCAGCTAATGCAAGAACTCATATCAGATCGACTGTCGTTACCTTTCAATCCTCTTCTGGCGACGTAAATCAAGGTTGGGCTGCCATCTTGACACCCATGGATCGATTACCGAATTTACTTAAAATACAAACACAATTAAATCAATATCTAGCGACAGCCGTAGATGTTCATGAGCTATCATCAGCGAAATTGAATACAATCGATCCAGATACGATATCGCACCTTCATCTCTTTGTCGATGATGCAGTGCAGGTACCACCTCTTTTAGATACCAATCGAGTCACCCTTCATCCTCCTAGCCTATTTCGATTGACGAAAGCAGGCGATACCTGTCTCTCATGTCAAGAGGAAAGTGGAGCACGACTTTCAAGTGTAAAAGCCATTGAATGCGGACATACATTTTATTTAGGTACACGTTATTCAGCTGATTTGGGCTGTAAGTTTCGCGATATAGATGGTACATGGAAGGAAGTGGAGATGGGATGCTATGGTATTGGTATTACACGATTATTAGCGGCTGTAGCAGAGGCGTGTCATGATGACCGAGGTCTTGTTTGGCCATCCTCCATTGCACCTTATCGTGTTTGTATTGTCACGACAACTGAGAGAGAGGAGGAAGCGGCGTTAAGGAATCAAGTCTATGATGCACTTGACAAAATCCATAAAGGTGATGTGATGATAGATGATCGCTTAAAGACTGGATTTGGTGCTAAAATGAAAGATGCAGAGTTAATGGGATATCCCTTTATTGTTGTTATTGGATCAAAGTCGATTCATCATGATAGAATCGAATTACATGAACGTATTCAAAATAGCGAAAATAGAAAATCAATGGTGACACTTGAAGAATTAATAAATAAAACCATGTAAACTATTTATTTATTTATTTATTTATTTAATAAGGATCACGATTTTCAGCCTTTTGAATTGTATTATATAAAACTTGAGCTTCAATAGGAGGCTCAATTTCACCTCTTAAAATAGCATCAGCACGTATAGGTTTACCATAGAAATTTGTATTTGCACGAGTTAATTCTACGAGACCTGTGCCTTCAATGCTCATACCAGCAAAGAGACCCTTTGATTTTGTATAAGCAAAGACAGGTGCTACCTTTTTATCCTTTATATCTCCTGTAATAGATGCTTCACCACCAGCACCAATCGGGCCTGCACTAACAGATAAATTACCGCCTATCGTGAGATTACCTCCTTGAGAAAAGGCACGCACTGCTTCTTCACTATTTAAAATCAAAACAGAATCGGTTAGATCAGCACCAATTTGGGCACCAAAACCAACGCCACCTGTCATGATAGCTGAAGGTGCGCTCCATCCTAAATACAAGAATTTAATAAAAGATAAGATGACACATTAAAGGGGAGGGAGAGAGAAACTTACTTCCATCAGGCAATCTTATAATAATGATAATATATGAATAAAAGGAAATGTTATTTTTATCCGCTTTTTTATGATTATTATTATTACTGTTTCTTTTTTTTTTTTATTTTATATTACCTTGCAACAACAACACCACTACCTGCACGTCCACTCCATAAAAATCCAGCTTTTACAATGGTAAAAATGGCAAGACCTTTTGCTTCTTTTATAACTGAAACAGGTATAATTGTATCAAATCCATTTTCAATTTCATCTTTGTCTGGAAAAAAAAAAAAAAAAAAAAAAAAAAAAAAGACCAAATACAATTCAATTTTGATAAGCTTTTCTTATTGTTTTAAAAATTGACTTACTAATAAATTGTTCAAGGATTCTTGAAGCCTTGGCACATTCTTCACTTAAATTACGAGGAAACGGACTATTGAAATTAGGGCCTCCTATATAGATATGTATATGTATATATAAAAGTGTTCATATTTTATAATATTATATACAGATATACCTGCATTTGCTGCCATGTCACTTACTTGACGAACAGCATTTTGACTCAAATTACTTGCACCTATGCATATATAATTAGCTTTCAATTCAACATTAGTTGTTTTTTTTTTTTTTTTTTTTTTTACTTTTGGCTGCTTTAGAAGCTTGTTCTTTAAACTTATCAAACATAGACATTTTATTATTATTATTATTAACAAAGAAAAAAAGGTATACTATTTGTAAATAATTAACAAAGAGAAAAAGAAAGAGAGAGAAAAAAAAAAGGTTCTTCTTAGTTATACATAAGCTTTTTTTTTTTTCTATTTTTCTATTATTATTTTTTTTTTTCACGTGAATCTTGGCCCAATCACATTAACTCTTTTTCCAAGAACCAAGGTAAGAGTTCAATATCTTGTATTGAAATTCTTTTTGAGGATCTCTTTCTAAAATAGCATGAACGACTTGTTTAGCTTCGTCGCTGATGATAGCATCTTGAGGCCATTTAACTTCCGCACGAACGATACGATAAAATAATTGAGAAACGCGTTCTTGTTTACGTGGATCATATCGAAAGGGTAAATAGCCAACTAAGAGAGTATACAAGATGATACCCAACGACCAAATATCCGTCTTTCTACCATCATAATTTTCTTGTTTAATAATTTCAGGTGCTGCATATTCTTCACTGCCACAACGTGTAACCAATAAAGGTGATTTAGGATCGATGACGCGTGCTAAACCGAAATCAGTAATTTTTAATACCATCTCTCCATGATCGTCCTTATGAATCAATATATCTATCAATCAAATGAATAGTAGTAATAACCCATGTTTATGTTAATACAGATTGTATGTATGTGTGTGTGTGTGGGGGGGGTTTTCACGTATAGAAATAAAAAAAAAATAAATAAATAAATTACTTTCTAATTTTAAATCACGATGAACAATATTTCTTTCATGTAGCCATTTAACAGCATGTAGTAATTGTAAAAATAATGTCCTCACTTGAATTTCATTCATAGATTGATTTCCTTTATGCAACTTTTTTACAAAATCAAATAATTCACCGCCTTCAACATATTCCAATACAATACAAACCATCTTTTCTGTTTCCATGGTTGTTTCCAAATGTACAATATTAGGATGCTGAATAGACTATGATGATGACATTATTTAATCCTATTGTTTATTTATTGAATGTGTCGACTTACTTTTAATATATTAATTTCTCTTAGTATACTTGATCTTACTCTAGAGTCATCGAATAATTTTCCTTTCTTTATCGTCTTGATAGCAAAGAATTGATCTCTTGTCAAATGATGAGTTAAATATACTTTTGAAAAGGCCCCTACACCTAATAATTTACAGATACGATAATCAGCACCAATCTGGTGACCCACGATATCATCATTCTCATCCTCATTCTCATGATTGGGTATAAATGATAGTTTAGAATGATGTATCGTGTCTTCTTCGTGAGATGATAATAGATGAGGATCTAGAGTAGAAGAGATGATAGGTATTTCTTGTATTTCGGCTTGACTTGGAAATAAAAATGCATTATGAGTAGTGGTAGTAGTAGTAGATGTTGATGTTGTTTGTTGGGAGGATTCAGGTGTAGGGGTAGGTAAAGAAGAAACAAGGAACCTTTCAGTTGATAAGTGTGAATCCTTTTCGTTATTTGGATTCAAATGAGTAGGAGTAGATAGACGTGAAGAGGAAGCAACAAGATGTCTAAGTCTGTTAGCATAACTATCACGATAATTTTCTTGCTGTTGTTGATCATCTTCGGGTATCCAAGGTGAAGTAGCCGTTTGTCTGATTGATATTTTACGTGAAAGAGAAGGAGGTGGACGTGGTGTATTCGTAGATGAATCTGGAGTATAAAAGAATGCGTTTGTTTTATTTAAATCTGTATTAATTTCTAATCCACTACGAGATTTTTGACGTCGATGCGTATTCTATTTAGATACGAAATTAATACATACACACACACACATGTATATCTTTTTTTTTATATATAAAAGGAAATCATTACATTTTCTACATTTTCTTCTTGTTTACTATTGTTAACATTAATTTTCACAGTTGTAGCCTATAATAATTGCATATATAAGTTTTGTTATAAATACTATTTAATGAGAATAAAGACTATACCATATCTTTATAACTGCACACTATACGTCGTACGTAAGTAAGTAAATAATAATAAATAAATAAAAAAACAAAAAAAACAAAAAAAAAGAGAGAGAGAGAGAGAAAAGAAATTTTATTTGATTATATTTATTATATAGGTAAATATTTATAAATATAAAAAAAAAAAAAAAAAAAAAAAAAAAAAAAGGGATTTTCGTAAAGTCACAACAACAAAACTATTTGCACCAGTAAATTTGTGAGAAACGGAAAAAAAAAATGATTATGTAATAATTAACTCAAAATATGCATAATTAAAGAGGAGGATCCTTTGTAGTTATTCTCAATCAATATGACATTTTTACCTATCTTTTTTTGTTTGTTCCTTGTTCAAAAAGAATCATCCCGTTTATTTATTTTATTTCTCTCATGCAAATGATTTGGAAGCATGATGCATCAATTGTGTAACAAAAAAAAGGTTATATTTTAACAAGACATCATCTTGTTACTCTAAATAATATTCTCGGTATTTAATATTCTACATTGTTCCCTTTTAGAATAATCTGTCATTTTTGACATATGTATTTATCTCCATATCAAAAGAAAGAAAGAAAGAAAGAAAAAAAGGAATAATAGGTGTGTGTGTGTTCCTTTTTTGTTTAACTATAGAATATTATGTAATCAAAAGGTACCCATGCGAAATTGAGTAGAATAGAATAGTAGGTAGAGAAACTCTTTCGTATGTATCCAAGTAGTATGTTGGAATAAATAATGTATGTACTCGAACAGCATGATTGATTATTTGATAAGTATCTATGAGAGAGCCCAGTGACTGGTATTTATGTTGACTAATAAAGTAAATGAGTCAATATTTAGAAGGAGGAAAAGCTGAAGAGGGAGAAGAAGAAAAGGTTTGTTAAGAATACATCAATAGAGTGCATCTTAATTAACATGAAATAGGAGAATGATATACTCTAAAGAATATAAACTATCATAAATGTCTCTTTTTTTTTTAATGCAGTAAAAGGAGCAATTTTCTTTTTTTTTTCAATTTCTAATATAATGGCTTTATGTTAACACGAAATACAAAGCACAGACATTATCATTTATCTGTTACCCCCTAAATATCATTTATTCTCAGTCATAAAAAGTAGTTAGTAACAAAGGAGGAGTGAATAAAGATATCCATGTTTATAAATGTATCATGAACAATATATGCTTTTTTTTTTCTTAAACATTTTATCTAAAATATTTAATATTATTCAATAAGAGACGAGGGAATAGACCTCAAATGTGTGTTAAGGGTTAGAAGGGAGTATGTATGCAAATAATAAAAAAAAAGAAAAAAAAAAGAAAACTTAGGTGGGATTATGACAATAAAAAAAAGGGGGGAGTGTACGACAATGTTATTATATAAATTACCGATGATCGTCATATGTATTACATAATCTGTTCCTATCCTCTTTTTTTTTTTCTGTAATAATGGTGAAATAGAGATATAAATGATAATAAAGAAATGTTGACATACATTCTTAAACAAGTTACTTTTGTATTGAATATATATATGTATAAATATATATTTTTATACAAAACCATTTACTACTAATTGTTGTGATAAATAAACAAATACATTCTTTTTTTTTCCCTGCAAAAAAAAAAAAAAAAAAAAAAAAAGGAGTATTCATGATTGGAGGAAAAAACTAACTTTTTTATCATTACACCAATATTTGATTTGGATGTGCATCGACAATTTTAATATATAAATTATAAGCAAGTTACAGTATAAAGACTAAGATCCCTTTTTTTTTTTCTTTCTTTCTTTTTTCTTTAATAAATAATATATACAGTCTACATCGCATGCATATAAATAACATGGAAACATATTCAATTGTAAATAATTCATATCATTGGTTTAAAAAAGAAGACTTGAATTTAAAAACAATAGACTTTGACGATTACAATTCTTCTTCGTCATCATCTTCGACATTTGAATCTTGTTCATCTGATCTATTATTAACCGACAGTTCTACTATTGATTCTTTAGATTGTTGTATTACTAAAGATGATTATACTCAAGAAGATTATTTATTGTATCTACCAATTACAATATCTTTTGATGAATTATTATCTTTTAGAATGTTAAAATTATATCAAGTAAAGAAACACACATTTTTATTTTGTTTTTTTTTTACAAACTTCTTTTACTTTGCTTTTTAGAGGTTAATACCTTCTCGTCAATCATTCCGTAAAAGACAAATGATGACTGTAAAGATACAAAATATATTAAAAGAAGAATGGCCCAACTATCAATTCAATGTTTACTTATTTGGGTAATTATATCTATGCATGTCTATATTTACATTTTTATTTACATACATACATAAATTAGATCTTCTGTAAATAATTTAGGCACAGATCAATCAGATGTCGATATCTGTATTTCTACTACATGGCAAGGTTTGAAATCAATGAAAACATTAGCAACTGTGTTAACAAAATGTACAATTAAGATATAGCGGTTTAAATAGTGTGTATATTTTTATATAAGCTAATATATCATTTTTTTTTTTTGTTTATTCTTTACATACATACATAGATGGATTATATATTTTAAAAATCATTTCAAAAGCAAAAGTGCCTATTGTAAAAATATGGGATCCTGTCTTGTAAATAGATGGTTTTTTTTTTTTTCGTGTATATACCTCCTTAGATATTAAATATGTCCATCTTTCTATTATAGAGAATTGGCTTGTGATTTAAATGTGAATAATACTTTAGCTTTACAGAATACAAAAATGATTAAAACATATGTTGCTATTGATCCTCGAGTAAGACCTTTTATATTGCTTGTTAAACATTGGGCTAAACAAAGGAAACTAAATGATGCAGGTAAATAAATATCATGTATATGTATATATCACATAATAATAATAAATCTCTCTCTCTCTCTTTCACTCACTCTCTCTCTCTCTTTCTCCCTCTCTCTCAATATACATATACATATACATATATATATACATATATACATATGCATCTATCTATCTATGTGTTATACAGCAAGTGGTGGTACGTTATCAACATATACTTGGACTTGTATGGCTCTTTATTTCTTACAATCTCGTTCTCCACCTATTCTTCCTAAGCTTCATGAAATGCCTCATCGTCTTTCAAAAGATAATATACAAATAAATGGTTTGAATTCTTCTTTTTGTCAAGATCTATCTCAACTTGTAGGCTTTGGTAAAGCCAACTCTGAAAGCCTAGGTAGCCTATTTTATGGCTTCTTTCGAAAATTTGCTTATGAATTCGATTACAAGTCTCAAGTTGTCTCCGTTCGACACGGTTGTCTAATGACACGTGATGAAAAGGGATGGCAATATCTAGGGAACAATTCAGAGGGAAAACATGGATTATGTGTGGAAGAGCCCTTTGATACAAGACGTAATTTAGGCAACTCTGCCAATGAAGCTTCTGTTCGTGGTTTAAGGATGGAATTTGAAAGAGCTGTTCATGTCTTATTAGAATCGAGGGGTAATTTGGCCTCTTTATGTACTTCTTTTCATCGTTGATAAATATCATATTTAATAATACATCATAATAGTAATCATAATCATAATAATAATAAAAATGTATATAAACCCATTTTTATTTGACTGTGTTATAATACGATACTATTTTCTTTTCTTTTCTTCCTCAAATTTATATGCTATCAATATATGCTGTAAGGAGGAGTGAGAGCGGGTTTATGTTCTCTAGAAGATTATATAATATACACTCATTATTAAGAAAAAAAACACGAAATTATTAACCTTTAATATGATTGGATGATTTTAAACTTCATGAAATAAAAGGTAATTCCTTATAAACATTTCTGTTCTTTTTTTTTTTTTTTTCTTTTTTCATTTTGTAAAAGTATAGAACATCAACATGTTTGGATCCACTTTTTTGTTTTTATCTGCTGTTGTATTAGCAGCCATTCTTTTATTTCTAATGGTCTTTTTTGTAAGATTATTTTAGGTTATATTTTTTTAACAATGTCTGATTTAATTATTATTATTATAGGTCATTATGTTTTCAGATTTAGAATGCGATTATATTAATCCTATCGATCTCTGTAATAAACTCAACCAGGTAAAATTAGGTTCAACAAAAGTAAATTTATATACATTATTTGCTAAATTATCCATACATGTATATATATATATATAAAAGTTTGTTTTACCCGAAATGGGACTACAAGCATTTGTATTTTCCATGTTTCTAGTAACAGGTCATTGGTTCCCCATGCTTATCAATTTACCCATTTTAGTTCTTAACGTTAGAAAGTAAGTAATATTTTTTACTTTAATGAAAAATAAGACAATGGTTAGGGGGGGGAAAAAGTGTATATGGACTAACTAAAATGTTATTTATACTATAGAGTCATGAATCGTACACATATGTATGATGCTACCGAGATATTCCGTACATTGTCAAAACATAAAAAGGAATGTTTTATTAAGCTTGGTTTCTATGCTTTGGTAAGTCATTAAAAAAAAAAAAAGGTGGAGAAGTGAAGTTGGTTATATTCAATATCTTTAACCATAAATTTGGTAGTGTTTCTTTTATTATCTTTACCGTATGATTGTTGCTATGATTGCCACCAACTAGGAAAAGAGAATGAGTTGGATATAATAAATGTGTAATATGTATGAAGTAGTAAATAAATAATATATGTAATTAATGTTCTTCTTCATCATCAGAATTATATTCTCCGACAATAAAGGAGAAGACCCTTTGAATTTAATCTTAACCATTCTTCATCTTATCTGTAAAATAAAAGAAAAGAAGAGAGAGATGGAGTAGCTGAAAGAGATTAAACACAATAATAACGTTCTACTTGTTATCAAAACGGTTTATAGTAGTATAGAATTATCTCTATTATTAAAACTACACCTTTAAATTGAGGCAGGAAAAAATTTAGCATCTTTTTGGATTTTTGAGAAGGGGGATGGGAACTATGTTTATATAATCAGAGTAATAAACTTACAAGTTAGACTGGGACCAATGAGTAACGGGCAAAGTCCTAAAGAGAGGATCGTTTATTGTGACGCACTCTCAACATTCAACAAAATAATATGCTTGAAAATGATACCGAGTGATACTTTATGAATGGAAACAAATATGTAGTCATCTCCTAAGAGTCTATATGGGTAGACTTAAAATATTAAAGAGAGGGAAGTCATCATTTTATGATAGCGCGACATAAATGCAGCAAAGGCCATTTGTGTTGTAGTGGTAGTCTACTATTAATTGTGGCTGTTCTTACCCCCCCTTTTTACTCCAATAAATCGTCTTTTTTCTTTTTCATCACTATATCAAATACAGCTTTCCTCTTATTAGGGAAAGGACTTCGTATATGGTGTCAGAGAGAGAGAGAGAGAGAGAGACCATGACAAGATTCTTTTTGATTCATCAAAGAATAATTTTAGTTTATTTATACATACAGAACCTAAACATATAAAAATGATTGGATGTATTGGTATTCTCGAGAAGAAGTCACACCCTTGACATGAAGGCAATAAACGCTTCTCCACATTTTTTATTTTATTCTATTTTATTTTTTTTTACTCACATTTTACTTTATAAATCGGTATTAGCTAAAATGGCTGCCATTCTCGGTAATATTGCTAAACTTGCTATTCCAGCTGGTATTGCTATTGGAGGCATTCAATCTGCTATGTATGATGGTAAACTTTTTTTTTATCTTTTATTTTATTTTATTTTGTTTTATTTTATTGAAAAAAAAAAAAATAATAAGCTAATTTAGTAGCTATAAAATTGTATCATAATGTATTAACAACTCGTTAATAGTACAAGGTGGATATCGTGCCGTCATTTTTGATCGTATCCAAGGTGTAAAATCTTCATCAGTAGGTGAAGGTACACATTTTTTAGTACCATGGCTTCAACGTGCTGTTCTATTTGATGTTCGAACCAAGCCTCGAAATATCTCGACGACAACAGGTTCAAAAGACATGCAAATGGTTAGTTTAACGTTACGAGTTCTTCATCGCCCAGATATTAAAAATGTGTCCACCATTTATCAAAACTTGGGAGAGGATTATGATGAAAGAGTATTACCCTCAATAGGGAATGAAGTCTTAAAAGCGATTGTTGCACAGTTTGATGCCTCTGAATTAATTACGCAGCGTGAAGTGGTTTCTGCAAAGATTCGAGAGGAACTCTATAAACGTGCTAGAGATTTTAATATAGCTTTAGAAGATGTTTCAATTGTAAGTTAGTTATATACATATATATATATTTAAATATACAAGTACACCACACATATAGACTACTGGTATTGAATTCATTCAATATGGTGTATGTATGTAATAGACACATATGACATTTGGTAAAGAATTTACTAATGCTGTCGAGCAAAAACAAATTGCGCAACAAGAAGCCGAGCGTGCGAAATATATTGTTGAACGAGCAGAACAAGAAAAACAAGCTTCCATTATTCGAGCTGAAGGAGACTCTCAAGCTGCTGAAATGATTTCTTCAGCACTTGCAAATGCAGGTGATGGTTTTATTGCCTTTAGAAAAATTGAAGCATCCAAGGAAATTGCAGCAACATTATCAAGAAATGAGCGAGTTACTTATTTACCTAATAATAAGAATAGTAACAAATCTAACTTGCTTCTTAACATGGGTCAAGCTTAAACGAAATGTTATAGCTTATTAATTATTTATTATATATGAATACAAATCTATAAGTATTATTTTATTTATTTATTTTTTTTTTTTTTGAAAAAAAAAAAAATTAAAACCCAAGAGCAGCTTTGATTCGAGCGAAAATTCCAGGGCATTGGCATCTTTCATCTTTAGGAACATCATCTAAAACTTCTTCAACATGTCTACCACAGCCTAATATAATATATAAATACAGAATGCTACACTACTAAGTTTACTATCTACACTTACCGATCCATGTTGCTTTATTACAGTTACTACAGGTTGTACGTTTACACATATTATTTCTTTAACAAAAAAAAAAAGAAAAAAAAAAGGAACTTTGAATTGAAAATTTGTATTTTTAAAAGTAAATACGAATTTTTACGTGGCATCAAAGACATAATTGGTTCATTTAAGGCTTTGTTTTAAATTGCTATTTGGAATAATGCCTGAAATTAAAAATGTGATTCGTAAAGGCTCTTATAGATCTTTTTTTTTTTTTTTGTAATTACTATATGACTGAATAAATAAAGAAAATAATAAAGAATTAGGGAGAAATAGTGTATTCTCTTATTTCCATTGTTCCAATTTGAATAATCAATGTTAGACATTCAATGATACGTAATTATTGTACTGTTTTTATTGAGAATATATCTAGCATTTGAATTTATTTTATAACTAATCTTAACCCCTCTTCATGTAGACTCCCTTCTTATACATAAGTATTGTAAAGTTTGTTGATATGTATTATCAGCTTCGATGTGCTGTATATCTGCCTAATGCTTTATAATCAGTCACTTTGGATGATAGTGTATTCGTAAAGTAATAATTCCCGGGCCAGACTTAGTTTTGCTAGAAGAAAGCTTTTTTTTTTAATGTGTCAACTATTTCAAGGTCGTAAAGTGAGCCTTTCCTCGCTAATGAATTATATAATCGACAATGTACACATATCCTTTTCAGCATTTTAATACTACCCTTTTTTTTTCTTGAGTCCTATTTTGTATCCTTTTGAAAATCGATGTATAACTAAAAAATGCGATATCTTTAACAAGCAGAAGTGTGATAGCTATCTTCTTTTTCTTTTCATTTTTAGGAGTTCTTTAAATTCTTGTCAATTTTGAAAAGAGGATACATTTTGTTACATACTTTACTAACAGTGTGGACTTTTTTTTTTTTTAATTTATCTTTTATCTTATATACACATGTTAAATAATTATGTAAGTGTAGTATACGGAGACTGTCGTATTAATTAAAGTCAGAATAGGTTACTCATCACTACTAATTGTAAACCTCTATTTGTTATTGATTGATTTTGCTCTAAATTAGTAAAAATGGTAACACTTCCATTTATATACAAATAAAATAGAATCGTGAGGGAATTGATGAGCTTTGGTTCTCAGCTTTTCTTTCTATTGACTCTGTTGTATTCTTTCTTTCTTTCTTTCTTTCTTTTTTTTTCCTAGTTCATAATTATATTCTACTTTTTAATATATCAATCATGAGTTGGTCTGATAAAGTGAATGTTTATGTCGCTCATTCTGGGGTGGGAAAATACTTTCAATTAGAAAATTCAAGTGTAAAACTAAAAGGAAAAAGGAACAAAGTTTTTGACCGAAATTCGTGCATTCTTTGCTATAGTTTGTACTTTATTTATCACATGTACAAAAAAAAAAGAAAAGAAACCCTCTTAAAGGCTAAAGAATAACTAACAATCATTTCTTGTGAAGTATATGTAGCAGAACTAGTTATATTCAAACAAAGAAATGTTCTACTCATGTATTAATCAAGGAAAATATGTACAATCCTCAAATATGAATCTGACAGTAATATATAGAACTGTGACATGAATACTGCTAAAAATAGAATGATTAAAGCATAGCAATGAAAGGCGAGCTGTGTTCAGAAGAACTAACTTTATATAGCCTATTCTATTTTAACTAATTGAGATTGATACAACTCTTTCGCGTATCTTTTTATGCTGTTTGGTAAGCGATCATCTATTTTACAATATATACTAAAATATTGAATACTATCTCAAATCAGTGCAGAAAATTGTATTTGGCAGCATATCTACTGCTAGTTTACTGTATGTACTATCCTTCAAGATATAAATTATTCAGTGCATGATAAACTTCTTTCTTCTCTTCATAAACTAGAACGACCTTCACTGTGTTGGCTATCAATTCATTGATCAGTTAGTATAATCTTCACCTTCTTTCTTTTACCTATTCTTTATGTTTTCCCTTAATTTGGTCTCTATTTAAAACTCAGCAGTAATAATTTAAAAGGAAAAATGGAATCCCCTTGTCAAAAAGTTCGGTTTTTTTTTTTTTCTTTTTTTTTCTATGCAATGAGTAATGCTGTTAGAAAAGTATCTGATGCTATTAACATCGTATTCTATGGTGTATCATTATTTGGGTAAAATAAACTTCATTTATAGTATATTCTGTTTATTTATTTTTCCCTAAAGTTTGGCAGGAACACTTCATGTCATCCAAATCAGTTCATTTCTCTTAAGACCGTTTTCAGAAAAACTTCTTGTTAGAATCAATTCAAAATTAGTTGGAACAACATGGAAAGTGATGCAATACATATTTGAGGTAACTCAAAGTAGATTTATATAGATTTTATCATCTTAAAATTTCATAAAAAAAAAAGCGACGTAAAAAAGCTCATATTACATTTTCTGGTGATAAACTTCCATATAAAGAAAACGCACTTGTCATAAGTAATCACCAATCATGGACTGACATTTACTTGATTCACTCTGTTGCAATTAGAAGAAATATGCTGGAAAATTGTAAAGTAAGTTTTCAATATAGAAAACAAATAAATTCAAATAAACTTATTTTCTTTCATGTGTAGTATTTCGTAAAGGATTCACTTAAATATGTAAGTTTTGATTTAAAAAAAAAAAAAAAAAAAAAAAAAAAAAAAAAAAAAAAAGCTGTAAACATTCACTTTTGTTTAACAAGCTGCATTCAATTTTATTAGTTACCTTTCTTTGGATGGGGTATGTGGGTAAAGTATTGTATTGGAATTAATATACTTTCAGTTATATTCTAAAGAAGTTTTAGCTTGCAGGATTTGTATTTGTTCGTCGTAATTGGACACAAGATCAAAAGAAAATTGATGCTACATTCAAAACAATAAGACGACTTCAAACACCAGCTTGGATTATTAATTATGTTGAAGGATCTCGAGTCACTTTAAGGAAATTGTATGATTCTCAGAACTTTGCTAGACAAAAATCGTATCCTGTTATGGACAATTTACTTTTACCACGAACAAAAGGATTTGTTAGTTGTGTTAATGAGTTTAGAGGAAAAGATTCTCATATCAAATATGTGTATGATTTTACAATTGCTTATAGAAATAGAAGACATCCTAAAAGATTTAATCAGGCACCTAGTATGATAAGGGCTCATATTCATTCTTTATGGCCAGAATATGAATTCCATGTTCATTGCAGACGATTTGCTATTGAGGACTTGCCAGAAGATGAAAATGAATTAAATGATTGGTTAAGAGCAAGATGGCTCGAAAAAGATCGTCTTTTAACACTATTAAGAAGTCAATGGATAAATGGCTTGGATAAGAATATTATGTGGAAAGAATAAGCTTCTTCTACTGTTACTGAGAAGGAAGATGATATAATAAATAGATATAGTGTAAAACATTATTATTTATCGTCGTCGTGACTTTTTTATATATATGTTTTAAAGATGTAAAACCTGTTCCTACAATTCTATTTCTATTTCTTTTTTTTTTTTTTTTTGGTTTTAATTTCTTCCATATTTATTAACTTGGTAAAGATTATTAATACAAATGGCTATTTTTTTTCAAACTATAACGAAACGGTCAATATCTTCAATTATATCATCAAGACCGTCTTTAGCTAATAAATTCATAGTACCGAGACAAATCCAATTAGGAGCTACTACTAGTAATAGGAATGAAATATCACAAATATTCTTAAATAGGTAAATATAAATCATGCCATTCCAATTTAATGTGTCAAAGTCACTTACTACTACCAACAACGCTCTAACTGAAAATAAATTTAAATCTTTTAATTCCTTTTTTTTTTTTTTTCTTTTTACTTTTTTTATGAAAATTTTAACACGTTTACTATTAATATTCGTAATTTATTATCTCTATAACAGGTTTTTTTCATCTTCTTCTATCAAAACTATGACTGAAAAACAAAATACTGTTGTTATTGTTGGTGGTGGTTTAGCTGGTCTTACAGCTGCTGTCGAAGCTCATAATCAAGGTAATACAAAGGTTATTTTGATTGAAAAAGAAAAAAACATTGGGTAAGTTTATGCAGCCTTCTTTCTTTTACTTTTTTTTGGTTGAATTCTAACTCATGTATTATTAGTGGTAATTCTATGAAAGCTACTTCTGGCATTAATGCTATTGAACCATTAAATAATGATAGTCGTGAAGCTTTTATTGAAGACACTCTCAAGTCTGGTGCTGGTATCTGTCGCGAAGATCTTGTTATCAAGTTAGTTGATGAAAGTCGTTCTGCTCTTGACTGGCTAATCAAGGAAAGTGAATTTGAAGCTGGTAATCCAACTTTAGATTTATCTGTTGTCTCTCGTTGTGGTGGTCACTCAGTCGGTCGTACGCATCGTTGTCCTGCTCAAAATGGCCGTCCTGTCCCTGTCGGTTGGAAGTTAGTTGATACTCTCAAGAAACGTTTTACCTCTTATCCTGATGTTGAAGTTATTACAAATGCACAAGTTTTAAACTTACTTACTGAACCTAACCAGAAGAATGTCAAATCTGTTGTAGGCGTTCAAATTTTAAAGAAGGACCCTGAAACAGAACAAGAAAGTAAGGAAGAAATTAGAGCTAACGCTGTCGTTTTGACAAGTGGTGGTTTTGCTGGTCAAACTGGAAAGTATTTACCCAATGGTAAACATACACTTTTGAGCGAATTTGCACCTCAATTAGTTAACACTGCTACTACCAACGGCCCTTGGGCTGCCGGTGAAGGTGTTCGTCTTGGATTGGCGGTCGGAGCTGGTATCAGAGATATGGTAAGGGTTTTATACATATACATATAAAAAAAAAATCTGATAAGAAATTTTGATTATTAATACATAATTTATTTAGGATCAAGTCCAAGTTCATCCTACAGGTTTTGTTGACCCTAATAATCCTACTGCGCCTACCAAGTTCTTAGCTCCTGAAGCACTTCGAGCTTATGGTGGTATCCTTTTAAATGGTAATGGTAAGCGATTTATTGACGAATTGACCTTACGTGATCGTGTTACGGCTGCTGTATATCGTCAAACTGGAACCAACCATAATCATCCTGATAGTTTAATGAGTAAAGTTTTACCTAAGGATTATGCTGCTGCTTATATGGTCTTGACAGATGATGCTGTCGAAGGATTCGGTAAGAGTACCTTAGGTTTCTATGCCTCAAAGGGTTTCTTCACTCAAGCTGAAGGTATTGAGAATTTGGCTAAAGTGTTGGATGTTGATGTTAAGGAATTAGAACAAGAATTTAAAGAATATGATCAACATGTTGGTTCTGATAAGCCTGATAAGACTCAAAAGACATTCTTCCCTGGTCCTATTTCAGGTCCTACTACATACTGGGTTGCCTTGACCACACCTGTTGTTCACTATACTATGGGTGGTCTTAACATGAATACGGATGCTGCTATTTTAGCTGAAGATAATGTTTCTGTCATTCCTGGTTTGTATGGTGCCGGTGAAGTCACTGGTGGTGTTCACGGTCATAATCGTTTAGCTGGTAACTCTCTTTTGGAATGTGTTGTATTCGGTAGAACCGCTGGTCGTAATGCTGCTCTTTATGCTCAACAACAATAAATAGTATACATGTTATTCATTATAAAAAAAAAAAAATTTTTAGCTTTGTATTTTAGCAAATATATCATATAAATAAATAAAATAAACAAAACAATAATCATTTATAAACTAATTAAATTATGTTATTTATTTACACGGTTTGAATGAAGCTGTTCAAATTTTACTGGATCAGTGAAGAATACAGAAAAAAGCTTCTTTTCTTGTTCCCATACATGATTCTCTTCCTCATTATTTATATCCTAAATAATGCATTAGCTTATAAGTGCCTTTTTTTTCTTTTTTTTTTTTTTTTTTAATTATCACTCACATTTTCTAAATTTGATAATTCAGCAGTTAATTCTTGAGTTTTATATTCAAGCTGTTCTTGCAAAGTGGTATATGATCTTGGAGTCATAATGAAATGATTGTCTGAAGAATGAGAATATAATGAACTAAATAATCTTTCCTGTAGTTTATGTCTAAAGAGGGAAAAAAAAAAGATACACACAATTAATATGAAAGAACTCACATTAAAGATTTAAATAACTTACAGCTCTTTAGCAGCATCCATACAAGATTCAAAATCTTCGTTCCATCTTTGTTTAAGTTCTGTTTCATAGCTTTTAAGCTTTACAATCTTTTCAATCAAAGAAAGCTCCTTTGCATCATTTTCTAAATCATGTTGTCTAAAGAAATCATCAAGAAATAGACCTATCATTTCTAAATACATTTTATCTTTGTCCTCCATAGTAAGTGTCTTTATATCCTCTTTTTCTTCATTTATTCGTGCTATATCAAGCTCTAATTTATTAACTAAGAACTCCATTGTTTTATGTCTGTCGATATCACCTTGTTGATTCAAATCATATATATAAGACACAAGTTGCTGACAAGCCCTTTGTTTTACTGAAGTTTTATAGACCTTATCCATATCATCTAACAACTTTTCCAAAATATTTAATTCTTTTCTATAGTGGTCCTCCTGTAAAGGCCATATAATTTTCAATTCTGCCAATGCATCTAGACTTGGGCGAATGGTATCCTTTTCTAATTTCTCTAACTGTAAAGTAGCTGCTTTCATATCTGAGGTGTAATTTTCTGTCTCTGATTTAAGAATAGGCAATATTTGTGGTAACCCGTTTAATTTAGCTCTATCACGATTTAGAAATTGTATACGTGCCTCAAATCCCTTAATTTGAGCAATTAAATCCATAATATCAAATTCATTTCTTTTGAAGTCGTATGCTAACGTCTTTCTACCATCTCTGTCCTCAATGGGATCACTTTTCAATATTTCTTGCCATTGAGTAACGACTCGATTGAGTTCCATTGACAATAAGCGATCACTTTCAATATACTTTGTATCATCGCTTACTGCAAGTGTATACCTATTGTTCTGTGGTTCAATAAAAGATGACCTGTCTATAGAAGAAACTGTCTCTTCTATTGCTTTTATATACTAATATAAACTTAATCGTTTATAATAAAAATAAATGTATATATATGCATATACACTTTTTTTTGTTTATGTACCTCTTGTTGCATACATGTTAGTTTTTCTTTAAGAGAAACCTCTTCTTTTTTGACTTTTTCTAGATCAAGTTGTAATTCTGCTAACTGTTCTACCAATTGCTGATGTGTTTCACTATATAATTCAAGATTAATAAATACAGAATGTAGTCAACATTTAAACAAAATTTGTACATCAAGACTTGATGTTGATTTGATAATATATCAATGTGAATAGGATATTGATTAGGCTGTATTGGACGTTTATTCTGAATGGCATTTGAATGATAGTCGGCACTACTAAAAAAAAATACGTGGTTCATAATTTTAGGTCTTTTGTAAAATTACTAAATGATAAATACCTCGTAAGAACTTCTTTTTCCCACTCATCCTCTTCTTCTTCTTCTTCTACAGGATAGTTAAGATCTAAATAATCCGATCTTCTTTTTGAATACATTATTATGAAAAAAAAAAGGAATATCAACAGAAAAAAAATTGAAGAGAATACTTCTAAAATAGGAAATTTTTGTTGGCAGAATTTCACCTGAAAATTTTTTGACAATTCGTTTTTTTTTTTTTTTTAATACATATTACAGTGTACTTTTTTTTTTTTTTTCTTTGCTTCATAAAAAAAATAAAATAAAAAAAAAAATAAAAAAAAAGGGGGAATAATGGAAACACCAATTGGGGTTTTGAGAATAGAGCAAAACCAAGTTTCAAAAGAATTATCTCGATTCAGAGCTTGCGATCCCGAAACGCGCAGTCTTTATTGCCGTGAATGGGCCCAATACATTTACAAAAAACATTTTGTCTGGAGTGCAAAGACACAAGAAGAAATCCCAGATAGTCATTCAGCACCTGTCAGTATATCAACTGGTAAATACCAAATCAACTTTATTAATAATAATGCCAATGATGATGAGGAAGAGGACGAAGACGAACAAGTCAATATTTTTAAAAAGGAACGCTCAGTTATTATGGCTAAAAAGTTTGAAGATCTATTGAAATCTTGGTCAACAGTACCTGCTAAACCAGAAGAAGAAAGTTTAATTAATCAACTTATACAAGCCTGTCAATTATGGATTACTTTACCTAGTGGCTATTCTGGATTGCCTACTTTATTTGAACCTATTGAATTTAACCCTTATCCTGATGCCATTCCCTTGACAGATGATCCTAAAGATCCCTCTCAATTACTTGATGCACTCATCATTGAACGTCAGGCACTTTGCTTACCCTCTGATTGTTTCCATTTGTTAAAGAATTTGACAGGTGATATTTTGTTGTCACATACTACACCCACTTGTAATCATGTTAAACCTACTTCTAGATCACCTAGCGATCTTGATGTAGATCGTAACATTTTTAATGAAAATGAAACAGTTGCTGTCAAAAAAGCGCTTGCTGATCTTACAGTCGCTTTAGATAAAGTTTGGCAGCCACTCAATAATTTCCTTGACAAGCTTACTAAACTTGAAAAGAGACGTTCAAAATTATTAGGACAAGACTGTCAAGCCACGATCAATTCATTTGTTGATACTCAAAAATATGTTTCTCTACTTGATCTATGGGCTTTAGAGGAACCAAAATATAAAAATAAAAAATCAACACCAGACGTTATTGCCAGTGTGGATGAATTCTTTGAGCAGCGTTTGGGTCAGTTAAAATTAGTCATCAACAGCTTTATGGATGACTTTGTCCCTGCTCATATGAAAGAAATTCAGATTTTAACGGCCGATTTATGGCAAATGATCGTGCCTACAATCTATGAAATGGGTGAACGTATGGCAACTCACGAAGATCAAAAAGGAAATAAGAATGCAAATGCAAATGCAACTAAAGTGAGTGAATCCCTTAAGGCTTTGAATGTTGATTCATTAAAAAGAATGGAATCTACCAAGGAAGTAGAGACCGCTCAGACACGTATCTTGGAAAGTTTAAAATCCAGAAAAAATAGATACATTATTGATATAGATAATCTTTTGAAGAATTACCAGGAGAGTCGCTCTACTCTTCACGGTCGTGTTGAGAGACTTAACAATAAAGATTTTAAAAAGAAAATAAAGAAGGTGGAAGGTCAATATGAAAAACTTCGTCAGTATTTCTTAAGAGAAGTAACTGCGACCATCTTCCCCGAGACGCTCTTTTGTAAGTTTGCTTTAGTTTGTCTAGAGCCCTTAATGCAAGAAGCTGAAGTCATGGAAGCTGTTACAATTGAGCGAGAGGTCAAGCGATTTGTAGAAGCACATAAAGACTTGTTACAGCAGCGTTGTACGCTTTTACATGATTTTGAAGAAGGTGTGCAAACGGGTCGTCGTGAATTGGCTGGTGTACTTGGTAAATTATTCCTTAAAGAGGGTATGAGAATTCAAGGGGACAGTGCAGCTTTAAAGAAACAAAATTCTTTACTAAAGTCTATGGGACTCTCTGTTGATGAACCTACTACTGCTAGTAGTAAAAAGAAGTCGAAGAATAAGAAAAAGTCATCAAGTGGTGTAAATAGTGGTGCAAGCAGTAGTAATTCAACCCCAACTATGGCTTCCAAGGATCTGCCTATTGCTTCACCTGATAAAAAAAATATCGAGAAAAAGAAGAAAGCAGACACAACTTCTCCACCTGCTAAATCTGTTGCTGTTACAAAAGAACAAAACGTTCCTCCTCCTAAGAACGTATCTCCTAAACCCGTTCATGTAAAGCCTATTGATGAAACCGCTGCCACAAAGAAATTTCCCAAGACGGATGTCTCTGTACTCGTTAATATGACACAAAGCAACAATATTAAAAAGGATTCTGGTAAAGATGCCCCTACTGCTGAATCTAATGTAGCTACTAATAAGATAAAGGAAGTATCTTCAACTAAAACAGAGACACTGCTAAAACAATCTGAACCTTCTAATCAGAATGACGATATACAAGATTGGGAAACAATTCGAACTTCTGTGATGGCTAATGAATCCAAAAAAAATGAGGTCAATAAGGATGAAATTCAAGATTGGGAAACATTAAAGGCCAACGTGCAAAAAAAGGAAGAAAAGGAACCTACTAAAGTCAATAAAAAGGATATAGACAATTGGAATAAGACTACTCATGCTGGATGGTCTACGGTTGCTGCTAAAAAGCCAGCTATTGCTTCTGCTTCTGCTTCTACTAACGACAATTGGTCTACTACTGCTACAGTAAATACGTCTGAGAACTCTTCTGCTAAGGGAGATGATTTAGGTGGATGGGGAAGCCCTATAGTAGTAGTAGATGCATCTAAATCTGCAGCTTGGCCTAATACTTCTACTGATGGCAAGAAGACGTCTGTAGGAAATAATGAAAAGGAGAATGACGGATGGAATACGGCTAAAAAGGAAAAAAAGAAGCACAGTAAAACGGCTACTTCTGCTTGGAATGCACCTACATCTAACTTGCCTGTTTCAGATGATGATGGAGGATTGTCTCTTGGTGGATGGGGCTCATCATCAACTACTGATAACTGGAATAAGCCATCCAATGTTGGTACAGATAGTTGGAATAAATCTTCTACTTCTTCTCCTACCACTGACACATGGAACAAGTCAACCAGTTCGTCTCCTATCAATGATGGTTGGAATGTGACAAAGACCCTTAAGAAAAAGCAGTCTATTAATAATGACGATGGTCGGGGTGAAGTAGCATCTACAACTCCTACTTCTGATAACTGGGGTAAACCCGCCACTACTTCGTCCTCTTCTTCTAATGATGATGGTTGGGGCGTGATATCTAATCCTGCTGAACACACCTCTACTGTGGGATGGGATAGTTCCAACTTACCTTGGAATGATGAACCTGCTACTACCGATGCACAAATGATGAAAGTATCTACTAAAGAACATATCAAGAAGTCTAATGACACTATTTCTTCTATACCTCCAGGAATCTCCAATCCTACTCCTATGCCTACTCCTCCTCCTGGTATTACAAATACTACAATTACTTCTACTAGTCGAGCAATGCCACCCGGACTGAATGCTATCAATGATGAGGCTAATAAGAAAGTTGAAGAATTACCTACTACTAGCTCTAACCCATCTACTAATAATACCACTGCTATCATCCCTACTCCTGGGTTAGCTACATCTAGTGTTCCTAATAATACAACAGTTCTTCCTACAGGTTTAGGAATGCCTCTCTTATCTTCTGCTGCAGTCCAACTCCAAGAGCCTTTGCCTGCCAATATTAATGAAATGAGTGCTGATATGTTACTTTTAATTGTTAAAAATTTGCATCGAGAAAATGGTACATTAATACAATCTGTCTACAGTATGCAACAAGAAATGAGTATGATGACAAATCGATATGCTGAAATTATGGCTTTAGCTCGGGAGCGTGAAGCACAGACATTAGCCCTATTTGAAAGTCGTAAGCAAACAGAGATGGAAGAAGCACGTAGATATGTATTATCTTTAGAGGCACGTGTGAAGCAATTAGAAGAACAGCTTAGCAAACCTCATTCAACAAATATGACAACTGCAGGATTTGGAAATCAGGATTTATTTGCAGGATATAGGGAAGAAATGTCAACTAGCTCACATCACCATAATAATCATAATAGAAACAATCATCATAATCGAAAATTATGGCAAAAGAATACGATTATTCGTTGTGGTAACTGTGGTGAAATGGGGCATGCTAGTGCAGAATGCAAGGTAAAGAAGGAAATAGAATTAAAAAAAAAAAAAAAAAAAAAAAAAAAAAAAAAAAAAAAAAGTCTAAAATTAACTTTATAAAAAATAGAGCTATTGTCGTTATTGTGGTAGTTTAGAACATTTATCTGAAGCTTGCCCTATGAATTAAAAATAGTTATTATATTTTTTATTTTTTAACAAACTAAAACTAAATATGTACATGGGTTATATAATATAGTACTTATCAATTAGACTTTTAATAATCTGCCTTGATTGCCGATAAAATCATCTCACCTTAATTTTTTTTTTTTTTTGTTTTATTAAACATATAATTATATATAAATATATATATATAAAAAAAGGGACAACAGTAGGGTAATATAAATGAAGAGGGGGAATATTAAGAGACAAGAATAGAAGAATCTTGACGATAAGTGTCAGTATTTACAGTAGAAGGACTAAGGATATTACTAAGATTTTTATTTTCACTAATATTGTTGCTTAATTGCATATTTTGACGTTTTAATGAATCGATTTGTAACTTTAATTGTTTGTTTTCTTCTTCTACAATATTTAATTTGTGCAATAATTGTTCATTTGCTTTTTTATGGTCTTTTACTTGTCCTTCAAGTGCTGTGATATATTCTATAAAGAATAATAAATTAGTATATATTTGTAAATCTTTTTTTTTTTTTTTTTTTTTTTTTTGTATTTCTCCTTTTTTTTTTTACCTTTTCTTCTAACTCTAAAATTGCGCGCAGATATTTTATTTCTGAGCTGTCTTCTTTCTTTTGAAGTTAATTTCTTTATATCAATACCATCTAATTCAGCATAGGCTTCTAGAGACATAACAGCACCTTCTTCATTATGAAAACTTGATAGAGAGCCACGTTTTGATTTATTATTAGCAAGTAATATGCTGTTATTCATAGTCGTATCTCCTGTTGTCTCTTCAGATTTAATTAAAGATTCAGGTGAAACAGTGTCAGGAATGTTTGATGCTATTGTACTATTATTCAAGGTAGGAAACAATATAGTAGATGCTGATTGTGAAGAAGGAGATAACGGAAGCTGTTCCGGCTCAGATAGAGGTTTAGAAGTTGGTAATTTTACTGATAATTGTTCTCGAAGAGCTAAATGCTTTTTAGCTAATTCTATTAACTGTTTAATTTGTTCAGTTGAAGGCATAATCAACATATCTTTAGTCATAGTAGTAGTAGTAGTAGCAGCAGTAGTAGTAGTAGTAATAGGATTTATTATTGACGTGTCTGGTATAACAACAGCATCTTGATTAAATATACTCATATCAGTAGCTGTTGTTGACTGACTACTACTTATTAAATCCATGTTCACGTCTTGTTCTTCTTTTAAAAGTGGTGGAGAAGGTAAACAAGTACTGTCAATTGTATGAGAATTTAGCCAATCCATATCTACAATATCTCCAAAATCCATATTAAAATAAAATAAATAAATGAAGAAAAAAATAAAAGAAAAGAAGAAAAAAAAAAGGGATAAAAAAAAGAATGATTTATAATGATTAAACCCCTCTTTCTTTCTTTTCTTTCTCTCTTATCACTTTACTGTTTTTTTCTCTTTTATTAGGAGTTTTAAATAAAAATCATCGTATTATCAATAAAATAACATACTTATTCTTATATCTGCATAATACTATTTCCTTTATAAAATGATAACATCTCATTGATCTTCTTCCCCACACCTATCCACCTTTTAGAGTCTATTTTATTCTATTTTTTTATAAGCCACATACATGAATTATACTCTATCCACTGCCATACAAAATTATCAATGCAAAAAAATGAAATAAAATAAAAATAAAAATAAATAAAAAATACGTCATACTTTTATCCGATTTTGGGGGATAGATTTCTTTTTTGCCCTTTTTTTTTTCTTAGCGTTTCTAGTATGTCAAATCGAATGCTTGTTTTGGTTGGCTTACCAGGTTCTGGTAAAAGCACTATATCAAACAAGCTAATTCAATGTAAACCGGTAAATATAATACGCTTCAAAAAATTAGTTTTTTTTTTATTTTTTTTATTTCTGAATTTATTTTAAGGAATGGCAACGTGTGAATCAAGATGATATGAAATCAAGAAAAGCATGCGAGATGTATACAAAAAAGTTTTTAAATCAAAAGCAAAACGTTATTATTGATCGATGTAATTTTGATCGAGAACAAAGAAAAACTTGGATTGAGATTGCACAACATTATAAAGTGCCTATCGATTGCATTGTGTTGACGGCTGATCAAACGGTAAACAAGAAAAAATAAATAAATAATATAGTTCATATTAATGATCACATTTTTTAAAAAAAAAAAATAGGAATGTGGTAACCGTATACTTGTACGTGAAAATCATCCAACAGGTGTTAGCGGTAATGAGGGTATTCACGTATTAAGGCGATTTGTAAAAAATTATCATCCTCCTACATTAGATGGAGGGGAAGGCTTTTCTCGTATTCTTTATCTAAATCCTAGCCCAGATCCAGTTTGTACAACTGAACGAATTAACGAAATATTTACATTACTAGAAGCATGTCCGCTTCTTATACCTGAATATGTACCTACTCATTACGAGAAGCCTAAAATTACAATAGACAGTGACGGATGGGCAACAATACCAAAAAGAAATAACAACAGCAGCGATAATAAGCAATAATAATAAACCAATAGTACTAAACCAAATTTCTATACATAATAGGATTAAATGGGCTCTATTTACATTTGTTTATTTATTGCCTTAATTGAAATGCATAAGATAATTATTGAGAAAGATAAAAAAAAAACTTACGATAAGCGATCCGAACCATACATATTAAGAATGATACTTTAACTTAAAAAAAAAGTATAACTGCCTTTGTGCTTAAAAAAGAAGCAAGTTTGAGATTAGACTCTTAGTTACTTTCTCAAAAATTAAAATTTTTGAATTCTGAAGACTTATACATTTATTATTGTAGTAGATTGTAATAAAGCTCTACTACAAGTTTTCTCCTTCGTGTGTAAAATAAGAAATAATATAATTAAATATATTTTTTTTTATTGAACAAAAATGTTTTAAACCCCATTTAAGCACATAAGAACAAAAAAACTAAAAAAAAAAAAAACTTTTAATAGTTAAAATAAAAACGTTTCTCAGTTTTACTATGTTTCATATAATTATTTGCTAACATATATGCAAGGTACAAGAAAAGTAAGACGTACCTCTTTCCCTTCATGCGTAAATACTATAAAACCTCCCATATAATATGTCTCATATATACCGAGATAATCCGATAAGTCCGGTTCGGATGTTTTGAGATCACGTGACTCGATCTTAAATATAATTAGTATAATTTTCAAACTTTTATAAAATGCCTCTGTAGCTCAGTGGTAGAGCGTTTGTCTTGTAAACAAAAGGTCTGTTGTTCGATCCAGCACCGAGGCATTTTCATTTTTTTAACTTTCTGCTTCTGCTGTTCCCTTTTTGTCGTGCATCAACTAAAAAACTTCAGCGGAAATACTGTGTCATGCTTTTTACAGCGAGACAACCGTCTTTTTTTGATGTTTTAAATATTTGAATAACACGAGAGTATAAATAGCGTAGAATATTCGAAAGGAAGATACTTTATTTATTACTTTCATCTTTAATTTTCATCCATTTTCGTTTGTAGTACGACAGTGAATGCTAATAATTATATTAACTATGCTTTTGTTCTTCATCAATTCCTAAAAATGGTGGAGAGGAAGTAGTGGTAGATCGCTCTTTTTATTTTACATTATACTTGTATTTATAATATTATATTTACTTACAAAAAACAAGCGTAAATAAATGTTATTATTGCTGTGCTATTAAGTAATTATACTAAATATTGCGATTATACCACTTATAAATAATTTAAATAGTTTATTTCGATAAAATAACAAAGACACCTTTTTTTTCCTCTCGTTCACAAATTAATAGTTTAGTTGTATGATTATTTTAAATACTTCAGAACCAGCATACGACAAAAACAAAAGACGTAATTAAGCAGTAAAAAAGTTAAAAAATATCGTCGCCTGCAGGATTTGAACCTGCGCAGGCAGAGCCTATATGATTTCTAGTCATACTCCTTAACCACTCGGACAAAGCGACTTTTTTGATTTCCAATTTTTATGGGTGTTATATATTATATTTTGTAAAAATTTTCCGCACAGTCACGTGATGTTTCGGCCTTTCCGGTAACTTTTTTTTTCACCATAATTTTAATCTCTTCATTCAAAATAAAAAGTTAGAGGCAGAATAATTATAACCTATCAAATAGTAAAAAAGTTTAATATCATTGAATAGCAGCTATAGCATATATAAGTTTAAGTAAGACTATTTAAAGTTCACTGGTTATTTGTAGGCTACGAAATATTTTTTATTAAGGTCTTAGAAGGCACTTTTACTACTATAGTGATACTAATCATTACTATTATAAAATGAGTTTTCTAATTTTTTTGCGGTTTATAGAAATAAGTTTTGTCTTTTAGTATTGGAGGAATCAAAATTAGATGATTATTTTTGCCATATTGGTACTTCTGAGGAAACATACTTTACAATGTGATAGATAGTTGTAATAAATAAATTAAAAGCAAGAACATAAGAATGTGCCAAGGTATATATATTATGTTCATAAGTGACTATAATTTATTATATTTACTCAAGACCTAACCTGTAACTGCAATTATAAGTTTAGCAAATGAAAGCATACGTATATATAACTATTGCGCTAATTGGAATTTATATTATTATAATTAAAGTTGCCTGGATAACTAAATGAAAATAAATCATCATTTAAATAAAACTAGCATATGGTACTTTGTAATATAACACTCATTCAATATACAGTTTTAATAATAGTATCATAATATGACGTCTAACATTTGAGATGGAGTCTTTTTTTTAAAAATAAATATATACACATATAGATCAAATACTTTGTGCCTTATTAAAGATTGGAGTAACTCACCTGAATAACAAATAATATTAAGGAGCATATTTGATTCATCTAGACGTGAAATATGTTTTACACTTTAACTATACAATGAATATTACCCAGTCATAACCATTGAATAAAAATGATAATTTTGTATACTTGATTGAATAAACATCTCATTTTATTTTACATGTAAGCTTGATACGATCTTTATTTGGCATGCACTCATATTAGAGAAGAGAGTTTATTACAGAGACATATGGTTTACATTTTATATTTAATATTTTCTAAAACTAGTTCATAATATATTATGCAGAAAAATAAAATGTATACAAAGCTTATTCAATAAAAAAATAGCTTAGAATGTATCTTTTGTGTTAATAATCTTGTTTATTATTATTTGTTATTAATATCACTATTAATAAGTTTGAATAATATAATATTTAAAGCTTAATACAAGCAAACGATACTACACAACTAAAGCATATCTAATTAAAATAGCTATGTATAACATTTAATCAATAATATTATCGTGAACATCAGATTACTAGCAACTATTACTTGTTGTACTATCAGATTAATTTTAGAACGTTGTAGTAGATTCTAGCCAAAGAAGAAGAATAAACTAATTGTGTCAAGACATAGTGCGTTAAGAAACAAACTATATCAAATAGTATTATACGCTGGTGTTTAATTTAGCTGAATCAAGGCTATACCTTAGATGTCAAATACAGATTGGTTACTATCATTTCTTTTGTGTTAAACATTCTTAATACATGACTAAAACATGAATAAAAAATGCTGGTTAAAAAAACTATAAAAGGAGTTGATTATTTTTGAAAAAGGACTTCGGTTATCAGATTTTAATCTTTTTAGAAAATAAAAACAATATGATAAATTCTTACAGAGTTTTCTCTTTCTTCTTTCACTGATCTAACAATAGATTATTACTTTTCTAATCCTAGATCCATGTTTTAAAATAAACAAACAATATTTTATATAAATAGTCTTTAACTTTAAATCATGAATAAAGAACATCTCGAAACTATTATTTGGTCTCGTTAACTTTTACTGCCTTTTTTTATAATTTTTGTCTATATATTGCTATTTATTGATATTTTATAAGAAATATCACAAATAGTCATTATCTGAGTATTCAACATTAGTAACAATATATGTATTGTTATATTATGTAATAAATATATTCTGCTATCTATTAGGAATATTATTCAATTACAGGTTTGTTTATAGACGTCCATATTATATAGAAATCAATAGTAATAATAATAATAGTAGCATATAAAGAATTAGCGCTGTTATAGCTAAAGTAAATTATATCAACATATCACTTACCACAGAAGTAATAATTTATTATAGTAACATCTCTAATTATAAAAATACAAAATAGTTCTGAGAGGTAACAATTCTATATGATCGTCCACTTTACTATAGCTTGCTTACCAACATCATATTTCTATTAATATCATTTGCCTTGCAAAAAACATACAATTATCTTTCTTTATTGTCCATAATACTCCCTTGGTATTTTCTTCCCCACGTAAGTATATACGAAGTTTTCAGTGGTTTATCTCTTGTTTTCTATTTCCTTTATCTTTTTGCCACCCAAAGCATGTACCTTAACGTATTATACTCTATCATAATTTATTGAAATCTTTGATTATTCAGAATAAAATACTATATCAATTCTTTTTAATCTGGTTAGTCATCAGTCCATCATTAAAATGATTTCGTACTTTGTGTTTAATAATCACCCTTCAAACTTAGTTTTTACTATAGCTGTTAGAATCTCATGAAAATATATTATCGCAAAAAATGTTGCCTTAGCTACAAATATCTAAGAGTTGCTTTGTACTAATACTATCTTACAAAGCCTTTTCTATAAAAAAAAAATACGTACTAATAACTAACAGTCTTAATAGCCGTGCATCAAAACAATTTTATTATCATTAATTGATTCATGATAGTTTCCAATATTTTTTATTAGCTATTCATTATATTCGGCTTTATTTTTGATTACTTATGTATTGCCCTAAATGTAGTGATCATAATTTCCATTAGCATATAGAATGATAGTTAGTAGAAAATCACCTCTATACTTTTAATATTTAAATCTTAATTTTATTCAGTCATATTCTATCTCTATCTAGCGTTTGTATATATTCCATTATATACAAGTAATATTTACTGTTGAGACACTCTATTTTCCCCTTTAAAACGTTATCTCTATAAAAGAACCCAAGACTAATCAGGATACCTTACAAAGTTCTTTATAAAATAGACTGTTTATTTTATGAAAGAATTCTTTTCTCTATTCCATCTAAGTTCTTCCTTGGACGCTTAATGTCAGTATTTTTCTATACTTTTTTTTTTTATTTCAAAATTCTTTCTCTATTTTTTTCCTTTATGCTTAAAAATACTTTTCTCATCTATGCACTTTTTTTTTTTTTTGGCAGAAGTATTAATGGTCATAAAATACATTTAAGATAGTACGTGTCCATAATAAAAATTCCATTTAATCATAATATATTTGTGAGCTACACAATTTTATATTTATCTGAGTAAAATAAGTAAATCCATTCTCAGCACGAAAGGTGGGGACCCCCTAGGCAATAATGATTTTTCCCTCTATTGCACTTGTTCATATCTTTTTATTTTAGCCTTTATTATTATAAACAATGACTTCTCGTGCATTACATAAGGTTACTTTTACAAGAAGTTTTCATGTTTATCAAAGTAGTATAATAAACTAATAAAACCTTTTACACAATTGTAACTTATTTGCTTGACTTAGACCTTTTCAGACCACTTTCAACTGTTAATGCGATGAGACATTTTACAACTTCGACTAATGATCAAGTTTCTCTTGAATCACTTGGTAAATTTCAAAGATCAACTGACATCAGTAGGCTAATATAAAAGCATGTGTGTGTGTGTGTGTGTGTGTGTGTGTGTTCGAGATATAAAAGAAAAGAGATATAATTGCATCAATGTTTTTTTTTTAAATAATTAATCAAGATCTAATTAAATTCTTTTTCTTCATCTGTTAGTTCCTTCTGCCGATACACCACTTAAGAAACCAATTCGCCAAACAATTGCAGCAACAATTGAACCCATTACACCTTATAACTTATCCATTTCGAGGCTTTTAGCAGCTGGCCTTCATCTCGGCCATTCTACTAGCTTATGGGAACCTGCAACTCTTCCCTTCATTTTTGGTACTCGTGAAGGTATTAGTATTATCAACTTGGAACATACATTGGTTTATTTAAGAAGAGCATGTAATGTTGCACGTGAAGTTGCTCTTCGTGGAGGTACTATTTTATTTATTGGCACTCGTCCTGGTTTCCAAAATTTGACTATTGAAGCTGCTCGTAATTGTGATGGCTTTCATGTTTCTTCTAAGTGGATTTCAGGCACATTGACGAATAGATATCAAGTATTGGGTCGTCATGCACCAGTTGATCCAGAAGATCCTGGACGTCCACCCAAAACTTACAAACCTGATTTAATTATCTTATTAAACCCTATTGAACATAAAATTGCTATTGCTGAAGCTCAACTAAACAACATTCCTATTATTGCAATTACTGATACAGATTATGATCCTCGCCGTGTGACATATCCTATCCCTGCCAATGATGATTCAATTAGAGGTGTAGAATTAATTGCTAAAGTATTGTCAACAGCTGCAAGGGAAGGTTTACACAGAAGGAAGCAAATGATTGATCAAAGAGAAAAAGAAAAGAAGTTACTTAGAAAGCAACACTCTAACAAATATTAATTGTAGAAATAATTGTATAGAAAAAAAAAATAACTGTCCATTCAGAAAAAAAAAATTAAAAAAAAGCAAGCAAATATTATTTAAGGCAAAACTTATGACATAAAGACAAATTACTAATATTGAAAACATTATCGCAATTACATGTTTTTAAACAATAATTGTCTTGTTACCAATAAAAAAGTAATAATTAATAGCCGAGTTTTTGCTCTTGTATTTAAGAAGAAGTAATACTCTATTCTTCAATTCTAAGTTGGTTTGATTGAGACTAAAAGAAAAAGGCCTTTTTTTTTTCTTTTAAAAGTCATTATTTGATTAAGCAAAGTGTTCAAAGGGAATTTCGACCCTAATAGTCTCTTATATTTAATTATAGGTTCTGAGGCTCTAATGATGATTCCCATTTTGTCTAAACTTTCAAATAAAAAGTACTCTAGTATTCAAATACGAAAAAGCCAAATTCTTCTATTGGTATCTAGAGTATTAAGATATAGTAATACGACACAAAGTAAATGATAGAAGCTGATGAAATATAATAAAAATATCTTTTTTTTTTATAAAATGTATATCTTTGTAAGTATTACGTTTAAATTCGTTAGTAAAACTCAGATTTGCCTAGGTCTGATTATCAGTAAAAGGAAAGGTCCTTTTGGATCAAGTATAAACATGAACAAAGCATTAGCTACTATCTGATCCGAATAAATCAATATGTTAAAACGTATTCAACTTCATTCCAATCATAAAAAAGCGGAACTTCAACTAATCGTGTGCATGTACAAACAGCTTCGACAATTGTAAAAACACGGAACTCGTCTTCTTTTTTATTTAATTTTTTTTTTATTCTTTATTTTTTTTTTTTCGCGTAAGAATAATGGATACGAATCAATTTGCTGTTTTAGAACAAGAACCAACACTTGATGAAGGGGAGGAAAAAATAATTGACGTAGGTTATACGCAACAAAAAGTGACATTTTGCAATTACTAAATCTTTAATTATTTAGTTTTTGAGTTTCAAGACACTTGCTCAAGGTGTCAAAGCCAAATTACCTGATTCAAAATTTAAAAATCTGGAAAATAGATCAAGTATGTCCATTTTCATTACTTCAAGTAAATATGGTTATTTTGTTGCAGGTTCTCCTACAGGTATACTATCATTATTTATATATTCTTTTTCTTTTCTTTTTTAACTAATGATATAATATTTAGGTTTTAGACTTGGTCAGACACAAAAACTTCGTTCAACTATTTACAATAGTAAACAACATACAGTTGCAAACTTCGAAGATATTATTTCCGTTGATATTAATAAAGGAGATATCAGTATTCTTAGTTTATCGCCTGACGAACTTCAACTCTTTGTAGCTGTCACTGGAGGTCTTCTTTTAACATACAACATTAAAGATATTATTAACAACGTAAACTTGTCATTTATATAAGTATGCATTCTGATAAATTAACTGCTTTGATATTGATAGAAACAAGATGCTAATCCAGTTCAAACTCAATCTTTTGACAATGATATTACTCAAATTTTACCTAATCCGGAGGTTTATCCTGATTTGATTGCTGTATGCACAAAAAACTCTGAATGTAAACTAATCAAGTTTATAAAAGGAGAAGTTATCACACATATTCCAAGTGCAATTACAGCATGCTGGTCCCCTAAAGGCAAACAAATTGTTTGCGGCACAAGAGAAGGTATCATCAACGTATATGATATTGAGGGTAATCAAAAGGATACAATCTTACCTCCTCCAAGCATGAAAAAAAACCCTGACGATATATTATCCAACAGATATGGTATGCAAACAAACGAGTATTATTTAATATAAACTAACGACTATCTTTATGTCTTTTTTTTTTAAAAAAAAAGTCAGTGGTCTACTTTGGATAGAAAATCATGTCTTTCTTGCTATTTACTCAGATACAGAGGATAATGATTTAAATTCGGCATTTATTATTGATAGAAAAAAAGAAGATTTGGATGAAAAATATCAACGAATGGGCACATTAAATAAAATCTATGACTTTGGAGATATTCCTAAAAGCCACTTTTATTTATCCATGGTACGCAATTTAGGACCTAATATTAAAACATTAGTTATAATTTCCAATGCAGCTTCGCTTGATTTAGCTTTGATAGGTCAAGAAAGAGATGGTCAGTGGTCTTCTTGGATATTGGAGAATATGCCATGTTTACCTATAGGCGAAGAAGATGGAGAAGATACTTTTCCTTTTGGCATGACCATTGATTACTCTGCATCAGAACCTTTACCCCCTTACAAGGCAGATGAGAATGATAAACCTGTCCCCGCTGTACCTAATCTTTACTATTTAACATCTGAAGGTATTATTTGCGCTTATCATATCTATAATGATGACTTGGCAAAGTCTGGAGAACGTTATCCAGGCATGGTTCAAGCGGTGACAGACCTTAATGAAATCCCTGAACCTACTTTAAAAAACTCTACTGCTATAACTACAGCTTCTGGATCAAAAGTGTCATCTCCCTCCTCAAGTACTACAAGTGATAGTCATTTTAGCATGACCAGCTTTGTCTCTCCATCTAACGTCAAAACACCCGCTTTTAGTACTTTACAAACCAATATGATGTCAAGCCCTAAGCCAATGAATCTAGCAATAGGAGGCTCTGAAAAGCCTACATTTGGTAGCACTTCCCTTACATTTGGGCAATCAGCCTTTGCTGGAGCAATGCCCAAACAACAAACTATGTCCTTTGCAGAACTTGCTCGTTCATCTTCTACAGAGCTACCCAAGAATGGGGCTTCCTTGTCATCTTCTGCGTTTGGTAAACCTTCCTCTACACCAGCTTTTGGTTCAACATCATTTTTTGGTGCTACTACATCATCACCTACCTTTGGAAAGTCCTCTTTTGGTACTCCAATGACTGCCTCTACAAGTACGCCTTCAACACCATCATTTGGTGGCTTTAAGAATGTAGCTTACAACCCTAAAATGCCCTTTGGAAGTACATCATTCGGAGGTACCTCATCACCTTCAAATGATGTTTTTACAACAAAGGACACAAGTAAAGACGTAGAAAATTCGAAGGAAGCCACTATTCCTCAAAATGAGACTACAGCTATACCAACAACAAAGCAATCACAACAATCCAGTGAAATAAAGTCCTTCAAGCAAGAAGAGAGGGTAGATGATGATTTTGATGAAAAAGAGTTGGACCTTAAATTATCATTAAACAAGCCATTTGAGGATCATAGCACGAGTAGTGATACTTCCAAAACAAACAGTACTAACAGTAGTCTTCATGACGATGCAACTACATCAAGTTATGTTCATATTGAAAAAGAAGAACAAACGACTACATCATCTGAAGATGATGAAAACAGTGAGATATATACGGAGTCTGCAGAAGAGGAAGATACCCAAGATGAAGCTAAGTCTGATAAGGATGAAGAAAAATGTATTAAAGAAGAGAGACAACTTGCAGAGGAAAATCGTATTGTAGAAGAAAAGCGCATAGAAGAAGAAAAGCGCATCGAAGAAGAGAAGCGCATTGAAGAAGAAAAGCGCATTGAAGAAGAAAAGCGTATTGCAGAAGAAAAGCGTATTGAGGAAGAGAGACGACTTGCAGAGGAAAAGCGTATCGAAGAAGAAAAGCGTATTGCAGAGGAAGAACGACTTAAAGCAGAAAAACTCGAAGCAGAAAGACTTGCAGCTATGAGACCTGATTTAATTATCGCTCTGAGTAACAGACAGGATAGAGAGCAAATACATTATAATAGAGATCCTGAACTCACAGGCATGGCTAAAGAAATAGAGGAATATTATCTTGGCACACGTGAAGATGTTGAATCGGTAGGATATATAAGTACTTTTTTTCCTTTTCTTTCTAATAACTAATATATTTTTGAATAACAGACATGTAACTTATTAATTGATATCAGAGATGAAATTAAACTTCAATCAAGGACTTCATATGCTCTAAAAGATACGTCTTACTTTGATAACACAGAGTTTATCTGGAAATTATCTGATGCTAAAGATATATCAACTATGACAAATTCATTAAATGAAGAAGCGGAAAAATTATATGTTACTTTACCACTTATTAAAGAATCAACTGAAAATCTATGCAATACTCTTGATAAATGTAATATAGTAATTATATTAAAAAGCACAAGTAGCACTAAATGATCCCTCTTTTCCTTTTTACTTTAAATATAGACTCTTCGAAAAAAGACATAATTGGGTCCTATCTTGAGATTAATAATTTTGAAGAGCCTCTTAAGGATGTACATTTAGAAGATGAACTTATATTCCAAGGCGAAGAGCTAATGGATAGGACAGCCGATACAGAAGAAATGCTTAAAAATTTGGAATCACAATTTAATAATTTAGAATCACAACTTAAAAAGCCCGCAAGCCACAACAAATACAATAGAGGGTATACTTATGCCTTTATCTTTCTCTTCATATACATGTATATTAACACATGCATTTTTATTCTATAGTGAATTTACTATGTATTCATTACGTCGTACGATCCGTGATATTGACCGCTCAATTAAGAAAGAACAGGACAGCTTGACAAAGATAGAAGAAAAGGAGTTAGAGCTTCAATCATCAAAAGAAGACAACAAAGAAGAAGAGTTGCTTACTTTTCTTCATAAGAAATCAAATTCGAAATTATCTCCTGAATATGCTTTACGTGTTTTGAACAAAAACAAATTTTTAAATCAGGTATTTGAAGGAACAACGAAGAGAGGTCTATTAAATGTGTGACGGCTTCCCCAAATAATGGATTAGCCCAACTAATGGACATATTGTCAAAATAATAAAAAATAAAAAAAGAGTCCAAAATAAACAATGATGTACATTTCTTTTACAGTAATAAATCTAAAAAGCAATGTCTGCACTTAATGCCATCTTTACTGCTGTAGGTTTTTGATTGTATGTATATAGAGCATTAAAGTTAATGTATTTATATATATGTATATATTTTTCTTTAACAATACACAGCATGGCTTCATTCAAGCCGTAATTGCAATTCAACTTTTACTTCTTCCATTTACTGCCAACTTTTTTATTGCCCAAAACTTTGATGCAACTCATATTTTACTACTTCGATTTTATGGTGCTTCTGTTGCTTCCATTGCCATCATTAGCTTATTATGTCGTAATATGCCAAATATGTTACCTTGTAAACGCGGTGCAGGTAAAAGAAACAACACTATATTAGTATATATTATATACATATACATATACATAAATATATGGGAAATAATAATAATGTTTATATGTATAGCTTGTGGATTCTTATTCTATCACATGATTATGAGTTTAGTTATATTTCAATTACGTAATGAGGGCCCTCTTACAGTTCAAACAAGTTGGGCTTTATCAGCTTTTCATGGTATTCAAGCTTTTGTTTTATATGCCTGGTACACAGCTACTGCAAGCCAAGTAAAGGCATTTTTGAAGCAAGGACAGCAACAAGCAAAGAAAGATTAAATTATGTTGTAATACGAAAATCGAGTCATTTATTATAAATTTGTTTATTAGATGTAATATGTATATTATTTACTTCCATTATTCATGGTATTATTAAGATGAAATATTACATATAACTTAATGAGGGAGGAAGGGGAGTAAGATTTTTTTTTTTGGTGTACTATTATTACATTATTAGAGACATCATAATGCATAACTAGGAAATCAATAAATATATATCGTTTTAAGGCATAACTTACAATTGAATACGTATAATAAATGAAGCTAGAAAAAAAGAAAAAAAAAAAGCTCCATTTTCAATAATTTTCTCCTCTCAGTAAACTATATTATCTTATCGTTCTTTTCCTAATAATTACTGGACGAATAGCGATATCTGGGTCTAATTCATTTGTATCTTGAACTCTTACTGCTGGTATAGGAGTGTGTTGGTGTTGATTTGCTCTATGATCATGCACTAATAAAAGTGAAAAAAAAAAAAAATAAGTTTACAAATAATATAAAAAATGTAAAAAAAAAAAAAAAAAAAAAAAAACAGTTGTCACCTCGGTCATTATGGTTCGCAGTTAATCGAATAACATCAGTTATATTTGCTGATTGAAGTGGACGTACTTTTTTAAATCTTTTATAGTTAATGCCTGTACTCTGTTCTAACTGTAGCTGTCGTTGTGGTGGCCTCGATTTAACAACTAATGATGCAAATACAACTTTAGTAAATTTCCCTTGGTTATTGTCTGTGCTTAATTCATTATTTAGGGTATCGTTTTGAATTATAGGTTCTGTATATGTTTCATGAACTTCTTCTTTCTTTAAATAACTAACTTCTTGTTCTTGATGTTGCAATTCAACTTCTAACCTTTGTCGCTTCACTTGCTCATTTTCTCGTTCTCGTTCTCTTTCTTGAACTTGACGCTCACGTTTACGTCTTTGTTCTGCTTTTGCCATTTCTTCTTCTTCTTGTTGTTGTTGGCGCATCATGTCCTCTTGTCGTTTCATTTTCTCTTCTTGTTGACGGAGTTGTTGTCTTTCCTCTTCTTCTTCCCGTCTTTGATTTTCTGTATCTTTTTGAATTTTCTTTTTGGATGGATTATTTAGAATAGGTAGCATTTCATTAAAGAAGTCACTCATGTCATTCATATTAGAGGGAAGCTCGATGTCATCCAATGTATTAGGTCCAACATCATCATGAATACTATAATTGAGTGTTGGATCTTCTTCTTCTATAAAAGATTTGAGTGTTAAGGAGTGCTTTTCGTCTATTGTCAAATGATTATCATGATAAAGGGACAACTCGAGTGGAATAGGTTCCTCTTTGATTTTAATGTCAAGATCATTATCATTTATCGGTAAAGTATCTGCTAAAGAGTTTGATACCATAGCTTCAACCTTAACTGGACGAAGAGAACTTGTTGGCATGGTTGGATACATTGTGGGCAATGATTCATAAATTGGATCATCGGGCGATATATGATCTTTCAAGTTGGCACTGGGGTTACACATGAAGTTAGTTGAACAATAAATGATACTAAAAAATATTTCAAAATCAATAATACATCTTGTTGCATCTTGTCTATAAATATATATATTTATATATAAGAGGCAGTAAGTTATTTTGTATTATGTAAAACGCTTTCTTTTTCTTTTTTTACTCTAGACAAAATCTCTCTTCTACCGGCACCCATGCTTCTGTTTCATAAGGAACTTGAACAAATAAAATCCCAGGATGAATTGTTGATTCTAGTGCTTCTTCAAACGTATGAAGACTTGCTTTACCACCAGCACGTTCAATAAAATATTTTTTGTCCTTAAATTGGTTCTCATCAAAGAACCAAAAGTGCAAATTTCGAAATAAGGTTTTTCTTCTTTTATCAGGACCGAAAACAGCAGATCTTTGAAGAGGACCATATCTTTCTACAATAATAGGTTGGCTATTATTGAATGCATGCAAATCAAATCCTTTATCATGTGTATGTGTCATATTGTCAATCCACTCTTCTGTTATAAAAGGTATTTGCATAACGAGTGCAGCTAGTAAATATTTTGATACTTCAATAGATGCCATTTGATTAGATTGAGATAAATAAAAATGGGTTGTTTCCTTTTCTTTAACTTGCTTCACAACATGAAAACCTTTTAAAAGAAAGAAAATTTCTCCTTTAGATAAAAGTTATAAAAGATATTCCATTATAAATATATACCATATTTTTGCCCTTTCTTGATGAGTTGTTCATAACTTGATTCGTTATCCGATTTAGAGTGATATATATTCAATTCTTCCCATTGTAAACTATCAAAAAGAAGTTTATATCATGAAATAAAAAAAAATCTATTTTCAATGTAATGCTACCGAAATTGATCATTGCTGTGAGCATTGTGAATTAAATGTTGATCAAGTAAATATTTTTCTGTTGTTACTAATTCATCATCCACTGTCATATCTGTAAGAGTCGTAGTTAAGCGAATCGTAGGCTGGAATCGAACATTTTTCTATAATAATACTGTAAGAAAGAAAAGAAAAACATGTACGAAATAATAACCCAGAATTATATTGTAAATCATTACCACTTGCTCTTCTGACATTGGACCCACATGGAGGGTAAATTTATTGACTTTTTTTCTTTTATTGTTAGAAGCTAATATATTCATTACTCTTTACATGTATATATTTACCTCCATTATTAATAGTATAGGTTTTATTTGGACATAATCTTAAATAAGCTGAGCCACGATAATTATTTTCCCTGTTAATAATGTACAAAAACCACATATTTTAAAGAATAAAAATAAAGAACAGTTGTTGACTCTCTCCCCTTTTTATTTTGACAGTCAATGTATTTTTTTTTTTTTTTACACGTTTAAACGCGCAATTTTAAATTTAACATTTTAATGCATTTTAATGATACGCGCACATTGAATCCCTCTATTCTCAACAAATTATTTAGTCGGACAAGTAATATATTGCTCAGTGTGAAAGTACATTACCACCATCATATTGTTATTTAGAAATAAAAACTCCCAAATCCAACCGTCTTGTTTAAGATAATTAATTTACTTTTTTTTTTTTTTTTTTTTTTTTTTTGAATGTCAGCAATTACATATGTTACATCAAAATAGAGAAGGGGGATATAGGTACCAATTTATTTCCTTTTTTTTTTTTTCTTTCTTCTCCTCTTGACTTGGTTTTATGGATCGCCGAAAAGAAGAATTAGAAAAAAAGAGACAAAAATTAGCTGAGCTTCGACGTGCTCGAGAAGAAAGAAGAGCTTTACTTGAAAGTCAATCTACTCAGTCAACAGTAATATATATATAAAATAAGAAAACAATGCGTACTTTTTTTTTTTTTTTTTTTTTTTTTAAAAAAAAGAATGGAATCGTTAATCTGATGATGCACATATTTTATAGACTACAACTAGTTCAACTATTGGAAGAGATAGAAAAGCCATTGATGATCTTGTTGCACTTGTGTTAGGTGAACGACCTTCTACACCTGCTGCTAATGGTGGAAGTGATCGAGGTTCAGATGTAGGATCTGACTTTTCTAATTCACGTCCAACTTCTGTTAATTATGGATATTCTACTCCAGGAACACCTGTTCAGTAAGTGATATAGAACATTAGAATAAAATAAAGGAGGAGGTATTGACAAAGATAAAATAAAATTATTATTATATAGAACAGAAGGAGGAAGACTTTCGATGCTTTCTGTTTCTTCTTCTCAACCTACACCTCATTATGTTGCAGAACTAACGGAAACGCAAGCATTTATTGCTGATATTCCTCCTCTTGTAAAGAATAACACCTTATATGCAATTAAATGTATTATCTTCTCATTAATTTTATTTATTTAGGAACACGTTGTTTACAGTAAAGAGATTCAGACAACAGACGGATCATTGGAAGCGCCTAAAATATCCGAAGAAGAGATTAGAAAGCAAATAATGGAGGAATTTGAAGCCAGAGAGAAACAAAAGATAGCTCAACTAGAAGAGGAAATTAGAAAAGCTGAACAGGAAAAAAAACAAGAAGAAATTAAAGGTAATGAATAAATATATTTCAAGTACTTGAGGAAAAAAAAAAAAAAAAAAAGAAAAAACTAACTTTACCACTATTATAGACTTGACTGAAGAAGAAGCAAAAAAGATACAAAAGTCGCAAGAATTTGCTGAATTTATTGATATTTCTACTAAATTGGTCGAAAGAGCATTAAATGAGAAATATGATTTTATGAAAGATTATACCCTTGGCATTGATACGGAAAAGTAAAAGAAAAAAAAAAAGACGTGTATTGTAGAGTACTAAATTTAACTTTATATTAAGCGATGAAAACTCTGGTAAACACGTCAAGTTTATTTGTAAATTTTGGGATGAAAAATGGTGTAAGAATAGATCTGTTACAGATGTGAATTGGTCACTTAAAGTAAGTATAATAGACATACATACATACACACATATATATTCACATATATTCATATTTTTATCTAGTACCCAGAATTAGTCGCTGCTTCCTATAATAAAAATCCTCTTGCACCTAATGAACCTGATGGTATTGTCTTGGTTTGGAATGAGCATTTATTAGATCGACCTGAATTTATATTCCATTCACAGGTAAGATGAAGTTAGAAATAGTAATGTTGATATTTATCTAACTTCATTTGTAGTCTGATGTACTTAGTGTTATGTTTAGTAAATTTCATCCTAATTATATCATTGGTGGCACTTATTCAGGTCAAATTGTTTTATGGGATACAAGGGCAAAGTCATTACCTGTTTTAAAGACGCCATTATCTGCTGGAGGACATACTCATCCTGTTTATTCACTTGAGATGGTTGGTACGCAAAATGCTCATAATTTGATATCAGCCAGTACAGACGGATTTGTATGTTCATGGCAATTAGATATGTTAGCACAACCACAAGATTATTTAGAATTACTTCATCCTGCTCATAATAAAACGGATGAAGTCTCTGTAACGTGTATCGGATTTCCTGATAATGAAACGACTGCATTTTGGGTAGGTACAGAAGAAGGTAATATTTATCAAGCAAATAGATATGATAGAGCAGGAAGGTAACGTCCAAAGAAACAAAAAAAAAAAAAAGAGTGAAGTTAGTGCGTACATAATTGCTTATTTCCTATCATGAATTAGTAAAGCGGGTATCAATCAATATGATACTTATCGTGGCCATCATGGTATGGTAACTGGATTAAATTTCCATCCTTTACATGGACCTGTCGATTTCTCTGATCTTTACCTTACTTCTTCTGTTGATTGGACTGTTAAATTATGGAGAGCAAAGTCTATTTCAAAGACTTCAAGTCAACCTACAGTAATGACACCTCTTTATTCATTTGAACATGCTGATGATTATATTTATGATGTTAAATGGTCCCCTACTCATCCTGCTTTGTTTAGCACAGTAGATGGTACAGGTCAATTTGATTTATGGAACTTGAATGCCGATACAGAAGAACCCTTTGTAAGTACACAAGTTGGATCAGGCAAAGCACTAAATAAACTTGCTTGGGATAAGGAAGGCAAAAAGATAGCTATTGGTTCTAGTGATGGACATGTTTATATTTATGACATTGGAGAGGTAAAAAAAAAAAAAAAATTGTAAATATTGAATTTAAAACTAATTTTCCCTTCCTTTTAACAATAGATGGCTAGTCCTAAGCCTGAAGATTGGAGTTTATTACAAAAAAATATATCTGAAATGATTTCAAACCAAGAGAATTCTTCATCAACGAAATAATTACATAATAAATTCTGAGCTTATTTTTGAATACGGAAAAAAAAAAAAAATAATAAAAAAAAAAAAGCTGAGGATTTCAATGCAGCTCTTTGTTTATTATAATTTATTTATTTTATTTTATTTTTTTCGAGTAATAAATGTTGAAATGTACTTTGAATAGTATACGTACTTCATATACACGTATACAACCTATCTATCGTTTATACACCACAGCTTCAGTTAATAATAAGCCTAGTTTTTCAACAGTGAACAAAGCTGAAGTACAAAAATTTAGTGACAAAGCATCAGAATGGTGGGATCCTTCAGGTGAATTCTCCATGTTACAATTATTGAATCCACCTCGCGTGTCTTATGTACGTGATCAGCTTTTTGGAGTAGATAGTGAAGCAACAAAGAGCGGAATTCCATTTAAAGGGATTCGAATGCTAGATATTGGATGCGGGGGAGGTTTATTATCCGAGGTAAACAGATATTTATTTACGATGATAATATATGTTTACATGTATATCTATCTATCTATCTATCTATCAAAAAGTCGCTTGTAAGACTAGGTGGAAATGTTGTAGGTGTAGATGCTTCTTATGATAATATTCAAATGGCCAAGTTACACGCTCGTAAAGATCCTGTTTTATGGCGTGGACCTGGGAAGATTGAATATAGAAATTCAACAGCTGAGGAGATGTTGATGAGTGGAGAATTATTTGATGTAGTATTAGCTATGGAGATTATTGAACATGTAGATCAACCTTTAGAATTTTTAAGAACGTGTGCGCAACTAACAAGACCAGGAGGAGACCTCTTTTTGAGTACCATGTCACGTACCCCTGCAGCTTATGTCTTGACTGTTTTATTAGCAGAGAAGGTGCTTGGTATGGTCCATGACGGTACTCATGATTGGTATAAATATATTAAGAGTCAAGAATTAAAAGATGCTATTGAATCATTTGGAGATGATTGGGAAGTTAAAGATATTCGTGGCATCTTATGGAATCCTCTAAGTCGTGAATGGAAAGTAGCTGAACGTAATGGAATAGTGGGTATTGGAGGATATGAATCCTTAGAAGTGAATTATATTATGAGGGCTTCTAAAAGATTAAAATAAAAAATAAAAAAACAAGAATTATATCTTTATTTATTTATTGAGCAGGTATAGCAATAATAGGGGTTGAATCTTTCTCTTGATTATTTTCTTCATTTTTCGATAATACTACAGAATTTAAATCACCTGTATTTGTCCTTATTTTATTTATTGCAAGGACGGCACCGATAGCGCTCTTTAATGCTTTACGTGGATTGAAATTTTCACGTACAGTACTAAGAATATCAATTTCATTTATATCATTACTTGTCATCCATTTATGGTTTAAAGCTTCTGTTGCAGTCAATCTCTTTTTATCATCTAATACTAAAAGAGCTCTAATAAAATTCTTTGCTAAATAATTTAAAGGTCATATCTATTAATACATCGTGTCTATTATGCAGATATATATATATATAATCATCACTACCATCAATAGAGATATTTCTCCAATATCTTTCATGAAAATCATATCTAGCATGAGTAATTTCATCGATTAATTCAACCTGATCTTCTGCTTGGAATGGCTGATATCCACAAAGACTATTTTTAAATACACATGTAAATAACTATTTAATATAAACATACACACATAGACATGATTGAAATAGATGACTACTTTACAGTGTATATGTAATTACTCTAAATAAATAAATAAATAAAAGTTAATTCTTTTATTTATTCCTTTCTATCTTTATTAGTTACCCAACAGCCCACATATCAATAGCAGAGCCATAACCTTTTTGTAATAAAACTTCAGGTGCTATGATAGATAAAAAAAAAAATTAGTAAACACGATTAAGGTAACCATAACAATAAATTTACCAACATAACCAGGTGAACCACATACTGTTTCTAGTGCAGTTGTTTGAGAATTAAACTTTGCAATCCTATAGACTCAACTCCTTTGAGTATTTTATAAAAAATGAACCATAAAAATTAATTTTATTACCCAAAATCGCAAATAACTAAATCAGCATTTGATTCAGGTGTTTTAAATAACAAATTCTCTGGTTTCATATCTAAAATTTTTTTTAGGTGATATTTTTTTTTTCTTCTTTTCTTTTCTTTACCTCTGTGAACAATATTGTTTTTATGTAAATATTCTAATCCAGTTAAGACGGATTTAATAACTAAAACTGCATCCTTTTCCGTGAATTTTCCTCTTTCAAATAGTCTTTCAAATAATTCACCACCTGTAGCACTTTTTTTGATAGAAAACAGATTTAATAATTATTACCAAAAAAAAAAAAGTTTAAGCCTAAGCTTACTTACAGTTCAAATACAAGATAAAATTTATCTCTTAAATCAAGTTAGAATAGTTTTATTATAATCGTCTTTCTTCTTCTTTTTTTTTATTATACCTTGACTCAAAATAATCATAAAATCCAATCACATTTGGATGATGTAAAGCTTGAAGTACGGCTACTTCATCTTTTACCATATCAAAATGATTCTTTACATTCTTTTTTGGTATAACTTTAATAGCCACTTCTTTACCATCATTTATTCTTATTGCTTTCTTTACTGAACCAAATGATCCACTACCTTTATAACACAAGTTAATATGATTTTATTTACATATGAATATTTAATTTACCTAAAATTTCTGAGAATTTATAATTCTTTTTCCTATCATATGAATCTGGTTGCTGTATTCCCCCATGAACAATTGTATCAAGTGTTTTAAATAATCCCATTTTTAATATGAAAAAAAAAGGAGAAGAAAAAGTAAATTTAAAGTGAGCGATCTTTTGTTTACTTGTTAAAAAGAAAAAAAAAAAAAGTAAGACCAATTAAAATTAAACTATATTAAACCTTTTTTTTTTCTTTTTTTCCTTTCTTTTTTTTTCCCCTTCTTTTTTTCCCTTTCTTTATTTTATTTTATTTTATTTATTAAAGACAAGTGAAGAAGCTTTAATTCTTCTAATACTATGATTGAAATAGTAGAAATGAGTTTATTTGTAAGTGGGGCTGAGGTGGGCATAAAAGGTAGACGTGTACCTTGACAAAACACTATTTATAGACAAAGACACACACTTTTCTTTTAAGTAATTTTACAGCAGAAGTGGAAGTAATAGTAATAATAGTGTCATATATAAATCTATATCCCGCCTCCCCCTTTTTTCGAAGGGAATAAATGATTATAAATAGTTACGCGTAGGATACGATACATTCTATATGTTTTTTTTTTATTAAATAATAATATATTCCAATATGAGTCGACTTCAATCATGTGTACAAATTATACCACATATGATTAAACAATTTTTTTTCTTTTATTATTTTTATAAATTAAAATTTAAAAAGCGACCTATGGGCACATAATATCTTTATTATATTGGATTGCCCAGGTCAGTTCAAATTATGTAAAAAAAAAGTATCTAAAAACCCTCTTATGGGACAAGGGGTAAACAGGTAAAGGAAAGGAAGAAGGGAAGGTGAGAAAGAAAGGGGGAATGTTGCTAACAAATTTAAAGAGACAACCAGTTGAGTCATTTTCTGCCTGGATCAAGAAGTGGAGGGGGTAGTTTATCGTGCATTAAGTAATCTATTTCCTGTAGAATGGTACACATAACTGGCCAGCGATAGAACCAAGCAGAAACATCCTGAGAATTTCGGTGCTTATGCTGAGGGAGATGATTTAAATTATACCATATATAGTATTTCTACTTCAAATTCAGACGATGTTAGTTTTTTTTTTTTTGGACGAGTCAAAATTTAAATTCAGACAATTTGCTTACCTTTTTTGGATAAAGTAAATACAAAATTTAAACAGAAAGTTTTATGCTTAGACTTGTAAAAAAAAAAATGGTTTTCAGAATTTTTCTATTTTTTTAGGACATAATCAACTTCTATTTCAGACAGATCAAAACTTCTTTTGCCCACGTAACTATTAGTCTGCTTGACTTAATCTTTACAGTCTTCCAGAGTATTATCTGCAATCCAGCTATCAAATAATAGACTTGTGAAGGGTCATACATAGTTAATATATATTGATTTCTAGACTAGGAAATGGTGCAATCTGGAGTTTCTGTGTCTAAATGTAATACACATAATGAGGTTCCTCTCAAAGCTTTTAGATTAGTATGGATCATCACAGAAATCTAATTAATTGTATAATATGGCTTTGCCACTTAGTTTTAATATTAATCGTACAACATATGTGACTTTACTTGCTTAAATTGTTAAAAAAATTATTGACAAGTACACTTCTTTTTCTCTTTCTTTACATTCAAATATGACTATGCATAAAACAGCTATTTTTTTTAAAAAAAAAGCAAGACGTTTTTGAAATACGAAAGAGTCAAGAGGCTACTGGTATTGATGTTTTTATACTGAAAAAAAAAAGAGCTGCAAGGCACTCATCATTTATATTAATATGATAACAGGAGTCATTTGCGTTGATTGTATTGAGCTTGGACATTATACTAGGAGTTATTATAAATGCAAACTATATGTTCCTTCTACAACAGATTCGGATATTATTGAACCAACTTTAGGTGTAATTGTTGTAACTTATTCTCTAAAATTGTGTTTTCGGATATTGGTTGGCTCAAGCAAGAACAAAAGAAAACAGAGTGATGTGACAAAAGCAGACAAAAAATAGCAAAAAAGCAAAAGGTTGATAATAACGCTCCTGAAACTCTTCACTGTAATAAATACAATAGAGATAGATATTCATCTGCAAGAACTTCCTTACACCCTTTCAATATACTACCCAAAGCTCATGTGATTCGTAATAATCTTGGTAATAATTACAAGGTCTTCACTAGAAAAGTTCCATTTGATCAATGTATCAGAAATGGTTTTCAACAAATTAAACAAGTGATAATCAATGCATGTGCCATAGTTAGACAGATTGTGATTAGAGCGAAGATTTTTATAAACTATTATGTTTTGCAAGATATATCCAGGTCTCCACCTTCTGGCATTTTTTAACAAGAACTTTTGGTATAGCATATGTCAACTCGTGAACAATCAACGTAGAACAAATCAAGAAAAAAAAATACCTGGAGATCCCCTTCGTGTGTGGGACCAATATAAAGAAAAATATCCTAAAGTTAAAATTAACACCAAACTGTGATGGAATGTAAATAAAGATAAAAGATAAAATAAAAAGAGAGAAAGGGAACAAAAGGAAGTATAGTTTGAGACTGTTTTTATTCAATAAAAATAAAGAAGGTTAAAAGAAAAATTAAGAGAAAGAAGTTAAAGATCATTTTGAATCTTCACAAATGCTTGTATTTATATTAATGAATCCTGAATCAAAGAAATAAAAATAACCGTCAAAGAACATGAGTCATGAAGCAGTATTAGTATTCGGATATACATCTTGTTGATTCAAGAGAATGATCTATGGATTATCTACTGGGTGTTATAATGATCTGATTGAGGCTTTAAATAAAAACTTTATTGTTTGATCTGAGTATATGTTCCTGATATCTTTTATGTTTTATTTTATTGGATCAAAGGCGACTTGAATCCTTTGTCAAGGTTATAAAAATAAATATTTAGAAATAATACTATGTTTTATAGTTGATACATCTAAACAATTGGATGTCAATAAGTTTTATATTATTTACAAGATGTTATATACAGAGTTTTATTTCATATTCAGACTTATAGTTTATCCTGTATTATGTAATTCATCTATTATAATAATACTTATGCTTATATCCAGAGCTTCTTCTATAACACGCCCTCAGATGCCCGAATCTATTGAAGATCCACTCTCTTATCTCTTGAATTTATTACCATCAATATTCCTTACTAAGAAAGTGAGAAAATCAATTGATGCCTGGCTCATACGCTGGCCTTCCATATGTGCCATTCTGCTTGGAGATGGACTATCCAGCTCACTCCCAAATCCCTGAACCCTCTGACCATCTTGGTGAACCCTTTATCAATCATCTTCTTTCAATACAAAAACGAATTTCTGATAGTTAATTATCATCACTTATACATATACTTTAACATTTTCCCTTTTATCCCAAAAGGGTTTTTCTTTCCATAGTGATCTGACCAGGGCAAAACAGCATATATAACTGCTATGTGGTCATTGGTCATTTTTTAATTTTTTTTAAATAAAATTCTTTAATCGTATTATAGTTTCTCTTCTTACTGACCAATGAATAATTATTTAAATTAAATGTCACGTGGATTCAAGCTCTTTTTATTTTTCTTTTTTCTTTTCTTTTTCTTACAATCTTTATTATATAACAAGATCATGTCACAAGAATTGTAAAATTGACAAACTAAATTTAAATGAAAAACAAACTAACTACATACACATTAGAAAGAGGAAACAGATTAATTCATTATTAACACATAATCCGCTAACTGTTGTTGTGGTTGACGAACAAATTTACGAGGTGCCGTTAGATGGAGAAGATAAGAACAAGTTTTTGATTGTCAATTTACCAACTTATTTTCCAGAAGAGCCTCCTGTAATTACCATTTCACCTACAGGCATGCGTCACCCCTGGATAGAAGACGATGTCATTATGCATGACGGTTTACCTAGCTGGAATTTACAGTCTAATTTAGGTTTATTCATAAAAGATATTCGTAATGAATTTGCTCAAAGACCACCAGCAAAAAAGAATATAATTGAATCATCACCTATACAGCAACAACAACCCATTAATGAAGAAGGGTAATACAAATATAAGTCAATGTCATTTATATTCGTATTTATTTTATTTTTTTGTATGAAAAAAAAAAAAATATAGATACGGTTCTCGTCCACCACCACCTATACCTTCAGCCTCTTTAAATAACAATTCTAATTTAATGTCTAATCCAGAATATAATGCAATATCTAAATTAAGGTAATTAAAAGAGCTACTTCAAAGAAGAATGATTATAATTAAACATGTTTATTTAGTTATGAACAAATAGAAGAATTACTTCAAAATGAAACTGCATTTGATATATTCTTTCATACTTTAGATAGAGTAAAGAATTTAAAAGCATTTCAAGAAGATTTAAGAAATGGCAATGAACAACTTGCATGTATGTATATACATTTATATTTGTATACATGTAATTTATTTACATGTTCAAGTTAACCATTCCATGTGATAGATAAGAATTTGAGTAAAGAGGATCAACTAGTCAAATTGAGAACAGAAATAGAAGCAATGTATTCTCAGTATATAATAGATAAATTAGCTTTTGATGAAAAAGAAAGACTACAACAAGAAGCATTTAATGTAAGTTTTTTTTATTTTTTAAAAGAAAGAATCTAACATGGAATGTAGAGATTCTCGTCATCCACTGTTTTAACAAGATTAAAGGCAAGTGTATATGAATCAGATGAATTATCAGAATCAGTCGCACAGAGTTTCTTGGAAGGCAATTTAGACAATGATAGTTTTGTAAAACAATTTAGAGAATTTCGTAAAGTATATCATTTAAGAGCAAGTAAATTAGAAAGAGCACAAAAAGATAATTTATTTGTATCATAAATTTTGATTGGATACAAATCATTTATGCAACAAACACTTTATGATCATCTTCTGATCTATTTCCTATTCCTTTTTCTTTTCTTTTTTTCTTTTTTTTTTTTCTTTCAAACGTATAATAATGAGAATTATAATTGCTGATTCAGGTCAAGAGGTTGAATTAAGTAATTCATTTCTAAAGACATTAAACATTGATGAGTAACAAAAATAAATAAAATAAAACTATAAAGTTAGTTTTTCTTATCGTATTCATGTTGTAGTTTAAACGATTTGAAACAAGCCATATCAAATAAAGTACAAATTAAACCATCCAACCAAATATTATTGACTCCATCAGGAACACAAATTAAAGATAATAGTACCAATATCAATATTGTCCTGATCTTATTTAATCGACGTTTGTTACAAGACCCATCAAGTTTAATATCTACTTATCATCATCAGCAACAATCCTCCTCCATTAGCACAAAGGAGGCTATTCTTCAATTGAAGGAATTAGAAGCTGCTTTAATATCGATACAGAATAATGAAGATGAAGAAAATAGATCAAAATTGATAAAGAAGATCAAGGAGAATACCCAGGTAAATAAGAGAATGAATGAATATCATTAGTCCCTTTATTTATATATCTTCATAGATAGTTTTAGAAGCATGTATCCATCGTAAAAGATGCATAGATAAACTTAAAAAAGAAATAGGTTCACAATCTATTGCGTTGAATTCTGCTCTAAATAACCTTGAATCTCATGTCAAGTAACTATATGGAAATACATGTGTTATATTATGAATGACGTCTTGCTGATGAAATAAATCAAATCAAATAAAAAAAAAAATTATTTTATTTTATGATAGGGCAGCACTTCAAAATGTGAGTAAATTTGATCGAATAGCTCAAAGAGAATTTGCCAAGGATGCTATTGCAATTGCAAGTATAGATTTAGAGATAGAACTTTTAAAGCAAATTAATTTACACTCGAGTATCCCGATTCAATCATCTTCCCTTTCTTCAAATACATTACTTGCTGAATTTGTTCCTGTCGAGAAATTAAAGGAGATCAAGAGAAGATTCCTTTTAAAGGAATATGATGAACTCGTGAACGCTACTCGGGAACAAAGCAATAAAATGGTCTATTTAAATCAGCAGACAGCGAATACAATGAGTCTACATCGAATGACATCAGACGTGATCAAGAAAAGAGTGACAAAAATGAAACAACGAGTAGATCGTTTTGTATATACCTTGATTGATGTAGAGCAAAGGGGATGGTCTTCTTCTATTACTACTACTATCAAAGGAGATCATTCTATCTCGTCGTTTCCTTTGGATATCACACAAACACAATCCTCGCCTCTTAATCTACACGATTCCCCTAGTTATTTTAATCATTTACAACAGAAAAGGAAAACAGCAGACGATACTATTTTGAATACAATCCATTTGCTCTATTTGTATGATCAACTCATCTATGAGTCTGAATGTTCTATCCTGGAGGAAAAGAAGACCACTTTTGACAATTTTATTCAGTGTATGCAATCTGTCAGTAAAATTGAACAATCTGTGATGCAGATTTACCCAAGACTAGCTGAATTAGAAAAAAGGATGAAGCAACTACGATTTGAGATAGAATATGGGCAAGGTGCTATAGCTAGAAAAGTAATTACAGGCTATGTAAGTAATAGAGAAGGGCAATCAAGATAAGATATATGCATACATACATATTATGTGTGTGCTTTTTTTTTTATATAAATTATAACTTATTTTATATTTGGGAGTTAGGGTATATTGTTATGTGAAGTATGGAGAAGAAGCACATATTCAGAGGTAAATAAACTACTCTCTATCCATCTATTTCTCTCTCTGTATATACATACATACATACATACATACCTAATTTAGATGATTATTTACTATTCTATATATAAAGCTTATAATGAAAAATACAAATCTGCTGGGCGATTTATTTGAACATTTTAAAAAGAGAGAAGATGACTATCGAAAAAACTTTATCGAAAATGAAGTTATTTGTTTAGAACAAAAAGAAGATAAACTATTCGTCAGTCTACACCACGTTGATGACAATAAAAAACGACGAGCTATTTTACCATTTATCATTCAAGGTATAATGATACGAATTGATAGAGTATATCATTTTAACATAACTATGATAAAGAGGATTTAAATAGTTTACCAGTATCTAATGAAGAGTCAAATAGAATATCAATAAAAGATATTGAAGGTATACATATACATATACACATATAAAGTCCTCTTTGCTGCTAATGATGGTATATCATTATTATAGCTTATATTCAAATAGTTCATGGCTTTTATAAAGAGAATAGTATTGTTGATGTATTGTCTTTCGATGTTGCATCCATTTTAAAACGCAAGTTAGAAATAGAAGCAAAAAGATTAAATAAAGAACGGATGCAATTAGGTAAAATGTAACATGTATACATAGTTTATATAATTATATAAATATGTGCATAATAGAATTATCGATGAAAGGAGATAAAGAGAAAATAGTCTTAACAGCTTATGTTCCAATAAAGGTAATAAATTTAAAAGCTGAATGCATTAAAAAAAAAAAGTTATTATTATTATTATTATTATTCATTTTCATGTTATCGAATTTTAACTCTTCTTTCCCTTCTTCATCTATAAACATATCAAAGACATATAATAATAAGAAAATGTATGCAGATCAAGATTCTTCTATTGAAAGTAATAAAGACAAAACCTTGGTAAATTCAAATATGAATACACTATACACATATTTATCTTTGTGTTGTTTAGTAGATATTACAACAATTTCAAGAATATAAAAGTCGTATCAAGGAAATTCAACTCAAGCATGAACAATATAAAAAAGACAAACAGAATGTATAAATAATTAAAAAAAAATAATCATAAAAATGACTGCAATATGTAAACTGAATCATATTCGTCATGTTAGTTATTAGAGGAATTAAACTGTAAGGAAAGATATATAGAAGAAATGAAAACGAAACATCAACAAGAGGTAAGAAAAGAAAAAAAAAAGTTATTTTCATTATAAATATTTAAAGGTCTTGGTATCTTTTAGATTCAAAACTTATCATTGCAAATAAAAGAAATAAATCAAAAAGATGACAAGCAAAGAGATATGATGCAATGCCCTTTATTATCTCCTCCACATGAGAATATAAAAACTATAAAAAGTGAACCCACTACACCTTATTATGAGCAAGATCCTGTTTTATCCATAAACGAACACGAAAGAAGGATTATTCAACAATTACGATATGACCATGCACAGGAGATTCAACAATTACAGCAGCGTTGGGAAGCAGAGCGTGCAGCACAATTACAAAAATTTCGTGATATTCAGGAACGTGATCATGCTGATGTGATAGCATTAGTAAATGCATTAGCAGCTGAAAAGACACAATTATTAGATCAACTTACTCAAGTGAAGAATGATCTTTCAAATAACTCACTCTTCTCTTATCATCATGACGATAAAGAAACAAGGTTGTTAAATAAGGAAATTAATATATTACAAATACATACAGTGCAAATGGAAGAGGAAAAGGATGATCTTCAAAACGAAATAGGTCAACTAAAAGCAGATAGAGATAAAATCTATAAAGATTTTATTAACTTTAAAAGGGAAACAAATGAGGCAAATCTAGAATTGTTACATTTACGTAAAGAACAGTTAGTTGCAAAAAGACTTGCTAAAGATTTATTATCTATTTCACAACCAAACTATACGACTTTTGTAGATAACGACGATACTATATCCTTAGTTGATCTACTAAAGAGAACACTAGGAAATATAACAAACTTACAAGCCCATAATAATAATTTAGAAGAGGTAATTAAGGAAGGATAGGATACATACTATATTATTATATTTATATTTGTATTTGTATTATAGTCTATGGAATCTGCTTATATGACTGGAATGTATCCTTATTAGTAGAAATATGTAATGATGTATCACTATAAATAAATTTTAAATAGGAAAGCCTGTATAGTCAGGCACTTTCTCCTTTAATAATTTTTCAGTAAAATCCCATAATTCTTTTGGAGCATCTTTTGAAGCAGCAACACCATAAGGCTTATTAGGGCTTGCATAAGGAACCTATGATAAACATTTAATATAAGAAATAAATCATCATTATCTGTGTCTTTACATAATAGTGTCCTTTAATATCCTTTTGTTCAACTTCTGGACTTGTGGCCAAGTAAAGCTGAGTTATAGCTCCATCTTCAGGGGTAATCAAAAATAAGTTTATAAAAGAGACAAATGTTTTTTCATCAATTCGAGTCAAATGACGATAAAGATCAGTTTTGACAGCACCAGGATGACTACAGTTCACATAAACCTGTATATGTACGAACCTATGTAAATCTACTTTTTTTTTTCATACTCTAGTCATCATATATACTGCTTACATTGTTAATGTCTTTATCTTGTAAACGCTTAGTTAATTCCCTTGTAAAAAGAATATTGCATGTTTTCGATTTTGCATAATGGATTATTTTATTGTATTTTGCTGGATCACTAATAGATTCCAAGTTCAACTCCTTGAAAGGTATCATGTGTCCAATCGAACTCACATTCACAATACGACAGCTAGGTGTTGACTTTACGATTGTAGGCCAAAGTAGACTAGTCAAATAATAATGAGCAACGTGGTTTGTAGCGAATTGAATCTCAATATTATCTTTTGAAAGACCAAAGGAACAACACATAACACCAGCGTTATTAATTAAAATATGAAGTTGATCGTGACGAGTAAGGAATTGTTCAACAAATTGTTTAATAGATGCTAATTCTAATAAATCAATCCGAATAAACTCTACATTCTGGTTTCCTGTTTCTGATTTAATTTGTTCAACCACTGCCTTTGTCTTTTCTTCATTACGACAAGCCAAAACACTTTTAACAAATATATATAAAATAAATCAATTCTAGAAAAAAAAAAAACAAAGCTACACTTTATATTATTAAAGCCTTACACTGTACAATTCTTTCTTGCCATCTCTAAAGCACATACTTTACCAATCTTTTTTTTTTTCCCCAAGAAATTAGTGATAATAATAATAATAATAATAAAAGTTAATAAAAAAAAAATCAAGCCAATGTTACAAGTAAATGATGAATTTTGACTTACACCAGTGTTGCTACCAGTAATGATGGCAACTTTTCCACTTAAATCAGGAATTTGTTCAAATGAAAAGTTTCTTTTTGTTGAAAAAAACATTTAGTTGTATAAAGAGGATGAATGTCGTGGAGTGACACTATTTCACCTTATATGTGTATTAACCCACAGTCATAGGTACTAATTTGGGAGTGAATTTGTACACAATAAAAAAAAAAAAAAATTGCAAATTTCATATTACGAAAACTAACCCAAATTCTATTTTAAAGCGAGCGATCAAGATCAAAATGACGAGTAAATTCACTTACACAGTTTTAAATCATCTGTTAAATAGTCAACATAAGCTTAGACTATAATATCCATAACTTACTTTTATCAGCATGTTTAGAGTAATATACTAGGTTCCTATTAATAGCTTTTACAACCTAATATGTGATTAAGATACCACCAGAACACTTGAATAATATAAAGTCATACTTATATATATATCTGTATATACATACATATGAAATCATTAGTGGTATAGAATTAAGGTAGACAGGAGTCAAGGATTTTGATAAGCATTATTTTACTATAAAAAGTCTTGATTTTTCTCACCCGCCCTTACTACTATGCTAAAAAAAAAAGTCTAGTATATCTAGAGCTAACAGAAAGAAGCTGCTTATATCATAGCTAGTTTATTAAGAATAATACTGTTCATAAAATATACTCATTTATACACGATTTTATGTTGGTATAGAAATCTACATGATAAGAGCATTACATGTTAATAAGCTTATAGTTACTAATAATGTTGCAGACAGCTAAACCTACATATATATATCTGCCAAATAAAATCAAGAAATAGAATGTAATATTAATTCAAATTATCAAAAATATATAAAGGTAATCAATTATTTTAATCAAGTTAACACTATTCTTTCAAAGCCTATAAAACGAAACATAGACAAGTATAGCAATAATTGTGGTCAATATTCATAAGTAGACAAGTAAATTGAGATTGAAAAAAAAAAGGTTAAACATTTATGTAATAAAGCTATTATTCTTTTAATGTTTAGTCTATAATTGTTTAATGATAAAATACAGAAAAAATTTGTATTAAGCAAGCTATATTTATCCAAATAATTATAGTCTCTAATGACATTTTATGCAGAAATTATTGGAAATAATAATAGTATTAATAAATAAAAAAAAGACAAAAGTTAACATATATCAAAGACAGGCAAAAATGAATTCTTTAGTACAAGAAAGACAAACTAATAAAATAGATGCGGCGTGTATTACCTAAATATGCTCAAGGGGGTGGGGGTGGGGTGGAAATGAGTGTAAAAAATTTCTTGATATACACGTACGCTGGATAAGCCTCAAGCTTATAAATCGCTTTATCTGTTTTGTTTATTCTCGAGTATATCCTAGTATTTTTAAGGAAATAGTGTAGTGTTGATTTTTGATGTTCCTAACATGAGCTTCTTGATCTACTTTTTTCAAAGTCCGTGTTTTCTTTTTTATTCTAGCTTATTATTCTTATTTTATTTTTTTTATGTTATTTTATTTTATTTTATTTTTTTAAAAAGGAAAACAATTGTCTTATTTCTTTCCTTCTATTTCTTTTTATTTTAACGTGTAATTTATTAAAATTAATCAGTAAAAGAAAAAATGGGTGATGCAGGCTTTTTTAAGGTAAATAATGAAGACAAATGGGACCTTTATTTCTCATTTTGATGATGTAATTCTATTTGGATTAACTTGTAACGTGTCTAAAATTAAAAAAGGGTACAAGTGCCGATCAAGATAGTAGATTTAGTAATAAAGAAAAGAAATTATTAAAATCCATGTCTTTTCCTCCCGAATTTGATCAAAAGGTATATATATAATAAAATTATTATTTTTTAAATTTGAAAAATGAACAAAATAAAATAAATAAATAAAAAACCCCTTCATTAATTCTTAAATGTAAATAGGTGGATATAAAAAAAGTTAATTTAGATGTTATTAAACCTTGGATAAGTAATAAAATTACAGAGCTGCTCGGACTTGAAGATGAAGTTGTTATTGATTATACTTGTAGTTTATTAGAAGAACCTGTAAAGTCTATAAATATATGTATATACTGTATAATTATTTCGACATACTCATTTTTTTTTATATATATACATGTATATATTAATGATTAGGATTTGGATCCTAAAAGAATGCAGATTAATTTAACTGGATTTTTGGAAAGCAAAACAAAAGATTTTTTAAGTGAACTTTGGAATTTATTACTAAGTGCGCAAAACTCTGTAGGTGGTATTCCAGCACAATTTATTGAACAAAAGAAAGAAGAGTTACGCAGAAAGAAAGCAGAAGAAGAAGAAAGAAGAGCTCAACGTGAATCAGTTATGGATACTATTCGTAAAAAGCAAATGGAGGAAATGGAAGATTTGAGAGAAAGTGGAAGAAGATCACGCCTTGTAAGTCATATTTGCGTAGGGAAATAAATGTTATCATATTCACTTTTATATATAGGATGAACATAAAAGTAGCAGAAGATATAGTCGATCACCTTCTCGACGACATCGATCTCGTTCTAGAGATGATAGACATAGTGGCAGCAGTAATAGTAGACATCACAGTTATCGTGACGATTATTATAGCAGACATAGAGATGAACGTAGCGATCGACATCGTGATAATGGCAGATATCGTGATGATGACAGACATCGTGAATCTAGAAGAAGTACAAGAAGAAGAAGTAGAAGTCCAGGATATTAAATAAGTAAAAAAAAAAAAAAAAAAAAAAAAATCAATAGCAATAATAAGAATAATAATAATAATAAATAAACAGAATATGCTTTTATTATTATTACTAATCTTCATCAATAATCCATCCTTCGCCTGAATTTTTTGGATTTTGCTGATGTAGGGTTTCTTTCTTTTCAATGCCTCTTTGAATATAAGGTTTCAATCCTTTGTTAAAATTAATGATACATAGCAAGGCCAAAACCACAGTTGCCTACATATAAATATATATTTTTTTTTAAAAAAAAAAGAAAAGAATGAATTCTTGTAATGATAACAGTAATCTATACATTTTTAAACATACAGCAGCAATTATCAAACCAAGTATAACTTGTAAGAAAGAAAATAGATATAAATGTTAAGTGTCATTGTAAGAACCTATTTTTTATGAACTATAAAATTACCAAAACAAATCCATATATACCAATAATCTTCACTATCTGTTGCTTCTACAGCAATCAAAATTAACTGAAAGCCGACACACAATTGAAATAGAATAAACACAGTCATTTGTAAAAGACTTTCGCTTGCAACCTATTATAATTGACAGTAGTTAGTTACATATAAATTTTGTTGTTGAAAGACATCATATTATATACTTTACAGCAACTCGACCAAAGTAAAGCATAGGCAAGATAAGTAATGTAATGACAATAAACACAATTGTAGTCCAAGAATTGAATCCACTCTTCAAAGCAAATTGAATTAAATAAAAGACGGACACAAGAAATTCAATGAAAATATCTATCTTTAATGCTAATACAAAAAATTGTAAAATTCGATACATGCCTATTTTATATAAAAAAAAAGTCCTTTGTATCATTAGCTTCCTTTTTTTTTTTTTTAATATACAGTATAGCATGTATAATAATAAGTTGGGGCTTTTACGTTGTATAGAAATATCAGCACCAATCTTTTTATAGATTATCCAACCAAATTCTCGAACAACAGCATAAGAAACGTAGGCAAAGATAATAGCATATACACCTACACAAATGGATAGTGCAATCTCTACATAATATGCTGTTTGAATAGGTACTACAATGATTGGGATCTTGTACTTTAATTTTATATCTGTTAAAATCGAGAGCCATCTTTTCCCATCTATTACTTCAAGTGCACCTAATATTGCACAAGCAAAATTCATAATAGCTAAAGTGATTACTTCTGCTGCATTTTGATACACTGTCTATATAGATCGTATAAGAAAATCATAATCATAATAAAAGGTAAAAAGAAAGTAATGTGTGTGTGTGTGTGTGTGTATCTGTCTACTTTATGTTTATATTTACGGCATCAAAAGACATGCACACAAACCACAATTGGAATCCAACAAAAGCAATGTTTTCCCATTTGATCCGCTTGAGCCGTTCAATAGCATCTGTGATTGATGCTTGTTCATCTTCATTAAGGTCATATGTTAATATTGCGTCGGACTCAAGTCCTTTATTAACTTGAGCTGTATTATAATAAGCAATCGTTGTCTGTAAGGCAATGATGGTGATACCTTGTAAGCAAGCAACAAGAATATATAGCTTTGTCCATTTTGATTGGTTGATTCTAGTATTCTTCGCCACATAAAAAAAAAAAAAAATCCTGTTAAAACAAAAATTGATGAAGAACAATATAACATACTATCTTTTTAAGCGTCACCATCCCTTGATATAGCTGTGCTCTTTATATGTATATAAATTAAGTGGGCAAGAAAAGAAAAAAAAAAGGGGGGGAAGGAGAAAGGAACGACAAGGTCTTGAATAAAATATAAAATGAAACAAGAAGAAAAGAAGAAGGTATTTTATTGTATCGTGTACAATAATGAATTCTAGAAAAAAAAAAAGGAGATACATTTTTTTTTATAAATGTAATACATGTAAGCTCCTATTTTATATAAACCCTAAGGTTAAACAAGTTTTTTTTTTTTTTTTTTTTTTTTTTTTTTTTTTTTATTATTATTATTATTATTATTATTATTATTAATGTTTTTAAGCGAAACAATATCTCAGGTATATTATTGGGTTTGCTCAATACAGTTTAAAGAAGAAGGAAAGGAGACTGAAAAAAAAAAAAGGTCTTTTAATATAAGAGTTACATACATATGTTAGGACGCATAATAAAAATCAGAATATGAAGCAATTTAATAAGCTATAAAATGGCCAATCCAATAATGGATATCTAAGATTAAGTGATAGAGGAAAGACTTTGTTGTATGCTAGAGAGTCCTATCATCTATAATCGGGTGCTTATGATTAACTCAGTGTAATACTGAAATACAAAACTTAAGCTGTTGAGAAAGTAATTTGTTTAGAAGGAAGTGACAAAGACACTTTAACGGCTTGAGCCATAGAGAGTTAACTACATATGTTCGTATATTTTCTTGTGAGAAGAGAGATTAGTGTTGCATAGGCTTGATGTTGACCAAATTTTCAATACAAGCTTCGAATTATAGACAAGCTTTTTCTTTGGTAGCCAGAGCATGAAATCAGTATAGATAGAATTGAGTGACAAACAAAAAATAATTCAAAATAATTTTTTTTTTACAATATACAAACATACACCTTTTGCCAAAATGATGTCGCACAATTCAAGAAAAGAGTGTTGTGCTGTAAATATAATTGTTTATTAAATAGGATGTCTTGCAGGGCAGCCATCGAAACGTCTAGTAGAATAGCACACTAACCTTTCAAAAGATGATTGGGCAACTTGGTTGCTAGCGTCTGCAATTATTTAAGGAATAGTGTCTTTTTTGAGTATAAAGTCTTGGATGACTAGGGTACTTACTAGAACTAAAGACTTGGGCTTTATTATTCCCAAGATTATTCATATTTATTCTTTTCTTTTGATATAAAATTAAGTCCTGCTGATTAAAACAACATTATAGACAAAATGATGGATCCACATTGTAGATATTGAAAAGGCTCTATTCAAAGAGGTACAGAGAATACAATACCTCTCTTTTTTCTCAACAGATATTATGATTTTTTTTTGGCATCTTAAAATATAAAAGCAAAGTGAAGCGAACAAAGTTTAGTGACGTTGAGACAGTCAGTTCAAGAATCATCAAGGCAAGTGAGGCTATTTCCGTTGAACGTTTGAAATACTTTATTCAACATTCTGTAACCAATTCGATAACTGCCTCAATAAAAACTCCATCTAGACGTTTTTCTTTTGTACCTAACTAAATCTATATGATCAAAGAGTTAACCAAGTGAATTTTATTTTGTGACCAATTTATTTTCAAAAAAAAAAAAGTGCGCATTATTTTAAGAATATTAAGATGATAGTTGAGAATACAGTAGCAACGCCAAATGAGTGATTATGCCTACCTTTTCTGACTTCTCAACAGTTTGGGCTTTTTAGGAAAACATTTATTTATATATAGCAAAGGGAGAATGGGGAATCTAATAATATTCCCTTCGTGCCAATTTTCTTATATATACTAAATATATACAAAGGATACGTAATAACACATATTTTTTTTTATCTTACTCCAGAAGATTGATTCATAACTGTATCACCAGACTAACAACATAAAGATATTCACAAACGATCTAATGTGTAATCTTTTTGTAAATGAATTACTTGACTTTTCGAAAAATAGGGTCAAGAATTTTTGGTGAAGGAATGGATTAGATTGAACTGTGTTACATCTAGCACCAATAAAAAAAATTTCTTTGTAGACGATGGCTTGATAATCAAATGGAACAAACAAAAAAATTCACCCGATAGAGGTGAGATCCAACAATGCTTGGAGCCATTATAACTATACAAATGTAAGAAGAAAAGGCAGAACATAATCTTGTCAATAACTCGGTAACAATATCAGTATAATGGTGAGGAAAGTGGATAATATACATATATAATACGAATAGAACAGTTAGTATAGTCGTATTCTTTAAACAACATACAAAACGGGCAATACAACAGGCAGCTTCTATATAAACAGGTTTCTGCCGGTGCGCAGTAAACATTATTTGCATGCTGACTTACTAAGTATTAATATAGGAATCAGACTAAGGAGAGCCAAACGATCAAGTCGCAAAGATACACTTAAGTATAACAGCTGGGGCGCAACTTTATCATACAGACAGCTTATCTGGTCAAGCCATTAGTTGTCTGCAGAGCGAGCAAGCAGAGGAGAGCAATACGATCAAGTCGTAAAGATACACTCATACGTACTAAGTTACCCTGTTGACTGCCGTCCAACAACTTACCAATAGTGAATTGCCAGTAGTGAAGAAAAAAATGCTTATTTAATTGGTTAAGAATTGATATAGATATTAGCATAAATTTTTGGGTACAGCCAGTACGATGGATATAGTTGCCAATTAACAAATATTTATCGGCAGTTGAGAAATAACTATCGCAAAAGAAAATTCAATTAGTCATTTTAGGAAAAACGTATTGTCGCAAAGGTTTTTTTGTAATTTTATTAAATATTTTTAGAGAGGTTCTTTGTATAGACATTTGATAGTTTTGTTATAGAACAAGCTCTGGATATAAACATAAATAATAATATAATAGATGAATGACATAATAAAGGATAAACTATACGCTTGAATATAAAATAAAACTCTGTAGATAACATCTTGTAAATAATATAAAACTTAATGACATCCAATCAACTAAATGTGTCAACTAAATAAGATATCGCATCAGTTCTAAATATTTATTTTTATAACCTTGACAAAGGATTCAGGTCGCCTTTGATCCAATAAAAAAAATATAGAAGACATCAGGAACATATACTCAGATCAAACAATTTAAAGCCTCAATCAGATCATTATAACACCCAATAGATAATCCATAAATCATTCTCTTGAATCAACAAGATGTATATTCGAATACTAACACTGTTTCATGACTCATGTCCTTTGACGGTTGTTTTTATTTCTTTGATTCAGGATTCATTAAAATAAATACAAGCAGTTGTTTAGACACAAAATAATCTTTAACCTTTAATTCTTTTATTTTTATTTTATTTTTACTTATTGAATAAAAACAGTCTCAAACTATTCTTCCTTTTTGTTCTCTTTCTCTTTTCTTTTTCTTTTTATCTTCTTTATTGGATCATGTACCATCACATCTTTATTCATTTATGTTGTGCATTAAAAGAGCCAAAAATCATAGAACATTGCCACGTTAACTTCCGAATTTATATAATATGCGTCATAATATGTATTTTTTTTTTATAAGCTTCATCTCATTAGAAAGAGATAAAACTATATAATGATGGAGAGTTATAACTATATGTTTGATATATATTACTTCTTATGAAAAGCATATGTAAACAAGAGTGAAAACGAGTAAATTTGAAAAGTTATTGAAGCAATTATGTGAGTCACTGCAATACCTATCATGTCATGTATTTATGTAGCTCTACTATGAGAGAAATAGGTTGCTATATACTGTTTTATCATAAGAATAATGTATGTAAAATCATAGCCAAATAAAGTAGTAAACTAAAATAAAGAATAAAAAGAAAATATCATAGCAAGCTTAAGATATAATGATAACAACAGTAATAATCATCTTCCTAAGAATATTGAATGACGATGAAAAAAAAAACCCCCCTCTATGATTGTTATTTCTGATTATTCACCCAACTATGATACGTCGATTTTAAGCTCCGACGGATTTTCAACGATTTGAAGTATCCTTCTGGGAGTCCAAGCTGATAGCAATTCTTCCAGCTCATTTTTCTATTTTACTTCTTAAATTGGTCGACGAATTCTATGGTTCATTCCATATCCGTTTTTCGTTTTGTAATCGAGATTTCCTTTAATACTTGTTGTGCTTGGTAGTTGGCTGAAGGTTCAACATTTGTTGATGAACTGATTGGTTCTGGCATAGTTGAACTGGGGGAGCCTTGTAGCAAGTATTTTGAGATACATGAGGTCGTGTAGCGCGCGCCATCGAAAGCATATTGCTTGGTCCTTTTCATGTCTGGACCATCTTGTTCCACAGCATCAATAATTCTTTTAAGTTGGTTGCCCGTGTTGTTGCAAACATCCAATAATACATGTATCGTTTTTTCATCTGTGCTTATTTGTCTATCCAAAGCCTTCTTAGAAATTGCGTATAACATCTTAACAATAGGATCATCTTTCTTCTCTAATCCAAATAATGACTGTTCTTGCTTGCTGAACACATACTCAATAGCAACTAGAGGCGACAAAGGTGTTTCCAGTAATGATTCGTTGATTGTTTTTGGATCTAGAAAATATGCTGCTTGTGCCCAATGTGTGGACGGCAAAATCTTCATATAACTAGCGGTACTAATATTGGCGAGTGTGTTGACTATTTGGGAGGGAATACAGTGACACGCAAAACTGAGCAAATATTCACAACTTTATTACATAATCATTTATGTAATAAGTATTTTTTAATATGGTATATTTGTGAATATACTGGAATAAAAGATGAGGTTTTTACGAGTTTATTACTATATTTGTCTTAAAAAATAATCAAGTATTTGCTACGTTACAAAGCTTTAAAGTCAACGATAGCATTCGCTCAGTTCTGTGAGCATGTTAAAAAAGTATTTCAAATATAGAAACCTGGCATCAATAGTCAGTCCAGTAACTTTTAGCTTTGATACATTGTTGAATACGATAAGGCATAGTTTCTATTATCTTTTGGCACTCTTCTACAGTAATTTTATTGTACCATATTTCGATAATACGTTCATACAATTCGTTCATGTCTCTAGATAATGTATTATATTCATTTAATCGAATTTTTAATAATCTCCACATGTTTTCTATAGGATTAAGATCTGGAGATTGTGCAGGCCAGCTCATTACTTGATATTCTTGAGATGCAAGATATTTTTTAGCGACATCTGAGGTATGCTTACCGCTGAAAAATTACTTGGTCTTTTCGGAGATTCAATTTTCCGCACACATAATCGACTGTTTTATCCAGTTCATCCTCTAAAATCACTTTATACAAGTGTTTGTTCATATTATCTTCTATCTTGTGTAACCATCCAGATCCTTCCCCATATACCGCCCGTCGGACTTTGAAAAATGCAATTTTCTTTTATGGAAATGGCTCTCTAATATATTACTAGTGAAAAAAATACCGACTTTGTCGTTTCTTGACTTCTTTCTTCTCACGTCTGAATCCTTTACTATCGGCGTAAATATTCTTTTATTTTGCCTATTAGTTCTAAACGATAGATTGTACTCTACTTCTATTGGTTGGTTCTTTACTTCGTTCCTAATAGACTGGTCAATCCAACATATTTTAGCTGTAGGTTATCACTACTACTGGTATTATAATAAAAGGAAATGATATCTTTCAAAGTCCGACGGCGGCATCGGTATATGGGGAATTAACCTTGCTGGTGTTATGTAATATAGGATAGTTATTTAAGAGAAAATATTATGTAAGCAGAGTGTGCCGCTAGGTAGGTTGATGGTATCAATTTAGGCTTTCTGGGTTTAAATACCAGCTTGTGGTATTGCCCAAAAATCAAAATTAGGCATGATCACAAAACTAAGCAAATGCATAGCCGGATTTTAAAGTTGTTTTTCTCCCCCGAAAAATAGAGCTACATCATCAAAAAAGGTATCATTAAATTCCTTAGAACATAAGCATTCTATTGGATCCCTGGACATATACCGCCGTCGGAGTTTAAAATTTTGAATTTCCTTTTATGGAAATTGCACTGCAAATAAAGTCTACTTTTACAATTGTAAAAGTTTGTAAAAGGTGACCCAGTCACAATTGTAAAAGGTGACCTTTTACAATCAAAAATTGAAAATTGGAAGTTTTAAAAAATTTTTATACCAAATGAAAGAGAAAAATTTGCTCATTTCGAATATGTTAAAATTTTTTTATTTGGTTAAGAATTGATAGAGATATTAGCATTTAAAGATTTGTTTAATGGTTAAAAAATATAACTGTGATGGAAGGTAAATAAAAGATAAAAGACAAAATAAAAAGAGAGAAAGGGAACAAAAGGAAGTATAGTTTGAGACTGTTTTTTATTCAATAAATAAAGTTAAAAGAAAAAGCTGAAGAAAGAAGTTCAAGATTATTTTGTGTCTAAACAACTGCTTGTATTTATATTAATGAATCCTGAATCAAAGAAATAAAAACAACCGTCAAAGGACATGAGTCATGAAACAGTGTTAGTATTCGAATATACATCTTGTTGATTCAAGAGAATGATTTATGGATTATCTATTGGGTGTTATAATGATCTGATTGAGGCTTTAAATTGTTTGATCTGAGTATATGTTCCTGATGTCTTCTATATTTTTTTTATTGGATCAAAGGCGACCTGAATCCTTTGTCAAGGTTATAAAAATAAATATTTAGAACTGATGCGATATCTTATTTAGTTGACACATTTAGTTGATTGGATGTCATTAAGTTTTATATTATTTACAAGATGTTATCTACAGAGTTTTATTTTATATTCAAGCGTATAGTTTATCCTTTATTATGTAATTCATCTATTATATTATTATTTATGCTTATATCCGGAGCTTGTTCTATAACAACACTTACCTCGTAAAAACATAAATAGCCCTCAATTTTTTCATATAATTTCCGATTGTACAATTTTTGTATTATCTTTAATAAACTATACAATACAAAGTTTTCACAGACTTGTCTTCTGTTCATTTCTCTTTCTTTATCTTTTTGCTAATCAAAACATGTAATAGAAAGAGTCAGGCCGGATCAAAGGATCTTACAATAACTATAGTTCTTTCGACTCATCCATTATGAATGATTCCAATTCTAATTATTTTTTTATCCGAAAGAAATATGTCAGTATGAATATATTCACAGAGTACATACAACACTCTAGAAAACTTCAGGTAAGACAAAATTATATTGATTCTATAAAAGGCATTAGTAAGTAAATTGTGTAACACTATTAAGAAATGAGCGGCCAAAAGACCGAGATATATGAAGTATCTCGTAATAGCTTGTCTCCTTGACGTTTTTTATTCTTTCAAAGTAACTTGGATAACAGTAGAAATTAGTAGTATTTAATCAATTGAACATCCTAGCTTTTCATCTTGTCAATTTCTAGGTGTACCTTTTTTTTTTTTTTTTTTTTTTTTTTTTTTTTTTTGCAGTTAAAAAAAAGGACCAAAGGTGGTAAACTTGATTAGTTTAATGCAGGAATTTGAACACTTATCCATTCATTAGAGAAGCGGCTAAGAAGGTAGAACTTTCAAAGTCGATATCTGTAAACAAGATAAAAAAAAGGAACAAAACGACAAACAATTCTGACTAGGGAGGTATTCGTAATATCCAAAGAGCACAAGGGCCTTAAATTGACGCTTAAGGACATATATACTGTATTTATTTTTGAAATGTTAGTCATAGCAGTTGAAACTGTCGCAGATCAATTTTGCCAAAAAAAAAAAAAAAAAAAAAAAAAAAAAAAAAAAAAACTAGGGAAATCCGAATTATCCCAAGATTAGTAGCAACTCGTAAAAAAAGAAAAAAAAAGATGTTATTTCACTTGTAAACACATTATCCCGCGATATTTTGTACGAGATAGTGAAGAAACTGTAATTAAATCGTATGATATAGTAAACTTCTAGATTCATCAAAAAATAGATTTTATGAATGACTGTATGTTTATTGATAAGGCTAGATTCAATAGAAACATGCACCGCTCTTATGGTTGGTGTGAAATAGAAATATCTTGCAAAATAAAAAGTACCAAACGTCAGTATCCCAGACGCCATTTGCAAAGATGGTTTTATTGCTCTTTCACGAGAGGAGAATATCACTACAGTAAAAACAAACTGATGATACGCTAGCTGTAAAAAAGAAAAGACACAACTAGTAATGACTTTTTGGAATTCATAAAGCATATCTTTACTACATTTGCTGTAACTAATATGAATGATAAGCATCTAGTGCTTGATAACGCGTCCATTTACAAGGCTAGCCTTGTTCGAGATTGGGCTGAACAACGAGAATATCAACTTCTCTTTTTATCCTTTGTCCTATTTTTATGTTGTTTGTCTCATTTTCAATTTTCAAAATTGACATCCTAACTTTTTTTTTCTAAAAAGCTAGTTGTTTTCTTTTTTTTTTTCATCATGTTATCTTTTGTATAGTCTTTGAAACTCTATCTCTTTCTTCTGTTCAAAGCCATTATTCCTTTCAAACTGATCAAAATCTAAAAGGCCTTGTTTTCATGATCATCATAAAAAAAAGCTCAATTGCCATAATACAGTAATAAGAAAGCTTACAGCCTAACTATTTAAAATGCATAAACCGCTAAGAATATCTTGTGCAATTGAAAAAAAAAAGCATTCTACAACAAAGCTAAAAGGGAACATCTTGTAAAATTGTAAGAAAAAGAAGCGTCTAGATTGTGTGTGTCTAAAAATAAAAATAAAATTGTTGTATAAAATGTTATTTTTTATATTATTGATAGCTTATCTATGAATATAATGCTCTGTCGTGTAACTGCATTTGGCTAGTTTTGGCGTATTTTTTTTTTTTTTTTTTTTTTTTTTTTTTTTTTTTTTTTTTTTTTTTTTTTTTTTTTTTTTTTTACAAGAATGCTCAATATATTCACATGAATATAAAAATGTATAAAAAAAGTAAACAAACTTCTTCATATTTTTTTCTTACTTTCTTACTTTCTTGCTTTCTTTTAAAGAAGAAAGTAATGCTTTACTACATTCAAATAAAAGGCAAAAATCATCTCTAAAGTATTAAAAAGAAAAGAGAAAAAAAAAGACAAGGAGAGAAGATTTAACGCAAAGTAAATTAAAACCAAAAAAAAAAAAAAAAAAAAAAAATACGCTAAAATTAAACTTTAATAACTTCTCCTTCTTTTCGTTTATTTTTTTTTTCTCCTGAATTTTACAATAAAAAAAAAGTACATTTTTTCGTTTTTTTTCCTTTTTTTTTTCTTCTTCTTTTTTCTTTAGCTTTTTTTATTTTTCCTATTCTTCTTTATTTTTACTTGAAACTATGGGTAGACATTGTCAGGGTTATGAAGTGTGCTCAAGTCACATAGCTTGGCTTACTTGAGTTTGTAGAACTGTCCGTTTATAACATGGCTAAAGGAGAGGGCCTAGACTCTCTTTTGGTTACTACATGCATATCCGCCTTCACCTTGGGTTATTGCAACCTTAGATAATTGATGGGACCTTATCGAATTTTGACTGCTCAAGTTTGATTTATTTCCAAAGGAGGAGGGAAATAAAAAGGATACTTGGGGTTGGAAATTGTAAACCTGTTCCTTTTTTAGGGAGATTAGCGTACTCTTTGTCTGCACCATTGAAAGGGCTTATCTCAAGGTTTAGTTTTTCTGTTTTTCTTTTTGGAGGTTTTTCCTTCTTTTTATTTTTATCTAGTTGCTGTTTATAAAATAAAAATAGATAAGGATGCACAGCTTACGTTTCTGACCGTGGTTTTTTCATCTATTTATTTAGTTGAAGAATCCCAACTTGTATTTACTGTTAAGTCAAAAGTAGATGCTAGGGGTCAAAGAAGGGACATTCTCAGGTAAACAATAGTCAGGTCGTGCACTTCATGTATCTGGATTTCTTCCACTTCGCCACGCTACAGGTCAGAATGTTTAGCCCGGCTTCCAATGAAACTTACATCCAACTGTATTTTTTTATTGGGTTATGGGGTGAAGAATCCTATCTTTTTCTTCTAGCAAGGCTTGGGTCAGGTTGGTACTTTGCCAAGTGTCTACTAGTTGAAATTGGACGTTTATCTTTCAAGTAGAAATTTAGAGGGAGAAGAAAAAATTACAGCCCGTATCAATTTGTATGGGTTGTAATATTATTTTTGGGATTAGATATGCTTTCACCTTCTCGTGGTTAATCCTGTTAGTATCAAGTCTCTTTTAAAGAGATTTGAGAACTAAGAAAAGCATCTTTTTTTTTTTTATAATATTAACAAAAATGAAAAAAAAAAAAATAATTTAATAAAAATCGTTTTATAATAAAGCTGCTTCTCTAATAATATTTAATAATTAAGCGTGTAATTCTTTCATTAACAAAAGTGGTGAAAGACTATAGCAGCACAGTGTATAAATATTAAAAAGACTATTGTATATTTTCCCTAAGATTCCTTTCCTCTCAAGGTAAGTTCTGTATGGTTAAATAAATTCAGCATCACTAGAATGTAAATTACCAGAATAAGACTAAAATTAGTCAACATTCGTAATGAGCATTCATAATCTGATTGCTGTACAAAAGACTGTTCATTTCCAGGGTATAACTTGAAGTTGTTTCAAGCCTTACCATCATTATTTTATCTGGAAACAAACTAACTTTGGTTTTCCAACTAATAATTTTTTTTTCAGCACAATTTTCTCCAAGGAAAATTTTCTTTGGGTATTGATTATTGAGTAGTTATATATGTATAAGGACTAAAGGAAGGCTTGACCGATTCATCGAAAAGAAGTTGTTAAAATATCTCAGCTTTTGCAAAGAAATCTTATTTTTTTTTATTATAAAATTTTCCGCAAAGATAAATCCTTTACTCCTCCGTATCGTATCTACGGATGGTATAATGTCACTTAATACAAGAAACGTATTCTTGAAGTCTATCATGAAAACAAAAAAAGGTTGTCCTTTGACATTACTTGTAAAACGTAACAACACGTTTCTGGAAAACGATACTGTTAGATACAATCGTTTAGTGTGATATTAATGAAGGTCATTATTGTTTTGAGGTTCTTATCAGTTACATATTGCTTTTGGATGAGCATTGACTTCATCATAAAGAATATAAAGGGTAACTGCTCCTTCAGTGAATTTGTCTCATTACATGGATTAATTAAAGGAAAAACTATAAATTAACCAAAGTTAATGCACATGATGTGAACATACATTTAACAAGAAACTACTGCCATCTTTTATCATGTACGATGCTTCTTGCTATTCGATGACTTTTTTTTCATAGTTTACATGTTGATGCACCCACTATTTAGCGCTAACTTATATCCTTCTACAATGCTTGTTTTTTTTTTTTTTTTTTTTTTTTTTTTTTTTTTTCACTATTTGTTGATCTCTACTAATTATCCATTTATGAAAATGGAAGCATTAATGGTTTATAAGGAATTCCCTTTTTATTATTATTATTAATATTATTCACAAAAGAAAATACATAAAATGATAATGTTATTGTACAAAAAAAAGGTATTTCAAATTATAATACAATTCAATATCCCTTTTTTTTTCCTTTAAAAGTATGAAAAAAGAAAAAAAAAATGAAAATAATAAAATACAAAACAATAATTAAACTTAAATGTTCAAGAACAATTCAGTATACTTGGGTAAAGGCCATAACTTGTCAGAAACATTACGTTCTAATTTGTCAGCTAATTCACGGATAGCTTCCATCTTGGGAATAACTTCATCACAACAAGCATTACATAATTCAACTACATCATCCACCTTGTTAAGATCAACCATAAAGTATTTAAGAGCGGTAATGTCCTTTTGAAGAGTGGCAACGATAGGTGTTAATTCATTCAACAAATCGACTTCAGGACTGGATTCAACACCAATGTTTTTCATAAAGTTAGCGGCTTCAGCCAAACTACGTCTGTATTCAAAAGCAGCAGGTAAGACTTGTTGAATGACCATAGTAATCATTGTTTGAGCTTCGATAATAACATCCTTGGCATATTTTTCAATCAAGATATGATAACGAGAGTTTAATTCAGCTTCAGAGAAAACACCCATTTCCTTCAACATATTGGCATTTTCATCTCTCAAGAGACGAGCAAAGGCAGCGGGACTCTTGGTGATATTGGGCAAACCACGTTTAGCGGCTTCTTGAACCCAGACATCTGAATAGTTGTCACCTTCATAACGAATATTCTTGGTCAACTTGATGTATTTACGAATTACCTTAAGTTGATCCTCAACGGAAGCGACAGGCTTATCACCTTTAGCTTCCTTCAAATCAGCAAGGACCTCGGTTAATGCCTTGGCAACAGCAGAGTTGAGCAAAGTCATGGGGAAAGAAGGTGATTGCTTAGAACCGACAGCACGGAATTCGAACTTATTACCAGTGAAGGCGAAAGGAGAGGTACGATTACGATCTGTCAAATCACGAGAGATAGGAGGCAAGTTAGCTACCTTAAGATCCAAGACAGTACCCTTAACACGAACGTGTTGGAATTCAAGACCAGCAGCACCATAATTGACAGGACGATCTTCTTCAATTGCATTCAAGACTTCTGTCAATTGAGAACCCAAGAAGACAGAGATGATTCCTGGAGGAGCTTCTTGAGCACCAAGACGGTGATCATTAGAAGCAGAGGCAACACCAGCACGAAGAAGATCGCCATGATCATGGACAGCCTTTAAGGTAGCAACCAAGAAGATCAAGAAACGGTAGTTAGTTTCAGGGTTGCTAGAGGGTTCCAAAAGGTTCTCACCCTTATCAGTTGACATACTCCAGTTACAATGTTTACCAGAGCCATTCACACCACGGAAGGGTTTTTCATGGAAAAGGACTTTAAGTTTATGACGATGAGCAACACGATGAAGGACATCCATTGTCAATAAGTTATGATCGACAGCTAAGAGAGCTTCCTCAAAGATAGGAGCAACTTCAAATTGGGCAGGGGCGACTTCATTATGACGAGTCTTGATGGGGACACCCAACTTGGCTAATTCAAGTTCACATTCACTAATAGCAGAGAGAACACGAGTAGGGATCTTACCAAAGTAGTGGTCTTCGAGTTGTTGATGACGAGGAGGAAGGCCACCAATCAAAGTACGGCCTGTGATTTTAAGATCAGGACGGAGGGTATAGAGGCCACGATCAATTAAGAAATATTCTTGTTCAGTACCAAGTGTAGTATAAACAAGTTCAGAACGTTTTTCTAAAAAAAAATAAAATAAAAAATAATAATCAAATCTTTTAGTTTTCTCCATTTATAAATTAATTTATTATTATTTTTATCGTTACCACAATCTTTAGGTTCAATAACATTAAGAACTTCTAAGGCAACTCTTTCTAAAGCTTCTGAGGATCTTAAAAGAACGGATTTTTCATCTAAAGCTTCACCATTATAAGAGATAAAGACTGAAGGAATATATAAAATATAAGTGCCGTGAGGACCTTCTTGAATGAACATAGGACTATGATAAGAATTGATAGATATAAATAACTAATTCTCTATTTTGTTTTTAAATCATTATTTTACCTCTTTGTATCCCAAACAGTATAACCACGAGCTTCAAATGTGGTACGCATACCACCAGAGGGGAAAGAAGAAGCATCAGGTTCAGATTGTAATAATTGAGAGCCGGAGAAAGTATCTATAGCAGTAACCTAATTGTGATACAAAAAAAAAAAGATAAGATTAACTCTATTTGGAAATAATATAAATGTGTATATATTTATATATATATATCAGTTTAGTTGTCAAAGTATCCTGCATCTGTCATAGGCATTTGCATAGATCTTTTTTTTTCTTCTTCTTCATATAACACTTACAACTTCAGAACCTTCAATAAAGTTAGACTTCAAAGTTAAGAAAGAATCATGCTTTTCAGCAGTAGAATCATTTAAAGGTTGGAACCAATGAGTAAAATGGGTAGCGCCACGTTCAATGGCCCAAACCTTAGCAGCATGGGCAATAGCATCAGCAGTGACCTTATCAATCGTATTCTTACCCTTCAAGGTTTCAATAAATCTCTTATAAACAGGTTTAGGCAACATCTTGGACATTTCTGTACGTGTAAAGACATTTTTACCAAACACCTCAGAAATAGGTTGATTTTGACCATTCTTTTGAGGGAACTCAACAAAACGAGGAGTCTTAGTAAGAGACTCAACCACAGTATTAATACGTGCCTGATGGGACATAATGTAAGTTAAAAGGGAAGAAAAAAAAATATCTTTTCTAAAGAAAAAAGAAAAAGAAAAAAAGAAGGAAAAGATTTATAAAAATATAAAAATAAAAATAAAAAAAGGGGGGGAGAAAGGAGCAGAAAGGAAGGTGTGTCCGTATATGATAGAAAAAAAGGGACTGCTTTTTTAAGATAAGATATTTATAAATTGTCTTGTTGTGGGGTTAAAAGTAATATGATTGGTTAAAAACGTCAAAACATAAATTGTCATGCTGAAAAATTAACATAAAAATATAAAAATACACTTGAATCACGACCATCTCCGAAACTATTAGTTCTCTAAATAACAATTGTAGTTTTTTTCCCTCATCAAAGTATAACAATGCTTGCATAAATTAGAGTCTCCTTTTATTTTGTTAAAAAGAATAGAAAAGAAAATATTAAATAAGCATTTATAAGCCTTTAAATAAAAAGAATAAAAATAGAGATGTATACATATACATAAATATATATGTATATAAAACGTTATAGTAAAAAAAAAAAAAAGAACTTGGATATATAATTGATGGAGTATTTTTGATGGAAGCTTGCTTGGTTCCTGAGATTCAATAAATGGTCCGATCAGAGATAGGAAAATAGAAGAAGAGAACATGACTCACACATACAAAGTAAATGTATATAATTAGATTTCATATAGATTATACACGCATACACACTCAAAGGAATAAAGAAAAAAAAAAGAGAGGAGATCAGGTTGTTTCTGTATCAAATAAATACCAAGGACATGTATGTGAATATAAACCTTTATATTACATCCATTTATCAAGTATTAACATATATAAAAAAATCGGGTAATCATTTAAACGAAATAAAATAAGTGGGGGGAGAAAGAGAAGAGATTTAAATGTTTCATATTACACTTACTATACTATTCCTCGGAAGAAGATATACAAAGAATACTACCAATTAATATTATAGTAGTAATAATAATTATATTATATGAATAATAATCTTAATTAGATAAGAAATATCCCATTCACTATTAGTAATATAATACAATGTTTTTTTATTTTACTTGTTGAAGTCATTATTCAAGATAAGCCGGACCAAGTATTTGTGTAGTTAAATTCTTAATAACTTTAGGCTTATTTTTAATTTAACTTTACATGTGTGATAAAGGCCGCTTTTTTTAATTTATTTACTCTATCTTCCTACCCTTTTTTTTTTTCTTTGGGAAAAAAGTTATTACAACGAAATATAAAGTTCTATTTATTAAGCAATGTTCTAAACGAATAATACACTCATGTACATCTATATTAGTTTGATGATGATTAAAAAAGATATGAAGAAATACATACTTGTAAATATATAAAAAAAGGGTCCATACGCGGAGTATAAATTTGACTGGTGGCAAAAAAAAAAAAAAAGAAAAAAAGCTTTTCAGTAACTCTTCAAAAATAGAAAAATTTAAATTGATAAAAAGCAATGAATTTATTTGATCAAGTAACAGAACAATTAGCTATAATTGATCTTAAGGGTAATCCTTGATCATTGAACTGAAAAATGGAGTTAAAGTATTAAATTCAGTATACCTCTTTTTTTGATTACAGACGACGATATTTCAGAATACATTACAGGCATTATTGAAGATGCTTCAATGGAAGAAACTGAAAAACGTGAAGTTATCTCAGAATTCCTCTCTGAAGCTACTGTAAGTTTTATTTCATCATATGTTATGATTTTTACTTTATGATCCACTAAAGTATTTTCTTCATTTAATGAATATAAATATATATGTATATATATGTGTGTATATAACATAACATAGGACAAAAATACCGAAAATTTGATTACAATACTTTTAAGTGACTGGAAAAAAGTACAAGAAAAGAAGACAAAAGAAGAAGAAGAAAAGAAATCAAAACTTATTGAAGAAGCACGAGGTAAGTTAATTTTCAAAGAAAAAAAAAAAAAAAAAGGAAATTTAATAGTCAATAAGCCAAAATAAATTATTTAAATACAATTTGTTAGCTCGTGAAGAGGAAAGACGTCTTAAAGCAGAAAAAGAACAAGAAGAAAATGTATCACTTCGTATAGCTCAAAAGCAATTAACAAAAGAGGAAAAACTAGAACGTGAAAAGTTAATGGCACAATATGGTTATGTTGCTGAAGGAGATGAAGACGATGAAAAGAAGGAAGAGGTCACTGAATTAAGTCCTAGAGATCGTCGTAGAGGAAAGACATTACCACCTAAAGGTTCGAATAGTTTTTTTTAAAAAAAACAAAGAAAAATGGACAATAACAGTATTTGTATATAATAGATCCATTACTTGAAGCGAATCGAAATGCTGAATTAGTAAAAGAAAAGGAACAACAACGACGTGAACAAATGAAACAAGCAGCAGATAAAGAAAAAGAACGTAATAAAATGTTACAACAAAAACAAAAGAAAGAAAGAGAGTTAGATAAAGAAAAAAAGAAGACACAAAAAGGAGAAAGAAGACGAATGTAGCGAAATTTGTTATTGTTAGGAATAAATAATAGATATAATATTTATTGATTTAACGTTTCTTATACAAACAAGGCTTTAATAATTGTTGGGCTTTCTTTTGTAATTTAGACTTGGAATGATTGATTCCTGCACCTTTCTTGAGTGCTCTCTTTTGAGTCTTACTTAAACCAGCTAAAATTTCATTGTCTAATTCATCTTCGATTTTAGGTTGCTTTGTAAAATACAGCATGATAAACATCTTGTTATTATCGTCCTTATCGATAAATTCAAAGTTCAAATTTTCTAAAAGACTGATAAAGGCATCCAAATCTGTGAATCTACTCACTACCTCAGCGATCTTCAATTCGCCCCTAAATATACATATTTATATATATACAATCAATTACTAATCATTATACGCATATCATGATTCATCCTATTTACCCAACTTTCAAAACTCGATATGCTTCCTTAAGGAAATCAAGATAATTAGTGCCCATTAATGATAATGAAAAGACAGCTACATCTACTGAATTGGGTTTCAATGGTAGCTTCGTAATATCGCAAGCTGTAACATATTCATTTTTTGCAATCAAATCGAAACTCAATACTTTTTGTTTCGTCAATGTTTGAGCAATCATAGCATCGCCACAGCCAAGGTCTGCAATTACAGTATTCTTTGGAAGCTTCTTTAATTGTTCAATAAAAATATCTACGGGGTTCTCTGGCCATGATTCAACTTGATGACGGAAACCTTCATGATACTATACCAGTATTATTACATAATCACTTCATTGAATTCTTTGTATTAAGTTAAGTTACCTCATCAAATAATTCTGGTTTTTCTTGAAATAATTCAAAAGACTGCTTACCAGGTGTTGTATAAAGCTGCTCATTTAACCAGCGGAAACGAGCCCCTGATAATTTTTCTTTCATTTTACGTTGAAGAGGAGTAAGGCCATCATCCAAGTCTTCTGATTTTTTAACTAGGGTAGCAGCTTTCTTAGTTGCTACTTTTTCTATATTTTGTTTCTAAATCCAAGTTAGACACACACACACACAAAAAGAAACATTTTTCTTTACCTCTGAACCCTGTTGTTTATTATTTACATTTGTATTCGTATTTTTATTAGCTTTATTCTTCTTTGATAACAACTAAGATTATATAATGACTTTAAGCATACAATATGGATATGTAAATTTCCCTTTTTTTACCTCCTGTAACTTTTTCTTTTGTTGAGTCTTTTTATTACTTGTCTCGGGCTGCTTTACTGTCATTTGTTTAGCATCCTTCTTAGCTTTTTTGTTTTGTTGTTTAGACTGTTCCTGTTCCAATACACGCTTCTTATTGGTCTTATTCTTTTTATTTTTTGAAGTGGCTTGATTATTTAAAGACACCAATTGTGCTTGAAGTTGATCTGCTTCTTTTGTGACAATGGTTTCTTTCATATTATCAACCTTTTGATTTTTTTTGTTGGTTTCCTTTGGCTTTTGAGGAGCAATAGTGGTTGGTAAAGACCACCCTGAAGTTTCAAAAAAGGGTTGCATTTCTTTGAATCAAATGTGAAGATTTGAAATCTAAATAGATGTGAAAAAAAAAATATTTTGTTTTCTTAAAGCAATTAGGAAATAAGAATATAGATTACAAATGACTGCTTTTATTTTATTATGTAATAAATAAAAAAAAATGGTTTAAACATCTCTTTCCCCTTCTTCGTAAACTGCTTTAACAGTTGGGAACCGTAATGAGACAGTACCATTTTCTTTCTTGAATTCAGAAAAGTAACGAACAGTGATAGGCTTACCAAGAATTAAATTAGGATTTTCAGCATAAATGATACGTTTTTGTATTGAAAATCCTGATCCAACACTGACAATATTCCCTTTATGTTCAATATTAACACTAGTAAGGACAAGCTTATCTTCACCAGTATCAGGCATTCTCATATATCCTGTCTCTATACTTTTCACAATATATTCTGCATCTTCCCATTCTTTTATTTTAAGCATATTTCGACTAAAGAAAAAGAAAAGACACTCATTAGTTTATAAAGTATTTGATAAAATAGAATAGCCTTACGTTCGTTTTCCTTCATAAAACACATCTTTTCTTAAAATTAAACCTTCCCAACCCATTTGAATTGATTTCTGTTTAAGCCTATTTAACTGCTCCAAACTTTCCAGCTTGATTTGTTTTACCATCTTTACATGGGCTCTTTGTATGTTCCCTACAAAATTCTTTAAAATTGCTTGTCGCTCAGCAAATAATTGTTCTCCTTTTGTCTTTAAAAAATCATGAAGAGTGATACAATCGAATATTTGATAGACAGGGTTCTCCATTTGCTCATTTAATCGTCGTATTTGACTTACGGCCTTTAAAAAATCCTCATTTATCCTACCCAAGTCGTTGCTGTACGCACAAATTTCACCATCAAGCACAAATGCATCCTTTATTTGATCCCCTAATTCTTCAAGTCTATCTTCAAGATCATTTTTGACTTTTTGGAGAGAAGTGAATGGTCTTCCTGTTCTCGAATAAAATTCAATATCGTATTGTCCATTTTTATCTTTTTGAATTATCGTAATACATCGAATACCATCTAGTTTTTGCGAGACATACCAGCTGTCAACTTGGATATTAAGCCCATTTTTGTTAGCAGACATTGGGAAGGCTAAGGCAACTTGAATATTTATTGTAGATTGTTTCTCTTTGTTTATCGTATTTTCACTGGTTGTTCTAGCAGATAATAGTCGACGAATGGTGATGACGGAGACTCCCATTTTCAGATTACGGTCAATGATGCGCCAAAATATATCTTGATGAGGTTTTGTTTTACAATATGTATTATAAAAGGAAGCAATGGCTGCACATGCTGCATGTCCTTTAATAGTTCGCGAAGATAGAGCATCTAATAAATCATTTACATTGGTATATTTGACAGCTTTATCCAAGTCAGTTATTGGATACTTTTTTAAATATTTGATAGCTGCCTTTGAAGACACATGATGCCTTAAATGAGGATCATATATACGTTTTAAAATTGAATGACATGCGGGGTATTGCTTTATTATTGCTTGCTTCTCTAGTTTACTTGAATTACTATTGACAGCTGTTGATAATTTATAAATGCTTTCAAGCTGGTCTACAGACAAGCACTTTTTTGTTGAGAAAAGACGTCTTAACATTTAAATTTATTAAAAAAAAAAAAAAAATATAATAATAAATAGATGATGAATGCTATTTATGTATACATATTTACTTTTATGCTTATCCATGCAAATAGTCTAAGCCACAGGATTCATTTTAACCATACGATAAAAAAAGTAATGAAAGGCTTCTCCCATTGTTTTAATATCAAGAGTCCAACAATCCCTTACAAGATGTCTCTTGCGGAAATGAGGTTGACCAAATGTGATATATAAAAATGTGCCTCCTACTTTTAAAACTCTTTGCACTTCATCAACTTCTCCTTTAACGTCATTAATGAGTTCCTCTGAAGGATCCCAAACATCGCCACGATCGCACATCAGAGCATCCATAGTACCTTTATCAATAACAGCGTCAAATGACTCGTTGTCAAACTTCAAATCACGAATGTCCATTTCTAACCCTAACATAAATTTTAGAACTCTTGTTAGACTCTTCTATATATATATATATGTATATATATTGACTTACATGACATTTCAGGTTTATCAGCACAACGCATCTTCATATTTTCAATAACTGTTTTTGAATAATCAATGTTTACAATGTTTTTGTATCCATCATTATACATGTCTTCACCTAGGGCTATTTTATATACAACAATTAAAATATAGATTATTAAAAAAAAAAAATAAACACGATAATAGCAATTAAACTTACTTGAATTGCCACATCCAAGCATAAGGATCTTGGCATCCTTGTTTGGAATAGCTTCATTTAAAAATGGTTTTAAATCAGCATATGTTTTAAACCAGTCAAAAGTAGTATTTAAATCTTCTCTGAAAAAAACAAAGAAATTAATCTAATGGATCTGTATATATAAATGCATGTAAAATTATATTTACTTTTGATATCGCTCTTCCCAATATTGTTTAGTCTTATAAGCTGTTGGATCGTCAGGTACAACGTCTAATGAACTAGAAGCAACCATTTTTATATTGATAAAAAAAAAAAAATAAAAAAAAAAAGAAAAAAAAAAATTGATATTGCTGCAAATTACATAATAAAGTATTGAGATTAAATTTAGTATTACTGCTCAGAGCTTTTTTATTATTTTTTATTTTATTTTATTTTATTTCATTTTATTTTCTTTACTCAAATTATAAATTATAAAGCTTTGCATTCTCTACTACAATTTATTTTAGCTTTATTCATTGAAATCCTTTTTTGCTTAAAGAGAAACAATTCCCTTTCTTTTTATTTTCTTTTTTAGAAAAAGGGATAAGGAATAGATTAACAATGACTTAAAAACCAGTATATACGGAAGCTATATCCATTAGACAATTAAAAATAATAATAAAAAGAGTAGTTGAGACTTTGAATTATTTCAACATTCATAATCAATTAATATACTTTAATGTAAAATTTGTATAAATGATGAGTATTTGAGAATGTACATTTCTCCCCCCCCCGCATTTTTTTTTGTATTTTTGATTTATTGTAATCCATTTTTAAATATGCAAGTTTCTATTTCAATTATCTTTTTTTTTTTTTTAAAAAAGAAAAAAAATAAAAAATTATAAATTCTATAATGAATAATGCAGAAGCAGGGCCTTCATCATTTAAAAAAATCGCAAAGCCTGATTCACCAATGAAACTAGAATTAGCACAAAAAAACAGAGTTTTTGAAGCAACATTGTTAGAAGATCTGTTTGACTATTCAGTTTTAGTTTCAAATAACATTAGTATGGCAAGAGATCAGTTAGCGAATGAAAGAAACTGGTTAACATGGTTTCGATTATCATGTACATTGGTTATATTAGGTATTTAGACATCAATTCTTTTATTTAATATAATGCGATAGAACCACATATAACAGGTATTCTACAAATTAGGCTTCACTATATTAATCAAATTTAGGTTACCTGATGGCTCATCAAATAATGACTCTAACTTTGAAATATCAAGTAAACCTGTTGGCTATATATTTGTGGCTATCGGATTTCTATGTTCTTTTGTTGGCTTAGGAAAATATTTTAAAAATCAAAGACTACTGATAAAACAAGCAACTTTTGTTGAAGCAGGAAGAGGCAGTTATCTTATGGTTGCTGTTCTATTCTCATTTGTTTGTACAATTATGATATTAGCTTCAACAAAAAATAATTCACAAACAGGCGATTCTTTTGTAAATAGAAGCTTTTATATGATTGATTAATAACAATAATAAATATGCAAATTTCGCATTGCTGCTTTTTAAAATAAAATTTAACAACAGCAAAAATAAGAAATATTGATAATTTCCTTTTTTTTTGTTTTTTTTGTTTTTTTTTTCGTTTTTTTCCTTTCATTATACTTGATTAATAATGTCTTGGTGGGGTCAAAATCCTTTTGATGAAATAGTTGGTAAGTTTCATTATATTAAAAAAGAGAGAAATTAGAGTGTTAGTTATTCAGACAAATACTATAGAAAAAGCAACTTCTGAATTATTACCAGGAGGACAGGAAGATATTGTATTAAACTTAGAAATAAGTGACCAAATTCGTAGTAAAAAAGTAAATGCCAAAGATGCTATGCGCTCGATTAAAAAAAGATTAGGACATAAAAATCCTAATGTTCAACTTGCAACTATTTCTGTAAGTATTGCCAAAACCTTGGGGGTGAAAAAAAAATACTGAATTTATAAAATAACAATTGGAATTAGCTTGTGGATACTTGTGTAAAGAATGGAGGCGAATTATTTGTTAGAGAAGTTGCATCAAGAGAATTCATGGATGAGCTTGTATCTATTTTAAAAGCACCTGTAAGTTTATATGAACGAATGAATGTATGTATATTATTAGTTTTAACTCCTTTATTTTATTTTAATAGACTGGATGTAACCTCGATGTTAAAAACAAAATTTTGAATGTAATTCAAATCTGGGGATTAGCTTCGAAAAATAAACCTAGTTTAAGCTACATGTATGATACCTATGCTCTTTTAAAGGCTGAAGGCATGCAATTTCCTCCAGTAAATGAAAATATAGATGGAATTTTATTGGAAACTTCTAGTGTAAGTCTATTTATATTGGATATGTGTAGAGTATGACTAATATGACTCAATGATAGGCCCCTGAATGGTCAGATTCTGACGTATGCGATAGATGTCGTACACCATTTACACTTACAAATAGAAAGCATCACTGCCGTAATTGTGGTGGTACTTTTTGTCAACAATGTTCATCAAAAACAATGCCTTTACCCAAATTAGGTATCAACGAATCAGTTCGTGTTTGTGATGGTTGTTATATTAAATTGAAGTTGGATAAGGCGACTCTCAACAAGCCAATATCATCAGCTCCAGAAACAACAAAGCAAACTACAAGTAATGAGGATGATTTAGATGAAGATATGAAGAAAGCGATTGAACTTTCTTTAAAAGAAGCTGAGCAACAAAAAAATAATTACAGTGCAGGTTATGTATCTAATAATCAAACGAATAACAGACACGAATCATCCATTGAAGACGATCCTGACCTGGCAGCTGCTATTGCCGCTTCTTTACGTGACCTTGAGATATCTAAGCAACAACAGAAGGAAGTTGTTTCTCAAGATTCAGCTGTAGTGCAACAGATACATCAAAATGATTTATCACCCATTGAAATGGAAAATATTCTGTTATTCTCTACTTTGATGGATAGAGTGTATGCTACAGGAGAAGATATTTCAAACGATCCTCAAATTAATCAATTATATACTCAAATCGGTACTTTACAGCCCAAGCTTGTGCAAAGTTTAAATGAAACAATTCATAAGCGTAATTCCTTTATTGAACTTCATGAGAAATTAAATAGGGTGGTTAGATCATATGATCGTTTATTGGAAGAAAGAATAGCTGGTATTAGTCAAGGATCCAGCTATAATATACCTGAGCAACATTATCAGCCACAAACATTATATCATCAGCCACAACAAAATTATAATTATATGACATCATCTGAGCATGACACAAATAAATACTATCCTCCTCCTACTGTGAATAATCAAGACATAAATCAATATTATTATTCTGCTCCTCCTCATTATCAAGTCGCTTCACCAACTCAATCTAATACCGAGCAAAAGAAGCCTGTGGAAGAAGCTCCATTAATTGATTTATAACTGACATTTTTATTCCCAAAAAATAAAATAAAATAAATAACATGATATTAATAAAAATAGTGCTCTGCAGATATATACAAACACATGCATTTTTTTTTTATTACTCACGAATGAAAAATGCCTGTAAATAATGATGACATTACAAATAGAATAAACAGATTAGTGTCCAATGACACTACTATTTTAAAGAACCCAACGTACGCATAAAAAAAAATATATATATAGTACATGTTATGCATTACAACAATTGATTTTATTTTGTTTTATTAGTGATGAGGAGTTAGCTCAACGTTTTACTAACGTTTTTTCAACTAAACCTATATCAACAACTAAAACAGGGAAAAACTCTTTCAATAATTATCACATACCAGATGATTTATACTCTAGTCTTAACATTGATGAAGAAGTACGATTTATTTCTTAAAGCAGTTTGATCTTTTTTTTTTTCCCCCTTATTAAATGTTTCTCTTCTCATGTTTTAATAGATTGAGAATATATTACAGGAAGAGGATGGAAAGGATGATGCTCTAGATGAGTATATATACAATATAATAAAAACAGAGAAGGATGATTCAACATCATTGAGAAAGAATAAACAGAAGGATGACTTGAACACATCAACAAAATTAGATCAAATTCAAAACATCTTTTTGGGGAATCCATCCTTAGGCAATGTAATAAATAACGATGAAGAAGATGAATTAATACAAAGGCTACAAACGGAAAATTCCTTAGAAATAAAATACAATCAATTTATGACAAAGCGAGATCAAGATTTAGAAGAGAGATATTTAAAATTCAAAGCAAATTCACCAGCAATAAATTTTACTGCTAATAGCAGTAAGCCTAGAGGGTCAGTCCCAAAACCAATTTCAGACGATGACTTGTTACATGATGAAATAGATGATTGGTGCTGTAAAGTGTATACATATATATATGCATACATAAATATATTTCAATACTTAGTCCTTATATACTATTACGTTAGGTATATGCAATGAAGATGCTCAAATTGAATGTGAAGTTTGTGATGAAGAAGATAATAAATATTGTAAAGATTGCTTTTTCCATATTCATCAAAGTGAATCAGCAGATTATGAAGCAACAAAACATACATGGAGACCGTATAATATTACTAGAAGAAGAAGATGAATATGATTCATACATTGTCTAAATTAAAATTACATCAGTTGCTTTCTTTTTATATATTTATTAGTGCTGGTCAAGCAAACAGGTTTTATACAATCAAAGGGACTATGCAATATGAAATACTTTAACCAATCAAAAGTAATTGAATGAATAACTGGTGCTATTTTTACAAGTTTGATGATGTTCTTTTCTTTTTCTTCAAAAAAAAAAAAAAAAAAAATAATAATAATAATTAGTATTTCCTTTATTGATTATCAAATATATAAAGTTTAAAGCATAAGAAGGTAATAAGTCTTTGATTGCTAAAAAGTAATATTATGATTAAATGACTGGCCTTTTCTTGCCTCTTTGATTCTTAGTTATTATTAAGCTCAATGCTATTCTATACATATCCCTTATCAAATGAGGCCTAAAATTAAAGTTTAATCTTCGTACAATATACTATTTATGTATAATAATGATCATGTGTAGTTGGAACTTCAAGCAAGAAAAGAAAGGCAAAGCAAAAGTTTGAAGCAAGCTAAACAAACAGCAAAACGACAAAAGACCACAAATGATAATATGATCAATCTTCATTGTAAGAAATGCTGTGGTGATAATCATTCTACAGCAAGATCTCCCTTATGCCCATACAATATAACACCTGAAGACAGCTAAGATTGTTTTATGATGTTTTCAATTTTGGGAAACTGTGCTACAGAGGGTGAGTATAGATAGAGATTGTATCAAATCAGGCTTATGTATTTCTTACTTTTATATTTGTAGTATTGCTGAATTAACACCAGATGGAAACAACCAGATCCTTTTTTGGAAACTTGATACGGATTGATGGTTTTGTTGTTGATTTTTTTTTGTTTTACAAAAGATGTCAAGCCAGTTACGGTCCTTCTTTGTAACGCTTTGAGTTGACTCTTCACGACTTTACTTTACCAGAAGTAGTAAAGGATTATCATCCAATTTTTGTTGACCCTAGGCAAAAGTCTGTATTCACTGCCGTGAGTTGTTTAAACGAGTCTAGGCACCCAATAATCCGCTGCAGTACTAAAGAGTATTATTATCTTACTGGTTTGACTGTTTTTTCTGCCCACCAACAATTTTTGAAAAGTCAAAACGGAATAGAGGATATTGAATCAAGAGTTCCCACAACCAAGACATCAAACCCGGAGCGTTCTTTAGACTATGTTCAATATCTGTTTGATAACATAAATACTTTATTCAACTTTTACAATTCCAGTACTGCAAAAAAAAAAACGCCTCCAACTTTATCAAGGGAGGCAAAAAGCGCAAGAAACTATGGTCAATATGCTTATAAACGGTGACACCAAATATAATCAAAGTAGGAGAAACAAGAAGAGGTAGAAAAAGAAGAAACAAAAGAAGAAAGAAGAGACCAAATAAGAACGATGCTATCAAGTATAAATATTTTCTACTTGAATATATTCAAACAGTTATTAATTCAATTTTTTTTTTCTTTAGAGAAAAACTGAACAAATGGAGGCCCATCAAATACAAAGAAGACAAGACAAAGGTTCCTCTGATAGTATTTGAAAGTGGAATGTTCAATAGGGACACCAATAAGATCAGGACGCTCAGATGTGAGGCGACAGGTATTTTATGGCGCGCGCTGAGAAGGCATGAAGCAGCTGGACAACTTATCACAATCACAATTGACGAGTTCCGCACATCCAAAGTATGCAGTAAATGCCAAACTCTAACCTTGATTCCAGCCTCGCCTGTTACTAGATTGAGTGTGATTGCCTGTTCTTCTTGTCATACTCTTTGGCAAAGAAACATTAATGCTTCCCGAAACATGCTGACAATCTCTATCAGCATTTGGCAGGGACGAGAAAGACCAACACCTTTTCAACGCACCACCACCACCACCACCACCACCACCACCACCACACCGCCGCAGTCGTCGCTGTAATAAACACAGCTTACCTAGTGTATTTAGATGACCACATTCACTCAACTTTTGTTGTTTGAATGCTTTACAGGTAAGCGTCTGAAAATTATGTTTACTTTGTTTAAAAACTAATCTCACTTCTTCTTCGTTTGTCTAAAAAAGGTAAGCTAAACATCTGAAAGTTAATTTTCATTCGTTGAGAAAAAAAAAACTAACATCGTCTGAATTTAAAGTAAAAATACTGCAAACGATAAAAAGCACCTTCCTTTTTTTTCTGTTCGTTTGCACATTTCCTCCAAATTAATATTTCTAGCTTTCGTATAATGATTAGCAAGTACTCATTTTATTCATATCACAATTGAACATTTCCAAGATATACGTAAAGACACACACATGTATTCAAATATTTGCATCTCTTTTTTTTTTATTATTATTTCTAAATAAATCATCGTTTAACCTAAGAAATTGATACAAAATCCATGAAGAAGAAGTGAACATACAACAAAATCAGCAAAAGCTCTAATAAAGTTATATTTTTAGAAAAGTTGACTTCACAGGCATTCATCTTTTATAAAATGTCCAGTTTACCTTTCAGGTGATGTACTTTTGAATGATTCTTTGTTTTCTGGATTAGTTTGAATACGTAAATTAGCTAAACAACAAAAGTAAATAAATAAATAATCGTATTCTTGTTATTAGTATAGAAAATAGATGTTCTTTTACCGGCCAGAACAAAACTGCCAACAGTCGAAATAAAACCACCAAGAAAAGCATTATAAGGAAAAGTGCCAACTATTGCCATGTATATAAATTGAAGAATTCCAGTTAACATTATGTAAACAAGGTAAATGTCAATTAACTTTAGTGAAGGTGGTGTTGTATTCTTGTATCCTGTAATAAGTTTTTTAATTGCTGTATTGAGTTGCTCCATTTTAGACTACTTGTATAAAAAAAAAAATAGATAAATAAATAAATAAAAAACACGAAAATGATTTTTGTGTGGAAGTTTAAAAATAAAGAATTAATTATTCTTAGCCAATCATTGAGCAACAAACAACAGCAGAATGTATACTACACTTCAAAGTTTATTACCATAGTATTAGTTGTCATGCTTCTGATCTTGATACAAATATAAAATATAACTAATTAGATACAAAAATAGAAAAAAAAAATATCATTTTTGAACAATAAAATTGAACTTCTTCCGACTTTCCCTCCTTTTTTTTTTTTCTCCTTTTTTTTATATAATAGGGAATTATAAAGATTTCTTTCTTTCCTTTTTTTTTTTTCTTTTCTTTTATTATATTTCTTTATTATAAAATGAATTTATTATCACTTTTATTAGGTCACTATAATAATAATAATAAGCCTTTTTACTTGTATAGATTCGAGCATACCTCTCATCTGTTATTTAAATTTGAAGACATTGCCTTTTTATTTAACTTAAAGCATGACTTACTAGAAACAGATTCCGTTCCTTGTTATCAAGATAAACAGAATCTTACCGATATTTATTTGACTACAACTGAGTTAGCTAGATTGGCTATTAAACATAACAAATTTCTGTTGGCTGAACTTTGCAAATTGAAGCCTGGTGATTATGCTGCATCACTGGATGAGTCTATATTGTCTAAATTATCGCGTTTAAACTATCATAAATCTAAAAAAGATGACAGTCAATTTACAATAACACAAATTCAGTTACAATGGGCAATCAACCAAGAAAATAGTAATAAAGTAAAATCAGAACCAACATCACCTCCATCTATTTCTACTCATCGTTCTGATCCAATGGCCTTGGATACCATGTTAATAGGCGCGGGCAGCCAACAACAGACAAGGAGATTAAGCAGGTAAATAAGATAAGATAAGATAGATAAACATATTTAATAAATACTCATTAAATTTATATTTTAGGACATTGGAAGAACAACCAAACAAAAAACAAAAAAAGAATAATAGTGATGATTCTACTAGTATTCCTCATTTACCAAAACCTATTCATACCGTCAGTTCTCAGCAACAAGCCTCGACATTACTTGCAAAAAGATTAGGTGGATTAAATAATAGTAGTAGCAATAAGAATACAAGAAATTTAACTATTTATACTCCTTCTTATGGTGAACAATTAAATGGTATTCGGTCTGCACCTCTTCATTCAAAGTTTCCACATGGAAAGCCACAGCAGCAACAACAACAACAACCTCATCCTTTATCACAAGCTACCATGTTATCTCCTGCTTCATCCACCACTGTAAACTCAGAATTTGCTATTCCTCCTATTGTACCTTCACAACAACAACTTCAGCAGCAACAAGCACCTTATCATCAACCACCCCATACTGCACACCCAAGCAGTATTCATCCATCAGATACTCATACTACTAGTAATAGTAATAGTACAAATAATCATCTTGGGTATCATCAACAACACCCTCATTTTCCACCTCGTTCTCCTCAATATTACCCATCCACTGCTTATGGACACAGTTTTCCTGTTACATCAGGACGTGTGGTTATGACAGAAGCAAGCCATTCTTCTTTATTACCACCCAAGACACCTACAACTCTACATCCAAATGGTTCATCCTCTTTACAAAAACAGCAATTTATGCAGCCATTTGAACATCTATTTGAAACAATTGAAACAACTCGTACATTAAAATCTACACTAGATGATCAAATTAGACGTTCCTCCACTTTAATTCAAACTTTACAAACTTCATCCACTACAATTGAATCCCTTATTCGCAGCCAAATTAAAGAGGCTCAAAAGGAAATTCTTCAAAGAATGGAAGATTCAATAGAGACTTTATTTAAACGGATTTCATCCTTAGAGAGAAGAATGGTGTCTTATGTAGTAACTGAACAAAAATCGTCTGATGAAAACAACTGTGAAGTAAGATCATCTTCACAGGAGCCTTCTTCCTTATTGATCAGTCCACCCACTATTGTAAAATCACAACAAGACATTGGTCCAAATGAATATTTCACTATGTTAGAAACATTACGAGAACGATTAGATAAGCTTGAAAGACAGCTTGAGTCATAAAAAAGAAAAAAAAAGGGGGGAGGGAAGGGAAGGGAGATGGGGGAAAGTATATGTATTAAAAAAAAAAAAAAAAAAAAAAAAAAAAAAAAAGGAGAAGAAAGGATATCAAGCTTAGGACTATATATATATACATGAATATATATTTATACATACACACATACATATACAACACTATATAAAAAAAATACGCTACCCCATCTATAATAGTTACTTACTATATGTGTACTTCCTTCCATTTCAATTAAAGCAAAAGCAAAAGCAAAACAAAAAAAAATACGTAATATTGACAAAAAACAAAAAAAAATTGTATATGTTATAATAAGTATTATGTTCATATAAGCAGCGGTCAAATCTATATTTTTATCACTCAAGCTTATCTTATTTATCATTGTGAGAGAATCAAAAAATAAATAACGTGCATGTATGTGGGTATTAATAAACTACATGACTCAGTTTATTACTTGCTTCATTCTTCTCCGGCTTTTTTTTTTTTTTTTTTTTTTTTATGCAGATGACGGAATAATAAAAAGGCCAATTGTCGCAATATGAATTAATTTAGAAACCTGAACAAATAACTTGATGTACAATATAACAACCATGATGTACAATATTCACACCCTATTTTAAAATGATATAAATATAAGAAAGGGTGAGACTTGATAAGACAAATTTCTTTCTTTTTCTTTTTTTCTTTTTTTTTTACTATTTTCCTAAATGCATTACAATCCTAAATATCATGTTACTATTGAAGATTATCCTGAAGAAGAAGATGAGAAGCTTTATCAGAGACAACAACAACAACATGCATACTCTGCTACTAGTATAACTGATGATAACTTGAAAAACTATCAAACTGACGATATGGGTATTGATTCATTAGCTAGAGGCAGTAAAAGACAAGCATGGGTAAAATGAGAGAGAAAAGAAAGTAGTAATGGAGATAGTATGATATCTGATATATATATATATATATATATATAACAGGAAGAAGTAGATGCTTTAGAGGAACAAGCCAGATCTGAAAAGATACAAGACCAGAATACAGCCAAAGCAAACGCGACTGAAGCTGCACGTATCATAAAAGAAGCTCAACGATAAAATCCTGGATATTGAAGCATAATAATAAAGTTTATTTAGTTTTAAACATTATAAGTAAACTTGCCAATTTTTTTTTTCATTCATTTTAGTAGTTTATAACAGCATTTTATTCTAAACAAATTAGAATATCTGTGTTTGTTCTAATAAAAGCTATTAGAATACTAATAATGCTAATTACATTGCTTTTTTTTTTTTTTTTTTTTTTTTTTTTTTTTTTTTTTTTTTTGACAGCTAAATAACATACGTGTAACTTTTTTTCTTTTTTTTTTTTGCTTTCATGCTAACCATACATACACCCCCAAATGATGTCTATAAATATGGCTATCAGAGCATTTATGTGTAATGCTTTTTTTTTTTCTCCTTTTTTTTTTTCCAATCCTCTATAATTTGCTTTTTTCTTCTATTTCAATATATAAATAGAATGGATATGGAACATAATGCATTCACTAACGACAATAAGATTTTACTTTCTACTTCTGATGAAATGATAACCCGTAATATATTCAAATTAGTAACAAGCTTAAAGCCTCATTTATATATTGACCTTTATAACAGAAGTTGTAAATGATTTATATTCATTTGATGATATAAAACGAAAGCGTATTTTTGATCATTATTATTTTCCTAACGCAACATTTACATCACCTATCCTAAGAACGAATGGAGTACATAATATAAAGCAGTAAGTATTATATGTATGTAAGTATATATATATATATATATATATGCATATATGTATAAAGCTAAAAAGGTATACATACAACAGTATTATGCTAGTTTGGAAAGCATTAAATAAAGAATCACCAAGAATAGATAATGTTTGTTTTAATGGAAAGACCTGTATTGTCTTTTTAACACAAATAGTATGTCCAAGGTTAATTCCATGGTTTAAAATAAGTTTACCAGTTACTGCTGTACTCGAATTTAAAGAAACAGATAAAGAGAGTGGATTATTTAAGATAGATACACATGAAGAGCATTGGTCGATAGAAGGTATTGTTATCAGTTTTTTTTTTCCACTAGGTAAATCATGTCATTTACACATCTATATACATCTATATAAAAGGTATATTAAAAGCAATTCCAATTGTATCCTTTTGGTATGATCATGTGGTGCGAACAATGATTGGAAAACTATTATCTGCTACTGGAGAGGCAGTTTATACAGCAACAGAAACTGCAAGTTTATTGGTATTAAGAAGTAAAGAGATTGAAGAGACGAGACGTAGATTAGAGGCAGGTGAATATACAGTTATAGACAATAATAAGGAATACCACCAAGAAGTTTTAATGTTGAAAATGAATAATAATCTAACAACTTCATCATTATCTACTGCTACCAATACTAATTCCTGTGATTATACTACTCCATCAAGATAACAATATACAATTGCTTTCATAAAATCCCTTTCCCCCTCTCCCACACACATTGTACCTTGATATAATGTGTATTACATATTAGATACATTTATATGTATATCTGTGCATATATAAATATTTACTTTTTTTTTCTTTACGTAATAATAAAAACTAACTGATGATTCTGCTGTCTGAATAAATATAAACAAATATGTGTATTTTTTTTTCAAAAAAAAAAAAATCATTCAAAAGAGAAAGATGTTGAACAAAAATAAATTATAGTTCAATAATCGCTATTATGCACGTTACTGCGTCAACACTAGCATGTATGTTGAAGAAATCTATATAAAACAAACAAAGGGAAAGAGGGAAAGATGAATATATAAATTAAATGATTAGAATACTTGCACTAATTGATTGATAATTTTGATTAGAAGCATTATTATCATTACAAGTAAGATACCCTTTTGTGTATGTGTACTATTTTAGAACAAAAAAAAAAAAAGGTAGTTTGTGTTCTAGCTGCTTTTATCAGATCAAAAGAGTAGTTAACTTGCATGTTAATGATAAGGAATATTTTATTAAATAAATTGAACTGATATAATGTGGCTTTCAAAATCAATTCATATCAAATTTGTAGTTAATTTTGATTCAAAATAAATGAATTGAAACTTATTGATTGTATATGGTATGATCAAATCTAATAAAGCTTATCTTAAAAATTGGTAATAAATAAATGTATATATATATATGAAAGATACTTTTTCCATCTATAGAATAAGTATTTCTCTCAATCTCTTTTAATATGTATACGTGTATGTATGTATATACAAATATATCTATTGAACACACACAAGAAAGTCATCATATATTTATAAACATAATAAGTATTATAATTCTATTATATATAGCTACTCGTTTATATATTCCTTTTTTCGAGTTAATCCAGGCATCCATGAAGCTCTTCTAGGTTTAGAAGCTGGCAGTGGTGGTGGTTGCAGTGCTTTATTATTCGAGTCAAAAGACTTGGAAGGATTGTGATGATTTCTAGAATTAAAAGAGGGTTTAGGAATACTGAAGCGACGTTTAAACAGCAATAATAAAGTAGGCTGTTGTATTAAATTAGTGTTTACTTCTGAACAATTATTTTGAAGAGATCTTTGATTCGATTGACCGTCGTTATTTTCTTGTTGCTCTAATTCAGCTAATAATTGCTGATATTGTGTTATAAAATATTTTGAATTTAAACAGGTTAAATCTTGATGAACATCATTTAATGCCAGTATTTTTAAATCAGCAGGTATCTAAAAAAAAAAAAAATGGATATCAAATACTTGGGATTATTAATATAAAATGAGTCTATTAGTTGGTTATCATTACTACATACAATGGATATTTTATCTATTTCCCGAATTAAAACTTCAATGACACTAATTTCTTCTTCAGTTCCCTGTCGACTATATTGACGTTTATCATGATCCGTAAATACAGGTGAAGCGATAGGCTTCTCGAATAAAACGCTAGGTGCCACAATTCGTGCTAAATTATGAATATCCATTTTATTCATATTACTAAATGTTGAAACCCATTTCAGACAACAAAAAATCATGAGCATAGTATCACGATTTGGCTTTGGTAATAAACAACAAGCAAAATGAAGAGCCTTTAATCGATCATCTCTGTTCTCTATCGTATCATTCATTACTTTTCCACATTGAATAAATAATTTATAGAGAGGGAATGTTAATAATGGCTCAGGTAATTCTCTTAAATATCGTTTTAATAATGCTGTTAACTGAATACTACTTTGATTCGTTAATAACTTTTCCATATAAACTTTCATATCAGCTGACGTTGTCGTTTCATACAAGTTATCAATCGACTGTGCTAGCATCTTTAATTGCCTGATATTACCATTTTTACGAAAGACACCTTCAACTAACATATCTAACCCAACCCACACACAGTCAAATGGTGTAATAATAATAATAATAAAATAAATATATATTTACCTGATTGCAGAATAGCCATAATACAAGTTTTAACAAAGAGAGGTATGGATGCATTATCTGAAAAGCATGCATTTAAAGTTGGAGTAAAATCACATAAAGTAATACCTGCTTCTTTCTTTTGTAAGCTAGTATGAATATGGTCTCGTTGTATCATTTTATCTAAAGATACACCAAAGACTTTCTTACCATCTCCTCCTGTTGGCGATTTTATCAAGAATGAAGTAGGAGATGCTTTAATGTGCATAATTAATTTTTCCCAAAGAATAGATGCAGAATTTAGCGATAAAGTATTATTGTAAGTATCATCATGTGCTGTAGACAAGTTTAATTTTATCTTTTTCTTTTTCTTTTTTGACTCAACTATATCAATCAAATCGTCTAAAGAAAAATGAGATGATACAAGAGGATAAAGAGCAATAACAGCAGCATGACGAAGAACAAAATCCTGAGATAAAGTCAGTGTCGCAATGTATATTCTTATCGTTTTATTTGGGAGTATGATAGAGCTACTAGGTATCTCATCCATGATTGAAGCTAAAAGAGAGGCCTTTCTAGGTCCACGTAATCCATTTTGCTGTTGATAATCAAATAAATCATAACAAGTAGAAGATTTTCTTCGTTTAGTATCCATTTTATTGCTATTATTTTCGCTATGTGTACTAAATGTACGTCTTAGGCTTCTAGCTAATTTATTACTTCTTTGTCTAATAGGTGACATAAAAGAGGTAACTGGGGATAAAGTTTCCTCCTGTTGACTCGAAGATTTTTCTGTATTAAACACAGGTGATGTTGATATCATAAGACTATTTTCTTTTTTCTTTTTTAAATTTGTAACAGCACCAAATGATGATGTCTTTTTTTCCACTTGACCCATTTTTATTGAATTTGCTCGATTCGTCAAGTTATTACTTGTAGATTCTTGATGTCGCTGTAACATTGCTCTTTGACCTAAGATTTGTAAAATAGATCCTTGTCTTTTTGTTTGAGGTAGTAATCTTTCTGGTCTTTCTTTTTCACGAATGATTTTTTTATGTGTCTCTAATAATGAAAGAAATGTTATATTATGTCTGTATAGTATGCATAAAGAAGAAGATAATATTACCTTCTTTCAACTTGATATCATTATTAGTAGTTAAAGAAATTTTTGTTAAACATACTTTCATATTTTGCAGGTTTTGTTGCAAAAGACTGACATAAGTACAACGCATATTAGAATCATTCTCTTTATGTTCTGTAGAATTAAAGCAATTTTGACAATAAAGTGCGTTATTAACAGAAGAATAAAGTAACATAGAATTAGTATTGCTCTCGTTCAATGATGAACAAACAGAGCAACTAAAACAATGTGGATGCCATTTCAGATACTGTAGTTGATATAGAAAACAGTCAGTATCTTTTAGACTCTGATTACATTGATGACATATTTCTTCATTTATAGTTGATGCCATTGGTAAATTATCTTTAAACCAATATCTTCCTGCAATCCAAACTCTCTTTTTCTCAAGTCCTGAAAGCTGGTCTAAAAATTGATTTATTCCATTTTGAATTCCGAACTCTTGTTCCTTTTTTTTTTTTTTTTTTTTTTTTTTAGTACTCAGTATTGTTTTACAAACTATTTTTATTTTTTACCAAATTCAAGGCATAAAGTAAGCCTATTCGGATCAAAGTCTTTAAATTATGTGCTAATCCAGTAATCAGTTCTAATAATTCTTGAGTTGTAGCTATATCCGATTTTTTGCAAGTTGCTAATAATTGTAAGAAACGAATCAATTGGTCACAAATTGAACTTGATTCTTGAGAACAATTTAACTCTATTGATTTAAAGAAACATTTAAGAAAAAAGAAGTTTCCTCCCCTTTTTTTTTTTTTTTTTTTTTGTTAAAATTACCTTGATGATGAAGTTTTAATTGTTGTTGAATAAGGTCTAAAGCAGAAAATAAAATTTCAAGATGCATGATAAACTGATTAGCCATACGTATACTTTCCGTATATGCACCTGCTGCCACATTTAATAACATGTCTGAAATGCAACTAGCAGAAGATTCCTCGAATGATGATAAATCTGTCCATATTCGTTTCACTTTTTGATGAATTTTTGTTTGATTGTCAATAAGATTGGAATGGTCTAAAATAAATAATGATCAATAAATGTGCATTTGTATGTTAATCTTTCATCATCATTTTGTTACCCATTTGTTTCTTTGTTGGTTTTAATTTTACATTCCAAAATTTTAAAATCATATAACATTCAGGATGCCATATTTGATTAGGTAAATTACGATGTTCAACAAATTGTTTTAGAATAGCTTGTTCACAACCAGCGCAATGCGTTTCAGGTATTAGGGAGAAATGAAGTCTACAATAACTTTGACCTTTATAGTCATAATGAATAGTTGTTGGTGTAACACAAAGTGGACATTGAATACACTCAGGATGATATCTTTCGTTAGAAGCAATAGGCTTATCACATTTCAAACAAATTAAACCTAATCGCTTTAAATAATGGTATTCACAAACAACTAATAATTTTCTTCTTCTATATTTTTGCTGTTGTTGATCATCGATTGGATAATATTTATTTGCTACAGGTATAAAACAATCCTACGTATAATTAAGAATATAAGTTAAAGAAAAAAGAAGGCAAAAGGAAGAACAGAGAAACAAAAAATAAAATAAAGTAAAAAATGTGCTCCCCTTTAAAAAAAAAATCGGAATCTCTTTCTTTTCATCTGCTTAAATAACTCCTTTTTTTTTTTTTTTTCTTTCTCTTTATAATATAGATGATGCTGTTATATACCTCACAAATAAAGCATTTATAATGATATACTTGATTAAACGCTCTAACTAAAGTATCTTCTTTTGAACAGCTTTGATTACATTTTGGACATATTGGAAAAGATCTTCTATGCAAAGGTTTATGTTCTTTTATTTGTTTGTCATTTATTAGATCATTAGATGTTTGAAACATGGCGAAAACAAAAAAAAAAAAAAAAAAAAAAAAAAAAAAAAAAGAATAAAGAAAATGAAAATTATTAATTATAATAAAAAAACAAGAAAAAAGAAACGAATTAAATTATTATTATTATTATTATTCTTATTGCATATTATAATTTAATTATATGACTTTTTTTTTTTTTCAAATACATTGATATGCATTTATTGTATTTGTTACTGAATTAAATAATTTCTTGATTCATCATCTAATTGGTTAAAATATCTTATTCTCTTTCTTGTTCTTTCTTTTTTCCCTTTACCAGCAATTCCTTTGTCATAAATACACATATTTCTAATCTCTGGCATGTATTCGATCATGATTACATTTTTATACAGATATTGACTGGGATTATTTAGTATAGAAGGATAGATAATTTCAAGACAATTCTTCAGATAAGTTTGACTATAAATAAGTAGGTATACATTTTATATATATTTTTAATCTTACTATCATCCCCCTACCCCTACCCCTACCCCTACACCCTACACACCCTAAAAAATATCCTATCCCCATATTTATATCAATATCATCATCCCATCTTACCTTTCATCATATAAATCTTCTTCTTCTCTCCCTTTCCATTGATTTGACCATGTTGACAAATAATGGTTACGCCACTTTTCTTGTGATAGATTTATAATTGAAATTGAATTTCCAATTAATTCTCCTAATTCCCAATGGTCTAGATCATTTGCTTTTTTTAATAAAATTGTCATATTATGATAACATAAATCTTTAGTGTCATATTGATCTATATCATAAATCTAATTATATAAATATGCATGTTTGTTTAAATCTCTTCTTATTTATTTATTTACTCACTTGATGTCTTTGCTTATCTGTTAATCCAATATAGGCATCAATAAAAGATTCTGTATTCATAATGTCACTTATTTTCTCAATATCATCATCATTTGTGCTATTATAATTCATTACAGTGAAATAATAAAGTTTACATAAACCTATTGTCTTTGAATTTAATCCTTTTAATCGATCCATTAATTCTACTAATACATCTTGATCTTTATCCTTCTTCTTTATCAAGTCGGCAAATCCCATAATATGTGCAAAGAGATATTTAAAGACGACATGCTCATTTCTTTTATCTATCTTCATCTTTTCATCATTTAACCAAAACTGTAAGGTATCAATAATTTGTCTGATGTTATAGTCTAATAATTCACATAAATATAGAATATCTTCTTGATCTATGATGTAGTTTTCTGTATAACAAATCAATTGAAGATAAGGTACAAGACTTGTCCTTTCTGGTCTTTCAAAATAAATGACAGATTGAAGGTATAATTGTTCTAATGGTATCTGGGATTTATCTTGGTGTAAATTGTTTAGTTTATATTTATATACCCTCATAAATTTAGTACTTTACCATTACATGTCATTATAATAGGTCTTTTACTCTTTTGACTTAATTCAATGACTGATGTCCAAAATCCCTTATCTTCTTCAAATAAAATATCAACTTCTTCTAATAAAACTAAACTTTGCTTTGGTTCTTCTATCTCTTCTTTTTCTCTATTTCTATCTTCCATTTTTTTGAAAAAATCTTGAATGGTAGGCTTTATTGTTTCCTTTTTATTATTTTCTATTATTATTCGACTCTCTTCTCCTTCTTCTGTTATCATTTGATTCTCTTCTTCTTCTTCTGTTATCTTTTGACTCTCTTCTTCTTTAGGCTGTTGTGAAACATTTAATAGCCTTTTAAAATGCTGTGCAATGTCAATCGTCTTTGGTTTCTTTTTGATAACTGTATCTCGTATTATAATTCGTTCTCCTTCTACTGTCTTTCTTTTCCTTTGTCCGTCAAATTGAACTAAATGACTTGCTATCATTTCCCCTACATTATCAAACACATCTTTTCCTGTACGTCGTGAACTAGGATTCATTTCAAATACAGAATAACCTGTTTCCTTTGCTGCAGTATAAACAGTCGCTGTCTTTCCTACACCATTTCCACCTACTAGAAGCATAAGATTACATAATCGTTCATCATCTATATCCATCCATTTTTTCCCTTTCTGTTTATATTTCTTTGAATTCGTTAACAATGGAGGTTTAATCTTGAGTCGATTTAGCCAATCCCTTAAATATTCAAAATCAGGCAGAAATCCTATTAATCCCTCTACAGAGTCAGGTCGATATTTATCACTCCATAGTATCCTTTTATCGTCCCTATTTCTTAAACGTGTTAGATTATCAAATAGCCATCGACAACAAGGCTCCTTTTTCCAATCATTTTGATATGTAACATTCATTCTCTCCTCTATTGTGTGTAAATCTAAATACAATGCTTGCTTCATTTTATGACTTGGACTACTTTCTATTGTTTTATTTCGTTTTTCTTTTTGTGTTGAATAGAAATGATGCACATCAGCTTTGATGATCGACTCAAAGGGATTACGCTGTTTATTTATCTTTCTTTTCATCCTTCTTTCTACTGTTTCTTTTATTATTGGACTCATCGGTTCCTTTCTCACAATTAAATTTGGCTTCTTTATTAAAGATGTATTTGCTATAGGCATCGTTGTTGTTGTTGTTGTAAGTACCTTGAGTGAGTTATTTGTTTCATCTTTTAATATAGCAGAAGTGGATTTTTGTTGTTCTTTTCTCTGTTTGATCGATAAAAATAAAGGATGAATTTTAATTTCTTTTTCTTCTTCTATTTGATTTTCTTTCTTGGGTATAGCACTAAAATGATCTTTTATTGATCTTTGTTTTGTTGATTTAGGTGGCATCGATTAAAAGAATAACAATAATAATAATAAAAATTAAAAAAAAAAAAAATACATATAAATGCATATTATTATTATTATTACGCGAATAGGCATTATTTTAATTTAATTACAGAAGAAAATAGTGTAGTATTGATACGACTTATTATTAGCAAAAAAAAAAAAAAAATAAAATATATATGTATATGCTTATGTATATCGATATACACATTTATACAAAGAATATATTTAAATAACATTATTTGCTTTTAATAGGCTTACAAATAGAAAGACTTTTAACACAAGATTCCTTCTCGTTTCTAAATAAACGGAAAAGAAGGTCATAATGTAAAACTTTAGTCTTCTGCCAATAACCAATTCTTACAAAGTCTATAATTGAATTCTTTTCCTTGAAACAATAATACAGTCAGATAGTAGTATTCATTTATATCTAATTGTGACGTAATTAATTTTATTTCATAGCTCTGGCACCACCATCTCGTATACAGTATACATTCATATTATCATAAATGCGCACACTGTATATGTATATATGCCGCATACATAATTGTATATTAAATTGGAGAGACTGCAATTGTTTGAAAGACAATATCTTTATACAAGTAAACATAACATTGCACTTATTTGTTATGCGGTATAGGAGCATAACATAACGTGATTCTTTATTATTATTTACATACTCTACCCTATCTTATACAATTATCTACTCTAGTTCCTTGACCTACAATATAATCTATTAAAACAAGATTTAGTTCTGCAACATAGATAAATATGTTGAATCCTCTTTAATTACTAAATCTCGAAATTATTTGTGAGAAAACAAAAAAAAATGAAACTAATACTAAAGGAAACTATAAAAGAGGAAAGAAAAATATCCTCAGGAAATAGCATTAAGACTATCTGATGATATATTATATTCATGGTAAACCAAACTTCATTGGTTAAACGCATTACAGCTGTAACTGCAGAAGAGATATAGTATGTCGGGCTTTAACTATTACCTTTTTTTTTTTTAATAAGCCTAATTTTTCGTCTTTTATTTTTATCTTTAATATTGGTTCCTGACTATTCATTTAGTTAATCAAGTAATTGCTTTTTTTTTTTTAAGAAGAAAAAAAGTTGACTCGTATTTCATAAAAGCAATGTGCATCTGTTTTGAAAAAGTAATGAAAATAAAACAAACAAAAAATCAAATTAAAAAGGAATTCATTCCGAACAATTGAATTACATTTATAACTGTACGTTAAACTTTTTTTTTTCCTCCTAATTATACTCTCTAACAGCAAGAACAAGATTTATTATGTGCCCAGCATGCACTCAAGTAATAAGCAAAACAAAAGAAAACAGGAAAAAAAAAAAGCTTAACACTTAATTCCATTTCACTTTTTTTTTTCTTCTTTTAATTAGTGCTTTGTTACAAGGTACTTTCCTTTACTTTTTTATTTTTTTTTTTTATTATTATTACTCTAAATGATACAATGCTAACTATTATATTATTTAGGCAATTATTTTACTGCTGTTGACTTAGCGGAAATTGGTAAAGAGATAGATAAAGCAGAACAACTTGTGAGTGGTAGTTTGGGTAAGGAAAGTCAGAATTATGATGATTCTGGATATTTCTCAATTCAAGTATGTCCTATTTATAATGTTACTTGAATATGTATATGCATATGTATTTTATTTTATTTTATTTTATTCTATCTATGGCTGTAGGTATTGCAAAAAGCACTCGAGATATGGAATTTAGAATTAGTTCCTTGGAAATCAAAAGAAATGGAAGAAGTTAGAAAAAATCCTGTGTAATGATAACAGAGCTAATGCTATTTAAATTATTAATAACTACTCATTATTAGTAATCAAAGAGCTTATGTTTGTAATCTAAGAAATCATTGGTTTACACTTAGAAGGTTTAATCATCACTGGTATAATTTGGATTCAATGCAAGCTGCACCCACTTATCTCGGGGAAAATTATTTACCCCTCATGTTAGATCAAATTGAACGTGAAGGATATTCAGTTTTCGCTGTAAAAGGAGAATTAGTCGAATGTCCAGCTGATAGAGAAGCAAAGCCATTATCATCAAAGTCGAATGAGACAAACACAACTGAGGCATTCTCTGGACGAGGCTATTCACTTCTATCATCAGGAAATACAGATAATGATTTGTTAGATGATGAAGATCAAATGTTGGCGAGGGCAATTGAAGAAAGTATAAAGGATTCAACTAATATTGAAAATGATTTAGATGAAATTAGAAGAAAAAGACTAGCAAGATTTGGAGGTTAAGATTATAATAAAATAAGCACATTTATGTGAACAATTTATTAAGTTTGATGAACTATAACAAAAAAAAAGGAGGTACTTTTTTTTTAAAAAAAAAAAAAGAAAAAAGAGAAAGAAGGAAAAAAAAAAATAGAATGACAAAGTATAAAAGCACACAGTTGACGGATATTTAAACGCGTATTTAACTAATATTAGCTTGTTGATTAACAGTGTTGGAATTAGTGTTTTTAGCAAGGACACCACCAGCAAGGACACCACTCAAAAGGCCAGTCTTTCCAGTTGAGCCAACGCTTCCAATTGATTGATGAATAGATTTGTTTGCATTCTTGCTGTTATCTTCTCTATTATATCTATTACCACCACGAGGAGCAGCAGAGACGACAGCAACACAGAGAGCAATAGCGAGGATAGATGAGAACTTCATTTTTATTTATTTAGTTTTGTTTATTGTTATTGAGAAATTTTAAAAGCAAATTTTGCTTCCTTTTATATATCTTTTTTTTTTTTCATTCGAAACATAGGGACAAATAACTTTTGTTATCTCTTTCATTCCTCCTTTTTTTGATATTTATAAATTCTCCTTCTTTTTTTTTAAAAAAAAAAGTACCTTGAGAAATTATAGTTCTTCGCGTGGTATCGAATATTCTTAATATACTCCTTATTTCACTCCTATTTAATTATATTTAATTTTCATAAGAGAGGGTAAAATTATATACATTGTACATATTCATTTGTCAAATAATGAATATCTATAATCTGGGATCATATTTACTATTTTTATTAAACTCCCCTTTTTTTTTTTTTGCTGTGACACCAGTATACGAGATTTATACAAGTATAAAGGAGACTAATTTCCACGCATGTTGCTTAATGTAGTGTTCTATGGCTATTACACACTGTTATTCTATTTTTTTTTACTATTTTTATATTTTGAGCATGCATAGATGAATAATGAAATACAAAAAAGCTTTCATTGTTGTCATAAAGACTTTTCCACTATTTTAATACAAGCTCCTCTTCATTCTATTGTATCTCCAGAGTTTTCATTATAAAAAAAAAAAAAAAAAAAAAAAAAAAAAAAAGACGAAGAGCTCACATGAATTGTTTTTATATAAACGAAATTAATAATTCAATATTGGCCCAGAAATTACACAACCACATTCTTTTTCAAAAAAAAAAAAAAAAAAAAAAAAAAAAAAAAAAAAAAAAAAAAAAAAAAAAACATTACTGCCCCGTTTTTTCTTTATTTCATGGAAAAATATGTCATGTAATTTTTTCAAATTAAGTAAAAAAAAGCTGGGATTATTAACTACAGTAGCATTTGGAGCTACTTATTGGTATTATAAGCCTGTTGTCACCAATCCAACCCCTATTACCCCTTATATTCCTCCACCCTTTGTTTGGGAAAAAATACCTAAGCCCGTGCTTAAACGGTTTACTGTTCCCATCAATGAAGACATGTCAACGGGATGGTCCATGACAAGTACTGTCATTATTGGCATTACAGGATTATTAGCAAAAGGTTTTCTTCATCTTAGTCATTATAAAGTGTATAATCTTGATCGTTTTCTAAATATTCTTTATGATCCTAATCGAAAAAAAGGCATTGTAACAGGTAATAATAATAATAATAAAGGGATAAGAAACTCGATCATAATGATGAACGACTCAAGATAAAGACTTGATTCTAATTTAGTTTCCAATCATGAGTCTGTATTAGATGATCCTCTTTTATGGGGGGTCTTGCCAATAAAGACTTTATTTTCAATACAAAACATGCGTTGGACTTTAGGAGCTGCGGATATATGTTTTACTTCTATGTAAGTATATGAAAAGTGTGATAGCGATAAATAAATAAATAAATAAATAAAAAGTTTATAATATATACTATTTCAACTAGTTTTAAATCATTCTTTTTCGCTCTTGGACAAACGATCCCAACTATAAGAGGAGCGGGCATATATCAACCTGGTGTTGACTTTGCTATTCAAAAATTAAATAAAAATGGTTGGATTCATGTCTTTCCAGAATCAAAAGTGACGCAACAGCCAGATTATGAAATGATTCGATTCAAGTGGGGGATTGGACGGATATTGATGGATTCGTGCGAGGAGGAAGGAGTTATTGTGATCCCTATTTGGCACAAAGGAATGAATTTAGCAAAGCCCTTATATGGTACGCGTTGGGTTCATTTTGGTAAACCTATCACTATTATCTTTGGTGAACCGATTGATTATTCGGATATTATTAAAGCCTGGAAGGAAGGGAAATTAACGAGGGAAGAAACAAGGATTCAATTAACACAAAGATGTTATGAGGCTTTAGACAAACTACGATTAGAAGAACGAAAATAATCGGGCTTAGCATTAGATGTAATCCATAAGTGAAACGTATTATAAAAAAAAAATATAAATGTATACAGATTTAATTTTACCTTGTGTGTGTGTGTTTTTTCTTTTTCTTTTCATTTTTTCATTTTTTTCATTTTTTTTTTCATATTAAAGATTTGCAATGCTTAAGAATTCAACTTGGAGTAAAAATAGAAACTCGATGAATAATAATAATAAAATGTATACAATAGCCTTATTTATTAAACTTTGTTGTTGTTAGAACTTGAAGAAACCAACTTGGCCAATTTTGGTTCTGAACTTGAAAGGCAGCATCGAAAAGAAGAAGGGGCGCTTGAAACAGCTTGGAACTATGAAGGTTCACCTATTGGACATGAAACGTAAAATACAATTTATTCTTTAAATAATTTTTATTTTATTTTATTTTATTTTTTTTTTTTCTAATTCTACACAGTGGTTTATGGGTTTGGCGTGTACAAAATTTTAATTTAGTGGCTGTACCTTCAAGTCAATATGGAAAGTTTTATCAAGGTAACTTGTGTGTAATTAAATTAAATTAAATTAAATTAAATGATTTTTTTTTTATATGTGTATATATAGGAGATAGTTATATTATCCTAAAGGTATCTATCTATCTATGCCATTATATATATTTCTCATTTTCTAATTTATATACATATATATATATATATACAAAGTCTTTTAAAAAAGAAAATAGAGAAAGCTTGACTCATCATATTCATTTCTGGCTTGGTTTAGAAACTAGTCAAGATGAAGCTGGCACTGCTGCTTATAAGACAGTTGAATTAGATGATTGTAACGTTTAGAAAAAAAAATGAAAATGTATATAAATATATATATATATATATATAACATTATACTTTATATATGTATCAGATTTGGATACTATAGCTACTCAGTATCGTGAAGTACAATATCGTGAATCAAGATTATTCTCTAGTTATTTTAAATCTATTATCTATTTACAAGGTGGGTTCGCTAGTGGCTTTCATCATGTAGAAGAAGAAGAAGAGTTTCCAACACGACTTTTACGAGTTCATCGACCCAAACATTTAGAAGGAACACGCACTCGTAATGCAGTCGTCATCTCAGAGGTTCTTCTTAGTTATCAAAGTCTACGATCCACTGCTGTCTTTATCTTAGATACTGGAGATCTTATCTATCAATGGCAAGGTGAAGCATGTCAAGGTATTGAAAAAGCAAAAGCGGCTGAATTTATTTCTCAATTGATTTCAGAAAGACACGGTAAAGGAGACATGATTATTGTTGGTAAGCCCAGAAATAAATAAATAAAAACAAACAATTAGAATGAATTTATCCTTTATATATATATATTTATACAGAACAAAATACAAGTGGTGAACATGATTTCTTTGATGCACTTGGATCTAATGGACCTATTGTTGAAAAAGATGAGAATGAAGAAGAAGAAGAAGAAGAACAAGTTCAAATCAAGAAATTATTGAGACTTAGTAGTTCTGGACCTTTTGGCATGGGACATTTGAAATTTGAAATGGTAGCTGAAGAGAGTAGGATTACAAAGGATATGTTTGATACACATGATGTATTTATATTTGATGTTGGACATCAAGTTTATGTTTGGATTGGACATAAAGCAAGCCGTAAAGAACGTAAACATGGACTTGAATATGCTCAAAACTATATTACAGAATCAAATCGATCTTCTTTTACACCTATTTGTCAAGTGATAGAAGGTGGAGAAGATGAATTGTTTGAATCCAATGTAGAAGGTTGGCAAGGATGGTAATACGCGTAAATATGTATACATATATATATGTGTGTGTATGTATGTATAGTTTATTATATATAATAAAATGCAATATGTGTATACTATAAACATATAAATAAATATACATATAAATATATATACATATACAGATATATACATATACATATATATAAATATATATATGTTTATACATGTACTACCAACAGTCATGAAATGATTCCTGCCATTCTGTTGCATTGTGATTACTAGTAGTAGTAGTAGAAGTGATTTTAGTCGTATTATTAAGTAAAAAATGATTACATGATGGCTTTGTAGCTACTATATTATTGTTATCTTCAATTATTAATGAAGAATGATTTGTACTTGTATAAGATGATAATAAAGAGGGAGGCTTATTACTATTGAATAAATCTGATAAAAGAGATTTACGTGGTGTAGTTGGTATTACGGGTTGTGTCTTTTTAAATTCATAAAAAATATCCTCCTCCTCCTCTTCTTCTTCTTCTTCGTCGTCGTCGTCTTCATCATCGTCATATTCATCGTCGTCGTCGTCGTCGTCATCTATAACAATAATTTTTACTTTTTGTTGTCTTTTCTCTTCTTCTTTTTTATCATTTTCAATTAAAACAACACTACTACAAAATGAGGAAGATAATTTTTCTTCTTTTGAAAAGAACAGTGATCTTCCATCCTCTTTCTTCCTTTGCTGTGGAACTAGATTGTTATCGACAATAGGGGCAGGTGACAATAAAATCGAAGTAATATATTTTTTAATTGTTTTGTTGTCAATTGGATTATTATCTTTATGCCATAATCTCCATGTTATATTTTCTAATCTTTGACCTTGTTCAATATAAGACTTACATTTATTAAACGCTTTAATTCCATATTAGAATATGTATTTATTAAAAAGAAAAAAAAAGAAAAGAAAAAAAAGAAAAAAAAAATACATTTATATACCAGTCCAAATAGTTGCCAGTCTAATTTCTTGTTCAATTGATTCTAAACTTTGACAAGAGATTGATAATAAATCCATTGAATTAAATGACATATTTTTACAAGGAAAAAGAAAAGGAAAGGAAAACAAAAGAAAAGAAAGAAAGAAAGAAAGAAAGAAAAATAAAATAATATTTTATTATTATTGTTATTTGAAGTCTGCTGACAAGTAAAATCTATACGCATATGATCTTTTTTATCTTTCGTCGTCCTCCCTTCTTATTTACATGACCATTTCAAAAAGAAAAAAAAAAAAAAAAAAAAAAAAAAAAAAAAAAAAAAAAAAGCTTAAATAATTCTCCTTTTTTTTTAAGACTGATTAATAAATTACTATCATCTGATTTATTTATAAGGAGAATAACATGTAATTAACATGTCTATGATTCTATTATTTACAAGGATATCTCTCTTTTATTATTATATTGTCATCAATGATGATTTCGATAAGATTCAATGGCAGTGAATGGATCTTCTGGCACTGGTCCATTGTATTTTCTTGTTGTATTATTATTATTATTATTATAATTATTATTATTATTATTGGTATTATTATTATAATTATTGGTAGTAATGGTAGTAGTATTAGTGGTATTAGTATTAGCAGTAGTAGTAGTAGTATAAATATTAGTAATAGTATTATTGGTATTATTATAGTACATAGTTTGATTTTGTTGAATAGAAGAGGGTCTGTAAGTAGTATTTGTTGTAGATGGCTTTTTATATATGAGAATAATAAGAATTAGTAAATCACTTTTTTATTTATTTATTTATTTACTTACCAATTGATAAGCAGCTATTTGTTGTTGTACTCGTGAATAGAGATCATTCGACCCAGTAGTAGTCATATTATAAGAAGTATAATCGATTGTAGAAGAAGAAGGCTGTTGATAAAACGATGTGTGTTGTTGTTGTTGCTGCTGCTGCTGCTGCTGCTGCTGCTGATAATAAGGTTCCATGTTATTTATAGAAGTTACTTTATAATACGGTGTAGTGTGAATTGGATTGACAGTAGAAGAAGTATATAAAGCTGCATTGGAATATGAAAGTCGATGAGTGGATGGAGTATTCATTGTTGAAATAGGTTGTTTATCATATATCATATGTTGTTGATAAAGAGTATCATGATTAGTAGTAGATACAATTCCTTGTGATTGATTTAAAGTGTAATTATCATAAATTGGTTTGTAATAATCATGAGTACTATATCCTGTTGTATTTGTTGAATAAAAAGAATTTTGTTGATGATTGTTACTAGTGTCATTATGATTTCTCCAAACAGGTTGAACTGGTATACGTAATGGAACACGAGTTAATGGACGAGTAAATGGTTGAGTAGGGAAATGAGGTAATTGAGCTTTAGATAACATAAGTAAATATTGAAATTGTTGCTGCTGCTGCTGCTGTTGTTGCTGTTGCTGTTGCTGTTGCTGTTGCTGTTGCTGCTGTTGAGTATTTGGAAGAACAATGCCTTTAAATGTTTCTTCTATTAACTTTTGTTGTTGTTCTTGTTTTTGAATTTTATCTGCATTTTGAAGTTGACTTCTAAATAATAAAAGAGCCGTTTTCCATCTATCAAATTCATCTTTACGGATAAATAATTTGAATTCTAATACATCCAGGAATTCTAATTCCATGATATTTAAATCTGTTACTTTCATTCCGCTCACTTCTGACCAGGTTTTATTTGTAAATGTATTATCATCCAAGAATTTATTGGCTATAAATATTTATAAAGGAAAAGGGTAAATACAATTAAAATAAAATTTACTTTGCTTTACTTTACTTTACCTAACATTAATGCTACTGTGAATAATCGATATTCAGATCCTTCTGCTCCCTGTATACTTGGATTATTCTGTAATAACATGGCAATATATTTTAATGATAATAGTATAACTGATTCTGATAGTTGTGTGGCTGACAGAACCTATATAATTATTTATATAATTACTTTTTTTTTTCTCTCTTTTCCCTCTTATTATTATTAGTTACCTGCTTACAAAACTTTTTAAATGAACTACTTGTTCGATTAGCTATATTCGCTGTCTCTCTTTGATGATCTAAATTTGTATCTTCTGTTGTATGAATGGCTTGGAAAATTCTGGATATTTCATGTAATGCCATTACAGAAGGTCTTCTAGCATGCCACATTAAATAAACCATACTAGATGCAAAATCTGCTAATTCAGGAATAGATAAAGGTGATGTTGGCTGAGTATCTGTGGCGCTGGGTATAGGTTCAGGTGGTACAAGTGAATAGTTACATTGTTGATGATGATGGGGAGGAGGAGGAGGAGGCGGCTGTGCTGTATAATTGATATTATTTGTATCTATCACTTGATAGGGTTGAATTGAATGTTGTTGCTGTGAATACATCTCTCCTTTTATACTATATACATTCCACTCTAAATAGTAAAAGCATCTAGTATTTATTAATATATTTTATGTAAACTATCTTTTTTTTTTTTTTTTTTTTTTTACTCTTTAAAATATGTTATTATTATATAACTAAAAGCTTACCCGTAATCGTTGTTATAATAGAGATATACAGAAGAGAGTAAGAAAGAAGGAGTAGAATAGAAGAAGAACGAAAAAAAAAAAAAAAAAAAAAAAAAAAAAAAAAAGAAAGAGAAAGAGAAGGAGAAAGAGGAAGGGCAAGTAAAATAATATTTTAATAGAGGAGTTTTAATATGATATAAACACTCACGCACAAACATATACAAATGTTTATCGCATTATCATTACACTTCAAATCCAGACGATGTTAGTTTTTTTTTGGACGAATCAAAATTAAATTTCAGATGTTTAGCTTACCTTTTTTGGACGAAACAAAAAGGGAAATTAGACAAAAAAAAAAAGAATCAGTTTTCGGACAATCAAGTGTATGTATGTAAGTTACCTGCATCATACGTTTACTCTATCAGTATTTCCTCTCTCAGGAGAACCGTCGTTGGGAGGCATAGAGCGGACTTTTTTTGGAAGTGGAGGTGGTGGTGCTTGTTGAATCACGTTTTGATGTTTCCCTTTTGAATCTAGAGGGGCGACCAAGGGCTTACCTGTGGCTTAACACAATATCTCTAAAATTCAAAACGGCGGTCAAGTCTCTGTTCCAGAGTTGAGAAGGCACTAAACATTTTTGATTTGTACATCTAGCGAAAGAAAATATAAGAAATTGTTTTTTTTAAAAAAAAAAAAAATAAAAATAAAATAAGATTGATGTTTACCGTAATAGGCCGTGGCACTCAACTACTGGATACTTGCCTCGTATATGCGGTCGAGGGTTCTTGACATAACATGGTGTATGAGTTCGCCTCAATGAGAAGCATGCGAATGATTTGAAACCTAAACGTTCACACAAACCAGCTAATTTATAATATGTTTTTAAGTGAGCAAGTAGGATTTGCTTTGCAGACATAATAAATGTTGTTGTTCTTGGATTTATATTGTGAACTGTAAATGCCAAAAAAAATCTCGTATGTGTGTGATCGCTTCTTCGATTAACTGATCTACAGGTAAATTCTGGATATTTCCTGAAGCAACTGATAATTTCAATTGAGTGCAAGGTTGTGTTATCTCGTTTTTAATGATTTTTTTAAATCTCTTCTTCAGCCACTTTTTGCCTTTTCAATATTTTTCTCCTTAACGCTGTTCTGTCTTTTTGCTGTGTAAGTAAATTTACGAACATTCTAAGCTTATTGCCAAATTGCAGCATGATGCCGTTTTTGTAGGCAGTATCTATCTTTGCACACTCGTATGCAGCAATTTTGTTGAGACTATTTCAATTCTATGAGGGGGTATAGCCACATAATTTACACTATTCGTTCAAGTATTTCTTAATCAGATTTCTAAACTCTGTGGTTTTAGTTGATTTTGTAGGTGGCAACTTCTTCATGTGTTGTACAAGTGACGAAAAAACTTGTATGTAAAAGTCTTTTTCAGCATATTTTTTGATATCGAACGCTTCATATCTTTTTAATTCACTGATGAATAAACCCCAAGCCTGCCTCTTCCACCAAATGAACTCTTCACACGCTCACATTATTATTCTTGTTTGCATATGCATAACCGCCTTCAGATACCTAAATCTATTGAAGATCTACTCTCTTATCTCTTGAATCTATTACCATCAACATTCCATACGAAGAAAGTGAAAAAATTAATTGATGCCTGACTCATACGCTGGCCTTCTATATGTGCCATTCTGCTTGGAGATGGACTATCTAGCTCGCTCCCAAATCTCTGAACCCTCTGACCATCATCTTCTTTCAATACAGCAACGAATTTCTGATAGTTAATTATCATCACTTATACATATACTTTAACATTTTCCCTTTTATCCCCAAAGGGTTTTTCTTTCCTTTTTTTTTTCCATAGTGATCTGACCAGGGCAAAACAACATATATAAATGCTATGTGGTCATTGGTCATTTTTTAATTTTTTTTTTTAAATAAAATTCTTTAATCGTATGTAACATCTGCAACAAATAAACAAATAAAAAGACTCCCTTTTTTTGAGTTTAAAACTCGTTAAAAGAAGTGGTGATGATGATGCTAATTAAACTCTCGAATAATAATGATTTGGAAAAAAAAGAACGCGTAATTAAAAACCAATAATCGTGTTAAAAAAAAAAAAAGAGGGAGGTTATAAATTTTTTTAATTGTTATATAGTATGTTTATTTTCATAATATAAGACTCGTTATTTACATATATCTATTTTTTACAGAAACCATTAACGGGCGTTTAGTATTTTATAACTTTACCATGGTTGCCATCTTTTAACAAGCTTCTTTATCATGCGGGTAATGAATTTATTTTTTATTAAAAGAAAATACATGTATATATTCATATACTTTAAAACTCAGATACTGTATTTATCTTTTTTTTTTTTTTTTTTTTTTTTTTTTGGATGAAGCGAAAAACCAATTTTAGATCTTTTAGTATTATGAAAAATATATTATTTATTATTAGTTTCTTTTACTAAATCCTGCAAGTATCTGAGGCAGTTATTACATTTAAGTTCAATTTAGTTGATTATCTGCATTGGCAAGTAGGAAAAGCGAAATAAGCCCATTTCATGAGAATAGTAAAAAAAAAAAAAAGGAAGGAGCTGGATGTGAAGTAAGTAAGTAATCAGTCCATCAAAGACCGTGGTCCAGGTGAGTGTGTGAGGGAGGGAGGAATAATTTTCTCGTACTGAATGTAGTCGATCTCATGGAAAATGCTACCCAATTAGATAAAAATCACAAAACAAAAAAAAAGGAGACCTTTTAGTACAATTCATCCAGTTTCAATGAACTCAATTTAAACTGGCTATTACACAGCTGGTATATAGCATGTAATATAAACGTATACAAACCCTTTTTGACAAAGTATTGCATCAATTTTAGCTAAAGCTACTTTTATTTATTTATTTATCCTATTTGACTTACTAAATGAGTTGCTTTGACACTGATTGAATATAGATTGTATCGAGTCTGTCAAAAGGGGTTATTCAGAGACATTTTACCTTAAATTAGGATATATACATGTTTAGGTATTGTTAGTAAAATGGAATAATGTTATTCCAATAATTCTTGACTAAAAAAAGAAAAAGTAAGTTATAAGTATTATTTCCCTTGTTTTGTCTTATCTTGATCTAGTTACCTGCTTAACCGGATATCACCAGTTTTTCGAATTTCTAATATAATTCAAGATAGTTGTCCATAAACTGAGGTATACAAGTAGATGATATTTCAACCTATCTTTAGCGCTATAAAATTAGAAAAGCCATATAAAGACAGTAGTACGTTTCTTGCTCTTGTTTATTAGAGAGAGCTCATGATAAACACTGAGTTAAGAATATGTATACATGTTGAAAAAAAAAATCATATAAAAAGTATATCACAAAATACGACATCTTTATTATTATTATTATTCTGACTCTTTTATAGTCAATTTACTATGATGTATAAAACAAAAAATACAAGACATCTATGAAAGAAAGCAATCATTATCAGCAGACAATGCTTTTTCGCCAATGTGTTATTATAAAGCCTATCATTTAAAACAGACTCATGTTAATTCTCAGATATGCAATATATTGACTCTCGTTATACAAAGAAGTTTTACAAGGGTTCATTATACGAATCTAACATAACTGACTAGAGTATAGATAAAGTATATTTAATTTATACAAGAAGGAAGTACTGTTATATAGTATTTGGATCCAGAATGACAGGCAAAGATTAGGTACAGCTTAAAAGGATTCAGATATATGGGGTGTGATTGATGTCTTGTGGTGATGTCTTTTTTTTTTTTTTTTTTTTTTTTAAAAAAAAAAAGGGTGACCTTGTAGTTGTACCAACTGATAAATACCGTACTTGAAGTCGATGTAACACTGATTCTTTGGATAATGTCGTCGCTCACGTTAAAGATCAGAGTGTATTTGTTTGCAAAATGGGATGCGATATTACTTTGGTAATGTGATATGAACACTGCCAGGAACATGATGTCTATTTCTCCATCTATTTGAAAAGGCGAAGGTAGAGCCAAAAGAAGAATTGACTCTAAACATGTGTCACATTGAATTATTATTATCGCCGTATGGCTTTTTCTGTTTTGGGATTTAGGTTATTTTTTTTTTTTTTACAGACAAATATAAGCCTAAAGAGCTAGTATACTTCTTTTGCTTTATCCAAAAAAGATAAATATAATAAATATCTAAATTTTAATTTTGATTCATACGAAAAAAAAAAAAAAAAAAAAAAAACTGGGGTGAATTTATCAATTATTCATGTTAACTATGTCTTTGATCTTATTATCAAGATAAATTAATACAGTTTCTATCATATAAAAATGATTATCATTTCAAGGTCTCATGGCCTGATAAATTATGCATTTTTTTTTTCAACGCTATCTATTTTGATGATAAGGAGGAAATTTACATTTTGATAACTATTCTTGTTTCTTCTGAGTTCTTTCTTTTTTTTTCTCTTGGTGCATCATCATATTACTTCTTTTTAACCATCGTCTGTCGGTAAAGATGATACCAAGGGACCTTTTTTTTTCATGTGAAATAGATCATATTTGTTGGGGGTCGGGTGTAACGTATATGAAAGAAGAGTCTATAAGCAAGCAATATCGTACAGAGATTTGATCAGTATTCTATATATATTATATCCTTTCCCTTTTTCTCTCTCTCTCTTTCTTTCTCTCTCTCTCTCTCACTCATATATATATACATATATATATTCTCATGTTTGGATCATCAACTGTATTAAAGGCAGAATTTTTAACAAGAGAGCAATTAAGCGCACTTCATTTATATAAATATAGAGCAATAGACAAATCATTCGTAAGTAGATATGTTTTGAGTCATTATTGGAATTGGTGCGTTCAATTTTTTCCTATCAATATGGCGTAAGTTTTTTTTTTTTTTTTTTTTTTTTTTTTTTTTTTTTTTTTTTGTTATGGCTTCATCTATAATTCATCTACATTAACTCAATTGTAGTCCCAACTTGATTACTTTGACAGGATTACTCTTTATGGTTTTGAACGTCATTCTAGCCATCCTGTTTGTTCCTGATATGGGTAATGAGGATGTATCAGAGATAAGATGGATTTATTTTAGTTTTGCCATTGGTTTATGGCTTTATTCTACATTTGATAATGTAGATGGTAAACAAGCAAGGAGAACAGGTACTTCAAGTCCTTTAGGTGAATTATTTGATCATGGATGTGATGCTATTAATTGTTCCTTTGCTGCCATCTTACAAGCAACTGCTGTTGGATTAGGTCATTCAAAGGCAAGTGTCTTATTGTATAGTATTGCCATGTTGGGATTTTATTTATCGACAGTGGAAGAATATCATACAGGTACACTTTATTTGGGTTATATTAATGGTCCAACTGAAGGTGTCCTTTTATCTTGTTTTATTTTCATTCTATCTGGTGTATACGGTAAGAGCAGTAAAAGAATAGAAAGAATATATATATATATGCGTGTGTGTGTGTATGTGTGTGTGTGTGCGTGCTCATTCATTACCACTTCCCTATATACATATATATCAGGTCCCGGTATATGGAAAGTACCAATGAAAGAGGCAGTCAAAGTCGCATGGCTGCCCAAGATGATACAAGATATACCAGTCTCTCATGCAGTCATTTGGTGGATTGGATGTTTATTTTTATTTACCCATGCCCCTACATGGTAAGTATTAATAGAGCAAGAGAGCTTGATATATATATATATATATATATATGAATGGATAGACAGACATTAAACTTTGAATCATAGTTTTTATGCAATGTATAAAGCTTGTAAACAAAGACAACAACCTTTTCTTAGAACAATGTTAGTTCAAAATATGCCTATTGCAACCTATATCATTTGTTTTTATGCTTGGATTATGTCTCCTTATTCAACTATCTTGACACATCAACATTTTATATTATTTGCTATCACTACTGGTATCGTGTTTGGAAGAATGGCTACAAAAGTGATTTTAGCTCATTTAACTAAATCCAAGTTTCCTAAATTTACTGTTCTATTGATCCCTTTAATGATAGGTGCTATTTTGACAAATATACCCATTTTATTTCCAGTCATCATGTAAAGTAGAAGTAAACCCGTGTATAATTTATTATGATAAAAACTAATATAAACATTTTTTTTTGTTTATCTAACTATTAGAGGACCTATTTTTACACCAAAATCAGAGTATGCCTTCTTGTTAGCTTACTTTGGATTTGCAGTTATTGCTTATATGAGATGGGCTATAGTGGTAATCAATAGTTTTTGTGAATTTTTAGGTATTCAATGTTTAATTATTCCACCAATAAAAAAGGTAGAATAAAACTATTTTATTGTATAATCCATCTATCAGTCGCCGTCGTAGTCAAATTATAATGAAACACGTATATGATTTATAAAAAAAAAAAAAAAAAAAAAAAAAAACTTACTGGGAGAGGGAGAGAGAGATTATGATGATGATGCCTCAAAATACTTTAGCCTTATTATTATTATACTATTCATAAACATTTATCCTCATTTTTTTTTATTATTTTTCTTTAAGGTTCAACTTGTCTCATTATATTTATTTGATTACAATATGAATCAAAATACTACAACATGATTTTTTTTTATAATTTAGCTTGAGCAGGAAGTTCTACTGTCAATAAATCTCGTAATTCATCACAAGCATCTTCAATACACTGCTTGAATTGAAAGGTGCCGTTTACATATTTTTTACCATGAACTTCTAAATCTTTTACACTTGCAATGTTAAACTGGAGGGCATTGTTTTTAATCATGTAAGCAACGCCAAAGCCATCGTTAACGACTTGTCCCCAGCCATAACCATCAAAGTGCTCAGACGTTAATTGAGAGGTTGATAAATACCAATGAGATGAATAAGCATAAGCAGGATCCTTGAAAAGAGTAGGTGGTTCTTCATTGGGTTTCAAACTATTTTTAAGACCAAACAGGTGACGATCTACACCTTGAGCATTAATGGCTGTTGCCATATACTGTCCCTGTGCCTTGAGAGCAGCACGAAGGGCACGAATCTTGGCCTCATTTGAAGCATATGGGTCTTCCATTATCTTGACAAAGGCTACGGATTCATCTGAGACAGTACGTGATGTCTCAGTGCGACCGTGTTGAAATTTACGAGTCTGTCCTGATTCATAAGTAGGACGAGAGACACCAAACATTTTATAATAGGCTAATTGAATAGCCATTTGAACAAATCCATCAGGGGAACATTTAAACTTCTTGATCAGATTCTTACCAAAGGATTGATAAGCAAGGACAGTCATTTCATGTTTAGCTATCAAAGCTTCAAAATCATTTTCCGCCATCTTTATTGTTTCTTCTAGTTTTCTATTTAATATAAAGGTCAACTCTTGAGGAGGAGGAAGATGTGCACGAGCTTTGTTAGAACCATGATGGATCAAATTCTTAGCAAGTCTATAGAGATGATAAGACTTTAATTAGTATATCAATTAAAAAGAATATATATATATATATACTTTACCCATTACATATATATTCATTTAATCGGCAAGTGGCTGTACCATCCATACAAGAGTGCTAATTATAATAAGATATAAATACCCGGAATAAATAAATAGATATGTATATACATGTATATTTATTCCCGTTACATAAAAAATGAATGAAAGAAATATATATTTACCTCTCCCATAAAACCAGCTTTACCATTTTCAAATATAATGAATTGAAGCGGTTTATCAAAATAACGATTACGACCATCACCATGCCAGCAAGCACGACAAAATTCATCTCTTGTCTTTGGAGTTAAATCATCAAGACAAACTACAAAGGAAGCAGTTTCAATTTTTTCCATGACTTGCTTATTTAAAGGATTTGCTGCTAATAAAGCATCTCGAGCCTATAATTTATAGATAGATGAGTCTATATTCTATTGTTATACATATATATATATATATATATATATATATATATTTACATCAGTCCATTTATCTCTATTCCAAGCTGTCAAGACACCAACAGGAATACCCTTTATATCACCTGCTTGATCAATAACTCGTTGAAATTGTTGTTCTAATTCATCCGTACTCAATTGAACACCATCATGAACTGTCTCGACTACAAAGAATTTATTTTTGCGAATAGCAATGATATGTGTATTCTTAAAAGGATCAAAGGTAGCAGGTAAATCACTTGGTTTTTTCGCAATACGACAATTATTGAACATATATTTATAAGAATCCATACAAATGGGTTCCCCTTTAGCATATTCAGGTTCTAATTGATATTGAACTACCTGTTTTTTAAATTCTAATGCAGCTGTCGTAATAGCAGCGGCACGTTTAGCAGGTAATTTACGAAGCTTATCATCCTTATATGCAAAGAAATAAGACACATAGACGACAACAGGGTCACGATAACCCATATACGCTTGATCGAGCCACCACTCTTCCATCCAGTTGACGATCTTTGGATCATTAGCACGAGCTACGAGACGTCTTTGAAGCTCTTGACCGAGACCACCTGGAGCTTCAAATTCTTTAACTGCTTGCTCAGTTTCTTTATATTCCTCGGGGGTTAAGAGAGGATGAACTGTCTTGAGATATTTTTGAAGTGTATCCTTCAGTGAAGGTACTGGTAATTTAGGTAAATTCTTTTGATAACGAAGCATTGGACCAGCTGCATTTGTATCTACTGGTGTTTTAGGATTCTAAATAAATAAAAACAAAGGAAAAGAAAGAAAAAAAAGATTAAGTACATATCAATGTACATAATGAGTTTAGTTAACTTACAGCAGGCGCCATTCTTTTTCCCTTTTTTTGTTATTACAAATTGAAACAATTAAAGTAAGAAAGAAAGAAAGAAAGAAAAAAGAAGAAAAAAAAAAGTAAAGTTTTAAATATAACATCCGTTATAGATGGTAAATAATTGCAGGGTAAAAACTAATCCTTTTTTTCTTCTTGTCAGCATTAATCTAATAAAGGGAACAAGCTATTTTTGAGTAACCTTCATATTCTGCTTTAGTCATAATTTAATGTATGAAATATGAACTCTATTTTATATTTTCTCTTCCCCCCTCATTGTTATTATACAAATAGTAGAGAGGAAAGAATTTCCCAGTAGTGCATATAGTGTTCAATACAATTTGGTCCAATTAAATCAATGCTTTTTATATACGGGGGAAAATATTCTTCCTCCTTAATTTATTGAAAAGAAAAAAAAATGAATAGATTTATATGTCATTACTATTGTCGATATATGATGACAATAAGCACCCCTTAATATTTTCTTTTTCTATCAATATTATTGACAATGGCAGTTTTTTTTTTTTTTTTTTTTTCCAAATAGATTTCGTCCAATCTGTTACACTTCAAAAATTGCAGCTCATTGCCTGTATAATGGCTTTGAAAAAAAAAAAAAAAAAGTCGCGGTTTGATTACAATAAAAAAAAAATTAGCAATTTACGCGTTTCACCGTGACTGTAGACATGCCTGTTTCTCCCTAATTAAAATAAATGGTACTACTTCTCCATTTACGAATGCATTCTTTTATTTATTTTTAACTTATTTCCTTTCTTAAAACTTCTTCTTCTTTATTACATTAAAAAAATAATTTCATAATGAATGATGATGAATACAGATTATTACAAAAAAAAGTATTGCGTACAAAAAAAGACTTGAAAAAATGGGAACATGTATTTGAAGAGAAACATGGACGTCCTGTAACTGTAAAAGATATTAGTGAAAGACCTAATATTGGTAAATATAAATAAATAAATGGTGACGACAAGCTTATATGCTGTGCTAAAAACAAAAAGAAAAATTTTAGAAAAATTTTATAAAAAATATAATCAGTTAAAAAAAGAACTTCAGAAAGAAAGTGAAGCAAGAGAGAAGAAATCAAGTCTGAAGAGTGACCAGACAACTTTAGTTTCTGATGTTGATAGTCAACAAACAGCAGATTCCCAAGCATCTACACAATCAGTTCATTTATCTAGACAATTGACTCATGAAAACATTTCTATTGTTGGTTCTTTGCAGCCATCTGATCTAGATAGAATTAATTCATTCATGACGCAAGATGGTTCTCAACAAGATCATTTAAACATGAATGAAGTTAACAATGACCTTAAAAATTCTTTAACATCTAGTCCTACCATGTCTTTATCTAAAGTCAATGGAAGACCATTAACTGAAGAAGAAGCCTTTTGGCTAGAAACAACATCTACTTCTTCTTCTACTACTGCTACCACTACAGCCTCCCCTACTTCTACTATCATTAGTTTCTCCCAACCTTTACCTCCAAAAACAAACATGTTAGATGAAGAAGATACAGTCATGACAGATGTCCCCTCTACACAACAACCACGTTTAATCTTAGGCAGTTCACAGTCTAGAAAGAATCCTTATTTATTAAAGACTCCACGTCGTATTCATAACCCATATTTACGTAGACAACAATTAAATCAACAAGCAAAACAACAACATCAAAATAGTCTTAAACAGTACTTTATGACACAACAACCCCTCTTAGAAGGAAAACCAAATCATTATACTGTATCCATGTCACAACCCATAGATGATTATTATTCAGATTCTATGAGGATGAAGCTAACCGAAAGTGATGATGATGATGATGAACCTTTCAAAATAGAAGAACATAAAATAAATCCTTTTAGACATTATGATCCTTCTTTATTTCATTCGGATGATCCTACTTTCTCTGTTGGTCCTGGTTTCTTTAACAGTAACAAGGTCTACAGGTCCTTTATGATACCATTCTTAAACGAGCCTTCTAGAAGAAAGCGCGTATTAATGAAACTTAAAAAAGGAACATTAGGTCTAGTTTCAGCAGAAAATAAAGCTATGGAAGAAGATATTGATGAAGATCTTCGTCATTTTATTGAAATGAATAACATGAAAAATCCAAATGTAAGTAAAGCATCATTATCTTTTACTTGTTTATTTACATTGTTTACATTTAGAATTTTGAATCTTCTATTACACCTATTGATGAAAAAGTATTAAATGATATTCAGCCAGTATATAAAAAGAAGCCACTTCAAAAGAGGCAAACAAAGTTATATAAATGTAAGTTAACTAACGTTATTATTTCTTATGCTTAACTATCTTTTTTTTTTTTTTTTTTTTTTTAGTGAAATTCGTTAATACATAAAAGTACGATCTTTATGCATAGCTTCTCTGCTTATTTTATTTCATAGATAAAAAAAAAAAAAAGAGAGAAAAAATTGCCTTCTATAATATTCTGTACATAATATAATAAAGAACAAATTTGTTTAATGTAATATAATCTAACAATACACAATAATAAAAAGAAGAGTTCCCTTAAAATAGAATAGAAAATCATATAGGATTATTGCATAATATAAATAATAATAAGCGAAAATCTTATTCACTAAATTCAACCTCAGTCAAAAGGCTTTCAAAAAAAAAAAAAAAAAAAAAAAAAAAAAAAAAAAAAGTTTTTAATTCATTCTTTTTATTTTTATTTTTCTTCTTGAAATAATAAAAACATGAGTAAATTCACTCGACCCACATTCAATGTGGACGATGATGATCTTGAAAGACTTCAAGAAGAGTTCTTTGCAGGAGAGCAAATACCTTCTGCAAAAGTAATTCGTAAACCAGCTACTACTACTACTACGATTTCTACTGATCCATCTCCTAGAAAGCGTAGTTTATTCGCTGAACGTTTAGCACAAGGAGAGAAAAAGGAATCATCAAGTAGTAAAATGCCTTCATTAGAGAACTCAACACCATTACCTTCACTAGAGGATCCTTCACAAAATGAGAATGACCAAATCATTGAATATGAACCTGTGATCGATCCTAATCCTGAACCTCATGTCCCTGTTAGTAAGAAAATGTTAGATCTAACTTCCATGTTGGGTCAAGTGTTGGGTGAAATTACTGAACATGATATTGATGCTAAAGTTGTAAGACCACCTACTTTACCAGCTCTATTAGAGAATAAGCCTGCACATGGTCATACGGGTGGGTTCCCTAAACCTGCTCATCGTAGTGAATTTAAGAGAAGAATGATGGAGAAAAGAGTAGGTAAAGAATCAAAGCCTCCTCGTCCAGAGAACCCCCCACAGGTTACATCCACTGTCTCTGATCCAATGTCATCTGATTTTTATGCCCAAGAAAACGATAGACGTATTCGTGAAATGAGTGAACAGGAACTTATGGAAGCACGAGAAGAGATTATGAACACGTTAAGCCCTGAATCGATTGCATTATTAATGAAGGGGTTGAAAACAAAGAACAAAAAAAACGATATAGATAAAGACCTTCCTGAGCAAGAAGTCGTAGAAAAGAGTTCAGCAAAGAAAAAAGTATCCTTTGCAAAAGATATCGTAGACAAAAAAGAGGAAGATTTGTTAGAAATGAAAAATAAATATTTTCCTGACGTACCGTTAGAGAATGATAAGTTAGCTTGGATGGATAGTCGTTTTTTGACACCTGAATTAAAAGAGCAGGAAGAAGAAAAGGAAAAGTTAAATGAACAATTACCACCTTCAGAGGCAGAGAAAGTATATCGTAAGATTCGATTTGATTTACAAGGTCGTATTATGGATCCTAATGTAAACATACCTAGTTATCAAGGTTTACATCATCATGGTGATGAACCTGATAAGGCAGGTTATACATTAGCTGAACTCTTTTATTTAACTCGAAGTCAAGTACCTTCTCAACGATCTATGGTCTTAACTACGATTGCTCGTATTATTAAACGCGCTAAAAGGTCAGTCAGGATGAAAGAAGGATCTAAAGAGGATGGTAAGGTCTGGAGTCAAATATGGTCAGTTTTTACTGGTAAAGAACACGCAGCAGCTATCTATCTTCGTTCTGCATTGGATGATCGTCACTTGGTGGTCTTGGTAAGCGCTATTCAGGCCCTATATGCACTTATCATAGATGAGAATGATGATGAGGAATGGGAGGAGACAGTTTTGGATGTGACTGATTTCTGTCGTTATCTAGGACATCTCTCTCGTCCCATTTTACCTGCTGGCACTACAAAGATCAAACGAAAGGGTTTAAATGACAAACTTTCCGAATTAGTGGATCGTGTACGCCAACAAACGAGTCAGGATGAACAAGAGAAAGAGAATGATGCTGAACTTGCTGAGCGTGATCTCATTCGAGGTTTAGTTAAAATGAATCTCTTACCTCGTATACGTTATTTGCTTGCCTCTGATAGTAGTGAATTGATTGAACATGACCCACCTTCTGTAGACCGTTTAGTACGTATTTTGGTACGTATGGCTGAAGCTGGACAGGATGTGTGTGAAGCGATTGAGGAGGAAGACATTTTAGAACCGGTGGTCGAATGGGGTTTGTTGAAAACATCATGGCCTATGACAACAGATAATACAAAACGATATCCAAGTTTAGCCGCCGTACGTCTCCTGACATTATTGGCGCAAGGAAGTAAGAAAATTGCAGAAGGAATGATTGAAAGGGCAGCGACGATCACGTTACGATTCTTAGTGACCTCACCAGAGATAGCAGACAGCGACTATTTGAAACAAAGAGCTTATGCATTGCAGCTTGAAACACTTCGTCTTGTTCATGTTTTAGCCTGTTACGGATTTATTCTTCCGACATTAGAGGATCTTCAAGGACCTGTTATGGATTGGCTTCGAGCTGCTCTGAACGATCATTCAAATGATAAACAAGTGATGAGTAGAGCCTCCATGGCCATCCATCTATTGGAAATTCTTTTACATTTAGCCGCTGATCCTCACAAGTCCATACCTGCTCATGCTATTGATTGGCATCAACCCACAGCTTATTTACCAGCTATAACTGCTGTACTACGTGCTAGTCGTCGAGAAGGTCGATCAACAGGTTTGTTGTCGTTGTTGTATGAGTCTGCTTTAGGCTATCTGAGTGCATGGGCAACCTATATTGAACTCTTCCCTCCTGAACCAGAGACGGTGCGTGAGGTTTGGAAGGCGGTGATTGAAGAAAAAGAAGAAGAAGAAAAAGAAAAAGAAGGTGCAGAGAATTCAAAATCTGTTGGTTACACAGTTTCTTCTATAACAACAAACTATGTCCTTCGTTACATCCAATTTCTTACTGCATATGCCTCACTTCATCCAACCACATCTTTATACCGCGACCTTATAGAAGATGCAGAACGCAAACTCAAGTCAGAAGAGACAATAGCGCTGATAAAAACATCTTATTCAAGGGACATGCTAGGCCGCTATGCTCTATGGCTATGGTTAAAGCATTGTGAAAATGAAAGAATAGAATTTAAAATAGCAGCATTAGAATCAGGCGTTAAGAGTAAACAAATGGGGCTAGTTGAAACATGGTTGGCGCAGTCATTATTGCAGTTATCTTTGTCAAATCAACTATTAAATGATGACCTTAAGCCGTTTTATTTGGATCATAATGAAGAACATTTGATAATTTCTAAATCTTTATTTAGTTATGATAGTCGACCTATCAAAACACTCATGTACACAGACTTATTTGAAGATTTAAGTGATGTAGAAGAAAAAGATAGATTACAGTTAAATGCCTTTATTCTATCACCCATTGATGCACTTTACCATTTAGACAAATCAAAGGTAGCACAGAAAAGTAGAGTAGATGCTGCAACTCTAGTATCAAGAACGATGAAGATGGCAAGGGAACTATTAAAACTGGACTCTAATATGGGCATCATTGCTCTAATGAAGATTTTCTTAATTGGTGACCGAGAAGGACGTCAGACGAATATTGTGAGCACTGATAGAGAGATCTTTTGGGATGATCGAGTCATAAAAGAAATCAATGAATGGATGGATATATTCTGCATCACAAAGACAAGTTTAAAGGCATTAGAGATAGCTTGGCGGTTATCATCAGAGTATATTCGACAGGCACAAGTACCCTTTTTCCAGTTTTATCAAGCGTTTGTAGCTCAATATGCAGCTGTCTCACTGGGTCATCATGGCTTTGCTCGTCTTTTAGTTTACCTTGTGAGTCAAATAGATACTATCGATTATCGACATTTAGTCTTCAGTGACTACCGAGATATTTTGCCTACGCTTAACAAAGTAAATTTAAATGAAATTCCACCACTTTCAGAATCTGAACGAGAAGCACTTTCAGATGCAGGATTGAAGCTCTTATAAAATAAAAAGTATTATATTTGCATACGCATCATTATATTACACTATACGTATGTAATATATAAATAAACGTCATTTTAATTACAAAAGGCATTATTATAATATATGATCTAATAATTTATAAAGTCCATAATGATGATAATATGTTAACACATGTATATACTATATATAAAAATATAGTGTACTAAGCATTCCCCTTCCATGTTCTATATATATATATATATATATATATATGTATGTGTATATGTATGTATGTATGTATGTATCTCTATCTATATATTATTATAATATATACATAGTGACTCCTTATAATGTGTTTCGCTGTGCATGCACATATAATACTATGTTGTGGTAATAGTGGAAATATATTTATTTATTTTATAACCACGTGTTTTTATTTATTATATTATTTTGTAACATTATATGTGCATACAACAAAAAAGAAATCGACATACATACGAGATGTGTTACAATTTTTATATCAGTGAGACAAAAAAAAAAAAAAAAAAATAGCCAACAAAATATATTCAACAAAACATATATAATATATGACCGCGCTTACCAACTGTCAATAGCAGAAACAGTTTGACGCGCATTTTTTTTTCCTTTTAAATTTATACATGAAAAACTGCATATTAATAAATACACAAATCATGGCCCCTTTTTTTTTTTTTTTTTTTTTTTTTTTTTTTTTTTTTTACTTATTATAAATACTGGATTTTTTATTTTATTTTATTTTTGTATTTTTTTTATTTTTTATTATTGATTTTTAATCTTTTCTTCTTTCTCTTTTTATCTCTCTCTCTCTTTTTTTTTCCCTCGTAAATTATAATGATAATGAATAGTATTCCAACACCACCCGAATCACCAGAGTTAGATTATTTACCATTTGATAGTAGCCCATTTGAAGGAATCATGTGTGGAACATGTAATAAAGCTCTTGGGCCAGACTGGTTTTGTTCAGATTGTCATAGAAAATGCGATAATTGTAATCGATTTTTATGTGATGATGACGGATATTGTTCTCGATGTTGGGTATTTGATCCAGTTCAACAAAGATTGATACAAAAGATTGAAAAACGTTATTCTTCTCCATTTCTTCAAGCCTTTTATCAACAACATTATTATCGAAATATATTAGACTTTGCTTTAGCCTATCGCCCTACTCTACCTTCATTAATGCCTTCCCCTTCAAATTCAACAGGATCCGAATCTAATAATAATAATAATAATAATAACGAAGTAAACTCTCATAGCACCACATTGTCAAAATAATTATTTATTGTAAATATATACAACCTGTACTATATATATCCTCTGTTTTCTTTTCTCTCTTCCTCTCTCCTTCCCTCCCTCCTTTCTCTCTCTCTCTCTTTTTTTCTTATTTATAATAAAGTACATACATTATACATATATTTTACATACGATTTTTTTTTTATTGTACAGTAAAATAAAACCAGTAATTTTTCTTCTTACATATAAAACCTGTAATTTTTATACATGTATTACATAAAAGTTACATAAAAATATCATAATAATGAAAAACAATGTATGATGATGAAATTAAGCATTGTTTTAAGCGTTGATAATAATATATGCATTTACCAAATTAAAACCTTGGGATTATTTTATTATATTTAAAATAAAATAAAATAAAATATTGCTCTCCTTATGTATTATGCTTAAGGAATAGCACTAATATCTTTTGTTACAAATGCATGCTGCTTGAAAATTATTAATTCACAATAAGCATATTAATAATTAATCGGCCCGATTATCTAAGTGTCGTACACATGTATCTGCGAAGAACTATTTTTATATAGAATGCAGTTACTGTACATACAATTAAGTTTATGCTTTTCCTGAAACTTTATTATACTCTCGGTACAAACAATACATTTAGTTCATTCCTATAAAACTGTCATATAATTCTTTTTTAATTGAGCGATTTTAGTTTAAACTCTCTTCGATTAAAACAAAAATAATCAAGATTTAAACATTGCAGATAATGCTGTATAATAGTTAGCCATTGTTATTTATGAAACAATAGTAGAACTTTAGCTAATAATATAAACTTCTTTTTATTCAAGTATATAAAAATGGGGAAATTACATAATATTGATGATGTTTACAACGTTTTATTAAATAATAATATGCTTTTTCTAAAACATTTTTTTTTTTTAATATTTTACCCAAGTAAAAGCAAAAAAAAAAAAAAAAAAAAAAAAAAAAAAAAAAAAAGGTTTCATAATTGTAAATAAGATTTTTTTTTGCTATATGGCAAATTGCCTAACAAAGAAAAGCATACAATAAAATGTGCTGGAGAATTCAAATGGTATCAAATTAGAGATCAAGTTGTTATTTGTAGCTACTATTTGTAAAATAAAAATGAACCAAAGTGTCTGATATTATTTCATGTATTTAACGAAATATTAGACAGCGAATATACCCAAATGCATGTAATCAATTAATAGCAGTATTAAACTCAATTATAGCAAAGAAAGATGATTTGTTTAATAGACATAAATCAATGCATGCTGCTTATGAATTCATCTAGATTAAAAAACTATTTTTTGATAATAATATTTCTTTTGTTATAAAAGCAAAGGTATAAATTTATAAAGAAAATATGCATATCAGTATAATAATTGATTTGCATCTTCCTTCTTATGATTAAACATTTTTTTTTTTTTTTTATTATTTTTATAAATTTAAAAAGCGACCTATGGGCACATAATATCTTTATTATATTGGATTGCCCAGGTCAGTTCAAATTATGTGAAAAAAGTATCTAAAAACCCTCTTATGGGACAAGAGGTAAAAAGGTAAAGGAAAGGAAGAAGAGAAAGTGAGAAAGGAAGGGGAATATTGCTAACAAGTTTAAAGAGACAACCAGTTGAGTAATTTTCTGCCTGGATCAAGAAGTGGAGGGGGTAGTTTATCGTGCATTAAATAATCTATTTCCTGTAGAATGGTACACATAACTGGCCAGCAATAGAACCAAGCAGAAACATCCTGAGAATTTCGGTGCTTATGCTGAGGGAGATGATTTAAAAGAAAGGAAAGGGGATCTGCAATTGATCGTGGCAAGAATAAACGAGTGTGCATGTGCAAGCATTCAGTGGCGTGTGACCGACTAAAGTGTACATGAGGATGATATGGACAGGCTTTAGGTATTCCTCCGGGTAACCAACCAAGACGCCATCGAATAGTTCGACTACGCTCACTGTGTGTCATGGGTAACCAGAGTATCGGGTCAATAATCAGATTAGGGCGGCAAGAGGAAAGCAAAACAGAATGTGTCTCGTCACGTAGTTGTTGAAAACTCTCTTCAAGAAATTCTCGACGATGTTTTCGAAAGGAGCGTTTGTCTAACGGAATGGAATTGGCGGCACAGAGTCTCCAGCATGATGTTTGAATGAGTTTATACCATTGAGTGTTGAAAGCGGAGGCGTGAAGTTCGGGAAGTAATTTAGCGAGCAAGGTATCATCCGGTAAGTCAATAGCACGGAAAACGAATTGGGCCTGCAGAATGGATACCCTAACCTTCATTGATGGTTGGTTTACCATATGAAGCATCACCTTTACTGACGATCGACTAGAGCCACCAAATATCCGTCTTATGCATGTGTTTTGACAAGATTCCAGTTGTTGGATATTCTTTGCACTAAGTAGACTAATAGCTAGACCATATTCGAGCTGTGGTCGGACTATCTGCGTGTAGAAGCGAGTAGCGAGTAACCGATCAAATCCCTTGGGATTAACCCCAATAGATACCATTTGGTTCATTGTTTGTAGGGCTTTGTTAGTATTATTTTGTACTAGTTGAGCTGTATCTAAGAATCCTCCTATCTTGATGGGGATACCTAGATAAGAAAAACATTTTTGGGTTGGAATGGGGTCACCATATAAAGTGTACGGTTGCTGATTATCAGAAGGATCAAGGATTACACATTTACTAGGATTCCAGCGGTAGCCTAATAAATTACTGTTTTCTTCACATAACGATAATAAAGAGCGCAACTTTTCAGGTGCCGTGATGAGGACAACATCGTCAGCATACAACAAGCAATTAATCGATTGTACAAATTGAAGTGGTTGATCACGTATATTTGTTGGAATTGGTGATAGACGTAGAATATTAGGAAGATTATTTATGTATATTGAGTACAAAAATGGAGAAAGAATTGAGCCTTGAAGAACACCAGTTCTCGGGGAAAACCGAAATGAAGTAACATTATTTAGAAGTACTTCGAGATGGACATCATCAAAAAGATTTTTCAGGATATTTAGTAGTGGAGCAGGGGCATAATCAGATAAACAGTGCCAGATGTAGGCACGGTCTACCGTATCATAAGCCGATTTGATATCAAGGAAAGCAAGCGCTGGTTTGAAATTTTGTGTTTTGCGAAGTAAGTTACAAATTTCAGTCAGACAAAGGACCTGATCAAGTGTACCGCGAGCCTCACGAAATCCCCCTTGGGCAATGTCTAACGGTGGGCTATAAGTTATAAGATAAGGATACAGACGAGCTCCTTCTTATAGTTTTTACACTTTGAATTCAGACGACGTTAGTTTTTTTTTTTTTTTTTAGACGAATTAAAATCACTTTTCAGATGATTTGCTTACCTTTTTCCAACAAGAAATCATTCATACCTTTAAAAATGTAAAGACTGTTGAAAAAAATAAAATAAAATACTAATTAACAAATTAATATTTTTTTTTAAAAAAAAATATAGAACTTACGCTGTACGGACGTATGAGAGAGTCGTATCAATTACACGGGGATGGTTCATCGATAGTTGCGTCTTTACGCTTGAATTGGCTCAGACACTGATTATTATTTTTCGAAGCAAATAAAAACAAGTCAAAGATGTTGTGAGTTGCCATAATGTCGCGATTTCATACAATATTACAAGTGTTTTGTTGACACTGTAATATTATGTCTACTCTTCGCTTTGATTTTTTGGTCACCACAATCTCGACGTTTCTGATCTTACACTTGTTGCAGATTTGGCTGGTGAGGTATTCATCAACCATTACTACTTCTAACTGCTGTCCACAATACCTCTTCAACGCTTTTGTAATCGTTCTGACCGGTGACGACCTGTTGCTTCGTGAACTAGTATTAAACACACCATCGCCCAAAGCAATGATTGTTTTTACTGGCCTTTCTTTATGGTTGGTCGGAGTAGGTGGATAGATTTTGCTTACATTATTAATAACTGACTTTTCACTAGTAGATGACTTCTGATGATATTTGCTGCTGTTATAGACGAACCTCTTGCAAATCTCATGCACACCTTTTTGTTCCTTCATGTAATATTGGAATTTCAGTTTGGGCTTCCTATAAAGTTTCTCTTTTGTAAGTGATCAAGCAAACTACTATAGTGTCTAAACACTTACCAATTATTCTCGTTATAATACTTTTTTAATATCGTCATATAACGCGAGTCTTTCTTTGCATGCTTTAATAAAATCTTTGATATTCGATGTCTTCAATGAGCTTGAGTTTGATATTTTCGAATATTCAGCCATGTGTTGCTTCTGATGTTGATTTCGTATAAACGTTGCATCATTATAACCATATAAACGGTAATATTCGTCTAACCTGGTTGTCCTTTGCCTCCCAGATGTATCTACGGCGGTGAAGATTATATTGACACCAGGGTCTACTCCCCCAGACAGTACAGCCGTTTTCAATATCTTCGAGAAAGTCGGCTGGCTGTTTTACTACGGAAACTTTTCTTTTTTTTCCTTTACCACTCGAGAAAAAAGAAAAGAAATAGAATACTCACCAGTAAGCACGACGTTTCTATACATTAATTAATTAATTAAATTAAACCAAATCAATACTTTTATATTTCAATACAACTGAGGAATTAACTTACTTGAACTGCTTTCTGCCTTGTGAAGGACTCTCGAGAGAGCGAAATCCCAGTTTGGAAAAGTCAAAAAGCTTGTAGTAGAAATCTGATAGATCCGATTCGGTTTTAGTACTTTTTGGGTAATTTTCAATATTAGATTCCTTTACTAGTCGTCAAAAAGCTATGGCATCTATTTGAACTGACTTTGTTTCAAATGAATAGGTCGGTAATAGAGTGAAAAACCGGTAGCCGCGTTTATTCATATATTTTTCACGCGTGAATGTTCCATCAGTAATTCTTGATTTGACACTTGTGACAAACGTTTCCAGAGCAGGTAAATGAGGCTTGACTTTGAATAATTTCCGCCCAGGGATGAGTGGAACATTTGAATTAATGCTTTGCAGGACTTGTTCCTGCAAGGATTTGAAGTTTTGTCTATTGAGTATTGAAGTAAACGTTAGTTCTTTTAACTTCCTATAAATGTAGGACTTGGAGGCAACGGTGACTAATTTTTCTTCCATAATGTACACCTTTTTCACTTATTTTCTGTTGAAGGTAAAAAAAGCTATTTAAAGAATTGATGTGGTTGAGAGTACAGATCTTCCGAGTTACAGCTTAATGCTTGATAGCTAGATCATAATGACTCCATCTTTTGTACAATCTCTTTAAAATGTTGATTTTTTTTTTCGACAAATGACGGCCATACAGATTTTAGCGAATAGATATAGTTAGCTAGGGATTCTCTTTCGTTAACAGATAAGCCCTTGCAAAAAAATGTAGAGTCTTTATCCGACAAGGATTCCATAAAGAAGCGAATTGTTCTCCTTTCGTGATTCTCACATACGTGGTTGCATATGAGCACATCGTATTGTCTACATACAATGGATAAAATAGAAGAACATCCAATACTCTTGAGGGATCGTAGGAATATGTTATCAATTTCACATTCATTGCAAAACTCAACAAAGTATTGTTGAATATAACTGGGAAACTTTTTGCCTTTACCAGTGGCGACGGTAAAGATGGAGTAGATATCATTCTGACTCATAATCGGAACTTCTTCACCCTTCGTTAAGAGCTTTAAAAAAAGATAGTTGATAAACAACGATCTTACCCATATCACTTTTGTTGTGTGTGCCGTGACGAGAGATATTTGATCAATGAGCTTAGCGTCTCTACAGATATTTTTCAAGGAGCATTTGATCACGAAGATCTCTTTTTTCTCGTCTGGACCATGCGTTGGTTCTTTTTGCTTTTTTAGGGGGCATGTATTGCTGTTTACTCTTAGATGGGTGGGTGAGCCGCATTTACACTGTTTTACTTTATGTTTTACTGTATTCGTTTCTACCACTGTATTGCTTGCTGTTTCCATTCTAAAGTTGATCAAGGCACGCTTTTTTTTCTATTTTTTTTTGTATCTTCTTTGAAATACGAGGTAAATCACAAGAAGAATAACTTGTAAAAGCATGCAAAGTTGGATTAGTAGAAGCAATTGGCGTCAAAGCAAGTGAAGTTGAAACAAATGCTGTCAAAGTAGGTGTATCATGATCCACATCTAAAAAAAAAAGCAAGGCACATACTCTCTCGTTATGTATGTTTTTGATACTTACTCATTAAATCCTTCTTTCTTTTTGATATCGTTAAATCGTCCATTAGATTATTTTCACGCTTTCGCTTCATTATCTACTATAGAATCTTGAAGAAAAAAGAAATGTTGAAGAAGTTTTTTTTATTTTATCTGAAAAAGGTAAAGTGTAAAAACTGTAAAATGCATATAAATTAAACACCCGCATCTTTTTAGACTCCGCCGATTATTTTATTTGTATATGTCTAGAAGAAGGCTTATTTTTTTTTTCGCTTTAATAAGCATATATGATAGCTATTTAGTATGGAATTCCAGGGATTTCCACGTATTCATAGTATATTTTATGCAGTATTTGACATCATAAAAGGTACTGTTGTAAAACATCAAGTACCCGAAGGAAGTATAACGCCACAGACATATAACGCTACTACAAATTCATTGCTCATGATTGATCCAGTACAACAAAATAGTAAAACACTCATCGATTTTGAAGCTATTAGTGAATATATTATACCCAAAAAACAACTTTATAAACGACTTGTAACTATATGTACAAATGGATATAAGGTAATGGGATGTCCCATTGTCTTACATGATCATGAACGTTATCGACATTATAGAAATGAATTTCGTTTTAATCTTTGTTTTGTATTTGAACAAGATGCAGAAACAAGTAGCTATGAAGCTGTTGTAAGAAAATTATCGAGGGTTTTAGAAGGGTTAGAGGTACTTCAAATACGTTTGTTAATATAGACGAGTAATTAAGAATTTTTTTTTTTCAAAGCTTGAATGTAATTTTTTATCAAAAGATGTTAGTTCAGAATCACAAACAATACAAAATGTAATTGAACAATTATTTGAAGATTTAAATAGTTATTGTGAATGCCAAATTCCTATAAGTAAAATAATTGTTAATAACAAAAAAAAAAAAAAAAAAAAAAAAGGGAGGGATATATTTACATATTATTTTTAATAGATACCTTTAATACTATTAATTTAAAATTGTTTCCCACTTACCCAAATCCTCAAACTGTCTATGATTATCATGTGCCTGTTTGTACAGTAGATTTGAAAAAAATGATGACTTCTAACTGGGATATTACTGTACAAAAAGTAGCAAGTCTTATTAATGGTATTTATCATGTAAAACGAATTGCTGAGCTAGCCAATGTTAAGCCAGAATGGGCTAGACAAAGTATAGAACATATGATGTATGTAAAAAAAAAAAAAAAAAAAAAAAAAAAAAAAAAAAAAAAAAAAAAAAAATTAAATATACTCTTTTTTTTTTTCTTTCTCTCTTTACTAATATATAATGATAGGTATTATGGATGTGTCATTTTAACAGATATATTTCAATATTCGAATGTATATGCTGTTAAACCTGAAATAACACGTTTATTTGATCCTAAATATAGTCTTGCGCAAGAATGTTTACGGTATATTATGTTACCAAGTAAAGTAAAGAAACATAAGGTCTATTTCATTTATCCTTATACAATCTCTTAGATGCACCGGAAATCTCAATTGAGAGAGTCTATGCCTTATACTGCGGCTTGAAATATGGTTTAACAGTAAAAGATTGGATTGAAGAGCAACAACTAGCTTCATTACAAGTTGATGAAAGGTAAGAGTTGAATCAAATATGTATATATTCTGAATACTAAAATAAATAGATAAATAAATATATTTAGGCGAGTTATATCCTTTGGAGTGATTAAAGGCCTTATTTATAGAGTTCATAAATATCCTATATTGACATATACAATAAACGATAATGAACCTCCAAAATTAGGTTTCCCTCGTAAAGAACAATATCATCAAGTCATCAATAAATACACCGGTACTCCTATTCATCCAGATATTATACCATTTCTTGATGGAAAGCATCACTACGATGAAATATGCACTAAACTAGAATGTTCCCCTCAAGAATTAGATGAGCAATTAGGCTATAGTCATCAACAACAGCGATTCATAGACAATAATAATAGAAAAGAAGAAAGTCGTATAGTTGAAGCATTTTATGAAAACACAGCCACAGATGATTATCTTCAACAACCTAAAGAAGCCCTTTATAATTGGAGTGTACAGATCATTTATCGATAACATTTGACATCTTCCCGAAGTCCCAGGAAAAGTCTAGGTTGCTTCTTATTCGTAATGCTTGTATTACTTGGTTCCAAATTATTACAAGTGGTACAAAGATCGACGAAAAGGAAAGTAAATCAGTAATTAAAACAGTTTCCAAATCTTTTTCTCCTGTTTCTTCTATTTCTATTTTATGTTGTATTACAGCTTTAATAAGCTATTTGTTATGGACACTATTTTTAGATAATATATGTATATATTCTTATTATTCTTCTTGTATACATACGACAAAATGTTAATTATATATAATGTAATTCAGGAGTTTTTAATTCTTTGTTATTTCCTTTGAGTCTTCTTTTCTTTTTCTTTTTGTTTTCTCATTCCTTTATCTAGACACTCACTTGTTTTTTTCTTTTTTGTTATATACTACATGTTGTTCTTAAACAATAATTTCTTAATTGCAACAGCAGTTGCTATTCTTTATACTAACAGCTATGTTATTGCTCAATCTACTGCTACTGCTTCAGTAACTCAGTCTGCAGTGGCTCCTATATCTTCAACAACAGAAACTAATACTATCCCTAACACTAAAATTACTTGGAAGAATAATTATCCTTCAGGCATAGCAAAGCCTATTCCTAAGCCCGAGTGGGTAGCTTTGGTCAAAGATGATCCCGCACTAAAAATTAAGCCTAATATTCTTACAGCTGGTATATATTTTATATATTTATTCTTGTTTCTATGGATTTGTATACATATTTATAATTATTTTATTCTATTTATTATTAGACGGTATTATTCAAAATGCTGATCCTACTGGAAATAATACACACTGTAATTGGACTTGGGACGGTTGTGTTAAACCTACAGATATTGTTCATTGTAAAGAAACGAATGTTTGGGGCACTGTAATATACATTTATTTATTTTTATATACTATTTTATGTATACATTTATTTATTTAACCGTATTTAAATAGAGTTTTGATGATGGGCCATATGAAATTACTAGAGAACTTTTAGCTTTTCTTAAATCTATCGACCGTAAAGTTACATTCTTTGTTGTTGGTAAGCAAGTTATTTCGATGCCCGAAGTCCTCAAGGAAGCATATGATCAAGGCCATGAAATTGGTATTCATACTTGGTATATTTATATTTACACATGTATATTTATATAACTCTCTTTTTAACTGTTATATATGTATGTATATATTTCATAAAGGGATCATGCTGAATTAACTACTCTTTCTAACGATATGATCATTGGTGAATTAAAGTGGACAGAATTAGCTATTAAAGAAGTCCTTGGTGTTACTCCTCGTTTAATGCGTCCAGTAAGTGAGAATTTCAACCTTTTTATTTTCTTCATTCTAACTATGTCTTATATAGCCCCGAGGCGATATTGATGATCGTGTCCGTTATATCGTTAATCAATTGGGTTATACACCTGCAATGTGGTCTGTCGACTCGCAAGATTGGAGAATTACTGCAGGTGGACAAACAGAAGCAGGCCTCTTAGGCAATGTTACGCAATGGATTAACAGTCTTCCTACTCTAAAACAAGGTGGAAACTCATTAATGCATGATTTGACTAACATTACTGTCAATGCCAATATCAAAGGCTTAGCTCTTTTGCATCCTCACGTCACACTTGTTCCTGTCGGTCAATGTGCAGGCTGGAATAATGCTTCTTATGCTGAAACTCTTTCTGCTGTTCCAAATACGACTACTCATATGTCTACTACTCAAAAGAGCCTTACAGCAACTGCTACAAAGGCAACAGATACTATCATTGTTCCTACTTCTTCTAATAAGGATGCTAACACAAGTAACGCTTTTAATTTAGTTTATAATCCTCATTTTTTTTACACTCTTCTTTGTTTATTATTCATTGCCTTTTATGTTTAAATCTGGAAAATATCTCGTACGCATACACGCAACTACCTGTTTTTTATAACTCATTAAAAATCAATGTTATTTATATATTTTGTATATTGTCTATAATTCTAAAGGAAAAAAAAAAAAAAGAAAAGAAAAAGAAAGAAAAGGCTTATATTATTGAGTGGATGGATTTGATAACTATATAAAACTATTAATGATCGTTTTATTCTGCGGTAATAATAAACTTACTGTTTGACTCAATTCTGTAAAACGAGCACTAACAAGTTCAGAATGTTTTAAAAATTTCTCAACGCAACTTTTTACACATGCAGACTGTAAACGAAGAATAAATTAGTCATTATAAATAAATATAAATATCTGTATTATGTTTCTATACTCATAATTATTGTTACTATTACCTCTTTTCCTGTTACTGCCTTTGTTGTAAAATTATTTGCGCATTCTCTAAAGCATAGATCAACAAGACCTGTGAACAAATTGACAAAGTCTGACATCTTTTGTACATGTTAATTTGATTAAAAAAAAAATTAATTTCAACTGTTCGTTACTTGTTTTTGTTCAATCATAGCATTAATTTGTGCTTGTTCAGCTTGATTAAATCTTCCAAAATCCATTATTCTATTCTTAATTCAATGCTTTCTTTTTTATATGTGTATATAAAAGTAAAAGTATGTAATTCAAACTTGGGGCTTTCTTCTCTTCTTTTATTACCCCGCTCTTATTATAAATAAAAAAGAAAAAAGTGGCGGGTAAAATTATTCCCTCTTTAATGAAATCAAATGCATTATGCAACAGTTTTCTTCTCTTTTTTTTTATGAATGATAGTATGTCCTCAATTTGCATATATCCAATGTGACAACAATAATTTCCTTAATGTATATGACGACATTATAATATATTATTTGAATTATTTCACGTGATTTTCGCTTTTAATGGTTGGCTATTATGCACAAATATCTGGTTCCTTTTTTTTTTGTTATTATTATTATTTTTATTGATATTTTTAACTTTTTTTCCCTATTTCTCCTTTCCTTCTCGGTTTTTTTTTGTTAAGAAAAAAGAAAGAAAAAGGAAAAGAAATTGGGCCAATCTGAACTTGACAAATTTAATAATAAAAAAGAAAACACTCAATTTGCCTTTCTTTAATTATTTTATGAATTCCATTTTTTATTATGCAGTCATCTTATCAACAGTCATCTGCAATTCCTAATGGTCCTTCAAGTTCTTCTAATAATACGCGTAATTCAAAATTAGATCAAATTATACAAGTAAGGCTTTTTTTTTAAGTATTTATCATTATATGCACTGTCTTACTATTATTTTTGAATAGAACTTCTATACAAAGACTGCGCAGATAATTATTCAATCTCGATGTACTACTAATGAAGCACGATATGGGAAAAAAGCCAGTTACAAAGGGTCTTCAAGTAAAAAACTAAATAAATGGGTAATATATTTAATAACCCTTTGCAAATTTCAAATTAACAAAATAAAAGTTTAATGTAGCGACTGAAGATGTAGAAATATTACGAGAAGATTTAAAGTACTGGAGAAATATGGCTGTACAAACTACAGCATATAAAGAACCTCCGCCCATGATTATTGATATCTATTTAAATACCTCAAAACTATCTTTCAATCCATCTTTGGTAGTTGCTGATGATAATTTGAGATGGGGCTATGTCGAGCTTAAATCACAAATTACAGATACCCATATTGATCGTATTCTCATTGAATCTTGGGAATTAACTTTAAAGTAAGTCATTACAATAAAATGAGAGCTTATATAACTTAAGCATTTGTAATTTAGTCATCCATTTCCAGATTATCCAGTCGATTTACCCAATTTATACAAAAAATGTATAGTCTTCTTTCGCTCTTTACATACTATTACTCGACTATTACCAGGCTATGACCTCTATCGTAAATTATATAACGCAAATGATTCATCAAATCTTTTATCAATTGGTTATCGTTTATCATCTTCAACCGCACAAAAGAATAATTCAGAAATTCCAATAGAATCAAGTATATTAGAAAGTGATGCTCGTAAGCCAACGAAACTATATGAGTTTTCCGAAATTGTTACTCCTATAGGGTAAAGTACCATAGTCTTTATTATTGTTATTATTCTCTCTTACCAATATTATTTATTAGTATCTTTAAGCTTCATGTAAACTATCGTCGTAATTGTGATTTTAGAATAGAAGATACCGAAAGAGATTTAAGTGCACAATTTATCGACATGGATGAGCAATTCTTTACTCCAACTATGCTAAAATATAAGCAAGAACAGCAACAATTATTACAGCAAAAGCAAAAACAGCATAGTGATTACTCAATTAGGTCAACTACTAGTACTGGTACTGTTACAAGGCCTAGTTCAACAAATAGTAATAGTAGTAAATCAACAACACCAAGGTCTTCTATAGATTATAGACTAGTAAGTATTTTTTTTTTTTTTTTTTTGTAAAAGATGAGTTGGTAGTTACCTTTTCTCTCTCTCTCTCTCTCTTTTGTAAGGAAAATCCATTAAAGCACCATGCTACAACCGACCCAAGAGAAATAAGACCCCCTTTATCAAAAGGAGGAAATACATTTATTGTTGGTAGTAGTGGAAGCAATAGTATTCGAAATGAATCCCCTTCAACATCGAATTCTACTAGTCGTCGTGCATCTGCTGCATTTATTATTTCACCTTTCAAGTCTCCATTCTTGTCTTCTTCGCCTCAAGCAGAATCTATATTCTCCAGTGGAGGAGGATTAGCCAAAATTCAACCAGATAATAAATATAGGGCATCACCATTAATGCTTCATAGCAATAGTAGCACAAGTAGTACAGCAGCAGATCATCCTAACGTAAACACTAATGCTACAGATAGTAGTTCTTTTAGTCGTAAAATTGAATTTTCATCCAGTTTTGAAAAATACAAGTCATCAAGTCCTACAAGAACAGTGGATTCACCTTCAAATGCAAGTATAATGATGATGAAAAGATTGTCTCGTACCAGTGATCATACAAGTAGTTCGATTTATTTGAAAGAATATGAAAATAATGCAGATGATGACTTGGAAGATTTCGTTCGTCTTGTTCGTTCAAACCAAGAACTTCGCATGTTTAGTAGTATGTCAGTAACAGCGAGTTCTACCTCTTCACCAAAAAGGCTAAATCTTTTATCCCATTTTCAAAATTTACGTGAAACACATAATTCCCTTTCAGACTCTCTTTCATCAAGCATAATGCTTGGTACTGCAAATCAACAAAAAAATAGTGAAGAAGAGAATACAGCCACATCTCCTATCTCTTCTACCTCTTCTACAGGTCGTTCTTATCAACCTACTATACCCTCTCCACTTCATGCAGAACAGCGATCTACTACACCCATCCATATTCCTCGTAGCTTTCCTCAACTAAGATCACTCTCTAGTACACAAAATGCATTAAGATTAGCTCGTTTAAATACGAATGACGATAAACATAATCATGATATAAGTTATATAATGGATGATGAAAACAATAGACATAATGATATATCTGCATACTCAACATATCCTCAAGATCATTATCGTCAGGAGTTATATTTGCTACGAAACAATAATTATCCCGCCTTTTCTGAATGCTATCCAAATCGTATAGCTAAAAGACGAAACTCAGAGCAACCAGAGGATAAGCTATCATCACACCAAGATTTTAGTAAGAAACTAGATGATTACTATGATGATGATGATGATGATGGTCCTCTTTATCACTATCGCTCTCAACATAGTAACATAAATGAAAGTAGTCATTTAATGCAAGATAATCATTCTTCTACAACGACAATGAATCAAAGTGAACGGCAACAAAAAGCTAATAATTCACTTATGGATGATGACGATTCACTTGTATTTAAAATGAGTGAATTAGAATGTTCTGAAAGCAATCATAGTGATATGCAGCAACATCCCGGAATAATAGGATCTACCTCTTCGCAACAGCCTACTGATATGTTGTATAATAATAATACTACATTTCTTAAAAATACTACTACTACTACTACTGCTGCTACTACTACTACTACTTACCCTTCTTTGCGTATGCCATCCTCGCCTCCAACATTTGCGAATAATAACAGAGTGAATGAACAATATCTTGAATTGACACCTACACCTCTTTCGCCTCCTTTGCTTCATCGATTACAGACTATTTCTATACCAACAGAAGAAGAGAGAAAAGAAGAAAGAAATAATAAAGTAAAGAATGTGAAACCAACCAGCTCGCTTCCCTTTGATGGCTGGTAATTTATATAACACACACACACACACACACACACACATACAAACATACATACATACAAACATACATGCATGCATCACTTTTCTTTTTTTTTCTTTTTTTTTTGTCTTTTTTTTTTTTTTTTTTTTGTAATATTATAAACCTTTATTTATGTTGTTGTTATTTTATTTGTATGCATATTATTTTTGAATGACATTGCCTAAGCCATGTTCTTTTATATAATCAGATCCATATTCTTCATATTCTTGTTTTGTTATAAAATAGTCTTTATTCGACTCATCTCTAGCAAACATGGCAGCACCTTTCCATGCGTCCAAGACAGGATCCTTTGCACGTTTTATTTTAATCTTTGTCTCTACTGGATAAATAGATTGAAGTGATGTATGTAATCTATGTGTTAAGCCAGGCAGTTGACTAAAACCACCTGTAAGGAAAATATTCTTTTCACAGTCATGTATATTAGATAATATCCTTCTCTCATATGACTTTATTATTTAGTCTTTACCTTCATTACATTCTCCCTTTCATTTCCTTGAAACGTTTTCACTATATCATAGACAGTCTCAACTAATCCTGCTTGATCTAGACCAATAATACTAGGTTGAAATATAACTTCAGGGACTCGAACTCGTTCAATATTAACATGAAGTTGATAGCTTTGTCCCATGTCTGTAGGATCATATGGAGGATACACTCCATGAGCTAAAAGATGCATTAATGTATTTGTGGGTGATGACATATTTTCATAAGAATGCTCAGGTAAGAATTCAGGGTCATATTGCAATAATAAAGATTCATACTGATTTAACTCTGACATATCCTCTTCTTCTTCATCTGACTCATCATCACGGCTCTAAAAGAAAAAAAAAAGGAATTAATAATTATCCTTCTATTAGTTAGATTGATTTTTTACAATTTCACGATAAATAGCCCAATCGTCATCATCTTGACCAAATGTATCTTCATCAGTCCCTTTTCTTCTACGCTTAGATGCAGGACCATTATTGGTATCACTGGCAAGATTGGCAATTGATTTCATTCGAAGTTGTGAAGCACGTGATCGACGATCTGCTAATTCAGACGCTAAACGCTTACGTTGCTTGATACGATCAATCACTTTCTGTCTTTTTTCTTTAATTTCTGAAAGCCATCCTTCAGGATCATCCAATCGTTTTTGTTCCTCTTGACGAGCCAATTCCTCTTCTTGTCGACGTATCTCTTCTTTGGCTTTCTTAGCTCGTTGACGGGCATCATAATTAGCTTTCATCAACTTTTGTTTACGCTTTTCTTTTTTAAGAGTGTCATCAAGTTCTTCATCAGGAATATCAATTAAATCTGTTACTGGGGGTTCCTTTTCTTCTACTTCTTCAATTCCTAATTCCTTATTACGAGCACGTTGAATTGCTTTTTCTAATTGTTTAATTGTGTCATCTAAATCTGCCTCATCTTTAAATCCTGCTTCTTTTAATTGTGCCTACAAAGAAAGAAAATGAATACATACATACATACATACATATATAATTCATATTTACAATCCATTCTATTTTCTTAATAGTGCCCTTTGCATTCTTTAAATTCATAAATACTTCTAATTGTTGCTCACGAGCTACTAACTTTTCTAGTCGTGATCTTGCAGCTGCTTCACGTAATCTTTTAGCATTTTCCTCGCGTTTTGCAGCTTGTCTTGCTAATTCTTCTATTGTCTTTTCTTCTATGACGGGAGCTGTATAAGGGAATTGAATGATACGATCCATTTCATCAAACTTATCTCGATTTTCCAATTGTTTTAATGCGGCTTGATAGTCACTTGCCACATAAGCATGCTGATGAACCAATGTTTGGGCTTGTGATCCTGTCATTTTCGTTGGAAAAGTAGGATACTTGAGCTGCATTAGTTTCAACATATAATCAGACGACTGTGTTCCACCATAATTAATTCGTTTCGTTTTGGATAAGAGTCCTTTTCCATTTAGAGTAGGGATAATGTGTGTTGTATTATTACCACAAGACACAATAATGCTTCCCTTTTCATTCATTCCTTCGTTGGCATAATAACTGAAAAGTGAGTCTATACCATAACCTATAGATGGTACACTATAGTTTTCAAATAATAATTCAGTCATCCCTATACAATTGATTAATAAAAAAAAAAAAAAGGAATCAGCATTTTTATATGAATCCTTACGACTACGACTATATTGTGGTACACAGGGTGCTTCTGTCATTAGGATTGGATGATCAATAGTCAAAGTATTTATACCAAGAATAATAAATATATAGTCAAGAATATTTTCCTACACTTACGATAATTTATATATATACGTATATATGTATATGTATGTGTGTGTGTGTATACATATTAAGTTAATTTGTATTATTTTATAATAATTAGCACTCACCATTTTCTCAAAATCACAAACAACATTGTTATCAAAAGGTGAACGAGCATTTGATTTAGCTGCTGGATCTGCTAATGCATCCATACCTACAGCGAGTACACTTTCATTTAAACGTCTGTCTCTATATTTCGATACAATATTGTCAAAAATCACTAGAAATTATATATCTATATGTTAATGACATTAAAAAAATACTATCTCATATGTATCTATCTTACACGCAGGGTTTTTATCTGATGCCCAACCAGCTCTACATTGGTTAGATCCTTTTGATATAAAAAGATGAAATTATTAAGTGAATGGAAAAAAAAAATAAAAATAAAAGAGTATTCTACACATAAACAAGAAATGTCCTCACCATTATCAATGACAATAGGTGTATGAAGTGAATGGTGTTTTTTATAATCAGTTCTTATGCTGTAATATGGCGCAGTATAGTCCTTTTCTTCAAGTGTATAAAATAAAGGAATGCTAGCTTCGACCATTTATTTATTAACAAACAATAATATAAAAAAAAAAGAAGGGGGAGGGATAAATAATAAAAACGATATGTGTATATATAAAAAAAAAAAAAAAAAAAAAAAAAAAAAATAGCAGAAAATAAATAATTAAAATTTTGTGTCGGGCTTCTTTTATTACTGCTACTACTACTATTAAACCTCTAATGGTGGTTCAATTGTGGATGGCTTTTTTTTAATAACAACTGTTGTCGATGTAGGAAAATTTTTATTCTATGAATACAATAGATTAATGAAATGATTACGTAATATAACAGACATGCATCTACTTACAGAAAAACAATTATTAAGTAAGCGTGATGCTGGCTGTGGTCGTTTAGTCTGTTGCTTTTGATTCTTTATTACTCTTTTTTCTGAAGTTTTTACGACACTAGACGCCTCATCTGCTAAATGGATAGTATCAATAAGCTTATTTTTATCTCGTATCATGTCCAAGCTGACCATTAATTGATAAGAAGCCTATTATTACATAACCCATAGTCAGTTAGTCTAAGTTTGATACGAGTCATATATGTTAAACTTACGTAAGCATCTAATGCAGCATATTTTATTTGGTTTGCAGACAATTTCTTCCTACTCCAATCACTTACTCGTACATTTCCTTTTGCCATCCTTTTCTCCAACTATGATTATGATACATTATTATAGGCTGAAATTCATTCTATTTTTTTTTTTTACTTACAAATAGTGCAGTCAAAGCACGCAACGATCTTTGATGAATAATCTTCAATTTAGGTGATTGAGTTGATTCAGCTACTTCAGCTAATTCAACCAAACCATTTGTAAATATACCGAAATCACGATATATTTTGTGTCCATCGGCTCTTATATTAACGCCACTCTTGTATAACTCTCTATTTTCTAAAAAATTACGTAATTCTACAGGAAATTCTATATACACAAATATATACATGTTAGTCTCATGACAATATTACATAATATAGCCTATACATACTTCGCATAGACGATAACTGAATTAGTAGAATTCTATCTTCAGAGCAAATCTGTACTAATGATATCTTATTTTCTGGTTGTCCTTTTACAAATGTCGGTCTCCATTCAAAATCAAGACCAAAGAATTTAGTTTGACTACCATTTGCTAAATCAAGAATATGTTTATTTGTATCTTCTATAGTATTAACGCAATCTATTTTATAATAACCAGGGAAACGAAGTTCGGGTAAACTATCTACATGTTTTTTAAATCGTTTATTGGCCTCATCTCTAATTAACTGTTGTTGTAATCTTTCTTCTTTCTCCAGTTGCTTTGATTTATTTATAGGTTCCTTAGTGATGGCAGTGGTTGTAGGCTGGGGATGCATACTGTCCTCTAGTTCTGCTGTCTGTGAAATAGCGGGTGTTTCTTTTAAAATTCTATTCTTTTGAGTCAGTTCTTTTGTTACCGGATCTGTTTGTTGGCAATGTGTTGTTCTACCAAAAAAAAAAAAAAAAAAAAAAAAAAAATAGAAATAGAAACAGAAATAGAAATAAAAATAAAAATAAAAAATAAAAATAAAAAATAGGAATAAATAAATAAATAAAAAAAAAAAAAAAAAAGAGAAGAGGAGGAAGTTAAATTAATTGATATTTAAACATATATGTTAATATTATTGTATTTATGCACATATTATTAAAAAACTAAACTAACGTGGAGAATCGAATCATTGATGATTCAGATCTAGCTATGCTTTTTATTAACTGCCAATTTGAGGCTGAACGACAAAGTTGGAAAACTCTATTGCGAGAAGATTGCATTTAAACTTATAAATGTTGAAAATAAAGAAAAAAAAAAAAAAAAAAGGGAAAGAAAGGGAAAAAATAGACCTGGTGAATATCTTTTATATTTGAACGGGGAGGAGAGAAGGGCCAATTATAAAGTCACGTTTACAACAAATAAAAAGCCAGTATTATTTTAAACAGTTTTTATTATTTATTTATTTATTTATTTATTTATTTATTTATTTATTTATTTATTTATTTATTTATTTATGCTTTGAAAGTCCATCTTCCTTCTTGTAAACCCTTTGCAGTATCTTCAAGTAAGATCTCTCTTCTCAATTTAACGTAAACTGTTTTATCCAATACAGCTTGTCTTAATTCTGCAATTTTTTCTGGTTCTAAGGGTTTTTCCAATAACTCTGATAATTGCTCGGTAGCCATTTCCAAATCACGTTGATTATCCTTTGAAGATATATAAAAATTAGAACTAAGCTATTTTATATGTCTTCAACTTACTTCAAACAATTCTGTTTGATTCGTTCTGTCAAGATAAAATGCAAATGCATATGTCCATTTTAATGTTGTTCTACATTGAACTGTTACATCAACTGCTTTTTTAAGGAATTGAACTTCAATCCATGAAAGGTCACTAGTCTGTTGCATTTCTTCCATCTTTTTTTCTGTCTTTTGATATAAATCTTGATCCAATTTAGCTGATTGTTCATGATTTGCATAACGATTATAATACTTTATATATGTGAATATGTAAGATATATACGCGTATATATATATATATATAAAAGACGCTTCTTTTTGATAATAAAAACTTACATGAAGATATCTCTCTAAACTCGCTCTAGATTGTGTCTGACTATCTCTAGCTTCTTCACTACTCTTTTCATCATATCTATTACATGTATACCATGATGTTCCATGTTCGGACCAAGGTCCTGTAAGATATATAATATAAATATAGGATTATATATATATATATACATATATATTTTTGTACTTTACCCATGCAGACCCAACAAAACTCATATCTACATTTTCTACATGTCATATGATTGCAGCCACCATTTTTTTCAATTGTTGAGTGGCATTTAGGGCATTCTTTTGTATGAGCTGAAATCCAATTCGCTGTTTCCGAATCGTCTTCACATTTTTGTAGCCATTTTTTAACTAAAATACAAATACAAGGTTGATGATCATCTAATCCACAGCCAAAACAAAAACGACAACCACATTTACATTCAACAGTAGGTACAATTGAACTTAGTGAGGTACTTGGAATACTACATTCAATGGCATATTCACAATCAGGAGCTGGACACCATCTTAAAAAGTCATTGTCATCTACAAAAGTCCTATTCAACAATTCACGATATTTTATATTTGTATCAGGATCTACCAACAATTCTACCGTCTTTTCATCAACAATCACTGGACATTCATTCTGAGGACATTGGATTCTTCTACTTTCACCTTCTTCTCTAATCTTTTGAACAAGGTAATGTGTATAACATGTTCTACAAAATCGATGTCCACATGATACACCAATCGTCTGCATTTCTGGTGAATCATCACAACAGATCTCACACATAAATTCAGGAGCCACATCTTTTGCGAGTAAGATGGCATGCTTTAAATCACAGACAGAGGAAACACCTGCTTGAATTAATACTTTTTCAGATGAATCCATATATTGTTCAAATAATTTTTCCTTATTCCAACGGAAATAACGTAATAATGTAGAAGCATCTTCAGATGATAAGCCTATTCAAAATAAAATGATATACATATAAGATAGAATCATATATTGTATTATGCATAGAATATTACCTAAAATAATTGAAACTTGAGTTATTTCTTTATCTTGTTTATTCTTTAAAGCAGCTGCATTAAGAACTGTATATTCTACTTCATATGCTTTTTTCTGTTGTTTCTCTGCAAATATATCATCATTGACATCGTCATTGCTACTATATCCTTCACTTTCTACAAATAATATATATTTATGGATATTATTAATGGTCTCTATTCATATATAAACTCTAATGAATAGAAGAAAAAGGAAAGAGTAAATATAAACTTAATATCTATACATCTTATGCATTTAATACTTACAAAAAAAAAACAAAATACCACTCATCGAACTAACGAAATCAGATTCATCTTCATACTTGACAACATGGGAAACAATATTAAAAACATATTTTTTTTTCTTATGCTAAGCATATTAAGACTTTACCATACACTCATCTTCAAATTCACTTTCAGAGCTCATAGTAATCTATTAATTTATTAATGTGTGTTTTTTTTATTCTTAGCTAATAATATATGGAATAAAACAGAAAATAAAAAAGAGAGAATTTGGTTGTATAATATAGCAGCAGACTATCATAGTCTTTATATACGCAGCTTTGCATTTTAGCAGTCACATATTTCTTTTTTTTTCTTCTTTTAAAATTTTACTTACTTACTACTGCTACTACGACTTCAAATTTATTTGATAAATGATTTTAATTGCTGTGAGTAAGTAGTATCTGAATGATAATGGACTATTGCCCAGATCAGATCAACAAAATAAAAGTGAAAAAGAAGCTAAATATGCTAGTAAGAGATACAAGGTATAAAGGAAAGAGAGAGAAAGAGAGATAAGAAGAAGAAGATAAAAAAAAAGTTATAATAATGTAACAAGAAAGAAGAATGTATACAGCAGCTTCGGGTTGCTAAATAACCATTGAAGAAACTTAGAAGAACCACGGTTTTTTCAATAGGAGAGGGAAGTTTAACATGAAAAAATGGAACCTAATTTGTGGACAATGGTACGTATTTTAAGTTAGCGAATAATCTATGTAGAAGTGGAGGAACTACTTCTTACAACATGTAACGTTTAGCGTTTACTGAGAAGATAATGAAGTAGAAAAGACAAGGGAACAGTCATTGTGCTAGATATTTGTAGTTGGCAGTGCATATTTAAGCCGATAATAATATGAAATTAGGTGAAATTAACATTTGGATGAATGATACAAGATTTTGGGATAATCAAAAGCGATACCAACGTAGAAGACAACTACTACATTCAGCTTAATTGATAAGTAGCCAAAGAATAGGATGAATGATGTGTATTAGACGAAACGGTGAAAAAAAAATCAAATGAGATAAATAGAGTCGTTTATCGAACTTTTCATCTAAAAAATCTCAACAAATGAATTAAAAGGCGCAACAGTTAATATTATCAGTATTGGGGTACACATAATTGTCATCATGGTTGTTTGGAAAGTTTATACCAATGAGAGTAATTGGCTCTGGGTATGCAAAAAAGGCATAAATTTGATCCATAGCGTATGCTCTGGGAAAGCCCAGAGAATGAAACAGAGTTTTTATTTATAACAGGTATACTCATTTTTTTATTATGAGTTGATGAAATAGACGAAGTATTACCTAAGTTATAGTGTATCCACTTAGAATAGGATGATCAAAAAAAAAGAACCAATATCATGTTTTAGATATATAAAATAAAATTGTGAATAATGTAACACAGTGGATTTGGACAAAACAAAATTAGGATTTAGAAGGATATATGTTAGCCTTTTAGACAAGCCAATGTATCATATTTAGTTAATTTATCTGTAAATATCTAAACTCTTGCTGAAAAAACAGAACTGTGTTGAATACAGCAATGTGTTTTGCAATAGGATTAGAATACTTCCCTGGAGAATATTCGTAGTCTTCCATAACTAGGAAGAATATTATGAATAATCTTGTATATACATTTAGATGTATTGACATCACGTTGCCATAACATTTTACATCTTCGGCTAGAAAAGTTAACTGTTACGTCTGTAATATTAATAGTCCGGCAGCAGTTGAACACCTTAAAAGTGTATATATGTATATGTATATATAAAATGCTTGTATTTATAAAGTTAATGTTCGATTTATTAGACCCATTGCTGTCAAATTCTTTTATGTTCTTTTAACTAATGGTCTAGGTTCAAATTTGCAAACTATATTATTGTTCAAACGTCTTTATATATCTTTTGTTACCATGGGCATATTGTATTTTTGTAAGTTTAGCAAAACAAGAGGAATAACTGTACTATATAATCGTTGTATATATATTGATTAATCACAGTTAACTACGTACAGATATACATATTGCACTTTTTTTTTTTTTGACTTTCCTTGAATTCATGAGGAGTCAGAAGCGAGATAAATATTTGTATTTTCAACTATGTGCCTTGTAAAAATATATTGTTCAGTCTCGTTGATTTATTATACAAGTTTATGCATATCTTAATAGAGATATCACCCTGAATGCTATACTCTTTTTAATTAATCCCTTTATTTATTTTTTTAACGATAAAATTATCCATCATGCCTTTTAAAGGCTTTGTTTGTAAATTGATATAACCCTCAGTCATTGAGTTTGATTCTTTTGTTTTAATAACAACTTCATAGTGCAAAATGCCTATTATCACGATGGTCTATACCACTATTTTTAATTAAAATATTACAGCCAAAACCTGGTTTTTTTTATTGATATTACTAATTTAACAATCCTGTTTGCACTCTTTTTGCTAGTATTTACACCAACTTATAAAAATGATAATCAATACAGTACATAAACAACTACAAAGCTCAGTTAGTTAGTATTGAATCTTCTTCTACAAGTCGTTACTAAAAGTTTTTTTTTCATTTATAATTAATAATAAAAAAGGGGTAATGATCCAATTAGCCAGTAGCTTCTTTATATAATAAAAAAGACTGCTGTTTCCAGAAGCAACCAATCGTGGAGGTTGATCATTATGTGCTTCCTTTCACAGTTTTATTTAACGAGAGACGTGAAAACACCAGATGAAAGATACTCTCGGGATTGAATATTTTAAGTGACCAATACATCCAAATAACTTCACTGGGGGGATTTATTATTTAGAGTGACCATTATCCGGAGAATATCACTGACGATTTATTGTTTATAGTGACCAATATCCTCAGAATATCACTTTCACAAAGGAAAAGAAAAAGAAAAACAAAAAAAAAACTATTTTTCTTCCCCTATTTATATTTTTTTTTCACATAAACAAAAGGTTTCTAATAGGCACAGTGATTTATTGTGGCTTATTGTTTTCTATTAGAAAGATTTAACGATATGACTCTGTTTACCTTTGTTACACTTTAAATATAGATCATCATACATATTGAATGCCAAGCTCCTTTCTCCCCCTTTATTTATTTATTTATTTATTTAAACGGAGCTTTTTCCCCCTCTGTTGCTGCTTATATAAATTTTGTCTATTTATAGACTTCAGTATAATTGACTCTATTCTTTGAGTATATAAAAGGGCATTAACAAGTAATACTATATAGAAATATCTGAGTGTAGTTTGCATATATGTATATATATATACCTTTTTTTTTCTCTACAGTAGTGTCTGAAATAAAAAAGTATTGATTTATCTCTTGAGTTATTATATTTATTTGCTGTAAGCTGCGATATTAGATTATCTTTTCTCAGTGGACAATTTATTCTTTGAATGAATAAAAGGGAATGAAACAATAGAATAAATGCTAATTGTAGCCAATGGAGATATATACCATTGAGTATATAGATATACATATTCTTTGTACTATTTCGTATCGTACAGAAAAATCTAGAGCTCTCTTTATTCGGAGGTGTAGAAAATGCATATCTAATAGAAAAGTATATAAGAAAATGCGTGTTACAAGCTGATGTTTCTTAGTTAAACAAGTAGATCATCATAAAATTATTACTCGAGAGATTCAAACTAGATTCTCTTAAAACTCTTCTAATCTACTTCATTGAATAATATCAAAACATATAACACTTTGTTATTTATAACATATTTTATTCGGTCGTTCACCAACACTTTTACTTTTCTGTTTCACATCCTATCGCAGGCTATTTCTTTAACAATTCTTATAAATACTCGTCAATTTAATAAAAGCCATTAATAAAAATAATTTGACTTCTAAAACTGATATATCCTCAGCAATAAAGGTTAAAGGCACAATAGAAAAGTTAGAAAAAAAAAAGACAAAGTGATTTGTCAAATACTAACTATTTAAAGATAGTTAACTATTCTTTCATTTTTATTATTAAAGAGCATTTATATATAAATTCAAATATCATTATTTAAGGTGTGCTTTGATGAGTTACAACCCTATGAAAATAATTAAGTATAGCTTAGCTCCTGACATATACAACATGTATACAGTGATACAGTATATGTTTATATATCCTTGTTACTTTAAAGATATTCAAATCTATAGCTTTTTGATATCAGTTAACTATACAACTTTAGTCAAATTAAATCGTCTTGATGCGCTTAATAAAACCTATGTCTTATTAGAATAGAAATATCTCTTGCTTACCTTCTTTCGAAAACATGAACTATTACCCTCCCCCCCTTTTTTTTTTCTTTAAATTACAGTGTATTCAATCGTTATGACAGAACAAATTTTTGCGTCTATATGTGATATAAAAAGTTAGGTTTTAAATAACTTTCAAAAATCAAAAGGTACACAATTTTTTTTAAGATATTCAACATTTGAACTCCTATATTTGAACACCCAACCCCTTTCTTTTAATCAAAGTGTTTCCATCATTAAGCTTTATAATAAGACAGTGAATTCTTGTAAAACTAAGATTATAAATTTCTTTCCTAAACTTGTAAAATATAGGCTTGCTTTGACTTAAACCCTCAAACTCTTCAAATATAAACTATATATATTAAATCAGGGTTTGTAGCTAATAGCTGTTTCTAGAAAAAGCTCTTAACTATGAATTTAACATGCTCTTTTCCCATTTTTCTTTTTCACTTGTGAAAGGCATCGTTTTTTTTTTCTCGATAGGTATCTCATATGCAGCAACTCATTTATGCTCTGTCTTTGAGTGAATTTCCATAATTTTGAGCAAGTTCAACAGTGTTTTTAACAGCGTGTGTCTGCCTCATTGGGAAAAAAAACATATCACACTAATTATCAGTATACCTTTTACAGATTTGCTTATTATTTTTTAATCACTGAACAGTTATTAGTTGTATAATTAATTGAATCTTGAGGGAACACATCAAACGGAAAAATTATTCAAAAAAAAAAAAAAAAAAAAAAAAAAAAAAAAAAAAAAGCGTACATCATTGAAAAAGATTAGCATATTTTTATTTAACTCTCTTTCTTTACAACATTTAAGAAGATGAACATTATTTATGAAGACGGTTTAGGAAATCAACATGACATTGAAGGAAACAAAGTGATAGAGTTTTAAATGAAGGTTGATAACGAGATGTGTCCAGTCGAAAGCGTAACTGATTACGATCGTTATACAGAGTTGAAGCCTCCCAAGAAAGAAATAAAAAACGAAAACTGGAACACCACCAAATGACAAAAAGCAAACGAATAAGGGAACAAAAGCATATAAACACTATAAGGATACCGAGAAAGAGAAGCTCTTTTATCTTGTCGAGGAGAAAAGGAATGAGCGTTCGTGCTGCTGCGATGTCTCTTAATATTAATGTTCCCACAACACAGCACAGTACAGCACAGGGCTGGATTGGCCAAGAACAACAAAGCTCCTCAGGAGTACATTCAAAGAGCTACGGGCAGCGGAAAACCAGTGGGTAGACCACCAATCTTAACTGAGGAGCATAAGGACTTCATAATTGAATGGACAGACGAAAACACTCGACTCCGTTACATTAAATGATATGCTTAATGCATTGACTGATAGGTTTGGCAAACTCGATATCAGTAAAAGCGGCTTTAACAAATTTGTAAAGGAGAAATATAAAATTACATTCAAGTAAGCACGTTTACAATCTGTAGAGAGAAACAGCACTGAAAAAAAAATTGAAGAGCGTTATCAGTGGGTGGAAATAGATATGGACTTCACCAGTCACTGCGTGTTTATTGGTGAAGTTGCTTTTCATATCAATCTTAGAAGAAATTTCTCTTGGTTCAAAGAAGGCAATCGTGCGATTGAGAAAGTACCCAAAACGAGAGCAAAGACCACAAGTGCCGCCTCCATCAAAAAAAGAGAAAAGCAGTAAGAGGATCCACTTCAAAAGTGAGCAGTAACAGTGGTATAGTTTCTGAGCATTACTTCAATTTTATCAAGAGTGTTTTGGATGTAATGGACCGTCATGAGGAATTTAAAGGTCATTATCTGATTATGGACAATGCTCCTATTCGTAAACATCAATACATTCAAAACCTTATTGAGAGCTGGGAATACGGTAACAAATTTTAGATCTTTGGTTCCTTTCTCTAGTTAACCAATGATATAGTTTTATATTTTGTATCTCTTTTTTTTTTTTTTCAGTCTCCCCTCCCCTCAAGTTAGATTCTTTTTGCTCCGACCCAGGAAATTTTAGTGTATTTTCTAAATTTTTCTTATCTAAACAGAAGAGAAAGAAAGAAAATAGGAATAAAGCAGCTGCACAGTGACACAATATTAAAGACGTTTAATTTACTACAGATAAGTATCAAAAGCTTGATTTATAGTAATTGTGAGGCGATATATCATAAAATACTTGTACTTTGGAGCACGTAAGAAATTAAATATCATGTAACATTTCATGAGAAGGAGGTATAAACAGTAACATGCCAATTTATCTTTTTTTTTTTTCTTTTAAGAATAAACATGACTATTGTATGTATAGTAAAAAATATTCTTATTAAAAAGCCAATAAACATTTATATAAATATATTACGCGCTAATTTAATAATTATTATACTAGGCATAAAGAAAAAAAAAAAGAAAAAAAAAAAAAAAAAAGCAAATTATTACTGATTGACTTGTCGAAGTACAGCATGATAGTTTTCGGAATTACGCTTTAAAATATCCATAACAGGACCTAATAGTCTTGTAAATGCTTTTTTACCAAGTGTAGCACATTTCAATTTTCCTTTAGCAATAACTGTAGCTGCACGAGGTTCATCATTTAAGAGTGCAAGTTCTAAAACAAAGAAAAAATATATATATGTATATGCATTTAATATATAGCCCTTAGTTTATATATATAGTAAAAAATATTACCTCCAAAATAATCTCCTTTTTACCAATCATAACTTCTTGTTGAGTACCATCAGGTAAAAGTTTATAAAAGATGGCTTCCCCTGATTCAATCAAATAAAAGTTATCACCTGCATCACCTTCTTTAATAACAACTTCCTTATCTTGAAATTGAACAGATTCTAAAGCATCAGCAATCTTATGTCGTTCATAAACTTCAAGTGATTTAAAGATAGGTACTTCTTCTAAGAAACGTTCATACATACGTCTCTTACGAGCTGTATTTTCCATTAAGATTGAACGAAATGTAACACGATCAAGAGCATATAAAACACAATCAGATACAGCAATAATGGAAGCAGCACGTGGCGCGTTATACATCAAAGCTAATTCACCAAAGCTTCCACCAGGACCATAAGAAGTCACTTTTTTATCATGAATGAAACAATCAAGGCTACCGGATTCAACAATATAGAAATAATCACCTACAGCACCTTGTTCAATCACATGAGCTCCTTCTTTAAATTGCTTTTCTGCCATTGCATTTACAACGTCTAAATATTGTTCTTCATCGAGATTTTTGAACAAAAAGTTATTACCGATAGCAGTACGAATACGGGCACGTTGTTCATCCGTTTTAGGAATTACAATTTTGATAAAATCATCTGGCTTGTGAGAGGGTTGCATTGATTCAGCACTAACAGATGTACGACGACCTCTACTACTTGGAGGAGGAATAGCTAAGGAAGGCATTTCATCTGATATTGTGTCTCTTTCTTCATCATGCATATCCTCATCTACATGTGAACTAGGATTAAAATCTGGTCCTAGGCTTTGTGGTTGATTATTGAGAGCTATATATATATATATATGTATATACATATATAAAAGAGAAAAGTGAATATAGCATATTAGGAAAAAATTAAAATTAAAAATTAAAAAAAAAAAGAAACTAGTCGTTATTTATTTACCAAGTGGATGTTGTTCATATTGACGTGATTCAGCGCGTTCTTCTTCTAGCTTTTTCAAGAAAAAGGTGGTACAGAACTGCAAAAGGTCTTCTGGTTGATGTTCCATGACTTGTTTGTTGAGTTCTCTTATTAACTTGTTGTATTCTTCATTTTCCACTTTTTGAAAAGGGTGAATATCTTGTTGTGACATTTTTTTTATTATTTATTTAAAAAAGATCTATATTATGATGTTTGATTATATATGAAATTATTGTGATGTATAAAAAAAAAGAAATAAAGTAAAATAAAATAAATATACAAAAGAAGAGGAAAAAAAAAGAAGAAGAAAAAATGAAAAAATAAAAGCGGAAAATGTCTGTATATTATTATTATAATTTTTTTTTTTTTAACCAAAAAAAAAAGAGGGAATTCAACTTCAGTTTGAATGCATACAAAAAGACGAATAAGAAAAAAAAAATAGATTTTGCCTTTTTATTTTATGTTTTTAAATTTTAGTATATTTTTTATCCTTATTAAATAAAGGCGCATGCATAGTAAAGATATAAGAAAGGAAAGGGAAGGTGAATTTCATCCTTTTTATTTTTTTATTTTATATGATTTTTTTTGTGTATCATAATTTTTAAATATTCAAAATTCATGCTGAAAAAAAAAAATAAAAAAAGGAAAAAAAAGAACAAAAAAAGAACAAAAAAAGAACAAAAAAAGAACAAAAAAAGAACAAAAAAAGAACAAAAAAAAAAAAAAAGAAAAGAAATCATTATAAAAAGGAAGGAAGACCCCTGTTTAAGCAAGCATGTAAATAAGAAGATGAGTTTATCTATTTACTTATAAAAAGGTTTCTATTACAAGCACAAACAATTTTTTTTTTTTTTTTTTTTTTTTTTTGTAAACGATTATGCCGAACTATCTTTATTGTAAAGGGAATTTATTAAGCGACCCTAAATAAATAATATAATTAGTAACTAAGCAATCACAAATAAATAATTAGAATCACTTACTTCGGTAATTCAAACTTTTGTCCCTTGACAACCCTATTTAAAACACGTATTATACAGTTTTAATAAAAAGCTGGTTAATACATACTTATAACTTACTTGACATAATAAATGTAAAAGAAATCACTATATAACGCAGTTTGTAGTAACCCGGCCAAAGAAGCAATCCAATCCACGGTATAATTAGCTTCAAAATAATAACGATAAATCCAATTAAACAAATAAAGTGTACGATAAGCCCCTAAAGCAAAAATATAATGTGTTGTGATCGTCTCTGCTTCACCTGTACGTTGCAACATAAATAATTGTGGTAAAATAGCTACTGATTCTAACCAGATGGAGAATGACCAAAGAATCTATGATAATAATAAGAAAAAGAAAAAAAAGGGCAATCAATATCTTTTTCTTCTTTATATGTAAGGTAGACGTCTTTACTTCTACAACACTATATTCATAACAAAGGAGAACAGATAAAACACCAGCAAATAAAATCAAATACTCCATACGGAAAGTATCGAGATTGGGATCATAAGTTGCTTTAAATTTGACTTTCATCAAATAGATTACATAGATGGAAGATGCAATGAAGAAAATCTTCATACTAGTGTTATAAACAGAATAGAAATGATAAAAAACATCAACATATCGCGTCAAGAATACAACACAGAGTAAAATTTGTGATTTAAGTGAAATGCCTATTATTATAAGTTATTAACTCATCCTTATAAATGTATGATGTAAATTTGTTAACCTACCGACGCAAGAACGGCTTTGTTTAATTTTATGAAGTAAAATAAAGATAGAAGCTAAATGAGTTAAATCAGCAGCCAATCGAAATATATTCATTTGCAAAGGTTATAATATAAAATCTAAATAAGATGTTTTACACGTAAAAATAATAATAAAAAGAGTATACTAATATATGATACAATAAAGTTGTTATAATTAAAATCTGAACCGAGCCATACACATGGACGCACCTCATTTGTAATTTCAATAAAACATCTGTAATTACGGGGTGTGTATATGGTATACACGAATATTTTACTAAAATACCTTTTTTGCAAAATTATGTCATATTTTTAGATGTTCAACTATTGAGGAAATTATGTCACATAAACAAAAAAAAAAAAAAATTAAATTAGTGACAATATTATGAAATGAAGAAATTCAAGAGTAAAATAAATTTTTTTTTAAATAAGTAAATACAAAGCCTACTCTATTTCATGATAGATAAGATGATTTTGCTTAAATGTCAAAAAAAAAAGTATATATTATGTACCTAGGTTAAATCTAGCAATAACTAGACTGAAATATTTTACTGTAATCAAGAATTTTCAATTTCTAAGCTTTTTTGTATTCTTGGTCGCTGGGAAAACTAAAGTACGTTAAAATCGTTCTGGGATACTACTATTTACTCGCAAAGACCGAACAATAGCAAGTATATTCAAGTAAGCTGCAAGATATCGATTTTAAGGACAATATCCGAATCTGTATTAGTCAAGAGAAGCCTTTTCTACATATTTGGTCTGTGCACTTATTTAAATAAAATCAATACGAATCAATTAAAATGTATAACCTACAAGTTTTGAAAATAATAACATTACCTTAAAATGCCATATCTGGTGATTTGAGAAGGTGTCTTGTCTTCTATGTGGGTCCTGGTTTTTAATTCTTCAAAATGTCTCAAGACCTAAGCTTTGGCAGTTACTTGTATTAAATTCATCAATTAAATATACCAGAAAACTGTACCTTTTCAGTAGCCTTCTAAAGCCAATGCCCCATATTGGTTCGTGGTATACAATGTTTGAGGTAGATCATTTACCTATTATAAACACTACGTCTTGACGAAAAGCATGTCTTGGTGGGGGTTTTTTTTTATCAATGCTTGTTCATATGATTGCTTATTAATGTACGCAGATAGTTTTAGCTTCCAATGTAGCTTGTTAGTATTGTCATGATTAGCAGTGGTTTCAACGTAATGATTTTGTAAATCATTAAAAACCTTTGATTCATTTTCTGTAGAAAAATCTTCGAATTGTTGAAGATTCAATGTATTAGAATGCAAAAGAGTCCTTTCAGCGTCGTTAATACTTTGAGGTTTTATCTCTTGTGAAATTCTTTTCTTTCTTAAAATTAATTTTGATGAGACTTTGTATACCAATATTTTATTGGTATATTAACAGTAAAGTATGTCTCGTCTTTTTTTGGATCAATTATCGCATATCTAACAGTGATTTGTTATTATTATTCCACATACAACTTATGCACATACTGGATTTATTCTACTTGATACGTATATTTGGATGAGTATCTGCCTTACTTATCTGTTCTTTTTTTTTATGACAGTTACTCCCAACACCATCAGCCTGTATCGTTCCAAAAAGAAAAAGAAAAAAAAAATTTATATATCATCTTCTTTTTGGCGCTTAAAAGGCTTAGCCTCTAAATCAACAGCTACTCCTCCACCATGATTCCAATTTTTTTTTTAACATTCATATAGTATGATCAATAATATTCTGACTGATATATCCTTAGCAATAAAGATACATTAAAAAAAACAGATAAAGAAGAAGACTATAGATAATTAATCAGAAATACTGACTATTTTAAAGATAATTAAACAATTAATTCAAACTTCTCTTTTCATTTTATTATTCAATATGTATATTATTACTATTACTATTTAAGATGAGCTTCATGGAAATAAGTAAGAATATGAATTGAAGCTCAATTCCTGACACATAATATCTATCGAATATAATGAATAAATGTATGAATTCTATTCATCTTTATTAATTTAAAAATGCTCAAATACAACCTGATCCTATCAAATACTGTTCTGATAGTATTTGTTTTTATATGGTTTGATCTGGTATTATACATGTAAACAACTAGTAATGGTTAGTTTTAATATTATTTAAAGAAAGCTATCTACATATAGTGTTGCCTATGTCTGTATAATATATTTAGATATGACGGCTAGACTATGTTCATGTATTAATAATATTTATTGTTGTAATTAAAGCTGAAATAAACAGGAACATATACTTATTTCGGTAGTAGTTTGACTACTATGTAGTGGTAATTTATGATTTGTCTAGTCTGCACTCATTTCCAAGTCTTTTTTTTTTTTTAAGCCTATCTTTCTCAGATGTTACTGTAGTTAATAAATATATTACCGTTATCACAAAGTCTAAAACGACAGAAGTTAAAAATATTTATGCTTATATAAATATCTAGGTTTGGTATTTTAAGGAGTTGATAAAAAATAAGTATATTTTTATTATGTAACATATTTTTCTTCAAAATTGCAATATCATTTTCTTCAATATTATAATTGATAATGTGACAAAATTTTCCGAAAAATAAAAAAAAAATAAAAAAAAAAAATACGATGCTTTAACATCTAAAAGTATGACATAATTTTGAAAAAAGGCTGTATTCATGAATTAGTGATAGTTGAAGAAAATAATAGACCAACAACTATACTACCAATAATCACAAAACCTACGATAACAGATGTTATTTTAACAATTAAATTATAAATTTTACGAATAAATCGATGAGTTTCATGTGTATGCGTTGCTATTTGGCTTGGATCTTTAGGTTGTAATAAGAGAATAAGAAACTGTTCTAAAGCGAATTCACCGTCTAGCTTAAAAGCAGGTAAAATATTTAACATAGATAAAGCAAGAGTAAATGATGAAATATACCTGTAATAATAAATAATAAAAAAAAGGGGGGAGTTATTGTCATGTTTGTAAATATATTTACTCATATTTACTGTAATAATAATTCAAGGATATGTGGTAAAGATGTAGGTAAAAACCAGAATCTGGGTGTTAATATACTCACTTTAACTATAGTTTGGATGTTAAAGTATGTGCTTTTTTTTTTCTTTTAATAAATGAATTTACCACTTTCCCAGATATCTATCAATTCTCCTTCAAAGACGAATACTTTTTCATTGTCAGTTTCTTTAACCCAGCTTGGGAATTGAGCATAAACTCGTACAACTTGTCCCGCAACGGAAGGCGTATATGGTGTAACACATATCATATCGTTTTCTTCGCAATCTATATCTTTATAACAACGAGCAGGATTTACTGATGCCAACACTTGAAGTGTTTGTAAGCACATTCTATCATCCTATTATTATATAGACACATAAACATTTTTTTTTTTTTTTTTTTTTTTACTTTATATATATGTATACATATTTATATACATTATTTATCTTTACCTTTTTACCAGTAGAGGGAAATAAATTAAAACATGAAATTGAAGCATTTAAAGATTGTCCAAAGGGGTAAGTATCATTAATTTGACAGCATGAATTATCTTTCTCATCAATAGGTTTAGCAGCGCAAAAGCCTTGTTGAAGTTCATGCTGACCATCCCGTTCAAATAAGTAATAGTTCCAATCCTTAATTGTGTTAACTAAAGGATAATCATCCAATTGATAGATGATAGTAGAAGGTGGTAAATGAGGAGCTAGAGGTGAATTCGCTCTTACATGAACTACACTAACTCCTCCAGTATTCTCTAATGATTGCCAACCTATCAATAATAATAATATTTTGAGACCTCCTGCTAAGGATAAAAAAGTAAAAAGATATAAGACTAAATTGTGCCATACACCAGCGCAGATGATTTTAAGCTGTTTCCATGGTTGTAAATTCTGTAAAGGTTGATCTGGAATATTCACAAATGCTCCTGGGTAAAGATAAAGAACAAAGATACCCGAGTTTTGAATTGGAATACCTTGACTATAAGAGGCAATAGCATGACCTGCTTCATGATATAGGCCGCATATTGTCAAAGCTAATAAATAATAGCCAATATGTGACATTGGTAAAGTAATACCGGGTATCTAAAAAATCATGAACTAAATAAGACAAAAAAAAAAGACACTATATACAAGTGAGTCAATTTACCATTGGTAGGAATACTTGATCATCGTTATTTATTGTTCTAGCTGTGTTTTCAAAGCTTCTTTTAACGTAATGACTACTATTTGAAGAAGAAAATAGATGTCCTGCTAGACTCGATATAATTTTTATCGCTGCAAATAGAATAATAAAAAAACCAGCTATCATCAGAAAGGCAGCCACTACAACACCTACTGTAAACCAAATTTTCCAAAATGTGGGTGCAATTGTAGTTAAATAGTTAAATAATTTATTAAGTCGTTGTGTGGTATATTTGATTTGGAAAAGTTTAATGGACCAATGATCCCTTTCCAAAAGAGTAGATGTGTTACGCTGATCAATAAGTGAAAAGGATGTCGGTAAGAGCGAATTGTCATTTTTTCTTCTTGTTCGTTCTGTCTTTTTTCTTGTAGTAATGATTTGTAATGTAAAAACAATTACGTATAGAAATCCCCATAATAATAAAAACTGTCCAATTATTGAAAATAACTTCATATTTTATGTGTATATTTGTGTATATAGTATATGTGTATATACATATAGCTCAGATTAAATAGGTATGTACAAATAAATATATGAATATTTATTTATAGGCTACAAATACATTTATAATAGCAGTGAAAAAAAAAAAAAAAAAAAAAAAAAAAAAAAAAAAAAAAAGAATCATCGTAACACCTTCATTCTTTGTTGTCTACTATTCAAATTCCGTTATATAAGCCTCAGACATTTGATATTATAGATGTAGTATTTTCTGATAATGATGAGACTAGTTAGAAAAAAAGAGAAAACTGAATTAAACGAACAGTATAAATTTAAAAAGAGGCGAAAATAGATTTAGACATGTTTACTTGTAGAAATCTAAATTTTCTGTTAGGAAAAAACCGTGTTCGAGACGATAGTACTATTGTTTCTGACGAGAGAATGCAAAAAGGATGATCTCGACCAGTTAGTATTTTATTGAAGATATGATGATATATTATAGCTTTGGCAAGCAAAGGCATCATGACAGCCTATTATCATATACGTAACATTTCCTTCAAATCATGAATAACAAGTCTGTTATATATAAAAGCAAGTATGGTATCAACAGAGCAGTAACAATCTATCACTTTAAAAGCTCTATATTCATCTATAGTAGCTACAATCGAATCACACTATTTTTATTTATTCAGCATTTCTTTTCACAATATGTCGGTGGTTTCTGTTCAGGCACCTTTAAACAACCTGACAGTATCTTTATTAAGCATTTCATTCCTAAAGACTATAATTAGAATTTTCATATTATCTTTGTCGTGTCCAATATATACTTTTTTGTCCTATTGCGTAATAAGTATATTATTCATTACAAAATACTTGTATTTATTGTATCCCATCTCTTTTATAAACCTGGAAGTTTCATAGGGGAGTTTTTTTTATTCTTATTTTATTTACCAGTCTTCTTTCTTTTGAGGGTTGTGTGTTTTTTCTCTCTCCATTTGCTAAAATATATATCATTTATTGTCTAGTACATTGTATACTTTAGTAGCAGAAGAAATGACCAATTGACGCGCTTGATCCATTAAGGGGTAGTATTTCTTTTAAACAAAGCAAAGCATAGACAATATATTCAATATATGATGGTTCTTGCTGTTGATACATTTAAGAAAATAATATTCTTATTTTATTTGAAAATTCTAAATTATTCCCCTAGCTCTAATAGTTCAGTCACTATCAAGATTGATAACATAGGTTACTTTATTATAAATCTGTATATTCACATACTCTGTGTTTTCTTTCCATATCTTTAGTTATAATTATGTATGCTCCTTGATCTTATAAGTAGGGGAAAAAGGAATACATTGAATAACATATTTATTAAGGTCATAATAATTTATTTAATAAAATTAATGCTTGTAGTAAATGAACTACTGTTCAAATTTGAATAATAAATTTACAATCTAATATATTGAGGGGAGGGCTGAGGCCTTTTTTTTTTATACATTTATATATTTTATTTTTTGCCACCTTTATTCTTCTTCTTCTTCTTTGTGGTGGGACCATCTGTTAAGGATGTGGCACTAGCAATAGCAAATTCACTAGCATGATCAAAGTTTCTCTTTAAAGGATTACTTATATTCTTTCTAGATCCTACACTTTTCTCCTTGCCTTCAAATTTCTTCATACCAGGCATTTTTTCATTCTTAGCGTCCTTCTTTTTCTTATTCTTTGTTCTTTCATGAATATTAGATGGCGCTTCTCTTAAGGCGAAAGATTTAGCCAAATGGCCTAAATGAACCCTTTTAATATGGAAAATATGTTTCTCTGATCCAGGATGTGTAGCATAAGCACGACATGTGGACCAAAAGGCTTTACGTGCTAACATGATATTCTAAAAAATAGAAACAAAGTAAATATAAACTTCTTTTTTTTTTTTTGCTGTACAACTTACATTTTCATTTGATAAAATATAATTTTCCATAGAGTTTTGTAATTCTTGAGCAGGTGTCTGATAATCATTCTTATATTCAGCAAGGTTTTCTAAAATGCTTTCCATTTTAACAGGTTCAGGGAATAAGTCCTGAGCTTTAAGAATATCAAGGTATTCCATTTCACTAGGTAATAAAAATAGACTAGCTCTACCTGCTTTACCAAGACGAGCGGTACGACCTACACGATGAACGTAATCCTTAAGATCAGTAGGGACATCATATTGAATAATATGATCTACATTTGGCAAATCTAAACCACGAGCTGCAACATCAGTACAAAACAAAACACCTGCTTTAACTTTACTAAATTCTGCAAATGTTTGTGATCGTATTTGTTGATTCAAATCACCATGAAGACGGAAAACAGGTTTCTCCAACAGTAATGTACTTATTTGACTAATTTCTTCAACTTCCTTTGTATCTTTGTTGTTCTTCTTGATATGTTTATTTTCATTTTTGCCAGTAATTTTTTTCAAAGCTCTTTGCATGATGGCATTCTCGTTATCGTCATCTCCATCATCCATTTCCTCATCTGAATCGTCATCCAAGATGGGTTTACCAGCATTTGCAAACAAATTGTAATGAAAATCAACAGAATCACAACACGACAAAAAGACAATCACCTTACAGTTAATGTTCTTTCTTTGCTGTTTATCATAAAGAGAAGATCGAATGAGTGATAATAAAGTAATCAAACGTAATTTAGCAGGAACGATGGTATATGTTTGTTTTAATTGATTAGGTGTAGTAAATTTCATTTCATCTGTTTCATCCTCTTTATTGGTAGATGAATTTGTATTTAACATCTTGGATGCATCTCGTTTTGAATCTGTAGCGCTTACAAATGCAGGACTATCTAAAGACCAACCCGCTAATTCTTTGACATCTTCTCTCAGAGTAGCTGAACATAAAATAGTCTGTCGTTTCTTGGGCCAATATTTAGTTGATAACGATTGCTTAAACTTTGGCGACCCACTACCTTGTTTAGTTCTCTCGATAATAATATTCATTATCTTTTTAAGTGTTTCTTCAAAACCCAAGTCTAATAAACGATCTGCTTCATCTAAAACTAACCATTTCAAATGGCTGATATCAAAACTCTTGGTATTTTCTAAATGATCTAGAAGTCGGCCTGGTGTACTCACAAGAATGTTAACACCCTTTCTCAAACGTGCCTTTTCTTTTGCCTTTGAATCACCACCAATCACAATCCCTGGAACAATCCAATGTAATCGACGTATATTTTCATCCTTAGGTCGAGGTAAATTAACGAGTGTTGTCAAGACACCATGAACTTGTTGCGCCAATTCACGTGTAGGTGTTAAGATGATAGCTACTGTGCCAACTGTACGATCACCAAAGGGCTGTTCATTAGGTTTTACTGCATCTTTAGATGCTGTAGATGCAGCAATTAAACGGTTGACGATAGGTAATAAATAAGTGAGGGTTTTACCAGAACCTGTTTCTGCTTGGACGATCACATCTACATCTTCAGTCTGATGAGGTGAAACAGGACCCAATAAAATTGGGATCGCTTTAGCCTGTACTTTAGTAGGTGTAACAACATTCAGTTTATTATTCAAATTATCTGCTAAATCAGATTCAATTCCAATGCCAATAAATGAGCTTGAATCAAGAGGAGCATTACTTGCACCTTCTTCACGAGTATTGACTGACTTTTTATGATAGGTGGTAGGTATTGCTGGAATTGAAGAAAAGAGAGAAGAAATGACTTGTGCTTTACCATGAAGAATCTTTGTGCCTGGTACAACTCCAGCTGATGTCGATGTTTCCTCTGTTTCTGCAGATTCGTTTTTTGTTGTATCTTCATCAGTAACAGGTAATTTTGGTTGTGGTGCTTTTACTTTTGTATTATTCCCTTTCTGTACACCACGGGTATTTCCTCTTTTAACCTTGGAGTTATTTACTTGTTTTGGTGTTGTGCTAAAGTTTAATAAAATACCATCATCCTCCATCTTTTTTCTTTTTTTTTTGATGAAAAATAGATCGAGATCTAAAAAAAAAATTTTTTTTTTTTTTTTTTTTTTTTTTTTTTTTTTGTCGTTAATGTGAATTGACTGAGTTTTAATTTTGGAAAATAGACAATAAGCATAAAATATTTAAAACAAGGATACCAAATTGCCCTTTATCAATAAAAATAGACATAAAAGCTCGAAAACCTCCATTTAAGGGTTAAAAGAGAATGAAGGAAGAAGAAATTTTCTATCCTGTATAAATAAAAATGAAGTAAAGGAGTAATCGTATGATGAAGTAGCCAGTTCCTTTCATAGATAATAGGATAGGTTATTGGTTATACTACAGAGAAATTACTCGAGAAGTCTTTGAGATCTAATATAAAAGATAGGATAAAAGGTCTTTGAATATTAAATGACAATAGTAAACAACTATAGAAGTATACAAACATTTAACAAAATTCAAATGAGAAAAGTTGCTATGCTGATTAAAAGCATATGGAAACAGATTATCACTAGGTAACCAGACAAAATGTTAGCAGAGAATACGATTATATATAATGGGATACGTTGGTAACCATATAAAAAAGATTCTCCGTCATAGATAATAAACGACGGGTCGAGAGTAGTTTTAAATTAAGATCATTACAAGATTATTGAGAGAGTTGTTTGAAAAGACAGCGAGTAAGATTGTCAATTACGGGTAACACTTTTTTTTTTTTTTTTGCTATAATAATGAGGACTTGCTATGTTTGCATCAATATGTGTGTCTGATAAAGATGTATAAATAAGCTAATAGTTTACCCAAGACAATTATAGGTTTTTGATACAATAAATAATATTAGTAATGTAATAATTTATTTGACCTTGATATAGGATACAGTTATCAAATCAAACTGCTTGAATTGTGTTAAAAATAAATTGTCAGCACTACTCTTTAGAAAGTTTCTACTATAATTCTTACGATAAAGATAAGAAAGTGACCTATAGCCATTTCCATTACTACTAATAACATGTATATATGTATGTATATATTGGGCTTGCCATCTTTAATTTAACCTGCATTGCAGTGTATACAATAAAGCAGTAATCATAGTTGACATGATTAAAAAAAAAACTAAATCCATCCAAATGTACATTGTTCGAAGAAACAATGTACAATTGTTAAATTCATTTTATTTATAGTTAATTTTTTTTCCCTCGTATTTGCCTGTTAAACAACGAAGAATTGTTACCAAAATAGGTATTAAAGCTAAGTTTAAATTGCAAACAACTTTTTTTTCTATTGTTATTCCCTCTTTTTTTTTCTCCTTTTCTTTTCCATATACATTTTTCCGTTTCATAGTAATAAAGAACATAACGATGGCTAAAAACTTATTTCTACCGTTTGGGAAAAGACAGCAATATGAATGTCCAGAATGTCCAGTATGCTTTAATTGCCAACTACCCACGGACAATTGTGTTAATGGAGGAACATGTGATCCAAGCGGTGCTTGTCTTTGTCCAGCAGGATGGGGTATATATATAAATATATAAAATATATAGTGAACTCATTTTTTCAAGTAATATAATAGGTGATTTGGATTGCTCAAAGCCATTATGTGGATCCCTTTATGATAAAGACAGACCACAAAGGAAAGAAAATGAAGATTGTGCTTGCGATCCGGGGTAAGTTACAAAGTTGCATATATATATATATAAAGTACAATTCTCATAGTAAAAAATATAGGTGGGGTGGAGTTAATTGTAATGTATGTCAAGAAGATAAAGCTTGTCAGTCTTTTAAAGGCGATAATGCAACATGTATTAAAACTGCAATTGGTTTAAAATCGATGCATGCATGGTGTGACACTACAAGTACATATTCCATTATAACGTACATAATCCTATTTATACATTTATTTAACTTGGTCAATTTCTATTAGATATACCATGGATAGATAATACGCATGTATCACTTATGTGCGAATGGGAGAAAAGTCAGTGTTTATTTCAATTTTGGAAAGATAATGAAGAACAGTTTTATTGTGAATTAAGCGAATGTACTCAGACAAGTAAGATACTTCTTTTTTTTTTTTTTTTTGCAATAAAATAGATAGAACACTATATATTTATTATAAATTTATAGCTTCAGGAGATAATGATGTGCAGGGGCACTGTGCTAAAGCAAGTTGCGGCTGTATGAAAGGTGCCTTTATGTGTGGTAAAGAAGTAGGTTAGTTGTTTCTCTTCATGGATATATGCATATACACAAGAATTTAATATGAATGAAATACTATTTTAGATATGTCAAATTTGGTTAAAAATGTAAAAGGACCTTCTGAATGGTTTTGTAAAAATGGAAAGGATTGTTGGTATAATGGTAAAAATAAAATAATAATAAAAATAATAATATAGAGATATAACTCAAATTATATAAATATATAGAATATTCGACATTAGTCACAGTCTTTCCTGATAATATACAACTTTCTTGTGATGTTGGTGAATGCGCAAATGAACAAGATTTTCTCGATGTTGCACCTATTGTAAGCTTATATAAATAGATACATATATATAGTATCACTTGCATGTATGATAACATATATATATTCATAGGAACAAGAATTTTCAAGTTATACCGAAATGATGATTATTGGTGCTTTATTTATTGCATCTATTTTATTATTTATCATTACAAGATTCACAGCTTCAAGACAAAAGAAGCTATTTGGTACACCTATCGAATTATTAAATGAAGAAGATGATAGCATGACGGATCTACTAACGGATTCAACTGAGGTTACATTAACTTTTTCAGATATTAGCTATACAGTGTCAAATAAGATTATATTATCGGATATAAGTGGTTATGTAGAGCCTGGACAGATGTTGGCTGTCATGGGCCCCTCAGGTGCTGGTAAATCAAGTCTTCTAGATATTTTATCTAAAAAGCATAAACATGGTATAACGGTCGGGAAGATCTTGATCAATGGTGTATTTCCTACACGTCGACAATTTAAACGTTTAACAGGATTTGTGGATCAGGATGACAGCTTGATGGGTACACTTACAGTACGAGAAACATTGACCTATGCTGCATTGATGCGACTGCCGCGTGAAATGCCTTTAAGAACAAAACAAAAACGAGTAGAAGAGGTGATACAAGAATTAGGTTTAACAAAGATTGCTGATAATAAAATTGGTATACCTGGACAACGTGGTATTAGTGGAGGAGAAAAGAGAAGAGTAAGCATTGGCAAAGAATTGGTGACTAGTCCAAGTTTATTATTTTTAGATGAACCAACTAGTGGTTTAGACGCTTATAATGCTGGGGTTGTTATGGAATGTCTTCGAAAATTAGCACACGAAGGTAAAAGAACCATTGTTGTTACTATACATCAGGTAAAAGCTTATGTTAATATTCTATACTATTCCTTTATTTATTCGGTCTATTTTATTTTATTTGATTTTTTCAGCCAAGATCTAATATTTTCAAAATGTTTGATTCTTTAATGCTTCTAACAAACGGACAATTGGTAATAAACTACATATACAATGAACAAAGTATATTTAATAACCAAAAAAAAAAAAAAAAAAAAAAAAAAAAAAAAAAAAACATCAAATAGGTCTATTTTGGCCCAGCAAAATCATGCTCAACCTATTTTAAAGAACTTGGTTTTCCCATTCCTCCAGATTATAATATTGCAGATTATCTAAGTAAAAAGAAAGACATATCTAATGCATTTAGTGTAATAACTAACGATTCGATTATATTTAGTCGATCTTACAATGAAAAAGCCTGAAGATTCAATGCCTAATATACCCATACCATCAAGTCATAGTCAAACAAATGTTATTGCTCAACCTTTAGAAGATGTACAACAGACAACTTATGTTGATAATAGAGAAGAGACAGAATTTAATTTGCTATCAGAATCCAATCATATACATTATTTAATAGAGTCTTTTCGTTCATCAGATCTTTATAAAATAATTGAAAATAAGGTCGGCTTATCTGAAACTTCAGATAATTATGATGGTTATTCAGTTTGGGCTAATGCACTTGGTAGTCATGAACATCAAACCCTGAATACCTTTTCTATATATCAGTTTTATCATGAACTGGTAATAAAAGAAAAAAAAAAGAATACGCACACACACATATTTATGTATACATGTTTGTATGTACTTATTTATCTATTTTTTTTTCTTTTTTTTTTTTGCACATTATAGTCATTACTATCGTCACGTACGTTTATTAATCTTTATCGAAATCCATTTCTATTTTTTACACATTTCGTATTTTCTATTGTCTTGGCTATTTTACTGGGAACTCTATTTTGGCAAGTGGATGTAGATCTTTCAGGTGTACAAAATAGACTAGGAGTTTTATTCTTTATGTGTGCCCTTTTAGGGTTTGCAGCTACAAGTGCATTAGACATATTTAACAAAGAAAGGCTATTATTTATGCGAGAAAGAGAAAATGGCTATTATAGTCCAAGTGCCTATTTTGTGGCAAAAGTTTTACTTGATATAGTATCCCTTCGTGTGTTTCCACCTTTAGTTATGGGCTCAATTAGCTATTATATGATCGGACTAAACCCAGCCTTCATTGTTTTTAGTAAATTTTTAGTTGTTCTAGTATTATTCAATTTAACTGCAGCTGGTTTATGTTTATGTTTCGCAACCGCTTTTAAAAATTTATCAGTTGCTAATTTGCTTGCTAATTTAACAATTTTATTCTCCATGCTTTTTGGAGGATTTTTATTAAATAAAGGTAAGTACAAGCGTTTGTCATCATAAAAAAAAATGCACTGATAGGTTTTTTTTTTTTTTTTTTTTTTTTTTTTTTTTTTTTTTTTTGTTTGTTTGTTTCTTCTAAAGATCATATTCCGCCAGTGTTAAGGTAATATTGCTATTATAGTAAATATAATTCTGAAACAATGACAAGTATTCATGTTGTAGTATATCATAGTTGGTTACAATATCTTAGTTTTTTTAATTATGGATATGAAGCGCTTATCGTAAATGAACTTAAGGATATCACTTTACGTGATAAGTCTATTGCCGATATTCAAATTCCAGGACCCATTATACTTGCTAGATTTGGATTTAATGGACAAGCATTTTGGACAGACATTAGTCGTTTAATATGGTTTATTCTTTTTACATTAATTTTATCATTTTTGTTTTTAAAGTATTTAGTAAAAGAAAGACGTTGAAAAGAAAATATTTATTAACAGTCATAATAAAAGGAAAATTTTTCTATTTTTTTTTAACATTGTTATTGTTACTGTTTATATTCAGCAAAAAAAAAAAAAAAAAAAAAAAAAAAAAAAAAAAAAAAAAGATGGAGCAGTAAACAGCAGTAAATAGCAGTAAATAGCAGTAATTTATTATTTTTATTTTATTTTTATCTTCTTTCTTTCTTTTTTTTTCGATCGCATGGAATATTTTATGGAAATAGTTCAAATTTGACAATAAGGTTATAAAACGTGGAAATACTTCATAGCAACAAATTCATTTCTAGTAACTAACGTTAAATCTAAAAAAAAAGAAAAGAAAAAAAAATCAGTTATGAAGATCAGGAGAGTATAAAAGTTTATGATGAAAAAAAAAAAAGAATAAGGTTATTATAAATTTTGACGTATTTCTATAATGTTGAAACAGTTCAATGTGCTTATCTTTTTTGTGAATAATGTCTTTTAGATTATGAAATTTGGAAAAAAAAATCATGTCACATACATAAAGAGAAGTTTTTTTTGTTTTTTTAACGAAATAAAATCATAATACAAGATGTAGAACAAGGTTTGCGGACATCTAGTTTCTTTAAGTTTGTTCTTTTTCTATTTTTATTTTCTCTTCTTCACCCCCCCCAAAAAAAAAGAAAAAAAAAAGAAAAAAAAAGAAAAGATATTATCATATAACGTGTATCATTTTGTAGTGAACATCTTTTATTTATTTATTTGATTAATTATATATGATATGAAAAAATAGTATTGGTATCTAAATAGTATTAAAGAAAAAGTATAAATTATGCTGAAATAGAAGCATTTTCCATTAATTCTTTTAAAGCTTGAAATGCATCCATTGACTTTCTACTATTCTGTGTAGAAGGAGATTCAATTATGGATTGATTTACAGGAGTTGTAGGTACAGAAGAAGGGGGAGTGGTATTGATAGGTAAATATGAATTTATAATGGGTGATAAAATAGGTGAAGACCATTTCATGTGCTTGCCATCAAATGAAGAACGAGGTGTAGTTAATTTTTGCTGTTCAGGACTAATACTAGAAAGTCGAATTGCTTCTTGAATATAATAATTATTCTGTGTAGCCAATAAAGCTTCATCAAAAGTAAACCAACGACGATCTCTCTTTCGTCTTTCAGGATATTTCTTACAAATTTCATCAATTTCCATTTCAAATATCCAATGATGGGCTTTAATTCTTTTTTTACTTCTTTCAACAAATATGCCGAGTTGATGCGTAATACGGCCTTTTAAACCTGCTTCTTCCCAAGTTTCTCGAAGTGCTGCTTGTTCCTGGGTTTCATCCATTTCCCAGCCACCTTTAGGCTAACATACATAAAACGAATGTTTATTATTATTATTATAAAATAGAGAATAAGAATCAACTTACGATAACCCATGCTTCAGGATTTTTACTTGAAGAAATTAATAGAAAACGTTTTGATATAGGATCAATGGGTAGACATCCAGCGACTTGTCTAATATTATAAATATCTGTTACATCATGCTTATGTCCATGTCTAGCCTTTTTTTCATATTTAATTGTTGTCTGCATTAGTGGTTCTTCAGGAGGAGGTGTGCTAAGAGCTCTTTGGAGAGACATTATTAATAAATAAATAATTAAATTAAAAAATAAAATAAAAAATTATGAAAAATTTAAAAAAAAAAAAAGTCGAGAAATTGGAATTCTGTCATTTTATATAATTTCATACTCTTTTACAACAGCAGCAAAGTTCTACTCCAAACCCCCCCCCTTTTTGTAAATCCGATTACTCTTTAAAGTTCATGATCGAGTGTCTAATTCTTTTTCCCCGACGATAAACAAAATAATTTTTCTTAAACTCTCCACTACTAAAATGGAAATAATGTTCTACTACTCTACTCAAGTTTTTATCTTGTTTCTTCTTGACCAATGGAATACAATATATATCCTTTTTTGGTAAATAATTTCGAGTATAGCGGTAATATCAACATCTTTTATTTTTTATTTTATTTTATTTTTTTTTTTTTTGGTTTTAAAATAATAGTGGGACTAGTATTAAAGTACTGAACAAGAAAACATGATAGCAATATGAAATGATGATATTTGCGCACCTTCTATTTTTGGTGGACACTCTCATTATTATTAATAAAGTTTTCTTGGCTTAATATTATTTACTGTTTCATGCAGTAAAAGTATCAATTACATAATACCGATAATAATAACACATGTGCATGAGTATACTACTATACACTATAGTATTTACACTATGTCGTCATTACTTGCACTATATCCTCATCTCGTAATCATCCATTATTTTATTCTTTGCTTAAGATAAAGTTTTGGATATATGATTTGTTCTTATCATAGAATACATGCACACAGAGACAACAGATATGTGCATCTTTATACGCGCATACATACAGACATACACTGTATACTTGGCAACTAATCTATTTTTTGGTATATGTTTTAATAAACATTCCTTTGAATAGTTCCGAACACAGTTCTAGGCTATATTATTTATAGTTTTTTCTTTTTTTTTAATTTTAATTTCTATAAAGGCATCATTCGTTTGCCCTTTTTTTTATGGTATACAATTTCATACAAAAGTGCTCATTAAGATGAAGAATACTGGATTCTATATATAAAATAAAAATAAATGTAAAGTGAGTTATAATAGATTACAGGTAGAAAAGACAGAAAGGTTTTGTCAGTGAAATATAAAAATCTTTGAAGCTCAACTAAAGTAAATAGTCAACCTCCTAATAAAGAGTGTCAAATTCTTATACTGGGAGCAAAGAGAGCGAACAATAGTGGCCATATTGATATATAAACAGTAAGATCTCGATTTCATAGATGATAGATCATTTCTTAGTACTCATAAACAATAAAATGACATAATAAATATGTATCAAAGTAATTATTTTAAAGTCTTATTAAGCTATGTTTCACTATAAATTTCCAGGTTTTTTTTTTTTTTTTTTTTTTTTTTTTTTTTTTTTTTTTTTTTTTTTTTTTTTTTTACCTTGTAATGCGGACCCTATCTACTAGTTTGATTCAATAAAACGAAGCTACTTTCTCTTTCTTTTTAACAGGCCTTGTAAAGTAAATTATAAGAAACATGTGTAGCAGTGAACTCAGTATAATCATATGGACTTTTTTTTTAAAAAAAAAGAAAAGCAATAGATATTCTACATTGAGAAATAAGCATCTAACGACAAGCTTTATACCTTGTTAAATAGAATATTAGCTTGAATATTGCTACGAAATTTAATTTACTATCATTCTTATATCTTTATTTTCCTATTGACAGCTCCAATCCCTAGTGTATTCAACTCATCTTTTCATTGTTATTCCATCTTAATTTAGACTCAAACTGTCTTCACTAAGAAATTTACTGTTAATTTACACATTGTCAGCGTAGATAAAATAAGTGAATTACTGCATCATTAGCCATTTTTTTTATATACATGTTAACATGATCATTTTCATTTTAGCCCTTTTTTGTCCAACATTCAATACAATATTGACAGCTGTAATTCATCATTTTTGTCCAAAATTATTTTTTCGAACAATATGCATAGATTTTTTTTTTAAAGTTTAACTGCATTGCAGATTTAATAAAATGTGTTGATTGTCCCTTACTCAGCTTACATAATAAACAGTGATAACCTTTTATTGTCGTTACTGCTGTTTCGTAATATAACAACAACAATCAATGGTAATGGCCTTAAATCATATAAAAGTTCATCCAATTAAAAGGCGAGAAAAAAATCTTTTTTTTTTTTTTTTTTTAATCATACTTTTTCTTTTTCTTTTTTAACAAACAAAAACTTTTGAATTGTTGTTTGTCATGGCGCATTTAATACAACCGTCTGATCTGCCATCAATATTTGCAGATCCATATTTACAAGTTGTTGATCGAGTCTTCCCTTTAACGCATCGTCGTAAACAATGTAATTATAACCTTTTTTTTATTTTTATTTTATTTTATTTTATTTTTACTTACATTTATAGCCGATTGACTTGTCTAAATCTAGATCTAAAGTACTATCCAGAAGATCAAATAATTGATAGAACCAATGATTTTAGACCGACTGAATATTTGTTATATAAAAAAATTAAGAACACAGTAAGGTCTTATATTCTAATTGTAACTTGTCGAGATTGATCTTGATTATTATGTTGTTTTTCTTTCTTTCTTTCGATTAGGCTGCTAAAATAGTAAGAGATATTCCAGAATTTGGTCATTTATTAAAAGATGATATCGTAGCATTTTTAAAAGATGACATGAATATATCCCGAAAATTTGAAAGATATGATTCTTTACGAGAAAACGCTTTTGTTACAATGGACTATATACATGATTTAAAATTATTAGTATTTGCTTCTGCATCTAGTATGTCTTCATTAGGTAAGCAGCTTATCATGTACTCTTTTTTCTTTCTTTCTTTTTTTTTGTGATATTAACACATAGTATGTACCTATTTTCTTCTCCTCATTATAGTCATTATAATATCAAAAAAGGAATGCTTTGAATTAGGTGATTACTCTGTCGAGTTACCGTTAGATACAATGTACATTACACACACTTGGGATCTAGAATATCCTATTAGACAAATTACAACTTCACCGTTTTCTTCTTTAGAGTTTAAAATATTTCTTGTTAGAACAACATCTAAAATACATTTATTTACTTTAAATGAAAAGGAAGGTCTTAAAATGATCCAAATTTTTAATTTAACTACAGTATCAGATAGCAACCCTTCTATTGATTATTCTATGCCTTTACATGTTGAGTTTAGTCCTTATAAACCATATGAATATGTATTAGTGACTACCAACGGCTATATTGCTATTGTTGATGGATTGGATGGCAAAATTCTCTATAATGGTATAGATCCCTTTCCAGATAATTTGAATTACATCTCTCGCTGGAAATCATGTTCTTTTGGTAAAACGTCTTCTACCATCTTAATCGCCTCACCTGAATGTATCAAAGAATGGGAATTTACTGTAAGTTGACTTTATTTTATACTCAGTCACAAATAATATGTATGCATATACGCACAAAGTACTAAATATGATTACTAGGATACTATAATTCAAAAAAGGACTTTAGCGGCACCTAATGACCGTATTATCTCCTTTACAGCGAAATCATCTTTATATTGTTTCGCAACGTTAGATGCAATATTTGTTTTTGATTATTTAATACCCGAACGACCTATTCTTAAATGGATGCATCCTATGCGATTAGGCGCACCTTCCTTACTTATTCTTGATGAATTAGAGAAAGATATTTGTAAGGATATACATGTATATATTTGAATCTATTTTATAGATAACTCATGTCTATTTATTTGTAGGGAGGCTTGCTGCTTTCTCTCATCAAACTCAAAGGTTAACATTTATAGAATTTAAATATACAAATCAACCTACGAAAAGGTAAAGAAAGACAGAAAGAAAGAAAGAAAGAAAAAAAAAAGGGAGGGGGGAAATTATTCTAACCTGAAGTCTATTTAAGCATTATTCCTAAAGCTGAAATCATTGGATTACATAATATAAAACTATCAAAATATAAATTTCAAGAATTATACAATTATAATAATCGTATATCATCTATTGGATTTGGATTAGATTTATATCAATTACAAAAGGATAAAAAGAGAATAGAAGATAAAAGGTTACTTTGTATTTATCGTCTCTTTGAAGACGGTTCAGTTAAAGTACAATATGCATCATTAACAGAAGAAGAAGGGCCTGTAGATAAAAAAGAAATTGGGAAATTTATAACTAAACCACAATATAAACTTAAGATATATGATGGTCATTTTAATCAGATCTTATCAAAGCTTAAACTTCATCTATCACCTGGTAGACAATCCAAACATCTTTATGCGGAAGTCTTTAATTTTGACATGACTGCTTTTAATGACTATTTACAGAAAAGGGTAGAGATAGGAAACGATACATTAAGTGATGATGTAAAAGAAAATATAGCAATTAAAGTACGACAAATGAAAGAGCCTACTTCATTGTAAAGTATACAAGTGTTATATATATGTATGTATGTGTCTCTATTTTAACTTATTTCAAAAAAAAAAAAAAATAGTCAAAAGATGTTTAAAGAAAGTCATTATCACCTTCAAGAATACAAGTTAAATGATTTGAAAGCCTTTTTAGAACAATTAGAAAGCTTTGAAGATATGGACTGTATACACTTTAACCTTAATATGATACCCCAAATTAGACAAAATACCCGATCTATTAAAAGAGAATTACGTAAAAAACTGAATGAAGCTTATGAAAAAGAAATTCAAATGTCCAGTAGTATTCTTCTTCCTCGATATGATGATGAAGATAATTTTCAATATTTTAATCGAGAGAAATTAAATTTTCAGACTACAACTACAACTAAAGCTCTAGCAAATTGTTGGAAAATCGATAATAGACATTATAGGGATATTAGTTTCCCACAATATGACTTTTCTACCAAGCTAAAACCCGAGGAATTTCCTAGATTTGATCTACAGAGTCATCATAAGAGAAGAAGATCCTTAGGAAGTGAAGCACCTATGATTGTAGTTGAAGAAGAAGCAGAAGGCGTGGAAGATATTTCTTTACCTGTTATTAAAGTTGAATCAGTTTCCAAGCCTTCTACAACCAAAAAGAATAAATTATCTTCGTCTATAAAACATGAAGATGAAACGACTCATTATTCTTTGATATCCTCCTCTCCTCCACGATTATCATCATCTCAGCCAGATGCTTTATTACCGCCTAGTCCTGCAAGAACATTTGCAAATATCTCTACGCAACCTACTTCTGGTATATATGGATCAAGAAAGAAATCTGTTTCCAAGAAAAAAAAGAAGCCAAAGACATCTGGTTTCCGATAAGTTGTATTATATGTGTATATATGTATATGATAATAAAAGGTACAACTATCTTATCACCTGACCGTGGGCCAGTTTTTAAGGTCTATCGTGGTAAAAAAAAAAAAAAAAAAAAAAAAACAAAAAATTAAAGAATTAAGGAATTAAGGATTGTTTTGCAGTAATTACACTTGTATATAAAAAGGTCCTTCCTTTTTGTTTTTTTGTTTTTTTTGTTTTCGTTTGACTAGAACTTGTAAATTTATATGTTTCGAGTTTCGACAACAAGTAAGCTTCCTTGCATTAAGACAGCAAGAGCTCTTTATAATAAACCAAAGCAATTATTAAAGCGAAGTTATCATGATGATGGCGTTTATGGATATCGAGTTGCTAAAGAATACAAGTTACCTGACTATACATCGGAAGAGTTAGTCAATCGTATTAAGCATGGAAGTCTATTACGTATGGTTCAAGCTTATCGTACACATGGACATGAAGGCGCTCATTTAGATCCATTAAACATTATGAAAAGAACGTAAGTAGACGCGTATAGAGAGATATTTAAATAATCTTTCTTAACCTCTTATTTGTTTATAATTAGAGAGGTACTTGCTTTAAAACCAGAAAGATATGGATTAGGAAAAGAAAATGATGAAATGTATAACCTTAGTGGTAAATTCTATAGAGTTTATTTACACACACACCCACACACACCCACACACTCATTTGACATTTTCTCTTTAGGTATTTTACATGTAAAAGAAAGTAGTGGTATTCAAAATTCGGAAAATGTAGAAGCAGATTTTAAAACCATTCTAAATCATTTACAAGCTGTTTATTGCGGGAAAATTGCTTATGAGTTTATGCATTTACCAGTAAGTTTCTCACAATTGCTATTATTGTTATTGTTGTTGTTGTTTTTTCCTTTCTTTATAAACACCTTTTTTTTTTTTTTTTTTTACTCTAGTCAGCTAGTGAGAGAAGATGGTGGTATCATGCTGTTGAGAGTTGGAATAAGCCACAACTAACAATAGAACAAAAGAAACGTATTCATGAATTACTATCCAAGTCTGAAGTAAGTGATATATATATATGAATATAAATAAATTAAATATTTATATATCCGTATGACTTATTTTATAAATAGGTATTTGATCAATTTTTGGGTAAAAAATTTCCTAATATTAAACGCTATGGACTTGAAGGAGCAGAAAGTATGATGGTAGCTATGGATCGTATCCTTGAACTCTCTGCTCGTCATGGTGTTCAAGACGTTGTGATTGGTATGCCTCATAGAGGTCGTCTGAATCTTTTATGTGATTTACTTCAGTATCCTTACTATGCCTTGTTTCATAAGATGAGTGGTCAATCTGAACTTCCTAAGGATACCTTTGGATCAGGGGATGTGATCTCTCATCTTGTTAATAGTCCTGATTTGACTTATGGTGATAAAAAAGTACATGTTACCCTATTACCTAATCCATCTCATCTTGAGGCTATTAATCCTGTTGCAATGGGGAAAGCAAGAGCGAAACAAACGGATCTTTTAGCATCTTCGTCTTTGGATACCTCTTCTTGCAACCTAGGTGATCGTGTTATGTGTGTCCAAATACATGGAGATACTGTAAGTAAAGAGTTAAAAAGAGAGAGAGAGAGAGAGAGAGAGAGAAAAAATAGAAATTCATAAGAGATCATAAACACATATTATATATATATAACAGGCATTTTCTGGTCAAGGAATTGTGATGGAATCTTTGAGTTTATCAAATCTATCTCATTATTCTTCAGGTGGTTCAATACATATTGTAGTCAATAATCAATTAGGTTATACGACTCCTGCTCAAAATGCACGTTCTTCAGCTTATTGCTCAGATATTGGTAAAATGATTAATGTACCTGTTGTTCATGTCAATGGTGATTTCCCTGAAGAAGTAGCTAGAGCTCTTGATTTAGTATTCGAATATCGTAATAAATTTAAAAAGGTACATAAAAATAATCTAGAGTGCTATAAGGAGGGGGTATTTATATTTATATTTATATTTATACTTATATGCATATAGGATATTATTCTTGATTTAATATGTTATCGTCGTTGGGGTCATAATGAACTTGATGAACCTGCTTTCACTCAGCCTATCATGTATAATAATATTCGTCATCGTATATCTGTACCTAAACTTTATGAAAAGAAATTGATCGAAGAAGAGACCTTTAAATCTAAAAAGGAGATAGAAGATATTCGTGAAGATCAAATAAAGCAATTAGAACAGGGACTTCAAGAATCTGAATTCTTTCCAGAACATGATCCAACCAATCTATCTGGACGCTTTCATCTTGATGGAAATTGGAAGGGAATTAAACATATTCAATCTGCTACAGAGGTAGAGAGTTCTCCAGATACAGGCTATCACCTTGACCTCTTAACGGAGATTGGCCGAATCTCTGTTTCACCTCCCTCAGACATAAAGGTACACCCTCGTCTTCAGAAATATCATATTGATCAACGTCTGAAAAAGATAACTCAAGGTTATGGGCTAGATTGGTCTACAGCTGAGGCACTTGCCTTTGGGTCACTCATCCATGAAGGATATGATGTACGTATCTCAGGACAAGATGTCGGCCGTGGTACCTTCTCACAACGTCATGCTATGTTAGTCTGTCAAGAGTCAGAACGTGCAGTTATTCCATTAAATCAAATACACAAGAATCATTTCTTGGAGGTCGCTAATAGTCCACTTTCAGAGTTTGCTGTATTAGGATTTGAATACGGTATGTCTATTGAATCTCCTAATCGACTTGTGTTATGGGAAGCTCAATTTGGTGATTTCTTTAATGGAGCTCAAATCACGATTGATACACTTATATCAAGTGGAGAAGAGAAATGGTTAAGACAAAGTGGACTTGTTATGCTTTTACCACATGGTCAAGATGGAGCAGGACCGGAACATTCTTCGTGTCGTATAGAGCGATTCTTACAGGTAGACTACACACACACATATATATATATATATATGTATACAAGAGTCTAAGATAATAATAATATAGATGAGTAATGATTCCTTTGACGTCCATAAGAAAGACCAACCACCACCCAATTGGCATATCGTTAATTGTACTACGCCTGCTCAATATTTCCATGTTTTGCGTAGACAGGTAAAGAATAATATATCCATACATATTAAATGAAAATAAAACTAAAAATCTTTTTTTTTTTTTTTCGAAATTTAGATGCATCGTACATATCGTAAACCTTTAATTGTTGCTTCACCTAAAAGTTTATTAAAATCACCTGTAAGTATATATATACATATACATATATATATATATATATATATATATAAAGTAGAAATGATGTCTAATAACAAAAAAAAAAAAAAAGCTCGCTGTAAGCTCCTTAAAAGAAATGGCGCCTGGTACACATTTCCAACCTATCTTATCTGATCCTATTATTCGCGATCCTTCTAAAATTAAAAAGGTTGTCTTTTTATCTGGTAAATTTTATTATGATCTTGTAAAAGAAAGAGAGAAACGAGGTTTAGACGATACAATTGCTTTAATTCGCGTTGAAGAGCTATGTCCATTCCCAAAGACAGAGTTACAAGATGAAATCAGCAAGTTCTCTGGTGCACAAGAATTTATTTGGTGTCAAGAGGAACCTCAAAATGCAGGTGCTTATGCTTTTATGGCCCCTAGATTAGCTCAAATTTTACCAGAGAATAAGGTAAAATAGATGTTTATACATATTTAATTTTTTTTTTCTTCTTCTCAAATTCATCATGATTAGACAATTGAATATGTGGGTCGAGAGCCACTTTCTGCTCCTGCTGTAGGTATTTCATCAGTTTTCAAACAGCAATCAAAGCAATTATTAGAAGATATAATGAGAAATCATTAAATATATACATAAAAAAAGTTTCTTTCTTTTTTTTTTCTTTTTCTTTTTTCTTTTTTCTTTTTTTGTATTAATTTGTCAAAATATATTGCAGTAGTAGTTAATAGTAGTGGTAGTAATAGTAGTAATAAAAATAAAAATAATAGTAGTAATAAAAATAATAGTAATAATAATAGTAATAGTAATAGTAGTAATAGTATTATTATACACAGTAAATATATGTATTAATGTATCTTTTCGTAGTAAATATTTTTTTTTATGATTTAACTTGTAATTGCAAAGTTGATTTTTCTAATTCTGTGTGCTTATAAATATAGCCAACCCATTTTAATGCTATCGCTCTCTTTGTTCGAGTTTTACTGTCCACCTCCTATATTATTGTTAAATAACATGTTCTTTTATTTTATACAAAAACATAAAAGTGATTTACCTTATCTTGAAGTACTTTATCACATACTTGACGTAATGTAGCTTCAACTTCAAATTTCGATGTTTGCCATAAAGCTTTATAAGTCTATAATATGTATATATTGAGTATTATGTAAATATATACATATATAATAGCCAATTCTTGTTTTTATTTAAATACCTTCGTAGTCACTTCTTCTTCTAATTTCATTTTATCAGAATCTGCCATACCCTTCTCCTCTGCTTTTGAAATCATTTCAGCTGCTTGTTGTACATCCATTGCAACCTTAACTGTATTCCAAAGTTCCTTCACAATATGTTTCTTTTGCTTAAATCCAACAAAGATACTTGGCATACCACCTCCTTTAATACCCAAATAATGCTTTGCTTTAAGTGAATACACACCACCAATTGAATGAAGCAATTCGATACCATAACTTTCATTCTTTAATTTCTCAGCTTCTTGTTTGATATATTCTTGGAAGGTATTAATAGCATGTTGATCACCTTCACTATCAGTAAACATAGCGAGCTTTAATTTTAAATTATCTGCCAATTTATCTACTCGTTCTTGTTGTTGCTTTTGCATTTTCTCCATTTGTTCTTTGTTCATTTGTTTTTTGTCCGTATCATCGTTATTACTTTCAGACCCGTCCTTTTCCAACTCTTCTTGCTGTGCCTCACTAAACATTTCACCTACTGCTAAATCACCAATAATACCTAAACACAAAATAAATAAGTAAATTAAATTAAACCATATGATATTGTTACAATGATTATTTACTTCTAAAAGCATCACCACCAAACATTTGTTGGAAATATTCACGAGGATCAGCAAAACCACCCTCAGGAGCGAGTTCTTTGTCTTTACCATATTTGTTATAAGCCGCACGTAATTGAGGATCAGATAAGACTTGATATGCTTCAGATATTTCTTTAAACTTTAATTATATTATAAGTATTCATGTATACAAAAAAAAAGAATTTTGGTTGTATCTTTACCTTTTCCTCAGCACCGGGCTCTTTATTCTTATCTGGATGGTAAACCTAATTACAAACATACATTTAGTATTTGTATTCTTTTTTTTTCATTTATTTTAAAATAAAAATAATACCATAGCTAACTTTCTATAGTAAAATAAAGGAGATTAATCATCTATTAATATCCAATTAAACAATTATATGAAGGTAGCTTACCTATAAGCCTTTTTGATTTGAATAGGCTCGGCATTAACAGGAATGTTGAGTAATTCATAGTATGAAGTGTCTATAGGATTGTCATCTGTTCCAAACTTTGACATTTTAAAATGTAATTTTTCTTAATTATAAATGAAAAAAAAAAAAAAAAAAAAAAAAAAAAAATATTTTCTCGTCTTACTCATTTTTTGAGTTTTCATTTTGATTGGAAAATATAAAGAGTTTTAAATAACCGATACCTTATCTACACAACATGTGTTTTTTTTTAAAAAAAAAAAAAAAAAAAAAAAATGAAACGAAAGACAGGCTAATTAAATACAATTTAATTTATTCATCTTTAAATGTCATCTAAAGAAGCGTTAAACTCATCCAATTGAGTTTGTAATTGAAGCATTTTTGCCCTTAGTTCTTCGTTTTTCCTTTCTTGCTCAAAGTTAATAGTTTCTAATTGTTGAACTTTACGTTCAAAGTGCTCGGCTTTTAGGTCTGCTTCTCTGAAACTATGGTTTTGTTTCTATTAGTTATTGTTTTCCCACCCCGCCTTTTTTTTTTTTCCTTTATATACACATGTATATAAAGTCTATTACTATTATTTTTACTTTTTCGTTGTTTCTCGAATAATTTTTTCAGAGTTTTCTAATTCTTGTTCGAGTAAACTAATTTTTCGTTGAGCAGCATCATTTTCCTTTTTCAAATCATCTTCATCCTCTTCAATTGCTTTTAATTGTTTAACCTTTTCTTGTGCTTGTTCTAAATCTTCCTCGAGATACTTGTTTTGATTTTGAAGTGAAATAATTTCATGTTCTTGCTTTAATAGGATCTGTTCTAGTGCTTTGTATTTTGTTTCATATTCGTCTGCCCTGTTATTAGCAGCATCAGCTAAAGCACGAATGCTAGCAATTTTCTATCATATACATTTATATTTATATACATTTTTGATTATTAAATATAGATATCTATAGGGTTATCTTCTCTCTTACATCACGAACTTTATCCATTGTATGTGCGTTATCTAATTATACAAAAGAAAAAATAGAATGAAAAACCAAATGAATTTTATTATTCTACAAAAAAAAAAAAAAAAAAAAAAGAGCGTATTACAACAAGATAAATGCGTCCAATTAAATCCAAGAGCATTCATGTGCCTGAAATTATTGCTTTAACCTCTTCTTAGAATAAGCCACTAGAATCAACATTGAGGGGGGGGAGAATAGAATAAGGTTATCAAACAGATAATATCTTCAAGTTTCAATTAAATAGAATAAAAGTGACTTTTATTATTTTACAATTTTCTATTCAATTGTATTATTATTATTATTATTTTATGACTACATCCGTTGATAACTACGACCTGCTTTTTCTTCTACAAAATATTTAATTTATTAAAAATAATGAGAATTCTTGATGACACAAACATCGTAAGGTAAATAAGAAATGCAGCGTTTTAGTTGTTACTGAGCTAATGAATAGAAAGGAGAGAAGTATTAGACTATAAATTTAAAAAAAAAGTATTCAAATGTAAATGTCCATTGAGAAATATATAGTGCCTTTATTTGAACTCTTTTTGATATTATTGTTTTAAAATGAATATACAATAAATATGTATGATTAATCGATTTAGCAAAAGAAATAAATGTATTAATTCGTATTATTCCGTCTTCTTTTCTTTTTTACTATCTTCTTTTGGACTTTCAAACATTGCTGTGATAAGGTAAAGAATGAGAATCACGTTTGCCATTACTACTGCTGCTGCTGCTGCGTAAGTTGTATTACCTAATAAAATAATTTAATATTCTATTCGTGTATTTATGTCTTTATAATTACCATCAAAGAAGCGATGAAGTGTTAAATAGAAAGTAACAATCGGTAAAGCAAATAAGGCAACTGTAAACACTGCTAACTTGACAAGTACAGCTGAATTGTTACCCACCCAAACAGAAAGTGAAGGAAATTCCTTTTCTTTATCTATTATTGGTTGATTTTGAGAAGAGTTTCCTGACATTATGTTTATTCAACGGCAAACCGATTGCAAATGAAAAAAAAAATAAATAAATAAATAAAATAAAAGATAACTAAACTTTATGTTGTGTATTTAGCCATTTTAAATTTAATTGGAGAAGAATAAATCTATGACAGCGATCTTTTTTTTTTTTTTTTTTTTTTTAAATATTTATAATTATTTATGTATTTCTTGTTTTTATTAAAGTTTATTTATTAAGAAATGAAAATCAATCCTCGTGTGTTTTTTGATATTGATATTGATGGTAACCGAAGTAAGTAACTTTTGTTTTGTTTTGTTTTTTTCATTACATGTTTTATTTTAGTGTCCATTAAGCCTTTGCTCTTTTTTTAATTGTGTTATAGTTGGTAGAATAGTTATGGAACTCTTCGCAGATGAGGTGCCAAAAACAGCAGAAAACTTTCGTGCACTTTGTACAGGTGAAAAGGGTCTCGGTAAAGTAAGTAATATGCCACTTCATTATCGAGGCTCCATCTTTCATCGCATCATCAAAGGATTCATGTGTCAAGGTGGTGATTTTACTCGTCGTGATGGTAAAGGTGGAGAATCTATTTATGGTACAACTACTTTCCCTGATGAATCATTCACAAGAAAACATGATTCTCACGGTTTGTTGAGTATGGCCAATCGTGGACCTAATACACAATCATCACAGTTTTTCATCACCACACGTCCTACACCTCACTTGGATGGTAAGCATGTTGTGTTTGGACGCGTTGTTTCTGGATACAATATTGTAGAAATTATGGAAAATGAGCCGGTTGATAGTAACGATAGACCCCTTCATACTGTGATGATTGCTAATTGTGGTGAACTAGTTCTCCAATTACCTCCTGGCATCAAATGTAAGTCATTGTTTTTGAATTGTCATGAAAATGCTTAATTAACATGATGTATAGTAAAATTACAACAAAAAGAATCATCTCAAAACAAGAGTGATAGTGACAGTAATAATGATAGTAGCGATGATCACTCAGAAAGTGAAGATGAAAAAGAAAAAAAAAGAAAACGACGTAGTAAGAGTAGCAGTAAAAGTCGTAGTAACAGTCGAAAGAGATCAAGAAGTGTAATTTCTGATCATCCATCTGATTCAGAAACAGATGAAGATCGAAAGAAGAAAAGAAAACATAAAAAACATCACAAAAAGAGATCATCATCATCATCATCCAAAAAACATGAGAAAAAAAAACATCATAAAGAAAAAGAAGAGAATAAAGATGAAAAAGAAAGAAAAGAATCCAATGATCATAAACATGACGATACTTCAAAATCAAAGGAAGATCGTTATCGTGAATTCAAAGATAAAAATGCTGAAAAACCAGAATGGGAGCAAAGAAGACGTTTCTTTGATGATCCCAACATTACATTTAAGGGTAGAGGACGAGTGGTAAGTAATTGTTATTTTATTTTATTTTTTTAATCTTATAACTAAACTATTTTATTTTATCGTAGAAATATAATCGTTTGAATAGTTTTGGTAATCCTGGTAACAGCAAAAGAAAAAGCTAAAAAAGGAAAAAAAAGGTCACTAAGTTTGTCACTTTTCTTGCATATATGAAGAGAAAAAAAAATTTTTTTTTTCGAGTATATTTCTTTTCTTTAAAATAAACTATGTGTAATAGTAAAAAAACACTCCACTTGGCATCCAAAGGAAGAAAGTAAAAATAAGAAGAATAAATATTTTAGAAGAATTATTTTTATTTTATTAGTGAATTCGTTCGTTGCTAATACCTTTTTTTTTTTCCCCCCCCCTTCTAATTACTTCATTTTCATAAAAAAAAAAGGCCATGGTATCAGTAAGTAACGACACAGTGTATTTGTAAATCTAAATTAGAAGTTCCATTACTTACTATTTGACAATTTTCTTTTTATAAAAAAATAAAAAAAAAAAATAAAGTGCTGACGGTACTGTCGCTAAGCCATATATGATTGGTATTGCAGGTATAAAAAGATATTCACGAAATTAATTAAAATAGGCTAATTTTGTGTTAATATAGGTGGAAGTGCAAGTGGTAAAACAAGTGTCGCTGAGTAAGCAAAAGAAAAAAGAAATAAAGAGAGAGAAGCAAGCTAATACATAAAAGAAACTTATTTGCTATGTGTATATTCTTTTTAGACGTATTTTGAAAAACTTGAATGTTCCTTGGGTTGTTATTCTTTCAATGGATTCATTTTATAATATTTTGTCGCCTGAGAATAAGAAACTAGCAAACGAAAACAACTTTAATTTTGACCATCCTTCTGCCCTTGATTATGATTTATTATTAGAGACACTTATTAAGTTAAAAGAAGGGTAATCATATATCACATTGATAGATTTTTATCTTTAATATTTTCTTTTATATTGTATAGAAAATCAGTTACGATACCAATTTATAACTTTTCAACTCATTCAAGAGAAGAAAAGACAACAACTATTTATGGCGCAAATGTTATTATTTTTGAAGGTGTACTTGCTTTTCATGACAAGAGAATTAGAGATATGATGGATGTTAGAGTAAGTTTGACTTAACTTTATCAAACAAAATTGTATAAATAATAATGATTCGACAAAAAAAAAATAGATTTTTGTTGATACAGATTCTGATATTCAATTAGCAAGAAGAAGTAGGTTATGAATAATAGCAGTATTATAAATAGATTAGACGGTAAATTAATATTTGTGTATAGTACAAAGAGATACTTTATACAGAGGACGTGATGTGTCTGGTATTTTAGATGTAAGTAGGAAAAAGGCTATATTTGTAGAGTATTTCGAAATAGTTAATAATAATAATATCGTAATAGCAATATACAAGATTTGTAAAGCCTGCTTTTGATAATTATGTTAGACCTACTATGAAGTATGCCGATGTAGTAAGTAGATAATTACTTAGCCATGCTTTGAATTGTATATTCATAATATATTAGATTATCCCAAGAGGTTTAGAGAATGTAATTGCTATTGATCTTATGACAAAACATATCCAAAGTCAACTCCAAGAAAATATGATTAACTTACGTTGGGGTTTACTCGATACACCTATCAATAACGAATTACCTGACACTGTCACTATTTTACCTCAAACAAATCAAATTAAGGTAAACTTTATATAAAACGTTTATACATATCGTATACTAATAATAATTCTTTTAATAAAGGGTATTCATACTATTTTAAGAGATCATAAAACTCCAAGAGATGAATTTGTATTTTATGCAAATCGTTTAGCTGTATTATTAATGGAGCAGTAAAGTTACAAAAAAAAAAAGGAGAGAGAGAAAAAGATTCGGTATTAATATGCTATATTTTCTAGTGCTGTCAGTTGTCTTCCTTCTGAACCAATTACAGTAACTACGCCTATAAATGCTACTTATGAAGGCTTAAAATTTAGTCAAAAAGTAAAATATATAATTTATAAAAACATATCCTTTTATTAATAATCATCATTTAGGTCTGTGGTGTCTCTATTTTGCGTGCAGGTGGAACACTCGAAGCTGGTTTAAAGCGAGTTATTTCTGATGCAATTTTTGGAAAATTATTAATACAAACTGATCCTAACACAGGTGATCCTGAGGTAAGTTAAAATAATAATAATAATAATAACTTAATTTACATATACATTGAATATAGCTTCATTATTGTAAATTACCTAAAGAAATTGATGAATATGATATTATATTAATGGATGCTATGGTTGGCACTGGTGCCGCTGCCTTGATGGCAATACGTGTATTATTAGATCATGAAGTTCCAGAGGTATATAATAGGTTACAAAAAAAAAAAAAAAAAAAAAAAAAAAAAAAAAAAAAACTAATGATTGTTTTCTCAGGAACGAATTATTTTTGTATCTTTTCTTGCTGCACAAATTGGTCTTACCGTAATTACTAATGCTTTTCCCCGAGTAAGAATTGTTACGTCTATGGTTGATCCTAATTTTAATAAAGAGAAGCTTTGGATTGAACCTGGTATTGGTAATTTTGGAGGTAAATATTAAAGACAAATATGATACGATTTGTGCGCTAAATGTATACTTTGTAGATCGCTATTTTGGAACAGAAGATGATGAAGAATAATAATTAATATTATATTATTAAGGGGTAGAATAATTAAATAAAAGCAGAACATATAATTATTGTATTGATTGTTTGAATATTCTTTATTATAAAATTTTACATGTATTTATATATAAATAAACACCTCATGATTGATTTTCCCTTTTTTTTTTTTACCATTGATTTGTATTGTTTTTATGATAATTGTAGAGATAATGATTATTGTTATGAGTTCCTTCGTTTTGACAGGACCAACCTAGTGAATTCTCTTGCATAATGGGTTCAGAAATACTTTGAGCAAACATCTGATGTTCTGCAATCGCCTTTTGTTCTTTTGCTATGCGCCGTCTACGATAGATAAAGATGGCGCCTACAGTAGCAGTCGCGTATACCACTATACCAACAGAGACACAAATGCCGATCAAGGAGGCCTTTGATAAGCCATCATCGTTATTAAAGTCTTCAGGATTACTATTCGTGTTTGTATGTTGATTGTTTAAATTAGGATTGCTATTGTTATTATTAGGATCATTTAGATTTGGAAGAATTGCCCCATTATTGCTCGGACCTGATATGTTGATAGCTAAATAATGCATGAATTAGTATTATTTTCTATAGAATATATATATATATATATAAATGTTCAGAACGTGATAATTTACCACTACGTAGGATGGGATAAGTTGGATCAATCATTGATGCTAACTGACCGTTTGATGAAGAATAGAGATTTGAATTTGTTTGAGTAATCAAGTCTTGCAATTCGAACACATGATCCTTAGGAATAGCAACCGAGACTACAATACCACCTGTATCACTATCACGCTGCTCTAAAAGATTTCTCTTTTGCACCTTTTCTTTATCTGCTGCACTGGTGATAGTGATGATAATGACATCATCTACTGGAATACCCAAAGAATTACTTAATAAAATGGGTAGATTTTGCACAAATTGAGCAGTTAATACAGCGTTCTGGACCATATCTGTGTATGATACGTATTTAAATTTCATCTGAACTAACGAACTTGTATCAGGAATAATGGCATCTATGTTGGGAGCAATATATTCTGGAATATTGTCATTCATAGATGGAGCTGTTGTGGTTGGTTTTCTTGTACTTGATATAGTTTTTGTCGTAAGGTTAGTAACAGTAGGAATAGAAATACTGAACGACTCAGATAGCCAGGAAAGGGTTTGATAGTGATAAATGGAAGTTGGTTTAAACGTTGTTGTTGCTTGAATATCATTATTATTATTATTACTATTATTATTATTATTATTACTGTTATTTGCAGTAGTTGTAGTAGTAGTTGTTGTTGTTGTTGTTGCTGTATCAGCAGTGGTTGAAGTGGTACTTGTTATTGTAGTGCTTTTATTTTCTGTGGGCTCATATGAGGGAGTAGTACTTGTAATAAGCTCATCATCTTTTGTTGGACTATATGTTTTGGAAGGGCTTTCCGTTATTACTTGCTCTTCACTATGGGTTGTTGTTGTTGTAGTAGTAGCAGTAGTTGATGTTATCGTAGATGTTTCTTGTCCTTCATCAATAACAGTTGTCTTTGTAAAAGTTAACTCATCTGAACTTGTAGTTTGATCTTTATCTTCTATCATTGTTGTTTTAGTTTTTATAGACTTTATTGATGTTGATGTTTCTGTAATTAGTGTAGTAGGTTCATCTTCTTCATATGAAGTAGATGCTTTAGTAGGCTTTTCTGATTTAGTAGTTGTAAATGCATCTGAAGCACTTGTTTTCGTTGGCTTATCTTCATCTGAAATCATTGTAGTAGTAGTAATAGATTTCTTACTAGTTGTAGTGCTAGGCTTTTCTTCATCTAAAGTAGTAGTTTCGGTAAACTCTTCATTAATAGATGTGATCGTTTTGGTAACTTTATCTTCTTTAGAAGTTGTTGTTGATTGGTAATTTTTAAATCGAGTGGTAGTCATGTCTGTTGGCTCTTCCTCGTTTGAACTAGTAGTCTTTGTTGATTTCTCATGATTTGAAGTAGTTATCTCATTTGACATATTCTGTTTGGATGTTGTTATCGTCTTGGTGTGCTTTTCAGTCATATTATCCATATCTGAAGTTGGCTTAATGTCATCTAATACAGTAGTAGTAGTAGTAGCAGTAGCAGTAGTAGTTTTGATTATCTTTTCCTCTTCATGCATGACTGATTTAGTAGACTTGTTTTCATCAGTAGAAATGGTTTTAGTAGGTTTGTCTTCTTCAGAAGTCATACTCTTTGTATGATCATCCTCGATAGTAGTAATGATAGACGCGTCTTCATCCATATCGGTTGTTTTAGTAGGTATATCTTCTTCGGAAGTGATACTCTTTGTATGATTATCTTTGGTAGTAGTAGTTGACTTGTCTTCATCAGCAGTGATTGTTTTGGTAGGCTTGTCATCTTTAGAGACAGTAGTAGTGGAGCTATTTAAGAATTTATCTTTCTTTGTGTTAACTTTGGCTGTTGTTGAATCATCATCTAAAATGGTAGTGGTAGCTACATTTTCTTTATCTGTGCTTTTGGATGATTTATCCTCATCTTTTGTTACATCTAAAGAATCTAGATCATCAGAGTCGTTGTTGTCTTTTAATAATTCATTACTTTGTGTGACAAGAAGTGTAGTTGCATGTTGTTTGGTTGTTGTTGTTGTTGTTACTGCTGCTGCTGTGATGGTGGTGGTGAATTTTGTAGTTATAATTGATCGTTCCTGAAAAAATAAAATAAAATTAAGCCAATCTTATTTTATACTATTTTAAAGTTTGATTTTTTTTTTTTTTTTTTGTGAATTACATGAGTAGACTTATCGGTAGTAATGGTTGTTTCTTCTGCTTTAATGAATTGGAGACAAATTAAAATAAAAAGTACAAGGATTAAAGGATGTACTAGAAAGCTTTTTAGGAAAATCCTTTGGGTCATCTAACAATTTATAAATATTTATAAAAATTCATTCAAGAAAGAGTTAAGGAAAGGAATGATATAATACAAGAAGAGAAAAAAAAATGAGAGAGAGAGAAAGAGAGAAAGAGAAGAAGAATACAATAATAATATATAAGAAGAATAAGAGAGAAAGAGAGAGAGAGAGGGAGGGAGGGAAACAGTAATAAATTACCGCCACCGTTGCTCTATCTCCTATAATAGGCTTTTTACTTGAACACAAGAGAATTAAAGACCTTTTTTTTCTTTTATTTTTTTATTTTATTTTTTTGTCATACACTGCAAAATTAAAAAAAGTACAACATATTATGGTTCCATCAAGGGCCTATACATAGCTTGATAACACGTTCTTTTTATTTTTATTTTTATTTTAAATTTGATTTACTAACATGAATATCTGTATATTTCAACTTATATATATACATGTATACATATATAATATTAGACGCAATGAAGTAATTCACAACAAATATAATTTGATTTTGGAACATAGAAAAAAAAAAAAATACGCTAAATGTATTCTAGACATACGCTTCAAAAAATATATACACATATACATGTATTCATATCATATTAATTTGTTGCACATGCTGATATATTACAAGGCCTGAATTGTAAAAGAACTTGCTACGATCGACATTACAAACTCTTTTTTATCATGATTGTCTTGGTCTAGAAGTTTGAACATTAAAAAATTATATTGTTAAATGTTATACTCTGTTTACTCGGTGTAACGAGACTGCCCTTCCTATAAAGCATGAATATTATTTACTATCATAATAAGCAAAGTATAATAGTGACTAAAACTGTTATTTTAAATTATGCATATTTATATATTTGTATAAATGTAGATTTTTTTTTTCAAAACATAATATATTATGTATATACGACATGCTAATCTTCATTTCAACATATATATAGAAATTTTTTAATATAAAAAGACATATATACATATATATATGCAATTTAATCTCTATCTACAGAACTATGACTACCGTCTCTAGAACGTGGACGATTTGACTTGACTTCATCATCTTCTGTAACAGGAACATCAATGACCATATCTTCATTTTTAATGTCAACACGACGTTCTGAGGATCTTCCTCTTGAGCTAGAATAAGAGCGAGAGCGTGAACGAGAAGGTGTACGAGAACGATCACGATCACGACGAGGAGTGCGAGATCGGGAGGGTGTAATTGAACGAGAACGTGAGCGAGAAGGGGTACGTGAGCGAGGTGTGCGAGAACGAGGTGTACGAGAGCGAGGTGTACGAGAACGTGAGCGACTATCACGACTGCGAGAGCGGCTGCCACGGCTGCGAGAACGACGAGAAGAACGACGAGGGGATCTGCTACGATCACGAGATCTTCTACGACGACCCTATATGCAAAAAAAAATAAAAGTAAAATAAAATGAGAAAATAAGTACTAAAATAATCAAATGTGATCCATAAATCAAAATTAACATTTACAGCTTCTTCAAGATAAACACGAGAACCATTTAATTTCTCATTATCAAGTTCTCTCAATGCATATTTCATGTCTTCCCGTCTAGCAAATTCAACAACACTATTTTTTTTGAAATAAAAGATTTAGTAGATAGTATTTGATTACAATTATCTTTTTTTCTTTGTTACCCTTCTCCAGGACGATCTTTGAGAATATCAGCAAAGGTGACACGGCCAGCTTTCTTCATGAAATCCTTCAAATCCTTTAAATATATAAAAAAAAGAGGATATCAAAGAATGTTTTAGTTTCACAATTTTTAAAAAGACACATTTCAACATAAGGTAGAGGGAAATAAGAAAGAAGCAGAAGACCAAATTTCTTCTCTTTTTTTCATAAAAAAAAAGAATTATGTTTTTTTAGGTACACAGGAAATTTGTCGGAGTCAAGCAAAGACAAAAGAACCTAGTTACACGAGACCCAAACCCGGGGGTTTAATATAAGTAAGTCTCAGCTTGCTTTTACTTTTTTTTTAATACTTCGCTTATGAACAAATAAATTCTTTTTTTTTTAAGCATAATTTTTTCTTATCTTGTACCAGTGAACAAAGAAAAAAAAATATAAATGCAAAAAAAAAAATCTTTTGATCATAAAAAAGAGATTAAAAAGAAAAGTAAAAGCAAGCAAATAAAGTAGTGAAAATGGGAAAAAAAAGAGAAAGGGAATAGGAACGGCCTAATAGCAGCATAGAAAAGGAGATAAGTATTTTACCTGCCAAGTAGTCTTTGATGGGATATTCTTTACAATAATGCGATTGGTGTCCTTACTATGACAATAAAAATATTTGCCAATTAGCATTCGGTAGAATAAAATGATAAAACTTTTTTTTACACCCCAACAAAATGAGGTGTATGTAACCTATTTAAATAAATAAATAAAAAAATTAAATAAAGAAACTTACATTTCAAAGCGGTCAGGACGACGGCGGCTCATAGCAAGTTCAACAACGATTCTAAATAAAATAAAATAAAATAAATATCTATTTATTTAATGTAGAAATAATTCTAGTTCCAAAATATAAGACATCAAACCTTTGACCTAAGAATCTAGTATCGTGCATGTCGTGAACTGCATCTTCAGCATCCATTTTGTCTGCAAATTCAACAAAACCAAAACCTGTCTTTACAGTTACATCAAGAATTTTGCCAAAATCTTTAAAAAGATCTTCAAGGTCTCTTCTTGAAGCATCACGAGCAAGATGTCCAATATAAACTCTGTGTCCACCCATGTTAATTTTTTTTTTCCTTTTTTTTTTAACGATAGAGTAGAAAGAAAATACGTGTAGGAAAAGTTATAAAAAAATTATGATGACGAGAAAAAAGAGTCACATACGACAAAATTTATTTTAAACAATGCCATTGGAGAGTTTATTATTATTCTTCATGGCTTTGATGAAGAACGTTCCATGATACAAACATCAAACTTCCTGTTTATGAATTCTTTTAACTGCAAGAATACATTCCTGTTCCCAATTGATGATAAATAAAAGATAAAAGGCTTCGCATAATGATTTTATTAAACCTGAAAGGACAACGCCTGTCCAGATACCATTTAAGCCCCATTCATAACGAGATGTTAATAAGAGTCCAACAGGGAATCCAATGATATAGTAAGATATGATATTAATTAAAGCAACAATAGACTGTTTACCAAAGGCATTTAATGTACCTGACAAAATAATACCAACTCCCTATTTACATAATTAAATATATTAATATTATATGTATGCATATATACATGTGGTAACCTACCAATGCAAAGTGGGCAAGGCTGCCTATGTGCATCAAGTCTTTTATAGCAATAATCACTTGTTCATCTGTAGTAAAATAATATGCAATATTTGATCGATAAATGTATAATAACATTGAATTAACTGTGACAAACATAAAACCTAATACAGTGGTTAAAATGACACATAGTTTCGTCTTTTTTGGTTCATTTGCACCCAAATGATGTCCAAGTCGTACAACTAAGGCCGTTTTTAGCGCGCTTTTATGGTTATCATCAATAAAGTTAGTTTATACATGTATAATGTATGAATGACTTTTTTTTTTTAATATCATTTTACTTTGGAATCATTAATAACCAGTTAATACTAATAAGTACTACTGATTGTGCGGCAAGACTTGTTGCTCCAAGTACACCAGCAATGATAGCACATACTTCAAATGCCCAGTCAGTAGAAACACTTAGCATACCTGGAATACCTATTATATATTATATATATGTATTTATTTGGGACTATTAGATAAATATTAAATCATGAAAGTGAACTATTTTGTATACCTACCTAATTTGAGAAACTCTCCCCAATGACAAAATGCTTGATTTGTGAGACCAGGCCAATATCTCTTAACATCAGTGCAGGTAAATATAATGAAAAGATATACAGAAAGCAAAATGACTGCAATAAATACAATATGATAGGCAGCACCAATATAACCAAGATTCAAGTAAATCAAGAAGAAATAATTTGATACGATATTTATAGGAAATACAAATAGGATTAGGTACATTGTTACTTTCATTTCACCTATCATTAAGATAAATAAGTACATAATGTATATGTATAGATAGAGTACTCTCTTTTGTTTTGTTTTATTTTTTTTTTTTTTTACCTAGTCCTTGTAAAAATTTTCTTAAACTAGTAATGGTAAAACTAAGGAATATATCGGGTATAACATAGAGGATATACTCATGTGCCATTTTAGATAATTCGGGTGATTGACCCATAGATAAAAGGATAGTGTCAGAGAATATCCTATTCATATTGTAAAACATATTATTGAGCTACCTATCTCTGTAGATTAAAAATGGTATTTATAGTCTTTACCATAGAATAGATATAAATACACCAAAAATATACATGATTAATAAACTTCTCTGAAGTATAATGCCAATCGTATATGGATTACTAGCACCTGTAAATGCTTGAGCTACTAAAGTATCGATTGCTATATATTATATTTTTTCTATAAGTGACTTGATGTATACAAATATATATAAAGTGTATTATCCTACAATGTACCTGTTAAAATACCATTCCCTACAGATAATCCAACAACTGCAGTAAATAAATTGCCTAGACTAACAACAGCTAACATTTCAGAACTTAAATTACCGACAAACCAGACGTCAATCACCTTATTACCTACGCCTAATAAAAAAGTAATCATAAGAGGTATACCAAACTTGAATATAGCATGTAATTCATTCTTCACATCTTTATCATTATATAGCGAAAGAAGCCACATCTTCTTCTTTATGCTTTTAGTGACATTACTAGTTAAGTCAGGTTGTATTGAATTTGGATAATAGAAAGTCTTTTTGTTCACAAATGAAGAAGATGGAATAGTACCATGATTTTTGAATTTAATACAGTCTTCTTCATGACTTAATAAAGTAGCGTATTCCTCATCTTTAATTTTATATCTAATTTTTTTCCTAAATATTATAGGAAAATTTATCAACGTTGTTAAACGAAACGTATACATTCAAAAGGGAAAAGAGGATAGTTTTTTTTTTCTTTTTTTTTAAAAAAAAATATATATATACATATATTTATATGTATTTATATATATATATGTGTGTGTGTGTATGTATTTATGTATATGACAAGTCAATGACGACTTGACATAACTTTTCATAACGACAATAGATTTAAAACAAGTAAGCAACAACAACAACAACTGATGATAGACTTAAATATAAATATTCAACACTAATACAATTCATCACCATAGCAATAAAAAGAGGAACATTTTTATCATTCTATTTATAAATATTATATATCTATTCGAAGATATATTTTAAAATATAATGAAATAAGGGTTTGTCTCTATTATACCATTTTTTTCTCAAGATAATAATCTACATTATCTAGTCAATGTTACACGCGACAAAATTCAAAAAAAAAAAAAAAATTACTTGTCAGTGTGACAATTTTTTTTCCAAAAATGAAAGAGGGGGTTGTTGAAAGAGAAAAAGAGGTTGATATGTATATGAATTTTTTTTTTTTTTTTTTTTTTTTTTTTTTTTGATTGATTGAATAATCTATCTCAAAACAACAATGTTGACGATGAAAAAGACTCGTCAACACCGACTAGTAGATGTAAGTTTGTTTTTTTTTATATACAGAATATAAATAGTGTTAACTAGTAATGTTAGTATACATTGGGAATGTGCTTTCTTTGTAATGGTGTTCAAGATTTTGGACATGAAGATACAAAAAGAGAACTATTAAAATGCTTTGATTGTCATCGTAACGGTCGGTATGATTAACCAATGGATAATAAAAACAAAGTATAAAGGAAAAAATAAATAAATAAATAAATAAAACTAATCCTATTTTTTATACATATTTTGTTTTTCTTTATTTTTAGTTCATCCTCAGTGTTGTGAACTTGATAAAATCTCTGCAGAAATTGTGCAGACATATGATTGGCAATGTAATGACTGCAAAAGTTGCCTTGTTTGTCAATCAAAAAATGACGAGGTATGACAACTTAAATTTTCTATTTTTTCTTTTTTTTTTTTTGAAATTTTTGCTCTTTTTTTTTTTTTTTTTTTTTTCTTTTTTTTTTTCTTTTTTTTTTTTCCCTATATATTACTAATATAAAAACACGTATACATAGAGTAAAATTGTTATTTGTAATCGTTGTGATAGAGGATATCATACATTTTGTTGTAATCCACCTTTAAAATATATACCCAAAGGTAAATATGGATCTATTTTTTATGTGGTAAAAGTTTTTTTTTTCATTTTTCATTTTTCATTTTTCATTTTTCATTTTTAACTCAATTAAATTCTAGACGATTGGTATTGTGAACAGTGCTCTGGTATTCCTTCACCTCCTAATTCTTTATCTTCTCCAGTTAATCAACCCTTATTAGATAATCAACATAAAATTGGTTATAGTCTAAGGCAATCACCTAGTCACTCCGCAAAATATATTGAAAGTAAAACAATGAGTGAGGATATACCAAAAAGGAAATATGTAAAACAAAAGTCTGAAGAAGTGAAGGCAGATAAAAGTAAACCAAAGAATGAACCAGTGAAATTACGTTTGACTATAAAAAATCCTTCGTTATTACCTTCACTTAAAAGAAAACGAGGAAGACCAAAACAATTAAATCATATAATGTATGAGGAAGAAGATGATTTTTTTAAAACATTTGGTAATAAACTAACAAAAGAAGAAGCCAATACGATACCTGGCACACCCGTACAAAAAGACATGAATAGATTTGAAAAAGCTAGATCTAAAATAGAGGTAAAAGATAGATAAAGGAAGGAAGGAAGGAATCGTTTATTTATATATATATGTATTTAATGTTTAGAAAACACAGTCCTATTCTACATCATTCACATTTCAACAAGAACCTATTTTAGAAGTACCCAAAATATGTAGAATATCATTTAATCATCATTTAATCGATACTTGGTATGTTGCACCTTATCCAGAAGAATATAGTCAGAATTCAACACTTTATATTTGTGAATTTTGTATGAAATACATGAAGAGTAGTTATATTGCAGGCAGACATTATAAAAAGTGTAAAGTAAAATATCCTCCTGGTGATGAAATTTATCGAGATGGTAAAATTTCAATATTTGAAGTGGATGGAAGAAAGAACAAGATGTATTGTCAAAATTTATGTTTGTTGGCCAAGATGTTTCTTGATCATAAAACACTTTATTATGATGTGGAGCCTTTTTTATTTTATATCATGACAGAGACAGATGAAAAGGGATGTCATTTTGTTGGTTATTTTTCAAAGGAGAAACGGTCTGCTATGAACTATAATGTATCATGCATCTTGACAATGCCTATCTTTCAACGGAAAGGATATGGTCAATTCTTGATTGACTTTAGTTACTTGTTATCAAAGAAAGAAAATAAGACGGGGACGCCAGAAAGACCTTTATCAGATCTAGGTTTACTCAGTTATCGAAATTATTGGAAAAATATCTTATTCCGTGAATTAGAACGTCATAGAGGAAAATCGATTAGTGTCGAAGGTAATAGATGTATGTGCCTTTATACAAATATGTATTTAATTTATATCTTTTCTCTATAGAACTTAGTCATAGTACGAGTTTAACAGTAGATGATATTATATCAACTTTGCAAAATAATAATATGATTCAATATGATAAAGATACGAAACGGTACTCTCTGGTAATAGATTGGAAGCAAATTGAAGATTATATAAAAAAGATGGATGAAAAAAATTATCTTCGCGTCGATGCTGAGAAGCTTACTTGGACTCCATTTGTTCTATCAAGAGACCGTTTAGCTGCCTTATTAGGACAAGCAAAGAAAACCATTAAAGACATTGACGAATCAGTAGACGTTGATATTGTTTGAAAAGAACATATTTTAACATGTAAAAATATATATGCAATATTCCCCTCCCTTTTCTTCTTTTCAGTGTAATTTGTTATATATTTTATTGAAAAAAAAAGTATACACACACACACACCCATATTCTATCGTTTATTCCTTTTTCATGTAAAAAGGATTAGATTTTTCATTTTCATTTTTATTATAATAAAAGGGAAAAAAAATGTAGATAGCAACTTGAGAGAGTAGTCTCCATTCTGTTAACTATTCTTTCCTTTTCTTTTCTTTAAAAAAAAAAAAAAAGAAAAAAAAAAAGAAATAGTATCCGCAATAACTATAACTATGACCAGTAAAATAGCAATACCTTTATAGCTTTTGAACTCAATCTTTGTTATGACCAAAAGATAAAGGCAGCACGTTACTAAGAGCAACGTAATTTTGTACCCATTACAGGCACAGCTCTTTATTCTTCTCAGAGAGAGAGATAAAATAAAAAGCCACTATAGTCTGGAGACCTTCCCTAACGTATAAAATAGTATCGAATGATAAAACATTCCAGTATGTAGAGCTAATTAACGTCAAGTGCGGATCTTCTCTGTTGCCACAAAAAAGAAAAAAAAAAAAAGGAAAACTAGTCGTAGAAAAAAAATTTTCCTTTTTATATATGAAAAAAAAATTTTTTTTACGTGACTTTATTTTAATTTAATTTCCGTAAAGTAGATGGAAGAAATTTTCATTTTTATTTTAGACCAATCAATAACAAGAACATACGATTCTTATGGGATAAAGTCCTTCAAAGAGTTGAAAAGCTTTATAAAGCTGGTTATTCTACATGTTGATAATAATAAAAACTCCCTATTTATTATTGCCTTAAAAAGGGTGATAGTTGGCCATCTTGAACTATCCTAAACACTCTTTATTATCATGATTCTACTCTACTTTGTTTTACAGCTATCATAAACAAGAGCAGGATTTGTGAACATAAATCTTTATATGGTCAATCAATACAAAAATAACTAATAAATACGACACACACAATAGAGTTATATAAGCCACCCTTACATTGATGTAGTTAAACTTCTTTATACATAAAAGTATTCCTGATTATTCAATACATACTTATATTTTGTCTTCTATACTAGCTCCAAGCTGTTACGCTTTTCTGGATATATCAATTTATTACTAATGATTCCATAGTTATAGCAATTAAAATAATCAAATAGTTTTATGCTTATATCCTATTCTATTTATCAGAAAGGGTTTTGTCCTTTTTTTTTTTTTTTTTTTTTTAGTTTGATAAGTCTAATTGTTTTCATGATCAGCACAAACGTGATATAGTTAATATTAGTTTCAAAAAAAAAAAAATTGCATGTCTTTATTCAAGATGTATCGATTCATAATAGCAAGAATTCACTATGTTTTGTCTTGGTGTGTAACTGTCTTAAAGAGAGCAGAGGACGATTATGGAAATAAAGAGTACCTCTTCTGGTTAAGTATCAATATCTCTATTAAACTATGTAAGACAACTTTGGTATTTTCATTCTCCTATCATTGATTCTAGACACATTCTTCTTCTTCTACGTCTACTATTACTTGCGAAACAAATAAATTAGAACATCAACCGTTGATGGTATACAGCAAACATATTCAAAAATTATTACTATTTTAATGCTTTAAGCTAAGCTTACAAAGTTACTTGACTGTTATCCTTAGGAACGATAAGCTACTGTGTTTAAAGAGAAACACTATATTCATTTTAATTTAATTTAAATTTGTATAGGTGGGCTAGTTGTTAATATTTAATTTTCGTCTTCTGAAACAAGTCTTTGTAGTAAGCAAAAATGCTTTGAACAAGTTAGAAATCCAGCGCCACAGATAGACAAACTTTCATAATCATTTACTGTGTATCTGATGAATATCCTTTATTAGCTACTATAGTACGATAAGAAGACATCAAAAATTATTTTTTATAAGCACACTCATATCTTGTTTGTTTTACTACTTTTTATCATTAGCAATCCTATTATTTTTTTTTTTTTTTGCAGATAAAGTAAATCTGGTTTGTTTTATGCGTACAACATATAATAGATTGTCTGCTGGAAGAGTATATGTTTAACAAAGAAAGGAATTTATTTCTGCATTATTATTACTTTTTGTACATCAAAAAATTTGTTGCAAATTTACATAAATCGTACCATAATTGTACCCCTTTGTTTAACCTGCCATTTTTAAGTTGATTAAAAAAATTAAAAAAAAAAAAAAAATACCGACGAAACATATTCAATTATTAGAAACACATGATTTTTTTTTTCATTTCTTTTTTCTGAAATAATAATTAACACAAGCATATATTGTATTTCCTTAATTTCTTTTCTCTCTCTCTCTCTTTCTCTATTTTCCTTTGATTTACTTCTTCTTTTTATTTATGCCAACTATCGAAGAATTAATACCTTTATTTCTTACGATTAGCATCGTAATTGGAACTTATTATTATTTCAATTCGAAAAGTAAATATAGTCGTACATTTATACACTTGTTATAATTAGAGTGTCAATATTTAGCAATAACCTGTAAAAAATATAATAATAATAATAATATAGGAAAAATATTAGATCCTAAAGTATTTAGAAGCTTTAAACTCATTGAAAAGACTTATGTTTCACATAACACATCAAAGTAATCATTCACTTAAATCAAGTCAATTATTATTATTATTATTATCCTCTTCTCTCTCTCTCCTCTTTCCTCTCTTTCTTCTTTTTATTATACAAGCAAATTATACAAGTCATGTTTCATTTGATTTAACCAAATCTTATAGGTATCGTTTTCAATTACCACAACCTGATGATGTATTAGGATTACCTGTTGGTCAACACATTTCTATCATGGCAGAAATCAATGGTAAAAAAATTTCAAGGAGTTATACACCTATTACACCAGAAGAAGATAGAGGGCATTTTGATCTAGTTATTAAGGTACTTTTTTTTTTTTTTTTTTTTTTTTGAATGGAAATAGAATGAAAGGAAAGTAGCCTAGATAATACGGGGTTTTTTTATAGTTATTGTTATTTTTATTTTTAGTCTTACCCCACAGGAAATATATCAAAATTAATGGGAGAATTAAAAGTAGGTGATTCAGTAGGTATGAGAGGACCTAAGGGGAGTTTTGAATATACCTGTAATATGGTGAGAGCTATTGGTATGATTGCAGGTGGTACAGGAATTACACCTATGCTTCCAATTATTCGACGTGTGTGTAATAATCCAGCAGATAAGACAAAAATTGATTTAATTTTTGCAAATGTGACTGAAGAGGATATATTGTTAAGAAAGGAATTAGATGAAATTGCTGCTGCTTCATCAGATAATTTTAGAGTACATTATGTATTAGAGAAGCCTCCAGAGAACTGGTCAGGTGAAGTTGGTTTAGTTACAAAGGAAATAATTCAAAAATATTGTCCAAAACCAGCAAAGGATATAAAAGTTTTAATTTGTGGTCCTTTACCGATGGTTAAATCAATGACAGCTGCAACTACTGAATTAGGCTATCAGAAGCCTAGAGCTGTTTCAAAAATGGAAGATCAAGTTTATAAATTTTAATCCATGTAATATATCCTTTTTTTTTCTCATTATAGCAGCAACACATATATACATCATAATCTTCATCTCACTCACTCTCTCACTCACTCTCTCACTTACTCACTTACTCACTCACTCTCTCACTCACTTACTCTCTCTCACTTACTCTCTCTCTTTCTTCCACTTTGTACATGTAAAAACAATAAAATAAAATGTACTTGTACTTTTTTTGTTTTTGTTTAGTAAATAGAATTTGCTTTAAATCGTATAGCAAGATTAGCCTGACATAATCCATACTTTTCTGTTTCGATATCAATCTTTGTCCATCTTGGCCAAATACCTACTACTTGTTCCTTTTCTATAAACTTCTTCACTGATACATATCCAGTTACATATGCAAAAGAAAAGGCAAATAACTCCTTTTCATTTTCAGACTGTGATAAATAAGTGGGTAATGACAGTGTCGTTTGGGATGCAAAATCTTTAATAGAATCATTTTGTGTATTACTTAAACTAGACCCATCTTCTGGTAAAAGATATTGAATTTCTTCTTCTTTTAAAGGTATACACCATGCAAATATAAGCCCTCCCTCAGTCCATCTTTCTATCATACGATATAAACATGATTCTGGGTGTAATTGACATACCTTTACAATAGATCCATATTCTGCCACTATTTGGTAAATATATTATAACAATGCATTATTTTTTTTTGAATACATATGTATTTATTTATAGAAAGCCTTACTTACTTTGACTATTTACTTTTTCTTCCCATTCACAAAATGATTTCTTTTCTTTTATAATATGCGTCATGGCAGTATCAGCTAAACCGCCTTTCTTGAATCGTGTAGAATTTCGAATGGTTCCTTCAATATGAGGCTCTAACTCAAATTCAAGGGAAGAGATAACTTGAGAAGAAGAGGGCTCGTTACGAGGAGATTCAAATTCAAATTCAAGAGAAGAAGAAGAAGCCAAGTGGGAATAAGATGATATGTCCTTTGAAGTAGGAATGACAAACTCATATTCTTCTTCTAGCTCGTCTACTGCTTCTTCATCTATATCTGATGTTATAACCGTCTCTTTTGGTTTTACATTCTCTTCAGTAAAGCTCATAATAGTATCATTATCACTTGTAAACTCTGAAATGATACTTTCGGCTTTTTCTTCATCAATGTGTCCATCTAAATCAAATAAAAGAGAAGCAGATAGTTGTGAATCATTAAATTCTGAACGTACTTGTGACCAAGAGGGTTCTTGTTGACTATCAACACAGTTTTGTGATAGTTCAAACGATGATGCTTGTTGAGGAGATTCGTTATCCTGTTTAAAAGGCTTTTCCCATGGATCAATTATACTATTATTTTCTGATTGCTGACTAAATGATGAAATAGGATCTTCTTGTAAAAGTTTTTCTTCCTGTTCGATACTTAATGGCTTTTTAGTAGAATCTACAAGCTCAAATTCAAATTCTAAATCATCTTTATTCTCATTCTATGCAAATAGATGTATACTTCATTTAAAAAGTTTTATTTACTTTTATTTTGATCATTTACCTTATGAAAGTTTGAGGACAAAGCTTTTTGAGGTTCAAATGGGTGTATTAACTTGGCCTTTTTATTAGTATGTTTCTTTAAATTTAAAAAAAAAAAGTATTTGAAATGAACACATCAATTACTATTTGAATAAACTCTTTTAATAATTAATAGTTACAATTCGTTTTGGCATTGCATTGATTAAACATAAAAAACATGAAAATAAATAGGCATTCCTGCATTTTTATACAAAATTAAAACTGCGTATATATTTTTCTTTATAGGTAAAGTGCATGTATTATATGTTACAAAAAAAAAAAAAAAAAAAAAAAAAAAAAAAAAAAAAAAAAAAAAAAAAAAAAAAAAAAACAAACAAATATTATACAGAGAAATAATAACAATACAAAAAATTAAAAATCAAACTGTCCACGGAAAGCATCTAAATTACGATGATCACATTCAGCAGCAAGATCCTCACGACTCATCCTAGAAAAAAAAACATAATGTTATTTGCTTTAAAATAGATAAATAAAGAATAGACTTACATGTACATTAATAAACGTAAACTATCCCAAATACCATCACTTGTACCATTAGGCACATCCACTAGAATACTCTTTTCAGCAGCTCTTGCTGCTTGTCCAGCAGACATTGCAGCTGCACGTTGTAGATCAAGTGCAGTTAAAAGATGTTCAGCAGCTTCTCTATGTTGCCCTAAATTCATACAACTGATGGCTAGATTATATCTCGCTCGAACAAAGGAAGGATTGATTTGAAGGGCATTAAAGTACATTTCAATAGCACCCATACTATCTCGTGAATTAGCCAAAGTAGCACCTACTTTATTCCATAACTGATAATCATAAGGTCGACTAATGAGAGCTGCTTTAAAGCAATCAACTGCTTTATCGTATTCTTCTGACATATTAAATAGAACACCTAATCCAACTTGAACATCTGCATCCATTTCTTCTCCTGGTGCTGTACGAGCTGCCTCCAAAAATAACTGTGTAATATAATCATGTCGTTTCATTTCATCTGTATAATGATAACCTAATTTACCGTCCTTTAAAATATGTTTATAGTTTGAACTATTAGCAATCCATTGTTCTAAACAATTATAAGCATCCATACGACAATGCTCGTTGGTATAGCTAACAGCTAAGGCGAGCCATGCATCAATACAATTTGGATCAATTGCAACCGCCTTTTCTAGTGCTGTAATGGCAGCAGCATCACGTTCATTCTCTTGTTGCTTCAATCCAAGTTGTTCCCATGTCTTTGCATCTTCTGGTGCTAATTGTGCCTTTGCTTCTAATGCCATAATCGTATCCGCCAAGGTTGTATGAACGGCATTGATAGCTTCAGGATAGGATAAATAAGGATTATCAGCCATATAATGGTATACCTCATATTCAGGATGAATGGCACGATAACCATAAGGTTTACCGTCCGGCTGTAAACGATCATATTCCTTTTGTTCAAGTTCTGTTGCTTTACTATCGATACTTTGCTTATAGTTTTTAATCCATTCCTCTTCATTCTCTAAACTTTTTGTGAGAGCTGCTTTCCCTTGTGCAGTCAAATCATGATATTGACTAAATTCCTTTGTCCAGTCCTTGGCATCCAATAACTCTGATGATGACCTAACCGGTGTTGTACGTAAGGCTTGTGGCTGCGGTTGTTGTTGTTGTATACGATGCTGTGCTTCCCATGTTTCATGATCTGCAAATTCTTTGTCCCAATCCCTATCCATTTGTGTAGCTTTAATAAATATTTATTTTAGTTACATATATACATACATACATACATACATATATTTATATTATATATTTATATATGTATATATATTAATCCATTCTCTTTTTTTTTTTTTTTTTTTTTTTATCTCTTTACAGTCATTCATTTCTTCAAATACACGTTCAAAAGCTAGTTGTTCTTCTTCTGATACATCAGGTGAGGGAATTTGTTGGAAATTAGAAAACTCTTCAGTCCAAATTGTTGGGCTTTGAGGAACAGGAGACCTTATAGGTGTATGTCTTTGATAAATATGTTCAAATTCTTTAAATCTATAGCCAGGAGATGAAGATTGACTGTGATTAGAAAAATCACGTACCCAATCCTCCTTTACAACTGATGAAGTGTCGGGAGGTATATGTGCTTCGAAAGGACTTGATGTGTTGCTTCTATTTTTTTGTTCGTTATGCTGAAAAAATTCATCTGCCAACTAAAGGATATATATGTATGTATGTATGTATTAAACAGGTATTGATTTAGTTTTCTTTATGTATATATACATATATATATATATATTGCTTAACTTACATTATCTGCAGCAAATACAGGACTTTGGTTTGATTTACTTCGAAATGTAGATACTGACTATATTGTGTATTCTTAGTTTTTATAACTATCAAGTTGATATATATATATACAAGTATTTACCTTGGAACTTTCACCTTGCGGATGATAACGATCCTATGTATACATTTAATTTAGAAACCAAATTTATTTTATGCAACCAAATATATAGATGCATTACTTGTTGTAAACTTCGATCTTGTCTCAATTGCTTCATTAAATGGGTTAAGCCATTATCAGATCCACACTCAGACCCAGCACCGGTTAATTTTGAAAATGCCATGTATATCTAAATTTGGTTCAGTAAATGATAATATATAAAGAAGTCAGTACAATAAATAGATAAATAAAAGCCCTGTTATTTTTTTTTTTAAAAAAAAAAAAAAAAAAAAAAAAAAAATTGCGGGAAAAAAAAATATTTTTAACAAAAGGCTATTTACCATGTTTTACCATTTATTATCAAGTGAAGAAAGAAGGACAAGTACTATTACTGTATTCAAATCGTTTATTCATGAGTACAACAACATAAAATTATGTTCTGTTGTTGTATCTTTATCAAGAAGTTTGTCTCAGTTGTTAAGTATTTTCACTATTATCACATCTGTTATAGAAAAAAAGAAAAGAAAAAAAAAATGAAACAAAAGCAAAATTATAATTATGGAATTTGACCCAAAGATAAAATTTCTTTTAGTGACAAATAGATTGGACTAGTTTGATGATATTCACTACATTTGGAACTATTATGTTTACATAAGAATAAATGAATTTTTATTATTATAATATACATTATAGAATATATGTGTATGAAGTAATAGGTAATACAAGTTGTAACAATAAGAATAAGAATAGTTATGTTATGAAAGAGGTGGTGTAGGATTAGGGTGGTGTTAGGGATATATATAAATATATAACGTACTTGTCTATTTGATTCATTCTAATATAAATTAAGACTTAACTGAATCTGAAGAGCTTTTGTTATCATAGTGTACTATTTCAAATTGTCGACTATCTTCTATACCAATATTATTTACATCGTAATTGTTTTGAGCAAGATATTCGCGAAAATCGATATCTTCTTTGATTAATCCATCTGGTCCAATCTCTGGAAGAAGAAACCATGCAATAAAACTAGCTGCAACCGCAATACCACTACTCACTAAAAATGGACCACGATAGCCACCCATGGCATTTTCCATTGGTATGAAAGCTAATGTACCTACCGTAGCACCTACTTTACCAACAGCTGCAGCAATACCATAACAGGTGCCTCTTACTGCTGTGGGGAATAGTTCCATCGCATTTAGACCCATTGTAGGGCCCGGTCCATATTCTCCTAATGCTAAGAATATACCGTACATAATCTATTATATAAATATATGATAATGCATAAATTAAATCTGCGAATAATAATAATTTATTTATATTCTACTACTTACAATAAACATGGGCATACAATTCTTTGATAAGGGTTCATAAACACCACCAAGAATTATACCTACAATACCTTGAGCAAGTAAACCAAAAGATAGAGTCTTTCTACGACCAATACGATCAACTGAATAAGCACCTGCAAGACAACCAGGAAGATAGAATGAATAAAGAAGGATATTCCAAGCAACTACAGAAATAGTAGATTCACCATTAGCTACACTATTAATAATAATAGATGAAAATACTCCGCTGGGATAGGAAATAAAATCATAAATAAACCATAAACCAGAACTAAGAAGGATACGGAACCAATATTTTTTGAAAATAAGAAAATAAGGCACTTTTTTCTTCATTGCTCCTTTACGATAATGTTCAGAATCTGCCATCTTGAGTCGAACTAACATATGATTTAATATGCAAAAAAAATTTGAGCAGAAAGTGATTTTTTACGACTTACAGTATAAAACAGACAAAGGTGGTACAACACCAAAACCAAGGCAGAGACGCCAGACAGGTTCTAAATGATCTTTAAAAATGGCTAATAAAATCACTGGAATAATAGCAGATATAACATAGCCAAAATCAATTACAAAATTGGTTACCTATATAGTAAAGATTTAGTTTTTTTTTTTTAAAAAAAATAGCAAAAAAAAAAAAATAGGGTTATACACAGTCACTTACCATAACAAATAAACCGCCACGTCTACCAGGAGCAACTTCATCTGCAGATTCACCTGCAGAAACAGAACTACAAGGATATTCACCACCTACACCAACACCAAGAATACCTCTGGAAATGATCATCATCCAAAGCATCCCATTTACAGAAGTTCCATTTGAAGCACAAGATAAAGCAGCGCCTATAATGACAAGAAGTGTAGTAGCAATGAGACCAATCTTACGTCCGACACGATCAATTATAAGACCGAAGCCTATCAATTACGTTTACTTGTTTATAAAATTATGGAGAAAGCCGAAAAGGTATAGTTATAATTACCTAGTTGACCTACAATAGCACCTACAAACATAGCATAAGATAAACGAGATTTCATACTAGCATTAAAGACATCAGTGCCATAAATTTTAGTCAGAAAAAGGTTAACAAAACTAATTACGCCTGATTGATAACCATCTGATAATAAAGCAAATCCACTAAAAAGTACATTAAAATATGAAGCCGTTCTTCCCTTCTTCTTACAAACATGAACTTCAATATTATCAGAATGAATAGAATTAGTACTTTGATAATTGTTTATAAATTTATTAGGAATATTTTCTTGATCTCTTATTCTTTCATCAACAACTAATTTTCCATTTTGATTATTTACAGAGTTTTCAGGCATTATTATTATTTATGCTATTTTTTTTTTAAAAAAAATAATAATAATAAAAAAAAAAAAAAAAGAGAGAGAGATAGAGAATCAAGTGGGAAGATAAAACACACAGCTGATAAGTACTTTATATTTTTTTTTTGGCACTTGACTTAATCCGAAAATTGCATTTTTTTTTTATCCAGAGTAATTTAAACTCAGATATTATTTTTTTTTTTTTGTGTCAGTACATGATGCAACTTTTGTATTAAATCAACAAAATGTTTCAATACGAAAAAAAAAAGTAGACATCAACAGTACTAATTGAAATGAAAGAAGGCATATATGAAATTGAGCCAATAAGAATGTACAAAGTTCAAGAAATGATGTGTAATTTATGTCTGCAGTAATAAATATTTTATAATAGATCATAAATGAATATAAAAAGGAGGGAGAGAAGGAGGATTCATGGACTTTGAGGGGGGGGGCACGTGCGCTGAATTCTGCGTACTATTAAAACATGTAACAAAAAGTGTAAGTTTATGCTTTTGTATAGTAAAAATTTAAATCTCCAATACAATTCGAATTGTGCCTGTGAAATTAAGTTTATAGACCGTCATAATAAATTATTACTTGAGTGTAACCAATCCTCATTATTTGTTAAAAAAAAAATAAAAAAAAAGACTCCATAATCTACAGATTTTCAAGGGAAAAAAAAAAGTATGTATGATGGAAGCCTTATTATACTTCCTTATCTATGCTCATTTAAAAATTGATCTTATAGTCTTCTTTTATAAAGTATATAGACACTTTTCTTTTCTTTTTTCTAACAAGTTTATTAAATAGCTATATCACTTGTACGTATTTTGTATTTTTCTTGGACTTAAAAAGAACGTACCTCATGATTGGGAAGACAGATCTATCAATGATATATTGGTTATAATTGTACAAAGATATTGAAAAAAAAATAATATCGAATATGAATCTTAATATTGTATCCTTTTTTTTTCTAGAATAATCTATTATGTATATACATGTATGCATTTATATATAAAAGCAATTTATGTTATGTGTCAATTACAAGCAAATTTTTAATTATATATTCATACACATCATAGGATAAGATAAGCTGTACTTTATCTATTAAACATAGGACAATAACAAAGTTACAATTTTTAATATAGTGAATAAATTTCTTTTTTATTAATATTTGTATAATTGCAGTCTATCTGGGAAAAAAAAAATCCCGTTTTTTTCGGTTCTTATATATTATAGAATTTATTGTTTCATTACATTATATTTGTTACTAAATTAATATAATTTGATAGTTTTATATAAAACGGTAATATACATATATAATAGAAATAGGCCCTGTAAAATAGATGAAATATCTAATTAGATCTAGAGGGAAGGATCGTAGAAACCAACAGTTTGCCAACGCTTCAAGTACTTGGCAAACAAATTAGTGTCTAAAACGGGACATTCCTTAATGATGGGGGCTATAAGACTTGTCTTCTTAGTTTGCCAAATAGGGAACTTGAAACTATCATTAAAGTTGGATTCATAAAAGGAAAGAAGCTTACTAGCAGGGTTAGTAGTATCCTTGGCAAGATCTTCAACCCATTGGCTAGTTGAAATAGTTTCAAATTTCATACCAGCCCCCTTCATCGCCTCAAGGACATCGACCCAATGAATAAGGTTAGGATTTACAACGTGATAGACACAATTCTTGTTATCGGCTGACAAATAAGCAGTACGAAGCATAATTTCCACAATAGAGGCAGAGGCATAATCTACTGTAATCCAATCAATAACAGTATCTAATTCAGGCATCTTGTGCATCACTGAGCCACCACCAATAAACATTAAAGGATATTGTTCAGAGATATTCCATACGCCATTGATAGAGTCACCGCAGACTTGGCCAAGACGTTCGACATAACAGGGGAAGTTCTTTTCGACAGTCAAATAGTTGAACAAAATTTCGACTACAAACTTGGAATGAGCATAACCCATAGGCATAGTGACGTGGGCATCAAGAGGTAAAGGCTCTTCCGCAATCTCCTCACCAGCAGCGGCACTAGCAGAGACACTAGAGATAAAGTGAACATGCATCGGGTTCACTTCCTTATAAGCAAACTTTAACAAATTATAGAAGGGTGCGATACACTCCTTATCGTAGTGCTCAATATTCATATTAAAATCAAGTAACCAGGCACAGTGTTGAACAATGGTAACCTCTTCTTTCAGTTGATTGTATTTTTCTTCAGAGAAGCCAAGGAAAGGCTCATTGAAGTTCATCGGTAACACCTCAACACGATCCGTCTTTAAGAGAGTGACATTCAAGTCACGAGATTCAAATGATTCAATAAGACGCTCAAATAACTTCTCGGCCTGGCCACGGACACAACAATACACTTTCTTCACTTCCTTGTTTTCTAATAAATCGCGTAACATAAAGGAACCTAAAGAACCTGTGGCACCTGTTAAGAGGATAACCTTATCCCTCTTGTCGCTATAATCATTCTTTGCAAAAGGGAAATCAGCCTTCGCTTTCTTGATATAATTCTTAGCCAGTTCCTGAGTTTCATGAGTCCGTTTCTCTAATTGTTCATTTATATCTTCCCTTTGATCACTCAAGAGGGCACTACGCATAGAATGAATACTTGGATGTTCAAATAAGAAATTTTGAGGGACATTATCAAAATACTGAGCAATCTTATTACGAAGTTGAATAGATAAAAGAGAGTTAAGGCCCAAGTCAAATATAGATTGATGATGATCCTTGAACGATGATTTAGCAATACCCAAGACATCAGCAGCACTATCAATCAAGAAATTTTCCACTTGTTCAGGTACCCAAGTGGAGCTATCGTCATTACTAAGTTTACCTCGTTTAGGGCCCTCCAAGAAATCATAATAGAGTTTATCGATCATTTCCTTAAAGTCAGCAGTAACCCTCTTACGAATGACTGTACCCTTATCTGTAGAAGGTAAATGTTGATCAAAGGGTAAAATTTTAACCATTTGAGGAAGAATGATACTATGATTAGGACATTCCTTGTTAGCTTCTTTAACAGCATCATGAACAGCTGCAATGATATCCTCAGGTCCGAAATGTATAGCATAATCCATATCCACTTCAATCAGAGCAGCAGTACATTGACGAGATTGACCAAGTACAACAACTTGCTTCACCATGGGGCTTTCACGAATAGTACCTTCCATAGGAAGCGGGTTTGTCTTTTCACCATTCTCCATAATAATAGTATCATCACGACGACCTAAATATTGATAGCGACCGGGGCAATTAGGATCTTGTTTAAAGAGATCATTTGTATCATAACCACCATCTTCACGATTGCCCACACCAGTAGCCATGTAAGGAGAATCGGCACGTAAGTAAAGGTGATAGACATCCGGTTCAGAAGGGTCATTTATTTCATAGACGGCATAAGGCTTGCCCTCTGAATCATAGCAGTCAAACATAGAAACAGAATTCCAGCTTTTACTGTTATTGTTCATATCAGATGTCATAATAGGCCCAATTTCAGTCGTACCATACATCGTATGAATATTAATACCTTGAGCATGAAGCCAGTCACCTGATTCGCGTTTAAATGGGGCACCACCAAAGAGAATATACTTTAGGCGTCTAACATGAGTAAAGTCATTATGTTCTTTAAGGTAAAAAATCATTTCTTCTAGGATAAGAGGAGGTGCACAGAGTAAAGTACATTTATTTGAGACAAATGATTCATGAATTTCAGATTGAGAAGCAGGAAGTTTAGGTAAGAAAATAGTGCTGGCCCCAAAGGTGACCATAGAGAAACAGGCAAAGACACCAAAAATATGAAAGCTAATACAAAAAAAAAAAAAAAAAAAAAAAACATTAAATCTCCATTTAAAAATGTATTTGATTTAAAATACAACTTACAGTGGTGCACAAGTAAGCATAACATCTTTATCAGTAATCTTTTCTAAACCTTCTTTAGCATTGACAATCAAATGGTAACACCTTAACATGTTGAGCAAATATCTGTTACTAAGATAGATAGGTTTAGGGAATGAAGTCGAACCAGAACTATATAAAATATTTGCGTGAGTTTTTTTTTTTTTTTTTCTTATTAAATAATTATATACGGTATAAATAAATTTACCTATGGATAATTAAAGCAGATTTCTCTTTGTCATCATCAGAAAAACTCATATCCAGTAATTGTTTATAGTCAGGATTTAAAGGTTCTTTAAGAAGAGTATCAATGTCAAGGAAAGTAATAGTGATGATCTTAACATTAGGGACATTAGAGGCAGCAGCACTAGCAATGGCACTGTATTTTTCATCAGCAATAAAAAGTTTAGAATTAGTCTTTTCCAGCAAATTCGTAATAGCAGCTTCAGAATTACGAGTAGATACGGCCATCATAGTTACACGTAATTTCATAATAGCGATCATAATGATCAAGTAAGTAACAGAATGATCACATATCAAGGAAATAACGTTAGCGTTTACTGCATTCTTAACCCACTTGCAAGCCAAATTAGTAGAGAGATGATCAATTTGAGCATAAGTTAGAGTCTTGTATCTACCATCAGAATAGTAACGAGCAAACACTTTATCGTCATGAACTTTAGATTGTGCATTTAAATAGTTGATAAATGCCTTGAAATGATCAGTAACAGTATAGCCATCAAGGAATGATACATCTGATTGGATATTGGCCGACATTTTTTTTTTTAACGAAATAGTATATATATAACTATATGTTAAAGATAAGTACTAAATCAAGACTCTGATGTTATAATTATCCCTTTTATATACCCAAGAGGGGTTACTTCATGTTTCATAGCCAAGGTAGAAAGTATAGGATAATTTTACCTATTTTAGACATATTATACAAGATTACGGTAAAACTTTTTATTCTACAGTTGACTTGAGTGCCTTTCTGGATAAAAATATAATAAAATAATAACGCGTATTTCTGTAATTAAAAGGAGACATTATCATCATTATAAGTAACTATTCCTTATTTAGTCCAACTTGAAATGCCATTTATATTAACAGTCAAGAATGAATGGTCTTTTTTTTTTGTCAACGATATTTCTTCGCTGTATAATTTTTCCAAATTAGGGTCATTTTAATATTATGCAATAAAACTGTTGTACATAATAAACTTTCAAATTTTTATACTCTCCTGCTTTCCTTCAGATACATACTAAACAGTCGAAAGAGGTTTACTATAGATAACAAAATAAGATGAAGGTATTTAACACGTTAGAAAAATGTTATCATAATATATTTATTAAAGGAATAAAAATCCTCTCGTTGATAACATTATTACGTAATCCTCTCTCTCTTTCTTTCTCTCTCTCTCTCTCCATTAATAAGTTGAATTTATGATTATAATATGTATCAATGATCTAATTTGAAAAGAAAAAAAATTATTTTTTTGTACATGCAGTAGTATATATCAAATGCTTCTTTTTAGTAAGTAAAATTTAGATATGAATAAAAACAAACTGTCTTTTTTTCTCCAATATATGTATATAAATATCTTTTAACGGTTAAAAGCAGCCACACTAGCACGACGTTCCTGTGCTTGAACTCCCACTATAGAGGCAAAGACACGAATAACATCTGTCATAGATACTACGCCAGTTGCTTGATTACATTCATCTACAACCCAAACACGATGCGCCTTTGTTGCAAGTAATTTGGCGATGGTAAATCCTAATGAAGTTTCTTGACGAACATCAAAGACTGGTAAGCGATCCTAATGAAAGAATATAGATAAGTCTATAATGCTTCTATTATGATAATTTCCTTTTTTTTTTTTTACTTGTCCATCCGCAATTCCTTGCTGAGTTCTAATATGACTAACAAACTGTAAGCATGTCTTCCAAAGTAAACGATGATTATATCCCTTCATAACATGCTATAATTAAGATATAATTTAATTTCACTATTACTATTACTCACATTTACACACTAGTTCTACATACTCTAACGTCTGTTAAACTTATATTTCCTATAACATATTTTCCGCCACGAAGTACAGCTACAGATGAGATACCATGAGTGCCTATTAATTAAAAAAGGAAACTATTAATTTTAAATTTACGCATTAAAGACAATTTATAGAAACTGTACTCATTAAAGAAAGAGCCTCTAATACATTAGCACTTGCGTCAACACTGATAACTGTTTCATCACCAAGATTTAATTGACGAATCTACATAAACAATAAAATTATTATTTTTATACTACCTTATAAACTCTTTCACCTTACCGATTTATCTAATATTTCATCAATTTCTGGGAATTGCTTACGATTTTCAAACAAATATTTAACAACTGTAGACTGAGATAGAATACCAGCAACTTCACCATCTGGCTTTAAAATGCTCACTAATAATAAAAGTTATATACATATTTTAGTAAGATAAAATAAAACTCGTGTATAAGTCATATTTACCTCTATGAGTACCACACGCAAATACCTCTACTGCTGATAATAATGTAGCTTCCTGCATTATCGAATAAAATGGATTCTTACGTGATAGATCTTATATATATATATATATATATATGTATATATATATATAGAGAGAGGATTTTTATATATGAGCAGATATTGCAAATAATACTACTCTTCTTCAAAATTAAACCTACTTACCACTTGCCATACGAACAGGCACTTTGTATCCTTGTAATGCTCTATGAACAATATCTTTTATTTCAAATGATTCTGTGTCAACAATATCATCACTATCAGGCTGACCAGGTTTACGATGCAAAACCAAAAGAATATAGGCAATTACATCACCGTAATCAAACATTCCAATATAATGTCCCCTTTCACCATGTGCATAAACTGGTGCAGATGATATATTATTTTCCACAAGAACTTGGCAGGCCTCTTCAACAGAAAGATTACCGTCACTAAAATGTATAATTATAAATTTATGCATTTATATTTGAAATGTTTATTTATTTATTTATTTATTTTACATTTCAATCACTTTTTGATTATGAATCAGACTTGAAACGGGAATCATTGCCCATTTCTTTGTACTAGTTGTTATGCCTTCTCTGTTATTTTCCATCATTTTGATTAAGTAAAAACTAAAATAAAGTAAAAACAACAAAAAAAAAGAAAAAAAAAAAAAAAAAAAAACTTCCCGGGGGCGGGATTATAATGATCATCTGTTTTGACATGAAAAAAAAAAAGCTGTAATAAATACAAATTGCATTAAAATCAAATTTAATTGGTTCACATTATTTGGAAGTAATTAGTTCCTCTTCAGCAAATGTAAGATTAAATTATAGGACTTTATTTTTAAAATAAACCCAAAAAAAAAACTAATGAATATATAACAGCTTTTTGTTGTGCTGTATTATTCAGGTCAGTGCTGAAATGAAAAAAAAAAGTAATAAAACTCTTCCTCCCCCCCCCTTTTTAACCGCTAAAAGGGACAACTTCAAGAGAATAAAATAAAAACAGAAACAATAATTGAATACTAACATGACTACAAAGATAATCACTGCACCAGTTAGTTGGGTACCAGGATCTTGAGAAGAAGGAGTGATTTGACCATGAAATAAATACCCCATATTATGAAGGACTGTAGTACAGATAGCTGGTTAATGAACAGACCAAAGAGAGGTGTCCCGTGAAAAAAAAAAGGCTGTTGGTAGAGCAACTAATTCAAATTAAGGAATAGTAGGCTCTTGACAGTACAGAGCAGTTGTAAATTGACCATGCATATAGATTTAGCCAAATAGAATGAAAAAAAACAACAAGCAAAGTAAAATTGCAAATGGTCTATGTAAGGTTTAGGTTTATCACTCAAGAACCAATCAAGATACTAATAAAGAACATGTTTACGGTCAAGACAGGTCATCGATATTCAGAGGATTGGAATATAAGTTAAAGTAAGGCCTTCATCAAAACATGTAAATTTATCATAAAGGTGTTATAGACGGATTGTCTAAAATTATCTAAAGATGGAAAGCAGTGTTGTCAGAAATAACTCTTTGTTAATAAATACCAGTGAGAATAATCAACAGATGTCTGTAAGTAATGCATCAATATAGTTATCAAAGTAACTTCAGTTATGTCGAGAGAGAACATTAAGGGACTCAGCTTACAAGATAGCTATATGATCAGTCATCGGTATTTGTTGAATACACTAAAGCATTACTTGAATCAAAGATCGCGAGAAACCATAAAAGATACATCAAATACATTTACTTTAACAAATTTCAAAGTAACTTATATTAAAAATGCTGATTGCCAGATAGAATTCTAGTTGGGTCTATACCATACAATTTCGCTTCCTGCTCTTATGAGCGCACTTGACAGAAAAATAGTGGGGGGGATTTTTTTTCTCCTCGTTGAAGCGATCATCATAGTATTAACTGGACAGAGATGCTGCACAAACAATCCGTCCCCCGTCATGAAATTGTAAGTAAATGGAAAGAATTAGACACTGATATTCAGAAGAACCACATTTTCATCAATAAACTAGGCCTTAATACCTAAATGATAGGTGTCAGAGTTTTGTCAAGAGTTAACGAACCAACCAATATTAAGATTTATAACAGAATAAGAGTAAATATGAACATTATTGACTGTCTCTTATAATAGGTAATGATTCTACATGGTTATCAATAATTGTAGAATACATTATATGAGGTTCGTTGTAGATGCTATAAACAAAAGAGATCACCAACCTCTATTTATGTCACCAAGTATTCTTTGGGCCTAAATTGGAGACTACTGGTCTAAAATCAATAAGAAATACAAAAAAAAAAAAGACTTTTAGATGTTGACTCTATACTTAATTTTTATATAGCAGAAGCATGTCAAACTAGTACTAATAATGAATTCCTAGATTAAGTAAGGTATTCTCTATCTTATTAGGATAGATATGTTAATGAACAATCTAGTTTAAAATAATGTTTAGTTCTATTCATTCTAAACAGCCAAAAATAAACGATCTGGCACTTAATAAAATGTTTTTCAAGTACATCTAAGTCTGGCTTATACTGATTACTAAAATATTTAATTATGTTTATAAATATATACATACATATATATATATATATATATATAATGCTTTACTTGATGACTAACATTTGAGTATATATGTTTAAATAGATTTAAGCATTTCTGGAGTTAGTGTATATTAAAGCACACGCTTCCTTGCTTCCCTCATTATTTAATTATTATAATACTGATAGAGTATATTGCAGGTGTTTTAACGTTGTAAAATTATAGAAATAATGTAGAATGAGCCCTTTTTTTATTTTTATATAGCTTTTATTAAGTTAATAGTAGGCAATGTTCTGGTGTTAATCCAATGACAATACTAAAACCTAAGATTATTCCAAGAGGAGGATATATCCCAAGATAAGATTGTACTCATCTTTATTTTCAAGACGGAACATACTTTTTTTCCCCCGCATTTGTCTTACAAATGGAAAAAGGAAAAAAAAATATTTTTATATAATTACGCAAAGCTTAATCTATAATGTATATAGCGTTATATATATAAATATATTTGTATATACAATAGATATTTGTATATATTTGACTTACAACAAGATATATACACTATACAAACCAGTTAAAATCAACCGACAAATTTAAATATATATATATACATATATATAAACGAGATAATATAACTTGATGGTTATACAGCAAATTAGTTATATACACATACATATATCATTGCAAGTGAATTAAAACTAGATAGGGAAACATTTATAAGTATGCAATACTTGTATATAAAGCAATTATACATAAACACTATTATTTCATCAAATGATAGGTAATAAAACCTGTTAATAGTAATTGTCAAAAACATTCAAATTAACATCGTACGACACGAGTATTTAGAAGTTATTAGCCTTGTATCTCCATGATACTCTAAAATAATATTTTGTTGTATATAAAAGGAATCCTATATATACTTTCTTTTTTTTTTTTTTTTTTTTTTTTTTTTGGAAGAAAAATGGTGTTCAAATTATTCTATTTTCTATTATTATTTTTTAGGCTTAATCTTATTTTTCAATACCTTTTTTTAAATGTTCTAGCTGATGATAGTCAACAAATAAAACCAACACAGTCTGACATATCTACCACCAGCAATTATATTATTGTTTTTAAACCAAATATAAAGTCACTTAAAATCAGAAATCAAATACAACGTATGAAACTGCATCAAGTCACGAATAACAATCATGTAAATTCTACAAATGCAATATATAATGACACACCTAGAATGAATACTGTCAAGACAGATTCAACTCATAATTTTACACACATTAAATATAACAGTATTGGAAAATTTAGATGGTATACAGGAAAATTTCATTCAGAAGATATCGAAAATTTGCTAAATACAAATGCCACTAGAAAAAATATAACTAATAATATCATGTTTAACGAAGATCAAAATGAACCAATTCATTATTGGATCAAAGATGTTACCTTTTCATTGCAAGAATTTATACAAACAAATCCTCCTAGTTGGGTAAACTTTTTTATTTATCATCAACAAATAAATTGCTTGACGATAAACTTTAATTTAGGGTCTTGATAGAATAGATCAGAGGGAAGGCACAGATGGTTATTATAAATTCGCTTCTGATCAGGTATTCTTGTATGATAATAAATAATCAATGAAGAAGAAGAGAGAAAAAAAAAAGGCTAACAAAACTCGGGAGGGGGGTTTTTAGGGGAAAGGGGTTACAGTCTATTTAATGGATTCGGGTATTCTTGAGGATCATGTTGATATCGCTGGTCGAGTAACAATAGGGAAAACAGTAGTTGGAGATCCGGACGATCCATTCGATTCTAATGGACATGGTACATTTGTTGCCGGCGTTTGTTGTGGAACAAAATATGGCGTTGCTAAAGGAGCAAATATTGTATCTGTGAAAATTCTAGATAATGATGGAAATGGACATCTTTCAGATATTTTAATAGGCCTTCAATGGATAGTTAAGCAACACATATCTCAAAAGAATGCTAAAAGCATTGTCAAGTAAAGTATTTTAATAATCAAAGTTAACGATCTTATTTTTTTTAAAGCATATTTGTATTCTAGTCTATCTTTGGGCTCTTTTTACAGTCAAGTTACAAATGAAGCGATTCAAGAAGCAATCTCACTTGGTATACATTTTTCAATTGCAGGTATTTAACTTAAAAAAAAAAAAAAGACAAATATATTGCTAATATGTATATACTCATAAAGATTGAAATATAGCCGGTAATTATGGTGAAGATGCTTGTAAATATTCACCAGGTTCAACACCAGGTGCAATTACAGTTGGTGCAATAAACGAAGATGATTCTGTTTCATATTATTCTAATTTTGGCAAATGCGTTGATATGTAAAATAGAACAATAATAGTCTTCAAAAAAAAATTAAGAATTCATATATGTATAACACATTTTTCAAAGTTTTGCTCCAGGTACAAATATCAAATCTATTTGGCATACATCCAAGACAGCAACAAAGACATTAACAGGCACTTCAATGGCAGCACCACGTATGTATATTCCTTTATTAAACATACATAATCGTCTTATATTTGATTTTTTTTTTAAAAAAAAATTCTAGATGTAGCTGGAACAATGGCAATATTTTTATCACAAGCTGACTATACACCTTCTCAATTAATGAACTATCTGAAAAGTGTATCAACGTTAATTACAGAAGACTTTACCATAAATAATACAGGCATATTTTATAGCGATAATAAAACGATTATTGATAATGCAATTTACACAGGCTATGAAGTAAAAGACCGTATGGATCGAAAGACATTTGTTAATGTATTATTCAGTCAACCTAATGACAGTCAACCATTTTGGATTTATGGGCAATCATTAAATCAAGCAGCTTCTTTACAAAAATTTACTATATCATCATTGTTATTCATCATTACATTTTTAGTTATTTTATAAAAAAAAAAAAATACATGTACACTTTTTTTTTTTTTTTTTTTTTTTTTACATCTAACTATTTTTCTTGTTATGTATCTTTTCAAATCTTAATAAGAGGTAATCAATATACATATTGGGCTTAAGCCTTATTATGTAGCTGCATAATCACATTACTACAAATACTTGTTTTATACTGCTTAAAATAGTATGACTTAATTTTTTTTTTCTATCTATGATATATTTCGGTCAGTAAATGACTGTCATATAAACAGATGTAACTCAATTTATTACCCACAGTAAAATGAATAAAGCTTAAAATAGCCAGCACAGTAAATCCACATTATAGAATAAACCTTATTTGCAAATATAAAACAATCAACATTTGCTCATTTTATTTCATGTGGTGTGGTTCGGTCAAATTATTATAACTCCGAAACCTTTTTTTTTTTTTCCTATTGGATTCAATGATATCATACTGATGGTATAATATGAATGTTAATACGACTACTTACTACTACCACTTTTTTTTTGGTATAAAATGGTCAACAAAAAAGAAAAAAAAGATTAAATTATAATATCACTTTTTTTTAGTAGTCTATAAAACAATAAAAGAAAATGAATTCAAAGACTTTTCTCACTTTCATTGCTCTTGCTTGTATCATTGCTATAGTTAGCGCTCAAGAAACCACAACAGGTATGTAGAAAATAAGGCGCAAAAAAAAAAAAAAAAAAAAAAAAAAAAAAGATACTAATTCATTCTTATATATTTATAGCTGATCCTATTGCTTCACTTCAAAGTAAGGCATCTTCTGTAGCTGCAACTGCCAGTAATACCTCACCAACTGCTGCTGCTACTACAACATCTACTAGTGCTGGTTTTTCTTTGAATTCTGGATTATCGGTGCAACTTCTTGCTTCCATTTGTGCTATTGCTGCATCCTTCTTATGGTAAAATGGTGATCGAGTAAAAAAAAAAAAAAATAAGCTTGACATATGCTTTTTAAAGTATATAAAACCTTCCATTCATTATATAAAACATACATTCAATGATTCCATTATTATTTTGTAAGGCTTTTTTTTTTTTTTCTTCGAAATATTTAATTCTTAATAAATGACTTGAAATAGCTAAAAATGATGAGGCGTTTTTTTTTTAAAAAAAAAAGAGAGAGGTGGGGAATATTTATTTATATATAAATGATAAAAGACTTAAATTAATGATACAAGGAAGTGTAATTGTATATGCTGATATATGTATTTGCTTATATATTATGAATAATAATTTATCTAGTACTCATCCTTCTAGCTTTGACTCTTAATGTATGATCAAATATGGGCCGTGTACTTGTTTTTCTAACTCGAACATGTCTTGGAGGTGTTATCAAACTGTTTGATTGCGATTGGGACGAGATACTTGTCATTGGAATAATAGCAGATAATGGTCTACTATATCGTTTATTACCAAATGTAGATGTCTTTGTAATCTCTGGAAACGGGGTAGAGGCATTTAAAAAGGAAATGGCTGTTGCTGTCATTGGGCTTTCAGTAACATCTGCTGTATCAAAAAAGATAGGATTCATTACAACAGAGGTACTCATGGGTCTTTTATCGTGATGAAATGCATCTGTATGTAGATTACCAGAATCTAATACTAAATTTGAATTATTTTCACCTTGTATATTTCGTAGCATCTTGTGAGCTCTAAAATAAATTGAATCTATATTAACTTGTGAATAAAGAGATGTATTAACACTAGTAGAGCGCTGTCGAGCCCTTTGCCGATCACTTCGTCTTCTAGATTTAACATCTAATGTATCCTTTTTCAATTTATCAAGTAAACTATGTAAAATAGCCTTATCATCTTCGCCATCTATATTATTTGCTTTTAATGAACTGGCATTGCTATTCGTTCGCTTTCTTCTCTCCTGTTCCCGTTTCTTTTGTTTTGCTAAACGATCCTGCTTCATTCTATATTCTTTTGAATCGGCAGAACATTTTTCCCAACTATCAGTAAACTCTTTGAAAATACCAAAGAACTCATCAGGCGGTACCTTCTTAGGATCTTCACCATAAAATCGTACAGCTTGTTCATAAGATTCTTCCATTTTACTTGAAAGCATACAAATACGCTTAAATTCAGTTGAGGCCTCTTTATAAAATTGATGCATAGTCTTGGAAAACTTGTCTAATTCAACTATCCCTTCATCTTCTTCTTCCCTTAAAGGATAGAAATCTCTCAATTCTGCTTCAAGTTTTCTTAATTCTGTTTCAATATTTTGAAATTCTAAGACCATCTCTGTTCGAGAAACTTTTCATTACATTTAGTTAGTTAGTTTTTTTTTCTTTCTTTTTGGTAGAGGGCAACTTCAGTTAACCATCAATGTATATATATATATTTTCACTACTTTACCTTTTGAGGCTAAACCACATTCGTCCAACTCTTCTAGGAATAATAGGATATTTGGAAAATGCTTTTCAACTGCATCAACTAGGAAATGAAGAAGAGTGGTTGATTTGGTTGTTCCTTTTGTGTCAATCAACTAATTTATATATGTTCAAGTAAATTGTGGGAGGAAGAGAGAGATTATGTATATAGTGTTAGAAAAAAAATAAAATAAAAATTTAGTTATTGCTAATTATACCTTATTAATACTAGCAATCTTGATACCAAAAGCGCCTCCTCGATACGTATTACCATTTAAGAAATTTCCAAGTAATAATACCAACTAAAATAGCATATATTAGTTTTACAATAATTAATAATAAACATAAGTTTCTTACATGTAAAAGCTCCTTAAAGCTTTTAGCATCCTTTAATGCTAATGATGCATTATATACAGAAGTCATTTGCTAATAATAACAAGTAATTAATAAATTAAAATAGTACTATTTTTTTTTATAGAATTATACCTTATGCAGAAGAGTATATCTTTCCCAGAATGTGGATTTAAATAACATACATTCCAATCTTTTTTGTAATCTTTCAATTTTTATCATCTATCCAAAAAAAAAAAAAAGTTAAGTATTTACTAGATATATATAAAAAACGTTATTGTTAATATTAGAACGAACCTGTAAGCAAAATTTTTCGGGAATACCTAATGCTTCTATAACTTCCATGGGTGCGTTCTTATAGTCATTAAGCTTTTTGATTTCATCTTCAGAAGGTAAGTATTTTAAAAGATTTAAAATAATTTGCTCGTCTAGAAAATAAGGATCTAACTGTAGAAAATGATATCGAATTTCATCAAATGGGATTTTTTTGGTCATATTCTTGATAAAAATATCTAAATATGTAAATACATATACACATATATTATTTTTAGTATTAAATACTCCTTTTTTTTTTTTTCCTTTCATTACTCAAATTATATGCTTTCTTGCTATTCAAAATCAAAGTTTCTTGTTTTTGCTGTTTTGTTTTCAATTCAACAGGTGGTTTTTGCGCAAATGTAAGTTCAACATCATCAAATACGCCTGCTTTTGCTAATTGGTATTCCATAAGTGAATCAACTGATTCAATCTGATTGTGTAATGATAGTTCGATATCTTTTTCGAATTCATCCCAAATTGTCTGTTGGATATTCATAAAGTTCATCTTTTCCCATTCTACAAATTTTAATTTCTGTTTTGCATGAAATGCACTAGGTTTTCTTCCTGTAACTGCAAGAAAGGTAGGTGGTAATGGTGGTGAAGAAATGGGCGTATTCGAAGCAATTGTATTAGGTGGTGGAGGTGGAAGTGTAGTGTAATTTTTTGTCATATCATCCATCTGTGTAGAAGGTGGTGGCGGTGGAGGTGGTGGAGGTGGTGGAGGAGGTGGTGGTGGTGGCGGTGGGGGCGGTGGAGGTGATGGTGATGAAGGAGGTGAAGGAGACGATGGCGGCGATGGTGGTGGCGGCACTAATGAATTTACTTCTTCTAATACTATAGGCTCCTTAAGATGATCGAAAGTGGGAGATATCGCTTGCTCTTCAACAACTAAAACAGTACATACTGATGAAGAAGATAGTTCAGAGACTAATTTATTAATCTCCTCTACCTGTTTTTCCTCTACCTGGTTCGTCTCTACCTGGTTCGTCTCTTCCTTTTCCTCTGATTTCGAAGCTTCATCATTCAATGACATTTTAGACTTTTGACTACCTATCGTACTCGATGTCAGGGAGCGAACAATATCATGATCAGACGGAAGTTTTAAGCTATGTAAGCTTTCTCCCGATAAAGATATACTAGTGTTGGATGAACTTTTACGACTACTGCCTATACTAGATGATTTTGTCATAGATTTCTTACATGATGAGCTTGCAACTGAACCAGTCGAATTTCCACGCGATTTGTTATTTTTCGTTAAAGGTTCATTACTAGTTCTTCTAACAAAGCTTCCAAGTTTAGATCGAAGTGACTGCTTTATAGTTTCAGAAAATCCAGCGCCAGTTTGTTGTTGTTGTTGAGATGTCTGGGTCAATTCTTTTTGTATTTTAGGTAAAGAAGTGACGGTAATGGAGGGTTTTTCGGGAGGGGGAGCAGGAGGAGAGGAATTGAATGAATTACGTAATGAAGTCTCATTTGCTTTTGATTTAGTAGTAGTAGTAGTAGTAGTAGTAGACGTAGTCGTAGTCGTAGTTTTTCGTAAATTTTGCAATTGATGTGCTTGTTGTTGCTGTTGTTGCTGTTGTTGATTTCGGAGACTACGTCTTTTCGGTGATGGGTTACCATATTCTTTAAGGTTACGTACAGAATCATGTAATTTACGCATCTTTGTTTCTGTATCTAACAACTCAGATTTATAACGTTCTTCTGTACTTTTAAAAAGAATTTTAAGCATTGCATTTGTTTGCTTGGCTAAGCTGAGATCTTTTTCAAGACATTCGATTTTTGCTTCTAATGGTCCTATTACATCTTCAGATCCATCTTAATACGTATATGATTAGTATATAAATAACGCATAAATTCACGAATTTAAATATGTATGTATACCTAAGTAATTTTTTTTCTTTAAAGCAAGATCTTCATCTACTTGTGAAAACCTGGGAATCAGTTTTTGAACTTTAGTTTCAGAAGCATGTGTAAAATCTTCAGGATAACAGTTATTCTGATCCATAGCTACTTGTTGAACTAATGTTTCAATACGTTGAAATTGTTGATTGCTACATTATTCATTCAGTTTATATATATATATATATATATATAATATGCAAGCAATGATTCTAGGTTACCTTTTTTCAGTATTGTCCTGTATCTTCAACATATAACAAAGAGTATTATGCAAATTTTGATAAGATGATGTATTTTGAGTAATTGCTAAAAGCATCTGGAAGACATTTACAGTGTCTAAATCACGGTACATTTCTATATCTTCTTGCATTGTATCCATTTCAACATCATCTCGAAATTTTTGAATCGCCAAACTGATATGTTCATGATTTAATAATTCCATTTTAGTAAACACATCATTAATACCAGCTTGTTCTAATTCTAAACTCAACATAATTCTTTCCCTTCTATTTTCAACAATATCAGATCGTATTAATGTGTTGATAAATAATACGCTAATAAACTATAAACAAGCCACGAATAAATAAATGAATATGTACGTGTCAAGAAAGAGTACTGTACCATATATTGAGTTATTTGAGAATCTCCTGCACCAACCATTCCTGTTAATTTTAAATCATTACTTGCGCCTACTGCTGAACCCATCTTCCCTCTTCCATCCAATGTCTTTTCAAGTGCACGCATCCATGCATCAAATCGACTATTATTAGATCCAAATTGTTTCAACAATTCCATTCCATGTAAAACCATAGAACGTCCATTTGGTAAAAAGCAAAAAGCAGTTAGTGATTCACATGCTTGTGTTCTTGCAGGTATATAAGGCGATAAAAGAGATATGCAAATGTTATCAATAATACGAGAATGCTTAAAAGCTTCTTGAAGACCAGACTAAAGAGAAAAAAGAAGGGGTAGGAGATTATAAGGTTAGATGATAAACAAATGTACACATTATTGAAAAAAAAACCTTTTTGTTCATTAATGTATTCAAACATTTCAATATTTCTAATTCTATTTTATAATCTGTTTGTATTCTATAAAATGCAATTTTTTTTTAACACTTGTTCATATATTTATAAATATCATTTAATAAATAGCTTCCAAACCTCTTTTCTTTTTTCTGAATCACTCCCAATTCTTTTGCAATAATCAGCATACCGCCATCTTCAATAAATCTTTCTAGCCAACTATAAAGAAACAATATGAATATGACCTTTTTTTTTATATATATAATTTTGTTAATAAATAACTGTACCTGTCTGAAGTTCGAATATAGTATGATAATTCCAGAATTAATTCGTATGTGATACCTTTTTTCTTTTGTTTACATAATATTTTGATATAATTTGGTGGAGCTACCTTTTTCGCTGATCCTGACATTTTTAATAATTTTGCGTTACTAGTTTTTTTTGGAATAATAGAAATAGGTGGAGATTTATTTGAAAGACTAGCTAATTGTTCTGCACTTAAATCTAATTGTTTCTTTTATATACAAATATGTATTATTATTTATTGCTGAAAAAAAAAATGAATATATAATATAATATAAACTTACTGCGACTTCAGTGAATAAATCTTCCTCTTCTTCTGTATTTGAAAGACAAAAGTCTGTACTGATCCATAAATTGTTTGCATTTGAATCTAAATTAGTACCTGCTAATGAATCTACAAATTTTAATTTTTGTTTTTGCTTTTTTTTTTCCTTATTAAAACATGAGCTATTTATTTATTATTTGTACCTGAAACACATTGTTGAGGTGTATGTTCAGATTTATTTGGCTTTTCTTTTTTCAATATGGATTTACTGATATTATTAGAATTGGCTATTGAATTATTCGAGACTGAAGATATAGAAGCCTTTCTTGCATTGGGTCGTCTACTACTATTTGTTTTTCTGGTATTGCGCTTGTTACCGATATTTGATAGAAAATCCATTTTTTTTTAAGAAATATATATTTGTATAGCACACACTTTTAAGTGCGGCATATATTTATAAGAATAAAAAACAAAAAAAAAAGAAAAAGAAAAGGAAAAGGAAAAGGAAAGGGAAAAAGAAAAAGAAAAGAAAGAAAGAAAGAAAGAAAGAAAGAAATGAAGTGAAATGAAATGAAATAGGAGAGAACAATAATAGTGTAGGATTGTTACACATAAATCTCCTCCCTGATGTTACGTGTGTATTATAACGTGTTTGAGGCTGAAAAGTATCATATATTCACGCTTATCAAATTACTTTTTTTAGACACTTTATTGTTCCATTTATGATGAAAATGTGACATATAGTATTGATGCTGTGTATGCACGAATTTATTTGAAAACTATAGTCAAACAAAAATAAAGATGTATCTTTTTTTTCTTTCCTAATGTATAGCTGTAACACATGGATAGTAATAATAATAATAAAATATCATATATTATCATGTTTCATAATAGGCATTTTCAGAAAAATTTCCCTTTTTTTTCTGCAAGACACTGTCAAATATGAATAAACATGTATATTAATGGGGAAGGAGGAATTATTTCCTTCAAAAATACAAATAAAATTCTTGTTCTTTTAAGTTTGAGCAAGTATGTATTTTCTTATTCAGATTGTGTAAGAACCAAGCTTATTAGAGAAAAAAAAAGAAATACTGATTCTGCATTTTTATATGATTGTACCTGATGCTATCTTTTTTCGAGATTTTAGCTAATCAAAATACGCACGCCTATATTGCCGAATGATTGTCATTTTGTACAACTCACAAAAAAAAAAGAGGGCATACAGCTACGTTGAAATAAACCGTTTTATACTCCGTAAAGATATTTATACTTCTTCTAAAGATAATAGGTTCTTATTATTATAATACATACATACATGCATACGTATACACATATACAGATAAATATATTTATTTATTTATTTATTTATATACATATATATATAAAACATTGACTCATTTATTGTTGCATTTTCTTTCCTGGTAAATAGAATGTTTACAACCTGTCTGTCTCCGCTTGTATTTTTATCACAAATCACAGTCTTTTAACTTATTATTTCTGAAGCTTTTAGCTTTTTTTTTTTTTTTTAAGAAAAAAAAACACCGGTTATTCTCTTATGTTCTTAATTTGCAATAAAAACAAAATAAATATTATTACACATGGCACTTTTCTCGTATAAAAATAGGACCTTATTATTTACAGCTCCGTGATGATAAAACCATTAATTTCATGGCTTTTTTTTTAATAAGGAACCACGTTGTTACAAATATAACCAATTAGTTCTAAATAAATGACTTATTTATTATCTTGGTTATAGTTATACTTTGGCTGTAGGAACTCAATGAGCTCCAAAGGTAGTTCAATCGTGAATGGCTTCTTTGAGTTTAGTAGGAAGTTTTAAAAAACTGATGCAAATAATCCAGTCAAGAATTTACTCGAAGAGTGTGTTTCTTTAAGAAATATACATAAATTTTTTCATCGAAATTGGTTTACTTTTTTTTTTTTTTTTTTTTTCCTACTCGTAAATAAAATAGGTTTCGCTTGTAACTCCTTCATATTATTACTAGTAAATTTGATTTTATCAACACCCGTGCTTGATAATAAAATATTATATCGTTCTAAAGAACTATCGGATTAAGCTAGAGAAAAAAAAATTTGTGTAGAGTCTTTCCCTTAAAAGACGTTTTTTCTACTATATCCGAAACCTACAAAATAATGATATTTTGGGCTTTCAATAGATATAATTTATATGCAATAATACTACTTTTTATATTTATATTTTATTTTTATTTATTTTTTTTTTTTTAGAAAAAATTCTTTCGAGTTTACAACAAAATGATATATTAGGCCTGTATACATTAAAGCTTTAAAAAAAATTTTTTTTTCTTCAGTCAAATAATTTAGACTGTATACAAACAGACCAAAAATGACTCACTAGAAAATGATCGTCACTTTTATAATCCATTAAAAAAGCGGGGTAATATATTTTGGTAATCCCCTTTTTGTTTTTTGTTTTTGTTTTTTTTTTATCTTTTAGTAATATTTATATGAATATTGCTTTTTATTTAATTACTTCTGGTCTTTTGGCATTTGATAAAACTTATATCGATAATATTTTAATCAAGTAAACGATGAGCTCTACTACAACAACTACGGCAAATAATAATAATAATACTCGTCGTGCATCCTCTACTCAAGGAGATAACTTTAACCTTACCGCACCTCCAGCTAGTTCTACACGTAAAGGAGCTGCTGCAAGGGTATCTGAAGAAATCCTCACTCATGTGCCTCTTGTGAATGTGAAGAAAGTACTTGTTGTTGGATCTGGTGGTCTAAGTATTGGCCAAGCTGGTGAATTTGATTATTCCGGTAAGTTCCCCTAGTCATAAATATATATGAAAGGAGCTAAAATTTTAACCCCCCCTCCACCAATCCCCACAATAGGTTCCCAAGCTATTAAAGCTTTACGTGAATCTGGTATTAAAACTGTTTTAGTCAATCCTAATATCGCAACCATTCAAACATCTCATACTCTTGCTGATCAAGTTTATTTCTTACCTGTTACATGTGAATATGTTTCAAAAATATTAGAAAAAGAACGTCCTGATGGTATTCTACTTACTTTTGGTGGTCAAACAGCTTTAAACTGTGGTATTGAATTGGATCGTTCAGGAATTTTAAAACGTTTAAACATTAAAGTCCTTGGAACTCCTATTCAAACTTTGATTACATCTGAAGACCGTGATTTGTTTGTTAAGGCTCTTAATGGTAAATATAAAATAAATACATGTATATACAAAGGCTAGAGTCTAATTCTTAAATTTTTTTTAGAAATTAATATTCCTGTTGCTCAGTCTACTGCAGTAGAAACAGTTGAAGAAGCATTAAAGGCAGCTAATGAAATTGGATATCCAGTTATTGTTCGTTGCGCGTACGCATTAGGTGGCCTTGGTTCTGGATTTGCAGATAATGAAGCTGAATTACGATCACTTGCTACCAAGTCACTCTCTCTTGTCCCTCAACTTTTAGTGGAGAGATCGATGAAGGGATGGAAGGAAGTTGAATATGAAGTGATGCGTGATTCTGCCAACAATTGTATTACCATCTGTAACATGGAAAACTTTGATCCCCTGGGTGTCCACACAGGTGAATCTATTGTCGTTGCCCCCTCTCAGACATTGAGTGATGAAGAGTATCATATGCTTCGTACTGCTGCTATTAAAATTATTCGTCATCTAGGTGTCGTTGGTGAATGTAACGTTCAATACGCTCTGAATCCCAAAAGCTTAGAATACAAGGTCATTGAGGTCAATGCTCGTTTGAGTCGGTCTAGTGCACTTGCCTCCAAGGCAACAGGCTACCCTCTTGCCTTCATTGCTGCCAAAGTCGCTCTCGGTCATACCTTACCTAGTCTTCAAAACGCTGTTACCAAAAACACCACGGCTTGCTTTGAGCCCTCCCTTGATTATATCGTCACCAAGATCCCTCGTTGGGATCTCTCTAAATTTCAGTACGTTGACCGCCATATTGGATCTGCTATGAAATCTGTAGGTGAAGTGATGGCGGTGGGCCGTACGTTTGAAGAATCGTTACAAAAGGCAATTCGTCAAGTCGACCCCGCCTTTCAAGGTTTTGATCGTCTTCCTGCCCTCTTTGACGATCACGATCACGATCACGATATCGATGATGTCCTGCGTAACCCTACTGATCAACGTTTATTTGCTCTTGGACATGTCATGTTAAATAGTGATAAAAGAATTCGAGAAAGATACACAGTAGATCATCTCAATAAGCTTACGAATATCGATAAATGGTTCCTCTATAAGCTACAGAAGATTGCTAAAATCCACTTGAGCCTTGCAGAACAAGTGAATGTGCCGATTGAGAGACTCTCGAGAGAGTTGCTTGAAGATGCAAAGAAGGCAGGGTTCTCTGATTTGAAGATTGCTAAACTGATCAACACAAACGAAATGACGGTACGTGAGGTTCGTAAGGGACATGGCATTATTCCTCATGTGAAACGTATTGATACGGTTGCGGCTGAATTCCCTGCTTATACGAATTACCTCTATACAACTTACAATGCGGCTACAGATGATGTTACGTTTGATGATAAGGGGATTATGGTATTAGGTTCAGGTGTCTATCGGATTGGGTCCTCTGTTGAATTTGATTGGTGTGGTGTCTCCTGCACACGAGCTCTGCGTCAACTGGGTGAGAAGACGATCATGGTCAATTACAATCCTGAAACAGTCTCGACGGACTTTGATGAATGTGATCGTTTGTATTTTGAGGAACTTAGCTTTGAACGAGTGATGGATATTGCAGAAATGGAGGGAGCTAAGGGTGTCGTCGTGAGCGTAGGTGGACAACTTCCTCAGAATATTGCTTTAAGGCTACATGAAAACAACATGAATATCCTTGGGACATCACCGGTCATGATTGATGCTGCAGAGGATCGTTTCCAGTTTTCGAAAAAGTTGGACCAAATTGGAGGAGTAGATCAACCAGCATGGAAGGAATTAAGTAGTGTGGAGGCAGCGTTTGAGTTTGCAGAGCAAGTAGGTTACCCTGTCCTTGTTCGACCCTCTTATGTCCTCTCCGGAGCGGCCATGAATGTTGCGTATACACCAGATGAACTTCAACATAACTTGACGGATGCGACGAATGTATCCCCACTTCATCCGGTAGTGATTACAAAATTTATTCAAAATGCTCAAGAGATTGATGTCGATTGTGTAGCTAGTCAAGGAGAGGTCCTTGTTCATGCTGTCTCTGAACATGTTGAAAATGCAGGTGTTCATTCTGGAGATGCCAGTTTGGTCTTACCTCCTCGTGATCTCACGGCCACGACCATGAGGTCTCTTAAAGAGATTGCAGAAAAGGTAGCCAGGGCCTTTGAGATTACAGGACCCTTTAATATGCAAATCATTAAACAAGATAAAGCGGGTAGTAAGGAACCTGTGCTGAAGGTGATTGAATGTAATTTACGAGCCTCTCGATCATTTCCATTTGTGTCCAAGGTACTTGGTATTAACTTTATTGACGTTGCTACACGTGCATTAGTTCAGAAACAAGTCCCTACGGCCGTGGACTTGATGGAGAAGCGATATGACTATCAAGCAGTTAAAGTTCCACAATTCTCATGGACACGACTTCAAGGAGCAGACCCCTTTTTAGGAGTTGAAATGGCATCTACAGGTGAAGTTGCATGCTTTGGTAAGGATAAATATCAGGCCTTCTGGACAGCGATTCAATCGACACAAAACTTCCGTATCCCTAAACGAGGCACAGGTGTTCTTATTGGTGGTGATAGTGTGACAGATAAAGAAGATTACATTCATATTGCAACCACATTTTATCATCAATTAGGACATGCCATCTTTGTTCCTACTGAAGAAGATAGAAAATTCTTAGAAAAGGAAGCTAAACTATCTTCAGTTGTGTGTTTACCGATAGCCTCTTGTGCAGAAGATAAACGAGTATTAAATAAACTCTTCAAGGAAAACCATATTGATTTTGTAGTTCATCTTGCAAAGACACGTGCAGTAGATCAATTAGATGAGGGATATGTCTGTCGTCGTGCAGCAGTTGATTTTGGTATTCCCTTATTAAATGATTCTAAAGTCGCTAGATTATTTGTTGATTCATGTGTACGTCATAGAAAAGATACACCTCAAATGGCTACAATGATTATTCCTGATGAAATTAAAAGTTGGAAAACTTTTGTTAATGCAAACATATAATAAGATAGAATTAGAAAATAAATAAACATGAATATATAAATAAATACATATTTATATATGTATAAAAAAACGACTTTATTTTATGAATATAATAGATAATATAGATAGGAAGTATATACGTGTATATATTTATATTTATATATGTATACATGTATGTATATAAATACATATATGAACAAAAAAAAAAAAAAGATAAATGCATATATATATATGGGGAAACAATATATAGATGATATTTTGTATATGTATATGTATATGTATATAAAGAAAGAGAGAAAGAGATATATATACTATATATAAGGAAATATTTTTTGTATAGTTGTATATGTATGTACATAAGGGAAAAAAAAAATAAATATTTATAAATGGTATGATTGTTTAATGAACAAGATTATTGCCACCATTGCTTACAACTGAGTCATTACTGGCTGTTGAATAAAAATATCTAGAGGCACCAACACTAAAGGATCTGGGACGATGATTATTGTTTTTTTCTGAAACAGTAGTGGTAGTAGTGAATTGATGAATTGTGGGCACAAAGCAGGTATCATTAGGTAAAGGATTATTAGTACGAATAATAGTTGTTAAATCTTCCATCATGCTGGAATGTGAATTAAGAATTTGTCGAAGCTCTTGACAAGCTTCATCATCATTATCGCTTTCCATCCAAACATAACTTTTAATATACGAAGGCTTTTTTGGAAGTGGAGCAATAATATTCATCATTTCTTTTTTTTATGTATGTATGTACAACAAATGTTTTATTAAAAAAAAAAAAAAAAAGAAAAAAAAAGAAAAAAAAAAACCAATTGTCTCATTTTTATATACAATTGAAGTTTAAATATTTTTAGTCTATTGGATGACCTTTTTTTTTTTTTTTTTTTTTTTTTTTTTTTTTTCAATAATAATAAATTTATTTTAAAGTTTTGTTTTACGCACTGAATTTTTCTTTTCTGTATTAAAAAAATTTTCTATTTTAAGGATTAAGTTTTTGTTTTTGAGTTATAATTATGCACTTTACCAGAGTCAAACATTCATTGACTATTACGATTAGTAATTATGTGTAATCGTAATTTGTGACAACGATACATAAGATTGACATTTAACTCTTTTTCCTATTTCAATAAGGGTCTGTAGAAAGTAGATAAAGAAATTAGCTTTGCAAGACAACACAAAGTGTGGAAAATTGAATAAAACTATTACTGATACAATTATTGTTTTAGTTTCATTTTATGCTATATTAAATTAACAACTCTTGGTTATAAAGACTGAAAGTATTATAGTCTTTGTTCCACGTATTTACTGGAACTTAACCTCATAAACCAATGTTGGCGTCTAGCGATAAAACATTCTTTATGTTGTTTATCTTTAAAGGAAAATCTAGACCCTTCTGCTGAATGAACTGGGAAATCCTTTATCTTTACTCTTCAAATAAAGAACCCTTATTGAAATATAAATGCATAAGGATAACAGAAATTATACGCTATTTTATTTCACTAGACGGTATAAAAGATACATTCATAGTAATAGTTGAAAATATGTGAATTTGTGGAAGGGGGTCCCTAAAAAAAACTTTAAATTAATTGGTTATCGAAAATCATTTATTGGTCAACATGGAATATTTAAATAACCGCCAATAACTGGCACTGGTGTTATTATCGTCAAATGTGCAATAATGTTCTTTTTTTTTTAAAAAAAAAAAAAAAAAAAAAGAGTTGTATAAAGATATCTCCTCCTCCTTCTTCTTCTTCTTCTTTTCTCTTTTAAGCTATAAATCTTTTCAGATAAATAAATTCTTGAATATTATTTCTAATCTTTTGTTTATTGGATATACATCATATTATATCATGGTATCTTTAACAAAATCAGCTATTGTTACAAAGAAAACAAATGCTGAAGACGATTTCGAATCTCAACAAAAGCGTAATGTTCGTCAACCTGAGGTTTGTGTTGATTATCTTTCTTATAAATTTGATGAAATGGATTTAGCTGCTTCCTGGAGAGTCATGACAAAACAAAAGAATGATGTTGTCGATGGAATACGTTTAGAGAATGCCTCATGGAGAACTTGGGCAAAGCAAAGAAATAATTTGAAAACGATTAGTCCACAAACCTTAAACTGGTAAAATTAGATTGTCCTTCTTGTGAGACGAGGAGGGTTATTGATGATATAGCATTTATAGGTTAAAAGAGAGTGATGTTACATGGCTGTATGGTCCTTTACATACAGTGATTCGACATGAAGAAGACCGTTTTTTAACCTCAAAAGAATCTACAACTGAAGAAACATTAGGATTAATGTTATCTGATAAAGGAAATAGTAATAATAATAATAATAATAAGCCTGTATTAAAATCAGTTTTAAAGAAAGTAACTCAAGTCGATCTATTAAAAAGATCAGCGACTGAGTTATTAAATACAAATCATCCTCTTTCTGCTGCCGCTGTAAAAAATCATAGAAAAATCTCTATTTCTGATGTTAATAATCAACTTAAAGCGATATCCCCTGTTGTATTAGCAACTCATCGTCAACCAAAATTAAGATTTAATCATAAAGTAGAACAATGTATAGCATTAGTTATTGATGAAGAAGACAGAGCTCAAGATGATGTATACGATGATTTACTAGATGATGTCTATAGTGATGGCAATGAAGATGATACAGATCATATAGTCACAAAACATATTCATTACTCTCCATCTTATTATAGTATAGTCACTGGTAATTCATCTTTAGTAACAAGAAAATCAATAAAGAAAATTGCTCCTGCTCGTCTTAAAAAATCATCACAATCAGATATGGATACAGACGATGTATCTTCCATTTCATCTACCTCAACTGCTTCTTCTATTGGACTTATCACACATTCACCGGCTGCAACTTCACCTGTTGTATATAATAATCGTCTAATGGATGACCATTTAATAATAATAGAAGATGATGTCGAGTTAGTAGAAGAGAATAATAATTCAAATTCAGATCAAGAAGAACAGCCTAAAGATAGTCATCCTCATAAAAGACCTACTTTCATTCGACCTTCTTCCTCAGTGACTTGTTCTATTCCACAAACATATAAAGAAAAATCAAATATTGCTGAACCAGCACTAGTCACGATGCATCAAACAGCAACAGAAATAAATAAGTCCAATGAAGAAAAGAATCATCGAAATAACAATTTTACATTATTTAATCAAATCGCTAATTGGGCAGCCTCCTATTTATTACCTGCTTCCACTAATAAACCATCAAATCCAGCGTCTTTAGTGTCTTCATCTTTAAATCCTACTATTACTACTACTACTACTACTACCACTACTACTACTACTACTACAATTCATACTCAACCTATCACAATAGAAAAGTCATGTATTCCTCCTGTTTCATCCAACTTATCAAGTTTATAAAAGAAATAATTGCACATATAATCATATACATGTATAAATCATCTTTTTTATTATTATTATTGTATGATATTACAGCTATTTTCTTTATATATACATGTATATATAAAGAAGAAGATAGTTTTATGTAATATGTGTATAAATATTTAAATTGTATTATCATTATTTTTTATTTTATTACATGCATCTATTTTACTTTTAATAAGAATAAATGAGTCATTGTTAAAGTAACTATGGATCTGTTCCCATAATAATGAAGAACTAGTGAAACAAGTCACATGACATTATAAATAGAAAAATAAAAATGTCTATCAGTCACATTTTGTATTTTCATAACCAAGAAGTAGTAGTATTCAAATATAAAATAATGCATGAAAAGCAAAAAAAAAAAAAAAAACATGAATGATATACGTGAAAATAGAGACTTATTATAAACGAGATTTATATATGCATCCTGTTGGGAGCAATTTCTACTTTACGCCCTGTGACCTTATGATTATGATTTGTGAGCAGTCTTTAACAACAAAAAAGAACTACGGGGTTTGAATTTTGTTTTTATTTTATTTTTTACAACAGTTTTGTTATATGATCTTAAACTATTATAAATAGTGGGGATAATAAATATATAATAAAGAGACACATGTTGTGTTCTATTTGAATCTATTGTTTTATTCAAACTACAACTAATTCACTTGATTCTATTTTTAGGACTTTTTTTTTATACCTTTGCATATAGGATTACTGTATGCTACATTATATAAAGACGTTCTTTTTTATTATTATTAATCTTCCCATACAGACCAAGGGAATAGAATTGTGTTATAAATACAATTACAAAACTTGATGTAGGCTCAAATTCATTGATAAAATGGTAGTCAAAGATGTATTGAATGACCTCAATCACGGTGGATAACCAACTAAATTGTCATAAATTGATATCTGAAAGAAATACTTTAAGTCTATTTATATATGAGCTAAATATAAATTAAAAAAGACAACATTTGCTTTATATTTCAGTTGTCATGTTTCTATAAATATCCAACTACTACTTTCTACTTATAAATAAACAAACTATTTTACTACTATTTTTTTTGTCATGCTTACATAAAGATTTTATTACTATAAATATTTTCATTATTACGAGTTTTTTTTTTTTTTTTTTTTTATACAAACTGTATAGTATAGAAATTCTTCTTTAAATAGAATAATAATTCATTAAAGTGTTTATTAAGATAATAGACAAAGTCTTTGAAGGCAAATAGAAGGTCATTAATAGTAGTTTGTTTTGATATTAAGAAAGCTAATAATGGAATAGAAGGAGCGTGTATGATCCTTTTTATTTGATAAATTTAGCCCAATACTACAAAGATACTCAGCTCCTTGCAGTATTTTAACAAGAAAAAAAAATCGAAGAGGCTTATATGAATAAAATTATTCACGCTTTGTATACTCATGTTCAAAAAGTTATTCTTCTATTTCTCTCACTGATATTAGTGTCGCAGAATGATACAATCAAGTTTCAAAGAGTTGATACTATCGCAATATATATATATATGCTTTGAGGTTTATACTTTTCTAACAGCTTTCCCTCCATTCTTAATCTTGAGATAAATTGTGTGTAAATAGCGTTATTGACAAAGTATACATAAAGTAGAGAAAAGGTCAAGTCTAGATCTTTAAATAGCTATAATATATGATTACAACGTCAATCATATAACCTACTATTACCACTACTGATATGAAATAAAATTGCAAATAGCTCGTACACAATATAAAACAAGAAATTTATCATATAGTAGTAATATTACTTATTTCATATCCTACGACGAGCGATACTATAAGATATACTATTGCACATTAGAACCATCTGTTGTATGTCAACATAAACTGGACTATGATAAAAAGACTTGGTTTGAATCCAGCTGGAGTCATCTTGTGTCCATAGAAAAAGAAAAAAAAAACTCAATATGTCGTTGAGCAAGAGAATCGAGAGCAACCCAATTACATCCATTAGTATAACGACCATTTCTTACTTGCAGTTTAAATAGTAAAAGAAATTAGCTTGATTGATATCTATAGCTTAACAAAAAAAGTCAAATAAAGCAAGAATCACCTTGTATTTATATAAAGAGTCTATTTTTATGTATGAAGTTTAGTTTGATCGAAGAATGGCTGTATTAGGAAAACAAGTGTCCTTTGCCACAGTTTAGACACATTAAAAGCATACCCTATCTTTATCTTTATCTTTAATGTAACATAGAGGCTGATTGTGTAATTTGGAACATATTTGGCTCTATGCGCCACATAGTCTAATAATAATACTGCAATTACAGTAAAGTATTGTAATAGTTCAACTTGTTTGTTTTGGTGATTGATTAATAATAGTAATAGTTGGTTATTATTAAATAGAATTTCATGATATATGATTAGCTGGTCCCACAATACAGCAAGATATTTGCTATTTGTGGTATATGTATGTTTGTAGACAGTAATTAATATAAATTTGTTATGGCAAACTGGGCTTCAAGAATGCCAGCAGTAACGAATCCCTAATGTTTATGATGCTCAAAATTGACACTGAATAGCATATAAAAAGAGTGATGCAATATTATATATTATTATGGGTAATAATTTATCTAAACAAAAAAAAAAAAAAAAAAAAAAAAAAAAAAAAAAAAAAAAAAAAAAAAAAAAAAACAGTCATTATCATCATTGAAAATTGAAAGGAGAATTGATACAGAAAGAGAACATCAACTTATTGACGCAAGTCAACTACTAAAAGCCTTCTCTTCCCCTCCCCCTCCCCGCCACCTCCTCCCTTTGTCCTAGTTTTATAAGACATATATACATTCCTTTTTATGCTTGTTCCTTATGAGTTGATTTGAATTCTAAATATTTATACGATTCGAAAGTATTTAAAATAAGACATTTACTCTTCTAAACCGAAATAATGGTATTTAAATAAAGTAACATTATTTTCTGGTTCCTGTATTTATCTATTTTAGGAACTTTTACCCTTTAATTGTATTCAAAAAAAAAAAAAAAAAAGCATATACGCTTATATATTATTTCTATATGTGTAGTTTTTAATAAAATATAATATTCTGCCCGAAATTAATTATAATAATATGTTTTATAATTGAATTGTTTGTTTTTTCGTATAAAAGAGAATCTATATTTATCTTCTTTACGACCTTTTTTTTTTTTTTGTAACTTTTATTGATAATATGAGGTGATTTTTGAGTTATTGTATATGATACGTGTATGCTTTAAACCTAATATTCGGAACTAGCATCCACCAAGCTAAAATGAGTATGAAATTTAACCAGCTAAATCATCGTAACACAGTACAAATCCTTGTTGTACATAATTATAAAATATTGAGATAATGTAAGGAGTCTAATATATCATATTTGTATCTATACTATACAGTACTTCATTTTAGATAGATCAGTATAATATAAAGAATATATAAAATTTTCATATCTTTTATATTATACAATTCTGCGTAAAAATACTATATCTCTAACCTTTTTTTTTTTGTTTTTACCTTATTAACATCAATTTAGTTATTATACTAGACAACTATAGGAAATACATGAGTAACTACAGATATTAGATCATGGATTGTATAGATTGTATTATGAAAATGGTTCAAAAAATAATAATTATCAATTTTGTCCTGTTTATTCTCTAATAGAATTATATAGATAAAAAGAACTAGTTTTTATAAAGAATAAAATTCATTAAAACACGTACTTCATTCATAATGAACCAATATAATTTAAATAGGACTGATATCAATTTTTCATCATTACCTATATTTATAAAATAGAAAGATCATGAATTAATAACGTGAGCATAGATACATATGTAATATGATGCTAAATAATTATATCATAGATCTAAAAAATAAAATAAAATAAAATAAAATCTTTCTCCTTCTTCCTACTTTAAAGAATTCATCAAGATAGACTATTTAAACACGAAATTTTACATTGATCTATGCATAAGCAAGATTATATTCCAGGAACTGTATTCCCTTACGTTTCATGAATCTAAAAATAAAACAAGATCTAAGGAAACACAATGTATTAAATTATTTTTTTTTTCTTAAAAACTATTGCTTGTTTTTTTTTATTTTAATATGCAAGTATATACGTGTGTGTGTGTATCCATTTGCAAATAGAAATAAACAAGCTATACACAGATATATTTTATATATTTTTATATATATACATAATAACGTAATATGAGGTATTCATTACTTTTAAAAGAAAGCTCATCTGACTTTGTAATGACAAAAAAAAAACATCTATCCAATAACTTACACAAAGTTATTATATTGTGTAGCAATGTAGTAACTATGTAAACCATTCCAATAACAGAGAAATATCAACCTATTATGGAAAAACTTAAACTTTACACATAAAAAAAAATATTCTAGTATAAAAAGGCTCAAAAATTTTATCTGATTATGCCTTGATCTCGATTTTTTTTTTTTTTGTTTTGTTTATTAAAATGGCTGCAGTTCAATGGGTTTATGCTAACGGATGCAACTGGATTACTCTTGACTCTACTTCTCAACGATATATAGAAAATTTATGGTCACACAACTCTTCAAGCTGGATTCAGAGTCAATCGTTTCAATGTCCTGTATATGTAGATATCGATAAAATGCTACTTATGTGTAATGGAATGTCTTATTGTATTGCTCGTCGTCGAACATAGCTATGTTAGGATGCAGATTTTTTTATTTATGTATTTATTATTATATACATATTCAATTGTATTCTACTTGTAATTTAAAACTTTTATATATATATATGTATATATATACTGTACAATAATAAACTTTACCTATCACTACCTTTTTTGTTCATACTTGAATGTAACATGCATATTTTAATTAATATCAGTCAAGTAGATTTCTTATTATAAACAATGTATGACCATAGACACATCCTCTATTTTATTTTATTTTTATCAGTAATTGCATTTTATTCAGGGGCTTTACCACAAGAAATAGTATAACCTTAAACGAGCGAAAGTGTCGTAGTGTCATCTACCTCTGTTGCTTGCTCATTTTTTTTTTAAAAAAAAAAATAGAAGGTTCTATATTATTATTTCTTGATTAACAAAGCTTTATTTTTGGTCTGTATCGTTTTCTTGATCCATTATCTACTGTAAATGATTTAAGAGTCAATATGTTAACAATGTATATTCCTTTGACTCGATTTATTTATCCATCTCTTACTGATTGGAATGATAAGCTAGCTTTTGCCACATAAAGCATTCATTCTTTTTATGCTGAAATGGCCATATCTTAAGTATGTATTATTTTAATTTTTATTAATTGTACTTGATAACATCTATATATCTGTTTATTTATTTATTTATTAGTTCTTCAAGACTCACGCAAACTGTGCTCTTTTCTTTTTTTTCTCTAAATAGCTTCATTTTTTTTTAAAAAAAAGTATATATTTTGGAAAAAAAAAATAGATTACATATGATATATAATAAAACTAGTGAATGGACGTGAATGTATATACGGGATGTAAAATAGTAATATTTTAATGTCTTCTCTTCTTGGTTGAATATTTGTCTTCTTCTTCTTTGTATCTCATCTTCCTATTGGCAATTTGTTGAAGCTGGCGTTTACCATGACAGTTAGGGAAGTTGTCCAAATCATAATAAGCAGGTGCAATTTCTAATAACCAATCTGCTTTTACTTCGATACAAGTTCTAATATAATTACGAGTTGTCAAAACAAATTCATTATAAAGTGCCCATTCAGGCTTATGATCTAAACATGTTGAAGGATGGAGTTGTACAATTTGGTTATCTTTAACTGTCAAATAATGTCCAGAACGTTCAAGATGTGCAACTTGCATAAAGTAACCGGCTACAATAGCACGTCTAATGTTTGTATAATATGATCTATTTTCAAAATCAGTGGAAACTAAATCTAAATCATACTTTTCCATTGTTCTTCTTAATTGTGCTCTAACATTATCTGCTGACTTTAAGGATCTTGCATTTAAAAAGTTGTCGTAACACCAGTTAGGATCTTCATGATCTATTTCAATAAAAGATAAATATTGAATCTTTTTTTTTTCAAAAAAAAAAAAAAAAAAAAAAAAAAACGAAAGAAAGAAACTTACTTGACTTATATGCATGATAGGCATTTAAAAGAGTAAGATGGTCGCCATCAGCATGTGCGAATTGAGCCTTTGCTTCATCAGCAGCCTTACGAGCATTATTGGGGCGAACAAAGATTTGTGGCACAGAAAGTAAGGCAGCAATTGAAAGAATTTCATTTGAACAGTTGTATTTAGGACTTTCAATAAGCATTTTACTTAACTGAGGATCAAGAGGGAAAGCTGACATGAGTTCACCTGTAGGAGTCATTTCACCATCATCGTCAAGTGCACCAAGGTAATTTAAAAGTTCAAGTGCACGCATCAATGTCTCAGGTGCAGGAGGGTCCATGAAATCAAAATGAACAAGATCATCAATACCTAATTTCTTCAATTGTAACACAACTGTTCCCAAATTGCTTCTTAAAATTTCAGGGTATGTAGCTTCAATCAATTCTTGATTGAATGCATTTTCAGTATAAAGACGGAATGCTTTACCAGGTCGAGTACGACCAGCACGACCAGCACGTTGTTGAGCAGAAGCCTTAGAAATAGGAGATACCAAAAGTGACTCCACACGGATACGAGGGTTATATACCTTTTGCTTGGAAAAACCAGGATCAATGACATAAACAATACCATCGATAGTAAGTGATGTTTCTGCAATATTAGTTGAAACAACAATCTTACGTCCAGGTGCACCTCCAGGTTGACGTGGTGGAGGAGCAGGCTCGAAAATTTGTTGCTGAGCACGAGGAGGTAAAGAAGAGTAAAGTGGTAAAACTTTAAGAGGACCAGCACCTTGACTACGAATCAATTCATCACCTTCTGCTCTAATCTTACTTACTGCAGTCTCAATTTCTTCTTCACCAGTTAAAAATACTAAAATATCACCCTCAGGTTCACTCAAATGAATTTGAAGACAAGTACGAATAGCAGCTTCAAGGTAATCACGTTCTGGTTCAGGAGTATAAAAAATTTCAACAGGAAAAGTTCTACCAGGAACGGACTATATAAATTACACAAGTTTAGACTTTGACATTCTATTTTTTTTTTTGTTTTTTTTTTGTTTAAAATAAACTTACCAACAAAGGAGCATCGTCAAAATATTTTTGAAACTTTTCTGCATCTAAAGTAGCAGACATGATAATAACTTGTAAATCCTTTCTCTTTTTACAGACCTAAATAAATGACAATGCATTATTTATAATGCTAAACTAATCATGTAATATGTAGTATTTTCTTACCTCCTTTAAGAGACCCATCAAAATATCAGTATTAAGTGTACGTTCGTGAGCCTCATCAAGAATAACTGCAGAGTATCTACTCATTAAAGGATCTGTCATTGCTTCACGTAAAAGCATACCATCAGTCATGTATTTCAAAAAGGTATTAGGGCTTGTATTATCTTCAAAACGAATACTATAACCGACCTCTTGACCTAATTTAACATCCATTTCATCAGCCACACGTTGAGCAACAGACATGGCAGCAACACGACGAGGTTGTGTACAAGCGATCATTTTGCCCTTAAGATGAGGTAATTCATCATAAACCAAGAATTGAGGAATTCTAATTTTAATTATTTATAGATTAGGCAAACTACCCCTTCCAAAAAAAAAAAACCATTACAATACTTACTGAGTAGTTTTACCAGAACCAGTTTCACCAACAAGGACAACAAACTGGTTTTTGTGAACCATATCTAAAAATTCTTGACGCTGAGCATGTACAGGAAGCTTTCTTCTACTTTCCAAGATCTTTTGATATTTGGCTGAGAAAGGTTTATTAGTGAAAGGATTGACTGTGCCATTTTCAAGTTTTTCGGCTTGTTTGGCAGTTGTCTTTCTGGGCTTTAACCCATCAAAAGGATTTTGCCTGGCATTTTGGTCTTCATTCCAATGAGCAAGATAAGGATTGTCACTCATGATTAATTTAATATAAAGATCTACAAATATTTTTTAAAAAAAAAAAAAAAAAAAAAAAATGAAATAGAAAAAATAAAAATGTAGAAAAACAGATCCTAACCAGAAAAGCAGTCTTTTTCAAGTCACACATAGTTTTTTTTTTTTTTTTTTTTTTTTATTGGATAATAACAAATAAACTATTTAAATGTTACAATCATATGAAACTATCACTTAATTATGTATCATGAACGTTGGCTTATACATAAAAAAAAAAGTGATGCTGTTATATTTTATAGTTATTAGTTACTTGTTTATTGTATTGGGTTTATAATTATTATTATACATTTGTTGATCCGTTATAAAATATGACTTGAATTATTAACATATCAAATGTGTTTTCCCTCCCCCTCCCTTTTTTTATGCTTATTTTCACTGAAAATAACTAACAGAACTAAATTAATTACTTTGTTGAATTACATGCAAAAATCAAAAATATGACCAAGCAATATTAGAAACAAATTGTATTTTAATTTAATACATTATAAATAAAGATGCTTTATTTTGAATAATATATGTGTATATGTAAAATTATAATAGGGGCATCAAGTTATAAACAAATTTAGAAAGGTGAGGAAAATATAAAGTGTATGAAAAAAAGTAGGAGAAAGGGAAGAAGAAAAAAAAAGAAAGAAAAAGATAAGGAAAAAAAAAGAAAGGACATTTACAATTCTTCATCAGTTGTGTAGACTTCTTCACCACGCTTACGACGTTCCATACGCTCCTTCTTCTTCTTACGAAGTTCCTTGGAAGTTAACTTCTTCTTCTTTTCAACAGCCTTAACGGTGTTACCTTGAGCATCAACCATATCTTCAGCTTCTTGTTCCTTAATAACAGTAGTACCGTTACCAGAAACCCAGTTGTGACCAGAAGGAGTTAAACGACCATTGTCAACCTTCCAAACTTCAGTACAAAGAGCTTCAGAGAATTCACGGTTGTGAGTAACAATCACAACACCACCACCGTATTCCTTGATAGCTTGAGCAAGTGCACCAAGAGATTCACGATCCAAGTAATTAGTAGGTTCGTCAAGAACCAACATGTGAGGCTTGTTCCACATGGCAGCACCGATGACCAACTTGACCTTTTGACCACCAGAGAGACCACGAATACGAGAGTGAGTAGCAAATTCGGGTTCAAGACCTATTTCAGCCAAATGCTTTTCAATTTCCTTGGAGGTCAAGGGACGGTTAAGACCCATCTTGGCAGCTTCAGCAGAGTCAACTTCAGCAATCTTCTTACCGAAACCCATGTCTTCAAGCTTTTGACGAGAGATCCAGGTGTTATCAACAGAGGAACGACCGACCCAAGAGACTTCGTATTCATAGGATTGCTTAAGCTTACGACGACCGACAAGGGCTTCGACGATACGCTTCTCACCATCAATGATGAAAACTTGTTCAGCCAACTTCTTATTAGTATCAGCATTCATACGGTCGTTTTTGTCAAGTTCTTCACGATCTTCACCAGTAGCATAACGCCATTGAATGTATTCATTGGGAGTACTGTCCAAGTGCTTCTCAATATGGTGGAAGGCATGTTGAGCAACATAGGCAATACGCAAGTTAGGATGCTTCCAAACAGTACCAATTTCTGATTCAATTTCACCCGTCAACAATTTGATCAATGTAGACTTACCAGCACCATTGGGGCCGATGACGGCAACACGAGAGGCAAGAGAACATTGCATGGAGATATCAATCAATTGCTTACGATCAGTACCGGGGTATTGGAAGTCAACGTTCTTCATCTTCAAGATAGCACGTTCCTTAGTCTTGATACCTTCAAGGAAACCAGGTTCAGGGAACTTGAAGGAGATTTGAGTGGCTTCAAGGGAGTAGTAAGAAGCGGCACGAGGAACCTTCTTGACGAATTCAGACAAGTTACCCTTATAACGCTTAAGCTTATAGTTGGGCTCATAGTGAATGATATCAGAACAAACATGATCCAAGAAACCAGAATCGTGAGAGACAATGATAGAGGTGACAGTCTTGAGACCCAAGAGGTAATTCTCCAACCAAGCAACGTTAACAACATCCAAGTGATTAGTAGGTTCGTCCAACAAGAGAATATCAGCATTCATCAACATGGCACGAGCAAGAGCGAGCTTCATCTTCCAACCACCAGAGAGTTCACCAATAGCCATCTTGGTAACCATTTGTTCAGTGAAACCATAGTCCAAAAGAATCTTACGAACTTCTTCACGATCCTTTGTTTCAACACCATCAGAGGCCAAAATGAAGTCAACAAGAGGAGTATCAGCTTCAGAACCATCAATATCGTGTTCGACGTAGACGGTCTTAAGTTCAGAACGAGGGGGGAAGCCTTCAACTTGTTCATTAGCAATAGCACGCATCAAGGTAGACTTACCACAACCGTTAGCACCACAGAGACCATAACGACGACCACGCTTAAGACGAAGAGCAGTACGGTTCAATAAGATCTTGGCACCATAAGCAAGGGAGAACTCACAGTTACAGAGATCTTCACCTTCATCATCTTCCTCCTCAGGATCCTTGGGTGTAACAGCTTCCTCACACTTGTTCAAGGCAGCAAAGGCAAGATTCTCAGCATCAGCAGCAACATAGAAGGACTTGGCATAAGGAGCGAGAGAGGCAACCCAAACGTTCTTGAAGAAGTTTTTAGCAACACAAAGGTTAAGAGCAACGTCATTCATGTACTTGACGGTAGGGGTAAAAGCAGCATCAAGATCAGTAGGTAAGAGTTCCTTGATAGATTTTTCGACCTTTTCTTGCTTTTGAACCTTTGTGAAGACTTCAGTAGCAGGGTTACCAACACGTTGAAGGGTAGCCAAAGCCTTTTGGACGACACCACGACATTCAGGATCAGCAACAACATCTTGTACCTTTTCAAGAGCAGGTAAAAGAAGAGGCAAGAAAGGAGCAGCAACATCGGGATCATCGACAAGCTTAGACATATTGTCAATAATCAAAGCAGACTTACGCTTGATAGGAGTAGCACGTTCATTCAAACCACGGTTCAAGAGAGGGACCATGATAGAGAGAGTAGCAGAGTCAACTTCTTGAACGAAAGTAGTAGCACCAAGCAAGTGAATAGTTTCAGGAACATTCTCAGGATGATTGATACAAGTGATGACAGCAGGAATAAAACGTTCAATATCCTTGTTTTCAATGAGTTTACAAATAGCAGCCATGGTTTCAGTAGCTTGTTTCTTGACGTCAGTCTTAGTATCCCACATACAATCAGAAACAACAGGGATGACATCAGGGATAGCAACAAAGAATTCCTTGGGGTGTAATTCGGTCATATTGACCAAGAGTTCAAGAGCAAGCATCTTTGTTTGCCATTTGCAAGAATTACCAAGACCTTCAAGAATAGAAGGGATAGTAAGAGGACAAGCGTAAGGGTTCATTTTAGCGATGAAATTTTTAGCAGCTTCGAGAGCAGCATTCTTGACTGCAACTTGCTTATCGGCTTGAAGTTCCAACAAGTTAGATAAGAAAGGTAAGATGAAAGGTTCAACTTGACCTTCAAGAGAATTGTTAGTCAAAGCAGCAAAAGCAGCAACAGCACCTTGACGAGCACCAGCATTCTTCTTGTTACCGAATTCCTTAGCAAGAGCTGTGGTGATATTGCACTTAACAAGGGAAAGGACACCGTTGGATTGAACAAAAGCAGCAAGTTCTTCGGCAGCAGACTCACGATCAGCATCAGAAGAAAGCTTAGCAACGATTTCCTTAGCTACCTTAGAATCAGCTTGATGGACAACAACATTCATCTTTTTAGATTGAATATCGCTCTTAGTATTTTTTTGAGCAGCAGCAGTGGCAGGCATCTTTAATATAATATATTAATGTAATATGAAAAGATAGGATAGAGCGAAAACAAAAAAAAAGGTAAGATAAATGTGTTTTTTTGTCGGTTAAAAAAGAAAAAAAAATTTTTTTTTCTTTTAAAACAAAAGGTAGTAATTAAAGAGAAAGCAAGATAAAAAAAAAACAAAATCCAAAAAAAAACCGAAGTTTATATACTATCCTCTTTTTTTTTTTTTTTTTTTTTTTTTTTTTTTTTACTTCCCCACCCCTCCAATGAAAATTTTTTTTTCATTATACCAAACAAAATTAGATCGGGCTTAAAATTTATGCTTAACCAATTGATTTAATGTGGAGTAATATAAAAAAGGTAGTAAAACAATTCTGTACCTTAACATTCAAATGTTTCAAATAAGCTAATCTCTTATCTTTTTTTTTTATTTTTTTTTAATATTAAAGAATGCATAAAGGGAATATAAAAATAAAAAAAAATGATCCAGAAGAATTTAATATGATTAAGGAAGAAGAATATCAAGATAGACTATAATAATAAACCCGCACGTGGTGTACGATGATAACATAATTTTAAGCCACCTCTCTTATTCTACAAAGATTTTCTAAACCTCAGTTTTTTTTTGTAATATCACTATATTAGTATTCTTTTTTTTTTTTTACTATTAGTTTCTCCTGTTCATTCTCCCTTTTTCTCCACTCATTATTTACTCCTTGAAGACATGCATATATATAAATGTAAACGTATGTTATGTATAAGTTGCGATATTATCTTCAAGGAAAATCAATTATTTATTTATTTTGTTGTATTTTACAAAACAATAAATATTATACATGATATCAGATAAAATATGACTTTTTTTTTAGCCAATAAAATTTTAAATTCAACTTCCAAATTTGCCAAGTTAATTTTTTTTTTGTTTCCCCTTTTAATCACTGCGCAATGATAATAACATCTTCAAGAATCTACCATTTGCTTTGAAATGAATTAATAATGTAGATTGATCATCTTGTATAATAAACTACTTTAATTAACTGTAAATTTCTCTCTTTTTCGTTGTTGAGCTAATTTAATAAGCTAATAACCCTTTTTTGTACAAATTAATATACAATAAACAAACATTCCGTTTTCCTCCTACTCTTTCACATTAACTCCTTACTTTATCAAATCAAATAGTTTCCATTTTAAGTTTCTAGTTAATTATGTTACAATAAACAAAGAAGAGATAGAGAAAAGACTTTCTAATAGATAGAGTATATTGTAATATGATTGGCTGATTATAGGACGATAGTAGTGACGTTTGTTTTGTAATATTTTTTTTTTTTTCTTCATAATTAATTTTGTTTAGGTTGCATATAAAAATATGTATTTTTTTTATCCTTTTCACCCTTTTTTTTTATATTATTCTTATTATTAACATTTAACCTTTTTTTTTTTTATACAACAACCTTAACCTACTATAATCTTAAAAGGAAAAAAAGAAACAAATTACACGTTTTAGAAAGCATCTTTTCTACTTTTTTATATACATCTTTTAAAGTATTTACACTCTTATATCTTTTTAAATTACCTTTAAAGTATTACAAATTGTTTGAATACTTTATATAAATTCTCTTACCATAAAATTTGATTTAATTCTTACAAACTATTACAAATCTTTAAAGTAGTTTACATATACCTCTCTATTTTAAACATATTTACTTTTATTATTACATACATTTGTATTACACTTGAAAGTATATTCCTTTTTATATATTATTTGATTCAACTTTTATTTTTATTTTTTATTTTTACATACTTTAATCTTTACGTAAACATATAAATCAACATGGTTTGGACAGACAGACAGGTACTAGCCTTTTTTTCTTTCTTTCTTTTTTTTTTTTTTTTTTTTTTTTTTTTTTTTTTTTTAAATACATAGTTTATCAAATACTAACTTTTATCATTAGAATGAACCTAATCCTTTGGATGAATTAATGAGACAATCATTTGAAACTGTTAGAAAATTAGATGCTGAACGTATGGAGCAAATACGTAAAATGAGACGCGAAAAAGAAGTTAAGGAACGTAAAAGAGCAGAAGCTTTAAGAAAAAAAGAGAAAGCTGAGGCCGAATTAGCTGAAAAGCGTGAATTAGAGGAAAAGAAACAAAAAATGTTATTGGCTGAGAAAAAGAAGCAGAAGATGTTGGAAAAAAAAAGAAACCAGCAAATAAAGACGATTACTCCAAATAAGGCAATAAACTCTACTCCTATCTCCAAGACAATTAAGGAGAAGAAAGTATGTACAAAAGAAAAAAAAAGTTATTAAAGAATAGATTTAACCAAATATGTAAATATTTAATTATAGAAACCTGTGCACATGTCTTTTGAAGAGATTATGAAAATGGCAAAAGAACAATCAACTACTACCAGGGATACTGAATCCCCTTCTACTACTACTAATACTTCTGATAAGCAAGCTTCTACTTCTTCATTATCGGTTAAAAGACGTCATCCTGATAGCAGTGCTCGCGATCATACCCCTTCTATTTATCATCGCCCAAAGAAACCTATGTTGAAGAAACCTGCTCCTGTTGAAGCTAATACAATGTCTGCTCGTGAGCGTGCAAAAATAATGGTGGCTCAGCCCCCTCAAAAACTTGGTTTGGTTAAACGTGATCGACGTACCATCGAAGAAATCCAAAGAGATATCCGTCATAGTAAAGGCAAGTTTTCTGATGACGAAGAAGAAAGACCCAGTTCTCGTAATACAACAAGACCTGTATCTACTAAACGCCAAAGAAGCCCTCCTCCTCCTCCTCATGATGTCAAGAGATTGAAATCAATACCTGCTTCCTCCACACCTACAACAAGACCTTATACAAAGACAGCAACAGCAACAACAACAACAACAGCATCAACATCAAGACCTTCTGTGAGGTCAACAGCAACAGCAACAGCAGCATCATCAGCATCATCGTCATCAAGGCCTGCCATGAGGTCAACGACAACAACAACAACAACAACAAAATCGTCTGTCTCTCGTCCGGTGGCCAGTGACAAAAGGCCACCAAGACCTCTCCGAATGCCATTTACTGGTAAACTTCTGGGCCCTGCTCCTCCATCACCTCTTTCTCGAAAGTCTCCCGCTGCTAGACGACGCTATAGAGACTTAGAGGAAGAGGAAGACGATGATCTCGCTGATTTCATCGTCGATGATGATGAGGGGCCAGCAAGTCCTCATCAAGATTCCTACTCGTCTGAAATTGGACGTATCTTTCGTTACGATCGTAGAAAGTAAGTCCAATTATTTATTTATTTACTTATTTATTTTTTTTTTAATAGAACTAACTTTTATTATTATAGGTACGTAAATGAGCCAATTTCAGACGATGATATGGAGGCCAATGCGCTCGAAGTCTTACGAGAAGAGAAAAGAAGGTAAGGTTATCATATGTAAAATAGATTTAATTTATTAACTAATACATTTTATTATTAGCGAGCGCATTGGCCGTCGTGAGGATTTGCTGGAGGAGCAAAAGGAACTAGAGCGACAGAGAAGACGCAAGATGAAAGGTCTTTAAACATGTCGTTCTAGTTCCTTTCGCCCTCGGGCCCTATTTTTTTATTTTTTTAAAAAAATAAAAAAATAAATAAAAAATAAAATCAAAATAAATAAATAAATAAAAAACAAAAATAAATAAATAAATAAAATCAAAGTAACAAGCTTTATTACTTGTCTCAAGGAATGCTTAAATGATACAATCATTGTACAAATAAAATATAAAATAAAATGCTAAATAATAATATATTAATTATAAAAGGTTCTCTTTCTCTTTTAAATAGTTCCACTTAATAAGTGTTGAGCCTTTGAAAGTACGTTTTCGATTTGACTAGCCAACTGATCTTGATTAGCTAAATAAGTTTGAAGACTTTCTAATAATTCAACTTGCTCTTTAGCTGATAAATTATTAATCACTAATGCTAAAATACTGCCTACAGAGACATTATACATCTATTTTTTTTTTAAAAAAAAAAAAAAAATAAAATAAAATAAATAAATATTCATTCATTTGATTTTTTTTTTTTTTTTTTTTTGTTGTTTACCTTGATAAAGCTTTGATAATACATATAAGCAAATAAGCCCATTAAAAACTGACAATCCATTCTATCAGTTAAACCACCATGACCAGGAATACTATGACCAAAATCCTTGATCTTAAATGCTCTCTTAACCGCACTAGCAAAAAATCCACCAAAAGGTGCAATAAGTGAAGCAAAGCAAGCCATCACGATACCATGTAATTGAACAGGTGCAATCCAAACTTCGGTAATATCTGTCATAAACTATATATATACATTTAAATAAGTATGAATAATTCTCTCTCTCTCTCTGTATGTATGTATGTGTGTGTTCTTCTTCTTCTTTCGAATCACTTTTATTTAACTTACTAGATATTTAATAATATATCGAATTAAAGAAGGAAGTTCCCATGGTACAGCATAAAAGACAGGGTTCTTTGGCTCACAAGACACATTTGACCAAGCAGAGGCGCCAAGGTCTTGAACGGGGCAAGTCATATAATCGAATCGCATCAAGACAGTTGTTAACAAAAAGCCAAAGACAAGCGTGATAATCATACCACCCACAAAGCCTTCAACTGTCTTTTTAGGACTTAATTGAATAAGAGGTGTTCTTCCCCAAAAGAAACCACACACATATGCAAAGATATCATTACAAACAACTAAAGCAGCTGGTAATACGAACCAAATTAAACCTTCCAAGATATTATCCACAATAAAATGAGCTTGGAATACAATCAAGAAAATGGCCATATGTGTCCAGCCAAATTGAGACATTTGAGATCGATATTGTCCTTTCTTCAAATTCATAACAAAAAATACGAAACCTATTCATTTGGAAAAAAAAAAGAGAAAGAGAAGGGTCGTATCATACATATGCAAATAATGTTTAAGTCTTGAAAATAGATCTTCCTTTTTTTTTTCCTTACCAATGACGTAAAGTGTAAAGCTAATAAATCTATGATGTGTTGCAAAGGGTAATAAAAACGCGTCAACCATTACCTTTTCTTTAAAGTAATATATAATAGATTCACCATATAAAAAATATTCAGTTGCAATCAAAAAATACCTTTTATATATTATAGAATACATATGTCAACATAAAACAAAGCTCTTTCTCTCTCTTTCCCACTTTGTCCCATTTTTTTTTTTTTTACCAACTCATTGTCTTGAACCAACTTAGATTACCCTTTGCAGAATAATGTGCAATTTGAATAACTTCCCTATAAACTAAGACTGTAATAATCATAACCATCACAATAGACCAAATATAACCGGATGCGAGAATAACGAAGAAAGAAGCGATCATGATGAGAGTAGTGATGGTTCGAATCCACCAATTTTGCCATTTCTTACTCGGTGGTTCAGCTGCAAGAAGTGTAGTGGCTTCTTCAGCTACCTTTTCTGTCACTGCAGTAAGAGCATTATTATTTTCTTCTTTAGGTGATAATGCTGGGCTCAATTTTTTATTTTCTTTCTTTTTCGTAGTTGTCCCTCTACTATTACGTTTAGATGCCATATTGTTTTTTTTTATGCTTTAAAGAAAAAAGGAAAAAGAAAAGGCAAATTTACCAGGACGAGCATATAATAGAAAAACTTTTTTTTTTTTTTTTTTTTTTCGTTTGGGTTTTAAAAAGTGAATTAAATTGATTTTCTAAATTGATTTTCTTGGATGCTTGTATTTTTTTTTTCCCAATAAAAAAGAACCCTGAAGAATAAATTCTATGCTCATAAAATAAGTTTGTAATGTTATAAAAGTAAATATGTTTTATCTCTCTTGAAAGATACACACAATTGCATACATTTCCTATTTTATTAAGTAAATACTTCATTATTTTTTTTTTAAAAATGACGTATGCGTTGCTTTATGTGCATATGATTACATAAGCATGAATTATAATTTATGTTTACTAACTAAGTATTTTTTTTTTTTTTTTTTTTTTTGGGCGCTTTATTGATATTCTCAACGTAAGTCTTTGATTTGAATAGGATCAATGAATCTATTAAATGAAAAATAAAAGCCACAGGAGTGAGTGCTTCTTGGAAATATACACAATGACTTTTTTTACGCCAAAAATAAAAATAAAATATAAAATTCCTTATTTTTTTTTATTTTATTTTATTTTTTTTTTTATTTTTTTTTTTATTTTTTTTTTTTATTTTTTTTTTTTATTTTTTTTTTTATTTTTTTTTTTTTTTTATTTTTATTTTTATTTTTATTGTTATTAATTATTATTATTTACTTATTTATCTATTTTAATTTTTTATTTAATATTTCATTTGATTTTTTATTCTTATTTTTTTTTTTTCATTCTTTATCAAAAAATATTCTATAATTACAGTTGTCATTTACAATGACAACAAGTCCTATTCTACAAAATGAAGAATCTTCAATGAGGTCTAAATCAGCTTCGTCTGTTAATTATAAACGAACATGTCGTAAAGAAGATGATCAAATAAATCAGATTGATAGTGTTGTTCATATATTAGGAGACTTATTTAGAACATATATGATTGATAAAAAAGGTACTCGAAAGGGAAAAAAAATATAGTGAAATATTGAAGTATTTTTTATTTATATAGACTTGCTTATAATATAGTAATAGATGTCCCTTCTAAGGAAACCAACTTTTTATTTCATAAAATGGAAGATATGTATGAAGGGGATATGTATTATATTATGTCTGGATTTATGACGGTCTATATCAGTTTTATTCAAATTGTCTTACAGGAGGATTTTTTAAAATTCATACAACTCTTCTCGCCTCATGATTCTTTATCAACTCAGGGGAATCAACTTTTTCTTCCATTTTATGACATGTCTTTATTACATAAGCTTCAACATCAATTAAAAGAGAAAAACTTGTTGGATCCAGACTTTATCTTGACTTCAATTGACTCGATCTTTTCAAAATTCTATACGTTGTATTTCTTGGAAACATTAGCCCAAAAGCATCAAAAGGATCATGGTCAATTTTATACACCTCAGTCTGTCATCAAATTCATGTGGGATAAATGTGCAACCTTATCTACCTTTATTCTTCATCTTGAATCCCAAAAGGAAGCGACCATTCCTCATGTTTTTGATCCATGTTTAGGTATCGGTTCCTTTCTCTGTGAATTTTTATCTCGATTTATTAAGGCATGTCGTTTTACTATCTGGAATGATCCTTTACGTCTTACCAAATTACTTACATCAGATATCCCTAATTATGTATGGGGAATAGAGATTGACCCATTTGCTTATCAACTCTGTAAGTTGAATATGATAGTTCATCTTTTCCCTTTATATCAAAGATTAAAGGAGCTTGATGTTCAACTTGAAACAGGCTCTATTCATCGACTTAAATTATTTTGTAATGATACTTTAAAGTTACGAGTCGATACAAATCCCTTATTAAAAGCAGAGGATACATTTGAAAGGGATTGTTTAGAATTATTAAGGGATGCCTCTAAATTAAAATTTGATTACATTGTTACAAATCCGCCTTATATGATTCGAAAAACTGGATTTATCACTCAGCCTGATTCCATTATATATGATGAATCTATATTAGGAGGGAAAGGGACACAAGCTTATTTATATTTTATGTGGATTGCATTACAACGATGTGATGATCAACAGGGTCAAGTCTGTTTGATTACACCAAGTCAATGGACTGTACTTGAATTTGCCCAACATCTAAGGTAATATAATATGTATATATATATATGTACTTATATATGCAAATTCTTAATTTTTTATTTTTTATTTTATATATATATATATTTATATATCCTTTTTCCTCATATACATATTATACATACAATAATAAGAAAATGGATTTGGAAACACTGTAAGCTTTTAGACATGTATGAATTTGAACCTTACAAAGTTTGGCCAAAAGTACAAACAGATTCACTTGTATTTCGTATTTGTAAACGTACATCTACTCTTATTCATTCAGAACATACACTTTATCTTCGACATTGTTCTCGAAAAATGACATTAACAGAACTTTTACAAGCATATGACAATTTTAATATAAATCAAATCTCTTCAAATGATCAAAATATAAAATACAAATATACATCAAGTGTTGAATCGAATGATCAAATCTTAACAACACCTCATGCTTCATTTGCCTTCATGATACCCACTGCATCATGTTTAGAGGAACTCAATCAACTTACACACCATTTACCTCGTCTCTGCGATGGAGAACACACACATAAATCGAATCCTAATCTAGAAGTAGCATCTAGCCATCAAAGGCCTCCTCTCGTGTGGAATCGAGGACCTAATACGAATCCTGTTTATTCACTTGTCGTTCGAACCAGTTGGGCGATTCATACATTTGGGATTGAAACATGGGCTCGCTGGCTCAAGCCATGTTTTTATTGGAATGGAAAGACGAATACATCTACAAATAGGGGTGGAAAGGAAGGCGAATTCTGGAGAACAAGGGATCCATTACGATTGAGTAAGAAGGAAACATCCGCAGCAGAGGCCTATTGGCCCCTTTGTACACTCGATCCAGAGCAACCTACACTTCCGTTTTATTCATTGATTCGGGTGAACAAGGAGGATGCAGATCTATTGAAAGAAGAATATAAAGCATTAGGTGAGAGAGCACCTAGCGCAGCTCTTTATCATTATCTTCGAGATGCTCGTCTTGCATTACAGGCAGACAAGACAGAGAAGGAGATAGCGCATTGTCAGTATAACAAATGTGGTACAGAGGTAGCTGTCAAGATTGTCCATCCAATTAATTGTGGTTATTTCACTCGAACACAACCCCGTCCACGCTTCTTTGTAGATAAGACAAGAATGGCGGTAACGAATCAATGTATCTATTTTACGATTAAACCTGATTACCCCTGGCAGGACCCGGATTATTATTGTGGACTCTTGAATAGTATTTTAATTCAATTCTTTACAAAGGCCCATTGTTGTTATGATCAACAAGGTCGTATGCGATTCTTTGGAAGATCAATGGCTTATATTCCATTTGCACCTCCACCGTCTATTGAATTCATGCGTCAGATCTCCATCTTTGTACAAGGTGTGACGGTATGTCGTACCTGGCTTTATTCCTTTGTACGTCACACGTCGACGACAGGACATCAACCACGATTGATGGAACGTATTCGACATAGTGAATGGCAACCCTTATCCAAGATCGAAATGGAGGTATTAAATCAAATCAAGATACCTACTGACACGACTCACTTTCAACCCGATACAAGTCTGTCCTCTACCTTGAACGATTCAACTGACTTTGAATGGATTCGACAATTTGTACAATTCCATTGTCATTATCCAGATAAAGCTGCATTTATCTTTATCACTCTCTTAAAGATAGCCTCTCTCTTTCAATTCATGATTGATCAAATGGTTTATTTTGTATATCAAATCCCTGAGCGACTTCAATTAGAGATTGAACAAGATTTAAAATTAGAAAAGATACGTGAAGAATGGATCAGGACAAGAAGAGATGTTCTATTTGAACCTGATCATATGACAGCCTGGTTTGAACGTGTTCTATCTATTGCCATTTCATTTACTAAAAGCCAAGAAGAACTATTCAAAGACATGTAGATACAACACTCTATATATACATATATACATATATACATATATACATATATACATACATACATACATACATACATACATACATACATACATACATACATACATACATACATACATACATATATTTATTATTATTACTACTGTTATTGTCTTTTATATTATTCATGTACATACATACATATATTTATAAATAAAACTTTTTTTATTTCTTTTTATCACCAACTGGACCAAAAACATTATAACTATAATTATTATGATGATGATTAGTAGTAGAGGCCGAATGTGTAGTGTGATTGGTTGAAGGAATAAAAGGATGGTTCTCTAAAATTGTAATCGATTGAGGCTTTTGTAAGAGTTCCTGTTGCAATAAAGAAGAAATGATAGGGAAAGAATCATGATAATGATCATACGAAGAGGGTATGTGACTCAAGTTGAGTTTATAGAGACATAAAGGATCATTTTGATTTGTTTTCGGTAAAAAATCTAAATCTAAGCCAGTTGAAAAGGGTGAATACCAATTATTGTTGCTGCTGTTATTGCTGTTGGTGTTATTTTCTTTTGTCTTGACCATCATCATCATCATTTCATCTTCTTCATCTTCACTATGTATCGGCGTTGATTCAGGGGATAATAAATTCAAGTCAAATTGATTTTTATTCTCTTCTAATTTTGGTGTTGTACAAGAAGAATGAATTTCTTTCTTTAATGATAATAAGCTCCCTTCTTCACCACCACCACTATTACTACTGTTATTATTATTTACAAGGTTGTTGTTGTTGTTGTTGTTGTTGGTATTCAAATGAGGTTCTGTCATCATTGATGGTTGTCTTGAACCTATTGATTTCTTTGACTTGCGTCGTTTGGTTGATTTTTTCTTTTCAGGTATTAAATTCAATTTGTTACATTCTTTTTGTTTTGATATAAGATCCATTCTTGTTTTCTAAATAGTAATTTTTAAGGTTAATATTTTATTAAAAAAAAAAAAAAGGCCCGGCGTCTAAAATTCAATTTTTTTTTTCCCGTTTAGCAATTAATTACACCCTAGCAACAAGAACAAGTGTATGTCCACACATGTAATTTTTTTTTTTTAATATAAAATGGGGGAGAAAAAAAATGTGTGAATCAAAGGAAAGAAGTGAGAGAAGAAGAGACAGACAGACAATTGATGAATTGTATATGTGTGATTATTTTTGCTAAATGGGGGTAAAAAAAAAAGGGCGGTTTGAATATATTTACCTTGAATAAAAGATAGATTGCATATAAAAGTAAAATAAGCATAGAAGTCCTTGAAAAATCTCGTAGTCGAAGTAAAATGGATATTGAGATTCTTTTTAAAAAATTTTCTGATTCTTTCACATGTTTAAAATGATATGGAATTGAAATTTCAGTAGTGGATACATTTTTTAATGGTTGCTGAGGAATTAAGGTTATTAAACAATTTTTTATATTTGAATAAATAGAATAAATAAGCATAGAAAAGATGGAAAGAAAAATGAGTAAAACGGGAGATAAGACAACAATGGATGTTATCTGTAATCCTCGATTTGATCGCATTATTATTAATAAACCGTTTTTTTTTTTTCACTCTTTCTTTCTTTCTTTCTTTCTTTTTTTTTTTTTTTTTTTTCTAACAAAATTAAAATAAAATAAAAAAGGAAAAAAGAATTTTATATGTCGTCGTTATAAATATTTAAATATTACCAGGAATTTTTTTCATTTAGCGCAACTTTAAGTAACAGCAATGAAGTATTCAAAAATAGTATAGTTATCATTCTTTATATAAGAATTGTCTTTTGCTTTTTCCTTTTTTTTTTCCATAAATAATGTGTGTGTTGTATGATGAAAAGGGAGATGTGAAGGAAATAAGTAGAGAAAGAGGGAAAAGGGAGGGTAAGGGATATTATGCGAATTATAAACACATACACACACAGAGATAGATAGATATTCATATTTGTATATATACATGTATGTATGTATGTACGTATATATACAGCCTTTTGTGTGAATAGGCTATATTATGTTTACATGTCATCAAAGTCTAGTAAAGCTATTTTGATCCAAGTAAAAAAGAAAAAGAAAAAAAAATTATTTGTCACAGGCAAAAAAAAAAAATTTTTTTTCTCTTCTTATCTAAATGAAATAATATAATTTACCTGCAAGTTCTTGATCTGTGGCCATAGTAATGGTATCATTATGACCACCACGTTGTAACCAAGAATTGATTTGCTCTTCAGTAACATCCGGTGTCGTAGTAGTAGTAGTAGTAGTACTTTGAGAATAATCATTGCTTTTTTCTAATAATGTCCAATAAGGATGATTAGATAAAAATAATTCCATATCCAACATCATAGAAGGGTAATCATGAGGGGTATATAAAGACATAAAAGAAGTAGTAGTAGTAGTAGTAGTAGTAGTTGTAGGAGTAGTGATAGTAATAGGATCTTGTATATGAAATAGAGGATTGTTTTCTTGTTTTATATCCATGTCAAATATTGAGGGAATAGAGACCTTAGATGAAGGAGTTGGATAATCAGATGAAACTACAGACACATGACCTGATTCATCTGTTACAAGGCGAAGTTGAAGAGAAGATAAAGTGCTTACGCTACTACAATCATCTTCATCTTCACTATGACTTGTTGACTCTGAAGAGATGCGACTACTATTATCAGAAGAAGAAGTAGAAGTAGTTGTTGACGATTGATTCATTAAATCTTTATAGATCTGAAGTGCTTGAGGTTCGTTTGAATTCTTTAAACTATCCATCATTCTTGATTTCGCTCTGAATAAATTCTCTCTCAAGTTACGACTAAGTAAGATAATATTTTCTTCATGATGATTTAAAGTACTGCGGCAGTTTAAATTTGTTAAGGGGGATAATGATACTGTTGTATGATTAGGTCTAACTTGTCGACTTAGCGCTTTCAATTCTTCTAAATTCATCTTTTGTTTACCAGTGCATGGCTTTCCTAATATAATTTTTTTTGGTTTCGTTACTTTTCTTCGTTTCTGTGTAGATGACATATGGATAGATTGACCCATAGTTGTGCTACTCTTTCTTTTTTGATAATCCTTTGGTGAGACATATGTTCTTTTAGTAGATGATTCCAAAGAAGGACTTTTAGATAAGGGGGAGAGAGAAAAAAAACAAAAGGAAAATAAATAAAGTCACAACGTATATATAAAGAAGAAGAAGAAAATGGTTAGATTTAACTACTCAACTCAATTGTTTATATGCAAAAATAAAATAAAATAAAAATAAATAAATATATTTATATATATACACACACACATATACATGTATACAAATGCTTCTTTCTCTCTCTTTTTTTTTTGCATATTTATTTAATTTAAATGAATGTATTTTGTGAACCTTTTTCTTACCTATCAGCATTTACATAAGAATTAACATGAACTGGCTTAGTTTGATTGATGATATGATTTTGCATATTGAAAGAACTACTCAACAAGAAGAAAATAAAGAGAGAGAAAAAGAAGAAGAAGAAAACAAAACCAGGCTTTTTTAAAGAAAGGGAGTAGGAAAAAAAAAAGTTTTTTTTTTTTTGTATTCAGAAAAAAAAATAAATTTTAAACAAAAACGGAACTTCTTGTGGAATAAATAAGAAGATGCAATTCAAGAAACGCATTCTTTTTTTTTTCATAATAATAATAAAGATTCTTGTGCATTAATTAGTGGTGATACGTGAATCCTTAATAGGATATATGACAGAACTTTGTTTTTTTTTCATATAAAATTTCATTGTTTTGTTTACATCCTTTTTTATTTGTCTTATTTTCCTTCTCCACTTCATGATTGTTTGAAAAAGCCTCATTAAAAAAATTGTTTTGCTAGTATTTTTTTTTAATAGAAGCGGAGACAAAGTATTATTTAAAGAAGAAGACTGCTTCGATTGAAGGGAACAAAAAAAAAAATAAGGTCCCTAATTCCTTTTCATTTTCCGATTCTTCTTGGAAATATGATTTGTATAATTATTCATTTATTAGTACTCATAGCAATAATATTATAAATATTGAAACAATTGAAAGAAAAAAAAATTTTTTTAACCTTTATTATCATATAGGAATAAGAGTTATTTTACTTTGAGTAAATAGTATCTATTGTAAGTATAAAGTTCCCCTTATTAGTCATTGAATGCATGCAGGATAGAATAATAACGTTTAAAGGTGCATTTATTATGGATGTTGTCACTATTTACAAAGTAAGGAGATCTCTTTTTTAAATCATTATAAAAGGAAATAAGCATATAGTTTCAAAGCTGAAAGAGAATAGGAGAAGGGATAAATGATGATGTCAATCAGTACTTGGTGTTATTTATTACCTTCACTGTAAATCTTCTCATCTAACTTTTCCCTTACTTTTTTTTTTTTTTTTAATTTATGTAATGTAGTAAATAATTACACATAAATAAATAGATATTCATATATATGTGTCGCTTCAATTGAATGAGCTTTGGTTTAATAAAACAAATAAAATGGACTAGATTCTGGAATAGTAAATTTAAGATAAGTATTCATTCCAACTGCAAATAAAAGCGCTATACAAATAACAGTAGGTCCAATCATTTCATCATAAGGTCCTGGTAGTCTAGCTCTAATTAATTCTCTTCGTCTATAATAAAGTCCAGAGCCATAGATCAAAGTAGTAATGGCAATTAAGGTATACAGTATACCACTTATTTTACCAACTGCATCTCCTGTATTAAATAGTGCCAATGAGAAAGTGGATAGCATCGTACCAAATCCCATCCAAGAAAAGTAGGTACGTTCATTAGCAAAAAATACTTTAGGCTCAACTCGGATAGGTGTAACTACTTTTTTAGGCACCTTGACTCCAGGTGGTAATCTCACAACAGAAGATGTTTGTTCTTCTTGATGTGAATTCAAGTAAGATATCCATCTTTGCCATAGTGTCTCATCTCGGTTTCTTTCTTCTTCTTCTTCATCTCTATTCGTCTCTTCTTGATTTAAACTCATATAATGATGTCTATCTCGATTCCCTTGTAAGAGACATGTACGTTCATCTGGTTTTATAGTGGGTATCATCTGTTGCGTAGCAGATGAGGTTCTAGAGAGAGTCTGTTGTTGTCGAATACTAGTCGACCCTTTAGATAGAATGGAGGGTGTTCTAGATGGTAAAATAGGTAATAATTTATATTCATCATCATCATCATCTAATCGTGCAAGCCAGTAAGGTAATAAAGGTACACGTGTGTCAAATAGGCGAGCTATACCATGAACAAATTTAGAAAATTGATAGGCCTCTTCTAATAATCCACCCTCTTCCAAGTTTTTAACCCATTCAGGCTCATCTTCATCTTGTCCTAAATCTAACTTAATTTCAAATGTAGCATATGGAAATCGATTTACTTCTGTAGGCTCCTTAAGTTGTCTAAATGGATAATCAATATCGACATCGGGTCGTCTCCAGTGATGTTCAGGTCGACGTACGATTGAATCATCATTTGAAAATAAACCTGAATCTTCACGGATAAAACAAAGGTCAGTATCTAACGCCATTCTTACACTTGTATCTCCTGGAATTTGAAATGCTGTGCGTTTATAATAAGTTCTAAGAATAGGTTGCATCTTATGTTCTATAATCTGTTGTTGTATATCCTTTACTAACTGACAAAATGACTCGATCTCTCTTTCTCCTTTACCATTCTCCTTCATCTTCTTTATCATCTTTTCTAAAAATCTTTGTTCTCCCTTCAAAAATCCATCTACATATTTATCTTTAATCGTAAATTTATCCTTGATCTCTCCACGATTTTCATCTTCAAGTGTTCGCCTCTCGACAGAGATAGATCGATTTCCTTGAGCAGATCCATACCAACGTAAACGAATGATGTCTGAGCCTGGAGCAGACTCTACACGTGAACAATAACTCTCCATATCTGCATTATCAAGATATAAAGTTGAAATAGGAGGATCAATATTCTGTTGTTCCTGTTGTTGTTGTTGTCGATCATGATGATTATCTTTATTTCGGTAAACTAAGACAGGTAAATGACGAAGGACAGAGGTCTTTAATTCGAGTATATTATCTGTATGAACAAAGAAACGTTTAATCACTGTACGTCGCGTATCTAAACCTATCTGTAAGCCTGTATTTTCCTTTACAAGAAAACTCGTAGAGGGTTGAAAGGACATTGCTTTACCACCACCTCTCACTTGACTAAACAGTGATGATAATTGAATTAAAAATACATCACTTTCTTTCTCCTTCCAAAAGGGACATTGATTTAATCGAACCATGAACATCGGTCGAAGTACATAATTCGTATAGCGATCATGTTTTTTCACTATCTTCAAAAATCCAGTGTAATTAAGTCGTGTAAATTTTTCAAGTCGATTAATATCATCAGCTATATTATTTATCTTTTCTTGAATATTCGCTAATTCATCCGTATCATCTTCGTTTGTATTATTTTGACTTGAAATAAGCGATGTACATTTATCAATTTCTTTTTTAATTCTCTTTAACTGTTCATTATGAAAGTCATTTACCTAAGAGAAAGAGAGAGAGAGAATAAGCAAAAGAAAAAAAAAAAAAAAAAGACAATATCATGACGACGGATAAAATTTACTTTTTCGAGATTATTATCTAGTAATTCAACAAATTCTGTTTCATCTTTTTCTGTAAACAATTCATCTTGTTGAACTTTTCTAAGTTTTAATTTTAATATATTATAATCAATATAATAGCTCTCCCATTCTGGATAAATAGCTTCTTGTAATTGTGCACCAAACTTCATAATATAAAACTAAAAAAAAAAAAAAAAAAAAAAAAAAAAAAAAAGAAAAGAAAAGAAAAGATATAAATCTTAAGAATATTCTTTGACATGCAATTTTGACACCAACAAAAAAAAAAGCGGAGTTTTATTACCAAAAAAAATGTTGTGTAAAAAAAAAAAAAAAGAAAATAATTTTTTTCTATTGCATAATAATTAAATTTTTGAGCACATAGTACCTAAATGATGCCCAGATCAGCTTAATAAAACAATAGAAAAAACCATTGTAAGAGATACAAAATAAAAAAGAAAAAGAGGGAGATGAAGTAAAGGAAAGATATAAAAAAAATTGAAGGTTGATATACTAGCTTCAGTTATTAAACAACCATCGCAGCAACTTGGGGCTAATAATCTAATTCACGGAGAATGGTGCTTATTTCTGGCCAGAGGATAGTCTATAAAGAACAATAACGTGATAGATAAGGCACCTGTTTCAATAGGAAGAATATTGGGTCATGTGTAGACAACCCATTGAATGAGATTTAGTAAACAATCCTGTAGGATGATTGAGGTTTACCGTCTCCCATATCCAAATATGGTTAAAGAGTTTATTTATTTCAAAAAAAAATAACCAATGAACATGTAGCAATTGTATTGTACTGTATTTCCCTAGTCAGTTCTAAAAAATAAAAAATAAAAATAAAAAGGTAATAAAAACCTCTTAAGAGTCAAGAAGAAGTCAGATACAGTATAAATATGCTAGTCTATTATGAGGATAACCGATACATCAGCTTAATACTAGAATTAACGGAGGAAGGAGGAGGAGGATAAAACGCTATATGAAATAAATAATCCATTTCATGTAGAATGATACAAATAATGGGTCAATACATTAACCAAAGAGAAGTTAGTTGCGGGGATTTTGGTTTCTTTAGAGCAAACTAAGTGAGGAAAAAAGGAAAGCAGATCAGTAATAGTGGATTTATGTCTTTAGCTATACACAAACTATCAAGACCAATACTCTATTCCATTACAAATTGTGTCCCATACCTTTAATTATATTACTACTGTAGCTTTCATTGTTATCACTCCCACTGTTAAAGCTACAACAAAATAATAATAATAATATTTTTACTTAGTATGATTGTCTTCTTAAGACTCTCTGATATGGCTCGTATCTCTCTACAATCCACTAATATGACTAATACAAAAAAAAAATTTTTTTTTCTACATCAAAGGGACGTCGTAACGATATTCGAATTATAAACCCGGTTTTTATCCGTCCACATAGAAATCAACAATTATACTTTATTTTATATTTCTTTGCAGTTAAAGATCATTCAAATGCCCAAAACAGACACGAAGATTTCCTTTTTATCAAAACCAACAGTCCTATGGTCACAGTAAAAAACTACTACTATTTGTACTTGGCTTGAAAAAATTCTCATTAAACTTTGCACGAATGAATCATATGTCTCTTTTCATTCTCTAGGCTTTTCAATGGCATTACAGCAAAGTATATCAGAGGACGATATTACAACACAAGGTAACTGGCGTTCCATAAAGGTATTTTCAAGATGACTATCAAAGGGGGGAACACCTAGTAAGAGTAGACTTTACCAACACGGTTTTAATCATACAAGGAGCCTCAAATGTTAATGTAAAAGATATGAATGGGAGTACTCCATCTGATAATGACGATGAAGAGTTTCAAGACACTGTTACAATTTCTGTGGATGCTTTTTTTTTTCTAAAGTAGCATTTAATTATCAATGATCTGGTTGTTATCGACAGTTTAGTAAGAATTTATTTAATCTTGAATTACTTAGTAGACCAGAGATAAGGATCAGATCGTCAACAATCCTAATCAAGACTTAACTACACAGCAGAAAGATTAAGGATACGCTAGTATCAAATTTTCGGCTTTGTTGTGCGAAAAACCAGATTGATCTTTAAACATTTAAGAAGTTTAATAATAATACTATACTAGTCTCAAATTTTTAAATAATTGATTACGACTTTATCCAAAGTATCAATATATTCTATAAAAGGTAAAATAAATTATCTTTTTATATATATAAATAATGTAACTTAAGACTAGTGTTACTTAAAAAAAAAAAAAAAAAAAAAAAAAAAAAAAAAAAAAAAAAAAAAAAGATAAGCTATTATACATCTTCATTTGAAAAATTTTAATTACCAAGGGAGAATATCTTTATTTTGTGACTTTTGTGTAGCTTTTATGATAGTTAATTCTATCCACGTTTTAGTCTGAAGAAAATTGATTTGATTACAAGCTTACTTCTCAGTCACAGGTATGATAAATAAATAAAACCACCTCTTCTTACTCTTCTTCCATTTGTTTTCCCTATTAAAAGTTGAAACCCCTATTTTTTTTTTTTCTTAAAATGGATTCATCTAATTCTCAATTAGTAGATATGGATATGTTAGAGGATTTATCTCAACAACACGCTTCTTCTTCAGATAACAATCTTTTACACGAAAATATCTATTTTTTATATCATAAGAATCAGTTTATTCACAAGGATAAACTTCTATTACTTTCTTCTACTTCACAAAATACCTGTCTTGATCAACAACAAGAGGTATTGATTAAATAGACAATAGAGAATGTTATTTATTCATCTTTATCTTTATCATCATTATTAGAATTATTTTTTTACCCCACTTGTATCACCTGCTACCACTCCTTCTTTAGTTTATCAACAGAGATTAGATAATAAAGAAATCAACTTTACTCCACTTTCTTCACCTGTTATCTTACCTGAACGAAAGCAAATAATACCATTTCATGATCAATTTATGACTACAACTACTCATAAAGAGGAACTTGATAATTTATCTGCTAAACAAATATTTGAAAAGTATAAAGAGTTAGAACATGCAAAGCATATCTTGACTCAAAAATTAGTAGACCTTCAGTCACCTTCAATCATAATACCACCTCAACAGCAGCCATCAGTCTATTATTATAGTAAAGATCATTATCAACAGGAACAAAACCTATTATCCAATACTACTGAACAATTTTCAGTTATCAACAATTATACCACATGTAATAATGGTAACTCTTTTATTTTATTTATTTTGAAGTGAATTTATACACATATTTTATTTTATAGGAATAATATCTACATTACATCAGCAACAAAAAGATAATCTAAACAGTCATCATTCATACTATGCATCTTCTAATACTATGACTGACTATAATTCTAATTTAATGTCATCATCTCAAGTCGAGCCTGTAACTCCTGCTTCTTTGATGAATATAAGAACAACAGCTACACAAATGAACTGTTCTACTTTTCCATCCAGTATTGAAAAGAAAAACATACCAAGAAGAAATAACAAGAAGAAGAAGAAGAAGAAGCACCAGCAGCAGACATTAGTAGCAGCAGAGATTGACACTAATAATAATAATAATAATAATCATATATCATCACTTCCAGTATATAAAAATATTACGCACCAATCACCTACTCTTCAAACTCATAATGGAAAGAATAACATGTCTCCTCTATCTAAATCGAATCAGCCACCACCAACCTCTCCACTTGCTCTTCATATCCCTGCAGCTTCTTCAGTCATTACTAATAATACACCTTCTTCTTTGTCAACAACAAAGAATTCTCATTCTAACAAAAAACAAAGGTATGAAGAGTCGAATTCAACCCATCCTAGGAAGGTTAGCAAGGGTAATTGTGCTCAGGACTCAAAGACGACGACGACAACGACTACAACAATGACTACAACGATGACTACAACTCGTACGCTAAAGCCTTTATTGATCAGTCCTACCCTCCAACCTGGTTATCATCATCCTACTTCCTCATCCACTACTAACGTAAAAATAAACCTGGATGAGAAGAAAAAAGAGAGAACAGCAGCAGTCCATAACATGAACAGTGCAAAAGATCAGGTTAAAACAATCGAGGAAGCTGAACATATCCTAGCCACTCGATCCAATTATCAAAATTGGATCGAAGGTAAAGCAGCCGCATTAGGAATAGAGTTCTCTACACAAATCAAAAGTGGTATTGAAGTGAGAAGAACAGCTCATAAAGCTGCAGAACAAAAACGACGTAATTCTTTAAAGGAATGCTTTGATCGTTTACGTTTTGAGGTGGAAGAGGGCTACCTTAAGCGCCAAGGTACCCCTTTATCCAAGATGATTAAGGCACAACAAGAATTAGAAAAGAAGAAGACAAGGGATGATCGTTATGAATTCAAGGCAACGCAAGAAGAAGTCCTAACAAGTTGCCATCATATGAATGTCAATGATGATTATCTAATGAAACCACTATCAAAGGTTCTTTTACTTCAATATACTTATGAGTATATTATATCTTTAAAAAAGACATTACAAGAAAAGGACGAACTTATTGACAAACTGAAATCTAAAAAGACTAGTAATAGTAAGGAAATTGATATTAATAATAATCTATGTAAACAGAAAGAAGACTACATCGATAATGATAATGCTGATCAATAAAGTAGGGGAAAAAAAATATAATTTTATCAAAAGAAAAAAATACAATTCATTTCTACCCTTTATTTTTTTTTTCTAAAAAAATATATACACATTTACTACACAGCCAAAACAATAATTATTATAAATTAACTATTTCACATTCGTTTCTATAATTGTATACGTTATTCCATTATTTTATATACATATTTATATCGTTAACTTTTAAAGGATATACTTTATCTTTAAAATATTAAATAGAAAAAAAAAAGGGCAAACACAAGTACTTTTTATACATACATTGTTACATTAAATATTTACACTATTATCTTTAAGATATTGAATATCATAAAGTAAGAGTGATAAACAACGATAATATTAAGTTTCCCCTGGATTTACTAAAAAGCGCTTGAAAGAGTAAAATAGATAAAGATATACATATATATTATCAAGTAAAAAAAAAAAAAAAAAAAAAAAAAAAAAAAAAAAAAAAAAAAAAAAAAAAAAAAAAAAAACTTTACCCTAACCTTCCTTTGGTTGATCTGTTAGCCATTCATCTGTTCTATCTTGCATGAAATAGGCCATCTGGCTCATTCCTTTCCTCCTCCTCCTCCTCCTCTACCACCTTTTCTCTCTGTTCCTTGCTCCCTTTTAATTAAGTGGTTATCTCCATGAAACCATTTCTTCATTTTATATAATCTTTGCTTGATACATATATAGAAATAGATGCATATTCTCCTCTAACATTAGTCTTTATTCTTGTTTTGTTTTGTTTTTTTTTTACCTTTTGTCTTAAAAGGATCTTTAGTCCCTGTTAACATTTTCTTTTTAAACTGACTACGGCAAATCAGTTTTTATAGCAACATAGTCATTGGTCGTAAAAAAAAAAAGTTCCTTTGCATTTTTTTTTTTGCCCGTGACTTTGAAGTGACAAGCTCAAAAAAGAAAAAAAAATTACTTCAACTTTGAGGTTTCTCAATTTACTTTCTCTCCTTTTTTTTTTTAAACCTTATAAGAAAGGGATTATTAGGCATATACAAATATTTTAATAAGTAGATACTTATATATTTATCTAAATATATAAATAAATATATATAAGTACAGAAGAGGATGCAGGTATCCATAAATAACCTTGATGCCAAAGTAGATAATAATAACCAAATTTTTCTTCAACCACAAGAGACTAAAGTGAATGAGAATAATAATGTTGTGCCATCTCAACTAAATGGCCTCGCATCCGATGATTCTTATAACTACTTAACTATTCCCTATGTTCTAAATATTCAACAGGAAGATAATCTTTCAATAGACATTATCAAGTTATATCAAGTATATATTTTTTATTTTAGTTTTTTTTTTTTATTTTTACATAATCAAAAATTGCATACAAAACTGACATGTTTATGATAAAAAAAAAAGGAACTATTGCCAACTAAAGAGAGTCATGATAGACGTGTTAAATTTGTTGATTTAATGGAACGTTTATTAAATAATGAATGGCCAGATCATGATATTAAAGCTAATGTGTTTGGGTAAGTGAATCAAAAAAGAAAAAAAAATGTAACTTACGGTGTCAGCTAAAATAATATCCATTTTTTTTTTTTTTTTTTTTTAGTTCTTCAGTAAATGATCTCGGTACAAGTACATCTGACGTTGATCTATGCATTACAACGCCTTGGAATGGTCTACGTAACATTAGAATACTGGCAAAATTATTTCGAAGATGTAACTTTATAAAATATTTTAAGGTTGCAATTTATTAATAATTTATATATTTATTAGGTGGAATGCAGCATGTCGTTTGTGTTCCTCGAGCAAAAGTACCTATAGTTCGTTTATTTGATCCAGAGTTGTAGGGAGTTTTTCTTTTCTTTCTTTCCTCTTTGCATATTGATTAATTTACTCTAATGTAGGCAACTTTCGTGTGACATTAATGTAAATAATACACTGGCACTACAAAATACAAAAATGATCAAAACGTATGTTGCATTGGATCCGCGTGTAAGACCATTGATGATGACAATAAAACATTGGACAAAACAACGGGTATTAAATGATGCAGGTAAATAAAAAAGAAAAGGATAGAATTTAACTATGTATGTGGTTCGGTTAATGAATGAATATATGTATGTATGTATATATTAGCCAATGGAGGTACATTATCATCATATACTTGGACTTGCATGATTATTAATTTCTTACAGCAACGAGAACCACCTATCCTTCCTGTACTACATTTAATTGAAAATGAGAATAAGAAGGATGATTATTTTTATGACGATGTGGATAAATTGAAAGGATTTGGATCAAAAAATCATGAAAGTTTAGGTGGATTAATGTTTGCATTCTTTCGTCGATTTGCTATAGAATTTGATTATAATACACAAGTAGTCTCAGTTAGACAAGGACGTTATTTAACAAAACAAGAGAAAGGATGGGATACAGGTCGAAATAAGTTTAGTTTATGTGTAGAGGAGCCATTTAACGTGAGTCGTAATTTGGGGAATTCAGCAGATATTACTTCTGTACGAGGTTTACGTAATGAATTTCAACGATTTTTAGATTTATTATTAGCTGGAGAAAGTTTAGCAACCATCCTTACACCTTATCAACCTTTACTTTTTAATAAAACCATCAATCCTAACTCTTCTTTTACCACCGCTACTTCTGAAATACCCTCCAACAACAACAGCAACAATGTCCTTTCATTAACTTTACCTAATGATACTCGAAATTCTTCATTATTTTTACCATTACATCCTTTTTCCAACTATAACAATTTATCAATGGCAGCAGCACATCCATATGATCGACGAAGGAGTATGGTGGATGGTATCTATTCTTATCCTTCATCCATGTTGTCTGATTCATATTCAACCCTGAATCCCCACCATATACACCCTCTTCATAATATATCATCATCAAACACATTTCATCCTCGATTTAGTTCACCACAAGTTTTGGATTCAATTCTTAAAGGTCGAAATTCTAGACATGGAAGCCATCCATTATCCCCTGTTCCATCTACGTTATTATCTATGCTAAATATAAAAGCAAATTATGGTACAGATCAGTCTGTAGATAAGATTTTCGCAAGATATCATAAAACGCGATCCTCTCCTCAACCATCAGAAACAAAATCGTACAATAAAAGAACACAAAATGGTTATCGATATAATAAAGGAGGATTAAATCATCATCATGAACAACAACGGAAACCAAAGCATCGATTGAGTACTGCAGAATGGCCAACTATTTCTACTAGTACATCAACGCCTAACAGTAGTAGTGATAGTGTTAAGTTGTTGACATTAGATAAGAATTCTAAAGCATCATATTCAGCTGAGCAACCACAGCGTTCGAGACGATGGTCAACAATTAAAAAACCACAGTTACCAGAACAAACGCCTACTACTACTGCTACTACTACTACTGTTACACCTGAAGTGTCTAAAAAGCGAACATTGGCTGAAATCGTAAAAATCCATACACCATCGTCACCGCCACCACCACCACCATCATCATCATCATCATCAGCACCACCACCACGAACTGTTTCAACTAGTACATCAATGACAAGTAACAAAAGTCGAAATAATAGAAAATTAAAAAATAATACTAATAATGGTAGTCATAAACCATCTAATAATAGACGAAAAAAGAAACCTTCTTCTAAATCAAATACTTAGATTGTACATAAAAAGAAAAAAAAAATTATTTTATTTTATTTTTATATAATTATGCATATAAAATAACAAGCATATAATATAAATATACATACATGTATATGTGTGGTTTTTCTTTTTTTTTTTTTTTTTTTTTTTTTTTTTTTTTATATATATATATATATCTATTGGTCTATTTTATAAAAAAAATGATTTACAGTCTACATGTTATTTAGTTGTTACATGCATCAAGTTTGAGTTTACATACACATGTTAATAGGGTAATATAGTAGATAATTATAAAGTAACTTCAATCGTTTATACATTTATATGTACGTATAAGGAAGGGATACTATTTTAATGTAGATCTTAAATAACAAAAATACCTCAATTATAAGCATACACATTTTTGTATTATTTTATTAAGCATATAAAAAAATCTCCCCCTCGGCACAGCCAAATAAAAGCAGTTGATCTGTTGGAATGATGCCAAATGAACTAACCTGAGATTTAATGATAGATGGCTTGAATTTCGAAGAATAAGCTTGAAACTATGAATGTACACTATTAATATGCTAAAGCATTTAATATAATGGATACAACTTACATTATCGTTGATGGGTATAAAAGATACAGAATTATTGCTGTTAATAGTTAATACTTCATCTTTGAATGTATCTAATGATATGATATCTTGTGTTGTCGGAATCGTTTTCACCAAAGCTAAGCGATTTACATTCCAGCAATAAATTAAATGATCTGCTGGTGCACAAGATAAAAGTATATCTTCTGTATAGAATTTCATCTTTTTTTTTTTTCGACAATAATTAATTCTATGCACGCAATATATATACATAAATATAAGCCTTTTTTTTTTGTCTTACCGTAGTTATTTCTGAATCGCCTCCTTTCCAGCTTGCTACTAATGTACCTGTTCTTAATTCGATAAGTGAGATGGCACCCGTTGAAAAGCCTATGGCAATCAAAGTTTCCGAAGGATTTATAGCTATCACTCGAGTCGTCATACTAGTTATCATTGGGCTTGATTTCCAGGTGTGTAATAAAGCATGATTATGTACATCATAAAAGCTTGTTAAAAAAAAGAAAAAAGAAATTAATATATAAATACATATATAAATACATATATATACTCTGTATTATGTTTATATACGCTATAGATTACGTTATATGTCCTTCAACTGTTCCTCCTACTAAATGTCTAGATTGAAGTATAGGTTTAACTGATGCAATAGGTGATTTATTAGTTGTAAACTGATGAAGATTTACACCTGTTTCTAGGTCCCATAGCTGTTATATAAGAGGTCAGGTAAGTTAATAATAATAAATTCAATAATTATATTTACATGAATATATCCATCACAACTCGCAACAATATCATTTAAACCACTTGTTGTTAAGAAATGTATATCATTAATTGTTCCTCGTCGATGCCCTGTATAAGTAAAGGTGCTTTCTGAATATGGATCCATCTCCCAATTTTCAATACCTTGATGGACATTATTCAATGACCAAATTTTAACTGTCTTATCACGTGAGCCAGAAGCAAACACCTTGGCAGGTTCATTTATCGCAAGCGTTCGAATTGCAGCGCTATGACCTGCAAATCCTCTTAATTTGAGATCATTAAACGAAAACTGCATTGTTTTTGACATTTCTTCTGAGTTAGTAGATAAAAATCTATTCCAATTTCTAATATAGTAACCGTTTTTTGTTTTATATTGAAAGAAGAAGGATAGATTAGAAAAAAAAAAAACGTAAAATGGAGTTGAATTTAAATTCTTGGTTACTTACTTTTTATCTTCCTCTGATGGTTTCCATTTTGTTTTCCAGGGCAATACACTGGTTGTTACTTTGTTTCGATTTGTAAATCTATTTATCATATATAAGAGTAAGTACATATTTAAGAAGAAAATAGTATAGCATATACCCTTCTATATCTATCATCGTTTTGGTACCCATATTTTTGTCAAATAACAAGTCTGAAACTACTTTATTTTTTTGACTGCCATTGTCTAATATTGATGTGAGTAGAAAAAAGATAGATTAAAATAGTGACATATATTACCTGTATTATTCGCTGTTGAAATTGATATCTTTTTCATCTTTGATCTTTGACTATCCTCCTGCCTAAGGCTAGGTTGAGGAAATATGTGCAAATCAGAAAGAGAATTAAATAATAGCAAATCTTTTGTTGAATAATCGTAAAGCTTCTGTACGTCTACAGTCTGCAAATCATTTTTTGTTTCATCTTTAATAGGTAACAAATTATACGCAGTTACTGGTGATTTTTTGGAAATTGAGGGAGGAGCTGAAGATGGTGATTTCCTAGAATAAGGCTCTATCATTATGGATGTTGATGCAGATTCTGAAGTTCGTTTCATCCATGACATTAACGTTTTACTAGCATTGTTGTTTGCTATTATACCATTACTACCCTTGTTATTTTTATTTTGTTGAGATATACTGTTAGCAGCTGCTGTGGTATCTGATTTAGTAGGCGATAATAAAATTGAAGTTTGCTTTTTTTTAGCTTTATCTATTTGAGGAGATGAAACTGAGGCTTCAGGGAATTGTTGTAATTCTTTATTATCAGCAATGGTAAAATAATCAAGCATGACTGTTTCAATAGCACCGCTATACATAATATGTCAATAGTCATAGAATAAATTGATGATTTCATTACCTTGTGGGTATTACTTGTCTCATTTTTTCTCTTGAAACAATTGTACAAAATTTATAATAAGAATACATTATCTAAAGATAATTTATTAGCCCTTCTTTTTTTTTTTTTTTTGGTAAAACGGTCAAATCTTTTTTTTTTCACCTGGTAATTCTTTTGTCTAGCAAGTACTTTTGAAATAGCTTGATTATCAATCCCATTATCAGCCGTTAAACTTGTGATGGAGAAGGCAGAAAAATATTTTTGTAGGATAGATAAAATCTAAGGAGAGAGAGAGAGAGAGAAAGATGGGTATTTCTTTTTCTTAGTATACACTTAAACTTACCGTCAATTCCCATTCTGGAAAAGTTAACTTCTCAGACACTTTCAATAAATAGTCAATTGTCTTTGCACTAACTGATAAACAAAGTTTTAATTGATCGTCAGAAAGTAAGGAAGAAGAATACTTTGTATCACTCATAGATTCATCTATATTGCTTTTCTCTTGTTGAATGACAGGCTCTAATAGTTGATACAAAGTAGTACCAAATCCTGACTTAAATTCTGTCATTAAAGCCTCATTTGACATATATGGTATTAGTTCTTGTAATAATGTTAATAAAGCATAAATGGACTGTGCATTTTTCGTTGTTAGTTTGCTGCTTGATTTATAATAAAAGGTATCTATTAAACTGATTAAATAAGCATGCTGAACTTCTGTAAATGTTGCACCGAAAGCACTCATAATACGTAGGGTTGTATGAATTAGAGACGGACGTATTTGGTTATCTCGTAAGATGATCTTAATTAATTGTCGAATGATGTGTTTGGATGTTAGGATGGGCCCTAGCAATATACAAATATAAACCATAGCATCTCCAGCAATACTTGTTATAGATGATAAACCTTCGCTCGTTTTGATACTATTATTAGCTGTTGTTGTAGTAGATAAATACGCATTGTTTGTTGCCACATTTATAGTGGTGTTTTCCTGAACAGCTAAAGCTTCAAGATAACAAGGTAGTAATTGCTGTAAAAAAACAGAAATGCCTAGTCGCTTAATAAATTCGTAAATAATCTTTTCACTAAATAAAATCTTTGGAATATGTGGACGAAGTGATTCAAAGATAGAGATAATTCTTTTCAAGAGATAACGGCGTGTTTTTTCTGGTCCTAAACGTTGAGCAAGTTTTGGGAATAAACTAATAGAACCAATACGTGTCTCAGGATGTATGAATAATTGCGAAAAACTTGGCAATAATAAAATAAATGCCTATATAAAAAAAAGTAATTTATAGTTAGTATAATAACATCTTTCTTTAGTATATATATAACCTCATTATCTAAATCACAAATTCTATCTATCCATTTATCAGCTAAATATAGTTTTCTTAACCATTCAGCTTGGTGGAAAGTAGTTAAATATTCGTATATTTCAGATACAGTATTTGGAAAAGGTAAATAGCAGCAATGAAGAAAAGGGTTACTCAAAAGAAAGGAAGAAGAGCATAATATCGCTTTAGCAGTTGGTCTATCCTGCCATTTTTCACAAGTTAAGGATGTAATTACATTCTTCACAGCAGGTATGATATCTACTTTGCTTGTAGGCGCAATATCATACGATACATCACCATTGCCCACCTGAAAATAGCCACTTGCAGGTGCTTCTGAAGGTTCTCCGTCTGAATCCACCATTTTTGAATTTCCTGCTGTATAAACTTGTTCAATAATTTTTCCTAGACAATACATGTCATAAGCTGCTCCTACTGCAAAAAATAGTTTGTTCGTATCTAGGACGTTCATTTTATCAGTAGACATGACTGGATCAATCTCGAATCGCTGAGGTGGGTTTGGATAGCAAGGATTAATCCAAATATTAGCAGCATTAGAAACACGATCAATAAATTTATATTTCGTAGCAAAGGTCATCATATTTTCATAATGTTCAAGATTATCAACAAAGTAATTGTCTTCTATACTGATAGGCATGTGAATAGGCTCTGTACGTAATGCTGATATTAAGGGTTCTACTGTTGTAGTTGTGGTAGCTGTAGCAGTGATAATAAAGGAGGAAGGCAGGCTTCGACTGGTGTCAATAGATGATATTGTAGAATGAATAGAAGATGCTCGATCTCTATTAGTTGTTACGCTTGCATTTCCGGTGGAAGTTGTTGCTGCTGAGGTAAAGGTGCTGGGTATATGCGATACTAATCCTGCTGTATTAGTGATGCCGTCTGTATGATTATTATTATTTGACAGAACAGTATGTCTGCTTCTTACACTACTACTTACACTATTATTTTTATATAGTCTGCTACTACTACTACTACTATTATTATTATTATTATTATTATTACTATTTATAACATACAAAGGTGATACAGTTTCTACTGCATTAGTAGCTAAATTTTCTATTATTGTTGGAGCTGAAATTGATGAGGATACTATTTTAGTATTAACACAATCGCTATACTGTTCCGTTTTAAGTTCATTATATAATCGCTCTGAATTCATTATGGAAGAGGAAGCAGATAACATTGTATCATTTTGTATCTTCTTTTTTAGTTTATTCCAATTACATCCACGTTCAGGATGCTTATCTTTAAATAACTGAATAATGCCGTGTTTCATAAAGCTGTTCTGTCCTGCTAGCAAGGGTAGTGCTACATTCTTTGCTTCAATAGCTCCTTTGCCAGTCAAATTACGACCAAAAGTAAGATCAATCCAGTGATGTAAATTAGCAGATACATGGTCACTTTCGAGAGCCTCTGAATGTTTTCGAATGAAATCTTCAGGAGATGATGCCCATTCCGGCATTTGTATGTCTGGCATATCAGAATGGATAGATTTGAAAATGGAAGAATCAGTATAAAAATCGGGTATGCATTCATCAGGAGTCCATTGGTAAAGTCTTTGCATTGATGATGGATATTCATTTGGTTCATATTTTGATCTAACAAATTGGCACAAAACAGGTATAGGTGTTCTTCTTGCTTTATATACATAATATGTTATATCTGATAAGATATCAGTAATGTGATGGGGCACAGGCCCATCAAATGTAAAATCAAGTTGTTCATCTCCTTTATTGATTCTAAACTTTGTCTTTTTAAAATCACGCCATCCGTCTTCTATTGTTTGTCCAGAGAAATCAGTAACCCAAGGTAGGATAGGGTAAAAATTTGGATCTCCTTCTCTTCGGCCTGCTAAATAATTTAGAGCCATTAAATAGCTAAAATTTGAAATCTTCCCCTTAATCCATTTGACAACTAGGGGCTCATCGGGTATTTCTATAATAGAACAAAAAAAAAAAGTCTTGTATCAATAAATAATTACAAAGGCTTAAAAAAAATCGCTTTTTTCTTTTTAGTTTACCTTTTATCCTTTTTGACATTTCTTGTTCATATAACCACTTTTTAATATCTAAATAAAATACGTCAAGTATTAGTATAGACTGATAATACAACTTTAACTTTTGTATTACCAAAATCAATGGGATTTGGTTCAAATTCGATGCCAGCTAACTGTATCCATAAGTTCTCATCTACCAAAATATTAGAAGCTTTTAAATTTCCGTGTAAAACACCTCTACTATGTAAACTAGCAATGACTCGAAGTAATTGATAAATAATAATTGACATTTTCAAATTGGAGCTAAGTACACCTGGATTATAAGTAATCAAGTCTTGTAATGTTGCACTACGATAAGAAGCTAAAAAATAATATCCATAATCAGTTTCGATTAGTGCAAATACATCTGGTAAATTTGAATTCGATGAATCTGGCTCAGAGGCAGATTTTGATGTTTCCTCTTCTTTCACAACAATATATTGATCATCTTCTAATTTAATATCAGATATTATATCAGTTGACAATTTTTTAAACCATCTACATGTTGGCCACAAAATAGTCTGAATCTGTTTAACAAAACTTCGGCCGTGTATATTAGGTATAGGTTGATATTGACTGAAATCATCCCTTAATGATTCTACTTTTTGATCTGTTCCTTTCCCTTCTAATAATGATTGAATGTAATTCATCAATGGCCATCGATCTTTTTCTGTATTTTGTTCAGTTTGGTTTATATCACAGCCTGTATTCTCATAAATATGAAGACTAAAATATTTATATTAGCAGGAAAATTTATAGTATATACTTGTATTTTCTAACCTGTTAGCTCTTTCTTTGGATAAAACAGTAACATAAATATTGACAGTTGGCAATTGCTTTGACGTAGAAGTTTCAGATAATATATTATTACGAGCATAATGTCTAGGATTCTTTAATGTGATAGGACCTTTATTATTTGAGTTTAGTTTTTCAATCCAACCTGTATCTACCTAAAAAAGAAAAAGAAAGAAAAAAAAAGTATTAAAGAACAATGCATAAAGATTTGATAGTCATTACTTACAACACAACAAGCACTTGAGCCAGTTTTTCGGTCTTGAGGGAAAAAGGGGAAAGCAACATCTATTCGTAAGTCTTGATGAATCCGTTGTTTTAATTCTTCTGCACTATAACTATTGCCCATTGAATATATATGTATTTAGAAAAAAAAAAAAATAAGGGCGAATTTTTCTTTTTTTTTTTCCTTTTTTTTTTATCTCTTATGCTCTTTATGACGACAATTTAATAATGATTATTTTTAATGCCAGTTTATATACATTTTACTTTTTAGTGCTTTATTATTATTTTTTCTTTTAAATAAACTTGGTCTTTTTTTTTTATTAATTGTCTTATAATGAAGCTGTATTCCATTTTAATCTTACGCAAAGATGCAGATAAAGCTAAAATTCTTGCATCTCAATTTGATTTATCTAGTTTTGGTTACTTTCAACGTGGCAGGTAACAAAGAAGAAGAAAAAAATAGTTTAGTTTAAATAATTTTTAATCTAATTTCAACATTTAAAATGATTATAAAGTGTCCAAGAATTTATGAACTTTTCAGCTACTACTATTGCTGAACGTACACAACCAGGCCAACGTCAAAGTGTAGAGAGTGAAAGTAAAAAATAAAATAAAATAAAATAGATATTTATCATCAGTTAACAAATAATATTAATTTTAATAATAATAATAATAATTATTGCGGATTAGATAATGTCGCTCATGTTTACGCTCATCCTCAAGGCATTAGTGGTATGATTATTAGCGACAAAGACTATCCTTCGAGAGTTGCATTTTCACTATTAAACAAGATATTGGACGAATTCCTTGTCAAATTTCCTACTAATGTATGGAAAAGTGTGGCTACTTTAGACTATCCTGAATTAGCAGATTATTTGCGTAAATATCAGGATCCTCAACAAGCAGATACTATAATGAAAGTTCAAAAAGAATTAGATGAAACAACTGCTATTTTGGTAAGTTATAAGAAGGGAAAAAAATATATTCATATTCACCTGATTTAAAATATAGCATAAAACAATTGATTCAGTTCTTCAACGTGGTGAAAAGGTAACAAAGATGAAGGGTGTAATTTTTGTATAAATGTACTTAATTTTTTATATTCTTTATTAGTTGGATTCACTTGTTGATAGATCAGAAGCATTATCCAGTCAATCAAAAATGTTTTATAAAACGGCTAAAAAGACTAATTCGTGTTGTGTAGTCATGTAATATTATATAAATAATTATTAAATCACCAAATAGGAATGAATTATAAGGGGCTAGAGTTATGTTGGAAAGAGGTTGTAATAATCAAGTTATTTTATTATTATTAAAAAAAAAAATAGTAGATGCCGTTTCTTAAAATAGTGTTTAGTATGTTATTTAAATAAGATGTCCTTCAAGACAATCAATCAATCAATCATTGATTAATGACTACTACTCTAAAAGCATAAGATAAATACCTGGTTATTAGTAAACTTCCTTTTGTTAAAAAAGTATTTTCAGAGACCTTCAATAGTTAAAACCTTCAGTTGACATTACTATTATTATTTGCTTTGTAATTCTAATTTAGGCAGTGTAATATGTGCATGTAAAGTCTTTAATATTTTGAAATAAGATATTCTTTGAATTTTACATTGTATTGACGATATTATTGCATCATGTAAAAATACAAGGAATATGTTTGAATTACACTCTGGAATTGTTCTTTTTTTTCTTTAAACGTTTCTGCATTTTTTTATTGGACAAATATTACTAGTGTCCAAGTTGTCTCGGTTTTACAGATGAGCTTGTAAGTAATATCTAAGGTGGTGTTTGAATTAAATGCTATAAGAGTTGTTAGGCTTTGCTTTCTTAAAAAAAAATTAGCATACCATCTTGATTTTCATGCTCATATGACAATGGCTATATATCACACTTTTTTTTTTAGTGACGTTAATGTCTTGCTGCAAGAGTTAGTATATGCTCTCAAACATGTGTCCCCAAATCTTCAGGTTCTACAATGAAAGATCTGCAACCCTTTCGTTTCAATGATAATTCAAGGCAGACAAAGGTCGAATAAAGAGATGACCAACATCTTATTTAATGGAGGAAAAAAAGGACAATAAAGCCAAAAGACTGAATACAAGAAAGAAAAGAAAGAAAAGAGATAAGAAGAAACAAGAGGACAAAAGGAACCCACAAATTATATACGATGATAATATGTAAAACTACACTAAGAAAGAAGCCGGCAAAATAGGAGAAAAAAAAAGCCAAATTTAAGCCTTCTCATTGTGTACCTCTCGTTGCGTTTGTGTGATGGGATGAAGAATATCGGGTACGGTTAGGATAAAAGGCCAGATGTCAGGTGCCACAACAATACTTGAGAGAGAAATCAAGAACTACATTTCGATCGAGTTATTGTCAGCATTAACGAGTTTAAAACGTCAAGTTAAACTACTGTATTGTAGACAATTTAAAACTGATTAATAAGTATGAGAAGCTCTTTTTTTTTTTTTTTTTTTTTTTTTTTAGAAAATATGTATAGAGACTATTTTCCGAAAATATCAACAATAATAATAAGCTCTGATGAGTACAGGTTCATATTGTATATAATCTATACGTAGACAGTTTTTTATATTTCATTCCTAAATATTGTATCAAGCAACGGCTCTAAGAAAAAGTTATTTTCATTATCAGTTATATTGTGATGGGATTTGATTTAGTTAATTTATGGAAATACTTACTTAGAAGGTCATAAAATCATATAGCAGAAGTAGCATTTGCTCATTACAAGAAATTATTGTATTTTTTCATTAAATTAAAATCAAACTTTATAGATCTCTATCAAAGAATATCATTTATACTTTTACTTTGCTTCTATTCTATCCACTACTAGAATTAAGCATAATTATGATTAAACATTTTATACACTGCGCAGTCACACTATTTGTCTTTTTTTTTTTTTTTTTTTTTGGTAATAGCTCAAAATTTAAGCAGAATAGAAATGAGCAGTGTTCTTTATAACCTGTCTATTTATTCAATTTATTTTACTGTTATATATACATTTATAAATAAATAAATATATATAAATATATACATATAACTTTTTAAGTAAAATAAAGAATGACAGACAATAATGATGTTGATGCACTCTTTGAAGATGACCCAGGATCTTTGGAAGAAGTTATTGATGAAGATGATGCTGAAGATCTCAAGTTAGATGACGCAAGCACAAGAGTCTGGCTTGTGAAAGTAATTATTACATTTTTATTCTATTTTTTTTTTTTAAAGAAAAAATGTTTTAATTAAGAAATATATAAAATCATCCTTCTCTCTCTCTCTTTCTTTTTAATTTAAACATCTGTCTTTTAGGTTCCCAAATTTCTTGCAGAAAAATGGAGAGCCATTGATGAAGATAATGTTAATCTAGGAAGCATTCGTATTTATAACAAGTAAAGATAACTTGGTACTTTTTCAAAGTTAATTTGAATTTTACTAATGTATTCAATGAATTAGACCACCACCAGGGAAAACAGCAAATGTAAAAAAAATAAAAGACCTATTTATAAATTTTCAATGCTCACTCGTATTTTATAGATTGCACTTGTATTACCAGAAGATGATACAACACCCAATCTACCAAAAGAATACAGTATTCATGTTACTCCTGGACAAGTTACCAATAAGTTTGTGTTTACAGAAGATCAGAATGGAGGCAAGTCTATTTCAGGTACTGTTCATCACGAATGTACGGCTACACCTGCTCAATTTGGAACCTATCGTAATATTATGAGAAAACGTGTAAGAGAAGCAGAGGCGCCACAAAGATCAGTGCAAGTCCTGGGACAAAATAATCAACCTGTATTTGTACCGGGCGCAAGTAGTAGTCTACCTAATAGTGATTTCTCAGATTTCATTGTAATGTTTCATTATTTCTTTATTTATTTATTTCTTTTATAATCTAATTCCTTTATGTGAATTCTACAGACAACTAAAAAGCCCAAAGTCGACAAAGAAAAGGCTACACGTTTACCAAGAAACGAACTTATGGATTTATTATTTGCTGCATTTGACAAGTTCCCTTATTGGTCATTCAAGGGTATTGTTGAACATACGAAACAACCGAATCAATATTTGAAAGAAGTTTTAAATGAGATTTGTATTTTAAACAAAAGAGGACCCTATGCCGGTAATTACCAACTTAAACCTGAATTTAAGCAAAGAATGTCATTAGCAGAGAGACAAAATGCTATGAATAATATAGATATTGATGAAAGTGATGAAGATGAAGAAGATGAAGAGATTATGGAGGAAGTTAAATTGTAAAAAAGAAAAGAAAGCATGGATATTTATGTAAAAATAAAATTAAAGCCTATAATGGTTTGAACTATTGAATAAGCATTCTTAATTTTTTAGTGTAGATAAATATATATAGTGTGTGTATGTGTGTGCTTAAAAAGTCATGTTCAATATTGATAGCATCCAGTTAAGGCTATATTAAGTGATAATCTACTTGTCCAATAATACAAGGCATATAGTTCAAAAATAATTAGTCATAAAAAAGGATACAATGAAAGAAGTATTCACTCCTTCCCTTTCAATAAAAAAACAAAAACGATAGTATAAGATAAACATTTAGTTTACGTTCATAAAAGATATAAGCATTATTTGATTTATAAACCTTCACCTTGAGCCAAAAAAAAAAGGATAGAATAGAATAGATAGTTAAAGTAGTATACAGTCAAGTCATGATTAAACGTGAGGAGCTATTCTCTCCTAGTAGATGATTTGTCATTTTCAATCATCCTGGCCCATACAGCGTCGCGTTACCAATAATAGACATAATTCTAATTTCTATACAATTCATGTAATAAACGAAAGGCTTAAAGACTCTTACACTATAAACACTTTAATTCATGCTAGTCTTGTAATTTTCTTTAAAAAATAAACCCTTCCTCCTTTCCCAGAAGCTAATTTCATTGTATAAACAATAAATATACTATTTTTTTTTTTTTTTTTTTGGGGGGGGGGAAAGAATTCTTAATGCAAAATTTGGTTTACAGAAATTTTAATCTCAAGTGACGTTGAATATCCAAAAAAGGTCAAGCAAGCTTTTTTTTTTGTTATAGATTTTTTTGAAACTAAAATAAATTGTCTCAATTTTTTTTTTTTATTCTTCTTCTTCTTCCTCTTCTTTTTATTTTACATGTACATTTGCTTTCATTTATAAAAGCATACGTTCAGGTTATATTGACAATGCACATAATGAATGAAATCGACAATAATATATTAAAACGAGCAACTATGAAAGGACAAATAAAGAAAACTGAAAATGTCACTAAAAGTAGTTTAACTGTTCCTGACTTTATTCAGAAATTATTTTGGTTAGAAAAAACAAATAAAAATTATAATAATCAGCTGATGAAATATTAAAGTAATAAGTTAATTTTTTTTAAAACATGTATAAATATGTATATGTATGTGTGTATGTACGTATATTTAGTATGCTTGAAACCAAAGCACATAAGGATGTATTCTGTTGGAATCCTTCAGGTACAAGTTTTTTAGTAAAGGATACTACTGAATTTACAAAAGTTATTCTTCCAAAGTATTTTAAACATTGTAATTTTGCAAGTTTTGTACGTCAATTAAACAAATATGATTTTCATAAAGTGAGAAGCAATAAAGCAAACGACACTATTCAAAAATTAAACGGAGATCAAGTAAGAGAGAAAGAGGGTGTACAAACTGAATTTAGTATACATTTATTTACACATAAAATAGGTTTGGGAATTTGAACACACATCCTTTAAACGGGACAGAAAAGATTTATTAAAAAATATTAAAAGAAAGGCAACAAAGAAGAAAATAAAAGCAGAAGATGACGACACTATAGATGATGATATGGTTAGACTAGAGTCAGCTTCATTTTCACCTAATATTATAACTGAGGATAATGATGATGATGTTGATTATGATGAACTATTAAGATTAACAAGAAATCTTCAATCAGAAATAGATGAATTAAAGCAATCTCATGTTAATTTAGAAACAACAATAACTCATATAAATAAAAAGGAAGAATTGATTCTAAATGAATTTTCATTCTTCCGAAACAATATGAAGGCAAAAGACGAACTTTTGAAAGAATGTATGAAATTAAATCAAGAAAAGGGTAAAATCAGAAGACTATTTTTTTTTTTTTATTATTATTATTATTCACTCCAAAATTAGTGAAAATTGAAAAAGTAGACATTCATCCTTCCTCCAATCATAATACTTCTTGGAATGAACAGCAGCGATCAACAACTATGGCTACACCTCTTGAAAGTCTTCTTACAGACATCTTTTTACCAACTCCAACTCCACCTCCTCCACCTCCTCATTTTCAACAGCAACAACAAAATGCATTAGATAATACAACAGTTTCTTCTTCTTCTATCTCTGCAGTAAAAAATTCACAATTACATAATGAAAATGCTATTAAAACATCAAATAATGTATCTTCTCTTTTAACTCTGAACCCGCCAACATCTCATTTAGCTCAGCATATACCTACTAGTATATCATCTCAGGTATCTAATATACCATATAATGACAAAGGTAAAAAGAGAATGTTAGTCAATTGGGCAACTCCACCTCGTATATTACTTGTAGATGATGATGCTGTTTATCGAGATATGTGTGGACGTATGTTAAATATGGTAGGCTGTTCAATCAATTTAGCAAAGAATGGTATAGAAGCATTACATAAATTGAGTCATGAAAAATTTGATTTGATTTTAATGGTAACTATTGATAAGCCTTTTTCTATTCATTTAAATAATTGTTTTTTTTTTAAAAAAAAAGGATATTGTTATGCCTGAAATGGATGGTATTGCAACTACAAGAAATATTAGACGTTATGATTCTTTAACTCCTATTGTATCCATGACTTCTAATTTCTCTCATGATGATATCTTACAATATATTGGAATTGGTATGAACGATATTCTACCAAAGCCATTCTCGAAGAATACTTTATATGACATATTAGAAAAGCATTGTGCTCATTTAAAAATTACAAACAATCAAGAAGAAAAAGCAGCAACAGCAGAAGAAGAAGAAGGAGAAGAAGAAAGAGAAGAAGAATCAACAATAAATAACAAGAACATGTTAATGCATCAACAACCTTCTCCACCTACTACAATACCTTCTTTATTGTTAGATAACCCTACTTCTACGTCATCTAAACCTTCTTCTAGTAATCATTATCCTTTCCATCACAATTACTCTACAATATCCACTACTTCTCAAACAATACCAGCTCAGAGTAATCATGATCCTTATTGGCAATCAACAATGTTAAATAATAAAAAGCTTACTTGGTCTTCTTTATCTCAACAACAACAACAACAGCCAAGTAAAAGACATAGATTAAATGACTTGTATGATACTACGCCTTCATTATACTAAAAAAAAAAAAAAAAAAAAAGGATATATACATGTATATAATTTTATATATATGAATATGTATACATATATGCTTATATAAATATCATTTCTCTCTCTCTCTCTCTCTCTCTTTCTCTCTTTAACATTTTCTATGTACAATAGAAGCACCAAATTCATCATATTCACTTCGAGATATCCATAATTGATGAAAAGTGCCTAAAGAAGCTAAAATAGAGCCACCTAACCAACTACTACTCTTACGTTCAGTTGCATTACCAGCTGCATGAATTTTGATTTTGCTCTATACAGAATAGAATAACATTAAATTGACTGTACAGTTATCTATATAAAAAGAACTTACTCCTGGTGCCTTTAGTGGTAATTCATAATTTAATCTTTCATTAAACCCATTAAATAATGTATTTCCACCCGTCACCACAACATTATTGAATAAAAGAGGACGAAGGTCAATGTCACAATTATTGATGCTGTTATAAACCATTTCATGTGCACCCAAATATTTCTTTTTTTCTGTTGTTTCCTTTTCTTTCCCTTCTTTTTCTTCTTCTTCTTCTTGAGTCTCTGTTGATTTATCATTCATGTTAGGGTCGAAAAGCAATTCAGGTACTTTATATCTTTCTAATCCAAACGAATAATTGAATCCATCAGGAAATCCAAATGATTTTTTTGGTCTTGACGATAAAAGTCTAAAAAAAATAAAAATAAAAATAAAAATCTCGTTAATTAAAGTAGATAACGCATGTATTCATATTTAATTACACTTCGTCATATTGTACTTCTGATACTTGACAGACTGTTTCTTTATATTCATTGATAACTCTCTATTTGATACATGCAAGTATGAGTATTATTTTACTTTTTTTTTCGATATGTATTATATATATTTCTCAATTACATTAATTTGATATTCATTAAAACTATCATTTAATCCTTCTAATTCACGTAATTCAAATTCTGGCTGCTCACCTGCTTCTAATGTTTGCTTTTTCATTTTAGCAATCTTATAACGAGGTGTAATTGTATAATTTAAATCGTTTTTAAGTTGTGTTTTAATCATCTCTGTTAAGGTGTTACCAGCAATGGGTTGATGCAAAACACCTTTTTTTAACACAAATCCATCATACACAGGGACTGTACTTGTCACTTCTCCACCTGAATCAAGTACAAGTGCTGTTGCTCTACCTACCGAAAAACTATATATATATAAAACAAAAACAAAAATCAAATGGTTTAAAAATCTGTGGCTGGTTTAAATCGATTGAGTTTACATACGCTGTTAAAACTGCATCGACAGCAAGATAAAAGGCAGGAAATTGAAACTTTTCAAAGGCAATTTCAATTGTTTTTTCACGATTTTCTTTTGTATTCCATGCTGGTTCAGTACATAATAATGGATGTTCTTCAGGTTTAATTCGTAACATGTTATTAAACGTAAAATCCCAGATTTGTTCAACAGCTTCCCAATCCTCAACTAATATAAATATATATATATATGTGTATATATCTTAATTAATAACAGCATCCTGAGTCATTCTAAATGTTAATAATACCTATGCCATCTTTTAAAGGATTTTTAATTTCCATTTGACTTCTAAATACATTGATTTTGTTATCACCGATGAAATATTTCCTTTCGTTTGTTGGTAATGAAGGTTTATCAGCATCAGTCATTACACTGTCTTCATCTGTAGGCTGAACTGTTGAATGCTCTTCTTGTTTAATATCAATATATCCAACACTAGTTGGAAACATAACGCGTGGCGTATCTTCACCAGCATAACCTGCGCGCGTCATACTTGAGCCCATGTCAAAAACTAAGGCATTAACTTCATCTACATGTCGTGTATATACATGTATTATTAAAATTTAAGGTTTCATTTAAATGTTCTAACAAAATTGTTACCTCCACCATAAGCAACCATTGTTAATTATTCAACTACAGTTTCAAAAAGAAGAAGAAGAAAGGAAAGAAAAAAAAAAATAAAAAAAAATAAGAATAAAAAAAAAAAAGGCAACACAAAATCTTTTTTTTTTTTTATATACACATATACAAATATTTATAAACAGTCAAAAAAAAAAAAAAAAAAAAAAAAAAATGAAGCATTAATCATAATTTTTATTTATTTACAAGGATTGTGACCCATTTATAAGAAGCTGTTGTATGTTATTAGAAGAGTAATATAATAGATCATCATTTAGTTAGATATCCACTTTACGTTCCTCATTGATACTGCGAGCAGTCCCTTTAGCCAATTCATTTTCCCATGCTATTTGTTTATTAATGGCACTAAGGTAAGCCTTTGTAGCAGCTGTAATGATGTCCACATCAGCAACACTAGAGGTAAAAGCGGCCTTTGAAAGACGATTATCCTGTTGGTGGTGGTGTAAGGAAGAATCAGCCTTGACTTGAATTTCAGCTTTACCTAAGGCATCGTTTCCTTCACCAACAGCACTGATATCAAATTTGGTAAGAAGGAAACGACGACCTATAATACGTTGAATAGCTTCAAAGATAGCATCAATAGGACCATTCACGCCCACAGCCGCATCACTTGACTCTTTATCTTCCTTTACATTATAAAGTTTGACAGAGGCCATAGAGGTCGTATTGGCACCTGCTACCACTTGTGTCGATACCAACGTATAATATGGATTGTTAGAGGAAGCACCTATTTGATTACTAAGAATAGCTAAAATATCTGCATCATTTATATTCTTCTTTTTATCACAAAGAGTCTTGAAATTCTCAAATCCCTTTTGAAAATCTGCTTCAGTCATATCTATAAACCCAAGTTCCTTACAACGTTCACGGAACGCATTACGACCAGAGTGCTTACCGAGGACAAGATTGATATTCGTTACCCCCACAGTCTCGGGGGTAATGATTTCATACGTCTGTCGATTCTTGAGAACACCATCTTGATGAATACCTGATTCATGAAGGAAGGCATTACGACCCACAATCGCTTTATTGGCTTGTACCATCATCCCTGAGAGTGTAGAGACCATCTGAGAGGTACGATAAATCAAAGTTGTATTGATCGTATGATGAACAGGGAAATAATTAGGATGAGTATGAATAGCCATCACGATTTCTTCCATCGATGTGTTACCCGCTCGTTCGCCAATACCATTGATGGTCACCTCCACTTGTCGTGCACCATGACTGATACCTGCTAAGGTATTAGCAGTAGCTAAACCAAGATCGTTATGACAATGTGTCGAAAAGATCACTCTTTCAGAACCAGGTGTATTTTCAATCAAATATTTTATTAGATTTCCATATTCTTCAGGCATATTGTAACCCACCGTATCTGGGATATTAAGGGTGGTAGCTCCAGCTTCTATTACATTACCAAGTACTTGACAAAGGAAATCAGGATCAGAACGTCCAGCATCTTCAGGTGAAAATTCAACATCGTCAACAAAGGTACGTGCCAAAGTGACAGCAGCTACTGCACGTTGAATACATTCTTCACGATTAATTTTAAGTTTGTATTTAAGATGAAGATCCGATGTTGCAAGGAAGACGTGAATACGCTTACGAGGAGCAGGTGCAATCGCCTCTGCACAGCGTTTAATATCATCAGGCGTTGAACGAGCAAGACCACAAATTGTCTATTGAATCCAATATATATAGTAGAAATAAATTATCTGTTCTATATGCTATACACAGCTTATATTTACCATAGGATGACCTATTTTTTCTCTTCCAATCATTAAAGGTCCAACTTCTCGAGCAATACGATTCACAGCTTCAAAATCACCCAAAGAGGCAATCGGAAAACCTGCTTCAAGGACATCAACACCAAGACGAGAAAGTTGTTTAGCAATCTCGATCTTCTCCTCTGCGTTCAAAGTTACACCTGGAGACTACAGGAAAAAAAAAAGAAGATCAATTATTTTAGCATATGAAAATTCAAATTAAACAATGCCTTACCTGTTCACCATCGCGAAGAGTAGTATCAAATATAACAAGTTTATCAGTAGAAGCAGTCATTTCAATTAATCAAGAAAGGGGAATATATTATGCTAAAGTAAACAATGAAAAAAAAAAAGAAAAAAAAACAAACTGGCTTTTTATTTATTTATTTATGTGTTATTACTTTTTGAAAGGTATAATAGGCTATGACCAATTTGGTACATTTGCCCAATCAAAGAAATTGATCTGCTTGAATGATATCTAAACTATCCAATCAAATCTCGAGAATCTATAAGTCATAGTAATATAACCATGTTAGTGGGTCCAATTCCTTACAAATAAAAATTAGTACTTTTATATCAACAGAATATTACTTAAATAAATATTTTTTTTCTCTCTCTCTTTCTCTTTACTAATTATTATTTTTATTAGATTACGTTATTTGTTATTTGTAATAATAAGCATTTCATAAAATCTATTTATTAGTGAAAAAATAATGCATAGGCTTTATGACTCATTAAAAATAAAAGTGGCGAATTATTCGCGCAATTTTGGGTTCTAAATTAATTTTCCAAAAAAAAAAAAAAAAAAAAAAAAAAAAAATACTAAGAAAGATACAAGATAATATCATTATTTATTATAGTTGGATAGTATATTAGTAGTACTTTTACTTAACATTTTTTTAAGAGAGAGAGAGAAAATGAAAGAGAAATAGAGTTAATTGTAAGACATTTTTATTAATGTTGTGTATGATGTAAGCTCGAGGTATTCAAGTTATATTTTTGATAACTTTTTCAAGTACATAGTATAATTAAAGATATTCCTTCTCTTTGAAGAAAATAAGTAAAAGGATGCTTATTAATATGTATAATTCTTTGATAAACGTTTTTAAGGCTTAATTACATCTTTTTTTTATTTTTTGAATAAAGATGTATAATAATAAATAGTTTTATAAAAGTACATATAAATATTATGTATATATTTATATACATATATATTTGTATATATACACTTCTAAGGGAAGGAAGAAAATATAAAAAAGAGGAAAGAGGGGGATGTAATAATTTACAATCTAGTATTTACAACTTGGCAGTTTGGGTGGTATTGTTTTCTAACAATGGCTTATTATTCTTAAGTCCTTTGATTACAAAAGGCTTAATACATTCTTCATAACCGTCTACGACTAATGTATGATTCAAGGGCTCTCTCTCTGCCATCTCAGTCATTGCTTCATACACTTTACCATCGTAACGTCCTAAAGCAGAATGTAAAAAGTAGTCTGGAAGAGCAAAGGCATCTACTAAAGATACAGCTTCAGGACGAATGGCTTCTAAAAGATCAATCACTTGTTGTTTCAATAATATAGATTGTTCAGGTTGAAGATAGCCTGAAACAAGGAATTCGGATAGTTCCTTTTCCATGGTATGAAGTGCAAACAAACTGGAAAGTAAACGAAGTACTCTTAACATTGGCTTGTTCTTTGAAAGGGATTCATCTGCCTGAAGGGTTACAATAAAGTTACGAACCAACATATATTGACAATGAGCACGAGAGATACGATTAATTTCAACAAGCATCGAGTTCCATGAACGACCATGGCGGTCAATTTGTTCCGCTACTTGAGCAATACCATAGGCAGCACGGAAACCAAAGGCAGATAGGATTAATTCGGGGTTCAAGAAATCAGCAGATGTAGTAGCGGGACACTTGGCTTGAGGATTCTCCAAGTAGTGACTCAAATAAGTGACAGTTTGGTTATATTCTGATTTTTCAGCTTTACCAGCAATCACATGACGGAATGTCTTTAATAAGTAACGAGCCGTTTGTTGTGTCAAGATATAGTTGTCACCTTCCCAAGTGACATTAGGAAGATAATCTTGATAGAATTGTCCAAGACCAGAAAACATACTATATCCATGACCACCACAGGCACGTCGACAATCCTCAATGGCTTCAATGGCCATCGTCGTTGTTAAACTTTTGAGACCTGAAGAACTAGCATGAAGATCAGCCAAGAGTGAAAAGTTACCCTGCTGCATCGCTTCATGATTCAAGTTGTAAAGACGTATCATCTCACAACCAGTAAAGAAACAAGCATAAGCCGCAGCAATCGCAGGTAATAATCGATATTGTTGCATAGTATAATCAAGAACAGGAGTCTCAATCACTTTATTGTCCCATTTCTTTGGGTTAGTTGCATCTACAAATTGTTGACGAACAGCAGAATAACGAATAGCAATTGTGGTTGCCTTGGCAAGAGCATAGCGCACACCCATCACAATGTGAGCACGAACAAAGACCATGGTACCATAGGATAATTTAGCATTAGGAGGTTTTATGTATTCACCGGAACCAGGCTTTACTTGAGAATATTTGGCCAAAAAGGCAACATGAGGTATACGATAGTGATCAAACATAATGAAACCATTATCAACAGTATTAAATCCAAATTTAGGACCAATATCACCCACCGTTATGCCAGGAAGTGGATGATGATCTTCAAGACTACGAATTTGAACACAGAAAGGATGAGGACCCATATCTTTACCATTTGTAACAAGACGAGCCATAACAATTGCATGATTTGCAGCTTTACCAAGACCACCAATCCACCATTTAGCAGAGGTTAAAGTAGGTGAATGAAGTTCGAATTCATTTGTCTCAGGAATATAAGTAGCTGTTGTCTCAAGACCTTGAACATTAGAGCCATGACCAAGCTATTGTATATATATAGAAAGGGACAAAGGTTAGTTGCTGTCTTTTTCTTTTTTTCCTATTTATACACACAACTTACTTCGGTTTGAGCATAACAACCGATAAATTCATGTCTTAATGCAGGCTCGAGGAAAAGTTTCTTTTGTTCATCTGTAGTTTGATTTTTTAAAGTAGGAACAAACATATTGTAATGAAGAGTAAACTATACATTTTTATGAATTAATATATATATATTTTTATATTTAGAAGAAAAAGGTGAAATTGGTTCAATTCACTTACTGGCGAGGATTGATCATATAAAAAGTTTGCAATTTGAGTGTCAACTTCATCCCAATTTTGCTCCCTAGCAGCAAAATTTAAACACAAATTAATTTTATTGCAAGTGACAAAAAAAAAAAAAAAAAAAAAAAAAAAAAAAAAAAAAAAAAAAAAAAAAACTTGAAGCACTTACTTTACAACTTCAATAAGACGTTTATCTTTTCTTAATGAAGTAGCAATTTTCTCTTCACGGCTAAGATAATAACGATTTGTTTTATCAAAAGCAGGATCTGACTCCATAACTTTAAGAACCTTATTCATTTTTTGTAGCCATTCTTCTGTATACATAAACTTGGAAAGCTCATTAACGTCAAATGAACCTTTGGTTCGCTCATGTGCTAAAAGAAGTTCTCCTGAAGGTCCCTTAGGTGCAAGCTTAGGAAATTTGGTGGATATGTTATTATCAAAAGACATTTTAAACAATAATAATAAAATAAAATAAAATAAAATAATAATAATAAAAAGGTGGGGTAAATATTAAGCTTATTAAATATAAATATATGTCATTCATTTTAAATGTCAGGTAATTGAAGTGACTAAGTAGAATTAATGATTTCATGTTCCGTATTACTTTTCTTCTTTTCACATGCAATTTTAAAAAACGAAATGATTTTTAATTTGTCAGTTTTAGCTAAATTAAAATGTTGATGCTTTCTTCTAATAACTAGAATTAATGCTTTGATTTCCTAATTTGCCGGTTTTAGGTTTATAACAATGATAACAGGATTCTATATAATGTTCTCGATGCTATTTATACGGGTAATAAACACAGCATATGAATAGAGAGTCTAATAATATATTGTAAATGCAGGCAAATAAAAAAACATTAAACAAAATACAGTATATAGCTGCTGAATCTGTATCACACGACATTACATTTGGAAGAGGAATGCCTCCTTTTTTTTTCTTTTGTTGTAATTCACATGAATAATGATTTTTCGTATCTAGTATAAAATAATAGAGTATCATAATCTGTTCCTATGACAATAAATTAGGCATATGCATGACATACATACGCTTTTTTCAGAAATAAATGACATAATACTTTTAAAATTTTTCTTATTTTATTTTTTTTTCTGCTTGATGAAAGCTGTCATTATTCACAAAAAAAAAATCTTCCAAGGTTATCTTGTGCCCATTAAATAAAGTAATTCTTATTTAGTACTTCTTCATTTTAATAAAAGCAGTATTGCCTTACTTTTCAATGTCAGCAATCGTCCTACGAGAGTCAATTTCTGAAGTCAGTAAATACTGGTCTTATCCAAAAAGTTGGCGCCCATAAACACTAATTTTTTTTAAAGAGAAAAGTTGAGATTTATTAAATAAAAATCCAAATGAGCACAAGTATTTTATATACTAAAATTGCCTGGACCAGTTCAAAACTGTATTTAGAGAAAAAAAATCTTCATAGACTGAAGGAAAAAGGAAAGAAAAAGAGGAAGAGAGGGGAGTCTATGAATGCTGGCGAAGCCAGAGAAGAAAAGGGAAGTCTAAAGACAGATTGGGCAGGACTAAAGCATCGTAGAGAGCACCATGCTATATCAGGTCAACTTTATAGAGGATTCTTTGGATGGCAAATAAACTAAATTTGCATCTTTGGAAAAATCATTTGCATCCCTGGACAATTAATTTGCCAGGTTGGACAAACCCAATAGTTATTTTTTTTTATTAATAAAGTTTGCATTGTTTGAAAAGCAAAAAGAAGTTTATTACGGGTTTTAATTTAATTACATATCCATATTTTGTAAAGAACATCAAGATAAAGCAACCAAATTTTTTATTTTCATAACATATTTCAAACTGCTAAAAAAATGTGGTTGCATAAATATTAATCTAGATAGTAGTACTAAAGTATCTCTTCTAATGCCAAGCAGCGAGGGAAAAAACTAATGGAATGTTTCATCCACCCTTCGCAATCGGCAATAATAATATCCTTGGCAGCTTCTATAATTCTAGGTGTTAGTTGGTCAGAAGAAGTAACCTCATTATGGAGGAAAAGCATCTCCACTTTGGACCACATCTCTTCGATAGGATTGAGAAAGGGAGAGTAAGTAGGCAAATACATACATTTGTATCTGTTTTAAATGCAAAAGACAAGGAAAGAGAAAACATAAAAGACAAGTCTGTGAAAACTCTGTATAGTTTATCAAAAGAAAAAAATAATATGGAAAAATGACAAGGACTATTTACATGTTTTTTTGCAAGATAAGTGATATTAATAAAGCATTATATGTAAATGTTGTCAGTATAAATGTTGTCTCCGAACAATTTTGCTTGTAATAGGATATATTTTTAGCTTTAGTCGCCCTGAGTTGTCACTGTTATTAAAAATATACTCAATTGTTATTTCTGGGGAAAGCAACGCGTTAATATTAATTTACAGTGAATATTCCAGCTATAACAATACCAATTATTTATATGCCGCAATTATTATCATCCTCTAAGACGTTATTACATAACAATATTCAACATTATAGATGTATATATAATATGTATGACTTATAAAATAACTATGTGACTGCATATAACAGTCATAATCCTATTGAATTCTTATTATTACGTAATACAATGTATATAATTATTTTTTAAAACTGAATGTAGAATGAATGATATGCTCTGAAGTACAGTACACTAGTTTTATTTGAATAACCTTTTTATTATGGTTTATTTCTATTAACTTAGTTGTAAAGACAACTACAATCATAACAGATTTCACTCAGAGTACACGTATTAGTTATACAAATAAATATATACAACAGACATGAGTATGTCTATAATGATTCTTAACACTACGTTAATTAAAATGTTATTCTCTTCCATAATTACGTCATCAGATATAATTTATTTTATTATTTCTCATCATCCTTATTCACAAAAGATATAAATACTCTTACATTATTAACCTTTCTTTTGTATAATTGAATATGATTGAACTGAATTAAATTGATTTTTATCTTTATCGTAATAAAACTTATTAACAAGTCTCAACGTACTTCTTCTATCTATTTTATTTCATTACTCTTTTTATTATTTTATTTTTATTTATTTTTTATTATATTCTTACCTGTAAACTACAACACTTTCTTCATATTTTTTTTCCGTTTATTACAGCCATGTCTTCCAAACATCCCAATGTATCTTGTGATTCATGCAATGAAATCTTTAAACATGCTATACAGTTAAAAGGCCACCATAAAAACTATCAACAAAGTCCAATTGTTATCAACTATACCAATTATGAAGGTTTGTTTGCATGTTCATCGCGTTGATTATACTCACATATTTATTTAGGGGAATCAAAGACATTGACATTGGATCGAGACAAAGATGTTAATTTCATTTGTCTAATATGTTCTCTTGAATCAAAAACGAGCTCTGGGTTTCATTCTCACTTCTCACATCAAAAAGGTAACTGTGCCCCATACTTGACAACTTTACAAATCTACATTGATGGAGGTTAGTACATTCATACTCGACAGTCACCTTATTAAAAGCAAAGCTATCCTCTTATTTTATTTTATATATATATATATATATTTTTTTTTTTTTTGAATAATAGCTATGTGTCAAATGAAACCGTCTTTTCATCGAAAGTACAGATGTATAATATGCAATGTGGACATCAAGGAACCAAAAGAGCATTTTAAAAGTCAGCACATCAATTACAATGTCTATATCAAAGAAGTTGGAGAAAAACGAAAGATTGGTACTCCAACATATAATGATTTATTCTATGATCGAGATAAGGATTTTAAACGAATCAGGGCGGAACCACTTATGAAAGCCTTTGGTTTAGATTTGATCAATATTGACTTAAAACATAACCAAAATTCATTCAAAACCACTGCATTGATTAATGAAAAGACATTTAGGTCACTAAAACGATCATCGTTATCTACTGAAAGCAGCTTAGATGCAAGCATGACATTCCCAAATAATGAATTACAGTATCCAGAAACGTTTACAGTATGTGGCCTTCAGAAAAATATCAAAATAGCAATTTCTCATGTGCCAATGATATTCTAGGGCCATACGTAGAGTTAAACAATGACATTGAAGAAAAAATTGAAGATTTGGATTTGAATCATATTGTTAACATCTTCACAGGATCAATCATAGCTTTCGATAATTTTTCATTATTAGTATTAACAGCAGAAATATATACAAGAAATGGCTTTATGGACGCTCATTCAGAGAGGAGTGGTAACTCATTTCCAGAAACCATTGGTGGTAGTTCGAACAAATACCAGAATTGGAAGATATGCATTATTAAAGAAAGTGAAGGAGGAAGTCCAATCTCCAAATTGAACATTGGGACAAAAAAATTCAATATATTGATTACTGGTAGTCTGATTATATATCCCACCTGTGATAGCGCAGTTATATTTGGGCCTCAATGTCATCCTCTATTGAAAAATCAGAACTTGAATACATCTTGTTTATTTTTTCAAAAAAACAAGATTGAGAAGTTTGAAAAGAATACTAGTCAAGTAAACAAATCTAGTTTATGCCGACAGTTGAATTCCGCATTCACTCATAAGTCTACTTACCTTTGCTATCGCTCCAACTTATTTGAGAATAACTTACGGCAGCCAGCTACTTTATTTACTTTATACATGCTTCCAAAAATGGATATGGGAGTTCATCAGCTAATTCATGCCGAGAAATTTCATTGTTTTTTTCATTTGTTTTCGAGCGCTGTAGCGGATTGAAAAAGATTAAAGATATTAATGAATACTTTGATATACATTTAACAGATAAGAAATTGAATGAAATCATTAAAAGCATAAAAGGGTTGGTTAAAGACAATGAAAATATGGATATTCTTCAAGCATTGTCAGAACAAAAAGGAGTGAGTTCTTTGGCACAGTCAATCTCAGCACCACTTTTCGTAGCCAATAAGAAATTAGCCGATACAACCTTCAACTATGTACAAACATTGTTTAATTACCAGTTTCATTTATGTATATCCCCTTTATATTGCTATTACACCAGCCACATAATTCTACCTAAGGCGGGCATGATATGCAATTTAAAACACCTGTAATTATTGTTATGATTGTAGTCGTCTTTACAACTAAGTTAATAGAAATAAACCATCGTCTATTTAAATAATAAAGAAACTATTCAAATAAAACTAGTGTATTGTACTTCAGAGCATATCATTCATTGCTAGAATATTCGAGCATTTAAAAATAATTATATAGAGTATATTACGTAATAATAAGGATTCAATAGGATTATGACTGTTAGATTCAATTACATAATCACTTACAGAAATCATATATATTATATATACATCTATAATGTTGAATATTGCTATGTAATAACATCTTATAGGATGGTAATAATAATAGCGGCATATAAACACTTGGTATTGTTATAGCTGGAATATTCACTGTGAATTAATATTAACGCAAGCAAAATTGTTCGGAGACAACATTTATACTGACAACATTTACACTGACAACATTTACATATAATGCTTTATTAATATCACTTATCTTGCAGAAAAAAACATGTAAATAGCCCTTGTCATTTTTCCATATTATTTTTTTCTTTTAATAAACTATACAGAGTTTTCACAAACATGCCTTTTATGGTTTCTCGTTCCTTATCTTTTGCACTTAAAACAGATACAAAGATAATAATAATTTTTTTTTTTTGTTTATTTAAAGAATCTGTTATAGTGGCATCTTAAACTTTCACTAGTAACAAAATGCTTGGTTATTTTTACATCATTAAGATGTCCTTGCTCAAAGCACTTTTTCAGTTGATTCTTCCTGATTCAATATTTCTGAACCGTTGGACAAATTGGTGTAGCTCTGTTTTATTCCTCTCGTCATTGAGATCAATAGAGTTTGTGAGTTTCCTGTTTTTGTTTAAATACACCAAGGGAGGAGCTTCTTCAATGGATATTGTTTCTATAGCTTCGCAGTATTTTCTTTTTTGTCATTGTAAGAATCCTAAAGCATCGTCCACATAGCTTAATACCTTTTCAATTGAAACTTTATCTCCAATTTCAAGACATCCTTTTATCTTGTGGGGTTGAACCTGACTACTGCTACATATGCTGCTTATTGCCTCCAACTTTTCATCTTTTTCTCCACTTAATTGCTTAAGATTGGCGTGCGCAATCGAATACAATAATCTTACCCATTTGCCGTTTTTTCCACAATCCAAAGTACTCATTGACAATGATTGTGAACAAATGAAGAGACCTAATACCTGTAAAGGGTGTTATCCTTCATCGGCATTGGGTTCGCTTATTTTTATTGTTGACGTTGTCAATACTAGACATCGTTTTACCCAATCTACGCATGGCATGTGCCTGGCGAAGAGGAAGACACTATTTGGTGCCGTCATGCTCATAAATTGCGTCATTGCACTTGCTACTCCAATTATTACAAAAATAGAGAGTTTCTTGTACCGTTCGTATATGAATGTACTGTAATGAACGACGCGTACCAAGAATTTTTCATCCACTTGATTTTGCACTTCAATAAATACGAGCGGATATGTACTTAAAGGACCGTGAAGAGCATAAAGAACATCGTATTTGTTTTTGTTTATAAACTCTGTTGGTGTTGCAACATAATGGTTTTCTGCCGCTCCTGGTACGACCACTTTCATTGATTGTCGGTCAATATCATTTTACTGATCAGATCAGTTCCTGGTCTGTAGTCGTACAGTATAACGCGATCAGTGTTATCTAAAAAAAAAAAAAAAAAAAAAAAAAAAAAAAAAAAAAAAAAAAAAAGACTGACTTTTAATTCAATTCACACTGGGCTGAGCCTCATTATACGATTAAATAAGGTTTTAATTACAATTATTTTGGCGAGTGAGCCTGTAGCACTCAAGTATGTCGCATGATCCTAGCCAGTTATGAAGATATAATATGATGAAAAACCCTCCCCTGAGACAAGAGGAGGAAAAAGAGAAAGAAAAATGGCAAGAAAGAGAAACAATAGGAGTATTCAAGAAAGCAGAGAAGCCTCGTTATAATGGATAATTGCAGAATTCATCACTCTGTATTTGTTGTTGACTCTATCGATAAGAGAGGGTATAAACCTTTGTTCATATACCCCTTACTCTCCTTTTTTTTTGAATCCTATTGATGAGTGCTGATCGAAAACAAAGAGCAATATCGAAAGGAACCCACCTGATAAAGCATCACACCTTCCTGCAGCTTGTCAAGGTTGGACTAAGCATGCTGAGACGCTCTGGGATAGGTGCATTAACAAAGAATTAGGCTTAAAGTAAATGTTATCCCCACATATTATTTTTACTTTATGTAGTCTGTCCAAAATAAAAAAAAATCATTTTGTCCTAAAAGTTTATTTCATTTGTCCCAAAAAAAAAAAGTGATCTGTCCCAATTTTTATTTTCAAATTGTCCCAAGAAAAAAAAGTAAAGTGTCTCAAATTTATTTATAAGTTGTACCATACTAACTATTATTTCATTATTTTGTTGTCTATAAAGTCCTTGACCTTGACACTAGCATTTTTTTTTTTTTTTTGAAGACAGAGGAGAAGTTAATAATATTTACAACAGTTATTCATCGAAGGACACTACAAAGAAATTTAATAATGAAGTTATTGCTATTATTACTATCACTCCAGCTTTTTTACTCGAGTAAAGGACTTGTTTTAAACTGAATAAATCTTCCCTAGTATGTGTATATGTTGTATTTACATTTATATACCTACCATTTGTAGAATATATATATATATATTTATTTTATCGCCCATCAAGATGGCTATTTTACGCAATATATAATCCTATTTTCACCTTTATTTATCTTAATAGATTAATTCAGCAAGTATGTCAATTAGTGAATAATATACACCTGATTATTGTTGCATAAAAAAGTAAAATCATTGCATAATAACTAAACTTAAAACAAAAAAGTCTACGTAATGCTTATTTTATCTCTTTTTATTTTTTATTTTTTTTATTATTTGTAAACAACAACGAAAGAGAAAAAAAAATGCCAACTAAACCTGTCACTGCTAATAAAATAAAGAAAAAGAAAAATAACAACATTAATCATTTGCCACATACAAATTCAAAACTTCCTCATGTAGGAGGTAATTAGAGAAAGTAACTTTTTATTATTATTAAAAAGAATGTTAATAGCTTTTATATTAGTTAAAACTAAACGACGAGAAATAATAAAGACAGTATGTAATATTTATAATTTTTTTTTTATGTCTATTTTTTATATTTATGTTATCATCTGTAGGGACTACTACCACCTGTACCTGCTAATCATTCCATTGGTTTTAGAGATAAAAAACGGGTAAAACAAATAAAAGGAAGATAATAATAGAACTATTACTTATACACAACTACTATTAGAAGAAGAACAGAAAAAAATCTCGATTAATTCAAAGATTACTTTCATTATCCTTCATCGTTTATTTGGGATATTATTTCTTTTATGGTTGTGAACCCCTTCCATCCGATGATAATAACAAAAATCTTCTAAAGCCAGTTATTTGTAAAGGTATCGATCCTATTAAAGCTGATATCTACCAGTCCAAATTTTATAAAGAAAATATGAATCCTACTATTATACAAGCGTCAAATTGGTTTCAACAGCAATATCATAATCAAGTCGCTCTCCAAAAAGTAGTGAAAAAAATAGATTACTATTACATTCAACATGCTAAATCTCTAGTGCATCAAATGGTAACTAAAGTTCATTATTATGCTGATCAAGTGATGAAAATAATTGTACCTGTAATCCAGCCTTATACTGAACAACTTAAATTATCTACTCAACATATCGAGGATTACATACAACAAGCTATTGAGAAGCAGCATTTAATGTCTAAGGTTCAAGAAACACTTGTTTATCTTTTAGAGGAACAAGTTCCTCCACCTGTTAAGAAGGCTCTAAAACAAAACTATTATATTGTATTAGAATGGATTGATAAAGCGGAAAATACAGATATAAGGACCTTTCTTGCCTATTTGGAACATACTATTACTAATTTCTATCAGCAGCAATTAATACCTCATTATATTAACCCCTTCAGAAAAGAAATGAAAAGACACTATGATGAGCTACATTTAAGAGAATTTATGGATAAACATATCATACCTGCCTTTCAAAAAATATATGACTGTGCTGCTCCTTATTATGATGTTCTTTATGAACAAATAAGGCTGTATTTACCACCATTATCTATTCAACAAAAATCATTACAAAAGTCATCTTCTTCTCCTTTAAAAAGCTTGCAAACTTCAACAATATCAACACTACCTCAACTCAAGCCGTCCATAATAGAAACTTTAGTAACTCCTTCGACGATTCCTGTAGCCTTATCTAAACAAGTATCATCAACGAATCCCGCTTATTCTTCACCCACTCTTTCCTCTACAATAATAGATTCAAACATTGAAAGTGAAAAAGGGACTACTTTTGCATCATCGTCTCAACATCATCCAGAGGCTACTATCAATAAATACAATGCTAAACATCATAGGACGGATGATTCAGATATAATAACTCGAAGCTCTAATAATAATAAGAAGACTACTTTATCTTCAATTAACTCAAGTGACACTCCTAAAGCAGATTATCAATACATTCATCTCTCTCCTCCTGATCCAAATGAAAAAGAGGTCATCTACTGTCCTACTTGTAATCCAGTTGAAGAGCAAATAATGATTGCCGTCCCTGAGTCAGAGAAAGAAATGAGACCTTTAGTGGTGAATGATGATGATGAAAAAGAGGTATTCAAGTTAAATAAAGGTGATGGTCAGCTTACAAACGTTGTTAACGTGGATAAAGAAGTCCAACAACTTGTTGATAAAAAGGAAGTGTTTGAGGTTCATCGTGAACAGAAAGTGATAGTTCCTCCTCAATCACCGATTAAGCAAAAGGTAGAAAAGGAAGAAGACACTTTACCATTCATGACTAAAATTAAAAATCAAGTTAACAATGAAGAAGAATTAAAGACATTGACAGCAAATAATGTAGTAGCTGAAGAATCTATAAGGGACTCCCCAGATGATAAGCAAGAAAATAAAGAACCTATCATGATTGAAGCTGTCGTTGGAAAGAATAATCTCAAAATCCGTCTTCCTGTTGAAGAAGAAGGCAGCAATTTTGATGAAGAAACCATTCTCGATCATAAGATATCAGATACTGAAGAAGGAAAAGAAGAAGAAGAAGGAGGAGAAGAAGAAGAAAATAAAGCGCCTATCATACCTGATGATGAAAGCCAATTCATTATTATAAAAGAGGATAACGAAGATGTTAAACCAACTATTAACAAAGATGGATTAAATTATGATCAAGTAGAAAAGATATTGACCTAATATTTCTTCTTTTTTCCTTCTTTTATTATTATTTTTATTATTGATTAAATAATATACGTATAAAATGCATTCTCCTATTATTTACAATATTTCAGCGGATTGTCTAACTAACTTTGAAACTTTTTTCTTAAATTGAGGGTAGTTTTCACGGTATTCTTTCTAATGATAGAACATGTTGTTAGTCTATAATACTAGATACATGTTATAGCATTACTACTTTACAGCTGCCTCTATATTTGCTGGCGATTCATCATTGGGACTTGATAACATAGATATAACTGATAATAAAATGGTTTCTACTGTATGAACAGGAGACCAACGTTCACTTGCTTGTTCATAACCATATTTATCGTCACCAGGAGGATGCTATAAAATAGATGTATAGAACTATTGTAAGGATATACATATATTTATATATATATATATGTGTGTGTGTATAATGAAACTAGTTTATATTTACCAGAATAGATATGCATACTGTGCCATCTGGATAGACTATATACATATACATATATTAATACAAGTGTTTGTATATAAAGTATGTTGTTCTTTACTATACCATTTGGATGATACATTTCAGTTGTAAATACCATTTTAGGTGGCTCAATAGGATAGGTCTAACGAAAAGAAAAAAAATGAAGGTATAAGTAACAATAATGATAATAGTGTATTCTATATTACTTTAGGGAATGAAAGACGAGCTTTAAAGAATCCACCTTCACTAAAATAATATGTTAATTTATGATATACATATATTAAACTTTTATACATACTATAATGTATCTTGTGAACCTATTATAAGGATTTCCCACTATTTTTAAAAAAAAATTGAAAAAAAAATTATAACCAACAGAAATAATTTAATTTTTTTTTTTTATTTTACCTCATAAATATTATCATCCACAAGTCCTGCAGAAAAACCTTCAACCGGATTCTTTTGAAGATCTAATTTTGACAGATTTGACAGATCAGAAAATATTAAAATCAATTGAATAAGAAAAAATATATAATTTTTAAAATTTTGAATTTAAATGTAAAAGGAAAAAAAATAAATAAATAAATTTATTCATGTGTATTTCATTTGAACATTTCATTTTTTTTTTTTTTTTTTTAGTTACCCTTTAATTGTCTTTGAAGTAAAAGTGCACTTGGCTCTGTTTGACTCATGAATAAATGATTTTGTGTATAAAATAAAAAAAAAAAAATGGGGGTGATAAAAATAAACTGCGAAATAATAATAAAAAAAAAGAAAAAAATGATAAAAAAAATTTACATGTAACCCTAATGGCTGTTATAGTAGTACATAGTATCGGATATTTTTTTAACCGGATAATAATGATCCAATCAGTTTGGTGTGGATGAATACTTTGTTATGTACGTTTGTTATTTGACAAATAAACACTAGTTTATACATTTATGTTTATAAGACATTGCTGTAAACGCTTGTATTCAACAAAAGGTTTGAATTAAACAGAAAATAAAATTTACATGAATATGAAATTCATTTTTTTTTCTTTTTATTTCCTTAGTCCCTGTAGATGAGCAATGCTTGGTAAAAATGGACAGACATTGCAAATAAAAATAATTTTATAGTAAACATTAAATAAATTTTTAGCCTTTGAAACCTACTTGGTCCATCAAATTATTATTTCAATCAAAAGAAGAAACTATATCTGATGACCAATTTAAACATCTTTTATCTCTTGCAAGACTTAATATTCAAGATAAAGAACGACAGTTAAGACTAAAACAAGAGATAAGCCAACTTGGTCAATTAACAGCAAGTATTAAATACTGGAATGAAATCGATGGCGAGCCATTAACTCATATTTGGAAACAAGATCTATGTCAACCACTTCGAGATGATGATCAAATAGAAATCAACGATGAAATACGTGGAAGGGATTTATTCCCTTTTGCTAAAAAGAAAAGTGGACATTTTTATATTGTTCCAGGGTCCAGTATTTCATCAACAGAATAACAATGCTTATGTAATATTCTATAAAATATTTATTTATTTACTGTTTTGTGCAAGAGGAGAAGTGCCAACATTTCTCTTTTCATCTAAATCCTTTTTAGTTTGTTCTTCAATAGCTCTGATATCGTCAATAGTTAAGCCAAACCATTTATCAGTCCAACAGAAAAGTTGTCTATAAATAAAGCAAAATTAGATTAGTAAATGTTTACTATTATGTGTATTATTTTGTCTTTTACCTGTGGAATATAGTAAATAAGTGATGAATAGTCTTGGCAATAAATGATTCGGTTCTGCTTTGAATTCCAAACCATTTAAATTCAATATATACAAGCTTATAACATGTCATTACAGGATCTACTTTCTTTTGCCAGTCAGGATCTGTTAATGGACCACGGCCAGTCTTTTCAGAATGATAAAGTTTAGGGTCTTCTTCTGGCTTATACTCCTTGGGATCAATTTTATCATGAGCGATATCAATGATAATAACATTACGCTTCTTAAGATCTTCTTTACTAATATTTAATGCGTTTTCCAATTCACCACGAGAACCGTCAACATGAAGTGTTTCATAAACAATTGAGAAATTATCTTTCATATAACCATTCTAATTTTAAAAAGTCAATATGAAGGAAGATTACTATTATTATTTTATTTTTTTATTTTTTTATTTTTTATATTTTTTTTTTATTTTTTTTACCTTTAAAACTAAATAGAATTACCAAGAAAAAAAAAAAAAAAAAAAAAAAGTGTTAATTAAACATATTAATATTCGTATTAAAATCCCGAGCTTTTCGTCATTTTATCCAGAAGATGATAATGATACTTTTTTTTTTTTCTACACTTATTCTCTTCTAAAAAAAAAATATCACATAGCACACATCAATAAGATCCTAATAAAACTTACCAGTTTTACAATAAGGATAAGCATTCCAAGCCTAAATAGATATGTGAGTTAGTTTTAAGTATTAAACACTGTATATTCTATCTTTACCTCTTCGTAAAGATCAAGAGCGCCTGCAGGGGCAACTGCACGAACCCAAGCGGGAACACGAGATGCCAAGCGATAAATTTTATGAGTGTATTGACCCTTTTCATCCCCTTTTTCATAAGGTTCATTCTTTAATACTTCAACACCTTCACCACCACCTGTCGTATTCTTTGAAGCCATAGCAGTAGCGTATAATTGAGCTATCATGTTCAAATAAAATAAAAGAAAATAAAATAAATAAAATTCTTTTATATCTAATAATAATAATAATAATTCGTTACCAATTTTATACTCTGCTTCAGTACAGTTATTAATAACACGATATTCGTTAATGATCATGGTATATGATGATGATGATGTTGATGATAAAGATGAACAGAAAAAAAAAAAAAAAAAAAAAATAAAAGAAAAGAAAATAAAAAATATTCTATTAAAATTATTGAAAAGAAAAAAATGTTTTTTTTTTTTTTTTTAGCGAGCAGAGTTGTTAAGTTTTAACCGTATCTACCAAACAACTTGTTGAAAAAAAAAAAAGAAAAGTCTGATTTTTAAATTTTATAAAAAAAAAAATCTTTCTTATTTTTTTTCGGTCGAAAAAAAGGTACATAACAACGTATTGATATTTACACATGATGCATGCATCTTTATTACTCTGTTATACTACTGTTATCATGAATGACTGTAATTATGTCTTCAGTTTTCATTACTTCTTCTTTTTCTTGGTTATCAACTGCTGTCATCTCTTCCTGTTCTTTTTCTTTTTCTCGGTTATCAACTGTTGAGGTCTCTTTCTGTTCTTCTTCTTTAGGCTGAATCTCAGTAATCAAGACTTTCTTATCTTCTAATACTAAAATATCAGAAGGTTGTTCTTCTTGTTTAAGCCAAATATAAAAAATAGGATATTCAATGATTTGTTCTCCTTTAAGTACATCTTTAAATGTCAAGTGTAACATATCTGTCACATTCACAAAATGACCTCGCGGTGCCTTTTCCTTTTTTAACGCAATCATGAATTGTTCTATGCCAGCATCCACAAATTCTCTAAGTTGATGTCGGATAATTCCATAAGCACTTTTACCAAAAGGTTTTTCTGATAATAATAAATTTTCAAAAAAGGCATAAAAGGGCTTATTATTTGGAAACCTTGAAAAAAAAAAAAAGATGATATGGCAGAATGAGTAAACGATGGGTGCTAATATGTATTATATATACTTACGAATGCTCCAAGTAACGTTCTTTTTTGTTATTTTTATAAAAATTAACTTCAAGTGTCCAAAAGATCTGTTTTAAACTAAAGAATAAAGTACAATGTTAACATAATTCTCTCATTGACTCGACATCTTGATTTAAAAGATGTTATTATCATACTTACTTTTTACTATAATTACTCTGGTTTAATTTATTTCGACTCATACCCATGGGTAGAGCAGAATAACGGATTCCTAATTCATTGGCTACAGTATATAATATTTTGGCTCTCGCTTGTGCACCTCTATTCTTTAATTCCTTTACTGTATTCACTCTTTCCCTTGTAAAATTATCAGTTTGTCTTGCAACATCTTCCAAATATGTATAATCTAAGATTAACAAAAATAACATTTAAAGTAAGCATTATTTTTATTTCTTATTTTTTTTATCCATGTTTATCATTACCACTCATCATATGAGCTTCACTATATGCTTGTATGGGTACATAGGCTGTCTTATCTCTAATTCCAGAGCAAGAGCTTTCTTTTTTATGCTTTTTGACACACTTTAAACAACAGGTATGAGTTAGACATCGTGGACAGGTATAGATCCAATTTTTGGATTGGCAGATTTGACATAATTTAGCTTTTTGAATTTCCTCTTCATTTGGCACATGATCATTGAATGAATGATCGGGTATCATAGTAATACCAGACTCTTCGATCGCTGGTTCCATGTTTTCTGTAGGTATCGTTGTGTCCTTAATTAAACTAGACATTGATTATTTGAAAATTATATATATAAAAAAAAAGGGCGATCTATGAATAATTGTTTTTTTTTTTTTTTTTTTTTTTTTTTTTTTGGACCGAGATATTTCTCCTTTTAAAGTCAGACAATTTTCTTTTGTAGACAAATAGATAAATACAAACTGAGGGGGGGGGTTTAATGCTTATATCTTTATAAGTAAAGACTGAAGAAAGAAACTTTTACTGTAAATACATATATGTCTGCAAAATAAAGACTTTGTAGGAAATGTTCATCTGGTTATCGTTGTGTTTATCTTTATTTTTCTCAAATTTTTTTACTTTTTTTTTTTCTTTTTTAGGGGAAACTACTAGGAAGTGTATGCATATATAGGATGATGATAAATAGATACATTCATTGGATTAAGTGACAAGAACCCTTCATAGGACCTACATCAATAGCAAATTGGTAAAAGAGAGGGACCCAAGAATAGTCCAATATAATAGTAACCAAGCTAGTAGTGTAGTAATAGTGTAAAAAAGAGGTAAAAGAAGCAGAAACGAAAACAGCATACTCTTTTTTATTTTTACTTCCTCGAAAAAAAAACAAAAGATTGATAGTATGATTGTATTCTATGTTAAATTTTACTATTAATTACATGAATAAAAAGAGAGAAAGAGAGAGATGCTTTATTACTATATCACGCACGAATCTTTTTTAATAAACTCCTTTGGAATAACCTTAGAGTAAATACACATATACTAATATAACACTCTTATTTTTAACTGGAATAATTATAAGGTGATTCCTGAGTATTTCTTACTTGAGGGTATAGTAGATGAGGAATATCGTTCTTTTTCAAGAGAGGAAGAGAGGGAAAGGAAGAGTAGCTGCTAACTAATGCATTTATTTTTATTGACAGACATTACTTTTTATGTAATAGATCAGGTTTATATACACGAGGAGTAAATAAAGACTATACCAAGAAACAAAAAGAAAGTGGAAGTATCCTTATATATAAGGACATTTGTTTAAAAGAAACTCCTCTTCTTTTATTATTGCTTTTTATTCCTATGACGATGCTTTTGAGTGATATAAAATAATAAAATTACTTGAAACTACTTCTCGTCATTGTGATGATCTATACAAGGGTATGATGGGGGGTGTTTTTTTTTTCGATAGATCTAATAAGTAATGTAAATCGAAATTATTATTGTTAATAGTAGAATGTATTCTATTCTATTATTTTTTGTGTTTTTGTTTAATACAGAAAAGTTCCTTTTTAATACATTTTAATTATGAATGAAGCTAATGATATACCTATCATTCATGAAGAGAATATTCAAGCTATATCAACAACAGTAGATTCAATATTAACAAATGATGACAAAAAGGAGCATGCCACACCTTCTTATGAAGAGATAGTAGAGACATCTTCTATCATTGTAACAACAGAAAATACAAATCATAAAAAGTGGAATAGATGGAAGAACTATTTATTAGGCGATGTATATGCTTTAGATGATCCATATCACTTCTCCTCAAGTAAAAGGAATTTTATTATCTTGTTAGTTGCATTGGGTGGTATTGCTGGACCTATGAGTTCCATGATGTACATGCCTTCCATTTTGGTTATTGCTAAAGATTTAGAAACAAGTATGTCTGCTGTCAATGGTTCAATATCTGCATTTGTTGTGTTTATGGGTTTATCTGTAAGCAAAAGATTGTATACTATGTGACATAATAATTTCATTTTATTCATTATTCTACTAATAGCCATTGTTTTGGGCTATTCTTAGTGATAACTATGGTAGAAAACGAATGTATCTATTTAGTGGTATCATTACTGTCATAAGCTCTATCTTAAGTGCTATCTCTATCAACATTAGTATGCTTATTGTATTTCGAGCTTTACAATCATTTGGATCCACTGCAGGACTCACGTTAGGTACTGGTGTGATAGCTGATACTATTCCTATTAAAACTAGAGGAAGAGCCTATGGTATATTTTACACGTGAGTTAAATTCTACTTTGTATCTCTAATTAAATATCTATTCTAATTTTATTTGTTCATTTTCTTTACATCTATTTATATATGAATGTATATATAATAGTGGACCTTTACTTGGCCCCGTCATTGGTAACTATACATATGTCTATTTATTTAACTTTTTTTTCTCTCTCTCTCTCTCTCTCTCTCTCTCTCTCTTTAATTTTTTTTTTATGTTACGTATTAGGACCTACTGTAGGCGGTATATATTATATGAATGTCTTTTTATTACAACAAGTAATCAAAAAGATAGAATTAATTTTTATTTTTTTTTTTTTTTTAGGCTTTCTTTGCCAATATTTAGGTTGGAGATCGACGTTTTATTTTACAGCCATTTTATGTGGTGCTCTTCTGATAATGACAATCGTATTCTTACCAGAGACATTAAGAAAACAACGACAACAACAACAAACAAGTTCAATAGATGCTTATTATATAGACAACAGTAAGCAATCATCAACAACCCGTACTACTCTACAAACGCCATCCTTTTGGAGTATTCTTCGTACCAGTTTCACACCTATGCTTATTATGTTGCATGATCCCAATACGAATATCTTAATTCTCTTTACTGGTATTATCTTTGGAAGTTTTTATTTTTTGGTTGGTATAAAATTAGATTTAGATAGACTCCTCTTCATTTCAATTATGTTAATAATATAATAGAATCCAACAATTACCGAGACATTTAAGAATAGATATGATTATAATGAATGGCAAACAGGACTTTGCTATCTTCCCTTAGGGGCTGGTCTGATGATAGGATCAATAGCGAGTGGACATTATTCAGATTACCTTTTAAAACGATTATCAAAAGAACAACAAAAGAAGAAGGTCATTCTTGAAAAGAGACTATTAGCTTGTCTTCCCTCTTTTCTATTTATGCCAGCTGGTTATTTAATCTATGGATGGAGTAGTAATAGTACTACTACTACTACTAATCAAAGGCATTTTGAAGTCTATGTTCCACTTGTTGGATTATTTCTTTGTAAGTCTTACTATTCTAACTTTTACACACGCACACGCACACGCGCACATATATATATATATGTATATAAATATATGTATATAAATATATAATATATATATGTATGTTATATAGATGCATTAGGTCAAATGTGGAGCATCACACCTGCTCAAGTATATCTGGTTGATTCTAAACCAGGTCACATATATACCAAAATATAAATATATACATATATGTATGAATATATATATATATTAATGCTAATATGTATATATATATATGTATGTATGTATATTATTATTATTTAGGTTATTCTGCAACTGCAGTAGGAGTGAATAGTTGTATTCGATGTCTTATTGGAGCCATGACTGCCCTCTTTTCTAACACAGTAGTAAATAAATTAGGGAATGGTATCATGTTCACTATTTTAGCTGTTTTAGGATGTTTGAATAGTATGTGTATCCTGATTTGTTATAAATATGGTGCAAGATGGAGAAGAAAGTTTGAAGAAAAGTATTATATCTCTTGATTCTGCTTCTGCTGAACCTTATATGGTGCTGTAGTAAAGATAATAAAATTATTTGTCCTACTCTTACGCTCCATACACGTGTGTGTGGGGGGGGACTATATATCGAAAGAAGACCAATCAAATTATTTTTATATGCGGTTAAATATTAGTTACTTTTTTTAGACATTTCTCTCTTTATTTTTATTTTTTTCCTTGTTAATCTCACAAAAAATAAAAATAAATAAATAAAAAATGTTTAACAATAATAAAAAGACACCTTATGAAATATTAGGCGTCGGACGATATTCTACACAAAAGGAAATTCGGAATCGATATCTTCAACTTTGTAAAATTTATCATCCAGATATAAATAAGAATAGTAAAGTTGATTTTACGGAAATAACAGTTGCATACAACATGCTGACAAAACAGCATACAAATAACTACTATCAACATCGACCTTCTGCTTATTCTTCTCATACAACAATCATAGATACAAAATTATGGACACGACGATCTTATCTTGCTGGCTTTGGTATTGTTGTCTTTACTTTACTTTATTTACAAAGCCAAAATGAACATAGTCAAAAGAATCCATCATCACAACTACTACTCCCCTATGAAATCTTACATAATAAAAATCAAGAAAATCATACTGCAACTCCATGGCAAAAAGAGGGGGCAAGTTTTCGAGAATGGCGAAAGAAATAATAACAAAAGATGCGTTTCATTTTTATTTATTTATTTATTTATTTGAGGGAGAAGAGGGAAAGTGAGTGAGTGAGTGAGTGAGTGAAGTGGGGGGAAAGAGGAAAAGTAAAAAAAAAAATAAAAAAAATAAAAAGCAAAAAAGGTCACGATGGTTGTAATTTATTTTATATTTAGAGAACATGAAAAATAAAAAGCAACTAGAATCATGTTTTGTCCTTTTTTTTTTTTTTTTTTTTTTTTTTTTTTTTTTTTTTTTTTTTTTTTTTTCTTTTTTATAATAATTATTAAATAAAATTTTATTTATTTTATTTTATTTTATTTTATTTTTTTTTTCATTTTTTTTTATTTTAACCATGTTATCAACTTCAAAGCCTGTCGCTATTCCAAGTCAGACAGAAAATGAAACCATTTCTTACCGAGAAATAATTAAACAACTAGCGGCACAAATAACAACAAAGCCCTATGGAGATATACCTCCGCCTATGTTTAAAAAAAAGAAACGGACTAAAAAAGAAAAAGTGACTGATTCGAGAAAGGTGATGAGAAGAATGTCACATGTTGAAGACTGGATTGTAGTTGACAGTAAAGAGTCATTACCTGATGAAGAAGAATTGGTAGATAAAAAAAAGTTACAATAGGTATACACTTGGCTAAAAATTTATGTTAGGTACAATCACCTATTAGAAATTTTTTATTTGGAGATTTTCTTACTGAAGTGTTACCACTACATATGCCACCTCCTTCTTTAAGTAAAATAGAAGATAAAAAACCAAGCCATGAAGTGATATTATCTTTGGAATTATTACAAGAATATGATGATGACGAAGAAGAGGAAGAAGAAGAAGAGAAAGAGTATGAAAAGATGATAAAGGGGAAAGTATCCAGTCCAAAATTAAGAGAGACTTATTTAAAACATAAAAACTCATTAAGAAGACATTCCATATCCTCTTTTAATTTAAAAAAGACACCATCTATTACCACTGCTTCTTATGCAATATCTTCTTCACCACCCCAACTGTCAAATACTGACTCTGAATTATGGAAAGCTACATTAGTTAAATTAAAACAATCTTTATCTAACACTACCAAGAAGAAGAAATTAATACCAATGCCTATACCACCTAAAAGACCTACTCATGGTTTATCACAAAAGAAAAGAAGATCAGAAGCTACCACTCAGCCAAGATTTAATCCAGACACGAATACATATACACGAGACACAAGGTCGAATCCAGATCATCTAAGAATGATATCAGCAGAACTTAATATGATGAGAGCAAGAAAATTATTAAGTCCATTAAAACCAAGAGGTTTCTTACCAAGAAGAAAAGATATTTTTATACGTGGAGAAAATAGAAAGATGTCTCGATTAATGCACGAAATAATCATTACCTAATAATTAAAATGATTGGTCAGCTATATAACGCGACAAAAAACAAAAAAAAAAAAAAAAAAAAAAAAAAAAAAAAAAAGAGGGAGTCTAAACAATAATAAGCAAACAACAAAGAAGCTCTCTTTCTCTCTCTCTCTCTCTCTCTCTTTTTTTTTTTTTCCTTTATATATACATACATATATATATAACACGTCTTAAATTCTTCTTTTTATCTCTCTTTTGCTCTTTTTTTTTTCTTTTAAACATATACATATACATATATAGATAAATAGATATATTATAGATATATTTATATCTATATAATGTTACCTAATCCAACCATTAATAAACGTTTCAATCAACATCATGCTAGAAATAAAAATAATAAAAATAACAATAATAATGATTTGAAATCACTTCGTAATCAATTCAAGAAAGCTATATTACCTTTAAAAGAATTATTTCCTGAATGGAGTCAAGATGATTTATTATTTGTTATGGATGAATGTCAAGGTGACTTGGACTTAGCTATTACTCGAATTACAGAAGGTTTTTAAATATACTTGCATTAATTACATGTATATATAGACATTTTTAAAAAAAAGAACTAAATATTATCTATTTATTTATTTTTTTTCTATTAGGCTATGCAAATCAATGGGGACAAGTTAAATCAAAGAAACCAAAACCTCAATCACAACCACAACCACCTAATAAAAAGATGAATAATAACAAAGAAAAAGGTAAAATAAACGAGTAGACGATATAATAAAAGTAATTTAACCCTTTCTTGTCAAAGATTCTTCGAATACTCGTTACAATAAAAAAACAAAAAGTAGTGGAAAGAATTATAAATTTAAAAAGCAACGTAAAGAAGAGAAAAAGATGAAAGAACCAACAAGTGCTCCAGAAGAAGAGCAAAAGCCTTCTTGGGCAAGTATTCTTCGTGGACCATCTAAACCTGAAGAATCGACTACTGAAAAAGAACATGAACAACCATCCGATGTAACTCCAATTACAAAAGAAGTAACAAAAATAGAAGAGTTAAATGAGTGTGAAGATTTGGAAAATAAAAAAGTACAACAAGAGGAAAATGATGATGACGATGATAATAAAGAAGAGGAAGATGAAAAAGAAGAGGAACAAAAGGAGGAAATAGAAGAAAAACAAATTAATGAAAAAGCACAAGAGACGATTAATGATGAATCTAATCCAACTATTACATCAACAGTAACAGCAACAATTAGAATACAACCAATAAGAAGATTAAATCAAACAGAAGCAGTTGTATTACCAAATAATCAGCAACCTACTTCACTTGCAGAATCAGTTAATGTTCAGTTTGGTACATTAAATTTAAATGATAGTGATGATGAAAATGAAAAAGCTGTAAAAGAAACTGAAATTGTCAACGTGACTAAAAAGAAAGAAGAACCTATTTTAAAAGAAGAAAAAGAAGAAAAAGACCAAAAAAAGGAGACAAAAGCAATACAACAGAATAATAAGCCACTTCCTCCACAACCAATCAACTATCAACCACAGCATGTAGTGAACCCTTATGCCTCTTATTCATATAACACTAATAACAATAATGAATATACAGACATGCAAAGAATAGTAAGTAAAACTTCCTTTACACTACTAGTATTAAAATATTAAATAAATATATAAATAGGCTGTTACGACTGCATATTATGATCCCACTTTATATAGTCAGTCACCTTCTATTATACATGATAATAATAAATATAACATGGAAACTATGATGCATCATCATCATCATCATCACCATCATACTCCTCCTCCTCCTTTACCTCCTCAACAACATAATGATGCTTCTTACTTTTCAAATTATTTTAATGCAATGCAACAATATCAACAATACATTCAAATGTATAATCCGTATCAACCTATTCCAGTGAATAAACCTGTGTATCATCATCATCATCCTACTGCTTCTTCTTCTACTACTACTACACCCGCCCCAATGTACAATCCTAATTATATTGATAAACCACCTCAGTCACAACAACCCAATGAAATTATGTACAATAATAATAAGGAACATCCTAATATGTATCAACAACAGCCTTACCCTATGCCACCACCACAACAACAACCTTATTATCCACAACAATACTATCCACAACAAGAGCAGCAGCAAAGACAACCTTATTGGCATTAATTTTTTTTTATAATAAATTGTACATATACAAATATATACACATTTATATACTACATATATCATTATATATAATAATAGACTAGTATGTAACATGACTATTTATAGCAACCATTAATTTAGAGTAGCCCTATTTTCTTCTTCTTCTTCTTCTTCTTCTACTACTACTACTACTACTACTACTATTTCTTCTCCTTTTCCTTATATTATTAATAATATGGTTCTTCTTCTTTTATCATTATGGGGGCCATTATTAATTTCATTAATAGCTAGTATGTCTCAGGCTTTTGGTATATCAATACAAAGAAAATCACATCTTGTTCATAGACCATCTTTATGGATATTGGGGTTCTTAATTTATACCATTTCGAATCTAATTGGATCAACATTTACCATTGGTTATTTACCTATCGTTATATTAGCACCTATAGGAGCTATTGGCTTAGTATTCAATGCTATCTTTGCTAAATGGATATTAGGTGATTCATTTACAAAGAAGACTTTATCGGGTAAATAGTCATTATTATGATTTCCCCCTCGTCGTCACAATTTATTTATCTAATGATTTATTTATTTAGGTACAGGATTAATTGTTGTAGGAGCAGGATTCATAGCTGGATTTGGAACAATATCAGAACCAAATCATTCATTAAAAGATTTAATTACACTTTATAAAAGACCTTCTTTTATTATCTACTTTTCATTGCTAGAAATAAGTATTTGTATTGGCTTGATTTGTACACATGTTATGGAATATTTAATGAAGAAAAGAAACTATCAACAAGGTCCAGCAGAAAAGATGTGGCTTGGAATAAGGTACTGGATTGAATGGGATGATTTCAATTATTAACCCCTTTTTTTTTTTTTCAAAGTTATGGTTTATTAGGGGCTAATATTAGTAGTCAAGCTATGTTATTTGCTAAAAGTGGATTAGAATTGTTATTATTGACTATTTTTCATCATGAAAATCAATTTATTTATCCTTTGACTTGGTTTATTGTCTTTGCATTAATCGTGACAGCTTTATTACAGGTAAATCATATTACATAATAAATAGATAATTAAATAAAATTTGTAAAAAAGTAGCTATATTACTTGAATAAAGGCGTTCAACTGTGTGATACGATGATATTGGTGCCCTTGAACTTTTGTTCATTCAACATATCATGTTTGTTTAATGGATTAGTTTATTATAATCAATGGGATAAATTATGTTGGTGGCAAGTGATGATTGTTCTGTTGGGTATTATGTTGCTTGTCTATGGTGTCTTGATGATTTCTAATATAAATCAATATTCTTTGCTGGTTATTAAAGAAGATAGCAAGCCATTATTATCATTAAATAAGAAAGGTGTATCTTATACTGTAAATAATGATGAAGAAGAACAATGATTATTTTCTTTTTAAATTAAAGAATGATTTTTTATCATGAATGGATGATTTTTCAAGTAATCTTTTCTTTACTACAGTAGAAGAAGAAGAAGGAGGAGGATTTGGTAAGGCTCTTTTCAATACAGGAGTGCTTGACATGATAACATTCTCTTTGAAACTATCCATTGAATCATCTTTGATTTCATCCTAATAAGTAAAATTACAATAAAATCAAAATAATGGACATGATTTTTAGTTCACCTTGAATTTGACTAATTCATCTTCACTATCAAAGCATAACCATGATGAAAAGTCTTTCATATGTTCTTGCTCTATCTTTTTATTTGTTGTATAATTTAGATCTCTGACCGTCATCGGGCTTTGCTTCAAGACTGCAAACTCTGGTAATGACATGTCTCTTTCTTTTTCTTCTTCTTCCTGTGCTATTAAATAGAGGGGTAACTCTTCTTTATAACAGTCAATAGCATCAGCACGACCTTTCTCTACTGCTTTAAACTCATTATCGCTTGTACATAGATCATAATTAATAAGTGAATCAAATGATTTCCTCTCCTCTGAGAACCATGTCTTCACTTCACTCTTCGTCATCTCCTGGGCCCTCTTTAGATATCTTTTTATCAATTCAATAAATGACTCATCATAGCTTGCATCTGAAGGTGGTTCTGCAAGAGGGGGTGATGTATCTATGATTATGTCTTCATCATCATCATCATCAGCAGCAGCTTCTTCTTCAAATAAATAACATCCATCAAAAGAATCAAGTATCATTGACTTTTCTTCTTCTTCTTCTTCTTGGCTTGACATTTTTATTTTATTATTAAAATTTATAAATGTATATAGATATAGATAGATGTATTTATATCTAAATATTTAAAAAAAAAAAAAATGAAAGAAAAAGAATAAAGATATATGACAACAATAATAATAATATATTTTATATTAGATAGGATTTTTTTTTTTATCGTCTAGGTCTAGGTTTAACTACAAAAGGATTGGGTGATTTCCTTGTCTTGCCACCCTTTGCTAATACACCCCAGGGGGATTGTGGATGTTTATTACCCTTTGATTTACCTCTACCACCACCATGAGGATGATCTGTTGCATTCATGGCTACACCACGTACTGTAGGTCGAATACCCAACCATCTTAATCGACCTGCTTTACCCATCATTTCATGCTGATGATCAGGATTACTAACTGCTCCAATAGTAGCGCAGGCATCAACAGGTACTAAACGAACTTCACCGCTTGATAAACGTACCTGGGCATATCCTGTTTCACCGGTTTGAATTAATTGAGCATATGTACCAGCTGCTCTCGCCATGATACCAGGTCCATTTCGTTTTAACCCCACATTATGAATAATGGTACCTACTGGAATCATCTTGAGAGGCATACAATTACCAACATCAATAGCAACTGTACGTGTAATACCTCTCTTTTCTTCTTCTTCTTCTTCTTTTCCTTTTTTGCTTTTTTCTACAGAACGATACGATCTTACTTTATCACCTGCCTTTAATCCCTGTGGGGCAACAATATAACTTAATTTAGCAGTCGTATCATGACGCAACAGGGCGATCCAGGCCGTACGTCCGGGGTCATATTCAAGTCGCATCACCGTCTGTACTCCATTCTCTTGACGATGCCAATCCAAGATACGAATTCTTCGCTTATGTCCTCCACCACGATGACGAACGGTGATACGTCCATGACTATTGCGTCCTCCTGAACTTCTCTTTTCCATCGTCAAGCGACGTACGGCTTTACCCTTGTAGAGATGATCACGAGGAACTCGTTTTAACCAACGTTTACCAGCTGTCGTTGGTTTCTTCGTTTTGAATTGACTAGACGGTGTAGCCGACGACTTGATGTCCGTTATCGCATTCCCTTGTGTATTGAACCCGGTAATAAAACTAGGCGTCCTTTCAGTTGTATATCTTCTTCCCTTTAATGGACTGAAACGTGTAATAACGGAAGTCAGCGTCTGTGTCGATTGTACTGGTTTTAATGGTATTCGTAATCTTGATTGTTGTGCTGCAATTTGTATAACTCGTCCTAATCGAAACATATATATATATATTTTTTTTTAAAAAATAATAAGAGAAGAGAAAATTTTATTTTATTTTATTTTATTTTTTTTTATTTTTTTTTTTTTCTTCTTCTCCACTATTATTTCAAGGACAGGCCCCTAATTCTTAATTAATAAATGGTAGAGTGTGTACATAGTAAATAAGCTAGGGTGGCCGGGGTGGGGTGGGGGGTGAGAGGGAGAGAGGGAGAGAGGGAGAGAGAGAGACTGACTGAGGAAATACCAAAAGAAAGAGAAACATGATGTGAAATGTCAAATGTTTCAGACTCAGTTAGAAATTTCCTAAAAAAAAACACACACACACACACACATTAAAAACAGAATACAATAATATTATTATCATATGATAATATGATCACATAGTAATAATAGAATCATGGGAGACGGTGAAGAAGTGATACATGTTCATATTTATGGTTAGGTGGTGTATGTATGCTTATTTATTATTATTATATACATAAATTATTAGTTTCTAATAGAGTGTATGAAAATATTTACAATATAATACAAGTCCTTTTACTATCATTCAGGCGTAAAAGGTGGAATAGGTAAAGGAAGATCAAGCACTGCTAATAATGTCCTTTTCATCTCCACTGGTGAAATAGGTTTACCAATACAACCATTCTATATTCCCAAAAAAAAAAAAAAAAAAAAAAAAAAAAAAAGAGGAGTGAGTGAGATAATTCTTTTGGTATAATAATAATAAAAAAAAATAACGCATACCATGCCACTTTCAGTATAAGTGTGTCGCCATGATGGTGAATCATTTGTGGTTACTGCAACAATGGGGGCTTTACGATTTCGAGGTAAAATATCAAACTCAATAGAAGATCGGATATGAAGCGTAGTCTCTATTCCATTCATGATAGGCATATCGATGTCCATCAAGATAAGATCAAAGGGTCTGCATTTGAGTACCTCAAGTGCCTTGACACCACTTTTAACGAGTTCAACTTGATTAATGATATCTGAAAGATGAATACTCAACAATTTAGATAGAATCTGCAAGTTGATAGGATTATCATCTACGATTAGAACGTGTATTCTGGGGAAACAAAGTGTATGGGGTGGGGTACTGAACCTTCGTTTATTTAGTGATAACATTCTTTTATTGCTATTATCATTAGATGACGGTAATGGCGTTGTGGAAGAGGCAGATAATCTTTTACTATTTAGCTGAGATAGGATAGGTGGCGAAGGCAAGGAGGTCGATAGCTGTGCCATACTGAATAAATCCCGGTTATCCATAGGAATCTCTGTTTCTTTTTCTTCTTCGGGTGTAAAGATAGATGAAGGATAAAGAATGCAAGTTGGTCGAGAAGGTGATTTTCCAGAATCATGAATATATAAAGCATTCGCTGAGCCATTATTGGCTGTTGATGTATTAAGTGTCATATCACTTGACCTTGACACTGGCTTTTTGTTTTTTTGATATGTAAAGTAATCCATTCAATTAGCAATAAAATGGAGATAAAAAGAGAATGAAAAATGAAAAAATAAAATAAAATAAAATAAAAAATAGAAAATTAACTGATGCTTGACTTTTTTTGTTTTACAAATGCAACACAGGCAAAAAAAAAAATGTATGTATCATCGGAAAAAAAAAAACTTCTTTTTTGGGGGGAAAGACAATAAATTAGATAATATAATTGGTTTATGTAAAATAATAACTTTATTTAATTTGTAAAAAAGAAAATTTCTTTCCTTTTATGTGACATAAAATAAGGAACCAACCAAATTTAGTGTATTCGTTTATAAATACAATACAAAAACGATAAAAAAGGGAAAAATAAAAAGGTATCAATAATTTATTGTCATGATCAAAATACATTAAACATAGCAACAATAAATCAAAAATGTACCTTATTTCTCTTAGAAAACTTAATTATGTCAAAAACACTGGTGAATAAATAAGTGTATTATTTATATTGCTTTAGAATAAACTATAGAATAACCAATCTATTCTCAACTTGCAAACTTAGAGTCATATGCTGATATAAAATAAGTTTATTTTACTTTATTTTATTTTATTTATATAATGTTTAATATACTTGGCTTATACCATTTTATTAATCGCAGCCATTCTTAATAGATTATGTATGTTGATAAGAAACAGGCTCCAGTCTAGTTTTATAATAAATTATAATATTGGATTTGTTTTTTTTTCTTGTAATAAACAAGTTAGTAACACGTTTACATTAATCATAATCATAATGAAAAATAATCAACAGAGATGATTATAATAGTTGTTACATGTATAATAGTACTTTAGTATCATTGATAAAGTAGTAACAGTTATCTGAGACAAAATGATCAAACGTTTTCAATATCCTTTTTCGAAATGTGATGAATTTATATATAATACTTATTTATTTATTTATTTATTTTTCAAAAAAAAAAAAAACAAGCCATAAATTTCAACGTTGTTATGAATAATATGCGCCATTTATTTTATAGTAGTGCAGCCTTCTTTGAAAAGAATGCCTCCCCCTTTCTTTTTTTTTTTTTCTTTAAAAAAAAATACAACTTTAGAACACAATTATGAATAATAAAATAGATAGAATAGCAGTAGTTGGAACGATTTATATTGTTTTTATTTATGGTCTAGAATATGCGTTTAATATAAAAGGACAACAGCATTATTTGTCAGTCTATTTTGTTGTAAAAACCTGTTTGTTTCCCAGCTAATTATCATTATTATAATAATTACAGGTAATTATGTAATAATATTTACGCGGTTAAATTTTTTTTTTCTTTCTTTCTTTCTTTCTTTTGAACAACAACTCTTCTAACATTACATAATCATTCATTTTAAATTTAATGATAAAGTATTTGATAATTTAATGAAAAAGTTTGTAATGAAAAGACTACACTGATAAATAAATAGAATGATGATTTAAAAGGAGACTTTGCAAAAGTAATAATAATAATAATACTATTAGAGAGATTATTGGCTACTTTTTGATGAATATGTATTAGTTAATATACATAAAAGGGTCTACTAATAAAATAGTAATTTAAATATGATACTGATTGATTGTATATTAAATGTTTATATTGTTGATAGCTGTATTTACACGAAAAAGAACATATTTTTAGATGTCAGTTGTTAGAATAATTCGATAGCACTAAGGCTTTATCCTATCATTTACTATGAAACATTTACTTTTTTTTCCTTTTCATCATTCTATTGTTATAAATGTGTGTCTTCGAGAAGACAGATCACTACTTTATAATATTTATTTTATTCTTATGACTCACAATAGCATCATTGTAATATTACAGTAAAAAAAAAATTCAGTCATGATAAAATGTCATAAATGTCATTTCCACTTTCATTTTTTTATAATAGAATATTTAGCTACAAAATCATATATGTATATAAATAAAAGAGGAATAGTTCTAGTTAGAAAGAAAAGTATTTTACTAAAAAATAGAAAAAAAAATAAAATAAAATTATAAATATTAAATATTAAAAAAAAAAATAAAATAAAATAAAATAAAAAAAAACCCTAAAAATAGACAAATGTGGCTATTTTATAATTTTAAAGTCAGAGATGTTACTGCGTGATTACTTCACTCAACAACTTTCTCTAGTAATTGATAGAGCATCAAATAACTCGATACTATTCTATGTCTTCTCAACACACGCTTATCTTAACTCACATTTGCATAAAATCATTGTAATGTGTTTGCCAAGCAAAAATAAATAAATAAAAAATAAAGCATAGTCGATCGACGTAATCACTATGGTGAATATGCGGTATGTTGTCATTGTTTATTTTGCCCTAATTTGGAAAAAATTAATGCTACTCAGAAATATAGTAGTATCCTAGGGATATTATAAATCATTACTGTCCCCCTTTTTTTTTTGTTAATCATAGGTAAAAAAAAAAAAAAAATTACTATAAATATTTTACATACAGTATTTAAAATGAGTGTATAATTACAACCTATCTATTATCCTTTATATGGAAAGAAATAAAGGACAAGCATATATATATATGTGTGTATGTATGTATGTACGAATGTATATGAATAGAAATGTATTTTTTTTAAAAAAAAAAAAAAAAAAAAAAAAAAAAAGCCTTGATAACTCCTATTTGTTTTGATTTTCAGTTATATAGTTAAATCATAACAAACATGTTTCAGTCTTTAGTGCTTTTTGTGCCTGAAAAAAAAAAAAAAAAAAGAAAGGGGGAAAATAATTACAGGATACTCTTGATATTATCTGTATGTTTTGTTGACATTTTCCAAACCGGATTCTCTTTTCTTTTACATAAGCTGACATTATAATTTTTTACTAAACCTGTCGTAATAAAATGTGAAGAGTCGTCAATAGTGAGATTAACAGGGTCCAAAAAAAAAAAAGAAAAGATTTATTTCTAAAATTAAGTATAGAACAGGAATTAAAGCATACCATGCAACATAACTTCAATACTGTCTTTAGCACCTTGATTTATTATATATATAAATATATATAAATATATGTGTGTATATATTAATAAAGAAGTAAATTACTTTTTTCTTTTTCTTTTATTTTTTCATCTTCAATATCACTCCTTTTTTTTTAAAAAATAAATTAATAAAAATAAAAAAAAAAAACTTTATCAAACTCAGTTAAAAATGAAGTCTAATAAACTTGCATTATGCACTACCATCGCTGCCTTATGCGCTTCTATGGCTTTAGTCACCTCATTTCCTTTGAAAGAAGAAGAAACAACAAAGACATCTTCTGTAGATTTTTATCCTTTGGGTTTAACCTCTTCTTATGTCGAAACAGCAGACTCTATTCATGAATCTAACACGGATGATAGCAACAGTACTTTGCATCTTATAAGAAGACACGACAGCGACCACAACGACAACCATCATTCTAAAAAGGACAAGGATAATTCCATTATTGAGAATAACACAAATACTACCACTGCCGATCACTCAGCTTCTCCTTTTAGTGACCTTCATTCCAAACATAAACATAAACATCATTCCAAACATGAATCCTCTTCTCATCATCATCATGAAGCAACGAAAAAGCATAAACACTCGAAAAAGTCAAAGGAATCCGAAAAGCACTCCAAGAAGGACTCCAAAAAGAAGTCTAAAAAGTCAAAGAAATCCAAAAAGTCAAAGAAATCCAAGAGTACAAAGGAAGGTGGTCTCAAGAAATGTTACAAGAGAGCTCTCTTAACACAATACTGGATACCCAAGGAAGGTGATGAAGATATGTTGAACGATGGCAAAATTGTAAAGTTGACCGGTCCAAAGACAAAAGAATTAAAGACTACTTCTGGTGAAGTCATTGCCAAAGTATCCAAGATAACTTATGAGGTACGATAATAGATCATTTATATGCATATACATTATATATTTATCTCTATTATACATCTATAGAAATTTCAAATGGAAGGTACAGGCTTACTTGAAAATGGTGTTATGGTCAATTTGAATAAAGGACGTCATACATTTATGGTGATTGATCGAAAGAAGGATAGTTATGGCTTAGGCAGTAAAGGTGATCCTTTAATTCCCTGGGTCAGTGTAGCTTCAAATGATATCAAATATGGTACCAAACTCTACATTAAGGAATTAGATGGTGTCACTTTACCGGATGGCAAAGTTCATAACGGCTGTGTACGTGTCGATGATAAAGGTTGGAGCTTTGGTGATTGTCAACTTGATTTCTTTGTGTTACAATTTACTGCTTATCAATCATTAGATAAATATTTACCCAAGAGAGTCACTGTGACAACGCAAGAATGTACCATCTTGAACTATGTGACAGAAAGTGTAAAAGAATGGGCTGTTTTAAATAATTAGAATTTTAACACTATTACTTATATTATTATTTATACGTATGATTCCCTTTTATTCTTATTCTTATTATTGTAAATTTATTCTATTATGTATTATTTAATAAATTATATTTATATATTTATACACACATGTATCTTTATACACACATGTATCTTTATACACACACATAATACACACATGTATATACACCTGTCTATTATTTTATTTTATTTTTTATTTTTTTTTTAAAGAGCGTGACTGTTCTAGATAAGAGAGAAAAAACAATAGCAGGGGAATAAGATTTATTATTATACACATACATAAATAGGATTGTAGTAGTAGTAGTAGTAGTAGTAGTATATATGTATGTATTTTATATACACAATTTTTACAAATATAAGATACAAATTATTCATCATAAGAAACAACATCAGATAAAGGGGATGGAGGTATATAATTTAAATCATTCGGATCATCTTGAATTTGATAGAGAATAGGCATAAATGACTCAGGTTCTACAAGTGAAGCATTCTTTTCATTCATGATGATTGATTTCTTCTTTATATTCTTCTTCTTATTATTAGGGGAATTTGATTTCTTCTTCTTTTGTTTACGTCGATTAGGCCATTCTTGTTTAAATATTGTATAATGACGTTCACAACGAGGACATCGTTTAGGTCTCCAATCTGTAAAAATAGCACTTGGACTCCATGTCCAGGTAGCTAATTCATTTGTAATAGATACATCTGCACCTACTTGTTCTGAGATATCTTCCTTCTTTAAAGGTCGATCACAAGCAATACAAATTAATTCTTGTGACATACTACTACTAGGTGATTGAGATCTCTTTTTTTTATAGTTGTCTTTTTCGATTTTGGTTTTGTTTGAATCATCTCCTCCTCCTCATGATCTGTCCAAGTAGATAATTCCGTACTACTTACAGAAGATAGATCAGATACATCGTCAAAGAAAGTATTTAATAAATCCATATTATCATCAAGATGATCGTTATTTTGATTAAATGACCAAGTATGATCTTCTTCTTTCTTTATTTGAACAAGCTGAGGAGATAAACTGATAGCCGAATCTGATTTTGAATCATTTGAATCTATAAGAGATGATTGCGGTGAATCTTCTGATTGTATCGACTTTATGAATTGATTTAAATAACCTCTTTCTTGTTCAAAGAAATTAGATTCCTTTTTATTGGATTTAATATATTCAGCGTCTACTGCAGCATCCACTAACATATCAAGTAAAGGACAATCTGATACTCTACGTTGTTTTATAACCGGTGACCTTTCTTCCTCATCACTACCGCCACATAAAAAATCAATACTCATCACCTTTAGTCTTGCCAACTTTTCTGTAGTTGAAGTTGTTGGAGAGACAGGAATAGGCGGTAAAAAAAGCTCATCTTCCTTTTTAGATAATTTTACTTGTTGGTCACCGATCAATTCTTCTAAAGAATCAGTAGAATGTGTTTGATTAGGAGATAAAGGTTCAATAGAAGCACGTTTTGAGCGTCTATTTGGTATATAAGAAGTATGTGTATAATCTAAGTGGGAAAAAAAAAGATGAATATAAATGATATATGTAAATAAACTTTATATAAATTTTATACCTTCATATAAAGCAGATTTTCTTTTCCGAGTACTACGTCTGGTACTGCCCCCCTGATCTTCATTCATCGTTACCGTTGAATTTTCTTTTGTTTCAAGTGATGCAAAATAGCCCATACCCAAACTATGTTTCCTCTTATTAAACACACCACTCATTATATACATACATAACATATAACTTACTTTTCACATGTACTACATTTACATTCACAATTATTTTCACCAAAATAATGTTTACCATAATAGACAGTAATTTCTTCACCAAATTTGATATCTTTGATTACTTTAAAAATAATTGAATTTTGACCTAAAGCTATAAACTATGTAGTACACATAGACAATTCTAATATTAAAATAGCGCCCTTCCTTTTTTTTTTTTTTTTTTTTTTTTTTTTCTTCTTCTCATCATCACCATTACCTTGCAATTAGAATCACAATCATGATTAGCAAAACGAGCAGGGCCCAAAAAAAGACAACTACAATTCTTTCGAGTAGACCACATTACACTAAAGTCTCGGTTACCTTTCTTTAATTCAGCATCATCCTTTGGATCTAAACAAGCTATCATCCCTGTCAATAATCTCATTTCATCCCCAACATTCCAATTCTTTGTAGCAATTAAACAGGCCTCTACTTTTCTACCATTATTACAATATCTTCTTGTATCTCCTATCTCATAACCTGCATTCGGCATGTACCTAAAAATGATCACAGACATATAAAAAGGGAATAGCTATCAATATAAATATCCATTTTTATATAATTTCACATATGTATATTCTTTACATGTATAAATATCTTTTCATATGTTGAATAAATTCTTGAATTTGTTTTTGACTTTTTAAAGCAAGATACTGTTTAAAATAATCCAACCTAAAATAGAAGAATAGATATAAAGAAAATGATGATGTTAATATGATGTACACTTGCCGTATATGTAAGACAAATAAATAAAAAGGACCAAAATGTTATTACACAATGGAAAAAAGAGTTAAAAAGAAAAAGAAAAAGGATAGAAAAAGAAAAAAAAAGGTTTATATAAACTTACTTTAATATTTCATTCACTGCATCCATAGTTTTACCTTTTTCAAGTATGTTTCTTTGAATGATATCTAATATCTTATGATGCGGTACTCTTGGCCTTCGATGATCATGATTCATTTTAATTGTATTAAACCAAAGAAAAAAATTATCCAAAAAGATATCTGTAAACAAGTCATCATATCGAGATAAGACCTTGAAATCCATCAAGTTTTCTTTGTTATTATGATTTGTATTATTATTTGTCATCATTTTGAAAGCGAAATAGGAATAAATTATATGAAATAGAAAGGGGTATTTTTTTTTTTTTTTAGTTTTGTTCAAGTAATCTATTAATTTAAAAGAAAGCTGTTAAGCATTGAAGTAGAAATGAAAAAGAAAAAGAAAATAAAATAAATAAAGAAAAAGAGAAAGAGAGAAAAAAAAAAAATAAAAAAAATAAAAATATTTTATGGTTTCCATGATTTTATTCAGCATCCAATCATTTTTATCAAAAATTAACTATTTTTCTTTTCTTTTCAAAGATATCATTATCGTTACTTTCTTTTTTTGAATAAAGTAATTGTCGACAATTTCTAGCATAAAAGTCATTAAGAAGTTTAACAGGAACATACGGTAATAGATAGAATAGTACAGCGTCATACAGATTCTTAGTAAAGAGTTTATTTTGAAATGAAATCTTGTTTTTTTTTTTTTTTACATTAATAATGGACTAATGATCTTTGTTTTAAAAGAAAAATACAAATTCAGGGGGGGGGGAGGTAAAAGAAAAGATTGGATATTTGGTTAATAAATAATTATCGATCAAGATATCGAGTTAAAGAATAAAAAAGAAGAGAAAGAAAAAGTGGAGTGTTAAAAGTATAAAATATTCATCCAATAATTGTTGTGAATTTGAGACTTCAGTTATGGTTTCTTCTTTTTTCTTTTCTTTTTTTTTGGGGGGGAGAGGAAAGTAGAAAATAAATATAGCATCATCTGCCCTGAAAAGAATTGGACGTCTTTATTACGTAAGGTATTTTCTTCATATATCAAACAGATATAAATGCCGTTCATTGGCTGATAATGGAAAGAAAATTTATCCAAAAAAAGAAATTAATAATAGTTGTTGTGTCGTATTTCTGCATGATCGTAATTGCTCCTTACATATTGTACAATAGACTTATCTAATTGAGCAGTAAATTTATTTATTTTTTATTTCTTGTTAAAGGACCTCTTTTGGAGACTCGTTTTTTATTTTTATTCTATTATTTATAAATATAATTCAAATACTGATTCATGAAAAGAAAGAAAAAAAACGAATCTCCAAAATAGGCTTACTTGTTTGCGATCCTATTCGTGGGTCAAATCTCTTTACATCTTGCTAAAAAGTCGTGCTGCCAACGAGAGTCCAACTGTATCATGTGATTTGTCCAATACAGATAAAGAACAAAGATAAATAAAGCTTAACAACGAAGTAAAGTTTAGAAAAAAAAACGTCTTATCTTTATTGTCGTCGACGACTACTACGTTGCTCTTTCTTCCAATTGTTCTGCATCACAAAGGAATTGAATGACTGATTCAATGATAAAAAGTGCATTGGTAGAGCACAGCTAAACGCAAAGCCTACTCATATCAATGTCTTCTTCATCTTGTATTGATTGAACATGATTTTTGTAGGATCAACAGCCGACTTGTATCAAGCATAGTCACCTTTTTAAGTTTGGAAATAAAATATTTTATATGATAGATATACACATATTTTTTTTTATTTGATAAACCATGTGTATATAATTAATAGATGCGAAGAGAACAGCTGACCATAATACAGCAAACTATAATATGCGCGCATTTTATAGGCATATTATATCACTTGTTAGAATTAAAAAATAAAAAATAAAAACCCATGCTTTCTTTTTCTCTCTCTCTCTCTCTTTTTTTTTTTTTCTTTTTTTTTAAATTTTTATTTCCTGTTTCAACTCTTTTTTAAATATATATAACTTTCTTGATTAGTAAAGATGACATGTAATGTTGATGATGTACCTAATGGCTCTATGCTTCAAGTGGATTCCCCAGAGCCTACTTTACTCAAAGTAGAAGTATTAGATCCCAAGTAAAAAAAAAAAAAAAAAAAAAAAAAAAAAAAAAAAAAAAAAAAAAAAAAAAAAAAAAAAGCTCTTGTATATCATATTATTCATGTTTTCATGATTTATCTTATCATTATTTATGCAGACGTAATTATCAAACTCAGTCTTGGAAGAATGGTCTTGGTAAAACGTCTGAAATAAGTATTTACCCCCCAGAAAAAGATTTTCGTAAAGACTCCTTCTTTTGGAGATTAAGTGAGAATTTTATTGAAGCGGATTTTAATTATCCAATTTTATTGGGTTATGAATATACAAACTTGGTCTTACCTAGTGGTGATCATAGTAAAAGCACTATTCAACTGAATCATCGTGGTGAAGAGACGTCTACAACCGTTACACCTCTTTTTCCTTATTCATGGAATGCAGAATGGTATATAGATAATAATAATAAAATCCTCTCCTTTTCTCTTCTCTACTAATACGGAGCATAATGATATTAGGGCAACAAGTTGTAAAGTAATAGATGCACCATTAACATGCTTACAGTTTTTAATTAAACGTGAATTGGGAGCAGCACAATTTTCGGTGGACAAGTTGGAGCAACTTGTATCAAATGAAGATGGAGAAACAGGAAGAAAATTAGTATTGGGTGCTTTCGCTTTAGTTTATGTGATAGAAGGTCATATTAGGGTAGGTTTAGATGAAAATAGTCCGCAAGGTGCTCATCATGCTTTGTCTACTGGGCAAACTTTATATGTGGAACGTGATGAAGATGCTTCTCCAACAAGTATGACCATTCAGGTAACAGACGCTTCAGGTGGCGTGGGTAATCATGATCAAGGTAATACTGGTATATATATATATATATATATTCATATATATTTTAATACTAACAAAAAAAAAAAAAAAAAAAAAAAAAAAAAAAAAAAAATGAGCTAATTTATTTATGACATAATAATAATAAAAGACGCAACTATCGTGATCATTCAAATAACAGAAACAAAAAAAAATGGTGCACCTTCTACACTTGGCACAAATACATCTGACTATGGGGGAGTTCAGTCTAATACGATCAATAATAATCAATTTACTTCATTAAACGCTTTAACACCCATAAATGCTTCAGATACAACAACGACGTCTACTCTTGATAACATAAATATTTCACCGATACAACACAATTATATAACGGAGGATGCACCAAGTCGTCGTCGAGAACCACGTCGTAAGGGCTCATTGGTTGTTTATGATGATCAGCCCTTTTGGAATCTTCCTCAAGATGTAGCAAAACAAATGGTGGATCAAGAAATGAGTGCCTCAGCTTCAGCTATTCCTATTTCTTCAGATAATATTGGTGGTGAGTTGGCTACAACTTTAAAACGTGACTCGACGGGGGATGTCACGAGGCCTGAGGTAGGTAGACGTAATAGTATAGCCATGTTACGCGATAAATTAGATGCTACACAAATCTACAAACCTCCCAAATTCTCTGATCTTAATCAAGACACCGATGTTCCTCCTCCAGTTGTCAGAGATCGGTTAGTTGTCGAAGATTTCCCAAAACATACCATGAGTACAGTTTGGATTAAAATGGTCAAGCAAGGTCTTAGTGAATGGATTCGTCTCCCTGTTATCGTATGTCGTGGTAGTGAAGATGGCCCCGTCGTAGGCATCACAGCTGCCGTCCACGGTAACGAGCTCAATGGTGTCCCCTGTATTCATCGTGTGGTATCTGAGATTGACGTCCGACATTTACGTGGTACCGTGGTCGCTGTCCCCTGTGTGAATGTGTCAGGTTATCTCAAGTTTACGCGTGATTTCGCTGATGGTCGTGATCTAAACCGTCTCTTCCCTGGACGTGAAGATGGTTTCGCCTCTCAAGTTTATTGTTATCAACTGATGAATCGTGTCATTTCTCAATTTAATTATTTGATTGATCTTCATACTGCAAGTTTTGGACGTGTCAATTCATATTATGTAAGAGCAGACATGAATGATCCCTTCTCTGCTACAATGGCGAGATTACAACAACCTCAAATCGTTTTGCATAATTCAGGACAAGATGGTACACTTCGATCTGCTGCCTCTGCTAGAGGTATTCGAGCAATTACAGTTGAAATTGGAAACCCACAATTATTTCAAAGTCAATATGTTCAGGTAAAGAAAGAAAGAAAGAAAAAAAAAAAAGTCAAATATAAATGCTTGTATATGAATGATTAATAGAGATGTAATTACAACAACAAATATAGTGGTCTTATGTAGGCGTTATGCGTATTTTAGATCATTTAAAGATGTATACTTTAAATTCACAGTCAACAGAAGATATTTTGGCTTTGGGTCCACCTAATACAATTCTTTGCTCAAAAGGATTTTGGGTAAGAAATAAGGAAAAAAAAAATGTTGATATATGCAAATTTAATTTTCTTGTATGTATTTTGAGGATAGATTTATACTAGAACAGGAGGTGTCTTGGAAGTATATCCTGGTGTAAATACAATTATTCAAAAAAATGATTTAATTGCACGTATCAAGAATATTTTTGGTAATGTTGTAGATGAATATTATGCACCTTGTAGTGGCATTGTAAGTTATTATATTATATAATAAACTTAAACACATGGAAAGATACTAATAATATATACATGTATTTATATATACATATTTATGTATCCATATTTGTATATGTGTATTTATTTTTTATATACATGCATATATTAGGTAATCGGTCGTAGCTCTAATCCTGTAGCTATGTCAGGTGATCGTATCATTCATTTGGGCGTAATTAAAAAGAAAAATGAAAGTTTGCCCAAAGAAGCTAAAGAAAATTATTAAATGGATGATTTTATTTATTAAAAATACACGAATAAATTTACATATAGATGTAATTAAAGTTATTATACTATGCTAAAAATACACAAGGAAAAAAAAAAAAAAAAAAAAAAGGAAAAGAAATTAAATAGGAGTAGTATGTAATGAATTTAAAGCATGAGGAGCATAGGTATAAGCTGTCATTTTAGAAGGTTGATATGAATGATTTCCAAAACAACTACCTATATAAAGAGGAGAGCGTATACTATTTAAAGTAGGGATGTGCTCATCTTGATGAAGAGATGAAGAAGTTGAGGAAATGCCAGAGGTGATGGTATCGTCGAGAGAAGGCATAGGTGACAAATCAATATGTCGTTTATGAGTCTTGTTGCGTTCTTCGATTAAAATCTTTGCCTCTGCTTCATAATCACAAGTTGGATCAATAGGCTCGGGCTCCTCAGTTAAATAGCCTAATTCTTCAAAAAAGAGATGAATGCCATCTATGTTTTGGATATGATTGTCTTTGTCCACTATACATTCTTCAGGATTTAAGGGCAAAATAGTGGCAAGATTCTCTTGACATTCACTATCTTCCATCCAATTTGCTGTTACTGTATCGCATTCGATTTCAGTGTTATAATCATAATTATCCTCTTCAGGGGTAAGGGACATAAGTTGAAGCCCAGGAATAAAGCAACATTCTTTGTTGTTATTAATATTAGTGTCTACTATGGATGCCATCTTGTATAATAATAAGAGAATGAAAAGGGTATATATGTCTTTTAAATAATAATAATAGTATTGTTTTTTGATAAAATATTATTCATTAGAATAGGAAATAAATAAAAAATAAAAATAAATAATATTCTGATTTTGTGTGTTGTAAAAAAAAAAAATCAACAGAGGCTAAAAAAAAAAAATGTGTGTATTTATATATAAATTTAAAAAAAGGGTTCACTTCACTGTATTTTTAGACATTTTAAGTCTCAGACCTCGGGCGTAATAGGAAAGAGTCTAGAGACACGCCCTTTCGAGTATTTTAATCCAATCGTAAGCTTTTTCGATATATTTGATAGATGTTCCACCGCCACTATTTTTAAAGTGCTATTGTGGCGAATAAGCTTTAGTTTTTTTGGAAAATTTCTTTTTGTTATCCTTTCTTATATTCTTAACATAAAGATGTAATAATGCTCTAGAACGTCTCGTTTATATATAAGTATACGTAGATACACTCTATCATTACGTAAAAACGGGCTTTTTATTCTCAAGTAACTTGCAGGTTTTAAACAAAACAAGTTAAAGTCCCTCTATTATTTCCTTTTTTACACAAATTTATTCTTTAATTGAGAATTCCATGGTTACACCATTCACTGTCTAATTTAGAGAACAATGATAATAATGCTGTTGATCATTTTATATTCTGTTAAAAAGAATGTTGCTTATTCTATTAAACAAGTAATTGAATATGTGTAATATACTTTGTTAAATAATACTTTTAGTTCTTTTTTTTTTTTTTTTTTTTTTTTTTTTTTTTTTTTTTTTTTTTTACTACCAGCAAAGGTAGTAAGAAAATTTTATATTTATTTGTTATAGTAGAAAGAAAAAAAAATTTTTTTTTCGTTATGTTTTGTACTAAAAGTCGGTAAATCTCGGGTAAAAATGAAGTATGCATCTAAAACAAAAGGCTTATTAAAACAAATTATTAACTCGTATTGACAGTATAATAGAAACATAAACACATTGCATTAACTATGATAGAAATAAATAAAGTGTTTTATTTTGTCATACTTGTTATTATTACTATAATTATCGTCTTCATATCTTAATATTCTATCATATAATAATAGTAATCAATAGCACAAAGTAGTTTTCTAATAGTGTCGTAAATAAGAAGAAAATAGTTTATTTTACTATGCTATTGTATGAATCTTTTTAAAATTATGCAATTATGGACATTTTATTTCTATTAAAAAAACAGAGTTTATTTTGACGTAAAAGAAGATCTCTTTTTTCTTAAAAAAAAAAACTTATTATTTATATACAAATAATTTCTCTAACACGGTCACGAAGATCTTTGGTAAATCCAATTGAATCTAAATAATTATCAACTGTTCCATATTCACTTTTAAAGAAATTTAATAAATCTCTCATATTCTATACATAAATATATTAGACAAGTCTTTTGTCATAAAGAAACAATAATGGTTAACTAACCTGTGGTGGTGCTTGTGCAAAGTCATCTGATAAGCCTGCTTTTCTGACTTCTTCTACCATGTCATCATATATAGACGCTAAACCTTTTTGTGTTTTTGCATAATCATTCACAATAATATCCTCTGGTACACCTGCAATAGCCATAATTAAAGCAGAGACCATTCCTGTTCTATCTTTTCCTTGAGTACAATGAATTTCGATAGGATAATTCTCAGGATGAACAAATACCATTAATGCTTCTCGAATTTCCTGTTTACAATAAGTTGCAAATTCTTTATACATTCTGTTGACTCCCATAGGTGATAATACTCTCTGTCCAATTACATAGGCAGCTTTTTTTCGTTGACAAAACATCATTAAACAAATAATATACCTTTTTTTTACAATATGTATTAGTTTTCTATACAGTTATGTATATATAAATTGAAAACAAGGTATGCTTACAGTTTTAAGCTAAATGAGCATGCAGCAAATACACAATATCTTTGGAAATTTTTTCCTGCAAAATCAATTCTGTATTTTTTCCTTATTAATTTTCCATGTCCAGTAGTATTGAAATTTTCATAAGCTAAAGGCTTTTTGGTATCTGAAGGTTTATTCATCACAACGTTACTATCCAACTTGAAAGATATAAAAAGTTAATTCCATATTTTTGTTTCTAATCAATATATATATATTTCTTACATTAGCAAGTACAGTAGTTGGGAAACTTTTATCAATAGGTAAACCCTCACGTCCTTCTATTCTAAAATATGTGTCGGTATTAATTGTCATAAAATAGAATACAAACATATTTGTATGTTATGTTGATTACCCTGAACGTAAATCGAGAATTGTATTAATTTTATGAGCTTCTATAAAGGCATCCACATCTTCTTGGCTCATATTATCTAATGTAGCTGACCTAAATATTAATCCTTCTTTAATGTACCTAAATAATAATGACATGTGTTAATTTAAACTAATAAATTGTTTATTTGGCATTCATTACTTTTTATTTTCAGAATTTTCAGAAGATGAAACACTTAAATCTCGAAAGTTTAACACACCAAAACTACCCTCTTCTTTATTGTAATAAGTTTCTCCTATAAACTTTTCTTGTGCCATTTTGTCTATTACTAATAAAAGAGAAAGACCAGTTTACTGCTTAGTATAACACTTGAATTTATTTCAGGCTAATGAACTTATTTTTTAAACTCCATTTCTTCCTTTTTTTTTTTTTTTTTTTTGATTCCAATAGACCTTAAATACCTCAATATTCAGCGACAGTGATGAATTAATTATAAGGTTCATGTTATACATAGTAAAAGAATGCCTTATTTATTTATTTTTTTGAGTGAATGCGTTCATATTATAGTTTTTTCTTGATTTTACATCAATACTCCTTTATAGGGTAAGTAGTACAGTAGTTTATAGCTGTGTCTGTTAATAGCATCTACCATAAAAGAAATATCGACTAATAAGATATGTAGAATGTGTATTAAATGTAGTATTGATAAGTGCATACATACTACATTTACTTATTGTCTATTTTTTTTTTTTTTGATATATATAATAACTCAAGAAAGTCTATTTTCATAACTTTCTGCTATTATTCTATAAATAATAAAGCTTTAAAAATTTAGTAACTAGCACAGAATATTTACAAATGATTTGTTAAAAAATTCTAGATTTTAGTTTCAAAATAATACAAAAGATATCTTTACTGTGAGAGCACTACTAATAAAAGTTAACTATTTTCTTTATTAAATCCTAACTCTTGTAAACGGCCATGATCATTAGATTATCATAAAAGCAGATTTATTACTGTAAAGCCAAATGCTGCAATTATTCCTTTCTCACTATGAGATCTTAGAAAAAAGAAGATAAATATATTCTTTCCAAGTTCATACATCCACAACTAAATATTGATCCTATATGCTTAAGTATAGTAAGAAAATTTGTTTCTGTTTGTTGGATGAAAATAGGACATATTCTTTGACAAGCTTAACAAAATTTCAATCTTGGTTTAGCGCTTCTCTGCATTAAATTTGTTTATAATAGGATGGATCTTCAATATATTTAATATTTCACTTTATCATATATCGATCTCTTCTTCTTCTTTGTTACATGTGTTATAATGTGTATTCAATAATGTCTATGTTAAAGTAACTTTAAGCACTCTACTAACCCTATTCTTTGGTTATTTGTGATAAATCATGAAATAAATAATGAATATCTTTCTTGATCATTCTTGATCTAGTTTTTAATACTTTAGCTATCCTTTAACAAAAGTTACTCAATTCATTATATACAAGACTTATAAATGTCTCACTCTATAAAAGAAAGTTTGTTGTCTTTCCTACTTCATCATATATCTTACTAAAAGTTTTGGTCAATCACTGAAACTTAAGTCTAACTAATTTACTAGCTCTTTATTTCCATTTTATTTTACGATATAGTCTATTTAATTTGTCATAAAATCGCCTTTTATCAATAAACAATAAAAATACATTTGTATATTTTTTAGTCTTCAGAGTAATATAATGTTGATATCAAATTTAGTTGTTGTTCTACATTATTTTCTTGTGAATAGTTATTCATATTGATATATGAATCAATATTTACATGTTCTTCGGTGTAAGGGCACGTCTAGTTGTTGTTGATCATTATTGTTCCTCTTTGAGTACAATGACGCTACCATTGTTCTGAGAAGAGACTATTTTCAAGCTATACTCTAGAGCACTTGATTGCCATTACTTTGTGATTTTTTTCTTCTTGCTAATCCAATTTTTAGAAGATAATAGAAACTTACTATTGTCTGTCACTAATTTCTGTATCAATTCCCTCCTTTTTTGTAGTTGGATCTTTGTTGCATATATAGATATACATTCGTAATAAAATGAAGAATTGTGAACATAGAATTTAATATTAATATTCATTCTTTCTTCTGTCTGTCTCTCTCTCTTTCTTTTTTCTTTTTTTTTTTTCTTCTTTTTTTAATAGAAATATTAGCGGTGGTGATATTAACAGTAAGAAGAAAAGAAATAACAGTTAAGTTCTATTTATAAAGAGAGAAAGAGAATACATTGACTACAGTATACTAATTGTTATATACTCTTTCATTAGCAATGCATATCATGTATAAAATGTTAAAAAAAAGGGGCGTATGTATAAGGAATATTCCTTTGTACTAAATATATTCTATTTCATTATTTTCTATGATAATGATATATAACTATTATAAATAGAAAATTAAAATAAATTTACTATTATGTATAGATATCATATAGTAATAACTTTATATACAAAATAATAAACTAATAGAAAAAAAAATTTTTTTTTATACATTATGAGAATCGTCAGTACTCGCAACAATAACTTGCCCAAAATGATTTAGTAAAACGGGTCTGTTTGAATTATTGGATTTAATACCAGGAATATGCTGTCGAATAACATCTGTATGATGTTGTTGAGCAGAGGCATAAACACCTAAACCAAATCTAGATTGTTGAATCGCAAATAAAATAGAGGGATTGTTCTTCTCTTCCTTTTCATCTTTCATATCTTCTTCTCTATAGTTCCACACGGTATATAAATCATTCCCTTCCATAGCATGATCATTATTATTATTCATTGTTGTACTATCATGTTGCGCGTTTGTATATTTTGCATCTGCTAAACTGCTATTATTTGCCATATTTGATAACTGCTGCCGTTGTTTGTTATGTCGTATAGTACTGGTAAACGAACGGTCAAGATATTCTTCTGTAGTATTAAATGATTTCATATCATTTCCTAATGGGCATGCTCTTGGCCAAAGATGAGAATACATTTCTTCTAAAGAATGATGATCCTCTCCTCTTTCCCGCTTTAGAGTAGATTGATTCATAATAGTTGTTGTTACTTGGTTATTATTTTGATGAACAGTAGTATTATATGGCATGTGTTGATGAGTAGATGATTTCCATAAATGATTTCCAGCTGATATAGTAAAGGATGCTGTTGGTAATTCCGTTGGATGATGATACCGAGTCAAATGAGAACGTAGAAAGTCATCATTACATAGTACTATATTTTGGTGAAAGCTCTTATTATTTTCTAACGGTGTTGATGCTATACTTGATGTAGGCGATATAAGACCGCCATGATGCATATGATTACCATTATATTTTCCTATCCAACGAGAATTATCTGCAGTGTGATCTTGCTGCTGTTGAGGCAATATTGACGAAGATATAAATGCTATAGTGCTTTTTGGTGAAATAGGAGGATTGATAGAAGTCGTTCTGGGTATAATAGGTGATAAAAAATGAAATTTCGGACTACTATTGCAGCTAGTACTACTTTGATTCATATCTGCATCTGCTAATACTTTTTCAATTGTTGTTACAAACTTTTGTATACCATCAATAACACGATGATGTAAGATGGATTCCATAGATCTTAATGAACGTTGAAACATAAATCTTGCATTCTTTGCTTTACTCTGTCTTTCATCTGCACAATAGATAATATGAAAACGTACAGCTACCATAATTGTTTCGGCCACAAATTGGAAAGATAAAATAAAGTTAGGTTGTTCAGCCAAGGCGCATGTTAGCTGTGTTAAATTAGTAGCTAATGTAGCACATCGTTGCTGAATTATTAAGGAAGTAGGTGATGAAGGTAAAGAGGTAAATGCTACATTCTGTAAGAGGGAGATATGGATAAAATTAAAGACAAGATGTAAATAAGCAATATGAGCGTTTTTAGGAGGCTCTGTCGGTATTATATCTTGTTGATCTGTATTTTCATTTAAGGGTGTCCATTGTAGTGCAGAAGGTAAGTTTTGTAGCCAATGCATAAGTTGTGAATCATATCTTAAGACAAGTTGCTCTGCTTCAGGGAAGCGTATCATTATACCTATTGTGTATCGATTAGGAATAGCAGATTGAAAGATATGCTCAGCGAGTTGCATAAGTTTGATTTGTTCGATAAAACAGACATTAATTTCATATTCATCAGGATCATCATTTGGATCGCCTAAAATCATTGGAAGATCGATATCTATATCTTTAATTGAAAGCAAGAAAGGTTTACCGGTGGTCATGATACTATGTATCTTGTCTAAACAGTAAGCAACCCAATAAACGCGTTTGCGTAACTCAGTCTCATCAGGCGTAGTACCTGTATGATGAAAACTGTACCGTTTGTGCAAGTTAAGATCATAACACATACGACATGCCATATCTTGGTATACACTAGCCTTTATCTTTCTGGCATGAGGACCTGAGCCTCGTCGATTAGATTCATAAGTGGACATTAAACAGAGAGCAATAACAACACTAAGAGAAGGGGTATCCATATAATAGGTATCCAATAATAACTGAGCATGTTTGAAGTAATAATCCGCTTCCGATGCACTTTCGTATGAAAAATGGGCAGCATGACAATACATACTATAAAGAAGTAACGGACTAATCAAAGGGTCACGATGCTCTAATAGTCGGTAAAAGATAGATTTGGGTATAATGGGTAGTGTTGGATGACGATGACGAAAGAAAAGATGTAATAATTTTTTATTAATGTTGATAGAGGGTAATGAGGGATGAGGTTGATAGGAATTCTGATCTCTAGGATCTTCATTAAACAAGGAACGGATATCTATTATCCAATGACCTTCTTTACCTTCTCCTGGCCACATCATACTTAATTTATTTAATTGTTCTGATGTTTTTCTTAGATTATCTTGCTCTTTTGCTATTTGTCTTTGAGTCACTATATCCAAGGACTGAGTAGACGTAATTACTGAATTGGATAAAGAATCACGGGAAGTAAGTCCATTACTTTGTAAAGAGGCTGAATGAGTAGAACTAATGACATGAGATCGTTGAGTTTGATCTATGGATCCATTCTTGGAAAAAGAGCAAGGTCGTTTGCGTGCTAAAAAGTAAATGGTATTTAATTATCCTGTGTATGTGTGTGTTTTTAGGAAAAATTAGTTACCTTTACACTAAGATATTTAATTAAAAAACAAATAGATAGAAAAGTCAGTATTTGTAAAAGTAAAAGGGGAGAAAGATGCTTTATTATTATTATTATTATTTACGTTATTACCTGCATACATGGTTGTAATCCATCACACTATGTTTTATATTTTTAGTTATAAATATAAATATATTAAAGCATAAACATTTATATATTGTACCTTAATTTTTTTTATTCTACAAGTAAAACAAGCTTTTGAGACTTTCAAACGTTTTTCTTTTGGTTGATTCATTATGTGATCATGAAGTGTGCTCATTATATAAATGAGAATCTAAAATGCCAATTTCTTTTAATTTTTTTTTTTATAATATTTTTTCTCTATAAGGAAAAAAAATTATCGAGCCATAGATAAAAAAAAATAAAGAAATAAAATATTAAAAAAAAAAACGGGTAATAATACATGTAAAATACCTATATTTATAAATATATATATTTACCCTTTCATATTCTTAAAGAAGAAACTTCTATTTCTTATTTAAAAAAAAAAGGGTCCATGTTTCTTTATTTATCATTTTGATTCGTTTATGTAATCTCCGATATCAAATAATTCAATATCCGGCTGAACATAGAAATAGGCCCTTTTCTGGACCCTGTTTGAAAAAAATAAAATAAATGTATTCATATTTGTATGTAATATATATTTATAATATTACCTAACTATTTTCTTTTATATTAATAGCTATTATATTTATTTAATAGATATTTAAAAAGCATTTATTAATGACGATATGAGAAAAAATTGCACATTTTATGTTTATATGATGCAAAAAAAAAAAAAAAAAAAAAAAGGTATAAATAGATTTATAATAACTTTTTGAACCCTAAAGAAACGAAAACTATAAAATATACCTATTCTGGTTTCTAACTAAAGAGGGTTTTCAGTAAGATGATTAGATAATTAACTTTGATTACAATTAAAGTATAATTTGTGGAACAATAGATATTATATTAGACATTGATTGAACTGTTTTCATAGGCTGGAATAAGCAAATAAAATAAATATACACTTTTAAGGAAATTTTTTTTAGATGTAATCTTAATACAAATACTGGATTTTACACAAATATATAAGAGTTGACACGGCTACTACACAAAATACAAACAAGCATATATTGCCTCTTTTATATATGATAGCTTTATATGTATATATATTTATATATAATATATGAGCGTGTATATGCATTAATATAATTTGGTTATGTTACTATAAGTACATATTAATAATATTTGACAATATATTATATACCGTAGATACATAATAGTTACTTAATAACAGTTCGCTTTTTGTTTATTTTATTTCATAAGATCAAAAAAAAAAAGCATGTAACTTTTTTAAGATAATAGTTTCATAAAATAAAGATTAGATGCCGCAAATATAAACGCTTTAATGCAGCATTATATGAAAACAAATATCATTATATAAGCATTTTTTTTTAACAAAGAAGATAACATTATTTGTTTTAAAGTTTCATAAACTATTATGTTGTATCTTTAACTATGAAACAAATAATATGTTAGCCAATTATTTTAAATGTGACAAACGTTTATCATGTTTTCAATAGATAATGGTAGAGGTTATTATTATAGTCATCAATATGATTATTATAGCAAATATGTGATATTTAAATATCTTTTGGATCAAAAATAGGCATATAGTCGAAAAAGGGAACATGGTCAGCTTTCTATACAGTTAATATAATAATAGGTCAAACAATAAATATTAAACTAACAAAAAGGAATAATGAAATAGATATTAAAGGTTTATCCTGTATATCTGGGAAAACAATCAAGAAACGCTACCTCCATTTTTGGTTGGATTATATAAACATATTTGTTTTAAAAACGAAACGACTTCACCTGCTTGTTTCTACGACAAAAATGTCTACTAAAAATTAAATCTTGGAATAAAAAATATGTAAAATATAAGACTTCAAGTGTATATATATTATATTTTAAAAGACTTAAAAAATGATGAAACTGTATAAATATATTCACTTGACTCGCTTGATAAAAAATGGCTGAAGTATATTAAAAAAAAAAAAGGTGAGGAAAGCAGTTTAATGCATAGTTATTTTAGCCTGTAAAGAACTTATACCTATAATCAATGATTATTTTGGATGGTAAAAATGTAAAGACAGAGAAATAGAAAACAAAAGATAAGTCTGGAAAATAAAGATGATCATATTATATACATATAATATGCATGTTCATAAATAATTGAATATAGTAGTTATAAATCTACAGAATCATTGTTGCATATTATAATTATTATTACTAATACTTGAATACTATTATTAAAACTAAATACAGAATGAATATTATGCTGTGAAGTACAATAGACAAGTTTTATTTAAATAACTTTTTTTATTATGTAATAAATAATAGTTTATTTCAATTAAATCAGTTACAAAGACAACTACAATTATAACAAGAAAAAAAAATACACATTCACCTTAACTTCAAAATAAAATGATGACGACAACAACGGCACGGCAGAACGGCATTTTATTAACCGAGCATATAGTTATTGTGATTGGTTCGGTTCAATTGTTTTTCCGACCCAGATCAAATATAATAGACATTACTCACCGCGGGTGTCGAGTCTGATAATACTTATGAAGATGTACCATTAGAAGTAGATGTTCGTCTAAGGAAAGAAGCCAAGCGGAAAATGAAATTCAAGCCCATTACCAATAACAAAAGGTTACGTAAAAACAGGGTCCAAAGTGAAACATGTTAACACGTAAAGACTTCTTTAAGGCTTTTAATATTTGTTCAAATCTTATTGGAACACGTTCATACTTAGATAATATTTTACAATATTTTATTTAGTATAAATACGATTTTGATGTGAATGAAATAAACATTATCTTTGATCTTGTCTTTTAAATAAACATCTTCTTTAAATTTTATTTTATTTTGACTTACCGGTTAACCACAGAGAGTTGAATCGGGTTTATACTTACTATTTAAATTGACATTTGGTAGCATCAGATCTAAATAATGGCTGAATACAAGACACAAGGAACTGAAGGAACTTCTAAGGATTACAATAATGAACAAATGACTGCTTTTATGACATACTTTGCAAATTTAATCAAGAATGACACTAACAAGGCTAAAGTTAAGGAACCTGACACTTACAATGGTACTCGTGATGCTTTAATTATTGATGGCTGGATTAGATCTATTGAACGTTATAGCACCTTTTATAACTGGACTCCTGAAAGAACTTGCCAATTTGCTGCTACTTTACTTCGGGATAGAGCTGACGCTTGGTATAGAACAATCGAGAATACTGAAGAAGAACCTGAAACTTGGTTAGAATTTAAAAGACTACTTATTGAATTCTTCCGTCCTGATAACTCGGTAAGAATTGCTCGTGACAAGATGGCAAATTTAAGACAAACAGGCAATCTGGTCGATTACATCAACACATTTATGGATCTTAAGTTGGCTATTCCAAAAATGACTGATGAGGAAGCTTGTGATAAATTTATCCGTGGTTTGAGCAGTAAACAAATGAGAGCTCACATCCGTCAATATGAAGCTGAAAGACTCAAGGATGCAATCCAATCGGCCTTATCTTTTGAAAGTGCCCAACAAGAAGATGACTACTCAAACAATTTCCTTGGGGAAACCAGATCTAATAATCACAATCATAATAGACATGTGGTTCACAATGATCCTATGGAGCTGGATGCCATGATTGATCGTAGAAGAAATAATTATTCTACAAGAAGGCCAGGTGAATCGTCCAAGTTCAACAATACTAATGGATCTACTACTTGCTACTATTGTGGGAAGACGGGTCATATCAAGAGAAATTGTAGGAAACGTATGGCTGACATCAAAGGTTAGATGAACAACAGGCTCAACGAAGAAGACAGGATTTTCAGTAAACGTGTTGAAGACCAGGAAGTTCAATCACATAACTCTAGTATTAGTGACAATAATATTAATACAAATTTTCCTGAAAATAAAAGTTTAATTGATCTTGACCCTTACTCTTCTACTGTTCATTTAAATGATAGTATCTATCCCCCTTGAAACCTACTAATTATTATAATAATGATTGCCTATCGACTAAGTCAAATGATGTCTGTACTGAACTCTTGCCTATTGTGTATCCTAAATCGTTTTCTGATGAACTTCGCTACCTAACTGAATTAAACACTGTTGCAACTACCTTACCTTTATATCCGGCTCATTACAATGGAAAATCTATTCAGGTTCTGATTGATAGTGGCGCAAGTGAAAATTATGTCTCTCCTCACATTCTTCAAGATTTACATCAAGATAAATTTATATCTGTTCAAGATCGACAAGTAGAAACTGCTGGAGGTGACATAACTGAAATCAAGTACAAGGTCAACATGGATATCAATTTGAATGGTTATCAAGACAGAATTATGGCATATGTATTTCCTACAAAATTTGATTTAATCTTGGGAAGATCATGGTTGAAACAAACAAAACCATTACCTGATTGGGCAAATGACACCTGGTACTTTAATAATGGCAAAATCAACTTAGAACCTTCAACAACTAGTAAATCTTTGGCGTCACATAAAAATATTACTAAATTAAATTATCTTATTTCTCATAAGCAAGCCACTAGATACATAAAAAAGGGTGCTGAAAGCTTTCTTCTTTATATTAAGGACAATGGTGGATCTGACCAACATGCAAAGGATGATCACTACTGGGATGAATTAGTCAAGCAATTTAGTGATGTGTTCCGAGATGAACTGCCGGGTATGCCTCCTGACCGTGGTATTCATCATGTTATAAATGTTGGTGATGCAAAACCTGTTTCTAGGCCACCGTATAAGATGAGTCCTCTAGAATTGGAAGAATTACAGAAACAATTGAAGGAACTATTGAAGTTAGGGTTGATTCGACCAAGCTCTTCACCTTGGGGTGCTCCGGTTCTATTTGTACGTAAGAAGCCTGATCCTGGATCTAATAAACCTGGTGCACTACGAATGTGTATTGACTATCGTATGCTCAATAAGCTTACGGTACGAAATAGTTCTAGTCTTCCCCGTGTTGATGAATGTCTTGAAAGGTTAGGTGGTGCTAATTATTTCTCTAAATTGGATCTCAAAAGTGGATACTTCCAAATTCCCATCTTAGAAGAGGATAAACCAAAAACGGCCTTCAACACAAGATATGGTCAATTTTCATGGAATGTCTTACCCATGGGTTTATGTAATGCTCCTCCTGTATTCCAATCTCTTATGAACAAGGTTCTGGCTGATTGTATTGACAAAACTGTACTTGTGTATCTTGATGATATACTTATTTTCAGCAAGACTTTAGAAGACCATAAAAAACATGTTCGTCATGTATTGGAATTACTAAAGAAGGAAAAGTTGATTGCTAATTTGAAGAAAAGTGAATTTGGAAAGCGTGAACTGGACTTTGTTGGTTTTAGAATCTCTACTAATGGTATAGCCCCTAGCCCAGAAAAAGTAAAAGTAATTCAAGAATGGCCACGAATGACAAATGTCCAAGAAGTTCGACAATTTATTGGCTTTGCTCAATTTTACAAAAGATGGATCAAGAACTTTGCTTCAATTGCTTCTCCTTTAACCGACTTAACTAGAGGAACTGGTATCAAGAAAAGACCCATCGTTTGGACAGAGGAATGCCAGAAAAGTTTCGACACTCTAAAGAAACTTTTATCAAGTGGACCAATCCTACAAGTCGTTGACATGAATAAACCTTTCAGGATCGAAGTTGATGCAAGTGATCGTGGTTGTGGCGCTGTTCTCTTGCAACCAGGTGAAGATATCGACCAACCTTGGCATCCCATTTGTTATGAATCCAAGAAATTTAGTGAAGCGGAACGTCGTTATCCAACTCAAGAAAGGGAACTTCTGGGAATACTTCATGCTTTGCGTACATGGCGCTGCTACATTGATGGCTGTCCTAAAGGGTACAAGGTATATTCAGACCATCTTCCTTTGCAATATTTCAGAACCAAAGACAAACCTCCTAGTCGTCTAGTACGTTGGATTTCAGAATTAGAATTATATTCACCTGAAATTGTATACAAATCTGGTAAAGAAAATATAGTACCTGATATTTTATCCAGAATGAATTTTGATTCTCCTGAGGTCTCTCCATCGGCTACTTCCATGGAACCTGACTATCTCTTTGCTGCTTGGGACTCACTCTCCCCTGGACTACGTAGTGACTGGCCACTTCTATTATTGCCTGATAATCGCAAGAAGGTGAAGTCTGCTGCTGTCAAATCAATTCTTGATAAAGAAGAAGACAAATTCTGTATTATTTCAAATAAGGTCTACCGTAAAGTTACTATTAAAGAAACCGGTGATACTAAGAATGTTCCCTTCTTACCTTTTGCTGAGCGTGCTGACACTGTTACAAAATACCATGAAGCTTTTGGTCATTCTGGTATAAAGACCTTAATGAAGATTCTAACTCCTCGTTTTTGGTGGCCTACTATCAAATCGGATATACAACAATGGATTCGCATGTGCCCCTCATGCCAAGTAAATAGTCGACGTGATAGAGTACATCATGATGAAATGCATCCTTTAAAGGTTCCTACTGCATTTGATCGATGGCATCTTGATTTCATGGATCTTCCTACTACACTTCGTGGAAATCGTTGGCTCTTAATTGCTGTTGACTATGCAACGAACTGGCCTATTGCTCGTGCTGTTCCGGTTGCCTCTAAGGAAGCTATTGCTGACTTTATCTATGAAGAAATTACTATGAAGCATGGTCAAATGTCTGAAATAGTTACTGATAGAGGAGCTAATTTTACAAGTGAACTCGTTAGTGAATACATCAAGCGTGTTGGAGCAAACCATAAGTTAACTTCTGCTTACCATCCAAGGACTAATTCTAAGGTTGAAAGACTTAATGGTGTTTTCAAACAAATGCTTCGAAAATACACGAATGGTGCTATTCACAGATGGGATGACTTTGTTAACGCTGCTTTGTGGGCTTGTCGAATTCGGGTACACTCTACAACTGGTTTTAGTCCATTTTACTTAACATATGGTCGGGAACCTAGACTACCTGGTGACATTATGCAACCATATATCGACACAAACACGTTCAAAGATACGCGTACCGTTGCTGATTATACTGCTCGTGAACTTGAAAAACTTGGTCAACATCGAGCTGCTGCCGAATTTAGGATGAAAGCCATTGCTGAACGTGATAAACAAAAATGGGATGCTGCGATAAAGAAACTTAGTTTTGAACCGGGTGATATGGTCATGCTTTCTCACGAAGGTCGATTTGGTCTTGAGCCAAAATTTAAAGGTCCTTACATTGTTGTTGCTTCGTATCCTGACTACGGCACCTATAAATTGGAAACTCTTGCTGGTGAACCCCTCAAATCACTTATTCACGTTGACCGACTAAAGCCCGCTCTTGGAGAACGTCCAACGTCACCGTGGTATGAACCAACTATAGCTCGTCGACAATATAACAAAGAGATGCAAAACATGGTTAAGGATAATAACTCGTCTCAGCTGGCTAACCCTGATGCAAATCGCTGGATAGATCCTATTGATCATATTGATCCTATTGATGCGGATGAACTTTCCTTATCGTCTGAACAACAGTCTGCTGCTCCTACAACTTTGTCTTCTTCCACTGGGTCTAAGTCTAGTATTTCCATCAATCCATCTAGCACAACCCTTTCCAGCAACGAAGAACATACTCTAGCTGACATAAGCCCATTATCGACCGCTATATCTACAGAAGAAGTGAAAGAGGTTCCTCCCATTCTTGACTCCATGTATGAAGATCCCCCACTTTTAGACCTTGCAGAGATCCCCCCGGACACTACCTCTAGAAATCTTGCCGCCGGACATTCTACGGACACACCATTGGATTGTGTTCAGGGACGAACACAAAGCTGGGGAGGGGGTAATGTCGAGTCTGATAATACTTATGAAGATGTACCATTAGAAGTAGATGTTCGTCTAAGGAAAGAAGCCAAGCGGAAAATGAAATTCAAGCCCATTACCAATAACAAAAGGTTACGTAAAAACAGGGTCCAAAGTGAAACATGTTAACACGTAAAGACTTCTTTAAGGCTTTTAATATTTGTTCAAATCTTATTGGAACACGTTCATACTTAGATAATATTTTACAATATTTTATTTAGTATAAATACGATTTTGATGTGAATGAAATAAACATTATCTTTGATCTTGTCTTTTAAATAAACATCTTCTTTAAATTTTATTTTATTTTGACTTACCGGTTAACCACAGAGAGTTGAATCGGGTTTATACTTACTATTTAAATTGACACGGGCGATTAATGCCCAAGTGGCCAAATGGATAAGGCATTGGTCTCCTAAACCAAAGATTGCGGGTTCGAGTCCCGCTTTGGGTACTTCATTTTGTCTAGATGTTGTTGTTTTTTGAACTTGAGGAAACAGATATTAATTAGGTTATTCGTAGAAATGTTCAATAAGTTTTTTCATTCATTTTGTTTTAAAATGAATAATAATTATGATGAGAGAAAAAAAAAATTTTTTTAACATTTAAAGCAGTGGCGCACAACAGTATAATGTCAATAGATATAATTGTAATTATATATTTTTTTTTATTAAATGATTTCCAACTAAGATGTTTTGCCGATTTCCCCTTTACAATAGATTTATTTTATTTTATTTTTATAATTTCTTATCAAAGACAGCAACAGCTGCTTTAGCAGTAGAGTGAGCTGATGCAGGATTAGGGCCTGTTACAATACGTCCGTCTACTTTATGGAAATCAGCAAATGGTGTTGGAGGGGCAACGTAAATAGCACCAACAGAGGCTGCACCCTCTTCAATTGTAGCCACCTTATCATTTTTTATTTTTTCCATAACATTTAACTGAATTTCACCTTCTGTTGTAAAACCAGTGACTGTCTTACCTTCAATGATCGATTTTCCTGTCTTTGAATCCTTAATATAAGGTAAAATTGCAGGACCATGACAAACAGCTGAAACTACACCTCCTCGAGCATAAATATCTTCAGCAATATGTTGGAGTCCATGAGCTTGTGGATAGTCATAAAGTGTAGCATGTCCTGCAGAGGCAAAGAAGAGACCATACTGCTTAGGATCCAAGTCGCTAGACTTGTAAAGGTGTTTATTCAAAAGAACATTAAAAGGATGACTGGGATCTTTATAAATTTTTTCGTCTTCATCTGATAAAAACTGTTTCTCTGTTGAATGCTCATCCAAGCCATAAGTTCCAGTTTCAGATGCAAGGTCAACTTCAAATCCTGCATCTACAAAGGTTTGATAGGGATGAAGGGCTTCAGTGTAAAATAAACCTGTTTTTTTGCCATCAGCATAAAAAGGTTCATTATAACTTGTGATAGAAATAAGAGCTTTACGAGGAAGTGACATATATAAATATATATTTTTTCTTAAAAAAAAAAAGAATAAAAAAGGATTAAAAAAAGGATAGAAATTAAAACGATAAGTGGTATCATTCATAAATCACATTTGATAATTATGATGGTATATTTCGATTTATTTCCTTTTACATCCAATCAAATTGAATACAAATACCCAAGACAAATCATGAAACAGGAGAGTATTGGTGAAATATCAAATCGTCTTTAAAAACAAGTCGTATATATTGAAATTAGTTTACCATAATGATTTACTAATATAAATAAATAATAGAAATAGAAGCTACAAAATAAACGTCTTGCTTCAGATATTGTATAGACATCTAGTCAAAAAATGTAAGTATTGTAATATAATATTAAAAAAAATTGATATTTTGCATGTAATAAAAGTTTGCATTAAAGTAATTTATTATAATAGAATCAAATCTACTGCTTTGATGATTGATCAAGCAAAAAGTTACTAGCCTTTTCCAAGTCTTGATCATATCTATTAAGTGCATCTTTTGCTTCCTTTTCATTGAACCCCATTTTAACTAATTCTTCTATTTTATCGCCCACAATACCAATCATATTATTATTTGATGTATTGTTGGCAATGTCAGGTTTTTTACTTTCTGTTGATTGTTTTCCAAAATCAGTACTAAAGCTTGAAAATGCGTCATCAAAACCATGATTAATAGTTGAAGTGTTTGGAGTAGTATTTTTATCATTTGAAGATGTAGCTCCAAAGATAGCATCCCAGTCTTCATCATTTGATACAGCTGGTGTTGTTGTGGATTCTTTAGGAGTAAAGTTATCCACATCAGAAAAATTAAATCCTCCAAAACTAGAAGCCCAGTTGTTTTTGTTTGTAGCAGAGGATAGATGGGTTGTTGTTGCGGATTGGGCTGGTTTAATATCAAATGCTTGAAATGCTTCATCAAATTCTGCTAATTCATCATCCTTATTAACGATTTTGGCTTCAGGTAATTGCTTTCCTGAAAAGGCAGCCTCAAAATCATCATCATCATCACCATCATTGTCTTTTTGTTCATCTTGTGCAATATATGAATCTATAGTAGTTGTAGAGGTAGTCTGTGGAGGAGGAGGAGGAGGAGGAGCTCGTTGTTTCTTCGTTGTTGAAACAATAACAGGTGAAGCAGCAGAAACTACTGAGCTTACACTCTCAGAAGGTTGACGATGGTGCCTACTTTGAGGGGGAGGAGGAGGAGGGCCTCGAGAAGATTTAGTATGAGATAGACTGGGTGTAGTGATTGAGTTAGTGGCCCAGTGTGAAGGATCAAATGCATTGGCAGGTGTGGTAGTCGTAGTATTTGTATTGGAAGGAGTATTAAATACACCAAAAATTGCATCAAAATCATCGCCGCTTATAGGTGTAGAGGAATTATTATCACTTTGATTAGTAACATTGTTAATTGCTGCAGTGGGTGAAAAGGCATTGAACACATTTGCTGACTTATCAGTCATGGTAAACTCAGTAAAAGGAGAGATAGGTGTAGGTGCTGGAGGATTTTTAAACGTGTCATCTAGAGCAGGTGTAGAATTGACAGATGATGTTTCATTTGGGGATAAAACTTCATTTGTAGTAGTAGATTGGTCTTTAACATCACCAAATACTGATGTCTTCCTTTCTTCTTCACCGTCATTATCATCATCATCATCATCACTATCACTTTCATCCTTATTTAAATCGCCAGCTGTCTTATAATCTTCAAGATGGCGTCTAGCAAGTGCACGGTCTTGCTCAGCAGCTGTAACTTGACGTTTATTAATATCTAACATCATGTTTTGTTGCTTTGTTTGTGCACGCAACTTGTCTAATTCAGCATTAGAGGCAGTTATTTGCTCTTGAATTTCATGAACACGACGACGAAGACTTTCTGTTTCTGCACGTCCATTCTCTAAAGTTTGCTTTGTCTGGGTAATTTCGTTTTGCACTTCATTTAGTTGCTGTTGCGCAGCATTATATTCAGCCTGTACTTTTTCCCATTGACTCTCTTCCTGACGAATTGTCTCTTGGATTTCATTTAAATCCTTAACAGCAGCTTCATGCGTCATACGTATACTAGTCAACTGTGCCTCTAACTCACGCTTTTGTTTTGATAATTGTTCTAAAGTATTTTCTGCATTTAACTTTTGCGTACTTAAAGCAGATGTTTGTGAAGTAAGAGATACAATTTGATTTTGCATAAGATTTACTTGATTTGTTTCATGTGATACTTGATCATTACCGAAATCGCCCAATAAATCATTATTTGCATTATTATCAATAAGTGAATGAGTTTGCTGAGGTGTTGATGATATGGTATTGTTTGGAGTGAATAAAGGTGAGTTACCAAATCGTGATTGCTGAGGTGACTGTTTTATTATGTTATTGCTTTTTTGGGGAGGAATTAAAGTCTTTGGTAAAACTTGGGGCAAATTCTCTCCTGCCAATCTTTTGTGAATTAAATGCATAGCAATAGCAAATTCATTACGTGATAAAGCTCCTCTTTGCTGAATATCTGCCAAATCCCAAATAAAAGCTAATTCAGATTCAGGAAGACGAGAGTTCTTAAAAAACTCTACTGCTTCCTTACCCTGAACAACACCTGTTTTATTTGAGTCAATTTTATCAAAATAAATATCATATTGTTGCTTCTCTTGGGCTGTAACATCCCATTGCTGAATAGGTTCATATATAGGAGCTGAGGATCCAAATGCCATGTCACCAAGTGACTCAATTGTCCTTGCTCGTTGTGGGGGTGTCATTATACTTTGCTGACGTGCATTACGAAAAGAGGGTGAGCTAATAGACATATTACGCATTATAGGAGATTGTGTTGTTGACGTTGATGTATTGCCATTAAGAGCGGATTGATATACAGTGGGTGGTAACTTATCTGGTAAATTAGTGAGTGTGCCATCCATTAACTTGGCAATATAATGCATGGCAATAATAAATTCAGTTTGATTCAAAGCTCCTGATTGGCGGACATCTGCTAAATACCTAAATTTGCACAAGTATGGATGGAAATTTTTAATATAACAGAAATAACCTTACTCCTTGCTTTATTTTACCAAATTTGACTTAAAGTCTCCATTGACAAGTTTGACTTTAAAAATATGCTTTTAGCTGTATTAGCGTCAAGAACTCCATTAACAGGTTGGTGTACTTTAAATATACTAATGTATTTTTCACGCTCTGCTTTTGTAATGGGTGAATTAGTTAACGATGTAGAAGAATTTAATAAAGGCGTATTGAATACACTTGGACTAGACACAACAACATTAACTCCTTCAAATTGAGGAAATGGAACGACTATTTTTTTTTTTTTAAAAAAAAGAAAGAATAAAAAGAAATTAGCTTATTTATTTTATATTTTTAATAAAGACATACCAGTTGATAAAACGTTGGTATTAGCTTCTTTTCCATGTTGAGTACAAGCAATAAGTTTTAAAGCAATCGCAAAAGTTTCTGGTGTCAAGTAGCCCACCTTATCACGATCAGCAGCTTCCCAAATCTATTTATTACCATTTAATATAATATTGACTTTAATAAACATTATTATTTTTATACCTCTGATAATAGTTGATTAGGTATACCAGAAGAAGCAAAGAATTGTACTGCTTCAGAGCCTGTCACTATTCCTTCTTGTGATTTACTTGCAGCTTTAAATAATTGCTTATAATATTCTACTTCTTGTGATGTTAATTGTGATTCCCAAGAAGACATTTCAGTTTAATTCAAGAAAAAAAAAAAAAAAAAAAAGAAAAGAAAAGAAAAAAAAAAAGAGCTCGGTTAAATTCAAGCAATATAAGCAGCACAGAATTTTATTGGTTTATTAGAAAAACATGTTAAATTTCTTTATTTAATCTTTAAGCTTTCAATTTGAGTAATATGTTGACGAAATAAGACGTCAGCTAAATTCTCACTTTCATCATTATTCACTGGTTTACGAGAAGCAAAATTCTTACCAGGCTCGGGTCCACGAGGCTGACGAATAGGGTGAATAAAAGTACCTGAAGAAGGATTTTCTGCTTCAGCAGCAGTGACACTTGTACTCCTGAAAATGTTTAAGTATATCATCTATTTTTTTTTGGTAGAAAAAAAAAAAACTTACATCATTGATTTTCGAAAACTATCTCGTTTAAGTTCAGTACTGCTACTAGAAATAAGATTACCCAAGCGTTCACGACTAGGACTTGATCTTAAAGATCCTCTAGAGCTTTTATGTTGAAGCTATAATGAAGAAGGTTAAACTTTGAATTTTAAATTGATAACCTTATTTTTACTCTCACAATAGGTGCAGGAACTGAGCCTCTTTTGTCAATAATAATTTGTCTATCAGGACCAAATCCTTCAGAATAATGATTAAGACCAAGTCTATCAGCAATTAAATGAGCATCCCTACGCTCCTTAGCAGAAAGGGTTTTGGGTAATGCAATTTCAGTAGCATTTGGATCCCCACGGAAAAGTAGAAGATAACTATACATTTCCAAGACATTAGGGTTATTTAAGTCCAATACATCTATATTTATAAAATATTAATAGGTTTATTATAAAACTTATTCTAATTACCTTCATCCAAGTTAACAGGCAATTTACGTTCAGTCTGTAAAGGTGATCCAGGTTGAGAAGAAGACATCATATTAGATGACATTTCTCTCTCCTTCTTTCTATTATTATCATTTACTGTAGGTAACATTTTCTTAAATTCCACACGTAGTTTTCGACCTCCTATTTCATATCCATTAAGAGTATTTACTACATTTTCTGCTTCTTCAGAAGTTCGATAATTTGCAAATGCAAGTCCTCGAAAAACACCATTATCGAAATGGTAATTAAAAGCATAAGCTGTAGGAATGTCTAATGAAGCCTATATACATGTAAAAAAAAAATATTTTTTATTTATTTTATTACTTTACTTACAAACTTCTCTAAGAGAGCATCTTTTTTGACCGAAAATGGAATATTCTTTATAACAATAGCAGTGGGAATAATTGGTTCATTATCATTAGATTCATTATAGCTTCCAGTAGGAGATATAGGTCGAGACGCAGGTCGAGATGAAGGGCGAGATGAAGGACGAGAATTGGTAGCTGAATTTATTGTATTATCCTAATAAAATATTTTTAATAAAGATAATATTTCATATTAGTTACCGAATTACCTTATTTCTATGAATCCTTCTAATTGAGGAAGGTCGTGATCGAGGAAGATTATTATCAGATAAATTAGGAGTAGTCATTACGAAGGAAATAAATATTTTATAAAAATTTTATAATGTTTATAAAAGAGAAGAAGGAGAGAGAAATGAATTTCTGAAAAGAAAAGGGAAAGGAAGAAAAAATAAATAAAAAAAAAATAGAAGAAGGTATATAGAAGACGTTAAACAAACAAACAAAAAAAAAAAAAAAAAAAAAAAAAAAAAAAAAAAAGAAAAAAGAAAAGGAGTTAATGTATGAAGCAATTGAGATGGAAGGGTCTTTTTTTTTTTGCCCCACCATTAGCGGACATCAAAATTTATTACAAGTCATTCTTGTAAACTAAACATTTTTAGTTATTTTTCGCACAATTAAAAGATAAAATACAGATGTCATGTTTACCTTTTTGTTTTGAATGATGTTAATTGTCAATTTAGACTCTTTTAAACTGTAATAGGCCCAGACAATAATGTTTATTAAAGTAAAATATCAAGTTTTCTAACCAAGCATTTTGTTACTTTTGAAGACATGCACTAATTTGAACCTTTGATTTTTAGTAAAAGAATTGTTTAAAGTCCAACTTGGTTTGTTACATTTTCATTTTATGCTTCATATATTAAGAGCAACAAACTGTTTTTAAAAGCTCATCAAGTATCCCTAATATTTTAACCATTTTATCGAAATGAATACATTAACGTCTATGTAAATATAAGTTAATCTGTCATGAAGATTGGATGCACTTTGATCTAAAGAAAAGGAAGGGTCAATCCTTATCGTTAAAAAAAAAAGTAAACATAGCATCTGAATTTTATTGTTAATTCGTCTAGAAAAGAACCAACAATACTTGAATTCAAAGTATAAAAACTGTAGTGAAAACATTTATGAGCAAATAATTTATTCAAATATAAGTTTATATTAGATGCATAAATTGAGTTTAATGAAAAGAAGCATAAAAGTAATTCATAATTACTATTATATACCGTTTATATCTTTATATGTAATAGACAAGATTCCAAATAAATAATATTTATAGATTATGCTTACCAAAAATTGGACTGTTCATTTTTTTTTTTTACCATTTCTATTATTATGTATCTTGCTTTAACTTTCTTTTAATTATTCATTTTTATTGCATTATTACAAAAGCTCAATGCCAGATTTCCCTGCATTTACGGCTGGTGTACCACAAAGTGTAAAGTTAACATTACATAGCAATTAATAAAAAAAAAAGGGTTCTCTCTAAAAATAAAAATAAAAACTATATATACATAATAGGTATTCACGCTGCCAACACCAACAGATATAACATTAACACCTTTTTGGACAACAATACTACAGAAAGATAACTTCTTATTACAAAGATCTTCTTCTCCTGGAAATCACTTATTTAATAGCTTGTTAAGCACCATTGCTAATGTGTAAATTCTTATCATGTTATTATTTAAGCATAAAACTGACATTTATACTTGAATTTCAATTAAGATTCGATACAAAATTACCACCTTATCGTATTCTTTTTCAAAGAGAAATAAATACAATGTGTCTTCAAATAGCTGTAGCCGAAACAGAGAATAACATTAAGGCCGCATGGCTTTGGATTGAGAAAAATATAATGCCTGAATTAGAAACAATTGATCATCCATTAGATAAAGAACGTTGGGTTTCTGAAAAAATGAACATGATTGTAACCACAATAGGTAAAAACAAAAAAAAAAAAGAAGTAATGCGTTAAAGTTTTATAGTATATATTTGTCTTCTATTGAAATGTAGAATCTGGTACAGACGAATTATCTGCAGATGAAAACGTTAGAAATGCTTCAAGAACCTTTAGACAGATATTTGAAGTTCCACATTCTGAGCGTTTTGTGAGCTGTAGGTGCCTAAAAATGAATGAACATAGACACACATATTTATTATATATTAGCAAAATAAGTGTTCTAACTATCCAGATTTTATATTTTATGTATTTTATAGATTATTCATGCGCTTATAAAGCAAGACAAGGATGGCTATATATCAGTGAAAACTATATAGGATTTCATGCTTTTTTACTAGGTACTGAAACCAAAATTTTAATAGAACTTAAGGACATACAAGAGATGAAAAAAGAAAGGTCAAAAGGTATCTTTGATGATAGTTTAAGAATTATTACCAAAGATAAAGAAGAGGTATTTTTTGTTGTAGATTGTTAATGATGTTTGTTATTATTTGCTTACCATGAGTACATCTATATATATTCTAGTATTACTTGTCGAATATGTTTAGAAGAGATGAAGTGTATGATCTGCTTGTACAATTGACGGGGAAAGCAATGCAACGCTGGTTAAAAAATGCTGTTAGTGATGCACCTGGCCAAGCGACTGATGCAGTCTTTAACTCTGAACTGAATAATAAATATTCTTTACAAAGTACTCCTCATTATTCTGAGAATAATCGTCAATTAGTGAGTCCTTTAAAAAATGATTTAGCAGCTCAAAAACGGAATAAAGAATATTGTCTACGGTTTAGATTACCAATGACCGAATATTTAATAAGTGGGCTCGATGCTACTTATTCAAAGGATGCTTCACCAATTCGTGATTCTATTTTTCTTACTCAAATTCCATCTGGTGTTGTTAATATGGTTGGTCGTGTATATATCTCACAGACATTTTTAACTTTTGAATCTGAAAAGAAACTGCCTGCCCCTCAACAACATTTACCAGTATGCAAAGTAGTATTTCCTTTATATGCTATTAAGCGTGTGGAAAGGCTTAATAAAGGCGCTTATACTTCAGGTATAGCTATTACAGTATGGCATAAAATGGAGCACGATTTCTACTTGCATGTAGGTATTAATTTATTTAGTCTATTTTTTTTTTTTAATTATTTCCTTCTTTATTGTATATATATTATAGGGCGATAAACATGCTTGTGAACAGTTTTGTGAAATTCTAAAGAAGCTTTTATTGAAGCAAATACCGCTATTTAAAAGGGTTAAATCATTTTTAGCTACATGCGAATCTGAACAGGTTTTACGATCAGACAATTTGATTGATACCAAAGTACATACCGGAGGGCTTGGATTAGATTTTGGATATCCTGTTAACCCAAGAAAGTCCAAAGATAAAAGTAAAACAAAATTATGGAAGATCTATTTCCAAGGTATAAAAGATGCAAACAAGGACAGAGATAGTGTTATATCTCTCATAATATGATTTTATTTAGAGAATGGACGGAATCTGTCAATGATTAAATTGCCTACATTTGGAAAACTAGTACGAGTAGGTTTACCAAATTTATTACGTGGAGAAATTTGGGAAGTTGCCTGTGGTGCAATTTATTTAAGATTTCAAAATCAAGGATTATATCATGAAATACTTCAAAAATTTGAGGGAAAGAAATCAACCTCTACAGAAGAAATCGAAAAGGATTTAAATAGGTAACAAAAAAAAAAAAGTGACATACATATTAACTAACTTTCCAATATATAAAAAGATCACTACCTGAATATCCCGGTTATCAAACTTCTGAAGGGATTGATCGTCTCCGTAGAGTATTAACAGCCTATGCCTGGCTTAATCCCGAGTTAGGATATTGCCAAGCAATGAATATTGTCGTATCTGCACTTTTGATCTATGCTACTGAAGAACAGGCGTTCTGGATTTTACATGTTCTTGTAGATAGAATGTGTCCAGGTTATTATAGTACAAATATGCATGGTGCTCTGCTGGATCAGATTGCATTTGAACAACTTGTCGAACAAACAATGCCTATTTTATGGGAACATTTTAAAAAAACAAACGTTGAAGTATCTATTGCATGTCTTCCTTGGTTTTTAAGTTTGTTTATAAACTCTATGCCATTAGAATTCGCTATTCGTGTTTTAGATATTTTATTTATGGAAGGGCCTCGGATATTATTTCAAATTGGGTAACTAGTTAATAATTTTAAATATTCATTTAAACTCATTGTTTTCTTCTTTCTTATAGATTAGGTAAGTTCTGAATAATATGTACTAGAAGCATTTTTAAGGATTAATACATTATATGAAAAAGCTATTTTAAAAATAAACGGCGATGAACTTCTGAAAACAAATGATGATAGTGCATTTTTAGACATTTTTAAATCGTTTTTTCAGTCACTAGGGCATGAAAAAGACAAAGGATTAGATGGGCAGAATGTAAAGCTTACTGTAAGTAGGAATAATATCTAAAAGAGTGAATATAGAACAAATTAATAAACATACATACATACATACATACACATATATATTTATTAATACTTAGAAATTCAATGAGGTTATGTTGACTGCTGTAAGTAAACATAATATAGCACAAATAATCATCTATATTTTAATACACAAATATATTATAGTATCGTGAATTCTCTTTGGTAACAAATCAAATAATAGAAGATCTTCGTAGTCAAAATCAGCTTAAAGTGGGTGCGGGTATTGAATCCTTCACCAAACGCACCATCATTCGAAACTTGAAAGATACAGCTATGTTTAGCAAGGAAGATATAGGCATTATTTACGACAAATACTTTGGTGCATTATATTATGCAAGCCATGAAGTAGGAAGGAAACCTGGTTCTAAAATGGATCGTGAAACATTCCAAAATATGCTAGCTTCTATGACACCTTGGGCAAAAGCCAAACCAATGTGCGATAATATGGATAATAATGCAGCAACAACAATTTGTAACCGATTTATTAACCGTTTATATCGTTCATTTGTTGGAAGTAATCCAAATAACTTAGTTGATTTTCAAAGTGTTATTATAAATTTTAATGAGATTTTGCATGGGGTATATTCTATTTATTTAGTTATTTATTCATTTATCTAATACGAAGAGATTTTGTAGGATATTATGTCGCATATAGATTGGTTTTTTAAGATATATGATGAAGATAAAGATAATGAATTAAGGAGTCAAGACATTATTGATATGAGTAAGGAGCTTTATTGGCTTATAAGATTATTAAAGGGTGAAAATATTGCCTGGGATGCGGTAACAAATTTGATTGTTCAAAGCTGCGAACAGTCAGATATTGCAAAAGGCATCCAACCAGATGAATCAACATCAACAAATCGCTTAGCCAATTTAACAATGACTGTAGATAGCCACTCCTTCTATGGGCGTATTAAACAATTAGAAAATTCGATACTTGCTGATATCATAGATATCACAGTACCTTCCTTCCGTATGGTAGTTCTTACAAATGAATCACTCGAAATGTTTTTTGATCATGAATTTGCAAATAGCTTTAAAGTAGTGAAATCATCAAGTGATCGTCAGAAGAGTTTAGGACGTGAACTTTTCGAGAATTTGTTTATTGATGGTCAGACATTGGCTAAAAATGAACATAACACTCCACAAAAATCCTCATCAACCTTATCTAGTCCATCTTCAAGACAAAGATCATCTTCTGTAGCTTCCAGTATAACTAATTATGAGTCATCCAAAAACAGTAAATCACACGAAGAAGTGGAAGTCGATAAGTTGATGGATGAGTGGGTACATTTTGATATATAAACTATGTATTTAGTCTGTGTTTATAAAATATCAAATAAAACCCCCTCTCCTGTCAGAGGAGCAAGAATACAATTACTAGACATTTGAGATTATATACATTTATTGCGCTGTCTATTAGATTTTACATATTATATAATAATACAGGGAAAAGTTTTATAATGCTTTCTTATTTAAATGCAAAAGAAATCGATATTTTAATTTATTAGTAAAGAAAAAAATAACCATTTGCGGCCCTCTTTCTTTTTTATGATATTTTTAAAGTTATTTATTTGAGATATTTACACTTTTAATTATATAAATATATAATTAATAATCTAAGGGATAGTTAAAGCTCGTCTCCCAATAAGGTTGTGTGATATTGTTACATGCCAAAGCAGGAAGTACCTTGAATACTTTCTTAATCTTTGGAAGCCATTTTTGAGTCATTTTTACTGTTGCACTGCTCAACTCATGTTCTAAGACGATCGTGCCATTATTGTTTTTGCCACTTTTAGCGTGCTTGATCCATTTCTTAAATTTGGCACTAACCTGGGAGGGCTTAAGGTTACCACCGCCAGCAACGGCTATATCCCAATCAACTGAATCTTTATCCCAAATGACTGTACGAAGACCCATCTGCCAAGCAATTGATCTAACACGGTCATCCACATCACCTTGAGGAGGTCTCCAGCATTTAGGAGTGACACCAGTGGCTTCCTTAATAGCTCGGAGAGTCCAGTAAAGTTCGGCAACTACTTTTTCATTTGACTGAGTTGTCATAGTGGGATGAGACCAAGTATGAACACAGATATAATGTCCATCATTCAAAGCTCTCTTTGCAGCAGCCGGATAAGTCACAACATTAGAGCCAATATACTATTATTATTGTATTTAGTGGTGTTTTTTTTTCTCAAAAAAAAAAAAAGAACATTGTTCATCACTTACAAAAAGATTGCTTTTCACACCTTCCTTAGCTAAAAAGTTATAAAGGACAGGTTCAGCATATTTATTTTCTTTTTTGGCATATTTGTCTTTCTTGCTACGTAAATTGAATGGTCCGTCATCATAGGTAAGACCCCATTGACCTTTTGTTGGACAAGTATAGATATCATCAGGTATATATTTGACCTTGGGATGAAGACAGTTAGTAACTGACCACCAACAGTCAGGATCCTTATTCATGTCATAATCTTCAACGTTAAAACTGCCATTAGAGTTGGTTGTGCGAACAGAAATTTTTGGAACTAGATCCCAGTTAATCTTCTTGATGGCATCCTGCACCTCAGGATGATTAGTATCAGGGGAAGTCCATGGCGTAGGGTATTTAGTAAGATCCAATGTTTTTTTAGATAACTTTTTAGAAGTATCGATATTCTTGTTTTTACCATCATAAGAAGTAACCACACCAGTGGCAATAGTTAAGTTTGGAAAAGTAGGTGAGACCTGAGGAGCATAGCCTTCACTTGTAGTAGTAGACGCTACTGCAGTTGTAGTGGTAGATGCTACTGCAGTTGTAGTGGTAGATGCTACAGCGGTTGTAGTTGCATTATATAACTTAATAGTGGTTGTTTGGCTGGATGCTGTTGCCACCAAACACCCAATAAATAACAAAATAAGATTGGGTAAGTTTATTTGCATAATATGCAGTAAAAAATAAAAAAAGCAAATAAAAATACTTCAAGAAGAAAGCAAAAACAAAGAGAGAATTCAAGTAATTATATCTTCCTCTTATTTATATTATGTAATGAACAATGATTTGCGGTTAATTAAAAAAAAAAAAAAAAAAAAAAAAAAGATGTCCTGTGCGTTACTACATTATATTTAATAGCCGAACTTTATGTTTTAAAGTGCGTTTATAATAACGTGTTTTACAAAAATTACTGGAAAGGATATCGATCATTATTAATTGTTTTAATAGTATGTTAAATTTTATGGCTAAAAAAAAAAATGTTTACATGTATAATGTATATTTATAAGCTGAATTACTTGAATACATTATAATTCAATTGACTCTATAATAGTAATACACGTCATATTAATATTAATATTAGTACGTTTTCATATTTGATGATTGATTTACAGTTATCAGCTTCTATTCTTCTCCGAATTAATTCATACTCTATAGTCGTGTTTCTTTTGGTGGTAATATAATTAATACTAAATTAAATATTTACTTGATTAAAATGATTATTTTGTTTCAATTAAAATTTTTACCAGGAAAGAAACTTGGTAATTGTTGCATACTTTATGAATAAAAAAATTAATTCTCTTAAGTTTATAAATTTGCATTTCAGTTTAAATTATTATTTGATTTAATTCTAAATATACTGGGATATAATCAATCAAACTCATTGATATTATACAGAATTTAGTTAATAATGTTAATATTTATTATATGAGATACAGTAAATTGACCATATCAATATTTTTTTTTTGGCTTCTGAGAACCGTAACCAGGGTTATAGCCGACTACAGGCATTTCCTTGTCCTGCACTCTCCCACGTGTGCGTTCACAGTAAAGTTGCCGATGCCTGAGGCCACAAGTCATCCATACGTTTACAGCGGTTCAGCGCCAAGCTTCACTGAGTCCTGTAGGAAACAGATCATTAATCTGGCAGTGTGGTATCCACTGAACTCTCCCCCCCTACAGACTTCGACGCGGGTGGGGCTGCATCCCCTGGCCATACCATCAGGTATCGGCTTCAGGTGTATTACTGTTACTTCTATCCCCTTGACCATCGGTAGTGGTGAGACTCCATAGGTTACCCACATGAAGCCGCATCACTACAGCATAGAAGTTTGCCAACGACGCCTAGGTCGAAAGCACATCTATGCTAGACTGATTTGCTCTGGATCCGCTGACCCTTAACAGCTGGAGTTCAGAACTCTAAACCTCCCCAGCTAGGAGTAAATATTATCATGAGAGAGAATATGAATGTATATATTTATATACCTTGTTTGGTCCACAGCAGTAGTAAACGGACATCACATATAAGATTTTTTTTTTTTATAAATTATACTTAGTTCTTAACAAGTTTAAACGTATTCTATTAAGATAAGAAGACAATAATAAAATCGAATGACAATACCACGAGTTAAGCAGCGATGTATTTCGATAGTTTCTCTTATTTATAACATGTAGTATCTCCGTTAAATACAAACCTATTTCCAGAAGGAATTCTTATTGGGAAAAAATTTCTTCCTAGTTTGTGAAGCACCTACATTCAAATTAAAAATCAGCATTTAAGGGCTTTTTGTACCAAATGTATGAAATATGAAAATTTGTTTGCACGTGATAAATATCCTTGCGTGGTTAATCTAGTGCCTAGTTTCTAAAAAGAAACATTATTAAAAAGGGAGGGAATGCTTTATTGATAGTAATGCGAGTAACAAGAAGTGGGCGGCCTTTTTTTTTTTTAAACTGCTTGTTGATTTGATGTCATCAAAAATATTTTAAACTACTACTACTACTACTACTAAGCCACAGAAAATAGCTTTAAATGGTTTTTTATCTCAAGCCATTTTTTATTTTTTTTTTTCTTTGTGCATAACGGTAAGTTTCAATGAAATTAATTACATTCAATCAAATTACATGTTATTGACTAGAATTTATATTATCTATGAATTTAATAGAAAGGAGAGAACTTTGGCAATCCCCTTGAGAAGGACGGAATGAGCTTTTGCTCAAAATAAAGCACCTTGTGTGTTTGAAGGCATCGCTCTTCGGAGCATCTAGGCATATTGCCACCAATTTTTTTTTTATAAATTAAATGAAAATGAAAAATACATGTACATATATACATTAAAGTGGAATTATAAATGAACGTTTATGTTAAATATTTATGTTCATTTAAAATTCCCTATTAAACTTACAAATGAACTTATAACCTTTAAGTAACATTTGAATATACATGGTTGTAAAATTTATCATCTTCGAAATAATGAACTTGTTAAATCTTGAAATAGTATAATACATCGGTGCATATTCATTAAATTACTACTAATCTATTTTTAATGAACGTTTGTACGATAAACTTTATAGGCTAAATATCATTTGTAAACGACTATAGCCATTTACATTTTGGTGGTATAACATTCATTCCTACTAATGTACAGTTTTCATTTAGCATGTATATAGCCTGGCTGTTCGTGTTTTAAATTCAGTCAAAATTGGCGGAAAGACTAGTTTTTCTCCAATTGAAAAAGGTTCATTCTTTTTTTTTTTTTTTTTTTTTTTTTCTCTCTCTCTTAGATATTATAAACATTAATAACCCCAGTTAATAAATAATAACAAGAGAAAATGGGAAAATCAGAAGAAGCTTCTATGAGCAATCCTTTTATTCCAAAGGATACTGAACTACATGCATTAACAAGAGCAGAGGAAGAGGGTTGTTACAAGGATATGAAAGCAAAAGCTCTACAAGCATGTCAATTACCTATTAAAGGTTAATATATCGAATATACACAAGGGCTAGTAAATTAATGCTTGTCTATGTAGATTTTGTTACATGTAGTAAAGAGCACAATATCACAGTGATGTGGACCTGTAGAGATAAACTTAAAGCTATGAATAAGTGTTTAAATGAAAGGTAAAAATAAAGAAATACTTCATAACATGAGGCCACGTATAGTTAAATTAATCTCTTTTAAAAGAACATCACAAGAAGAATTAGACAAGCTTATGTTGGCAAAGTTAACGAAAAAAAGAAATGAAATGAGGCAATAAAGATTATGTAATACACTTCTTGTTTACTAGAAGAAGTAACAGTAAAAAGAAAACATATTGTATCATTTATACTTATTAAACAAATATTCTCAAGGCCTCTAAAGTCATCATTACAATTTACTACTATAAATTTATCTGGGATAGTAAGCTTAATACAGTGTGGAGTAGTATAACGATTGCTTTCATCTATCTTTTTGATCAATAGACTAATAACTAACTCGAATAGAATTAAGTTGAATCTTAGACAGTCAATTTAACAAGCAAATCACTATTGTACCTGTATTATATAATATCTTTTCCAGCTAAAAGATTTTATGATATAAGTCATTTACAACGGTATATTCTTCCTACTGTTATTACCTATAGTTTACCTTTTAATTCAGTATCCATTAAAGAGATTTTAACTTAACGACTACAATCATTCTTTCCATTACTTGGTTTTTATATTTTCATTTACTAATAACTCAGAAAATCGTTGCTGTCTACCTTTTAAAATGCAACAAATAATAACTATATTATATACAAGACTCTATCTTTTTCTTCTTCCTTTAATCATTATTAAACCCAGAGGCTCTATAGTTAGTCTTGCTAATTTTTAAATTCTATCTTATAATGCTAGTTGTGTTATATATACATATATATTATAGATGTATATTTTTATGATATTAGTTAGCATGTACTATAATTACTCCATGGAGAAATAATATATTTGAAGTATCTTATTTATAATGTCTTGGAATAATAAAGTAATTTAACAAATAACAGTGGTTCTTTCTAATTATTACATCGTCAGACTCGTTAATTTTTATGCTATAATATAAAAAAAATAAAATAAAGAAAGCATAGATTATAGATAAAATAATTTTATCTATACATTTGTTGCGTTATTATCACAGAATTATGCTTTCATCAATCCATGTGTAAATGATAGGCTATAGTAATTTAGCTTGAAATTGATACAGATTACAAACAAATTGAAACGAATTACTGTTAGTTTTTGGATAAGTGCGCATTACAATTTAGACAGATTATCTGTAGATATCTAAATCACTATTACTAGCGAAACCGTTTCCTCTACGGTGATTTCTCTCTGAAAGACAGCAGGTCTATCGAAATGTAGTTCTTGATCTAAGCTTGATTTCTCTCTCAATTATCGCTGTGGCACCTGACATCTGGCCTTTTATCCGATATTCTTCATCCCATCACATAAACACAACGAGAGGTACACAATGAGAAGGCTTAAATTTGGCTTTTTTCCCCCCCATTTTGCTGGCTTCTTTCTTAGTGTAGTTTTACATATTATCATCGTATATAATTTGTGGGTTCCTTTTGTCCTCTTGTTTCTTCTTATCTCTTTTCTTTCTTTTCTTTCTTGTATTCAGTCTTTTGGCTTTATTGTACTTTTTTTTTTCCTCCATTAAATAAGATGTTGGTTATCTCTTTATTCAACCTTTGTCTGCCCTGAATGATCATTAAAACGAAAGGGTTGTAGACCTTTCATTGTAGAACCTGAAGATTTGGGGATACATGTTTGAGAGCATATATTATATAATTGTTCCATTTTTTTCAATGTCTATGGTTTTTGTTGAAGGGAAATCTGTCGCGATGCCTTTTTCATCCCAGCTTTTAATTTAAGTATTTCTACATGACAAGCCCTTCTCCTCTTGGAACATGTATAACAATATCGCTCTTTAATGCTACATATTTTTATTTCTTGTTGATCTTCTTTATGGCATACTGTTGCTGTAAATATATGATCTCTGTCTGGATCAACAGCACAAGGCTGAAAAAAAAAATACTTTTGTACTTCTTCATCGCAAAAAAAATTTTCCAGCTCTAATTGTACTTTTTCTTTCACATCTTTGGCTTTTCTAGCAAAGCCAAAGCAAACACCAAAGCCGTCGCTATGAATGGTGCAATTGGACTTTTTTTTTTTAAAAAAAAAACAACAAACTTTGTGTAAATTTGATATTAAGTTTACAAATGTATAATGCCTCCAATAAATTAAGCATGATGTATCTCTGTACTTGTATCATGACTATGGGTGATACTTTATAATTAAGATAAGATAGACTTTTTATATATAATAGTATTAGAAGATTTAATATAAAGTCTTTGAGTTATTCGCTGATAACATAATAAAATAAATACATATATACATTATATACAAGTGACGCCAAGCATCATTCTGCTCTATTTTGCAAGACTTAATAAAACGAATATGTGATGCATAAAAGATGAACTTGTTACTATTATTATCAATTTTTTTTTTCTTTTAAATGAAACATTGATTTTTTTTTCCTATTATCGCGTATATGTATAATTATAAAAATCGCGTTTAATGTTTCGAAATTATTTTTTATTTTTTATTTTTTTTTTTCTTCACTCTTTATTCTCTCTCTCTTTTTTTTTTTATATATATACATATATACATATAAATATATCTATACAACTCTATTAATAATATCAATTTAAAAAAGAAAAGAAAAAAAAAATGGAGCGTACCTTTATTATGGTTAAGCCTGATGGTAATAAAAGAGAGAGTGTGGTTCATTCAGGTTTGAAAACAATGAATAGGATTAATTTGTATTATTATGATTTTTCTTTATAGGCGTTCAACGTGGTCTTGTGGGAGAAATTATTAAGCGTTTTGAGCAACGTGGCTTTCAATTATTAGCAATGGAAATGATGTATCCTACACGCGAATTACTTGAAGAACATTACAGTGAACATAAAGATAAATCATTCTTCAAGGATATTATTGATTTTATGCATTCAGGTCCTGTCGTCGGCATGGTCTGGTATGGCCATTCTGTTGTGAAGACAGCTCGTAAAATGCTCGGTGAAACCAACCCTTTAAATAGCGCACCTGGCACTATTCGTGGTGATTTTGGTATTGTTACTGGACGTAATATCTGTCACGGTTCTGATTCTGTTGAATCAGCAGAACGAGAAATTAAATTATGGTTCCCTAAAGGAGTTGCTATTTATGATAATAAAAACACACGCCAACAATGGATTTATGAAAACTAATAATAAATCTTTATAATATATTCAAAGGGAATCAATATTTTCTACACATGTATGTTTTATATGCATATATATAAAAAGTAAAGTAAAATAAAATAAAGTAAAACCATTGTTTTTCTTCTTATTTTTGAGTTTTGATGTCTGATAATATACTTTCATTTTTATCAGTCACACCTAACAAAGAATCACCTCCTAACAATTTATTCTTCATCTTGTTTTCACTCAATTGAACATTACTATACAATAGGTTAATACCTTTCTTTTTTTTTTCCTTCTACTCCACTTATAGATGAGTATATATATACCTATACCAAGCGCCACCTGCTAAAGTCAAAATAATGCCCAAGCCATTTGTTGCTGTAATACTAAGATCAAAAATAATAACTGCCAACACAATCGAAAGAACCTGCTTTACATTGCCTAGGAAAAATCAATAAATATATATACACATAGATATATGGTTAGAGACATTTTAAATTAATTTACCTGCAACTGTCATAGTTAGGGCAGATGTCTTTTTGTTTGCTGTAAAACTAACGACATTTAAAAAGAAGGCAATGATACCATTCAATAATAAAGCACAAAATACGGATAAAGTCATATTTGTCCTGTAATATTCTTGAACAAGTTCCATCTCCCCTGTTATATAAGAGTAAAGCATAGTTTGAACAAAAGCTAAAGGTGACATTCTTAACAATAAATCTAATGGATGAAGCTTAAGGCGTCCTACTTGAACTCGATTTGTCACAACTGTCTTTAAAGCTGCTAAAACTGTGCCCAATACTGTTAAAAAGAAACCCATCGCAGTATAATTATAATCTCCAAAGGTAGCAAATGCAACACCAGCAATAACCTATATTGTGTGTATTTTTTTTTTGTTTAGTTATGTCTAATTTTTGATAATATACATATACATATATATGTTAACTTTACAGGTATTAAGGAGATATAAACCATGGTGGAATAAGTTTTTTTTAAAAACATAACATTTAGCATCACAGTAAAAACTGGTGTCATGGCTCTTACAACTTGATGAAACTATATGTGTATTCAAATAAATAAAATAAAAATAAGCCTTTTTTTTTTTTTTTTTTTTTTTTTTTTTTTTTTTTTCATCTTCATCCTTTAGAATAACTTACCGGAACAGTAACTAGATTGCTAATGAATCATATACAGGTCATTAGTTTATGAATATACTATATATAGAATTAAAACTTACAGGGAAACATTACTGATGGCAATATTGATGGTATATAAAACCGAGAATAATAACATGATCATATTTTCTTTTTCACCTAATTTTGAAGGCTTAAAGATGCCTAACTTCCAAAAAATATAGGAGCCAATCGTACCACAAAGAGTATGGATAGCCGTTAAAGCCCAAGGGAATGGAAATTGGAACATGGCCATAATCACTTTATTATAAAGTGTAAGGCCTAAATTTAAAAAGAAGTATAAGGCCAACCAAACCATGGAGGAATCTAAGCATTGTTTCATTGACATAGCCATTCCTTCTCTTTCTTTTTTTATTTCTTCTTTTTGAATTTTGAGACTGGTATAAATGTATATAAAAAGAAAACAAAAAAAAAAAAAAATAGTTTCTATAAATTGGACCTATTTTTTTTTTTTTTTTTTTAAATGACCGAATTTAGTGCATAGTATCTTAAATTCAATTAAACAATAATAATAAAATTTTAAATGACCGATTGAGCACGTAATAGTGTCTTCTTATAAACATTCGATTGCCCTGGTCAGATCAAGCCTTTTATAACAAACAGTGAAAGTTATTAATATATCAAGCATACAGGAAAATCAAACTATTTTAAAAAGGGAGTAACAATAGAATATATCAAATTAGCTAACTGAGTCATCGGTAATCAAAGTCAAATAGGCAAAGTGTTTGTTTTATGCTGTAAGTTACAAGACCATTGAACAAACAATAAATAGGTGGACGAATGAATGACCCAGACTTCTGTGAAAATGATCTATTGAAAAAGAAAAAAAAAGAGCGCAACAAAACTTCAATAAAGTGAGGAGGGTCTGATATACTACATTTGCTCTGGTCAAGCTATAAGGGAATCGAAGCAGTGTTAAAAAAAAAAAGTACAATGGATGCTACTCAAGAAAAGGGATTATATATTTAGTTAATGAATTGGCCATGATGATAATTAGTCTCTATAATTTAACTGTATGAGGGACAGATTTTAATTGCAATAGGATAGTATTAACCGAGCACTTTTAGGTTAATATATATAACTACCCAACGAAAAGTCCATAGTGAGTTTATTTAAAAGGAATGACAAGGGTACTTTTATAAAGAGATAAAGTATAGTTTGCTTCTTTATATATATAAAAAGGTTATTGTAGATAAATAACACACCAAGTTTTATTTTACCATCAAACAAAGCCACTATCAAATGAGTCTGCTTCTGTAAGACAGATAGATAGATAACTACAATAATAGAATAAGGCCTATTGATAACATCTACCCTATTTCCAAACAGAACTATTTCATATACTATAATCTTCTTGGATCTATTTTTAGCGAATTCAGATACAGAAAATAAAAGTAAAAATAAACAAATAAAAATAAAAATACATAGAGTCAGTCATGTGCATGTATGCTTAATACAGTTCGAGTTCTATTATTACGTAAAAAGTGTAATACAAATGTCATTGATTACTATTATCTCTCTTTACAATTGGATACTTTCAAAATCTTATGACACTCAGATAATTCTACAAGTCGTTGTTAGAAAACAAGAGCTCTTATTTCAAAATACCATGATTAAGAATATTGCTTTCTATAGGTAATATATTAATCTTCTTCTTGCACTCAACCCTCCCTTGTTTGTTTCAGAACACCTTAAGTTCCAAAAGATTCAATCCCTTTTACTGATGACAGTTTGAAATATGTGCATTTACCATGATAACAGAGATTTTATCCAAGTGTCCAGCATATCAATAGATTTATACTACTTTTATGCATAAAAATCAAGAGTAGACTTAATCTAGGAACCTTTGGTAACTTAAATCGATACTATTTATCACAATCTGACGTCAGATACATCAAAATTCGAGAATAATCAGCTTATTTACTTTCTATAATAGATCCAGGTATGAGAATAGAAAGAAAAAGAAGAAGAAGAATTTGGCTGACTGACTTTAACAAAACTGTTAACAGGATTCATCATATTAATTGCTCCAGGGGTTCAACCTTCCAAGATACTCTATACAAAGAAAAGGGATAGGTGTCATTCTTATGATATTAGTTTTTCTCTAACTCTAATCTGTACAGTAATGAATAAGCTTTTTCTACCTCTCCAAAAAAAAAAAGACTCTAACTCACTACATATTATATCATAGAGCAGATTTAAAGGTGATGAAACCGATAAATGATATTCATAGAGACCATTATGAATATTATATGCTTTATGATAAATACTAAAAGAAATACATGAGATAACAGCAGCATAACTATAGTTGTCAATAAATAAACTATATAATGGCTTTTATGTGAGTAAAGTATATATATGCAAAAACATGTCTGAATCTAGTTATGAGTCATACTATTATTAGCAATTTTATGGATCCATTTCATAATAAGGAGAAGCATAATTATCATCATTAGCCTCTCCCTTTCTTTATCTTTCTTTTTCTCTTATAATAATAGTGATAATGATAATAAAAACGTGTGTTCTAGGCAGCATTACCAGTCGCCCTATTGTACTGCACTGGAAATAATCCACAAACATCTTTGATGTGCCTTCTTTCAGATTGCTAGAGGACAATACTAGTATTAATAATAATAAAGGCAGTAGTAATGTAGGGCTGAGTGATCTTATTCTAAACATATGCGTGCATCATCCACTCTTTCATTTGAGCATGGTGTGTGTGTGTATAATTGTGAATAAGGGGTTTTAGTGGAGCCCTGAATAGATACGGAACACGAAACATGTTGTATTATCCATATTTACTTGGTGGAAGATGACACCTACTTCTTTTACTATACATATGAAATGGTTGCTGCAAGTACTATCCAAAATCAAGTTGATAAAATTAACTTTAAGAAAAAAAAGTTCCCATACTATCTCTAATTGTAAGATTGCACAATAATGCACAAGACCTCCTCCTCCTATATAATATTCACACACACACACACTACTTGTTGCAAGAAAAAAAATCTAATTTTTGGTCTAATAATAAAACCTTTTATAATACAACTCTTTGTAAATACCATATCTTTTTTTTTCTTTTTGAATTATAAAATAAAAAAAAATTAAAAGGTATTGTCTTTTTTTGATGCGTTGCAAGCAATTCTCCTTAAACTGATAAAATACCAAATAAAAAAAAGGAGATAAGGCAGGAAATAACGTGTTAGCTTTAAACTCATAAAATGCATAAATGATCTGTCTCATGTTGATGATAAATCGTACAGTGTTAGTAGATATTGTCAGTTGAATAACTAATCTTAAAAGATATGAGTTCCTTCATACAATAATAGACATAATTTCAAAGAAAAATATAAGATAACTGTCCTTTGCCCAAGTACAACTGAAAAATGAATATAACAAAAAGGTGATCTCAAGTGCATCTATTGGACACATAAACTCTAGTTAGCTTGTACTTAACACCTATTATTTAATATCTTTTCCTATTGTGTGCTCTAAATAAATCAAGGATATTGTATTGCAACTTTCCCCCCTAACCCCCTTTAAAGATAAGATATGCCTATAAAATGTTACTTTATTTCGTTGTTTGTCTTCATTTGATTTGTTATTATAACCACCAAGATTCTTTTTCTTGAATGTGAATAAAGAGGTCATCATCATCATCTTCTTCTTGTTCTTTAATAGATATATTTAGTTGAAATAGAGAAGTTATTTCATCCTCATTATCACTATGGTTTAATCCACTTTCATCACCTTGTTGACTAAATATGGCCGAGTCATAACTTGATTTATTTTCTTTACTTGGTTGTATAGGCGGAATATCTAAAGGTAATAATAATGCAGTCATGATGTGATTATCTTCCTTTGTGAATAAAGTAGTTATCTTTAAAAAGTCTCGTTTCATGTCACTGATATTTACATAACGATTTTTAGGATCAATACAAAGAATAGAATCAGTTAAGAATTCAAGACATTCATCACTTAGAACAGGGAATAATTGATATTGAAGTGAATTAGGGTCATTCATATATTCCCAAAAATTAGGATCTGCTTCTGTAGCCTCCTGCCATGGATTCTTACCAAACAAGAGAGCTAGCAAAAGAATACCTAATGACCAAATGTCAGAAGCAGCTGCATCATAATGCGATGATTCTTCTGCGTTATTATTATTATTATAATGTTCAGGTCCTAAATAAGTTACCGAGCCACATCCAAAGTCGACCGAATAACGTTCTCGAGTGGCCAAACCAAAATCAGCTAATTTACAACAGCAAAGATTATTCTCATGTAAAAGTAGAATATTTTCTAGTTTGATATCACGATGATAAATTTCATTTTGATGCAAATAGTCTACCGCATCAAGGATTTGACTAAAGATTTCAATCGTTTGCTCCTCCACTATGCCTTTATTAGAGTCAATTGTAGGATAATAATGATTGTGACTATGAATCACATAGTCAAATAAGTCACCTCCATCACATAATTCCATCACAATAAAGACATAATCTTGTTCCTGAATAACGGCTTGAAGACCTAATAAATGCGGATGTTGTAAACTTTGCTGAATATCGATTTCAAGTTGTTGAAGAGATAATTGGTTAGAATCCAAACCCCTTTTAGAAAGTATTTTAACAGCGACATAATTATTATCAATAAAAGATTGAGCAAGAAAAAGACAACCATATGAACCACGACCTAATTCTTCAAGTAATTGATAATTTTGATTGTCGATATATTTATCCATCATTAATTTTGATACTTGATCCCAATCTTCTTTTGATAAAGATGATGTTATTGAAGTCATTTTATTTTATAAGGAAAAAGAGCGATATATGTATTGAAAGAGAAAGAGAGAAGGAGAAAGAGAGAAAGAGAGAGAAAGAGAGAGAAATAGAGGGGAATAGAGAAAGAGAGAGAAATAGAGAGAGAGAGAGAGAGAGAGAGAGAAAAAGAATATATATAAATATATACTTTTAGGCTGATTGTTTTATATGTGCTTATATATAGTGTCGAATATAATAAAGAACTTCAATTCCATTAATATTTTTTTTCTTTTTTTTCTTTTTTTTCTTTTTTTTTTCTTTTTCTTTTTATTGCTGTAAAAATAATATTGAATAGTCTTCTTGCGGTTATTATTGGTCTTATTTAAAAAAGTAAAGTCATTTTGAATTGTATATAGTTAATAATAAAATGGCTAATTTAAAGAAATAAACAAAAAATAAAAAATAAACAGATTAGTTAATGTACAAATTAATAGAGATGAGAAAAGGAAAGAATAAAACAAAAAACAAAAAAAAAATGTGTAATATTATTTATATGCGTAGTAATGTGCTGCTGCATTATAAACGTTTCTATTTATTGATTGATTTTAGTTTTTAATACTTTAAAAAAACTTTTTATTGTAAATAAGAATATGTAAGTAATAATAATAATAATAATAAAAAAGCTCTTAGAGTCAAGTATTCTTTTTTTTTATATTATCTTTTCTTGAACTTCTTTAAAACAAATAATACATTCTTAACCAATTAAAATCAAACTACAATATAATAACCAATATTGATATTATTAATTACCTTTATTGGATAAATGTTCTTTCCTGGTTAAGGAAATAAATCAATTGAAAATAACTATTGGTTGTATTAGATGACAGTTAATAATAAGGATTAGAAGTTCTACAGGAACGGCTCTAATTAGTATTGTAACTTTTTTTCTTAATCTTCTTGTTACTTTATAATTTTAATAAGGTCGTTAAGTTTTGTTGCTAATCTGTAATTAATCATTCAACTTGTAACTTTACTTCAGTTTTATATTTTGGCATTATTTTCCAATTTAGTTATTCAATCTAAACAACAAATAATGTGATGCGTATATAATAGTTAGTTATGTTGTATTTTTTATTCTTCAATTAATTGAGATGCATTGTAATAATAACAATTCTTTCCTCCAACAATTAACATCGCTAATGCTATCACAGCATACCATGTTTCATTAAACTTACTTTCAAATTAGGGAAAAAAATATGCAATATACGTTTCTAATGTACTCTTTTGGAAAACAAGGCATTTATATTTATATAAAAACCAAAAAAAAAAAGTTCTTATATATGCATACATATTAAATTGTTTTAATGTAGATCGTGATTTGGATACATCTGATCTACTAATGAAGTAAAAGTCAAATATATATTCATGAGTACATAGATTTGATAAATACACATATAGAACTATCATTTTGCCTTGCAAAGCTAATAATTATTCAGAAATGTAGATGTTATTTGCTACGACATTAAAAGCGTTAGAATAATATATTTCTTGTTTGACTAAACAAGCGGATCATAAAAAATTCTTTTCTATTTATATTCTCGATCTACTTTGGCACTTTATTTATCATTTGGTCATAGCTAGCACTTTTCCGGTTCCATACCTTATTTTAGACAATCTTCTTCAAGTACTCATTTATTTGAACTTGTAATAAAATAAGTCGACTTTATTCTGATAAGAGATATTATAAAGAGCTTTTTAAAGACTTTGCAAAAGTACATGACTTAAAGAAACCCTTTGCAAAAGTACATGACTTGGAGAAACCCCTTTGCCATTCCTTCGTTGAAAACTTCCTTTTGTTCTCTGGGTTAGGAAATTACTCTCGATAAAAAGAAAGTCATTAGCAATGTACCCTTTTTTTTTTTTTCCTTTTTACTATATTATAATTTTCAATAGGTTTTGCTGAGATAAAATATACTGATTTAGTCTATACTTGGTTTTCAGTTTTCAGTGTTCAGTTTCCAGTAGAAGATAGGGACTTTCAACAAGCTTTATGGCATTTGGAATGTAAATCACCCTTTTTATAACAGATACAAGTGCCTCATAACGTTCAAAAATATGTGTATAATATCAAACTAATCTAAGTCAACTCGATTTTGAATTAAGGGGCAAGTCTATGATGGCTTTAGTTTTGGGGTATATAAAAAAACATTTGATTTCAATCTGTCAAGCTATTTTGTTTAAGCCAAAAAAAAAAAAAAATATGAAGTTATCTGGGAGGCTTATATCTATACAAAAGAAGTTTGTAAAAAATAATTTGCTTGCATGTCTAAAGAGGTGCAATTGCCAAGTAAAGAATTGGTTGCTTGAGTAACAACTTGCTTGCTAGATCCATTCCAGGTCAGACCATAATTCAAAAGACATGAAAGTATTATTTACATCTTGTTCTATAATAAAAGCCTCTCTTGATCTATAAATAAGCAGCATAGTCATTTTGTGGGTAGAAAGAAGGATTTCGACATTGACAATGCAAAGAAAAAAAAAAAAGTTTAATGACAACATTGATACTTCTTCTTTCCTGAAAAATGCAACACACTTTTTTTTTCTTTTAATAATAATATATCATATTTTTGAATGAGAATATACGATTTTCCCTTTTTGCTCCCTTTTATTTCTTCTTCGCTCTAAAGAAGATTGAATAATAGTTGTAACAATAACTAATTCTTTTGCTGAATTACAAATAAAAGCAATCAAATGTCTCAGTTGAATCAGACAAAAAAAAAAAAAAAAAAAAAATATACCTAAATAAAGTAACTTCCTTTTTTAGAGAGACCTTAAATTTTCTCAGACAAAAGAAGCTACTCTTGTTATTTGTTTATATTTTTATTTCTTTTTATACTTGATTTATTTTATTAGCAGTAGTTATAAACAAAAACAGACGAGCTATACTTTGTTTTGAAGAACAAACCCTATTCCCTTATTTATATAATAAGAATAAACAAACAAAAAAAAAAGGGATAAATGGCTTTAGCTTCTTTTCCTCTTATTATTCGACGTTGGAGAAGGTCCAGCTTATATCATGTTGAGTATTCAAAATATTCTCAACTACAAGAATATGTAATTATTTCTTTTTTTTTTCTATTTATTATGTAATATCATGATATATAATACATATTATATGTATATAGTTAACCGAGGAAGATTTTTTGTCTCGAATGAATACGATAAATAAGCATATCTATAACGAATACCCACATACATGGATTGATACTTATTTATTTATTATTGCTGTTATACTTGTCATTGTTGCTGCAGCTTTTTCAGTTGTTGCTCGCGCTATTACTTTATCTATGTGGTACCCTCTAATCATCTTAATTATACCTGCCATCATTGCTTTCATTACAACTAAAAGAAGAAACGCTTATTATGATAGACTGAGTGACGTAACTATATCAATATGCTTATGCTACTAAACTAAACTAAACTAAAAAAAAAGAAGAATTAATAATCGTTTTTTTTTTTATATATATATCTATTTATATTTTTATATAGTATTATAGCTCACTACAAAGTTGTTTAAAAGAGATGAATTCTATAGATGTTACACGACAAATTAAATGGAATTTTCGTAGATTAAAAGAAGTAGATACAGCTGTAGCAATGAATTTACAACCTCCATTATCGAAATATCGTATTAATTTTGTGATCGATATCATTCAAATTAATGTAGAAAATGAGTTATTAGCAGAAGAGGGAGAAGCACTACCTGCTTATGATCTGGCTATTATAAGAGATACTGTGCTTGATATTGGGCCTGAAGTGGAACAAGTACCTGGAAACAGGTCAAACTACATTACTGCGCCTTCCTCAGCTGCACTGGTCATGTTATCAGACCCATCTTCTACATCTCCTTTAAGATTACAGCCACCAGCATATCATGAACATCGATCGATAAGAACGGATGATAATGTAGAACTTGCCTCCATCTATTATCCACCTCCTGCCTATATATCAAACGAAGAAATCATTAATGCGCCGCCTAATACTGTAACTTCTTCTATGACTACTGTTAATAATCGATAGAAAACCTCTTCACTCTCTCTGTATAATTTATTTATAATTGTGTATTATATTATATATATTTTTTTTCTCTCTCTTTATCTATCTGTATAACTTATTTTATCATGAATACATTATTTTACGTAATAGATATTTCTTCTTCTCTCCCTATCTTAAATGTGTATATTGGACATTTATCTACTATTCTAATCAGATTTTCAATTAGATCTGAACGTGATTCTTTATATAAATATTTATATGCAGTCTGCAGGGCTTTATCATGCAAGAGCCTGAAGTGTACCTCAACATATTTTTTTTTTACTAGATTTACTACACTACGTTCTTCATAAGCATTATTTCCTTCAACTCTCCCTTCTCCTTTCTTCCTTTCTACTATAAATATCCGTTTTTTTTTATAAATAAATAAATATGTACACAATAATACAACCCTTTATTTCATTGACATGTTTTTTTTTTCTAACAATAAAATAGTCTACGTTGGGAAAATAAAAAAAAAAGAAGTTACAAAAGTGAATAAACCAAAGACATATATTCATTTTTTTTTTTTTTTTTTTTTTTTTTTTTTTTTTTTTTTAGAATAATTGATATTGATATACTATATATATAAAACACACACAGACATACACCATGTAATAAATGATAATGTTTACAATTCATAATTAACTAATGTTAGGCGCTTTATATGAATAATCCCATCCTTGTGCAGAAGGTGTTTCTGTAGGAATCTTGGCTTGTTTAGGATAATTCAAATGTCGACTTTTGGCAATAGCACCCTTAAATAATCGTTCACTTGTTTTCTCTAATTCATTCATAGCAGCTTGCATTGCTCTAAATTGACGTTCAAGTGTACGCTCGCGTTGCTCTCTTGAACGCATTTTAAAAAGTTTCCAAGCACGTTCAATCGTTTCATGTTGTTCTAACTTTTCTCCTTCTAATATAATTGACTTTTGTCTAACTGGAGGCTCAAATAAAATACGACGAATAACTTCAAGACGGGTGTCACCTCCCGATGATGAATGATTAGCTGTTGATGATAAACGGATTTGATTTGAAAGTAAATTACTTGTACGTCGAAGAATAGACGAACGACTAGAGCCACATAAAGTATTCAACATGTTCGAGTATAGCAAGAAAGGAATTGTGGAGAATAAGTTAGTTTCTTGGACTAAAAAAAAAAAAAAAAAAAGGGGGACTTCAATTTTCCTTCCTCCTCCCCCCCCCTCAACCACCGCTACCACCACCCTGGCTCTGGAGATTCAATAAGCCACTAACTGAGTTGTGTAGAAAATATACGTTACAAGAAGAGACTTTATGTCATGTTTAACTCAAAATAATAATAACTCTCTCTTTCTTTTTTTTTTATATATATATAGTACTTTTAAAAAAATAACATATAACTTTCCTACAATTTTCAACAAATCACCAAGGAAAAAAAGAAAAAGAAAAGACGAGATATGATAATAATAAAAGAATGTTGGTTCTTCAAAGAAATAACTAGACTAAATATTGAAATGTCAAATAGTTGATATTGACAAAATTTCTTGTTCAGTATTGGCTTATCATTACAACTTTTAGCTGAATTTATCTTTTACATGAATATAAAAAGAGAGAGAGAGAGAGAGAGAGGTAGCTGTTAAGGATAGTCTTGTTATTAGAAAATGTCATCTGGGCTACCCTTTAATTATCTTATTTCATATATTTATTTATTTTTTCCTACCGAAGAAAGTCCTAAAAATGACCATAATTCCTATTATAAAGGGCTGTCTTTATTATTTCATTTATTTTATATATTCATAAACGCTTTTATTCATGCTACGAGATTGTTAAAAAAAGAATATGATAAGAATATTCCAAAAAAAAAAATCAAGTTTTTACAAACTTGACCCCTTTTTTTGAAGTTCTTTAAACTTTATTAACATGATATAACAGTATATTTACATGTATTTAAACATAAACGAATATAGCTAACAAAAATTTAGAATTATAAAAAAGCGCACATTATTTTAAATTAAACGTGTCAGAATATACTATAGATATGCTATTTGTCTGATAGGATTCTTGCCATTATTAAAACAAGATCTCAGGATTAGAAAAGAGAGAAGTGTGATAATAGTTGATCTTGATTACAGAAGCCGAAAGTATAAGAATAGAATAGAATGGAATAGAATAGAATAGAATAGAACAGAATAGAACAGAATAGCAGGCACGCGATAGATTTTTTTTTCAATACAAATCTATTCACTATGCCTAGTATGTAAATAAGTAAAATCAAACATTATAGTTGCTCATTCTACAAAGCATCCATGAAAAATGGAGAATGCATACTTCCAAGTTCTGATAATCTAGTATAATTTTTAGATATTACATAAGCAATTAACAAGAATAACCTCATAAAATAGGAAAAAGATTTTTTTTTTAATAGTAAAATAGGAAGAAAAAGGATGAATATTGATTTTAACGCTATAGATAACAAATTAAAAGAAAAAAAATAATCCTATAATGTAAAGTTTGTCTTATGAATGCAAGAGACATAAAGTATCTTTATCATAACTAGAAAGAATAAAAGTAGATCGAATACATAAGTATTGGAATTCAAAAGCTTAATTTTTGAATACTCATATATAATTCATTCCCTGCTATATCCCTTAGAAAGCAAGCAAAGGATTGTTAAAGAGATAGATTTCTTTTAACTTTATAGTTAATCTTTCAACTTTTACTACAATTACAATAAACTCTGTTGAAAAAGATAAAATAAAAATAAAGTGCAAGCTTAATCTATTCAATCCATATTCAAGCTTCTTATATGAATATTCAATTGGTTGGTATCAGGAAACTGTAAATGATCTTATTTAAATATAATTTTGCATTATAAAGCAAAAAGAAGAATGTGTTTTAATAAAGATTATGTGTACACTATATCACAGATCAATGAATAAGACTAATATTCATACAAAAAATACACATTATTTTTTTTTTCTAAATTTAGTTACCAAATTATAATGCATGCTTTATATAAATATTCGTAGTAGACAATGACTAAAACCGAACATTCTATATAATATAAAATTGCAATATACATTCTGCTGCAATTTTTTTTTTCTTTCCTAGTGCCCAAAAATCTAGTACATGTAAATATGCATATAATCATTTATATATAGAATATAAGAAGGAAACAGAATTGCATATACATTCTTACAAATATCTATGTTTATATATAAAAAGAAGTTTGATACTTGTTTTATTTTATTTTATTTTTCTTTTTTCAACTAAAAAATAAAATAAAACAAGTAATGCCTTACGATAATTCAAACACAATTATGATGACTGTTCCTGATCTTGTCTGTAGTAAAAATAATAGGTTCTCATCTAATTCTTGTGTAACTGAGGAAAGCATTGACTCTGTTACTTTAATGACACCATTAGACGCATCACCTTTACCACCACCTTTTAATGCAGTTCCTATTATCAATATTGTAAACGATGATCCCTTTCCCAACTCAACTAATTATCCAGCTATTGCTTCTGCATATTATAATAGACATCGTGCACAGACCTCTTCTCCTCTTCCAACAGAACCTATTCAACAACAAACGCTGCTTCAACCATCCTCATCCATTTCTATACCTATTGATGACACTAAAGTAAAGAAACCAAAAATGTCTAAAATGACAAGGCTTTGGCCCAAGATTAAATACATGATGGTCAATTCATCTTCTTCTTCAAATAAAGTTCATACTGATAATAAATTTAAACAATTATTTGATTCTATGAATATATCCTCGTCCACTCGACAAAAAATCTACAATAAAAGGACATCTTCAACTAATAACAAACGTTGGCGGCTTCTTGGTAGAAAGAATAAATCTCGTATAGATCCTCAACAATAATTAAAAAAAAAGGGGGGGAGGAAGGGAGGGATGAGGAGAACAAATAATATCTCTAAACTTTATCATCTAAAAAAGAAGTATTGCCCCTCTTCCTCTTCTGTTTCCCCCTTCAATTCAAATTTCAACTAACTCTTTATACTGTATATTTGCTTTTATATCCCTAATAAGCTTTTTATTTATAACATAAACAATAAAAAAAAAGATGTTTTACAAAAAGTACTATGTAGATTATTTTATCTTTTTTTTTTTTTTTTTTTTTCTTTTTCATTTATTCTTTTTAAAATAGACGTTTTTGAAGTGGGATCTTGAGGACGGGAACGCGTAAGAAACGACATTTTTTACGATAACTTACGAACTTAATGTCCGCTTAAACAATTTCCATTGTTTGTTCACAATCTGAGTCATCTAAAGTGTCCAAGGACTCCGAGTAAAATGAAATTGATATATTATAGGACCGAATTGTGGTAAATGAAACTATTAATTTTATCATCACATCATCATAGATATGTAATATAATAATTCATTTACTCTTCTTCTTCTAACCAAGAAATGCAAAAAAAAAAAGAAATAAAATAAAAAAAAATTTTTTTTTCTTTGTTTCCCTGCAGCAAAAGCAGGCAAAAATAAAAAAGTTTTATTTTTTTCTTATTTTAGAAAAAAAAAAATCTTTTACCGGACTTGGAAAGGGAGGAGGGGAGAACAAAAATAGTTCTTGATCTTTGCAAATATTTCTCCTGTTTCATGCTACAGATGTTGTATGTGTACTTTATAGCTCCTTTAAAACTACCTTCTACATGTAAAAAAAAAAAAAAAAAAAAAAAAAAAAAAAAAAAAGAAAATGAATCTCCTATGTTAGGAAATTAATAGAAATTATATTACACTCTGTCTATTTCAAATAATAATAAGCTATACATCATATATTTCTTATCTTTTTTTTTTCATTTCTTCTTTTACATTCAAAGACAAATAGTTTCTTTGTACAATTTTAACTTTGTTATAGGTAAATATGAATCCAAAAGCTTTCAAGCCTTTATTATTATTAAAGAAAATAGGCAACCCAATGAAAAATTAATGTTTATATTATATAATAAGGATAATAGTTATTTGCTTATGAAGGATATGCTATTACCGTCTTGGGCTATTGCCATCATTTTTGCGCTTGTTGGAATGATCATATCTACCATTATTTATCTCATTTTTCATAAAAGAAGAAAAGGACTACTGGCAGAAAAAGAGAAAATGACAGTAATAGGAAGAGAACGACGATCGATGTTGGAAAATGGCATGCCATCTTTATATCCCTCTCTGTCTAATAGTAATTTTCCTGACACTATTGTTATTCAACAGCAAAGGCAACATAATGATAACTCTAGTACTTTAAAGGAAGGCGATAGTAGTCAATTGTCTACTTCTTTTACAACAACACATGATAAAGATCATAATATGATTTATGATTTTCATTCTTCTTCGGCTTCTTCTACAGTACCTACTACTGCTTCTACATCTCCTTATACCTATAGTTTTCGCTTCTCAGCACAAGAGAAAAAGGTTTTAATAAATAATGCACCAGAAAAGGATGAAGCTCATGATATTAGAATACTATACTCGTCAAATATAATGGATAGCCATTCATTTATCAACAAAACATTGATCACAAAAGATGAAGATAATGATGTGTCTTCTATTTGGACGGATGATGCTGCACTTTATCTCTTGCCACCCACAACTGAGATGCTTAAATTGAATCTCCCTTTACCTCCATCTAATATCTCCTTTTTTGAAGATAAAATGGAATTAGATACCCTGGCTAGCGAAACTACTGTCAATCCTACTCACTTGCTCTCCAATCAAAACAAGGATGATATTTATCATAAAGAGGAAAATGAACTACAAAAAGTAGTTCTATCATCGCCATCGCCATCGCCATCGCCGTCACCATCATCAACATCATCATCATTATCATCATCTTTAGATACGGATGAAAGTTTGATGTCAACAACCATTGATTCAACAAAACACCAATCTTCTCTATTGTCTATGATTGGTGGTGTAGTTCATATTCAACAAAAGACAGCTAATATACGTAGTAGTTTATATCAATCTCTACGAAGAAAATCGTTTACGAATGCATCCGTTTTGTCACAGAATAATAATAAAACGAGTAGCATTCCTTCTGTTGGCCAGGTTTTTAACTACGATATACCATTCTTGGCTGCTGCTGTAAAGAATAAGAATTCAGTAGAAGAAGGGAGCTCAGAACGACCTTCTATTTCATCTACAGCATCACAATTCCTACAACATCCTTCTTCTTTACATGAACAAAAGCTATCTGATTATCGACCTTCTTCTTCTTCACAAGCCATTATTACTATATCTGATTTCTTTAAGGGTAATTATACTCGTAAAAAGTCCTTTCAACAACAACAAAAGGAGAAGGAGGAGGAGGAGGAAGAAGAACCCAACAGTAATAAAATTATGATTGATACTATGCCCCTGAATGACAATAATGATTTAAATTCATCTGTTGTACCGTCTCTTTCTGAATCTTTATCCTCGGCTATTTCACCCAGAATAACCAGTTATTTACCGAAGACTAGTTCAGAAATAAATCATCAAAGGATAGTACATCATGCTGCTTATTTACCTTCAATTTCACCAGATAAAACTAGTTTATATAATACTGCTACTACGCATTTAATTGAAACCCATAGTTTAAATAATAATGATCAAGCCTTATCATTAGAACAACAACAACAACAACAACAACAGCAAGAAGAAAAAGAAGAAGGCAAAATGATGACATCAGGTTCATTATCTACAGCTGCTTCATATCGAGTCTTTCGTACTGCCTCACAAAAAAATAAAAAGGACAACAATAATAATAATAGTAGTAGTAGTAATAGCAGAAGTAGTTCAGTTATTACCGTAGATAGACAGAGAATGTTCCCTACTATAAAGAAACAAAGATACACGGATGAAATAAGACCATTGCAAAGAGAAAAACCTTTACCCCAGCTTGATTATAACCACCAAAACCAAATATCAGAGACTTCTGCAACTAGTGAAAAGATACTGTTACTATCTAGAAGAGAGAATCGATATTATCAAGCTGGAACATTAATTCATTACGATGATGATGATGATGATGATGATGATGATGATGATGATGACAACGACGACAATGATGATAATGATCATCATGACAAAGTCACTCTATCGTGTCGTTCATCTTTTAGCCATACTGATTATGACCAGCAAGATCATAATAGTAAGCTAGAGGATGTATTATCATGTGATAATTTAGCGGGTGAAAGATCTAATAATAACACACTTTGCAAATCAGGAAATAATATTGAGACCATTCGTCGTATCTTGCAGTCCTCTTGGAGCGGTAGTAATTTGGAAACCTCTGAAGATGGATCCCTCCAGGGTAGTAGCCTATTGACGTCTCCTTCCTTTCTAGATGATACCGTTTCAGTAGCCAAGGGCAATCGTAGTTATATGGGTAGTGTAAGATCAACTACGAGCAGTGGTAATAATTATTATTATCGATCCAATACGATGATGAACTCGCCTTTAGGAAGTATTAACCCTCGTTTACAAAACCAATATTTGACATCCTTATCCTTGAAGGAAGCTGGTAATAATACTATCAATAGTCTTCCTCGTTCAGTCACAAATCCAGGTCATATACGTCCCTCTATTATGTCACCTGGAATCTTTTTTGTAAAACCATCCAATGATGATATCGCATTGGTAGAAGATGAGCCGAAACCTAAAGGATCCTTTTCATCCACAACAGCACGTACTATGATACCTGCAGATGAAGCTGAAGAGAAGCGGAAAGCTAAAAAGGACAGTCAGTCATTCAGTTGGATGAAAAAGAAGCAACAATCATCTTTAAAGATTGAATGCGATATGAATTACAATTCATCTCAACACTATAATACCAAGACACCAGCACAAAAGGAACGTGAAAAATACCTCAAATCTCTGAAATGTTAAAAAAAAAATTTATAGACATATTACTAATTTTTATGGTTATAAAGGATATATTTTAATCTTTTTTTTTCTATAACTATAGTTATAACTAATTCAGTAATAAATCATATGCGATATATATATATATATAAATATATATATATAGATAGACATATATATGTGTGTGTGTGCGTGTGTCTTCATTATTATTATTATTGTTTTATAAATGTTAAAAGTATTTTACATAGTTTATAACATAATAAGTTTTAAATGCTTTACAGATTCTTTAATAGTTATTATTATCATTAAAATAAAAATTTTCTTAGAAACAGATTAAAACCAATTTTTTATATTTAGCTTATAAGTCTAGCTGTAGAATATAATTCTCTAATTCACACAAAAATATTATAAATAAAATAAAGAGTAGAAAAATATTATAATTGCTTGAAATGTAATAAGACAAATAATTATACTTCTTTATATCATTTTTTTTCTTTTTATATAAATATATACTACTTGATTCAACTGTGTCTACTATATACAAAGAAAAGGGAGAGAGAAAGAGAAAGGTGATTTGAATATTCAGATCAGTAAAAATAATGAAAGGATGAACAAATAATCTACTACAACAGGACTATGATCAGTATAATCACTCCTTATTTATAATATGATTAGATTTATCAATACACAAAAAAAAATAAATAAACTAAAAAAGTTATATTTAAACGTATGTATTTATATAATAATTTTGTATTCTATATATTCACAAACTATATATTTTCATTAATCAAACTAAATGCATATTTATATATATCTAATACTCTTTTGCATCGTTCTCTCTCAGAAGCAATTACTGTATCTTCTTTTAAGAGATCTTTAAACAAATCTTCACGGTATAAACATGATACAAGTCGATTATGTACAGTTTCTTTTGTAAAATTAACCATTAAATGCATTATGGCCTTTGGAACTATATCTTTGATTGTTTTTTGAACAATGTTAAAATAAGCAATAATCAAATAGCCTACGCATAAATCAAATATAAATACGATATATATGAATATGAATATATATTATAGTTTTACGTATTAATTCAATTATCTTTTCATCTCTTTCATCGTCATGAATATTAATTTCTTTATTTGGTAGGCTTGTTACAGATATTGAAGTTGTCTTGGATACGTGGTATTGTTGCTCAGTCATTAATCCTCCATTTCCAGTAATTAACAATTGTGACAGTCCTGTTGGCTTTATAGCAGTATGTTCCGTTTTTGACAAAAAGCTTTTATTATTACTACTACTACCACCACCAAATAATAAGTTTGAGAAGGGCTCCCTTAAGGGTAAAGAAGATGTAGTATCAAAAGAATTAATAGAAGAGATAGACATAGAACGACTTGGATTGCGATAGGGTTGTGACGGTGACAGAGGCGAAACTGGATCATTTTGTTGTGCTATTGACTGACTGTTAATAACTAAGTCTCGTTGACGTATCATTCTCCTGTTATTACTCGTATTTTTTATCCTCTTTTTTTCTCGATCTCGTTCTCGTTCTTTGCAATTATATTTCTTTTGAATATCAAGTAAGACATCTGAAATGTTCGGGAAATCAGGATGATTTGTATTAATATAAGCACACTCTGTTGAAATCAAGCTTTCGATATATTGAGTTGTAGGTAGTAATTGTTCATGAAGTAAGTCCGATACAACCTCTATCATTTTTGTATGTAGTTTTGGAAACCGAGCCATTTCTTTATTGTTATTACTACAGGTATTAAGACAAATTTTTAATAATTCTTCATAAACCAAATCAACACATCTTAAACAAGGAGTTTCTAGTAATTTAATCTGAGGTCGAACAAGTAAATCAAATGCTATTTCAGGTATAAACAGAGAGCAACGAGATCCCAAAGAATTTCGTATTGCGGTACGTATATCAGCATCTGATAAATTTGCACAAGGTTGAATATCATCAATTGCATTTCCAAATATCGAATTAAAAATAAAATAAATTCGAGCACCTCCAGCTAATTCTTTTGTTGACATTTCAGATGATGTACCGTCAATTGAGGATACAAATTCATTAGAAAACATGGTCAACAGTTTTAGTATAAGCGAACCCTATAAAGGCATTATTCATGTAATAATATAAGAGTTTGACATTCTTTGTTCTATCATTATTATTATAATTATCATTCTTTTTTTTTAAAAAAATTATACTTCTTTTTTACTTGGTGCATTATACCAACAAAAGCAGGATCACCATACTGTGTTAATTCATGTTGAGTTTGTCCAATAAGTGTGCTTAGTTTAGAACGAAGATCAGGCAGTTTTTCTTTAATATGATCAATAAGAATCTTTTTTTTTTTTTAAAAAAAAAGAAAAAATTATGTATGAACTTTATGGATTTTCTTGATACATCTTTTAACTTACATGATTCAAATGTTTTATCAAGTAAGTAGACCCACACTTTTCAGCTATAGCTCGATAAGAGGGATGATTCTCAAAAAATAATTGCTCTGATTTAATAGCAACATCCATAGGCTTATCTACAAGAATATCTTGTTGACTACGATTAACAACTCCAATAACACCTAATTTAAATAAACTTCGAAATGATTTTTCAGTCAAAATATTTAACGCATTTGTCCCAGCATCCATTAAATCTAGTTTTGTTAACACTGCAATCGTCCTTTGTCCTGTAGGATCTACTTGTCTCGCCAGCTTCAAACTATCGGAGTTGGCCAGATCAACGTTTGCAGGGGTCACTGCTAAAATAATGCTAAATATTATGCAAAACGGTAGTATCATTAACAAAAAAAAAAAAAAAAAAGGATATTTTGGTATGTACCTGCTTGGTTTGGCGATATAATCAAAAACTAAATTGTTAATTTGTGTACTAATATCTTGAGGTTGGTCACCTGATATTTATATTAATATGGACTTGCTTTATTTTATTTTTCTTTAAAAAGTTATTACCTAAAGGAAACTTTTATACAGAGATATATTTAATTATAACAATAATAATAACGATAATAATAAAAAGACTTACTTTTGTTAATCCAGGCAAGTCGATCAACGTTAGATTAAGCACATTAACTGAGTAAATTTTGAGATGAATAGGATTTTTTGAGATTCCTTTGTTAGTGCCAGCTATACGATTAGTTTCGCTTATGATTTCCTTTTTAACTTGGTTAAAGTCATAAAATCGTTGATGAGGTAGGTGTAAAAATTCCACATAACAATTATCCTTTTCTGAGTCAAGTGTAATAAGCTCTAAAATCAGAGGACAGCGAGTAATGATACCACTTCCTCGAGGTAAAAAATCACGTTGAACAATACGTTCTAATACTGAAGATTTCCCAGAGCTTTGTTCACCCATGACAACGATCTGTGGTAAATCTAAATTTTTACTGCATCCAATGGAAGCGCATGCATCTCGTATTTTATTGATTAACTTTATAACATTAACGTCACTCATAAGAAAAAAAACAAAACAAATAATATTCCCCCCCCACAAACAACTACTATTAAACAGTAAATTTTTATTCTAAACATTTTAAATGACCGTTTAAATATATAAAAAGATAGAAAAAAAAAAGAAACTTAAAGTTCCTTAGGGATAGAAGATAAATGTATAAGAACTAGAGACAGATAAAATACAAAAATAGATGAGTAAGAGTAGTGAATAAAGTTTATTGAAGTAAATCACCGAATATTTAACGACCAGGCTGACAGATGGAAGAAGGATCTCACTATGAGTTAAATAGCCTTTTTTTTATGTAGTAAAGTACAAATAATAAACAATTAAACAAATTATGCTTACTTATTTTTGAATAGTTAAGCTTTCAAGGAAGTAATAAATTTACTATAGAATGTAATATTTGAAGTGTAAAATTTTCTCTTCCTTTCAGTCTTACATAATCCTCACACTTTTTTATTAGTAGTGTGTAGTTAATCTCATAATCAAGCCTTTTCTTTATCTATTTCAACATAAACATAGATGTATGAGAATAAAAGATGAAGCAGACATGTGTACCCATTTTTAAGCATCTCATCCACTTGACTCAAATGATCTAATTCTATGAATTATTTCTTTAAAAGTGTAAACTACCTTTTTATTTATATGATTTCTTTTATGTTGAGGTATCCTTGTGATCACCACTAAGTAATCTATGAAATTCAGAATGAGATTGATCCATCTCAAAGAGCATTTGCCTAGCTTGTTCTTCCGTAATTTCATCACTAGCTTTCATTGAATTTAGAGTAATCAACCACTGTCGCACTTTTTGTTTTCCTTCAAAGTCTGCTGGTAAACCAGGAACTTTATTCAGTGACTGAATTAAATCTGCTAAAATAGGATGAAGTTCATCCACTGCATAACGATTTAATCGAAGTGTGTCCATCAAGGTAATAAAATGCTATAAACATAGACATATAAATAGCATATTCAAATAAAGACAATTGAATGAATGAACTTACCAAAACTGTTTCTGCAATATATTTTGCAGATTTACCAACATCATTTTTATTATCACCTATAGGGTGCTCATAAGTTGCAGGCTCACCTATTTTAAATCGATTTAATGCTGCGGGGCATGATAGCTATTGATAAGTGTATACATATATACATATACATACATACACATATACATACATACATATATATACATATACATATAAGAATAAATATAGAACACATATACATGTAATATACATACCTTGTATTCATTCATAAATGTTTCGAGATTATCAACGGAATCAGATAGGAAGTTCATTGTGGTTTTATATTTTGCTATTAAATTCACACATTGTGGTGTATACCTATATGTAGAGGAATTTTAGTATAATTTGAATATATATAGATGCATAATGAACAGTACTCGTTTGCTGTAATAGAATCCCGAATAAATGCCTTTTCCAAGTGCTCCATTAAAACAATAAGTGAATATAAATCGGCCATATTATCATATTTGTCTCTTTCTTTATTGTTTGTAAATAATTTGACCTCCTATAGTTTGAGAATTTAATAATCATATTCTTCTTGAAACTAATTCATTTTTTTTTTTTTTTAAATACTTCATCAAGATTAATGCCTAAAAGTTTATTTAGATTTAAATAAAAAAAAAGAATCAGAAAGTAAACATTCTTAATAAGCTTACCTTGTGTTTTGGTTAAATAGTGAGGAGCATATTGTGGTATTTGTGAATTAGCTGACGTTTCCATGATAAAAAATAAATAAATAAGAAAGACGAGACTTGAGCATAATTTTTATATATAAAAATATATATTTCACAATTGGACTTGAATTATTTTAATAATTGCTTTCTCCCCTGTATATAGCACTTTCTTTTTTTTTTCCTTTTCTTTTAAAAAAAAAAAAAAAAATTATAAAACATTATGAATAACACTTTTGGTGGAGTTCCTGGCCAAAATAATGGCATGTCTCCTCAAGAACAACAAATGGTTAAAATGATGCAGGGTGCTTTTGAATCCTGTGTTGTTAAAACAGCCATGTCTGGCGTAGCAGGTTAAATGAGCACTTGCACATAGTTGTGTGTGTGTTTGATCTGACATTTATTTTAACGTTAGGCTTTGGTATGGGTGCTGCATTTGGTTTATTTATGTCTTCATTCGAATACGCAGGACCTACAATGAATGAAGAGCTCATAAAGCAAACAACAAAACAACAAATTAAGTATGCATTTAAAGATATGGGAACTCGATCTTTATCAATGGCGAAGAATTTCGGTTTAGTAGGCATGATTTATTCTGGAACAGAATGTTGTATTGAATCAGTTAAGTTTTATTATAAATTAAATAAGATTAATAGTATACGTTATGTACGGAAAATGAAAAGAAGTAACACTACTAATAAACGGTTAATATATATAGTATCGAGCGAAGAACGATTTAGTAAATAGTGTTGCAGCAGGAGCATTTACAGGTGGTGCTTTGGCTGCAAAAGCAGGACCTCAGGCGATGGCATTAGGTGCTGGTGGCTTTGCATTATTTTCATTAGCCATTGACTGGTACATGCGCAGGGATTAAATGAAGATGATCATGTATTTTTAGAATATTTAGAATTGTAAAATATATAAATGTATGTAAAGACAAATAAATAGAAAAGGACTTTAATAACTCTTTATAATTTAAAGGAGGGAAGGTCTTGTATATTCATACTATTATTCTTTATTCTTTTTTTAGGTTTTCGGTTTCTTTGCAAACTTGTAAAATAGCTTTTGCAACAACTTCAAAATCAGATATATCATTGTATATTTGAGCACTTAATCTTGTATACCAGATATTATTATGTTTATAAACTGGTGCCATGCAGTTATGTTCAAGCAACAGTTTATCTATGAATAAATTGATTACTTCTATGTCTGAAATATGAATCAAATTACTTCTTAAAGGTATTTTAACGTTAACCATTGCAACTGTTAAATTATTTTCAGAGTTCTCTAATATGGCTGCTTCTTCAGCACTTGAAAATACTTTTGCAGCTACTTTGCCACCTTCTAAAGCAAGGTTATGACAATAATTCATGATAGCATCTTCTCCACCAAGCATTTCTCTAAATTCAACAGCTAATGTATATATGTATATAAATATATTATATCTTACAATTGTTGTTGTTTTCTTCTTTTTTTTTTTTCCTTCCTTTATATATGCATTACCTTTATTAATACACATAAAGTTTGAAAAATCAGTGGTGCCTGGCCAAGCAAATTCTTGTTGAAATGATGCCGTTTTATCTGATGGATCGCTATGATCAGTATAAGCAGAATTGATAATAGCTGGATGGACATAACGCTGATTTCTAAAGGGAACATATAATACAGCACAGCCGCGAGGCGCAAAAAGCCATTTATGACAATTTGTAATAAAAAAGTCGGGATCTATATCATGCAAATTTAAAGGAATTTGTCCTAAAATAAATATTTATAGTAAGATTCAACGTTCAAATACATATGTGGTATTTATGAATATTACCTATTGCATGAGCACCGTCAACCAAACTTAAAATATTATACTCACGTACAAGTTTAACAGCTGACTCAAAAGGGAATCTAACACCAGGCAGAGAGCTGATAGCATCTATGAAGCAAAGCTTAATTGTCCCATCTCCTTTACTGTTTTCCAACTCTATTGTCTCTTTGAGCATATTTAAAATGTCATTATCATTTAAAGGATAGATTAAATCTATACGAACTAGTTTAAATTCCCTTGAATCTTTAAGAAACTTGATAGTGCTTTCAACTGAATTATACGCTGTACTAAACTACATGTAATTTATCAGTATCTTTATATGCATGCATATATTTATAATGAACTTGAACTCATACATAGATAATTTTATCCCCTCGTTTCATCGGTAGACTTCTTACAACGGTATTGATACCTGTCATAGCATTAAAAACAAATACAAGCTCCTCAGGATCAGCATAAATCATATTAGCTAAAGTCTTTTTGTTTTTTTCGATTTCAGGGAACATATCACGTCGCAACCAACGATCAGGGTTAACTTCAGCTTTCAACCGCAAATCATTTAAGAGAGGCATTAATATCTTGGGCATTGTACCGAATGAACCATGATTAAGAGATACATATTCAGGATCAAGTAAGAAATGAGAGCGAAGATGTCTCCCGAAAAGAGAATTCTTGATATTCATAATATTTATATATAAATATTTATAAAAGAAAAAAAAAATAATAATATATACCTTTTGCCAAAATTATGAAAAAAAAAAAGATACTGTCGTGCTTTAAAAAAAAAAGGATGTTGCATGTTTTTTAGAAAACTAGCGTCATGCTTTTCGGAAAAAAGATGTCATACTTATTGCTACTAATTAAATAAAATAGCCCGAATGGTAATTATTAAAACTTTTGACAAAGAAGTATGTAATGAAAAAAAAAATGATATTTAGTACCTTCTAGGCTACTTTTTTTTCCCATCATTTATGTATATAGAAAATGATATTCAGCTGATTTTTCTCCCAAGATAAAGACCTACAAATAATATAATTATAGCTCGCTTCATTTTTGAAGTTAAAATAAAATAGCATGTACTATAATATGTATTTTTTTTTTTTACTTCACTAATCCTTTATATATCAAGTCAGCACACAATGTCTTTTAAATAGAAAAGCCCCGTTTAATATAGCTAAGAGAATGATTAGCATTTTACTAGAAAGCAATGTTGGTAATAATAAAGATATTAAAAAAAAATCGATAAAAAGCCAGTTCTTTTAGAATAGCATAAAGATATTTTAAAAGAGAATTTTCAGGATAACTCTTCAACAATTATAAAGCAAACAATGAGATGTATTGTAAACGACTTTATGAATCTTAAAGATAGTGAAAAAAAAATGAAGATTACATTAAAAACATCATGACTGGGCTGTTTGACATTTCACGAATACAAGTATTGCGTTTTGATTTTAATTTGCTAATATACTAGCAGTAGTATTTCTTTTTTTTTTCAATTTATAACCTTTATTATATCTACAAAGCTATATATAATATTCCAAAAATAATTTATATTAGAATAAATAAAGAAAGCTGAATTATGAACTAGTAAATTGTTCAATCAACGTTCTCTTTCATTTTCTTGAATATTAATAAATATCAAAAGTAAATTATGATAAAAGAGGCTTTATTGGTCTGTAGAGCATATTTTTTCAATGGAGCAAAGGGTTTTAATTCAATCAATTGCTTCGTCTCAAGCTCTCCAGACTAATATGTATCGAGAAGATTTTGTCTCTATGGATAACTGGACAATATTATTCAATTTTAAAAGCGTCTACCGTTATGAACATCCGTCTCTCTTTGATTTTACAAATACTCTAATTATCGTTAATTTCATCGAGGACCAACATTTTTTTTTTATAATGTCTTGAATACTTTACCTTGAATGATAATATTTTTATAAACATATTCAAACTTTCTGAATAATCAATCATATTCCTTGTTTTATATTTAAGTGTCTCAGTCTATTCTATTAGACTTGACTTTATCACTCAAATTAAATTAGAAAATTCCTTCTGACGATGGTGAGATTTAAAAATATAATTTTTGAGTGAGTAAACAAGTGATGTAGCCTGTGTAGTTTTGTCATTATATATATATATATATGTATATGTGTATGTATAATTTTTTTTTATCATTGAAAATCTTGATTTACGTCAAACTATTGAACAATTTACTCAAAAGATTGTATTGATAATAAAACAAATATTTAAATATATATTTTAATTCGGTTGGTAGATTTTTCGTCCCCGTTACACTTTCCCATCTGATAGTAATCCTCGTTATGTTATAGTACGCTTAGGTTCTTCAAATAACTGAACTACTATCATTTTTCGATTGAACTAAATTAAGTAAGTATACTGCATATCTGAAGTTATTCATATCAAAATATAATAACTCTGATTTATAGTTTTCTTTGTCCTTATAAATCAAAACAAGTTTTATCACCAAAGACTCTGTTCTATAGCAAAAGATTGAATTCATAAAAAAAAAAGCTACAAATACATACCATTCTTTTTAAAAAAAAAATACAAAATAATTTACGTACTAATATCAGCAATAAAAAATAACATGCATGAATATGATCACATAACTATTACTTTGATTGTAAATTACGTTTAAAAAATTTTCATACGCTCCAAGAATTTTTTTTTTTTTTTTTTTTTTTTTTTTTTTTTTGAAATACGTTGGTCGAAAATGAGAAGTTTATATTTGCATTCTTCATTTTTTATTTTTCTTTTCTCTTTCTTTCTTTTCCTATCTCATACACATCTATTTTTACACTTATATATATAATAGAAGAACAGGTCTAAACTTCTCATTTATTTGCAATGAAAACCCAATCTTTGTTTTCATGGCTGACACCAGCTGTGTTAACAATTTTATCTTTTTTGATTTCTTTCGTTTTTGGTACTGAAACCATACCTAATAGCCCTTTGATGAAACCTCTGCTTCCACCTTTGAAGACACCCTATGTTGCTCCAGATACACCTAAATATAATTATGCTGAAGTAATCCATAAGAGTTTCCTCTTTTATCACGCTCAAAAATCTGGTATTTTGCCCTATCAACGTCTGGCCTGGCGATCTGATTCTTGTTGGGTATGTATTGGTGATTTTGGTGAAGATTTATCTCGCGGTTGGTATGAGGCAGCTAATACTATGAAGTGGGGATTACCCCTTGGTTGGACTGCTACACAGTTGGCTTATAATATTGTGATCTTTGAAGATGCAATGAATTCTGTTGATGAGCTTGCTGAAGGCCTTGAATTAATCAAATGGGGTGCTGGTAAATAGACAGCGGAAGTAATTTTTTTTTTTCATATTGACTAACCAAAAATACTTGATTTACATTATAGACTACATATTGAACGCACATTACAATGATACTTATATTGTTGGTCAATTAGGAACAGCTTCATTAGGTCCTATTTCAAAACTAATTGAGCTAGATGTTGACTTCAACTATTGGGGACCACCTGAAGAATATGAGCAATGGGTTCCTTCTGGTTTACCTCATAAGGCTTCATACATTTCACCTGAAAACCCATCTTCTGAAATTGTTGGTGAATATGGTGCTGCCTTGGCTGCTATTTCAATAGCTTGGAGAAAGCATAACTCTACTTATGCTGACATTCTTCTTGACCATTCTAAACGGCTCTTTAAATTCGCTATTGATCACCCAGGTAGCTATGTTACCTCTCGGCAGAATGCCTTTCAATGGGCTACATTTTGGTACCCTTCTACTCGTTATGAAGATGAAATCGCTTGGAATGCTGCTTGGCTTTATGCAGCTACTAAAGAGGAGTATTATCTCAATGAAGCCAAAAAATGGTATGAAAAGGCTTCCGATTCGTGGATTGAGTACTCATGGGATGAAAAGGGTGCTGGAATTCACGTATTGCTGTATACGTTAACAAAGGAACCACAATTTTATAGAAATGCTATGAATTATTTCAATCAATTCTTACCTAATAATCCTAAACAAATTGTCAAATTCACACCTCGTGGACTAGCTTATATAGATCATTGGGGCTCTGTTGGATATTCAGGCAATGTTGCCTTCTTGATGTTGGCATTTGCTAAAGCTATTGGATACGATAGAAAGGAATCTAAAGCTATGATTACTTTTGCAACTCAACAAATTAACTATGCTCTAGGTGATTACGGCTATAGTTGGGTTGTTGGCTTTGGTAATAATTATCCATCCAAACCTTACCATAAGTCTTCCTATAATTCTTATATTGATTATCCTATGCGTGGTGCTATGCAAGATAAGGTCGAACTTGATTTCTCTGAATCAAAAACACAACAACGCTTCATTTTATATGGTGCTGTTGAAGGTGGACCTAACATTGATGACACTTGGTATGATGATCGTACCAATTATGAATATTCTGAAGTCACCCAAGACTATAATGCTGCTTGGACTGGTGCTCTTGCAGGTCTTATTGATTATTATGGTGCTGAAAAATTTGAACCTTACACCGATTGTGATCTTGATCTTGGATGGACTCATCCCAATGCTTCAAAGCCTCCTGCGTGGCCAGAAGATGATTGTTATCATACATGTAACAAGGGCTGCCCAAGAGGGGAAATGAAATCTTCTTTTACTTGGAAGTTATTAACGACTCCACAAGAAGAACTACCTCAATTGCTTGATGTACTTTATCCTGGACAAGGCTTATTAAAAGCCGCTGCTCTTGAGGGTAAGACATTAGCTGATTTGAAAGGCGTTAGCTCTAGCTCTGTGGCAAATAATAATAATGAAATGAATATGAACAAAGCTGCCAACCCGAATATAAATGAAAAGCATGAGCAATTTGCTTCAAGATCAGGAAATTCTTATAATGTTTCCTATTTATTAACCATCACCAGTATATTTGCTGTTATTTACCACTTTTTTTTAGTACTCTAATCCATAGTTTTTACAAAACACTTTTTACTTATATGGGGAGTTTTTTTTCTTTTCTTTTTTTTAGAATATAATTAAATAAATATGATAATAATATAAATACAATCAAAGCGTTATCATATTATCATGTATTTGATGCATGTATAAGAGTTGCAATATATTCGATAGATCATAATAATCTTATAGACAAATACTTCTAATTTTTAAGTAAATGTATGCATGCTTTTTAAATTGTAGTGTATACTACATAATTCATTATGAATCTTTGTATTATTTAAAATAGGTATATTGTGATAAATATTTATATTCTACAATTTTGTTCAACAAAAGTGAGAAATTTGATTACCTGATACATAACTATCATATATTCTAATAATCAGGGCTTTTATTATTATTATTTTTATTTAATTTATATGAATACTATTAAATACTTGTACAAAAAAAAAAGCTTTGATTTTTATATATTTTGTAAAACATACGAAGAACGTCCATTTTTATTTTACTGAATGTTTAGAGATTGCTGATTAACCATTTCGCTATAAACACCATTTAATTCCAATAACTCCCAATGAGTTCCTTGCTCAATAACACGACCATTTTTAACTACACAGATAAGATCCGCATTTTTAATTGTAGAAAGACGATGTGCAATCGTAATTGTAGTCCTTTCTCCTTCTTTGATAATGTTATCTATAGCTTCTTGAACAAGGCGTTCACTATCACTATCAAGAGCTGATGTAGCTTCATCTAATAGTAACAATTTAGGCTTGCGAATAAGAGCTCGTGCTATGGCAATGCGTTGTTTTTGACCACCTGAAAGTTGAGAGCATTTATCCCCTACACGGGTATCATAACCTTGAGGGAGTTCAGTTATGAAGCTATGAATATTAGCAGCTTTACAGACATTTTCAATATCTTGCTGACTAATATATGTATCTTCACTAACCCCATAACGAATATTTTCACCAATTGTTAAATCAAATAATACAGGCTCTTGACCAACAAGAGACATATGACTACGAAGATTTAAAAGTGAATAAGATTGAACATCTTTGTGATCAAACGAGACAGTGCCTTCTAGAGGATCATACCAACGCTGAAGCATACCAATTGTAGTTGATTTACCACAACCAGAGGGGCCAACTAAAGCAATCATCTGACCAGCATGTCCTTTCATGATAAACTCACCATCAAATATCTTGACATCTGGACGAGCAGGATAAGTAAATTTAATATTCTCAAATTCAATATCACCTTGAATAGAATCAACAGAAGGCTCAATACCTTCTAATTCAGGATCAATTTTGGATTTGCGTTCAAGGATAGCAAAGGCGGCTATAGCGGCAAGTTTACCCTTTGAAAATGTACTAGCAAATGTTGTGCTACGACCAACACTTTCAGAGGCAACCATTATAACAGTCATAGTAGTAAACATTTGTTGGAAATCAATTAAACCACTTTGAATTAGACGAGTACCAGCATAGTAGGCCAATGCATTTGTATAAATATAGATACCTTTGCCTAAACCAGCAGCAATAGACGATAGATAAGCCTTTTTTACAGCAAGCCGATGAGGACGTTCGGTTGCATAGTAATAGCGCTCTTCAAAATAAGCCTGTTTATTTAAGGCTGCAATTGTCCTTACTTCTCTAATTGCTTCACCAGCTACTTGACCACTTTGAGCATTCGCTTTCTTAGTATTATCTTCAAATCCACGTTGGATATGAAATTCATAGGATGTAGCAGCTACAAGGAGTGGAGACATACATAACACAATCAATGAAAGAGCCCAACTATAGCTAAAAGCAATACAAAAGGAACAAATAATGGTAGCCACAAGACTAGTAACATCACTCCATACTTTGGTAATCATTTCACTAACGTTACGAGCATCTATTGCTAATTTTGTGGTTAATGAACCACTATTGTTTTCTTCATTATCAAAGAATCCAACTTCTTGTTTCAGATAAGCATCGAAAATCTCACCGCGGAAACGTCTCGAAAATCTTTCACCGCAAATTTCATATAATCCATGTTGGATAAACTGTCCAAAAAAGCTGAAAATAGCAACAATAAAAAAAACAAAAGCATACAGGTTAGTTCCACCAAGGGGACTAGGCTGTATTTCATAACTTGGGACACTAAGTATAGTAATTACGTGTGAAAATGAATATGCATACATGGGGAATATACAACCGACTACGGCAGAACCAAATACACCAACAAAAAGATATTTCCATTCAGGACGTAAATGCATCAGCACCTTCCAGATAGGTGCTTTCTCCTCTTTCATCATTTTCTTCTTCTTCTTTTCTTTAGCAATCCTCAAGTCATACGCATCTATCCTTTCGATAAAAATGTTTTCTGATCCATTTCCTTTTTCATTTTCCATTTCTATAATCAATCCATCACGAGTTAAATGATCTATATTAGGACATTCTAAACTATCTCTTTTATCATTGGCCTTCTTTTGTTGTTGTTGCTGTTGTTTAATTTCTATTTCCTCTTGATGAAGAAGGTCATCATGCTCATAGTCCTTATTCTTTATTTCATTAGAGACGCCATTTTGATTGATATCAATAGCCTGATTTCTAACAAGGTTGGCATAAACACCCTCAAATGCAATTAATTCAGAATGTGTGCCTTGTTCAACTATAACACCATGATCAAATACAACAATATGATCCGCTTTTATGATAGTTGAAAGACGATGTGCAACCACAATAGTAGTGCGAGTAGCAGATGCTTTATCAAGTGCATTTTGTACAAGACGTTCTGATTGAGTATCTAGAGCAGAAGTGGCCTAAACTTACATATGTATATATAAAGTTAATACATATACATATATACATATATTAGTTTAGAATAAATTACCTCATCTAATAATAAGATAGTAGGCTTTTTCAATATAGCACGAGCAATAGCAATACGTTGCTTTTGACCACCTGATAACGTATTACCTTGCTCACCAATCAAAGTATCGTAGCCTTGAGGTAATTGAGTTATAAAGGTATGACAATTGGCTTCCTTACATGCATGAATTATTAAGCTTTCAGGAACATCTTCTTGAACTCCCATAAGTAAATTTTGACGAATTGTCATATTGAATAATACAGGCTCCTGAGAGACAACACCTATTTGTTGGCGTAACCACTGAACATTGAAATCTTTAATATCATGACCAGATAGGATGACTTGACCTGAAAGGGCATCATAAAAACGTTGCACAAGTTGAACTGTAGTGGATTTTCCAGAACCAGATGGACCTACAAAGGCGACAGTTTGACCAGGATTAATTTTTAAGTTTAAATCTTTCAAGATGGTAATATCGGGACGAGTAGGGTATTTGAAATACACATGTTTAAATTCAATAGAGCCAATAAAACCATCCAAGATAAGGCCATCTTTAGAATCAGGATCAATGTCGGGAATACGATCAATAATTTCAAATACTTTAAATGCAGCACCACAAGCACTTGATACAGCCGATAAATTAGGTGGGAGCCTTAAAAGACTTATACTACCTTAAATGACAAATATATATACATACATCTATTATATATTATATGCAAACATACTTGATTTTTTTTTATTGAAGCTTACCTATCATCATAGCTACAAAAGCAACAAAAACATCCGGACCTGTCATGTTACCTTTTATAACTTGAGTTGAACCATACCAAAGGGTTAGACTAAATGAAGAAAACAAGAGAAAAAATAAAAAACCAAAACCTATCCCCATAGAAATTCCACGCTTTTCACCAAATCTACATGCTTCATCCACTTTTTCTTGATAACGCTTTAAAAACCTTTTTTGAAGTGAAAATGAATAAACAGTTCGAATGGATTGGAATGCTTGTTCAGCAACTGCACCTGCTTGAGCATAAGTATGTTGAGCAGCAAATGAATATTTTGTAAGGAAATGGGCCAAAAATCGACCACTTCCAAAAATTAAAGGAAGGAGAGCAAACATGATTATCGCTACTCGCCAACCTGTAAAAGTAAATAAATAGTTAGTTACATAAGTCCCCTCCCAAATTCATTCACTCTCTCTCTTTTTTTTTTTTTTTTTTTTTTTTTTTTTTTTTTTCAATGATAATGTAAATAGTTATATATATCCTATACCTTTGATAAAAGCAACAATAAGACCAGCTATGAATTGAGCAGATAATGAGACTAATAATCCAAATTTTTCGGATATCCCATCTTGAATAATTTGAGTATCAGAGGCTAATCGAGTATTCAATGATCCATCAGTATTTTTATCAAACCAACTCATGTCTTGCCTTAATACTGAATGAAGATATAGCGACCGAATTCGTCGTGTTTGACTATCACCTGTAAGAATCCATAAACATTGAGAGATATAAGCAGCAATGGTAGAAGCTGTACCCAAATAAAGCATGATATGAATCATAGGCAAAGTTCTATCTAACATTGAACTTGAATCAAATAATATATCGATTAGATTTGTAATAAACGACCCATAGACGAGAATCGCCGCTGGCTGAAGAGCACCCGCTCCGATAGAAAATAGAGTAGCTATCAAAATCAAAAATCGCTCTATTGGTGTTGCAAAACGAAATAACTTTAACATGGAGACTGTAGCTTTTTTCTTTTTTGTTGTCTGCTGCTGCTGCTTCTTCTTCTTTTTGTTATTAAAAGAGGAGGATATTACCTTTTCGTTGTTCTCATCAACAGACGAAGTTATACTACCATTTATGCCTTTTTTTATATTTTTGTCCTTCATTTTAATTAATTTTATTTTTAAAAAAGAAGAACAACTATTATATGGGGAAAAAAAAGACCATTCATATTTATAATCCTTATCTCTTATCTTTTTTGATTTTGATTCACGAAAGACAAATAATCTTCCATAAATTTTGAATACGGTGAGTCATTACTTCTTTTATTTCTGCTATTTTGTTATTTTAGCAGTTGGTTTTATTTTCAAAAGCAGCACAGCGTTGCACTTTGACCCATAAAATATTACAATTATATAAGGTATATACATTTTTTATACATATACAATTCGACTGTATTCATGTTGTTCTTTACTTTTTTCTTTCATAAGCAGTTCGTGTAAAGTTATTAAACGAATAATAGTTTTTAAAACATGGATACAATAAAAAACATTTACTCTATTTTAAAACATTATGATTAGACTATAACTACTACAAAGTTGGTATCTCTATTTTTTTTTTTTTTTTTTTTTTTTTTGTCTATTATAAAATATTCATTATATACGCTAAAATGGAGAGTGCTATTATAAACTCATTTCAATAAAATTCCCTTATTTCCTGTAAGATTTAATGAAACATGCTTTGCAAAGTATTATTGTTCTAATTTGTGAATAAAATAGAATTTATATAAAGCAGTAAAATGGACATATACTTGACATATTTTGATGTGAACAGATAAAATAAAGAAAGAGAACAAAATTTTAATAAACTAGAATAAGGTGGAAATAAACGAAGTTTATATGTGACAATAGATCAAGCTACTTGATAGTAAAAAAAAAAACCCCTCTCCTCAATATACTCTTTTATTCGAATTACTTTACAAGATATATGTTGCATACTATAAGATAAGAATATAATGTTTCTATAGTATCAAAATTTTGATTTAAGCTTTGAATACCGACAACAAAGTAAAGGTCTAAAGATAATTGATATTTTAATATTTATGATACAAAAATGGAAAAAAAAAAACTAATAATGATTTGTAATTCAATGGATAGTTGTCTTAGTAACTCTGTTGCCAAAAACAATAACAATTGGTTTCTAGGTGATGATTAAGACAACAGTGATACGTAATATGTGTCTTGAATAACAATAGTATGTACACTTAAAACTATAAACAGAGATGCATGTTTATCAAGCATTATGAATCTATTAGACCCTCTCTTTATTTTATTTATCATTCTATCAGGTTTTTGGCTTGTCATTGATTCAACTGTATGTTGTCAGATCCCGATATAATTCCGAAAATATAGCTACTATTAGAACTTGAGATCATTGTTTATTGTTACTTCAATGTGTAACATCATTACATACATAATAATTGTTTCAACATATAATACCTTTCTTTTGTTTTCTTTCTATCTTTCTTTTAATTTTATCTACACATATATGACTGAAGAAAAGAAAACTATTGAAATAAAGTCACCAGAGAGATATTATACACCACAAGTGACGAATCCGCCTTTATATACATCATGTATATTATATTTATATATAATTTTATCAAATACTAATAATACATATTTGTATATAGCATTTGAACCTACGCCAACACCAGAATCAGTTACATTTAATAAAAAGCCTAAACCAACAAAAAATACATCTTGTTGTTTAGCATGGTAACTATTCATATATGTGTATATAAATATATAAAGGAAGATTATTATAGTCATAAACAATAACAAAAATCCCTTCTTCTCCTTTTTTTTTTCTTCATATATATCATTTAGTTTATTGGCTTGCTTTCTATGTTTAGCAGTTAAAGGAGAAAATACAAAAATACCATCACAGCAAGAGAATAGTCAAAATAAATAAAATATCTTTATTAATTCTTTTCCTTCTTTATCAAATTATTTGGTGATATATGAATTCTCTCAAGTGCATGTACTAATAATGCATCCTGTTGTATTACAGAGGAAGAAGGTCTAGTAGTATGACTCCTTTTTGTTATACGAGTAGATAAAATCGGAATACGTGAGGGACGTTTATAGTGTATCATTCTTCTTTTATTATGTTGATGACATGAGAGTTTCCTTGGTATTGTTAATATTGTTTGTCGAGTTGTAGGTATTTTGCTTGATAGATATTTTGAGAAAATTGTATCTAACTTGGATACATCATTTTGTTGGTGATAAAAAGAAGAAATATTTCTGATGTTTTGATATTCTTTATCCTTTAACATAGAATAATTACTGATATTATTATTATTCCTTTTCTCATCTGTCATTATGTAATATCATTTTAATATTGAAAGGAAAAAAAAAAGGAGTAAGAAAAAAAAACATCTATATAAATTTATTCAATTTTTTTTATTTGAACATGTGGTGTATGTAGTATATATATATATTTATAAATTTATACATGTATATTTTTTATTTATATATTTTTATATATAATTAAGCTTTGCAAACGATTCACGCATCTGTTTTTTTGGCATCAATTTTTTCCATTTTGCGTATTTATCCTTTTCTAAGATTTTAAAAATTAAAATGTATGTAAATGATATATTTGCTGAACATATATAGTATTGCTTTAATATTTCTGACGAAATTACTGAAGCCACTATAAGGGAAATAGAAGAAGAGGTTCAAGTAGATCTGTATGAAATTATTGCTTTAGGATGGTAAAAATGGCAGCCAGATATAAAAAGAATTATGGATCTCGGTCGACTTCCAGGTCTTTTTATAAGCCACAATAGAAAATGGTTGTAGCTATTCATCAAAAGTTAACGATGGTGAGTCAAAAAAAAAAAAATAAATCAAAAATTATCACCAAGACTACTACCACTATAAAGGCTAGAGGTATACTATCGCTCCCATTTTCCTGTCCAAATACAAGAAGAGCCATTTGATCTTATTATAGACCAAGGAATGTTTGTGAGACAAACGAGACCAACCATGAAAATAGTTGTAAGAACAGTCTAACATTATGTGAAAACATATAAGGATAATGAAGAGAAGTGCTTGTCATGTATTAAAAAAAAAAAAAGGTAATACATTTGGGAGAGAAGGAAATAATCGGAAGATGAAGGCAAATAATACCGACTTCCTTTATCAATATTATATTATTGCCACTACCGTTGTCTTATGGGAAGCAAGAGATGTATTGTTTTTCATTTTCCCAAATATTAAGTCAATCGCTCTTTCTAGCCTTCATAAATATCTTATTCAGTATGCATCGCTCATTTTTAAGAGTTTGATTAAAATTGTCGCTGTATGAAAGTCCGAGAGGACTTTATATCAACGAAAGAAAGTATTGGAATAAATGGGTGATAAGAAAATGGATTGGTATGGTAACTGCGTTTTTACTGACGAGACAGAATTTGGTATGCATATCAAGCAAAGTTTTAAGAGGTTTAAGCGTGGTCTATAAGCTAAAATCGTGTTTTCTTCAGACAGAGGTGTTTCTATTGCTATAATTGAAGCAGTATGCGGGAAAAAAAAAAGGAATTATAGACTTAACCTTGCGAAAGTCGAAGGCTGTTCAGAAGAAAAGAATTTCCACTAAGAAGAGAAAGAGAGATAACGGTAGAGTAGCTCAAGAACTGGAGGTAAATACACTTGAGTGATAGAATTACTGAGTTGGTAAAGTAGATTAGTATAGATGACTGTTTCGGCTGGATCAAGTATTCCACCTCATTTTTTAATGGATATTTTGCTTTTAGTCGTATTCTTTAGTGGATAATCTCATAAATATAAGTTTTATCCTTAAAAAAAAAAGTAGTGTTTCTTGGTACGCAAACTAAAAAAAAAAAAAAAAAAAAAAAAAAAAAAAAAAAAAAAAAAAAAAAAAAAAAAACTGATATACAGAAAAAATAACAGTCATCGTTATGAAAAGTATAAAATGATGATTCCCTGGCTGTCTATGCATCCTATTGAACATAGTCATCTTCTACAACGACGTTTAGGATGACTAATTTGTGGAAAACCCAAACTTTGTTCATATCAACAGCATAAGCTCACTAAAACTTATATCATACAATGTCTCCATGTATTAGAGTGTACGTGTCCTTACAACTATTGCTAACTTTATTTAGTATATCCGCAATAGGCTGCCGACACAGCCTTTCAAATCACCCTCTAAGCTAGCATACTGGAAAACTCATTAGGTTCGTTTTTAAGCAAACTTTACCATTTACAGATTTGATACACCACAGTATGCCTTTCAAGCCTCAATCATTATGAATTATCTTTTCATTCACTGAATTAAAAAAGAGCATTATATGTATTTTTACTGCACTGTTGAGCTGGTCAGGGTTAATTTTGGTATGCAAATTACTCGCACTCAGCTAGACTTTCATTATCAATCAATAAAATTTAAAAGTCGGAACGCAAAAAAAAAAAAAAAAAAAAAATAGATGCGTAAATAATCGTTATTCGGAAAAAACCAATAAAACATTAATATTTATTTATTTACAATCACAATATTTATGTATAATGTTCGTTTACATGATGATTAATTGCCATATCATCGCCTTCAAGCATTTTTTGGCAAACAGGACATTCTACACGACGAATTTCAGTTCCTTTTAATAAGCTACTTACATCTACAGGGGGATGCCTTAGTGGTTGTTGAAACATATTATTATTGTTATTACTCGTTGTGCCAAAATTAGAAGGAATGTAAAAATTATTATTTGGCTGTTGTTGTTGTTGTTGATATGAAGAATAATTATTCATAGGTGTTGGGATAGTAGTCGTATTTATATTTCCGAGACCATAATATGAAGGATTATTACTGCTACTATTGTTATTAAGAAATCCAGTAGGTGTATTAGTCATTGAAGTCAATGGAGAAGAATACTGTTGTTGGCTTGGAAGAGTATTAGAAGTTGGAAAGGTTTGGAGCCCTTGCTGTTGTGGTTGAGGAAAATTATTATTTGTGAATGTTGAGTAAGGAGGCTGTTGCTGAGAAAAATGACTACTTGTAAATGTTGAAGGAAGCTGCTGAGGAAAAGTGTTATTTGTAAGTAGTGAAGGAGAAGGATTTTGTTGTTGGAGGGAAGGAGGATTGATGAGTGTAGAAGGAGAAGTAAGAGAATTGGTATTCATATTTTGCTGCCATGATTGTTGTGGTTGATATCCTTGATTAGGAGAAGGAAAATAACCATTATTAAAGTTACTATTTTGATATACTTGTTGTTGAGGCTGTTGATTACCCGTAGTGGGTGATAAATAATCATTATTAATTGCTTGATTATTATTACGAAAAGGATTATTATTCATTATTTTTATAACAAAAAATTGGAAAGAAAAGCTAAGAAAAAAAAGAAAGTCGCATTTTAAAATTTAATCTATCGCATTTCTCAGGAAAAAAAAAAAAAAATAGTGTCACATAATGCAAGAGGTAGGAAATTAAAAACCCTTTTTATAATAACTAAGAATCATGTTGATTAAAGTAATTAATAATATCTTCTAGTAGTTACAAAAAAAAAAAGAAACAACTTGGAAGACAATACTGTTTCTTGGGTACAAGTGTATAGGAAAAAGAAAAGGACGCCTACTTCATTTTTAAATACTGTTGTGTCTATCTTGATTTTACAAATCTTTTATTTAGTAAAGACTAAAGACTTTTGTTTTTTAAACTTGGGATAAGAGCTATTTGGAATGTTTAATAACTTTTCCGTCCTCTCTTTCTTTTTTTTCTAGGTCTTCTTCAAATTCTCTATATCCAAAACTACGTAAAACAATAAAATTCTTTACGTTTTCGGTAAATTTAGCACTTCAAAATGTAGAATTATTTATAGAACTATGAAATACCTCAATTGAGTATATTACTTCTTGAGTTTGTCTGTTGATAGGACAATATTGATAATAACAAAAGGAAAGAAAATATAGAGAAAGAATAAGAAATTCTTGACAAACAATTCACTAAAAGCATAGTTCTGCATAACTTATTAGCATCTGTGCACATATAAAACATATTATATGCTTTTCTTTAATTTCAGAATGATAATATATAACATCGCTAGTACATAATATACACATACATGTATACATATGTTCTTCAACTGAGTACGCATTTGGAGGAGGAAGCTTTTTTTTTATTCTTCTTCTTAGATTGATTAAATAGCTTGAAAATCATGAAGAAGCCTAATAATATGGCAATCAAAGCTTCTAATTTACGGAAACAAATAAATAATGTAAAGAAAATAAACAACAGTTCATTATCATATATTCTAGTATATATCTATAATCCTTGTGTCTTAAATTTTGTACAAAAATTTACATATTATTGCCTAGTTCAAACACCATACATCTTATCTTTGAAATCAAATATCAATTACATTTCTCTTAAAACTAGTAACAAAAAAAAACATTCTGTCTATCTTCCTGCCTATTGAAAACTTTCTCTCAATATACATAAATATTTTGCTACTTGAATGCAGAAGTTTCTTTTTATTTTTTTGATCTTAGTTTATTCTAATTTTTTTTTTTTTTTTTTTTTTTTTTTTTTTTTTGGATAGCTAGTGTTCTAAAGTAGTATATAAGAATTGTGTGAATTTCATTGACAATAAACGCCTGTGAGCTCTTTAATATTCAATTGTAGTTTGGCTATAAACTTCTTCCTGGTTGCGTCGTTGAAGAAGCGAATCTGATTGATGTAGCAATTTTCATCAATGATGAGAATGACAAAAGCGGTCTTGGCTCTCTACTTCGGTTCAACACAAAAACTTTCTGTAAATTAGACTATCAACAACAAAGCTGTTAACAGCAGCTTTATTGCAACAAGTGCGCTGTATTTCAATGGTTGAGCACACAGTAATAAGCTGTTAATACAACTCAATGTTAAATAATGTTAAGAAAAGCTCGAGAGCTGAAATGCTTTTTAAAATTTATTGATTAGATATATTATGTAGACCTTATTCAATTTTTTACGTTCCAAAACCCTTTCCATGGGTATTGTAAGCCAAACGGAAAATCTCAGGACAAATAATTTCGGGAAGTAGAACTTCTTGGCTGCTGACCACGTTGTTTTCCTCATCCTCACGTTGAAGTTTTTGTAACACAGTAAAAGTCTTTGCTAAACAAGTCTATATAGCCGTTCATATAAGAATTATTATATAGCTCAAACAATTGGAAAATTATTACCTTCACATTGAAAAAAAAGTCTAACAGCGAGACTGATGATTGTTGGACTTGCTGTCTGTCTTCTGTTACTTCAACTTTGTCCTCAAGAGCAAACTTATAGATGCCATTGCTGGCATACTGAGCTGACCAAAGACGAATATGCTCATCTATATTTAGGGTTTGGTCGGTTAGTTATTTTCTTTTTTTTTTTTTGTCCTTCCTTTTTACTTGTTGTCTTACCGCTAGCCTGAACAAAGTAAAACTTAAGATTTCGAAAAGTCTCAAGTGTAGCACGGCTAAAGCGATCAGCAGTACTTTTTAGCATGGCGAGGAGAGCGAACATACCTTTGCTGTTGTCGAAGCAAATTTTCCTCGTTTCCTTATTCTGGAAGTGGCCTGCCGTCTCCAACAAAAGAACTTCAATGTCATAAAAATCGCGTAGCCGAATTATGCCATCAGCATTATACACTTTCCTGCGGTCGACTTTTGAGCCTGTTAGAACCAGCTGTTCAATCATCGCCTCGAGAGGCTCTTCGCCGGGAACGTAGTAGGGTTCAGGATGAATCTCATGGCCAAGAAGGTCAACAGTAGCTTCGAGACAAGGATGAAGCATTTTGTAATTAAAGGTTGCCTCAGAATGCGTCATCGAAGGCGACTTGTTAACCACGTTAGCCCTAGTAACCTGGAATGAGTATGGATTTTTAGAAATAAAAATGCTGTTATACCTACATAACTGAAAAGATTCTCTTCACGAATTTACATTCGGCTTTGTACTCTACCAGACTCCTAGTATTTTCAATATTATTCGCCAATTCGGTGGAAGCCTATAATAAAGTAAGCTATCGAATCTCGAGTATATATGTATATATTACATTATACAGTAAGGTCTCAATGAAGCTCTTTAGTTGAATAATACTGGTGCTCATAGGAAGCCTTGACTTTGGTTTTTTTGTGATCTTTAGCACTCCATTTTTTTCAGGGCTAGGAATTGCAAATTAGTACAAGAAGTAAATTCGTCCCTTTTCTTTGATATGTACCTGTACTTGTGAAAGTTTTTATCTGACTCCTTATCAACAAAAAAGGAAATCAACTGATCATAAAAATCAGGGCCTCTTTCTTCCTGCTCGTCATGATAAACCTAAAGTAGATGATACGTTAGGAGATCGAGAAAGCTATTTTCTTCTTGTTGAAAAATAAACATATAGTATTATTCTTACTTTCTGCTTCTTCTTATGTGGCTCTTCTGGACTGTTGTTTACTATTAAATCACCTTTTCCCTGATGCACGTAGTAGTTGCCGATATTTATAGTTGTCTAAAGTATACAGTTAGAAAAGTTTGAAAAAAGGCCATTTTGTATATGAATAAATATATCGGAGTTGGCTCAGAGGTTGGGTTTTTGAGCATGTGTAGTTGCGCGTCAATCTTCAATAAAATAGGCTCAGGGATGCCCTTTGAATGATTTCTTACCTTTTGCAGAGTTGACTCATACACTGCTGCAGGATCCTTACTAAAACCTTTAAAATGCTTACGAAAATTTTTTAAAGACCACTTAGAAGCTGGCTTCTCACAGAAGAATTTTAAATATTTATCTTTTGGTGATTTGAAGGTGGCTTTATAATCGGAGCGATCTTTCATTGTTAATGAGAAGAAGTGAGAAAAAGTGAAGTAAAACTTTGTTACGTAGACTAATAAACGCTGGTTTTGGATTGTCGTGTAACGAATACCTCTTTTGTGTTTATGCGCATTACTGAATACGTTTTATTTGTTTGAATACGATTAAGAATTATTTTATTTATAACAAAAATTTTTATAACAAAAATTTAAACAACCCATGTGAGCACATAATACTGGCGTATTGGATTGCCCGGGTCAGTTCAAGAAAGGATAAAGTGTACTAAAAAACCTTTTGATAGGCAAAAGGGTAAAAAAGAAAGAGAAGGGAAGAGGAAAAGCAAGATATATCAATAAATACTAGATTCAGGGTTACGTAGCCAGTTTACAAGCTTTGTACCAAGGGGGGCAGTTTCTGGAGGAAGTTTACCATGATGGAGATAGTCAAGTTCAAAAAGTAGAAGGCATATAGCAGGCCAACGAATCTTCCAGGCGGGAAAGTCAGATGAGTTGGAAGCTGATGCGATTGGTGGCATGCGTTTTTGTTTAATTGGCAGCTTATTTAAGAGGAAGGACAAAGGGTCGGGTTCGGTCAACGGCATTTGCAATCTTCGATGCATATGTAGACACCATATAGCATGGGATCTTGTGAACAATTCATTAGGATGAAATAAGCATGGTTTAGGGGCACCACCAGGTAACCAACCTAGACGCCAGCGGACTATTCGACTGCGTTCTGCATTTGACATAGGTAACCAGAGGATAGGATCGATACCTAGGGTAGGACGGCAGGCAGACAAGAGAACGGCATTCTTACTGTTTCGTCGATCACTAAGATTATCTTTCAGGTATGCTTTACAGATACCAGCAAAAGCACGAGGATCATAAATATTATCGTCAAAAGAAGCAGTATACCGTTGCCAGATAGGTGTTTTCGAAAGCTTATACCATTGAGAATGGCTTGAAGAGGGGCGTATATGTGGTAAAAACTTGGAAACAAGAGTATCGTTCGGAGAGTAGATAGACCGAAGTAAGAATTTAGCTTGCAGGAGGTGAACACGTTCCTTCATTGTGGGCAGGTTGACCAAGTGCAACATAACTTTAGTTGAGGACCGAGTACTACCGCCAAAAATTTTTCGGATACATTGTGTTTGACATGCTTCTAATTTTGTGATTTGAGTAGCAGAGACCGAGTTAATAGCGAGGCCATATTCAAGCTGAGCACATACTATTTGAGTGTAAAAACGGACAGAGAGAAGCCGATCAAAACCTTTGTGATTGACACCAAGGGACGTCATTTGATTCATGGTTTGAAGCGCCTTATTAATATTGTTCTGCACTAATTCAGCTGTGTTCAAGAGACCACCAGGGCTAATAGAGATACTCAAGTAGGAAAAGGATGTCTGACGAGGTAGTGTAGTGCCATATATTTGTTTGAATACAGTGCGTCCGTCGTCAATTGGACAAATTTTTGAAAAAGCTGGTCAGATTTTTGAATAAGTTTGCCCACTTTTTTGAAACTCGATTAGTCATTTGTTTGAAATTCATCTGGATCTTTTTTTTTTTTTTTTTTTTTTTTTTTTTTTTTTGAAAATATTATACCTTAAATAATGTTAAAGGAAAGTTATAGAGGGACCTTATTCAAGCAATTGCTAAACTGGTTTACGGAATGTTGAATAATATTTTGAAGATGCTCAACAGGTACTTCTTCACTGGCCTCAATAACTCTTGAAGTAAGCGTTTCAACGTCATTAAGTTTAGTTCGCTTTACTTTTCCCTTAAGAATAGACCAAAATTGTTCTATTGGGTTGAGTTCGGGCGAGTAGGGAGGAAGGTATAATGGCTTAGAGCCCCGACTTACAATTACAGGGTCAATCATAGCAGGAATATGAATTGGAGCATTGTCCACAACAATAAAAAATCCTTTCATTTCTGGGAACTCATCCATAATATCCATAGTATCGTTAAGAAACAAAAGATAATAATCGCCAGTAGTGCCACTGGGAATGGTTAATTTATCTTCAGGAGCCTTTCTCTTTTTGGCCCCTACAACTTTCCTTCTCTTAACATTTCCAGATTCTCGCATACTCACATTGACGACACCATTAGCTGATATTGCACCAAGAACAGTATGTGAGGTAGCCTTGGTGGAGGGAGTTGTGGTAGTTGCTTTCGTACCGCGCTGTGACCAACCACGACTACGACGCATATTAATATCAAACCCGGACTCATCAACAAATATACAATTGTCGAGATAATTGACGCCATTGCTGATCAATTTCTCAACCCACTTAGCACGACCTTTAAGATTTTTATCTTTGTTTCTGGCAAGAGGGCGCCGGTTAATAAGTTTGATACTGAGATTACATTCTTCCTTCATGAACTCGGCTACTCTTGTTTTTTTTTATTTGTAAGCCAGCAAAGTTGGCTGTCAAGCTTTCAACTGCGTCCTGGATTGTTGCAGTTGAGTCATCATCAAAAAAACTGGTTAGATAGACCTTATGAGCTTCGTTCAGTTGACTGACTGGTCTGTTGGGATTCAGATTCGTCTTTTTGATAGGAATCTTCCTTTCCGAATCATCTTCGTAAGCCTTTTTCCATTTGCGAGCTGTGTTGTAGTTTACATTTGCGGCTATGGCTGCATCTTTTGGTTTCATGAGTTTTTCTTTCAAAAAATAAAAGTAACGTCTACGGTCTTCCATTGTATAAACGTTATACTCAAGAGGTCTTTCTTTCTTTGGACTAGCCTCTTTCATGACTGTATCGTCTGAACTGATCGTTTCAAATTGGAGATCCTTATTCTTAATGTATTTTCGTAGATCTGTTAATCTTTTCAAACGAAATGACTTTTCTTCAACATATGTTTTTGCTTGCTCGCCCTGTTCATCAATGAGATTACCAGCACTATCTTCATAAAAAATATTCATGTTCATTTGAAAAATAATCTCGAAATAATGGTATAAAAAAAAAGTAACAAAATATACCTCAGATAAAATGGCCCAATTGAGTTTCAAAAAAGTAGGCAAATTTATTCAAAAATCTGACCAGCTTTTTCAAAAAATTTGTCCAATTGACGGCGGACGCACTGTACCCATAAGTGAACCTTAGAACGTAGCCGAGTGCTTCGATGGCGACTTGGCTGGCTACCGGGTGGTAAACCTAAAGAATGTATCTTTCATCTGTCTCATAATTGGAGCCGGCAACATGCTATTGAGTGCTTACATGTACATAATCGTCTCTACATGCCTACTTCAGTCGAAGATCCATCTCGTTCCTCCTCAACTTGCTTCCACTACATAAACCTCATCGTCCTTCTGATTGTACGAGCTGGTATACTTTATGGTCTATTCTTTGTACAATTCTACATGAACTTGATTACTACTTCCACGATGAATTTCCTCCTGATCCTGTCGATCCTGGTCTCAAGCTGCTGAATCGGCTGTCCAAGTAATAGTGTGTGTCTTCCTGGTCACTTTAGTCTTATTTGTATTTAAATCGTTTCTTTTCACTTTTTTTCGCTTTATCCTCCTTATATTTTCTCTTAGTTCCAGAATAATGCTCTTTTCTTTTTCCTTCTTGTCCTTTAGGAAGGTTTTTATTCTTATTTCCCCTCTATAACTGGCTCGGGCAATATTGCGCATTTATTTCGTCGCTACATGCTCATTGTCAAAAGTTTTGAAAATAAAAATAATAATAATAAAACTCAGAATTTAATCGTAGCTAAATCGTCTGAACTTGAAGTAATAATTATTTCTTACGTCACAGCATTATGTATTCAAAATCAGTACTTCATTCTTAAACTATTTATACGTTTTTTTTTAATTATTTATTTATTTATTTATTTATCTTCTTTTTCCATTTATTTATTGTTTAATATGTCTTTGGCTAAATCCTTTGCTCAATTAAATATTCAGACTCGTAGCTACGTTTCTCTTCGTACTCTTCACCCCAAAAAGTTCACAAGTAGTAAAGTATTTTTGTTTACACTTTAAATCATATATCTTTGTATACGTGTTTTTTGTTTTGTTTTGTTTCTATAACTCATTTTTATCAATAGTTTTATCAAATGTTCCTGCTAAACCCCGTAGTGCTTGGCAAATCTTTCTCCGTGAAAACATTTCAGATTTAAAGAATTCTAATGAAAAAGTTGATATTAGATCAGTTACTAAAGAATTAAGTGCTAAATGGAAAGCACTTGGTGACGGTGAAAAACAGGTAAAATAAATAAAATATATTATGCATAAATATAAAAAATTTAATTCTTTTATATGTATACTAGATTTATCAACAAAAATTTCAACAAGAATCAAAGGCTCATTTAGATGCCTACCATGCGGCTATTAACAATGCTTCATCTGAAGAACTTCGTCGAGAAAATGTATTAAGAAAGAAGTATAAATTAAATCTTTTAAAGGATCCTAGACAGCCTAAACGTCCAATGAGTGCCTTTTTGTATTTCATTGAACATCTTCGTGCTACCAATGACCCTCTTATTAAGGATGCTCGTGTTTCAACTCAAGCAGTTGAAGCTGCAAAGAGATTTAGGCAATTAAGTGAAAGTGAAGCAAAGGTAAATTAAAGATAGATTGCTATGAATAGGAGAGAGAGAAAAGAAATCAATCAATCAATCAATTAATATGTATATAAATAGGTTTTCAGGGATAAAGCAGAAGCCGCTAAACAGCAATACCGTATTGATAACGAAAAATTTTTAAATGCTTCAAACGCTTAAATGATAATAATAAAATTGATTTCTTTTTAAGTATTTAAAAGTTTTTTTGTACTACCGGGGTGATTACTACAAAGACTTGGGTGATTTTGTTATGCAGTACACACAATGAAAAAAAAAAAAAAAAAAAAATACCAATTATATCTTTTCATTATGTAATAAGCCACACTAATAGAAGACTACTAAATTATGCAGCCTGTTTAACAAAGCATTTCTTTGCTATCAGACAGCTGAAGCAGATCATTACTTATAGCTTCTTCATATATGAATATATTGAAAGCAAAAATAAAAATTGTAAATAATGAATTATGCAAGAATAGAGTCATTATTCCTCTAAATAATGAATCTTCATAATAACAATTTATCGGAGAGTTCACAAGAATTCCAAAAAAGAAGTGTTTCTAGACGTCTATAATTTCTATTTTTTTTTTTTTTTTTTCCTAATAGTATTTAAATCTGATATAAAATGAAGTAATAAAATAAGCATAATATTACTTGTATATAAATGCCAAACTAAAAATAACTGATCAAAATAGTGTTGTTAAAGAAATTCAAAGAATAAATCAGAGAGAGATTACAAATGGCACTTGGAGTGATTCTAGTTCCTGGCATGCACAATATAAAAATTCCGCATGGATTTACATTGGTGGTTTACCATATGATTTAACTGAAGGTGATGTTGTTTGCATGTTTTCACAGTAAAGTATATATAAAGATTGACTTTCCCTCTTTCCACTTTTTATTTTTATGGATCTAATTCATGTACATCTAGATATGGTGAGATTATTCATATTGAACTTATTCGTGACAGAAAAAGTGGGAAATCAAAAGGATTTGCATTTCTTCAGTATGAAGATCAACGTAGCACTATCTTGGCTGTAGATAATCTAAATGGTGCCAAAGTAAGTCTAAAAGCTTTACTTTTATTTTATAAAGAACATAAAAATAACATTTTGAATAATAGGTTTTAGGACGTACTTTACGTGTTGATCATTCTCTGACTGGACCGAAAAAACCAAAGAAAGAAGGTGAGGAAGAATCAGAAGATGATGAACCAAAAATGAATGTTGCTCCACAATTAATTGAAGGTAAATTAAGAAAAAAATTAATATTCATTTCTAAAGACACAATGTATGTACTTTAAAAATCTTTTATAAAAGTGGGCGAAAAAGAGGAAGAGTCTGAACAAGAAACCAAAGATGATATTGACGATGAAGATCCTATGGCAAGCTATTTTAGAGAGAAAAAAGAAAAAAAATCCAGAAAAGATAAAAGCAGTAAGCATAAACATAGTAGCAGTAGTAGACATCATCGACATAAAAGTAGCAGTAGTAGTAAAAGGAAAGATGAAGATAAGGATCGATATAGATCAAGTAGAGACAGGTCAAAATCATCTTCTAGACGCAATTCACGATCACCTGTTCGACGCTCTTCTAGATCACCATCCAGAAGATATTCTAAATCTTTTTCAGAACGTTATTCTCGATCATCGCCTTCTCGTAGTTCTACGCATCGCTATTCCAAATCGCCATCACGTCGTTATTCTAGATCCCCTTCACCACGTCGATATTCTAGATCGCCATCGCCACGTCGTCGTTAACCAATGCTAAAAAGGAATGGGTCATATAATTGTAATAAATGCATTTTTCATATTCATTTTTTTTATTATTATTATATACTGTGTAGTAGAATAATAATTTATATTTAATTTACATAATTAATGTTAAAGGACAAAGAAAAACTAAATTCATTGTATATAAAACAAAAAAGAAAGAAGATTATACAGTTATATTTGAAATAAATGGATTTGTTTTTTTTTTCTTAAGCATCTTTAGATACCCAATTACAAATAGTGCTATCGTCGTGAACTAATTGCCATGAATCCCAATAATGTAAATCAAGTTTAAGGGCAACAACACGAACTGTTTCATTTCGACTCACTGTCTTTATACGAATATATCCTTCGTCGTTATCGTCATCGTCTTCATCGTCCGAGTTATCCGGTATCATGGCTCTTTCATCCTCTTGATCTTTTGCTCGTTCTTCAGCTGTACGTTGTACAGGTGGAATGTAACTAGAACGTCGGCGACGTGTCATTTCAGTTTCATACTCATGAACAACATTTAAGAACTGATCCAGATCCTTGACTGGTTTACCTTGTACTTCAACAATCCAGACGCCTGGACGAAGTACGTTAGAGGCAGGTGAACCATAAAGTGTGCAGGAAACATAGACACCAGCTGGGACATTACGTACTTGCTCTAAAACAGCCTTATAAGGACGTTGGATAAGCGCACCTTGCCAACCAATGACACGCGTTGTTTCATAACCACTGAACTCTGACATGGGCACTTTGACTTCGATTTCTTTGCCGTCACGTAAAACAACCATATCTATTTCATCGTGTTCATGAATAAAAGTCATGTGACACATGCGGGTCACTAATTGGCCATTGACACTCAAGATGACATCACCGACATGAAGCACCTTGGCACATGCACTGCGTTCATCAAGAATGTTCAAGACATATAACAAAGTATGACGTGATGAACCACTTTCTTCAATCTTCTTCACCCATGCATCACTTAGACCCAACGTACGTGCGGCAGCAATACGCATCGTCCAAAGCTCAGCATCTAAACCTTTAAAGGTCATCATCTTTTCACCCTCTTGAAGATATTTTTCAATGGTTGGCTTTACAAGAGAAGCCAAGAGACCTGACATAAAGGAAATATCTTTACCCTTTTCGTTCTGTGATGAGTAACTGATCCAGAATGCCAAGACTTGACCTTCATCATTGGTCATTAAACCACCTTGTGAATTAAGAGAATCATCAATCTTGATACCCTCCACATTCATCGCACGCCAACGTGGTGGAGAGCACTCACGTGTACCAATATTAGATACGGATGAAACCGTTGTCTTTTTCATCACAACTGAATGGTCGTTACCGATACCAATAAAATTAACTTCATCCCCTTGATTCAGTTCCTGACGATCTGCAAATTCAATAGGCTTTACAGGCGTATTGCCGATGAAGGATGGATCGTATGTTAAGAGGACAAAATTGTAGAAAGGATGAAGGAAGAGAAGACGACCGGGGATGATGATAGAATTGGCAAAGGTGATAAAGATATCACCGATAGCAATAGGGATCGTATCACGATCACAAAGAATTAAAGGAGGCTGTGTAGAGACAATAAAGCCTGTACCATAAAATTGTGTAGCTTTCATACCATCTACCAAGTAAGGTAAATAAAAGTCAATAGCGACAAAGGATGGCATTAATTTTTCAGCAAGTGCTAAAGAACCATCCAAAGGTGGGAAAGTAGCAGTGGAAGGCGAATAAGGAATGGTTGAAGGTGGTGGTGAGAAATCACTAAAGTCCCAAACACCCGTTAAATCTAATGATGATAACAAGTTAACAGAGGAATAGAGAAGGAGGAGGACGAGAAACGAGGAATTTCATTCTCATTGTATTTTATAATCTTACCATTACGAACAGCTAATCTAAATTTATGCCAGTGTCTATCAACATGCATAATCATGACTTTATCTTTATAAGCTTTATGAAGAGCATAAAATCTATGTATTCATATATGTAATTTTTTTTTTTGGATTAGAATTTATGCTTTTTATATATATACTGTCTTCTTTACCTAATAGGAACTCGAGCACCATCTGGTAAAGTCTTCATGGCTTCAATGAAAGCATCTAAATTAGGTGTAGGAATATTATTGACACTAACAATAATACTTTTACGCCAAGCACTTGCACTAGCCAACATATGGCCTGATGTAGCAACATAGACGCCGCCTGTAGGTTGAGAGTATGACTTTGCTAACTGATAAGATAATTCATGAACGATACCACCACCAATTTCGACAAATCGATTTGGTGTAATTGAATGTAAATCTTGTACTGTTGCTCTGACCTCTTGTACTTTCTTACCACGACTGATGGTTAATGTTATTTCTTGACCCACAGCGTCATCGAGAATAGCAAATAAGGCAATAAAATGAGGGACCATTTTACCATTACAGCCAATGATGATATCACCAGGTACAAGAATACCATCGGCCGGTCCCTTGGGTAGCAAAGATCGAACAACAAGCATACCAGTCTCCTCAGGGAATTTGTGGCGTACCTTTTCTTCAATATGAGCTTTCAATCCAAGACGACGTACTTCATTATAAGGTAAATATTCAAATTCAGTCTGTAACGTACCACGAGGTACTTGTTCTCCACGTTGAATATATTTTAATGCGCGTAAGACACGATCCAAAGGTAAATAATAAGAAGATGAAGCACGACTTGCACCACCCGCATTTAAAGCAACAGCATGTCCATCAATATCCAAAACAGGACTACCGGATGATCCACCACTTGTACCTGAAGCTGCTTGAAGGTAAAATGTATTGAAATCATTGTATTCACCAATACCATATTCAGGAGCACGTCTATCCAATCTTGCTAATGTACCTGCCAAAATACTTAATTTCTCACCAGCGTCATTACTATGGAAAAAAAAAAAATTAGTTCCATTCGCAGTTTTAAAATAAAAAATAAAAATAAACAAATATTGTTACCCTACAACTCGAATGTCTAAACCCACTTTAGCTCTTTCTGGGCTAAGTTTAATTTCCTCCAATTCCATAAATTTAACACGACTAGGATCAAACTAAACAATAGAATAATTATTACATAATGCTTTCGACTAAGTTTTTTTTTTTTTTTTTTTTTTTTTTTTGGATTATATTAGTTAATTTTTTTTCCACCCTACTTGCATAAAACCAAAATCATGAACTGGGTCACGATAAACGGGTTTAAGGTCAACTTCTTCATAATTTGTCAATACAGCTTGAGCTACAATAGGAGCAGGTGAAACAACATGACGATTTGTCAAGATGATGCCGCGTGAAGCATCGACAATGAAGCCAGTAGCAGTATATCCACCTAATTAATACGTTTGGTTAATAATAAATAATAATGGATATATACATGTATGTATATATATATGTTATTTCCGTTTTTTTGTTTTTTATTTTTTCTCTTTACCTGAAGTTTCAGTATCAAAACTTCTAACATGACTTGCTTTAATAGAGACGATCGCACGAATGGCTTTTTCTAAAGTAGGTTCCCAAGATCTTGCTTTGAAAGGAACACCTGAGGTAGTTCCGGGAGAAAAATAATCTAAAGGAAGACGAGGCTGTTGCCAACCGTGTAAACCAACAGTAGCCAAGGATTTAGATCGACCACGTAATGCAGACGAATTAGGTGTTTGTTGTTCAAATTGAGTGGTTGCTAAAGACATACTGCCTCTATGAGCTTTTAAATTGGTAGCCATTTCTTCTGCTTCAGGAAGCGCAGGTGAATCAACTGGACCACGTAAAGGTGGTGTATTCGATACTACAAGTGGATGTTGTGAACCATCCATTCTGAGTTTATTTTTTATTGAAAAAAAAAAATTAAAGGTAAAGATAAAGAAAAAAAAAATATAAAGAAAAAAAAAAAAAAGGCGGAACAAGAAAAAAAAAACTAAAACTTTGTATATAAAAAAGAAGCCTATATTTTTTTATTTTTATTTTTATTTTATTTTATTTTATTTTATTTTATTTTTTTTTTTTTTTTGCATTATCATTTTGTAAATAGAGAAACCCTTGAATAAATATGTTCTTTTTTCTTTGTTACTGCTTCTTGAGTTGGTAACAAAATTTAGCCCTTTTTTATTAGTTTATGCATAATTTTACTGAGTTGAAAAAAAAAATAAGACTGCAAAAAAAAAAAAAAAAAAAAAAAAAAAAAATCAGTCAATTATGAAGAAACAGGAAGCGTTTCTCATTCTATAAATTCAAACAGTAAACAAAGTCTAGATACAATAATTGAGTTTCTTCGATCTGAAAAGCGGAAAAAAAATAGAGCTGATGATGACGAAGATGTTTTTTTTTTTTGCTTCTTCTTTAGTAATAAACGGATTACGTAATATCCTTTCTTAATTGTAATTGAACCCTTTTTATTATTATAAATAATAGTGTTGTTAATAACAAGATAGAATTGGTTTCAAGCCCTTAAAGATTATATGTTTGAATCATTGAAATGAAAATAGACATTATTGTATGTAGGTATTATTATCTTTCATGTTTTTATTATTATTATACACTCACATTTATAACGTCATTTTTTCATATAGATAACATCATCCTATTCTTCCTTCAAACACATCATTATTTTTATTTATTATTAGTATGTATATTATTAAACATGTATAATATATATGTATATTTATATATATACGTATGTGTATATGTGTGTATATATGTGTGTGTATGTGTGTGTGTATATATATGTATGTACGTGTGTGTGTGTATGTGTATGTGTGTGTGTGTTTATCTATTATAAATATAAAAGGGTCTTTTTTTTTGTTTGTTTTTTGTATATTAATAATAATAATACGCCCACTACAAATATACATGTATATAAATAGAATGACTCCTAAATTAACTCGTTTTCTTCATTTGTTGTCTCTAAAGTAGTGGTATTGCTACTATTAGTATTGTTCATATTTGCAGAACGTCCTAATCGATGTACACGCAAATGTCTTCTCATATTACTTTGTACACTAAAATGTCTTCCACAGCCTGGTTCAGTGCATACAAATGGTTTTTCACCTGTATGCGAATAAGTATGAATCCTTAATGAAGAAGGTCTTGAAAATCTTTTTTGACAATAAGGGCAAATATAACGTCCACTCGATTCTACTGTGGTTGAGTTATTCACATTGCTATGATTTCCCTTGGTATGATGACTTGTGTTATTATTGGGAATATTATTAAGGTTATTATTATTATTAATGCCAATATCATGATGAATCATATTCGTATTAGTGTGACTTCTAGTATTCGTTTTTACATCTAAGGGTACAATAGAAGAAGATATTTGATCAAAAAAGGTATAATTAGTGGAATGTATTTGTCGATTTGACATAGTTAAAGATGGCTCTTGAGGACTGTAGGACTGAGAGCGAATAGATGAATGAGATGAAGAACTTAACATAAAATCAATTGTATTAGCAGACACGGCTCTTCTGTGTGTACGAGTAGTCATACTGGAAGGTGGATTATATTTACGAGTAGGTGGTAGTGAAGGCGGTATATTGTTATTATTATCAGAATTTAAAGGAGGTAAAGTAAATTCAGATACAGATCTTCCATGTCCTCGATTGTCACTAAAGGCTGATTTCCTTCTATTATTATGATTGAATGTTAACGGCGGTGATAATGAAGAAGTAGAAATAGGTAAATTATTCATAATAGAAGGCGGTCTATCATTTGGTAGCATCCAACTAGGTGGTTTTTCTGTTGTTGTTGTTGTTGTTGTTGTAGGAAATGATATATTATTATAAGGCACTTGTGTTTGTATTGGTGGTGAAGCTTGTCGTTGTTGAGGCATAATATCTTCAGGTCCTTGAAGCGATAAATTTTGAAGGTCTGAAGGAAGACTACTCACACTCCGAGAACTTCTATGGCCCAATTGCCTTTTATTATGTTGTTGTGAAGAACATATCCTTGTTTCAAAATTATTACCATTATTAGTTTGTGATGGTGGTGATATGACTCTGCCTACAAAATACATTTAATTCATATCTTTTGAACCCCCCCTTTTTTTTTCTATTTTTATATTTATTTGTTTATCTTTATTTTCTTTACCAGGATTTTCTTGTAAAAGGAATTGAATAGAAGGTAAACTTGGTTTCCCCATTTGTATTTGTGACATACTTTTTGTCTTAATTATTACAAGAACAATAACAAAAAGATAAGAAATAAAGCTTTATAATTACAACACTAACAATAACAATAACAACAAAAAAAAAAAAAAAAAAAAAAAAGAGAGAGAGAGAGAGAGAATTGAACGAGGGAAAAAAGAAAAAAGAAGAAAAAACATAAAATAAAAAATACATACATATTAATATATCTCTAAAATAGTACACATTTAGTCTCCGATTTAAAATGAAAATTTTTTGAAAGATCGACAAGTTTTTTTGTACAAATAAATTCTGTAAATAGAATATTTCTGACCATAATAGTAATGCATGCTTAAATACGTGCTTTATAAAAAAAATAAGAATGATTATAACGTATCTGTTATATATATATATAAATATATAAACTACATGTAAATGTATATGTAGATGTATATGAATATATAGATGTATGTATTATAACTATTATAGGTATTATAGGTATTATGTAAGCATATGATTAGTTAGCGTATCATATTATTGGAATTAGATTGATTACCCTTTATATGCGTAATAATTTTTTTTTATATCTAAAACCATTAAAATATACAAAATTTGATAGGTTTTAAATTATAAAGCAATGACTCAAAAGTCAAATTCCTTCATATTCTCCTTTTTTTTTATTATAATCATAATTCAATAAGCCACTTTATATTATTATCAAAGCATAATGATTAAATATTCGGAATAGATGGCTATTGTCACTTTATTGAATGAAAAGCGTCTATAATTTTACATTCTACTACTACCATCTATCAAACAGAGTAAAGCAGCGTGACTGTATTATGCACATATATTTTATTACATTTATTAAACAAGAGGATGACAGCTTTTGTTTTCTATAATTCAGGTAGTAATATAATAGATGTATACAACATCGTATTTAAATAGTTGCAACTTGACATATTTTTTCATCATTTCTGCATTGCTGCTTATTGTTGCTAATTTCATTGCCAGTAGTAATATGGTAGAAATTATAAAATCCGCTACTGATGAAGAAGAAGGCTTGTGTCAAGGTTGTTACACGGATAATATCATATGATATTTATTACTAGGAGAGGAAGAATTGTATGAGTATAGGTATTTCTATATTATTCTATACATGTAATAGTCATGTTTATTAGAGTAGTGAGAAGCAAACTCATTAATCTATATAAATTTAGACAGAAATAAAATTACTGTAATTTTTTTTTTATTAATAATATCAAAATTTTGGAATTTTTCTTTTTAATGTACATAATTGTAATTTATTGCTACTAGAATAAATAGTTACTAAAAAAAAATATTAATTGCTAGGTTCATGATTTTAATGGAGTTAATTACAAGAAATGATAAAATAAGAAACAAGTTTGGGTCTTTTAAGTGAAAAGAAAACAATATAAACACACTTCTTCATTACTAGTTTTTAATCTTTATATATCAGTTGTAGCCAATACGACAGACTTTATTATATATAAACTTTAGTAAAGAATGCTAAAAGGTATACTTATCGTATTGTTGACGACTCATTTATTCAAACTGCTAATAAAGTCAAGCTGTAAATGTATTTATATCCTTCCAGTTTTGCACTAGAACTTAATTGTATAAGGCTAATCCTAAGCTATTGTTGATAATTAACGTTGTCAAATAAATAATGAAAAGAATCTATAATGGTATTCCTTGAATAAATAGTATCTCAATATTATTTTACTCGCTTTTTTTTTTTTATTTTATTTTACTTGAAAAAAAAAAAAAAAAAAAAAAAAAAAAAAAAAAAAAAAAAAAGCAAAGGGGAAACGGCATTTGAATTAAGAAGCTTATTTAACATGATGATTGTGATATTTCTATCCTATTTTGTTCTTAGACTTACTTATTGTGGCAATGCAAAAGATACTTTGCCACAGTAGTATAAGAGTTATAGGACAACTGATGGTGTTACATAATTATGCTTTTTAACTATTATCTAACATGTTTAAAAGAGAATAGGTGATATCATACTTATCATTTTACTATTTTCTCTCTTTTTTATTTTATTTTATTTTTCAAGTGTGTAATATTATGTTTAATAACATTTGGCACTATTTTTCTGAGAAAGCCAACAGAGGCATCCCTTATGATTATGATAATAACTGGAAGCAGCAGCGACAGGATGAAACAGCGGCGTATATGAATCATCATCATAGTATGCCGAATTGGCTGTTGACAGGTTTTATAGTAAATCAACATCAACCCTTTTATAATAAAAAAAGGGATTCTCGTCAACGATCCTTTTACAGTCACCATCAACAGAATAATGCAATATTGGATAGAAAACGTTCTTCTGTTCAACATAATAATAGACAACCATTTCAAGAAGAAGCAAATTATCATAATCGTCAGCAAAAAAGAAGGCATTCTGCTGCATCCCTTCTTCAACAGCAACAACAGCCTTTTATAAATAGGATAAATCATGCTCTTCCTCTTCTTGTTAGTAGTGGTGGTGCATATAATCCTTTTGTGGATATGTTGGCTATAGGAACCACAAGAGTTTTAGATAATTTAATCTCCGGAAAAGATCATTCTTATGGGAACAGTAACTACTTGTCACAATATAGTCATCATCAACCGTATTCTTTCTCGCAACCTTATTCTAAAATAAATCATCAATATGATCCATATTCCCGTCATGAACAAAGACTCTATATGAATCAACTTTTAAATAATAACTATTATAATAATAGAAAACATAATATATCAAGACCCTTTTAAATGATATGTACAAACTATCCTTATAGTCATCAAAATACATAGCCATATTATATATATAACAAGCTTAATAATAAAGTCTTATTTTATGGGAACATTAGTTTATTATTTTATAGTTTTACTTAGTTCAAGTATGTAACGTAATTCTTCGTCTATTTCTTCTTCTTCATTATCTTGATTTCCTGGAGATGATACTTCGGTGGCAGTTGACCGAAAATGATCTAAAGTATTTACATGGCTACTACTGCTACTAGCACTAAGACTATTATTATTACTACTACTACTACTACTATTATCTAGTGTATCTGGATCAATAAAGGTGTGATTTTCAAATTCCAGACTAGCAATAACAGCCTTCATTAATTCTTCATCTTCATCATCTATATAATCACTACTATGTAATTGTGTTGTTTCTGTCCGAGAAGGTTTAGCTTCTGTATTCTCTTGTTGAGATAACATTAAAGCATAGTGCAGCATCTCCTCATCTGTTAATCCACCCAACGATAATTTATGAATTATTCGTTCTTCACGTTCACGTTCTCGCTTTTCTAATTCCAACTTTTCTATAGACTCCTTTACCTCACGATCAATTTCGTAACGGAATCTATCACGCAGTACTGTATTGTAAGGTCGTCCTTTCTGTTTTAATGCACGTCGACCTAATAATAATAATAATAATAAATTAAAAAATAAAATAAATTACATTGTATATACTTACTTAAAAATTGCTTTCCAGGAGAAAAATCCCAAGTTTTAACTTGATGTCCTATTGTAGCCACACCTTGATAATCATTACACCAGATATTTTTAACACGCATTACATTCACATCTGTACGATCAATAGGGGCATGTTTTGGTATTTTATTACCAAGTGTATTGATATTAACACCTGTCAAAGGATCCCAAATACGAATCCAGCCATCGTCACTGCCTGTCACTAGCTTACAAGCATCAATATAGATAGAACTAATGGCAACTTCATGACCAGATAATACACGAATAGGCTTTATTTTATGACCTTCTTCTTTACTCACTTCATCACCATTCCATAAACAGATTATACCCAAATCATCACCAGTAACAAGTAGACGAGTAGTTTTGACATTAGCAGTCAAAGGTGTTATTTGTCCCGACAAAGTAGTAGGACTATTATTGGAAGTTCCAGGAGAAGAGGAAGAGGACAGATGAATAATACTACCACTTTTCTTTTTTCCAATAGTTGTATGTGGTTTCAAGGCTGACTCTAAAGACAGTGTAGTAGAAATAGGAGATGTATCCCATTTCATCGATGTAATTGATGTGCCTGTCGTATGCCCATATCCAAATATACCAACACAATTTCCAGAATTTACAGAGTATTTATAAACATCTGTTCTATTTTGATAAGCCACAATAACCATATTCGTTTCTATATCATAAGCTAAGGATTTGACTTTTGTGCGAAGCGTATTTAATGAAGGGGGGCACTCACTTCAATTTTCCTCTCATCTAAATGTCTTTGAAAGGCATCTCTCTTTTCAGAAAAATCTTCTTGATTACGATTTCGATTCAATTGTGCAATGTGATTCAAGTTAACATTCCAGATAACCAATGAACCATCATCATAACCTATAAAGAGACGATGATCAGACGTAACTTTCAAACAAGTAGGTTCTCGAGCAGAAGCAGAAGTAGGATATAGAGTCCAAGCACAAGATGCTGTCACTGTATCCCAAATCTTAACTGAACCATCATCAGCACCACTTAAAACGATATCCTGTGTATGCTGAGGCAAGACTAAGATGCAAACAGAACCCTGATGGAAATCTGAAAAAGCTTTTAGACGGCTTGTGGATTTTGTACGTGTTGAAAGAGTAATATAACCAGTTGGGAATCCCCATAAAATACGATCTTTATCCATTGTAACAGCAGATAGTTGAAGACGTATATTTTCATTCGTACTATATAATAGATGGCGTTGCGCAACTTTTCCTGTCATTGGATTACATTTAGCAGCAACACCATGTTCTGTGCTTACGACTAACATGGATGAATCTTCAAAATCAACTTGCATAGATTCCAGTGAACCAATTTTTGGATTAAAGGACATAACTGTACCACGACCTTTTGTCCATTTTCTATATATGAAGATATCTATTTAGCTTCATCACTTTTCTTTTTTTTTTCTACTATCCATAATCGTAACTTTACCTTATCAAATGATTTCTAAGAATATATTCAGTCTTCCAACTTTCAACCGACAATCTCTTGAATGGTAAGCGACCGAAATAAGATACAAAGGCATCTCTCCCTATATAAAATATAATAAATTTCAAAGTATAAACATATTAATATGTATATATATACATATATATATATATACACTTACAGCAGCTATCATCCATAATAATATGCCGCCAGTAAGTACATACTTTAGCTACAGTAGCTAGGCTGACAGGATCTAATCTTGCAAAGATGTGTGTAACTAATTCTACCGAGAGTTGGTGAATATAACATGGTGCACTATGAAATATATATATGTATACATATTTGTATAAGTAAGCATAGATATTTTTTTGTGAAGAAAAAAATAGTTTTAATAAATATATTTTATATATATTATTTTATCTCGATTTACTTTGGATCGACTTCAGGTAGACGCAATTTCTTCTTTCCTTTTTTAAATTGAGACAAGTCATGATGAACAGTAGTTGAACGATTAATAATATCTTGATCTATAATTTCTTTTTCTATATTTTCGTATGTATTATTATCAGTATAGCTGTTTCGATCGAAAGACATGAATTTGTGGGGAAGAAGAAGTTTGTTTAAGAATAAAAAAAAAGAGAGAGAGAGAGTTTTTTTAATAAAAAAGGAATAGATCTATGATTAGCGATTAATGAAAACGATATACGCAAATATATTCCTTTTTTCTATTATTACAAATGAAAAACTGTTTTTTTCTAATGAAAAAAAAGGAAGATTTGATTGACTTTTTATAGATGTTTTGTAAATAGAATAAACAAACTTATTCTTATAAATTATCTATAAAAGATCTTGACAAAATAAAGAAAGATGTCCACAATCTTAATTCAAAACTGCGGATATTTAGTTTTTTTTTTTTTTTTTTTTTTTTTTTTTTTTTTTTTTTTTTTTTAGGAAAAAAACAACCAATTAAATTTATTTTTATATACAAATCTGTGCAAGTGATAATTATAAATACATGAAATTGTATTTATTTTACAGGATTTTTACGTGGTCTGCCTCTTTTTGGTTTTGGACGATCAGTATTGAAAGTATTATAATATAATGTTTGATCTATAGTACCTTGAGTTTGAACGGACTGATATTTAGTCATTTCAGTATTTTGACTATGAACTACTGTATCCTCATTTTCAACTATTGACTTGTCAGGCAGGATTGTGGTATTCATAGAGTTATCATCAGATTGAGCTACCTGAGAATCACTAGATGTGTCTACAGTATCCCCTAATTGAATGATCGTTTTTTGTGATTGATGGGCTGTGGCTTGGTCATTTATATCTTGTGTTTGATGAGCTGTATATTGATCATTTATATCTTGTATTTGAATTTCAGTATTACGGGATGCAAGCAAGTTGAAATTAGGTATTCGAATAATAGTAGGGCCGTCTAAATTTCGTATATTCTTTGATGTATCTGAGCTTATTGTTGATTTTGCTAAGGTATTTGATTTTCTAGCCTTAATAGTTATTCTTTTAGTACTGTTGTTTTTGTTTTATTATAGTTATTCAGACTGATTAGTGATATATTTACCTTACGAGCCTTCTTGACAGCTCCATTATTCGTCTTATCAGACTCCGTACATATTGTTTCGATCTTGTTACTTAATTCATCCACTTTATCTTTTAATTTATTTAAACGCCTCTTTTTTTTAGGTATATTGTTATCTTGGTCATTCAAAGATGCTTGTTCCTTTTCAGTAGCTGTTTGGTTAGTATTAACAGGAGCAATTAATTCGGGAACTGGTGTATTCAACTCTGAGTCAATACATTGGTTTTCCAAAGACTTTTCCGTTATTTTGCTTAATCCCTCATCTACAGTTATTTTAGCAGATTTATGACTGTCAGGAAGTGTTGTTTCTACAAGCAAATCGGCAGTCTTTTGTTCTGATAAAGATGCTGATTTATGGTTAATATATGTAGAAGGCTTGGGAGATGATGGGCTTATCTCTGATGTAATATCTTGTTTATCCATAGTTTCTGTAAACCCTTCCGTAACAGTACGGTCGGGATCTATAGAATTTAAAAGCGTTTGGTCTGCCATATTTATGTTTGAAATAACTTCTATTTCTTTTGAAGTTTCTAAGTTGGCTTCAATTGTTTTAGATATTTCGTTTGACTTAATAACCTTATGTTCATGATCATCCGAGTGAATGATATTAGTCTCTAGATCTATAGATGTCTCTTGTATAGTCTCTTTCTCCTTTTCAGAGAATGTAACAGTATCATTAGCAGAGTCATTGTTTGCAAAATCATTATCTAAATTTATGGTCCGTTCTTCTATAACATCTTTTGTTTCTTCATTGGATATATTTTCATGATTATCAAGATTAATAGATTTCAGTAATTCATCTTGTATATGTCTTTTAGAATATTTTCTATTAGGACTAAACCTCACATGCTGGATTTTATTTCGAGATCCCTTTGGTCTACCACGTTTTTTAGGTTGTGGCTTATCATCTACTTGTTGGCTCGTCTTGCATCTTTTTGATCTACCCCTTGTTTTTCGCCTTTTGACTATGGGTACGTCTGCTTCTTTCTCCCATTCAATACCAGCTCGCTTTCTGCTTGATGGTGCGGTAGGCATCTTTGATGATGATGTCATTGATTTATGATTTTCACGTGATGATAATTCTGCAGCAGGTATTGTAGCTGTAGAAACTGTTGATGTAGGTGACCTTAAATAGATAACACTTTCGATACGCGATTTTGTTAGCGACCTATTTTCCTGCATATTCCATTCATCTAACAGAGCTATATTTACATCTGGTTGCTCTAACCATGTCAATATTTCTGCAGCAGATCGACGATCTTCAGGTCTGACACGTAAAAACTTTTGTAGAAACTTTTTACTTATTGGACCTGGCATTTCTCGTTCAAGTAAATTATCAATTATATAATCTTCGCAAACTGTTTCTCGAAGCTTTTTTAAATCTGTATCAAAAACTCCTGGCCAAGGTTCCATACCAGAGAATATCTTCCATACTAATGTACCTAATGAATATATATCTTCAGCAGCAGGGTGAATAAGATAAGGGAGAATCCTATGGTCTTTCTGAGTACGCGGTAAGGTTTGAATAGAACGATAGAACCTATAACCATGGTCGGGTCTTGCCATGATGTAAGGTAAGTTCTTACACCATATAACTAGTTCTTCCTTTGTTTTAGGTTTCATCTCATCCTTATAAATATTCTGTTCATTGGTATTAACCCACCATTTTTCAGCATCATCCTGGAAGAAAAATATAGCTTTACCAAAGTCTATTAAGAAGAGTTCAACGCCAATAGAGCCATCAGGCAAAAACTTATTTTCTTCAGATTGTGTGTTAACCATAAAATTGACTGTAGATAAATCACGATGTGCTATGCCCATTCCATGAGCCGACCGAATTGACTTCAACATCTGAATAATGATATCCATACGCTGAAATACGGTAAGACGAGGTTTTGAGTTTTTGCTAATATATTGTCGTAATGTCATATCATATTTCTCCATAGTAAGTCCAATTACTTCAATGCCATAATCATCATGAATCATCTCCTTTATCCGGCCAATATGTTCTTCATCTCGTAATTTTAACAGACAAGCAATTTCGGTTACTCTTTGAGAAGTTGTCGATCTTTGGAAAATTTGTACAACTGTTCGATTTTCTATAAAATATACATGTTTAAAATATCCACCTGCATCCACTGTGTTAGTTATGATATCTGAATACTTGTTTTTAAGAACAATACTAGCGTCTTTTTCTATACAAACTAAAAAAAAAAAGAGCAAATAAATATACATGTTTTAATAACCATAAAAAACAGTCCTACATTCTTTTAGTTTTTCCCAATAACTTGCAACTGAAGGCTTCTCTTGACTTGTTAATAATCTAATATAATACAATATAAGCAAATAAAATAAAAAAAAAGTATGTACACCGTACCTTAACATTTTTGACGCTGATTGATATAAATTAGGCGCTTTAGCATCGTTAGTCGATGATGTAGGATCCATTTTACATTTGCTAAATTTCCAATAGAAAAAAAGAAATAGGAACATATGATAATTAGTTGGTTTAGAATAGTTGTATAGTCAAGCTTATATTTATATATGTATATGTATATACCTTTTTATAGATTCAATATTTAATGAATTATTTCTTTGCTGGGTATAATCTTTAAAGAATGGGAGTTTTTTATTTTTCAGGTACGCAATATTGTCTGTTGTATCATTGTAACTCTTTATGATATCATCACGAGAGGAGGCAATTGTATATATAAACTGTCGCTTCATTTCATTTTCTCTAGCCTCTTCCAAGTTTAAAGCTATTGGTTTTGTCTCGATCTTCCGTACTACTTCTGAACGTCCATCATGAAATAACTCCTTTGTTAATTTTGTACTTAGCATAGAATTTATTTTGGTAACCGTAATAACTTTCACTTTTATAAATCCTTCTAGTCCAGCATGTTTTGAATCATAAAACTCACCCAAGGGATGTACGACAACAGCATGAGCTGCTACATTACAAAATTCTGGGTCACTATGAAGTACTTGAATTTTGACGTCAAAAAATATAGAAAGTATTGAGTTTACATTATTTTCTACATTTATTAGGAATTCTTTATTTTTTGCAATATAAAGTCGATGAATAGGTATGGTGTTCTCCATTCCATTTATTCTCTCCACTAGTGGTAGATGCAATTCTTTAAACTTTTTAATGTTTACAAAGTACAATGAGCTAAATTTTTAAAATTGCATAATTATGGCAAACTCATCTTATTGTATTCTCCTTTTATTTTTCAATATACCTGTTTTTTCTGACCTGAATAGATAAATACATTGGCAAATTGCAATATTCTTCAATCACTTTCTTTTTTATACTAAAATCAACAGCAAAAAAAAAAAAAAAAAAAAAAAAAATAGTGATATTAGTATATATCCAAATATCATTTTATAAGCATAACCTACTTTATTGATATATCAGCCCAATTTATACAAGAAAGTTCAGAAATTTTTAATAGATCGTTTTTAAAAGATTCAAAACATGTATATGCATCATTAAACAAATTCTTTTCAATAGTATAGATTGCGGTTATATAATCTACGCAATCGCTCCTTGAATAGATTGTGTCCAAGATTTGTACACAATGTCTAATCAATACTGCTTTACTGTTAATAAACACCATTTTTGCTTTTCTGTCATGGATGATTTAAAAATAAAATAAAGTAAAATAAAACAAAATACAGTTTTAAATGAACAAAGGCAAAAAAAAAAAAGAAAAGAAAAGAAAAAGAAAAAGAAAAAAAAGAAAGGCTTCTTTTCTCCCTAACTATTTTATTATTTGTTCAATAGGATACGTCGTCACACAAGGTTTTATGTACAAATAGACGTCAGATTTATTACTTTTTCGTATTTTTTATATCAGCAACGATTTGGAACATATTTGGCTTGTTAAATTTATCATTTTGCTTCTTCTTGACCTTCTTGACTTTACCTCGATCATATTCGAGATCATACGTATCAACTCTCTTCCTCTTTGGCTTGATCTGTTTAAGAATTTGATTTCGTTTCTCAATCGCATCTCCGACTTCTTCATCCCAAGTGCTTATTTCATCTTGGAATTGGTTATTCGGTGTTTTAGCTAACAGAACATTCTTGACCTCTGAGCTTTTACTTTCTAAACTTTCTTTTTCTATAAGTGCGCCAAGTTTTTCTCGTTTCGATTTCATATTTTCATGATGTTCAACTACAATAGCTGCAGTATTTTCGATTTTATCCTTTTTTGATGCTTCTTCCATCGCTTTATGCAGCTTTTCTTGTTCTAATCTCTTTTCTTCCTCATCATCCTCACTATCTAAACTTGATGGTAATACAGTGACTTCATCTCCTACTTCTTCTTCAACTTTAGTCGCTTCTTCAGCTTTATTTGCTTCTTCTTGTTTCATTATATGATTTTCATTTTTATTGATCAATTCAGGCACAGAAGTTTCATTTTTCATAGGTATCTTTTTTTCATGCTGAGCAGTCTTTGGTACAGGTGAATTATAAAATAGCATGTAGGGCTTTTCTTCCAAGAGTTTTTTCACACTTACAACTTGCACATTTTCATTGTCCATACAATACCAAATCCCATTTGAACTCTTAACATAAGCTATATAACGACCATCATGAATTGTCTGACCTGTATGAACGATTGCAGCATATAAATGATAAACTTTATTGACATGATCCTTTTCTGTCTCGCATATAGTTCGTTTAATGTTCATTGTTTCCTCAAATTGAATAAATTTATTAATCTTAGTTTGATCTCCATCTCTATTAAATCGTTGTAATTGAAGAACAAGAACCATAGGTGATTTATAGATAGACTGTTTGCCTGTAAATGTTCCTTCATGTTGGCAACTATTATGTAATCAAGTAAGATAAAAGAAAGGGAAATGAGTATCCATATAATATACAAAAAAGCATATTTTTAACCTCTTGCTCTTTTTTACCTTGGACATTGGCTTGGGATTGATATACTTTCTTTAAAGTATTTTGTTAAACATTTCTCAACAGAACTGCATTGAGTTAAATTTAAACTTAGGTCAAGAAAAGATTCATATTCATTATATGGATTATTGCAAGCTTGACATTCTAATCTTTTCTGAAGATAGCCTCCAAATATTTGGTATAAAGCGGTTGTTTCCTGGACTCGTTTATCTTTAGAACCTTTTTCAGATAGCAAGAATGATTGTGTTTGATTTATAAAATAGTTCCAAATATCAAAAGCATCCTTAGTGTCTCCCTTTTCCATTTCTAAGTAAATATATTATATCGTAATTAATATCATGTTTACCACATATTTTTTTTTTAAAGAAAAAAAAATTTGCACTGTACTTTTCAATTTTCCTACAAATAGACGAGGCTGAAGAGCATATTGTGATCCCTTTAATGCTGTTCTTATATGTTCTTCTATGGCACAAACAAAACAATACTCTTGGATCGTACCTATATGTGTGTATATTTGATATAAAAAAAAAGAGAGAGAGAAAAGATTAAAACCTACAATAATCTTATTTTTATGTTAATCAATTTACAGTTTGATCCATGTATTCTACTCAACATGTAGTTTGCTAAAGCTGGAGTATAAGTAAATACTTGTAAAATGGCATTAAGAGATGAAAGATGTCCAAGATCTTTAAGTCCTGATCCAATAGGATGAATCTCATTCCAGTTTGAATTGAGCTTATCTTTAGAAAACAATATTTTCGAAGGACGTTCAAAACCATTAGCATCAATCATATCCACTATATTATTAACCGCAGTTCCTGCATTATCATAAGCTGAAGTTGCATGCACTACTCCCGAAACACCATTAACTGGAGCAAATTTTCTTTTAAAAGCTTCCAACTTATGATCTACATAACGGGATTTTCTAAATTTGATGGCTCGATTCAATAAATTACTTAGAGTATTTTTTTGACCAATTGTGTCGTTTTTTCCTCCTTTAACCACCCTTTCTCCTCTAAGTTTACTATCATTTTTACTTGACATTTGATGATCAATCAATCAATAAGAAAAAAAAAAAAAATTCTATTGTCAGCACATTATCTGTACAGAAAATAGGGCTGTCATTCAATACATCTGATAAATTAGCAGTCACGGCTAATAATTTTATTTCATTCTTTAAAAGAAAAAGAAAAGAGAAAGCTGTTTAATACAACGTGAATACAGATATTTTTATTTTAATGAGGCACCTCAAGTACAAACAAAACAAACATATAACGCCAAGACATTAGTACGTTAAATCAAATTATTTTGGTATATGCTTGTATAAATTAAACAAACTTAAACTCGATGATAAATTTAGTTTGTGTCTTTTTGCTGTTTACAGTCGTATACTCAGATCAAATATATATATATATATTTTTGTTTTCTTTAGTCATACTAAAAGACTGACTGTAATATGAATATGGTATAGAAGGTAAATGTCAAAGTGATTTTTATAAGGCTACTGACCACAAATATACAGTAATTAAGCCGCTTATTCTTTCAAAACAATAGCTATATAACTTGCAAATCAAGGTAGTACTGTAATTAATTTTAAGCCCATATGATACTTTCAGATGATATGCACAATCATAACTGATAGATATTTCTATCTTTATGAATACTCTTTAAGCCGTAAATACGTGAGTATCCATCTATTTACCTAATTAGTCCCCTAGCATGGTTGATAATTTACCTAAACTCATCTCTATGACACCTATCAGCTCACATTGACAAGCTGATCCGTACTTTTAGAATCGTTGCTAGGTACGAGTAAAAGGTAATAATTCAAAAAATAAAGTAATTCCAGAAATAGACTATAAACGTATATTAGTAAAACACGTACTTGTACTATCCAGTTTGTAATTTTTTGTATTAAAAAAAAAAGAAAAAAAAAAGGCTGGAGTAAGTCACTAGAACTAATGTATGTATTAAGAGATATGTTCATCTTTAATTATAAAAATTATCTCTAACATTTGAACACCATAGTAATATACAATAAATCAAAGTTAAATATAAGTTCTAGTTAAAAAAAAGATAAAAATGCTTTCTAATATAATATTTTCTTGCCTATGAAAACACAATTGCTAGTCTCACCATTTTCTTCACATTCATTTAATTGTTGATTAGGCCATCCTTATCTCACTTATTTTTTTTTTCTAACTTCTTTAACGTCAGGGATACATATAACAAAATGGTAATATAGAACTGAAAGGCTACTCAATATGATTTCAGGAAAAGCATTCAGTAATATAACATTCGTCTCTTAAAGAACTATGGCTATCATATAAATTGGAGTACACAAGAAATCTTTGTTTTGACTCTCAAACTTCTTCATGTATTTAACTTTCATTACTGTTTAAGTTCCAGTAGATTGCTTCTATTCATCATCGTAATACAGTCCATGTAATGCTACACTGTCCTTGAGATAAAAATATATCAACACATAGTTCTGCTTTTCTTACTGACGTGCCTTATTTAATTACGAGAACAAACAGTTTATGTATCTGAGAAAGAGAATAAAACAAGGTTAATATGAGATGGATTTTAGTCTGTGCTGACAAAGGGTCTTTCGTCTTTTTTAGCCACAGCAATTGAAACTATCTCAATAAGACTCTAGAATCCCCCCTTTGAAAAAGCATCCTATATTTTTTTAAGATTTATTAACCTTGTACTTTCTAGTTTGTAAACTTTATTGATAGAAGACTCATCATTCATGTTTGGTTGTTAGTGGTACCAATTCTGGGCTCATATTGCTTATTTTTTTTTTTTAGAATCCAGAGGAGTAATAGTAAAGCAATGTATAAATTTAGTATGTGTACTATTATACGATATAGTGCATCATATAAGCGTACAAATTAGAGATCCTGTTACGCAAAATAATAATAATAATACTTGATAGCAAGATTTTATAGTTAGATAAGGGCCATCCAATTGAAAAAGGGTTTTCTTTTTTAATGAAATATTGATCGGACTCATAAATTATTGGACTCCTTAATGTCTAAATGAATATAAAAAAAGAAATAAAAAAAAAAAATAGTCATACCTTCTTCACTTTAAAACATATTTTTTTATTATTATTATTGCTCTTCATTATGACTATTAGCTGCATCATTTGCTACGGATCTTTGATCAACGACGAAAGTTGTATAGCTGCTACACTTTGTGGACATGTTTTTCATAAAAATTGGTACATTTAAAAAATATACATTTATAAGATCAGATTATACTCAAATCTATATGTTGTTATTATTATTTGATGTTGTAGCCTTTCTGAATGGATGAATTGTTCATTTACTTGCCCTATCTGTAAAAAGACAGTTACACCTGATAGAATTATAGCACCCATTTTCTTTTCAAGTGTTGATTCTAATGGAGAAGAGACCTCTAACACATCTGTAAGAGCTCAACAAATGGTTGCTGAAAACGCAACGCTTAAAAAGCAAAATGAAATTTTATTAGCAGAGCGCAATACATTATTGAATAAACTTACTGAAAATCGTCATAGAATAAATATTTTAAGTGAGGATTTGAGAAATGTAACAAGAGCGATGAGATATCTCAAGCAATTAAGAAAGTATGTAATAAATATAAGTTGTACATATTTCTATTCATACATTATAGAAGCTAATCTTTTTTTTTTTTTTTAAATTAGAGTGGCCGATATGGATGATGAAATGTCTAGTCCTACCTCACAAGCTTATTTAAGAAGCCTTAATTCTTTACCTAATAAAGAATTAATCATTGCTACTGCAGCTTTGCAAATCAGATTTAAACTGGCTATTAAGTAATATGTCTTTTATTTATTTATACATGTATACATTTTTATTTATTAAAATTATTTAGAAAACACGATGAAACTACGAGACGAATGCATTTTATTGAAAGAGATAATATTCGTTTAAAGAAAGAGCTTGAAAAAGCAAGAAATCAAAGAACAAAGCCCAAACGTAATGCAGGTGTTATCATATTAGATGATACTGATGAAGAAGATAATGTACAGATAACAAGCCAAAATAGTACACAAAATGACAATGAAGTCATTGTTCAAGAAAATGTTCAGCCACAGACACAAGGAAGTCTCCAAGAAAGGTAAATGACATCTATTACACATAAATAATGTCACACATATTAATTATATCAATAGTAGCAGTACTGCCCATTCCAGTAATAATGCCCATCACAATTCCTCTTCTTCTTCCTTGTCTTCTTCTTCTTCTTCTAGTAATGGCATTTATTCTCGTTTAAATGCTTACTGTCGAAACTACTTTGGCCGTAAGGCTAATGATGATACCAGAACCAGTACCAATACCACCACCACCACCATCAACAGCAGTAGCGACAGCGATGACAGCGTTGTTATTGATGAAAATAATGGCAAGAAGAGGTATACTCATTAGAAGTGATACATATTATTTAAATATAATTATTAATATATTCATTTAGATTATTCTCTTCTTTGTCTGAATCTGATGGTGAAGAGTTCTCAGTAGAGGAACACGCCTCTTCATCGTAAGTAACGCAATAATAGCTTCTTTATATGTATACATGTGTATTTATTCGTGCATCTATATTTGTTTTTATTTTAGACGTGTGAGAACACAAAAGGTTAGAAGACGTAGTGGTTACCCCAATTCCCATGCTTGAATATAATCAGCATGTGGAAAAGGGGTAAAAAAAAAAGTGTGTTTTTACACACTTTTTGTTATTTTTTTAATTATATTTATTATAATTGTTTAAAAAATATTGTGCACATAAAAGTGCACAATAATATACCTTTGTATTTATGCCATTTCATTTTGTTGTTTCTTTGCTTTTTTCTTTTTTATATATATATATATATATTTATTTATTGAATAAAAATTTATAAAAAAAAAAAAAAAAAAAAAAAAAAAGTACATATTTATGGAAACTATACTAAAGACTGACTAGATGTCCTTAATTTGAATACATACTTGTAGTGACACAGAAACAAACTTTTAGATTTGATAAATGATAATAATATTTATTTCCTATTTAATAGAGTGTAGCAAGAAAAAAAAAAGTATTTATATTGTATACAATAGGGATCGAGGCCCTCCCTAAATTGTTTCAGGAAAATATTATTTATTTGAAGAACATGAAAAGGACTCGGTACTATTTTACATACACACACTCTGTCTCTGTCTCTGTCTCTTATGTTACTTATCATTAAATCCTGATTTATATGATTCATTATCTAGTAATGAAATCTGTTTTTTCATATATAAACATAATAGATGAGTGGGCCCTTAAGGTAAAAAAAAAAAACCCTCCTTTTTCTCCACATTTTATATTTTAGTCATGATTACCATAAATGTACATTCGTACAAAGTTTTGTTCGGATGTTATCGGATTCACTCTCTAAAAGGAAAACACCAAACTTACGGCAGATTCACATTGTGCTCATTCTACAAACGATAAACTGATTTTTTTTAATTCTAATGTCTCCTCCAAATCAAATTGAATAGAATCATCATTTGTAACAAAATTGGACACTATAAAAGTGAATGGTCAAGTGTTTTGACAGACTTCTCTCTATAAAGAAAGATAAGTTTGTTATAGCAAATTAAGTTATCTCTTAAAGGAGAATAACCCTGCTTTTTTTTTTTTCAAGTAAGACTCTGAATGTATTTTACTTTGACTTATGAGATCAAGAAATAAATGAAAAATAAAATAAAATAAAAGGATTCAACAAATATTAACATCTTTTTTTTGTCTGTATGTATTGTCATGGCTGTAAGATTTGTAACTTAATTCAATAAGATAAATAGTCGTAATAGAATAGATAGTGCACTTTTATAATAATTCTGTCTATAGGCATATTAAATATATTTACTCTTGTGTAGAAAAATGATTAACAAAAAGTCCTGCATCTAAAAATTTATCTTGTTCTGCTGAATATAAATTTATATCAGGTTAAACTGGAGTAAATCAAGAATAATGCAAGTACGCGTAATAACTGATTTCACTTAGAGTACACATCCTAGTTATAAACAATAAATACATATACAAACAAAAGACATGATGATTCTTAAATAAACAGCTATTCTCTTCTATGATTACGTCATCAGATATAAGTTATTATTTTATCCACAAAATATATAAATACTCTTACATTATTAACCCTTATTTTGGTATAATTGAATTGAATTGAATTTATATTTCTGAAGTCATCTTTACCTTAATAAAAACTTATTAACAAATCTCAGCATACTTCCTTTGTCCGTTCTTGTATTATTTTTACTTCTTATCTCTATTTTATTATATCTTACGATGTTCAACATGATAGATGAATATATAATATGTATGACTTATGTAAGTGATTATGTAATTGAATATAACAGTCATAATCCTATTGAATTCTAATTATTACATAATACAGTGAATATCATTATTTTTTTTTTTAGCAATGACTGTTATTAAAACTGAATGTAGAATGAATATATTATGCTATAAGACACAATAAACTAGTTTTATTTGAATAGCCTCTTTATTATTAATTAAAGGGTGGTTTATTTCTATTCACTTAGTTGTAAAGACGACTACAATCATAACAAGCCGCATATTTCAAGTATTCAGAATGGGCGGTCATCGTCTCAACTATAAATTCATTCTGATCAACGATGTAGTCCATGAGTTCAGGACCACCATTCTCATCAACACCATTTCCATACCCATCTTCATATAAAAATAGTGTGCTCATGTTAATTTGTAAATATTGAAAGAAAAAAAAAGGGGGAAACGAAAAGAAAACACCTGAATAAAAGCAGTAGCCTGCGCGATTTGTATTTTTTTCAAGTGCCAAGAAAACCCCTTGCGACATGATTTCTAAAAAAAAAAAATACGAGTTCCATTTCTGAACACGCGAAATTAATCCTGATAGGCCCGAGACTTTAAATCCGATTTTCCAGCGACATCAATTTTAATTCGCTGCGACATTGCTTATTGGATTCACTGAAATAGATTCATATAAGGTGAATATATCCTTACGTAAGTGTAAAATACTATCTGTTTCATAAATTGTTTTTAGAATAAATTCACCAGCAAAAAAAAAAAAAAAGTGAATAGACAAATAACGCTAGACTATGAATGAAACAAAACCCTTTCATATTAAAATCTGATATAATTCTAAATTACATGATAATTGAATTATACACATGCAGTGCTATTTTCTGGAATAAAATAATAAAGGGTCTCCAGTGAATTAGTTTATTCTATTTCCTTTTTTTTTCTTTATTTTATTTTATTTTTATTTTATTTTATTTTTTTTTTACTAATATTATATTCTACTCACGTGTGGCAACTGTATTAAATATTACTCTAGAAAATAGTAACATTTTTAATATCTCCTTTATTTCAGATCAGAAAAAAAAAATTAAATATGAGTTTCGGATTAACTGTAAATTTATCCTTAACGGATGAAAGTAGATGAAACTCTTATGTTTGATATAAAGAATACATTGACGCTAAATAAACATAAAGTCTTATATAAATTACATACTATAGAAGATAGACAAAAAAAAAAAGAAATGTCAGTCTCGTCAAGTTTTATAAGGTTATTTTTATACATAAGCTTTGATATGATTTATGTAAGTATATTAGCCATTAATACAAGTAAAATATGATTATCTATTCCCGAAATTAAATTAAAATTGATAGACAATAATAAACAGAAGAAGGGGAGATTAATAATTTTTTTTTTTTAATTTAAGAAATCCTTACTTCTTGTCAGAAATTACCTTTTAATTCAAATTTGAGTTTTTTTTTCAGTTTCAGTTTAACATGAAAAAAAAAAACCTTTTTTTTTTATGTCCTTATTCATGTTATAGAGCTTCATAGGAATCTTTGCCTAGTCATTGTAATAATCGTATACAATAGTCCTCCTTTTGTAAATCGATTATTCAATATGATCTCCGTTAGAATGAATAAAAAAAAAATTCTATTTTATTTTCGTTTATTATTAAAGTAGTCAATGTGGAACAAGCAGAAAAAAACCTAGATTTGGTGATTTTCATGACCTTAACCCAGGTTATACAGAATGTCAATTCCATCCAGGCAAACCCTTTTATTTAAACTTTTTTTTTCCTTTTTTTTCCTTTTTTTATTTTTATTTTTTACTCATTTTATTTTTTCTTTTTTTTTATTTTTATTTTTATTTTTATTTTATTTTTTTTTTCAGTAACCAAGACTTTAAATTTTTATTTTATTCTCCTTTTTATTTTATTTTTATTTTCTTTTATTTCTTAAATATTTTACGTAGTAAATTTGTCTAATTATGGGAAAGGTAACCCAAGAATTAAAGTATAAAAGACTTAAAGTTGGCCATGCATGTTATATTTGTCGAAGTAAAAAAATAAAGGTTTGCATAACATATGTGATACAAATCAATGTAAAGATATTAAGTTAATTTTATGTAGTGTGATGGTTTAAGGCCATGTATGCAGGTTAGCAGTTTATCTTCTTTGAATAAATAAATAAATACATATTACAATTATATTTCATATTTTGATAACATTTTTTTTGTTTTGTCAATATAATAAATATATTTAGTGCAAAGGTATAAATAGATTTTTAATACAAAGTCAACTGAAGAATTCAATCAAACCTTCTAATAATAATATTTTTTTTTTAATTACAGCACGAGGCAGAATATGTCAACCTTCAAAACTCGAATCTCAAAATGATACATCAAGTGAAAACAATACAGTTAATCATAGTCAAGATGAAGTGGATAGTAGTCAAAGTAATGTGGATTCAGACGATGATTCTATCTTATTTTCTCGTATAAAGCAATCGTCGAATATGGATACGACATCAATATCTACTTATTCAGATACATGGACAGCAAATGCAGTTCAATATGTATCCGAGGATAGTATTAAAAATAATAATCAATTTCTTTATGGTGAATATTCTGCTTTTGGTAGTTTTGTTCGTTGGAGAGAGGAACCACCACTTCCTCATAAATATTCTTCATCAGTGGAAATGCCTTCAAATGAAATTCAGATGCATTTGATTGATTTATTTTTTCAAACTAGATACAATTTTATACCAATCGTACCCAAGCAACTCTTTTACAAACAACTTCAAACAAAGGGTCCTCTTATTACGCCTCTTTTATTAAATGCTATTTATTGCGTCGTTAGTAGATTTTCAACTAGAAAGGATGTTCCCAAATCTTCAACCTTCTTCAACCGTGCCAAAAGATTGATCGATGATTTCTTAGACGTACCAAGAATGAGTACCGTCGTCGCTCTATGTCTCTTGTCTCTGTATGAACCCATTCCAATTGCATCAAAATCTACCGTCGATCAGCATTGTCGTTCTTGGATCTATAGCGGTATGGCCTTTCGGATGTGTCTAGAACTTGGCTTAAATATGGATACCCCTCATTCGCGTGGTTGTCTATCAGAAGACTCAATTGAGCTTCGAAGAAGAATCTTTTGGACATGTTATTGTCTTGATAAATTTCAAAGTGTAGAATGGGAGAGGTTATGGTCGATTCCTTCTTCCCTTGCTAAAACTGCTTTACCTAAAGTTTTACCCGATGACGACGATGAAGAACGTTGGATATTATGTGCGTTTCAACAAAAAATAAAACTTTGTTTAATTGCAGAAGAAGGTCTTCAAATACGCGCATCCTTTTCACTTCGTAATGATTTCCATAATGAACAATTTTATGAAAAGGTGGACCAATATCGTTTAAAGATCCTTCACTGGCGAGATAGTCTTTCACCTCAAACTATTTGGAACCTTAAACAAAGCAAAACTGTAAAAGACGTGATGAATGAGCATCAAAACTCACCTGTATTTTATTATGTACGAATGTTATATTATTTTATGTTAACCGATGTCCTCTTTTATTTACCAACGACAGAGCAGAATGCTAACGATCATCGCATGTATGCTACTCAGCTTACAAAACATATTGAGTTTTTCTGTGACAATCCTTCTATGATTGTTCGTTATGAACTTATCGCACATGCTATAATTGCCGCTCTTCGTATACATATTCGTTATCTTGATGATAAAAACCATCAAATAGCACAACAATCTTCTCATCTCTTTAATCGCTGTATTGGAATCATACAAAAGCTTCAAAACTTTGCTATCATTCCTAAAAGCTCACCTGTTCTTCAGAATTTATCTACTATTTGGCAATCCTCTAGAAAAATGAACCATCCTAATACGGTAACAATAGAAGTTGCATCTGATTCAACTACCACTCATCCACAACTCTTTCACACACATCATTTTAATCATACATCACATGAGAGCGATCAACAATTAAAAACAAACGTGAATGAACATCAAATGCAGCAGTCTCAATATGAACAACAATTAAAACTCGATCCAAGCCGTACTACTACTACTAATCGAATTGATCATTTTAATTTTCAAACTTCAGATAATATAAGCCTATCTTCATCGTATAATAATATGACTCATTCTAGTTCTAATAGTCACATTCATTTTACTGATCAAGAACAATTTTGGGAAAACTCTATACAAGATGATTATCAAAAGAATCATAATGATGATGACTCTATACCTATTTTATCTGAAGACACTATTTCACATTCAATGAAAACTCTAGACGTTGAAAGTCCTGAATGGTTAAGTCCAAAGACAACTGAATGCACTTGGTCAAATTCTATTGCATCTCAACAACAACAACAACAACCGCAAATAGTGTCTTATGAGCACAGTAATCCAAACCCTCTACAACAATCTGGATTAAATCCAATGATGAATTACTTATATCTAGAAATGAACCCACAAAATGTACAATCACAATTTGAACAACATCACCCATCTATTCCACTTCATCAACCTACTTACCCTAATAGTCATCATTCGAATACAAATCCTGATTTTTTTGTTGAAACAAATATTACCAATTCTATACCACCTCAAAATGCTTATTTTCCTACTAACTAAACTGTACTAATTAATCCAACTGTATCATATGTAAAAACATAGCTGGAAAAGTTGCTTCTCTTATTTATTTTTTGCACATTTATCATGACTGTATTTTAGTTTAATTTTACAATAATAAAATATTAGTTTATCTTTTTTTTTTTTTTTTTTTTTTTTTTTTAAAAAAAAAAAAAAATGATGGAGGCAATATAACTGTACAGATCAAAGGTGATCGACAAGATCCTGTTTAATTAAATAAGAATATACTGCTAGAATTAATAAAAAAAAAGTTAACACATTTATTAGTCATCACCATTAGATTTGCAGACAAAGTAAACATTTTTGAACTTTTGTAATACACATATAGAATAGCTTAAGGGATATATTTTCTCTTGTTCTTTCAGGGAGCACTTGTAAGGTTCCAAATTCATTCATTTTGGAAGCACTGAAGTACCTTATATGCATTGGCTGTATCATGACAAAATTAAAATGTAGCAGATATTTATTGTTTTAAAAGGGATTACGACTAAATTAATTTTTTCCCCCTCCCCTAAAGATTGAAACAATGCACATAATAATATATATTCTGATATTTATCTTTCAAATACTTAACATAAGTGTCTTATAGTGAAAATAAAAATAAATCATTACATGTAATATACCGTAGATGATTTCATTGGAAATGATAAAAATGGATGGATAAAATTTGAATGATGTATATTAAGAAATTTTTATTTCATATTCTGCTTTTATATATGTATATTAGTAACTTAAATTATCTGATTTATGATATATTCTTTTTTTTTTTTTTTTTTTTTACTTTAATGAATTGGATATTTGTTTCTAAGGTTATGTAACAGATAGATTTTGCTCAGAAACAAGCCTGGAATAAGTTCCCTTCAAGTCTAAAAGTTCCCAATGTGAACCTTTCTCTATTATCTTTCCTTCTTTGATGACACATATCAGATCAGCATGTGTGATTGTAGACATTCGATGAGCAATTATGATGGTCATCTTTTCCCCTTCTTGAATAATCTTGTCTAACGCACCTTGCACTACTCGTTCACTTTCACTATCTAATGCTGAAGTAGCTTCATCCAATAGCAGAATTTTTGGCTTACGAATTAAAGCGCGTGCAATCGCAATACGTTGCTTTTGACCACCAGAGAGTTGAGAGCCTTTAAAACCGACGCGAGTCTGATATCCTTTCGGTAATGTGATAATAAAAGTGTGAATGTCAGCCGCTTTAGCAGCATTTTCAATATCCTGTTGACTGGCGTTTGTTTCAGAGGTCAAGCCAAGTCTTATATTTTCTTCAATTGTCATGTCAAACAAGATGGGTTCTTGTCCTACTAAGGCCATATGGCTGCGCAAATTATCCGTAGTATAAGACTTGACATTCATATGATCAAGGGATACAAGTCCATCTATCGGGTCGTACCAACGCTGTAATAGCCCGATTGTCGTGGATTTCCCGCACCCTGAGGGACCGACAAGAGCAATCGTTTGCCCTGATTTGCCATTTAAATTAAAGGTACCATCAAAGATAAGCGCATCAGGACGAGTAGGATAAGCAAATTTGATATTATTAAAATCAATATCTCCCTGAACCGTCCTTGGCTCATATCCTTCCAACATACTATCTATCCTTGCATGTCGTTCAAAGAGATCAAAAATGACAGAGGTTGCATGCTTCCCCTTTTGATAAACTGCAGCAAACATACTACTTCGTCCCGCTGTCTCACAGGTTGTGATGAGTACAGTAATGCTCGTAATCAGTTGACGAAAATGAATGCTGCCATTCGTAATAAATATTGCCCCCGTGTAAAAGGCTAATGCGTTTGTATAAATCGGGATACATCTGTAAAAGCCAGCACCTATAGATGAAAGGTATGCCTTCCGTATTGATAAATGATGCGGAAGTTCTGTTGCCTTAAAGTATTGATCTTCAAAGTTTGTCTGTTGATTTAGACTAGCGACTGTTCTTACCTCACGTATTGCCTCTGAGGCGACTTGGCTACTTTTGGCATTTGCCACCTTGGTTTTATCCATAAAACCCTGCTGAATATATATTTCAAACGAAGTAGATATAAAGATAAAGGGAGCCATGCAGAGGATAACAAGTGTTAACTGCCAACTGAATATAAAGGAGATCGTCAGGCCTGTCACGAGTGTTGCGCAAAGATGAATGATATCATTCCATACGACCGTCACCATCTCACTCACATTTCGAGCATCTGTACGTATTTGATTTGTAAGTACGCCTACACTATGGCCCTCTTCATCAAAGAATGTCATATCCTGCTTCATATAAGCTGCAAAAATGTGTCCTCTTAATCGACAACTGAAATCTTCACTTGCCCGGAGAAGACATAGATTACTCATAGTATAGGTAATGGCTGACCCTATACCGATCATAACAATTAAGAATGCATACATATTCGTGCCTTCAAATGGTTTTGGGAAATAAAGAACTGGTTCAAAGAGGATAGAGATGACAGATGCAAAAGTATAGGCATAGAGAGGTAATACACAGCCTTGAAAGCAGGCTCCAATCACCCCTAACGAGAGTAGTCTCCATTCTGGTCTCATCTGCTGTACGATCTGCCAAGTAGAGACCCTTCTTATTTTACCATTAGTTCCATTAGTATCGTGATCGTTATATTCGTTACTGTTTAAATGAAATCCCTTTCCATGACTGTCATTGTTCCCACTCGTTTTCTCCTCTCGTATGCTCTCGCATGAAGTTTCCTGTATACTGGGATCCTTTGATACATTTAACTCTGATGAGGGTTCACTTATTTTCAATACGAATTCCTTTTCTTCTATATCTAAAATAGTTTCAGGATCACTGAATTTGATTTCTGGTTTGTCTACAACTAAACTATCTCTTTCCATCTTTATTTTTTGTTTTTTCACCAAACTAGCATATTTTTTATTTAATAAAAGTAATTCTTCATGGTTGCCTTGTTCGATGATTCTACCCTGATCCATAACGACAATCATATCTGCCTTTGATATGGTAGATAAACGATGCGCAACAACAATTGTCGTACGACTAGCAGAAGCTTTGTCCAAAGCATCTTGTACAAGTCTCTCAGATTGAGTGTCTAAAGCAGAAGTTGCCTGGAATAACAGGAAACAAAAAGAAAAGGTGTTTTAGAATAGATATTCATTGTTCAAATAATATATATATATATATATATATATACCTCGTCTAAAAGTAATATACTTGGATTCTTTAAAGTGGATCGTGCTATTGCTATACGTTGCTTTTGGCCACCAGATAATATACCACCTTGTTCTCCAACAGCTGTATCATACCCCTTAGGTAACTGCGTAATAAATCGATGGCAGTTAGCCTCCTTGCAGGTATTTATTAAATCTTCTTCCGTCACCTTTTCATGACTACCCAGCAATAAGTTTTGTCGGATTGTCATGTTAAATAATATGGGCTGCTGCCCTACAGTGCCAATATTTTCGCGTAACCATTTTACATTCATCTCCTTTAAACATTGACCGTCTAGTAAGACCTCTCCTATTTCTGGGTCGTAAAACCGTTGAATTAACTGAATAATGGTTGATTTGCCAGATCCTGAGGGGCCCACAAAGGCAACGGTTGTTCCAGGATTAATTTTCAAAGATATATTATCAAGAGCTCTTACGGTAGGTCGAGTAGGATACGAAAAGCTAACATTTTTGAACTCAATAGCTCCATTTAATTGTGGAAGACGTTTCCCTTTGCTATCATCAGACTTAATAGTAGGGATACAATCAATAGCCTTAAAGACATAATATGAGGCACTACATGCATTCGTAATAGCTACCAAATTGGGAACGATACGTGTAAGTGACATACTTCCGGTAATCATCCCTAAAAATACAATGTAGACAGCTGAGTTTGCCAGCTCTCCTTCTATCGTCAGCTTTGAACCATACCAAAGGGCTAAACCAAAGGAACCGTAAAATAGAACCATAAAAATTGAAGTCCCAAAACAGATGACTGCACCCTTTTTAATACTAAGCCATCGTACCAGTTTGAGCTTATCTTCATAGCGTTTTAAAAACCTCTGTTGAAGGCTAAATGAATAAATAGTTCGAATAGAGTATAATGCTTGTTCAACAACAGAACCTGCATTAGCGTCTGCATTTAGAGTAAGAACAGTAAATCTTTTAACGTATTTAACAATAATGATCATGATAGCTATTAAGAGAGGTAAAACAGAAATCATGACTAAAGCCATTTTATATCCTTTAAAGAATACATACATGTATAATTAATTTTTTTTTTTTTAAAAAAAAATGATATTCAAAGCAAGAAAAATAAAAAAAAATAAAAAGAGAAAGAGAGAGAGATTGCAATTTGTATTCATACCTTTGCTAAAAGCTACAATAAATCCTGATATGAATTGCGCTGTGAATGAAATAAAAAGGCCGAATTTTTCTGATATACCGTCTTGGATAATTTGTGTATCTGAAGCTAATCGAGTAGCTAAATCATCATCTTTCAACTTGTCAAACCAAGCCATATCTTGATTTAACATTGTATGTAAATAAAGACATCTTATTCTACGTGCTTGACTTTCTCCAGTTATGACCCATAAACAGTTTGATAAATAACCTGCTACCATAGCTGCTGTACCCGTATACACCATCTTTAGAACAATCGGTACAACTGCATCTAAAAATCTATCTTTGTTTGATAAATCAAGCGGGACTGTCGATAAAAATGACCCATATATAAGAAGTGCGAATGGAGGAAGACTTCCTGATCCTAGTGAAAATATAGAAGCTATAACTATCAACATCTTTTCCTTTGTAGTTGCAAATCGAAACAATTCAAATATAGACACCTTTTTTTTCTTTTTAGTCTCTAATAAAGTTTTTTCATTTTTTATTAAATTTGATTCTTGATATTGAGGAATTATATCACTTTTTGCAGATACTTTTGGCATATAAACAATAATTAAATTATTTTTTTTTTAAAAAAAAAAAGAAAAAGAAAAAGAAAAAAAAAGAAAATCAAAACAAAAGAGGGCAAAGAAAGAATAATAATAATAATAAAAATAGTAGCATTTTTTAAGGGAAAGTTATTTAATGATTTATAAAAAGGTAATATTGACGAGAAATATATCATTGTATGCATATTTATACCAAACTCACCTGATAATAAACTCAGGTTGCATATAGCCTGCATAGACCAACATTTACACTTTTATAGATAAATAATGTCGCAAGGTTAAAGGAATTATGATTAGAGAACATGATAGTTTTTTTTTTTTTTTTTTTTTTTTTTTTTTTTTTTTTTTTACCGTATAAAACAAAAAATTATATAAATATTGTCGCTTTACTTTTTTTTTGGTAAATACTCTCTTCTTAAACAGAAAGGAAATAAATAATAAAAAAAAGGAAAAGATTATATTTCTCTATCATAGGTATGTATCATAAAAAAAACATAGGAATTATATCAAGTTATTTTTATTATTAAATATCAACTTTTGTACATCTTTTTATTATTAGCATGCATAATCATTTATATACATTCAAGCTATGTATGTTTGTCGATCAACATGATTTCTTTTGAGTTTATACCTGTCCTCATTTGTAGGAATATGATGTATAACAAAGTAATAAATCATATGCTTAGTACATATAATTTACTCTACTTTATATATTTTTTCTTAAAAAAAAAAAAAAAAAATACCTCAGGAGGAAAAAAAATTCTAACACCAACCATATAACTGTATTATAACGAAGGAAAAATCTTTTTTAATTAATCTTTAAAATACTATTACGTTGCAAAAAGGAGTTAAAAATATAGGAAGTAATAAGTAAATATTTTAAGAAAACCAAACAAAAGACAAAGTCGAAATCATTTAAATAAAGCAATGATTCTATTAGGAAAAATGCTTTAAATGTAAGAGAGAGATACATTAATAAGAAAGTTTTGTTCTTACCTATTTCAGGAAGCAATGAGATGATAACTTTGACGATATTTTTAGACGGATCTGGATTCTTTTCTAGATAATTTTGAAAATTGCTATATGAAAAGGAAACAACGAGTATATTCTTTACAACATAATATCATATAAACTATACTGTACTGATGTGTGAAGGTGTAATGTTTATTATATATATAAAGATACTCTAACAAATTGAGTTCTCTTAAACCTCTGCTTTTAATGGCTGAAATATAAGAGTATTTTTATTAGAGCGAGACTTGGAGACTAAGATAACGAAAATATCCTTAGCAGCCATAATAGTGTGGTTTCATATCATATTACAAGTTTTTTCATTTTAATATATTATACCCTTTTTTATTTTGATATTTTCTTGATTGTATCCTTGTCATATTTAGCTTTTCAAATATCCATTCAATAATAATAATAATAATAAAATATAAAAAAATTGGCCTTACCATTTGATTTACTTGCTATTTATAACAAAGTATTTCTTATAGTCCCATGGTTGCTACCTATTTCTCTCTTCCTTCATAGTGCTTGAAAGATCATGTTCTGATTAGTAGCATGGAATAGAGCAAGCTTTAATCCATTACTCTAATAACTTGTCTTTTATCAAAGAAATATGAAAATACAAATTTTGTAAAAATTGATCCAGTGTAGACTATTTTTTTGCTAATTTTAAATTTCCTTAACCAGTAATTTATTCTCGCAATTATTATATGATGAAGTTTTGATTGCAAAGTTCCCCACAGATGAAAAAGACAATGATGTTATACATTCACCTGAACTATGAATAGCGCTTTTAGTGAGTAGAGCTGCGAAAATAACAAACTAAAAACTTAGTATTAAATGTTAACAAATTTACTCCAAGTATGGTTTAGAGGTTTATCCGCAGCTATCGATTTAGATTTGTATTTCATACTAGCAGTGTGATATGAACTTGATAGAACAACAAGAAAAAGAATGATGATTTTTGAATGAAAATAATCAAAACATAGCAATGGTCTGTTCATATTAAGGTCACTCATATGTCAAAAATGTTTAAATGTTGTTTGTGAATATTTACTTTAGCCAATTGAATTAGAGTTTGTCTCAACTAAAGGTACTTTATTTTCTTCTGTTAAATACCAAACTCAGATTATCCTCTCATTTAAGTTATAACCATTTCTCCCTATTTTTTTTTTTTTTTTTTTTTTTTTAAATAAATATAATTGCTGTGTAAATGTATCGCATGCACTATTAAAAAAGGAACAGAATACTATAAATGCCAGCCAATTCTTCAAGTACTCGACTTAATGCAACTATTATTAATATACATTCACCTACTGATGAAGAACATTCAATTCATGATGCAGATACTTTTCCTCGATCTTCAAATGCATCAAGGCAACAGCAAGCATCTATACAGCCTTCGCCAAAAGTAGAAGAATACCGAAAAATAATACAGCATATTATTGGAAAAATTTTAAAACGAAAAAAACCTCCTACAGCTTTATTTCATTTAAGTGAGGTATGCAGGACATCTCACGTTTCAGATCAATTTGAAAATGACGATACTATTGATCTGCTAATTCAACTAAGGTCTGCTTTGATGGTCTGTCACCAAGCGGGTCTTAGTAAACAAGTATTAATACAAGGGTAAAAATGATTTTTATCCAATCTTGAATACAAGTATCAATTTTAATATACCCCCACCCCACCCCTTTTTTTTTTCTTTTTAGGGAATATTCACCAACTGCTACACCAATATCTTCCAAATCAAACTCGCCTGCTCTTTCACCACGATTAGGAAGCTCATCTCGCTCAGCTGAAGCTGCTATACAAATATCACCCAATATGCTATCTAAAAATAAAAAAAAATCAGGATTTGAAACTATACTACATGTATTAAATGATATAGTACTCAATGACTGTCGCTTCAAAACCGCTAATCCCAAACCATCTCGGCCACCTTATACTATGCAAGCAATTTTAATCGATATAGCCTTAATACTCGTTCAAATTAGAGATGATTCTGCTGGATTATATCATATTGGAACACTATTTTTACCTGCCTTTGAATCATTTTCTGATGGTCAAATGCTTGGTAGATTACTGTCATTTTTCTTGGATAGTTTATTACCAAAACTTATGAAATGCAAAGATGACTCAAAAACATACACACATAGTTCTCAGAAGCATCCTGATGACAGCTCTATCAAACATACATATACAAAATCACAAAACAATGTCAACACACCTACTATTAACATTCAAAGACCTGAACAAGAGCAAAAAGTCAATACTTCAATTAAAATATCACATTTAACAATTGATACACGTCTTCATTCTATCGACACAATGGGATCTTCACCTTTTTCACCCGCTGCTCATAGTTCAGTTAATAGTGTTATAAATAATCAATCTATTGATTCTTATCATGCATATGCACTGTTTACTCCGCTTTTGTACTTTATGATTCAATACTTGGATCCATATTTAGCAGCACAATCCAATAACTCTCAACAAGATAACCTGAATTATACCTTAACACGTCAAGCAAACTCGATTCACAATTTTTATCGTGCACTTTCTTATATGATAAGCTGTAAACCTGATCTTTATCTTGATATACTAGATATTATTTCAAACAGTACATTTGAGGTGAAATTTCGTGCATGTCAAATATTATTTTATTATTATTGCACTAGTATGGGTCATATTGTTGTTGCTGATCCTTTACCTCCCTTGGGGACACAAGAAGAATTAGAAATATTAGATCAATATCGAGAACAGCAAGAATTTGAGGAACAACATCAAAACAATGCACAATTTAATCAGCATAGTTATCGAATTTATAATAACCATCGACCTCAATTGACAAGACAATTGACAGGCACAGATTCATTAGAAGAAAATATAATTGAAGATCACCACATATGGTTCCCCCATATATTTGACCAAACACAACAAAAGCAATCACAATCCTTTGAAATAGCTGATAACTATTTTCACGCCAATGCTAATCAGAGTACATTTCCCCTGACAGTCTATGATGATATGAATGAATCATTTTGTAAAGAATGTTTTAAAACCATAAAAGGGTTTGGATTACGATGCTATCAATGTAAAGGAAGTATACATTACAACTGTTATAATGGAGTAATTGATATGAAAGAGGAAGCTATCATGTTTTATGTTAAAGCAGGAGGTATTCAAAAAGTAGTGACACCTCAATTCTGTAATATACCACCCCAACTACGTTTTCGTGACTTGGTTAATCGCGGGATCCGTAGTTGGACTGTAAGATCGAATGCATCAAAAGTTGGGCTTTTAGGTCATATATTTCAATTAGTCAATCTTTATACGCTAGTAATATGTGTTTGTTGTGGATTACCTCTATGGGGTATCTCTCATCAAGGCTATCGATGTACAGAATGCAATCGATTTATTCATATTCATTGCCTTGCTGAGGCCGAAGAAAAAAACGAATTTTTAAAACCAAATTCTTCAAAGAACTCTACACTTCATTCTTTTCAAACTTGTATACCATTCCAACCATTATTAGAAAGTGATATGAAGATATCCCAAGCTAATCTTTCAAAAAATTTTATAGAGTTCTATGAAGATGCAGTCCCTACAAATGCTAATTCGTTAGAAAACCATAGCTTTGAAGAAGTAAGCACCATATTAAATATTTTATTATTGCAAGAACAAATTTTACATTATGGTATAGCAACTGGATGCGTTCTTGTAACACGCGAATTAGATGATCCGTTGTTATTGGTGCCTGATATGTCAAAGGATATATCAGAAAATGCAAATGATAATCAACTTTCATATTGTCCTCCTTTGACAGATGCTATTAAACTCTGTCTTGATGAACTCAAATTAAAAAAATCTCGTAGCTCTACTTTTCTTAAAGATTACTATGGTGACCGACTTCAAAACATAGACAACTGTCTATTAAGCAAAGAAGGATTTCTTAGCCACCTTAGTGCAATGATGAAATGCTTAACAACATCGTTTCCTAGTAACAACAATCTTTCACCTACAGCTATGCTTAATACTACTTTCCCTGTTTCTGCTTCAGCAGAAAAAAGAAAAACGGCAGGCGACTCGCGTGGCTTTTTGCAAGTTACGTCAAGCCCATTAATGTCAATATGGGATGATGAATATGACGATTTTAGTGAAAGAAATATACCTAATGAATACCTTGACAGATCTATTCTATTATCATGGATGATGACTAACCTTAATTTTAAGAGTCGAAAAAATGCTGAAATTCTTTTGCAACATATGAATAATTTAGGATTATTCGAACGATTTGATGCTTCACCAATTCTCTTCATGAATGGTTCAACAAAGTCCTGTCAATTTCAAGAGCAAGATAAATCTGTTCAATGTGTTTTCCCCGTGCCATATAGTATTGACTGCTCTGCAACTGTTGAATCTCTTATTAATTCCATTACTGCTTGTTTACAAGATATTGACTTATCTATTAACGAATGTGGCCTATTAATATTAGTAAGAAGATGTTGGCCAGATCCATTTATGTCTAGATATACACAGGAACGATTAATTCATGCTATTGTTACATGGGCCTTTGATGAAGATGAGCGTTTGTTGGCATTACATGCCGAATTGACCTCGATTAATAAAAATCATCAAACACATTATAATAAACAGCAAAATAAATGGGCTCAAGCAGCTTTGCTTTCTCGTATGAAAGGTGGAAACAATACCAGTCATGACCGTAATCGACAAAGTGCTTTGCATTATAATACATTGGCAGGCGTTAACAGTGGTGCAAGTAGTATCTATGTTACTACACGTGCAGCATTGAAAGATAGATATATTATACGATGGTTGGCAGCAATTCATGATATAAATGAAGATGCTTATACGGATATGTTATTTAATGTTACAGAAGATATAATCGATAATAAACAAGAAGAATGCACTGTCCCTAACTGGGGTGAAGAGATAGACAGAAAGGTAATAATTTATTATACTCATAAAAATAAAAAAAAAAGGAAAAAAAAAGCATATATCGATATACATATTAATATTTAATACATCTATAGAAATACGTTTTACAAAAATATGAGCAATTTATAAGATATATTTTAAAGTTAAAAACAAATGGTTTTACGTTCACCTCATTTGAAAATCTTTTACAAAAATGGCTTGATCGAACGTATACAGAGTTTAACGATCTAGATATATTGAATGTATGTCATATAGTTTAAATTGTAAAATCTGGTATTCACTCTTTTTTTTTTTTCTAATAGAATAAAGAGCCTGCAGAAATCCGACATTTAGTAAAACTATGCTCCTCAAGGGCTCCTATCTCTAAAATTCCAGGAAAACCAACATCGCATTTAGATTCTGCTAATCCAATAGACATTATAATGGCTCAATTCAGTGCAGGGGATACACAAAGTATAGAGCGTGGTATGCGTTGGTTAACATTGATTATACATTCAGGGTAAACTAAATTTTATGAGCATGTATTAAAATTGACATCATTTTAAACACATCTTTCTCTAAGCGCGGGTATTCCCTCAAATTCATTATCCCAGATTGCAAGATTAATCGTTGTAGCTCGCACTCCTTTAGATATTACTGCTGAATTTGTGAAAGCAATCTGGTTTCAGGCTGTCAATAACATACATATACCAACATCTCGTGCTACTGTTATTGATATTATTGGTTACTTAAATGAGATTGCTTTAGATACATTAAAATTAAATAATGAAAGCCAAACCCTTTCTGATGCAAGCTTATTAAGTGCACAAACTTTTATTAAATATTCCGCAGCACTTGCTTGTTATGCTTTTGAATGCCCTCAACAAAACATTGAAGAACTAGGTATTGTACCCTACTCTGGAAACCATATCATAAATGAAACGTAAGTAATTTATTTATTTATATATATATTTTTTTTAAAAAAAAAGGAAAAGAGAGGGAAGCAGTAATTATAATATTTACATTTTTTTTATAACAGAAGAAATAGACGTTCAGCTGTACACATGGAATCCTCAACATTATCAGCAGCAAATGAAAAGACGCCGCTAATTAAGTGTATGCTTATTTACTTACAATATGATCAACTTAATGTCCGGGAAGCTATCATAAAAATGTTTTATGCTTTATGTTATTGGGGCTATGGAATGAATAATAAGAATGAGTTTATAGCTAAATGTATGCCGCAATTAATACCTTCGTAAGTAACTTTATATATATCTTTATTTATTCATATATATCACTAAACATTCTTTTTATAAATATAGAATTTGGGAATTACTCACGCCTACTTATGATTACCTGAGTAGTATAAATTTGGGTTTACTTATGAAAATAATTAGTATTGATGTGAGATATTTCCATGCTTGTGTCTTTAAAATATTTGAAGATGCAAACTGGGAAGTCAGGTAATGATACCATAATGCTTTTTTTTCTTCTAATAACTTTTTATTGAATGATTGTTCGTATTGTATAGGTACCAGGGTCTTGATAATTTATTTGGACTATTTACAAAAATGGATGCAGCATTTCAAACAAAATGGTTAAAGCTGCTTTCATATTTAGGGCCTGTGTTTAGCTACTTTGTTGGATGTCTATGGGATAAGGAGGTAAATAACTTAGATAAGGATATAAACAAACTTATGATTGATAACACATAAATTTTTAAGGAATTTGTTCGCTCAAAAGCCTATGCGTTGATAAGAACACTTGGAACTTTACACTTGCGTTCTGCCTTCCGTTGCTGGGAAGCCTACTTCTTAACAGCTACAGATAGACAAAGAATGCCGCTTATTAGTTTAATGATACAACTTAATGCTTTATTCCCAGATTGGCAAGTTTTGCAATGGGAGTCACTTTTAGAGGCTTTAGAGATGAAAACAACTGTTGAAATGATAGATGAATATACACATCCAATATCTACTGAACCTGATATGATAAAAGAGGACATGGATGTTTCTGGTGATGAACATTTCCATAGTCCTCAGGATGATGAGACAGCTCAATCAGAGAATGTAAAAGTGTTGATGATCACGCTTGCGTTACAGATGCTAAGCAAGCACCTTAGTGTTGAGCCTACACAAATATATAGACTGAAATTTGTTTTAGTACAGTATATGAATTTCCAAAATTGTCAGTTGATTAATAATGGTGGCGATATTACTGTTGAATTTGGTATTTTGAAATATAATCCCAGAAACCCTTCTCAAGTAGCAATGATGACCGCATGCATTAGAGGTTTAAAAAAGATTATGGATAGTTTTGCTCCTTTAGCAGCCGAAACAGTAGCCAGTATGGCCTCTGAATCGTTAGAACAGAATAAAATGAATTTGGCAGAAAATAGCAGCCCGGGTGTTCATTTCATTGATGTTGTACTTAAAATGATGAATTCTGGCATTGAATTAACTAAATTAGGACACTTATTACTTAAGGCATGGCTTGAAATTGTATTGATTATTGTGTATAAGGTAGAGTAAATGAATAGTATTTAAAACAGTATTTTAATATTTTCAAAATAGCATGACATTTTAGATAGAGAATATGAGCAAAGTATTGTAGCTTGTATGAAACAAGTAATTGAACTCTTAACAGAAGAAATTAGTGAAGAAAATAAGTTACTTATTTTAGAAATTTTGAAATGTCTTTTACGACGCTCTGATCATTTAACGGCAATGGTACTCTCTAAACAAATTTCAGTTTTAGGCAAATTAATGACCAATCTAGGAGTTCGTAACTCTGATCCAATTTACTTGAAGGCTAAACAATTCTTGAAAAGCGCTTTCTTACGTTTTGCTGTTGCTGGTTTATTTGTACTGATGTTCAAAAATCAGGCTGTCTCTGATTCCAATAATGGTGATATTGATTTGTTTTTCATACTTCGAACTGTCATTGATCCTGAGGATATAATTCCAGACGAAGAAATTCATGGAGAAATTGTGTATCTCCGTGAACAACCTGTTCGTGATGTTATTGATAAATTAATGAAGCAACAAATGGACAGAAAGGCATTTTCAACTGTTTTGCATAACATGAGTCGCTACGTTGAAGAAGTACACACACATCCTTATTCAGAAAATATACTCAATAACTATGCTAGATTTCTTAATGCTCTTATTAAGTATACAACTGATTGGCGAAGGTCTGATTGGAATATCAATCCTGTTTTCACTATATCTGCTATATTATTAAAGGAGCATCCTTATTATTATACAATGTTATTACCATCTATACAAGCTTTATTTAAGCATGGGCTTCAAAATTGCAATATACAAGCTGAATCTATTGCTAAACTGATGGCCGCATATTCAGCCATAGGCTCAATTCCAGGGATTGAACCAAATAATATCTTTGTAGATATTATAGTAGCTGAGCTAAAAAATGCTATTTTATTGCCAACAAAATTGAACAAAGACACTATTCTAACTTTGCTTGAACTTGTATTATGGGATATAAAGCCAATAGGTCAAGAATGGTATACCAAAGTTGAAAAGTCAATATTAGGTGGAATAGCTGATGGATATCGTCATACACCTTATTTTGATAGTAAACTTATTCATCTCCTTCCTTTTTTGTGAATTATTTGAAAAAGGATTCAACCAGTCAGCAGTTCACGAAAAAGGATTTCAATATTTCTAATTGTATAGCGCAATTAATTGTCTCTATGTGTGTAAAAGATCCTAAGCTTATGGTTATCATATTTGGTTATTTAAAGGTACTGCTAAATATATATAAATAAATATATTAACTAACTAACTAACTTTATATTTGTTTATTTATTTATTTTTTCAATAGCTTGAAGAGGTGTTAGACTGTTTCCGCTTTTTAACATGGTTTATCCTTACTTTGTTGAAAGAACGAGCAGATTGTTTGATGAATGATATGATTGGATATGAAATTGTTTTAACAGATCTTTTTGTGAGCACGTTCAACACAATTGACATAGATTTTCATACACCAGATCTCAATTTTTCATACAGTGCAACTAATGAGAAGTTGCTTTTATGCTTTTTGCTACTAAAGTCCTATGTTTTATTAAAGCTAAGGAATGGAAGTATCAATACCGATACTACTGTAAAATCTCATACTTTGCATGCTATTTCATTTTGGATGACACTTTGGCCAGCACTTTGTAAATTATTAGAATCTATCGAACTTTCGACCCTTTTTATGGTAAATTAGATGTGTTTTATATATATATATATTGCTTACACTTTATTGATTTCATTATCGTTGTATATATTTAGGCTGATAATATTGGCTTATCTATTTGGAATATGTTCCTATCTTTGTTACAATTTTTATTCACTTCACGTAGTGAAGTAATTATGATCAATGCTTATGAGTGGAGTAATTTATTAGAAGACTTGTTAAAGAAGGTAATACAATGCATCATATATCAAAATCCGATAATAGGTTATTAACTAACTATATCTTTTCAGTTGAACGATAGTATACATCAGGAACATAATGGTGCTAGCCACTTAATATCCCTAGATAGTTTTCGAGAACAAGTTGAAAAATTAAAGGAAATGTTTAATGTTCCTCCAATTGAAGTTCCTTCTGAAACTATGATTAATCAATTATTTCTAGAATTAAAAGATATTATGCGATTGCAAGCTGAAAGTGTTACTGTTCAAGGCAACGGTCGGGCATTAACACAAACAATAACATTGACTTCATAAAATAATAATTTTTTTTTTTTTTTTTTTTGATGTTATTGCATACAATAAACTAAAATTATTTATTAGTTCTCCACAATCGTAACCACATTTTTTTTTCTCGTTTTTTTTTTTTTTTTTTTCTTTATTTTTGCAAATTCATAATAATCATACAATATTAATGCATTTGTACTAAGATGGTATTTTGATCACTTGAAAAACAAAAAGATAATAGATATGGAATTAGCCCTTTTAATAATGCATAATGTATTAGAGTCAATGGAATACTTTAAATAATGGTGTTACTGACACATCAAACAATGCTGTTGAACTTCAAGTAATGCTTGCTATTATTCAATTTCTTTCAACATTATTTATAATTGTTTTATCTTACTTTTTTAGATAGAAAAATTACTTCAAGAATATCAGAATACATTAAAGCTACATCAAAAGGGGCAAATACAATTAGCAAAACAAAAATATGAAGAGCTTATCTCGCAAGAACTTGTAAAAAATGAACAAAAGCCTGTAAATTGAAAATAAGATTATGCCATTAATGAGTTTGTTGATATAAATCTATTGCCTTTTTTTTTATCGTGATTTTTAGACAGAGTCAAGTCCAAATAATAAAATCGCAACTCCTGTTAAAGATTCACCACTTTCAACTCTTCGTTTTTTAGTTTATAAAAATTATGCTTCAATTTTAAAAGATGAATTTATGACTGATCAATCAAATGTAGATGTTGCTAAACAAGCATTAAAGAATTATCTTCAAGCTGTTAAAATTGATCCAACAGAACATTCGTTATGGCATCATGTTGGATGTTTGTCATATATCCTTAAAAAACTTCGATTTGCGCGATTAGCCTTTGAGACTGGTTTTTATATTAGCGATGACGATAGAAAATTAAAATTTGCTTTAATAGATCCTAATCATGCACTTCAAATCGTTCAAAATGGAAAGTATACACCAATGCAGTGGAAGTGTCTAGAAGGTCTATGCCAGGTAGAAAGTGAATGTTTTAGATATTTGAGATCAATACTAAATGAAGTCATCAATTATATTTCATATAGGTTTTATTTGACATTGGGGATTACTGCTTATGTTTATTTTACATTAATATTGTTCTCAGTAGACAACCAACATGGGAAAAAGGACAGCAAATAAAAAATCAAATTCAATCAAGCTATACAATAGATGACACGGCAAATATTAATTTTAGCATGAACGAGCCACAAATAGATCCCATTCTTATTACACTTGAAAGATGTGATTGGTTAACTCTAGCTGAGGCATTATTTAAAGAGTATAAATGCTTCAATTCTAACAATGATAACATGAGCAAAAAGAAAATTAAAGAATATGAAAGCGAAGATGATTTTATAATGGACACAATTTTCTTAAGCAAAACTATTCGAATTACAGTTAAAGAAGAAAAAGAAAAAAAAGAAGAAGAAACAGATTCTTCATTGATTCCTCATAAGCAAACAACATTACAAGAGTCTATTATAATACCATCTTCTACTATAGCAATCGATACGAACAATTCTGAGATATCAACTGTAAATAATGATATAAGTGTAAGCCCTACACCTATGGATATTACTATGACTGAAGAAAATATTAGCTCACTAAAACGTAAGCGAGAAAATGATGGAGAAGTAGCTAGTAGTGAAAATGATAATGAGAAGAATAATTCTGGAAATGAAGAAGAAGATGAGGCAGAAGAGAAGCGACTATCCCTAAGGTATAAACTATGCATATAAAACAAATTATAAGGTAAAGTATTTAACTTTTAAAATAAAATAAAATAAAATATAGAGCTTCAAAACGACAGCGGGATAAAATTGCAAATGAGGAAATATCTCGTCTCAAAATGCTTGAAGAAGAAAAGGAATTTGTAGACAAGGTTCAAGCATTCTATAATAAGTTTGAAGGTGTTCAAGATTTTAAGAGAAAAAAATCATGGTATGAAAGTATGGATGAGCCGCTTGATCTTTTTTGGGAATGGTTTGATAGTAAAATATCAGAATTAGACAGTAATTATAGTTGGGATATTGGTAATGACATATCTATGTAAGTTGGTTAGTTATTTTATGAATTTTTTTTTCTTTATTAAATTATTCAAACTTGATAACAGTGAGCTTGGAAAATGTAATGGAGACAACAACTTAGTATTATTTATTCCTTCACAATCGTCTATGGAAACAGTTACTGAAAACTTTGGAAATACTGAAGTATCTCTTAATAGCTTTATAGACAATCTTAACGAAAATAACTCTGGTATTATTGATAGTCTATGTAAAATGATTTTAACACTTATACGTGGTGACATGAGACTATTAGAATGCAATGAAAATATCCCAATTATCAATATTAATTTTTTGGAATTAATAACTGATATAATCACTGACCTTCAATCAAATTTTACAGAAAGTATTTTATCTAGCAAGGATACATCGCAATATGACTGTATATTTGTAAGCTTATCCAATTATTATAAACTTAGTAATGTCATTCACATTCACAATTCTAACTGGAGATATAGATTTTATTAAGGATCAGTGAATATTTCATTGATCGACTGATTCGAAGTACTATGTCATCAATTGAAGAAACAGGCTTGCATCCAAGTAATAATTCTAATAGAAAAAAAGTTTCTACATCACTAGCAAAGCAATCAAAATTGCAAGTTATTAAAAATTTAATTGAATATTCTTCATTTTGGATTGGTCTTGTTGAACAAAGTATTCTGTCTTCATCTATATTGTCTTCACTCAACAATGCAAGTAATTATATCTCTTTGGATAGAGGCGTTGTTACTCAAGAATATATATCTACAGAAGACTATGAAGTTCAACTTCGTTTTTACAGTCTTAAAGCAAAATTAGCTCAGTGTAGAAATAACGTTGAAGAAGCATATGCTTGGTATTCTGAATGCAAATCAGTTTTAAAGCAAATAAATTTAAAGTCTTCACAAGATATCAGATTTAATCTTAGAAGGTATATTAATAATTATACAGATATATATTATACTAAAAGAGAGTTTTCCATTATCTTTTACTTCTTGAATATAGTATGTATGATTGTATCATTAGTCAAGAGAATATTGAAAAAAAGCTTAGTTTACTTGAAGTGGGAAAGCTTTTTATGACTGCAAAACAAAAAATAGCCTCAAAAAATTATACAGGCGCTATTGAAGATTTAGAGAGACTAGTTAAACCAAAATTATTTAATTTTGGTAAAGCTGCTGATTCAAATGAAATAATACAAATGACCTTTATGCTAGCTACTGCTTATATGAAAGATAACAAGTACCTCGACGCATGGAATTGTTATTTGTATCTTTTTTGCTCATTTATGAAACAGTTAACAGTCTATGGTCATCTGCAAATGCAATCAGAATCCCGTTTCAATAAAAATGATGATATCGAATATTTTAATATTCTTCAGAATATCAATATTGTAGTAGATAATTTGGTCAGCCTAATTACCAAGGAAAATCGAGAAGGTAATAATTATATATATACATATTAAACTAATACAATGTATTTATACATATACAATAATTTTTATTCGCTTTATTTTAGAATGGTTTCCTAATGAAGTCAATCAAATGTTAACAAATAATTTGGTTATTTTATTAAAAATGTCACTATACTATATATTTAGACATCCTGACTTTGTGCCTCTGGTGAATAACTTTACAACACCTGATATACCTCCTCATAGACCATCAAAAGTTACAAAATCAAATATTTTTAACGACATCATTGTTAAATCCTGGGTTTTGCAATCATATTTGATTCAGCATATGTTTAGAAAAAATAGCTGTTCTGTAGCAAATGATACAATGATATTATGGGCAGAACTATTACAAGAATTACATGATGAGCTTGGTGAAAGAGAAGTTTGTGGAGTTGCTAAAAATATATTTTTACATCATCTATTGGAAACATTTATAAAAATAGACAATAAAATCTTTAGAAGAGAAATATATCAATGCTATCACTGCTTATACGATGTCCATCTCGCAGTAAGTAATATTTTATACATATTTTACAATTTCTTATTGTTTTAAAAAAAAATACGTAGGCTGAATCTGATATGATTGAAGAACATCATTGTATACATACAAAGTTGGATCAAAAAGCTGCAGAATTATTGTTTACATTAGTTGCTGATACAGCCGTTGATAAATTAAGGGGAGGAATATTATTAAAGAATGACTTAAAGGATGCAGTTGATACTGTCTCCGATCTCTTTGAAAATTTACCAACAAGCCATCCTTATATTAGAAACAACCAAAAAATAATTGAAAATTATTTGTTTAGTCAGCTTACAATATACCCCTCGTTAGATTCTATTTTACGAGCTGCTATTATTCCTACTATTGATATTGATTCGAAGAAGACAAATACTTCAAGTAAAATATAATTTATTTATTTATTTTTAAGAGTATTCAAGCGAACTATGCTATTTATTTATTTATTTTTGACATAGGTGTTTTATACAAAATTTTTTGGATTAGAGGCAAAACACTACGTTTGCAAATTAAAAATAGGGCAAAATTAAATAATGAGAAAAATATGATCGATTTAGAAGACGCTGTTGAAGAATTTATGGTAAAATGATTTTTATGGATATATGTCTGTACTATATTAAACAAATTTAAAATTGTGTTTGATAGTCTCATATTATACTTAGTCCTGACGATGCAGATGGATGGTGTGAACTAGGCGCCTGTTATCAGCTTTTAGCTGATGAAGAACTTAATTGGAGTGCTTCCAACATAAAAGAGCATAAGGATGTGATTAGCGAGTATCAAAGGGTAAGTTTTTAACTATAGATTTAAAATTATGTTGCAAATAATATGCTAATAAATTATAAAATAGAAAGCATTTCATGCATATATTCGAGGACTCTATTTGCGAAAGTTATCTTCAACAAAAACTCATGAAAGTGAGATATTTGCAAATTTTGGAAGTCTTTTGTATTCTATTGTATCTTTGCCCATGAATATGGATGCCTTTCTAACACAAACGGCACAGTATGCTTTAGCATCTGATGGAAAACTTTTTGAAGTTCAGAGACGGGCACCTTCACAAAAATATGTATACAGACTTGCTATTATAATGTATAATCAAGCCCTAAAATATCAGTCTGTAGATCGAATAGATTGGAAGTAAGTTAATAACATTTACAATTGTTTATCCCAATAATAAAATTAATTTTTTCTCTTCTTTTATTTCTAGATACTACTATATGCTAGGAAAATGCTTTGCAAAAATTGAAAGGCCACCGAAGGTGAGCCATAGTTATTTAATATCAGTTTGTTTTTATTCTTATATTTTTTATATTTATAGGAAGTGCTTGACTGGTATTTACAAGCTATATGTAGAGTAAAAGCGAAAAATCGAAAATCTGATTGTCCCTTAGAACCCTTTTATCTCTTTTATTCTTCTTTACTAAAATATCTATATAAAAATGAGCTTAACGTAGAAATTGCTGAAGAACTTCTTGCTAAAGAAAAAATTTTGAATACCAAAAAACAAGAGGATAATTCCAACCAAGATGTGACTAATATAGAAAATAGTACAAATATAACAGAGAAGGAGATAAACTCTATGAATAACCAGATATTAATTGATTTGAGTCAAGATACAATGCATTTATCTAGCGATATAGCCAATATATATAACAGTATACATCAACGTTTGATTGATATTAGGGCAGCTGATAGTAAAGGTGTACATCATAGAGTCACTTACAGGGTAAATAAGAAAATAACTGTACTACTATATTATATACTAAGGTACTCTTTTTTTTTTAACTAAATGATATAGCTTGCTTGGATGTATCATTATGTTTATCGTAATACTGAAAAGGCAAAAACAGAGCTCTTGAAGCTGTTTACCCTTAAACCAACCATCAAAAATCACATCACAATTTGGAAGCCAGGATTTGAATTGTAAGTATAATATAATTTTCTCTATAATTTGTAAAAGATTTGTTGACTCAAAAAAAAAAAAAAAAAAAAAAAAAAAAAAAAAAAAAAAAAAAAAAAAAAAAAAAAACTCTAGGCCAGGAAAGCATTATGAATACGTCAACAAATATACTCTATTTCTGATTGAATTAGCAAAGCAATCAAAAGATACACAAACGCTTAAACAGCTTTATCGTAAGCTTAGACGAAGTCAAGCTCTACTAATTGATGATAGACAAGTTTTCCGCTTAGCTTATACGTCTTATTTACAGGTATAAATTCAATGAACACAGTATTATTTTTATATGAGGATTCATTTTTTTTTTAGGTTATTAAAGATCGACTTATGGAGTATTATGATGCAGGATCTATAATGACTACTATAAAGAACTCACATCTGTCAAAAGAGGAATTTGAAACAATTTGTAGTACTTTTGTTAAATCTGTACTAGGAGAGAAACCAGTTACAGACAAGGAACTATATGATATTCTTCAAGATCTATCTGAATTAAGACGTTTAACTCAAGGCTTTATTACAGCTAATGATACTGATCATGATGGATTAAATGATACCATACAGATATGTTTTGCAGCATTTGTATTCGAAGACAAGATAAATTTTGAAAAATTACAAGATCAAAGTGCTACTGTAAATTCATTTCCATCAAACGAAGTAAATGAAAGCGAGAATCAGAATTTTGCAGAAGGCAAATTACTAGACGTATTATTGGCACAAGCTAAAATATTGATGCAAAGTATAATCACTTCATCACGTTAAAAATAGCATAAAGACTTTGCAGTTCTAATATCATTTGATTTTTCTAATAATTTTTCTTAAAAAAAAATATCTGTTTTTGAGAAATAAGTTATTATCATGCAACTAAACAAAATTTTTCATCTATAAAAAAAAAATAATAATACTGAAGACTGATATAAAATGAATATTTGTGCGAATATGATGAGGGTAATGCTTTTTAGGACAATGATAAATTAGAAACTGACTATTCGGGTTGCATAACCCATATTACAAAGATCAATGATAGCATAAAGCTACACTTTGAAATAAAATGTCACATTATGATGGCAATTGGAGAAAAATGATAAGAGAAAAAGTCATTTCTTGAAGAAATAATTCATTTGACTATACTCAAAGTAAATGAAAAATCAGTATTTAGACAGAATAAAGAAGAACTACCTCCTGCCAATGAGGAAGTAAAGTGAAACTTTTTGCGTTATGATTACCAGTATAAGAAGAGTTGTTATTTGTTTAATTATCTAAAGCGTTAAAGAAAGAGATAACGGATTCGAAAAAGCTTTACTTTAGTTCGATTTATGTTTATGTTTGCAATAAATAAGATTACATAGTCTAGCGCATTATTATTATTGCTGTGTCTGTTAAAACTATGTTCTTTTTTTTTGTAAATGTCCCACATTTTTGTGCATGTACTTCAAAATATTTTCTTTAGCTAACTGTCATTTAAAAGTATTAAGATTCTTAGCCTTCAAAAGGCTATTTTTATTTATAAGTGAAGACTATATAGCCTTATCTATATGACCATTTGGATATTAAAAAAAGTAATATTTCTTAGTTGACAATAGGTAAAACTTATAATGAGAAAAAAGAGTAAAGCTCCATCTTTCTTTAACCTAAACTCATTCATACTTTTTTTTTGAAACGTTTTTGTAAGAACAAATATTCTTTAAGTCTAATTATATTCAACATGATTTTATTAACCAGAGAAGTTTCCAACAGTGAACTACAGTAACGCAGTTCATTATGGTTTATAATTTTAAAATCAAAAAAGTTAAAATCTCCTTTTTTTTTTGTGCCCTTGATCCCAAAGGAGTTTTTTAATCTCCAGTTCCTTTCTTTTAATCATATCAGACTTTTTGATATAAATAATATCCTACGCCCAATGAAATTAGAATAAGTTTACATAATTCTGAAAAATATACAAATATAGTAAATATTTACATATAAAAGCTATTTCTGACTTCCTTCAAATTAAAATGCAGTAATGAACGAATATGAAAATGTAGAATTGTAGAAATTAAATGCTTGGATACGTTAAATCGCATCAGAATTTGAATTATAATTAAAAATTATATTTATGCGTGAAGGAAGGAAAAAAAAAACCTCCATTAGAATAAACTATCTAAGCATCTAAAAAGGAAGCTAAAAAAAAAATGTTCGAAATTGATAGAAGAAATTGTTTATCTTAAATAGAAAATTCTTTTTATTTTTCTTCTAAAAAAAGACATTCTTCTTAACTTGCATAATGCATATTAACTTTACCTGGTTTTATTCTGTATCAATGAAATGGCCTTCTTACTAGTAAATGATGATTACTTGAATCATTTTGGAAAGTTTTTTTCGGAATAGCTGAATTTTAACTGGGATTTTTTTTTTTTTTTTTTTTTTTTTTTTTTTTTTTTTTTTTTTTACTCGTTTTCTTTGATCTTAAAATAGCTCAAGGTTGATTAGCAAACTTGAAAGTGAAAACAAAAGAAGAAATATCTGATTTTATTTTTATTTATTTTTTTAAAGAAAAAACCAAAATATTTTTTTATTTTTTGGCTTTAGGAATTAGGTTATAAAATATTGTAGAATACAATAAGAATCACGAAATTTATACACACATCTTTAATAAATTAAAAGCTAAAGATGTGTACCTTTACAATAAACATTCTACCCAGTATATTAAATCAAACCAACGAGATGGTTTCGGTGCATTCTAGAAAAAAAAAATAACAATGTATCTAGTTAAAGTACATAATAGATTAAGCTTTAAGATTCTGATCATACAAAACCATCTATACAAATATGATGTTATTTTTATCATTTCTTAACTGAAAAGAATAATTCCTTATAATGCATATAACAATAATAATAATATATACATCAATATACATCTGTAGTCCTGAACAGTGATTGCTTAAAATTAAACTTTGACTGAGCTGAATATAAAAAAGATTAAAAGCGCGTGCTTTTATTAGTTTACATCTTAAAAATTATTACGACCTTGAATGCGTCAGTAATCAATAAAAAGAATACATATTTTAAGAAAAAAAAAAGCATCAGTTCCGAAAAAAAAAATGACGTATAGGCATAGTATCTATTAATAGCATGATCTACAGCTTTTTCTTGTTGATTTCTATTTAGTAGAAAAGAAACAGAAAAAAAATTTTTTTTTTTCATTTATTCTTGCGCATGGACCAAGTGAATTGTCATAATTTCCGCCTATCAGTCTTTTGTTTGTCTGTCATTCAAAGTCGCTTTTTTTTTCCATAAATGAAATATAAAAGCTATTTTTGGAACGGAGAATTAAATGATAGTTATTTTTTATATAAAAGAGGATCAAAATACATACATTCATTTACTTCTATTTTTCTATAAGATGAAGTTAATGAAGTTTTCAACTTATACAATTGCTTCTGCTTTACTTGCGACAGCAAGTGCAACTATTATTCAATTCAATGTAGTATCACCTAATTCAACTAATGTAAAAGTGAATATAAATGGTAAATCTACCTCTCTTGACGCTGTTATTCCCCATGTGCCATTTTTTAGTGGATTTGTCGAAGTCGGTTCTGCTACAACCTACAATTATGTCGCTGATAATGTTACTGAAAAGTTTTCGCGAAATTTACCTAGTGGAAATTCAACTTACAATGATTTCTTTGGTCGTTCTATAACGTATGCCAATATAACTGCTCTTCCTCGACCTTTGGATAATGGCAAGGAGTGGACACGTGCTGATAAAGATCATCCTATTTTTGATATAAACTATATACCCTCACTATTCGTTTATGGTAAACAGGAAGAAATGGATCATTTAATTAAGAAAGTGCCTAAACATCAGGTTACTACTGAAGTTACATTTATCGGTAAAGATTTTATCAGAACCTTTACTAATGTCACCTTTGGTGTTGCTGGTGCTGGTAAGAAGAATAATCCTTCTAAACAACAATGGAAATTGGAGCTCTCTCCTGGTATTAGATTCAATAATCGTAGACATTTTAAGCTTCGTAATATGGAGGAAGATCCTACTCAAATGCGTGAAAAACTTTATGCAGACTGTCTTCGAGCTATGGGTACATATGCTAATCAAGCTATCATGGTCCGTTTCTTTATTAATGGTCAAGGAATGGGTACATTTAACATGCTTGACGATATTAAAAAGTATTCCTATATTGAAGCCGTGTTTTATGGTGGCAATCCTCCTGCACAAATGGGTCCTCTCTATGATGGATCAACTGGTGCTAGCTTTGCATTCAATCCTGATCCATATGATTATGGTGATTATCAACCTAATAAGTATTCTCCCGAGCCAAGTACTGCTGTATATAACTTGACCAAGGCCTTTAATGAAACTGATATTACCAATGACAATTCTATCAATAAATTTGGAGAAATGTTTGATATCGATCAATTCCTTAGATTCATGGTTATGGAATATCTTGGTGGTAGCTGGGACAATTATTGGGTTGGTCAAACAAATGATGGTGCTTATAAAGATTATGCTTATAATAATACTTGGTACTATCTTGGTCAAGATTATGATGGTACATTTGGTGTAAACATGCCTGATGATCTTCTTAATTATACCTACAAGATTTACCCTTCCAAATATCCAGGTGCTGTACTTATCAATGGATTCCTTCAAAACAAAAATCTCGCATCAACTTTTGAATCTTATGTGACTGATACCGTGAAAATACTCTTTAATAATGATACCCTTGGAAGGCATATTAAGACCTATCGTGACCTTATTGCAGAGGACCTTAAATGGGACCGCTCTATTGTCCAAAGATCACCTGGTAAGCTCTATGGTTGGACTTATGAACAAACTTATGATAACCTCTATGAAGAAGTAATTGCTCCCGGTAATGGTGGTGGCGGTGCTCAATATGGTCTTGTTGAATGGATTACAAAAAAGTCTGAAGTTGTAGCTAAAGATCTTGGATTTTCTTTGTAAAATATATGTATATATGCATATATATTTATAATTAATATTCCCTATCTTTTCTTTTATTTTACCCCATTACATTCCTTGTATAATATTTAATATGTAATTATTCCTAAAATAAATAACTATTTATATTCAATTTGTATTTCCTAAAGCCAATGATTTTATTTATTGTTATACTAGCAACCTAAATATTAGGAGTGAGCTTAAATTCATCAACCTGGCAAAATAAAAAAAAAAAATCAGGTGATTATTTTTTATAATTCATATTTTAGCATTGTTAGGCACAACACTATTAGTCAACATAAGGATAAATGCCATAAATAGCTAAAATACAAAGATACTGTTTATTATATAAATTGTATTTTGTTATAGTAATAAATACGGCTACTTCTATACAGTCTATTTTAATTGTGTTGTAAAACGAGTCTATCATACCACCAGTGATAGTAATATTAAAAAAAAAATATGATATAAAGCTATATTATGTAAAATAATAAAATATGCATCAGATTATATCAGTGTTAAAAAAAATGAATTAGTGGGGGGGGAAGGATTTTTTCCTCTTCACGGCTTTACTTTTTACCAAATTATAAACTGTGAATAGTCTTAATATGATGCATAAAAAATAAACATATAAAGTGTAATATCAACTACTAAAACATTTAAAAGTAGTAATGATCCTGGAAAAAACGTTTACATATACTTTTTTTGTAATATTAAACTTTTAAAATGAAAATATGATGCTGGGAAGAACTTGTAATTACAACAAAACATACACAAATCTCCGAATGTTAAAATTATTTCCCAGCACTCTTAAGCAGCAAAATGAAGAGTATAAAACAGATGTAATCATTACAATAAAAAACTCATAAAGTATATATGCTTATATCATTTTAGGTTCTTAACATAACTTATCCTATTATAAGGAGAGAGAGAGAGATAAAAGAAGGATAGATGCCTATAAATCTCTATAATTAGAATTTATGTTATAGATAGACGTAACAAATGTATATAATGTCTTTTAAGATGAATCACATACATATAGATATGTAGATACAAAATTAGATATAAGGAAATGTTATGAACGTGATACTTAATCATTCATAATATATCTTCATTATCAACTCTATATAGTTTATACATGTAATACAATAAAATAGCTTAAATGTATACAAATAAAATCTTACAATCAGAACAGTGAAGAAGGACAGTTTTATTATTATATTGATAGATGAGTAAAGTATTTGAATAGACTCATTTCTCTACAAAGTGTTGCACAAATGCTTCCATTATTCTCATGATTAAATCACTGATATCATCAAATGTACTTTGCCTAACCTTCTTCTTAACTATTGACTAAAAAATTCTCAATTCGGTAGAGTTTGAGGAAGTAGAGAAGAAGATATATCCTCTCTCTGTAATCATTTCACTTATTTCATCAGATGTATGAACAGAATCATTGTTCATAATTAAACAAGATCCTTTTATTTCTTCAAATAATTATATTTTATTCAAAGCTTTTTGGATAAATTGCATATAATGTCCAGTGATATTCCCTTTTGAGGGTAAGTTTCCTTGAATGAGCGGAAGCCCTTCATTTTACAACCAATACTATCAATTTTTTATTCATTTTGATACCTGTGGTTTTCTGAACTCTATCACTACCAATCTATTTATTTGGGCAGACTGATTCTTCTCATAACTAGTTTCTTTAAAAGATTTTTTTTTTGTCTTTTAGTATATACTTTTCTATACTCTATTTGATTACCTAACGAACAATAAAAGATTATGGCACAATACCTATATTAAAATATCTAGTTTACTCATTGAAGACCCCAAAAAGATATTCTCCTGTTGAAATTTCTGTCATATTTAGAATTAATTGTGATTATCTGCGATATTGGAAAATATAGAAGAATGTGAAGGCTTGCATTTCAGCAGAAGGATATAGTTTGTAATAATAAAATCATTAGGAAATGCATTGTTTACCATAAACTAACTTGTAATAATTAAACAAGCGGATCCAAAAAATAAATAAAATAAAATACATGAAACTCTCATGATCTACTTTAACAAAAAATAACAAGTTATCTTACACTTTATTGTCAATAACATTTATTATTAGGTCGCAATTAATACTTTTCTGATTCATACCTTATTTCAGTCATCTTCAAAAATTCTTATAAATACTCATTAGTTTTTATGCATAAAAAAAATATTTAAATTTAGAACTATCGTTCAGTTTCATTGATTTTTATTGTCTTTCTACTTTTACTGGTATTTTACAAGAGATATTATATAAAAAAAGATATAAACAATGACAATAAAAAAGAAATATAATAGCAGAAATGGAAAGTACAGTATATAAAAAATTCATATCATTGTTGCTAAAAATGTTTCACATACGACCCTCTTGTATTTAGTACAATCTTCAAAACAATTTAAGTAAACTTTCTCTATGATACCTCCCGACCGTGTTCTGTGAATACAATATACTAGTTATTCAATTACATGTAAACATTGTTTATTTAATAAACAATTACTTTGACATGATCAAGCTTCTCTAAAATGTTTTTCAAGAGGAAAATCTTATTCGGTATATCTAAAAAGAATAGAAAGCTTAAGAAGATTCTATTATAAGACAATGACAGTTGTATCGCAAATTTATTTTAAACATCAAAGTAGTATGGTCTATTTTGATCTAAGCTGCCTTTTGCATATTTCCACGTGCTGAGACAACCTTATTCTTAAAGAGTTGGAACTTTAAGAGGCCAACGATATCGTTTAATACTAGTTTAGATTATATAGGCGACATACTATTTAAAGCACAAAGATACCTCTTGTTTAAAAGAGACATGAATGAGAGTGCTTTAATTTATTCAATAAAAATAATTAACTTTTTTTTTTCAATTACTGACAATACAATATTAAGCCAATCTCTAGTGCATTTTTTGCTCTTTTCATTGATTCTTCAAGAAGGTTTCTTAGGAGTTTGATGATGTTGATGCCGTTAAGAATCCATCAGACAAAATAAGATATGTAAAAGTAAATTTTAATAGCAATACACCTAAAGTATTTTATAGCTATGATATTTAATCTATGAATTAAACTTATGATTAGAAAAATAGGATGAAAATAAGGAAGGAGTATTCATAAAACCTTTCATTGATATATATAATATATATATATATATAAATATTTGTAGGTGTAATTCTACCCTACAATCTGTGATATTTTAAGGTAAAGTAGTTCAACTAATATCTATTGTACAACATGTAAGCAGCTATTACTATTATCAATTATATTTGTGCATTGAAATAGGTATAATCTGATTCGATATAATGCTAAAATAAGGTTAAATACGACAGTATAAACTCAACTGAGAAGAAGTAACCCCATCGTACCCAAAGTTAGTCTCTTAGTATATATTTGTAAGGTAAAATTTTGTATACCTTGCTTTTGTTTTCTTTTCAATATTTCCCAGATTGAATAATTGAAGCAATCATGACCACCGTTATCCTCCTTTATCTTATGTTCCCCCCTCCCTTTTTTTTTTTAAGTTTGCAGCATGATAAATTTATTTATCTAACGATTCAGCAGTAATGGCTGTAAAGATGATTGACCCAGTTGGCCGGAAGAAAAAAAAACGCATCTGTAATCATTGTTATTTACAATAGTTTCTTTCTTTTTATCCTTATTCTTTTCTTTGAGAGGAAGGATAGATATTTCAATTTTTTTTTTATTTATAATGAAAAATAAAAATGTTTGGCAAATAGTTTACATGCAAAACAAAACCATTTATCCTTCAGTTTAATGAAATTTTGAAAGCAGTATCAGTAATTGTTTTCGTCTTCAGCCTTTACTAACTTCGATTAATTGCGCTTTAATTTTACTAAGAATATAATGGAATAGCTTTGATAGATTCTCTCATTCTAACTGTTAGAATACAATCGCTGACAGACCAATTATTAGTGTTAAATAAATAGCTATAGCTAGAAAACATTTTGATAATCAAAAGAAGAAAGTAAATTACAGTATAACGCAGTCATGCCATGATTTTACCCCATAAACTTAAAAGGTTCTATGGATGACTTGGAGGAACTGATACACGAGTAAACAACAATGTTTATGAAATAGAACACAAGCACCATATGCCGGTTTCCTCTGAATATCATAATGCTATTATAAGCTTGAAACAAAATAATGATTGACATAGCTATACTGTCCTCCTTGATTTTATGATTGTTTATAAAAAAAAAAGAAAACTTATTGATATTGTATTTTGTTGCTGTTATCACTGTACTTCTAGAGTGTAAAATGATATAGAGCTTTAATTAATATTAGGATATCACTTGACAAGTAAAGATACAATGAATTTTTTTTTTCTATAATAATAAACAATGAAAAAAATAAAAAGAGAAATCACGCTATTTAATGTTATTGATTCTCTACTGAAGATAATAATTCATTATTTAAAAAGAGGAAGCATAAATAAAAAGGTGTATGTAGTTTCTCATATCTTTATTAAAAATTCCGTTCCGAAAATAAAGCTAGACTTTTTTTTTTTCTTGTTGCCCAAGTTTATGTGTTACTTGATTTAATCTTTTTCGTTTCTTTTTTTTATTTTTATTTTATTTTATTTTTTTTTATTTATTTTATTTTTATTTTATTCTATTTATTTTTCTTTAATTTTATTTTATTTTATTTTATTTATTTTTATTTTTCTCTTTTTTTTTACTATAATAAAATCATTTCTTTTTCTTTGTAAATTAGTATATCGATAAATAATTAGGACGAATAAAAATACATTCATTCAATCAACAAAGTGATAAGAAATACTTTTTCTTTATTTGTTATTCTTAAATAATGACTTCAACTGCTGTGAGGTACCATCTTATTTTGGAATTAATCATCATTCTTCATTTCAAAACTTTGATCATTTAATTCTTTTTTTTTATATTTATTAGAGTTGGTCTTCGTGTTAGACCTTTAACACAAAAAGAAGAGTTATCGAATTGTACTGAATGTATAAGCTTTATACCAAATGAACCTCAGATATTGATTGGCACAGATAAATCCTTCACCTATGATTATGTATTTGATAATAATACAGAGCAAAAAGAGATTTATGAAAAGGCTGCATTACCTTTATTGGAAAAGTTTCTGGAGGGGTACCTTTTTTTTTTTCAGGAGAAAATTGATTACATTTATTAACTTTATTTTTTTTTATAGTTTTAATACTACAATTCTTGCTTATGGGTAATATTGATTATCATATAAATTTAATGTATTAATCTTTATCATTGTTAATAGTCAAACAGGGTCTGGAAAGACATATAGTATGGGCACAGGACTTGAAAGAACTATCTCTCCTGAACACGAAGGTATCTATTTATACCCACTTGAAAAAAAAAAGTTATTTGTCATTATGTATAAACACTGGCTTATATTCATATTTTGTACGACTTGACAGGCATTGTACCACGATGTATAGTTGATTTATTCCGAAACCTGAATGGAAGATCCGAATCAAATAAGGATTTTAATTATGAGGTTTATGTATCGTTCTTAGAATTATACAATGAAGACTTGATTGATTTATTAAGTCCTCAACAACAAGCCTTTGTTGCTGCAAAAAGGAAAAGTGGTTTAGGTTTGACTCCAATAGCTGTTGAAGTACAAATTCGTGAGGATATTGCAGGCAATATTTATTGGAGTGGTGTTCGTGAAGAAAGATGTTATAATCCTGATGAATTATTATCTTTCTTAGCTAAAGGTTCTCTTTGCCGTACTACTGCTTCAACAGATATGAATACAGTCTCTTCTCGTTCTCATGCTGTATTTTCTGTCACCCTTAAACAGCAAACATCTGTAAATGAACCTACAATCACAAGTAAATTTCATTTTGTTGATTTGGCTGGTTCTGAAAGAGTAAGCATGATTTGTTTGTTTTGTACATTGAATGACTAAAAAAAAAAAAAAAAAAAAAAAAAAAAAAAAAAAAAAAAAAAAAAAAAAAAAAAAAAAAAAATTAATGTTTTTATTTTCATGTGTTCATATAGCTGAAACGAACAAACGCTCAAGGTGATCGTGCTAAAGAAGGAATTTCTATCAATTCAGGTCTATTAGCGCTTGGTAATGTAATTTCAGCTTTAGGTGATGAAACTCGTAGAACATCTCATGTTCCTTATCGTGATAGTAAACTAACACGTTTACTACAAGATTCACTTGGTGGAAATAGTCAAACACTCATGTTAGCTTGTATTTCTCCTGCTGATACAAACTTTATGGAAACCCTGAATACACTTAAATACGCAAATCGTGCCCGTAATATTAAAAATAAAGTTATCATTAATCAAGACTTTGCTGGTTCTTCTATTGAAGTTAGTCAACTTCGTGCTCAACTTGCAAGACTAAGAATTGAACTGGCATCTGCAAGAGCTGAGAATGTTTCTGCTGAAAGAAGGGGTGGTCGTTATAACACCTCCTCCTTACAACAAGATGGAGAAGTTCGTGCTTTACGTTCTGAAATAGCACGGCTTAGAGATCGTATTCAGGATCTAAATACAAGTTTAATTCAAATTACTAGTGAGCGTGATACGATGATGATGGAACGTGAGCTTGGTGAATTTATGAATAATAATGACGACAATCATGAATTATCTATAACCTCTTATACGTCTCATCCAGTTACACCAAGCCCGGTTCTATCTCATCCGCTTATTACCCAATATCAAAAGACAATTCAAGACCTTACAAATGATCTTGCTGATGCACGTGACCAAGTTGCGTTCCTTGAAAGTATGAGGTCAGCTACTATGCAGGCAATCATAGAAAGTGGTACAACTCCATTGTCCTTGTCAGGCAACACGACATCCTCTTTTTATCATCCGGAAAAAACTATTTCAAGTTCCTCCCGTCGTCGACATGGAGGTAGTAAACGCGGTTATAGAAAGCAGAGAGTATCATCGGCTAGTTCTAGTACATTATCTTCTGGTAACATGACAGCAAGAATACCGTCTGCTAAACGCTCCGTGAGACATACACCCCTATTATCCCAAAGCTCAAGCTTTAAAATTTCTCCTCGCCAAAAACGTCAAACCCCTGTTAAAATGACTACAAAGATAGCAAACTATAATGAAGAAGAAGAAGAAGAAGATGGATATGTTGATGAAGAAGATTATATTGACGAAGAAGAAATAAAACAAAGTATTGCTAAAGCTAAAGCTGAAATTCAGAAAGGAATGGAAGTCCTTGATTTAATCAAGCCTATGGAAGATGCTGCACATTCCTGGGAAGAAGAGTTGGAAGAATTTGAAAAGGCTGAAAAAGCCATGTACGAAAAGGCAACAAATCAACTGGAGCGTGTAGACTCAGATGAAGGCAATTATAGTTTAACCTCCTCTCCTATTGATGATGAACAACGACACAGCCATGATCTTGATTTAATGTTAGAGATTGAATCCTTGAATGTACCCTCTTGGGAACAAAGACAGTCTACAGTAGAGGAGACTTCCAAAACCAATACTATTATAAAAGAAGATACTGTCGATAATGCAAACATCATTATTTCAGACAATATCACAAAGCAAGAGACTAGTTCATTAACTTGCCCTGAAAAGCAAAATCCTCAAATGATGCGTATGCTTCATCAGATTCAATCAGATATTCGTGTTAAAGAAGAACTTGTATCTCACCTTGAAAAATCAGAAACTAAGTTTGCTTTTATGCGTCGCAAGTTTGATGAAAAGATTAGCATGTTGCATGCACAGCTGACTGAACTTCAAAAAGATCGTGATCAAGCATTGGCAAGAACTAAATCCAGTTTTGCATCGATTCCTAACCGTACTGATATCTCTATGCAGATGAAAGAAAAGCAACAGCTCATTGAAATTCGTCATGCTTACGAAAACAAGATGAAACAGTTAGTCACTGAAATCCATGACTTGAAGCGCCATTATTCACGTACAATTTCAAGCATGCAATCAACACGTAATCAACATGAGTCCTTATTAAGATCACTTCGTGCCAATGTTGAGACGCTCAAAACTGAAAAGAAAAGGATGATTAAACGTATGAAACAAGAGACAGAACGTGTTCGTGAACAAATGGCGTTACAGGAACGCAAGATATCCAAACTACAAAGACAGCATACTGAGATTAATCATGCTCGTACAAAACTACAACGTGAGCATGAGGCTCAAAAATTGACATTAAAGCGTCGAGATAAAGAAATTTTGATTAATCAAAGTCAACTTCAACAGCTTACAGAAGTTTTGAAAAAGGCCGTACGTGAAGGTGGTATCCTTGATGAGCAATTATTAAATAATGTCTCTCATATTATCGGTGGTAACTTTGCTGCTGTCGCTCGTCGTGGTGGTTTAAGTAATCTTCCAGGCTATCGCCCCTTACGTAGAAGGAAGAACCCTATTCCTGTCCATAAAAGGGTGGCACGAAAAAAGGAATTGCTAGATAAGATGCTCTATCAGTTTATTCAAGGGAAACAAGCTATCGTTGAGATGGAACAGCTCTTGTTTAGAAGAGAAAAACTTGTATCCGAAAAGATGGAACTTTTAGATGATCGAAAGACAATGTTTATTGCAGAAAGAGAAGCTGCAGAGTTATCAGGACAATCGATGGATATGCTTGCTATTAACTTTACTGATGAGCGTATTGATTTAATGGATGCTGAAATTTCGTATCTATCTTCACGTATTAGAGCTTTACAATCAGAAGCTGCTGGAGAAGCAGATGAGATGTTATCACATTCATTTAATGATAGCACGAGTCGTCAACAACAAGAAAAGCGTAAGGTCACATTTGCGGATGATATCGTAAGCAACCCTTCTCCAAGTGAAGAATGGACTGATATGGATGCATTGGAAGAGCAATTTAGTGTACCACCTAATGCTGCTCCAGAATTAGTCTATGATGCTACTCTTAAACTTCTCAAATCACTTGAGGCTGATGAGTGTCGTGGTATCACAGAATCTCTAGTAGATGATATTACAAATATCCGAATGAGTGAATATAATCGCCAAATGACTATGCAAAATTTAGAAAAGACAGTTCAAGACCTACGTCGTACTTTAATTGTGATGAAACGAGCTGCTATCACAACCACTGTCGAAAATGAACGTAGAATCCGCAAGTTAGAGGAAAAGAAGAGCGGCATTCATAAAGAAGATAATCGTATTGATAATAAGATTCAAGATTATATTATGAATAGTGGTAATACCATCTTTGATAAAATTTATGAAGATGGTTTACGGGGTATGCTTGGTACTCCTGAGCCTGAATATACAATACAGGGATCCTCTGATGAGTCCTCTGTTGCATCTTCAAGTCATGAGAGAAGGAGTAGCACTCAGTCAGATGGACCCCGTCCCCCACCCTCACCTCTTGTTTCACCTACCTCTTATGCTACAACACATATTGCGGACAGTTTGATGTTATCACCTATTCGACCCCCTACAGTAAGCGGCCTCCGTCCTCCAGCTGTTTTAACAGAACAAGGTAAAGCATTACGTATGAATAGCAACTATCCTCCACGTGAAGCAACACCTTCCCCTGATCGATTTTATAATATGATTCAAAAGCGATTATCATGGCAACAACGTATGGGTGGGTCGGAATCGCCTGTTCCGATGGCCATCATCAATCCAGCTGAATTTACTCGTTATGCTAATGATAGAGAATCATCCACCTCCTCTATTCATAGTCGACATTTACGTCGTGCCTCACTTCAATCTGATTTTTCATCTTCTCAGAATTCATGGAATCATCCCAGTAGTAGGCCCTCTACCATTTCATCACAAAGCTCATTACGTAAAAGATCTGCTTCCATGTTACAACCACCTACGATGCCTCAAAAGCTAACAGCTCAACAGCAAGTACCAAGTAGACGTGCTTCATTACGTGAGTTGTCATTAAAGGGGACAAGTGCCTCTAATTTAACCGGTCTTGGTAATCATATGGGTGAGCAAGACCATGAATGGCCAACCTCTAGTATATCCTTTCAAAGATATCCTTCACAACAACAAAGACGAACTCCTCTTGCAGGCTCGGTTTTAGATCGATCAAATACACCTAATGGTGGAAATGTTTTTGACCGTTTAGCTCAAACTCCAACACGTGCTTCTCAAGCTAAAATATCTCATAGACATAGTAGTGGTAGTATGGATGAATTGAGATTAAGATGGGAGCGCGAACGATCTTCAAGTGCAATGAGTGGTATGTCTTATGGTGCTTAAATACCCTTACTTTGTGTATATATGTAATTACTATGTGAACTATATACATACAAATGTATATCTTATATTCCTCTTTCTCCATATCCAAAAAACAAAAAAACAAAAAAAAAAACAAAAAAGGGTTTTTTTTGTATAATTTATATCTATTCTAACATATTATTTCTTATATATTTTATTTCTAATAAAAAAAAAAAAAAAAAAAAAAAAAAAAAAAAAAAAAAAAAAAGAATTATTCAATATCATTATCTTCACTATCATCATTTGTTTCATCCATATCATAAACTTGTAAAAGTCCATTTTCACCTGTTATACAAAAGATACGTCTTCTGGGCAAACCATTACAGCCCATTTTAGTATTTATCATTCTTGGTAACTTTAAAAGTCTTGAAGGCTTTTTTTTTTCCAGGACATAATTAGTTCATTTATAGTATTTGATATATTCTTTTCTCTTACCGTTAAATTTATAGACATTAAATCAGCATGTGTTAAAATATGAAACTTGATTTCATTCAATAAAATTGTTTGTAGAATTGTATTTTCTAAATGAGGGGAAGTATACAATTGTCAGTTCCTTCCATATTAAAATTATTATTATTTTTATTATTACCATCGTCTACTTGAATTAATATTCCTAACTCTTTATCATCAAAAAATTCAAAATCTGTTATAGTTCCCGTCACTTCAAAAGAAGCGTATTCTATTTTGGTTTCTTCAAATCTTTTCTTTAAAACGATTACTTGTAAAAAAAAAAAAAAAAAAAAAAAAAAAAAAAAAAAAAAAAAAAAAAAAAAAAAAGGTTAGTTATATATGTATGTGCGTATGTTACTTGTTTTATATTACATTTTGGTGAGGGATCTGTTTGCAAAAAGGAAAAATAAATTTCTTGCGCAATATCCTCGTCTATCTATTTTATATATGTATTTATATATATTTATTTCAACTTCTTTCTATTTGCATCTTTACCGTTGTAGTTGATATAATTCCTTTCCTTGGTTGCGAATCAATTGATATATGACTTAAATAAAAGGGAAAGACTGAAATGATTCGTACCTTTGTAGAAGGCTTTTCTAGTATTCGCTGACAAGAATCAGATATATTTGATAAAAGTTGAATCAAATTTAACTCAGATAGGTTATCAAAATAGTCAGCCATGCTATCTTTTGTAAACTCTTTATCTAAGAATTCCAAAACAAGTTCAGGAGATTCACATACAATAGGTGGGTTTTCAAATTCTGTCGAGCTTGAATCATAAAAGTGTTGAACAACTTAAAGAACAATCACATATTAATAAAATTTATACACTATACAAAAATAAGGCAAAGTCTTACCTAATGTAATCCAAGCAATAAATGCATTAAATGATTTTTTCAAGTTATTCATTGATTTAGAGAATTCTAAAATCTTAACCAGGAATAATTGAGCCTGTACAATACATTTTCTAATAGAACTGCTTTCAAGGAACTCTCCATAACGCTGAACCCTATTAGAAGAAAAAAAAAACATCAATCTTTTTTTTTTTTTTTTTTTTTTTTTTTTTTTTTTTTTGTTTAATAGTTTTATCTACCATAAACTATAACCCAATAGTTTATCAAGTTGAACTAATATCCTCTCACATGCAGGCACTATATACTCACTTACAATTTTTAATGAGTTTTCGTATGCATGATTGACATTTGTATCCCATTCTTTAACACGCTATTACAGAGATATACATGATATTAATAACAGAAAATAATAACATAGATAGATTATATACCTGAGTAGTCCAGATGTCTTTAAAGAACTCTTGTAATTCATTCTTAATATTACCCATTGCTGCAATCGTAATAAGTTCCATCTCAGGCATAGTAGAAAATGCTTCTTTTACTTCAAGATTCTCTGTATATATAAAGATTAATATCAAAAAAAAAGGAGGAATAGACAACAAGTTGATATTTACGATTTTGTTGTTCAATGAAATCTACTAATTGATTTGCTTTATTTCTTGTAAATCTAATATATGAAGCATGATGTCTTTTCAACACATCAATAGTGCAACCAATATATTCTAACAGATATGCTAATTGTATTTGTACTTTTGAAATATTAAATATTTCTTCTTTTTTCTCTTCTAAAAACTGGGTATCGATTACATATATTTCGAATAGTTTATTTGACCGGGCCAATACTTGAATTGATAATAGATTATGAGCGACAGTAATATGAGTCATTGAAATATCCTTTCCAATATCGACAATTCCAATTGGGTATATTCCATTCAAACTATGTATTCATTATAATATTTACTTGATAAATAAATAGAATTCAAGTAAATTATACAAGGTCAACTTACAGGATATGTATTTGTCCTTTCTCATTACCAATGAACAATAAAGTTTGTTTATCATTTTCACCATGAGGCTGAGTAGGAAGTGATACTTTTTTTCTTCTTGATCTTGGTAAAAATGATCTTTAAAGAAAGAAGAAGATGAGATAAAAAGAAGAAGAAAAAAGAAAAAAAAAACTCCCTTCTATCTTACATTGGTTCTTCAGGAGGTTCTTCACTCAATGGAATTAGATTTGGTTCAAAATTAAACATCTCACTATCAAAGCCTTCCTATCCAAAATAGAATAAAATAAATAAATAAATAAAATTTATGCAAATCACAATTTTTCTGTTCTTTACAATATCTATTTGCTTTTTTTTAAATTCATAATTCAGCCAAACGAGTGAGACAATAGGTGAGGAACCGTCTGTTGGTGTCCAGCAAAATGATATCTTTGGTAAATAATGTGTTATATCTACTTTATATACTGTTCCATTTTCACAACCTAAAACAAATCTTTTCCCTAATATAAAAACCATTATATATGTTAAGTACAAAAATTCCTCCTATAAAAGACATACACAATTAATGTGTTTTCTAACCATTAGGCTCCCATGCAATGACTTTGACATTAGACTTTATTTCATCTTCAATGGACCATAATAAAGTATTACCATGTCGAAAGAGTGAAAGTGTATTTTCCGGTGAAACTACTAATAAAATGTCTGTTGTAGGACACCAAGAAATAAGTTTGACTCTGTCTTCTAAAATATTTTCGTTAAATAAGGAAAAACTTTCTTCGACTTTTGACATGAAGGAATAAAAAAAAAAAAAAATTGGCTACAAGAAGCAATAAATAATAATAATAATAAAAAAAGAAAAAAAGGGAAAGGAATAAATCAAAAAAAAAAAAAAAAGCTTATTGTGACTGCAATAGACAGGATTAAACTTCTTTACACAACAAAGTACACTATTTATTTCTTTATTATTTTTTAAAAAAAAAAAAAAAATTATTCGCCTCTCTTTCTCTTTACACCTCCTTCGTTCTTTTTCTTGTTCAAGAAATATTCGCCACTTTCTAACTGTAAATCGATCTTTGATTTTTGTGGTGCAGGAGGGAATGGGGTATACTCCTTCTTTGGCTTTTCGATCACCTTCTTCTTTGATTTGACATTTCTCTTCTTGAAGTGTGGTAAAAATCTATCCCAAGATTCTGTTGCTAGTTTTGGATCCTTTGCAAGTTCTCTCTTAATCATAAGTTCCTATTGTTTTATGTAAGATAATAGGTACCTATAGATTATTCTATTTACTTACTTTAATGTGATAGATGGGGTGAATATTTTTCATGCAATCTGTAACAATACGACGAATATCTTTAAGGCCTTTATAAGGTCCCATAACTGATACAGTATTACCTTGCACCATCATGTAACATTTTGTCAGTAATTCAATTGCCTTTAATGTAGAACCATTAGGTCCAATCAATCTTTGTCTACGCTTCACAAATCTTTCTTTATTACGAGTGATGTTGCCAATCTTAATAATATCACAGGCAATACCATCTTCCATAATTTTAACAGCCTATCCATTATAAAATCAATCATTATTATTATCATTTTATTTTTCCTTCATTTATATTACTGTACTTGAGGAAATGGTACACTTCTTGCTAATAATTTAATAAGGTCTCTAGCTTTCAAAATAGCATATGGATCATAAGCTTTTCTTGTTGTCTTTACTGTCATACTGCCTTCAACTAAATCTAATACACAAGCAATACCCTTTAATGAATATATATAAATTAGGACCACTTTGTTGTTGTTGTTTTTTTTTTGTATTATTTAATAATCGTAAAGAGCTTACATATTTTTCAAGAGCTTTAGTAACAAGAGGCCAACATTCTCTTAAATAGGTTTCTCTGTATTTAGGGAAAAGTGTTGCAAATGATGATTCTTCAGTAAAAGGCTGTACAAGATATTCAGGTTTAAATTCTTCAATCTTCCAATGATCAATATCATCAGTATCCCAGGCTAAAATAAATAGAGTAGTATTAATGGATGCGATGAGTGTAGTATATATATAAGTGATATTTACGTTTGTCTTTTCTAAATCGATTATTGTTCTTTGTTTGTGTTTCCTCAGACATGATCTTGATGAATAAACTCTTTCAAAAAAAAAAAAAAAAAAAATATTTGTTTTCCAGAAAAGTCTCAATTTCATATTTGATACGAAAAAAAAGTGGCTTAATCTAGTAGTCACATGCACAATCTATTATGCTTTGATGGTTGGCAATAGCCAATCACTTTTAGAATCGATACTTTTATTTTTGCAGAAAATGAGTTTGTACGAACAGTAAGCTACACTCACATTGCTTAGAGAAATAGCATCTCTTATTTTGTTCTCTTTTCATAATAACTCCTGACAAGAACTACTAAATTGACAAGTTTCAAAAATTATCTGTTAAATTCAATTAAATTATAACTTTTAAATAATAAAAGACATTTATTATCTAAATGGAACCCCTTTTTGGAGAACTTGTGATGTTGTAAAAATGCTAATAAACATTAAAATTCATATAGTCCGAGTAATCATTTAGTTTAAAAAACAGGAATGAAGAAAAGAAGTATCTCTTTTATTGAGAAATACTTTTTTTTTTCCTACATATATTTTATAACAAATACTGATGATGCATCTAAAACTTCGACATCTTTTTATCCCCAGTTTAACATACAAATACATGATTTCAATCACTTATACTTCCAATGAATCTATCACTAACCATCATAACTTGTACAGTCTCTGTTTAATAGTAAGTCTGTTTGCTTTATAAATACATGTTGTTTAAATTTGGCATAGTAAAATCTGTAAGCTTATATGAAGAAGTTTCCTTTCCACATACACACATACACACCCCTTTATTGTTAATAATTTATGCTCCTGGTTCTCTTTGATGAATAGGATAAATGATCTTTTGTTAGAATGTCGTTACTGAACTGTACGACTCTGACTGACAGTTTTATTGTTAAGGTATTTGAGGAATCTTTGTTACACGAAATGTCGGTATCTTTTTATTCTCATGTGTAAATCCTATTGAGCAATTATTCCTTTTGACTAAAAAAAAAAAATGTGTAGAATAGCTTTCTTTAGAGTTAACTCTTTTATATCTTCAGCCTCTTTTTGAATAATAGCTATATACATACATATTTTGAGTAGTTGCTTATTGTAAGAAAGAGGAGGAAAGAATAAATTCATCCAAATACATATTTATACATATTTATACATATATTTGTTTGTTTGCTTTAATTATAGAAAGAATTGTTTTTTTTTCCAAAACGAGTTAAATGAAAAAATATCTCTTCTTATTAGGAGTAATTTTTTGATAATATGTTACTAGTTCACTGTAGTTGTCATACTGAGGATAATAATCATCCTAAGTTCTGGATACTTCTGTTCCAATAGTAGTTAAAGAGTTTGACATACAAAAATCATATAACAGTTACAGACTAATCTATGATTAAAAAAAAAAAAAGCCCTTCATAGGTGAGCCATTAGCAGCTAAAGACAAAGTCCTCAAAAAAAAAAAAAAAAAAAAAAAAAAAAAAAAAAAGAAAGAAAGAGAGAGAGTGTGTGTGAGAGAGAAATCAGATGGTCTACTAATATATATGTTATAGTAGAGAGAGAAATAATAGTAGTTTAATAAAAGACATGTATTTTGCGATATTAGCACAGACAAACTAATGATTGTAGTAGCACAAGAAAGGTTTTTAGATTAACAAATCAACCATAAATGAAATACTACGAGTCATTTTCTAAACTTAAATTAAATTGAGATCAACAATAGAAAAAGTTTAGTGGGTGGAATTTAACACAATTTCCTCATTTTATAATTGCTGCTTTTTCTTTTCTTTTCTTTTTTTTTTTTTTTTTTTTTTTTTTTTTTTTTTAGAATAAAAGATCAAATTTCTTTTCTTTTTTCTCTCTCTCTTTCTTCTCTTTCACATTCCTTTTTTCTTCTTCTTTTGAATACAAAAAAAAGAAAAATGAATGAACCACTGTTAAACTTACATCAAAAATTGAATCCTTCTTCTTTAGATGAAGAGACGAATTGTTCAGAAGAAAGCTGGGACGAAAATAAAAAAAAGCCTTCTTTTATTGTAAGCTATATCTTTGTTTTTGTTTTTTCCTGTGAAGATACATATACGTGTCCTCAAACAGATTTTTTATGTTTAATATGTGTAGATTCGATATCACAAGTGGATTATCTTTGGTAGCTGTTGTATTACAACTATTTTATCAGTGATTAGTTTAATCACTGTATTCTATTTCAATAAAGCAGCAAGAAATAATAATGGTAATTTTAAATACTATTTCTTTGACTCTATGGTATTCAAGTTAATTTCATTTTATTAATGGCCTTTCACATTAATCATTTTAACATTTTCCCTGAAAAAAACAGTTCAATTTTCAACAACTAATACAGCAAAGCCAAAAAACGTGATTATGATGATTAGCGATGGACTTGGACCAGCTTCAGTTTCATTTGCAAGAAGTTATTATCAATTTATAAATAATAAGCCATATGATTATCAATTACCTTTAGATACAATTCATGTGGGTCAATCAAGAACACGAAGTTCTTCTACTTTGGTAACAGATAGTGCTGCTGGTGCAACTGCATTTAGTTGTAATTTAAAAACATATAACGGTGCAATTGGAGGTATTTTTTTTTCCTAGTCATATTATTATTAACAGGAGAATATGTATTATCCATTATAAAACTAAATCTAATATATAAATATCTAATCTTCTTTTTTTTTCCTTCGCTACATATCTTTAAGTTGACCCTAGTCATTTGCCTTGTGGTACTGTCCTTGAATCAGCGAAACATAGTCGAGGTATGTTGACAGGTCTTGTAGCCACCTCTCGAATTACACACGCTACACCTGCTTCATTCTCGGCTCATGTAGAGAATAGGGATGATGAAAATTCAATCGCCAAACAACAGATTGGAGATAATCCTTTAGGCAGAAGTGTTGATTTAATGTTTGGTGGTGGTTATTGTTATTTTTTACCTAAATCAAAGAAAGGAAGTTGCAGATCAGATTCTAGAGATTTATTAAAAGAAGCACAATCAAAGTATGATTGGAAGACTGTTCTCTATAATCAAAGTAGAGAAGAATTTGATAATTTGCCTATAAATGAAACTGTTTTGCCTATTATTCAATTATTCACTTCTGATGTATGTATATCTTATACAACCATTTGAAGGATCTACTCATATATATATATATATATATATATGTATCTATAGCATATGTCTTATGAAATTGATAGAGATCCAAGGATAGAACCAAGTTTAAGTGAAATGTCTAAAAAGGCTCTTGATATTCTGTATGATGCTGTTGAGAATAAAGAAACTGGATTCTTTTTAATGATTGAAGGTAGTCGAATTGATATGGCTGCTCATTCGTATGTATTCAATGAATAACTGTTTAAATTTCATATCTAAAGAATCCCTTTTATTTATTTATTTATTTTTTTTTTAATTATATAGAAATGATGCAGCTGCACATGTGCATGAGATTTTAGAATATCAAAATACAGTTGAATTAGTCAAAAAATATGTTGATGAACACCCTGATACAGTTATGATATCAACTAGTGATCATGAAACAGGTGGTTTATCCTTAGCTAGACAAACATCAAAGAAATACCCTGAATATCTCTGGTAAAGAAATAGTTATATATAAAAAGGGATTTATTTTAAATATGCATCTGTAATTTCTTTTTCTTTCTTTTTTTCTTTTTTTTTTCCTTTTAAATAGGTATCCTGATGTACTAACAAAAGTTAAAAGTTCAACATACAATTTAGCTAAAATGATAAAATCTCAAAAGACACTCACGGAGGACTATATTATGAGTACAATTTTTAAAGACCATCTTGGTATTATTGATGGTACGAATGCAGAAATAATAGAACTCATGAAAACTTCTACTTCTACAAAATATATCACTCAATTTTTGGCTGATATGATTTCAATTCGTGCTCAATTAGGAGTAAGTTTTATCCATATATCTATTTATCTATCAATTAATATATTAACATGTATGTAAACTAACTTGCAAAAAAAAAAAAATAAGTGGGCAACGCATGGACACAGTGGTGTAGATGTTAATCTATATGCATATGGTCAAGGCTCAAACCATTTATTTGGCAGTCATGAAAATATTCAAATTGGTGAATTTATTACCAAGATACTTGATTTAAATTTGACAGAAATTTCAATTAAATTAAATCAGTAAGTTTCCAAAATATAATAGTGTTATACAGCATCTCATTACTATTATTATTTATTAGTGAAAATCCTTCTTTTCATTTGACAAATTTGACAGACACAGACAAGCTAAAATATAATGAAGATTTGGAGCATTATCATTTTGTACCGTCCCATTTAAAACATATACCATTTTTTTCAAAATAGATTTCTTTTTTTTTTCGAAAATAATATTAAAACTTGTAATATTAAAGTAAACAACTTAACAGTACTTCTTTTCTTTAAAGCTATAAATAAAATACAATGATATATTTAATTTTTTTTTTTAAAAAAATGATTTTATAAAAGACTTTTTGCTATGTATGATGACAAAATGAAATACAATCCGAGAACGAAAAAAAGTAAAAAGAATAAAAAATAAAAAGGAAAAAGAAAAACAGACATCTAATATTTGCCAAGAAGAAAGATTCCAGCCTCATCATTTTTTTAATTAATTTGCCTTTTAAAGTAACTTTAGAGATCCAGTGAGGAAAAAAAAAAAATGCCTGGTGCATCATCGGGAGTTGTATTTTTTTTTTTTTTTTTTTTTTTTTTTTTTTTTTTGTATGAAAGCAACCACTAAGCTAAATAGATTTACATGAATACTCATAATATACCAAAAAATAAATAAATAAATACATATTGTAACAATGGCGATAATAATGCATACCAGTAACATAATGATATAAATCAACCTCATTGTAAGAATATTATGTTAATTAATAGGTTACACGGCATTATCCTAAAAATTAGCTTATTAATTCTTCGTCCACGAAAATGTGTCCCTTTCAAAGGTAAGAGAAAATCGTTCTTCTCTTCCACTATTATTGTCTAGACAAAGTAAAAAAAAAAAAAAAAAAAAAAGAAATTCCGAATTATTTGTGGTTGAGACCTAAACTATATTTATTTCTCTAAAACACGAATCTATAACGTAGTTTCGGGCATGCATTAATAATAATAATTATAATATACTGTACAAAGACCTTTATTTAAAATCGGATATTAAAATCTATTCTGTCCCCATAGCGATAAGCTGATTTCCATAGTAACTTGTACATATTCATTCTATTTGTGATGCTATTATCTTACACATCTATTTATGTACATGCATATAAATGTATTTTTTTTTTTGGGTGACATGTACCAAAAAAGATAAAACTAAGGAATACGGTGTTTCAAATCCAACAATGATTGTAAGAAGAAGTGGAGGAAAAAAAAAAGAAAGAAGGAGCCCAGATCGATACTAATTATAATTAAATTTAAATTGGTATATAAATACATCATCTCTTATTTTTCTTCTTCTTCTTCTTCCTCTCTCTCATCATTTCTTGTATTATATATAATTCTTTTCTTTTCTTTTTTTTTTTTTGTACATATACATATATTTTTTTTTAGAATATGAATCCATCATCAATACCTTGTTCAGGCTGGTTATCCAAATTAACACATAGTCCATTTGGTACTGCAAGGTGGCAATCACGTTATTTTGTATTACTTGACACTGAAATGCGATACTATAAAGATGAACACTCAAGTAATGCATCGAAAACAATTAATCTTCATGATATTTCAAATGTGATAATCATGACAAGGACACCAGGTCATCCATATGTATTTCGATTAGAACCTACTACTACTCATAGGGGTTATCAGAAGAAAGTTTGGACAATTGAATGTAAATCACAGTGTGAGCTTGATGCTTGGGTTAGTGTCATTCAATTCCGTTTGTCTAAATTGATTAAAAAAGAACAAGCTGGTCTTGTTTCTATCCCTGAGAATAATCGTCAAGAATCTATTTCTATGCCACACCATCAGGTCTCTCAAACTACATGTAATAAGATAGAAACGGCAGCAGCCATGATTCATCCACGACCTCGACCCTTAAAGAGGCCTATGCCTTCTATCTCCAGAAGAAGAGGAATTGTTCTATCTCGATTAGATGTCGAGAATATTCTTCCTACTCTTGAAAATGATATGCTATCATCTTCTTCTTCTTCTTCATCCTCCTCCTCTCACAGATCTAGTCTTCCATCATTACCTACTATTAGTCAAAAAACAACGTCATCGGAAACAATCACTAAAGAAGAAGGTTATCAAATAGAATCTAAGAATTCTGTTGACCTAAATGCATCCCAAGATGCTTATATCATATTAGACTCATCTTCTCCCACTTTTGCATACTTTAAAAAACAATTTAATCTTTAAAATAGGATGATGCATTATTTTATTTTATTTTATTTTGCGGCGCTAAAATAAATAAATGAACCTATTTTCATTTTTTTTTTTTTTTTTTTTTTTTTTCATAATTACAAATATGGATCAAGATCTTGCAAATAAATTATTTGAAGTAGGAGCCTTTGTACTTTTTTTAGATGCACCAGCTAATTTAGAATTTGGTATTGATTACAATGCTTGGACGATTGGGCCCTTATTTAAAGGTGTCAAATTGATTCCACCTGGCTTACATTTTATTTATTTTTCGTAATTTTATTATTTTACTTGCTAAAAAGATTGTTTAATGATGACTTACACGTTTTATAGAACTACAAGTAAAGAGGGTAAGGAAGGAATTAGAACAGGTTTCTTTCATTTTTTCGAATCACGCGAGGTAAATGTGTCTTTGTATGTGTTTTACATGTAATAACATTTAACTTGTAGATCCTTGTTAGACAATGGAATCCACAAATTGAGGATATACGCGATGAGTCAGAGTTAGACCCTAATCAAGTTGAACGTTTAAGATACAGTAAGACCAACACGATTTTGATGTTGAGACATGTCTTTTTTTTTTAATATCTTTTCTTTTTTTTTTTCTTCCATACTATTTAACCAAGACATTCGAGAATTTGATCGTAACATGGGACCCTATCCTTTAGATCCTCCAGTTTATTATGAACGATGGAAGAAATTAACCAATTATATAACCCCAGGACTTGTTCGTCGTATTCTTCCTAATAACGGTAAAGTAAGTCATCTTCCTGACAAATCGGCGAATTTAAATCCAGAGAATGATGTAGCCATAGCTAAAGATAAACGATTGGGTAAAGCAATTGAAAAGGAAGAAGGTATGGAATTTACCGATTTTGATCTTCGCAGATCATTTCCTAAGGGAGCCACAGGTGAAGAAGTGACTCGTTGGAGCTTAGATAAATCATGGCTAGCACGTGAATTATTAAAAAAAGTGTATCATCATGGTAAAATCTCAAAAAAAAAAGAAAAAAACTATCAAATTTTTGTACTTACAAATTATTTGTATATAGATTATCAAGTCATGCTGGGTGAATTACAACTTGCTTTTGTGTGCTTATTAATGGCACAAAACTTTTCAGGATTTAATCAATGGAAGAATCTTGTGCATCTTTTATGTTCTTGTACTGAATTGATTGAAGAAAAACCAGATATGTTTATAGACTTTATGGGTAATACATGAATCGATATATCGATGTATACAAGTATATTTACTGTTATTAGATGTATTACAATTTCAGTTGAATGAATGTCCTGAAGATTTTTATCGTGATATTCTTTCTGAAAATAACTTTACAAGTGTTATGTTGAAGGTAATTGTAAAATAAATGGGATTTATCTTGTGCAGCATTTTATATAATATCTTTTTTTTTTGGATTTAGACTTTTCAAAGAAACATTCCTACATCAAATGAAAGTTTGTTAAAGCGATATAAAAAGCTAAAGAAGTTTATTCAAGTAAAATTTGACTGGGAGATACCAGGTGATGAAGGAAGTGAAGAAGAAGAAGAAGAAGAAGATGCGCCTGTAATAGTTGATTTATAAAGAAGTTATTTGCACCTTTTCTCAAAATCATGTTGCACTGAACAAAAAAGAAAAAAAAATATTCACATATATGTTGCATTTGTAGAAAAAAATAATATACAAAAATAAAAATGTAAGAATACTGGTCAAAAACAAAAAAAAAAAGCATGCACTACAATAAACTAGAATTTACCACATGAGTGTATCTTGAGGAGTCTAGCGGTAACTAGACAAGAGTTAATTAGCGTCTTTGTCTTGGCCCTGACCTGCTGTCTTGTGATCTTCTTCCACAGCGGCCTCCTAAGGACAATACGAGGAAGCTGGAATCGTTCAGGGATCAAGCCAGTCAGACAAAGGGAGCGAGACGTTATCAATCATGTCCAAAATCTCTGTTGTAAAGATGATATTCAAATCCTAAAGTAGTACAAATGGTTTTGTGGCATATAAATTGATCAATAAATAATTTTTCTATGCAATTTAAAAGCAAATATGATTTGCTATTTGGTATTTGAGCGTCTTGACCCATTCTAATAGAACCTATTTCAACACTTGAATTTCCATAAATGCGTCATATTTTTTTCTTTTCAGTGCGACGTCATTTTGAGAAAAAGGCGTATAGTAAAAAAAAAGAAAGTGATATTGCATTAACAAAAGAATTAGAGTAAATGAGAAACATTTACAATGTTTAAGGTCAGTCACTCATCCTATCTCTAAAAACATACACACACACACAGACACACACGCACGTACGCACAGTTTGTAGTACAAGAATTACAAACATGGTTTGCAAGTAATGAATGTTATTTTACTGAGTTCATTTGACTATACACATAATTATTACGTAATATTCTTTCAAGTATTACATAAGTAACTTTATCCATGTGATATAATATTTATTTCTGATCTACAACAGTTGCTTCAATGTAGATCAATAGGAAGATATTTATTATTTTTACGCGATATAAGTAATAACCTATAATTATTACAAGTATAAGATTAAATTTTAGCATATTGAATAACTAGTAGTAATAATAATAGTGGTGGAAGGTAGGTAGTATTTATAACGTTCATGGAGATCATTTTATTACTACATGTATGATGATTGGGAGAGAGGAGACAACAAAAGTTAAAGTTAGTTATAAAGATTTATTCACTATAACAATAGCATATAGAATGCTGTTATATCTATATCTATATCTATATACATGTGTGTGTATATATAAATAGATACATGACTTTTAACAAGAAAAGTGGATGATGATGTTGTTGGTCTTACTATTTTAAAGTCAGCCAATAAAAGACAAAAGGAATTTGATAATAAAATTATACATCATTTTAACTATTATTATTTTTTTTTTCTTCCTCTTCTTCTTTATTATTTATTTATGGCATTTACAATCAATTCACCACTTCCTGCAAGCTTGGCTTGTAAAAAAAATAAAATAAAATCCTTATATAATAACGACTCTAAATCTAACTATCTCTTTCCTTCTTAATATATATATATATAATATTAAATAATAGCTGAATGTAGAAAAGCAGCTCGTATCTTGAATAGTTTCACAGGTAAAGAAAAGAAGTGCCATAATGTACAGATTTATATGAACATGATTCTTATTGCTATCATCAGATAATGGAAAAGGTGTGGATATTATAATTCCAGCTAATATTTTAAGAGATGCGAAAGGTTTAGCAATATTTACCGTCTTGAAAGCGGGGTTTCTATTCTCTGGTAGAGCTGGTTCTGGTCTTGTGGTTGCAAAGTAAAAATAAAAAAATAAGCATTATTATTATTATTATTAACTTGTTATATTTATAGATTACCAGATGGAAGTAAGTCAATGAAGGAACATATACATCTATATTTCTTTTGAGGGTTTTTTTTTCTTATTCATTTTATAAACATTATATATAAAAAGGATGGTCAGCTCCATCAGCTATTATCACAGGTGGTATGGGTTTCGGTGGTCAAATCGGCGCAGAGTTAACAGATTTTATTATGGTCTTGAATACTTCAGCTGCTGTCAGAACATTTATGCATCATGGTTCAATTACACTCGGTGGAAATATTTCAGGTAAATCTTATAAAGGAGCTTTTGTCATCATCCTTTATCATAATAGACTAAAATTTTGTATTGTTTTTTTATTTATTTTCAGTGGCTGCTGGACCCATCGGAAGAAATGCAGAAGCTTCTGGAACGGCTTCGATTAAAAATATAGCAGCTGTTTATTCTTATAGTAAAACAAGAGGTTTATTTGCAGGTGTATCATTAGAAGGATCTGTGATTATTGAACGATTTGATGCAAACAAAAAGATGTATGGAGGCAAAGTACAAACACGAGATTTATTAAATGGTACAATTCCACCTCCTGCAGCAGCAGATCCACTTTACCGTGCACTAGAATTAAAATCAGGCGGTAGTGGTCGAAGAGGATATATAGATCATGACTATGATCGTAATTATGATAGTTATCGTCATCATTCATATAACAGATATGATGATACACCTAACAGTAGAAGAACAAGTGATTTAGATGACTTTAACGCATCTCCCATGTCATTTAGTCGTGCTGCTGTACATAATTTAGCTAAAACGGGTAATAGTTCTAGCTTAAGAACAAGAGGAAATGATAATTGGAGACATGATTATGATGCGCCAAAACCAATTACGGCTGGTCATTCATCTTTAAGTCAATCTTTAGTTTTATCAAATAATACACAACAACAGCAGCAGCTTCGAGCTCGTGCTTTATTTAATTTTGCAGGTGAACAAGAGGGTGATTTACCATTTCATAAAGGAGATATCATTACTATTATTAAAAAATCAGATACACAAAATGATTGGTGGACTGGAAAAATGGGAAATCGTGAAGGCATTGTAAGTTCTGTAAATATTTATATGTGTATACAAAAAATCAACTCTTTTTTTTTTATATATTTATATAATAGTTTCCTGCTAACTTTGTCGAATTATTATAACAACTTATTATTATTGTAACTTCTATTCATATTAATTTAATGTACTTGTTAGTATCTATTTAGACTGCCAAAAGTTTCATTTGTTTTTATTCGCCAAAAAAAAAAGAAAAATAATTATACTAATAGTAATGAAGAGAGAGATAGTGTGTATGTGTTTGTATATATATTACATTTTTTCCTCTTTTTTTTTAAAAAAAAAAAGAAAGAAAGATAGACGCATCTAGTAACCATTTGTAGTATGATGAATTTGAGAAGGATGTGGTGAATTTAGCTGAGAAGAACTACTACTACTTTTTACTAAATAATGTTCCCTATAATGTTCTAACATTTCTACAGCTAATTCTATATTATAAGAAAAAAAAAATGTGAATAAAAGAAAAAATGTCTAATATTTAGACCCGCCCCCTCCTTTCTTCTTCTTTACCATATACTTGTCCAACATTTATATCTTTTAGATTTTCAAACCAATTTTCATTTAGCTTATCTGAGTTTGATAAATTCGTTGCTAATAACAAAGCAGCAGCAGCTACAATTCTAGGCTTATATAATAAACATAAGGGTGCACCGAGGCTAAGTAAAATGATTATGAACTTAGTTTTAGAAGCCATATCCATTGTTATTTCCTATACCTTTGATACAATAACATCCATGCTTTACGTATTGATGACGGTGATACTACTAATCTGTTAAAAAAAAATACGAAAGGCAATTTTAGTCTTGTCCATATATTTACCCTGTAATTCTGACTCTAACTCAAATAAATGTAAATGAGGATGCTCAACTGTAAAATCAAAACAAAGAGTTTCTAATACAATAATCTCATTAAACAATAAAGTTTCTTTCCATCGAATAAAGTCCTGTAAACTAATTAGTTCTTTTTTTTTTTTTTACTACTATAAAACTAGTCCTCTGAATGAACTCACCTTGCTATCTTCTTCTAATTTTAATTTATCATTCTTTTGACCTTTTTGAGCACATGCAATAATAATATCCTTGAGTCGTCGCGTACATTCTTCAACTTTCGTAGCAACGAATAAACAAGTTGCTGCAATATCCTATTTTTAATTTTATTTTAATCAACCATTTACAACGTAAAACAAAAAAAAAAGGACTTATCGTACATAAACATGAAATCGAGCCATTGATTGCCGCATAAAGAATCGATGAAAATAGGTAGTAGCGGTAACAACAACTAATTGAGGACTATAACAAAAAAAATAAAAATAAAATTAAATAAAAAAGTTAATCAAAAACTAAAACTAAAGTCAATCAAATATAAATTTACAGGTTAAGTTTAGCACCAACAGAAAGTAGATAATGACAACCTTTGATACGATCTATCTGCTCTTCTTCAAATGTTCTACCGTCCAAAATGGTTGGTGTATCTTGTAATTCATCTTTGGTAAAATACCACTATGAGACTTATTAGTACAGGTAATCATCATCACCTTTTGTTCTTTTTTTTTTCTCTCTCTTTTTTTTTATATAGTCTACCTGATTCATCACTACCAACTTGTTGTGAAGGTTGTCTAAATTCTTTCCGTCTTACAAAATAAATTTTAACGGAAAAAAAAAGTGGCTTTACGGCATTTTGTCTGTTTGTAAATTTTGACTTTCTCTCTGTTTTTAGAATCCTCATTGTTTTTTGTGACCTTTTTTTTTTATTGTTATATTGATGAGGAAATTCGCATAAAATAGTTTATCATAGTAAACAAAACAAAGATGCATTTGCTTGTACTAATATGGATCAGTTGTAAGGAGAATATAAAGTACTTGGTCCTTATGTAATATGACTGTTTTCTCTAGTAAAGAAAAAAGAGAAAAAAAGAAAAGAAAAAAAAGAAAATAATATAGGATTTAGTAAATACAAATGTAGCTATAGGATATAAGAATCTGATATTACAGCATGTCTGATACGTGATAATACTTTTATTTGCTCAATAATATATCGTTCTATCTTCTGCACATCTACATTGATTTTATTGCTATAGAATCCAGTATTTTGGAAATATGAAATAACCAACTTAAAGAGTAAAGTAGAATAGCAGAAAATAAATAGATAGGATATATAAATATATATTACAGTGATTACATTAGGGGACTTTTGTATTATTTGTATGTATATACATATATTTATATATGAAATAGATGCTGTATAGTATTAAACAAGTTTATATACTATGCAATAGAAGTCAGCTCAGATGGTTCTTCTGTTAACATACTTATTTTCTCCTGCTCCACTGTTTTGGTATCATGATTGTCAGCTTGTTCAATTAAAATCGATTCTAATAAAGTAAGGCGACGAATACGCTTTAAGTGTAACCAAGCTGGTAAATAAAGGTAAAGTTGGGATTCACGAGGCTCTGGAATTTCATAAGGTGAACTAGTATCCTCAATTGATACTGAATCCAAAAGTAAAATATCACTTTTATCACCACTAACAACGCGAGATGCAACTGCACGAAGGATTTCTGGTCGAATAGGGTTTTCATAGTCAGCAACATGGTATTGTGAAATTAATTTTTGAACTTGAGTAGGAGAGAGGATCCAACAGACATCGTAAATATTTTCAATATCTTCTAAAGTCGCCTTTTTGAATTGAAGTAACTTTGTAGCTTGCATCAAATGTTCTAATTGTAATGTTCCTTCTGGAATACCATGACTCTTACACCATTCCTCAACACGTGTAATGTTATATTGAATTTGCATGGCTAGTCAAAAAAAAAAAAAAAAAACGGTGCGTAAGTATGATAATTACCTACATGTCAAACTTTTTAAAAACTGTTTACCTCTTTTCCACGATGAAAAATTCTTTCTCATTAAAAGATCATTAAATGCTATAACTCCTGTCATCTTTAATATTTCAATCAAGACTTGATTGATAACAGATGGCTCAATATAGTAACAAATCATAATACGATGTAACTTGTTCAAGAAATTTAGTAAATCGTCCATACTATAAGCTGGACCTGTAGCACCCAGAAGAAGCTTGTTTAAGAATCTACCAGTATCATTGGTAATAAAACCAGGAAGAGATTGACTCTCAATAAGAGCAGGAATTATTATCTTATTATATTTTCGCTTAATTTCTTTCATCCACACATGGAAAATAGTATCTTCTAAACACTGCAACTCAAACTTAATCGTTTGAATTAATTTTTCAAACTCTTTCCATCCAATCGAATATTCTCTTCGTTTCATTTCTATTTCTATACGATTTTCAGATTGTACAATCAACGATAAAAGCTCATGGACATTTGTTAACCAGAAAGCACAAGGAACAATACTTTCATCTCCAACATAAGTCTATCATTTTTTTTGTAAAGGAAAAGAAATTAATAAATTGTCATGTTTTTAACGTTTTTTTTTTTTTTTTTTTTTTTTTTTTTTTTCATAAATAGTTTACCAAGCATCGTTTTTGAATTGTCTCAATGACAGCAAATAAAAAGGTTTCAGATTCACGATTATATCCAATTCTCCACATATCATTCACACATAGACTAATAATATGTGCAGGAAACATAACTTCTTTGCGTGATGGAGGATTCTTTTCATTTGGCAATGGAAGTTTAAGTGATTGAATAAGCCCTTCCAATACTTCTTCTCTGAGTGATTCTTCTTGACGAAGAATAGCATTAATCTATCAAAAAAAAAAAATATTTACAAACATATCTTCCTTTTTCTTTTCTCCTCTTTACCTCTTCTTCTGGATTGTCAGATATAATATCTAATATACTACTCTTTCCTCCAGCAAGTGTATTTGATTGACCAACAGATGTAGGTCGAGGACTCTTCATTTTACCCAATTCTTCTATTTTACGGATTTGTTCAATAGAAGTCTTTGGAACATTTCCAGTCACTTCAGCAGAACTATTGCGACGTAATTTTCTGTTTATTAAAACACTATTTTGTCGTATTGTCTTATAACCATTCTCTTGCGGTATTGTTTCTACGAGAGGATGCTCATCAGTAAAGCGAGACATGTGTCGTCTATTACCAGTATGATTTGAAGGAGAAATAGTTCTATGACTAGCGTTTGAAATGTGTTTGGTAGGAGGAAGAAGTGATGATTGTTGACGTGTATGCATAGATTTAGCAAGTTGTGACTTCAATGCTACAATTTGTGCCTTTAGATCAGCTACTTCATCATTTCGAGCTTTGATTGCTTCTTCATTTTCTTCCTCTTTCTTCTTCTTGTTCAATTCTACTACTATTGTCTTGTTCTTTTCCTTTTCTTTATTTAATTCTTCTCTAAGTTGATCTAATTCAGTTGTTAATTGTGTCACTTTCTCTAATGCTATCGCGTGCTCTGATGCGAGTGTTTCCTTTTCTTTCTTAAGAGTCTCAAATTCAGAAGAAGGAACAGTGTTTTGACGTAAGCTTTGTTCCATAGCTTTAGAATCCTTTTCCATCTTTTCATGTCTATCTGTCCAGTATTGTAGTTGAGTTTCAAGATGAGATAATTTGCTATGCATTTCCTTCTTCTCAGCTTTTAATGTATCCACTGTTTGCGTTAATTCAACCACTCTATTCTCCAACTTGTAAGAGATCTCTTTGAAATGGTTGGCAGATTTAGCCTCTACTTTTAAAGCAAGTAATTGTTTGTAAGCAGCACGACGACGAATACATGATTGTAAGAAAGTAACGTATTGAAGCTGTGTCTTGTACCATTTGCGAGCAATCCTATTATAAAACATATAAGTGAGACTTGACATGAAATGAAAACAGCAAGAATTATCTTTAATACATACATTCCTCTAACATGACGTTGGATTTGGATGGCGGCATTATTCTCTCTTAATTTTTGACAATCTTGACGGGCCATACGTGCACGAATAGCTAAAATAAATAAATAAAACAAATGTTATTTAGTTTTTTACTGATAGTATAACAATAATAATAATAATAAATATACAAACCTGTCTGTAACTTAAGAATAAAGCCTTTCTTTGCCAAATACTCTTTACGAACCCTATATCGACGGAAATAGGTTTGAATGATGGTAGCTGCCTTCTCCTGTTGACGACGAACAAGTTCCTTTTGTGCAATTCTTTTACGAGTAAGACATTGAAGTCGAATTGCCAATTCACGTATACGCAGATAACGATGACGATATACAAAACGACGAATGTTCTTTTGAAGTATAGTAGCACAAACGTTAAATTTGTCGGATCGAAGCTTCTCAAGATAGGCCAACTGACCAGCACGGAAAAAGATCTTTGTCTCACCCATTTGGTATTTATCTGTATCTTGAATGCAAGTATCCAAGATAATTTGACAAAGACTTTTTACCTCTGGGTTTTCCTTAGGGTCCCAATAATGAGAGGATACTAAAGCATAATAGCGTTCAGCGAATTCTTCGTATGTCCATCGAGATGGATAACCTAAACAACTGATACGAATTGTCTCCAGCACACCACAAGCACGAAGTTGTGAAAGGACCATAGGTGCTTCAAAATCCCAAGCCACTTTTGCTTCGTTAGGTTTAATACAACGAATATAATGCACATTTGTACTTTCGATAGTATCCATTAAGCTAATCAAAGAATGTTTAAAGATAGAACCTAGTGTTGGTTTCCTTGAAATTAAACTCTTTCTTTTATTTTCCTATTGACAAAAAAAAATAATAAATATGTGTATATGTATATATTTTCGATTAGTTTAATTATATAACAATTATTTTCTTACCTTTGAAATAATAGCAGCATTCGCAGCCTCAGTTGATTTGGCTAATATTTCCTGAAGGAATGGAAATTCTGCATTTTGCAATAATTGAAGATGTTCATCGGGCACAGAGTCTTTATTTTTTTCCAAAAAGTTTTCAGTCTCATATTGAACATCATGTGCATAATGAGCGATTGTGAATGCTTCGTTTGAGAAACGAGGTTTTTTGAAATAGTTTTTATATTCTGGATTATTGAAATTATCATATAATTTTTGACAAAATCCCTGATCAGTACCAGCAGGAAGACGAGATTCCTATAATTTATATAGTGTTATACTATGATTCTTTTCGACCATTTTTCGAGAAAAAAAAAGAAAAAAAACTTACCTCATCTAAAAGAGATAGGATACCTAATTTTCCTTCAATAATCTCGATACATTTTTGGTTATCACTAAACTCAATAAACGTCCAATTAATCTTTTCACGCATATATTCTTCTTGCTCTAATTTAAATACATGTTGATTGAACTTAAAAGAAGAGTAGTTAATTAAAAAAAAAAAAAAAACTCCTTGTTCTAATTATGAATTACCTGCTGCTGAAGTTTTTCATTTGCATAATTAATACAAAATTGTTCAAACGAATTCTTTTTAAAGTGCTCAAATCCATAAATATCAAGAACACCAATAAAATTGCTAATATTATCAGGATTTGGACAAGAAAGGCTTTCATTAATGATACCCACAAGCCAATCAAATAAATTTGAATAAATGTATTTTGCAACAGAATCCTTTACAACATGAGCTTGAGTTGGATTTAAATTAGTGATGATTTTCTCAGAACGGGTAATGATTTGCTTTCGAACAATCCATTTTCGGAATTCGTCGAGTTTAATACCCAATAAACGAGTAGCGATTAAAAGAGCGTGGTCTGTATCAGAGACGATAGCATCACCACGACCTGTAATTTTGATATTACCAATATGTAATAAGGCAGCTAATACTCTGAATATCCTCCATTGTAGATCCACTGATAGACCTACGGTTGACAATGCCTTTTGTGTTATTTCAAACTCTTCTGCATCATCTACCCCAGGAATTTCTCCTGTTCCGCTTTGATTCAAATAATGAAAATCTGAGTAACTATTTCCTATCTCGAAATTTTGTCTCTCTTTTGAAGGAGCACCGGCACAAAGCTAAATAGACTTGTGTAAGTGATGTATGACGTAGAGAAGGGGTTCTTACCTGGTAAAATATATGATAATTTCTTTCAGTTTCAGGTTGAAATATCAATCTGGATCTTTCCAATAAATATGTTTTTATCTTTGCACCAACAATGTTTGTATCCTTATCAAATTGAATTTCAATATATTTACCAAATCGTGAACTATTATCATTGCGTGTCGTTTTTGCGTTACCAAAAGCTTCCATAATAGGATTTGTAGCTGTGGAATGAATGCAGGCATGAATAATAATGGAAATTAAGACCATTTATTTATTCATTTATTTACCTAAAATCTGTTCTTCCACTTCAGTCATCATCCCCTCTGCTTTTCTTTTCTTTTTATTTGTTGTTTCTTGGTCATCAGCAGTTGCAAAGTAACGCATGATATATTTCGCACTCACAGTTTTACCTGCACCACTATATGTACACATATAAATATTACACACTCTTATTCAATTTTCTTTAGTCTTATTCTACCTTTCTCCAGATACAACAATCGTTTGATTTCTTTTCTCTCGAATCATACAACGATAGGCATCTTCTGCAATAGCGAATAAATGGGGTTCAAGCTCTCCTCGTTTTTTACCAGAATACTGTTGAATAATATCTGGCTCATAAAGTGATACTCTATCAAATGGGTTCACAGCAATCAAAACAATGCCCGAGTAAGTATAGATTAAGTGTTGCATATATCTTGTCCTAATACTATTTAAAACTGGAGGAGAGAGAGAAGGATAAATATGGATACCAGAAATAAAGCTTTATTATCATATTGTTGTTGTTGCATATATATATATATATAATGTTACCGGAAGGTTCATTCAAATAACTTAGATTAGTCAAGTCATCCGTATATTCTATTTTAGGTGGATTTCGAAGTGGTGGTAAAGTCGAACCATTTGTTTTAGTAATGTGATCGATGGTTGATTCAAATACATGTTCCTAAAATTTACAAGATTTCGTTATAACCATTTACTTTATCTTTTCTCCAAGGGCTTTCTTTTCTTTTCTTTTCTTTTTTTTTCTTTTCATTTTACCTTGCCGTTATTATCGTCTTCAAAAATGATGATAACTTTATCACCTTCTGTTTTATTTGATATACAAGACGCTGATATCCAACCTTCTTCTTTATCGGGAAACCAAGCTTTAGTTCCTTTTGTGTATACTTCAATAGCTTGACTTGCTGTAAAGTTTATGGTTGCCTCCCCTTTTGACATTCTTTTTTTTTTTCTATTTCACTATGATAAAAAAAATAGAAAAAAAAAAAAAAAAAAGGTAAAAATGATTCCGTTCTATAAAAAAAAAAAAAAAAAAAAAAAAAAAAAAAAAAACTTTAAATTTATTTTTATGAAAAGGTAAAACATGATTTACCTCCATACCGACACCCCCAAACTTGGCTTTTGGATAAAAAGAAAAAAAAGAAAAGATGCATGTTGATATATTTTGATAAGGAATACTAGATATATTTTACTTTTTTTTTATTTCTTTATTTTTTTAAGGATATTAGTCATTTTATACTATTCAATCTTTAGTATCAATTACTACTGTGTTTAGTGTAATGGCTAAATGTCACTGATGGGTTGTCTTACTGTACCAAGGTTTAATCAGCCAATCAAAAATGAGTTTATGCTAGAATAAATGTATTATGATGTCAATTTTTTTGTTAAATTAAAAAAAAATATACATATTAGATAATCTCCACATTTTTGAAGCAAGGCTTATATTCAAAAATACAATACAGTTATAAACAATATGTTTGATTATTGCTCATATTATAAATGAGTAGGTAACAGAGATTAAGTTATTCCTAAAACGAATTAGTTTTTTTTTTTTTTTTTTTTTTTTTTTTTTTTTTTTTTTTTCTGCTGTTTAAAAGCTGATTATAAAGAATTCATGCCTAGACTATAAAACTGCCTTGAAAAAAAAAGAAATTACATCACATTTTTGGATTGATATAAGATAATAAGTTTATTAATATAAATAGAACGTATTGTTAATTTTCGTTGATTAACTTGCATTTCTTCTTCTCTCACCAAGACGATTCAAATGGTCCAGTTTACCATGAGCAAATATAATTAAACTAATGAATTCTCGGCCATACCTATGAATTAAGCCATTGACAATGGGAATCCAATGTCGTTTTCTAGTATTTGAAAACCAGTTTTTAATCTGCATAAAGTCTAAGCCTGTTTGACCTAAAAGAAGCTCTTTCTCCTTCTTTGTCGGGAAAGGGTTGTACCAATGTCTTATAAACCAATTTTTTAATATCATACGTGACCCCTTTAAATTTTGTCTTCCCTTATAGATACTACAGAAATGATCAGGATAACGTGGTATTCGAATTTGTCGTATCATTTCAGAGAGTTGGCTCATAAAACAGGCCTCTGAATTGGACGATACGCGAATCGTTTTAGGTAAGCATGTGATAACAGCTTCCAAAAGTGCAGACTCGGAGAGGTGTCTATATTTAATGGATGAATGAGTAAATACAGAAGTCGAGATAGGATTATTAGACACAGTAGTAGAAGAGGTAGACGACGGAAGGTTTGAGTTCGAGTTCGAGGATGCAGAGTTTCCGTTTGAAATAGCTAGAGAAGAAGAACTTGATAAAGAAGGATATTCATTTGTCCCATTGGTTTGAGATCTAAAGAACTGAACTTCATTATCAGATAAAGAGCCTAAATAACACTACAATATAAAGATGAACATATTATTTATTTATTTATCATAATACAATAGAATCTATTTTGATGTGTAAATTACTTTATCATAGCCCATTTTCCTTTAAAGAGAGAGAGAGAGAGAGAAAAAGAAGAAAATATGGCAATAAGTAAAATGTCTACTTCATGATTTGGCTTTATATAATATTTGTAAAAAAGAGAAACAAAGAGAGTGCAAGTAATAACAAAAACAACAGAAAAAAGGGGAAAGATAAAGGGGTAAAAAAAAAAATACATTGCACATCAACAATGTATTTTCAGATAACGTCTATGTTTATTTTATTTATTTATTTATTTATTTATTTTTTGTTTTTTTGTTTCCTTCTTTGTATTTTAGGTAGTATTCAACACATATTGTCTGTGCATATTGCATTTATGGTATTACATGTATTCCTTTATACAACATGTGTGCTTATTAAGATATACACTGTAAATAGGCATTTTACCTTTTATAGGAATTTTATTAATAAGGCTCTTGTGTTCATTGTTGAATCTTCTCTATAATAGATACCTTTTTTTTTTTGCCCATTATATGTATAATAGATCATTTATAATGTTGTCTTCTATTACATTAGCTTATTCTATATACTATTTATGCTTTTATTTATTTATCTATTTATTGATTTTCCAGTTTAAATAAAATGATTGAGTTACAGGTAGAAAAAATAAAATAAAATAAATAGATTCTATAACTACATAGAATGTATACCATTTAAGCTGATACTTTTTCTTTACCTTTAGTAGTGTTCTTGATTATCTCTTCTGTTGTATTCATTGTTGAAAGAGGTGGCATCATAGGCTTCGCTTCTGGATTACCATGTTGACATACAATACATTCCTGTATATATCCAAGTTGTTGTTCTAAACATTTTGTATGAAAACCATGGCCACAATGAAACAATACATAGCGTTCATCATCATCATCATCATCATCATCATCGTCATTCTCTTCTATTGGTTTTTCATCTTCAAATCCCCATGCCAAAGGTGGCTGCAATAATGTAAGATCTAAAATATTTGCACCACAAATCTCACATACAGCTCGTGCTGGTCGCCATCCTTTACCACGCTTTTCTACCATATCCTGTAAACTACTAAACACATCTCGGTCAAATAACTTATTTGTCATTTCAAGCAGCTTTCCCTCATATTTATAAGTATCTAACATGCTTAAAAATACATCCCTAAAGTCTGCAAAGGTCGTTTCACCTCGTGCCTGAGAATGAATTAAACGTAATAATAATCGTGGTAAGGATACTTGAGGTGATGTGGATAGTAACAGAGATGTTAAGATGGATTGTACAAATAATTTAAATGAAGATGTAATACGTTGGTGAATTTCAATTGGGACGTATTGATGATCATTTTCTCCACCTAAGGTATTATAGATCTCAATAGAGCCCTCAACATAAGCATCTAATAATTGGAACCATAGTGTTTCTACTTGATCATTATGTACAAATTCATGGTGGCTTGTTGAATCATCTCCTACTGAACTATCTTCATAACTTAATTCAGGTATATATGCCTCATCAGAACCTGTCTGGTAAGGTGTCGTTGCTGATATGTGTGTTCTACTACTATTTTCACAAAGTCGTGTACTCACTCGTAAGACACCATTTAACCCTATGAGAGAACTAGATATCATGCTCAATTCTTCATAGCTCCAATTACTATCTTGAGTTGTTTGATGCTGTTTTAAGATTTGTAAAATGGTTGTATTTTTATCTTTTGCCACATGCAACATCTTTTCAAGTGCTCCTTGTGTATCACCCTTCTTTTCCATAATCCAAACGACTGCATCCATGACTCCATACTTTTCACAACTTTTAAGCGCATTATCTAATGGAATAGTTGTATTTAATCTTGTATTAAAATAATTATAGACACCGGAAGGATCAAAACGACACATGAGTTCAATGTAACGTTCTTGAATAGATACATCTACAAGAGAGGCATGGGCTTCTATCATTTGTCCTTGATGCATACCATTTGATAACAATGGTTCTTCTTCTTCTCTTTCTTCGCCTTCTTTGCCTTCTTCATAAGGCTCTAATAACCCTCTTAGATATGAAAATAGATGTTTATCTGCTGTAGCATGATGCTCATCATCGTCAAATTCTTGATCTTCTTCTAAACGGCGTATAGCATCAGTATGATTGCCATTCATAAAGTTTTCCACGATATAGGCCGTCTTTTGTCCATCAATTTCAACAAATTGTGAAATACGAATCATAAAGACACGCTTTACTTGTTCCTTTTGCTGATCGTCAAGTTCGGAAGAAGTTAATAGGTTTGTAAAACAATCAAAGACTTGGTTGCGACGTTCATCATCCTTAAGATAGGCCTCAACAAGTTTACCATATTTTTTATCACGTCGATATACATCCTCAAGTACCTTCCAAAATCCAGCATCTTCATAGAGGACCACAATTTGCTCTTCATTAGCAGGTGTATAGACGGTTAAAAGCTTTTGTACAGCTCTTTCACGTTCAACACGTGTATCTGGATCATGATCTTCGGCAAGCCTTACAAGAACCTTGTGTAAGGTCTTTGGAGGTAACAAGATAAATGTTGTATACATATGTAAATTGGAAGCAATAAAGATGTAGAGTAAAATAATGTTTTCATTCGAGACATAATCATATGGGTGATCAAGGAAGGAGGGTATAGGCCGAGTGTTGGCACTAATAGAATGTACAGTGGAAGCTGAAAAGGATTGTTTAGGTCTTGGTGGTGGAAGTGGTAGACCATTCCCTGTTAACCCACCCCCCATAACATCAAGTAGTGTATTAATGATGATTTGTCGTGAAATAACTTTACCGGGAACCTCATCTTCAAACTTGGAGCTCAGGATATCTTCACCACCATTGAGCCAAGGATCTTGAAAGGCAACTTCCATAGCTTCCAAAAAATGTTTAGTACTAAATCGAAGTAATAATCTTAGGTAAGGATAAGTAGGCTCAGAGACACCTTCCTCATCATCAGCGGTTAGGATCAATTTACCTCCTACAGGAGGCCAAACCATACAACGACCTGAAAATACAAATGAATACACAGCACTGCGAGCGTCACTAGCTTCATTAAGAGTCAGCATCGAGGACCCTTCAGGATAAGATCGGCCTGTCAAAATTAACTTTAGGTAATCAAACAATTTTTCTGCATTTTGTCGTTTATGACTACAATCTTGATTTTGGGCTTCTTCACGTAAGACACTCCGAATCACTTTGAGCATCTCTACAACAGGACTTACATAATCATGCATACTTTTATTCCAAACATACATCATAGCTTCATACATGCCCTCCCGATGGCACATACTTACAATTTGATCAATGTCTAGATAGTGAGGATTGACATGCCAAATAACTTGCTCCAGTTCATTCAAAAGGCGCTTCTTACTGTAGTGATCAACAAAATCCTTCATAATGGAAGGTGGTATATCGGGCACACGATCTCCTACAATAAAGGGCTCTAAAACCTCTAAAAACACTCCTTGGACGTTATTTTCTAAAAATCTTTCATAGACCGTATCAAATAAAAATTCTGTTTGATTCATACTAAGACAGGCTTCAATACAGTTCTTTGCCAACTCATAGAGTACTACTAGCTTATCATGTACAACTTCGTTCGTCATACCGCCATAGACATGTTCAGATGAGAATGCATAGTTTAGTGAAGCCAAAAGAAGATCCATAAGCTGCTCTCCAACAAGAGTCTTTCTTTCCTTTTCATCTTCAGGGAGGCCGACAACAGTTTGAACGCCCACACCATTATAAAAGGAAGTAGCAAGTTCAATACTTTCTATAAAATCGCCGGCTTGGACAAGAGCCAGAATACGATCTGCCCATGAAAGTAGTGTACCTATATAAAGTTGTTGCATACCTAATAAAAACAGTTTCCCTTTATAGCTCTTGATAGACCCAAAATAAGCCATTTCAATTGATCTAGGGTTAGCAGTTTCAGAAGATTCAGTAGAAGTCAAGTCTTGCAAGGGCTGATTAAACCAATCATGATAGACCAACTGCTTAGTTCTAATACTTGTATGTTGCGTTTCTGTCATACTTTTAGGGTCAAAAAGGATCATTTCCTCATTAGGTGTAAATAATACAATTATCTTTTAGACAAAGATAATAATAATAATAATAATAATATATATTTAGTTATCTTCCCTTAGGTCATTTTATTTCTTTTTACCTGTTTATTAATCCATTGAATTGCTACAATTGTATCTCTACATTTCCATTCACCAATTTTAACAAATTCTAATTGAATACCTCGTTTATTTGTTTTAGGTGGAGTCGCAGGTAATCTAGTTACTCTTCCATTTTGCGTAACATATTTATTATCTTGATTAACACTAATACGAATAATAAAAAGATGCTTTCCCCATGCAAAAGCAAGCATAGGTTCTAACGGTAATGAATTGTCTTTACCTACATACATGTATAAGTATATGGGAATAACGATAAACAATAAATAACTCTTTTCTTGTTTTTTTTCACCTTTTACAAATTCTTTAGTTATAGTATTATTTCTAAGTTTGGTTGTCGGTAGCCATGCCAAGCAACCAGAGAGTGTCTCAACATTTACTGATGACCCATTTTCGATGTCTATTTTATGATCTAAATGAACAGAAGATTCTCTGGGTTTTAGAAACTTGTAAAGTGTTTGTGGAGTAGGCTTTAAACCTACAATAATTAACTAACAAAAAACAAAAAAAGAAAAGAAAAAGGATTAAAATAAGAAGTCGATATTTGTATTATAATTACCTTGTATGGTTTTAGTATAGCGACAAGTCCAAAATTTTCAGCAGGATGGGGTATCTGACCAAGAGGTAAGGGTTGCATAGCAAAAACAGTATTAGGTTTTCTTGGTTTTGTAACTAGTAAAGGTGTTTGTAAACGAGATCTTGCAACAACAGATTGAATCTTAGGAGTCAATGATATGTTTTGGTAACGTCCCGAAATGCGGGTGGTATCGACTGCATTGACCATGATGACCTTATATAAAACGTGATAAAAAGCCATTCCTTGATCATCTCCTGATACAATATCAGATTTTTTGACTCCTACAAAACCAATATGTAAAATAGCTGCTCCTTTTACATGACCCTCCTTTCGAGGTGCTTGATGATGAGGAGTTGCTAATGCACCAGCTACTTGACTTGGTGAAATGGGATCAATGGTACGTATAGGTTGATGAGGTCTTCGAATATCCCATATAACAATATGTCCTTGGGCATGACCACAAGCAATTGTTGTATGATCAGAAGATATAGCTAATGATGTTACTGAGCCTAATTCGATAGCTTTATATATGTGCATATATTTAGAATAGATTGAAGTTTATATAATATAATGTACTATTTTACCTCGAGCACTTTCACCAAGTATGCATTTTAAATTCTGGGAGTAGTCATAAACAAATACTAAACTACGAGTTGTACCAATGGCGATTACACCACTAACAATGATAACAGAAACCAAGCCATTCTCCTTTTTCATTTGATCAGAATAAAGTTGGGATGATATTTTTATGAGTGGTGTCCATTTAAATGCATCCCATGGCTCTATATTTTCTTTCTCAGCTGTTGTATTTGATTGATTTTCTAACGTATCAAATGAAGATTGAGGAGAACTAGTACCCGAATCTAAATATTGTAGTGAAAGTTGGCTACTACTGATAGGGGAACTGAAAGATGGACGCTTAGATGAAGAAGCAGATAAAAAGGATGGTGTTTCTGCTGCTATTTTAGATAATTCAGAAGGAGAATTCTAAATACTAATGTTAGTAATAAAAAAAAATACATTTCTTTCTTCTTTGTGACTCACAAAGTTTAATAGGCTTGAACCTGAATCATTTACTGTATCAGAAAACTCTTCTTCCTCTTCTTCTTCTCCCGATGATTCATTTAAAATACTCTCCAGACTAAGATAATTAGCTATAATTTTGACATAATTAAAACATAAAATACATTTATATCTTATTATTATTTACCTTTTTTTACAAATTCTTCATAAAGCCCAATTTCCTTTGTGATATCATCTAATAAATTAAGTACTTTCTCCTTCTTCTTTTCACCAATATTTGACTGAGTCATGTTATTAACTACAAGAGGGCCTCCATTAAGATGAATATACAAATCATCTCTAATTTTATAAAGTCCGTTTAATCGCGTTTGAATCATTGTGTCAGATACAACTGGTAGATCTAGTTCGGGGATTCGAAGTGCATAAAACTTTTGTTCTAATAGTATAAGTGAGGGAACACCATTAATAAGACGAGTTTGATATGGAACAGCGTTCAGCACTTTCAAAAGTGGATCCGGCTGTTGTTGTTTCTGCTGCTGCTTTTGATGATGTTGCTGTTGTACATGCTCAAGAAGTTGAGGTGACAATAAAGCTTGATTAGAGAAATTGGACCGAAGAGGTGTATTAGGTCTGAATAAAGGAAGAAAACTAAATTAGAGAATTGAAATATAAATAAATATAAAAAAAAAGATTAAATGTAAGACCTACGTTGAATATTCTGAATTAATAGATTGTGATCTTCTATGGCTCATGTAGTTCTTTAAATTAGCCAAGTATTTATCAGCTAATGCACGATCTTCTAAAGCTGCTCGTAAATCATCTGGTAACTCTGCAGTTGCAGTATCGAGATCAATATCTATATGATTAAATAATTCTTCATCTTCATCCGAGCTTTCTTCAAGTACTTCTTTTAATAATGTATCATAATTTCTACGAAATTTTATAGTACTTGTACTTGTACTAGGTTCCATTACAGGTGATTCTATTTTATCATCGGCATCTTTTTCATCTAAATTCATGTTGAAAAAGGAATTAAATTGAGATAGCTCTCTATAAATAAAAAAGGGATATAATAAAAGAATAATCCTTTAATGTAAGCCGGGTCTCAAAATTTGTATGCAATTTTTTTTTCTTTTCTAAAAAAAAAAAAAAAAAAAAAAAAAAAAAAAAAAAAAAAAAAAATCAACAGACTATAACTTTATTTATTACATTAAAAACAGTGCCAAAGGACGGTTTTTGAAATTGAGGGGCGAAAAATAAAATATAAAATGGGAGTACAGCCAGTACGATGGATATTGTCGTATCAGATTAGCTTAAATTGTCGTAATGTTTTCCTCTTCCTGAGCTCTTCCTTTTGTTTAATACATTTTTTTGTTTCTGGTTTGAGTCATGGATAGATCTTATTTATTAAGAAGATGGGCGCAATAACCTGTACGACGAGAAGGGTACGAAAAGTTTATGATCCAATGGAGAGTGTTCTAACTGAGATAGCATGTTCCTAATATCTTTTATATTTCTATTTTATTGAACCAAAGACGACCCGAATCCTTTAACAAGGTTATAAAAATAAATATTTAGAACTGACGCGATATCTTATTTAGTTGGCACGTTTAGATGATTGGATATCAATAAGTTTAATATTATTTACAGAATGTTAGATACAGAGTTTTATTCTATGTTCAGGCTTATAGTTTGTCCTGTATTATATAATTCATCTTTTATAGTATTAATTATGCTTATATTCAGAGCTTGTTCTATAACAAATCTCATAAAAAGATTCATATATACTATAACCCAACCGATATAACAAAGTATATCATTTGATATTCCAATATAGCTTATTTATAATAATAATAGTAAATATTAATATTAATATTAAAAGAAGTAGCCTTTTTTTTTTTTGACCGACATATATAATATTAATCTTTTTCTTTTTCTTTTAATACTTCTTTTTTTTCCACAGCCAAATCATTAAAGTTTTTTATTTAAAATGCATAAATCTAATATTGTGAATGAAATACACAAGTTGTAAAAAAGAAGTGTTCATACTTGTTTTAAAAGTAAGTCATCAGATAAGACAGTCTATTGCTATCGTGATCATGGTAATAAAAGAAAAATAAGACACAAAAACTATAGTATAGATAGGACACTTTGCATAAGAAGCTTGACTAAAAGTGCAAAATAGATAAATGATAGTATGATCGTATGTTGGTAGTTTATTATATATATACTTGGAATTATGACACAGGTTGTCCTTTAATATGTAATACATTTATTCTATTAGTACGTAACATATGATTCTTTTGTCTTTTTTTTTCTGTTCAAATATATATTATAGACTGTTCTATAATCTAACAATAAGGATTACAAAAAAAAATGAAAGTAAGTTAAAGTAGTAGTAGTGGTGGTGGTGCTAGTGGTAGTAGATAATACTGGTATTGTGTAGTGATTATTAACATTAGTAAGGATGTGTTGGTAATAGTATTGTAGTTGTAGGTATAAATGGCGGTGGTGGTATAAGTAGAGTGTTTATAGTAAACATAGCCCTATGTGTATCCTCTATTTCTGATGAAAGTAACACGGGTGTTTGGAGAGTGACTAGAATTCGCAGCATATTTAGCCCAAGCCTAGGCTGTGGAATCGAATCACTTCAAGGGTTCCCCACCAAATCAAATGAACCCTTAATTTTTTTAATTATGCTTATTTTTGTACTACACCAGCAACTCCTTTTTTTTTTCTTTTTACACCAGCAGTAGCATGAATAATGATGTTTTAGGACTATATTTTACCAAGCAATGGTAGTAGGTACAGGAGGAACAGTAGTAATCACAACTTTGCTATTATTAACTGATACTATTATAGTCAGATCATATACCAGAAATAAATTCTTTAAACGCTTCCCACCTTTTTATATACATATGTATATATCGTATGGATGTATGTTATATACCTTGGTGCCATTATGGTTATCAAGCCATAAAAAGATAATAAAGTGTCTAAAAAGTCTTATTTTAAGCATGTATAGATACAAATCTATAGTTGCTATGTTTGATCATAATCAACATCTTAGGAAATAATCACAAGTAAACGTAATATACAGACTCTTTTAATTGATTAACCGCAAGCTTCTCTAGCTAATAATACATTATGTTATGGCTTAATTAAGAATAAAAACTTAAAAAGCTCTACCAAAAATATTGTAATAACAATGAATATCTCTCTATAAACTAGTGTAAAGAAGAGTGTTCCTGATTACTTCAAAAAAAGAAGATATTGACAAATATAACAATTCTGTCACTGTAACAGTAATGAATGCAAGGATATTTCTTTTCCAGAAATATTCAACATTTTTTTTTTTTTTTTTTTACTTTATTTTACTGACACGTTATCTAGATATTGTATAAACAAAATGAATAATCTCAATTCTTCCTTTATCCAATTTTACATTTAAAGTTAATATTTTGCCTCATCAAAAAAAAAAAAAAAGTTGAAATGGACTACCTAATAAATCTCTTGTTCTGAGTAGTATATTTCCAAATACTTGTCAATGCCTACAAACCTGAAGGCTAAAAGAGGTTAAGGATAATATTTTAAAAGCCGTAAATTATACAGGGAAGACAGTAGTAATACGAACATTATTGCTATGGATGGTTATTATTATTTTAAGGAAAAAATAGGGATCATCAAAACTAATTATTCTAACTGATATATTCATTACAAAAAGAGATATTTATACCGTTCCTGAGATAAAATGCAGCAACAATAGAGATTTGAAAAAAAATTTTTTTTCTTTGTTATAAAAATACATTTCCTCCTTTATATTTGGTATATAGTAACATGTTATCTATCATTCCTCTTATCTCTCTTTTAGTCTTTATAAAATTTCTTTAAAGCCATTGTAATCATTGAAATAGAATGATTCATTTTAATGTACTTTAAATAAAATAAATAATAATAATTATATTACAGCAAATCTAAAGTTTCTTGATCATGATATGATCTGTATCTTCTTGTGAACCTAATTTGAATGTATGGCTTCCCACTTTAGAAAAACCTCGACGTGTATAAAAGCTAATAACTGAAGGATTATGCTCCCAAACACCTAACCGCACCACATTATTTGTTTGCTTAATTGACGGGCTTTTTCAAGACTTGACGTCATGAATTGACTTATAATATCATGTTCCTTGATTAAACAAGCGGATCAAGGAATTCTATCTAGATTCCCCTGAAAAACTCTCTTGATCCACTCCATCAAACAATATTAAAATTTCTAACACTTCATTATCTATAACACTTTTCTGATTCACATCTTATTTCAGGCCTCATTAACAATTTTTATAAATACCCTATCCATTTAAATTCATAAATAAGGTGATTGACTTTAGAACCATTGTTCACTCTCGTTGACTTTCTTTTGTCTTTATATTATTTTTATTTTATAATATTTTTTATTTAATACGTTACAAGTAATATCACAGTTTTATCTATGATTTTAACCGCTAGGTATTCATATAAGAATATCTAAGATCAGATAGTATTAGAAAAGTATTAGTTACGACAGAATGATCCTATTTAGTACCAACTTTCTTAAGTTCATGTAACATGAAAAAGTATAATACATAAATAAGTTGAAGTCGATTTCCTTTATATTATTTGTCCAGGTACTTTAAATCTGGAGTTTAATAAAGAAAGAGTAAGTGACTCTGACTACACCTATTTATTTCGACGGTCGTTGAATTCTTATTAAAAAAAAATTGTTTGATGATATAAGATTATAGCATATGCATGCATAAAAGGGAAATATTTTTTTTTGTTTTTTTTTTGAATACCACAACTCGGCAACTACACCTAAAAGCTTGGGTTTATAAAGAAAAAAATTGAGGTAAATAAAACAACTTGATCGGAAAGGGCAGCGCCTTTCTGTTGGCCAAGCGGCGATCATGGAGAGATGAACTTTGTTAGCTGTAGATGGGAGTGATTAAATAATAAAATCGGGGTTAGTTCTGAGCTTTGATGATAACATGCTACCTTCCAGGATCCAATGTTCAACACCAGGCCTTCAATGGAGGTCGATAAAAAGATGTTGTTAAATCGCGGGGTAATTTCCTACCATGCAAGAGAGGAAAGCCCGCAGCATTGAGAGAATTCCTGGGAGTAACACGGCTGTAGTAGAAGTAAACAAGAACAGAATCTAATCCACCTCTACACTATAAAGGACTTCCTCTTCAATAATTTTTTTTTTCTCATATAAAATAAAAAAAAATGAAAAGAAAGGAGGATGGGCTCTAAAGTTAATACGTATTGTGTAGTACAATTGCTATAAAAAGTTACACGTTATTTATTTAGAACCACTATCATACTTGTTGCGGTTACAGAATACTTGTAAATTATAATATGTAACAGTAAGGAAATTAGTTTGGTTATACACAAAGACTTGAAATAGAAGAAAGAATACGTAAAGAATTGACAAACGAAGAAGATATTATTAAATTTAACAACAACGTACATGAAAAAACATAAAAGAATAAGTTATCATAAAAAAAAAAACCCCTGTATGGCAAAAATAAGCACACAACTTTTTATAGAACACAGTTTTGGGATAAAGAAAAAAAAAATATTAGTTCAGAGGCAATCGACTCATCAATGATAGACGAAAATAATAATAATAATAATAATAATAATAATAACATAATATAATATAAATAGTAAATTTTTATTGATGGTGGAACAAAAAAAAAACCAGTATGAAACTGATGGCAGACTTGTTATAGCTGATACATCAAATAAGCTATTCAACATTAAAAATAACTACTTTAATGATAAGGAAGGATATCAAGGATATTGACTTTGTGGCCAAAACTGATAAAAATGATAAAAGATCTATGAATCCTTTTAACATTGGTAGTTGGGTAAGAAATGTAGAGAGCTATAAAAGCTTTAAAAGTTGTGACAATGACCAAACAGGTAAATTTGGTATTTCCTTAGTGAATTCTACAAGACAAATAACCTATGGATTGAGGCTATATATTGTTAAAATGAGAGTTATGGGCATATTTTAAGTCATAAAAAAAAAGGCGATTTTGATTTTTGATGTTTTCAGAACGAATTCTAACGTTAAAGCAAATATCATTCATTTCTGATTAATATACACATAAGTCTCTAAAAATTAAAATTGGGTATCTCTAATATGACGGATGCTGAAGCTTTTGATAAGTTCTTAATTGCTAGTCTCTAATCAAACAAAGCTAAAATCCGTATAAAGGATGCAATTGATATGGATAATCCTATATTGAGTGAAGTCATTAAAGTCGTTTATCACACATATGGGGATAATTGACAAAAATTATAACAGTAGTGTGAGTTCAAATAATGTGCGTGGTAAATGTGATGGTATGGCTTAAAGAAGAGCAAAGAGAAAGAAGAAAAGAAAGAAAACAAAAGGAGGTATAGTTTGAGACTGTTTATTCAATGTAAAAAGAATGATATAAAGACTATTTCGTGTCTAAACAACTACTTGTGTTTATGCTAATGAATCCTGAAATCAAAGAAATAAAAATAACTATAAAAAAGACAAGTCATGAAGCAGTGTTAGTATTCAAATATACATTGTGCTGATTCAAGAGACTGATTTATGGATTATCTATTTGGTGCTGTAATAATCTGATTTAAGATTTAAATCGTTTGATCTGAGTATATAGGTTCCTGATGTCTATTTTAGTGAATCAAAGACGACCTGAATCCTTTGTCAGGGCTATAAAAATAAATATGTAGAAATGATACGATGTCTTATAATTGATACATCTAGACAATTGGATGTCAATAAGTTTTATATTATTTACAAGATGTTATATACAGAGTTTTATTTCAAATTCCAGGCTTATAGTTTATCCTTTATTATGTAATTCATTTACTATAATATTACTTATGCTTATATCCAGAGCTTGTTCTATAACAGGTGAATGTTTTTGAGTCGGTGGCTGCTCTTGGGTAGGCGGCTGCTCCTCCGGCGCTGATTGTACTGGTTTACAGTAGCAAAAAGAAGAGTCACCCAAGATGTTTTGTAGTCCCTTAAAGCACTATGAATATGACAAAAAGTGAGATTGTATTTACTTATCCTTCATATGAATCATACGTTACATAACTAACAGGCTTGCCATTACAAATGGCAGTTCGTACAGTAATTGTTTCAAGAGTGCGACAGATTGGGCTTTTTTTTTTGAACAGCATATATATATATATATATATAAAAGATTACAGCTTGTGCCTCATTTTCGAAGTGTACATAACAGAAGTTTTTACCAAAGGGTTTTACGACATGAAGGGGTGGGTTTTTTGTACACTTTCGTAAAATGTAAAAAAATGTTATTTTTTTCCAATACTGATATAGATGGGCCCATTAACACTGCAATCATCTGAGTATATTTTTTACAAGATATAACACAGGATTTGTATATATCTTGTATTATATCATGTACTACAAGAATTAGACATCTCATGTATGTGCAAGATATATGTACAAGATATGTATAAATCCTGCCTCAAAATCATACAAGATATAATCAAGATATAAACAAATCTTGCACTTTTTCTACAGGATATATACAAGTTTTGAACATTTCTTGTACTTTTTTCTACAAGATACACATAGGGTTTATATATTTCATGTACTGTTTTTTACAAGTTTTGATTAAATCCTGTACTTTATGATTGCTTTTCATTTGCTAATATTTTACATACCATGTTGTTTATCATTGGCTTTATGCTTCATGACTCATCAAAACATAGTTATACATTATTGGGTTATATAGATGGTATTTTATTCCCTTTTAGGCTTTGTTTATATTAAATAGGCTTCTTTATTGCCTTTCTTTATTGGACATTATTAAATACATTGTTTACAAAAAATGTGGCTTCTTATTTACTTTTTTTTTATTTATTTATACATATAAAATAATTATAATAATAATAAAATAATATAATATAATAAAATAAAGTAATATAATAATAAAAGAGTATGCTATAAGCATTACATGTAAAAAATCACACTTACCTTGAATACATATTCTATTGATAACATGGCCATTGATTAAAGAATCCTTTGGGGCTTTGGGGAAAAAAAAGAAAAAGAACACAGAGATTGCAAGGATTATCATACAGAACAGAAACAAAAAGTAGTAGCAAGTGAAGTGATCAACAGAAAAGGGTTCCATCTACAAAAGAAGTATACACTATCGATAGAATAAATAATTAATAAAAGCTAGCATATGATAAAGTATAGCAATAACAATAATATCCTTTAGTAAAAATATCTTTGATACTAAGTAGTATGTCAGAAAAAAAATCGTTATCATCAGCAGTGTTGTATATATTAATGTCCGTATGTTATTTAATAAACTAATGTTACAAGTGTAAAAAAAAAAATAAAAAAAATAAAATAAGAATTGTTAATTACATGTGTTAATTCATTTACCGACGTCATCTTCCTTAGACAATAGAGATGTCATTACTCTTGTAATTGTAGTAATTACCTCTTGAAAGTATATAGTAAAGTCTTTAAGGTTTTTTCGAGCTGATTGCAGAACATTTGCATTTGTCAATGTCGGTAATGTTGGTCATCGTTAAATAAAAAATAAAAAAAAGGAATTTAATTGAAATGGACACAACTACATTAATTGTGTAATTGCTAAATCTTGTTTTTATTTTTTTCTAAATTTACTAATTGTTAACAGATGTATAGAATCATTAGTAATGGAATTGCTTTAATTAGTTTTTTTCTTTTCTTTATTTCAAAACTAAAATAAATTAATAAATCAACACATTACATGATCTAATTGAAATGCAAAATAAATTAAATTGAATGCAATTTAATAAAACTTCTTTTACATATATATAATAAAAAGTCTTTATTTCATTTTATTATATTACGTGTACTTTTTTTTTGGTAAACATATGAGTGAGAAAAAAAAATAATAAGTATGATTTGAAACAATTGCTATGTATTTTACATTATTGAAATGTAATTTACATTTTATAAGCCTATAATTAAAGTTACGCATATAAAATTTGTGGGGAATAAAAAAAAAGGTTAAAGTACTTTTCAGAATCAGCAATTTTCATTTTATGTAATTTTATTGGTGGAAATGGCGCATAAATGAAATTCCTTGTCTACAGCCAAAATAGCTGTAATATTAAAAATTAAATAAAATGATAAAAAATGGCAGTAGAAATGCACTTTTTTTTGGATATATGAATACTATTGTAGCCTCTAAGATATAATATAACTTCTATTTTAACATTTATTAGTAAAAAGTGACCCAAAAAAAATAACATTTAGAAATCACCGCTAAAATTTGACTATATCCTATACAAGATATACTTATTGCTTGCAGTGTATAATGATTATAAGTATTCAAGCGAAGCAGAAGTATCCATACACACTTATACTAAGCTTTGATATGTGACCAATACATTTTATGATAAATATTAAATTCAAACTAGACTATTTATTAAATAATGTGTAAACACTATTTGATATAAACAATAATAGTCATTCTTCATTTACTCTCTATTTTCCTCAAATAAGTTAGAAAAAAAAATCATAATGACAAAATTATATACTTTCATAAACCTATTTAGTTTAAGCTGATAGTATAGCTTTACTTATTATCTTATGTATAAAGTCATTTCCTTCCCAAATATGAGCATTAAAGAAAAGAAGAAATGAGTTCACTTATGATGACTTCCATTTGTGCAACAAATATTATTGAAAGAGTTACTCTGTCTTTCATTTTTCAAGGCCCATTCCATAACAAATCAAGTATTTTAGATAATGACTTTGCTTTTTCGTGGGTAAACAGGGAAATACTTCTTTTTCTTTTTGTTATATTTAAATAATAGCCATGTAGTAAAATATAAAATAATAAGGAAAAAAAAATAAAGGGATACTTTGCATATCCACATTAGCGAGCATTTCTGAGAAAACATTATCCATTTCTTTGAGAAAAAAAAAAAAAAAAAAAAAAAAAAAAAAAAAAAAAAAAACTATGTCTATTATTTTAGCCATTTCATATACATAAATGAACCCGGACATTTAATTAGTTTCCGTTCTGCTTTGACTTTAATGGAAAATATCGGTTATTATCAGCTATAATTGAATTACTAATTCATTTAAATTGCTCTTTTTTTTTATTCGATTCTTCTTCTTTCTTTATTCATTGTATAATGCTTTAATTCAAAAAAAAAAATTTGTATTTATTAAACTAAACTTGTAAACATACATTAATAATAATAACTACTATTGTTTTTCCTTTACTTCTCACAGGCAAACTTCATGTGAATATGATAAAATAAGCATGTGATACTATGTCTGTATTTAGTGATTTGACTCAGTGGAGTAACAGTCACTTATCATAAAAAAAACAAGCATAAATTCATTAAATCATTTATTATTTTCTCTTTCTTTTTCTTTAACTAAAAGACCCACATCCACATATAAAACAGTTAAATATCTAACATGTCTTCTCGAATTGCAAATCTTATTAAGTCAAATGTTCCCGGTGTTGCTATTTTAGCACCTGTCACTACAACTGAAGCGGAGATACTTTCTCCTCAAGCTTTACAGTTCATTGCAATTCTTCAACGAACCTTCAATCCTACTCGTAAAGCTTTATTGCAAAAGCGAGTTCTTCGACAACAAGCTCTTGATCGAGGTGTTCTTCCCGATTTTTTACCAGAAACAGCTTACATTCGTAATGATCCTAACTGGCGTGCTGCTCCTCCTGCTCCCGGTCTTCAAGATCGTCGTGTAGAAATTACTGGTCCCGTTGATCGTAAGATGGTTATTAATGCATTGAATTCTGGTGCAAAAACTTTTATGGCCGACTTTGAAGGTATATTTAAATAAACTAAACTAAAATAAAATAAAACAAAAAAAACGGTGTATTTATTGATATTCTTATTTAGATTCTACTTCTCCTACTTGGGAAAATATTATTAGTGGCCAAGTTAATATGCGTGATGCTGTTAATGAATCGATTGAATTCACTAATGCTAATGGTAAGAAATATGCTCTTCGTAAGGATGGTCAAATTGCAACACTTCTTGTTAGGTAAGCATTTTTTCCTTTTTTGAGTGATAATATTTATATGTATACAAGTGCGGAGATCATTACTTTTTATGTGATTTTTTTTTTATTGGAACAAGTTCCTTTTTTTTTATTGTTCAATTATGATTGGCTGATGGGTTTTTTTTTGGCTTTTTCTAGACCTAGAGGTTGGCACATGGTTGAAAAACATGTTCTTGTCGATGGTGAACCTATGTCAGCTTCTATCTTTGATTTTGCCCTTTACTTTTTCCATAACGCAAAAGAACTTATTAAGCGTGGTAAAGGCCCTTATTTCTATTTACCCAAGATGGAGTCTCATTTGGAAGCCAGGTAAAGTTAAAATAATTAAAATTTTTTAGATATTTTTATTCAAAAAAAAAAAAAAAAAAAAAAAAAAAAAATGCACATAGACTTTGGAATGATATTTTCAATACCGCTCAGGATATGCTTAATATTCCTCGAGGTACTATTCGTGGTACAGTCTTAATTGAAACTCTTCTTGCTGCTTATGAAATGGATGAGATTATTTATGAACTCCGTGATCACTCTGCTGGTTTGAATTGCGGTCGTTGGGATTACATCTTCTCCTTTATCAAGAAGCTTCGCAATCATTCCCAATTTATTTTACCTCAACGATCCTCTGTAACAATGACCGTCCCTTTCATGGATGCCTATGTTCGCTTACTAATTCAAACTTGCCATAAACGTGGTGTACATGCTATGGGTGGTATGGCTGCTCAAATCCCTATTAAAAATAATCCTCAGGCAAATGAAGTGGCTATGACGAAGGTTCGTAATGATAAGCTTCGTGAAGTCACAGCAGGCCATGATGGCACTTGGGTAGCACATCCAGATCTTGTTAAAATTGCTCTCGAAATCTTTGATAAACATATGCCACAACCTAATCAAATTCATGTTCGTCGTGATGATGTAAAGGTGACAGCTACAGATTTGTTGGATATTAACTTTAAGGGAACAATTACAGAGGAATCTGTGCGTGAAAATATTGAAATTGCTTTAGCTTATATGGAAGCCTGGTTAAGAGGTGTTGGTTGTGTTCCTATCTTTAATTTAATGGAAGATTTGGCTACTTACGAAATTTCTCGATCGCAACTCTATCAATGGGCCCATCATAAAGTGCAGACCGATAAAGGAAAGGTGGTTGATGGTGAATATATTTCCAAAATTTTAGATGAGGAAATTCACAAAATTCAAAAGAAGCTCGGTGATAAATATGAGAATTCCAAATATGAAGCTGCTAAGAAGGCCCTCGCTACTAACGTTACAGGCAAACATTATGATGACTTCCTTCCTGATTTACTTTATGATGATATTGTTTCTATTAGTTCTAATGCTAAATTATAAAAAAAAAAATACCAATATATACATTTATATGCGTATATTGAATTTTGATCAAGATTTATAAAAAAAAAAATATATATTTATATACATGTATATTTTTATAACCCTACTGATTTACAAATTTAACAATTTTTCGTCTCAAGAATACTTTGTGCCATTTATATATTTCATACTTTTCGAAATTCTCAATTTAAAAATAATTGAAGATTATGTATTATAAAATCTTGGTAAATTAACCTATTTGGACACACTCTGAAAAGTCGTTAAACTATAGAAAAATAATTCGATACTAAGGGTCGCTAAATAAAGTCAAAAAGGATATACGGGGTGGTTATATAGAGAGAAAATAAGGATAGAATATGACACTTTTTTTTTAAAAAAAAAAAAATATCGCAGTCGCTAGTTGTGGTATTATTCATTTTATTTTTTTCATTAAGGAGATAAAAGAGAGAAATGAAAAAACCCAGGATAAGAGAATATTAAATTGGAATAGATTATACACGAATTTACTTTTTGTCTTGATTAGATATCAGTTATGTATTTACATACAATGGGGCTTGAGAAAACCGAAATGTTATGAAGAGTTATATTTTAAAAGAAAATTAACTTTTTTTATAAATTATATGTGTGTTATTCTTACTAACACTCCTCCTTTTCTTTATGAAGTTTATAAAAAAAATAAGATTTTAGACTTTAACAGTAATAACGAAGGGTCGCAATTAGAGAAATTATTAAATACGGATATTATAATTAAATACGATATTACCTTATTGAGGTAAATAGAATTGTTGCTATTTAATACATTTCATTATTGAAATAAAAACTTATAGTTAACCAGTCTAGAAAGAACTTCAAGTGCTGTATAAAACGTTATGTAATGATTGATGTGTCACATCATAAGCTGATGCTTTTGGACATAGCTTCAAATTTATCTAGCTGTACATACACGAAATTTAAGGTACTGATTGTGTTTTTTTTTATTAAAGATTAAATCTATCCATATATAAATTTAATGAGCTGTTGCCCATCATGAATGCAACAACAATTAAGGGAATACGTTGTTAACATAGGCAAATCAGTCGCCAAATTTATAAAAGTATGATAAATACTAGCTCATCAATTATTATATGGTCACATGACCGACTTTATTACCCAAACAATGTAAAGAAACATATAAAAGAATTTTTTTTGCTTAACAAGCTATGCTATTAAGGCATTCTCAGAAGAAGACTATTTAGTAATAAATGTGAGGAACATTGATTAATAAAGTATTGAAAGGGTTCTAGAGTGATTCTCCAATCGTGTATCAATCTAAATTGTTTTTTTTTCCTGAATACAGTATATTGATATCTTTTTCGAGAACGACACTAAACATGGATTCTGATTAGTAAGCATTCCAGTTAAGTCATGCAATAAAGAAGTTGTATATTTGCAAATAATATTTGCGAAAGATAGATTTCAATCTGAATACTATCACGGTAACTGCAAAGTGCTAGTGACCATAAAGACTTAAATAAATGATATTTTTTTTAAAAAAAAAAAAAAAAAGTACATCAATTTTAAGGATTTCTATATTTCTTATATGATTGTTATGAGGGTTTAAAGAAACTCAAGTATCATTCAATCATTTTGTAAAATAAAAAAAAAATCTTATAGAAAGAGCTCATTTATATAAGACATAAAGACCAGCCATCGTCGGTATAAAGGAATTAAGATAAAGACACTTCTTAGTAATAGCTTTTGAATCATGGTATGAAACCTTTTACAGGAGAATATTGTTAAACTTGTAAGTCACTAGGTTATCAAATGACTTTAAAAAAGCCTAAATCTTTAGTCAAAATCTTATGTATGCTTTACTTGGAGACATTTTTTTTTTTCAGTTTAATATTAAATAAATTTATATTTTTTCCTTATTTTAAAATTATAGTAGTCGTTGAAAACACTATTCAATTAATTTAATTGTAAGACTCAAACTCAGTAACTTCGAAGTGACTACTACTCTTATTTTCATTCATTTTTTTTTTTTTTTATTTTTTTTTAGGCTTTTGAAATTGTTATTCTTTTTTTCTGTTTATATTTTTATCATTAAGTGAATGCTTAAGTAAAAAAAAAAAAAAGAAAAATAGAACATAATGATCGATTCCCCTAATCCCGCCGATAATAGCATCATGAATGAGTCTATGCAGTTTCATCCTAACCAATCTTTAGTCATGGAACATCAAAGACATAAATATGTTTATGTTCTAGAAGATGATGACGTTGCTAATGAAACAATTGAAAAAATGTACGGCCCCTTTGAGGATCGCAAGCAAAAATATAATTATTCTCCAAGGCTTCAAATAAATAATAGAGAATTTTTAATATTAAAACGGCTTAGAGAGATTGAAAAACTTAAACGTGAAATTTTTGAGAAAGAGTTACAAATGAAGAAAACGGCCGATAAAGAGAAACCAGTAGCTGCTATCTCCGTGAGTCAAAATGTAGAAAGGAAACAGTCAGAATTGCAAAAGGAAATTGATAAAAAGAATGAACAAATTAAAGAGTTAAAGGCTTTAGAAATTCAACAAGATAATGTTACACAACCATCCTCTTCTTTAAATCAAGAAGTAGCTTCTTCACATTCTGAAGATCCTTCCGAGTTAGCTGTGACTGATGTTGATGCAGAAGATGTGTCAAAAAATACTAGCATTTCCGATATCAGCAAAGAAGCATCTAGTAATGATGTTAATGATACAGTAGTTGTGAGAGGTGAGACAGAATTAATAAATAACGAAATTGATTTGATCGATGATGATGATGATGATGACATGGATATGGCAAGTGACGATATGGATATAGCAAGCGATGATATTGATTTGAATAATGAAGATATAGCTTTACCAATTGGAAATAACGATAATACAACAGAGTTATATGTCCATAATCCTAAAACTGATGATGATACATCTTCTGAAAGTTCTTTTAAAACAGCTTATGAAGAGTTTAACACAATAGATACAGAACCTATTAAAAGAGTGCTTACTTTAGAAGAAGCAGAGGCTATTTGTACAGAACTTGAAAATGAGATAAAGGAGTTAAATGTTACACTGCAGAAAATTACAGAGGAAAAGAGAAAACTCCATGTTGATGTACTTGCGATGAAAGTTAGAATGTCTGTTGGAAGAAATAATATTGAGTCTATGAAGCAAAGTTCATCAAATAAAAGTAACATACCATCATCAGGAGCCAAGCGACAGCTTCTAGATAACAGTTCTCGAGCATCATATAAGCGACCTTACATACATAAGCCTAAAAATATCTTACATCCTCCTAATTTTCAATATCAAATACCCAACTATTCAAGTGCATCATCTCAGTTCAATATCCCCTATGTATCTCCACTAAACAACTTTATGAATTCACAAATGAACTTGGGTAATATGCATATACCTATCCAACAGCCTTTACAACCTCCTCCTCCTCCTCCTCCTCCATCCTATTTACCACCACCATTATCACCACCACCACCACCACCGCCACTGCCTTCCAAATTGACAAAACCATATCGTCCAGCTAGTCCTTTGCTTCATTCTAATCCTCGTGAATCAGCATTCAACAACAAAAATGAAAAATTAAAATATTCTATGGAGCCTCAAACGAGTTCTATGCAGTTATCCAAATGCAATGAATCTTTACGTAGTGTACTTGATGAAATTTTGAAACTCATTTCCATACGAATATTCAGTTATGATCAAGAATATCCTTCTATTCGTGACCGACCTTCATCAAGACCATGTCGTATCATAACTGTAGATGACTATACAACAACAATGCAATTGGCGCTTTTAAACAGGGTATTTTATTATTATTTATCCTGATTATATTATATTAGTTAGTTAATGTATATGTATATATATATATATATTACTTCAATAGGAATATGAGCAAGATAATCAATATCAGCAAAGCGAGAAGTCCTTTGTTCTACCTCTTGTTAGTGAAAAAATAAAACAAAAGCAAGATATGTATATTATTATTATTTAACCACTAACTCATACAATTTTAGGGTCAACCTATTGAATATAAGTTAACAAATGAAAGTTATGAAAGTCCATTATTTAGGATGCTTCATCGAAAGGCTGAAGTTGGAAGTTATGCTAAGGAATGGGAATCTGTTTACAATGCAATTCTTTATAATATACCTCAAGACTTGGATCTCAGTACTTTTCATGTTCGTCATGGATTTGGCATGTCACTTTATCCTGATAAATTGAAAGGCACATATGATATGGTTCATGCTTTTAGTAGCGATTATCCAAAAAACAGCTTTTTAGCTTCATTAAAGCTAGAGTTATGTCTATATGTCTATGGTCCTTCTAGTGAACGTTTTCAACAAGATTTTGAAGAAAGCATTAAAGCAATTCCATGTTCTATTGATATTTATTGGCAATATATTTTACAAGTCAATGAATTCTCTGACAGATTAGCACGTATTAAGGATCTTTTGGAACTTATTAATGAAACATATAAAGGTAAAGAAAATCAATATACTAGCATACAACTAGATGATATATATAATATGTTTATGTAATTATCATTGATAATTATGGATACGATTTACCTAAAATAATTTCTATTTCCAACATCAACCTAATTATGTATATATATAATATATAATATACAATATATATATTTATATATATATATATATATATACATATGCATATACTATTATAGAATCTAATGTAGCATCGTGCTTAACAGCTGAAGTATTAACTCGATTAATTCGATTAAATGGACTCAGTGAAGTGTTGAAACTGTTAACAAACAACCAATTCTCGGAAATAGATTGTGAAAAAGCCACAATCTATTCTTTAGACGATTCTACTGGAGTTACTCTTACCACATTTGACAAATATTACATCTGGATGTTGATATTATATTATTATGTTTCACGCACTTTACCTCAAGGAGTTTGCGATATATGGATGAGTACTCTTGTTAAAAAGGGGGAACCATATATATCTAAGCCTACATTTATGATTGATTGGCATAATGCCTTAAAAGATAAACCTTTAGATAAACCCACCCTTTTTGGAGCTACTAACATTTTACTTTCTATGCTTTCGCATTATAGTAAAATGGCCAGCAATGACATAAGTAGAAAGCCTCTCTTAATTGGTGTTCTGCGTACGTTAGCATCTTTCTTGAATTACACACCTTGTTATAAATCAGTTGGTACATATGTATTAGTGAACAAGATGGCCCATGTTAACGCTTTATTACCCGAAATTTACGAGATTTTATTCTTTTTGGAATACAAAAAGGGAGATTCAATGAATGAACTCTTAAAGAATATGATTATACAATCAGCAAAATTACCATTATCTCAACTATTTATCTTATCTTATCGTATATGTTGTCTATACAGTGAATCAAATGATTATACGGAAGCAAATCTCTGTTTATTGGCGACTATACTCATGATACCAATCTGTAGAACAAAGTTTAATGATCAAGAATTAATGGAGTTCGTTAATCGTGCGAGACAAACGGAAACTATTGAACTAGAATCAAAAATTATTTTGATTCAGGCATATAGGATACAGTATAAAGAATTTTTAGGGTATAACAAGAATAATGATAGAATACTATCAATGGCAGAGAAAGATAATAAATCTATTGCTTTTGCCTGGATCAATTTGCTTTTCCTAAGCAAAATAAATCAAGTTATTAACCCAGCTCAAAGCAATGAAATTATAAAAGATATGAAGGACATTTATAAAGAAGGTAGGCAGTCTATAAGGTCAAATGATGATGGCTTCATGATATTAAGAAAATATGGTGAAGAATTACTTGGAGAAGACAAAAGTTAATATGTATATGCATACATGTATAACATAAAAACGAAATCTTTAAAATAATTTTATTTATTTTATAATTTGTATCTTCATAGAATAAAATTGTTTTATATCCCGTAGCTTATATTCTCTTTCATATTATGACTAAAAAAAAAAAAAAAAAGGTACATCTTTAATACATTATTTTTTTTTTTTAAAATGAAAAGCCATTTTATATAATAATTCAGTAAGCGAGGTAAAAAAAAAATCTAGTTATCATAGTTCGGGTCGGACTCTTATATTTCTTCAAAAAAAAAAAAAAAAAAAAAAAAAAAAAAAAAAAAAAAAAAAAAATCAAAAAAAAAAGAGAGAGAGAGAGAAAAAAAAAAGACAAAAAAAAACGGAAGGTAAGAAATTGTGTAATATAACTGAATAGTCCAATGTAAGAGTCTTCTTCTTTAAAGAAACGTGGTAGACGATTTAAAAATGGCCAACCAAGGTAAATAAAAGAGGAATCGATATACTAAATAAAAAGGGACTAGATACAAATGAATGGATGGATTAAAAAATAAATAAATATATAACGTCAGTATCATTTATCTACGAAACCCTAACGACATTATTTTTCGAATTATGCACATTTGATGATGATGATTTAATGTTAAATTAGACAAATCAAAAAAAAAAACAAAAAACAGAAAAAAAGATTACAACGTTATATGGGTTGATTTATGAATAAACAAGAGTAGAATTCAAATCAAATAGTCATTACCATCCATTCATTTGAATGTCTATTCTTTTTTTTTCTTTTTGCTACTCCTTAAATTGCATTCACTTACTGACATTAAACAAATAGCTTCTGCTAAGGCTCAATCCGCCAAAAAAGCCGCTCTTAAGGGTGTTCACGGTAAGGCTGTTCGCAAGATCCGCACCTCCACTCACTTCCATCGCCCCAAGACTTTGTCTTTGAAGAGCGCCCCCAAGTATCCTCGTAAGTCTGTTGCTCATGCTCCTCGTATGGATCAATATCGTGTCATTCGTCAACCTCTCAACACTGAGACTGCCATGAAGAAGATTGAGGATCACAACACTTTGACCTTCATTGTTGATGTTAAGGCCAACAAGAACCAAATCAAGGATGCTGTCAAGCGTCTTTATGATGTCGAAGCTGCCTCTGTCAACACTCTTATCAGACCTGATGGTTATAAGAAGGCTTTTGTTCGTTTGACTGCTGATGTTGATGCTCTTGATGTTGCTAACAAGATTGGTTTCATTTAAACCTCTCTTTCCCTTTTTTTTTCAATTTTGTGAATAAATAATAGTTACTTATTGCATATATGTATATGTATAACGTATACATTTATATACTAAATGGCATTGTATTTTGTTTTCTTATGATAAGCTCAGTTTAAATATAATAGTGAAGAGGAGGAAGAAATTTCAAGATCGTTGTTGATATAACCACATTTAAATTGAGCAGTTTGTAACATAGCAATATTTAAGTATGTGGTGGTCAATTTTAGTCTTTTCTAAAAGAAATAGTAGCAGATGATATTCAGTCTATTATATTGTAAAAATGTGCACTACTCATCTTTTCCCTTTTACCATGTAACACTACGGAAAAAATTAAGTGTTTTTAGTGGTTTAAGGTGTTTTAAAAGTGTTTTTTTGGGTGATTTTTGCAACCACCGGCGGAAAAAGTGACAATAAGGTACTTCTAGGTGTTATTTGTAGCCACCTAACAAGAAAGTGTAAAAATAAATTTTTTAAAGTGTTTTAAAGCGTCAAATCAAATTTAGTAAAAAGCTTTAAAGTGTTGAAAATATTAAAAGTGTAAAAAAAGGTTATTTAAAGTTATTTAGATTGTGTGATATTTTTTTAATGGTTCCTACAAAAGTTAAGAAGTTAACGCTAACTATGTTAATGAAAATGTAAAAGGAGGATTCTTCAAAATGACCTTTGAGCTTAAGCACATTTTTGGCCATATCAAATAATGTTTTCTATCATTTATAATAGACTTGATTGTGCTAACAGGGCTTTGGATTGATTCCATATCCAAAATTACATAAATTTGCTCCCTTCCAGTTCTTTGTAAAGGAGTATCGGAATCGTAAACAAAAAAAACAGGTACCCTATCTTCATATCCTTCAACTTGTATATTGTCACAGATTCTAGCCCATGCAAACAACGATGATTCTCCTTCTACTTCATACATTACTTCAATAGATACAACATAGAAATTATCCTCTGTACCATTAAAATCTGATAAGTGCAGTTTTGCAATACACACATTGTGCTTTCCAGATTTTGTATTCAGTTTTACTGATGAATTTCCTTCAAAGTACAGATCTACTGAATAAATTTTTCTTACTTGCAAGTTGTCATTGTTTTGGTGGAATGTGGTACATTTTTGAATGAATTCAGCTCCCAAATACAAAAATTCATTTAATTGAACAAACCCAGATGTTCTACCTTTCTTGGATACAACCTTTTTCGTGTTTACTGCATTATCTGTAGTGTTATCTTTGCGTGAAATAAAGCCTTGTTCTGCAAACTTTTTGGCAATGTTAAACGCATTTTTGGCTAGTTTAGATTTTGAACCAATCTGTTGCTTAATCATGCCTATCATTCGCTCTAAAGGTCTACAGCTGAACATCCTCATAGGTCCAAGTTGTTTGATTATATAAACAATATGTTGTAGGTAGTGCTGCGTTACTGTATGGACATTAGGAGGCATGTTTTCTTTAATAAAAGAAGTCCATACTTGGATCTTATGTTGAATTTCTTTTAGATCTTCTACAGTTATCTCATATTGTAATGCCAATGTACAAGCACTTGACAAACAGCAGACTGCTACAACTGTGTCTTTTAACTTCTTTTCAATAAGCCTATCATCTACTGTAGAGGCCATAACTCTTGTGTTTCTGCTAGATGAACTATTTGCCATCTTCAGAATACCCTCGCAAACAAGATTTGGAAGAAGATAAACTAGTAATATTTGCCAGTCAACCGCACCAGCATGCCCTCCTCTTAAAGAAAGATTCATGAATATATCTTCAAAAGAATTTAACGAAACATGGCTTTGTACTTCAGCGAGCCTTTCACCAAGTTCCTTGATTATAGCTGGTGATACTTCAAATGGATTAGCTACACCGTATTTCTTGTTTGGATTTTGCATAAAACCCCAAAACTGTTTCGGTAAGTTGTGGCCTGTCAAATGCAATTTATCAAGTCCACAAAAGGAGGCACTAAACATTTTGAAACAAATCAATGGTGTAACCTTTTTTTTTATTCCTTTGTTGGTTTCACTGTTAGCTGGCAACTGGATGTTTACTTGCTGAAAGCTCTCTTTGCTACGAACTTCAGGCCGGTCCACCCCATCTGGAGCGAAATAAACATTTCGTGAATCATATGAAGCGCATTTTACTGTACAAACTCGGCAACCATATGTAGACATATGTCCAGCATGAAATAAAACATCTGCACAGGCCATAATATCTCCTAAAAATAAAAAAGTATAAACCTTAAACGCAAAAGTTAAACCGTCGGCTTGAAGCTTTACTCCTCGATTCTGCATATTTAACAGGTCTTTGATCAGAGGATGCAAAAAGCTGTAAAGGTCTTTGGGCTTTTTAGGGCCTTTTATAACGCATACAACGAATTGATTGTCCTTCTTCATTCTTTCAGTTGGCGCTAAATTCATATTCACTGCTTTGACGATTGTCATACTTTCTTTTTCTCTCTGGCCCCCATGAAAACCATCAACATATAGAGATAAAGCAATATCATACTCATTTGAAAACATGTTTTTTGTTTTCGCATACTTGTATGCTGAGCCGTCGTAGTAATCTTTAAACTTTTCTGTTTCAGCGGTTGCATCTTTTCTTGCTCGGTATAAAATTTTATCCCTACTATTAGCATTCACAAAGTACGATGAAACGAAATCGGCTATACTTAGTTGGGAGAGCGTGTTTCGAGGCTTGCTAGATCCATCTTCAGATTGTTCATATCTTGCCCCAAGACAAAAAAAAAAAAAAAAACATCGTAGCTCTTCATCTCTTAAGAACGTCATGTATCCGTTCGTGCACATGTCATAGCGCCTTTCATTCAAAGCGGTTGATTCACTAAGAAGCTTTTCAGAAAGCCAAACAAACTTTAGTGATTCATCTTTTGACTGATTAGGATGATAGTTTTTGTTGATCCATTTAATGATTGCGTCTTTGGCTGACTTTTTCACTTGGTGGTTTTGCATCAAAACATATAGCTCTTTGCTTTGTTTCTCACTCTCAGTATGTTCTGCAACCCTATCAGAATCTTCAATGTCTAAATGAATAGGTTCACCAGTCATTTCTGATGTACCAATTCGTAACAAATCTTGCTTAGCCCAGCTTTCAGCTTCAGCAAAAGACTCTTCAGCCTCAACAGTAGCTGTGGTTTCATCATCATCGATATATCTGTCCTCTTCAAATTCAACGTTGGTAGGATATTCGATATCATCAACAAGTGCCTCAGCTATCTCTTCCTCATTGTCCTCTGCTTTGAAAAAGCCTTCTTTTTCTTCCTCTTCCTCTTCTTCTATCAGAATCATTTCTTCTTCTTGGCCACCATCCCTGCCCGCTTCTTCTTGAAAATATTCCATCTCAATATCATCGTCAATAACCATGTCTGCCAACGGTCCTTGTTGAAAAGCTGGATTCTTGATAGTTCTGGAAGCTATAACTGCTGTTTAAATACATAATTAGTTATAGTAGCTTGAATATCTATTTAAGTGCTTTTTTATTACCACTTGAAGATATGCCCTCCACAGTATTATTCTCTGGGATTTCTGGTATCTGCCTCAGCTTTCTCTTAAACTCTTCACGTCGATGTGCAGCCAAGTGTCGTGTAAATTCTCATCTGGCTACATGCTTTCTTTTCCCCGTAGATTCAAAGCATATTGTGCAATTCATTTTATTCTAAATATAATAAGTTCAGAAGAGAAAAGAGAGGTTAATTTCTTTGTTACAACAATATCTAATAATTATATCAGTAGTCACAAAAGATGATATATTGCGTAAACAAATATTCATATTAGTTGGCGTATTTTAAATTAGTTCCATACACTTTTGTTCTTTTTTTTTTCAACTTTTTCAGACATATGGCATCGCAAGCACCACCAAAATGGGCCACAGAGCTCATAAACGAAGTGAAGAGAATTGGCGGTATAGTCGACACACTTGCCCAGACCTAAAATATTGAACCTATTAGTAATAGACTCGAAGAGATTAGTACTGATATTGCAGCTATTCACGATATAATAAACCGTATTGTGAAAAAGGGTTGTAAAAAAAAATGAAATAAAATAAAAATCTTATTAATTGGCAAAGTATATGCTTGATATTCACTTTTATTTCTTTTTGTTTGATGTATTAAGTGCTGCTTTAAGCGAGTGTCTTGAGTACCTTGCTTCGTACTTAGTATCCCATTTTCAAAATGCCTCGTTTTTCACATAATGTCCCATTTTGGAAATATCCGTCTCACTTCTTTTTAAAAAAATGACCAATGATTTTATTGGACCAAGCTATTTTCTTTGACTGTAAATGTTTTAAATTCAGTCTATAAAAAATAAATAAATAAATAACCAATTGAGATTGAAGACATTATTGTGTTATAATCATTATTTTAAGCTAAGCTATTCTTGTTACTTTTTTATTTTTTTTTCTTTTATTTTTATTATCTTTTATTTTTTGTTATTCAATATACCTTTATGCCAGACTTTATTATTAAAAAAATACCCAAGAATGTAAGTTGTAGAGGTGGAATACTTGGAATATAAAGCGTTTAATAATAATTGTAGACATTCGTATTACCAACTTCTATTGATCATACACAACTAGTGCCCTTTTGGACAATAGAGCAACAGAATCAGTATTTTCTACTTCAGAAATCACAAGAACCGGGAAATACTTTGTTTAAACATGTTTTCAGTACAATAACCAGCTTGTAATATTATTGTTATTATTATTATTATTATTGGGGGGGTTTTTTGTTTTAAACATTGCCTTGTACTTACTTATTTATTACCTTGGTGTGCTGTATAATAATAGGTTTGATGCGAAACAACCACCTTATAGAATTCTATTTCAAAGAGAACCTAATGCAACATGCATACAAATAGCCATTTCGGACTCTAAAGAAGTAATTGAAACAGCTTGGGATTGGATAAGAGTAAATATGATCCCAGAATTAGACAGTATATCAAGTCCTTTTGCACGAGAAGAATGGATTGTGAAGCAAATGAATAAAATAATATCAGCTACTACTTTTACTGATACAGATGACCTTTTGTACGATGATTCTATTCGAACTGCTTCAAGAACTTTTAGACAAACATTTGATGTGCCTTTTACAGAGCGTTTAGTTAACTGTACTATAGCATATATATATATATATATATATATATATATATATTTTAGAAAAAAAAAGACTTACCTACTTCTTATTATATTAGATTATTCTTGTTCTTGTAACAGTAGACAAGGGTGGATATATCTATCTGAAAATCATTTGGGATTTTATTCATATTTGATAGGTTTTGAATTGAAAATTTTGATTGAACTTAAAGAAATCAAAGATATTATTAAAGAACCTATTCGGAAATTATTTAGGCACAGTATGAGAATTATTACTAAAGACAATCAAGAGGTATGTAGTTCTAAAAAAAAATGAATAATAAGACTTACAACAACTAATAACAATATTATAGTATTTGTTCGCCAACATGTTTAAACGTGATGAGGTTAAATAAATAAAATAAACAAAAAAAAAAAAAAGACATAAAATACAATTTGTTATTAAATTCTTATACATATCATTTTATATATTTATACAGGTTTATGATCTATTAGTTCAACTTACAAGTGATTCTGTTCATCGTCTTTTAAAAAGCTCAGAATCGAATGCTTTAAAGAATAGTAGTTTATTCGAACAGTTATCAATAAAGGAGAATAATAAACAGCCTTTACCATCGCCGACTTCTGCAAATAATAATCCTCTGAAAACTATACTACAACGTCGAAAACAAAATGAAAGCTTTCGTGAGCAATTCAGACTCCCTGAAGAAGAAGAATTAATTGATTCAATTCAAGTATGTTATCTATTGGATAATGTCGTAGAAAACAAAAAGACGAAATATGATGGCATTCTGTATCAATCTCAAAATTTTTTAGCCTTTGAATCAAATCATAATGATGCAAAAAGCTCAACTTGTAAATTTATTCTCCCATTCTATACAATTATTCGATTTGAAAGAATTAATAATGGTACCTATAAATCCATCTTATCATTTCAAACTTGGCATAAAATGACACATGACTTCAAAGTGAATGTAAGTGTATTGCTTTTTCTTCTTCTTCTTCTTTGAATATTAACATTCATATTTCTTTACAGGTTGAAAAAATTACCTGTGAACAATTTTGTGACAGATTAAAAACGGGGTTGCATGCCAATATATCAAAAATAAAGACATCCTTAAGACCCTTTTTAATGACATGTAAATCTGAGGAACTCTTAAAAACGAAGAATGATTCAATTCAAATGGTGGAAAATAATACAAAAGGTGGATTGGGCTTACTGTTTGGTTACAACAGTGATACGACACAAGCTAAGGATGATAAGAAATTAAATATTTGGTTACACTATTTTCATGGTAAAGAAGAGAACTCCTCTACAGTGAGAAATATATATATATATATACATGTATGTGTATACATTTTTAAACTTATCACATCTACATTGAATATAGAAAATGGTAGAAATTTGACATTAGTTCGTCAGCCTAATCTGTTTGGAAAAATGGTTAGAGCTGGTATACCAAATTGCTTACGAGGAGAAATTTGGGAAATATGCTCTGGATCGATTTATCTTCGATTTAATAATCAAGATGTATATCAAAAATTATTAGAATTACATCAAAACGATGTATCGCCTTCAAGTGATGAAATTGAAAAAGATTTACATAGGTATAATATATGTGTATACCTTTTTTTTTTTTAAAAAAAAAATAAAAAAAAAATAAACTAAATGTCTATAATGTAATTTTTCTTATAGATCTCTCCCAGAATACCCAGCCTATCAAACAGAAGAAGGCATAAACCGACTTCGTAGAGTTTTAACAGCTTACTCTTGGATTAATCCAGAATTAGGTTACTGCCAAGCCATGAATATTGTTACATCCTCATTACTAATGTATGTATACAAATATATATATATATATATATATATATTAACATTGCACTTTAAGTATGGATATATTAATAACTTATACTATAAAGTTATATGACCGAAGAGCAAGCATTTTGGGCATTGAATATGTTAGTGGACCAATTATGTCCTGGATATTATAGGTATTAAATAATACAGTCAAAAGGAAGAAAGAAAGAAAAAAGAAAAAGAACTCTTGTATATTTAACGTATTATATATAAAAGCTCATCTATGTATGGTGTACTATTAGATCAAGTTGTCTTAGAAGAACTTGTAAAAGAATATATGCCGAATTTAATAACCTATTTTAAAGAAAAGGAAATTCAACTCTCAGTTGCTTGTCTTCCCTGGTTCTTGACTCTTTTTATCAATTCTATACCTTTACCTTTTGTTTTTCGTATCCTGGATTGCTTCTTTTTAGAGGGTCCTAAATTACTTTTTCAAATTGCGTAAGTTTTTTCTTTTTCTTTTTCTTTTTTTCTTTCTGGAACTAATTATTCAAACTATTCATTTCATAGACTAGGTAAGTGAATGAAAAACGAGTATGTCATTATAATCATAGTAAACAGTCCATAATAGCTATCTTAAAATTAAATGAAAAACAGCTTTTGAATATTCAAGATGATTCTGAATTATTATCAATATCTAAAGCTTTTTTTGCTTCTTTAAATTTACCTCCTGATAGTACTATAAAAGAAGATGATGATTCAGTAAAATTAGAGGTATTGATTATGAAACTTATACTATTCATAGGAAATATATATATGTATATGTATAATATTAATAGCTTTAATGTTAGATATTTAGTAGCTTGATGAAATCTGCAGTAAGTTTTAATAATAATAAAAGTATATATAAAATTAACTAGTATATTATAGTATACCGATTTCCCTACCGTTACATCTTCAAAGATTGTTAAGCTACGTAAAGAAAATGAGCTTAAAATCATTGAAGGAGTTGAATCATTTACAAAACGCAATGTTTTAAGAACAGTCAAGAATACTGCCTATTTTAGTCGTGAAGAAATATCAATAATATACGATTATTTCTTTGGTGCTCTTTATTATGCAAAAAACCAGCAAGATAAATTATCTGCACCAGAAATGAACGAGGAAGCTTTCACAAAGATGCTTGAAACAATGACGATATGGGCTAAACTTAGTCATGAAATGAATAATGTTCATTTAGAAGATAACGTCACTATAGCAAAAGAAGTTTTACAAGCGTTTATTAAACGTCTCTTTAATTATTTTAAACAAGAGAACAAATCTGAAATTACATTTGTGGATGCAGTAAGCAAGTTGGGAACTATTATTCGTGGGGTAATGCATAAATATATACACATATACATATTGGAAGACTTTTTTTTTATTTATAAAGTGGATAATTTTTTTTTAATAGGATATTATGTCTAAAGCAGCCTTTTTGTTTACGTTATATGATGATGATAATGATGGCATACTAACTAATATGGATATTCATTTGATATCCACACAACTTTTTCTACTTATGATGTTACTGCATGTTGACTTTAATGCATGGGATGCTATCACCAATTTCATCATACTCAGTGCAGAGCAATCAGATAGCAGTGCAGAAGCAATCGATAAACTGCATGATGAATTTATTAAAGGAGATAATCAGCATAATGAACCATCAACATTAGATACTGACTATTTCGTTGCATGTATTAACAAAATTCATGAAACTCTCCTAGGTCCTAATGCACCATCCATTGAGGTTACTTTACCTTCATTAAGAATGATTCTTCTCACTGAAGATCGTCTTGATCAGTTTATTCAACATGATTTACCTCAAAGTTTCAAACTTCAAAAAGTACTTACTGAGCCTCGAAAGGGCCTTGGTCACGAAATCTTTGAGGCTCTTTATATCGAAGGCAAAAAGTTAGCAAGCAATATGGCTGCTCATTCAAGAGTTGCGGAAAACATGTCTGAACAGCAGAAAAGTGATTTATTAGCAAATAGTAGGACATCTCCATTATCATCAATCCCTATAAGGTCTCCAAAATCTACTAAATCGGCTGCTTCATCTATCAATAAGATAGATGAAGATTATGAATTAATTTAAACATTTATGTATACACATATATATATATATATAAAGGTTAAACGATAATATGTAGTAAAGCTTCAAATGACTCATACGCTTATTTGTGATGTAAAACTAAAATATGACATATTAATATATACAATTGTTCAATATGCTCTTATTTGATATATTTTTATATGAATGTGTCTCAAGAGCTGCATATTCGAAAGTAACGTTAGTAGATTATCTTGTCTATACCTTCATATTTGACTTGAGTTTTATTAATTTGCTATTTATTCATTTATTTATTTATTTATTTATTTTCTTCTTCTGCAAAGCTATTTTATCATAATTTACAAAAAAAAAAAAAAAGGAATCAATAAATATCCAAAAATTCACTTTGTTCACCCAATTAGTCTTCATTATGAAGAAGATAAAAGGCCAAGTAAGTTTATTTGTTTATGAGTATAGAAATTAATGATATTTTAATAAGCTGAAATGCGTTTATGGATTATGTAAAGAAAAAAAAAACTTATATAAATATACGCAATATATGCTTTATTTACACATACATAATAAAAGTCATTTTTTCCCCCCTTTCTTTTTTATATCTAAGAACTAGTATCTACAATTAAAAATTTACTACGTTTTGTATTTGTTGTTGCTGTTGATGACGCTGAGGATGTAGTAGACAAAGTAAATTCTGCTTGTTCAGATTCAATAATTCGTTTTTCAAGATCCCTGAAGGGTATGGATTTAAGTTCCTTTGCAGCATCTTCTGGACTAAAAGAGGCATCTTCCTTTAGTGTCTTAAACTTGGGTTTACCAATATTAGTGAAAACATCAATTAAAGGTTCCTTTAATAACTCCATGGTATGATCTACACCCATTAATTGCTCCATACCCTTATTAAACTTCTTTTGTAAAGCAAATCCCTAAATTATTTATATGTATATATTTAATGAGTAGGTAAGTTCTCTTATATCCACTAGTTATTTTTTTTTTTTTTTTACATTCATTTCCAACTCCTTTTCTGCTGATTTTAATTTTAAAATGGCTTCCACACGTTTCAATGATAGACCATATTTAGTAGCCAATTGACGAACTGTCCAGGTCTTGGGATCAGAAATAAAAGCATCATATATTTCCTGACGACGAGCATCGGAGAGAGGAGGTCTAGGTTTGAACAAAGGATTAGTTGGAAAAGGCTACATAAGGGATAATAAAAGAAAAAAATAAGTATTAAAAAGAGAGAGAGAGAAAGAAAGAGAAAAGTGATGTTCTTACTGTTTCTCCTAAATAATTTGTAGTACCCTTTGCAGGGCGTCTGTATTTAGCACCTTCACCATTAACCCATTCATGGAATTTACGTCTTCTTCTAGAAAATTTAATAGGTTCAGATTCTTCTTCAACAACTGTTGTCTGCTCTTCTTCAGCGGTTTCAGGAGTCTTTTCTTCTTCAGTGGTTTCAGGGGTCTTTTCTTCTTCATGGCATAATGCTGTCAATGAGAAGCATCTTTGACTTGTCGTTCCAAAAACAGGCGTTACGTTAGACGTTCTAGTGATGCCTTTGTATAAACCTGATGTTAATGTAGATAACCTAACTAATTGCATTGAACAAATAAATATACAAAGAGCAATATTTTATAAAGAAAAAAAAATAAAAATAAAATAGAAAAGGCCCTTGTCAAGCTATACAAAAAAAAAAAAAAAAAAAAAAAAAAAAAAAAAAAAAAAGACATTTCCCCGAAATTTAACAATTGTAGCCACCTCCCTAGAATGTGACGATTTTTAGTTCTCCACAAATAAAGCATGTTATTATGTAATAAGCTCCTTTTTATTATTATTGTTTAAAATCAATATTATCTCATTGCTTCATTTTCTGTTTAGCAGCATTTATAATACAGTTTGTTAATGGCTCAGAAAGTTGAAACAAACCTTTACTTGTCACCAATCGATGTGTAGGCATAGGTTGATATGTACCTTCCTTGATTTTACCAGCATTTAACTCAACACTACCAACAATATCTTCAGGAAAATTAATTCTACCCCAAGCAGGGGGATCACGTTCATCATTAATATGCATCCATCTTAAAAAAAAAAAAAATTGTGTTAATGAATAATAATAAAAATTGTAAATGTTTTTCTTTATAAATGTATACATATACGAATGGGTGTATTTTTTTTTACCCCTCTTTCTGCCAGTCTGCTAAAGCCTTTAAACTACTATCATTGATGCTATGTATATTTTCTCGTAAGACATTGGTCAAAAAATTTACAAATTTTGGATTTTCAATAAATGTTTTTGGATCCACTTGGTCTTGTGTTGGTGTCCAGCCAATAATTAGTTCTGAAGGAATTACCTGATTGTTTGTGGTTAAATCTTCATTTGATATAAATGAAAGAGCATAACTTTGTTGGTTATTAGTTGCATGTGAATGCACATGAGGATTAGCTATTATTGACATTAGAGAGAGAGGAAGAGGGAGGGAGGGAAAAGGATAGAAAGAGTTAGATCAGTTTAGACACGTCACCATGTCAATAGTAATATAATAAATAAAGTTTACAATCAAGTGAGATGCTTTTTAACCAGTTTGTAGAAGTAGAAAAGCTTCTTGTCAATAAAGAATTTTTTACTAAAGAAAAAGATTTAAGAATGGGTTGTGATTTGAACATGTTTAATTAATGTAGGAATGTTAAAGCTTATTGTTCTTCTTCCCCAGGTTCTCTCCTCTTTTGAATTTTTATTTTTATTTTTTTAAGAGTCACAACAGACGAACAAAAGGTTAGGTTAATTTTGTCTGTGCTAAATAAAATAATTTAATTTATAGTAGAAATGAATACGATGGACTAAAAGAAAGGAGCAGAAGAGGAAAGGACTGAAGTTAGTCAAACTAGAAAGAAAGAAAAAAGCTTTTGATAATAGAATAGATTCATAAGGTATTTTAATTATTAGCTGCAATAAGACATAAAGGCCTAATTTTTTTTTTTTATTTAAATCTAAGGGAATTCAAAGAATAAGATGAATTGATATACACAACCCTTAAAGGTAATGATCATTGTGATCACGAATAATTTCCATCTTTATAAGATACCAGTCATTTACATCTTTACCCTTCTCTCTCTCCCTCCCCCATATCCCCAAAAGTATATTGAAAGAGTTGAAAAGAAAAAAAAAAGCATTGTCACTATGTATATACTTAGTCATAAACATAACTACTAGGATATATTAACTGCTTATGCTTCAACTTATAGTAAGAGTTGAAGTAGTATTAACACTCAATAATAGAAACAAGTTATAGACATACTGGGGTAACTGATTGTACAACTCTGTATCATTAAAATATTGCATATATCATGTGCTTTTTTGAGTTCTAAAACAAAAACCTTACTGTATCATTTTGATTGGTCAATTTCAATACTTGTAAGGACATCATTTTCCTAATGAACATCAAAAAACTTTACAAATACTGTAATGCAGAATATTACAGTTGTGAAACTCTATTTTTTTTATTATTTCCCTTGTTTATTATTTTTTATAATTATTATTTCTTACAGTCATTAAAACCAAGATGGCAGATGCTTTCCCCATTGAAAATAGTATACCGTCTATCCCAGCTTCTTATTATGAGAACTTTTTAGAAAGTTTAGCTCAGATAGTTTCAAAACTGTTAACTGATCAAGAAACTGAAAGAGTTCTTTCCTCTATTCGAACGTTTCAAGAAAAGTTGAAACGACTTAGCAGGTATATATATATATTTAAATATATGTAAAGTAAATCAATACTACTTGTAGAAAAATACTCACTAGACTTTGTTCAAAAAAAAAAAAAAAAAAAAAAAAAAAAAAAGCCAAAACTTGAATCGACTCAATTTAGAAATTTCTAATGTTGAAAAAGTAAAGACTAATCTGTGTCAACATGAAGGAAAGACATGTACTCAGAACTGTACAAGAGGCTTTATCAAAACTTTCTCTGTTACATTTGTAGTAAAATTCTTGATCGGTATCTTACCTAGTCTTATTACTGGCAAGATATTAAAAAGGTGATATATAAAAATATACATATTACATATACGCATTTGCATTTGCATTTGCTTTTTTTTTCGAATTTTTACTAATTTATATTTAGACCCCACATTTTAAAACAAATGGCAGGAAGGTATATTGTATATTTAAAAATAACAACAACAAGTATAAATGTATTTATTTATTTTTTTCATATTTTATTTAGAGATACCGCATGTTTTGCATTATTTCTTAGTACCTTTATTAGTAGTTATAAAGGCATTTTATGTGCTCTAAGAAATTATAGAAAGACAAATGACAAAAGATCTGACAGATTGAATGCGTTTATAGCAGGTACTATAGCTGGCCTATCTCTTGCGCTTGACCGTGATAAACATAGAAGACAGTCGATTATGCTTTATTTATTTACCAGGGCTCTTCAATTTAATGGCGCTTGGATAATGAAACAATGGGCTATTCAACGTATGAAAGCACATCCTGGTGAGCAAAGATGGGATGATTCCTTTGCTAAATTTATTTCAAAGTTTGCTGGGATAGCTGTCATGATGATTGCCAATGCTCAAATTATTTATGCCTTCTTATTCAATCATAACACATTACCAAGATCTTACTTTGAGTTCTTATTAACACATTCAGGATTTAGAAAGAGTTATGGTAGTATGGCAGCTCGTATTGCGGAGGCTGTAGGTATTACGGTACATCAATTGGTTGAAGATCAAATACCAGTTACAATTCCCAAAAATAATTCAAGTCGAGAATTTATTTCTCATTATGTAAGTCCTAATATTGCTTCCACGTTGAGCTCCAAGGTACATCACAAGTATATTATGTGTGCAATTCAACATCCTATGAGAGAAAGCTGTACGATAGATAAATTTGTATTGTTTAAAGATGAATTTTTGAGGTCGCTTAAGCTATATATTCCCTTGAATATGGTAATATATAAATATTTCTTGTTATATAGCTAGCTATATCTTATTCATCACGATACCTAAATAATAGATCATGTTGGCTGTATTTAAATCAAAACAATTGACGATAGAGTAAATGTATATGTATAGGTTATTAACCAGGAAAGGATGATATTAACTTATATATATCTATATATAGTCCTAAAGGTGTAATGCTCAAATTCAGTATCTCTTGTTTAAGATCAGTACTCTTCTTGACTATGTATGTAGTAATGGGCTTATGTACTCCATGTTGGTTACGAAGATGGATAGGAAGAGATTTACCTTGGTTTTATGCTGCTGCTGGTGCTGTTGGCGGTAGTATGATATTTATTGAATCATCTGGTCGTCAATTAGGTATTTAAACTATTACAAATGTACATAAAATATATTCACTTTATATATTTATATGATAGAACTTGGACTTTATTGTCTTCCAAGAGCTTTGGAATCTTTTTGGAAAACAATGATAAAGAATGGTTATGTCAAAAATGTACCTCATGGAGATATTCTTTTATTTATGACCTCTATGGGTTCTTTAATGGCTTTATATCAAACTGAAAAGGATACTATTAATTCACATTATTTGAGTGTCATGACACGTTTCTTTGGTCAAAATTAAGCCTAATAATAAATAAATAAAATAAATAAATAAATAAATAAATAAATAAAAAAAAAAAAAAAAAAAAAAGGGGGAGCCAATAAACAATGAGAATTTTTATTTTATTTTTATTTTTTCTTTTTTCTTTTTTTATTCTAGCTCATCTATTATTTTATTTTTATCTTTTTTTTTTTTCCTTTTTTTTTTTATTATTTAAAAAAAATAAAATAAAAATAAATAAATAAATAAATATTATTTCTTTTTGTACACACGTAAAAAAAAAAAAAAATGTCAGCCATCAAGAATAAAGTAAAAGAAAATAATTCTACTTCAACGACGGGACCAATCACTCGTAAAAGAGGAAGACCTGCCAAGTCTGAGCCTACTCCTGTAGAAGTAGTCAACAAGAATCAAGGAAAAGATAATGATAAAAAAGAAACAAGAATAGAAAATGAGGTAAAAGGTTTAAATGTTTCAAAGAGTAATACTGTTGAACAAGTAAGTTGAATATATTTATATATCTATTTATTTATTTATTTATACTTGTGTGTTATAACAGCCTACTACGATAAAGAGAAAACGCGGTAGGCCTGCAAAAATGACGACCACTGCTACTAACGAGTCTAAAGAAAAGCTGAATTCACCAGATACTCCTAAAAGAGGTAGAGGTAGACCTAGAAAACCTACTCCTAATAATTCTTAAATATGGTTTATTTTGTATCTGAACAAAAGAAAAGAATACATTTCTTTATTTTATTTTATTTTTTCTGTTTTTTTTTTATTTTATTTTCTTTTTTTTTAAAAAAAAAAGCAAGCAAGAAAGAAAGAAAATATATATTACACGCATATCTATTATTAATAACATAAAGTATACATTTTATAACACTTTTTTTTTTTTTTTTTTGGGGGGGGGAGGCTATTGATATATGATATATCAAGTCACTTTATTATAAAATATCGTTTTAATATGAGCATTTGAACAATATGCACATGTACAATTATATGAATACATATTTTTTTTTCACACAGCATTTTGTTATTACTATTATTACTTGGAAAATGAATTTGTATTGGCAGTAATTGAAGCCATTTGCCTCCATTCACCATCATATCCTGCAGCCCATAAACGTAATTTTCCATCGTCCCCTGAAGAAGATAAAATAGTGCCTGTAATATTCCATTCTACTTTCCATACTTCAGCTTGATGATCATCAAATGAAGCAATTAACTCTATATGATAAGGTTTATGATTTATTTGTGTTGGTGTCCCTGCTGGAGATAGCAGTGTATTCATCATTCTATTCTTCGGTTGCTGTTCAGTTAATTTATAAATTCGAACTAAATGATCTTTGCTTGCTGTAGCAATAAGCTGGTAAGATCTGGCCATATTAGGTGCCCAACTAACATCATGTACCTCTTGTGTATGCCCAGGTAAAAATTCGGAAGGAATCCATCTGTTATGTCCATCATATTTAAATATTCTAGCTCCAATTTCTTTACCTAATCCAACAACCATCATGGCTGTTGGTGTACGATTTGGACACCAATCAATACAGTATCCACTATCTGCATCAATAGGTCGATGAATATTATTATTTACAACGGTCGTTTGAACAACTCCTGTTGGTGCTGATGACCCAGGAGATACATTCTGTACAAACCCAGGCACGACGGTTGTTGTATTGGGTATCATATTTAGATCAGTTAAGCCAGGTGTATGAATACCATGACTTGCTAGTGAACTACTACCACTTGAGCTTGTACTGTTTATATGTGTAGGCTGTTGAACTAGTTGATTTATAGGCCCAAGTGGATAATTTATATTTATTTGTTGTTGTTGTTGCTGTTGCTGTTGCTGTTGAAAACCATATTGTGATAGTGGTGCCTGTTCAAATTGCTCCAATTGTTGTTGTTGTTGTTGCTGTTGCTGTTGCTGTTGCTGCTGTTGTTGCTGCTGCTGCTGCTGTTGTTGTTGATGTTGTTGTTGATGTTGTTGTTGATGTTGTTGTTGCTGTTGTTGTTGCTGTTGTTGTTGTTGTTGTTGCTGCTGCTGCTGTTGTTGTTGTAGCTGTAGCTGTAGTTGTAGTTGTATTTGCTCTTGTTGCTGCTGATGTTGTTGTTGCTGTTGCTGTTGCTGCTGTTGCTGCTGTTGTTGTTGTGGTTGTTGCTGCTGCTGTTGCTGTTGTTGTGGTTGCTGTTGTTGTTGTTGCTGCTGCTGTTGTTGACTTGAACTGGATGTTAAAATTTTATTATCCATGTGAGATATACCCGATATTTCGAATTCTTCCATTTGAGACCATTGGGCAAGATTAGTAGGTTCTAAAGCTTCATAAATACGAATGATACCATCCGAGGAACAAGTAGCTAATCGAAGTGAATTTTGAGTTGGTGCAAATGCTATATCCAATACTGCACCTCTTGATTCTACCAAACGAAATCTTTCAGCCCAGCGCTTTTGACTATTTCTCGATTCTACAGATAATATAGAGGTAAGAAAATAAGTAAAGAAAGAAAGAAAAAAAAACACACACAGGTTATGCAAGAGCTCTACCTACTGATTGTTCTTCCCATATTTTAACTTGTCTGTCAAATGAGCAACTAGCAATAACTTGTCCATATTCAGGTCTCGCCCAAACAGCTTTTAAGATGGATGCATCATGAGCTTTCCAAGCATCATTTAATTCCCAAAACGATGAATCAGCTCGTTCAACAAAATCCCATACTTTTAAACGTTGATCAGATGAACATGTTACTAATCTTTTACCATAAAAGTCATATGATATATCATGAATGAGATCTTCATGTTCAGTATCAAATTTTGTTAATGTGCTGGTCATTAGAATTGGTTTAAATATGTGTATACATATATAAAAAAAAAGAAAAAAAATATAAGTATTTAAAGAAATACACAAGAAAAAAAAAAAAGACCGGGATTTGAATTTTCACTATATATTTCATTTCATTTTATATTTTACAGAGGTATGTGATGTTTAAAAGGCAATATTAGCAGCAAGAAAAAAAAAAGGGGGGTATCCTATTACATAATAAATTATACCAGATCATACTATGAAAGAAATAAATCTACAAATTACACATATACGAAACGATCTACTAGCATACTAAAATGATTTTTTTTTTCATGAAATTTTATCACATCTTCTATATTAATTTCATTTATGTTTTTTTTCTCCATTTGCTTTTTCCTAATAGTTAATGTCTCTTCAATATAGCAGGTGTTTTGTTATGACTATGAGAGCAGGAAATAAAGTATCATTACTGGTTAAATATATAATCTTTATTTATTTATTTGTATTTGAATCTTTACTACTATTAATGATTTCCTTATCGTGAACTCAAGTAATCTATATGCAATTTGTGGAATAAAGTTTACTTTTAAATGTATGTAAAGTTTAAAATCAAACTTAGTCTTGTTATTATGTATCTAATTTACGTTTATTTTATATCAGGAAAACACTAACAAGAGAAGCACAATTCAATTATTCAAAAAGGTAAAAAAAAAAAAAAAAAAAAAAAAAAAAAAAAAAAAAAAAACTACCAACACTTATTTTACTATGTATCCGGGTTGCATTTGAGCAAACTCTTCGGCTGTGTTTTAATATTTTATGACGAAGCTTGTTAAAAGTTGGACAACAGCAGTGGAATAAGAATAGCTCAACCTAGTAGAGCCTTATTCATATATACAATGAACTCTATTCAATATATTCATATATCTATTTTTTTTTTATTTCTTTTTTTTTTCGGGGGGTGGTGTATCTCTTGAAGTATTAAATACAAAATAATGTTATTAATTAGATCCTCATTTTATATAAAAAGAACATTACCCTTAATATACTCAAGACCATGTTTATTCCATTCAACCATTCATATGAAGCAAAAACAGAATAGAGACAAAGAATACGATTTACGAGTGGGCTTTGGTAAACTAGCTCTTTAGAAAACATGTGTATACAAACATTAATATATTAAATAATTATGATAGCCATCGTCACATTACAAGACAATATACCTCATTTCTTTGAAAAGGGCTTAATAGAACATTCAATTTATTCACCCAATGTCATCTTATCAGACCCGCATTATACAAAACTTTCAATTCATGGCCGTACACCCTATTTAGGCATAGCACAGATGTTAAGATGGAGTACAGGTCTTTATTTTGATCATATCAAACTAGAGATAACTAAAATGCGAGCTTTACCGAATGATACAACGAATGATGATGAAAATAATGAAAATAGAGCGAGTTTTTCCTCTATTGATGAAATGGAAAATGATATAAAATCAAAGGGGAGTGTACAATGTTTAGAAGTAAGATGGAAATTACAGGGTACTAAAAATCCAACCTTCTTTCAACCGGAACCTCGTATAAGGCATATAGAGGGAGTATTTATCTATAAATTTGATAGTCAAGGCTATATAGGAGAGCATCGTATACAGCGTATTGTACCTCCACCTAGTCGCAAAGTGTTATTTATGCATTCATTGGGTGTAAGATTACGCTCATTATTTTGGGAAAAAAGGCCTCCTGTTTTGAATCCTGGTTTTTAGTGTTTATATATGTTATATGTTATATATAATATATAGGCATATAAACAGACAAAAGCATGATACTATTTTTATATCCAATAAAATCATAATAGTAGTCCATTGTAAATACATTAAGATATTGGGCAGTAGTTATGCAAAAAAAGTAGAAGTGATGTGGGGACTCAATTTTCTTTTTTCTTTTTTTATCACTTCAAAGTCCGTCAACGCCATTGATGACTAGAACAAAAACAGAAATGGTTTCCTAGGTAATGGCAACTATAGGAATAAAATGGCTTGCACAAACAATGTAAAACAAATAATAGTCCTTCGATTCCTATCAAGTTAGAATGACTAGTTCAATAGAAAGTGTAGTAGTGTAACAGCAAAATAAGATAAGCTCTCTAGTCTACTACGTATCAAAAGATAGTAATAGATACATAATATTTAAAACTAGATATGGAACTGTTGCTTAAAAAAAAATTAAACATTTACTCGATATCTCTAATTTGCACTTGATCCTATTATTATAACCTTATACTATTGAAAACCTTTATCTTATATTAAACTTGCGCAAAAAAAAAAAAAAAAAAATATACAAATATTGTCCCTTTATTTCTTTTTATATATAACAACTTGTATTCTATCTCCTCTAATACTTGATATTTAAAGTATTTGTTTGTTTGTTTTTTTTTATATAGCACAAACTGTATAGATTAAAGGGAAAAGAAGAGGATAGATTTTGGTATATGAACATATGTATTTACGCTTATCTAGACCCATATTAATTTAAAGATAATTTACTTGAAGGTCAGTTAAACAATAAATTATTCAAACTCCATTGTTTCTTTCTTTCTTCTTCCTCCGCGTATACGCGCGTATCAGTATAAAAAAAAATATATATATATATTTTTAAGCTACGCGATAGGATTCATTATTATAGATATTTATATATTTTTTATTATTGATATTATTACATACTAATCTAGACAAGAAAGAAAAAAAAACGAATTATATAAAGGGGGGATTATAAAACAATGCAAGTAATGTATACATGAATCTTTTTTTTTTCTTTTAAAATAAAAAAAAGGGAATGAATGCAAAATAGAGAGAGCAATATACAATTAATATATATAAACATATATATATTTCCTTTTACAATCCCTTCTTTTCTTTAAGACGCTTTTCTTCAGCTTGACGAGCACGATAAGCACGATATCTCTTATCAGTACCAAAGATATAATCCCACCATCTAAATGAAGAAGCAAAGTTATCTACAAAGGCCATATGGTGATAATCGTGATGGTCGGCACCAGCCCAGAAAGGAATGAAATGACGAAGAGACCAAGGGAAATCGTAACCAGAGTGACAATCGATAGCTTGGAAAAGACGACACATGATCCAGAAAAGCATAGTAAACAAATGAAGTTCCCAGTTACGACCCGCCTTAAAGTAAGTCTTTTCAACCAAATGATAAAGAAGAGGACCACCGATAGTACCAAAGCCAAGAATAGATGTTTCTAAAGGATGAGCATATTCAGCAGCGATACCAAAGGGAGCAGCATATTCATGATGAACCTTATGAATTCTCTTATAAAGTGGTGGCCAATGCATTAATCTGTGAACAGCGTAATGATAAGCATCTTCAAACACAAAGAAAATACAAATTTGGGGCCAAATATATTTCCTATTGACATGTATATACATCTATTTTTAGTTCACTCTCTCCTTTTCTTGCTTTATACATATATACACACACACACATATATATATATATATATATATATACTTTTAACTTACCATTCAGGGAAAGGAGTAGAGATATTCATTCCCAAGTAATTAGCCATAGGATGGAAAAGGAAAATAAGTGGACCTTCATATAAAAAGTGTTGATAAAGAACTTGCTTTGTACATTTCCAATAATCAGCACTTGTATTAATCTTATCAGGTTGAATCTTGTATTTTTGGAAATAAGGAATAAAATCACAAGCAAGGAAAGGAAGGAAACGACCGAAATAAACAAGCTCATGCATAACAAAAGCAAGAACACCTGTTACAAGTAAAGGATTTCTATCCTTATATAATTCATCCCATTGTGTTTCTAACCAACTTGGTTGAATAGATGCCAAAGTTGTGTTCATTTTCTTTTCTTTTTTTTCAGGAGGAAAGAAAAAAAAATAATAGTAATACAATGAAGAAAAAAAAAAAAAAAGAAAGAAGAAAAAAGGTTTTAATTTAAATGCAAAAGAAAATATGAACTTGATTTTATATTATTTTTGATGTACGTGTTCGGTCTATCACACCGTGAAAGGATATTAAGTGTCAAATGAGGTGATTTTTGTCCGGAGTTTAAAATTAATCTATTACTCAAAATAAAGGCAAAGTTCATTTTATTGTCATATTCGCTAAATGAATTTTTTTTTTTTTTGTTTACATAATAATAGTAATAAATAAAAGAAGAGATAGTATTTTGATGGTTAATACGAAGAGAATAAAAGGTATTTATGAAATTGAATATGTATAATATATATCAAATTCAAATGATTTCCTCTTCTACTAGATAGTAGAAGTTAGAAAATTCCTTCAATCATCCTATTATAATAATAAAGGTGTATGCCTTACATTATTATTGTTGTCAACGACACCTTTACTACAACTGAAATCTATTTTCTTTCTTTCTTTCTTTCTTTTGTTTACTTTATTTCCTCAACTCCTCATTTTAGACATGTATAATTATCAAGTATATAAGCATTTACTTGCATTCAATTCATCTTATTGAGCAAATGGATACATAATAATTTCAAACTCCTCAAATCCCCTTATATTTTTATTCGGACTTTTAATATGCTTTTCCTATTTTTTTTTTTTTTTTTCTTTTGTATAGAACAATTGACAATTGTATTGCTGACCCTTTTTATTCTTTTTTTTCAAAACAGCGATTCCAGGATTGATGAATAAAAATAATTTCTCCTTTTATTTTATTGGATATTTCCAAATTTGGATAAAATGAAAAAATAAAAAAGTTTTTTTTTTTCTTGTGTTGCATATTATAATAAAAAAAATCTTAAAATTCAATACAGAATGTATAAATATTTTCCCTTCAAATTAATACAAGTCTTCATTTATGAATGAACATACATTTGAATAAATATAAAATAAATTCAACACTTCTTTTTTTTTTCTCTGCATGTGTGTTGTTCGTATCATCAAATTTCAAAAGATATATTTAAATAAACTTTACCTGATTTTTGGTTTTTTTTTTCTATATTTATTCGTATATTACTTGGCCTAAGCGAAATATAGACTGAGTTTACATAAACAACGCCATCATTTACTTCGTGCATAAAGCAAAAAAAGAAAAAAAAAAAGAAGAAAGAAAAAAAAGAAGCTCTGCTATAAACAGGCCAAACCAAAAATAATAAATCTTTTTTATCAATTAAATATGTATTTTAGGGATAGTAGAGAGTAAGAAGAAGAGACGTATGTATTGTCTTTTTTCTTTTCTTTTTTTTTTTTTTTTTTTTTTTTTTAAAAAAAAGGTTTCAATTATCTTTTTTTTTTTGCTGTCAATAAATCCGGAGTAATGGTTATTTTTTTTTTAACAATGAATTATGTATTGAGAGCCAATCATATTTCTAGAAATATATTTTACAATTTTTTGGTAATGTAAATAACAATTTAATATTATGTAAAATACATGTTTAATTCTTGGTTAATAAATAATAATTTTTACTTATTACATGTGATGTAATAATATGTGATTCTTTTAATATAGATTTTTCTTTTTATAAATAGTATATATACAAGACTCAAAAAAAAAAAGGAATAGAAAGATTGCTATACATATTTCATGTGTAGTAATAACAAAAATTCTTATACTTTTTGGAATGTTATATGATTTGAGTAAAACCAGTAAACTACAAAGTTTTATAAAAGCTATTGTGTTCTGCTAATTCAATATTGCTGTTCAAGAAAGAAAGTTTAGAGTTGATAAGAATGATGAATAATACGTAAATTGATTGGATTCTATGTTATATAGATAGATATTATTATACTGTATTGTATTATTCAATAACATATAGCTGACAAATAGAATGTTTGATTTGTTGATTTATTTAGGTGTAATGCAATAATAATGCTTACTATTAAAAGATTGTATTTTCTGTACAGTGATTTGCGTTAAAATTTTTTATCTAGCCAATTAAGATTTTTTTTTTTAGTGCATTCAAACTTCTTCCTGAAGTAGTCCAAGTACTGGACGTGAAGGTAAACGTAAACGTAAATATATACAAATAAAAAATAGGATTTAAAATATGTCTAGTGCTTGTATAGCAAAAGACGCCATATTTATTATTATTCATGTTTAAACGATTGGGACAGTAGTTCATTTACAAACTCTGTTAAAATATAATTAATTATTTTACAATCATATGTGAATAGATTATCAAACATTTAGTTGTAAAAGAAATGTTCTTTTATACTGAATAATTCATATAAAAGAAATAAGTAAATATATAATACTATAGGGTAAAGTAGTGTATGTAAAAGCGAAGATACATATATTGTATTTTTTTTTGAGGGGGGGTATCATCGTAAGAAAAGAAAAGAAAAAAAAAGATTTAATATGTCATCTTTTCTTTCTACACTACATGTTGTTGTCTATTATCTTTTAAAGCAAGGAGGTCTTACAAAACTCTTGATTTTGAACATCATGCCAAAAAGCCATTGCACTCATTACACCCAAATAATGTGAAAGCACAGCTATTGTAACGCAAACATGAAATATTTGATGAGAGGCTCCCTAATTGATTATAAGTAAGATAGAGGAGTTAAATATAGTTTGGTATGATATCTATTTTTTAAAGATACTTACAAAAATATTAAATTTACCAGGCATAGCACTTTCTGGAAAACGAGCACCATAAATTAATGCACCTGCAATATAAGTAAAAGCCATTAAAGCCATATGTCCCAAAGAAATAGTTTTTACAGCATTATTGATCTTTAATAAATATAATATCTTAGTAAAATCTCTCTTTTCTCACTCACTCACTCTTACTCTCACTCTCACTCTCTCCCTCCCTCCCTCTCTCTCTCTCTCTGTTTCTCTAATACTTACACCATAGATCCAAATACCATGAAAAGTAGGTACTATACCAAATAAGCCTAATGCCATAAAAAGGGTAGCACGTACCCATCTATAGGCAGGTGTACGAAAATGTTTCATTAAAGTTACCGCCGCCTAAGAGTGAGAGAAGGAAAAGAGAGAGAGAAAAAAAAAGTCAATCTATATTATACTATTTAATTTATAAAATAAAAACTTACAGTAATAGATCCTAACACCATAATACATGATAAATAGACAACTATTATTTCAAGAAATTTAGTAAATTCATACAAATATCGAATTACTTATTTTATATCTACTTTACTTTGAAGTAGTTGATGGCAATGAAATCCATAATAAATAACAGGGAAAAAGGAACCACTAAACATACTACAGTTAATTTTTTTTTTGTTTTTGTTTTGCTTCACCTTCTTTCATCACAACTTACACAATTAGACAAGTAATACCCGCATAATCACATCTATTCCAAGTAGCTGCTACCTTTTCAGAATGGCAAGAAAAGCAATGAAAGCTTGCACTAAATCCTAAACATAGTAATGCTCCCACAATAAATAAAAAGAAATAGGTGATATCAAAGGTTGTTAAAGTTTCCTTAAAGGGCTGATTTAGTAAGAATTTAATACCAAGGCCAACAAATAAAAAAAATGTCAACAAATGACTCCAAATATTAACTAATAAAAAAAAATTTTTTTTTTATGAGTATCTTTCTTTCTTTCTTTCTTCTTTACTACTTTACCACTTTCATTATGAAGATACCATAAACTTTTTATACAGTCTCGGTAGTTATTTGTCTGTCGTCTATATCCATCTGTGATATAAACATTATCTCGCATCCATGCTGGAATTTCTTCCCAATTTAAAGTTAGCTTTTCTTTTTGGTTCCTTAATAGACTGTCTGTGTCTTGACTATTTTCATCATCAATGCGCTTACGAATACGAGAATTCATAGTGTGTTGTTGAATTGTTATTTATGAACTAAGAAGGAAAAAATAAAAATAAAAAAAAAAGGAGAAAAAAAGTCTGTTTTAGGTTACTTTTTAAGCAGAAATTCGATATAACACCGGGTATAATTTATAATATGTAGGTTATTTGATATCCCCAATAATTGGCATATAATAGAAGATCTGTGACTTGAAGAAGTTTTATATTTTTTATATACATATTTAAGGCATATAATTCAGTTTTTATTGGTTAGAAGAATTCAATTTTCATGTGAAGTTAAAAAAAAAAAAAAAAAAAAGAATAAAATAAAAAGATTTTCTTCTTTTACAAGTAAATGATGAACAGTTACACAGTTTGTGTAAGAAGATCTTGTCTTATAGACCAGAATAAACCTTAACTTTCAAAATAAGGAAATATTTTATTAGCTTATAAAGTCAAATTTGCCTTAAAAAAGAAATACTATTCATGGTCTTGAGGTTTTTATAATTATTTATTCACAACGAAAATGCAATATGTATCTTGCTTCACACACACACACACACACACACCTTTCCCCCGCCGAATAATTTTTTTTTCTAGCCTTGTAATAGGACCAATTATTTATACCTCTTCTAAAATTATATCATCATGTCATTATTCTATAGATTTTCTCGACATGTGATAAAGCCTCATAAACAAACTCGGTCCATATGGGTTCGTTTGACAGCAACAGGGGCTAATGTTCATGATTGTGCTGACATATCATTGGCAACCCTTGAAAAAAAGAGTCCTAATGTGTGTGTAGTCCTTGCTTCCAAGTCATTTACTTTAAAGAATTACAAAGATCTAATATGTGAGCTGAATATTAAATTAAACAAGCCTTCTGTAATGATGGGTGGTGTCATTGACCGAGTTCCTCATGTTGATCACGGTATCTCTCTGTTATTAGGCTTTGATGAACATGTTGTGCCATTTACCATTACAGATGATCAGCATCGTCTCAAGATCAGGAATACAGCAGTGGGTCGTTGGGGTCGTCAAGATGATGTCATTCGTCTTAAATACCAAAATGATCATCTCGATAATGTGAATTGGGAGAATTTCGGATCTATCAACACTCCAGTTCAACCCTTTCAGCTACCATCCAGTTTAGAAAACAGTCTGAAGACAGTACCTTCCTTTTTATTTACTCTCTCTGATAATGAGCCGGAACAACTTTTACAGACATTTGATCATCATTATGCCAATGTGCCCAAGGTAGGCCTTATAGGCGCTTCAACACCATTTGTTACAGGTGAACCCTATTGTTTATTTAGAGGTGAGGAGATAATGGGATCAGGTATAGTTGGATTTGCTTCATATGGTGCACAGCAGTTACAAGATATGAAGGTATGTCATACAGCTATGGAAAAATTAGGCAAACCCATGAAGATCACTCGCTGTCAGGGTAATGTTATATTGGATGTGGAAGCAGGTGGTGCAACTGGACTGCTATTACAGCTTATTCAACACTGTGGTCCATTGTCTAAAGACGAAGAATTTTATGCAGGTATTTATCCGCTTGAAGAAAATGAATTAGATGAGAGTATGCGAGTCAGTCGCATTACAAGTGGTGATCCTAGTAGGGGAAATATGTCTATAGATACTACTGCAGACCTTCAAGTAGGTCAGACTATTCAGGTAATTATATATAACTTGAGAAGACAAAGAAAAGAAAAGAGAGAACATGTTTTCTAATTATTATTATTATTTTGTTTAGTTTTTAAGAAAAAAGACAGTAGAGACTATTAAAAATGTTTCTAGTGACACTATGATAAAGGACAATATTATATTTGGTGTGAGTGAGAAAGATGATACAATAGATATGATGCCTATTAAGATACCTAATCAAGCAAACGTCATAAAAGATTGTTTTGGTGGTGTAAGTGAAAATGGTGTTATTCTAGGTCGTAGTCATATGTCAAGTGAATTATTGGATGTCCCCTTCTCAAAGGTTATGTTTAAATTATAAGATTAAAAATGTATTGTATAATAAAGCAATGTTTGATTTTGTATTATATACGTATACAAGTGTATTTTATTAAGACATTATAGATTATTTACAGTTAATGATATTGCTTGTCTTTTATCATTCTTTTTGATATTTCATAATTTCATGGTATAATAATCTATTCCAATCATCGACTGGACCTGGTATACAAGTATGTAAGCAATCCTTATCAGGCTTTGAATGTGCATCCCCTCTTTGATTAAACATAGTTGTGATATCAAATAAACTAAATCGAGTGTCATTTACTTCATCTAAAAGCTCTTTCCAAATCAAATCAAACTTTTGAAACAAATGCCATTCATATTCACCTTGTTGTCCTGAAGGAACTAATGGGTTCTGCTGAGGTTCTTTAAATTGAGAGCAGTTAGCATGACCGTAAGGAGTTGTCCTAATCCATACTTTTTGTTGTAATTTTATATGAATTTTTAAATAGTCAAATATAATATGCATTGCCTTTTTAAATGCCATCAAAAGCTCAGTTTCTGATTGATTTGACCCCCAATGGACATTAGGATGCCAATGTGGACCCTAATAAATATATAATAATAACGATCTTAAGTTTTTTTTTTTTTTTTTTTTCCTTTTTTCTCCACCACCACCACTCTTATAAATAGTAAATATATAACTAAACATACTGTATTAATGACAATATAATTAAACTGAGACAATGCATGAACCCTATATGTATATAATATAATATAATGTCAATGTTATTTTTTTTAAATCTTTGCTACTACACCTTCTTCCTTTTTCATTAATGGGGCTTATATTACCATGGATGATTTTCTTCTCGTCCTAACTGTAGACCTACTGGTTCTAGAGGACTAATCATTTTATAATCATTTAATCGTATCAAATAATCAGATCGAATGTAAGCCATAGCTGCTGTATGGCCGTTAATAGGGGCTCTCTCATCCACTCTAATTTTACTATTCCCACCATTCAACGTTGATTGATTTGGATGCTTATTAGGAAACTCGTGCCCTAATAAACAACTAAGGCTCTCAAATTGTAATTGTGTAATCGAATCACCTACAAACAAGATGGGATATTGTACAAAATGTTTTGCAAGTTTTCCTGCATCGAATTTTAATAATTTACAACTTTCTGGTAGCCAACGGTAATCCGCGCTAGAAATATATGAACAGATGTCAATGTTAATAAAAAAAAATTCTATTCATACATATATCTATCTGATCTCTCTATTTACGTACATTGTCTTTGATCGAGTCAACTCATTTCCTCCTCGACGAAAACATCTATGGGCAAACTTTTTCATACAATAATAGCCAGTTATTTTTGCAAACTCCTTTGCTGTAAAAGGTTCCTCTAGTTGGATTGGGCTATATGCCCATTTTCCCTTATTGAAAGTTTCAATAGTACATAATGGCTGTGTAGTAAGGGTTGTATTGGTTTGTTGTTGTTTATTATTCGATGAAATAAATGCTGTCATACTATGTTGATAGGTTGTAATCCATAATATAAAGACAGTAAGAGCTGCAACTATATATATGTATCTCATTTGACGACTTGCCTCTTCTCTATTTGAAGAGGATAGCCATACCATATTTTGCAAGCTGATGAAAAGAGAGAGGGAGAGAGAGTATGTGTGTAAATTGAAGGAAAAAAAAGAAGAAAAAATAAAAAAAAGGAGAATACGAGGGTGTTCATATCTTATAAAGTTAAATTATTAGCTACCACATGTTTGCTTTTAAAAACACCGAGAACCTGTTATTATTATACAATCTAAGGTAAAAAATAAAATAAAATAAAATGAATTATGCTCTTTCTTTTCTAAATTATTACACATACATACTATTCTATTATTTATTATTTTACTATGTCTATAAAAGAGAGGAATGATGATATTTATATAATTAATATGCTTCTTAATATTCTGTCGTGTCTTTTTAATCAATAAACTCGTACTACTCACCTATTTTACACTTTAAATTCAGACAATATCTTATGTATAAAAATATCAATCAAGACATTTATTCCGTCATGACCGTAACTATCTAATCCAGTAAAGACAACCTTTTGTGGGTACAAGCAGCTCTAATTCTGGTTACAATCTGTCCGAAAAAAAAAAAGATCGATAACCTTTTTTTATATTAATAAATACTTTTTTTCCTGATAAAGACATCTTTGATAGAAAAAAATGTTCTTTTTCCTCTGTTTTATGAATATTATACTGCTATCCTAGTATTGTAATTGTAGAATAGCAAGTGCTTCAGACTTTGATATTATAGATAGAAACATAAAACTTGTTGGAAGAGTTTATAACAAGTGTTAAACCTTACTCTTCCATATATATTATGTTCATTTGGCATAGATTGCGTTACTCTTATAAAACTATTTATTGTAATGATATAAATTATTAATTTCTTAGGAATAGATCTTGATTAGGGTATGATGTCAATAAAAACGCTCTTCAAAGTCTCTCCATTGTTATTAAAGGTTTAATAAAGAAGTCTCAAAAATCTACTTTTTTTTTTTTCGGTCCTTTTATTTTGCCTTTATGCTTGAAAAAAAAAATATTAACGGATACAATAATTAGAGTTTTAGTTTATGGTCAAATGCAGTGTACACTTTCAGCTTTTGTAAACAAGTCAACAAAAGTGTAAAATTGGTTGATATTTCTTTTTATTAGTAGTAGTAACTTTGCCTTTGTTTTTCTTTTCTTCAATATTCATTAGAAGTTTGCTCATCTTGGACTAATCTTGCTTTTGTTTTTTTATCATTTCTTCCCAAAGTGCAAATTCTAGCATATCTTGTAAATTTGAGTGATTTTGGATCCTTTAAAACGTAGAATTCACCATCACACATAATACAAATTATATTTTTGTTCACATATTTGTTTTGAAATACTATCGAGTTCCATTTGGATTTAGTCTTTGATGATTCAGGCTCACGGAAATAAATTTCAAAAGGTGTATTAAATTGCCCAATACGGGAAACATGCTGACGAATATTAGCAAGCTTCTTCAAATAGCTTGGTATGTTCTGAATCACCATGATTTCCATTTTCCCATCATTGGCTAGCTGTGGTGTCCAGTTATGAGGATCTGTTGGCCCTGAACGATTTTTTACAGATTCCAAACCTTTTTTAGCATCACCCCATAAATCAACCTCTCGTCCCCTATATAACAAAATATTATTAAAAAAAAATTAATAAATAAAACTATTATGTTGTATCATTACCATATATGCGGTATATTTTGAATAATAAAATCAATAGACTGCTTTGCCAATATAGGTATCGATTTTGTATCGTTACTAGATGCACCAACTTTATTCTTCTTCTTTTCTTCACCAGGTTTAGGGCAAACAAGTACTGTTTCATCGTTATATATAATTTTTTCAATAAAATTGGATACTGAAGGAAATTTACGCAGAAAGACCCATTTTGCGCTTTCCCAAGTGTATACAACAACATTTAACCATCGATTACCTGATCGATGCTTTTCAAAACCACTTCCAACATAGCCTTGCACACCAATCGACATATAGTTACACATCTTTCGAGTCATCATGCATGGAGAACAAATACTTTTTGTTGCTTGTTGATGTGTCTTGTCAATCCCTTGAATATAGGACCCTGTCTTGCGTCGTGGTGCGCCTGCTAATTGAACATATCCTCCAGGATAGGCCTCCATTTCAACTTGCCAAATATCAAGATGTGCTGCAGATGAGTATTTAAGACGTTCCATAATTAATTCCTCTAAATTGCGTAAGCCCTTGCCTAAAATACTAAGATGTGGTATTGTCCTTCCCCAGCCCAAGACTTGACCAAAATCATTACCAGTACCAAGAGGAATACCTATCATGATGTGTAAAAGGAAGAACAATAGCATATCATTAGTTTAAATATATACGTACAATTTGTTTAAAGAATAATAATAATAAAAAAGGTTTTACATGAAAAAAACAAACAATTTAAATCAATATGGTTATTAACTAGCATTTCAAAAACACTCATCACTGTCCCATCTCCTCCTGCACTCCATACATGAATATGACGTGTACGAACAGTTTCATTGATGCAGACCTCTTTTTCATTGGTTTGATCAGATTTTGTATTTAATTCATCTAGACTTGGTATTTCTCCTGATTTAAGCATACTTTCAACAAGTTTTACACTTTCTATACCTAGTCGCCGATCCTTTTCGTCCAGAATATTGTGTATTTCAACTTGAACTTGAGGAAATTGACGCAGACGAAAATGTTGAAAGGGAAGTTGGATGAGGTCTTTCCCCTTACAGTCGCCTGATAACGGGTTGACAAAGATAAAGAGGTAAATGCTTGGTTTACCCTCTCGAAATAAGTCTTCGAAGCATACGGATGTATTCATATGTAAGGTTTCAGATAAATTTGGTGGTCTTTTTAATGGTGAATTTTTATTATGTGATGAAGTGTCTGTAGCATGTTGTTTAAAGGATTGATGATGACTTGTAGTTGAAGAAGAAGAAGAAGTGGTTGAAATATCATTACTGTCAGGAGAATGAAGGCTCACAGAAGATAATGTTGTATTTTTTATTGAATGATTTCCTTCCCTTGTGCTATCACTACTTGAGGAAGAATCTATATTACATTTTTTTGAAAAAAAAAAATAAAAAATAAAAAATAAAAAAACAAATTGTTTTTTATATACATACATGTATATATTTATGTTGTATTAACATATATAAATATACAAATATATACTTTACCTTCCTCTGAATTTTCTTCTTGAGTTATCTTTGTAACATTATGGTATTGTTTACCAAAGTCGACTATTTTAGGGGTTAGGCTAATGTTGACTTTATCATTGCCGTCATGAAAGTTATTTAGAGTAGACATAATTTCAGTATTCATGGTTAAATATATATATTAAATAAAAAAGAGATATGAATATATTACATATATATTTTTTTCGAGAAGGAGACTTTATTTCTAGGTTTTATATCTAAGCAATACATATATAATTACATCATAAATACACGGAAAAATCAATGTGCCTGATCTCTTTTCTTATGTAAAATTTAAGTTATATTACTGTCATGCATTCTATTAAAAAAGACTCTTCGAGAAAATAATGAAAAAAAAAAGTTTAAAAAAAAATAATAATAAAAGTATATTAATGAACTGGATATTAGAGTACTTCTTAAAGAGAACATGTGTTATTTCAGAAAGCTTATAATGACTATTCTTCCTTTTTCTTTTTTTTAAGAAAAAAAGTGTATTTGCAACTGTTTATTTATTTTTTTTTTTTTTTTCACTTTTTGAATGATGATTTTAAGTTTTGATTCTTTAACAGTGAATTGACTTTTTTTTTTTTGTCCAATAGAATTTACAAGCTTGTTTACTTTTTTATAATCTTTTTTTTTTCTATATTTATCATATATACCATGCCTACTACTGCAAAAGACCAGGAAGAGAATAAAGTTCTCATTAAAAAGTATCATCGTGATCGTCATTCAAATCATAATTATGATGCATGTTCTATTTGCTATACTCGGCCTGGAATGCCTTTAGTGCCGCCTCTTAATTTCGCCATGATCGCATCAGGCGTTTATCGTTCTGGACATCCTAATAAACAAAACTTTGCATTCTTAAGGAAACTTGGATTAAAAACAATACTGTAAACTAAAATTACAATTAAAAACACACACACACACAATAATCAACTAAAATAGAATAACTTTAGATATTTCGCTATGGAAGATTACCCTCCAGAAATGCAACATTTTGTAAAGGTAGAAGGAATTGAAGTATTACATTATCGAACTGAAGGGAATAAAGAGCCATTTATAGAAGTAAATCAAGAAGATATTTCACATGCACTTGTCAAATTATTAGATAAGCGAAGTCATCCAGGTAGAGAAATAAAAACGGCATCATTGAACATGTGCAATATTTATTGATTTTTTTTTTTAAAAAAAAGTGCTTATTCATTGCTTGAAAGGAAAGGTAAAAAAAAAAAAAAAAAAAAAAAAAAAAAAAAAAAAAAAAAAAAAAAAAAACTCCCGTATTATTTTTTTTTATAATGAAATATGCCAAAATGTATAAACTTAATGTTATTGTACTAGCATCGTATTGGATGTGTAGTAGGCTGTTTAAGGAAGATTCAAAGCTGGTCAATGACTTCTATATTTGATGAATATCGTAAATTTGCGGGTACAAAAGTATTAGCTGATCAGGAGGTAATCTCAATTAAGATACGCAAATGAGATTTGTCATACATAATTATTTTATAGTTTATAGAGACTTTCGATCATGAACAGGTCCCATACGATCCAAAATATAGACCAAATTGGTTATAATTGTATTATTTCAGAAAGCTATTACAGGTTATTTAAATTCAAATTACAAAGTAAAAAAAAAAAAAAAAAAGGCATATTTAATTTTGTAGTTTAATTAATACTTGAAACATTTTATGTTGATTAATACATTGTGAATTACTTGGTCAAACTTATTATAAACTATAGTCAATACAGGGAGCTAAATCTCCCTTGAAAGATATAGGCAGATAAAAACAACAGATATAAATGATATAGTAAGTGCAAAAAAAAAAGGCCTTTTTCTATCAAGTTGATGCATAATTGTTCTATAGACTATATACACTACATGACTGCTTTTCAGTTTTTTTTTTTTTTCTTCTAAATAATATGAATAAATAGTAAATATCTGTTTAGCACACATACATACGCATACACACATATACAAATATACATATTTATTTATTATTTAAAAGAGAAAAATAATGTCTAATGAACTAACATTAACTTGGGATAAAGAATTATCAAATTTCTTTAAAGAAATTGGACTTGTAGAAACTAGCGAATGCCTGAATTCTGAGCTTATCGTCCTATCTCGTCATCGATTAGAAAAATTACCAGAAGCATTAGAGGCGCTTGTCGAAAAACTTTTAAAAACACTTGAGAAACATATAGATGCAAAAGAACAACTATTAAATAAACATGAAAAAGAACATGAGGATCTGCTTGTTAAAAAAAGAACATACGCAAGTAAGGAAGAAGAGGAAGAAGAGGAAGAAAGAGAAAGAGCCAAACGATTTAATAGTGAACAAGTACAGATAAGGGCTACAACAAAAGAAGTTGATCAACGCATAGATACATTTATTCAAGCAAAAAGAAATGAATTAGATGAAAGTAATCGAACAGAGTTCTTGAATAGACGAGATCCAGCTGCTGCTGATGTGACTTGTGCAAGAACAGATGCAAGAGAGATCAATCGAAATATTCAAATGAAGTTTGATATTGTGAATAACGAGGATGGTCCATTAGCTCGCTCATTAATAACATCATCAAATACAGCGAATACAAAGGATAGTCATGTAAACACCTCTGCTGATATAACAGAAAGATTGAATAATATAGAAGAGCATCTCAACGTTAAAATAGACGAAATAGCAAAACCTTCCTTTTCTGTATTTGAACGAATTAAGATACTAGAAAACACATTAATAGAGATCGAAAAACAGTATCCTCTTTGGGCAGCAGTTCATTTTAACCAGCCTAATCGTAATTTCCCTCCCCCACCACCTGTAACATATATTACTCGTCCCATCACTACTACTACTACTACTACTACTACTAATGATGATAATAATCATGATAACACTGCAACTTATATATCCACACAAATAACAAATACAGCACCGCAACAAACAGTCCTGAAGGCACATGGAAGAGCTAATTCTTCATTAACACGGGCTGTCATTGATCAGCTAAATAGGCAAAAACAAATTTCTGTTACAAAGCAAACAATAGAATCAACAAATCCATAATAGAAATAAAAAATTACATTGCAATAAATTACTTTTTTTTTCCTTTTTGATATTTTATTTTCTACCTATTTGTATATATATTATATGACAAGTTTAAATTTCGAGTTTAAAGGTGAAATATTCAGGATCAAAATGATGAACACGAACATAACCATCTTCACCACCACTTGAATAACTAGTGCCATCAGGATGAACAGCAAGTGTATTAATAGGACCGAAATGTCCTCTAACGCGTCCAACTTCTTCTTCAAGGATCTTGTGATAGAATCTACTTTCAAATTTACCTTGTCTAGCAGAAGTAGTTGTGACACTCATAGCTTCTTGACCACCACCCAAGATAACAAATTCTTGATGCTTAGGAGTAATAGAAGCTGAGTTGAGAGGTGTATCAGCAGTATAAGTTTTCTTAATGTCTAAAGTAAGGGAATCAATAATTCTTGCGCTCTTATCTTTAGAGGCAGTAATAAAGTATGTACGATCGGGGCTGAATTGCATATCATGTATAACATCTTCATGAGCACGAATAGAGTTAATCTTTTTATTTGACTTCCAATCCCATTGGCAAACAGTACCATCTTCATGACCAGTAATAATATACTTATCCAAGCAAGACCAACCAGCAACAACTGCCTTTTTGCCGTCATTAATAATAGTAACAATAGGTGTATCAGATTCTTATAAAGAAAAATTTAGTATTTCCTTTTCCTTTTTTTGTTTTTTTAGTCATTCATCTTTTATCATTTAAAAATATACTTACGGGTACCGTTAATATCGCTATTAATAGGGTAAACAGTAACTGTACCAGAGAAGCCCATACGCTCTTCTGTAACGCATAGAATCATAGAATTATCTTGGCTAAATTCGACACGCTTAACAGCAGTCTCGAATTCCCAAGTTTTTAAACAACGACCAGTTTGAACTTCCCAAAGTTTGCAAGTATTATCAGCAGAACCTGTAACAAGTAAAGTTGAATCACCTAGCATAAAAAATAAACAAATAATTAATAATGAGCTTTGATATGGGGTTTTTTTTTGAAAAAACATTGGTTATAAAAGGAACAAATAATAATAAACAAAAAAGCAGTTGATCAATCTAATTATTTATGATCCATGAATCTATCCTGTTATTTGCAATTCTGTGTATCTCTTCTTTTTATTATTATTATTTGTTCCATCGCTATTTCGAAAGTATTTATTACCATTGACATCAATAGTCCAGATTGCACCAAGATGACCAGTATATGTACCAAGACGTTCACCATTATGAGAATACCATACATTAGCTACTTTATCCTTAGAAACAGAGAAAAGCAAATCGCCTTCTCTGTTATATTTAATTTGAGTTAAAGATCTGGTATGTCCTTGAAGCAAGATGGGTCTCATTGTTAATAATTATTAGGCTAGTGGTTTGCAATAAAAAAAAACAAAAAATAAAAAAAATTCTATTCTAAAAAAAAAAAAAAAAGAGGCTTTCCTGTTAATTAGAAGAGCGACAATAAAGTTCGGCCCGGATAACTCCTCATATTAACAGTAAGGCGTATGGGTGAATGAGAGACTGGAAGCTAGCGTAGTGAAAGGAGAATATAGTAAGTTGACGAATACACAATCTTATAATCTTCCCTTTTTTTCCTCATCATGGTATTGTATCCAAACTATAAAACAAGTTCAACCAAGTATATGAAATGAAAGGATAAAAAACGAATGGATGATTATGGATAAATATGGATATTTTTTTGGCAAAATGTGTCATATGAAGACATTTATAAATGAACAACATCGACGTTAATATGAATTACATTATTTCTCCAAAATAGTAATCTCAATTTCATTTAGCTTATATAATCATCTGCATTTTATTTTTGAATTCAATTTATTGTATCCTTACATTTCAATATTCTTGGTTGTACTTGGTTGAATGGAGATTATTTGGTTAGGTTTAATGCTTACATTGTTTTTTTTCCGATTTTTTTTCTTTAGGCTGACGAGCAAGCTACTCAAAGAAAGAGAACTTTCCGTAAGTTTACCTATCGTGGTGTTGACCTTGAACAACTCTTGGATTTGTCTTCTGAACAAGTAAATATTAATAATACGTGTTATAATTAAATAAATGTAGAAATTGATCACTTGTATTTTGTAGTTTATGGAACTTGTTCACTGTCGTGCTCGCAGAAGATTCCAACGTGGTCTTAAGCGCAAGCCTATGGGCCTCATTAAGAAGCTCCGTGCTGCCAAGAAGAACGCCCCCGCTGGTGAAAAGCCCGAAGTTGTCAAGACTCATCTCCGTAACATGATCATCGTTCCCGAAATGATCGGTTCCATCGTTGGTATCTACAACGGTAAGACCTTCAACCAAGTTGAAATTAAGCCTGAAATGGTTGGCCACTACCTCGGTGAGTTCTCCATCACCTACAAGCCCGTCAAGCACGGTCGTCCTGGTATTGGTGCTACTCACTCTTCCAAGTTCGTTCCTCTTAAGTAAAAAAAAAGCGCACATGCAAAAAAGACAGATTTTATTATAGCTCTTTTATATATAAATGTGTATGCATACATATAAAAAAAATATACATAGTCAATTTATTATTTAAAAGGATTTGTTGTGGTATTATTTGTGAGATATTAAATGGGTTTTTGGATAGCTTTACTACTGGTGTCAATGTGTCAATTAAATAGGTAGTGTGACCATAAATAGAGTCTAATTCTAAATAATCAACATACAGATTACCAGCTCTCATTAAACCAGCTGGCTATTTCTCTTTTATTGTTCAACTAAAACCAGGCCATCAGTTTAAAAGCCAACAACTAAAATTATCATTTGAATAGAGTGCATAAACCATGGATCAAGTAATATTCGTAATTTTCTATTTTTTGAGTAATTTCGTCTTCATATATTTGCTGACATGTTTCAGCAACTCGCTGAGGAATTTGTATGACAATGAATAGGATAATGTTCCTAAGTTTGCATTAAAAAACATGGTTATATTATACAAATGTATGTATACTATATACCTTCATACCATTACCATTGTCGTAATAAAATTCCCTATTCTAATAGAGGTATCGTTTATAATTGCCTGTCTCCAAATGTATCTAAGTATACTAGAATAAGGAATGTAATTTAGCACAAGTAGACCCAGTTACTAGCCTTTTTTTTTTCCCCCTACACGATGAGGAAACATAGAAGCTGCAGCCAATGACTCTATGCCACTCATACTATTTCCAATAAATTCATATAGATGATCGATGTCTAGGTACTCTAATAACAAAAGCTAAACTTTAAACATATCAAAGATAGTCATCATTAGGAAAACAGTATCATAAGGCTTATTATATTTATTGAACTAGGCTCCATAGAACCATAATATTCTCCTACTCTATATTTGTTCATATCGACTAAGCATTATGGTCTAATCATCTTTTCCCATCAACTTGGTTTGGCGTTATTTTTCATTCGTTTTCATATATGTTGTACCTGAAAATCCAGTTACGAAGAGGTATAGCATTGAAACGATTGTGATTAAGTTCTTAACAATTCTCATTAACAAGCTGAAAAAAAAAAAGACTCAATCATCGTAAACTATACATGCTTTCTTTATATACTTTTCACTATCAGCATTTATAATGTATGAAATTTCTCTTATGTTATATCTATTATCACTGTTATATCTTTTAAGATGTGTTATATATCTCTTACGCGTCTTATAAAAAAATGCTTTTATTAATTATTATTAACAAATAGTAATTCATGATATATTTATTAGTGTTAGGCAATATTACAAGATAATAATACAAGCCAGTTCTTGAATCTCTTTATTACAGAATATTGCAACTTTTGTTACTATCAATTAATTTATCTTCATTAAATTAACGAGATTTAACCAAGAATTTACAAAATATATTTATCTTTTTGATAAATAAATTTCTATATATAATAAATGTGTTAATGAAAAGGACTCTTTTTCTTTTTCTTTATTTCTCAAAAATTCTTATCTTTTTTTTTTTTTCTTTTTGATAATTAATCATAGTAGATATGACTATTAGCAATTTAGAGAAACGATACCTTGCATTAAAAAGCAACTATGATTATCTCCAATGTGACCATAATAAAATGCTTTGTAAATTTTCGGAAGCTGATGTAAAACACAAACAACTTCGTTCTTATACCAATAAGCTCGAAGAAAGAAACGAAATTCTTTCAGCTACTATCAAGAGACTTGAAGATGAATATTCCGCAATCCAGTTGTCTTCTTCATCAAATAAGTCTTATACTTCTTCAGCAGATACTCAACAACGTCACCAACGACAATTTTCTAGTCGTACAAGTGGCTCTTTTCTTGATTTAAATGAGGAGGAAAATAGTGAGACAGCACCTAATGAATCTACTTCTATTTCATATCAGGAAACCTCACCTATTGACTTGGAAGTTACGGGATCATGGGTAGTAAATGAACCAATAAAGGATACTGCAAATCGATCCACTACTACTCATTCTGTAATTTCTGAGAGGAATACAGACTCTATCAGCAATAACACTACTACTCATCTTCTTGCTCCTCGTACTTTGACTGCTTCACATATCACAGAATACGACTTTCTTTATTTTTATTGTCAAAAAGGAAATTCTCGCAACAAAATTCGAAGATGTCTTCATGTACTTGGAATTGATACCTCTGATGTGCTCGATATCATTTTCCCCTTCCATAATATTGTTGGAATCCTTGTCCATAAAGATGATCGTACAAAAATTTGTAAAATTCTAGCAAAACAAGCCAATATTAAACCTATTAAAAACTTTAACCCCATGGACCCAGCCTATTTAGGAACAAATAAGGATCCACATGTATCAGACGAGGAGCAAGTTGCTAAATTATTTAAAAAACATAAAAAACGTTGCATTCATACTCTGAATTTCGTCCCGAAAGCGTATTTTTCTCCTATCCTAGTTGCTTTTATGAGTAAAGGCTGGCTTACTGCTGCAGATGTTGAAGGATTGATTAAACAATCTTCCAAATTTTCTCGTGCTGCTTCTATTTTCCAGGACAGCTCATAAATTTATGCAGTTAAAATTAGTATCATTTATATTTATTGGTATAAATAAAACTTGACTATGTATACTTTTTGCTCTATATTATACCTAAGCATTTTTATGTGATATATGTATACATGTATATTTATATGAAAAAAAAAAAGGAGGAAGGGGAACTTCTTTATTTTTCATTTACATAATTATTACCAGCACTAATAAAATGATTAAAATAATAATAAGGCAGCAAATACAATAACCTGATTTTGATTCTAGAAAAAAAAAGAAAAAGAAAAATACGGTATACGTTTGGTTGAGCTATTATTTTCTTAATTATCAATGTGTGGTTTACCTTCTTCTTGCTTGAGTATTGTAGTAACTCTTCGCATTGCACTTTTTAGTTTTCCTTCAGAACGATCTACTTGGTTTCCCAAATCATCCAATAAACTATTTACATAATATATTAACTACATACATACATACATGGAGAAATGGACTGATGAATATTTACATGACTTGGTCGTCAATTTCTCGATTCATTGTTCCTGCAATCTCCTTTAAATTAACTAAAGTACCACCGATAGCATCTAGATGTTGATCTTGATCCTGCATAATCATCTATATATATAGATATACACTTATAAGTCAATATCCTTATTTTCTATTTATTTTCTTGCTTTATTATATACCATCTGATGCTGTTGTTGACTTTCAATAAATAAACTATTATCATTCTGTCGTGCTGCCTGATACGAGCTACTACTAGACTATGCACAAACATTAAAGTTTGTCTTAAATATCTTCAGTACATATTAAAGATGCTTACTTGATCATTAGGAGAATATGGCTTTTTACTGGGTGGATTAGCCATTATTTTACGCATATTATGAATAGTGTTTCGAGATTGAGTTAAAAACGATTTTCTATTGTTCAAGTCATTGACTGTTAAATTAAATTGTGAAGGGTTTTGTTGAGCTGCTTGTAAAGCTTCTTCTAAATCTTCAATATCTAGCTCAATAGCTTCTAATGACGAATTTAGTTCATCCGCTGTCCATAAAAGCTCTTGATTTCTCGGCGATGACACAGTTTGTTGAATTCTTTTCCAGGATTCGAATAAATTAGTTGCATTCACTAATGCATCTTCTACCTGACTAATAAAAAATTATTAAAAGGAAAGAAAGAAAGAAAGAGAGAGAGAGAGAGAGAGAGAGAGAGCAATACTCTATTACCTTTTAACAATCAAAAAAGGATCCTCCATATTGCAAAAGAAATTATAAAACAAAATGAATTACATTTTTCATTTCCATTCAAGAGCTAAATTTAGATGAAATTCAAACTCCGAATTATAAAGAGTCTTTATCATTTCTGATTTGATTCCACAGCATTGGATTATTAGCTAAACTTTTTCATTTATTATAGTACATAGATACACCCACTTGAAGATTAGGATTTTCTTCTAATCATTTGCTACTACCAGTTTGTATGCATGTTCTGCTTTAATTGATAATAAAAGTATTAAAGCAAATGGCTTTATTTAATAAAGGTATTATTCATTCAATCTTTATATAAATCTTCCCGAAAAAAAAACATGCAACATCAACTATTTTGATTTCATATATCATGTATCTGATCTTATCTTATCATTGGTATCATGACCAAGATATACATGAAATAATAGATTTTATATGCTGATTATACAGTCCTTAATGATAAATTACATTCCATTGACTTTGATCATACTAAATCAAACGATATTTTAGATTAGCCAACTCACTAAAGTTTGATCTGATAACAAAAGGTCTAAAATTAACATACTACTACTACTATTATTATTATTATTTTTACCTGTTTTAATTAAATATCTCAAGATGAAAACTAGAAAAAAAAATTACATGTTAGTTATAAATACCTTTTTACTAAAAAAGTCTATCAAGACAATATAAAGAGCCTTACAATAGTTTAATTTCCAAGATAATTAATAAGCAGTATTGAATATATGATAAGAGAGGAAGAGTATAAATAAATAGGTTACAAAGTTAAATCATGTGTACCAGATCAAGAAATTAGAAAGAGTAGTTGATGAAATAAATAAATTCTTTATCCTCTAAAATTACAGTTTGCTGTATATCTTGGTAACATAGATATAATACAAGTCATTTCCTTAGAGTATTTTTTTTCTCCCCTTTGATATAGTAAGGACGATATGATATTGTATTAAAAGACCATGTGTAGCATAATTTATTAGTACTATAGCTATTTACTATGAATACTACTCTTTATGTTATTAATTCTTTATTAAATAAAATTATAGGATAGACAAAGTTTTTTATTTGTTGTATCTTTTCAGACGAATTAAAGAAAAGATAAAAAAAAAAAACTATCCTTTACTTAATTTAGTTAATAAAAATAGACATACGTAGTTTTATAGTAACAGATTAACTATGGTGTTTATTTTAATTTGTGCCTATCAGCTAATAATATACTGGTCATAATATTAAAGAGAGAATACGCTGTTGTACATCATGCACATTTAATACAAACTAGCTGAATTGTATGTGTGCTTATGAAGGGCAACATATCATACGTGCATTTTTTACTACTAAAATAAAATAAAATAAAATAAAAAGGTAATGAGTTTATATAGGTTAGTTAATTAAACTATTGCATCATTTAATGATCAGAAAACACAATAAGATTTTTTTTTCATATATAAACTGAATATTTTTTTTCTCCCTTAATACTTTATCTACTTGGTACTATATTTCCTTTGTTTTTAATATAATACAGTCTATTTGACCCTCGTCTTCATTCCTATATAAACATACTATAGTAAACTATCATGTTGGAATTGGCTATATCTGCTATTCAGGTAAATAATAAATCAATCAACCAATAACCTTTGCCTGTAACATACTTTTTCTTTTTCTTTTTCTTTCAAGGCAATTTTACAAGTAATAATCATAGTCTTTACTGGAGCTTTCTTGTCAAACAAAGGTTATATAGACAATGATAAACAAAAGGTATCATTGAACTTTCGATAAATTTTGAACTGTATCATTTAAACAATTCTTTTCCCTCCTTTTTCTTCTTCTTCTTCTTCTATTTAGTGGCTTTCTAAACTAAACCTTGTCTTTTTTACTCCATGTTTACTGTTCTCTAGTATAGCATCAGTCATGTCATTTAATAAATTATTAGATTTTTGGCCAATACCCGTATTTTATATCATGTTCACTTCAATTTCTTGGATACTCTGCAGAGCGGCTTCCCCCATTTTTGGCATTGATAACTATCATAAACCCTTTGTTATAGCTTGTTCTATCTTCAATAATGCAAATTCTTTACCAGTTGCAATTATTTCAAGTCTAGCAGTTTCAGAGGCAGGAAAAACTTTATTTTGGGGTTCAAATGATAGTCAAAAAATGGCATCTGCACGGTAAATAAGAAGATACTCAAATTTTACTTTAAAAGGAAAAGAAAAGCTTACATTCTTAATTTGTTTAGTGGCATATCATATACTCTGTTCTTTGGGCTTTTTTCTAATCTCTTAAGATGGTCTTACGGTTATAATTTATTAAAAAAGAGTGAAGGAGATGATAAAACAGAAGAGGATGATAAATCAAATATAAATTCAAACTATGGTTCTACTACATATTCATCAGAAAATAACAATAGACAGGCCTCTTCATCGTCATCCTCTTCTGAGTCTTCTAGTACTTTATCATATAATAGTAATAAATACCAAGATTTAGAAAACAATACCAATGACCGTAATCGACCTAAAAAGGACCGAAAATCTTATCCTAATAATAATAAGAATGATGAAGACAATCGACTTTTAGGAAAATGTACCGATGATGGCCAACAAAAAGGTACTAAAAATTTATCCATCATTTATTGGATCAAATCGATGGCTCAGAAATACATGTCACCTCCTCTTTATGCCGCTTTATTGGCGTTATTTGTTGGACTCTGCCCACCTATCAAAAATCTTCTTTATAGCGAAGATCAATTTTTATACGCTTCCCTAACCAAAGGCATTGAATCGTGCGGTAAAGCATCAGTTCCACTTGTCCTTATCTGTCTTGGTGCTCAGTTGAAAACAATTCGAGAAACGCAACCAAAGAGTCGTCCACAGCATAGACGACCCGTTGCCTTAAGTATCTTTATTCGTATGTTATTAGCGCCCATCTGTGTCCTTTCGATTATATTTGTCTTTGCTAAATGGGGCTCACGCTGGTCAAAGTTAGCAGAGGATCCTATGTTTATTGTCTGTATGATCATCGTAGGCTGTACACCCACTGCTATTAACTTGGCTCAAATTACTCAGGTGAATAATGTTTATGAAGAGGAAATGTTAAATGTTCTCTTTTGGAGTTATGCGGTTATTTGTGTCCCTGTTTGTACATTTATTGTCTTTTTAGCACTTTACATGGTAAAACAGATGAAGTAAATAAATCAGGACAAATATAACCATCATCAATTGTCACTAAGCGTAATTAGCTTTGTAATTTCTCTGTATATTCTGGTTGAGATTTATTCATAGCTGGTATTTAGTTATTCTATTTTCAAATTTACATTATCCATCCTATTTCCTAATAAACAACAGGCTTGCATATTTATTGGGTCATTCAAAATTAAAGTACTATAAAGTCTTTATATAAGAAACAAAAAAAAAAACTTATCATGGAAAAGTGTATAAACACAGAAACCACCTACAAAGCATGGTATAAAAATTCTAAAGTGTAGATTTATTCTCCATTATTGTTATCTAAACAGTAATAACTGGGTATCCAATAAGATTCATGTTCACCATATTTATCTAACCATGCAATGCCATCTTGTAGCAAATGTCTCTGGTAGAAAAAAAAAAAGCTTTAGTTTTAATATCAAATACACACACACTCTCTCTCTCTCTCTCTCTCTCTATACATTTTTATTTTTTTCAACTTACTGTAGCTGTATTTATTCTTTCTAAATTCCATCCCAATTCCATTTTAATCATATCATAGTCAACATAGCCTGTTTTCTAAAAAGAATATGTGTCTATACAAACAAAAATAAACAAATTTAACCCTTCCCTCCTCATTTACCTGTGCTAATAACAGTAATGCAGATTGGTCTTTATCTAATTCTTTTGGCACTGATCTCACCATTTTCTTGTTACCAATTTGTAATACTTCATAACCACCACTTAAAGGCTTTAAAGTCTTGATAGCTCGAACAATATCATCTTCGGTAATTTGTTGTTTCTTATTGGAATTATCCGTACCTCGTATCTTTTCTACACGTCTCATAATATCATTCAGTTCTGTTAATCCGCCATCATTTGCCCTACTTGTAATGCAGGCTTCAATAATCTGAATACCCAATTCATAGTAAAAATCACCCACACCTAATAAATCAGCCCAAAACCCTTTGTTGGCTAAAAGTAAAGATAATCAGAATAAAAAATTCAAGAAAACAAAAAAAAAAAAAAAACTCTTCCAAAAATACATTTACATTACATGCTAAAGGATCAACACCAATATTTGTACACATTCTCTGGAAATGAGCTCTGAATGTAGGTTCCTTTCGAATGTCTTTACGATGTTTATGAGCAAATTCTTGGAGATTAGTTTTAAAAATGTCCATTTGTTTTTGAAGCTTTAATATATGAATTTAAATTAAAATTACAATTTTTTTTATATATAATATTCATGTATATACTTGTTCTAGTTCTTTAGCTGCAATAGAATCACCAATTTGTTGAAAACCTCGCTAATTCAAATAATAAATTTTAATTAATACGTTTCATTGACACTTTGGTTAAATTAAAAAAAAAACATCAACATACATCAATCCTTTCTTTATATTTTGCATTTGCATATCCTACAGCTCTTCTTCGCATAATTGTAAACTAATTTTTGTTAATCACAAAAAAAATAAAGCAAAGTGAATGTCTTTTTAAAAATAAAATAATGCTTCCTTCAAATCTGAGTTTATTTTCATGATAAATGGTATACTACGTTTATTATGTTTTATGATATAAATAAAAATTAGATTAGAACAGAACTATCTGCAGGAGACTCATTCGGTATAATTATATTATTAGCTCTACTGGAAAAAGCAAGGATCCATTTCATGTTGATGAGCATGTATCTTAATGCTTTTGTCCATAAATCATCTTGATTAAACTGAATACGGATCGACAAATCGCCAATTTTATCTTTATTGATTCTGTAAGGTAATCTTATGGTTTTATCCCTTGCTTCAGCATAATCTGTTAATTGTTTTAAACAATTTAACACTGCTACCATTGCATGATCAAACCTTCTATTCAAAAAGAACATTTTATTTATACCAAAATCACCAGAGCCATATCTATTAAGAAAAAAAAAAGTAAATAAGCAAATGTGTATGTTGCAACTAGAATAGCATTTTACAATTCATATGATATAACGCTATCTCCATCTACTTTTTCTATCCTTGAAAAGGACCCCATTGGAACAAGACGGTACCTGCAATATGTGTCAGTATTGATTAAAGAAAGAAAGAAAGAAAAGAATCTTACGTTTTAAATTGAAATTTCAGTTTGTTAGCTATTGTATATAATAATAATAGTGTCTGTCCCCAAGCCGCATTAATCTCATTCCATTCAACTGGATATGTGCTTGTTCTCCCTAATCTAAATCCATTAATAGTGCCAAATGGGCCATCTTGTGATATACAAAATGCATCATTATAGACAACTGTCTTTTGTAATCTTTCATATTGCTTAACATCATGGTCATATTTTAGATTTATTGAGTCTCGCTCGTTCTGAAAGTGTTGAAGATTTGTTTGGTATTCATTTGCTTTTTCCCAAAATTCTTCCTCTTGTTGATCCAATTCTTTTAGTTCACTTTCTAGTGCTTTCAATTCTTTATCATATCTTGCTTCCTCTTCTTTTAATTTCATTAGTTCTTCTGAAGCTTCTTTTTCTGCTAATTTTAACTAGAATGATATATAAGTTTTTTTTTTTTTTTTTTTTTTTTTTTTTTTTTTTTTTTTTGACCGAGTCGTTATTACTTACCTCTTCAACTTGATTTTTGAGCTCTTCTTCCTCTTCTTTTGTAACTCGACCCTCTTTTACCTTCTTTAGAAATTCTATATAACAATCACGCTCACGACTTACGTCTGACATTTGTCTTTCAAGTGTTTCTAATAATATATCTGTACATTCTTGACACATGGGATGATCAACACTTGATTTTGAAGACATGATTTGAAATACACGATTTGCTACCTTTAAACGATGAGATAATGTATTATTTCGTGACCAATTAGGATCCTCTATGGGTGCTGATGTAGAAACGGTTGGAGTCACTTGTGAACCTGTTACCAAGTTAGCATTGTGAGTTGTTTCTAAAGATGTTGTATTCAACTGATTGGAAGTATTATTTGAAACATCGTCTAAACTAATCTGATTGTTATTGTTATTATTTAAGCTGACTGTTAATTCTGGTCGAGGCAAGACAACAAATGATTCGGAAGGTGGAGGAAAGTTCTCCTTTTTAAGTGTTGGAATAGGTTTAATCCCCACCAGACGACCATCGATGGGCTGTGGTGGTTGTTTCAAAGTACGTTTAATACGAGCTTTTTGTGTTTGCTTTTCATGTTGCTCTTCAGAGATAAGGGGAGCTACAAAAGATATGGTTAGATGCCAATAGATTATTGCTTAACACAAGATACCAATTAACATGTCAGAAGAAGCTTGATCTAAATTAGTTAAAGAGTCATCAATACGAAGAGTCTGTTTACATCGTTGACATTTAAAAGACATTCTTGTTTTCCCAAAATATTTAAAAAGAAAAAAATAAAATATAATAATAAAAAAAGATGACTGAGAAAAATAAAATTTATGCATTTTTTGTAACCATCATCAGATAATACATGAAGACTACATAATCACTAATACTATTGACTGTTGTAATGTTACTAATTCAAAACCTTTTATCTGCCTTATTTTTTTTCTTAAACATTTGTTATAGACTTTACTATTACATCAACGTATTATTTTATACATGACAAATTCTCTATTTGCTCCTATAAAAATTATTGCTGACGGAGAATTTAGCATATTCCAATTAACAGGTTATACACATACATTTATATATATAAAAAAAAAGAGTTATTTATTTTTTTTTTTTTTCTTTTTGTTCAGATCTCAAACTTTTGATTTAATCAAAAAGAATTAAACAAAATGGACGGTTATCAAGGTACATCTATTCGTCAGCCTGTTGCTATGACTTATCTTTGTGCTGGTAATTTTAGAATTATCTTATAAAAAAAGAAGATGAATATAATTTAACGATCTAAAAAAAAAAAAAAAAAAAAAAAAAAATAGATTGTGGTGCAGAAAATCAACTTAAACCTAGAGAACCTATCCGTTGTCAAGATTGCGGTCATAGAATCATGTACAAAAAGAGAACCAAGAGAAGTAAGTTTATTAGTTTTTTTTTTTGACAAAGAAAGAATCATTGATCAATGTTTTATCATTCTATTTTTTTTTTTTTTTTTTTTAGTGGTTCAATTTGAGGCTCGTTAATTGCAATTGTCGGTAATCTTCGTTATTACTGCATGACACTATAATAATTTTTATTATATATTGAAGCAAAGTTAAGGAAAGAAAGAAAAAAGCTTCATTTGTCATAAACTAAATCAATATACCGAAAAGCCCTTTTCATATTATTAATAAAAATCATTTATTATTTTATTTAATAATCGTACTGTACATAGTATAATTTTTTTTTTCTGGAATAAATAAATAAATATATAAACGACTATTAGAATCTTTAGTAGGTATGTATGTGTGTATTGTGTATGTACGTATTATATTATATAGGTAAAAAGAAAAAAAAATTCCCCTTATTTCTTTACTGCATTTAATCGTTTAGATGCTTTTCGTTCAATTTCAACCTTCTTCATGTATTTCTATATCAAAAAAAAGAAAATATTATTATGTGTATATAATATATAAATATTATATTTTTTTCTTTACCTTGAATTCAAAATTAGGATCTGGTTGAACAAAAGGATGCTTTAATAACTGTTCTGCTGTTGGTCGCTCTTCAGGATTACTATACATTATTATAAAAAGTTTTTTTTTTTCTTTAGATAATTTTTTTCTTATTATTTAGTAACCAAAAAAATACTCTTACATAATAAAACATTGATTAAGGAAATCTCTTGCATCATCAGGGATATCATCAGGTATAGGTGGTGCTTGATATTTTCCAAGACTATAAAGAGCGGCCAACATGTTTAAATCAAGCCATGGATGTTTACTTGTTAACATTTCAATTACAGTACATCCTAAACTCCATATATCAACTTTAGCATTATAGTTGGTTCCTTTCACTACTTCGGGTGCCATCCAATATACAGTACCACGCATCACTGAATTATTTGAATGAGGATCATAAGCTTTGTCTTGTCCACTCAATTTTGATAACCCGAAATCTGTAATCTTACACACACCATTCTGATCCAAAAGAATATTACCCGCTTTAATATCCTATATATAAACGTTAATCATATGCACTTTTTCGACTATGAATATATATATATATGTATATATTTACTCGATGTAACACATTTCGACTATGGAGGTAGGCCAAACCCATTAAAATCTGCTTTGTAAAGAATCGAACCAAAGGAACTTCAAATTTACCCGTTTTACTTAAACAAGAGGCAATACTACCACCAGGAACGTATTCCAAAAAGATATTAATATATCCTTCCTCTTCGTCTACATTATAACCCAAATATTGTACAATATATTCATTATCCAAGTCTTCTAATAAAGAGATTTCTCGGAACAAAGCATCTTTAGTCTCTCTTAACTGAGGATTATTATAATCTGATTTAGTCGTAGGTAAATCCACTTGCTTGACAGCAATCCATTCCCCTGCTTCAACATTCAAGGCGTGATATACACGACCAAATGAACCTTTACCAATCAATTCACCACGAATCCATTGCAATTTTTTAGATTCTAAGAAAATAAAAAAATAAAATAAAAAAAAAAGCGTAAATTTTACGACTATAATAATGAGATATTCAAAGTATTATCTGAAAGGACTTACTAGGCTTATTAGTGTCATTTGTAATATTAGGCTTCATACCGGGTTTTACTTGCTCCACATTACGATGCCACATCTTTGTACTATGTCGACGGACCAAGTTGTTGCTGGCGTATATCACATTTACAGCATTACGCCAATTACGATGTGCTTCACGAGCTACATTACGAATAGACTTCTTATGCCCTACTAGACGTCGACCAGGAGGTAATGCAGATACAAGAACAGCTCCTCCATTAGAAGAAGTCGTAGAGCTACTATTTAATGATGCAGTCTGAACAGCCGGTTGCTCAACAATAATTTCTTTATCAAGATCATGACCAGGTAAATATTTATCAATATCTTTATATAAACGTTCTACAGATGGACGTTCTGCCCAGTTTTCTTCTTCAGTTTCCAAACCGGAAGGTGAAGAAGAAGATAGTGGGGAGAATTCATTATGATCGGCTTTTAATAGTGAGGAAGACGTATCAATATGTAATTGTTGATGATCTAAACTTCGATGTTGACGACGAGAAACATCAGAAGGATCTGTTAAGGTTACGCTTCCAATACTATCCTCTAAAATAGAAGTGCTTTTGACACTCGTTGCAGAATGAGGCTCAGGGAAGTCTTCTTCAGACTCAGAAGGTAAAGTAGTAAATTGAACTCCACGTGATTGTTTAGGTGTTGGACTATTATACGTCTTAGCAGAAACACTAGGATGTAAATTAAGATTTTCAGAACTGAATTGGGGAATAGGAGAGTCTAAACTATTTTCAGAAGAATCTTTAGTAGCTAATTCGTTAGATATGGGTTGATGTTCCTGCTGCTCTTGTTGTTCTTCTTTCTGTTGAAGTTTTTGAGGAGCAACAGCCCACAGAGATGATGAAGACATAGACATAGTTGTAGCTGTATTGGCAGTGGTAGAAGGTGGAACGGCCCATAGAGAAGGTGAAGGAGAAGGGGTAGGAGTAGGAGTACTTGTAGTTGTATTGGCAGTGGTAGAAGGTGGAACGGCCCATAGAGAAGGAGAAGGAGTAGGAGTACTTGTAGTTGTATTGGCAGTGGTAGAAGGTGGAACGGCCCATAGAGAAGGAGAAGGAGTAGGAGTAGTTGTAGCTGTATTGGCAGTGGTAGAAGGTGGAACAGCCCATAGAGAAGGAGAAGGAGTAGGAGTAGGAGTAGTTGTAGCTGCATTAGTAGTAGTAGAAGGTGGAACGGCCCATAGAGAAGGTAAAGGTGAGGATGAGGAAGCAGGCTCAGATGTAGATGTAGATGTAGTTGAAGGAGCAACTGCCCAAAGAGAAACAGGAGAAGTACTTACGATACTAGCAGAGATAGCTTGTGTTTTCATATCGATACTGTCATTTGTATTGGAGCGTGATCTATTTGAAGAAGGGGGAACTGCTCGAAGAGATGGAGGTGGTACTGGGGTAACTGTTTCTTCATGAGACTGTTTAGGGGGAACTGCCCATAAAGAGGGCTGTTTAGATGTAGTTGTTATTGTTGTAGACGTTGCAGGCTTTTGATAAAATGATGCAGGAACATCTTGATGAACTGGCCATAGTTGCTGTGAAGGTTGAGAATTATGTTTTTGTGGCTCCATAAATGAAGAATTACTTTTTTGGGAAACAGGACTAATAGCCCATAAGGAGGAATTTTTATTATTGTCTGCAGCAATAGCTGAAGATGGTCGAGGAGGAGAAGGAGTAGCGGCCGTAGAAGTATCAATTGATTGCTTACGAGAGTTCTTTCCACTTTTAGGAATTGTGTTATTACTATCATCTTCCATCACCCCTGCTTGAGATGAAACAACATTAGTAAATTGATTTGTTCCGTTTACAGGAGACGCTAAGCCATTATCATAACGAGATCGATTGACATTTAAATCACAATTATTTGTGTTGTTTAATGCATATTGTCCCAAATAACGTCTATTCATACATTAACCATATATAAATAATCTTTTTCTCTAAAAGCATATAAATGTAATATGAATTACCTTGGATATGCCCCTTGTACAGCAAAATCATAACAATTCATTCCATCTTTAGAGTATGATCTATAATGTTTTTTCTCAAATGCATGATCTGCAGGCTTAACCAATATTCTATTAGTAGAAGTATGATCTGAACTTTGGCAAAGATGTGATAATTCGCTATCAGTTAAAGCAATATCTAATAAATGCCCATAAGTTATATTATTTAGATTTTTTTTCCCTTATTTTTTTTTCTTACCTGAGTTTTTCCCATTTTCATGAAAAAACAAATATTGTTCGCATTTACCTTCCAAACCTAATTTTCTTAGGATAGTATTTTTAATCAAACGAGGGTCATGCATACCAGTGACTTGCAAACTATGAAAGGTATCGGAATCTTTAGTAACATGAATACTTTGTTGAGGTTGCATTTGGGGAGGAGGAGGAGGAGGCGTGACTTGAATGGGATGGTCCTAAATATATCAATAATTATTTTTATAAATACATATGCCAAAATATAATTGTACATGCAATAGATTACCAAATATGGACTATTTAAAGAAGTTGTACTGGTTGAAGTTAATGTAGAGGTCGTAGTAGAGCTTGGAGAGGAATTAGAAGTATTCATATTAGGTCTTCTTCTAACAAACTTCCATGTTCCATCATTCTCTCCTGTTCTTGGACTGCTTGGACCGGCTGAAAAACGAGAAGGATTATTAACATTAGAGTTATTATTATTAGGTGTGATTATTGTCGTTTGTGAAGGGAATCGCTTGTGGCCATTTGAGGCATTAGATGCACGTACTGTGGCTACGGCTGTTGGAATGGTGCGTTTTGGCATGTTAAACGATTTCATCCAATCCAATACTTGTTCGTTATTAGATGATTTACGTTCAGGTATTAAAGGAACAACTAAATCTGATGAGGGTGCTTGTTGTTGCGGTACTAGTCTATCTGTACTATTGTTAGCTGACATTATGGGATATCTTGATCCATTATTAATCCGCATGGCGTTATAATTATTGGGATAACGTTGAATGTTATTTACGTTATTGTAATGATAATGATGATCTTCTGACTAAGGAATATAAAACAAAATATAAATATTTATACTTATGTATTAGCTAAGTATTTACCGCTCGAAGCGCTTTAATAGCATGTGCAAGTTTTCTCTTTTCAGAAAGTGAAAGCATCAATTCATTCTGAAAGGTCATTAACAAAGGCATATCAATCTCGAGAAATGTTCTTCCGCAAATATTTTTAGCTAATTAAAATATTACAAAAATAAATATTAATTATTGCATGTATTTATAAAGAAAGTTAAACCGTATATATAAAGCTAGATGAAGAATGATGTAGTGAATACCTTTAAAAAATTCAATTGCAGGTTTAAAGTCGTTAACTTCCAACCAGCGAACAACCCTATCCATAGTCCAATAGTCACTCATGCGCTGTTCATAATGCTGTAATTTATCCGTATAAAAGGGAATATGCCTTTGTTCATTTATTTCACCTTCAAATGCCATATTGTCAACAAAATAAACTTTAAAAAAAAAAAAAATTGAAAAAATAAATAAAAATAAGAGGTAATTATGTATAGTAACTGAAAAAAGAAAAATAAACCCAAAAAAAGAAATAAATTATACAAAATTGCATATCCGATAAAAATTAGCTACGTCATCAAAAAATGGAGGGAGTGGCTTCAACCTTCCTTTTTTGTCTGGCGCGACAAAAAGAAAATGATTGAAACGCCATTCGCGTTCCTTTAATTTTTTTTTATTAAAATTTTTTTGTAGTTCCTTTTTTTTTATATTGCTTCAGCCTAAAATCGATAAAAAAAAATGGCAGCAGTTACTAATGGAGCAACTTTAATTGATCAAGTTTTTCAACAACGTTCGAGTCAATTTGCTGAATTTCTTACTTTCGATGTATGCTAAAGTTTATTTATTTTTTTCAAATGTTTTATTTGCAGTTACTTCCTTTTCTCTATACACTTACTAATTTACATCACTCTATTGTTCTTTTCTTTCTTTTTTCTGAATGATGTACACATAGAGTCATGCCAATGAAAAAGGCTCATATAAGGATATGATTCCTACTATGGTTCTTAATGAACAAAGACGTTTAATTGTTAGCATCGATGCCCTTCGTCAATGGAATCGTGAATTATATTTTGAGTAAAGTACATTTAAACAAAAAAAAAAAAAAAAAAAAAAAAGGAGAGAGAGAGAGAGAGAAGGGGAATACAAATAGGAAAAGTAAATGGACAGTCAATACTCATATTCACTTATTTTAGCTTGATTAATAACCCAGGTGAATGTTTACCTGCTTTTGATGCAGCATTAACTGATATGGTAAAGACGTTAAGTGATAGATATGAAGAAGGTACACCTTATTATGTAGGCTTTAAAGGAAGTTTTGGCGATCATCACGTCAATCCACGTACTTTACGTGCCATGTATTTAGGAAAATTTGTATGTATCGAAGGTATTGTTACTCGCTGTTCTTTAGTACGACCTAAGGTTGTCAAATCCATCCATTATGCAGAGAAAACAAATAGTCACTATATGCGTGAATATCGGGATGCCACTACACCTGGTAATCCCATTCCTACAGGCGCTGTCTATCCTACTCAAGACGATAATGGTAATCCCTTGATTACAGAATTTGGTTATAGCACCTATCGCGATCATCAAACTATCAGCATTCAAGAAATGCCTGAACGTGCTCCTGCTGGTCAATTACCTCGTTCTGTAGATATAATTTTAGATGATGATTTAGTAGATCGTGCAAAACCTGGTGATCGTGTATCAGTTGTTGGTATCTATCGATCCTTGGGTAACAGAAATGCTTCACAAAGCAGCTCTACTTTTAAAACTGTTATTCTTTGTAATGAAATTAGTTTATTGAGTACAAAAGCTGGTGGTGGTATTGCTGCCCCGATTATTACAGATAGAGACATTGTGAAGATTACAGAGTTAGCACGAAAGAGAAATTCCTTCAAGATCCTTTCTCAATCATTAGCACCTTCCATTTGGGGACATGAATATATTAAAAAGGCAGTTTTAATGTTATTATTAGGTGGTGTTGAAAAGAATTTAGAAAATGGTACTCATATCAGAGGTGATATTAACATGCTGATGGTTGGTGATCCCTCTACTGCTAAATCACAAATTTTAAGATACGTTTTAAACATCGCTCCACTTGCGATAGCCACAACGGGTCGTGGTTCTTCAGGTGTTGGTTTAACAGCAGCAGTTACCAGTGATAAAGAAACAGGCGAAAGACGTTTAGAAGCGGGTGCTATGGTTTTAGCAGATCGAGGTGTAGTTTGTATTGATGAATTTGATAAGATGAGTGAGATTGATCGTGTTGCGATTCATGAAGTCATGGAACAGCAAACGGTGACTATTGCTAAAGCTGGTATTCATACCTCATTAAATGCCAGATGTAGTGTAATTGCAGCTGCTAACCCAATTTATGGTATGTATGATCTTACAAAGGATCCAGCTAAGAATATTGCTCTCCCCGATTCTCTACTTTCTCGTTTTGATTTATTATTTATTGTGACGGATCCTATTGATGAGATAAGAGATAGACAAATTTCTGAACATGTCTTAAAGATGCATCGATATATTCCACCTGGAGTAGAAGAGGGAGCACCTATTACAGAAGCTATAGATGATATTATGGGGGATGAACCTGAGGACGAACAAGTGGATGATGATGATGAAATATTTGAAAAGTTTAATCCTGGCTTATCACGCTTAACAACCAAGGTGCTTAAGACTTCTTTCCTTAGAAAATATATTTACTATGTTAAAAACATTGTTAAGCCTACATTAACAAAGAGAGCTACAGATAGAATTATTAATGAATATACATCCCTTAGAAATTACAAAGATGATGATCCTATGCAAAAGAAGACCGCTCCTGTTACAGCACGTACATTAGAAACTTTAATTCGTCTTTCTACAGCTCATGCTAAAGCAAGATTAAGTACAACCATTGAAGATAAAGATGCAAAGGCAGCTGCAGAAGTATTACGATATGCCATGTTCCAAGAAGTTATACGTACTAGAAAGACAAAGCGTAGAAAGATGAGTACATCGGATAATGAAGAAGAAGAAGAAGAGGAGGAAGAGGAAGAAGAAGATGAAGAAAGAGAAGAAAAGACTCAACAAGCTGATGAAGATGATATGATGGAAGAAGCTGAAAAGTAAGAAAGAAAGAGAAAATCTCTTATTGAAAGAAAAAAAAAAGGAAACATTAAATTAACTCCATTTTTTTTTGTTTTATAGTAACTTTACTGCTCCAGCTGATGATATAATGGAAGAAGATTCAGCAGAAACTCTTTCACCAAAGAGGTAAGTGTATATAGATATGTATTATAGAACTATGGTCTCTTATGCTCTATCTTTTATTGTTTTAGATTTGCCTTATTTAAAGAAAGATTACTTCGTATACTTGACAGTCGTGATGGAACTCTTGAGTTGGTATTTGATGATGTGTTTGTGTCGATAAATCAAGGACTTGGTAGAAATGAGGCATTCACAGCCGTTGAAACTGCAAACGCTCTACAAAAGATGTCTGATGAGAATCAAATCTTTTACAGTGATGGAGTTGTCTATCGTATTTAATCAAAGGGGACCTATCTCATCTTATTATTTGTAATATACATTTTATTTTATTATTTTAGAAGCATTATTAAAAAAAAAAAAAAAAAAAAAAAAAAAAAAAAAGTCAGTTTCCTAATTTGTGCATATATAATAATATTAAGAATAAAAAGCAGCTCGTGCAACAATAATTGTTAATGTAGTACATAAAAGCTTTTTTTTTTCTTTTTTTTTACCAAATTTGTACAGGCATACAATTTGTTTTTAATAAAAGGGCTTATTCCCTTTTTTTATTTTTTTTTTTATTTTCCTTCTTTTCAGTTAACATTTCATCTCTTTTTATAATGAGTACTACACATAAGAAAAACAAGCCTGTGACAACTAATCATAATAAAGAAAAAATAGTAAATATATATTTATAGCCTTCTTTCTTTCTTTCTTTTTTTTTTCTGTAATCTTGCTTACAATTGTTAACATGTCATTTAGATTGTATTTTCGGAACAAGATAAAGCTACATATGATTTAATATTCGCACCATCAAAAGAGATTGAAGCAATTTCAACGAATTTACTTATTCGGGACACTGAATATATTATAGAATACTTGAAGCAAAGGTTTTATATTTTATAAAAGGCAGGATAGATTCGTGACGTTAAAAGAAAAAAAATGTATATATAGAATTAATTTAGAAAAAAAATATCTCGATGATCTTTCAGCTATAACAAGAAATATTCGAACATGCTATATTCCAAATGAAAATAATATGATGCAAAAGTGTTTCATACATTATGTCTCATTAACAGAAGACCAGAGGCCTTTTAAAGAAGAATATATTAACAAGATGAAAGAACAATGTGAAAAACTTGTTCAATTTCGAGTAAATATTACATGGAAAGAAGAAGGAATTGATATTTAGTTTTAGTATATAGGATGAACAACAAAGACTCTTTGATAAAAATAAATCTTGGATGAATCAAACAAATGGAGAATATATCATGGCACGATTAAAGAAGTTACCAGTTGTAAATGAACTTATTATTTTACCCCGAAAAAAAAATATATTGATACAAATTTATACATAATTAATTTTATTATATGCATTAAATAGGCACACGAATCTTACATTCAAAAATGGGATGAAATTGAACGATCTTTAGTAAATAATAATGTGACTTCAACTTCTTTACCTAACAATCAAGTATCTACACCTGTATTAAAATTACCGAGAAAATTACCATATAATAATGAAACCTTAGACGAAGATAATAGATCATTGAGTATAGATGATGATAGAAGTATAAAATCAATTGATATGTTGGCTTCACCTCAACAAAGTAGTCGTATTGAAAGATTCATGAAAAGGCATTTAAATAAGATAGAAGATCCAATTGTAAAATTAGCAAGACTTAAAATTGAAGCTAATGAAGCAGGTATATTAAGCCATATTCAATATGAATACAGGACTAAATAAAATTTTATAATAGATACTAATTATCGTAATATTGTACGTGAAATAAGCTCATGCGCTATTAAAATAGATGCTACAAATCATCATATTTTAAATAATGTACAAGCTGCTTTAAAAGAAAAATCAGATAAAGTAAAAGAAATGCTACAATCAGTGATTATATCTGATATGAATCAAATAAATCAAAAACGACAACCATTTCGATCACTATTAACTGTGATTAATTCTATTGATAATGAGTTAGAAGCTAAACGATTTAATGACTTCTCTTCTAATGCATTAAATAACTTTCTAAAGCCTACACCTATTTATTATGAAAACCACCAAGTTGGACTTTGTAAAGGTATATCAAATTAAAGCTTCATATCTTATTATACAAAGTAAATCCAATTATTATTATTAGATCTTATTTTCGGTATTTCATTGACTGAATATGCTCAACAACGAAATAGATCACCACCCTTATTAATTACTAAATGTATAGAGGCCATTGAAAGACTAGATGGCTTAGAAAAAGAAGGCATCTATCGTATTCCTGGTAAACAAAGTAAAATAGAAAAATTAAGACATGCATTTGAATTGGATGAAGAAGCTGTTATTATTGGTCAAAATGATGTACCTGAAGATATTTTTAGTATTGCTTCTGTAATTAAAATATTTTTACGTGAACTACAAACACCTTTATTTCCTTTTAAATTAACGGATAGAATAATCTATTCACGTAAGTTGATTCTTAGATATAAAGCAAGAGCTATTTTATTTATGTAATATAAATAGAAATTCCTGATCAAGAATTACGACTTATGAACCTTTTAACAAGATTACTTAAATTACCAGCAGCTAATTATGATACACTTAAAGCCCTTATACAGCATTTAGTCAAGTAAGTGAAAAAATATGAATATATACATGTATATATATATATACATATCAGTTCTTAAAACTATCGTATCAAACTAAATAATAAATAGACTTCAAACATGTGTTAGTAAAAATAAAATGACGATACAAAACTTGACATTAATCTTTACTCCAGCTATCTTTCAAGATTTAAATTATGCTCAAAGTTCACCTGGAGAATGGTCAAAGGATTGTGTGCTAGAAGATCTGATAAAGAATTTCCAAACTATTTTTGCAAACAAGGATCTTCATAATAATTCAGCTATTACAGGTGATATTGAATATGGATTTAGTCATCATAAAATAATAACAGATAGTAGGGAAACAAATCGATATGCTATGACTGTTCATTCCCCTGATAGTCCTACTTGTGATAATGAAACCAATATAATCGTAACGAATGAAAATGAAAATGAATATATGTTTGTCGTTCAAAAAGAAGAAGAAGAAGATAACGAACAAAGTATTCATGAGAATGACATGATTCAATTGCCACCAACTTTAACAATCTCCCGTTCATTACCAACACAACAACAAATAATTGAAAAGAAGACATACAAAGCTCATTTTAAAGAAAAGGGTTTAAAAGTAAATACAAACTCTATGACTGCATCAGAAAGCAACGAAACCTATCACGTGGAAATGCCTATTTCCATTAAAAGTGCTATAGTTCCATCTCATGACTGGCATCAATTTGAACCAGATAAATCATCTAATATTCCACCAGTACCTAAATTGCGTCGATCAGCTACCACAGGTAAAAAGGTGATATCGAGACGTAACAATAAGCATTTTATGACCCCCAATAATGAAGATATACCAGCTGTACCAGTATTAGATAAAAAATCCACTTAATATGGATAATTAATTTGCTTATAATAGAGCATAATTGAATGTGAAAACAATGATGTTTTTCATACTAATATACATATATATATATATATATATATATATATATATATAAACTTGTAATTATTTTAATATACATAGTCTACACGTCTATTTTCATATATGAATTCAAGGAGTATTATTTACCTATTAGAATTATAAATCTTATGACAGCTTAAATTACATGAATCATAGACTGTAAAAGGAGCCATTTTCATGTTCATCTATTGCTGGTTGGCTCGAACTAGCTGACAGATAGAATCTTTAATCAACCTTATATACTGTTTTTTTCTGGTTTATACTCATCTGTACTAATGTGTTTTAATAGTACGTAATTCATTTTTTGATAACATTACGAGCATCTCTTAAAAAAGTATTGGGAGGCTAAACTATAGCATGCATTTTACATGTTTTACTGTAGCACAGTAAGGCTTATTTTACACTGGTATGGTATTGTATGCATATCATGTATCTTATATGATAATAAAATAATAGAAATGCATGTATGATACCTTTGTTTCTATATAGTAGCTCAAGACTTACTCTGTAATTGCTACTATATAGGAATGTGGAGAATAGTTGAGGCAGAATCTTTAATTTTAAAAAAGGAATACGTAATCATTCATCTCCCCTTTTCTTCATACGTTTTTCATACTTCGTCGTAATTTAATTAAAACAAACAGACGAAACGATCAACATGCTCTTTAGTCTTTTTTTCACTTCTCTTCTCCAAACCACTATGACATCTCTAACAAATTGTGCTATTAAAGCTGTAGATGAAGCTGCTACAGAAACTGTAATTTTTAACGCAGAAAAACTAGTGGACATTCTCCAGTAAACAAAAAAAAAAAAAAAAAAAAAAAAAAAAAAAAAAAAAAAACGTCAGCGAACTATTGAAAGTAAGTTCTTCTTCCAACCAAAAGATACGAATAATTAGTTTAAATTCTACAATTTTTAGTTCCAGAAGTTCATGCAAATGTTATTGTATTGCTTTTTACTGATCCATTCATTATTCACACAACTAATATTCTTTTTAATAACAGGAAAGTGAAGTTGACGGCAATGATAATATCGATATCATAGGTCATAGTAAAAGCTTGATGCTTTTAGTACACTCTTTTGGCATGAAGCTGTACACAAAAGGATGGAAGAATTTGAATGTTATCGAAAAATATATAACGGAGTAAGTTAGGCGAAAACTTATGGTTCTTATTGATTATTACATATTCGGTTTTTTTTTTAAAAAAAAAGAAAAAACATTATTGCTTACTAAGGGGGACTAAAAATGTACATAAAATAACAAATCAATTAAGTCAAAAGGGTGGGACTAAAAAACCCTAGAGAAAAGGGAAAAATAGACAAAGAAAGCAAGTGACTACTCAATAGGCTTCAAGACCATGGACTCCCTTGCATCGTGCACTAGAAGAGTTTGGCAGCAGAGGGACGAACCAGAGGACGGTATCCACACTATCTTTCGACCACAGGCAGGAAAGGAACAGAGGAACAAGACTTACTTACCACCAGGGGAAGAGAGACGGCAACAAGACTTGACTAGGCTCAGGGTCAGTTGAGTAATCCTCTTCGGGATTACACAGGGTATCAAAGTACCAGAGGATCCTGCAGAGAGTAACCCAGAAGGGAGGGCAAGGAGACGAATGAGGAAGAGGCAGTTGATTCAGGGCATGATCTACCAGATTAATCTGGGAATCAGCGGGAAGGTGGAGTAAGTTAGATGGCAACTACTTTTAAAGGGACAATTTTGATTTAATGCAATTTTTTAGGTTATGTTTGAATTCCATAGTAGGCCTCCACGATAACCAGTTGGTGAAAACAGTTGGATTGAATGTACAGGCTATCCACGATCTTCAGCAGAAGTTCATGATAAATGAACTGAGCTTCCGAAGCATTGACAAGGAAGTACAGCAGGTGATGAAGGAGGCCGACAAGGTAACTAAGTTTTCATCATATCTAACTTCCTAGATTAAACTAAGCTATCAATTTAAAATATTAGACATCGATACAGGGAGAAAAGTATAATTTATACGTCACTAATTCTCTTGTATTTGACGGTGATGTGCGAAAGAAGTTCGAAATTTTTGCTTCGATGTAAATATGTGTTAGACGTACATATATGTTAATTTCATCTCATCACTATTTTTGTAGTTACAAGAACTTCGTCTTCAAGAAGAATGACATCAGTCCTTGGAAGGCAATGTCCGAGTGGTCTATCATTATATAAATATGGAGCAATATTTTTGAAGTTCTATTTGAAGAGGAGGATATTATAGAACTTGTTTGGTATTTATTCATTTCAATAAGTTATTTTGTATGCATTATTCTTATTGATAGTCTACATATAGGGGTGATACCCAGAATGAGAAGTTTAAAGTCAATCTTAGACTTTGTATCATTATGAACTCGAAATATTATGACTTAGCGAACATACAGTTCAAAAGGAATAGTGGCAATATGAAGGAAGATGAGTCCAAGGTCCTGGTTAAAGGAAAAACTATTTTAAATTGTCTTTCCAGATACCACAATTTGGACATTTATAGAGCTAAAAAGTTGAAGGTGATCGTTGGACAATTCTGTGGTAATTTCATTCTTTATAAGTTTAAAGAGCATTCGAAGTGGACATTGTCTATATTCCGACAATTAATGTGAGAGGATGCCCGAAATAAGATACTAACAGATTATATTTTCTAAGGTTAAAGGGTGTATTCAAACAAATTCGATTTGGTGCTCCTAGTGCCTATATGGTTGATAAGTGGGGAAAGACAATCAAGTATCCCATCAACGAAGGAATGATTGACACATTTGTTGATCAGCTTCAACAACTTTTTGCATTCAAGGTAAGTTTGTTTGCACTGTTTTATATGTAGTTGTATACGATGAATATGAATGTAGGATGAAGTCATAAAACAAGCAGAAAACCTTAAAGGACGACTACTTGAAGATGATTCATCGTTTGGACCACCGTTGACTGTTGAAGATCAGTCATTTGCAAAAGAAACTTACTACTTAGGTAGAAAAACTAAAATCTTTCCTAAATTGAAGGAAGATATTTTCAAACAATAAAAGTATCATAGTTAGCTAGATTCTTGAATCGTAACATTAAGTATTTGTACTGCTTCAATTCGTGAGAGCCTGAATTACAGTGGAAACAGTGTCAAAGGGCAGATTTTTTTATAGTGCAAAATGTAGTATGAACAGAGTTGTTGTTAGTTCATGTTTATGATATTTTTTTTATCAAAAAGCGTATTCTTTCTCATCAAAGGGCAGTTATTTTATTTTTCTTTTTATCTTCGTATAACTTACAAAGAGCAAAATGAGTGCTATATTTTTTTACGAGGATGGAAATGATGCCATGCATTTAGAAGAGGAGGTTAATCCATTCCATCTGAGAGACATTAACCAACACTAGAAATTATTGCGAATCTCAGGAACCCGAGCAAGAGTTACAAATTAAAGACCTAGACACTAGAATGGAAGGCGTAGCAAATCTTGTAAAAAGAGCAACGAATCAACAAATGATGTATAATAAATATACTAGTGAGCAGAAGCTTGTATATTATAAACGAGTAAAACTTTACAGTGCTACAAAGTCTGGAAGCCTAGCTAGTGGAATCACGGAACGAACAGCACAAAGGTGGATAAGGAAACTTAAAGAAGATAAAGATTAGAATATTCTTGAAAAGCAAACGAATAAAGTAAATAGGAAGCCTAGCTAACTTGATGAGGAACACTAGGTCCACTTGATCAAATTTTACGATGAATATCCTCAAACTCGAGTGAGCGATGCAGTTGCATCTCTTCCTGAGAAGTTTGAAAACTTCACTTTGAATTCTTCCGATTTTCAAGCTTTCTTAAAAACGAATGCAATCTCTCATTTAAAAGAATAATCTGTCATTCTGTAGTAAGAAATGATGAATATAAGCTCGCGAATCGAAAAGCGTGGGTTGAAGAATGGAATGAAACAGACATGAACTTTCTTGAAAACTGTATATTTTAAGAATGAATCAGGATTTGACATAAACATAAGATCACATGGTGGTTGGTCAGTTAAGGGTATTAAAGCTATAGTTACTACGCTCTCCATCAGAGCAATATAACACACCATCTTGGGGGCAATTAGCGCTAACTATGTTATAGCAATGGAACTTAGTAAACCCCCAATCATCGAAAAGAGTAAAGATTGCTGGTGCTGGTTATAAAAAAAAGGTGCCTGCCAACTCAAGCAAGCAAGCCTCAAAAGGAACTGTTACAGGACATTATTTGCAATTTATCCATAAAATGTTGAATAAAATGGACTTATATAAAAAGATGAAAGGATATTATTTAGTCGTGGATAATTCTCTCATTCATACAGCCGATGAAATATGTGGAATGATTGCAGAGCGAGGATATAAGAGTGTGTGTCTATCTCCCTCCTTACTCTCTAGAACTCAACCCAATGGAGGATTTTTGGTCGGTGGTTACGAACAAGGCCAAGCAAAGCATATTCGATGAGACTAGCGATTTAATCACCAGAATAACGGAAGACTGTGACTCTGTTTATCCTAAGCATCTTAGAGGATTCGTCCAATACTCTGCAGACACTTTTGAAAAGTATTTGAGGAATGAATCTATTTAACTACTTCATTTATCCAAAAATAGCAGCCCTTTGGAAATGAAATAACCATCCATTGGAAATAAAAAAAAATATGCTCTTTGATAAAAAAAAATATATCATAAACATGAATTAACAATAACTCTGTTAACACTACATCTTGTGTTATAAAAAAAATACAGCCAGTACGATGGATATTGTCGCCAATTAACAAATATTTGTCGGCAGTTGAGAAATAATTGTTGCGAAAGAAATTTCAATTTGTCGTTTTCATTTTTGTTGATTGTCGTTTTAGGAAAAGCGTATTGTCGCAAAGGTTTTTTTTTTTTTTTTTTTTTTTTTTTTTTTTTTTGTAATTTTATTACAATTTTTTAAAGAGGATCTTTATATAGACATTTAATAATTTTGTTATTTCTATCTCTTTGGTTTCAGGATTCATTAGCATAAATACAAGTAGTTATTTAGACACGAAATAGTCTTTATATCATTCTTTTTACATTGAATAAACAGTCTCAACCTATACGTCCTTTTGTTCTCTTTTTTTTCTTCTTTCTCTTTGCTCTTCTTTAAGCCATACCATCACATTTACCACGCACATTATTTGAACTCACACTACTGTTATAATTTTTGTCAATTATCCCCATATGTGTGATAAACGACTTTAATGACTTCACTCAATATAGGATTATCCATATCAATTGTATCCTTTATACGGATTTTAGCTTTGTTTGATTAGAGACTAGCAATTAAGAACTTATCAAAAGCTTCAGCATCCGTCATATTAGAGATACCCAATTTTAATTTTTAGAAACTTATGTGTATATTAATCAGAAATGAATGATATTTGCTTTAACGTTAGAATTCGTTCTGAAAACATCAAAAATCAAAATCGCCTTTTTTTTTATGACTTAAAATATGCCCATAACTCTCATTTTAACAATATATAGCCTCAATCCATAGGTTATTTGTCTTGTAGAATTCACTAAGGAAATACCAAATTTACCTGTTTGGTCATTGTCACAACTTTTAAAGCTTTTATAGCTCTCTACATTTCTTACCCAACTACCAATGTTAAAAGGATTCATAGATCTTTTATCATTTTTATCAGTTTTGGCCACAAAGTCAATATCCTTGATATCCTTCCTTATCATTAAAGTAGTTATTTTTAATGTTGAATAGCTTATTTGATGTATCAGCTATAACAAGTCTGCCATCAGTTTCATACTGGTTTTTTTTTGTTCCACCATCAATAAAAATTTACTATTTATATTATATTATGTTATTATTATTATTATTATTATTATTATTATTTTCGTCTATCATTGATGAGTCGATTGCCTCTGAACTAATATTTTTTTTTCTTTATCCCAAAACTGTGTTCTATAAAAAGTTGTGTGCTTATTTTTGCCATACAGGGGTTTTTTTTTTATGATAACTTATTCTTTTATGTTTTTTCATGTACGTTGTTGTTAAATTTAATAATATCTTCTTCGTTTGTCAATTCTTTACGTATTCTTTCTTCTATTTCAAGTCTTTGTGTATAACCAAACTAATTTCCTTACTGTTACATATTATAATTTACAAGTATTCTGTAACCGCAACAAGTATGATAGTGGTTCTAAATAAATAACGTGTAACTTTTTATAGCAATTGTACTACACAATACGTATTAACTTTAGAGCCCATCCTCCTTTCTTTTCATTTTTTTTTATTTTATATGAGAAAAAAAAAATTATTGAAGAGGAAGTCCTTTATAGTGTAGAGGTGGATTAGATTCTGTTCTTGTTTACTTCTACTACAGCCGTGTTACTCCCAGGAATTCTCTCAATGCTGCGGGCTTTCCTCTCTTGCATGGTAGGAAATTACCCCGCGATTTAACAACATCTTTTTATCGACCTCCATTGAAGGCCTGGTGTTGAACATTGGATCCTGGAAGGTAGCATGTTATCATCAAAGCTCAGAACTAACCCCGATTTTATTATTTAATCACTCCCATCTACAGCTAACAAAGTTCATCTCTCCATGATCGCCGCTTGGCCAACAGAAAGGCGCTGCCCTTTCCGATCAAGTTGTTTTATTTACCTCAATTTTTTTCTTTATAAACCCAAGCTTTTAGGTGTAGTTGCCGAGTTGTGGTATTCAAAAAAAAACAAAAAAAAATATTTCCCTTTTATGCATGCATATGCTATAATCTTATATCATCAAACAATTTTTTTTTAATAAGAATTCAACGACCGTCGAAATAAATAGGTGTAGTCAGAGTCACTTACTCTTTCTTTATTAAACTCCAGATTTAAAGTACCTGGACAAATAATATAAAGGAAATCGACTTCAACTTATTTATGTATTATACTTTTTCATGTTACATGAACTTAAGAAAGTTGGTACTAAATAGGATCATTCTGTCGTAACTAATACTTTTCTAATACTATCTGATCTTAGATATTCTTATATGAATACCTAGCGGTTAAAATCATAGATAAAACTGTGATATTACTTGTAACGTATTAAATAAAAAATATTATAAAATAAAAATAATATAAAGACAAAAGAAAGTCAACGAGAGTGAACAATGGTTCTAAAGTCAATCACCTTATTTATGAATTTAAATGGATAGGGTATTTATAAAAATTGTTAATGAGGCCTGAAATAAGATGTGAATCAGAAAAGTGTTATAGATAATGAAGTGTTAGAAATTTTAATATTGTTTGATGGAGTGGATCAAGAGAGTTTTTCAGGGGAATCTAGATAGAATTCCTTGATCCGCTTGTTTAATCAAGGAACATGATATTATAAGTCAACTCATGACGTCAAGCTTAAAAAGCCCGTCAATTAAGCAAATAAACAATGTGGTGTAGTTAGGTGTTTGAGAGCATAATCCTTCAGTTATTAGCTTATATACACGTCGAGGTTTTTCTAAAGTGGGAAGCCATACATTCAAATTTGCATAAGAAATAAACAAGTATTATATTTTAATATAATATGTGCGAACTAGAAAAACCTTGTAATATAGATTTGTAACCTTTACACAAGCAATGAAATGTATTACAATTGAAGGGAAAACTGTGTTCCCATAATCACTTTATTTAGTTATCCAAGTAGCTAAAGCTAAATACAATTGTCTAAGTCGATGATGGTAACTTTATAATTTTTGAAGTTAAGAACACGCTTTTTTTTTATTCTTGTAAATTTAATGCTTTCAAAATGTAGGCTTACTTATAGAAATATTAAATTATACTATTATTATTTTAAGAAGGGAAGGGAAACACATAAAGAATGACAAACTTCTAAAAAAATATATGTATATGATGCGCTTGCGTATGTATTCATATTTAAACCGGAAAATATACAATTGTGTGAAACCTTTGAAAGCTGTAATAAACTAACAGTGTTGATATTCATCTTAATGGGAGTATGTGAAGAACATATAATAAGTTAAGTATCTAATGTATCACAAAAATATTTTTTTATGATTGTAATTTCAGTAAGACTGTAATCAACCATAATTTTTCATTATATGATAGTCATTATTAATTCAACGTTGTAGGATCTATTGAATAATTAGTGGAAAAAAAACATGACTGTTAGTAAGGTGGGAAATTAACAATACAGATATCAAAAAATTGTCTTCATAAATTGACATTGACATAGGTTTCAGCCTTCAATTCTTTATAAGACAACAATATAGATTGAAAAAAAAAAGTAATGTTTTTTATATTTGCTTCATCCAAAGTATCATATTTGGTGAAGGCCTTAAAGTAACGTGCTGTTTCTTTGTAACTTTAAATCCAGGCTTTTCAAAATATTGAATATGCTTGATAAGTAATGCTAATAAAATTTTAAATTCAATCAAAGCAAATCGATAGCCAATACATTGTCGGCCACCCGCTAAAAATGGTATGTATTGATATGCGTTTCCTATCTTTTCCTGCTTTTCCCAACGATAAGGGTTAAATGCCTCGGCGTCATCTCCCCAAATTTCTATTGAATGATGATTGGTGATTGGTGATAAAAATACTCTTGTACCCTTTGGTAAGACATATGAACCTAATGTGACTGGAACACGGGTAATACGGGTGGTAGTAGGTACAGGAGGAATTAGACGCAATGTTTCCCGAACGACATTATTTAATAAAGGTAACGAATTGATTTCATCGTAGGTGGGTATTGTTTCATCTTTATCATCTGTAAACAAGGTATTTATTTCGGCTCTTAACTCATCTTGAACTTTTTGATTTTTTGCTAATAGCCAAAGACACCAGCTCAAACTAACACTTGTTGTTTCATGTCTAATATTTGAATTAATGTATTAATAAGTATAGATGCAATGATTCCTATGATGGTATATATATATATATATATATATATTACTAACCCAGCTGCCATAAAAGTAAGACATTGATTTCTCATTTCTTCTAATGTAAACCCTTTGCCCGTTTCTTCATCAATTAAATCTACCATTGTAGCTAAAAGATCCTTTGGTTGATTTTGCTTCATATCCGGGTTTGCAGCTGCAGATGCTGCACGATCTATACCAGCCTGAACTAAAGCTTTACTTTCCTCATCAAGCCATTTTAAATCTCTACGAATTTTCTTATTTCTCTCTGTAGGAAAGTTGTTCAAGATAGGAAATATAAAACTTAAGATTCGCATGATAGATGTATCTTGTGAAAAGATATGAAGATACGCCTGACTTAATTTACTTTGTTGAGGCGTACCTGAAAATTCCAATGATTTAAAATCTTGACCAAAGGCCCATCCAATAACATCGAGTGTTGCTAAAGATAAATCGTTCGAAATCTCAATCTCTGTAAATTCCTCCTTTCTTTCGTTATCTTCGTCTACAATCACTCTCTTTTTATTTATTCCATTACCGTTTTTATCCAATTGATTTATCATATTTAGCCATTTATCTCTAAGCATTCGGCCTGGTATAGCCATCAAAGGGACAAGAGCACGAATGGCATTAACAGAGAAAGCAGGATTTAACATCTTACGTTGATGACGATGTACTTCACCTTCAGCCGTAAGCAAACCATCACCCAAAAAGCGACGCAAAAATTTTGAAGCCTCAGGTGTTTTGATGAAATCATATTCTTGAGAAGTCAAAACTTGTTTTAATAAGACATCATCTGTAACAACTACACGTGGTGAGTTCCAAGGACCATGATAAACAAAGATGCCACCATATTGTTTTGCCCAATATTTATGAGGTTCACCGGATTCATTTTTTATAATCTCAAGATAATTACCCATTAGTGGGAACCATCCAACTTTGGGTCCAGGAATACGGTTAACAGGATCCAGATAAAGCCTATAAATAGTTAAGCGAAAGAGATAATACACTAGAACAGTTGAAATACCAAGTTGAATCGATAATCGTTTTATTGCTGCAAAATCATTCAAATGCGTAGTAGATTTAGATAGTAGAGTATTTTCGATAAAGTTTTGGATTTTGTTCTGTATTAAATAATAACTTAACATGATAACTTGCAATAGAATACAGTGAAAAGAATGATAAATTTAATATTTGATACTAAAGAAAAAAAAAAGTTATAAGAGAAAAGAAATACAAAACAATTGTAGATTTTATCACTACAGCTAGTATTAAGGATGACGGAGGTTCAAAAAATTGATTAAATGCAATATATTGAGAGGAAACAACATTCAGTATGGATCCTTGAATTAACAATACAACATAAATGTATTATAAAATGACCTCTGCTGAGTATTACCAACGTCAATGATCAATTCCTTTTGAACAACAAGGAAAAGTGGACGGGTAGCACTTAAAACTCTATATTAGATTGACTGACGTCAGTAACAAAAAAAAAAAAAAATAGAAATCGGAAAAAAGAGGAAATCTAACTGATGAGTAATACACTGATCAAAGAATTCTAATTTTTAAAGGAAACAGGGTTATAAGATCTCCCAAAAAAAAAAAAAAAAAAAGGAGAATGCATAAGGCTTTGCTGAATAATACTCGTTATTAATGCTACAAATAACGGAAATATATAAACCTTACTTCGTTGTCTTCCAGCCCCTACACTCTTTTATATTGTAGTTATCACCAAAAAATGCAATCAACAACAAACACATATAATTAGACGTAATATCTTATTTAGAAATAACATATATAATGCTTTATAGAATAAAGTGTATAAGGTTCTTTTCCAAAACAACCTCTTGTATCTGTAAATGCTAGAAACCAAACAAGTTTATTTAATTATATTAAAAGTAATACAGGTCTTTGAGAAGATATATTCGAGTTATATTAGTCTCAACCACCAATCCTGTTTGAAGAATATTATTTACATTGAATACTTTGAACCGACTAGGAGAAGTATTATTTTTCTTTATTATGTCAATTATTAGATGACCCTTTTTTTGAAGTATAAAGAATTTAAAAAAGCGGGAAATTATAGTCAGTTATTGAATCGAAGTTTTCTTAGGAGAATTCTCATCATTTGGGAAATGCTAGATAATATAATTATGACCATAAATGTAGTATTTGCTCATTAATAGTATATTTAATTTATTATTCGACTATGCTAGTCGAAGTTTTCTTCCATTCGAGTATCACTATGAGAAAAATTAAGCGTTTCTAGTGGTTTAAGGTGTTCTAAAAGTGTTTTTTCGGGTGATTTTTGCAACCACCGGCGGAAAAAGTGATAATAAGGTACTTTTAGGTATTATTTGTAGCCACCTAACAAGAAAGTGTTTTAAAGTGTTTTAAAGTGTAAAAGTAAATTTTTTGATGTGTTTTTAAGTGTCAAATCAAGTTTAGTAAATTTTTTAAAAAGCTTTAAAGTGTTGAAAATATTAAAAGTGTAAAAAGGTTATTTAAAGTTATTTAGATTGTGTGATATTTTTTTAATGGTTCCTACAAAAGTTAAGAAGTTAACGCTAACTATGTTAATGAAAATGTAAAAGGAGGGTTCTTCAAAATGACCTTTGAGCTTAAGCACATTTTTGGCCATATCAAATAATGTTTTCTATCATTTATAATAGACTTGATTGTGTTAACAGGGCTTTGGATTGATTCCATATCCAAAATTACATAAGTTTGCTCCCTTCCAGTTCTTTGTAAAGGAGTATCGGAATCGTAAACAAAAAAACAGGTACCCTATCTTCATATCCTTCAACTTGTATATTGTCACAGATTCTAGCCTATGCAAACAACGATGATTCTCCTTCTACTTCATACATTACTTCAATAGATACAACATAGAAATTATCCTCTGTACCATTAAAATCTGATAAGGGCAGTTTTGCAATACACACATTGCGTTTTCCAGATTTTGTATTCAGTTTTACTGATGAATTTTCTTCAAAGTACAGATCTACTGAATAAATTTTTCTTACTTGCAAGTTGTCATTGTTTTGGTGGAATGTGGTACATTTTTGAATGAATTCAGCTCCCAAATACAAAAATTCATTTAATTGAACAAACCCAGATGTTCTACCTTTCTTGGATACAACCTTTTTCGTGTTTACTGCATTATCTGTAGTGTTATCTTTGCGTGAAATAAAGCCTTGTTCTGCAAACTTTTTGGCAATGTTAAACGCATTTTTGGCTGGTTTAGATTTTGAACCAATCTGTTGCTTAATCATGCCTATCATTCGCTCTAAAGGTCTACAGCTGAACATCCTCATAGGTCCAAGTTGTTTGATTATATAAACAATATGTTGTAGGTAGTGCTACGTTACTGTATGGACATTAGGAGGCATGTTTTCTTTAATAAAAGAAGTCCATACTTGGATCTTATGTTGAATTTCTTTTAGATCTTCTACAGTTATCTCATATTGTAATGCCAATGTACAAGCACTTGACAAACAGCAGACTGCTACAACTGTGTCTTTTAACTTCTTTTCAATAAGCCTATCATCTACTGTAGAGGCCATAACTCTTGTGTTTCTGCTAGATGAACTATTTGCCATCTTCAGAATACCCTCGCAAACAAGATTTGGAAGAAGATAAACTAGTAATATTTGCCAGTCAACCGCACGAGCATGCCCTTCTCTTAAAGATAGATTCATGAATATACCTTCAAAAGAATTTAACGAAACATGGCTTTGTACTTCAGCGAGCCTTTCACCAAGTTCCTTGATTATAGCTGGTGATACTTCAAATGGATTAGCTATACCGTATTTCTTGTTTGGATTTTGCATAAAACCCCAAAACTGTTTCGGTAAGTTGTGGCCTGTCAAATGCAATTTATCAAGTCCACAAAAGGAGGCACTAAACATTTTGAAACAAATCAATGGTGTAACCTTTTTTTTTATTCCTTTGTTGGTTTCACTGTTAGCTGGCAACTGGATGTTTACTTGCTGAAAGCTCTCTTTGCTACGAACTTCAGGCCGGTCCACCCCATCTGGAGCGAAATAAACATTTCGTGAATCATATGAAGCGCATTTTACTGTACAAACTCGGCAACCATATGTAGACATATGTCCAGCATGAAATAAAACATCTGCACAGGCCATAATATCTCCTAAAAATAAAAAAGTATAAACCTTAAACGCAAAAGTTAAACCGTCGGCTTGAAGCTTTACTCCTCGATTCTGCATATTTAACAGGTCTTTGATTAGAGGATGCAAAAAGCTGTAAAGGTCTTTAGGCTTTTTAGGGCCTTTTATAACGCATACAACGAATTGATTGTCCTTCTTCATTCTTTCAGTTGGCGCTAAATTTATATTCACTGCTTTGACGATCGTCATACTTTCTTTTCCTCTCTGGCCCATATAAAAACCGTCAACATATAAAGATAAAGCAATATCATACTCATTTGAAAACATGTTTTTTGTTTTCGCATATTTGTATGCTGAGCCGTTGTAGTAATCTTTAAACTTTTCTGTTTCAGCGGCTGTATCTTTTCTTGCTCGGTATAAAATTTTATCCCTACTATTAGCATTCACAAAGTACGATGAAACGAAATCGGCTATACTTAGTTGGGAGAGCGTGTTTCGAGGCTTGCTAGATCCATCTTCAGATTGTTCATATCTTGCCCCAAGACAAAAAAAAAAAAAAAAAAAAAAAAAAAAAAAAAAAAAAAAAAAAAAAAACATCGTAGCTCTTCATCTCTTAAGAACGTCATGTATCCGTTCGTGCACATGTCATAGCGCCTTTCATTCAAAGCGGTTGATTCACTAAGAAGCTTTTCAGAAAGCCAAACAAACTTTAGTGATTCATCTTTTGACTGATTAGGATGATAGTTTTTGTTGATCCATTTAATGATTGCGTCTTTGGCTGACTTTTTCACTTGGTGGTTTTGCATCAAAACATATAGCTCTTTGCTTCGTTTCTCACTCTCAGTATGTTCTGCAACCCTATCAGAATCTTCAATGTCTAAATGAATAGGTTCACCAGTCATTTCTGATGTACCAATTCGTAACAAATCTTGCTTAGCCCAGCTTTCAGCTTCAGCAAAAGACTCTTCAGCCTCAACAGTAGCTGTGGTTTCATCATCATCGATATATCTGTCCTCTTCAAATTCAACGTTGGTAGGATATTCGATATCATCAACAAGTGCCTCAGCTATCTCTTCCTCATCGTCCTCTGCTTTGAAAAAGCCTTCTTTTTCTTCCTCTTCCTCTTCTTCTATCAGAATCATTTCTTCTTCTTGGCCACCATCCCTGCCTGCTTCTTCTTGAAAATATTCCATCTCAATATCATCGTCAATAATCATGTCTGCCAACGGTCCTTGTCGAAAAGCTGGATTCTTGATAGTTCTGGAAACTATAACTGCTGTTTAAATACATAATTAGTTATAGTAGCTTGAATATCTATTTAAGTGCTTTTTTATTACCACTTGAAGATATGCCCTCCACAGTATTATTCTCTGGGATTTCTGGTATCTGCCTCAGCTTTCTCTTAAACTCTTCACGTCGATGTGCAGCCAAGTGTCGTGTAAATTCTCGTCTGGCTACAAGCTTTCTTTTCCCCGTAGATTCAAAGCATATTGTGCAATTCATTTTATTCTAAATATAATAAGTTCAGAAGAGAAAAGAGAGGTTAATTTCTTTGCTACAACAATATCTAATAATCATATCAGTAGTCACAAAAGATGATATATTGCGTAAACAAATATTCATATTAGTTGGCGTATTTTAAATTAGTTCCATACACTTTTGTTCTTTTTTTTTCAACTTTTTCAGACATATGGCATCGCAAGCACCACCAAAATGGGCCACAGAGCTCATAAACGAAGTGAAGAGAATTGGCGGTATAGTCGACACACTTGCCCAGACCTAAAATATTGAACCTATTAGTAATAGACTCGAAGAGATTAGTACTGATATTGCAGCTATTCACGATATAATAAATCGTATTCCCGCTTCTTTGGCTACTCCCCTCTATCGCCAATAGTGCTACTGTTATTCCCGCTACTTTTGTTGCAGCCCGCAATAACTTGATCGCAAAACCAAAAGATATAAGGAAAGCTGTAATTGTGAATGTCATTGCTAAAGTTGTAGAAGAAGGATCTGATGCAAATAAAATTTATGAAGATTTAAGGAGAGAAACAAACAATCTTGTCAACGCGACAATTGATGAAATTGGTACTTTTGTTATTTGCAATATTACTTTAAGGAATTCCAGTATATTATTAAAAGAGCCTCTTAGTGTAATAGATGTCCAAGTTAGAGAAAGTAAGCTTTATAAATGTGCTACAACCTTTACTAACAGTTTTTATAACACAACTGCTAATTCGGAAAGTCACGTACTTCAAGCAAAACTTCAAAGCTCGACTCATATTCGTTCAATAAAATGGTAAGTTCGGCCTAGATATTGCCATTGTCAAAGGAGACATTATGTATTTACAATTATTCATTATACTTGTTGGTGTAATTAATAATGAAAGCGTTAATAAAAGCAGTCACTTATATATAAAATAATATTAAGTGATTAGAGTGATTTTAAAGTAATTTTAGTGATGTAAAGTGATTTGTGGTGACTTTAGGTGTTTTTGATATTTTTTTTGTCACTTTAAAACACTTGGAAATACTGATTTTTTTTCCGTGGTGATAGTATCTCACAATTTACAGTGAATGATCCATAAAAAAAAAAAAAAAAAAACAAGATTAACTTTTGTTTCATTTGGACACTGGGAAGCTTGAAGAAAAGCATGAAAATTAGATTTAACGAAAAAAAGCAAAAAATGCCCACATATTGTTCTCAATAAACAATTTCTTTGAGTTCATTCCTAATAGTTACATTTTATTTAATTCTACACTACATAAAAGATTAGAGCCTTATTTATGTGTGTATGTATGTTTAATTTGGAAAAGTATAAAAGGATATGATGTTGGAGCATTGTTTGTATTTAAAAGGATCTTTCTCGGAGAATTTTATTTTTCCCTTACAACGATATACATATATATATATTTTTCCACGCAAAAAAATCTCGAATATCCTTATCATAGATATATATTCATAACTTAAAAAAATATGGAAGTACCTTTTTTTTTCTTTTTCTTTTCTTTGTCATAATTGATATATAGATAAATAAAATTGTTAAAATGTCCACCAAAAATATAAATAGCCAAAAGAAATCGAATGATGTGCCACCGAATAGCACTTTCAATAACGGGTCTAAAGATGATAAGCAAGTTATAATATACAAAAATGAAATAAAATATACAGAAATTGAGCATTGTCCTACAGCGCTTGAGCATGCTCCTTTTCCAAGATCAGGAATTCTGGATGAGGTTACGCATACTCTATCTAGAGTGAAATCAGATCAAACAGAAAAGAGTAGCTTTTGTAATCAAAAAAACGATTTAGAGGGAGTTAAAGAATCATCTGTATTCCAGCAAATACCATATCATACAGAAGGAATTCGAAATCCTGGATGGCTTACTGTTATATCTAGTTTTTTAGTGAATTTCTTTGTATTTGGAACTACCTTTTGTTGGGGAAATTATCAAAAACTGTAAGTTAATATATTGTATCTCCAATGTCAACTAACGATTAATACATATAATAGATATATTGATGAAATTTATGCTGGTCAAACGAATTTGCTAAAAATCGCATTTGTGGGTACTTCAGCATCTGCCTTATTGCTTGCTTTAGGTATGTTTATTACACCTGTTATTCAAAGGATTGGATTTAGAGGCACCATGTCAATTGGTACTATTATTGTGCCTTTATCATTGATTCTAGCAAGTTTTGCTACACAACTTTGGCATGTTTATCTTTCACAAGGGATCTTATTTGGCATAGGAGCCTCCTTTGCCTTTTCATCTTCCATAACACTCCCATCTCAATGGTTTAATTCAAAAAGAGCTCTTGCTACTGGTATTGCACTTAGCGGATCAAGCATAGGAGGAGTATGTTTATCACCTATGATTGAAAAACAATTTACCACAATAGGACTTCGCAATACACTTCGAGTTCAAGGCTGTTTTGGATTTGGTTTACTTTGTCTTTCTACTGCTTTAGCTACATCTCGATATCGTCCTCCTTCATCTCTGAATGGTAAAGATAAATGGTACCATATTTATGATGCTAGTTTAATATCACGTCAATTTCTATTGCTATGGGCATTTGGATTTTTTCTCCCATTTGGCTATCTTGTTCCTTTCTTCTTAACTCCACAATACGTTCAAACTCTGGGGCTAGGTCCTTCTGATGGAGCAGCTATGATCTCTGTCATGTCAGCCGCGAATACTATTTGCCGTCTTATCATAGGCTATCTTACAGATCTTGCAGGTAAATTCAATACAATGCTTGTATGTACATTATTAGCAGGTAAAATAAGCATGCATATATCTATAATAATAATACTGATTTCCAAAAAAAAAAAAAAAAATAGGACTGTTTACTATGATCCTTTGGCAGTTTTCTACTAATTATCTTACCTTTGTAGTATACTGTATATTATATGGATTAATGGCAGGAGGATTTATATCACTTTTACCGGTTATAACTGCTGATATTGTAGGTGTCGAAAATATTCAAAAAGGATTAAGCATGATATACATGACTACAGTTATAGGCAATTTACTTGGTACGCCTATAATAGGACTTTTGTTAGATGCATCAAATTGGACAGCTGCCATTCAATTCACAGGTTCTATGTTAGTGATCTCCGCTTTATTTATGCTTATTCTTCGCATGCTTGTAGCAAAAGGCGAAATTTTTGTTAAAGTATAATATAACATAATATGACTGTTTGTATAATTAATTTATATTAACATAGAAGTATACAATACCATTTTATTAAAAATCTCGTTATTATTTACATGTACTATTTTAACGAATATTTTTAATTTGTGTGTGTGTGTTTTTTTTATTTCAAAAAAAAATAGATATAAAAGGAAAAATCGGCACAAATAACATAAATCCATCAAATACATTAATCAAGTAATATTCTTTTTTTCTTCTTCTTCTATCTCTTGTGTTTTCTCTTTTTCTTTCTTTTCTTTTTGAACTTGTCTTTTTTTTTTATATTTATATTCATATTTATATTTATATTCATATATATTTATTTTGGGGCAATATTAAGAAATGAATCGGCCTGAATTACAAGATGCATTCTCAAAAACATTGGATACTAAGCCTCGTCATTCATACGTAAATCATATTAAACAACAATTTCAGGAAGAGGAGGTCGGTAACAAACGAGTTAATGGTTCAACAGTAAACAGACTTTCTCGTGTTTTTGAAGCAACTCATCTTGATAAACCTCCACTCCCTAGTAAGCCTCCAATATTAAATTCATTATCTACAGAACAAAAGCCTCAGTCTATTCAAAGGCCTCAACTCCTTATTCACACAGCAGAAATTGATGAGACACAACTAACATTTAAAGATCTTCGTGCAAAATTTCAACAAGAAAACTCAATTCCCACTAAAAGTCCTCAACAAGTAAGTTTTTATTTTATTTTTCTTTCATTGGAATATTTGTTCGTTATTCATAATATATATTTTTGTTCTTACTAGATTAACTACAGACCACCTATACCATTAAAACCTTCAAAAACAGGTCCACCTTTATTACCAGAAAAAATAATTCTAGCAGCTAAAACAGGACCGCCCGCTTTGCCCATAAAGCCAAGAACAAATAATCAAAAATATACCGAGCCATCGCATCACCCATTACCACCTTTGCGACAATACCAGTCATCAACACAACAACTTGAGCCCAATGATGCTCTTCATCGAGCTTCAAATTTAGCTAGTACATCTGCTTCAATATTATCTATTCCTACTATGTTATCACGAACAGAGACAGGCAATAGTAGTATCCTTAGTACCACTTCAACTTCATCTCAAGCATCTTCTTTTACGAATTCAAAACGAGGCTGGCACATTAGTAATTGGTTCACAAACCAACAACATCAGCAACAGCGACAACAAAACGAACACTTGAAAAACTCAATTCGAAGGCCCGACTCAGATAATAGTAATGATGAAGAAAATGAACCAGCTAAAACTGTCTCCCCTCAATATACAGCAGATATAAAACCGAATATAATAGAAAAGCGTAGAAAAGTAGTTGAGGAATTGATAGAGACAGAGAAATCATATCAGAAAGATATGACTTTATTAAAAGATATTTATTATGATGGAGCATGTAAAGCAGGCGTCTTTTCAAAATCAGATATGCGACACTTGTTTTCAAATTTGATCAACATAGTTGAATTTGAGAAGACTTTTGTTACCCTTTTGGAGACTTCTTGTGAGCAGGACTCAATTGGATCTTCCTTTAGTGAAATGGTAAAGTGTGAGTGTGAGTGTGAGTGTGAGTGTGTGTGTGTGTGTCTGTTTGTTTTCTCTATGTTTTCAATTCTATTTGAATATAGACTTATATCTATTTATGCAAAATAATAGATGCGTACTATTGATAGTATTTATAGCGAATATTGTAAAAGGCATGAAGATGCTGTATTCAAATTGCAAGAATTAGAAATTCAACCCAAAGTGCAGATGTTTTTAAACGTAATAAGTTTTATCAGATTAGTTTAGAAGAAACTAATTTTATTTTATTTTTAGGAATGTAAAGAACAAATTCAAGGAAAAACAACAAGTTGGGATTTAGGCAGTTTATTAATTAAACCAGTACAACGAGTACTAAAATACCCCTTATTATTAAAAGAGATTTTATCCCTTACTTCAACCGAAGATAAAGGATATAACGAACTCTTTGCTGCAGTGAAAGGGATTCAAGAAGTAGCAGATAATATCAATGAAATCAAAAGAAGAAAAGATATTGTAGAAAAAATTGTAGGCGAAAAAAGACGAACGGACATTAATGTAAGCTTCACCTTTTTTATATAAATATACATATTAATATTCTGTAAATTTAGGTCGTGTAAGGTTTTATTTACAACAAAGAAAGGAGTATAGAAGCTAATACAATTTTTAATTTTAGGCATGGTATTAATAAAAAGTTTACGAGGAGAGCGCAGAGACTGAAGCAGGCTACAGGATTTGCAGTTGAACCAACTTATGATTCTCAGTTTGAAACATTAAATAGTAAATTCGAAGAACAACAAGAATATATACGACAGTTTGCAAGAGATGTTCAAGGATGGGTTCGACATGTAAAAACTACATTTGAAAACCTTCAACAACTTGCGTGTAGTATGGAATCATTCTATAGCTCATGGGGAGGTGTACAAGTAAAATGCTTGACACATATTAGTGATTTTAATCGAATGGCTTCACGTCTATCAACAAAATTATCCAGAGAATTGGTAACTTGAGACATATAATTTAATCAATCAATTATTCATACCTTTTTTCTCTCTCTCTCTTAAGGATAATAATATACGTGGCTATATTTATAGTCGTATTGATGAATTTCTTAAAGTATTTGAAAATCCGGCTCAGGTGATTCATAAACGATCAATGAAGATGATTGATTATGACAGAGTTAGAGATATGAAATTAAAAGGTGACATTCCAGATAAAGCATTACAAGAATCTGCTGATGCTTATGTATCCATTAATGCTCAATTGGTGGAAGAGCTACCTATATTTTTTGGATTGACAAAAAAATTCTTTGATATTCTAATAAGTGAGCTCGCACTGGTTCAGATCAAGTTTTATAAACTGATGCAGAAGGAATGGAGAAATTTAATAGAACAATACTTGGGATTACAGGCAGCGGATTCCTTTGATGAGATTCTGATACACCATGTTCAAGAGATGGATAAAGTCGAAGAAATAGCGAGTCAAATTACTATATTGAATCGTAATAGATATGCTGCTAGTTCTCGTAGTAATTCCTCTAATTCTACAACAATGTTGAAACAAAGATCAAAAGATACATATTCCTCATCAAGATCAATTAATACTGATAACGGTAAGCTTTTTTTTTTCTTGTTTATTAAACAGTTGAGAAACTTATTACTTTTTTCTAGAAATGACATTTAGCTCTTATTTTGGGCAAACATCTAATTCATTTCAACCTACTGAAGAACCAGAAAATTTGATTAATTTAGAAGATTATGATACGGTGATGGTACCGATTTCCACAACTGATGATTTTAATTGTATAGTACTTTATGATTTTGAGACACATGAAGAAGATGTATTAGATGTTAAAAAAGGGACAATATTAAGAATAAGTCAAGATAAAGATTTCATTGATCCAGATTGGTGGTATGGAACTACTCTTGATGATTCCCGATCTGGTTGGGTGCCAATTAATTATTGTAAAAAATTATAAATGCGCGGCTTATGTTAAACAAATACTGTATATCTTATACTATTGTATATAATACTAATACATAATAATACACTATATTTAGAATTTATTGTGGCTGATAAGAATTTCTTTTCATTTTTTTACCCTTTTTGTACAACAATGATTAATAACTAGCTGAAATAATCAAGCTACAACAATTTCCTGGGCTTTGATATAAAATAGAACTTTCTCCTCCCCCTTTAATTTTATTTTTTTATTTTATTTTTATTTTATTTTATTTTATTTTATTTTTTTATTTTATTGCTTATTTTACATACATATAATATTATGTTAAAAGCTTTAAATGACCCTTTTAAGAGGCGTGTAGCTCTGTCTTATCTATATGATTGGATATTAGTCATTATAATGACAGCTGTTTTTTTTGCCATTGACCGCATTACACCATTTCATAGAATGTTTTCACTTGAAGATAAATCAATCATGTATCCATATGCTGAAAAAGAATCTGTTCCAGTGTGGTTATTAATGGTAAGAAAAGAAAAAAAAAAGGGGGGGAGATACATCTTTTTTTTTTTTTTTTTTTTTTTAGATATTTATCTTTTAATATTAGATTATTTGCTTTATTGCACCTATTATTATTATTGCTATTATCTCCTTAAGCGGGATAGGATATAAAAGAAATTTACATGATTTTCATAGTGGTGTTCTCGGTAATAATGAATTACATTTGACTCCTTATTATTTGATATTTACTTGTAAATATATACATATTATATATATTTTTATAGGTCTTTGTTTAGGCTTATCAATGACTATTATGTTAACAGATGTTATTAAGGTAATTGATATTTTCATGCTCAATGCTTTTTTTTTGACATATATATTTATATATATATATATAAGATTACAGCGGGACGACCAAGACCTGATATGTTATCTAGATGTAAGCCTATTGAAGGCGCTGCAGACCCTAAATTCGGACTATCAAGTATAGATATTTGTACAGCAGATATTCACTCACATATCATGATTGACGGATTCAAATCTTTTCCAAGCGGGCATTCATCATGTAAGAATTTAGAATTATAATATTTAGAATACAATTATATTAACAGTTTTCCCCTCTTTTATGCACATACAGTTTCCTTTGCTGGATTAGGATTTTTAGCATTCTATCTTGCTGGTAAAATGAAAATGTTTGATGAAAGAGGTGTAAGTTAAGGTAAATTGGCTAATGAAAGATACAAATTAACTTACGTACTTTTATTTTTTAAAAAAAAAATAAATAGCACACATATAAAGGATTTTTGTTTGCATTCCCTATCATTGGCGCATTATTAGTAGCTATTTCACGTACAGAAGATTATAGACATCATTGGCAAGATGTTACGATTGGTTCTTTGTTAGGCATTGTTTGTGCGTATTTTGCTTATCGACAATATTATCCATCACTTTCACATGACTCTTGTCGAGACCCATTTGCGGCTCGAGTTACATTTTGTAAAAGAGGAGGAGGCAATAATGAAGGAATAGGTAATAATATAACTGTATCAAGTAGCATTATAAACGTGCTAGATACAGAAATCGAACCTAATAATACATAATTAGGCTCAGAGCATCTTCATCATCACCATCATCAAGAAATAGGCATGCCTAAAAATAGCAGTCCATTTGATGATTATAATATCGAAGAAGGATCAGCAAATCATCCTATTGATTATAATAATGAATCTCAAAGAGACAATGAGTATTATGCAGCTGATAATTTAATGTTACATAAAACATCTTCAAATAATAGCACAATTATACCACTTGTAGGGAAAAGAAATAACATATAATAATATAATTTATTGATGATGTAATAATAATACATGTTCTTCTACTATTTCTCCCCTCTTTCTCTCTCTATCTCCCTTTTCTTTTCTTTTTTTTTTTTGTGTGTGTGCTTATGTAATATCATCCCATTCTTTAATAAACTCTATTCTCTCTGTAGTTAACGGACTCAGCAAAAAGATACAAACAAAAGTAAGTAGGAACCCGACCCAAAAGGAAGGCGTTAACCAGACATCATAATAATAGCCCACATTTGACTTTCTTGACATGAATGCAATGGTATAATAAATGTCGACCATTATTAAAAAAGTAAAGAAATCTATTACGATAAGAAATATGTATGTATTTATATAGAACAAAGTTTCATGCTTTTAATAATAATAATAATAAAAAGGAGAGGATCTCGGATCATATATTTTCCCTTTATTGTATTAATGATTATTGATTATCAAGAAAGAAAATATGATGTATAAACATATGTATTTATGACTGATTTGCATCATTGCCTATTTATGTAATTACCTTTGGAGCAACTGGTTTTACGGATGTATAAATATATTTATTTATTCAGTATATAATTAAATTTTTGATCTTTACGGAGCATATAGTATCTGGAAAAGGATACTGGCATGCCCAGATCAGTTCCTTAATGAAATAATAATAATAATAATAGTAATATATATGTATATATATATATATATATGTAGATATGTAGATATTATTGGTGAATAATACATAAGCTAAATACATCATTGACAAATAGGATAATGAGACTAAAGAAAAAAAAATCTAGATTGTACCTTGTTGTTATAGTTTTAATTCTGTACCAAGTACTTTAGATGTTATCCGAGTACATTCGTGAAAAGTATAAACTGGATTTAGCTGAAATAAAAATCTCATTAAAAAAAAAAAAAGCCGTGGAAAGGGGAGAGTTATTCAGACAAAACTATTCAATCTATGCTTCATTTGATGACGACGGCAGATTCTACTTTATTAGCAGATCCCTTGTTTACTTCTTGCAACAGATTGTGGTGTTGAAAAGACATTTATGTTACTGCTGCTTACTTGTAAACGGAATGATGACTTTGATCATAATAGATGTCAAGCTTCCTTTCTTCTTATCACGCCGTTAATGAAAGAAAGAGTGGTAAGAAGAAGTTCGTTTATTTGGACAGATCATGGTGGTAAAAGTGATGACGGTCTTTTTTTTTTTTTTTTTAATTTTAATTTTTAATAATAAGAATAATGGTTTATTGTTTCAAATTAATATCCTTTGCAATAAGTTGTGCAGCAATAGGATGATAGAAATGCTTATGCTTTAAGAAAGTTTCTTGGGCTAATTCAGCACCATTCTTTGCTGAATAAAGATAACGATAAAGAGGACGAACAAACTTCATACGACCTTGTTCTGTAATGAATTCAACAACACTAGGGTAAATCTTTTCATAGCTTGCCATAACACAAAGTTGTTGCCAACGGAAACGAATATCAGCATTACGAATAGGTGTCATTTCATAAAGTTCATCCATCTTGGCAAGTAAGTTATGAGGCAAAGGCTCACAGTCAGTTAAACGTTCCAAGAAAACAACTAATAATCATCTGTATTAGTAATTTATAATATGTATATACAGAACTGCGTCCACTTACTCTTTTGTGTAGAAGTAAAGTTTTCAATGTCTTTTGGAGAGAATTGAGAAAGATCATCTGAATTACGAGCTTGATCCCAGCGAGAGGCAAGGTTATAACAAGCATCAGCAAGACTAGTATCAAAGTTGGGATCCACAGGTGGCATACCAGTACCATTAATCCAAAGATCAAAATCAATTGTCTTTAACTTTTCAACAACTTCTTTACCATGATGAGTTTCCATATATTCATGAAGATGGGCTAACCATTCTTCTGTTGTGATAGATTTGGAAGCAAAACGTTCAACGTGAGCTTTCATATAAGGTTCAAAGATAGCAGGTCCACCAACAACCTTTTCAATATGATAAAGCAAATTGAAACCCTTTTCTATAGAATGGATTATTATATATGTATATATTATCATTTATATATAATGTTTATCATTACCATAAGGAATAGAACTGAAATAATCATCAGGATCAATACCACTGCTCAAATCAGGCTTTAATACAGTAGCAGGAGAATCTTGTCCAAAGAGTTCAACACTCTCCTTCAATGCTTTCCAACCAATAATAGAACTGAATTGTCTTTCAGGTTCACCATGAAGACGTGCTAAATAAGAGGTTAATATAAAGATATATATATCTATATTGAAAGAACTCAAAGTGATACACTTACAAGCAATTTTACGCTCAATAAAGACAGTCCAACCTTCATTTAACCAAAAGTGTTCCCAATTAGCTGTAGTGACCAAATTACCCATCCAGCTATGAGCAATTTCATGTGCAACAACATCAACTGCACTTCTATCACCTATATCATATCAAAAGTGAATATCATTCTATAGTCAATAGGAGGAGGTTCAATCTTACCAGCTAAAAGTGTAGGTGTAACAAAAGTTAAACAGGGATTCTAATCAAAAAAATAAAATAAAATAAATAAATAAATAAATAAAGCCTTAACCGGATTAGACCGGAAGATGATGATCATGCTATTCTCCTTACCTCCATACCACCATAAGGGAAAGAAGGAGGCAATACCAAAAGATCATAACGTCCCCATTCATAAGGAGTTAAAAGACTTTCACCAGTTGCAATAAACTTTTCTGTATCCTAACAAACAGTAAAATATATGTATATGTGTATATAAATATATATGTATATATATATATATATTAGCACAAAGCCACTCTTCCCCTTTTACTATTTATCTTTTACTTACCTCAAATTCCCAAGCAGCTTGATCAACTACTTCAGGTTCACACCATACAGTAGAACGAGGACCAATTTCACGACCAGCCAAGTTACCAGCAGCAATGGCAATCAAATAAGAGGGAATGGTAGTGTTTTGTTTAAAATGATATGTCTTTGTACCATCATCATTCTCCTCAGAAGATTCTAAAAGAGCTGACATAACAACAGGCAAAGGTGACTTGACAGAAGCTGAGTAAGTTAATTTAACAGAAGGTGAATCTTGAAGGGGAGCGAAAGCACGAGCATGAATCTTAGAAAAAAAAAAAAAGATTAATAATGTGTCCAAACAGAATAGCAAAATCATAAAAATTTTCTTACAGCTTGACATTGAGAGAACAAATAAGGATGCTTCTTTCCAACAGTTTGTCTATTAGTAATAGTGTACAGGGGAAAAAAAAAGAATCGATAAGCGTCATTATCACACTTTGTATAATCAAACTTACTCTGGTTCCAAATATTGAACAGCGGTACATTTATCAGTAGTAGAATAATCGACTCTGATTTGGAATTTAGTACCAATATCAGTTAATGCTTCGGGAAGTGTAATGGTTAAAGCAGAACCAAGACTAAGATGACGTTCCGCGACAGAATACTTTTTTTTTTCAAAAAAAAAAAAAAAAAAAAAAAGAAAGAAAGAAAGAAAGAAAAACGCGTTTAGAATATAATTAACATCTATTTTACTATTACTCATTTACTTACTTCAAGTTGTTGACCATTCATAGAAACACCTTTCAAGTCAAGATAGCTTGTATCCAAAACAACTTTAGTCACGTTAGGAACTAAAGTGATCAAGTCTAAAAGGACATGACCGCTGATTTTCTTTTCAGTAAATGAAATGGTCCAGTTAAAATGAACATGTTGAGTAAGGATCTCAGAGAGATTAGAAAGACTACTGGGATCGATGACTTTATCGGTCATTTTCTTAAATGTATGAATGATCAACTATAGAAAAAAAAAAAAAAAAAAAAAGAAGAAAAAAAATATGTGTGTATATAACTCAAGCCAATAAAAAGATAAATTTTTTTTCATTACTGTTATCTGTTATCGTGAGAATAAACTTTTTTTTTTTCAAGCGCCGGTGTAATAAAGTATGATGAATGGTAAGACCCTGATAAGAGGAACAGAAAATGACTTCTATTGTAGAACTATAAAGTTAAATCACGTTAATAAGAAAGATGATGACGTGAAGAAGAATCTATTCTTAAAGATTTTTCATTATTTAGAAATTAGACATTATCCTAGTTTAATTTATTTTTTGTTTTTTTTTTTTTTTTCATAAAACATTATGGCAAAGGTAATCAAAATACATAAATATTAAAAATTATTCATCATTCTAAACTCTATTAATAATCATAAGCCTGTTTCACAAGACTATTTTAAACCTTCTGAAGTCTCATTTGGTGCAGGTGCACTTTCAGGTTCTTATGATCAATTCAGTGAATCAGATCCTGTTGAGGCCTGTAGAGAAGCACTTAATTCTGGTAAGAATGAATAGATGTGTAATTAAGCAGGATCCCAATTTAACTGTTAAAAAAAAAATATTGTTATGGATAGGTATTAATACTTTTGATACTTCTCCTTATTACGGTAAAAGCGAATGTATTTTGGGAGATGCTCTTTATCAGATTCGTGATGAGTTCCCAAGAAATACTTACTATCTAGCTACGAAGGTAGGTAGATATGGTTATACTGTTAAAGATTTTGATTATAGTGCGAGAAGAGTATATGAAAGTGTAGCTGAAAGTATGAGACGAATGCATACAGATTACATTGACATTGTTTATTGTCATGATGTCGAGTTTGTTGAGTTTGAACAAGTTGTAGGTCATAATCAAGCTTTAGAAGCTTTATTTGATTTGAAATCTCAAGGCAAAATTAAATATGTTGGATGTTCAGGTTATCCTTTAGAGGTTTTATTGAAGATAGCAAAGTATAATTACGACAAGGGACAGCCCCTTGATATTATCTTGTCCTATTGCCATTATACACTACAAAATACTCTATTAGCTGATTATGCTCCTAAATTTAAAGAGGTTGGAGTACGTTACATCATGAATGCCTCACCTCTTTGTATGGCTCTTTTACGTGATGGTATGACACCTAGTTGGCATCCAGCCCATGAAGCTATTCGCGAAGCCGCTGATAAGGCAGCGGCGGTTGCTGCGGAGAATGGGCTTTCATTGGCTAATTTGGCTTCACGTTTCTCTTTTCAAGGTAGAGATCAATTTCAATTGGACTCAACTGTGATTGGTCTTGCGAGAAAATCAGAGGTACAGGATGCTATTCGATCTTGGAAAGATGTAAAAGAACGTAAAAATTCAGATAAAGAAAACAAAGTGTACGAAATAATCCATCAATTATTTGCTCCTTACAAAAATTTCTCATGGCAAAGCCCAACAGATAAAGAATTATGCAAAGAATAACGTTTATATAAATATTTCAATATAAGCAAATACTACGTTTTAATGTAATATATACATTATTTTATTATGTTCGAAAAAAGAAAAAAAAAAGAAAAGAAAAAAACTTCTTTTTTATATTTGCGTATGCGCATATATGCATTAAGCACCATATCCACGAATCTTTTCTGCAAATCCCCATTCAGTATCCAATGTATAAGGCTCGGTAATTTCTAAACCTTCTTCAGTAATCTTTGCTCTTTGGAACTAAGTACAGCAAATGAATAACTAAAATCGTATTTGCTGTTATATATATATGTATATAAATACCTTATTCAAAGATCTAGCATCTCTGTAAAACAACACACGCAAACATTCATTCATAATCTCAATAGCTTCTTCCTCTGTTAAATCATTTTCTCTACCTTCAACTCTTCTTCTTAGAATAGGTTGTGCTAAATGTGCACCAAATCCAGTAGCAATTGTTGTAGATTGATATGTTGTGCCTCTTAAATCAATATAACCAAGGAATTTCTCTCCTTTGTTCATACCACCAACAACTAAAGCATTCCAAAGAGGATTGAATTTAGATCTTCTATTATACATTACTCTCCACAAATACTCATAAATGTGTGGAGTGCCCAAGACATGTCCATCATCAGCACAATGTTCCTTAATCCTAATCAAATGGATAGACTTATTAGTTAAAAATCAACAAGATATAATACAAATATCTTTACATTAGAGAATCCAAAAGATGTTGAATGTATTGGTAATCTGAAATATCACCGGAAGCACCAACAATAGTACTTTCTCCAACAGGATATAATCTTTTGATATCACGGAATCGAGCTAATGAACCATATGAACCTAATTATTCAAATAAAGAAAACATTAAAAAAAAATGTCCTTGACTTTTTATGCTAGAGTGAAATTACCAAGCATGTCTGCTGCCATCATAATACCGTCTCTATACTTGAAGGCAAGAATAGAAGTACCGGTGACCAAAGGTGTTCTAGTTAATTATAAAAGCATCAAGTTGTTATTGATTTTCATTTATGCTAGAGTTTCTTTTTTTTTTAAAATAAAATAAAGTAAAATACATACTGTGTTCTAGTAATGGGTCCATAAGCAGATTCGGTCAAGTTATTAGGAATTGATTTATACATGGGTACAGTATTATATACATCTGTTGATTCAGAACGAGGTTTACCCCAATTTGAAGGAAAATGATCCATGGCGCTATGTTAAATTTAAAATAAAATGGCTAAAAAAGAAATAAATTCAAACATACGGTTGATATCAACGTAATATGGTGTACATAATTGACGCGTCGCCTTCTGAGAGAAAAAAAAAAAAAAAAACTTCATGACGTCCACCCTCAAATGTCCAATCATATTTTTTATATATGATTATTAAAGCTCCGTGATCAGTCTGTTGCTTCAAAATGTTATTATAAACACTCTGGAATTGTATATTTTTTAGACGTTTCTGCATTCTTTTATTGGGGCAAATATTACTAGTATCCAAATTGTCTTAGTTTTACAGACGAGCCAAATCTTTTGCCTGTAAATAATACCTAAGATAATGTTTGAATTAAATGCAATAAGAATTGTTGGTCTTTGCTTTCTTAAAAAAAAACACAAATCGGCATACCATCTTGATTTTCATGCTTATATCACACTTTTTTTTTAAGTGACGTTAGTGTCTTGCTGCAAGAGTGTGGAACTTCCTTTGCAAACAAGCATAATCTTATAAAAACCATACTCTGCAGCTTTAAGGTCCCCCCCCTCGCTCTTTTTTTTAATAAGATAATTGTATAGTCATATTTGCAATTAAATATAAAATAGCATGTCTTAATTGTATTCTGCTAAAGACGGCTTTATTTCATATATTTCCATTTCATCAACTAAACATTTAACCTTTATAATGTAAATTATGCTCTTACATTCTTTATCTTTAAGAAAAAGACAAATCACATGTCTATATAAATTGATACTACTATTAATTTAGTAGATATCAGTAGTTCAAGCCCTTGTTTATCTTTACTCCAATTCTTTCTTATATTCTTGACAAAGCATATAGTAATAGAGATAGCGTTTACTTGAGGAATAGATCATTTACTGCCCTCATCATTAAAAATATACTTAAATAATAAAAAATGATTGAGAAAAGAGAATTTAGAGTATTCACAGACTAATCTATTGGATTGGAGGGTAAACAAGCTGCAGGTATTATATGTTAACTACTTTATTCATATCATGATGAAAATCTATTTGCTATCCTATATTGAATTATCTTTTCTATATCATCATCATGTAAAGCTCCTCTCTTCAGGAAACAACAGTTTATATGACAAGACTCTTATAAGTAACATTAGTAATATTACTGCCCCCTCCCCTCCAAATATTCTAATTGTACTGACACTCGATGATGCGTTTCTTACATAGTTCTGACCAAGTATTCATAATTTTCAGTTCTAGTCAATGGTATAAATTACAAAATACACTATTAAAGAGGCTTCTAGTGCTTACCACTAGCATCTCTCGCTTCAATACACTTTTTTTCACAAGTATTAGTAAATCCTTAATAACTATTTTAACACTTGTATAATGTACTTTATTCCATTAAATGTAATATTTGTTTTTATTTTTATGTGAAATGTGAAAAAAGATATTCAAGTTTATCAATTTAATATTTCATTTTTATTCACTGTCTGACAAGTTATCAGGACTACTGATATTAGTAAATTGATCTGAGGAGTAATATGAACTGTTAGAGCTGGCCTTCCATACATCACTAACAGCATTCCAGCTTTCTTCAGAATCAGATACACTACGCGAAGTATAAGGTATAGGATTTTCATATTCTATTATATCGTTTGAAGGGTATAACGTATCAGTTATATGTTCCTGGTTTTCTTCTTCTTTTGTGTCTGTACAAGATGATGATGCTTTTTCTAAAGAGGAGCTATCATCATTATCCATTTGATAGAAAGAGTAAAATGGGTTTTCAGTCTTATTTTCATCTGAATTACTTGCTGATTCCTCTGAAGCTTGTTCATTTCCAAATGTGTTCAATACATCAATAGAATTATCAACATCATTATTTGATGAGCTTTCCGACTCTTCATTTGAATTTACAGAAAGAGGACCATGACTTAGAAATTCATTTTTCCGTTTTTCAAACTCTTCTTCTTCTTTATCTAGCAATGCTTGATCAGCTAATAGTCTTTTTTTTCTTTCTATAATGCTATCTTCCAGCAACGAAAGTTCATGGTATTCTTTTCTGGGGGACTTTTAGATATACTTTAGTTTATATTTATTTAAGCAAAAAAAAAAATATTTTTAACAAATACCCTTTTTCTATCGATATAATTATCATCATCATTACTTGTATCACCAGAGGAAGATGATTTACGTGAAAAGAGCTTTCGATTACGTATTAGTGGCTTATCATCATCATCACTCTTCTCTTTAAATCTTTTCTTATCATCAAAATCAAAGTCATGGCTGTGACGAAAAGGATCAGGGCGACCTTTTGAATGTGAATAGTCATTATTATAGCTTGTGTCTCTCCATAGTTGATAGACGCTTATTCCTAAGAGAGCTACACTGCTAACAACTATTGCTGCAACAACAGCTGGATGTGGCATTGGGAGGGGGTGAGGTGGGTAAAAAAGGAGAAAAAAGAAAAATAAAGGAGAAAAAAAAAAAAGAAAAGAAAAGATACCTATTTTTTATGCAGTCAACCTATTTTCTGCCAATCATTTTATATGATTAATTAGTATTATTCTTGATTTTTTTTTTTTTTTTTTTTTAGACTCATTAAATACGATATTATATATCTATAAATGTACATTATTTATTTACTAAGCCAAGTTTATTTAAACAAAAATCTTCAGTAAGATATTAAAATGATATCTGTTTAAGAAAGAAGCTATTCACTTTTGTGTGTATGCATTGTATCCAAAAGGTTTCAATATATTCAGCTCAGAGTAAATTCGCTGTATTATGTGAATTATAATAAAATAGTGACGTTTAATGATAATGTATATATAATGTAGATAGAGTTGTATACTAGAGCACGATAGACTCCTTTTTTGTAATCTCTAATTGAATTTCATCTTTATCATCTATAGGTGTTGAGTCACCTGAAGGATAATAGTCACTCATGTCTTTCATCTGTTCTTGCTTTAATTCATCTTTCAAAATCCATGATAATAATCCACGTACAGAAGGTCTGACCATAAATTGGTCTTGATAAACAGCATGAAGAACGATCATCACAGAGGTAGCAAAGGTAAGATTTTCAGCAATTTCAGCAGCAGCTTTTTCCCACCCTCTTCCCTTTTGGTGAGGACTTAAGATTCTTTCTGTGAATGAAAAAAGGGCACGTGGAACGACATAGAGTGTCATTTCACCTCGACGATGCTTACTTTCAACTAAAAGTGAAAGGCCACATAACATACTACCCACCAAGGGTGATAGCGTGTTATCTAGCCTTGTCTGATTGATCTTAAATACCTGATGTCCTAAACGCGTTCTTACTAAACAAATACTGTACCAAATGATGGCAATATAGGTTCCCAAAAATGTAGAGGAACGAGTTGAAGCCAAAAGAACACGTAAAATCGTTTGAATAGGTGTTTGAATAAAACGTGATGTTTGAAAAAATAAAGTTGGCAATAGATGAACTGAGAGATATACCTATTTATATGACTAAGTATGTATATAGTAGTATAATGAAGAAAAAGCAAAAAAAAAAAAAAAAAAAAAAAAAAAAAAAAAAAAAAAAAACTGCCAAGTTATATACATTACTGGAAATATTTTAACAAAACCTTTATAGAAACGATATAACGCATTCACTTCACAGCCATAGGGACTGCCTTCATGAATAACAGTACAATCGATTCTACCATAAATAGGATCACCAAAAGATCGAGGTAAACCTAATTGTGCACAATAATCACTTAATAAATATCCCAGTCCAGTATCTTTCTGTAAAATAAGAAATAAGAAATAATAAATAAATGCTTATAAAGTGTTCGTCCTTATAATTACACCATATATCCAGTTGCCATTTCGAATCGCTCGAAGTGTTTCTAATAATCTAGTATCAATACCTGACATATTTGTAATCCATTTCGCGTAAGATCTAAGAGACATACATAGAATAATATCAAATTCCTGAATAGTGATATAAACGAAAAAGAATATATAAATATTTACTTTGGCAATCTTTCAGGTTCATAAAACCAAGAGAAAATGATTTCAGTGCTTGCCAGCATGAAAATAAAGATATTGCCATATTCCAGTATCCATTCTGGCATCTTTTGTCTAACTTTAGCAGAAACATAAATACGATGAGCAAAGACATCAAGTGCACGTACAAGAACGAAAAAAGTTAAATCCAATGTCTTAGTCTTTGGAAATAAACGACGAATAATAACAATCGTAATCAGGGAGGACCAGAAAATAGCAGCCCTTTGCGACACCTTTTTTTTCTTTTTTATAATGGATGAATACCAATAGCGCAAGAGCCTTTGACCCCCTAACGAACCCACTAATAAAAGAGGGAATCCATTCTGTGTGATACTGTTTTTTAAAAGCTGAGGCAGACTGATAAAAAGAGCTTTTTGAAGAATAGTAGCAGTAGTAGTCGTAGTCGATCGATTGTCTTTTTTTGTTGCAAGAAATAAAGTCTTAATAAGAATAGATAAAATGCCTGGAATAGTCGTTATCGACCAACCTACACCATAAGCTCGTAACATCGTCTTTAAAGCAGGTTGAAGCTCATTTGGAATCTTATTCATCTTTATGTGAATTTAAGGAAAAAAAAAAAACAAAAACAAAAAAAGACAGGAAATAAAAATAGCTGAAAACCTACTAAAAAGGAGAGCAGATATTGTATTTTTTTTTTCTTCTTTTTTGCTTATCTGTGTTCCTTCTTTGTAAATATTCACGGAGTAGTACGAGATAATTATTTGAGTACTGATGAAGCCACTGTCAGAAGATTGGTATCATTGTATATTAATACGTTTGACAAGCAAAGAAGAAGCGAAAGGAATAATAGTAACTTAAACTGTGATTTCATTAAGATCTGTTGAATATGGAATGGTGCAGCTACCACTCATCCAATGTGTACTTTGCTTTTTTTTTTTCACACATCTGCATTCAACAAGTAAATTACAAGTTTTAAAATATGCATACGAATTTTTGTCAATCAAACTAGCCAATAGCAGAGGATTCTATATCTTAATTATTTAGGTTTGATTAGCAACAACTATCAAGACACATGAAATTTATTTATCATTATTGTTTCCAATAATTATAATATTTATCACCAAGATTCTTCATATCCTTACTCATGTCATCCCATTTTGAATGAGGAAGACCTGTTTCAGGATCTATTGCTTTAATATTACGGAGCTTTTCTCTATCTTTTCTTAACCATTCAAGACAGAGTGATGTTAAAGGTGAATCGACAAGATTCTTTTCTTTGTGTCTTTTCCTCATTTCTTCAAATTCAGGGAAATTATTTACATCATGAATGGATAAGCATTTACCGTCAGCAACATGAGCAATATGAGTAGCCCAATCACCTAATCCATCAAAAATATGTGTAGCATAAACCTAATATAAACATAAGCATATACGTATATATATATATATATTTAAAAAAAAAATAGCTTACAATCGTACAGCCTCTTTCTTCAGTCTCCTTTCTCAAAAAATTCAAAAAATCAGCGCGAGCAAGAACATCTAAATCAACAGTAACTTCATCCAATAATAATATCTCCCATGGCTGCAGTAAACCCATAACCAACTGAACTCTACGACGTTGACCATCTGAGATTTGATGCATGTGCCATTTCACGTCAACATCCAAGACAGTTAATAATAGTTGCGTACGTTCTGGCCAACGATGACTACCCATACTTTTGAGTAAATACGCTACAGATAAATCTGATTTGACAATCGGGTTATTGGCCCATTCTGTTCCCAAATAAGTAACGCCCTTTATTTCATTTATTTCATTTATTATCTTTGTTCAAATAAAACATTGTTATAATTAATTTACTTACAGGTGGTGCATCCAAAAATGCATTTTTACCAAGGACTTTAATATCACCTTTTACCATACGTTTACCTGCTAAAATTCGTAATAAAGTCGTTTTTCCTGCACCGTTGGCTCCTACTAAAATACAACGATTACCAGCATCAAGCTGCAAATCTAAATGATCAATAATAGGCGGTCCTCCATAACTGAAAAAGAGATTGGAAACATCAATCGTATGCTCATAGTCCTTATTAGTTGACATGTTTTCTTTTTCTATATTATTTTTAAATGAAAATGAAAAGAGAAAACCTAGGAGAAAAGAAAAAAAAAAAAAAAAAGAATTCAGGCATATGATTACATAATTGTCTCACATTAATTTCGTAATCTTTCAAAAATTATGGAACTTCTTTTTTTTTTCGGCCTGAATTACATCACATGCTGCCCGTTTTCTTTTCTTTTTTTCGTGACAGACGTATGCCTATTCACTACCTCTTTTCCACTCAATATGATTGCCTCATCTTTTCTGCTTTGATTTAAATTTTATAAATAATAGTCAACTGAGAGAATAAGCAAATTAAAAAAAAAACTAGAAATAACATGTATTATTGTCTATAGTATAGGGGACAAATTATATATAAAAAAAATCTATAAAATGTGTTGTAAGTCTTTAATTATATATATATAAAAGGAAGGAGGATGTTCAATATAGAGTTAGGTTATAGCAAAAGAAAGGACATTATACATGAAATAATAAAAGTTTGCTGTAGAAGTATAATTTTGGAATAATAAGGAAAATAAATTTACAATTTGACATTCTTTCTGAGAGATTCCTTATAGGCAGAGATAGAACCTTCGAAAGGTGTGACTTGACCATTTTCACAACGCCAGATTTGTTTGGCTACTTGAGAAATCAAACGGAAATCGTGAGAAACAAGGACAACACCACCAGAGAAACGATTAATGGCATCAGCAAGGGAGTCGATAGATTCCATATCCAAGTGATTAGTAGGTTCATCCAACAAAATAATATGAGGACGAAGAACAGCTAATTCAGCAAATACAAGACGTGATTTAAGACCATCAGAAAGTGTCTTGATGGGTGAAGTTTGATGAGAACCAGTCAAACCATAACGACCAATTTGACGACGCCAGTATTCAATATCAGAACCTTCTTCAGGGAACTTTTTACGCATGTAATCAATAGGAGAAAGATCCATATCGAGTTGATCAGCAGAGTGTTGAGAGTATTTACCGAGTTTCAAGGCAGTGTGTTTCTGAACACGACCACCAGTAGGAACGAGCTCATTATTCATTAATTTAAGTAAAGTGGATTTACCAGCACCATTAGGACCGACAAGGGCAACACGAGAATCCATATCAACACCCAATTCAAGGTTTCTATAAAGACAATGATCCATGTTACCATCATAAGCAAAAGAAACATCTTGGAAAGCAAGGACAGGAGGAGGGAGCTTAGGAACATCAGTGAAGGAGAACTTGAAAGGCAATGGGTTCTCAACCTTTTCAATCAAACCTTGAGCCTCCATCTTATCAATAATCTTTTGCTTAGACTTGGCTTGTCTTACCAAGTTAGCGTAAGTACCAGCAGAAGCAATAAACTTCTTAATGTGAGCAATTTCTTCTTGTTGCTTAGCATAAGCTTTAGCTTGGTTGACTTCATTTTCTTCTTTCGTCTTAACAAACATATCATAGTTACCACCATAGTAAACAAGCTTACGTTTATGTGTCAAGTGCATCATATTAGTACAGACACCATTCAAGAAATCTTGAGAGTGAGAAACGATAACGAGAATACGATCGTAAGTCTTCAAATATTCTTCAAGCCAAACAGTAGCTTCCAAATCCAAGTGATTAGTAGGTTCATCCAAAAGTAATAAGGTAGGCTTAATGAAAAGTGCACGAGCAAGAGCAACACGCATTCTCCAACCACCAGACATATCCTTAGTCATCTTTTTCATTTGTTGTGTATCAAAACCCAAACCAGCCAAAAGAGTACAAGCTCTGGTTTCAAAAGTAGCGGGGTCCAAAGATTCGATACGTTCATAAATATCGTCCAACAATGGGTTATCACCACCATCTTCTTCACCAAGAATATCCTCAACTTGCTTTTCAAGACGAGCAACTTCCTTTTGAGCAGAATCAATAACAGCTTCAACAGCATTCATCTCAGAAGGTTCAGCTTCTTGATTTAAAAGATAAATCTAAAATATATTTTTTTTTCAGATAAATATTTTTTGTTGTATGCTATATTACACTTATATGCCCAATAGGAAAGAAAAACAAAACAAAAAAAAACTAAACAAATACTTACATCGATATGATCAGGAATTTCGATATCACGAGAAGCAAGAGATTGCAAAAAGGTGGTTTTACCAGAACCATTAGAACCAATAAGACCATAACGTCTACCAAAGTTAAGTTCGATAGAAGCGTTATCAATCAAAACACGACCGTGGAAGTTAAGAGAATAAGAGTCAATCTTAATATCTCTACTTCTTTCTTGAGAAGTATAAACACCAGTAGCAGTACGATCAGTACTGATCTTGAGATTTTCCATTCCTAAATCTTCAGATGAGTTGTTCTCTGATGTCATGGGAGTGTTCTTTCCAGACTTGGCTCCTTTCTTAGCAGCTCTAGCTGCAAGACGCTTAGCTTTTGATGCAGAGATACTTCCACTCATGTTTGATTTACGGTTTCTCTTTTTTTTAAAGGTCTTGATTAAAAAAAGAAAGGTAGAATACAAAAAAAAAAAAAAAAAAAAAAAAAAAAAAAAAAAAAACTTTTTTTAACTAAATCAGATTGTGACGTGTATATTATATTGATTTAATTGGACAAAAAATAACACACTATGATCTAGTTTTTTGCTACTTGTTCCATAATAAGCCGCAGCAATAAATTGAGCGAATGTTAAATGTAAACTAATTAATACTATCTAAATGAAACTAAATTTATTGGTCACTTTCCTTATTTCTTTTATTTGCACATAAAATAAATGGCCTACTATGATTGATGGACTTGATGAAAATACTCCGAAGAATTGTTATTTTCATCTAGTTTGATAGTTTTCTTTGTGCTGTTGTGTATGAGATTTTGTTAAGACAATAGAACTTTCCAAATTCTCTGATTCTATTTATGTATTATTTACACAATAAAAAAAAAACCTGTACATAAGCTTTTTTATTAATAAGTGGTTAAATTAATTACTGAAGATGATGAAGAACTGTCTATAGTAGTGGTTGATGTTGTTGATAATGAATCATCATTACTAATGTTTTCCATCTCATTAATTAAAGCACGGCTTCTTAGTTTAGCTTCTAAAATTAAATCACCCCATAGTAATAAATGATTACAATTTGGACAATGGCCAATTACTGGCATTAATTCTAACGGCCCTATCCATTGAACAGCTAAGCAAGATATATGGCTTGTCATAGCATAACAATGAAAACATTCTATATAATTCATTGTATCGTCCTATATTATAGACATGAGAGATTAATACTTTTTTTTTGTATAACAATGCTGCCATATATGATACATACTATTGATATAGATTTTTTACATATAAAACAATCTAATATTAAGGAAAGTAATTCATTATTTTCTTTTCTCATTATTTGAAATCTTGATATAACATCCTCTTCTGTTTATAGAAATATTAATATTATTTCACTCTTATAGCATTCATGAAACGGTACCTTTCTTCTTGATATCTTTCATCAAGTCTTCTATAGATCCTACCGAAGTTGTCATATGCTTTGGTAGGTCGCAACTATCAAGAAACAAAGCCTGCATATTAGGTGTGACAAATCGGAGTTTTAGAGGCAAGATAGAAAATGGCTTTGTATTTAACAATAACTGCGCTGCCCACATTTTTGTTAACATTAAATTAGAATGTTTTGTATTTTTTAGCAGTAAAGACTTCTTTTCTATAGACAAAGTGTCTGTAATTATTTTTGTATGTCTACTTTGAAGTGGCTTTTGCCATGCCCACTCAAATTGTAGTGCATGCTTTTTACTTGGAAAGCCATAAACAATCATTACATATTGCCTTTTATATACATACATACATTATTTAACTGAATTTATTCATTTATGATGTTTGGTTTTATTTTTATTTTTTTTTTTTTTACCAAGGTCTATGTTTTTTAGTACGATAAGCACCTTGTGTTAATTCACCATTATGTTGTCTTAATCGTCGAATTGGGTTTGGTGTAGATCCAACATAAACCTTATTTCGTTGATCTTCTTTTAAAGATCGAATTAAATAACAACTATAAAATGAATAATAAATCATGGTTTATATGATTCATTGATCAATCAACTCAAAAAAAAAAAAAAAAAAAAAAAAGCAGACAAATAAAAAAAAAGAAAGCATATATTTCCATTTAACCCTTCAAGCACCCCATAAAAGCTAATGATTGCTGCGCTTAAATCATTCATCGCGATTTGCTGACGATGATCCTTTTGTCCACATTCATTTGTTTTTCTTTTTTTTTATATATATATAAATATTTATACACATATTTATAAAAATATATAATTAGGTTATTGAACAAAATGGCTGAATTTGTTAAATTGTCCATTTTTGGTACTGTATTTGAAGTAACTACAAGGTAGGAAAAAGGATTAAATAAAAGCCAAATATACTGTTGATAAAATAAAAAGGAACCAAAAATTGACACGTTTATTATATATTAGATATGTTGACTTACAACCTGTTGGTATGGGCGCATTTGGCCTTGTATGGTAAACTGATCTTATTCTTAATTCACATTAATGCTGATTTGTTAATGTGCATACTTGAATATAAATTAACAAGAGCGACTTCTAAATTACTTTTTTTTTTTATACATGTATAGTTCTGCAAAAGATCAATTGACTGGTATGAATGTTGCTATTAAAAAGATTATGAAACCCTTCTCGGCACCTGTTTTAGCCAAACGCACTTATCGTGAATTGAAATTATTAAAAGCACTTCGACACGAAAATGTATGTAAAAGTAAATAAAGCATATACACAGATGTATATCTTGCATTTAGACTTACTATTTTATAGATTATCAGTTTAAGTGATATCTTTATTTCACCTTTAGAAGATATGTAAGTATACGCATGTAAGTTTATATGGAATTTTATCTTATAAAACGATAGCTATTTCGTTACAGAATTGTTGGGAACTGATCTTCATCGTTTATTACAATCTCGTCCCCTGGAAAAGCAATTTATTCAATATTTTCTTTATCAAATATTAAGAGGCTTAAAATATGTTCATTCAGCTGGTGTTATCCATAGAGATTTGGTATTATAATATTTATATACTTTGTAAAAAAAAAAACTAATAATTCATGTATACATATATGCATGTAGAAACCTAGTAATATTCTTATTAATGAAAATTGCGACCTTAAGATTTGTGATTTTGGTCTTGCCCGTATTCAAGACCCTCAGATGACAGGCTATGTATCTACTCGATATTATCGTGCTCCAGAAATTATGTTAACTTGGCAAAAATATGATGTTGCTGTGGATATTTGGAGCGCAGGTTGTATCTTTGCAGAAATGCTTGAAGGAAAACCTCTTTTCCCTGGCAAAGATCGTAAGTTTATTATATAGCTTCAATCATTGATAATGAAAACAATAATATTGATACCAATATATTTAGATGTTCATCAATTCTCAATTATTACGGAACTTCTTGGTACCCCTGATGATGATGTGATCTCTACTATTTGCAGCGAAAATGTATATATAACGCATATTTAAATTTATATATAACATACTCACCTTTTTTTTATTTATTTTTTTTAGACTCTCCGCTTTGTAAAAAATTTACCCAAACGTGATCCTGTACCTTTCAGTCAACGTTTTGCAGGACAAGATGCTCAAGCAATTGACTTATTGGAGAAAATGTTGACTTTTGATCCTCGTAAACGTATTACAGCCGAAGAAGCATTAGCTCATCCATATTTAGCACCCTATCATGATCCTACAGATGAACCAGTTGCACATGAGAAGTTTGATTGGTCTTTTAATGAAGCTGATTTACCTATTGATACCTGGAAAGTGATGATGTATTCTGAAATTTTAGATTTCCATAATGTTGACAATGTTGATGGCTCACAATTTTTAGGAACCCCTTTAACAGAATTTACTATGAGTAATACTACTGAAGGCCTTGATGCTAGTAATCCTTCAAATAGCTTCCAACCTCAGCAATAATTTCTGTAAAAAAAAAAAAAAAAAAAAAAAAAAAAAAAAAAAAAAAAAAAAAAAAAACCAGAAAGAAAAGAGGGAAAAAATCATTTATATTATGCGTGTATATTAAATAAAAAAAAAACAATAAAAAAAAAGTGCAAATGAAGAAATAATGATGGAATTGTTGTTATTGCGCTCCGACAGTATTCCTTTTTTTTTTTTTTTTCTGGGGCAAAATAATAAAAGTGCATAAGCCTGTTAATTTTATTTGTTTGCATTTTCTTTTAACTATGTCAATTTTTATTAGACAATTTAAACCTATTACATTTATTGCTACTCGATATTATACAAGTGGTGCTGTTGAAGCAGGTAAAATAGATATGTATATAGAACATACATGTTCAATAAGAAAGATAGTTAATCTTGATTAATAAAAATAGCACCTCTCATTACACGTCTTAAGGATGATCGTAAGACTTTTATGAAAACTAAAAAGCAGCCTGATTTAAATGTCGTTAAGGGTCTTTTAAGTGATTTTACTTATTATATAAAAAGTGAAAATTTTAAAGAAGGCACTTCAGAAGATCAAGCCCTCATGTCTGTTTTACAAAAGGCCATAAAACGTCGTCAAGACTCCATTAACCAGTATGAATCAGGAGGACGACCTGAATTAGCAGAACAAGAGCGTCAAGAGCTTCAAATACTTCAAGATTATTTACCCGAGCAGATGAGTCCTGAGTTGATTGAAACAGAGCTTCGAGAAATTATTCATAGACTGGGTGCAACAACAATGCGGGACATGGGTAAGGTTATGAAAGCTTGGAACCATGATAGTTCAGTTGCCGACCGTAAGCTTGTGTCTGATATTATTAAAAAGTTATTGCAATAAAAATAAAAGAAAAAGAAAAAGAAAAAGAAAAAGTAAAAGTAAAAGTAAAAAAAAAAAAAAAAAAAAAAAAAAAAAAAAAAAAAGGGCATGACAGCCAAGAAAATAATTGGTTGTGCCTTGTTGCCAAGTTTTTTTTTTTTTCTTTTTTTTTTTTTAAATAATAAAATCTTGTGTTTTGCATAAAAAGCACTTTGTTTTTCATTTCTTAACATTTATTGTCAAAATGGGAGGAAGCACCTTAAACGATTTTATGCATTCTTCAATAATAGAAAGTAATCTCGAAGCAAGCTCTTCTTTAAGAGAACAACAGTTAAATGACAGGGTAAAAAATGAACATGTATATAAATGAATAAAAAATCATCAATCTAACATTTAGATCTTTCTTCATCAAAAGACATTATATAATCCATTTTTAAATCATCAATCAAGTTTTTCAACGATTTACCCAACCTATAATCCTTCGGAATTTCAACTGGATCCTATATCCCTTCTTCCTCCTGAGTTACCGCCTAGACCTGCTGCGTATAGATCAATAGCAGCTACTACTTCTCCCACTGCATCTTCTAATAATAAAGTCCGCTTGATATATACTAAATCAGGATTTTATCTCAAAACCACATCCATAAATTCAATACATGGTTTTTTTGCTATTGTTTCGAAATCAATGGTTTGTTGATCATCATCATATTTATGACGTACATGGACTAAAAATTATATACACATATAGGAAAATGTAAACATTTTAATAGCTTGGATCCCAGAATATTTAATTGAGCCTCATGATATTACAAAATTTATTGAATTAGATGGTGTCTTAGCTGTAGATCAGGGATTTCCAACTATTGATTTGAACTTTGGTGAGGAAGAAACGATGACAATCGGAATAAAGAACATTCATTCGTTATACATATGTCCACCATTATCAACTACTCAAGGCTCTATCATCATCACATCTCGGACTGGTGACATTTTGAAACCATTATGGTATTCGGCCTTGAATGATTCAACCCTCTATCATAATTGTTATTTAGATAAAGCTTCGTGGCCAGGATATGATATTATAGATATATTAGATGCATTCACTCCATTAAAGAGGTATCTATTTTTTTTTCTTTTTATTATTATTATTATTATTTAATGTTTGATCTAACAATTTGTATATGTATACAGGGATGCAGAGCATCTATATTTGGTAGGTGAATCTATTTCTGACAATAATACAAATAAAACAAATATAAATTCTGTTAAAGAGCAAGAATTCTCTGCTGAAGAAGCATGTGGGTCAAGTATGGATCCTATTACTAAAGTACTACAAGAGGCTCGATGGAATTTACTTGAGCGGTTTTCAAGAATTACTCAATATTCCCGAAATACTGCAGCACAAGTGCTTGAACACCCTATAACGAGACCTTTGTTACCGTTAATGCCACCTTCTGTTCAAGCCTTAAGTAGAAATGGCAATGTACAGAATACAATAAATGAATATAATATGGCTTCATATTATTTAGCAAGATGGAGTATTACTACCTCAGCTTCTCGTTATTATCAAGCAGACGATTTGGATGGTCTATTAGTAGGTATGCCTGAGCTTTATGGTCCTGCTCCAATTCATACTCGTCGTTCGCCTCTTTTGCCTGAAGAATGGGTTCAGCTCTTTGATAATGAAGGTCGTTTAGCAGTCTCAGTTGAGTATGTGCGAAAACTGATCTTTCGTGGGGGGATTCATTCTGATATTCGTATTGAGGCATGGAAGTTTCTCTTAGGAATTTACCCTTGGGACTCTAACTTTAATGAACGAGAGGCATTACGTCGAAGTCGACTCGATGCCTATTACAATATAAAGGCACGCTGGTTTGATCATCCTGAAGTGTGCAGTACGAAAGAATTTCAAGACGAGAAGCATCGTATTGATAAAGATGTCCATCGTACCGATCGAACTCAAGCGGCCTTTGAAGCTGAAGATCTCCCTAACCCAGATCCTGCTATGGCAGTAGGAACGAACCCAAATTTAGAAACTATGAAGGATATATTAGTTACATACAATTTTCACAATACAGAGCTTGGAGGATATGTGCAAGGCATGTCAGATCTTTTGGCCCCTCTCTTTGTGGTCATGGGAAATGAAGCAATGGCGTTTTGGACATTTAGTGCATTGATGGATCGTGTGCAATCCAACTTTTTTATAGATCAATCAGGTATGCATAGACAACTCAAGACCTTGAATGCATTGATTCAATTTATGGACCCTAATCTTTATCGACGATTGGAAGAAACAGAATCATCTAATCTCTTTTTCTGTTTTCGATGGTTACTAGTATGTTTTAAGCGTGAGTTTGAATGGGAAGATGTCATTCGATTGTGGGAGGTGCTCTGGACAGATTATCTAACGGATAAAATGATTTTATTCATTGCTTTGGCTATTATTGATATGCACAGGAAACAAATGATGGAAGAGTTAAATCAATTTGATGAGATAATCAAGGTACATATATATATATATATACTTTATACTTTATATTATACATAATATTAATAATTATTTGTTTTTTTTTTTTTGTTTTTTTTTTTTTGCATATAGTATATTAATGATTTAACAGGAAATATACCATTAGAACCAGTATTAGAAAGAGCAGAAGTTTTATTTTATCTGTTTGAAAGAAAAGTAAGAGCAATACAACATAAGAAAAGATTGTTACAAGAGCAATTACAATCAAGAGCAGTCTGGAACAGTAATGAAAGGCAAAAAATACTAGAACATATTGACAAACTAAATATATGTGATAATTTATTGGCTTTACTGCCAAAGATACCTAGTTCCACTTTATAAGCTTAGTAAAGGAAATAAACGATAATATATATTTTTATATATATCCATAAATAAATTGGATTTATCTTATAATATCATCTCAAATGAAATTGTTCTTAAAATGCATTATATATATATATATATACGGAAATAAAAATAAAATACTACGGATGGGGGGAGGGAGGCATTATTTTATTATTAGATTATTAATTACATTTACCACGTACACAGTCTTCTTTACAATCAGCTTGAGTCAAACAACAAGCATTTTTCGGCCCATTTCCTTTCTTTTTGCCTTTATAGCCAGTAAGACAAGTTGGTGCAGGCTTGCTTGTACTGATACCACCTCTACGAGGGCCATTGCATTTTCCTTTAATACAGTCATCAATACAGTCGGATTGATCCTTGCAACAATCACCATGATAAGCATTACCACGTCCTTTTCCAAAGTAGATACGAGGGTTTGTACAGGAAGTATTTGTTTGAGAGGGGCCATTGCATTTACCTCTGATACATTGATTGACACAATCTCGTTGATCTTTACAACAATCACCAGACAGACCATTGCCTTTACGTTTGTTATAGTAGATGTTATGGTTTGCACAAGTCAATGTAGGTGTAGAAGCAGCAGCAGCAGTAGTAGTAGTAGTAGTAGTGGTGGTGGCGGCGGCGGTGGTAGTAGTAGTAGTAGCTGGAGGACGAGGAGGACAATACCAGACATCTCTATTATATAATAGACCACCATAACCACAAGGCACTCTCTCATTTGTGCTTTGAATCAATACATATTCAGGGATAGCAGGTTCATTGCTATCCGCCCAAACTGATGCATCAACAAAGTTAGAAGCACTAGGACAAACACCAGGAAAATAACCCAAAAGATTAGGAGAAGTATAGGACATTGGCTTACATGCATAAGCACAGGTATCTACATTAATACAGACTTGTATTCCATGATAGGGCGTTTCAGGAATGACGGTAACTAGAAATTCCAAGTTATTTCTTTCTACAAGGAATGCGGTAACACTTTGTAAAGCAAAAGCAGCTAATGGAAGTGCAAATGAGAATAAAGTTTTCATTATTATAAACTAATAGAACAAATATATATCTATATATTTTTTTCACTCATATGCTCTCTTTGACATACACCTATTTATATAAATTTTTGCAATAAAATTTTGATTTAATATCACACTATTGGTTTGAAGATTTTGTAATACAATTATCTCTTTTATTAGGACACAGCATTCAATTTTTTTTTTTTTTTTTTTTTGTATTTTACTTTGAGCTATAACAGCTCACTATCATCGTGGTTTGCTGCTTTTTTTGGTGTATTTTCGGAATACAGTGCTTCCGCAGATGAAGAGACTTCATTCGATTTTTTTTTTTTTTTTTTTTTTTTTTTAGAACCACTACAGCATAGAATAAACTTGCTCGTGTAACTACAATACAAACGATCGACATTATTAGTTAAGCTTTACAAAGTCATTCTAATCCTTTTAATATACATTTCTGATTAGAGCTTATGATCATAGTGCATATAATATACATTCAAAATAATAGAGTATAAACTGTACTGTATATTTATTAGATATATTATGTATAGGTTTATATTTATATTTATGTTTATATCAATGAGAGAGAGAGAGAGAGAGAGAGAGAGGAAGCTACAATGGTATTTTTATAATGTAAAAAAAGCAAGTGTAGTTACTAATTTAAAATATCTTTGATGAATACTTCAGAAATAAATACGGAAGTTACCTTAAAAGTCAAATAAATGCTCACAAAGTAAATGTCCATCTTTTGAGACTGCGCCAATTTAGTAATAAACACACTTTTCCTATAGTCTATTTATAATAAAGAGAGCCGTTGTACTTAAAATCTATGTGTATAAAATAAAATTTTATTTATAAAAAGATGCTGATACAAATGAAGATTCGAACATGTCAAAATTATTAAATTAAATAGCAATTTTCAGACCTGTTAAATACATATTCAATTAATAATAAATAATGATTCTTTTATACATATACACGTATATTCTTCTAGTAAATAAGTTTTTACATACATATACAAATATAATCATCAATAAATAATGTCATTATAATTGCTATTATATATGTATATACATATATGCATACTAGAGGCAATAATAGCAGTAGTAAATCTGATTATTAAACTGAAACAAATGATTGAAGAGCTTATTACTGCTAGTAGAGACCTTCAAGTATACAGTACGGCTCTCTCTCTTTATTCCTCTCCAACATTATCATTTGTAGATCTCAGGGGATATTAAGTCATATAGTACAAAGGAAGTAATATGTCAATTGTCAAAAATAAAAAGGGAGTAGTAGAATTAAATAAAGTATGTACCATGATTGATAAAACAGAATAGCCAGTATATAGTTAGATGTAGAAAAAAAAAAAGTAGATATTATATGGACACAATGTTGCTTAATTATAAAAGTGTTAAAGAATGGCTATAAGTATTCATATCTTGAGAAGGTGGGATACATTTTATTACTAATTAACTGACAGTCTGACTACCAAGAGAAAAAAAGAAAAGAAAATAGCACTATAGAATCCTTAATAGAATATTTTGCATACAGAATTACAGTTATCATTATTTAAGTATAATTATGAACTATTAGAAGAAAATGATTGTTTTGTCGGTGTAGTAATGAAGAGCATCTTTCTCTCTTTTATTATTATTATTAGTAATAAGCTGCTTTATATACCCTTTTATGCAGTTGACTTGGATATTAAATTATGCCATCGTGTCACTATCCTATCATTTACGAGTGTAATGAATATGTATTACAAATTTATATTATCTTAAAAGTTCCTGTTTGCTTTGTCCTTGAGCTGTCTTGATAAAATAACAGTAGGATTTACGTAATAAGTAAAGGCTTCTATGCTTTTCTTTTATAAGAAGAACCTAAATTGTCATATTCTATAAGCTTCTTATAAATGTATTCTTATAAAATATGTTTAAAAATAAAAAAGTGTATTTATATAATGGAGTATTATCTCATACATTGTTTTTAAAATAAATATAAAATTTCTTTTTTTAGTTAAATCTTTAAACCTCGGCTCAATAGTATAGCAGTAACAGAATAGGCGGAAACAAACAAACAAAAAAAAAAAAAAAAAAAAAAAAAAAAAAAAAAAAAGCATGATAATTAATATATTGAAAAGAAATGACCAGAAATTATTATAACAACCAAACAAATAATATAAAATAAGCTATATTACAGCAAGATTTATGGATTGAATAAATGAAAAAAAAAAGTAAGAAACAAAGTTAAAATAAATAAATAAAAAACTAAAAAGGTAAAATTTAAAAATAAAAAAAATAAAAATAAAAATTAAAAAGAGAAACAAATTCCTTTTTTCTTTTTTTTTCTTTTTTTTTTTTTTTTTTTCTTCTTCTTCTTCTTCTTTTTCAATTTTTAAAAGAATTAAAGCAATTAGTCAAGATGCCAGAATTTACGAAAATTTTTAAAAAAAATAAAAAAAAGGCAGTAAATAAAGAGTCAGAGATAGAGTATAGTATGACGCCAAGACATGGTCATGGTTGTGATGTGTTCGATGAACAAGGCATTCGACAAGTAGCTGGTTGTTTACCTATTGACCCTATCAATAAACGATTTTTATTAGTCTCTTCTTCAGGTAATCCTGGAGCTTGGGTGATTGTAAGTCAATTGATCATTTACTTGTAATCATCTTGTTCTAATTTATAATCTATTAGCCTAAAGGTGGTTGGGAAAAGGATGAAACACAAAAACAAGCTGCAATGAGAGAGACATGGGAGGAAGCAGGTGTGAAAGGAGTTATTACTAGACATATTGGTGTTTTTGCTGAAAAGACAAAGACAGGTGTAAAGGCGCATCATTGGATTTATGAAATGGAAATTAAAGAAGTAACTAAGAATTTTCCAGAACAAAAGAAAAGAGAAAGACGTTGGGTAAGGTGTTTAAGTAGTCTAGTCACACTTTTATATAAGGGTAAAAACTTGATATCCTAATTCCTCCTCTTTTAATTTAGTTTACATATGACGAAGCTATGCTTGTTGTTAAAGCAAATTATATTCATGATGCACTTAGTATGTCAAGCTTAAGTCCTCTTGCTCATCCCGAGTTAGTTTCGACCACAGAAAAAAAGAAGAAGAAAGACAAAAAGAAGAAGAAGAAGAAGGAAAGAGAGGATGAAGCTGAAATGGGTTCTGATACTGAAAAGGAAAAAACAAAAGAAACTAAAGATGATAAGTCAGATGTAGATGCATCCAGCGATGAAGAGAATAAAGAAAAGAAGAAGAAAAAGAAGGATAAAAAGAAGAAGGATAAAAAGAAGAAGGAAAAAGAGAATAGTGAGGAAGGTGAAAGAGAACCGTTAGTTGATGAAACTGTAATCCCTCAAAATGAAGAGCATAAAAATAATGAAAAAGTAGTAGATGAAACTCGAAATTTTTTACCTCCAATACAGGTAAATCATTCTAATTTACTACCACAGTCTAACATGCAACCTCAACGTATTCATAATAATCCGCCTGACATGCAACCTCAGCGTATTCATAATAATCCCTCTAACATGCAACCTCAACGTATTCCTAATAATCCCTCTAACTTTTATCGCCCTATTCCACAACAACGTCCTCAGCCAACCCAATTTCCTCCTTCTCAATATCAACAGTCACGCCCACAATTTCATCCTCAGCAATATCTTCAGCAACAACGTCCTGCTCCACAACACTATTTTCAACAGCAACAACAACAACAACAACAACGACCTAATCCAGGTCAATTTCCACCTTCTCATTATCATAAACAGCACTTACCACCCGCCTCCCAACCAAATCCACCCATGTATCCTAACTACCAACCTTATAAAACAAACAATTAATTATAAAATTGTGTATAATATTTATATTTATATAAATAGTATATTATTATTACCTGGTAATATACACGTTAAATTATAAATATAGATTACTTTTGAACTCTTATTTATTTTATTTTTTTTTCCAGTTTTCCTTAATAAACCCTTTTCCTCATAATTAACTGGATTACGTTTATTCGTATTTACCATGTTATATATAATATAGACATTACATTTTAAAATAATAAGATGGAAATTCTATTTTCTTGTGATTTTTATAACTGCAAATTTCTATAAATAACTTTTTTTTTTCTAAATCTAATTATTGACCAATCAAAATTTGATTATAAACTCGTCACATGATATTTACTTGTATTTGGTGCCTTAATCTATTTTCTTTGTGTGATTTAGGTTTCTTTTTTTTTTTTTTTTTTAAACAAAAAAAAATAAAGGGAGTTCAACTTGTATTGTTTTTTTTATTATTATTTTTCTTTTTATTTCCATTTAATTACTTGTTTATTATTATTATTATTTTTTTTTTTTTTTTTTTTTTTTTTTTTTTACAATCTAATTTGAATCTTTTTATTATTATTACTAAAAGAAAAAAAAATGCCTTCTATTCAAAGTGCTTCATTACCATTCGAATCTAATAACATTGCTAATGACTATTTAAATTCTAAGCAATGTATTTCACAAACAACACAGCTATTATTAAATGATAGTAAAATATCACTCAATTCTGATACGGGTACAGCGATAGCAGCTATAAATCCTCCTTTTACTCTTCGCGTCGTTAATCCAGATTTATCAGATGAAGATGACCATAATAAACAATATAAACCCACTTTAAATCCAAGCATTATTTCAACTCCTGAAGAAATGAATAAAGATCAAGAAGATATCATTACTGTCGTACCTATCAATTCTCCAAATTCTTGGCAAAATGAAAATTATCATGATAATAACAGTAAAGCATCTGTTGTACGTAAAGTGTCCAAAGTACTAGTAGAAGGGGATAATACATCACCCTTTGATAAGGATAAGGAAGGATTGGAATTTTTACCTCCTCTAAAGCGATTACCTCCTCTTTTAAGTACCATTAAAGAATCTCATTTATTATCCGAATCTTCGCCTCCAAAATTACCGCAACATCATCCTGATTTCTTTACTTCTACTACCTTGGGTAAAGGGGCTCCTTCTATAGCTCAACAAACTGTAAATGCTAGTATCATCATCACAACCCATGAAGCCTCTGAGGAGAAGATGGATGAAAGAGAGGAAGAGTCAAGTAGAGATCAACAGCTTATGTCTCTTTCTCCTCCTCCTCCTCCTCCTCCTCCTTCTTCTTCTTCTTCAATTATCGATAGTTCACCACAGCAACATCAACATAATCCTTTACTCACATCTTCCTCTACTGAATTACCTACTCATCTCTTGCAACAACAGAAATCTTCTTCGAGATATTCTAAAGCCTCTTATAGTCTTACAAGTCATCCTGATGCTATTAAGCTCTATCGATCCATGGCTTTAAAAACAAATGATCGAGTTGTTCAACTTACTTATGCTAAATATCTTTTAGAAGTCGCCCATCTTTATTCAGAGAATCGACCTTCCTATTCATCCAATCTATCATCCACATTACCTCTCTTACTGAAACGACCTCGTAAAGAGAGTTTAAGTTATTATCAACAACAAAAGAGACCCAACAGTATGAATGATGACAGTCGTCGTAGTAGTGTCGATACCTATTTCAGCAGAAGTGCATCCTCTTTATTCAATAGAGACTCAATCACAGTAGCAGCAACAGGAACAGCAACAACAGCAATAATGGAATCAGATGATAAGACCAGTACAAAATTTAAAAAGAGAAAAATGTTGGAAGAAGAAGGTGTCAGATGGATTAAACGATTAGCTTACGAACATGTTGGAGAAGCAGCTTATTTGCTAGCCTTATGGTATGATCGAGGCATGTATGGTTTTCGAAAGAATACAACACGTGCATTAAAATTTTATGAAGTTGCTGCAAAAGAAAAAGTACCCGAAGCCATGTTTGCTGTAGGACAATATCATGAAAGGGAACAAGATTATATGACTTCTTTTCAACTTTATGAAGAAGCTGCCGGTTTAGGGCTTGTTGAAGCACTCTATGTAAAAGAAAAAAAAAGAAATACACATGTATATGTATATAGACTTTTATTCTTTATTATTTATGCTTTTTTTTGTATAGAGAATTGCAATGATCAATTTAAATGGAGAGTTTGGTTCAAGACGTAATGTAAATGGAGCCATTCAATTATTAATTAAAGCATCTGAAAAATCAACAGGTTCTTGTCCTGACGCACCATATACCTTAGGATTACTTCTTACAAATGATTACCCATCTGTTAATATACCAAGGTAAACCCTCTCTAGATAGATAGATAGATACATTATACACACATATATATATATATATATTCAAGTATTGATTCTTATATATGTATATCCATTTTTTTTTTTTTTACTTGTAAATCATTTAGTGAATTAATTCAAAGCTATGGTGGTACATTTGCAGCTATAACTTATTTTGAACATGCAGCAGAAATGGGTTTAGCAGTAGCTCAGTTTCGTTTAGGTTACATTTATGAGCAAGGCCTTTATGGCATAAGAGTGAATATGACAAAGGCTATTTTTTATTATGAAATGGCTGCAAACGAAAATAAACATAGTTATGCTATGTACAATCTTTCTCAAATTTATAATCAAGGTGTTAAAGTGCCTCCTAATCAACTTAATGATCAACTCGCTTTATTTGAACAGGATGAATCTAATTGGATTAAAACACATGCTCGAGATGAAGATGCAGCCTTTAAGTGGTGTCAATTAGCTGCAGATCAAAATTTGCCTGATGCATGCTATCTGTTAGGGTAAATTTTGTTTATTTTATCTTATTGTATTTATCACTTACATAAATATACATGTGTATACAAATACATATATGCATGTATAGATGGTATTATGAAATGGCTATTGGTGCACCAAGAGATTTTCAACAGGCGCATTATTATTATTCCAAGGCAGTTAAAAAAGGAAATCATAAAGAAGCAAAAGAACGAGTCAAGTTATTAGAAACATTAGCCAAAAAGCATCAAAAAGAAGAAAAAAGACGTACGATATCGATTACTCCAGATAAAAGGTTACCCTCTTTTGATACCAAGACTAATAACAGAGATTCACAATGTAATATCATGTAAAACATACCTTAATAAAATGCATACACTCATTACTACTACTACTATTATTGTTGTTGTTACTATTACTACTACTACTACTACTACTACTACTTTCACTTTGCTTGTATAACGAATTCTCACACTCTTTCTATCCAGTGTAACAATACAAAATTGCTTTCTTTATGTATTCTAAAAATAATACTCATAATGACAATATGAAAGGGTAAAAATAATAAGACTACTATGAAAGATAGTTAGTTAGTTAGTTGCCCCCTTCTTTCAAATGTTCTATTTTTAAAAGAAAGCCAACTCTGAAACAACAATCCTTTATTTTCTGTTGTTTACATTTTACCATGAGAGAGAGAGAGAGCGCCTTTTTACTTTAGAAAGACTGCTGGTATAACTGCTTTATTAAAAAAAAAAATGTTGAATAAGGATATAGGTTTCTTCTGATGTACTCAAATACTGCTTATATCTTTTTTTAATGAATATAGTGTTTGCTTGCTTAAGGAATTCAACAAATATCACTCAAAGTCATAGAGTGAAAAAAAAATCTTGTATTTTATGAATAGTCTATCTATGGCATATATAAACAGTATTGAAATATAAATAACTAAAATAACTATTTGCATCGATTGTAAAGAATGACTAGGTTTTGTTTAGTTGGAAAAAAAAAAAAAAAAATGATTTTATTATTTATCGGAGCTTATTCTAGCCATAACAAACTGCTACTTACAATAATTACAGCAGCCAGCAAAGACGACGACGACAACGACGAGAGCTGGTCTTTGTGATTATTTTAATTTTTTTTTTCTTTTTCTTTTTTTTCAATAATTTTTATTTTATTTTTTTTTTCTTTTATTAACAAATGGCTACAAGAAAGAAAGTTTTATTAAAGGTAATTTATAATTACCTTTTTTTTTTTTTAATTGAATAGAATATTAAATTCTTTTTTCATTAGGTCATTATCTTGGGTGATAGTGGGTATGTTTTGTGCATCATCTCAAACTATAATTAAGAATTAAACCCATTTTTTTTTCTCCTCCTGTTAGTGTCGGTAAAACATCTTTAATGAATCAATATGTTAACAAGAAGTTTAGTGGTCAATATAAGGCTACCATTGGCGCTGACTTCTTGACAAAAGAAGTAATGGTCGATGACAAATTAGTTACAATGCAGGTAAAAATAAAATAAAAAGAGTAAGAATAAAAAATTGGAATAAAACTAACTTGATGGACGTTAACCTTTGGTGTGTGTGTGATGGTTTTGTTATTATTTAAATTAGATCTGGGATACTGCAGGACAAGAGCGTTTTCAATCATTAGGTGTTGCATTTTATCGTGGTGCTGATTGTTGTGTATTAGTTTATGATGTAAATGATAATCAAAGTTATGAATCCCTTGGTCAATGGCATGATGAATTTTTGGTACAAGCTTCACCGCGTGACCCAGATAATTTTCCTTTTGTTGTATTAGGTAACAAGATTGATGTTGATGAGTCCAAGCGTATGGTACAGTACACTTTTTATTATTATGCAAAGAAAAAAGGACTAAATGTGTTTTGTGTATTTATATATATTAGGTCTCTCAAAAACGAGCTATGGCATTCTGTCAAGCTAAAGGCAATATCCCGTAAGTAATGAAAAGCTAGAATAAGAAGAATTATAATATTTATTATTTTATTTAAATTAGTTATTTTGAAACTTCTGCTAAAGATGCTATTAATGTTGAACAAGCTTTTCAAACAATCGCAAAGAATGCACTTCAACAAGAAGCTGATGTTGAACTTTATAATGATGTTAGTGACCCTATTCGTATTGATAGTGATAACAATAGAGATTATAGTAATGGATGTGCTTGTTAATAATCTCTCAATAAAACAATAACTGTACAATGTAAAAAAGAAAAAAAAAGATGTTTATTATTTATATGAAAATATTTAAGAAGCCTTAGCAAAACGTTCAGCGACAGTTTCCCAGTTGATTACTTCCCAAATATTTTTAAGATAATCAGGACGTACATTTTTATATTGCAAATAATAAGCCTAATAATTATAAATGGATTTAATAATTAAATTGTATATAAAATAAATACACTTACATGTTCCCAAACGTCTACGCTTAAAAGAGGAGTCAAGTCTAATAAAAATAATGATGAATTAAACAATACAATGCATAATTGGATACTACTTACGGAGCAAAGGATCTTGATTAGGCGTAGTGGCAATTTCAAGACGTTTATAAGCCTTGTTATAACCCTAAAAAATTTTATTTTAATTTATTTATTTTAATTTTCATGATATCACATTGATTTCATCTTGATAAAAAAAAAAAAAAGTATTTATATTATAAACAACTTACCAACCATGTCCAGCCAGAACCTTATTATACCCAAAAAAGAAAAAGAAAAAAAAATGAATAAAAAAAAAAAAAAAAAAAAAAAAAAAAATTCTCTCTCTTACCTTGAACGCCTACAGCAGCAGCATTAAATTGTTTTACAAATTCATCAAAGGAACCAAATTCCTTTTCAATAGCAGAAGCTAAAGCACCCGTAGGAACTGCTCCACCTCCTTTCCCTTTAGGTGATAAATTTTCCCAAAAGAGACAATGGTTGATATGTCCACCCCCATTGAATTTAAGTGCATTTTGAAGACTAAGTTGTTCCTTTAAATCATGGGCCTTGAAGGCGTTTTGAAGCTTCTCTTCAGCTTGATTGAACCCATTTACATAGGCTTGATGATGTTTAGAGTGATGAAGCTTCATGATTTCTGTATTGATATAAGGTTCAAGTGCCTTGAAAAAAAAAAAATTAATTAATTAACTTTAAAGAAGAAAAAATTTCCCCTACCACAAACTTTAAGAATATCAACTTACATCATAATCATAAGGAAGGTCAGGTAAAGTAACCTTGGTACGAATTGATGTCAAAGGACGAAGAGAAGACTTGAAAGCACTTGACTTGATAGTAGAACGTGTAACAGTAGAAAGCATGGTTAATAATAATAAAAGAACAAGAAACAAAAAAAAAAAAAAGACCCCACAATTGACTTTATATATTTTATTTCATCAGTAACAAAAATAAATAAAATAAATTTAGGAGATGATGTCAAACTTAGTATGCGGAATATCAAAATCCCTTTTTGTATCAACAAGACACATGATGGGTTTAACCATGATATTGAACATGCTGCGTATTAAAAGAAGCTGTCGTTCCTCCCAAAGAGGTAAAATTAGCATCACTATTTAATTATAAAAAAGTAGTATCCATAAGTAAATAAATAAATAAAGAACTTTAATATGATTTACCTTAATCTTTTAGTAATATCTTCAAGATCTAAATCGAGGTAATTCACAATAAATTCACCAATTTCTATATTTTCGTGACTTCCTCTCAACACTTCAGTGCCTTCTCCTTTAGCATACAAGTTAACATCAACTGCTGTATGACCATGAGTGGACCACTATAAATAAAGTTAAATTATAAATGCATATCTTTATTATTATTTACTTACACCAATTAATGCACGACGAGACACCATATCTGCAAAAAGATAACCTAAATCATCTAAAGTCTTCTTGGCTAATTTCCATGCCTTCAACTTTTCAATTTCATCTCGAGTTGCATCTAGGATACCTAATCCAATTTCAATCAAGACTTCACGAAGATAATTATAACTTTGAACATCATCTTCTTCTTTATGTACAATATCATTCCAGGCAATAGCAAGTGCTTCAGAAGAGTTACGTACACGATGAATAATATGAGGATTCCTTTTAGAAGAAGAAAGAAAGAAAGAAAGAAAAAAAAAGGGAGAGAGAGAGAAAGAGAGAGAAATTCTGATTAGATTCGAATTTCTATACACACATTTGTATAAAGGAAATCATAGTTTACCATAGATATTCAGGGTAATTATCACCTATTTGTCTACCCGCTGTAAATCCACCCGTTTCATGATCACTTGTTGAAATAAGTACAGTATTGGGATTATCTTCTACAAATTGTTTCACTAAAGCTACTGTACGTTGATATTCCATGATATCATAAAAATGGGCAGCGGGGTCATTCGCATGAGCAGCCATATCAATACGACTACCTTCAATCATTAAAAAGAAACCAGTATCTTGTTCTAAAGATTTTGTTTTCAAAATATCTAAAGCCTTTGCAGTCATTTCATGTAAAGCAGGTTGATGTAATGGATTTCTATCCATTTCATACGACATGTGCTTTTTTTTTTTAAGAAAATAAATAAAAGGATAAGTGTTCACTCTATAATTAAAAAAAAAAAAAAAAAAAAAAAAAAAAGGTACCTACATTAGGAGCAAATAAGGCCATGAGGGGTAATGAAGCATTCTGAGAATCTAATTCTTCATATTCTTCCTTTGATAGGACAATATGCCAACCAAAATTTTTTTTCGCTTCAGTTAATAAATCACGGTCATCAGCACGACAACTTCCTTCAGAGGAATTCTTTGTAAATTCACAAAGACCTCCACCAAAGATCAAGTCGACTGTACGACCTAATGGAGTATAGCCAATTTGTTGTTCTGCAATTTGATTTTCCCAATCACGCCAACCAACATGAGCAGAGAAAGAAGCGGGAGTTGCATGTGTAACACGAGAAGTTACAACAAGGCCGGTTAACATATTTTTATGAATCTTTGCAGACTCCAAAACTGTCCCACAAGGTACTTTTTCGGGATCAACTAATAGAATGGAATAATAATAATAATGATGATAAACATTGTATTATATTAGACTATATACATATATAGATTACCTCCAATAGCACCATTATAGGATTTTTTAGCGCAAGAAAATGCAGTGGCACCTGCAGCACTATCTGTAATTAAACTAGATGAACTTTGTGTACGACTATTTCCTACATGAATTTCATCCAGAGGAAGCATAAAACCAATGTCTTTCTTTTCTGCCCAAGCATAATATTGTCTTGCAAAAGTTTCCGAAGCAGGACCAAATCCATCACTGATCATCATGATTACATTTCTTTTACTTGAAACGGAAGCTTTTTTTTTTGTAGAGTTAGAGAAATTTGTTATGATAAATCAAAAAGATGACATATTCTTTTACCTGATTTATTCCTTTTATTTCTAAAAAATAATAGAGTAAAGACGATAACAAAAGCTATAGCACCATAAAGAATAAAGCGTACAGTCAAATGGAGTTTCTTATTCTAACATAGAGTATTAATATGAATATTAGAAAAAAAGAAAAAGAAAGAAAAAGAAAACAAAGAAAAACAAATATTTGCTTACATTAGTAGACGTCTTTTTTTGTACTATAGCTTCTTCATCATTTGGAATAGAGCTATAATTACTCCTGTTATCTATCATTCTTTTTTATTTAAAGAAGAAAAAAAAAAGGGAAGGGAAATGAAAGTGAAAAAAAAAATAATTTATTTATTTTATTTTGTAAATTATCTAAATGATCCCATGACTCAATAGAGTTTAATTTTCATTTTAATTATTAAAGAAGTAATATTTTATTAAATATGAATATTTAGTAAGAAAAGGGAAAGATGTATAAACAATACATTGTTACAAATTATAGTATCTAATGGCGTAATCCTAGGAACTGCCAATAGAAATATATCTATTCATCATCTCCGATGTCTCCTTTATAATAACAAGAAGATGATGTTATCTCTCTTTCTCTTTTATCTTTTCTTCTTCTTCTTTTTTGTTACATACTTATTTTAAATAAAATGGCTACTAATATTACATGGCATTCTGGCAGTGTTGGTTTGGAAGAACGTCAAGCTCTTTTAAAGCAAAAGGTTTAACACCAAAACAAAAATAAAATAACTTTGTTATTCACATGTATACACTTTTATTTTTATTTTTATTTTTATTTTTTTTTTCATTTATGATGGTAGGGTTTTACTATTTGGTTTACTGGACTTTCGGCTTCTGGCAAATCTACGTTGGCTACTGCTTTAGAACAAACTTTACTTCATTCTGGTGTAAATGCTTATCGTTTAGATGGTGATAATATTCGTTTTGGATTAAATAAGAATTTAGGTTTTAGTCCTGAAGATCGTATAGAGAATATTCGTCGTATTTCAGAGGTATAAAAGACATGTGTGTATACGAGGAGAAAATAGAATAAAATAAAAAAGTTAATTAAAAGTATGTGTAGGTCGCTAAATTATTTGCAGATGCAACTGTGATTGCTCTCACTGCTTTTATTAGTCCTTATAGAGCAGATCGTGATGAAGCTAGAGTACTTCATCAATCTGCTGGTATTCCTTTTATTGAAGTCTTTGTCGATGCTCCTCTTGAAGTGGTTGAACAACGTGATCCTAAAGGACTTTATAAAAAGGCGAAAGCAGGTGAAATAAAAGAATTTACAGGTATTTCAGCTCCTTATGAAGCACCTACAAATCCAGAGATTCATATCAAGTCCCATGAAATTAGTATAGAGCAAAGTGTTGAAGTCATTGTCTCTTATCTTGTCAAGAATCATCTTTTAGCTTCTGATCAAATTATTAGAAAGAATTAAAACGATTATATGCATTTAAATAAAACATGTCATTATATCTCTCGAAAATTTAGAGTCACGCTTTATTTTTTTTTTTTTTTTTTTTTTTTTTTCATCAAGAATGCATTTTTCTTCTCTCTCTCTCTTTCTCTCTTCTTTATATATATATATGCATACATATTTATAATACTGAATAATAAAGATCATAAACATAATATGATAGATTCACCAGAAATATCAGAAGAATGCAAAGCATATGAAAAATTTGCATTGGATCACTGGCAAGACAATCCATTTCCAATGGTAAAGCATAAATTAATTAGATATATTAAAGTTAGAGCGCGATGCAGTACATTTGTCAATTTTATTACCAATTTGGAAAAACATCCTTTACATGGCCCAGAATGGTTCATGAACATGAGTAATGACGCTGATATACAAAGAATAATGAAACTTGCATATCAGCTATGGCCACGTCAAATAAAACAATGTCGATTACCGATCATTGGTTTAGGGGTTTTGAATGAAAAAGGACAATTTGAATCCTTTTGGTCAAAGATTGAAAGACAAACAAAAAGTTATGAGTCTAAAGTAAAAGTCATTGAAAAGCCTGGAGGAAAGAAAGGTTTGATAGATAATATAATATAATATAAAATGAAATGTGAAAGGCGCGACCAGTCAGTAAATAATTTTATAATGGGGTCTATTCTTAGGATTTATGGTAGTAGATGATGAAGAGATCATCGATACGAGGGATGAAGGCACCTCTGCTAGTCAACCTATTACAATTGAAGAACCTTCTTTAACACCATTTCATTTAACACTAAGTGATACAAAGGCCTTATTATCTAGATATAATCCTAATCTTACTTCTGAATCTTCTTCTTTAAAAAAGAGTTCCAAAAAGGAGCTTTTATCACAATTCAAATCAATAGAACCAAAAAGAAAAAATAGACAACGTAAATCGATGAGTCCTAGTATTCAATCAAGGTCTAAATCGACTCTACCCTTTCATTCAACAAAAGGAAAAAGGAGAGGAGACATGATACCAAGCCTAGATGAAGAAGAGAATCGAGATGATGATGATGATGATAGTGTCTTTGACTTTGATTATGATCACAAAAGAATAGATAAAAGTGAAGAGTCAAAAGTGGATCAAAGTATTCCAGAACCTATTATTCCAATCAAGTTAAAATCAACAAAGACAGAAAGAAGTCGATCAAATGAGAAAGAAGAAATAGTGGATATGGATCGTTATATAGAGGCTTGGTTTGAATTTAATAGTAAATTGCTTCTAAGTAGACTTAGATTTGATAAAACTAAACCATCAGGAATAAAAAGAGGATTCATAATGAGTCAAAAAGATGAAAATAAATCAAAACGTATAGATAAAATGAAGATGAGATTAGCTTCTTTATCACCAAAAGCATGATAATAAAAAAATAAAAAAATAAAAAAACAAAAAAAAACTAGATATTTTATGTTTGAGATTTTAAAGTGAAAACACAATCTATTGCCATAGTAATAGATTACACTTCCCCTTATCTGATTTTAAAAACTTATAGTAAGCTGCTACTGCCATTATGCATGATTAATATATTAAAAGCTGACACTTGACTTTATCTTTCAATCATAATCGAAGTTATTCTTTATTATGAACATGATTTTACTAACAAGCTAATCACTAATAAATTGAATTTCATCGTTCAACAAGTAATGGGAGTAGCAAGGATATAAAAAGGGGATAATAATGCAGCCGCAGTAGCAGATAATAACCGTTAATCAGCATCTATACCATGTTTCACATATTCAGTCCAGTATTCATAACCATCTCTTCTATGATAAGAAGGTATTTACTTTTATCGTTTGTATTTTAAAGGCTTATTTCCTCCTCTCCTATATCCATCCCGCTTTTTTTTTTCTTTTCTTTTCTTTTTTTTCTTTTGGGTCAGTTAATTATATTCATAATAAGCATTATAAATTAAAAGAGAATGTTTATGCTTTTTCGGACTGTTAATCCAATGTACTTTCTAATTTATGTAATAATCTCATCTTAGAAATAAAAACACTATGTCTTTCAATTGATAGCTACAAATGTTAACTTAGTCAGCCCTGTATTCAACGAACTCAATTACCCTAATTGAATTGAGTTCAAACATAGAGTAGTTTGCATTAAGAATATCTTTTTTTTTTTTTTCTTTCCATTGTCGTCGGACAATTAATATGTTGTTCAAGCGAAACTAAAAATATGGACCAATAAAATCATAGATATTTGCACGACATTCTTTCACCACCACCCTTTTTTTTTTTCTACAATATTGGAATCATTCATACTAGAATACTTTTCTCTTTTTCTTTTATTTCTTTATAATAATAAAACGGATATGAAATTCCTTGAAGTTGATTCACTTGATCTAATAAATACAGCATTCTTATGGGAAACGTCAGAATGTGTATTAACAGGAAGAGTAGAAGCGTACTCTTGTAAGTCTATTTATATATTATAAAAATGCATAATTGGGGTGTGTGTGGGGAGGGATAATGATGGTCTTATCGTTATATACACATAATTAGGTAAATCAGCTGGTACAGATAAAAAACTATTCAAGACACTTGAAAATAGATATAATACAGAATTACTTGCACCTGGTTCTATTTCACCTGATGACCTGCAAATTATTTCACCTTTTGGTCGTTTAACAGAGTCTGCTCCACGTAAAACATTTTTTTATTTACTTGCTACTCTGAACGCTGCCTTTCCTGAACATGACTTTGAAGACGTTAGACCTGACCAGTTCTTAAAGTTACCTTCTTTTGAAATGGTTATGAATTCTGTTAATACAACTTTATTTAATTTGGGTAATGATGTGATAGTGAATAAATACAGGTAAGTCTATTCTCTATATAAAAAAAATGGTATATAGACTCAAGGAATAAAATAAAATAAAAAAAAAAAATAGATTATGGGATGTGTTGGATGAGATTGTACAATTAAACGAATGTGATGTATATACTTATACACCTGACGTTGATGATGATCCTATGAATGAAGAAGAAGGATATCTGTAAAGAAGTCTTTTTTTTTTCTTTTTCTTAAGGAAAAGGAATTCATTTATTAACACACTCTTATTTCTTTATCTATTATAAAGTTGGTCAGTGAATTATTTCTTTTTTAATCGAAAATTAAAACGAATGATATTCTTTTCTATTAAAAGTGAAAGGTAACAAAAAAAATAAATAAATAAATAAATTCTTGAATATAACTAAAAATCCATCATTACTAGTTTAAATGGACCTACAGCAGAAGCAATAGAAGAAGAAGGTATTGATGCTATTGATGATGATAATATAAATTCAAGGTAAAGAAAAAAGGAGAAAAAGGAGATGCAATATAATAAACACGATATATAAATAATAGGCGCTATCACGATGACTTTTTAATGGATGATTTGGATTAATAAATTATGCCCGCTATGATGACGATGATGTATATATTATTTTATTTAATTTACAGCTTATGCACTTTTATATACAAATACAAATATATATAAAAAAAAAGTGGTTTTGTGCCTGGACGATTTATTTATATGTGTATAAATGCATACATGTTACTTTTAACTACTCTAATTATTACTGCTACAATGACAATAACAGTAACAATTGCCACTACTATTTACTACTATTATAACCTATAACCTTTTTTTTTCTCCTTTAAATACTTTTATAATAAATAAATAAAAAGGAAAAATTACACATATTTGAATTCTCCTTTTTATATTCTTTTGTGTGCATGTGCTGCTTATTTTAGAAAAGAAGGCGTTTTTTATTATTATTGTTTGTAATATATAAATATAGATTTGTTGTTATATATACATGTATATACATATATATATATATACATATATTTGTATATATGTATATAGTTTTGTATATGTAAAAATGTATATGTAAATGTATATATACACACATATACACTTACACACACACACATATATATATATGCATGTATGTATAATTCTTTAATTTATTTTTGTTTTTTTTTCTTTTCTTTTTTTTTTTTTTTTTTTTTTTTTTTCCTTTTTATACATATATATTTTTTTCTTTGGTCTTTATTTTTTTTTATCTCTCTTTTATCTCTTATTTCATCTTCTCTTATAATGCAACAAAAGCGTTCAAGAAATCCAAAATCTAAACTTTTTCAATGTACAGGCTATGCAGACTGTAATATGGTCTTTACTAGAAGTGAACATTTAGCACGTCATTCTAGGTACCTACATAACACATACATATAAAGTTTAATATTGACAAAATTAACATTTTTATTAATAAAAAAAAAAATAGAAAACATACAGGAGAAGTAATATAGATTAAGCATACCTTACATTACATTACATATACTAATAAATATGTGTATATACATATATAACATTTATTTTGTTTGAATTAGAAACCATTCAAGTGCATAGTTCCTGAATGTAATAAAGCATTTAGTAGATATGATAATATGATGCAACATACTCAAACACATCGAAATCATAATTATCAAGTTATTTCAAATGCTGCAAAAGAATATTATCGAAAAGAAAAAAGTCGATCTACTAGAACACAGACGTCAAAAAATAATAATAAAGAAATAAAGGAGACCGTTCCAAAAGAATTAATATCATCATCAGGACTTTATCCATCCGTTTCTTCCTCCTCTTCCTCTTCCTCTTCTTTTTCGGATGAAGAAGAACTAATCAATACTCAAATATCGCCCGTTAAAAAGCAAAAAAGAGATCATTGGCACCAACGAAGGTTATCTATTGCTGATCTTTGTAATCCGCCAATTTCTCCTTCTTCTTCTGATACAGTCAAAAGTGGTGTCCTGAATTTAACAAAAGATGAATTCGAAGCATTAGAAGGTTTCAGAAGATTTCGTCATTTATCGTCTTCTTTTTATTTTGCTTCTTTAAAATGTCTAACTTCCCGAGAATATTGACATCATAAATACTTTATTATTATAGTCTGTACATAATATAACTTTTCTTTCTTTTCTTTTTTGGCTTTTATTATAATCAATCAATCAATAAATAGCTTTCTTTATATATTTATTTAAAAATATATATGCATATTATAGATTTTTTTTTTTTGATTTAATAAGCATAATTTAAAGAAAAGCTAGAACAACGGGTCGATGATCTTCTTTTTGACTTGATTTATAATAAGTTACAGTTGTACACATATATCACTTGTTTTTTATGACGTGAAAATAATGTATAAAAAATCACAACTGATATATAAAACGAGCGAGATTTATACAATCACAACAGGATAGACTTTTTTTTTGTCTTTTATAATATATTCAGGGCAGATTTTTTCATTCTTTCTTTTTTTTTTTTAAAAAAAAAAAAAAAAAAAAAAGGCAAGGTCAGAAACCACTCAAAAATATTTTGCCACATTTACTATACACAGCATAAACAATGGGTACAAAAAAATAAATAAATAAAACAAAAGGCAAACACACAGACTTTTGGGTTTTTTTTAAAAAAAAAAAAAATTCTCATAGGCATTTCTTTGGTGGCTGTTTCCCTTTTTTTTTTTTCTCCTTTTTTTTTAATATTTCTTTTTTTCTTTTTTATTCTTTATATAAATAAACGAAAATAAATTGATTATAATCTGATCTTATCAATAGAACCAATTTTTTTTTTCATTATTGTAGAATTTTAAAATTCAGTAGTTTCATTAAAAGAGTAGTTATAAGAAATGTTATCAAGCTTTTCTTTATAAAAGTATTTAATTCTTCTTTTGTAGTACAATATGATTCAAGTTGTAGTTGATGTAAAATCACTTTTTTTTTTTTTTTTGAACAACTTTGAGTTACCCTTTTTTTTTCCTGTATTTTTTATTTTCTCTCTTTATTTTAGGTTTCATCTAATTTTAACCGCCATTTCAAATATTCTTGAAAAAAATAAAACCCCGTTTTTTCGTGACGTGATTTTCAAGCAATTCTCTGGTAACTCGAGAGAGAAGATTAAATATACTTGTCTTTTTTTTTCTTCTTCTTTTCTTTTTTTTTTTTTCTTTTCTTCTTCACGTAATAACTTATAATTCAAAATGGCTCGTAACTTTTTCGTTGGTGGTAACTGGAAGATGAACGGCTCTGTTGCCGACTGCAAGAAGCTCGTTGATATGCTCAACGGTTTCCAAGTCCCCGCTAACACCGGTAAATAAATTAAATACATAAATAAACAAATATATATATGAATATATATATATATTATAAAAAGACGTATTTTAACAAATACCATGAAACTTTTATTATAATTTCATGTAGAGGTTGTTGTTGCTCCTCCCGCTCTCTATGTTGACCGTGTCAACCAAGCTTTAAAGAAGGATATCAAGGTTGCTGCTCAAAACACCTACATCAAGCCCTCTGGTGCTTACACTGGTGAAATCTCTCCTCAAATGCTCAAGGATATGGGTGTTGAATGGGTTGTCCTTGGTCACTCTGAACGTCGTGAATACTTCAAGGAATCCGATGATCTCGTTGGTGAAAAGACCGCCTTCGCCCTTGCTGCTGGTGTCTCTGTCATCGCCTGTATTGGTGAAAAGCTCGAAGAACGTGAAGCCAACATCACCAACGATGTCGTTGCTCGTCAAATGAAGGCCATTGCTGATCACGTCAAGGACTGGACTCACGTTGTTGTTGCTTACGAACCCGTTTGGGCTATCGGTACCGGTAAGGTCGCTACCCCCGAACAAGCTCAAGATGTTCATGCTTTCCTTCGTAAGTGGTTGGCTGAAAATGTTTCTCAAAAGGCTGCTGACGAAACCCGTATCCTTTATGGTGGTTCCGTTAACGGTGCTAACTGTAAGACTCTTGCTGCCAAGCCTGATATTGATGGTTTCTTGGTAAAGTATATTTTATATTCATTCATGAGAGGGAGAGAGAGAGGGGGAGAGAGAAAAGATAAGCTCTATGGGTGATTTAAAGTTATAGAAAGAATGAAATTATTAATTTATTATTTTTTTTTTATAAATAGGTTGGCGGTGCTTCTCTTAAGCCCGAATTCGGTGACATTATCCTCTCTCGTCAATAAGTTATTTAAAATCATGTTGTCGTACTCTCTTCTTTTTTTTTTGTATTTAATACATTAGTTTACATAAAGCATATTCATCATTAAATAATTTTTTATCATTTGAAATGCAAATGAACAAAAAAAAAATCATATGTTTATTTGACTGAAACAATTTTTTTTTTCTTTCGTAATAGTAACGTTTTGTTATCAAAATTTCATGAAATGAATTTTTTTAAAAAAAAAAAAAAATTAAATTTCATATAATTAAATGGTTTAATTTCACTTGAACAAAAAGAAATGCATGTATTTGCATCTTTTCTGTGGAACATTTATTTATATATGGAACCCGACCTTGGATGGAAAGGTACCTTTCCTCTTCCCAAGGTATCTATAGTTGAACACATATCATTCATCTTATATAATAAGCATATAAAACTACAACAAGATAGTAGATTAATATAAAAAAAAAATTATTGATAGGCTATTTATTCGTGTATATATTATGATAGTGCTGTATAATAATAGTCGTGTATAAATAAATAATTACAAACCTTCTACTGTCTTTATTATGTTCTAATAATAATCAATTATTGAAAGTAAGATCTTATAAACTGTAACCACACATCATACAAATATATATATATACAGAACAAAACAGTAGCCAAGCAAGAAGAAAGAAAGTTTTGGAATAGCAAGCGATGAGTTAGTTGTCAGATATGTGTTTCTATTGACAAAGCAAGCTAACTTCAACATGTGTCTTTTGTCGCAGTTTTGTACCCTTAAAAAAAAAAAAAAAAAACTGGAATGCCAACAATGACAAACGTCCTCCCCTGACTAACAGACGTACATTAGTTTCTATTCTTGACGTTATCTATGAGGAGGGAGAATAGCCATTGACTTGATGTTGCATAAATCTAAAATATATATATATTAAAGAAGAAAGAAACACACATGATTATGTTTTTTAATAGTAGTCATCACCGTTACCAGAGTAGGAACAATTTTAGAGTTTATTAATGGGAATTATGGATACTTCTTTTAGATGCTTATTACTTGAAATGTAGGGTAAGAAATACAGGTGCTCTAAAATAACCGTCTTATATAAGTCATCTTTAGACCATTATCTGGTAATGAGTAATACTTTTATCAATAAGGCCATTAAAATCAATACTGATAATAAAATGTGGGTATGTTCCTCCGTATTCGCTGTTTTTAAATCCTAAAAAGAAAAAAAAAAAAAAAAAAGTTCAAGGTCAAAGATGGTATAAAAAAAGAACACAGCTTACAGCCGCGATTAATGTATTGCATAGAATTATTAATTCTATATCTAAAGGGTCAAAGGAAAAAAAATGTAGAGATTGGATAAATTACAGTCTTTAGTTGAGAACCAATGTGGTAAATAGTCTTAATATCATTAAACATGCATAACCTGAACACGCAAATAAAATTTTGATAAATGCAAACATAATCTCTAATGATATCTACCTCCTCCCCCTCTTTAACCCAGATCAATGTAATTTGCATCTGCAATTACTATTATAAACATGAGTGATGATAATACTATCTACCATAGTTAACAATGAATGTATAAGCTCTTATTCATATTTAGCGTAGACGGTATAACCCCCCTTAAATAATAGCATTTAACTATGTAATGTTCACTATGAAAAAAAAAACATTTATTACCTTATCAAAATGATAGGTGAACTATGCACAAAAAAAAAGGGGGTTCCAATAGAAGTTATCATCATATTTATTTAGGTCACTACTTGATCGTCTATTATAGGTTGTTAGTTTCATGCAAAGTTATAAATATACAGTAGTGTCTAGGATAAAAAGCAAATTGACTAAAATCTAATATACATACATACGTACATATATACACATATATACATATATGATTATTCAAGTTGAGATTCTTTATCTGTGAATCCAATATCTTTCAAGTAATTCTGCTCTATTTTTTTTTTATCTTTAAAATTAATACTTTGAAGAAACAAACTTAGGTATCTCTTCATTACATATTGTAAGAGTGATTTATTCCAAAAATCCTAAAGTCGAAGCTTTTCATTTATTACCAAGCAAGATGTTCTTTAAATTGGATAGATCTACTACTTTTTATTTTTATTTTTGTGTTACAATATAAATGACAGGGGAAAAAAGGTTTACTGCCATTTCTTTTGGTAAACTATAAATTAATTTTGTACAGGAGATACTTTCATTATTTGATATAAAGATCTTTTTTTTTTTTTTTTTTTTTTTTTTTTTTTTTTTTTTTGCTAGAGATCAGAATATGAATACTGGCACAAGTTGAAGCAATGTTTATATTAAAATTAATGTTATGTATATATATATTTTTTACGTATGATAGTACTAAATGCTTGCTTCTTATTTTATTTTTTGGCCTAATACAAGATAGCATTATTTTTGTATATATTATAATACATAAATAAATTTACCTTTGATTTATGTCCTAAATTTAAATCTCTAATAACTCGACTTTTTACATTCAAAGGTATGGACTCCTTATTGAGGATAATATCCAAGTCCGTATACATATACATATACATATACATATATTTATATATCGAATAGAAACAAAATTTGAAAAAAAAAGAGTATTTATAAATCTATACTGTTCTTAGAGGCTGCAAAAACTTTAGTTTGCTAAATGTTATTATTTAAAAAAGGTAGGAAACGTTTGAATACTTTGATACCTTACATTCCATTATAGACATTTGAAAATAGTTTTAAGCCACGTTCCTCTTCCCCAAGCATCTAATTGAATAAGAAAAGAAAAAAAAAATAGAAATTAGATTTTGCAAATAATAGAGTCTAGCATCACTTGTGTTTGTACTAGAGTATAATAAGTACGATATGGTGATTTGTTATGGTTGCAATGTTTGTATGCTTTATATTTACAGGCGTTTTGTAGAAAAGTTTAGTGCTACTATTCTGAAGGTGAACGTATACAAATAATACTTTAAATGCATCAGAACTTTTTGGTTTAATTCTAAAAAAAAACTTTTGTCGATATCGATTCAGAAATTGGCTTAAAGTCATTATCAGTTTTAAGAATTGATTATCTTTTTTTCTTCATTCTATTCTTTCTCTTTAGTGTCAGGATAGTCATGTAGTATCTATTCTGTTTATACACTATCATAAAGGTTTGCGTCTAGTTTATCAGACTGAACCATCATGAGTTCTGATAACTTAGAGATTATGGTATTATACATTTAAAATCATAAAGATACGTTGAGTGAATTTAAGATTTACTCGTGTTAATAGAAGGGAGAAGAACTAAAACAAAATAAAATAAAAGTAAAAAAAAAAAAGCTCTGACATGATGGCTCACGTGAAGAAAGTCTTAAGAAATACAGATATTTTTTTGGTCATGAAATAAAAAAGAAAAAAATCGGGCTGCAAAAAAAGAAAAAAAAAAAAAAAAGTTCATTCACAAAATCCTATAAATATAATTTACTAAAAATAAAATAAGACGTTGTATTTATTCCCGGTACAAAAAAGAGAAAGAAAAAAAAATAGAAATCAGTTTACTACATAATAGATTGATTGCATTAACATCTAGACTCAGAAGGATTACTACTTGATCATTTACTAGAAATACTTATTATTTGTGTAATGTGTATACTAATATTTATGGGCTTTTTATTTCCATTAACAAAAAACGCCGATCCATCTCTGATGAGTTATAAAATTAAGCTTTTTTTTTTTTTTAAAAAAAAAAAATATTTTATACAACACACATATAACGTATTTCAATACTTTATCTCTCTCTCTCTCTCTTTTTTTTTTTTTTTTTTTTTTTTTTTTTTTTTTTTTTTTTCTTTTCTTTTCTCTTTTCTCTCTCTCTCTTTCCTTTCCTTTATTTATATCATCTAAGCCTTATTTATTTGTATATATGTATATGTAAATATGACTGCTAGTAAAGGTCATCATCATTCAACTATTAAGAATTCTTCCATTTTCCAATGGCCTATACCTACTACTACTAACGATATATCCATTAAAGAAATAATTGAAAAATATTATTCAACTAATAATGAGTTATTAAAACATATTCTATCAGCTAAAATAGAAGAGGATAGAGTAAAGGAATACATACACATATATGTATATATTTTTTTATTAATTTAATTAAACTAAATTTTTTTTTTCTTTTTATGATATAATGAAAAAAAGAAACAAGCTGCTGAAGATATTTTAAAGATTGAACAAGCTCGAATTCATTCAAGATATTTAGATATAGAATTAATGAAAGAACGATCAAAATTAGTAGGGCAGCAAGTGCCTTATACATTAGTTCCTTTCCCTTCTTCTAGTCATGATAATATGAATGTTCCTGTACAACAGCCAGCTACAGCATGTATTACAAAGAATACACTATTGTCTTCACCAACTCCTTATTCAGTATGGTATCCTCCTTTATCACGTTCCTATTTATTACCTATTACTTCCTTTCAGCAACTAACTACACCTATTTCACCTAATAATTCTACATCGGATACATTAAAGAAACGAAATCATACATCTATATCTACTAGTCATGAGGAGAATAAGACACTGACTCATAATAGAGTCATAGAAGCTCTTAAGGCTAAAATTCAAAGAACATCCTCCTCATCAACCTCCCGACAAACTCTTCAACATCTAAATAAAAGACAACGGACTCTACCACAGCCAACAATAAAGACGACCTGTTACAATGAACAACAACCTTCGTCTTATCCATCCCCTTGTTCAGAAAAGCCTATTCTTCCGCCTATTGATACAAGTTTAAGTCATATACCTGCTACTACTACGTTATCACCCATAACTAAGTCAGTATTACATTCTGCTAATGATATTACTAACAAACTATAAAATATTGAATATAATAAAAAGGTCAACCGAAAAAAAAAGAAAAGAAAAAGAAACAGAGAATTTATTGTATCTTATCAAGAGAATTATATTATAATATAAAGGAATATATACATTCTTTATTATTATTATTATTATTATTATTATTATTATTATTATTATTAAAAGGGAGAGAGAAGAGAGAAGAAACTATGTTCTTTATATCATTTATGCATAAAATTACTACTTTGAAAAAAAAAAAGGCCAAATGTATATATTCTTTACAGGATAGTAGATATAATATATATGCAAATATAAAGAAACCTATTAATAGACATATTTAAAAGAAACTTGTTTGTTGTTTATATTCAAATTCCCTTCTTCTTTACCAGGTAAAACCATTTACTGTCTTTGTAATAAATTCTTACTTAAACAATAATATAAATAAAACTCAACATGAAATAAATAAATAAATAAAAAGGGAAAAGAACGTGTACTTTGTCGTAAATAGTAATTCATCTAACAAGAAACCTCTTCATGCTATCGCCACTGCTTTTTTCCCTTTATAGATAACGCTGCTCTTTATAAAAATAAACTAACAGTAAATAAGAATAGAATTCTTTAAAGGGTATTTTATCTTTTCCCTATAAATAAAGTTTTAAATTTCAGAATGATCATGATTTATTTTTTTAAATATATTTACATCATTTTTTTATTTATTATCAATAATCATAGTCTTTCGTTCGACTAACTTTGGCTCAGATGTAAGGTCATCTTTCTTTTCTATCTTTTCATCAATCATAATATCCTTTTCTTTCTCTTTCTTTCTTTCAGCAATTTCCTTCTTTGCAATCTCTTTCATTTGTTCTCGACTAATAGGTGTAGGCTCATCCTTGGTTAATAACCAAAAGAGAACACCAAATAAACCGAAAAGAACAGTCGTCATCATAATCCAATGATCACCAAAGAAAATAAAGATCTTCTCAATCATAGTCATCGTTTTTGAAGGTGCTGTAGATATACCCTTTAGAGCACTAAGAGTAGCAATCGAGGCTAACACTGTTTCTGGTTTACTAAAGCTAAATTTCTTTTTATCTGAGTCATGATCATAATACATGTCATTCTTTGGATCCAATACAATTAGGGCGGGCATTTTGTTACTTTGAATACCATATGCACTAGAGACATAATGACCCCATCGTTTACCATCTAATTGTGCAAACATAATATCTTTTCCACCATGCTTATCCCTATACATCGTGGCCAGTTCACGTAGTTTGATTTCTGACTCTGTATCATCAGGGTTTGTAATACCAAGGACTACAACTTGGTCACCCTTTAAGATACGATTCGAATTATGGGGTAAAATACGCGTAACAAGAGGATGACGTTCTTGATAAATCCAAGGAGAGATGTTATTGACACTCTTTTCACTGTAGACTTGATATGTACCGTCTTTAACGATAACTGCAGCAGGAAGATCAGATTTTTGTAAATTAAATCGATGTGCTGTCTTAGGATCATGGGTTGTATAGAAAGGAATCTCTTCCATAAAGGAAGGTGCTAATTGTTCTAATAAAGAGAGCTGACTATTTTCATCATCAGGACTTTGAACGTAGACCAGATTTACATCGTGTAATTTAAGTATCTTTTCCAATTCATTATCTGTTTCAACAGGAAGTACAGGTGATCCAGACATTTTAATGGCATAATCCATTAATTTTTCAAGTTTTCTTTCCCCTGTAAATTTCAGAGAGGCTCCGTGAATAAAATAGTTAAGCGTGGGCAAACCAGCAATTTTAAATTCTCGACATATGTCTAATATATATATATATATATGTATATATATATATAAGTATTATAGGGCTTACATATGATTAAGTATATTTATATTTACCTCGATGTTCGTCACAATTTACTTCGCCTACGTTCACCTTATCCTTAAGCTGTTTAGCCATTTTAGTCCAAGTAGGTGCCAAATGCTTACAATGTCCACACCAAGGCGCATAAAACTTAACAAACCAAGGTTCTTTACTTTCAATGATCTCTTTTAATTCTTCGAGTTTGGTTAATTCTACACTTTCACCAGTTGGATTTCGTTTCAATTGATTCTCTTGAATAAACTTTTCTACACTTTTCGTGGAAAAGTCGCCTGTATATTCCTTCCATTCTTTACCATTTATATTTGCTTGAAGAGTAGGAAAACGCATGATACCTTTTTCTTTACAGTATGTTTTCCAACTATCGCAATTAAGTCTACCAAAAGTTGTTTTGTCTTGATGAGTTTGAACAAGTTCATTCCATTTTGGCTCTAATATATATATATATATATATATATATATAAAGTTTTTAATTATGCAATTTAAACATACTAATTCTTTATATATTAGTTGAAGAAGAAAATAAAATACATACCAAATTCAGCACAATTAGAGCATGTAGGTTCATAGTATTCAACAACACTAAAAAAAAAAAAAAAAAAGAAAGGCGAGATTAGCAGACTTTTTTTTTTGCCACAACTAAAAGTGACTTACAAAGCGCCGCCTTTGTATTCGTCAATCGTTTTGGGATCTACCTCTTGAAGATTAATGGCTTGTGCAGAATGTTGAAGAGTTGCTAAAGCAGTTATAGCCACCAGTGTTAAAATTTGTACCATATTATTTTGAAGCTAAAAAAAGAAAAAAGAAAAATAGAAAAAAAAAATCTACAACAAAATGATAATTAGTTGTTGTAAACAGCATGAAATTATGAACTCAGAATTATGCTTTGATTACGCGATTTTTTTATTGTGCACAACTTACTATAAATATATACAGATGATGTAACCTTTCCCGCCTTTTTTTTTAATCAATAAAAGTAGTAACAGAGACATTATTACCACCTTTACTAGTCCAGTTGCTATGAATATAAATACTAGGATTATTTAAAAGCTTATGTGTGTGAGTACCAAAGTGATCATGTTGAGATTAAAGAAGACTGACAAGAAGAAAATTTCTCACTCTAATCATATTAGAGTGTCAATTTTTACAAGAGGAAACCCTGATCAAGATTTTAAAAAGGTCTGACACCTTCTTCCTTTAGAGGGGAAAGATAATGCGAATAGACTACTTTGCCAATCAAGGTAGCAGGAACACTTCGACCAAGCGAGTCAATACCTGTCCAATTTACCAGTATCCTTTTGATTAGCTGTATTAAAAAAAAATCTTTTTCACAAGATGTTCACCATCGAAGAATATCTCGTATAATTTCAATACAGAAAGAATCTAATTCACCTCTGTTTCAATCTTTGGACATACTAAAGTCTTTTATAATATGTAGGTAAATTTCATAGATTAATCAGATATCACCTTATTCTATATATATTTATATGAATAAATATTACAATTAATTTATTATAAAAAAAATATACCCTTCCTTCTTTTCTTTGAATCTATTTTTACCAATACTGGTGTGAATCATCTTGGTATAGCTCCCAATTCTTGATTTATTAATAATCCACTTACAACATGGAGAGACATCAGAAACTTTAGCAGCAATAGCTTGAAAAATAGGTTGAATGATAAACCCTATCTTTGAATGACCGTCACCAGGCATCAATGAGAGATCTTTTTTCACTTACTAAAACACCAGAACCAACAAATACAATACCATTCATATCTAACGTCCTTATCACGACGAATTCAATCTAAAAAATAAGAATTATCATCATCTTGATTTATATAAGGCAGAAGTAACTCAATAAAGGAGTCAATAACTGTTCCTACTTTTAGCAATAACGTTATCTTTCTCGGACATTTTAATTTTAAGCAAAGCTCTTCAATGCAATGTATACTTATGATTTGGGTACCTCAAAAAAAAAAAAAGGATCTATTTTGGAAAGCAGCTCTGTTATATACACAAACTGTAAATTCAAGATCGTTCATATATAACACTAGGTTTTGGCCCATTACGGTTAAACCTATGAGGCCAATATCAGCATCAAAACGAAAAAAAAAGTAACGCGTTTTAAGCTAGTTGTTCTATATAATTATAGTAGCTAAATTCACGTTGCTATCTTTTATTTAAAATATAAGAAAATATATCCATGAAGTATGATTATAATGAAAACAGCCCTTTCCCTTTTTTTTAAGGTAAGAAAGTAAAATATGCTTCATAATCATACCTTTCTGTAAACTCATTAACCAAATAAAAAGGACAATAAATAAAGTACATAAACAGCTACAAAGCTTATTTTGACTCTTTTCTAAACATCATTAGACGACTCTTCTTCTACAAGTCATCAATGATTAGATTCATTATTATACAAAAGTTTTGAAAATATTTATTTATTGATAATATGTGTGTTTTTTCATTTTTAATTAATAATAATAATAAAAAAGGGGTAATGATCCAATTAGCCAGTAGCTTCATTATATAATAAAAAAAGGCTACTGTTTCCAGAAGCAACCAATCGTGGAGGTTGATCATTATGTGCTTCCTTTCACAGTTTTATTTAACGAGAGACGCGAAAACTATAGATGAAACATACTCTCGATATTGGACAATAGAAATGACTATTATCCTCACAACGATATTAATGAATGTTTATTTAAAGTGACCATCATCATTAGAACTTCACTAAAGATTGTTTTTATTTAAAGTGACCTATGTCTTTAAACTTCACTAAAGATTGTTTATTTAAAGTGACCAATATCCTCAGAACTTCACTAAAGATTGTTTTTTTAAAGTGACCAATATCCTTACAACATCACTAAAGATTGTTTTTTTAAAGTGACCATTATCCTTACAACATCACCAAGGAGCGTTTTTTTAAAGTGACCCTCATCCTTACAAGATCACTAAGGATTTTTTTATTTAAAGTGAATGTTATCCCTGGAACTCCACTGCGAATTGATGATTTAAAGTGACCATTATCCCCAAAACTTCACTAAGGATTTTCTATTTAAAGTGACCAATATCCCTTGAACTACACTGCGGATTGTTTATTTATAGTGACCAATATCCTTAGAAATTCACTTCAATAAAGAAGAAGAAAAAAAAAACAAAAAAACAAAATCAAAAATAGGAGAAGAAGAAAAAAATTTTTTTTTTTCATATAAACAAACGGTCTAATAGGTGCAAAAAAGATAACAATACTTTATTATTGTTTTTAATTGGATCCATGGAAGAGTATAATTTGTCAAGAAATAAACCTGTTTGTCTTTGTTACACTTCAGATAGATCTTCCCCTCCTCCCACTCTCCTTTTATTATTATTTATTAATTTATTTATTTCAACTGAGCTTTTTCCTTTCTTCTTCTTCTGCTGCTGTTGCTGCTTATATAAATTCTGTTGATTTAATGACTTTAATATAATTGATTCAAGTTGTTAGTTTATCTGGTGTTGACTAGATAAAAGAATGTTTAGCAAATGATACTACAGTAATGATATTTGAGAATAGCCTGTATATGTATGCATACTTTTTTATTATTAGTTGCCTCCTATAGAATTAGAAAGTAATTTGTACAACGCTTTAACGGCTAAATCTTGCTGCAAGATGTCAAATATCAGACTATCCTTTATCAGTGAAGTGTTTTATTCAATGGAGAGAGAAAGATAGTATAAATGCTAGTTATAAACAATAAAGATATAATAATGAATGTATACATATATACATTGAATGTGTGGATGTATTCTTTATACTATTTTGTATCGTATAAACAAATACAACGCTCTCTTTACACATTAAGATGTAAAGAAATGAAAAGAAAAGTTGTGTCATGAGTAGAAAAGGTACAGACAGAAAATGAGTCAATTCTAATCAGAAGTAATGATGATAATAATACAATATTATGAAGTTGTTAAAGTCAGCGTTAATGACTAAAACAAATTGGATCAAATCAATGACTAAAGGTTATATCATATTAACAAAGTCTTTAAGATATGCTGGATAACTTGCTTGTTCAAAAAGAAAGGAATACTTTAAAAAAAAGTATAAACATTTAGGATTCTCCACTCTGGATTAATTTTTTGCTACAAACTATTACAGGTCAATATTCTAATACTATATTTGAAGGATAATATGGGGAAAAGAGTTAAGAATTCTAAGATAGATGAAACAAAAAAAAAAAAAAAAAGTTAAAGTATGTTCAGTGTTTGTTTAAGTCTAGTAGGTAAAATAGCCAATACTGAGGACAAGAGATATTCTTATTCTAAAGGCCAATAAAGAAAAATAAAATGAGTGTTAAGAGATCAGATGGCTGCTTAATAAAGGAAACTATTTATGCAATTCTAGTTACATTAAACTCTACTAAAATATATCATTAAAATAAAAATGAATAAGCCTATCCGAGATCAGAGAAGTAATAGCTATGACTGAATCATATTTAGTATTTTAATAAAGTGTACAATGCCTTTAAATGTGTAGATTATGTAAATAAGCTGTTGAAATCCCAACTTTAATATTATATAATACATGTGTTAAAGGTACTTTTTAATCTAAAGGGTTGAATAGAAGGTAATTCACTTTGATTACCGCATATATATTGCCCTCTATCACTCTAATGAACCTATGAGTTAACTTTACAAGAAAGTAGAGTTTTGTTAATTTGAAAATAAAGGAGAAAAGACAAATCCAAGTTTAATATTCATATTCCTTGTAGTCTTAAGCTGCTAATCCTCTCCAGTTATGATTCACCAATAATCCATAAAGCTCTCCCCCACCCCCACTACTTTAGCAAAAAAAGTCGATTTATAAGACAATCTCTGCTCTTAGTATGGTAAACATAAACACAAAGAGGAGTTCAAAAGGTTGAAAAAAAAGAATTGCAAATGTATATGTGTTAGAGAGAAATTGTAAAAAAATAAAATAAAATAAAAGCGTCTGAGGATTTTTAAAGGCACTCTATCTATAGCCATAATTCATGTTTTATAAACTATATAAAGAACGAAATTTCTTAAACTACAAAGATTTTTCTAATGCTCTAATACTTATGTTACCAAATATTGACTCTATAATTATTAAAAGAGGATGTGAGGAATAATAGACTTTGGTCATCTCTGTTTCCACTATTTTATTACACACAAATAATGTAATATTCTTCAGGTATTGAAGACTATTCGTATTTGTTAGACTTGTTTAAATTATTTACAATTGAAAAGTGTCGTATAGATGTAGAAAGTAGAAGCAGCTATTCACGAACAATCTTCTTAAGATAAATATATCTTAGTTTGTCTTATTCTCTTTACCGTATTTAAGCGTGTTTCAGCTTAGCAACTTTTCAACGACAAAATTTATAAAAAAATTGCATAAATCTATTCGTTTGTGGGTAATATAACATAATTTACTTTTGTTAAATTGAAAACCATAACATGATTTTTTTATTTTGTTTTATTTTACTTTACTTTACTTTATTATATTATATTATATTATATTATATTATATTTTATTTTATTTTTAAAAAAAAGAACAAGCTCATTACTAGAATAAGGCTTGATTCTGTAGACTATGTATGAACGATAATAAGGAGTTGTAGATCTATCAGCTGGTTTTAAACTTATTGTTTGACAAAAAAAAAAGAAAATGAACCTGTATCGTGCCCTGGTTAAAAACGACAATAAGTGTAAATAATAGAATACATGTAGAAGATCAGAATTATAAAAAAGTACATTCACTTAAATAGGATGATTGTCTTTATAATGACTATTCATATATTTATATACATAATTATAAAACTCACTCTAGGAAGCCATATTATAAAAATAATATATATCAAAAAAAAAAAAAAAAATCAAGTTCAATATGATACTTTGTTCGGGGGTGGGGAAGGAGGGTATAAATTATTTATTTATTTATACTTAGTTTGGGTGAGAAAATTGCTTTTTTTTTGGTTTGTTTTTTCATTTTTTTAAAAAAAGAAAAAAAAAAAAAAAAGAACAAATATGTTGTAACTATTATAAGCAATTATAAGCTGTGTATATAATCTGTTTGCATATATATTATGTCTTGTCTTTGATAGATAGAAATGATTGATTATTTATTTTTTATTCTTTGGATTATCAGAGGAAGTAGCCCAGTTAGTAGCCTATAAAATACAATATCAGTAAAATCCCTTTTTAACAATATAAAGAAACTTACAGCTTTCTTAAAAGCCTATAGATGAAAATAAAAAGCACATGTTAATCATAAAACTTACACACCAATATATACAGTAGATATCTAACAAATACTTACATCCTTATGTGACATTCCAGGGTTTTCTTTCTTGACCTTAGAAATCTCAGTCTATATAGCAATCATAGAAGTTAAATGATTGTATATAGGTATATGTAAATATGTCTTTCTATATTACCTTCATGAAAACATTATAAGGGGAGGGTTTTTTTGATGCTTAGTTATAGAATAATAAATGATAAAATGGATTATTATCAAAGTTGGTACCTTTATACATCATGTCTATATGTACTAAATCACGCGTCATTCTCTTTTCTAAAAGTACTTACTTGTTCTCTTGCTAGGTTCTTTAGCCATTTTATATATTATAATAAAAGAAGAAGAAGAAAATAAAATAAAAAATAAATTAAAAAAGATATAATCATAATAAATTTTGTGATCTGCTTTTTTTGTTATCCTCCCCCTAATAATGTCACACATTATAACCAGTGGCTTTGAAATATTAAAAAATAATTGAAATCATTGTTATTGGTTAAAGAAGTTTATGCTGAAGAATATACAAAAAATTGGCTCACTTTTAAAGTAAAAATAAATAAAGTACTTGACAACTTCTTTCTCCTCCCCCTCCTAAAGTAAAAATTTATTCAAGTCTGTACTAGTAAACTCTTTAAACCAATAATCGCCGCTTTTGCTCCTGGTTTATCCTGTACAATACATAAAATCAAGACTGTAATGGCCCTTTCTCCTATTAAAAACACTTTACTATCTTCACTCTTTCGTCCCTGTTCCTCTTGAATCTTTTTAAATCCTTGAATGATGTTATTGTAATCATCATTATTATGACCGTATGTATCAAAGAATTCTTGTAAGGAGAGTGTCTTGAGGACATTCGACTCTGCTTCTTTTACGTTAAGTAATCCATATTCTACCAATTCATTTACGGATGACGGTAACAAGTTATCTGTTGTGGGTGCATCTATCCATCTAAACCCTTCGTCAGACTCGGTGTGAAGATAGACATCCTCGGATGCCTTTGTTAATAATTCTTTAGCTTCTTCTACTTCAACAAATGGGCATGGTTTGATACGAGGCTCTCCTTCTGATGTTGATTTTGGTAACTGGGGTGGTCCAGGATTGATGATAGGATTATTTAACATGGACATAAAGCTTTTGTGTGCTTCTTCTGAGTCAGACATTAATAATAGAATTATGTAAGAGTAAAAAGAAAAAGAAAAAGAAAAGAATTACTTTTTATTATTATTATTTTCGCGCACGAAGTAATGTACACACTTTTTTTTTTTTTTTTTTTTTTTTTTTTTTTTGCAAGACAATAATATGACGTAAATTATAATCATTACCCAATAAAATGCAAGTATTTTGTGTTTATTAAACTTTTTTTTTTCGGTTACAACAACACGACGTTGTCATGCTCTTTATAGTTGGATCTAATTTGTTTAATAAACTTGACTCACATACTTTTATAAAGATAATACTAGTAAAAGATATTTATTAAAGTAGGCAACTTTTAGCATTGTATTAAGTTCAATTAATGAAGTTATAGCATCTTCTATTCTTATTTAAATGTATCAAAAATAAAGAGTAGATATTAACAAGAAGTTTGATGTTGGAAATACGCTACTTTAAGAAAAAAAAAAGCAATGCATTAAAAGCGGATTTTTTTTTCAAATTCAGATAATACAATACAATTTTATTTTTTTTATTTTTTTTAGGGAAAATAAGGAAGGACGTAAAGTCTAATAAAAAAAAAAGTGTTAACAAGGTAAAAGTATCTATTACATCCTATTACAACTATGTGCGCTCTTCAAGCTCAAATGACCACCATATCAACTAAATAAGTTTTGCTTTTTGTATTTATCAAAGCATTGCTCCCAACTCATTTTCCTCTTATGTTGATTCTTTAACAAACTTCATACCTACCGTCTCATTAACTTCACTTTGCATTACTGAACTCTTTCGACTTTCCAAAAACAAGCTCTATCCTGTCTTCTAAATACTTGTCCAGTTAAAGCTTTTGTGGAAGAGGGTATTCACTTGGCTACGTCATACTAATTTTTTTTTTTAAAAAATTCACATCTAATCTTATAGATATCTCTGTATTATAGCTTTAATTCAGAATATAGATTTTAGTTATTTATGAGTGTGTTAGTTACCCTCTCATTTCTGTAAAATAGGATATCCTTCTGAATTGACTGATTCTTAATAAATACTATATGAATTATGATAAAATGAAAATAGGAGAGCCAAGTGTATAGTAAGTGAAATTATGCAAAGACATCTATGTTGTAATTAAGGAAGGCTACGTGCTACTATTCTGTTGTAACTACTCTTACTACACAGGCGGATTACCAAATCTAAACAACCAGTCACGTTGATTAGCAAAAAGAAAAAAAAAACCCCCTTTTTAAAAGACAAGAGGTAAAAAGAAAAAAAAGAAAAAGAGAGAGAGAAAGAAATATTATTCTATCAAGTTTAGTTGGTCAGGATTTAAAAATTTATCATTGACCGCTCTATTTTTTTTTTTTTTCCATTTGTTTGTCTAAAAAAAAAAAAAAGGTAGTAAGTATATCATCTGGATTTTAATTTTACTTTGCCTAGAAAAAACTGACATTATCTGAATTTGAAGTATGAAAACTGCATATACCATATTTGCAAGCATTCCCAAGCCACCATTATTACTTTCCAAATGTCAATTATTATTATTTTTTTCTCTTTCTCTTTCTCCTTCCCCCCTTTTTTTAATACATATTTCTAATAAAAAAAAATGTCTAGAGCAGCAACGATAAATGAAGTAGGGATAAAAAACTCAATGACAAAAAAAGAAACAAAATCATATGTTCATTTCATTGCTGGAGGGTAATGAATTCAAACTAATAATAATAAAAGAGTTTTGTGTTATTTATTTATTTGACAGTGTCGGTGGTCTTGTTGGAGCCGTTTGTACTTCTCCTTTAGACGTTGTTAAAACTCGTTTACAAGTAACAAATAAAAGTGAATTTAAGGTAACAATAATAATAATAATAATAACTCTTTTTTTTTTGTTTAATAGTCAACATTTTATCAACAAGGGATAGAGAAAGGCATAAAACATGATATTACAAAATCTATATGGAGTCATTTTGTCGAAACTAGTAAATTATTAGTGTAAATATATCATCTGAATTTAGATCTTGTCTACTTTACATCTTATTTATACTTTTTTTTTTGTTTTTTTTTTAAAAAAAAAAAGGCAAATCAAACAAATCGAAGGTATCCAAGGATATTTTAAGGGTCTTGGGCCAAATTTAGTAGGTGTTATACCAGCAAGGTAACTAAAGGAGTATATATACACATATATACGTACATACATACATACATACATATATATGTACTTACATAAACGGTCATTAGAGCAATCAACTTCTATACCTATGGTAATGGAAAAAGGTTATTTACAGAGTTGAATCAGGGAAAAGAAACCCCCATCGTTCATTTAACTTCTGCTGCAACAGCTGGTAATTCAACTTCAATTCACTGTTAGAAAAAAAAAAAAACTAATATGTATAATAGGTGTAGTGACAGCAACAGTGACAAATCCTATTTGGGTAGTAAAGACAAGATTACAATTACAAGGGAAACAAAAAATATACCTGAATAGTTTTCATTGTACAATGCAAATTTTAAAGCAGGAAGGAATAAAGGGATTATACAAAGGTATGAGTGCATCCTATCTTGGTGTAGCAGAAGGTACAATTCAATGGGTTGTTTATGAACATTTAAAAAGAAGATGGGCTCATTCACCATCAACATTACTTTCGGATGATCATACATTAACCATTGGTGGTAAAAGTGTTAAAGGTAAAATATTTATACAAGACATACTTGTTAATTATCATCACAATTAAAAAAAAAAAAAAAAAAAAAAAAAAAGCTTGGTTTGGTAATTTAAGTGCAGCAGCAATGGCAAAATTAATAGCAGCCTGTGTTGCATATCCACATGAAGTAATTAGAACAAGATTAAGAGAGCCTATTCCAAAGAATGGCACGCCCAAATATACAGGCTTATTACAATGCTTAAAACTGGTTGTAAAAGAAGAGGGATTTATTGCATTATATGGTGGTATGTCAGCACATTTAATGCGTGTTGTACCTAATGCTGCTATCATGTTTTTCTGTTATGAAGCTATTATGCATAATTTTGGACAATAAAATAAATAAATAAAAAAAAAAGAATTAGATAATTTGTATATGTAGATTTATTTAATATATGAATGTATGGATAGATAAATAAATAAGTAAATGGCCTTTCTATCTTTTTTTTTTTTTTTTTTTTTTTTTTTTTTTTTTTTTTTCTTTTTTTCTTTTTTAAAAAGTAGTATCAGTGGAGATACGAGGACTTGCCCAGGATGCCCAAAATGCTTCCCGACAATATAAAATCCCTAACAAAGGAGGACCGAATAACATACAGAGCCAAAAGAATGAATTGCCTATCCAAAATCGTTTTCTAAATAAAGGCATCCTACCCATAACAATCATAGGTAATTGTAACATCTGAATGCCAAACATATAAAGTCGAATCTTTCGTGTGACAATAACTAATACTAATTCATGAAACAAAGAAGATAACAAAAATGTTATAAATGTTGCGTTTGGTTTTGATAGTTTGTATGATTGAATTGATTGAGCATAAACATGTCGAAGTAACCAATGATGTACTGGCTTATTCCATTTACGAGCAAATTCATCATAAGTGACACTAAGAATATATATATAAAAAAAGGAGTAAACCACACATGTATCTTTTTTTTTTTTCTTCCTTTTTGACTTACCTATTCCACCAGTCATCATAAAAGTTTCGATCCGCAAATCTATAATAACGATTAAATAACTATTCTATACAAACAAACAAACAAGCAAACAAACAAATAAATAAATAAATAGGCATTACTTTACCTGCTTAACTCAGCAAAAGCATTTAAAATACATTCAAAAATAATATAAAAAATGAATATATAGTTAATCATGAAAGGAAACAAGAGTTCGAGAATAACACGAGGTTCAGACATGTTTGGGTTATAAAGCTTTGGAAGAATATAGCGTTCAGTTGTTACATAAAGCATTAAGAATGAACCCAGAGTAGCTGTTGTCTTTTCAAATACATACCAAATTCGAACCCTTAAAATAGATATATAAATAAATATATAACGTGAATACATTTTATCGTTTATAGTTAAATGATTTGTTTACTTTGCTGTTCTAGGATATTCCATCCAATAAACTAAACTTGGTACAAGTAAATAATCTAAAAAGTTCTTTATTGTTACATTGTTCGGAAAGCGCGTACTGCCATGAACCATTTCTTCTTCTAGAAACGCAATCTCTGCTTCTACATGTTGAATCGATGCATTAGTATCATGATTGGCAGTAGCAATCATATTTGGTAATTCAGCTTTTAATTGCTTTAGACGTCTTAATTTAACTGATAAGTCACCATTAAGAGCAGTGTAAGAATGCATCTTCATCATCATAACAATTGTATGCATAGTAAAGAATCCTGATTGTACCCAGGGCCAATTTCTATATAGATAACCTATCTTTAATCATCTCTTTCACTTTCTTTATATCCACTACTACTACTATACCTCCAAAATGTCCAATAAATATTTATGAATAAAAAAATAGCTTGACACATATGTTGAATGATGAAACCAACTGTTTCATAAGGCAATATACCCCAAATAAACATCTTTGAAAATAGGACACTAAATAAAGTCATCGAAATCATCACCATATCGGAAATCAAAAGTGCCATACCATCTTGTGAAAATAAACGATAAAAGCCTAAACTAAGTAAAATACCTTCTTGTTCGTAACAACAAACTACTGTTTGAATCACATAGAGTCCCATAGCAATCCAAAATAAAGTATAAAATCCACGAAATGCATCATTTGAACTATCTGTATTTGATAAATCAAATTGAGTTAGTCTTGCTCTAAAATGAAGTGGTCTTTGTTTAGCCAGTTTAAACTGAAGTTGAGTAGATCTAGGATTATTGACAACAGGTGGAGAAAGTAGTGAATTTTGTTCCTCTTTAGTTGTTAACAGAGGTGCTGTAGCTACTCTCGTTATTGCCGGTTGTCTTGTCATTTATTAAATAAATAAAAAAACTAAAAGAAAAAGAAAAGGAAGAAAGATAAGGGAAAAAAAAAAAAACTTGATTTAAATAAGGGATCGGATATCCATTTTTATGACGTTTAACCTAAATTATTGCATTATTTTTTTTTTCTCATATCAAGAATACCTTCTTTATTTGTTTATATAATTAAAGTAATAGTGTTGCTACAAGTGCATTATAATGGCATATCAGCTAACTATATTACGTAATAAATATGTACATGTGTATGTATATGTATATGTGTATGTACACGTATATGTATATAATATAAAAATATATAATATATACACCTTTTCTTTTGGGTTCCATTATTCACGTAATGTTTGTTAGCAGAATTAAATTAATCTCCGACTCTCTCCCTCACTCTCTCTTTTTATTTTATTTTAATTTTCTCTCTTCTTGTTTCATATTTAAGAATGCTTTGTTGTCGTCTGTAATTTTTTTTTGTATACTTGTATCTGTTTATTTTGTACAACTAATTAACTTGCAATTAGAATTTAAAAAATAAATAAATTATCATTTAGATGGAAGTATCTGATTATATAAATAGTGCCAAAACGTTTGCTGAGAAAGCAGCCAAGCTTTCTCAAAAAATGTCACAAGGTCTTGTTGATAACGCGCGAGAATTAGGCTTTCCCGGTAGTGATTCAGGTTCTCAATACTTTGACACATCTGAAGAGAAAATGAGAAATATAAAACGCCAATTAGACTCTAAAAACGATAGAGAGAAATTAGATGGTTTAAAAAGACTCATTGCTGTAAGTCGACAAAAAAAAAAAAAAAAAAAAAAAACTTATATATTCATGTACATGTTTATACATATACATATATACTTCATCAGATGATTTCTAAAGGTAGAGATGTGTCTGAATTTTTTCCTGATGTTGTCAAGAATGTTGTTTCTCAAAATATTGAAATTCGTAAATTGGTTTATATTTTCTTATTACGATATGCTGAACAGGAACCTGATTTGGCTTTGCTGTCCATCAATTCGTTTCAAAAGGATTTAAGTGATAAAAATCAAATAATTCGTGCTATGGCCCTGCGAGTCATGAGTGGTATTCGTGTTCCTGTCATTAGCCCTATTGTTTTACTTGGCATTAAAAAATGTATAACAGATCCTAGTCCATATGTTAGAAAGACAGCCGCTCATGCTATTCCAAAGTGTTATAGGTAACTAAATACATGTATAGTTGATACTATATACTAATATCGATTTTTTTGTATTTAGTTTAGATGATAGTCAAAAGGATGCTTTAGTTGAAGTTATTGCTACATTACTTAAAGATAGATCAAATATTGTTATTGGAAGCACCATTATGGCTTTTAATGAAGTTTGCCCTAATCGTTTTGATTTGATTCATCCTTGTTATAGAAAATTATGCTCAATGTTGGGTGATTGCGATGAATGGGGACAAATGTCCATTCTTAATTTATTATTACGCTATGGACGAAATCAGTTTTTAAATCCTAATCCAAATGTAAGTAAATAAAACAAAAGAGCAAAAGAAAATAAAATAACCTATTATTTTATTTCATTTTTAGGGAGAGAGTGAATCACGTCTTCCACCTAAGAAAAAGACTGTAACAACAAATAAATCATTTTATTCCGATTCTTCTTTAGATTCAGATGACAATAATGATGCAACACATATAGACGATGTGATTGAGTTAGACCCTGATCATGAATTATTATTAAAAAGCTGCATACCTTTATTACAAAGCCGTAACAGTGGGGTTGTTTTAGCTGTTGCCAAGTTATTTTACTATTTAGCTCCAGCAGTAGAAGCAGAAAAGATCGCAAAGCCACTAGTTCGCTTATTAAGGACACATCGTGAACAATGTTATGTTGTTTTAACAAATATTGCTACTATGGCCCTTAAAAGACCGGTAATAACTTAAATAGAAAAAAGAAGTAGATACATATTTTAATATAAATACATGTATACAAATATATATTTTTACAGTATTTATTTGAATCATCAATTCAGCATTTTTATGCGCAATCCTCAGAGCCTGTTTTTATTCGCAATACAAAATTAGATATCTTAACAACAATAGCAACTGAAACTAATATACACACTTTACTTACAGAATTCCAAGTAATATTTCTTTAATTCCCCCCCTTTAAGAAATTCGACTAAAATTATTTTAATAGCAATATGTCAAGAGTCCAAATAAAGATTTTGCTGCTACAACTATTCAAGCTATTGCTCGATGTGCTACTACTGTTCCTTCTGCTATGGGTCAATGTCTTCAATTATTAATGAAACTACTTAAAAGCAAAAATGGTAAAAAGGAAAAAAAAAAAAAAAGCAAGATTCTTATTTTATTTAAAATTAATTCTTTTTTTTTTTATTATTTAAGAACTTGTTATTACTGAATCTGTAATAGTTTTAACTCGTCTATTACAAGTCCCTACAGAGGAGAAAACAAAAGCAGTAATTATTCTTGTAAAATTGTTGGATACTTTAAAAGCGCCTATGGCTAGAGCCAATATTTTATGGTTAGTTGGACAATATGCAGAGATCTTACCAAGAGTTGGACCTGATGTTCTGCGTCAAGCTATAAAGAACTTTATGAATGAGGTAAGAAAATAGAATTGTATGTCTATCTGTTATACTTAACATAGTCTTTTTTTTTTGGTATTATAAGAATCATATAACAAAACTGCAAATTCTTACTTTATCAGCAAAATTGATTTGCTTGAATCCAACTCATCTCACTTTGGCTAATTTAAATCAATATGTACTAAATTTAGCTAGATATGATACCGACTACGACGTGAGAGATCGTGCAAGATTTTTACGCGCATTGACTATACCTATTCAGAACGAAGAAAAGCCTGGCTTAAATCAATTAAAACAACATTTGAAGAAGATCTTACTTTCCAATAAGGAGCCTCCAGTCATTGAAAGTGATACTCAAGGTAACAGGAGCAAAAAAAAAAAAAAGAAATATATACATCTATATGTATATCTTATATCTTATTTCTTTCATTTATATATGTTATGAATAGATGCAGCAAATTACAATATTGGTTCTCTTTCACTTTTGGCACATCAACCACTTCCAGGTTATGAGCCATTGCCTGATTTTCCTAAAGAACAACCTGATACCAGTGTACGTGATATAGATGAACTCGAAGGTTGGAGTGGAAGTAGAACGATTATTATGGAATCTGGATTTGGCAATGATAACTATTATCCTGGCAAAAGGTTTGGTGCATCGACTGCCTTATCTGGTATTGAAGCTATAGGAAGTCCATCTAACTATTCTTCTTCTTCATTAAAGAAGAAGGGTAATGAATATGATTTAGATGCTTTCTATGATGAGTCAAGTGATGAAGAATACTTGTCTTCTACTGAAGATGAAGCAACCACATCACAAGAAGAAGATTCAGAAGAGTCGTCATCAGAAGACTATACTACATCTTCAGAAGAAGAAGAAGAAGAAGAAGACATATCTGATGAAGAAACTCAACGGATACGAAGATAATAATAGTAATTTGCGGAGGTTATAACCGAACACACATAATAACAAAGGCTTTTTTTTTTCTTAAACTTTGTAAATATAATACGTATACTATTTTGTCATTTTTTAGTAATGTGTATTTATAATGATGCTGTTTACATAAAGGAAAAACTGACTGACATAGTTCACCAAATTCAACTTGTAATTTTTAACCATATATGTAGTGTAATGCATGCATGCATCAAGTTAACTATTTTAATATATAAAATGTGTTGTCATAAAATACACCTTTTACACAATAAAATGCAAAATATATCGCCGACGGACTCATTGTTTCGAGGCCTTTAAAAATTGTTCTTTTATTATTTACTGCCATAAGAAAGTCATATAAATAAATACATAAAAAAAAAAAAAAAAAAAAAATGTTTTCGTTGTAATATAAATTATTTGTTAAACTGCTTTTCTTTATCTATTTGAATTTATTTTATTTTAATAATGACAACACCTTATAATGGAACTGTAAAAAATGAGTGGATTCAATTTGATCCTAATGTGCATTATTATTATGATGAACAAGGTCAACTTCAATATTATGATCCTAATTCAGCTGTAAATTATGGTTATGAACAAGAAAATCTTTATTACAATAACCAAATTTATACCCCATCATCTACTTTACAACAACAACAACAACAACAACAACAAATTGTAAATAGTTCTTATACAGAAGCTTCTCGACAACCAACACCAGAAGAGATATTATTACCTTGTCCTGAACCTACTTGTAAAGGTGAAAACAAACCAGCCTCTAAATTCTGTGAAGAATGTGGAAGACCGCTGAAACCAGCCTCTAGATCGGTTACGCCTGCTGCTACTATAAATAATAATAATAATAATACTAATAATAATAATCTTATTAATTCATTAACAAAATCTTTTTCAAACCATCAAATTCATGACGCCCATCATCTTTATCAACCTATTCCTCCACTTCAAAGACCTCCTACTGCACCTGTTTATTCTTCAAGTCCTTTAGATTCAGTACAAGCTGTACCACTTTATGATACGCCTTCTGTAGGCAATGCAGTCCATTCTAGTAGTAAACAACCATCGTTATATTATAACGGTGTTCATCATCAATCTATGCAAAACTTATATGGACTTCAACAAGAACATCAAGATTATCTAGCTACACCTAGTCAATATAATCCTGTAAATACTTATGAACAACAACAACAACCGACTGTCGATCCTCTTGACAGAGCAAAAGGTTGTCCTATCGTCACCTTTGGATTTGGTGGTAAAATGCTCGTGACCTTTCCACGAACAGTAGCCAATTATTACTCTTCTACTGTAAAACCTCAGCCAGGTCCTATTCAAATCAAATCCTTGAAGGACTTCAATCTTGCTACTCACCTACAATTCCCAGGACCTGTCTTGTTGGACAGCAAAGTAGGAACCAAACAGAAAAGGAAAGATGTTAGTCATTATATCACTCAGATCATAGATGAACTTGAAAAGCAAAAAAAATCGTCTATGATTGTAGTTGATTCTGTTGAATACCATAGACTAGAATCAAAGATATTACTATGGCAATTGATGAAGGTCATGATCGAAAACGATGGATTTATTAATGACAAGTAAAACTCTAATATTATTATATCTTTTTTTTTTTCCTAATTTTATATATATACGTATAGAGATAAAATGGATCAAGCTCTTCTTTCAGTTATACGTCCTAAAATAGATAATGTAGAAGAATCCTATTTTAATCTTCCTTCTTATGATAATAGAATTCAAAAAGAAAATGGTGAAAAAGGAGGAGTAGCTGAGGAGGAGGAGGACTTGTCTGAATATATGCTATCTAAAATTGAACATTATTTATTGAATGGTGACCGAGTTGGAGCTGTTAATTATGCAATTCAAGAGGATTTATGGGCTCATGCTTTAATCATTAGTAGCTGTGTTAATAAGGAGCTTTGGCAAAAAGTAATTAGTCATTTTGTAGATCGAGAAATGAATTCTACACCTGAAATGCGACGTCATAGAAAGTTTAATAATATTGCTGGAAGTAATCAAGCATTACGCGTCATGTATTCCTTATTCTCTGGTGCAGGTCCTGCAGCAATGAAGGAATTTATTGTCAATGATGTTCAACATGTACATACTCCTTATGGATTACAAACAGTGACTCCACCCGTTGATCCATCACAGTTAATTAAATGGAGACATACTTTAGCTATCATTTTAGCAAATAGGACAGTAAGAGATTTAGATGCGTTGACTGCTTTAGGAGATATTATGAAAGAACAAGGATGGATTGAAGCCGCTCATATTTGGTAAGCTTAGAGAGATTGAATAGTATTTATTGATGTCCTTCTCATCTCATCTTCACCACTCTATAGTTATCTTCTTTCCCCTCAAAGCTCAATTCATTCTGGTTATGATACAGTAAACGTCAGGATGTCATTGATTGGTAGTGAAAAGCCCAATCTTGAAGCCTATTATTTGACCGAGATTTTTGAATTTGCAAATTCATGTCACACTTCTAATTCTACCGTTTGTTTACCATTTCTACAAGGATATAAACTGGCTCATGCATGGATATTAGCAGATTATGGATATACTGATATTGCACAACGATATTATGAATCTATTGATCAATGTATAAAATCCTATAATAAGGGCAACCCTTATTTACATTCACAATTAATACAACAGGTAGATGCCTTTGGTACTTATTTAGAAAATTCTAGAGGAAAAAAGACTGGGTAAATATATGGATACATATCGTATGAAAACCAAAAAAAAAAAAAAAATAACCATTAAATTTGTATTTTATAGTGTTGATCCTACATCATGGCTTAAACCAAAATTCCAAAAGAAGACTTTTTCAACACTTTGGGGAACATTAGAGGGTAGTCTCACTAAATTTGTGAGTGGTGAAGAAGTTCCTACAGAAGAAACTATATCTCCAAGAAAATCTACTGAAATCATGAGTCGCTATCCTTAATAATACCTTTTTTTTTTATTCTCTTTACTCATGTATAATACACGTATAAATTTCTTTTTAAACAATCTAATCTTTTAAGCAACTGGTGTATTTTTTTTTTTTTTTTTTTTTTACCGGAGATTACCACCAGATTTTAAGATTTGACAATTGAGGACAATAGAATTATCAGCTTGAAATAGAGGGAGAAAGAAAGAAAGCTGTGTGTGAATAATGAAACCCCCCCCCCCTCGTGTAAATATATTGTAATGAAGAGTTATTTAGACTAAACATATGTGTAGTAAATAATGTAGAGATACACACGTTATAGGTAAAAGAAAAGAAACAAGACAGGAGGTTGTTTGCTGTAATCCACTAAAAAATAGGTAGTATTAAGTCTATGTAAACTGCAGCCATATACAAAAAAAAAAAGATGTTTGCAGAAAGAAAGGATGATTAGTGTGAGGATCAAAAAAAAATCCTGTACTTCAATTTCTAATTTTTTAATCCCCGTATTACATAATACGATAGGGTATGTGCCTGAATACAATAGTAACAATCATCATTAACTGAATTCATCACAAAAATCTAAGAATGAAGCAAAAAAAAGAACACTAGTCAACTTGAAATAGTCAATTTAATAGGATTTATTGGATTTATTTGAAATGTTTAATCCACTCATTTTTTTTCCATGTGAGGTGATCAAAGAAGTTAACATCAATTCCATAAGTGACTCATTTCACACTTTTGCACATTCATCCTTAAATTACCAATTTAAAAGCAAAGCAATACTCCTTAGAGCCTTTAGAATGCGTGTATACTTTAAAACGGGTACATTTAATTATAAAGTCATTCGTTAAGACACATTATTTTAGTTTGTAGAGCCATTCTCAGTTACATACAAAATCCAAGGTATATAAACCACATGAATTTCATCATATTCTATAATTGATGTATGTACAGTGAATATGCCAGATAAAAAGAATATACATCATTATATGTTAGGATATATGAGGCTCAGTTCTTGTTTATACTTCAATGGTGTTCTTTTTTTTTTTTATTGATAATCTTACATATCGAATATCCAAATAATAATAATATGCTGGTAGTGTTGTGTTCCAAATAAACAAAATACTCAGATATATTAGCATAACTAACTAATCGTGATGTATTCTCAGCAATAAAGACAAAGGCATAATAGCAAAAATAAACAGTAGAAAATGATAATCAGATACTGACAAATTCGAAGATAGTTCAAAACTCACTCTTCTGACTGCCTCTTTATTTTGTTATTTAATGAGTATTTTTATATTTGTATGTATTCAGACATTATTATTTAATATAATCTTTGCTGAATGACTATGGATATAAATAAATAGAAAGTAAAGAATAAGGATCAACGTTTAGTTTCTGACTCCAAACAAATATAATGTGACTAATTAATTTAGTGCTTTTCGCTTTACTATTTGAAGATGCTAGCCATCAAAAATAATTTACTCTTCATATAGTCTCAAATTTATTAAACCTTTATGAATAAAACTTGAAGAGATGGAATTCTAAAAGTTAAAGCTATTGCTCCAATTTTTTGCTTTACCGACAAAAAAAAAAAAAAAAATCGCTTTTAAATAATTTTGTCACCAATTATCTCATGTTAAGACAAATGGGCCCTGGCAATTTTTTTTTTTTTTTGTGGAGGCTGAAGTTATAAACTATTTCCTACTATTTGTTTTCCTACCCCTCTTTAACAATAATAGAAAAAATCATCTAAAAAAAGAAAAAGCAGATGCAACGAGTAATTAAAGCATGTACCACACGCATCCCACTTAATGTGCTCAAAAAAGACTTGATGCAAAAGGTTCAACCAAAACAAATGATGCCTTATTTAAGCATCTGTCATCATCACTATTATTCAACTGCCGCTACTAAAACCATGCAAACAGTAGGTTCAACTGACATGGATAAATCTTCTGCAGAATTTCACAGTCATACTCTTCTAGATGATTCAAAGGAATATAAGAATTTTGGAAGAGAAGATTTTCTAAAGTTTCGATCTTTTCTTTGGAGGGAGAGAAGCTGGGGTTCTAAAGAACATATCCTGCAAGTACTCGATGATATGAAGCGTTTAGGCCATGATTGGACAATAGCCGAATATAACGATTATTTTATGGTTAAATTAATCAAAGCAGAATATAATGATATCTTGAATATGTATAGAGAAGAATTGCAAAAGCGACAGCCACCTATGAAGCTTACGACAGGCACATTCAATGTACTTTTGGCTACATATATTATGTTAGGGATGGAAAAGGAAGCGATTGAGCTAATACGAAATGTATATAAACAACATGATGTGATACCTGATATCCGAGACTTTGCTCGAACTATGTATCGATGCATGCCCAATAACACAACCATAGTCGAGGCAGCAAAACACTTGATCTTTGACCATGCATTTGATGACAATACTGAAGCATTGAATGCAAACATTATGCATCTCTTTCGAGAGAGATCGTTTAGTGATATAAAAATGATATATGAACATTGCCGTTCAGGATCAGAAAATCAAAAGAAGCTTGACGTGACTACCTACAATGCCCTTATTAAAGGATACATAGATGCTCGTCTAATACGCGATGCTATTGAAACTTACAAGGATATGAGAAAGGAAAATATCAAGCCCAATGTATATATCTGTTCAAGTATGCTATCGATCTATGCTCATAGGAGAGATGTTGCCTCTGCTGAAGCTATCGTGAGAGACACTATTCTTGGTGGTCATCCTCCGGATGAAAATCTCTATAATCAACTGATTAAAGTTTATTTTAAAGCTAGACAGACATCTAAGGCTGTCCAGATCTTTGAAGAGATTGAAAAGAATCCTCAACTGAAGGTGAACGAGGTGATTATGAATACAATGCTGGATGGTTTAATCATTAATAAGGAGATGTATATTGCGGGATTATTGTATCGACAAATGATGGCATCTGACTATAAACCAGATTTAATTACGTTAAATACAATGTTAAAGGGTTATATAGAGACAGATGACACTCCATCTGCAATGGGGATCATTTCAGATATGTTTAAACTAGGCTTTAAACCTGATGTAGTCACTTTTACTACCTTGGTTGATTCTGTTTTCCATAAAAGAGCCCCCACGACAGCCGGGGAAATGATGAGGATTATCACGGAACAACTCGATATCACTCCTAATGTGTATACCTTTAATGCCATCATTAATAGTTGGGTTCAAAGCGGTAATATGGAACAGGCAGAGAAAACATTTGAGTTGATGAAATTACCGAAATACAAGCATATAGAGCCTACCGTTCATACATACACAAATTTGATTCAAGGTTATATTAAGCAATCGGATTTAAACAAAGCAATGATGACATTTCAAACTATATTACGTAGTGGTATCCGACCCGATAGAGCTACCTTCAATTTCATGATCACTGGTTTCCTGGACCATGATCGATTAGCAGATGCTTATACATGTTTAGAACATATGATATCTATGAATATAAGTCCTACAAAGGATACTTGGAAATTATTGTTAGATGACTGTTGTCATAAAAAGGATTGGGTCATGGGTCAGAAGGTAGTTGAGGCGCTTAAGCAATCTGGATTTCTGATAACATCATACTCTGTTAGAAGACCTTATACTATTATTAAAAAGCACTGCAAGTAAAAAAGAGGAGGGAAGAATTAACTAGAATAAATGATATATAATATCACTCGTTGTTGTTTTTATTTTATTTATTTATTTATTTTTTATTATTGTGATTTAATATTGTTTTGTAAATATATTGTATACATATAAATAGAGACAAGAAAGGATATAATTATATATCAAAAGAGAAAAAAAAAATAAGAGTATAAGTAATATATAATAAGAATTAATAATAGGAATAAACTAAATATTATAATAAAGAGCATATATCATAAATAGGATTCAACCCTCATGTAATACATATGCAAATGCATATACACATACACATACACATACACATACACATACACATACACATACACATACACATACACATACACATACACATACACATACACATACACATACACATACACATACACATACACATACACATACACATACACATACACATACACATACACATACACATACACATATACATACACACACATATATATATCGCTCTATGTCCAATTTGATGTATTGTTTATAAATTGGTGATGACTAGATCGAATAATAGGTAATCGAATAGTAGCGTCAATATTAGAATTGCTTTCTGTTCTAGAGACTAGTTTATTAGTATTCGTCATTAGTGTAGATACATGACTACTATGAGTAATAGGAACAAATCCTATTTGTCGCTGCAATTGTTCTTGTTCTTCATATTCATCCTCTAACAGGATTCGTTGTTGAATTGAGTTGGTATTCATGGATATAACATTATGATAATTTTTAACTTTTGGCACTACTTCATTTAAATTTTTGTTGTTTGAATTATAATAACTCATTGATAAATAATTTGATGAAGATAAGGGCGATTGTTGGACGTCATGTTGCTGTCGATGAGATGTATGCTGATACGAATAGGATGGTATCTGTGGATGGTAACTACTAGAATCAAAAGGAATATGAAGCTCATTTGTATTACTATTGCTTTGGATTGTATCTGCACTTTGAGAAGATAAATAAGGTGACTGTAATGCATACATGTTTGTTGAATCATAATTGGCGTGATTCATGTTTCCTTCATGACCGGCAGTGAGTTTGTTGTTGTTTGTTAACCTAAAGACTAAAGGAGATGTAGGTATACTATTACAGTGATGCATTGAGTTATTTTGGTAGCCATTATAAGCAATCCTTTGTTGTGTCTGAGGAGAAATGATGGGTGAGGACAATGAAAAGATGGAAGAAAAGTTTGCTACTGCTGGTGCTGGTGCTGATGCTGGTGCTACTGTTGTACTTGTATTTGTTGCTGCTGCTGAAATGCCAAAGTGTCCAGTTGAGGCTGTTGCTACTATCATTTGTGGACGTTTATTATCAGTATTAGTGATAGACAATTCATCGAGTGAAGTAAAATGAATACGTCTATCATTATTATTATTATATAAATGAGGGGAATATTGCTGTTCCATTTTGATTGCCGTAGCTGCTATAGCCAATGAAGATCGTAAAGGTTGAGCACGAACATTTAAAGTACAACTTGGTATCGATATAACTATCGATAATGGATGATTTTTAGTCTTGTTATAACAATTAACATTCTCTTTATGATCTAACGCTCGTTTCTTGTTGCTTTGTCTTTTATCTACTAATGAATTTTGATTCTGTAACTCTACAGGAACGTTTTTCTTTTCTATAGCAGACTTGTGACATGATATTGAATGAGCATTATGAGTCGTTGTTATATCAGTTAATGAACAGATCATATCGGGTTGAAGACTGACTATCTGATCAAGTTCTTGATTTGATAGACCTAAGATCTGTTGATAATCTTCTATCATGTTGGTCAATTCGTTAGCTACACAAGTAGTCCAAATTTTATTTGAAGCAATAATGGAGCAAAGACGAGTGGAGACCAAGATCAATTGTTGTATTCCTTTCGTAATCTCTTCTTCTTTTAATTGTTTTCTTATTTTAGTCACGTAATTATAAAATTCACGTTCCTTGTTACAATCTAAAGTGCCTTTTGAAAGAAGCTGCAACTGTTGCTTAATTGTTTCATATATTTTGTCTGTTTGCATATTACTATTTTGGTACAATAATTGTTTAATTTGTTCCTGAATCTCGATAGGAAGTTGAAGATTATCATTTGTATTCTCAGTCAAGATTTTTAATTTCGTAATATTTACACCAGAGGATAATTCATGATTATGTTCATTTATAGTTGAAATATTAGATTGCTTAAATATCCATTCTGACAATACAGTCTTACATAAGATGATATGCCATTGACAATCATTACTATGATAAGCATCAGTCATATTAACAGATGAGCGTTGTTTTTTCAATGGTGATAATGGAGAGCCTTGAATATTGAATGGAGGCCTATACGAACAATGTACATAAATCATCTGTATGTATATATTAAAATTAGTTTTATGTTATTCTCTTTTTTTTTCTTCTTTCATTTCTTTTAAAATAAACATAAATAGCGAAATACATACTAGTTACTTACTTGATTCGAATTTGTTTTTTGTTTTATAGGGAAGCCATATTGTAAACATAACTTTTGGCAAAATTCGAAAGCACTCGTTGCTGAAGAGAATTTTTGTTCTAATAAATATTTATATAATGGTTCTAACTACATAAAAGAAAAAGGAATTAAAGCTAGTTTTAGTTTTATATTTCTAGACTTACAGTAGAACTCTGATCTTGCTTTTGTTTTTCCACACCTAGCATTATTGTTATGTAACTATAGGACCACCTCTTCCATAAAGATTACTTGTTTAAAGTATAACAAAAAAAAGAAGAAGAAGAAGAAGAAAATAGAAATAAATAACAAGATTTATATTGGTTTATTTCAATACATTTGTTGTGCATTAAACTTATTTTTATTATGGCTCTCCTATTTTTTCTTATACATTGTGTGTATCACTTTTACTATCTTTCCCCTTTTTTTTTTTTTTTTTTTTTTTTTTTTTTTTTTTCAAATAAATGAATCTCCGAGCAGCCTAAATGGTGATTACATAGATTGTAGACATTAACCAATTTGATAAAATATACACATAGTTTATATTATTCACAGATAAGCATTGGAATCGATTTCTTCAATAGTGATGCTTTATGCATTTAATTATAAACTATTCGATTTACTCGGATAATAGCTATGTTATTAGAAGCTTAAATATTATAGCAATGCCCGTTATACTGTAACTTTATATATCCTGACTTTACGTCTTCTTGTTAAACTTAAGTTTGATTCTACACATCTTTACTCTAATATAATAGATTCTTTCCTTAACACTAAAAATAAAGTGCTTTAGTATCCTCAGCTTTTATATACAAATATATATCATTGCCACTATATCACAAAGTAATAAATCTTTGTTTGTCTTATTTTCGGTATGAAAAGAAATTCTTTTTTCATTCTTTAAATACATATAATGTTTAATCTTTTAATTTTTATTTTGTTAGCTTTAGATTTATAAGAATTCACTTTGTCTATTTTACATAATAAGAGTCCAGCTTTTTATTTATTTATTTGTTACTTGATATAAAAAGCTTATATTAGTGGCTTATCCTCTTAATTTTAAATAATCTGCTGCAAGAATGAGTTTCTAAAATTATTAGTAATTATAATAGTTTCTATAACTTTTTTTTTTTTTTTTCTTTAATAAATAAATATATTTAACCTTAAACAACATTAGAATAGAATACTATGCCACATTTAGAATTATTAGCAACACTGGAAGGTATTGTTTTTTTTTAAATGGATAATATAAAAATATATACATATAAACGCATACATGTGCATATATACCTTTATTTACATGAATATTCGTATTACAAATGATACAAAAAGGTCATCAAGATCGTGTTTGGCAAGCTTCATGGCACCCTACAAAGACATTATTAGCAACATGTTCAGGAGATAAGACAGTACGTTTATGGCAACCTATTTCACATAATAATTTTAAAGAATGGCACTGTGTGGAGACGCTGAATGGTGCACATAAACGAACCATTCGTAGTGTTTCATGGGCACCCACAGGTACTGAATTAGCTACAGCAAGCTTTGATGCTACAACAGGTATTTGGGAAAATGATCCAAGGGATAATGAATGGGAATGTGTTGCAACATTAGAAGGCCATGAGAATGAGATCAAGTCTGTTGCATGGTCAGCTACAGGAGCTTTATTAGCCACATGTAGTCGAGATAAGAGTGTTTGGATTTGGGAAGTAGAATCAGATAATGATTTTGAATGCTTGAGTGTTTTACAAGAACATACACAAGATGTTAAAATGGTTGTGTGGCATCCAAAGTTAGAAATGTTAGCGTCTGCTAGTTATGATGATACAATTAAAATTTGGAAAGAGGATGAAGATGACTGGTATTGTGCTGATACTTTAGAAGGACATACATCCACAGTTTGGGCTATTGATTTTAACCAAGAAGGAGATCAATTAGGTAATTTTTGTATATAGATACATGTATGTAAGAGTTTATTTATGCCAAATGTATTATTTGTTATTAGTGTCTGCTTCAGATGATCAAACATTGCGTATTTGGAAAATGTACAAGCCAAATAATCCTCAAGGAATTCCAACACACAATGGTGAAGCAACATGGAAAACGATTTGTACTTTATCAGGTTTTCATGATAGATGTATTTACTCTGTTTCATGGTCTAAAGTGAATGGATACATTGCAAGTGTTAGTGGAGATAATAGTATTCGTATTTTTGAAAAGGTAATTAAAGAGTTGTATAGATAAAGTACTTTATTTTAATATGATGTGTTATTTAAGGATATGGAAGAAATACAAGAAGAAGATTCGGCTAGTTATAAAAATATAGCCACTATAGAGAATGCGCATGGTGTATATGATATTAACGGGGTAACATGGTTCCCTACAGAAAAACATGGTGATTGGTTATGTACAGTAGGGGATGATGGTCTCGTCCGTATTTGGAGACTGGTACAAGATGATTAATTCTTATTAGAGATTTGAGACCATATTTCATTTAACCAACTCGATATTTCATTAATACGTTTTAATACTGTATCCTTTTCCTTTTCTGAACCTTCAAATCGTTTCATATATCTTGTAATAAACTTGTCAGGATGATATCTTGTTTGTTCTTTACGCACATTCTTCTTATTTTCTTCAGATGTTAACCTTGAATCAATAACAAACGATTTTAATGATTCTAGACTAAACTCTTTGCCTACAATAGGCCATGGAATATCTTTCTTATGTAATATTTTGCTCATATCTTCTTCTAATCTTTTCCATTTATTATCATATTCTATGTGGGTAGCTTCTATTTTCTTTAATTTCTCTGACTGTCGAACGATATTTTCAAGTCGAATACGTTCTGATTCTCTTCTCTCCTCTTCTCTTCTTCTCTTTTCTCTTTCTTTTTGTTCCTTTCTTTTAGCTGCTTTCTGTCGTTCCTCCTCAGCGATCTTATCCGCATTTTTACGACGATACATACCATCTACAATATATTGTCGATACTCTTCATCTGTCATCAACGCTGGTTGACTCGAGTTATTACTATATTCATTATAACTTGAATAGAATGGATCTTGTCCTTCGTCATCCATCATTGCATCGAATAAATGAGCTCGCCAAGCTGATTCTTCTTCGTCATCTTTATATGAAGTAGCAGGTGGTATCCAGCCCCCTTCTTCTTCATACAAAGTAGGTGGTTTATAAGGCTTTTCTTTTTTATGTCTTTTATCTTTTGATCTATGTTTATGGTGATGTTTTTTTTCTTTTTTGTCATGATCCTTATATCTTAATTTAGGCATTTGATCAATGAAATAATCGTTTAAAAAAAAAAAAAAAAAAAAACATACGCAAATCGTGCGGAATCTTAAAACAGTAATTTAGCTTCATAGTTGGGATTTGCACAATAAACACTTTTATTTTTTACATTTATAAAAGAAAAAAGAAATGAGATTCAAGGCTACTTTAAATAATCCTGTTGGCTTACATAGTAATATTTTTTTTTTTAGTTGTATCCTATTTATTTTTCTCCTTTCTTTATTAAATATTAGAATTATAGAGCTCGGACAAACTATGGAAAAGTTGGGTGCAACTTGTATTGCTTCCTTTTCACCTAATTTACTCCGGTTTATAACTTATCATGAACACATTGTTGGAATTCAAGCTTGGACGTAAGTTTTATTGACTTTTGATTAAAATCAAAAAAAAAAAAACAAAACAAATGGATAATGTGCTAATCTATTTTGTTTTAGTAAAATGCAACCTGTAGTTTATAATTTTCGTGTTTCCTTCATTTTTATATTTTAATATGTATATATATATTTTTTTTGACATGTAGACTTCCATGTTTTCTGAATATCGCTTAGAATCTATGCACGATAATGAAGTCAATTTTACTTTTTTCCTAAACGATTTGCTTCTTATTACTAAAGATTTGGCTGATTCAACTCGTATTGAAGTATCTTTAAAAAGACGAAATCAACAATCTTATTTATATTTTAAATGGTCATCAGAGGTATAATAGAATTATATACATTATATATAAAAGATCTATATTTATGCATGCATTATTATACTATTAGAACTTTAAAGGATCTGTTGTTAACGAGTTAAAGGAATTACCTATAGCACTTGTTACGCAAAGTAGAGTTGCATTGATTAAAGAACCAGTTACTATTCGTAGACCTGACGTAAAGTTATATTTAAAGAAGACTTGTATTTTGATCTAATTATTTTATTTAGACCTATATTTTATTGCCACCACTGACTTCTTTAAAACCTACAGCAGAACGATTCAAATCGCTAGGCAAATTCATTGTTCTTTCAGCCAATATGAATGGAGTTTTCAAAATGGAAATAGAGAGTTCTTATGCCTTATGTAGCGCACAGTATGAAAACTTAACTAATCCACGTTTAGGTAACAATAGGATACTTATAAGTGACACCTCCCCCTCCCACCTACCCACCTACCTTTTTTTTTTTTACTTGTTTTTTATTTCATGATATTGATATTCATTATTCATGTAGCTGGACATAGCATTGAAAATAGAAATGTTGATGAGTTCTCATCAGTACGAATAAAAAGTGAAGACTTTGTGAGCTTTCTAAATTGTTATTATTTGGAACCAGATGATGTTATCTGTACAATTGCAGATGAAACCCAACTTACCTTTTTGGTTTACCTAACAATTGATACATATCAAAATGAAGATGCGCCTATTCGATCTATTCATCCTACACAATGTAAACTTACTTGTCATTTACCAATTTACTTAGAATAGCGGTAATTGAAAAAAAAAGTTTTTATTATTATTCTTATTACTGCTTCATTTATTTCTGCTTTTTTTTTTTTTTTTTTTTTTTTTTTTTTTTTTTTTTTTTTAATTTCATTTAATATCATATATACCCAAATCTATAATGTGTAAGCATATTCTTAATGCACAGGTATTTTTTTTTTATAGATATTTTACTTTAAAATTTTTCATTTGATTTCTTATCTATAAATAAAATATCAGGTTGCCATTCGTGCACCTTGTTGTAAAAAGTGGTTTGATTGTGCTGAATGTCATGCTGCAGTTTCTGATCATCCTTTAAGAAAAACAAACGAAATGGTTTTTGCATGTAAAAAATGTAAAAAAGTCTTTCGAAAGGATATGACGTGAGTGTAGATGATTTGGAAAAGCAACTGAATTGTTTATTCAATCTAATAACTTTTCTCTTTTTTTTTTTTTTTGTTTGTTTGTTAATAAAGCGATTATGAAGAAGAAGATGAATATTGTCCTCATTGTGATAATCATTATGTTATTGAAGCAGTAATGCCAGAGCCAACTCTTAATATTGAAACTGAAGATATTCGTGTAGATAACAGGTAAAGTCATGTCAAGTTTTAGATGACAAAATAATATACTTAATATTCCTTTTTTTTCCCCTTTCCAGAGTTGTTAAAGATGATCGTCTCAAGTCTAGACAAGAGCAGATTACCAGTGTCTTTCAAATTGACGGATCACACATGTTAGGTTAAACATTTAAAAATAAATAAATAAATAAAAAAAAAAAGGAGTAAATTATAGTTGGACCTTGAGGAGTTTTTGTTTTGTTTTATTCGCTTCAACAATGTAAAGAAAGAAAAGTTAGTTTTGATGAGTGTATTCATTATTGAGAATGTTACGATGAAAATCTTTTCTTTTAAACAAGTTCTATCATGTAAACGCTTGATTCAAATCACATTGAGCCCATCCCCCTTCTTCTTTTTTGTTTATGTTTATTTTAATCAAAACAACTTATTTTCTTTTGTTTTGTTTTTTGTAAGAAGAAAGAACACAATATACACTATATCTTTTTATTATCATTAAAAATAAAGCTATTCATTTATACATCAATACTATGTTTATTTCAAATTCTTTTATTATTATTTATAATAAAAAATAAAACTGGAATTTTGGCCATCTTTATTTAAAAGATGTTATCAGAAGACACGACGAGAACGTAAACCAGTTAAAATAGTCTTCCAGTGGATTAGGGGTGGCGAAAAATGCCTACATTTAATAGAATATAGAATGCAAAGCAAAAGGTAAAAAAAAGAAAATACATAGCTACTAAACAGAAAGTAAAAAAAAGGGGCAAACTGTAACGGAACGTATCAAAAAGCCGTACAGCCGCACATACGGTAGCTACAAGGGAGAATTAAAAAATAACTATCACTAATGAATCACAAGAGGGGCCCATTATCGATCATCATACTACTGTAAAAAAACCCTAGTTTCCACAACCAATCGTAATACAGCGTATAGGTAAAGAAAATGAATTCCCTACGATGAAAGCAACGAGCAAGTAAATAAGGGAAAGCTCCACTTCATAGTTTTTTCGCGATCGCAGAAGTGGACTGCTCAAGTTTAACCGCGTCCCTATTGCTTGATTTTATGAAGGCGCTTAAGAATAGGAAGTAATAAAATGCCTGTATCATTGTTTTATCGGATTAGCATCGCACAACCGATCTGCTTACTCATTTTAACGTTCGAAGCAGATGAAAGTCAATATATAATAAAAGACTCCCAGAACTTGCAGGTCATAATAACTAACTACATAAACTGCCAATTGTAATCAAAAAATAAATTCCATTACAACTTTATAAAGAAAAAAAAAAAAAGAAAAGAAAAAAGAAAAAAAAAGGAAAAAAAAAAGGAAAAGGAAAATATAAAGAAAAATAGTATGCAGAAGATAGATAATGGTGATGAATGTTATCTCCTTAAGTTACACAATAAACCAAGTATGATTGTTGTTTGAAACAATGAAGCACATAATAATAATCAATGTGGCTGATTTAAAAAAAAAAAAAAAAAAAAAAAAAAAAAAAAAAAAAAAAAAGATGTATGCTGATCATTCTTGGCTTTTCCTCTATTATGTTTTATGTAAGTATCTCCTTTGATTCATCTGTAACATCATCTTTTCCTTTAAGGAGATTTTCGTTTGCGGGCACATTTGTATTTTTTTTTTTTTTTTTTTTTTTTTTTTTTTTGCTGCAAGGTGATTATTAAATAACACCAGTCAATTATTATGTGTTTCATGTACAAAACTATCAAAATAACACGCATATCTTTCACTGGAAAAACATATCCATAATGGTCACTATAAAGAAAATATCATCCCTCTTGAAAGATTCATTTTATTCAAATCAACCTTCTTACCTCTCCTTTTTATTGTTAATTCTCTAGTAAGCATTTATTATTTAATGTATATGGATTCTAATCATGTTCGACCGTTGAGTATACAGGGCACATGTCTTTGAATTATAAAAGTTTATTAAGATAGTATTTTACAAGTATTGTACAAGTATTTTACATGTATTTTTTTATTCACTGAGAGAATAAAGTGAATGTAGTCTATCTTTCAGCATGGATGTTGGAAAATGATTAAGATTTACTCTATCAAAATATGATAACATAAAAGAATAAGGAGATAGGGGTCAAGTAAAAAAAAATATGTATACATATTGACCTGCATATATGTATCAGCTCTTTACAGAAATGAATATATTTAGCAGATATAATACTACAGTAAATGCTACACTATAAAAGATATTAATACATGATATATTTTTAATTTTACTATAGAAAAAGTAATTAGCTCCTGCCTTTACTACTTTATTATATTAGTAAACCTTATTTAATATACATTATGTAATGCTTATATGTATATAAATACATATACATATATATAATAAAAAGGACATCGTCCTAGGTATTTTATATAATAAAGTCTTGTTCATTTTTAATAGATTAGGCACAGAATACAATCAGTTAAGATAAATCCGTGAATATAATCATTATTTACAATTCAAAAAAAAAATCTCCTATTTTAAATAAATTTAACAATAAAATGTGTTGTAAATGGGTAATCAAATTGTCTTGTATTCGCATGAAATGAAACGAATGAATAAGAAAGAAAAGAAGAGGAAAAAGGAAACACAATTTGCTTTTTCTCTTATAGCTCTTGTTGTTGTTTTCCTTTTCCCCCCAAGAAGATTATTGCAGATCAGAAATCATTATTTGCTGACTTTATTAACAAAAGAGGATTAAGCAAATCAGATTCTAGTTGTTTCCAATAGAAAATGATTTGATACTTAATTTCCATTTTAGGTATATATAGAAATCATTATTTTGCAAACATTTCTATACGAATTTTTAGTGTAAAAAAAAAAATTGCATGACGATTGTAATAAGTATAAAATCATCTTTATATAATCAATTTTTTTTATAGTCTTTTTTTTCTAATATTCGTATACTAGTTTCTTTCTTTCTTTCTTTCTTTGAATCATGTTTAAAATAAAATCATTAAGTAGTATTTATAGCAATACATCTTCACTCAAAAAACGATTAATTATCAGCTATGGAAAAGATTGGGTATTAGTGATTATTATGGTGATTGTATTTTTTAGTATTGACAGGATTACACCATCTTACCGAGAATTCTCTATCAATGATACATCTATTATGCATACATATACAGTAAACGAAAGTGTACCCGTTTGGTTATTAATAGTAAATATATCATATCATATTCTATAATATCATGATAAATTCATGTCATTCAATATGATAGGTAATAGCTATTATTGTACCCATAGTCTTTATCACTGTCATTTCACTTGGTAATCGTAAAAGCTGTTTGGATTTTCATAGTGGATTATTAGGTCTTGCATTATCATTGTCTATGACTATTATGATTACTGTTATTATTAAGGTAATAACTAATTGTTAGTAAAGTTAATATCTCATCCAATCCTTGAATATGATAGGTTTCTGTAGGTAGACCACGTCCAGATATGTTAGATAGATGTAAACCACCTACTGGAATCGAGAATCCACCATTACAATTATTAAATTATACTGTTTGTACTGCAGAACATGACACTTATAAATTTAAAGATGGCTTCAAGAGTTTCCCTAGTGGACACTCATCATGTAAAATAGATGACTCTATATACTCTATATAACATAGTATTCATCCTTTTTTTTTACTCTCTTTATATAGTTTCCTTTGCTGGTTTAGGTTATCTATCTTTTTATCTTGCCGGGAAAATGCATTTGTTTGATGAAGGAGGTGTAAATATTAGACATTTGAAACTACATTCAAACTTACTTACTCTCATTATGATGATAGCATACCTATAAAACTTTTATCTTTTGTTTTCCCTTTTTAGGTGCATTATTAATTGCTATCACTCGATTACATGATTATCGACATCATTGGCAAGACGTATTTATTGGTGGTATCATAGGTATTTTTTTTGCTAACACAAAATAGGCTTCATAGAATCATTACTTATCTATCATTGACTTAGGTACTTTATTTGCTTATTTTGGTTATAGACAGTATTATCCATCTTTAGCCAGTATAATCTCTCATAAACCTTTCCCGCCAAGATATAAAGATATTGATGAATTATTTCCTGGTGATGCATCTGAGCCAATCAACGATATTGAAGCAGCTCGAACCCATACTAATGATACATTTATATCAAATCCTATACCGCCAAGCCAACTAGATCCAGTCCATAAATATACAAGAGCTCATATTGAACACCCTGCTTCATTAGACCTGGATCATCATCGTCATTCATCACACTAATTTATTTATTTATTCGTTTATTTATGTATATCTTCTTCATGTAATATCATGTGATCGTTATTCTTTAATTCAGATAATTTCTTGAATTGATCCCTTTATTTAAAAAAAAAAACCATGTAAATAACAATAATAATAAAAAGCGTATACAAATGTCTTGGTTTACTTACATGGATTCTGTCAAATCATCCAACTAGAGTAGAGTATAAATGAGTATCTTGATTTATGGTTATTGATTAAAGCTTTTTATACTTACTTTAATCATTAATTTTTTTAACATATCTTCCATTTTATTAAAATTTGTAATATTATTATTATTACATGTAGCAGTAGTTGTATTTGTAGTAAAAGTAGTAGTAGTAGCAGATACAAAGTCTGTTTGTTGTTTATTAGTCGTTGTATTCGTCTCAATTCTATCCATTGTTATTTTTTTTGGTAAATAAAGTCTATCATATAAAAGATAAAAAAAATCCCTTATTTATTTACGGTATATCATGTATTAATATATGATCATTGGCTATCTCGATTTGCTTTTCTCTTATTCTATTCAAGTTCTCAAATAAATAATTTGTACTTTTGCCTTCAAAATAACCATTACTTTTCCGTCCCTTTTTCTTTTATTTATTATATATAATGTGTGTGTATACCAAAAACCCTCATTTCATTATTTGAAAAGCATCTATCCACTTTTTTAAATTCTTCATTTAGTTTCTTTACAACATGTTCATGAGCTTCCATTGATAAAAAAAATAACAATAAAAATAAAAAAAAAAATAAAATAGCGGAAATAAAAGAGAACAATAAAAATAATAATAATAAAAAATAAAAATAAAATTAACCTGATGATTGCATAAAATAGTGCCATGATTTTCAATTGACACCAAATAAAATTCTGAGTTTTTATAATTATTTTTTTTTTCTCCCTTTTTCTTTCTTCTTCTTTTCTTTGTTTAATCAAACACATTTTTTTTTTAAAAATGGTCACAGAGGAAACAACTAACGTAATCAATCTTACTAAAGATGGTCAAGTGACCAAAAGAATATTAAAAGAAGGTGTTGGATTAAGCCCTGAAAAGAATGACACTGTTACTGGTAATAAAATAACATTATATGTATATTTTTTTTATTTTACTAAATTAAAAAGATGATAGTTCATTATGATGCCTACTTGTTTGATAAAAATATTTTATTTGATTCTTCGCGTGAAAGAAGAGCTGAATTCACTTTTTCTCTAAATTCGGGTAAGCATTTTTTATTTTTATTTTTTTTTTTTTTTTTTTTTTTTAAAAAAAGGGAATTGACTTGCCAGTTATTCATTAATATTCATAGCTGTTATCTAATGATAGGTAAAGTAATTCAAGCTTGGGAAATTGCCATTCCAACCATGAAAGTGGGAGAAATAGCTGAAGTTATTTGTAGTAGTGATTATGGTAAATATTTAAATTTATATTTAAAACTTGATTAGCTTCTCCATTAACTATCCATTCATTTCAGGCTATGGCGATGAAGGTAGAACCTATATTGTACCTAAGAAAGCGAAATTAAGATATGAAATCGAGTTAATTGGGCATTGGGAGGTTAGTTTATAGAATAATTATATATATTATCTAGATAATTTATTTTAATTGATGTCATATCCAGAGTGCAACAACTGCGGAAGATCGCATCGCTTCAGCAGAAAAGAAAAAAGCGGAGGGAAATGAATTGTTCAAGAAGGGTGCTTGGAATGAAGCATTATTTGCGTATAAAAAGGGAAGAGACTACATTAAAGATCTTTGGAATTGTGAATATGAGCAACTAGAGCAATGTCGTTATTTGATGGTTGCACTCCATCTAAATGTGGCTGCTTGTTATTTGAAACTAAAAAATTTTGAATATGCAATTGAAGTTTGCAAGAAGGCTTTAGATCGTGATTCAAGTAATTTAAAGGCTTATTATCGTATAGGTCAAGCTTATCTTCAATTAGGTGAATTTGATGAAGGTTTATCATTCGTAAATACTGGTTTAGAGGTAACATTGACATTTACTTGATTATTTATTTTTACTTACAAAAAAAAAAAAAAAACTTTTTGTTATATAGATGAGTCCAATTAATTCTGATCTTTTATCTTTGAAATCGACAATTGAAAAGAAGAAAAAAGATTGGATAAATGATTCAAAAAGAATTTACAAAAAGATGTGTAATTAAAAGAATAGACATTTTCTTTTCTTTTTTTTTTTTTTACGTTTATAATAGATAAAGTACAAACTTTATAATTTTTTTTTAAATATTCATATACATGTATTACCATACTTGATGCATATACTTTTGAACAGCCAAAAGAGCCTGATATCTGACTTCTTGATCTTCATGTGTCATAAGCTCCATAATACGTTGTTTGGCACCAATGTCTTGCAAAACACTATATTTTATAGAAATCAGTCAATGTGAATTACATGTATTCATATAAAAAAAGTGACTAGTAAACTCACTTTTTGCCTGATTTACTAGCATATTTAATATAATAGCCAATATCACTGGCAGCAACAGATAAAACTAAAGAACTATTAGATGTACTTAAAAGACGTGCAAGACTTCTGAGTAATTGATAATTATGTTCTTCGAATTTATGTGCATTTTCTTTCCAAAATACTTCAGATCGATGAGGTGGAGACCATTCTAATTTGCCTGTTTCAACTTCAGATGCGTATTGTTCAAAGGTGCTAATAAATACATACAGTGTATGTTAGCTATATTATCTAATATATAACGTCAAGCTAATTTTACGTAAGGCTCTGGAAATCTTCTTCTAATCGTTCCTTTAGATAATTAATATCTTCTAAAATATCTGCATCTGACCATTTACGTGTACTTAGGTTCTCAGTAAATGGCAATAATTTAGCAACTAACATAGCAGCTAAGTTCTGTGCAGGAGCTTTTTCGACAAGATTCTTAAATATAAATTTACATTAGTATCCTTTCTTCTCTTTCTTTCTTTCCTCTCTGTCTAACTTTACCTTTAATGTAGCAATTGAAACACGTATAACCTTTTCTTTAACAGCAGATTTTGCAATTTCTATCAATAAAGGAATGATATCATATTTTCTAATAGTGTACTACAAGTTAGATTTATCTACTTTTTTTTTTTTATTCTAGCTAATAATCTTACTCATTGATAGTAGCGGCAAATTCTTTTTCAAAAGTAAGAAGCCATAAGCAAAAGATAATTTGATATTGGATCTGAGGAGTAGAAGCAGATTTATTCAAGAAAAGGCGATGAACTAATCTATAAAACATAGAATATAAAAGGAGGGAGGATTAATAAAAGAATGATATCTTTGTTTATTTTTATTTTCATACTCTTTAACACAATTTTGTGTATTCCAAACAGCTGAACGATAAGCACTGACACGCAATATTGATTCTAATTCTTGAATGACTAGATTAACAACATCATTAATAGAGCCTGTTAATTTCCTAGTGATCCAATTTAATAAAGGAGAAATGTCGACTTGAGATGGTGAAGGTGCAGAGCTAATAAATTAATTTGTTATTGGAAATAACTCTTTTTTTTGGGGGTTTTTTTTTCTTTTCTTTTCTTTTACCAAGCAAGAATTGTCAAGACTTTTGAAACTTCGAGAGACATAAATTCTTCATCAGCTTCGAGATATTTAAAAAAAGGACCGAATGGAAAAGAAGGGTTCTCCTTTGAAGTCTCATGAAAATAGCGAGCATTCTCCTCCTTAGCTTATTTTATATATTAAGTTGTAATATTTTAGTAAAAAAAAAAAAGACACCTTTGAACTCTTTATTTTTCTACTAAATATAAATATACCTGAAAGAATATCATCTGTTATTAAACAAACATATTGAATAGTGTCAGGTCTTGATAAGTTCTGTAACAAATACATGATAAGAGAGGCATATGTTTGTCCTTTTTCGTTAATTGCATCTTGAATAGCAGTGAGTGACTTTTTGTCAATTGCTTTTATAACTTCAACTTGTTCATGAGTTAACAAACTAGCGCGTTCATATCCCTTCAAAATTGCATAATTGGATGAATTTCATTAACATTATTTTTTTTTTCTCCTTCTCCATTTTGCTTTCTCATCTTACCTCCCAAAGGATAGGCTTTTGTCTGACTGAAGCTGCTTTCTTATCTAAATAAGGGTTTGATACGAGGACAAGAGGAACTTCTGGAACTTCTTCAGCCATAGTCTTATTTTTATTATATCTTATTTTTTAAAAAAAGAAAAAAAAAAAGTATTAGAAACCTGTATTTTAAATAAAAATTTATGGATTGAATGAATAAAAAAAAAAGTGCAAGGAATAAATACATCTTTTCTCAAAATTGTGTTACACGAAAATATGTCGTCGCATTTAAAAAAAAAAAAAAAAAAAAAAAAGATATCCATCTATCGCATAAAAACCATCTACAATCAAATACTGCTTTTTATATTTATGAAAATACAACAACTTAAAGTGCTTTGTTGTAATATACAAGATAATGGTTACTCATCCCTTCTCTCGAAAGACTAAATAGAGCCTCGTTTAACTCTTTTTTTTTTTTTTTTTTTTTTTTTTTGACAAAGTTATCGTTATTAAAGTACTTTAGAGAACTTTGAGGCTGTTTAGCAAAACGAATAAGGGAAGAAATAAAATAAAAATTAGCATAATTATGTTCTTTATTTGAGTTTTGTATCTGTATTCGCCAGACTAAGAGAAGAGAAGGAAGCTACTTGGAATAAAAAGTGTATATTCCAAGCAAAAAAAAAAAAAAAAAAAAAAAAAAAAAAAAAAAAAAAAAAAAGAGAGAAGGATGGTATAATTGCCACTACTGATATAAATACTCAGGATTAGCATTTTCAATCATCTTTAAGGCAATTATACTAGATGTTTATATGATATTTCTAATAAAACCCACAAGCTAATTATAAGTTGCAGGAGATTGCTTGTCTACAACTAAAATACCTTTTGAATGCTAGAATCATTTTAAATTATTAAAAAAAAAGTCTCTATGAAAGACTGCTTTGGATCCTATTTCATTGCTTTGGCTGGAAATTAACTTTTTAATTTTATTATCATAAAGGTATATGAAATACTTCTAAATCTGTAGATTAGATAATAATATCAACTTTGATATATTTATTTATTTTTTTTAAAAAAAAGAAAGAAATCTACATTTTATTTTGATTGCAACATACTAGTTAAAGATGCTTGAGATTTCAAAATATCCAAAGCTTGTTTAATTTCTAAATGACGACGTGCAGCATCTAACCAATCCATTGATAGACGCTTTGGCCATCCTTTCAATTGGTTCATCTCTCTTGCAGCGCTTTCTAAATCTTTTTCAGTATTTAAATAATATTCAGCACGCGCTAATCTTGATTCAACATCATCTCCAGGCACAAGACCCTTTTTCTTGAACATAAAATGACTCAAAATGATTGAAACAAGGTGTGACATGATGGAAACATGCTCTTCATTTTCAGGTATTAACGATGCACGACGAACTTCACGTGCTACTGTTTCAAATCGTTCAGATAAAGCAGCAAGAGAAGTGATACCATGTTGTGCAACTTGATCTTCAATACTTTGAGTAATCACTTGGATTAATTCATCACTTTGGCGTTCTCCTACTTTAGCAAATGGTGTCTTTTGACTACTTAATTTCTTTAATGTCTCTAACTCTGCAAGGAATGCAGAAGCTGAGGATGTAGGATCACAACTAAAACCAAGAGCAGCATGTTTCAAAGTATCAATGGCTGCTATCAGTCGATGAGCTTTACGTGAATCATCCAAGATTTCTGCATCAGTATAGACATATTTCTCTAATTTACTCTGTCTTTCAGCCACTCTCTCAATTTGAGATAAACGACCCCCTCGTTCGTTTTCGACTTGATGTTGAATCTGAGTTACATACTCAGCCTGGATTTCTAATGCCTTCTTCTCTAACTCCTCTTGAAGTTCTTTTAGATAGCGTTGACGTTGAGTTAATAATTCATGTCGATATTTTTCCATGTTCTCCTGTTCTAGCTTTGCTTTCTCAACTGCCAATTCGGACTGTATTTGTTTTGCATGCTGATCAACACGAGCCATTGATAAAGTCTCTGCTTTCTTGATTTTCTGACTTATTTCATGACGTTGCTCATCTATATGAGAATCCAGTGTGTTGAGGGTTTTTCCCAATAGATTTACATCATCTTTTATTTTATCTTCCTCTTGTTGAATAAGTGCAAAGGCTTTATCGAGACTTTCAATATCACGACGTGCAAAATCGATCAAGCGCTTTGTATGTCCTGACATATCTGCTTCATTTAACATAATGACCAATCCTTGTACTGTCTTTTCGAACTCTTGAATTACTTTATCCTTGGAGGTATTAGCAAAGTTAGGTGTAGGTTGAGGTTCCGATGTATAGATGATATTAGTAAACAAGGCCTCTATATTCTTTTTCTTATTGAACAATAAGGAGCGTCTACTGTTACTATTGATAGGAGTAGGTGCTGTACCATCTACAGTTGATATATCTTTTTGACCTCTTAATTCAGTAATAACATCAGATACGTATTCATACCAATCTTGAACTGCTTCCTTTGTGTTGTCTGCAAACTTCTTAAAGCTCTCGGTTTGTTGACTCGTTTGGGCTTTAAACTGAACAGCCTTTGTGTAATAATGTTGAAAGCGATCATTTGCAATAAAATCCTCCAACGCGTCCAACAAATTTTCACCACCAGGGATATAAGTCGTAAAAGTATCGTAAAAGGCTTCATTTTTTAGGGCAAGATAAGCTGCTCCTGAATAAGCAGTACCAGTAAATAATGTGAGCCATAATAACTTTTTTCCAATCGATGATCCTGATTTAACTACTGCTGTTGTTGCTGTTTCATCTGCTGTAGCATATAATCGTTTAGTCTAAAAATGGTATCAATGATGTTAGTTATATTGCGTTTGAACTTCATTTTTCTTTTCTTTTTTTTTTTTTTTTTTTTTTACTATATGGATGTGGCTTGACCGACTAGTGATTAATCGTGTTGTCGATCTAGCAGCTATAGCTCCTCTTAACATTTTTTTTTAAATAAAAATAAATAAATATTTATGTGGGTATAATTTTTACGTATTGGAGAAAAAAAAATAATAATCCATACATCTACTAGCCAGGGCAAACTATAGGCGAACCCCCCTCCCCCAAGTTTGTGGGGGGCAATTTTTTATTTATTTATTTTTTTACGTCACAACAATCTCTTATTATTAGATCATTAGTACACATGGTTGCTGTTCTTTAAATGTACTATATTATGCATATCAGTTTCTTTTTTTTTTCTTTTTTTTTTTTTTTTTTTCCTTCTGGTTGTCAAGAATGTTCTCAACATTAAAACCCAACATTATTAGAATATCGTCAAAATCAGGACGCCGTCTTTTTTCTAATAAACAAGGCTTTGATAGTCTTGTGATGGGCGTCTATACGACAACAACAGACCTGACATCACCTTTATTAACTACACAACAGGTTTCAAACAAGACAAGACAAGTCATTCAACAACAACTTGCTGGTAGTAATTTCAAAAATGCAGGTGACATTCGTATGCTTTATAATGTAGGCGGAATTAAACAATTGGCTGTTGTATCGCTTGGAGAAAACTCAACTAAAAAAAATGAATATGAACAACAAGAAAATGTTCGTATGGCTGTAAAGTATCACACTAATATTTAATTCATAGATATTGGATAATATATAACTCGATTCACCCCCTTCCCCTCCCTCCCCCCCTTTTTTTAAAAAAAAAAAATAGACAGCAATTGGCTTACAAGCACTTCAAAAACAAGGTGCAAAATATACAGGAGTAGATGTTTCGGTTGATATACAAGCAGCAGCAGAAGGTGCTGTCTTGGGACAATTTTCATTTGATAAATTAAAGAAAAATCAAGAAAAGGAAGAAAAAAGGGTGATGCCTTATTTGACAGATGAAAGTCCAAGTGCTCAAAAGTCTTGGGAAACAGGTCAAATTTATGGGGCTTCACAAAATGTAGCTCGTATGCTAATGACTACTCCTGCTAATCTGATGACACCTAAATTATTTACTGAAGAAGTTGCCTATTTATTAGCAGGATTAGAGAATATTGATATTGAAGTTCATGGTGAAGAATGGGTCAGTCGACAAAAGATGAATGCCTTTTTATCTGTTGCTAAAGGAAGGTAATATGAATATATAGTATGAATAATGAATGATAAAGCTTATATACATATTCATTGATATGTAGCGTAGAGCCTTTGAGATTTTTGGAAATTCATTACAAGGGAGCCGCTAATAAGGATGAAAGGCCTTTTGGTTTAGTAGGAAAAGGAATTACTTTTGATTCTGGAGGTATTTCGCTAAAACCATCTGCAAATATGGCATTAATGAAAGGTGATATGGGCGGTGCTGCTGTTTCATGTGCTGCTCTTTTTGGTATTGCGAAAATGAAATTACCAGTTAATATTGTTGCTGTCATTCCTTTATGTGAGAATATGCCTTCTGGTAAAGCTACTAAACCTGGAGATGTAGTTAAGGCTATGAATGGTAAGTCAATTGAAGTCTTAAATACAGATGCTGAAGGAAGATTAATTTTGGTATGTTTTAATAATTTTAATCTTTACTATATATATATTATCATTGTGTATTTACATAGTATGATAATAATTAGGCGGATGCGCTACATTATATTTCTTCACGTTTTCATCCTAAGCATGTAATAGATTTAGCTACCCTTACAGGCGCTATGGATGTCGCTTTAGGTCAAGTTTATACAGGCGTATTTACGAATTCAGATAGTCTTTGGAAACAATTAAAAAAAGCAGGAGAGATAACTTCTGATCCATTCTGGCGTATGCCTCTTCATGATGATTATGTCTATGATATAAAGCAATCATTAGTAGCTGATTTGAGTAATGTTGCATCTAATCGTTCTGCAGGGTCCTGTGTTGCGGCAGGATTTTTACGTGAATTTATTGAAAAAGATATTCCTTGGGCTCATATTGATATTGCAGGTGTTATGGATTGTCCTTCTTCTAAAGGTCATCATATCAAAGGCATGAGTGGTATGTTATATATATATATATATATATATAATGTTTATATAAACTAATCATAAATTCTTGTTTCTTTCAAGGTCGACCAACCCGAGCTATAATTGAGCTTATGAAAGGAATTCATTCATGAAGAAGAAGAAGAAAAAAGACAATGTTTACATATTATAAATAAACAAATGGTATTATTCATAATTTGGAATTTATTAGTGTGGTATGGTGATGTCCATAAGTGTATTTCAATACGTATTATATAAGCTTCTAATAAAAGGCTCTGTCTCTATATAATTAAATGTTTAGTCAATGAAATAACCCTTATATGATATATACTAGATATAAATAAATATTATTATTATTTTTACTCGTTATTGAAACAAATTAGTCAAATGATAAATACTATAGAGCATAATTACATAATCATTAAAAATAACACTCTTTGCTTTTACTACATAGAATGCTTAATAGAATTAAAATAAGAATGCTGCTGTAATATAATTTAATTTTCTTCTATTATGTACGAATGCTTAGTTCAGATCATATATTATAAATATACAAGTGCATTATTAGCACTACTTTTATTCTCAAGGCGCAGTATGAATAGCCTAGTTTTTTACTGGAACGGCTTAATTTTTTTTTTTCATCACCTGGATAAATATAGCAGCGTTTCCTTAAAGAATAATTCAATTCATATTCATCTTGAATATCAAATCATACTATTAAAAAAATTCATAGATAGAAAGGAATATGTATTTTTTTTTATACATTTTTATTTTATTTTTTTATTTTGCGAATTTGAATAGTATTATTAAATATTATAAATTTACAATTGTGAACTCGTAGCTCTCTTATCAGATCTTTTTTTTTAATTGTTATTAAATATCGCCGCATAATCTTTAAATCCGAATGTTCAATTTCGGGCTTTTTTTTTATTCGACATTTTATCCAAAACAATTAAATATTATATAATAACTCCACAAACAAGTATATACATATTTTTATATTCTTTTATATAGTAAAGAATCACTTATTAAAGAGTTAGTAGTGTAGACATATCAAATCTTGACTTTATATGATATCGTTTCTTTTTTTTTTAAAAAAAAAAGATAATAAACAATTCTAGTAAATAGTGAATATTGTTCAGTTGATGGCGTGTTTAGCGTTTGTATTATTTCATTAATGGTAAATGTTTTTACCACTTTTTTTTTTTTTACTAATTTATAAGAACGCAGGAAGGGAGTTTGGGTCCACGACAATGAATAGTTCTTAAAAGGATATCATTTGATTGCTTATTCAATTTCAGCTTGTGCTATATTAAAAATCATTAGTATAGAAAAATACCAGTTGAAGTATTTTCGTTAAGGTTATCTGCTACTAAGATAGTAGAAGGCTTATTTGACATTCAATAGGAACTAGTTATTATTCTAGACCAGGATTTCAATCAACTATCAGCAATAGCCAAAAACATATTGAATAAACACATATTATTTTATGAATAATTTAATTATGATACAGTCTATCTTGCTAATAATAGACTCTTTGATTTATATCCATTCTCATATCGGTATTTGGGTAATATCCTCATTTCTACTATTTCTTTAAGTGTGGGCAGGCTTCTTTCTTCTAAAGGCTCTTTACCAAAATAGTAATCTCCACTGCTATTTACTAAGCTTTACCTCTTTCACAACAGTCATTTGACTACCTTCTAAATTGACCATTAGCAACACTTAACTATCAGTCTCTCTCTTTATTTCTATCATATATTTGAGGCATAGTAAACTCTATACACCACAAATAGCTAATTAAATTCTCGAACTATCTATACCTCATTCGTCAACTTCTTTTTTCTCCCAATATAAAAGCTTTTAAAGCAGACGTTAACTCCTTTAAACTCAAACTATACACTTATCTAAAACTTAATGACTAACATGTTTGAGCTATGTAAACTAAAGATCACTTGAACAACTCAGAAATGAAAAGTATATTGTTTCGTTAGTTTTTTTTTTTTTTTTTAACCATCGTTAACATACTAACCTATTCAAATTTAATTCAACAATTGAGTACTATACAACTAAATTAGAATATATTTTTTTTATTGAAGTAATGTTAAAATATAACTGTTCAATATTCCATAAATATTACAATAGTCTTTATTTCGCCTAAAATGTACTCCTTTAATAGTAAAGAAAGAGATGAATAAAAAAAAACAAGGTACTACCTGTTGGCTTCATAACTTTAAAATAAGTAATATTAGCTTCTCAGGTGCTTGGCGATCATTTTGGAACATACATTTTAAAAGATAGTGTATGCAGGCATAATATTATCCAAAGATAATTTTGAAGAGTTTAAGATCCATAAATAGACTAAGCTTACTTTATTATACTTCTTGTATACAAAAACCTTCAGTAGTTCAAATACTCCCTATTTCTATTAATCGTTCCCCTTTTCTTCTAATCTTAAAAAAGTATTATCGTTTTAGATATGAATATTAGTTCAATTGTTACTTTTATCACATTAGTTTTGATAACTTGTCTTTTGTCAAAAATATAAATTATATATGGATAATAATTTAATAAATGAAGTTGAACTATTTGGATTTTTTTTTTTCGAATTTGGACTTATAATATTTGTATTTTATCTTCTGGTATGATATTAGATAGCATTTAACTCATATCAGCATATTTGTTTTAACGAACTTTATTGCTCGACCAAATCAAGTCCTTTTCTCTTCTATAATAATAGATGTCCATATTAACTAAACTTCACATAGACACTGATAGATTTACAAGTTCGCTACAGAACTCTTGCTGTACTTTTTATTATTCAACTATATGATAGAATTATTTATTATCTGTTTTTTTTAAAAAAAAGAAACGATATCATATAAAGTCAAGATTTGATATGTCTACACTACTAACTCTTTAATAAGTGATTCTTTACTATATAAAAGAATATAAAAATATGTATATACTTGTTTGTGGAGTTATTATAATATTAGTCAAACCAAATTCTGGAATGACTCGATAACGGGTTTGTTCATTCATAACCATATGATCTTATTTATAAAGCACTGAAAAAAAATAAAAAAAAAATATAGCAAGACGGAAAATGGTACAGTGATAATTATATCTTAGCAATCATCAAATGTTTCTGTTTGTAAAAAAAAAAAAAAAAAAATGTGGGGAAATATGCGGGGATTATAATGAATTATTATTCTTCTTTTATTTATTAAACAAAGTGAAGAGAGTGATTTGTCTTACGATACATTATGTAAGATTCACTCACTTGTTATTCATTTAAATGATTGTTGTATACAAAATAGAAAAGCATGTTATAGCATATAACAAGTGTAACTTTTGTATTATGAAATTAAACATTGAATATGAAATCTGTAGGCATTATGGTTTTTATAAAGTTCAACACTATTTTGAATACCGCTCAAATGTGGGGGGGAGGGAAAAAGGAGGATAGACAAGTAGAGAAATAGGGCGGGAGAGGATAAGCCTTTAGGCGTCTATTCTACCACGTTTAATTCAGTTAAGTATGTGTAACATTGCTTTGTGACATCATATTTAAAGTTTTCCTTTTTCCTTTTTAGTTATAGACAAAAACAGCCTGTGGCATAGTAACTTTCTTTTGGGAAGTTCTTTTTTTTTTCATTAGAACTTACAAGAAGTTCAAAGGTTACATATTATACATCAGGGTATTAAATCCCACCCCTGTAGGATTATTAATTTCCCCATTCTTTAAAATTAAAAGACAGAAAGAAAAGCTTATCACTCAGTTTCAATAAAATTAGATAATCATTTATATCATTTTAAACTCTATTCCTGTACTTTATTTTATATATATTTTTTTTCTTATTTTTTATTTTTTCTTTTCTTTTCTTTTATATTTTTTTTCTTTTACTTTTTAGAAAATAATAGACCTAAAGTATGTCTGCAATTCGTACTTTTACCTCTTTGACTAAGGTTAGTGAACACTTACAATAAAAGAAGGAAAGGAAGCTAATGCATACATAATATATATGTATATATATACATATTAGGCTGCAACTCGCCAATCCTCTTTTCGCTTTACACCTGCTGTTGCTATCGGTGCTACTCGGGCTTACTCTTCAAAGGTTAAGGTAAGACAATAAAGAAAGTCTTATTTATTTTTTTGAGCACACTATATTTATTTATTTTTATGTTTATCGTTCGTACAATTGATCTTATGTAGACTTTGAAGGAACGTCTTATGGAAATTATCCCTGAAAAGCAAGCTGAAGTGAAGGCTTTTAAGAAAGAATATGGTTCTAAAGTCCTTGGTGAGGTTACCCTTGACCAAATGTACGGTGGTATGCGTGGTATCAAGGGCCTTGTTTGGGAAGGTTCCGTTCTCGATGCTGAAGAAGGTATTCGTTTCCGTGGTTTAACTATCCCTGATTGTCAAAAGGTGCTTCCTGCCGCTGAAGAGAATGGTGAGCCTCTTCCTGAATCTCTCTTCTGGTTACTTGTTACTGGTGAAGTCCCTACCCCAGAACAAGTCAAGGGTCTCTCTGCTGAATGGGCTGCACGTTCCGCTATCCCTGATTTCGTCGAAGAACTCATTGATCGTTGTCCCAAGACTCTTCATCCTATGTCTCAATTCTCTCTTGCCATTAATGCTCTTCAACATGAGTCTCACTTTGCTAAGGCCTATAGTGAAGGTATCCACAAGTCCCAATATTGGGACCCTACCTTTGAGGATACTATGGATTTAATCGCTAAGCTTCCTAATGTTGCTGCTAGAATTTATCGTAATGTTTATAAGGATGGTAAACTTCCCGCTATTGATGCCGACAAAGATTACTCATACAATTTCTCCAAGCTCTTGGGTTTCGAGAATAATAAGGACTTTGTTGAATTAATGCGTCTTTATCTTACTATTCACTCTGATCACGAAGGTGGTAATGTCTCTGCTCACACGTAAGTACATTTTTAAGAAATTGTATAACATTTGTGATAATCAATCTAGAAAAGATTATCTTATTTATTTCGTTTTTTTCTATCTCCTCTTTTTGTTTCAAAAAAATCTAATCTTTTTTTTTTTTTTCTTTTTTTCAATTAATTAGTACTCACTTGGTTGGATCCGCTCTTTCTGATCCTTATCTTTCTTTCGCCGCTGGTTTGAACGGTTTGGCTGGTCCTCTCCACGGTTTGGCTAACCAAGAAGTCCTTCGTTGGACCTTGAAGATGAAGGATACCATTGGTATTGATGCTTCTGAAGAACAAATTAAGAAATACCTTTGGGATACCCTTAACAATGGTCAAGTTGTTCCTGGTTACGGTCATGCTGTCTTGCGTAAGACTGATCCTCGTTATACCGCTCAACGTGAATTTGCCTTGAAACACTTGCCTGATGATCCTCTCTTTGGATTAGTTTCTAAATTGTATCACATTATTGTAAGTTCTTTTTTTGTTGTTAACAAAATAATTAAATTGGAAGAGGGAAAGGAAACTTAAAAAAAAGGGAGGGGAAAAAGCTAGCGAATAGAAAAAATAGAATAATAGCATTGTTCGAAAATACTAATTTTTTTTTTTTACTTAGCCCGGAGTCCTTACTGAACACGGTAAGACCAAGAACCCTTGGCCCAATGTTGATGCTCATTCCGGCGTTCTTCTCCAATACTATGGTTTAACTGAGCAAGATTACTATACCGTTCTCTTTGGTGTATCTCGTGCTCTCGGTGTTACTTCTCAATTGATTTGGGATAGAATTTTATTGTTACCCATCGAACGTCCCAAATCATTCTCTTCCGCTTATCTTATGAAGATGCTTGGTGCTAAATAAATCTTGTATATATTATAAATGATTGAAATAAAAAAGGAAAATAAATTTTAAAATTACAGTATTGGTTTTTGTCTGTAAATTTGCGGATAACTTTTCCTTTTTTTTTTCATCTTATTTTATTTTGAGTATAGTGACTTCAATTTTGTGGATAGCTTATTTACTTGTCCAGGTTATCTATTGAATATCATATCCAAATTACATGATTATCAACCGATATAGTCTTGGACGATTCAATGATTTTTATACTCCAATTATCGACTACATTAGGCAGTCTCTTAGGACAAACTCCCTTTGAACAGTTCAATAGGATTCAAGAATGATGTGTATGTAGGTCTTATATTTGTACAGTATAATTAGATTTTTTGAATCACCATTAACTTTATAAATGGCAGTATTACCCAGAATAAGATGACATCCTTTTATATCAAATTGATCCAAAGTATCCATTCATAATACAATATATATACTCCTCAAGTCATTTTGAATTTTTTTCATAATGGTGTGAGCTTCTGCTTGTGATTGATCTTTATTCCCTCCCTCCCCCCAAGCTCTAACAATAACAGTATATCTGGTAACTTGTTCAAATTCAATAGATGTTTGACTACCGACTCATCTAGTTCCTAGCTCTTTTTCCCAGCTATACCATTCTAATTCAGCAGTTTGGTATAAGTTATTCATATATTCAACTTCCATTACCTTGTACTTTAGAATGTCCGAAAAAAATAAAAATAAAAATATTATTTCATTAACAATAATAGAGGTATGATAATATATGTAACAAAATAAAATTATTATTTTATTTTTAAATGTATTATTTATATATTTTTATATATGAGAAAAAAAAAAGGGGGTTAGAGGAAGGAAAGAGAAGGAAAAGAAGCCTTTTCTTCTGAATATTGGGGAAGAGGGGGAGGGGAAGGTTTTTTTTTTTGCATTTAATCAGCTTCAGTAGTAGCGACTTTAAAAGGTTTCAATTTCCAAATCTTTTCAGCATATTCACGAATAGCTCTATCAGAAGAGAAGAAGCCCATACCAGCGGTACACATGATAGACTTCTTAATCCAGGCAGCTCTATCTCTGTAGACTTCATCGACTTCTGTATGCTTTTGAAGGTAGGATTTGAAGTCAGCAGAGATAAGATAGTAATCACCACCATAAGTTAATGTGTTGATAAGAGGACCAAAGACGGAGGGGTCACCGAATTCACCAGATTGAATTGTATCAATGACGACTTGAAGACTAGCATCGACGAGGAGACCATGGTACTTTTGATTATGACGAATATCGTCCACCTCATCAGCGAGAACACCAAACATAAAGATATTTTCTTCACCAATATGATCGCGAATTTCAATATTAGCACCATCTACGGTACCCAAGATAAGACCACCATTGAGAACAAACTTCATGTTAGATGTACCTGAGGCCTCAGTACCGGCGGTAGAGATATGTTGAGAGATATCAGAGGCAGGGATGATGATTTCAGCAAGAGAGACATTATAGTCAGGAATAAAGACCACCTTAAGTTTATCCTTGAGTTGAGTATCATTGTTGATTACCTCAGCGGCACTATTGATCAACTTGATAACGAGTTTAGCGATATAGTAACCGGGGGCAGCCTTACCACCAAAGATGACAACACGAGGGGTCTGTTGAGCAAGATCATCTGCAGCCATCTTCTTGAGACTCTTGTAACGATAGATGACACTCAAGATGTTCATGAATTGACGCTTATATTCGTGGATACGTTTCACTTGAATATCAAACAGGGCATTAGGGTTAATATCGATACCCATGTTCATCTTAATCCAGTTAGCTAAACGCTTCTTGTTATCGTGTTTGACGCTGGACCAGGCCTCTTGGAAGGCAGGGTCATCTGCATGTTGCTTCAAACCTTTCAGGAGTTCCAACTTGGTAGCCCATGCCTCAGATCCAAGTGTCTTGGTAATCAAGTCACGAAGACCTGGATTAGATTGATATAGCCAACGACGAGGTGTGATACCGTTTGTGATATTGATGAATTTCTCAGGACCATAATACTTTACGAAATCATTAAAGAGATTCTTTCTGATCAAATCGGAATGGAGAGCAGCGACACCATTGACGGTATGAGAGCCGACAACGGCCAAGTGAGCCATACGAACCTGTTGAGGATTGGATTCTTCAATGATAGAGACACGTTTCAACAATTCACGATCAGGAGAGAAATCTCTCTCGACCTTTTGTAAAAAGAAGAGATTGATATCATAAATGATTTGCATATGACGAGGCAAGACCTTTTCCATTAAGGGAACAGACCAACATTCAAGAGCTTCAGGTAAGACAGTATGATTCGTGAAGGCAAAAGTACGAGTGACGATATCCCAGGCGTCATCCCATTCTAAACCTTCCACATCTACCAAGATACGTTGTAATTCGGGAACAGCTAATGTGGGATGGGTATCATTCATTTGAACAGCGACCATTTCAGGGAAATCCTTCCAAGGACATTTGGCACGCTTAAAGCGATGAATAATATCTTGGAGAGAGGCACTTACGAAGAAGTATTCTTGTTTTAATCGAAGTTCCTTACCAACCAAATGATTATCATTAGGATAAAGAACGGAGGTCAAGTTTTGAGCATTATTTTGTTCAGCGACTGATCTATCGTAGTCACCAGCATTAAAGGATTCAAAATCAAAGGTATTCATGGGCTTAGAAGACCAAAGACGAATATTACCACATACCTTTGTATCAAAACCAGGAATAGGAACATCATAGGCCATCGCCTGTACCTTTTCACCACCTTCCCAAGACATACGTGACTCACCTTTTTCATTCATCTTTGTAGCAACGTAACCATAAAAGCGGACCTCATAACGAATATCAGAGCGAGGGAATTCCCAAGGGTTATCAAAATTTAACCAGTAATCGGGCATTTCAGTTTGATAACCGTCCTTGATGATCTGCTTAAAGATACCATATTGGTAACGAAGACCATAACCCCAAGTAGGATATTCTTGAGTAGCAGCTGAGTCCATATAGCAGGCAGCAAGACGGCCGAGACCACCATTACCGAGGGCAGCATCCTTCTCTTGACAAATGATATCTTCAAGATTAAAACCAAGATGCTGAACACTGTCCTTATAATTATCTTTAATATGAAGACAGTTTAATGCATTATCAAGGGCACGACCAATTAAAAACTCCATAGACATATAGTAACAACGTTTAGGATTTTCCTTATGTAAGGCTTCTTGAGTAATATTCCAATCCTCCAACAAACGATCGCGAACAGAATGAGCAGTAGCTTGATACATGGCCAATTTATCAACATTGTAAACACCACGACATAAGGTAGTAATAGTATGATGAACAATATCACCTTCAATAGAGGCAGTATCATTCTTCTCAGGGGTAATATACTTTTTCCAATTTGCTTTCGCCGTTTCATTCAATTCTACACTATTAGAAGGACGCGAAGGGACACTATTAGGGGTAACCGAGTGAACATTATCATTATCATCAACATGAATAACCACATTCGTTAAACGACGGGTCAATTTTGGCATTGACAAACGACGAGGTCTAGAAGAGGTAGGTGTTGTACTCATTCAGGAAAAAGAAAAACAATAATAATAAAATAAAATAAAATGAAGAAAGATAGAAGAAGAAGAAAAAAAAAAGGAGAGAGAGAGAGAAAGGTTTAAGGGTAAAAAAAAAGTCGATTATTGTTTTTTTTTTTTGACACAGTTTTTTATTTTATTTTATTTTTTTCTAATTTTCCTTCAAGGTTTGTCTCACAGTTTATGCTATAAAGTTGTATTTATTTAACCCCAGCCTAATTCTTTTTTTTTTTTTTTTTTTTTTTTTTTTTTTTTTTTTTTTTTTTTTTTTACGTCTAACCCTCGTAATGGCTCTATAAAAATGTATTCAGGAAATTATTTTAAACAAGTTTAAATGTGGACATCTTCTTCTTCTCTCTTGTCCCCTAAAAAAGAAAAAGAAAAAAGAAAAATAGACTGCTTTAAATTAAAATTGCACATAACAAACCATACAAGCAAAATACATCCATCAAAAGATACCAATAAAGAGGTTTTTTTTTTTTTTTTTTTTTTCAAAAATTATGCATGCATTAGGATAACAAAATAAAGGGACACCAGCTCCGTTTGAATAATTCATTACTATGTCTAATAGCATTGTTATGAAAAAAAAATGTATGTGTGTGTGTGTGTGTGTGTGTGTGAAGAGTTAGAGAACTCGGAAATAAGGTAAAGGAAGCTGAACAAAATAAAAAGAAAAGATACTTGACATTATTTTTATCTACAATGTATAAACTCATAAAATTGTTATATTTTTATACATTTCTTAGGTTATAAATTTTATATATTTAAAGTATTTTAATGACGCAATCTATATTATATTTATATTTATATTTATATTCATGTTCATATTAATATTTATATAATTGAGCTTGTTATCTCTGAGTAAGTAATTTTGGTTCAATGAATAAAGCTTTATCACCATTACTATCATCGTTTAAAGCAATTACAAAAAAGAAAGAAAGATTCAGTATCTATTGTTAGTTTTCCTTTAACAAAGTATAAACTGCATATAAACATCAGGCTCTTTATGTCAATTATACCGTGTTTACACATCTTATTCAGTAACTTGCTTATGTCAAAAAATAAATAAGATAAAAAAAATAATTGAGTTCTAACTTAATTTTGTCTCCCATGTATGTTGGGTTATTCTTCCCGTTCCCAAAAAAAAAAAAAAAAAAAAAAAAAAAAAAAGGAACATAAAATCATCTGGAACAAGATCCCTATTTCTAATAGTAAAATTGAATAATAACCAAATTTATACATTATTATGTAAATAATACAAGCAATTAAATAAATAATAAAATATTTATAATATCAAACTCTTTTTTTTTTTTTTTGACTTAATCTCGAGTAATTTACTGTGATGAATAACGTTTTATACTCTTTGAGGATTAAGATTCACTTAGTTTTAAAGAATCATTCATCATCTTTTCAAATAAATCATCAAACCTTCTATTATAATTAGTTTTCAGTTGGTTACAATTAGATTGAAATTCTTCTAATAAATGATCTTTCTGAATCTCAAAACGATGAATACAAGATTTCAATCGTTTGTCAAGCTGTTCTTGTTCGACTTGTTTTTGAAAGAGATCCATAGAGTGTGGGTATCGTTTTAATAAGAATGAAATCGCCTTTTCTTCTTTATCCTCTATTTCTTTTTCTTTTAAAGTTTTTTCCAACTGCTTGATACGCATTGTTTGAGCATTCATCTGTTTTTTTATAGCATCTATGATTTCAGTATCAGTTAATGAGTCAAGTATCGGCAGGTCGCTAAAGGTAGATCTTAATTTTTTATACACTGCTCCGTGAGTAGTGACCTCCTCTTTTGCTGTAGTACTTGATTGATTAAAATGTGTAGATATGAATAGAGTATTATTACTACTACTACTATTAGGATTATTCTTTCTTTTTGCGAATCCTATGGAAGTAGTAGGTTGTTCTTTGTATTTCATTTCTTGTTGATTATGAGAACGTAATGTGATTGTACTTTCACTTTTACTACTTTTATTTATTGACAATCCATTTAATTTCCTTAGAGCAGCTTGATATTGAATTAATTTATTATCATCATTTGATACTGTAGAACATGATAAAGTTGAACTAGCATGACTACTGCGACTGCTTTTACTATCACTCTGACTCTTTCTTCTGACGATTGTGTAATAAGAATAAGGTACTGACTCAGAGCTCTTTTTCGGCATACACTTTATATTTTTTCAAGAGTATAAAAGAATAGAATAAAAAATAAGAAATTTTTCTTTTCTTTTTCATTTATTTTAGAATAGCACGTGTTTATTGTCATACACTATGTGTATACTTTGCAACTATCTATCTCTAACGATAAACTATTGATCTATCATTTTAAATTTTATATGTTTAAGAACAGTATATTGTTAGTCTGAAAAAAAAAAGATTTAATGACCTGGTTGATAGTACTAAATTATTAATCATTAAGCGTCCAACCTCACTTTTGGCTTACAAAAATATAAGTTATATAAATACATGATTGTTAGTAGCCCTGACCAAGAACATTGCATCTAAGAAAAGAAAAAGAAACAAAGGTTGAATTTCAAACTGAATGAAAGAATCTAAAAGGAAAGTAGATAAAAGTGTATGCAATATACAGACTCCATCTTTCTTTGTAACATTAATCGTGAGTGGGAGGGGAATTATTTTTAATATGTATTACATAGTATAATAAATGTATTATCAAAAAGATGACTTTTATAATTCGTTTTTTACTTATTTAGAAAGGATCTCAATACTATACTATTTTAATTCTCAGAAAGAGATATTAGTTTCAACTTGTTCCATTAGTTTAACAATTATGCTAAAATAAACTTTTCAGGAGAAAGAAGAAAAAAAAATATAAACGGTAATAACATATAAATTTTAAAAGGCTGTAAGGATATTTGTACATGCATATACTTAAAAAGGAAAGGATCTGTGGCCTTACTTTATTAAATTAAAAATCCCAAAGGTTAATAAAAGAGATTAAATCTTTATGAGTAGATAACCAACACATATTGCATCACTAATTTTTTTTATTCTCTTTTGCACCAGGAATAAGCCAAAAAACAAAGAAGAAAAGTGATAGCCCAATCACCACAAAAATGGCACATTTGAGGAGAATAAATCGAGTCATTTTTTTTTCTCATAGGTTTTCTGGTAATCAAATCTAAACATGTATAAAACCTTAAAGTTTAATCATAATAAATATGATCAACACATAATATAATCGATTCCAGCTATGTTAAAATAGAGTCGTACATGTAAAGGAAGGTAGCACAATCGAACTATTAGAAGACCCCCCCCCATCAATAAAAATAAAATTATAAATTGGTGCCTGAAATGTTATCTTGCCGATTTCCCCTGGATATAAAAAATCATAATTTAATGTTACATGATTAAATCGTTAAAATAATAACGATTTACGTCTCCTATTTCAAGCAAGACAAATTCAATTGAAAAAATAAAATAAAATAAAATAATACACAGATTTTAATCAAGAAAAAAGAAAAGCAATTTTATAATTTTGCTATAAAACGCATATAAATAAAGATATTTTGTTTGTTATGATATAAACAGCAATCATCATTCATATATAAGGAGGAAGAAAGAGGTTATCGTGATAAAAAGTGTCGATATTTGTGTTATAATAAGAAGTTGGCTTTGTGATAAGGGTAAAAAAAATCCATTAAATAATTGGCATAGTATAAATTAACATGAATCAAAAGGATAGACAGTATAATAAATGAATAGATGTAATATATGCATGGTAAGGAATGGAGGGGCTTAGGATGATGATGGGATGTATCAGTTTAATAAATGCTTAACTGTTAAACATAAAGGTCGAGCCTGCTTTGGCTTTAATAATCTATAATTGTTTTCTATGATAGGATACAAATATCCTGAAGATAATGATGAAGAATCATTTTTGTTTGAGCAAGATAAAGAAGTAAAAACATGTTCGTTATGAGTGAATCCATTTGATTTTTGAATTAATTTTTCAACATATTGACGTCTTTCTTGAGAACTTAAACGACGATTTACATTACTTGATTGATGAACACGTAGATGTCTCCTTAAATTACTAATAACTGCAAAACGACGTCCACAACCAGGACTATATTTTTATATATAAGATAAATTTACCTTTGTTTTATTTTATTTTTATGTAGTAAAAAAAACTTACGTATCGCACATATGAGGCTTTTCACCAGTATGAGTATAGACATGCGTTTGTAATGCACTTGGTCGATTAAAATATTTTGAACATAAGTTACAATCATATCTCTTTTTAGTCACTTTGCTATTTTTCCTTGAAGTAAACCCAGCTTTTTGTTCGTAATTATGAAATGTTAGCATATTTTATGAATAATAAGAAAAGGAAAATATAAAAAAAAAAAAAAATCAAATAACTAAATAAATAAATAAATAAACTACATGTAAAACCATAATAATAATAATAATAAAAAAGGGAGATTTTATAGTGCATCAAGTCATGCAATAAGTAAATAATAATAATAATAATAAAAAAGGAAAAAAAAAAAAAAAACGTCATTTTCGTAAATCGATAAAGTAAATAAGAATTTTTTTTTCTCCAATCTTTTAGTCCCTTATTTGTGTATCTATCTGAACCATAGGCTTGGAATTTTCGCTGATTTAAAATGCCAAAACATAAAAAAAAAAAAAAAAAAAAAAGCATAAACAAATTTATAGCCAATCGGAAGAGTTTTTTTTTTATTAGTTACATGGATACTACAACAGCATCAAAAAAAAGATATATTAAAATATTAAACATGTAATACCACACACTATTTTATGATTTGAAAGTATTAGACCTGATTACACTAATAAATCAATATCCTGTACGAATTTATAAAAAGATGTTGTAAATAAATAGCACATGTATCTATTTTCCTGTGAATCATTATCTGATCTGCTTTTTGTTGCTGTTGTTGCTGCTGTTGTCGTCGTTATTGTTCCAAATCGAGATGCAAATCGATCTGCTGAGTCGTTTTATATACATATAAATATATAATTGCGTAACTTGTAAATTGTGTAAAGTAAGATAGTCACTCATAGTCAACACAACTACGCTGCTTTAAAATATAAAATGATCCGTTATAAACCTATCTTTCTTCTCTAAGAAAGAAAACACATGAATGTAATCAAGTAAAGATAAAAAAAAAAAGTATTTCATATAAAATTTATTATGACTCTAAATTGATTCCGATTTTCTATATACAATTGCACCTTATCCAATCAAATGAATCCTTTACTTTTTATTTTTTTTTATTTTTTAGTATAACAGGGTGGTCCATAAACAGGAATAGCAAAATAAAATAACAAAAACCTTTCTCCTTCCCCTCTTTTTTCTTCATTTACATAAATAGATAGCAATGACTCAACCACATGACAAAAACAATGAAGCTTTAATAGATAAAGTCAAAGAAGGCAAAGTCGATTCATTAGAAAGCAGCGCACGTTATCTTGCTTATGGTGCTCGTTTACGTACCGCTTTAGTGGCCTCTTCTCGCTATTTAGCATATACATCAGATGTGGGTGAAGCATTTCGACCGATTGTTCCTCCTGCTATTGTTACAGCTGCATATGGCATTAGTTGGCTTTATTTAGGTTTAGATGTTGGTTATGAGGGTTACAAATCGGCACATGCTGGACAAGTAAAAAAAAAGAAAAAAAGAAAAAAAAATGACATGAAATTAATATATATAGATATACACACATATATATAACCAACTAATTCCAATGTTATCCTTATTGATCTAGGATAAAGGAGTTGTTGCAACAACAGTTGTAAAAAGAGGTCTATTTCAATCTTTGGCCTCGATGGCTTTCCCAATGTTGACTATTCATTCCATTGTCAAATATAGTGCTTATGGATTTAAAAATGTAAAGAATCCTAAAGTGAAGGCCTGGGGTCCTACCCTTTTAGGTCTTGGCATCGTCCCCTTCTTGCCTTACATATTTGATGAACCTATTGAACACATCGTGGATAAAATATTCAAACCTATTGAAGAGAGAGTGTCTCCAAATCCTGTTTCTCGATTAGGTCATAATAAACTTGGAGATGATTTACCTACTGAACAACAAATTTTAGCTAAAGAGCAATTAGACAAGAAAAATCAATAATGATAACAACAGCAAAAATTTGGATTATTTATTTTATTTGTATAATAAACTTTGTTGCCGCATAAATAAAGTTCTTTATGTCATGTACATTTTTTTTTTATTTTTTTAAACGCCACCACTTAATTCTCTTTCAAGTGCATCAACATCCATAGTGTGACCGATTTCATTATTTTGCGCAACGGGTACAGCTGTAGCAGCTACAGAAGAGGAATTTCTATTACTATGACGATTATCCATATTCTTTGCAACATCCTTGCTTCTTTCTAAAGCTTCACGTTCACTAGCACTTAGACTTTCCTTTCTTTTCAAGTTAGAACCATGTGTAGCATTATTAGTGGTATTCATATTATTATTTCCCAAGTTATGTAATTGTAATGGTGGTAATCCTTGTTTTTGTGCCTTGAATGTCATTACTTCTTGTGCAATCATTTCTGGTACAAGAAAGAATGATAAATGAATAAGATATTCTATATCAAGTCAAGTTAAAAGACTTACTGCGCATATCTTCTATTGAGTCAACAGCTTCAAATGAAAAATCAAATGTTTGAGTATGAGAAGGCTCGTCATCTTCATCGTGATAAGCGCTAAGATAAGGATGCGCAAGAGCTTCTTCAACAGTAATTCTCTTTGCAGGATCAAAAGTAAGTAATTTTGTAAGAAGATCGATAGCTAAAGGTGTTGCTCGAGGGTAAAGATTTTGAAAGGGAATTTGAGGCATTCTTGTTAAGCTACGAATATAAACTTGAGCCTATCATTTTCAAATATGTATATAGAATTAGTATATAAATACATGTGCTTTTCATAAATAGATAATATACATACTCGTTCGCTACCAACACGGCATAAAGTCTCTTCATCAGGTGTACCAAGGATTCCGAGAATTTGATTTAATTGATCCACATCTAATAGACATAGTTTATCGATTAATTAAATTCTTAGGAAAAAAGAAAAAAAAACATGCATATTCAATAGTACTTTACAATCACGTCCTTTGAAAAGAGGTCGACCACCTAACATTTCTGCAAAAATACAACCAACAGACCACATATCAACTTTTTATATACATATTAAATTTAGCCTTTCTACATTTATCAATTATGTTTGTCTACATATTCAACTTACTAGCTTTAGTATATTGTTGAAAACTCAACATAATTTCTGGGGCTCGATACCAACGTGTAGCAACATATTCTGTCATGAACCCAGCATTTCCTTCAGGTGAAGAAGAATAGCCTCGAGCCAAGCCAAAATCACAAATCTTTAATTCACAATCAGCATTAACTAATAAATTACCAGGCTTTAGATCTCTATGCAAAACCTATTATATATATTATAAGTATACAATCTACAAAAATAAATGGAATCATATTATATGTATATTTACGTTAGCACTATGGATATATTTAAGTCCTCTACATATTTGGTATACAAAATATTGAAAGTGAGCATCGGTTAAAGGTTGTCCAGATCGAATGATTTGATGAAGATCTGCTTCCATCAGTTCTTGAACTAAATAACTATATATGTACATATTTTTTTTTTAAAAAAAAAAAAAGAAAATAAATAAATACATGTCTATTACATAGATGCATGTATAAAAAAAAAAGCATTTAAATATTTACATTTCGTTAAAGTCTTGTAAATTAACAATATCCATATCAATAATTGACGTAATCTAGTATAACATTGTTGTTGTTAGTAAACCAAAGTAGATCATATTAAACCCATCACGTCTAATTTACGTTTTCATGACCGTTAAAATGTTTTAATAATTTAACTTCACGTAGAGCACGTTTAGCTAAAATAGTCTTTTCAAAAATACGACAAACCTAGTCCCCCACCATTAAAAGAAAAGAGGGGAAAAAAATATAATAAATGATTCAGGTTAGACACTCAGTTTCCTGAATCAATCTACTCGAAGGAAAAAAAGAAAAAAAAATATACTTTTTAATAGCCACTTGTTCGTTTGTTTCTGTATCTTTTGCAGCACTTTTATAAGAAGGTTAATGTAAATCTTTAAACAGAAAAAAAAAATTAAATATTTTGTTACCAAACAACACCATATGCGCCTTGACCCATTTCACGAATGAATTGAAACTTTTTGTCTACAATGAATTGTTGATTTAAGACTGGAAATGAGTGATATCCTGGCATATTCGATAGTATCTTGTATTAAAAACAGATAATAATAATAATAAAAAAGGAATTGTGCCGACATTTTTGAATAGTAATAATATTAAAGTTAATTATCGGAGAAAGAAAAAAAAAGGCGTTTTGAAGAATCTTGGCGTGAAAATGAAAAAAAAAATATAAATATATAAAGACAACTCTTAATCCGAGAATTAAGCTTTTAATGATTACTATTGCTGTTAATAGGATTCCGTTATAAAGTTTTCTCTTCTTTTCTTTTGCATAGAATAGAATATATATGATTTTAGTTTGACGCGTTATATTCTCAGTGTTTTATATAAACTCATGATAATAAGTTTAGGAAGCATATTTTACTTTAAAAAATAGAATTAAATTTTTTTAGGGATTAACATCTTTTCCTCTTACTACTGTCATATCATAATAAAAGAGTAATAAGTAGTAGGAGGGAAAAAGAAGAGAGAGGATAAAGAAGGACTTGATTCATATTTATTATACATAATCTATAATATATAAATGTATGTATGTACATAAATGTATGCTGTTACTATTAGTTCAAGTAAATTTTATTTTTTTAAAAAAAAAAAAAATAAAAAAAAAATAAAAAAAGATAATCAGGAGCTACCGGAGAGGTCATGCTTGGTAACTCACATTATTGTAGTAACTAAATTTAAATACTGCTATTTTCGATTTTGATGCAGTTTCCTAGTCTAGATAAGAAAAAAAAAAAGTTATTTTATTATTAGAGAGGGGAGTTCAACTGATTCCAGCCAATTAAAAGCTATCTCTATTTAAGACATCAAATTTCGCATACAGTAACATGACGAAAAAATGACATGCGGATATAAAAACTGAAGTTTCGCCAGTAATAAATGATTATGCCGTATTATTAATAATAATAATACAAGTGTTTATCTCCCTTATGCTTTTTTTTTTTTTTTTTTTTTTTTTTTTTTTTTTTTTTTTTTTTTTTTTTTTTTTTTGCTACTAAATATACAGGTATATGCAATAATTTCAGTAAAACAAAAATGTAACAATAGCATGCTTATTTTTGAATTTATATTTATACACGTTTGAGAAAAAAATAATAATAATAATTGCATTATTATCTATAATACTTTTGGCAAAAAAGAAATATAACATAATTAAAAGATTTAAGTTATCTTTAACTTTCCTTTGTTAATATAAACTATTTGAATAATACAGCATTGTTTACATAAACAACAAAACTGTTTTCTATTTTATTTAAGTTCTATTTATTTTTAAACGTTGAGAAGGGAAATAACTTGGCATTTATACCATTTTTATAGGTAAAACTTTATAATTGTCAGATAGATGATGATGTAATACAGCCTGTTGTATAAAAAAAAAGGTATATTTAAATATAAATTATAAATATAAAGATAAATATACATATACGTATTACGTATACATATACCTAGACGTACACATAGACGTACACATCTATAGATACACATACACATACACATATATACATACGCATATACACATACACATAAAAGAATAGACATTACAAAAGATAAATATCAAATAGATCGTTTCTTTATTTACTATTGTTCACTTTTATTGTATTCACTTTAAATAAACACAACCCCCCCATAAGCTTTCCTTTTAACCCAGCACCTCATCTTTTTTTCTAAAAACACACACATAGATCAAAGTATACGCTATTTTAAATTTGCACATGCTTTTACTCTTTTTTTGATAATAGCAGATGAATTGTCAAGAAGATAATATATTATTCACTTTGAATGTGTATACAAGCTTAATATGTAATTTCTTACGAACTCATTGTTTTCTGTTCTACCTATCAGAAAATTATTTTTATTTTCTTTTTATCTTTTATGGTGACTAGAAAGAAAAGTCCGATTGTCCAATACCAATAAGAGCCATAATAAAGAAGCTCTTTTAATACTATTGCTATCATATGAATTAAACAGGTCGTTTATATAAGTAAATTTGTATTGAGTTGTTATTTATAAATATAAAAGAAAGAAATGAAATTACGCGTGTTTAAGTTTTTTTTTTCTTTTTTACTTTTTTTTTTTTTCTTTTTTTAAAAAAAAGATCAAATCTTTATTTTCTCTAATTATTTAAAGATTGTTCAGCTGAAAGGGAAAAAAAACCCTTTTTTTATGGTTAAAAAAAAAAAAAAAAGGGAATATCTAGACGCCGCTTCTTTCTTACTTTTTTTATCCTTTTTCTCCTTCCGCTTAAGAAAATAGAATCAGTTATAAAAAGCATTAATTTTTAACTTTTTTTTTTTTTTTTTTTTTTTTTTATAAATATATATTTTCCTTTCCTCCATTACTGTTGTTGGATAGTTTTTCTTTTATTTATTTATTCATTCATTTCTTTTATATATATTTATAGATATCAACAATAACAAAAAAAAAGTAATAAAATATGATGTCAGATATTTTACCAAAATCTGTTGGTCGTTACATCAAATACATTATTTTCACTTATGCAATGATATCTCTTGTATATACTGCAGTCCGTTTTTATAATATATCTGGTAATCTACATACAAGAGCAAGAAGGAGTATAGAGGATTCATTAAATCCAGTTGAAGAAACTTTCTTTGTTGCTCCCTTTGCGGATGAAATAATGGAAGAAGACGAAGAACTAAAGTCAATTGTTTATTTTGACGACCAAATGACATCTGTGCTAGATAATGGTAAAGTAAAAAAAAAAAAAAATAAACTATTTATGCAGGGTGTAATTAATTAATAGTCAATTCCTTTTTATAGAACCAGAACCAGTGAATACTCTCAATACAGTTAATTCAGTTCTGCAATCCAAAACGTTTTCAGGCGCAATGGGCCCTTCTGAAATTACTCCTTATTATATTAAAGCTACTGAAAATTTTAATACAGAAGATATCTCTATCTCTACAATTGTGACAAATGATCGATTCCCTATATTAAGTAGATTAGCAACCAAATATCAAGGTATATACATATTTATATTCTTTTTAGAAAGAAAGAAAAAAAAAAAAGATCAAATAACTCTGTCATATAAAAGTCTAATTTTTTTTTTTTTATTTATTTAAAAAATAAAAATAGGACCTATTTCGGCTGCAATTCATATTAATGACGATGAAAAAAAGAAAGCCGTGTTAGCTGAACTTGATGAATTATTCGAAGAAAATCCATACATGAAACGTTATGTGGATGTGCATTTAATTGTTGATAAATATGATAGACAATTCAACATGTGGAGAAATGTTGCAAAACTCTATGCTCGTACTGATTATATCATGATGCTTGATATTGACTTTTATCTTTGCACTGATTTCAGAAAGGTGATTCTTGAAAACCCTGACCTGATGGCTATGTTAAATGAAGGACATACTGCCTTTGTCATTCCTGCCTTTGAATATATTGCCCAATCAGATGGATTTGACTATACACATTTCCCAAAGAGTAAAGATGAATTGCTAAAAGAAGTTTTTGAAGATGAAAAACTGGACATGTTTCATCGTAGTTGGGAAAGAGGTCATTCTTCTACAAATTACCATAAATGGTATACTGCTACAGAACCTTATCGTGTTGAAGAATATAACTTTTCTTATGAGCCCTATATTGTCTTCAAGAGACAAACCTCTCCTTGGTGTGATGAACGTTTTATTGGTTATGGTGCTAATAAGGCTGCTTGTTTATATGAAATCTATATATCTGGTATTGATTTCTATGTGCTTCCAAATGATTTTATTATTCATCAATCCCATGCATACCCTGAAGCTGCTCGTAAAAGAGAAGTAAGTACAGATGATAGTTAGTTAGTTAGTTAGTGAATGATGATACTAATAATTGTATGTGTATGTGTGTGTGTGTGTTTCTCAATAGCGTACGTTTAATAGAAAAGTATATACTAACTTTCGTGAAGAACTTTGTCTTCGTTATGCTCGTCAGTTCATAGCCAATGGTGATTGGAATATTTCTATTTCAAATAACTTGCGTACTGAATGTATGAAAATACGTGAATTTTCTAATGTCATTCAAGCCATTGATCAATAGCTTGAACAAATGATTCCTTTTACCAAAGTTCTTTATAGTATTTTCTATACATATATATATATATATATTATTTAATTTATGTATTATTTCTATCTAGTCTTTTCTTTAAACTATTTAATTTATCTTTCCATGTACATTTTTCTTTAATTTTTTTTATTTTTATTTTTACTTTTATATAGTATTTATATCTTGTTATATATCCTCTTTTTCTCCTAACTTTGCAAATCATTCACTACAAAAACATATATAGTAGCTTATATTAATAAATATATACTACATGTATATACAACACCGTATTCTCTTTTTTTTTTTCTAGAATTCTTTGCAATTAATCTATGATGTATTATAAATCATTAGTTTAAATAAATGATTGGGTCATAATTTATAACAAATGGTATAATAATTATGCTGTTGCTTATTTACTTTATTTCTTTTCGATTAGTTCAATAAACTTTGATGATTTTATTTTTTAATTAATTATTACATATCTAATAAGTACTTAATTTATTCATATACATACACATACATATACATATATACACACACACACACCTAGTATAAGAATCAATACATACACTACGCACTTATATTCTCTCTTGTGTGTATATAATTATTAAATATGGCTTTTTCTATCTCACTCACACACATTTGAAAAAAAAAGGGGTTAAATAGTAAATTATTAAAAACGATATAACCTATCTGTAACATACTAAACTTCCTTCTTCTTCCTTTCCAAATGCAGTAATTTGTTTTCATATGAAAAATGCACAGTTTTTTTTTTTTTTTTTTTTTTTTTTTAAGATTGAGTTTAGTGTAACAAACGTTTTATATTAAAAATAACGTATTTTCATTTATTTATCAATCAGAAGAAAAAAAATACAATGAATAGCTTATTTTTATTCAAGGACTTTAAGCCTATTATCACTCATCTACTACTACTCTTCACCCTTCCTATCATCATATTCTGGGGTGAGTGAGTGAGTGTGTGTGTGTGTGCATATGTTTTATCATATAATTAAAAATTAAATACCAGATATATTAAATTTAATTTCAAAGAAAAGAGGCGTAATAATTACAAAATTTAGGTTTATTATATACTTTGCAACAAACTAAACACTCAAGGCAGTCTTAGAATAAAGTGGCTGGCTATTCCCTTTAAATAAATAATTGAGGAGTTATATTCAACAAAAATTAGTGTGGAGTATGAAATAATTAAGATTTAACACAATAGAAAATACTACAAAAATTATTATTTATAGGAATCTACTAAAAGACTATCGTCAGTATGAACCTGTCAAGAAAAAAAAGAAAAAAAAGAAAAAAAAGAAAAAAAAAAGTGGCACGTTTCATACAGATGAGAGGACATTTGGCTTTTATCAACTTGAAAATGATGTTTTTTCTTATCTTATAAGAGCACTACTATTCCAACTACAGCGTATCAATCATAATTAAGATAACACAGCTAAAATATATGTTTAGCGCTTTTAGAATGGTATCTTTTTTTTTTTTTTTTTTTTTTTTTTTTTTTTTTTTTTGCAAGTATTGATTCAAAACATTAAAAAGTTTAACGATAACAGCAGACTGATGTATATTTGATAGAGTCAAGATAATAAGAGAGAGTGTTACAACTTCCAGGGATCTTTAATAATTCAGTAAAAATGATATATCTAATTTGTCTATTGATTCATAATATGTTTACATACGAATCAAAACATAACCATGAAGGGTTAGCTATATTCAGAAGAACTAACTCTACATAGTTTATGAATCAAATAGAAAAAGATACAGCTTCCTTGCATTCTTCACTTATTTTTATCAAGTACTTATCTATCTTTTATAATCTGCTTTATCTCATAATAATTTTTATTCTTCCAAATTTAAAAAGCAAATATTGAGTTTAACTAAATGAAAAATAACTGCAGTGTAGAGATTTTTTCATCTGTTCTCTTAGGTATAGCTTTGCCATCTATCGAAGGCGCAGGTTTAGGTTAACTAAATATAGGTTATTTGTTAAACCTTATTTACCTTATCTATAATATTTTCAATAAAACAGGAATTTACTCAACATTCCTTCATTCGGCTGCATATAATGCCATTCCTCGCTTCCACACACACACACACCCATTTTGCTACCAAATTGATCATTAAATATTATTGGTTTTATGTAATTGTCTATCTAATTGTGAAATTTTAAGTATTGTAAATGAAATAATCTATATCTTTCATTGAAAATAAACGACACGACATATATAATTTAAGGATAGAATAGTTGATCCTGTAGCTACGTTACTATTCGCTTCATATATTATTATGAACAATCAACTGAAAAGTACGTCGTTACACCCTATCGTCTACAACTAAGATACAATAAAAAAAAACCCTTTTTATATTTCCTCCTTCTCCAGCAAATTCCCAACGTAAGACATATATTCTTTTCTATATACAAGCTTTTGGGTCATTCAATAATCATCAGTATGTTATATTCTCGGTGGACCTGATTATTTTTATCATGGTAAATCTGTCTTTTATTGAGACTACTTTCCCCCCCCCTTAAACTCAGGATTTTTTTTCTATTATTAGAATGCATCTATTGTTATTGTTACTTGTAATATTATAGCTTGCCCCTGAAAGGGGTTTTCGCATATATTTGTAAGTAATGTATTTATATGAAAGCAATTTTGGAAATTATTTAGAAAACACACATACTAAAAGAGAAATATGTATTTGACAAATGATATATTTATCAAGAAAAATCGCCTCCTGCATGCATTTTTTTTTCTTTTTTTTTTTTTTTTTTTTTTTTTTTTTTACAAAAATACAAACAATTAATCATTCATAGTCGATCCTTTTTTTTGTTGCACTCAGTATCTGTTTGTAAAATACATATTTATTTATTTATATACTTCATAAATTAGACAAGTTCATGTTACTGCTATTGTTCAGATTAAAATAAGATGAAAAATATATATAAAAGATTAAATAATATCCTAGTCTACTCATCTTTTTAACAAAATATATTCATAGAAATACCAAATAAAAGGAATATATAAATATTGATCTATTAAATAAAAAGGAAATATCACACTGTATGCATATTTGTTATAGAATTCCTTTTTCTTTTTCTCTTTTAAAGGAGTAAAATATATATAAATATATGTATGTCCCTTATCTTATACGTTTCTTAAAAGGAATGTAAAAAAAAGTTGAGGAGGAGAAAATTTATAAGCATACATCATGACCCTTATCTACTTTTGTCCTCATGTTTACGTAAATAAATACTTAGATTTTATTGACACACAGTGGTTGCTATGGTAACACACCCTTTATTTTTTTTTCGAATCATAATAATAATAATAAGAAAAAAAAACACACCTTCTTTAAATTAAGTTATTCAAGTATGAACTTACATATAGACTAAACACTCAAGTCATATAAAAAGAAAACTAACTTTTCTTTTTTCTTTTCTTTTCTTTTTTCTTTATGAAGTTGTAATGGAATTTTATTCTGATTACAATTAGCAGTTTATATATATTATGAACTGCAAGTTCTGGGAGTCTTTTATTATATATTGACTTCCATCTGCTTAGAACGTTAAAATGAGTAAGCAGGTCGGTTGTGCGACGTTGACCCGATAAAACAATGATACAGGCATTTTCTTTTTCTCCCATTCTTAAGCGCCTTCATGAAATCAAGCAATGGGGACGAGGTTGATCTTGAGCAGTCCAGTTCTGATACCGCGAAAAAAACAAACGAATTGGAGCATTTATCTTTTTTTTTTTACTTGCTTGCTGCTATTCATACTTTAAAGAATCATTTTTTTTTCTTTATGTATACATTATATTACAAGTAGTTGTGGAAACTATGAGTTTTATATAGTATTTTTGAATAGTTGACAAGTCCCTATTTATTATTTGTAGTTGTTATTTATTTATATTTATATACAGATATATATATATATATATATATATATATATTTATATTTGTAGCTACTTATTGTATATACATCTAACACTTCTTCTTTAAAGTTAGATACTCCCCCCTTTTTATTTTTTAATCCATATAGCTACATATTATCCTTTTTTACCTTTTTCGCTTTGCAATCTATATTATATTATAGATATAGGCATTTTCGACACCCCTATTCCATATGGAAGACTATTTACTGGTTTACGTTCTCGTCGTGTCTTCTGATAACATCTTTTTTTTTATCATTCTTTGATAAAGATGGCCAAAATACCAGTTTTATTTTTGTAAATAATAAATTTTTTTTTTCATTCAACATGACTTTACCTTCTTTACAATTTTAGAATAAAGAGTAAATTAAGTGTAGCTTTTATCTACATTACATCTTTAAAAGCATATCCGTTATTTACTTTGTTATTAAGCAAATGTGTTAATACAGTGCTGATGTTAGCATAGACTACAAAACATGAATTGCTTTCCTTCATATTCATAGCCCTCATGAGGATGAATATTGACAAATCTATTTACTATTTACTGATGAATATGTAATTTTAAACCAAAATCATGACTACAAAAAGGAAAAAAAAAAAAAAAAAAGATGTTTGAGATGTAAAAATTCATTTTTGAGATATAATTTTTTTTCCTTTACATACATTTTTTTTATAGCATTATTGCTATACCAATTTAATAGATGGAAAATATATGCGCTTTTCATAAAGTGTGAATTATTTGAACATAGCTGCAGATTGGGCTTCAACGACTACTAAACAAAAAAGAGAAAAGTTGGTATAACACATATCTTTTTAATATACTAAACTATATTATTACATAGTACAATACAAAATGATCATCATATGCTCATGCGTACTAATATTAACTATTATTAAAACTGTGTAATAAGTAAGTATTATGCCGTAAAACATTACTCTAAACTAGTTTTATCTGAGTAAGCTCTTCTCTATGTAATGAACAATAATTTTATTCTATCAACATAATTATAAAATCAGCTATAATTGTAACAGTATCAATAAAACCCGACCAAATATACTACTCTAAAAGTCTTCCTACCACTTTTATATATAATTTTCCAATTCGTAACAACATACTGCTTTCTAAGCCTGAGATACCATTTGGTCCCAGGTAGTTATTTACATCATATTGAACTTAGTTTTAGTAACTTTGTTAAAGCTTTTACTATCATGAAATATATTTCTATTATTGCCGTTAATAATATAACAAAGCTCTTATCACTTTAGTACTATTCCTAAATGATTTGAACTTGACATGAAAATGATCTAATAGGAATAGCTAACCTGAAATACGTCCTTTAACAATTAAAAAATCTAAACAAAAGATCATATCGTTTTTTTTTGTTAACACGGTTTAGATCAACATAGAAATGCTTCTAATGAGCTGAAATCGATAAAACCATCCAGACTGTTTATATCGCTAGTTTTAATCCTTTGGCTTCTCATACCTTTCATTAAGGACTATTGATATACTTGTTGGTGCTTTTGGGTGTTTCTCTAATACTCATTCGACTTACTTTATCAAACATTTTATACAACTGATAACATTTACTGTCTCTAGATTTAATATAGACTTCAAATGACTGAAATCATTGATGTCCTTCTTATCCTTTACTTTAAATCAACCCCTTCCACATCAACTACGCACAAGCTTCAAGTTCCACTGTCGACTCCAAATGGCCAAGAACGGTCACGGACCCACTCTCCTTCCTGCTAAACCAACCAACTACCTACCTAAAAGACCTAAAACGCTCACAGGATGTGGCTCCTTGGACAATCCGTTGGCCGGCTATTTGTATCACTCTACATGAAATGGATTACCTCTTTTATGAAAAAAAAGTTACCTCTAGATCCTCCCTCAACTGAAAAAGTGCTAATATCCTTGTACTGTCTATGAATTTAATCTTACTGATCTTTTTTTTTTTATCAATTACTTTGTTCCTCTCTAACTCATTAAATTTATTTTATCTTTTACACACATGCTTTTATCCTTTTCCATTTTGTCTCTCAAGAGGGTTTTTTCTTACTTATATACTATTAGAACTGACTAAGGGCAATACAGCAGATGAGAAATGATATGTGCTCATTTAGTCAAAAAAAAAAAAATAAAATAAAAATAAAAAATAATAATAACTTTCTTAATTTTCTCTATGATCATTTGATTTCCTATAGATCCATTTTTTACCAGGCAGAATATCTCAGTTACCCGCATTAAATTCCTTCGGTAGAACATGGCCACCATTTCTTGGGATCATACACTTTCTGGCGGCTTTGGGCACACTCAGCCCCTCTTCCTTGCTGCATAAATTATAATCTGAATTTAAATTAAATCAAATAAAATCACACCTTTATTCTATTTTTTTTTAAACCTTGTAATCACAATTCATATTTCATCCTATGTAAGTTCTATGAAAACACGAACCTGCTCTAGCCATCATCTGTGCTTAGTTCCGTAATCATATCCTCCACTGATGTCCCCCTACCCTTACTAGTTCTTCCGCTAGCTCCTCCATTTCAATATCACGAACAGATGGTCTAATTTTAGGGTAAAATAATGTGATCAAAACGAACTTTGGGTAATAACAAAAAGTGAATTTTGGATAATGCAAATACGAGAATTGAGACAAAAACGAATTTAGTTCTGAGGAAAACAAATATTGGGGGGGTACATCATATATTTTTTTTCCGTAGTTATAATATGAATACTTTTATCTATGAAAATGAAAAGGGCAAAGTTTTTGATGAGCAAGGACAAGAAGCTCATATTTATGAAATGGAAATCGATAATGCACAATACCCATTGGAGCAATTAACAAATTTATGATCATTATATGGATCTGAAACCCACCAGAAAAAAAAACGATGAAGATTATTGAGGAGACAGAAGAGGAGATCGCAGCTCATGAATATACTGTGGAGCGCACAACTTTGAGATCTAATCGCAAGTATACAGATTCTGATAAAAAAAAGGGGTGGGGGTTTTTTCCCCTTCAATGTACGAGCAAGGTTTTAAGTTTGCACAACTCAGTATTCCACATTCAACAGCTCAAAGTTGGAAGAAGAAGTATAAAATGGGTGAGAATATTTTTTTTAAAGGAAAAGAAGGAAGCGGTCGACTCCAGTGCAGGCCATCAATCCTTAACAAAGAGCATCAGAAGTATTTGCTTGATCTGGTTGATGACAATTCCTTCTTTGGCCCCAGATCAAATGATGGAAAGTCTTACTTCCCAATTTGAGGACTTGGAAATATACAAAATTTTACTTTACAATTTCGTTAAGAAAGAGTGCAAAATAAGCGTAAAATGTGCGTATTTCTATTCTGTAGATAGAAATAGTCTCGAGAAGTTAAGAGAGAGAGAGAGAGAGACAAGAATGAGTTCAACGTTGGCTACAAACACATATGGACTATTTAAGCAATTGTGTTTTTATAAACGAATCATGTTTTAATATAAACATGAATCGCTCTATAGCTTGGTCTAAAGAGGACGAATGTGCCATTGTCACTGTCCTAAAAACGAAAGCAAAACACTATCACCATATTAGGTGCTATTGCTTCATATGGTATCTTGAATATCAGTGTATGGCGGCCAAAAAAAAAATGGAGCCTTCAAAGAAAAAAAAAGCTGGAGTAGGGTCTGTACAGGTCGTGAACAAAGGAAAAGGTGGTGCCGTTACTGGTCATTATTTCAACTTTGTGACTGCAACAATAGATGCACTAGATAGGCATGAGCAATTTTAAGGGCATTATATCGTTATGGACAATGCACCAGCCCATACTCATTTAGACATTCAGAGGTACATCGAACAGAGAGGTTATGGCTGTATCTATCTTCCACAATATTTTCCTGAGCTAAATCCTATCGAACAGTTTTGGTCAGTATGCAAAGGCACGTTAAAGCGACAGAAGCTGTTAAAAGAAGAAACTTTATCATCCAGAATTGGTGAAGCATGTAATAGCATCTTCTTAAGTGATCTTCAAGGCTTCTACAGATACTCTGTATCGAATTTTCAAGCTTGCTTAGATGCAGAGTCACTGTAAAATCACTGGACGAAATAAGTGTGCAAAGCTTTTTTCTTTGTAGTGAACGAATTTTTTTTTTTTTTTTTAATAAAGTGTCCCACAACTATCCAAAAATTTTACACGGTCGGTGTACGATTAAACATTTTTTTTTTTTTATTATTTTTATAAATTTAAAAAGCGACCTATGGGCACATAATACCTTTATTATATTGGATTGCCCAGGTCAGTTCAAATTATGTGAAAAAAGTATCTAAAAACCCTCTTATGGGACAAGAGGTAAAAAGGTAAAGGAAAGGAAGAAGAGAAAGTGAGAAAGAAAGGGGAATATTGCTAACAAGTTTAAAGAGACAACCAGTTGAGTAATTTTCTGCCTGGATCAAGAAGTGGAGGGGGTAGTTTATCGTGCATTAAATAATCTATTTCCTGTAGAATGGTACACATAACTGGCCAGCGATAGAACCAAGCAGAAACATCCTGAGAATTTCGGTGCTTATGCTGAGGGAGATGATTTAAAAGAAAGGAAAGGGGATCTGCAATTGATCGTGGCAAGAATAAACGAGTGTGCATGTGCAAGCATTCAGTGGCGTGTGACCGACTAAAGTGTACATGAGGATGATATGGACAGGCTTTAGGTATTCCTCCGGGTAACCAACCAAGACGCCATCGAATAGTTCGACTACGCTCACTGTGTGTCATGGGTAACCAGAGTATCGGGTCAATAATCAGATTAGGGCGGCAAGAGGAAAGCAAAACAGAATGTGTCTCGTCACGTAGTTGTTGAAAACTCTCTTCAAGAAATTCTCGACGATGTTTTCGAAAGGAGCGTTTGTCTAACGGAATGGAATTGGCGGCACAGAGTCTCCAGCATGATGTTTGAATGAGTTTATACCATTGAGTGTTGAAAGCGGAGGCGTGAAGTTCGGGAAGTAATTTAGCGAGCAAGGTATCATCCGGTAAGTCAATAGCACGGAAAACGAAACACGGTCGGTGTACGAAATTTCCTCCAAAATTGTATGAAAAGTTTGTGAAAAAGGTGTATAAAAACAAACAAAGGAAAAAAAAGGAGTTTTAATTACATTGGCCAACGAACAACAACAATCATGAGGCCTTAAAAAAAGAGGTAAAAAAAAAAAAAAAAAAAGTTGGTTCTGGTAAGCAACTATGGAACTTTTTTTTCTTTTTCTTTTCTTTTCTCCTCTCTCTCTTTTTCTTTCTCCTAAATAATTTTGTAAAACAAAGATAGCAATAAAGGATAAAAAGGAGGAGGAGGAAGAAAAAAAAATACCCTTTTATAAAGAACATTTAAAACATCCCTTATAAAAAAATGTCAAATTCAGTAACAACAAGGACTGTTCGCCTAACTGTTATTGCAGCAGATGGATTAATTAAAAAAGATTTATTTTTTAAAATGCCTGATCCTTTTGGTATAGAGATTGAGGACTATAGTTGTTATTTTTAATTTATTAACTTGTTTATTTTTTATGTATATTTAGCTGTTGTCACTGTAGATGGAGAGCAAACACATACAACTACAGTCATGAAGAAAACTTTAAATCCTTATTGGAATGAAAGTTTTGACTTGTAAAAATATACAAATGCAAATTGAGTAATCTTAGTTCTGTATTTATACATTTTATTTTATAGAAAAGTATCCAATCAAAGTGTGATTGCAGTTCAAGTATTTGATCAAAAGAAATTTAAAAAGAAGGATCAAGGTTTTTTGGGAGTAATTAACGTTCAAGTATCTAATGTATTTGACCTTGATGTTGGAGGAGATGGTAAAGAAAAATAAAATAAATTACACAAGATTTTGTATTTTTTTATTTTATTTTTTTTAAAACTCATTACTTATTTATAGAAATGTTAACACTTGAATTAAAGAAATCAAATACAAATGAAGCTGTACATGGAAAACTTATTTTGAACTTATCTACAAATGTAAATGTACCAATTCGTAATGGTACGGATACCCTTGCTCCTGGCACTGCTCAGTCAATAACTACGACTACAGATAACAATACTTCTTCTACTTCTTCAACGACCATAAATAATAATATTACATCATCTACGGCTAATGATAATAATGATCTACCAGCTGGTTGGGAACGTCGAGTAGACCATTTAGGTAGACCCTATTACGTCGATCATAATACTCGTACAACAACTTGGAAACGTCCTTCATCTAGAACTGCTCAAGATCAACAAAATCAAACTGAGTTAGAAAGACGTAGACATAATGCTCGTGGATTACCTGAAGTAGGAAATAATGGTAATACTAAAAAGTAATTCTATAAGTTTATCACTAAACCCTTTTTCTCTAATTAATTAATTATCAGCATCAACAACAGCATTTACTACTACTAATACTACTGTTAATAATAATAATAATACGAATATGAATACGAGTATGAATACAAATACAAATAATAATACTGCATCGCCAGGTACTACAGTGACGATTCCAAATAATAATATCACTTCAGCAGGATCTGGTCCTCTTCCTCCAGGTTGGGAAATGCGTACAAGTGCTGAAGGTAGACCTTATTTTGTTGATCATAATACACGTACAACAACGTGGGTAGATCCTCGTCGTCAACAATATATCAGTACAATTGGTCCTGGATCCAATCTTCAAGTTCAAGTACAACCCGTCTCTCAATTAGGACCTTTACCCTCTGGATGGGAAATGCGTTTAACAAGTACAGGTAGGGTCTACTTTGTGGATCATAATACAAAGACAACAACTTGGGATGATCCTAGATTACCTAGTAGTCTTGATCAAAATGTGCCACAATATAAACGAGATTTCCGTCGTAAGCTCATTTACTTTCGTTCTCAACCCGCCTTACGTCCTGTTCCTGGTCAATGCCATATTAAGGTGAGACGTGATCATATCTTTGAAGATGCCTATGCTGAAATTATGCGACAAGCTCCTGCAGATCTTAAGAAGCGATTAATGATTAAATTTGATGGTGAAGATGGTCTTGACTATGGTGGTCTTTCTCGAGAGTTTTTCTTTTTATTATCACACGAGATGTTTAATCCCTTTTATTGTTTATTTGAATACTCTGCTCATGATAATTATACATTGCAAATCAACCCTCATTCTGGTATCAATCCAGAACATTTAAATTATTTCAGATTCATTGGTCGAGTTGTTGGTTTAGCTATCTTTCATCGTCGTTTCTTGGATGCATTCTTTATTGTCTCTTTCTACAAAATGATTTTGAATAAAAAGATTCTTGTTGCTGATATGGAAAGTGTGGACGCTGATTTCTATCGTAGTTTAACTTGGATTTTGTAAAGTGATAGATATGCTTTCATTTTATTATAGGAAACTAATATTTTCAATCTATTTAGAAACAATGATATCACGGATGTCTTGGATCTCACATTTTCAACAGATGATGATCGTTTTGGCGAAGTAGTTTCTGTTGATTTGATACCTAATGGTCAAAATATAGAAGTGACCGAGGAAAATAAAAAAGAATATGTCAAGTAAGTTAAAAAGAAAAGAAAAAAAAATATTAGTTACGTATCCTATTTTATCTTTTTTTTTTTTTCTTACATGTATGTACACTTAGCTTAATTACAGAATGGCGTATTCATAAACGGGTCGAAGAACAATTTAAGGCGTTTAAAGAAGGCTTTAATCAATTAATTCCTCAAGATTTAATTAATGTATTCGATGAACGTGAACTTGAATTGTTGATTGGTGGTATTGCAGAAATCGATATAGATGATTGGAAGAAACATACAGACTATAGAGGATATACAGAACAAGACGATGTTATACAATGGTTCTGGAAATGTATTCGTGGTTGGGACAGTGAAAAGAAATCGAGGTTATTGCAATTTACTACAGGTACATCTCGTATTCCTGTTAATGGTTTTAAAGATCTTCAAGGAAGTGATGGTCCCAGAAGGTTTACAATAGAAAAGTCAGGAGAAGTGACACAATTACCAAAGGCACATACATGGTAAGAATTAACTTTATATATCATAATTTATAATAACTAAGCACGACAATTTATAGCTTCAATCGTATTGATATGCCACCGTATAAATCTTATGAAACCTTAGTTGCAAAATTAACAATGGCTGTTGAAGAAACTGTCGGTTTTGGTCAAGAATGATTATCGTGTGTTTTTATTATAATAACATCTTATCCATATCCAATTTACTAAATATACTCTCTTTATTATCCTTTGTGTGTGTGTATATATATAGTTATTTAAAATATAAATTGCTACTGCAAATTTGGAAATTCAGTAGTCTATAGTTTATGAGGTTCAAAAATATAAATAGTCAAATACAAGAAGAGATAATAATAAAAACAGTACAACCATAAAAGGAAATTGAATAGTAAAACCCAAACCTCCATCATTGTTGTTGAGAGAGAAGAGGGTAGTGACGTAGTATTTCAGAGTTGATATAACGACTCATTTCAATGAATAGTATGAACGACCAACAACGAGGACATGAGGATATATTGAGCTTGTTAAAGTATGCTTATACATTCATATATGTGAGGCAGCTTAATAATACAGTAATGTCACGTTTTTTTTTTTTTTTTTTTTTTTTTTTATGTACATATTGAAAGTGTTTATTGCCAAGTCGCATTTGAGGTATGAATGATGAACAACAAACGACTATTTGTGCATAATAGAAACGAGATAAAGCCGGGTTATTAAAGTCAGATGTATTGATACTACCAAATAGAGATTACCTAATTCATAACAGAGGGTAGTAAAGCTTTGTTAACGTAAGATATAAATACATATTTGCATATACACATATATTTATATATAAAGAAGAAAGTGATATTCGTCTACCACTACTACTCAGATGAAATTAGAACATAGTAAAACTAGTATTTGTATGTGTTTTAAAGAAATAACTGCATCAATGCATAAGATGACCACTTTAATAAAATCATACTACTATGATTTGTATTTATTTTATTAGATATATACAAACAGGAAGAGTTTATGATATATATATATATATATATATGTATTTCTATACATATATGCACATATATTTAGATATGTATTTATATAAAGGGGAGGGGAATATTTACATGTATATTGTATCAATAAGTTTACATACCAAAGTCCCATACATGGACATTACCTTCATCATCTGCACTTACAATTTTAGTATCACTTAGAGCAACCGCTGTAACAGCTGAGTTATGTCCTTCAAGACAATACATTGGTAAACCGCTTTCAATATCCCAAAGTTTAAGTGTACCATCATGTGAACCAGAAACCATACGAAGTTTATCATAGGCTAATGACCAAATGCCTTGAACATGACCAAATAACGTCTGAAGACATTCACCACTTTCAAGAGACCAAATCTTGATAGTATGATCTAAGGAGCCTGATATGACGACTTGTTCAGAAGAACGAATACAATCATCATTCGTTTTGTTCGACGAATAATAGCGAGTCTTATTATTATTAGTAGTAGTAGTCGTTGATGCAGACACTATATTTAATTTGTTCATATTACTGTTATCTTCATCTTCATCACTGCTGCTACTACTGTTGCTATTATTCGATCGTCTTCCTTTCTTTGATGATTTCAGTTGACTATTTTTAATAAAGCAATGAAGGAAACCAGGCATAGAGGGTATAGCCGTCTGAACAGGAGCCATATGGCCCTTCAAAATCCTTACGCAGGCACGTTTTTCAAGGTCCCAAATGCGAATTGTGTGATCGTCAGAGCTAGAGACCAGAAGAGGACTCATTTTATGAATACTAACATGATTTACACTCTTTGTATGACCAGCTAAAGTAAAGCATTCTCCTGTTTGAAAGTTCCAGATTTTAATGGTTGCATCAGCAGAGCCACTAGCTAAGATACGACAATTGAAATTCAAATGGACAACACCATCTGTATGACCCTCCAGAATACGAATACATTGGCCTGTATGATAATTCCAAATACGTAATGTATTATCCATTGAACCTGTAACTAACTTGGTATCATCCGCTTGTAAAGTACGGATACATCTTGCATGTCCCTTCAAGACACGCAGAACTTGTCCTGTTTCAAGATTCCAGACAATTGCTGTTTTATCATAAGAACCAGTAATTAAGATATTTTGAGACTCACAAAATTGAAGACAACTAATGCCTCCCTGATGAACTCTTTTAAGGACTCGCTTCGTTGTATAATTGTTTCTCCAGTTACGTTCAATAATTAAACGTTCACTATAGATATCTTTCCAAGATTTACGATAACTCGTATCAGGACAAAAGCGTTTTTGATCTTGATTATCACAAGCTGTATTTGATGAATGAGATCGCTTCCTTGTGTTATCAAGACGATGATCCATGAAGACCACTTTACGTTTTTGAAGTAAAGGAAGTCCCCAACCACATTTTGTACATTTTCGATTAATATGCTGCTCACACATACGATGCCATAGAGTATCATCATCTGCCAATGATTTCCAATGTTTACTCACTTGAGCTGCAGAGCAAAGAGAAGTAGCGTCTAATAATGAAAAAATCTGCTTTGTAATTTCTGTAGGGAAAATGGTAGTAAAATCGATACATAATAGAGGTTTCACTGTATTTGCGATAAACGATAATTGAGGTGTACATGCGGAGGCTAAAATTCCTTTTAGAATCAAAAGTCTTTCTTCTTTTGAAGATTGTTGAAAGATATTCCAGACTAAAGCAATTTGAGATTGATTTTTTTCAGGTACAAAAGCTAATTCCTAACAAGATAAGGGAACATAGTTGTTAAATATATACTTTATCCTGTATATGTATCTATATAATACCTCTTGTAATTGTTCAATATCAAATTCATCTTTATTCTTTATTTTCATTAATTCTGGGTTATGTCTATAACAATGTTTTGGTGCTTTTGTCGTACAAGTCATTTTTTTATTATTATTACTGTTCTCTTCTTTAAAGAAGAAGAATAAGGAAAAGAAAAAAAAAAGAAAAGAAAAAAGAAGAAAAAGATAAACGATTTGATTATTCAAAATATGCTTGATGAAATGGCGCAATTGTTGAAAAAAAAACTCTCTAGCAACATAATTATACTTGATTTCTATTGGTTAATGATTGTGCAATAAATCAATAATTTTTAAACATTTGTTCTGTAAGAAAATTTCAATTGGACACACAATACAAAATCCATCAAAATAATACGATTAAACAATTTTTTTTTTATTATTTTTATAAATTAAAATTTATAAAGTGACTTATGAGCACATAATATCTTTGTTATATTGGATTGCCCAGGTCAGTTCAATTTATGTAAAAAAAAAAAAGTATCTAAAAACCCTCTTACGGGACAAGAGGTAAAAAGGTAAAGGAAAGAAAGAAGATAAGGTGAGAAAGAAAGGGAAAATGTTACTAACAAGTTTAAAGGGACAATCAGTTGAGTCATTTCCTGCCTGGATCAAGAAGTGAAGGAGACACTCTGTTTACACTTTTTGGACGAAAGGAAAAATAAAACCAGACGAAAAAAAAAAAAATGAGTTCAGACACTTTGATGGTAAATTTTCAGACTTTAATTTGGATTCATCCAGAAAAAAACGAGCATCATTTAATTTAAAGTGTAATAACTGTAGCCCGGTTCGGACCATTAATAAAAGTGAAAATATTGCTAATCTTCCCCCCTCCTCCTCTTTTAAAGAAACTAAAGAAAGAGTGATATAATTCATAAACAGAGAAAAAGGGAGACTTTTCTCTAATTAAACCAGATTTTGATGATGAAAAAAGGCCAAGAAGTAAATACATGAAAGCTCATTTAAATTAAGGGTAGTGGAATATCAGCGATTTCAGGTATTTAGAGTCTAGAAATAGTAGTAGATGACAGACAGTTGTGTAGGATAGTAAATTAAATGTGCATTATGCATATTTGTAGATAAAACTCTATATTATTATTATTTTTGATTTGACCAATAAGCACATATAGAAGAAATAGATGTTTTATGTCTTCATAAAGTTGGCAGTCTTCTTACCATTACCAGTGAAAATATGATGTACGACAGGATTTAGGGTAGGTTCATTATTTGTTACAAAGATTTTCAAGTGCGAATCACACTATTTTTAATAAATTCATTGAGTCAATTTACTAATTTTTAATATCGAAAGTTATAAATGTTCTGTTCTAGTGACAGATATTTAGACACAATTTTCCGAAAACTATTTTTAAACTAAAGTCTAATAAGCTGACTATTGAAGTATTTGTTTGTGGTTTTTGAAATTTTTTTACCTAATGTGCCCTTCTATAATAAATGCTGTACTTTATTAGAAGAAGAAAGCTGTAATATAGTACATCGTAAAATGCGTATTCCTATTTTTACAAGTAAAAAATCAAGTTGAAAATCAGGATTTAGCAATATTTAATCCTCCGGTCAAAAAAAAACCATCATTAAACACTGCTGCCTGTCAAAAACAACACTTTTTTTTAAGTAATTCTTATATTGATAAAACATGGCTTCTAAGCGCTTATTTACAAGCTCATTCATTCGAAAATATTCTACAAATAAAGCTATATTTCTTACTGAAAAGCAGCTCCAGTCAATTGGTTCAGAAAAAGAGGGGTAAAAAAAAAAGAAGAATGATCTGAGCATTTATGGTTAACCATCCCCCCCCTCCACAAAATTAATATTAATCTTTGTATTTCTTAGTGAGCTCCTTGTTAAAGAGATTACAATTAATTCTGTTCCTTATGTCAGGGGATCTAAAGAAGCCGCTTTTGGATCTAAACGAATGGGTTGTGTAGAACTACCAAAACCCATGATTCAGTCCATTACAGATATAATTGAAGGTGATAATCATTTTTTCCTCTTTTTCTCCTAGATCACAAATTTATTATTTTTTTTATTTTTTTTTTTTCTCATTTATGTAGGCCATGATAAGCGATTGATTAGAACAGATGCGCTTCGATTATATGACGCATTAAGATCGACATCTAGAGTATCAAGGGAAGCTTTAGATGAGTTTGATGGTTCTCGAGATGCGAAAAAGCAACGTAAATCAGCAGAGACAGTTATTGAACCACATAAAGTTTTATATGGTCCTCGCGAATCAGTTGCTTATTTAGCAGGTGTACTACCTTCAACTTATGCAGCCATTACAAATGTCTTGAATGAAATCGCAGGTCGACTTTCCGATTTTAAGCCTCAATCCATGTTAGATTTTGGTACTGGGCCTGGTACAGCCATTTGGTAATAAAGCTATATATATATGCTCTAATATTTAAATACATGTATGCTAAATTTTATGCATATAGGGTTGCAAAAAACGTCTTTCAAATAGATAACTGTGTAGGTATAGATCTTTCAGAAGATATGCTTAGAATAGCAGAACGTTTAGAAGGTAAGTAGGGTTAAAATAAAGATCCATACTATTTATTTACACTACCTATCATCTAAACAGAGTCATTGAAAATGGGGAATGAAAAGCCTATTGAATTTAAACGTTATCTTCCTTATGATCCAAAGGTAAAAAAAAAAAGAAAAAAAAAATGAAATCACTTTTTTTTTTTTAGTTATAGTATTATAATAATAATGATAAAAAGTAACTTTATAGGCATCTAAGACTGATCTTGTTATCAGTGCATTTACTTTGGGAGATATAGAATCAACGGCTCTTCAGAAATCAACTCTAGAGCAATTATGGGCTCAAACAGGAGATGTATTGGTAAGATCATAAAGATTGTTATGGATGAATATGGACTTATCAATTCTATTATAGGTATTAATTGAAAGAGGTACTCCTATTGGGTTTACAAATATAGCCCGAGCTAGACAATGGATTCTAGATGCAGAAGGTTCAAATGCTCATGTTGTTGCTCCAGTAAGTCTTAGCATTATTATAACTTTTTTTTTTCCTTAAAAAAAAGAAATTTCATTTTAGTGTTCTCATGATCATCCATGCCCTCTATTGTTCTCCCCAGAAGCTAAACCGAATAAATTTTGGTGTCATTTCTCACAAAGAGTTCAACGCCCTTCTTTTCTAATGAAAACAAAGCATTCAAAATCAAATACAGAAGATGCAAAATATTCATATGTTGTATTACGACGAGGAAAAAGACCAGTAGGAAATAATACAATGGAAACTGAAGCATATCATTGGCCAAGGTTAATACAGCCTCCTTTAAAGAGGAATGGACATGTTGTAATGGATGTTTGCTCTAAAGAAGGTGAAATACAGCGTATGGTTATATCTAAATCACAAGGAAAGATACCTTATCGTGATGCTAGAAAGATCATGTGGGGAGATTTGCTACCTCATCAATCAAAGAATAAAGTCGTTACTCGATTTTCTAAAGGTGAAATAGATCAACAAGACGAGTATAACTAACTATTAGACTTATTTATTTAAAATTACAAACTTTTATATTATATATTTTCTTCATTTGTTTTCTATATAAAGTTGTATTTAGTAAATATATATGTATATATCATTGTCATCTTTAACCTACAGTTACACTCTTAAACATCTCTGCCTTTAATTCATCTGTATAAATAAATAAAAAGACAAGTGTTAAATAACCATGTATACACTTGTTATAAACAAGTCGTCTTCCTTACCAAATTTTGCATCACTTAAAGGGGAAAAACGAATCATGTTATTATCAGGAATATGTTCATAAAGATAGGATTCTGTAATGGAAAGCTGAGCGCATTGTTGAGCTAATTTGGAGAATACAATAATATCTGTACGATATCTAAGTCATTCCTACTGATTAGTACCAAATATATACACATGGAAAGTAAGGATAACTTACAGTCGATAAGCTTCTTTGTTCAGACAATATTTATCATTTAATCCATCCAAAACACTTTTTTTAAATATATTTTTTAAATAGAAGAGAACATGAAATAGATAGTCTCGATAAGGCCTCCAAACAGGAAATTGCTGTGAAATAGAAAGGTTACCTTCATCATCAACTAAAGGATGAAACATATCTGTTAAAAATGTAATTGAGGGTGGTCTTTGAGGATAATCCTCTGGTAGTGTTAATCGAAATTTGAAGGTGCCAGAACGATAGAGCCCTTTATGAACAAATATAACGCCATACCATACTATACATACATACATACATACATATAAAGAATTAAATATGAATAATAATAGCCTGTTTTCTTACCATAAAGGTCATTAGAAGATGGTAATACATAAACACCTAGCGGACAATGGCTTGGATTTCGTAAATTAATGCTATTATTTTTTAAGGGAGGGGGTTACTTTAGTTCTCTAACATCTTTTCTTTGATAAACAAAGTCACTTTTATATATTTACAATTCTGTCATTATTTCATATCTACGAAAATATTCTGAAGTTAGATGAGGAGGGTTTGTTACTGATTCATCATCTTCACTATTTTCTATTGTTTGCAAATTTTTCTTGATGTTAGTAATTGTTCTCTGTTCTTCATTGCTAGAAGAGGGCACATTATTTCTTCTAATTCGACCTAAAAGGTTTGAATTTCTAGTACGATCAAGTAAAGCGCTTACAGATGAAGAAGTAGATCGTTTTATTGTTGTATTTGAATTAGCAGACTGAGTGCGATTTAATAAACTACTTGCTCGTCTTGGAATTGGTTCAGGTCTAGACTATATATATATGCATGTATGTATGTATGTGTTTATTTATTCATTAATATTAATACAAAATAATGGTAAATACAACGAAAGCTTATTCCATTACATTGCTCATTATTAAATTATTCTATTTACAGTCGAAAAAAAAAATAAAAAAAAAAAATAAAATAAAAGGTTTTCATTTATTTATTCTATATTTAAAATACAGCACCACTTATATGCTTATGTAATCATAACGATACCCTTATTCACATATTTTGATGAAAACTAAAAAAAAAGGGGGTTGATAATTCAGTAAAGACTTAATTCAATCGACTTTAAATGAATGAGGTTAGTTAAGCTTAATCTTATTTCTTTTGATTTTTTAATTGATTCATTTTAATAATAATGCATTTATGAATAATTCTTTTAAAAATGCTCTTCACTTTCCACGCTATTTTTTTTTTTTCAAATCCTGTATTTAATGAAATAAATAACATAATAATAGCATGATTACTCTTTTTTTTTTTTTTCTTTATAATAAACATTATTCAATTAAAAAAAATTTATTACATTCAAATTGTAAGAATTCCACTTATTTCATGTAGTTTAATCATTTGAAAAATATATATACATATTTGCATATACTTTTTAAGGAAGGAGTCTATAAAATAAAACTGTTGGTGTATCCATATTGCTCACTGGTAAATAATAACCATCCAATTATTGTTAGAAAAGGATTTTATAGGTTATTATGGGGTAAGCGCCTTTTCAACCAATGGAAGCTATTCCTTTTCAAGTTCAGTAATAGTGATGTTTAGCAAGAAGTCAACTGGTTTTAAAATTCCACTACTAATTGTTTAATTTATGCTTTTTTTGTTTTTGTTTGTTTGTCTTTTCTTTTTTTTTATATATACATATTTATACACATACATAATAATGAAATCAAAAGCTTGGTTTCAAGTTTATTATTCAATATCAAAGAATTGGGTTCAGCAGTCAATCTTATTACCGTCAATAAGCTCTATTCGCTCTCATTTACCTTCGTTACAGACAAATTATATCAAAAATGATACTATAGAAAGGTCATCGTGCAAATCAACTTGTTATAATAACTGTAGACAATCTCGACCATTATCAACTCATACTGTTTCATATAATAATAGTAATAATAATAATGCAATAGCTTATCGTGATGAAAAACATGATCCTACTATCATTAAATCACCCTCACCATTTTCTTTACCCTTATTGGACTTCTTTTCGAAATCATATAGCAAACCAGCTCCTTCTTATATATTGGCTCATGGTGCTTCAGGGTTTGCTAAAAGTCAACGTTACACAACACCAGTTTCACTTAAAAAAAGTGATTCACCCTATTATAGTATACAAGTCGGTGAAGACGCTTACTTTAGACGATCGGATGCAATAGGTGTAGCAGACGGTATTGGAGGATGGGCAGGTGTTTCTGGTAAAATAGATGCATATAACATGACCATCGTTATAATTTTTATTTATCCGTGACCTCAGCTGCCAATGCTGGTTTATATTCTAGAAAGCTAATGCATCATGCATATCTTGAATTGGAAAGATTTGATAATGTAGATGATCCTTATTTCTATCTTTATGATGAAGCCGATCCCATAAATATATTACAAAGGAGTTATGAAGAGAGTATGTTAGAGGCACAACAAGAGGTATTACTATTTTTTTTTTAAAAATCTAAAATCATCATAGGCCTAATCTATCCTATATAAGGGGGTTGTCGGATCTTCTACAGCCTGCCTTGCTATATTAAGACACGGAGAATTAAGAATTGCAAATTTAGGTGATTCTGGTATCTCTGTGATCCGATATAATGATTATATCTTCAGAAGTGAGGAACAGCAACATTCATTTAATTTTCCTTATCAATTAGGTACAGCTTCTCCTGATAGACCTAAAGATGCTCAAGTAAAATCATTAAAACAAAAAAAAAGAGAGAGAATAAAAAAAAGGAGACATACTGATACGTAGTACTCATTATTATATTATATTTGCCTATTAATAGTCATTTACAGTTGCAATTGAAAAAGGAGATATAGTGATTATGGGATCTGATGGATTATTTGATAATCTATTTGATAAAGAAATTTTAGCAATCGTGAAAAAATATGTATCCGCTTACACTTTACCTGGAACAAGGAATTGTCCACCTAGAGTATTATCTATGGATCCACAAAAGATTTCTGATGCTTTAGCAGAAAGAGCAAAGGTAGTCAGTCTTAGCAAATTAAATGTAGATAGTCCATTTCAAGAAAGGGCAGTCAATGAAGGATTGTATTATCAGGTAAAAAAAAAATAGATATGTATGCATCTATTGTTTTTTTTTTTTTTTTTTTTTTTTTTTTTTTTATTACTTACACTAGTTTTATTATATTTAGGGAGGGAAAGCAGACGATATTAGTGTCATTGTTGCCATTATCAAGGATTGCGAAGATAGCCCTGATAGGCGATTATAGACAAGACTTTTTTCTTTATTTTGTTTAATAATATAGTAGACCACATGTATATCCATTATAAATAATAAATACATAATAACGATAATTTTCTATTTTATATACAAGTATTTCATTCTCTTCTTTTTTTTTTTTTTGTTGTTGTGGCTTATGTATAATATACTTTTACTATTACAGAATATTAACCGCAGTAAATAGAATGAATAAAAATCAATAAAGAAAAACAAAAAAAAAATCCTAAAATTATGCTAGATATTGATATATGTTTATTCATATTATTAAAATAAGCAAAATTATTCGCGGGCTTCCATCTTTTCAGATTTCTTGTTAGCACGACGTTCACGAAGAGCCTTGTTCTTAGCACGGAGGACTTCAGCTTGTTCAGCAAGAGTCTTGGCACGAGCCTTTTCAGCCTTAGCCTTATGAATATGTTCCATCAAGACACGCTTGTTCTTGAAACCGTTACCCTTGGACTTGAGGTAAAGTTGGTGATAAAGGTGCTTATCGATCTTACCGGCTTCTCTGTATTTGGCAAGGAGACGACGAAGGACACGCATACGACGCATCCAGATAACTTGGCTGGACATACGAGCATCAGCAGTACCTTTTCTCTTACCATAACCCATATGACGACCCTTACGTTTGGCAGCGTTACGTTCAAGGACACGGAAACGAGATTGAGAAATCTCGGGCTTACGGATAATAAGACCATCCTTGACAAGCTTGCGAATATTGGCACGAGAGTTAGCAGTAGCAATTTCATTCACCTCATTAGGATCTAACCAGATCTTACGCTTACCACATTTGAGGACAGAGGCGGCCAAACGCTTTTGAACAAGCAAGCTTACCCTAATAATAATATCATTTAGTTAAAGAACATAAGGAGGAAGGAACAAGAAAGAAAAAAAAATTTTTTTTTGATTATTGTCCGGCGAAAGTCCGGTAGAAAGATACTTACATTTTATAAAAAATTCAAAAGTTAGAAAAGAGATAGAATCAAGAATCATTAGATGAAAGGTCAAATTACAATTGAAAAAAGCCCGTCCCTCCTTATTTCTAAATATATGATTGGACAACGGCTTTTAAATTTTAAATAACCGATAAATAGCAAGATGGATTTGCATCCACATCCATCCGTCCATTCATTGGCTCATCCATTTTTTTTCATTCATTGGTGGCCATCATGTTATTATAAATTATTAGGATTTATTAGATAATTTTTGAATAAGAGGGAAATTATTACGACAGACAATAGAGCAAAAACGATATAATACAGGAATATGATGATTACCGGCAACATTTCTCCACACAAGTTCTTCGACATCAGGTGAATGGAATAATATATTACAATGTTCACAATGATGGACGGATGATATGGATTGAAAGCGATGTAATAAGCGGTCTGGTATAATGCTTGAATATTTATGTAATTTTATAGATGAGTTGGCTAATATGAATCGAGTTGCTATTTCAGTTAAACTTGTTACAGTCACTGGTTTAAGTTGCTGATAATGTGAACGATTTTCCGGAAGTGAAATAAATGGATTAGGTAATAAAGATAATATGCTTAACTTTTTTAATCTCAATAATTCACCTGGCAAATAGGTCTGATATGACATGTATAATAAATATAAACGAAACATTGTAAAAAAAATAAATAAATAAACAATACTTTACCAACTGATTGTTTCCTAGTGAAAGTTCTACTAAATTCTCAAGTAAGGCAATCTCAGGTGGAATAAACTTCAAATGGTTATTTCCTATCTAAAATGTAAGAAATATAGATATTATATAGATGCATATCATGTATAGAACTTTACGAAGACTTAATACTGTTAGATTCTTCAATTGAAATAATATAGGATTTATTCTTGTAATATCATTATTGTAAAGATATAATTGTAATGAGGCAGCTTTGACTATATCATTATGAAGAACTGTAACATATCTGAGTTCGCCAATCTCATCTGGTATTTCAATCAAGCCTATATTACTAATATTTATGTATGAGAAGACTCTATATTCATATATATGTATAAATATATACATATATGTATATATAATCCTACCTAATATCCACTTGTTCAAGTCCATTATCAATCGTTGAATCAATGGCTTGACGTACTTTATCATTTGGTGTTTCATTACATAATTTACGTCGAAATAATTCCCTTGTATTTATATCCCAACTTAATGAATTTATACGACTTCTTTTTCTATCTTCATCTTCATCTTCCTGGCTTTTAAATGAAGGTATTATTATAGAGATTTGTTGTTCAAGAGGAAATTGAGGTAAATAATCTTCATCTTCAGATGCATCTGTATCTATCCAGTCAACTTCATTTACTGATTTATTGTCGTCATTTAATGTTGAACTAATATGATTCATTTTAAAAAGGAAAGAAAAGAAAAGGAAAGAGAGAGAAGAAATAATATTAATAAAAAATGGGTTTCATTATAAAAAAAAAAATAGTAATGATAGATATTTATAATTAAGACAAATTATATCTTTATTAGTGCATAAAATTTTTATATTCTTCTTTTTCCTTTCTTTCTCATTTGTCACATTGCATTCAATTCTTCTTCTTTATAACTATAAAAATTACTTATATTTTAAGAATAATCCCCCTGTTATAATCATAAAAAAGTGGTAGTAGTAATAGTAGTAGTAGTAGTAATAGATAAAATTTGCAAGATGTAGTGTATGTAGATATTTATGCATAATGTTCCTGTGATGCATCTAAAATTAGAAAAAAAGTGAAACTATTGAAGAATTGGTGGTGAGATATCAGTTAACAAAATAAATTATGATTACAGCATTTCTAAATGCATAAAGTGACTTGGTATTGCTCTTTGAATTAGTTTCCCTATTGCGCACAGATGTAAGGCCCTTAGATCCTAATTAAGTAATTTCTTTTCAAGCACCTTGATTATAAAGGCTCTATTGCACTGTAGTATTAGAATCACATGACTCAAACAATTTTCCTTTCTTCTTAATTATACTTGTCAATAATATCCTCTTGATACGGCAGAAGATAGAGTTCTCTTTTCATAAATTAAAAAGAGGGTTCAAATTTTCAAATAGATAAAAGTATGTTCAAATAAATAAACTACATGAGTATAAAACCTAAACTTAACTCTTATCTTTATAAAATAAAATTCAGCTAGATACTCTAAACTTTTTATTAGCAGTTGTTATATATTATATTGCAATGGTTTTAAAAGAGTATTATATACTAGAAGTTTTTTGTAGGAATACAAAGCTATTTACAATAACTAGATAATCTAAATATTAATATGTTTGAAACACAATAGAATCTGATATCATCGTCATATATTTGAACAATAATTTATATCACTCACAAGCAAATATACAAGGCATTCGTATATGCTCTTTATTATTATATCATCCAACCTGATTCCAAATAGACCCTAATATTTAAATGCTTTTGAATGGATGGGTTGAATATTAATAGCTATCATATTTAGTCAGTGTCTAATCTAATTAAAAATCATATCGATGTTACTTGTTACATTCATCTGTTTAACGTATATTAATCTGCTTAAATCTAATAGCTGATATATTTCTTTTTACGTTCACTTTATACAGCCAATATCGTGAATCATATGTAAAAGTATAGCAACCCATATTTACAAATGTAGTAGTACTGAAAGGAAGTCTTCTAATAAATAAGCTGTCTACTCTTAGAACATATATATTTTTCGTAATACTAACTTTCCATGTTTTAAACAAACATTATTTTGTTTTTCTATTTTATGCTTGAAACATGCTTTCTATTACAAATAAAAAAAAAAAAGGATTTATAAAAATACAAGAGTTTGCTTATTCTATTTATTATCATTTATAGAGATTTTTATTTACTACTACTATGCCCAAACTTTAGGCCGTCTTATAATGCGTCGTTTCTATAAATAATTAACCCATATTGAGTTTATTCAAACAATGAAATATTCGGGTTATGTATATTAAGGGGCTATCTAATGACTCCTTCATTACTTTTAATATATCAAACTCATTCAATCATAAAGTAACTTTTGTTATGTTAATATGTCTGTCTATCTATTACTATCCTATTTATGTTTTAAAAATGTAGTAGTATCTTTTTTATTAATTTAATATTATATCAGATATTAAAGTAATCCAGTATCATTTTCGGCAAGGTTATTAGTCAAATCAGTTTTAACGGTGTCACCTAACATTTCATTTGTAATACTGGTAAGACCTTCATCATCACCACTAGGAAGTGCAGAAGTACCACCTGTTAATCTTCCTAAAAGTAAATCAAGAGGTAAATTTCTTTTATTATTAGGATTAGGATAATCAGCCAATAAGATTGTATCCTTTTCTTGATGAAGTGACAATTTTTTATTATCATGATTCAAAGTTGGAGAAGCATTTGATAAAACAATAAGAGTAATGACCAAGATGAATGTAAGATAACGCATTTCTATTCTATACATTAAAACAAACGAAAAGAATAAAAAGAAAAAAAAAGAGAGCGAGAGATAGGTTATTGTTTATATATACAATTATGTTCAATTCATATATTCATTTATATGGATATATTATGTAATAAGAATGACAATAATGAAAAAAAGGAGCAGTATTATTTATTGAATAGGAGGATGATTATTCATGACTTAATTTATCCACATGATGATGGGCAAGTTATATAGACGTAATACAACGTACAACAGTTGACAACAAAAATAAATAAATAAATACCTTTTATTGACAACAATTGGACATATGATTTCAAGTTTTATTGTTACTATTATTTCTTTCATTTATTTATTCTTTACTTCTTTTTCCCCTTCTTCTTCTTTTACCTTTATGAATAACATAAAATTATCATCAGGTATATAATTTATACGATATTTTTTTTTTAAAAAAAAGGAGGTAAATTAATATAAATATTGGAATAGAAAAAGTAATCAAAGTTACTGCAAAAGATATTAAAACGGGGCAAGAAGTTCAACTTCATTACACGAAATATAAAATAGCAGGCAATGGATCATTTGGAGTTGTTTATCAAGCAAAATTACTTCAGACAGGTGAAGATGTTGCTATTAAAAGAGTGTTACAAGACAAAAGATATAAAGTAGATAATAACCCATCTCTTTAAATTATCGTTTGTATTTAAATCCTTTATATAAAATAGAATCGTGAATTGCAAATTATGAAAACTATTGCTCATCCAAATATAGTATCTTTAAAGGCATATTTTTATTCTCATAGTAATGATACAAATAAGGTAATGGGGGAGGGGGTAAAGGAATGATAAAGAGAATGTGGATTGATGGATTTTTATTAAAATTTAGAGAGATGATATTTATTTACAATTAGTATTGGAATATATACCAGAGACGTTATATAGAGCAACCAAGCATCATCAGTCTATACCTTCTCTTTATATCAAATTATATTTATATCAAATATTACGTTCATTAGCTTATATTCATTCTATTGGAATATGTCATCGTGATATAAAGCCTCAAAATTTATTATTAGATCCATCAACTGGTATTGTTAAACTATGTGATTTTGGAAGGTAAAAAGGAAAAAAAAAGAAAAAAAAAAGAGGGATGTAGACATATACATACATGTACACACACATATATATATACATACACACACATCTATATACACACATATATACACATATATATATACACACACACGCACACATAACCTCTTTTCTCTTTTATTAGTGCGAAAATATTAAATCCGAATGAATCGAATATCGCTTATATTTGCTCTCGTTATTATCGTGCTCCTGAACTCATCTTTGGTTCTCAACATTATACTGTTTCCATTGATATTTGGTCTACTGGTTGCGTCATGGCTGAATTAATCTTACGTGAACCTTTATTTCCAGGTGATAGCGGTGTAGATCAATTAATAGAAATCATTAAAGTATTAGGTACTCCTACTAAAGAAGAATTATTGGTCATGAATCCAAATTATAATGAATATCCTTTCCCTTATATAAAACCTCATCCATTATCAAAATTATTCAATAACAAGACTCCTCAAGAATCGATCGATTTCCTTAATCTCTTATTAAAATACAATCCAACAAAAAGATTATCTGCTCATCTTTCTTTATTTCATTCTTATTTTGATGAATTACGTGATCCAAATACAAAAATGTTAAATGGAAAAGATTTACCCAATTTATTTAATTATACAAAACATGGTAACTATTTTTTGTTTCAAATTTCTATATAATATCATCATCATTTACTTATATATTTATACACATAGAACTCTCTTATCTAACTTTATCTCATAACAACACATAATATTTATTTTAATTTAATTTATTACAATTTTTGATGTTTTCTTTCTGTTTCAAAAATAAGTGCTCTCCATAACTTCATCACGAAGACTAATGCATCCTCATCCAAAGCCTATAAATAAATAACCTTATTAAACTCACATATTCCCCTTACATATTATTATTATTATTATTTACCCCTTCTAGTTCAGATACAAGTTCGTCGGGTGTTTTCCTATCTTTGACTAACTGAAGAACATAATTAACTAAATCTTCTTCTTCCATACCTAATAAATCAACAATCTTTTTTGAAACAAACGGATGTAATTTACTATTAATTAATTCCTATTATACATTAAAATGGTTTGTTAGTATACATGTCATCTATTCATTGGTATTTTTTTTTTCTTATAATTTACCTCATCTACTTCATCCCATTTAACTGTATAAGCCCATAAATCATGTTGTGAACTAGGTATTGAATCAATCAATTCTTTTACTCTCTTAGCTCTCTTTTCTGCTGATAACTCTTCTTTTGTTTCTTCTATATCTCCATAATCTAAAGGTACAAGTACACGTCGTTTCTTTTTAGCTTCTTCTTCTTCATCATCATCGACTCCTCCCAATGTATTTCGTTTGATAGGTATATTGAAATTAAGTTTTTTAGGCTTTAATGCAATCTTGCCTTCATCTCCTTCACGATTAAGATATCCATTATCTCTCATATGTTTCTCTTCTTCTTCTTGTCTTTGTCTTTCTTCTTCTATTTCTTGTATTTCACGACGTCTATCCTCTTCATCACGTTCATCTTCACGTCTACGTTGAATTTCTCGCATTCTTCTCCATCGTGATCGATCACTATAATAAGGTTCTTCTCCTTTAGCCATCTCAACTTCGTCATCCCAATTTCCAAGTCGTTCAAGCCAATATTCTTTTTCTTTACTTTCTCTTTCTTCTAACTCTATCTCTCGCTTCACGTCCTTCTTATATTCATATAATTTATCATATTCTCGTGCTTCAAATCGCTTCTCTCGTTGACGATAGGCGTTTTCTACATCACGCTCATGCTTTTCACGTCTCTTACGTTCTATTTCTTCGTCTGTGACTAAATCTTGTTGTACTGAATGACTATAATATTCTGTAGGTCCCTTGACAAATCCATACTCTCTTCTTGAACTTCTTTCATTTGATTCTCGACGTTCTCCATATCTTTCTTGGTTATGACTATCATGTGTTCGTTGCTCCCTTTGTGAATTACGATCCTTTGAATAGGCTGATTCTCTATGAATAACGTCTACATTATTTACATTAGCATCTTGTCCCATCGTAATGGCTTGTACATATTTCTGTACAATCGCATATTTCTCTTGATCCGCTACTTTTAACTGTTCTTGATCTTGACTTGATTGGTGTTGTTGTTGATGTCCTTCTAGATGCTTGTGTACGTTATCATCTGCTTTCACGATCAATTTCTTTTCTATACCACTTCCATCCTGTGCTTTTAATACAACTCCATTCGTTGTCTCTCCACCTAAAACACGTAATGCACATAATACACTATCAGGATCAGCATAGGTAGCAAATCCAAACCCTTTAGGATTTCCAGAGGGATCCTTTGTACGTTTCCAATGAAGTAAATTACCACAAGTCTATATATATATATTAAGCATTATCATGTTAATTGAAAATAAAAAGTGTGTGAGTATATATATATATATTAGACATACTTTTAATAATGTTTCAAGCCATTCATCAGTTATTCCAGCTGCAATGGCGCCAACAAATAAAGTATTTAATTTCTCATTATCAGGTGAAGTTGTATTAACAGGTGAAGCGCTTCCAGTTTGAGGTGAACCTATAAAAGGAGGCGGTCTTACAGCAGAGACATTTGCTGTTGGTCCTCTTGGTTGTCCATAAACTCCTGGTGGGGATATACTTGTTGCTGTTGCTGTTACTGTTGCTGTTGCTGTTGCTGTTGTTGGTGGTGGTGGTTGTGATGCAGTTGGTGGTGGTGCTGGAGGTCTGAAACCTATTTTTATAATAATTGAATAAATAAATAAAAAAAAATATTTTCTTGATCAACTTTATTCATTTTACCAAAAGGATTATTTCTAAAGGGATCCATTAATTAAAAAAATAACGTAATGTATGTATATAAATATATATATATATATATAGGTATATATATTTATGTGTGTGTGTTGTTAAAAAAAAAGAAAAGAAAAAGAAAAGAAAAGAAATAACGCTAATAAAGAATATATAAAATAAAATAAAAAACACGGACTTTTAACTATCACACATTTATCCCTAAGTTGAGCATTATCACTGTCATTAAAAAGAAAACGCTAATTTTTTTTTTTTTTTTATGAAAAAAAGAAAAAAAGGACATTAAAGACATAGCTTATAAAATCACTGAATTGCCCTAGTTAATCCAACAAATAATGATAACTAAAGATCTTTTCAAAGCAAAAAAGTAAAAAATAAAAGATTAATCCAAATATAAAAAGAAATGAAGTGTTAGGAAAGGGGCTTAGATAACCAGTCTAATAGTTAGTATACAATAGTTTTGAATGAAATTAAAAAAATGTTCGAGGTCAATTAATACAAACTTGAAAAGAAGTGAAAATAGATTTAGACATGTTTACTTGTAAAAATCTAAATTTTCTGTTTGAGATGGCGATATTATTGTTTCTGACGAGAGAATGTAGAGTTAGTATCTCATTAAAAATTTGATGAATATTTTTTTTTTTTCTTGAAAAAGAGTATCAACATGGACAATACATGTTAAAAAAAAAGAACATTAAAAAGCTGACAATAAAGGTATATCCTGTATCGAAGAGCATACATAACCGTTATTCCTAAGGATTGTTTAATGCCAAGTTGGTAAACAAAATAATCCATTTAAATGAAATCAGATAGCTAGAGTTGATTAACATAGATGATTATGTAAGGATGTCATCAGATTAAAGAGTCCTAATGGTTACCAGTCTACCTCGTCAAAAAAAAAAAAAAAAAAAAAAAAATACTAACATATTATATTATGACTGATATAAATTGCTGTAATTATATTAAAAGCAAGTTTACATGTCCATTCCACTTTAATAACAAACGATTACATTATAAAAAATAGATTTATTTTCTTTAATTACTAATCAATTATGAGCATTCATTCAATAAATATAAACATGATAAAGTTAATTGATCCGTTCAAAAGCAGAGATGAATAATTATTATGTACATATGTTTTAAACAAAATCAACCAAGCCACACCTTTTTATTTTATACTCTTTTTTTTTTTTTTATTTTTTTTTCTCCAGTTTAATACAATCACTTTATATATATAAAAAAAAAAGCAAGCATGGTGCTTCATATAGAGCAATTTCCTAGCGTTATTATAGAAAATTTAGCTTATATTTTAGAGCCTAACGACTTATTTCAACTTTCTCTTACGTCCAAAACACTCTATCAAGTTTTTTGGGCCAGTAATAATCTTTGGCGAAATAAAACTATTCACGACTTTGGCGATTTATTCCAAATTTATACCATCTTCACAACTGCTACAGGTCTTACTTTAGACCCTGCATTATCCGAAAAGTTTAGTAAAGAGCCTACTGATTGGTGTCACTATTATATTCAAAAAAATAATAAAGCAGTAATTGAGGCTAGTGTTGATAACGATACAGCATTAATGGACCAAGCAGATGTTGAATATGCTAATGCAAGAGCACAACTTGAATCGTTTCAAGAAAACGGCAATGTAGATATATTAGTGCAAGTAGCAAGTAAAATGATGTGGATTTTAGATGTTTTCCCTGCACATGCGGGCTGCTATTATATTCTTGGCTTTATTTTATTTGTATTGAATAAACTTGAAGAAGCAGTTATTTTGTTACAAATGGGTCGTGCTGTTGATCCTACGTTTGAACCTATTGATGGTAAAGCTCTTGATGGAATTTCATGTTAATATTAAAATTAACTTTTATTCTTAGATTTGGAAGAAGAGATTGAGCGAATCGTGAATGGTTATAAAGGTGAAGAGGAACTTCTAGAAGACAACCAGTTATCAAAAGTATTAAAAGAAGTGCTCGAAGAAATCTTTAATAAATTTGACCAAGATAAAGATGGAGCATTAAATACAAAGGAATTAGACAACTTTATTTTTACTACCAACGGTTCACATCCACCACCTGCATTTTTACGTCAAATGGGATTACGCTTTGGTGCCAATGCAAAAGGATGGTTAACGAAAGAAGGCTTTTTAGAATTTTATTTAGAGCAAACGTTAGATGATCCATCAGAAACTAGGAATGATTTAGGCACTCATGGCTATGATCCTCAAACTTTAAGAAAAAAAATGGAAGAATAATAAATACTGTATATATTATATATATATATATAAAGAGTTATTGAAAAAAAAAAAGATTAGTCCTATAGATAAAGTATGTAAAAATGAAAACTGAGCAAATGTGTAAAGACTTTAAATATTTCTTATTTATGCCCTGAAGATGGAAAACCAATCTCAGTCAACAAGAATAAAAATTAAACTATTGTTAGTGTTCACTTGTACTTGCTAGCATAGATCAATATACAACTAATGTTTATAAATATTTATCATCATTAAGCCTTATTTTAATGATTGTCTAATTAATATGTGATGTTAGATTACAACAATTAGATTGTCGGATCTGATTCAGTAAGACGTTTATTTTATAAAGGTTAACAAATAAATGATAATTAGTAGGTGTAGTAATAAATGAAGTATAAGAGAGGTATAATTGGGACAAAATTTAACGTTAATTAAAAAAAAAGAAAATATAGCCAATCAGACAGAGGCAAGATGTATATATAAGCAAGTGCTGACCAGACAATCACACAAGAGAATACAATATTTCCAATATACTTTTTTTTTTTATTTCATTCTTTACATGGCAAACATATATAAAACATGGAGGCACCTATAGTATATTATAATCGCGCTGAATATATTGAAACTGTAAAAATATACATATATAAAAGGAAAAAAAAAATACAAATGAACTTGGAACTAAGATGATTGAACATGTAATAGGACACTGGAAATAAAGTGAGTAGAAAGTCAGTCATTTGTGGAAGTCAAAACATCATTCTTGGTGGAAAGGTAAAACAAGATGAATTTGTATTTTATTATAATTATATTTTATTTAACCTTTTATATCAAAGACCATTATTCAAACAGATTGTGTCATTAGAGGTGATCTTCGACGTACAGGTGGTGGACATGCAGTTGTTATTGCGATTGGACGATATTGCTTACTTTCAAAAAGCTCGATCATTAGACCACCTTACAAAACTTATAAAGGGTAGGGTATAAAAGTTAATAAAATTAAATATTATGCCAAAATAATTCATATTTCTTATAAATATATAGCATTTTCAGTTATTATCCAATGAAAATAGGTGATCATGTTACAATAGGTGAAGGAAGTATAGTAGAAGCAGCAACTATTGGTTCTCATGTCACTATTGGCAAGAACTGCATTATTGTAAATATATAAATATATTTGTACCCATAGCTAAACAAGATAACTCTAACAGATGCTTATATTTTCAGGGACGATTTGCTATTATTAAGGATTGTTGTTATATAGCAGATAATACGATTATTGCACCTAATACAGTCGTACCTTCATTTAGTGTTTACTCCGGTTCACCAGGTACATATAAAATTCAATAATGAGAATCACACTGTATAACTAAATTTGCATATGTATACATATATAATAGGACAATATCAAGACGAATTACCAGAATGTACACAAGAGTTATATGAAAATAAAACAAAGGATTACTATGCAAAGTTTATGCCTAAAGATTAACTACATACCCTTCTTCTCATATCTTCTTATTTGAATTTCATCTAATAAAATCTATATCTTTATATATATAAATACGTATAGGATATTTATCGTTAAGAAATTTTCTTTTTTTTTTTTTCTTACGTATTTTATTCAATGATAAGAATAGTCAAAATTCTTCCATTCTTACTGCTATTATTTGCATTTGTGGCAGCAAAATCGAAGAAGCATGATCGTAAATCCAGTCTCTTTGTACCAAATACTTACATAATTGAATTTGATCAACCTATTAGCCACTCATTCAATTTGAATAACAATAATAAACGACATTTACTTGGTAAAAGAAAAGCCAGCTTTTATGAACAGCTCAATACATTTAATATTAGTTACAATGTTCGATATGAATATGAAATAATGAATGCTGTCTCGATTTCTTTTAAAAGTCCTGAAGACACTTTATTATTTTTTAAAAATACGCCAAATATAAAAAAGGCGTGGCCTGTGGTAAATATATTATCATTATTATAACGTACGTATAACAATTGACTTGAAATATTTATATATATTCTTAAGAATACAGTATCAAAACCATCTTCATTTCGATCCAATGTAACAAATGATAATAAAATAGCTGGCTTGTTTGAACTTTATAATGTTACTGGTATACATAAAATGAGGAATGAATTAGGGTATTACCATTTCTTGTTATTTATTACTTTTTTTTTTTTTCGTTTAACATACTTTATATATATTTATATTTACAGATTGACTGGGAGAGGAATTAAGGTAGGTATCATTGACACAGGTGTTGATTATACACATCCTGCCTTGGGAAGTTGTTTTGGTGAAAATTGTCGTGTTGCTTATGGTTATGATTTTGTTGGAGACACGTATAATGGAAAAAATACTCCTATTCCGAATAATGATCCATTAGATAATTGTAATGGGCATGGTACTCACGTTACTGGTATCATTGGTGCAAATCAACCAAATATTAATTTTACTGGTATTGCACCGGAAGGTATGCCAAAAAAAAAAAAAAAAAAAAAAGTTCAATGAAAAAATTTATTAAGTATACCTTTTGATGTTAGTTACTTTTGGAGCTTATCGAATTTTTGGATGCTCAGGAACGAGCTCAGATGATATTATTATAAAAGCTATGGAAAAGGCCTATTTAGATGGTATGGATGTTGTTAATCTATCATTAGGTGATGGTGGATGGCCAGAATCCCCTATATCCCTATTGGCAAATGAATTAGCGTTAAAGGGGATGATTGTGTGTGCTGCTGCAGGGAATGAGGGTGCTAAAGGTATGTTTGAAGTGGGTGCACCTTCACTTGGAAAATATGCTTTATCTATTGCTAGTATTGACAATAGTTATGTACTCTCACATACAATCAAATACGATAGCGATAAAAAAATAGGTATATATATATATATATATATATATATATATATATATATATATATATAACAAATAAGATTATTTATCTAATAATTATATGCAATCTTCTAGATTATCACAATTATAACGCCAACCTATTCCGTTTTAAAGAAGTGACTCTCATTGCTAACTCAAAACAGTTTTTACAAAAACACGATGGCTGTGACCCTTTGAAAACAAAAGTGGAGGGTAAATTTGTTCTTATGAGTCGCGGTGGTTGTACATTTACGAATAAAATGATGAATGCTCAAAACGCTGGTGCTATAGGCGTCTTATTTTACAATAATGGTCCTGGTGAATTCACTCCTTCCTTATTAACTAATTCAACCATTCATATTGATTATGGAAGTATATCTCAGCAAGAAGGTCATGATTTATTTCAATTTTTGAAAAGGAATCCTTCTGATTTTTCTGGTCTCATTGAATTTATCGCAGAAGATAGTGTTTTACCTATTCCTACAGCAGGTTCAATTAGTTCTTTTAGCTCATGGGGATTAGGTCCGGATTTAAGTATAAAGCCTGACATCAGTGCACCAGGAGGAAAAATCTATTCTACGTAAATTAAATAAATGTATACATAAATACATACATAGTCATAACTGTTTTATTTATATATATATAGTTATCCTGTGTCTCTTGGTAGTTATGCAACTTTAAGTGGAACAAGTATGGCAAGCCCTTATGTTGCAGGTATTGTTGCTTTACTTCAAGAAGCTAGAGGAGGTAATCGAGCTATTCATGTGAATGAAGTCCGTACCATATTGATCAATAACGGACATCCTTTCAATCGATACAATTCTGAAGAGTTAGAATCAGTAGCAAGACAGGGTTCTGGACTGATTGATGGTTATCAAGCGATTAGATCGGACACAATCGTCATACCCGAACATATCCGACTGAATGATACTGAGCATAGTGCTGACAATCATGAATATACACTCACTATTAAAAATAATGGTCGTATGGCTGCTGAATACTATATAAGCCATAGAGTAGCAAGTACTGCTCAAGGGTTTCAGCAAAATACATATGACAATACTCAAAACATGTTCCCTCTTAATATACCTATTATGTTATCTGATTATGAGGCAGAGGCGATGGTAGATATTTATGACCCCATAGTTTTGATAGACGCAAATGAAGAAAGGAATATTACTATACGTATCTCTCCGCCTCTTAACTCAGACTCAATGCCTCCCTCCATCTATTCAGGATACATTACTGTCACTAAAGACGAGAAGAGTATCATTTATGTGCCCTACGCTGGACTTACGTCAAGTTTATCAAAATTACCTGTATTAGTTATGAATGATACAATGCCTACCCTTGTTCATAAACGAATAAATAGTGATTTTTCCATCATTCTCTTGTCCTTTCAATTAGCAGAGGCGTCTCCATTAGTGAAAATATCAGCTGTAAGTGCAGCTGACGTTAACCAACACTTTGGTTTCATTCCTGGTGGATATATCAGATATGCTAAAAGAAATAGTCCTGAAGATTTACTCGATGTTATGGTTCTGCCTTGGTATGGTAACGTAGCTGCCACAACTGAACAAGTTAGCTTGGGTCCCTCCCTTCATCAAAGTAAAACCCAGCAAAATCAATATCAAAGTCTTCAAATAGATCCTCAGCTCACTACCTTTCAACCATTTATCTCTCAAATCGGTACCAAACTCAAAGCGGGTTCTTATAAACTGAAATTAATGGCATTACGTCCTTTTGGTGATCTAAATAATGAAGACGACTATGATATTTGGTATTCACCTGAGATAGAGTTTAATTAATATTGTATAAAAGTTTTTTCTTTTTTTGGCTTGCTCTAGCCAATGTAAACAAAACAAAACAAAACAAAATTATCTGATTATTATTATAGATTTTTCATAAATACGACTGAATAAATTTTTATTAATTAAATAAATTTGGCCAATGAGTACATTAGCGTCTTAAATATTTCTTAAGAAGTTATTGATTAATTCGTTTAAAAATGTAGTAATTAAGACTGTTAATTATTGATGCGTATATTTGCCATAACATCGATTTGTTAAGTATGTGTGTTAGTGTAAGTATCTAGTAAAGATTTTTAAATAAGATAGTACTTTAGGAAATAGTGTAGTAAAAAACCAAGGTTTACTAATAAGAGCACAACCTATCGTAGTAGGCGGTTAAGTAAAATAAAATACCACATTAGTCAAGTAATAAATAATATCATCACCTACTATAACTTGGCAAATATATTTATTTTCGCAAAATTCCTGAGTCTTAAGAGATCCAAGAAATAAGGGGCTAATGAAAAGGATATAGTTGAATCGACCACGAGCCATCTAAGTATAGAAATGAATCTAAAAGTAAACATTCAAAATTATTAAAAATAATAATACCAATGATAGCAAATTGATTCATGCTCTACAAAACTTTTTTTAAAAAAAAAAAATTAAAACAGAGTGATATTTTAGAGCATTTTCCAAGAGACATGACCAAGTAAGGAAAAATGTTTTAGATGTGGTAACAAAGTATCATTAAAAAAAAGCATTAATAATTGTTAGTTGGTAAAGCAATAATAACATATTTGAGAGGATGCTGTCTTTGTCTTAATTGAAGGCTGTACTCACAGCAAAATGGGAGTAGCAAAACTAGCTATGCAGATTAGGATATCAGAATCATATTATCATTACAGGATAATAAGCTAATGAATAACGTAAACCTAGTGGCATCTTGTAGTAAAGTATTACCGACTAATCGTATCACAAAAGGGTCGATAAGTTATTGATACATAGGAATGTATATATCAATATATATATTTATATTGAGCCCAGAAGAGCATGAGTGATAGGTGAGAAATGGTAGGTAGAATTTCAATATGGAGATAGTCAAAAGGATATTACAGAATATCCAATAATACATGTGGTAGATACAATTAGAGGAATTATCAGATGCAAGATTGATTAAGAGTGTTATATACCCATTTAAAGTCGAGAAAAGCCAAATACTGTATTTAAATATTGTAAACTTTGATGATTCAAAGTCACTGACAATAAATTCAAATATTAAAAAAAAAAAAGAATAAAAAAGTTCTACTAAAGGATACATTTATTCTATTTTCTTTCTTTCTATGTTAGATTATACTAGGTTTAAAATTACTATATTAACTATGTTTTTATTCTTCTTTAAATAAAGGGTGTTTAGCAATTAAATAAAATAACTTTTACTAAGCAATAAATTAAGTACAATAGTTACTGTAAAAATACTTGTTTTCTATTGGGCGACATAAATGCGTCACATACTAAAAAAGCACGCCTACAATTGGGTACCAAACAATGCTTTTTTTCATTTAATACACATATTTCAAAAATTACTTTTATTAGGTAAATTTTTATTTATATGTAAAAAGAAGTCTTCAATTGTTATGTGTTATACATTTGAATGTTAAATTTCTAAATTTTTGTTTCTTTTTTCCCCTTCATTAAAAGAATCTTTTCTAATCGTCTTTTCATAATAAAGATAAAAAATGGATAAAAGGCCAAAGAGATCTAATGTTGTTGAAAAAAATTATAGAGAACGTAAAAGACAAAGAAGACGAAATAGTGAAAAAGTAACTATTTATACCAAAGATAGATATAAAAGGAAAATAAATTATTTTATTTTAGTTTAGTTTATTTTACTTTATTTTATTTTATTTTATTTTTTTTACTAGTCTGTATCAGTTAGTTCTACTGTAGATAATACTCCACCACAATATGATTTGATTGAACAACTTTACAATGATATTTTAGATTATAAAGATCCAGACGAGTAAGTCCTTTTTATAACTGTTATACATTTGTAAGTAATAAAAATTAAGCATTACTTATATAGCGAGGAATACGATCTTTGTGCTTTGTTCTTAGAATTACCTTCAAAAGTCGAATATCCTGATTATTACGATGTTATTAAACACCCTATTGCTCTTGAAGATATGAAGGTATTATATACATGTTAATACAGAACGCGTTTGTTTGTTTATTTTATTAATGTTTTGATTAGGCTAAGATTGATGCAAAAGAATATACTTTATTATCACAATTTAAAGCTGATATTGAACTAATGATTTCCAATGCTAAAAAATACAACATTAAAGAATCACAAGTATATGAAGATGCGATCAAAATTCAGGTAAATGAAATTGATTAGATATATATTTATAATACTTACAGAATAATAATAAAAAAAATAGAAATTTGTGAAAAATTGGAAAGAGCCTAAAGAAAAGGCTATCTTAAAACTTCCTGGAGATGCTTTCACTCAAGGATCAACACCAAAAATAAAGGCTATTAAGCTTCGAGCTGTGGATAAGCAAAGTCAAAAAAGTAAATACATCTATACGCTTTTTTTTTATTTTATTTTATTTTAAAAAAATATCAATATTTATTTTTGTTTTAAAGCTATAAAGGCTTTAATGCAGGCTATTAGTAAGAAAGATTCGAAGCGAGCTTTGGAATTATTAGAGGAAGATAAAGATTTAAATCCTAATGAATTGATTGAAGTAGAAATGTTTAACGACAAATTTACTTGGGCCCCAATTCATGCGGCAGCTTATTATGGTGATGTGAAGTTAGTTGAATCATTATTAGCAAGAGGAGCTAATGTAGAATTAAATGATACTTGGTATTCTGCTACTCCTTTGGGTTGGGCAGCATTTGGTGATAAGGATAAAGTTGTAAAATTGCTTATTGAAAAATACAATGCCAATATAAAAGCAGAAAATATTCATGGTCAAGTACCATTTGATGTCGTATCTGATCAAGATGATCCAAGATGGATTGGTTTATTTAAAGAGGTACCTCCCACACTAATTCCACAAAAACCACCTCAGCCACAGCCACAACCACAGCCACAGGCTTCTCAGCCACAGCCAAATCCTCTCATTCATTTACCAGCTCCACCACAAACGCAAACAACACAACAAACACAAATACAAATACAACAGCAGCAGCAAGAACAGCAAGCACCTACTATTAATAGTACAAATGCTAGTATTCCTCAAATTAATAATAGACCGCAACAGATACAAATTACACCAAACAGGCCCTTGCCGATTCAATCATATCCACCTGGTACTGTTAGACCTATTCCAACAGTGACAGATGGACAATTTATTAAAAAGAGAAGAGGTAGACCACCGAAAAGTGAAACGGAAGCTGCAACTGCTAGACCGACAACTGAAATTGATCTCAATACATTTGATCCTGTTGCTTTTGAAATTGAACTTTTTAATGCTATTCGAACTCATACTGATAATACGTAATTTACCCTAAATAGCTTATGGAATATATCATCTAACTAACTTGAATATATGAATTTAGGAATCGTCTTTATTCCGAACAATTTGAAGATTTACCAGATCGTGAAGAATATCCTGAATATTACAATACAATCAAGAAGCCAGTTTCACTTACAATGATTGCAGAAAAGATGCAAACAAGAGCTTACTCTAATTTACATGCATGGATAGCTGATATGAGACTTGTTTTTGAAAATGCTCTCAATTTTAACGAGCCTGGTTCTCGTATATATCGTGATGCAAAATTGCTATTGGTAAATATGGATTTTGTATATGTAAAAAAATGATAAACAATATTAATCTTTTTTTATTTTATTTCTTCCTTTAGCGTTTATTAAATCGTTTACAAGATCGTATTTTAGCTAGACTTGGTGTTCCAGTCAGTCAAGAAGATGCAGCCTTCCGTATAGATTTAAGAAATAGGCCATTTGATGTAGATGCATTGAGCGAAGATAAACGTAAAATAAAAAGGTACTTAAATACTAATAAATCAAGAACCCAAAGTATGGAGCCAGAACAACATCATGCGATGCCTCCTTATATCATGCAGCAGCAACAGCAACAACTTTTACAACAACAACTTTTATTCCAACAGCAGCAGCAACAACAACAGCAACAACAACGACAATTTATGTCTATGCAACCATCAGTAGATACACCTGCCATGATAATTCAACCCTCTTTACCTCAGTCATTTGAAATGAATACTTTTGTTCCTAACACTATTCCAAATCGACCTACTCCACCTCTAAATACTTATGGACCTTTTTCTGGTCCTACTAGTAATCAATCCCCTTTACCAAAGGCGTCAAAAGAATTCTATGCTTTATGTCAAGATGAAGGTAAGGTGTTTTATTATTATTATTATTTCGCTGTAACTAATTTTATATATGTATCTATTTATTTATATAGTTAAAATGTTTATTCAAGAATTAAAGATAACATCTCCTAATAATAATTCAATTGTTATGAGTTTGGATGGAGAATACTCAAACCACAGTATATTTGTACCTTCTAATGTAGAGACATTGACTATTCAACCTGATTTAGTAAAGGCGTTAAAAGTGGAAGAGAAGCGTTTAAATATTACAGTTTTACAAAATAATATGAAATTAAATGTACCTGATATGACAGAATGGCATACAGCTTCTTTAACTCGAGGTACGAACCTTATTAAAATTAGCATAACTGCTAATTGCACACAACCTGATTCAACTATTCCAGAATATAAATCAAAAATTTACCATTTATTTGTTACTCGTAACTGGTAGAATTAAATACATAACTAAGATAAAATAAATCTTTATTGCATAAAATAATATTCTAAAAAATTTATATGTACAAGATTTGTTGGTATTTATATAAGATATTGTTTTTTTTTTCTTTTTTGTGTGTGTGTGTTTTTTTTTAGAATCCACCACGTCCGCGACCACGGCCACCACGACCGCCAAAACCGCCACGGGCTTGACCACGGCCACCACGGCCACCACGACCACCACGACCACCACGGCCACCAAAACCGCCACGACCACCACGACCGCGACCGCCAAAGCCACCACGAGCAGGACGGCTACGAACTCTTTCAGAGTCATCACCCCCACTAAAATCAGTACGAACAGGGCGACCCTCGATGCTCACACCATTCATACCCTTGACGGCAGCCTCAGCTTGATCTTCGGTTTCAAATTCAATATAGCCAATACCACGAATTTTACCTGTTTCTCTGTTAAAGGGCAAACGAACATCACCTACAATGGTACCGAATTTTTCAAAAGCTTGACGAACACCATCTTCATCAAGACTATGGGCCAAGTTAGCGACAAAAACAGTATTTGTTTTAGGACCAAAATTAGTATCTTTACCACGAGGGGTAGCAGGGGTGGCATTATCAACCTTGATAGTACGACCCATAAATTCAGTACCATCAAGCTCCATTGCTGCATTTTTACCAGATTCATTAGCAAAATCAATATGAGCAAAACCACGAGATTTGCCTGTTTCAGGATGTGTACGAAGTCTAACACTAGAGATTTCACCACATGAACTAAAGTGCTCACGAATATCATCAGCTGTAGCGTCAAAATTAATTTGACCAACCCAGACAGTAGTACCTTCTGCACCGAATGCCTTTTTAGTGACTTGTTCTACTTTGACCATCTTTTTAGGACGCTTCTCCTCCTCCTCCTCTTCCTCCTCCTCTTCTTCTTCTTCTTCAAGATCAGATCTAGATCGCTTTCCATTAGATTCAGCATCACTTTCAGCCTCTTCTTCTTGATCAGATTCATCTTCTTCAACAGTAGAATCATTTTGATCGGAAACAGATTCTTCTTCAGAACCAGAGTCGTCCTCTGATGAAGAATGTTCATCGCTAGAGGAATAAGTAGGTTCCTTAGATTTAGTTTCAGTAACACTTTTTCCCATTGTTTGTATTATTTATAAAAAAGAAAAAAAAATTTTTTTAAGGGAAAAGAATAAAAATAAATAGAAGTTTTGGTCAACATGAATTAAAAGAGTGGAGAGCTGAGTTTTGTTATACAATTTTTTTGTGACTATTTTGTCTATCCAATATCAGACTTTTTTGATTCAATAGATAGCATGAATTATACAAATATTAGTTTATTATTAGTACAAATGAAAAGTAAGATAGAAAAAAATAAAATATGAAACACAAGTTAGAATTAGAATTAGAATTGTAATCATTTTTTCGGCGCTAGCGAACTTAAACCAAGTTGATTTCCAGAATGGTTATCAAAAAGCATTCGTAAACCTTGTTGGGGCCTAATGAGAGGAATAGAGGCTTGGGGACCTAAAGGCGGTGACTGAATATAGCTTGATCCAGGTTTAGGCTTTATAGATATAACCGAAGAATCATCATCATCATCATCGTCGTCGTCGTCGTCATCGTCATCATCGTCATCAAGAGAAAGAATACTTGTTCTTCTGGAAATAGTTGAAATAGAAGATGAAGATCCAATTGAGGCTAATTTCACAAGCCTCGGTTCTTGTAACATGTGTATTGTGCCTTGAGCCTGCTCAAGCATTTTTGTGTATTCAAACATCCTGTTCACCACATCATGTACACTTCCCTTTTGTTCTCTTTGATGAATTTCGATTGATGATAATCTACCTTGTAATTGGTTATTTTCATATACAATCTAATATGATTCAATTAATATCACAAAACTATCATCCTATTCTGTATGTTATCTTACAGAGGCAAGGTCAGAATACATATTCCTTATAGCTTGAGTAGCAAATATATCGGATTCTTTTTGTGTCTTAACTGCCTTTTCTAATAAAACTTGTAAATTCACATTCACCTCTTCTGTTGCTGTTAAGTCTTGTTCGATTTCAGCTTGTAAAATAAAATTAGTTTTACTATTTAGTATGTATCCTATACACTTACAAACTCTATCTTTCGATTTTTCCTAAATAATTAAGGATTAAGGAAATATATTTTTATATTATAGATTTTTCTTTTTTTTTACCAAATCAACAGTAATGCCATCCATTTGCTTAATTAAACCGGCCATGTTCCTTCGAAATTCAGCTAGTTCTTTTCTAGCTTGTTCCATTTCATGTAAGAATTGCATTCGTTCAGTTGCATCTATTGAGTTATGAGTTTTATGAGGTATCGAAGGTGTTGAAGAAGATGAAATTGGCTACAAAAAAATTGAATTATTAATATATAAAAGGTACATGTACTGTGTAATATAAAACCTTAATATCAGGTGTTGTATTATTATGTATTGAACATTCATTATCTTCTTGGTATAAATCTGAGCTTAATTCAATTACACTTGATCTTCTTTCATTTAAAACATATTTCTCTATATTTATATATATATATATATAAGAGAATAATGATAATTAAAATAAAATGAATAATAATTGAATTTGATGTTGTACCTTTATTAGATTCTATTATTAGCCTATCTTTTATTTTTTGCTTTTTTTTATCTTTAAAATGGGGATTACCCAAGGGCTAAAATTAATACTGTTAATAATGTGTGTTTTTTTTTTATATAAATCTACAATCAATTATAACCTGGGAGATCACCTCGGAATCCATTTAATGCTTCATCAATATTTCTATTTTATATTTCAATAGAAAAAAAAAAGGGTCTTAATAGAATATTTAGCCGCCATTTTTTTTTTTTTTTTTTTTAGAATTTATAATGACGCGAAGTGTGTACATAGTGTACAACTAGAGAGAAATACACCAATGTGTAAAAATCTGGGGTTGATAAGCCTTTATTTATTTATTTATTTATTATTAATAAAAATGCATCCTTCAATTACAATACGTGCTACTCATAAACCTTTGATTCGTTTCATAGGTTCTCGAGCTAATCTTTGGAAAGGTAAAGATAAATATGTATATAAATGTATAAGATGGATGATTTATATTTAAGATTAGATGCTCCTCATCACTCTGGACCTCATCCTTTAACACCACCTAATTTAGTTAAACATGTTGCTCAACCAAGTCAAATTAAAGCTAAACAAGCAGCTAATTCTAGTGCTATTGAATTTGGTCAATTAGCTGCGAAATATCGACGTGTACCAATCTCAGAAGCTGAAATGGAAGCTATTGAAGTAAGGATGATAAAAGGACATAGACTTTGTAAATACTAAATTTTATTGAATAGAGTGGAGGTGCTACATATGTTATTTAAATAATTATAATAAACTATATATGTATATATATAATATGTATATAATTCTCTTAATTTGTTACTGCAATGCATTCAATTTCAACAAAGGCATCTTTAGGAAGACGAGCTACTTGCACTGCACTACGAGCTGGTTGATGCTTATCAAAGAACTAACTCAAAGAAAAAAAAACAAATAGAATGATGAACAACTTTGTCAAAGGGAAACAAATAAGCGCTTACCCTAGCATAAACATCATTCATAGCAGCAAAATCATTCATATCCTTTAAAAAAACAGTTGTTTTGACAACTTTATCTATTCCGGAGTCAGATGCTTTAAGAACTTCCGCCATATTAGATAAACTTTGTTCTGTTTGTTCCTTTATTCCTCCCTTTATAATGTCACCTTTTAATTAATATTAATAGACATCAAAGCAGGAAAAAAAAAAAAAAAAAAAAAAAGTAACACAGTATAAATGTACCTGTTTCAGGAACAACTGGAAGTGAACCTGAAGTAAAAACTAGGCCGTTAGCCTTAATAGCTTGAGCTACAGTCATAAAAAGGTATTCAATAGTGAATGACTAGTAACGTATTAAGGTGTGTAAGTTTACCATAGGGTCCAATAGCTGCAGGTGCATTTGATGTATCTAATATAAAAAAAATCCATTTTAATGTTAAATTTTATATATAATTTTCATTTCAATGATATGCAATTGTGTTAAACATACGAACTCGAGTTAAAGTTGACAGAGATCTTGAAATGGCTGGAAATAGTCTGTTAGAAAACATTGAACGTAATGAGAAAGATAGAAAGAAAAAAATAAATAAATTGTATTTGAAAATCTCTTTTTTTTTTTTTTTTTTTTTGTAGTAGTAGTAGTAATAGTAATAGTAGATTTAAACTCAGTCATAATTGTGAGAAATAAAATAAAATAAAGTGCCAGATAGAGTGATGAGACAAAAGCAGCACAGTTATTACCTTTGAAGTGCAGAATTCACCCACAATGCTTAGTAGTAAATTACTACATTTTTTTATCTGCATTTCAATTTGATTTCAAAGAATTTTAGTGATTCCAGTTCGGAGACCTCTAAATTAGAGTGAATCTTTCCCGGACATCCCCATTACCAAATGATACTTGTGGGTAACTTGTCTTTATGACGTTCAAATTTCTTTAGTTTCTAGGATTCATTATTATAAAAAAGTATACAAATATAAAGTTAAAAGTTAAACCAATCCATATTCATACACAGCGTTGGTGTTATATACAAAAAATACAGTAATAAACAATCTTAGAGCTGAAGCAATGATAACTATAAATTCAGCTGTCAAAAAAAAAAAGAAAAAAAATTAAATACAAATAACGATTTGTTAATACGCATAAGCTGAACTTGATATAATATACCGCCCATATATAGTAAATCAATATGAGTTGTAATAAGTAATAGAAATAAATGTATACCTATTATTATAACTATTGTGTATACTCCATTAATCATACCCAATCATATATAGCCCAACTATACGAACTAATATACTGTAAAGGGTAATGATATATAGTTTAGACGGATAAGTTATGAATAAGACAATCATACAAAAAGTATAAATAGTAACAGGCGTTTTATATAGATGATTTTCTTTCTCCTTAGTCAGTTCTAACTCATTTTTTTTATATTTATATACTATACACATATTAATAAATGTATTAACAAATCTCACATATTTTATTTCTGTTTATTTTTATATTTCTCTTTCTTGACACAAATAACACAACAGTTACTTAAAGCATGATCGGTGGGCATGACAATAACGGCAATAAAAAGGCATAGAGGCTTTGTATGCATAAACGGTAATGGCGTCAGAAGACTTACTATCAGGAGAGAGAACAAAAGTAGAATCAGCACGTATAGAGTAGGCGACTATACAGCCAGTGACTATTATGAGATAGAAAAAAAAATACTGCTATTATCATCTGAGGAAATCGCAAGTACCCCCCCCCCATATCAACGACCGGTAAATAAGCCTTACTTGGATACCAGTAATAATGTCACAGTCAATGACATCACTAAATGGCTTCAAGTTGTAAAGTAGGTCAGTCTTAAATTCACCAAGACCACCTAGTTTACCAGTATATTGCTGAGATAAACCGATAAGAGTAACATTAAGTATTTTTTTTTAATCGACAGATAAGGAAACGAAACCCTAAAAAAAAAAAAAAAAAAAAAAAAAAAAAAAAAAAGAAAGCGTAAGACTATCCTCCTAGCATGTAATCTATTACGTATGGAAGGATAAAAGAAAATCAGCAAAAGTGTGGCTGGCTTCTTTGTGAGGTTTTTCTTATAAACACTAACTGAAGACAGGATCCAGAATGAATCCTTTTAAGAATAATGGGTTACAACCAGTCGAACAGGATGAACCTGTAAAAGAAGCTACAGTTAAAAGGATTGATGTTTTTTACCGAGTTAATTGACCTTGACAATGTTAACCCTTGATTGATTTGAGAGCTACATTTAGGTTGATCGACTTGCGGAGACTGCCTTATTAGGCAGGTGTTGGGTTTTAGTGGAAGAAAGTATGGCAAAATGAAATTAATTTTGTTACACTCAGCTACGATTTGCATTGATGAATGAAAATTACAAAAAAAGTCAGTCACATATAAGTTAAATTAATCAATAGCATCAAGAATAAGAGATCTGTTGTAAGAATAGTAATTTGAAGAAGAATTTTATTTAAAATATACAATTTTTTTTTATGAAATGACTGTTTCTTAAAATGAGAAGAAACAGCTTATATTTGTCAATTGGCGCAGCATCCTTTTGTCCTAAACAATAGTTGATATTCCAAGACCGAAAGGTGTGACTTACATACACAATTATAAACTTTTTTTTTTTTTTTTTTTTTTTTTTTTTTTTTTTTTTTTTTTAACGATAAAAAAAGGACATATTACATAATATGGTTATTCAACAACCCAATTCACAAATCAAGTAGGCCAAGTCAATAGTTTATTTCACGAACAAATACACTGAGATTTGTTTTTTTTGTTATAGACTTACGAATGTTTCTGTTGTTCGACTTCGTAAAGGTGGAAAGCGATTTGAATTGGCTTGCTATAAAAATAAAGTCATGGAATGGCGTACTAATGTGTAAGCTTTTATAATCACAATAATGATAATAATAATAATAATAATAAAAGTTAAATAAAATAATTGTAGAGAAACAGATTTAGATGAAGTTTTACAGATTCATAATGTCTTTTTTAACGTATCAAAGGGACAAGTATCAAGTAAAGAAGATTTAAAGAAATGTTTTAAAACAGAAGACATGGATAAAGTTATTCAAGAAATTTTAAAGAAAGGGGAGCTTCAAGTAGCTGAAAAGGAAAGAACAGACCAACTAGAGACAACTTGGAAAGATATTGCTAACATTGTGACCGATAATTGTGTTAATCCTCAAACAAAACGTCCTTATACAGTGACAATGATTGAAAAAGCCATGCAGGACCTCCATTTGAGTGTGAATCCTAAACGTAGTACAAAATCACAAGCTTTAGATGTTATTAAGCAACTACAAGAAAAACAAATTCTACCTATTCAAAGAGCACAAATGAAAGTCAGAATTACACTTCTTCAGTCAAAAGAATCAAAGAAATTACGTGAAAAGATTTTAACTTTAGTTACATCTATTGAAGATGAAGATTCAAATTCTACCGAAATTGAATTGGTAAAGTACTCTAAAAAAAACATTGTATATTAGAAGGATATTTATGTTAACTGTGTATAGATTGCTTTGATTGATCCGGGTAAATATCGTTCTATTAATGATTTATTACAAAATGAATCAAAAGGAAAAGGACAGCTGGAAATCATGAATTTAAGAGAAAAAGAAGAAGGAGATGAAAAGTTTTAAAAGACTGGTGAATTTAAAATAAATAAATTATCTTCATTTTTTTTTATCCATTTCAATAATTGATTCGAGCTTGATATTATTAATGGCTTAGGCGTATTTGAAGGGAATACGACATATAATTCAAATGATGAAGTTATCTAAGAGTGAAAAAAAAAAGATATGCATATAAACATGTGTTAAATAAATGCTTCTACTAATATTACATATACGTATACAACTATATATGTATACATCTATATATTTTACCCATCCTAAGAGTACTTCTTTTTCACTATTTATATAATATAATTTTAATGGTCTTGTTCTATTATGCATTCTATCAAACATATGCTGATAAAGTCTATATAATCTTCTTCTATTAATGTCATTCGTATAAGGTCCACTAAATCCTGGAGTTGTGAATTGAATATGGATTTTTGATTTATATATAAAATGAAGCAGAGAGGGTATCTGTATATCTTCAACTGTATACGTGTCATTTAAAGCCTCTTTAATCGTCGTTAATAATACTCCTTCTTTTTGCATACTTTCATAAATTTGTGATTTCCATGCACTTATCTCGAAAAAGTTATCTTTGGCCGTGCTAACAACAACTACTGAAATATTCTTTTCAACATAACATATATAAGCATGTAAAAATCCTTTTGAATTGAATTTTGGCAAACAAAGAGGTGTCCATGATTCAGCTGTATGAAATGTTGTAGATCCTGTCAACATGTTAAACAATAAATGAAGATCTGAAGGATGCAAACTATGTTTTCTAGGTCGTAATAATGTTACTAATTTCCCATTTGCTACAATCATTGCATATAATATTTTCTATATTCCCAAAATCAATTATAATTCAATTTAATTAACTAAATCTTTTTTTTTTTTTTTTTTTTTTTTTTTTACCTTCACTTTTCCTTCTGCCAAAATAGATCCTATTTGATCTCGAATAGGTCGATTTAGACGTAAACACTGTAACCCACTTAACATAAAGCTATGATCATTATTAAATGATGTTGATAAACTATCCAAAAATACTTCAGTACCTATGAATACATATATATAAGAGGAGACTTTTTTAAGAAAAAAAGAAAAAAAAACAGTTACAAGCATATATGCTTGCTTAATTACCTCCCAGTAATCTTCGTAAATCAAAATTAACTCTTTGTTCAAAAATCCTTGTTAACTGCACACTTGTTAAAACACTTAAGATTTGATTATGTAAGTATAGTAATTGGTCACGAATCTATTACTGATTATTATAATTTGATTATAACAATGATGTGATGTCTATTTACCTGATTGTCGGATTCTCCTGTTCTTGAAACAGCTACAAAATAAAGTGGTTCCTTAATAAGAAATACAAACTTATGATGTCCAGCATTAATCGACCTATTTTAAATACATAAATGAACAGATGCGTCGTAAGTTTATTCGTTTACACTTCCTACTTTATTGCGTCATCTCCATCTTGAAAAAAAGAAATAATTGCTTGAATGACGCCCATTAACGAAGATAATTGGGATTCATCACCATATCTAGAGTTAATAAAGAAAAATAAAATTAACTAGATAATAAGTAACATATCCAGATATAACATATATTTTTTCTGTTTTTCATTTTTTTTTTTATTTACCTTGTCCAGATTGGTTTTCCAGCACTGCTTAAGATGAAAAAATGCTTTTTATGTTGTAGCCATGTATTTGAGTCTTTATATATGTCAAGTTAGTTAAATATTGCTTCATTATAATATCATAATAATTATTACTGACCTGCTTCTGATTTAGACTTTACTTCACCGTCTGTTATGGGTATAATGGAGCTTCTTGAACCTTGTCTTCTTATTTTATTATAATTTTTAACCAGATCATCACTGTTATTTGAATTGGATGAATAATTAGAACCTAATGATGAAGGTTTAAACGAGTTACTGTCGTCAATTGAGTTATTCGATTGACTAGTATTACTGCTATCAACAAAAACTGGCTCCTGCATTATATCAAGCTACTCAGCAATATGTGTATATGTATTTATTCTTAAAAAAAAAAAAAAAGAAAAGAAGAAAAAAAAAAGAGAGAGAGGGAGAAATTATTACCAATATTATAAGAAAAAAAAAGGTTTTAAAATGACGTTATATTATAAAAAGGAGATATATGCATTAATATTACGTAATAAGCAGTAATTGAAAATGTATATGAATAAGTTATACTTGTATTTATGAGCTCCTTTATTAAATTAAAAAAAAACAGGTTCTAGCTAATAACAATTATTACATTAACATAGAACTAAATACCAACCTATAAAATGAAAGGCTTGCATTAAACCATATATACTTTACAAGAATATGTATAAAAAGGGAAAAAAGTAAATATGACATAAGAGAGATGAGAGAGAATCGGCATTTTATTAGATCAAGAATGATTGTAATTAGTTAAATGATAATAGTTGAAACTATTTATATGGATTTTTGTATTCCATACAATAGACATGAGTACATCTTTGTACAGTCTAGCTAATAAAGATTATAAGTTTTTTTTTTTTTTTTTTTTTTTTTTTTTTTTTTTTTTTGTCATTTATAGAAAGAATTATAGTCATAGTTATAAGTAGCATTGATTAATATCAACCATATAGCTATGAATTATTCAAAATAATCATACACCTTTTCTTTTGTTTTCAGTTATAAAGATAGAAATATTAATATCTTTAATGATAATGAAATTGAAGTTTATGACCTGGTAAAGGATGTATGAATGAATATCATTGATTCTAATATAGTATTGAAGACAGTATCTAGTCAATATGTATACTTAAAGTTAAAGCTATCTGATTCAATGTATAATGAAAATATGTTTGAAAGAAGTATTGTTGCAGAACCTAAGACGCAATATAATAATAATTCATCCACCTTAGGTTTGAAAGTAGAGTGCAGAAATGCATTACCGTAAAAGTTGATAAAATAAACGAACATTTAGTACAGAAATGGTGAAAGGAGTACAGTGAAATAGGAGATTAACTGTATAAAAAATCGATATTCCATGAACTGATTTGTGTAGGATCCACAGATATTTGCAGTTAATATTGTAGATAGTTTAACTAAAAAAAAAAAAAAAAAAAAAAAAAAAAAAAAAAAAAAAAAAATTGAATATTTTAGTATTTCTCCATAACCCATATTAAAAATTACTTGAAGAAAAAAAACCAGCTTGTGCTTGATTATGAAGAAGCAGCCTTTTATATCCATTGAAAAAAAAAGTTTACTTAATTATCAATATAAGAGATTTATTTAGACTAGATCAACTTCGTAAACTATTGTAGTTATTACTCATTCTTTGGCCATTATACATATAGTATTGAAAGAAAGAAAAATCAGCTCTTCGAAAAATAGCAGAGAATTTCAATAATAGTGATATGTCATTGAATATTCCAGAAATAAAAATAAATAAATAACGAACATTGCCTATCATCCAGCAGTTTGGTGAAAATTTTATTATTATCATTGATAATCTACATACGGTTACTATTAAAACGGGCAAGAAAAAGAATGAGAAAACTTCAGATATTAAAAAAGTATTTACAAAAGAATGGAGCAAAAAGTGAGACGAGTTTATATGTAAATTTACGTGGATGAAAAAGGCCTCAATCTACATACAGTAAAAAAAGTATGGAAAACGCTTATACTATTCCAATTGTGAAAAAAGGTACCTTATTATTTCTCAGAGTAATATACTTGTATAGAAATTATAAGCGTATCTATCAGATTGCCTGGTCAAAATAAAGGCAGAAGGTTTAAAGAAAAAAAAAGTGATTGTAATAAAAGTGCTTTATAAACCTTATAATAAAACAAATGTTGAATCATTTCTTATTATACTAAAGCTCTATGTTGAGATAAACCCTATCAGCGCAGTAGTTTGCTCATTTTTGGGCGAGCAGCATTTCCGAATTTTCTATGAAAATCAAATTTCACTGTAGGCTATACGTACACTCCTATATACACACAAATCACGTGCAACTAAAAAAAATTCATTGTAAATCAATCCTCGAATTGCTAAAGAAAAAAAAAAAAAAAAAAAAGAGCGTCAATTTTTTTTTTTTTCATTGCTGGTACATTATTTTTATCTTAATATAAATATTCACCTAAAAAGAAAGGACAGCGCCTCTTTTTATAGTTTACTATCAACAAAGAAAAAAAAAAAGAGAACTTTACCAGTTTAATTAAATTATGCGTATACCAAATACATATTTACATTAATCAACATTATATTATCACATTTGATTTCTTTGTATCATATTCCACATTCACAACATTTACGATTTTATAAAGCATTATTTTAAATAGAATAGTATATTGAATATAAACAAAAAAAATATAGATTGTACAAAAATAACAATATATATTTTCTCATAAATATATTAAAATCAAATATTATATTAACATTACAACGCCAATAATAACAAAACATTCCAAAAATCAATTCCCAAGTATTAAAAAAAATGTCCTCTGGAAAGGTAATCTTGAAAACAAATTAATAAATAAATCCAATTTTATTTATTCATCGATTTTTTTTTTTTTTTTTCAAAGAATCTCGATCAAGTTCTAATGCCAACTTTATGTTTCGGTGATATTACTCGAGATGAAATTAATTCCGTTCTTAATATTGCTGGTGTTCCTTTAGCTCCACCAGCAAAGGTATATAAAATCACTATTTATATGTAAAAAATAAAGAAATAAAACAAATTAGATAACTAAAGACACGTCATAAATAGACACCTTTTGTAACCGGTATTCAATTTAAAAGACCTGTAGTCATCAATACCCCAATTGCTACTGAACAAAAAAAGCCATCATCCGCAGCAAAAGAACCATTTAAAAAGATCGAGTCTATTATTGAAGAAAAAAAAGAACAACAACAACAACAACAACAGCAGCAGCAGCAGCAGCAAAAGCAAAAACAAAAATCTGCACCTAAGAAAGAAGTGAACCAACAACAAACTGCTCCTGTTACTACACCATCTACGGTTACTACTACCTCTACACAGCCATCTGATGCTTCTTCTGCAACTCCAGCAAGTGTTGAACCAGCTTCTCCACAACCTAAATTAAAAACTCCTGTTTCTAGTTGGGCTGCTTTATTGAAAAAAACTGATAATGTGAAAAAAAATGCCGCAAATACCACTATTGCACCTACAACAAATGGTGTTATGGCAAATGGAAAACCTCCAGTTAGCAAGCCTTCAAAGCCTTCTTCCCCAGTCCCTACGTCTGTACCTAAGTTTACTGGTGTCGCTGGTAAATGATATAATCTTAAATAAGAAATTCATGTATCATCAGTATCAGTAAACTAAATTTTGTAATAATAGATATTATCAGCAAATACGAACCACTCTATAAATCTCCTTTAATCCAGCCTCGTGGTTTGATTAATAACGTGAATACTTGCTTTATGAATGTGGTAAAATATCTAAATTTTTTTTATAACATACAAATGTATATATTTGTCTAATTTTGAATATAGATTTTACAACCTTTATTGCATTGTGCTCCTTTTTATAATCTTATAAAAACTATTAGTAAGCAAGTTGTTCATAAAATTAACAGCAAAACACCTCTATTGGATTCAATGTAAGTAGAATGAAATCACAATAAGGTAAATTATAATCACTAAATACATATATATAGTATTGAATTCATCAATGAGTTTCCGAGTGAACGTCTCGATAGTTTGGAGCCTTATGGTGAACCTTTTGTACCAGAATATGTATATAATGCATTACGTGGACAAAAGAAATTTGATACGCTTCGTGGACGACAAGAAGACTCGGAAGAATTTCTTTGCTTTTTGTTAGATGGTTTACATGAGGAAATGTTAGCTGTTCTTAAAGAATATAATGACAAAAGGGAAGCAGAAGCTAAAGCAGCTGGTGGAGATGAATGGTTAGAAGTTGGAGCAAAGAACAAAACGAGTAATTTACGTTCGGTAAGATATAAAAGATTATATACATGTATATATATATATATGTATATGTATGTGTGTACGAATTCATATTTATATATATATATATATATATATATATAGACTGGTTTTGAGGAATCACCTATTTCAAAGATATTCGGAGGTAAAGTAAGATCAGTCTTACGTTGCCCTGGAGCAAAGGATTCAATTAATTTAGAACCTTATCAATCACTTCCATTGGATATTCAACCTGAAAATGTCAGTTCAATTGAAGATGCAATTGCTAATATGACAATTCCCGAAACAATGCATGATTACACATCACCAAAGGGTATTAAAGTAGATGCTACTAAACAGGTTTATTTAGAAAGCTTGCCTCCTGTATTGGTTTTGCATATGAAACGATTTGTATTTGATAATGTGGGTGGTGTCCAAAAGTTATTAAAGCGCGTAAAATATGGTGCAAAATTGACAATTGATTCTGAATGGTTAGCTCCTGTTACACGTCAGAAGGAGCCCATTACTTATAAACTGTTTGGTTCTGTATATCATCATGGTAGTTCAGCTGGTGGTGGCCATTATACTTGTGATATTCAACGACATAATGGTGAATGGCTTCATATAGATGATACAAACATTACTCCTATTTCGGAAGAAGATGTTTTAGTTACTGAGGAGAATAGTCGTACATCTGAAAGATTACATGCTGGTCAAACTGCTTATATTTTATTCTACGTTAGATCATCATAAAACTGTATTCTTCTTCTTCTTCTTCTTTTTATTGTTACCATTATTTTATAATATTTTCCCCTCTTTTTTTTTTTCTCCCTTCTAAAAAATAAAAAATATACAGATATAAATATTTACTTGCATTGCATGAAAAGGTGGCTTGTTGCTTCCTGACTAATTTTCGGTGACCGTCAATTCTTTTTCGAATAATTGGATTCCACTCTACTTTTTTTTTTTTTTTTGTTTTTGTTTTATATCTTTTATATCTAGTATACATATATAATTAGTAATGGGTGGTGTGTGTAATATTAATAAAGGTAAAAGATAAGGAAGTTTATAGTTGAATTCGCAAATATTTATTTATTTATTTTTGTTAACCATAAAAATTAGTCAAAGGACCTTCAAAAGAACGCTCTCGTCGTATTGCAAAAAGCATAAAGAAAGGAAATAGACAACCTGCAGTTATTACAACCAATCGAGTCATTACAAAGAAAAAGCAAAAGAAGATTGAAAAAGCTCTTAAATATGTAAATTCTTTTTTTTTTTGTGATTGATAAATGTTTTTTTTTAAAAAAAAAAGAAATACTGACTCTCCTTATGTAGGAAAAGAAATATTTGGCTTCAAAAGGCTTAATTGACTATGAAGAAGAAATGAAAGGTAAAAAAAAAAAAAAAAAAAAAGTAACTCTTCCCTCTCTCTTCGCTTTGCTTTAATAACTCAAAATTCTTTTCTTTTATAGATGTTGTTCTCCCAGATCCTGGAAAACAAAGAGTCATTACAGCATGTATTCCTTCAGACGAAATTTTAGCTGCTGCTGCATCTGGACCTGGAACAACCCTTGGTGGTCCTCAATAATTATCAGTTATGTAAATAAATTCCGTTGATTTTTTTTATTATTATTACTAGTATTTGTGTTATTATTATTTGTATTATTTCTTTTCAAAGTAAAATAGATAAGTATCATGGGGATAAAAGACTCTGCCCAGATCATCTGTTGGAACATCTTTCATGATTTCATTTACTTTGATTTCTAGTTCGTCTTGTTGTGCTTTATCAAGACAAGAGATATAACTCTTACTCAATATTCTTTTCCATACATGATCTTTTGGAACCCAGAAATCGTTTTTGAATAGTTCACATTGCTGGATAGGTAATTTAAATAATGAATTAGCTTCTTCTGTGTCAAATACTTTACGCCACCCCATTTTACGGAATTGAGGTATATCTTTATCAAATACTTCATAACAGCTACAAAAAAAAAATCGTAAGACATAGAGTAGAATAGAGACATTCGTATGATTTACTTTCGAAGTTTAGCAACCCATTCACTTCTTTGAGCACTTTCTAAATTCCATACTAAAACACCGTGTCCACCTGAACGAAGAATACGATGAAATTCTCTTAATGCTGGCAAATCATCAAACCAATGGAATGCCTGTGCAACCACAATACCGTCTTGAGAGTCATGATCGACAGGGATTTTCCAAGCAGTACCTTCGAGACAAGGAATATGAGGCAAGAGACGATGTAATTCGTATCGCATATTTTCAACAGGCTCTACAGCAATGAGGTTTTGATATCCAGAGTCAACTAATAACTTGGTCATGATACCCGTACCAGCAGCCAAGTCGATCACGTTAGCTTGTTTAGGAATAAGCTCTTGTATTCTTTTTAATACTTCCTTTGGATAAGTAGGACGTGATTGAGCTAATCATTATTAGTCAGAATATGAGAAGGAGAAAGTTTTATCATCAAATTTAAGGGGTGTTGGGTGGGGTGAGTTTTTTTTTTTTTCTATGAGTATAAATATATACCATAAAGATTGGATTGTAAAGTGAATCCTTTCGAAGCTATTGAATGTACACTTTTCATTCTATTTACTAGCAAAAAAGTAGTAGTAGGATGACAAAAAAAAAAAAAAAAAAAAAAAAAAAAAAAAAAAGCTAAAAGACGCCTTTCTTTTTTTTTATAGATTACAAGTGCTGTTATTATTAGTAACAGGGAAAAAAAATTGCCTTTTTTATTATAATTAAGACAAATTTGTTTATTTTTTATCAGAAGATGAGTTACAAAGTAAAACGAATAAAAAAAAAAGAAAAGAAAAAGAAGTGAACTATTTATGATGATTATTACCAGTTATTATTTATTTGATCTACAATAAGCTCACTTATGTCGTTCTTGAAACGTTCCTGAAAACTATTGCATGTAAATAAATAGTTGCTTTTTTTTTTCTTTTGCTTGTTTGTTTGTCTTTTTCTTAATCTTTTATTAATCTTTTCCCGTTATGAGTCAAAAGGAGAATAGAATCATTACTTCAACGGAAAATGTTTTAGGTTATGAAGCTATTGAAAGAACGCCTTCAACTCAACAAGTGGAGAAAGAAAATGAAAAGATAGAAAAGAAATTAGTAAGAAAGATTGATTTAAAGTACGTGTTTCTATTAAGGACAATTTATGGCTACAATACTGTGTATATTGGATATAATTTACTTTACTTTCTTTTCTTTTTTTTCAGATTAATTCCTTGGGTCTCTATTCTATACTTGTTATTAAGCTTAGATAGGAATAATATAGGCAATGCTCGTCTTGGAAGTTTGGAAAAGGATTTAAATTTAGTAGGAAATGATTATTACACAGCCTTGACGATCTTTTTTGCTGGTAAAAAAAAAAATAAATACATTATGATGCAAATATAATTAACCACTCGCTTTTTGTTGCAGGTTACGTTATTTTCCATATTCCATCGAATTTACTGGTAAAGATATTAAGACCTTCACATTGGATTTCTAGTACAATGATATTGTGGGGCATTTGCTCTTTATGGTATAATCTATTTTTTTTTTTTTTTTTTTTTGAAAATGAATTTTTATTTATTTATTTATTTATTTATTTATTTATTTATTTATTTATCATCTAGTCAAGCATTTACCCATAATGCAGCTGGTTTAATTGCTTGTAGATTCTTTTTAGGTATCTTTGAAACAGGTGTAGGCCCATCTACACCTTTGTTTCTTTCATTTTGGTATCAAAGAAATGAATTAGCAACCAGAGTTGCTATCTATTTTGGATCAGCTACGATAGCTGGGGCATTTGCAGGAGCTATTGCATATGGTGTATTATCTACTTTAGAAAATGCACATGGACTTGCAGGATGGAGGTATATATGTATATGTATATATATGTATATATATTGTATATATTTAATGTGTGTCCTTTTGCTTTACATAGATGGCTCTTTATTGTAGAAGCTATTCCTACAATTCTATTTGGATTAATGAGTTTTGTTGTTTTACCTGATACACCAGAAACAACAAAGGCAGGACGTTGGTTAAGTGCTCATGAACGAGAAATAGCGATTCAAAGAATAAAAAAGAGTGGTAATATAGATGATAAACTATTTGATAAAAAGCAATTTATAGCTGCTTGGCTTGATTATAAAGTATGGTTTTCAGGTACTATATATATATATATATATATATATATATATATTACTTTTATTAGAGAGTTATTCATATATAATATGTATATGCATATATCCATTATAGTGTTGATATACATTGGCTTAAATATTTCACTTGCTAGCTTTGCAGTATTTTTACCTACTCTAATTCGTGATATGGGATTTAGCTTATTAAATGCACAATTACTTACTATTCCACCCTATGTTATCGCTTGTTGTCTTGTCTTTGTAAGGCTCATATTAAAGAAGGATGATTGTCTATTTTACCTGTATATTCATATCGTTTTCTCTTTATATATATATATGTATATGAACATTGATATATTTAGATTGTTTCTTGGAATTCAGATAGAACACTTCAACGAGGGTATCATGTTATGAGTGTTTGTATCATCGGTATTCTCGGTTATCTGTTTCTATTAACGAGTAGTAGTAGTAGTAGTAGCCATGTAGGACTCCGTTACACAGGAGCCATTTTGGTTGCCTGTGGTATTTATCCTATCATTCCACTTACCCTTTCCTGGGTCTCTAACAACCAATTAGGACATACGAAAAGAGGTGTAGCGATCGCTATGACAAGCATGATGGCTCAATGCTTTTCTATGCTGGGTACACAAATCTATCATTCAGAGGATGCGCCTCGATATAGTCGAGGACATACCATCTGTCTTGTCTTTTTGGTTTTAACTGCTTGTTCTGCTGCCATCTTAAGATACTTGCTTGCACGAGAAAATAAAAGAAGAGATAAAGTCTATGGTAAAAATGAAGCTCTAATTGATATGTCGCTTATAGATATAGATGGTGTCTATGATAAACATCCTCAATTTAGATATGCTTTATGATATTTATAAATGTATATAATATGTTTATTATAAATTATGATGATTACTTTATCTAGTATGATGAAATGAAATGAAATAAAAAAAAAAAAAAATACAAATATATATATTTGTATATCTATATATTTATGTGTATATATTTATATGCAATAATGATAATTTTTTTTTTATGCAGGCGTCATATAATTGCCTGGAATAAGACCTCTTGTTCTTTTATTCGAGTCAAGTAACTCAGCATACCACCATCCGTCAGGTTGACGATTAAGAACTGCAAACTTGTCATTCGCATTAAACGATAATTCAGAAGGAATCTAGACGTGTATAAAGTTTTAGTCTTTTATATATGTTAATGTTATTATCCTTTACCTGAGCAGTATAGTTCCATAATGCACGCACATATTGTAAAACAGGCATACCATCCATTGTTCGTTCAGGACACGTACTCTTATTGTTCTTTATTTGTTGAGCTTGATTTTGACGTTGAGGTATTTCCGAGTTGTTCGGGGATTGAACTCTATGTTGTTGTTGTTGCTGTATCACTTTTGGTCTTGATGATGATGATTCTGGATCTTCTTTTCTTTCTATTGGGATTCTACTACTGCTACCATTACTACTGCTACTATTAGTGTTATTGTTATTACTAAGTAGCTTTTGTAAATGATTAAATGCCGCATGAGCATTTTCAGACTTTGCAGGATCCAAGTGACTATAACTTGAGCCAGGTACAAATTTTTGAGCTGTAAAACCTTGCAATTCAGCAGGTGTAGGTGAAGTTGATTTTTTTTCTTTAACAGGAGAAGAAGGTATTTGAATCACAGGTACCTCCTTTCGTTTAGAAGAAATAATCCACCTTTCTTCATTATTATTATTATCATTATTACTAGTACTACTAGTACTACTACTACTATTATTATTATTATTATTATTATTATTTGTTGTATTCATCATAGGAGGAGAAGAAGAAGAAGAAGAGGAAGAGGAAGCAAGTAATGGATTATAGTCGGGATTACGAACAGGTTTATATCTTTCATCGTCTTCATTTATTTCTCTGTTGCCAATTGCCTTTATACCATCAGCTTCATTTGGTAAATCATTGTTATTTTTCTTTTTATCTTTCTTCTTTTCCTTTTTATCCTTTTTATCCTTTTTCTCTTTTTTATTTTTAACTACAATCGACTCTTTATCGTCCATTAGATAAGATATCTAGAATGAATTCCCCTAAGTAATTAATAAAAAAAAAAAAAGAAAAGTAAGAAAAAAAAAAGTTTGTAGTATAATTAAAAAAAAAAAAAAAAAAAAAAAAAAAAAAAAAAAAAAACTCAGAAGCAAGAATTGTGTTGTACATTATTACAATGATGGCATCTTTATTTTATTTTATTTTCATTATCACAACTAGAAAATAGGATGAATGAAATTAATTTATTTTATTCTACAAAAAGAATAGAATGAAAAGGAGAAAAAAGGATATTTTTTAACAACAAGCATTTGACTAAAATTTGGATACAATATATAAATAGAAACAAATTCCAAAAAAAAAAGGGATACAAGCTAACAATAAGTAATATGTTTAATAATAGTGACAAATAAGAGAAGAAAAAAAATTTTTTTTTTTTTTCGTACAAATTTTGGTAAATATGAGACATTTTTAGTTCATTTGAGTGTCTTCATTTGCATTTCCCATATAACTGTCCATATCAGCATCTAAATCTTCTTGGCTTAGCTTTGGACGATTTTCTCTTCTACGACGACGGAAGTTATTACCACTACCACCACGAGGTTTATTATTGTTACTTCGTTTATCATTTTTGGTATTCATTGAAGACACTGCAGAAATAAGAGAAGCATTTGAGATACGCATAGGACGACCTAATTTATGTGTTATATAAGTAACTATTATTATTATCTAATAATTTAATCTATATTATTTACCATCTAATTCTACGTTATTATATGTATTCTTTGCTCTTTCAGCATCTTGTGAGGATTGGAAAACAACATCAGCAATACCAGCTGATTTACCATTAGGACCAATATGAAGAAAAGCTCGCTTAACAGGGCCAATTTGACCAAAAAGATCCTAAATAAATAGATTTTTGATTAATATTTATTTAATTATGTATATATTTCATTTTTTTGCTTACATAAAGATCCTTTTCGGTAACATTAAAATGCAAGTTGGCGACTACGAGACTATTACTGTTACGACTTGTATTGTTTACTTTTCTAGACACGGCTGTATTACGAGAAGATCTGGCTCCATTGTAAGGCTTTTTAAACGCAAACAAAAGGATAAAGAGAAAAAAGCGAAGAGGGTTGTTGATTAGGAATAGTTGTCAAAATATTTTTTTGTAAAAATAAAAAAAAAGTAAAAAAAAATAAAAATAAAAAAGAGCCAAAAAAAATGTGCATAATTAGAAATTCAAAGCATTCTTGCCCCATAAAAAAAATGAAGGGAAAAAAAAAGGAGGATAATCATGTTGAGATTTTTTTTTTAAAAAAAAGAAAAAAAAAGAAAAAGAAATGCTGTTCCTTTTTTTTTTTTCTTCTTTCAAAAAAAAAATCTTTACAATCATACAAAACCTGGACCAAATAAGAAGAGAAATTTCTGTGAAATATGCACCATTTTTTTTCACCCTGCTGCTGCTATTTCTCTTTCTTCAACACCAATAAAAAGAAATATATCATCATTTCTCTCTTTCTCTTTCTCTACTTTCTTTTGCCGAAATTGGGGAAAGTAAGATATAAACAGACAAAGAATATAAAAAAAAGCAGAAATGAATGCCAAAAAAAAAGAAAAAAAAGTTTGATGACTTTTTTTTTTTGTATATGTGCTCTGCCCATGTTCTGTTATACTCCTTTTTTTTTTTTTTTTTTTTTGCTTCATTCTACTTTCTTTTTTCTTGTGTATAGAATGCAAAAGGATGTGTACTCTTTTTTTTTGGAAAAGGTAAAAAAGAATAAAATGAGTTGTTTTAACATACCGAAGAGCGACCACCAGATGAACGATTCTTGTTAATACCACCACGAGTGTTACGACGAGTGTTATTACGTTTGTTGTTACGGTTTTTGCTAATGACGTCGTCAAGAGCCATATCAAGAGCGCTAAGATTACTCATTGTTTTTTTTTTGTTATAGATGGAGTTTAATAAGAAAATAATAAAAAAGAAAAAGAAAAAAGAGAAAAAAATAAACAAAAAAATCTTTTTGTAAGGAAAAAAAAAACAATTTCGTCACCATATTTAAAAATAAAATTTAACCAATCAGGTCATGCTTTGTATAAATATTTAATACCAATAAATTTTATTATAGGGAAAACCTAAAATTTACATACGTTTAGATAATTCACTTTTATGGTCTTTATCTTGATAGTTAGTTGAAGCATCCCAATCTGCAAGTGTAAAATCTTCAACGGATCCCTTTTCTGGCCTAGTTCGAGCAAATTCTTTCTCTAATCTATCCGATGATAGTGGAGATGTGTTCTTGCATTTTTTAGTTATTTCTTTACGTTGTTGCTCTAACATGTTTGAAAATTTACTTTCAGACATATCCATGTAAGACGTATTTGGAGGAGTAGAATCACTTGGCTCTTCACTCACTAAATTTGGGACCTTATCAAGATTCTTGAACGCGTTACTATCAGAATTCATATTAACAGAATAAAATTAAAAAGAAATACGAAAAAATAAAAAAAGAAATACGAAAGAAAAAAAAAAAAGTACATGTATTATATAAGTTTATAATAAATTCCAAGAATTATTATGATATACATACGTAATAAAAATAGTGTGTGCCCTCAGTTGTTGACTATTAATATATATATTTATCTATATAAAAGACTTGATACTACTTGTTAAAAGCAGTAGCATAAAGAAATATCAATTGTATAAAATTGATTATTATTATGCAAAGTAACATATAAACATAAATGTCTAATATTTTAGTAATAGTTGCATCACACATTACTATAAGCGTGTGGTGGGGAGTAAAAAAAAAAAAGGGGGTGGGTATAATGTAGTAGTAATAGTGTAGGTAAAATAGTGAATAACTACGATCGATGGATAATATGCTTATGAGTTTGACCGTAAGAGTCTATTGAGTCATGATTACAACAAGCTATCGATTTTATCCAGGGATCATTTTCAAGTAATTCATCTACAGTAATACGATTCTTTGGTATAGGATCCAACATACAATATAAAACTTGTCTTTGAGCAGGCGTAAATGAATTGAATGGATAAAAGGATGTTCTATTATTAAGCTCCCTTTTAAAAGTAGAATAGCCATCAAGATATTTTCGATAGGAACTATTTGATTGAACTGCCCTTTCCCAAATGATACCATTTAACCAGATTGAATAGAAAACGATACCAGCAGACCAAACATCGATAGAGGGACCCCAATAAGATTTACTTGTAAATGTCTCTGGTGCAATATAAGGCTCTGAACCACATAAGCCACGACTTTCATATCCTTTTGTCTCCCAGGGACGACGAAAGACATCTGATACACCAAAGTCAGTTATCTTTAATTTCCCTTGAGCCGTCATCAATAGATTTTCAGGTTTAATATCACGATGGGTGACACCAACTGAATGAAGATAAGAGATTCCTTGAAGTAATTGTTTAAAGCAACATGCCTTTTCTATATCCGTCATGATTTCAGCCATTATAATTGAAAATAAATCACCTCCAGAACACTATTTAAATAGATACAAATAAGCAAATATTCCTTATATATCAAGGTAAGAAAGAAAAAGAAAAAGAAAAAAAAAAGAAAAAACTATTTACATATTCCATAATCGTACAATATCTATCTTTACTATCCAAGACAAGATCAAAGGTTTGAACGATATTTGGATGTGTAAAAGTAGAAGAAATACAAAATTCACTTGTCAATCTTTTCATATATTCTTTTTTACTTTCACGCGTTGATTTTTTATGATATTGTTTAACAGCATAGAATGATGTATTGATTGATTGATCTTCTTGGTTTAAATCTGTTTTTTTTAAAATCATGACAGTAGCTGATGAGCCTTCACCTAAAAGTTTGTAACGTTTACCATATTCTTTTAAACTTGCTGTATGATGACAATAGCGCAATCCTCCTGTAGTAGTAGTAGATGCTTGACTTGATACACTATAGTCGCTATGAACTGAAGAAGCAGTACACTCAGAATGATTATAAAGAGAAGAGTTGGACGATAGTGTCGATATCCTATTTTCATTGACATATGATTTTAATTTCGGTAAACTTTCTTTAAGTTGAAAATCATGATGAATCATTGTATCAAGTAATATTTTATTTGCGTCTTGTTCAGACAACATGATATAGAATCAAAAGAAAATAGAAAGTAAAGAAGAAAGTAGAAAGAAAAAAAAAAAAAGTTATTTTATATGTCACGCAGTCTTCTTCGATACTATGTCTTGTAATACCCATTATTGATAATATATACACACATATAAAATGCCTCAAATACAAGATAATCAAAAAACTTTTTATAGTTGTGGCTCATGTCCAATAGCACAAACGACGCCCCTTGTTTATTTTATGACGATTTGTTTGATGTTACACACTATAAAAAAAAACCCAGTAATAGATTTCCTTATAAAGTAATTAATCGGCCCCAAGAAGTGATTAAAATCCTGTTTCTTATTGCATTCATTCATTTAAATGATATCAGGTAATAATAAAATAGAATGGATGTCTATTATTTATCATCACACATTAAATATTCATCATTTATATAGTTAATAATGAAGAGGATCTGATATGCTTTAAAGGTGCGGGAAATTATCATATAGAATAATATGTCATGTGCAATTTATTTTACAGCAAGTTATTTCCTTTGCACATCATGACTGATAAACTAAAACTAATCATGTAAATTAACAGGACTTTGATAACTTCTATATTCTAAACTAAATTAGACTCTTCGTCATCTATAATAAATAATACTACTACGTCCATTTAACATTTTGATATTGAAAGAACCTTTATTGCTTGCATGAAAGAAAGGAAGAAGAAGAAGAAGAAGAAAAAAAAAAAAAAAAAAAGGCAATCACTGTCTTTTAAAAATTTTTTTTTTTTTTTTTTTTTTTTTTTTTTTTTTTTTTAATAGTTAAGCTACATGGAACTAATGAACATTTACTAGATCCATTTTGACATCATGTTGGATTTAAGAAAAATTCATTTAGTATTTCATGTACCTGAAGGTAATAGTAATAATTAAATAAAAACAGAATACATCTATCTATCTATCTATCTATATACATACATATATATCATATATCATAGGCTTAGAATTTATTGCAGTCAAAGATATTCAAACGTCATTACATGATGACACCATTATTCAACAACCCAAGTTTTATTTTGATGCCAAGTCAGGCAAGGTACACATGTTTTGCAAAGTAGAGAGTATAGATAAAGCAAAACATTATCTCCAAACTGTACCACTCTTGAGTATTTACAGCATGACCTTAATAGCATCTGCCTCTGTGATACCCACTCATTTATTTACTGATAATAAAGAAACAACAGAGCACGGTGTTTGTAACTTGATTGTAGAACAAACTAAAAAGACATCATGGGATCTTATTCTTCAAGATAAAAGAAGAAGAGATAAAGAGGATGAAGCAACGATATCGTTCAGAGCTACTTTTAAAAAGGAGCAAGTCAAACATCCATCACTTCCAAGTAGTCAAGAGATAGCAGGTTATATCGGTTTTGCTTTTCATGAACTCTTTAAGGATTGGAAAGTGAAAATGACAGATTATACATATGAAATATTTTCCTTTTGGTTTCAAACCCCTAATAATGACTTGCGAAAGGAATGTTGTTGTTTTGATGATGATAATGATGAATCGATCATCTTATTACTCGGTGTAACGATACCCATTCAAGAAGATCAAAGACAAAGAAATAGAGTATTTGTTGGAAGAACGAGTTTAAATCCTTGTATAGCATATTGTTTAGCCTTATGTTCAGACCCTAAACCTGGTCAAGTTATATTAGATATGTGTTGTGGCACAGGCACTATTCCTATTGAAGGTTAGTAATAAAATAGATGCATGTATATTATGTACTTAATTCAATTATTTATAGGTGCCTCAAAATTTAAAAATGTGTTTTGGTTAGGAAGTGAAGGTGAGGATGAATAATAACGATTTTGAAGCAAACTAAATAACTTGAGATGAATTTATAGTCAAAGTAAAGACATTAGAAGAAAGAGCGCTAGGAAATGTAAATCATTGTAATTTAAAGAATATAGATCTCATGTTGGGCGATGGTAGAAAGTTCTGTTTTAGAGATCATTCTATTGACACCATTGTCTCAGGTGAGTAGCTGCTTGTTATTTCCCTACGCATGTGTATACGCATATGTACACATATATATATACATTCATATACACACGTATATACATGCACACATACACACACACATACACACACACACATACACACACACACATACACACACACACAAATATTTATTTATACGCATAATTAATATACAACATAGATTGGCCATGGGGACTAAGAGAAAATTCATTTAATCAAATTCAAGGAGTAAAAATACACAAATTAGATGTATATTATTTGCTTTATTCTTATTTATTTTATTTTTAAATTAGCTTTATCCAAAATTTATGAAGCAAATGTGGAGAGTATTAAGATTAGAAGGAAAAGCTTATATTGTAACTCAGGGACGAAAATTGATGAATAGAGTGTTAGCCTATGATTGGTGTCAAAAACTATGGGATGTAAATGAAATTATTCCTATTGGAATTGGTGGCTATGATGTATATCTCTATATTTTGTCTAGAAAGCAATAAATATATTATTACGTAATATATACATATATTTATATACAAATTTATATAATAGAGAGTGAGAGAGAGGTACTTTGTACTATTCTTGATAATAAATATGTATTAATAAAACATCACTGTATTAATCAGTCAATTAGACTTACAATTGGATCAATAATTATTTCTACTTTTTTATACGAAATGACTCACACCAATTAAAAATTTGAATTTATCATAATGCATTGATCAAGAAAAAAAAAATCAGTCATCTTTGCTTTTTCATTGGCTAATTCTTTTATGTATGCAATGATGTTTGGTAAGGTTGTTGTTGTTCCCTCCGCCAATTTCTTTATATAAATACATATAGAAAGCTCTCTCTTTTTTTTTATTTATTTATAAATATATATATATACATATATATATTTATTTTGTTTTCTTTAACTCTTAAATATATATACATATAAAATGGCTTCTCGTGCTTTTGCATCTACTCTTCGTACAGTAGCTCGTTCTAATATTTCTCGTTCTGTCTTGGCCGTTAGACCAATGTCTATCTCGACTAATAATACCAAACGTCTTGCTACTAAATCTGTTGTAAGTAATAAGATGAATATATAAAAAGAAAAAGAAAAAGAAAAAAAAGGTTATTAATTTGAAAGGTGGGGATTTTATATACATCCATACATGTATAGATAAATACCCAGGTTCGTGGTATAAAAACACTTGATTTTGGTGGTACTAAAGAGAATGTGTATGAACGTTCTGATGTCCCAAAAGAAAAGTTATTAGAAACGTTTAAGAATGACACTATTGCTGTTCTCGGTTATGGTCCACAAGGTCGTGGTCAAGCTTTAAATTTACGTGATAATGGTGTGAACGTGATCATTGGTCAACGTGAGGGTAAAACCTATCAACAAGCTATTGAAGAAGGTTGGGTTCCTGGTAAAAATTTATTCCCTGTCTTGGATGCTGTTGAAAAGAGTACTGTGGTCATGAATCTTTTGTCAGATGCATATCAAAAGGAAATTTGGCCTAAGATGAAGCCTCTTTTGACACCTGGTAAAACACTCTATTTCTCTCATGGTTTTTCTATTGTCTATAAGGATCAAACACATATTGAACCTCCTGAGGGTGTCGATGTTGTCCTTGTTGCCCCCAAGGGCTCTGGTTTCACTGTCCGTCGTCTTTTCCAAGAAGGTCGTGGTATTAACTCTTCCTTTGCTGTCTATCAAGATGCTAGCGGTCATGCAAAGGAGCGTACGATTGCGTTAGGTATAGGTATTGGTTCAGGTTATATGTATGAGACTACATTTGAAAAGGAGGTATACTCTGACTTGTTTGGTGAACGTGGTGTCTTGATGGGTGCCATTCAAGGTTTATTCCAGGCTCAATATGAAGTCTTGAGAGCCAATGGTCATTCTCCTTCTGAGGCCTTTAACGAAACTGTTGAAGAAGCCACTCAATCTCTTTACCCCTTAATTGGTGAACGTGGCATGGATTGGATGTATTCAAATTGCTCTACTACTGCTATGCGTGGTGCTCTTGATTGGTGGAGACCCTTCCATGATGCCTCTAAACCTGTCTTTGAGGAACTTTATCAATCTGTCAAAGATGGTTCTGAAACTGCTCGCTCCTTGGATCGAAATTCTCAACCTGATTATCGTGAAAGACTTGAAGAAGAACTCAAAGAAATTCGTGAATCTGAAATTTGGAGAACTGGCAAGACTGTTCGTCAACTTAGACCAGAAAATGCCGGAAAGGATTAAAAGAAAAAAAAAAAAGAAAAGAAAAGAAAATCAAAAATATGTACTTAGACATGCTCTCTGATATCATAATACATGTGTAGATGATGCTTATTCATTTAATATTAAAAATGCCCTGATATATAAACATCTTTCCTCTCCCATCCCCTTCCTCCCTTTGTTATTATTAAAAAATAAATAAATAAATAAATAGTAAATTGTATCAACCTACAGTCACTTTTTTAGCATTTTTTTTTTTTTTTAAAGAAAAAAGAAAAGGATCTTGCAACTATAATTTTGTTTGCTTAATGAATAAGCTATTTAGTCGACAATTAGATGATGCTGATGATAAAAAGAAATACCTTTATAATAATTCAAAACGTCATTTTAAATCTTTAAGGTCTTCTCCCTCTTCCTTTTCTTCTTCGATTCCACAATTACGGAAAAGACGATCTCTTTTGTCTGTAAAGGGCATCGTGTCAATAATCATCGTTGTCGTTATCATCTTCTTCTTATACCAACTTACTCATAAACAACATAATACACAACACATCACTCTCAAGGATCAACCCATTTATAAAAAACATAAAGGCACATGTTCAGCCGTTCTTTGCAATCCAACAAACAAATGTTCAACTTGGAAACCTAATCATCAATATAACTGGACTGATTTGTCAAAAGCTGGATTATTTCGCGATCTATCCACCATTCAGCTCGATTTAGGATGTGTGTTAAAAATTAAAATAGAAGAAGGGATCGACGAGGGTAAATGGGTAACGATTCCTGAGGGATTCACAAAGTGTACTGAGTTGGGATATGGGATCAATTGCAGAAATTTTGTGCAGATGGATTTGCAAGGTTAGGATTAAAATAGAACATCTTATAACATAGGGTCTGTTTAAATAAATAAAACACATACTTATATTATTATTTATTAGCAAATGTTTTAGTGTTGGCGAAACAGATGAAAAAATAATAAAAGGTACGAAAGAAAAAGCGGTTGTTTATATAAAGTAAAGAAAAAAGACTTATAATTGTTTGAAGAACAAAAGAATGAAGGAGACGAAATCATTCTTACATATCGAGAAAGTGATATTTCAACGAATGAGGAAATAGATGTTACGATGATCAGTCAGTTTTCAGTCAATCGTTTAGAAACATTCTCCAAAGCAATTGAAAATTGGCAAGGGCCTATTTCGATTTCTATGTAAGTTTCAGTGACGTGAACAATCATTTTTTTTTTGTCTTTCGATTTATTTATGTATTCTATTTATACAGATACCTTACAAATCCAACTGATATTGATGAACTTATTGAGTTCTTTGAAATTGAAAATAACTTTAATATTTACTCTCAAACTATAATTACACTCGTAAAACCCAGTTATTTAGATAATTCAAGCTTACAATATCCTATTAACCATCTTCGTAATATTGCAATCACTGAGTCATCAACAGATTATATCTTTGTAATAGATGCTGACTTTGTTCCTTCAGTTAATTTATATAACTTTGTTCGTTCTCGGCTGATTCCATTTATTTTATATCAATCAGGTAAATTACCACTTACTGCCTGGGTTGTTCCTTGTTTTGCTATTCATGAGGAATTCAATCATTTACCTATCCCTAAATCATATGATGAGTTAAGGAACTTGGTAGGTAAAGGTATTGCTTATATTACTGATCCAGGGGCTGGGCATGGACCCACTTTAGCCACTGAGATAGCTATGGCGAGACCTTTCTTGTTGGGTAATCCTCTTGCTTACGAGGTATGTTATGAGTCTCAATGGGAACCCTATTATATCCTACATCGTTCTGCTCCACTTTACGATGCTCGTTTTAAAAATCAAGGTGGGGATAAACAGTCGCATGCTTTACATTTGAATGCTGAGAGATATCGATTTATGGTCTTGAGAGAAGTATTCATGGTTCATAAGGATCATTCTACCATGGTTTGGCCTGGTGGCGGCTTTGAAAAATCACAAAAGGCAGCTACGGATTGGAACTATTTTGAAGGCTTTTTACGTGAAATGGAAGATTTATATGGTAGTCATGTCCGATGGCCCCGTGGATGTAGTGCAGGAGCTATTGGATGGCAAGATCAAAGAAGAGATACTGTTGGAATAGCTGCTGGTGCAGTATAGATCTTTAGACGAACTTATGTTTAGATTCTCTCTCTCTCTCTTTTTTTTTAAAAAAAAAAATCTTATATCGTGTACTTGTATGTCTATTATACTATATACATGTATGTGTACGTACTTTTGAAAAATAATAATAATAATAAGAGTATATCTGTTTTTAATACTCTTTTACATAAAACATACACAACTGTTATGAAATATGATCAGATGACGTAGTAGTAGAACTTTCTATATTCTCAAGAATAGCATGTTGATTATTATTTTCTTCTATAGTCTGTAGGAAGAATTTGAATGAGGACCAAACCAAGCTTGAAGTATACACCTATTAGCAGCATTTTTTTATTAATTAAAAGTTAACGTCGATATATAATATGAATTAGGCTCTTGCCTCAACAGTATTGGAAACAGAGTTTGTTATTAAACCATTATAATTACAACTCTAATTATATAATAGATAAGTCCTTAATTTGAATAGATCATTCCATAGGAGAAAAGACGATAGAAGAAGAATCATGTTCTTTTAGCATAATCTTACATAATATTTTAATGCTTTATCAATACATAATAAATAGCATGGATATACGATACTACCATCATATTTATGTAAGTATATTATTACTTCATATTATAGATCCATCTCTCCATGTTGACGATACACTTATCGTGTAAAGTAGAATTAAAGTCATTACATTTGTATACAAAACTTGACACGTTTTATTTCATTCATTATATCGCTTACTTTTTTTTTTTTTGATGAGGCAAAATATTAAATAAATATACAGAAAAAGAAAAACGGAATTATGAATTTTAGTTCATAATAAGGTTATAGACAGTACAACTGGCAGTACCAAGAAGAGTAAGAAGACCGAGCATTGCAAAAGCACCACGGTTACGCTTGGCAGGATCACCAGTAGCATAGCCACTTACGTAAACAATACGACCTAAAAGGAATACACCTGCAGCACCTGTAGAGATTAAAGGGTATTGAAGACCACCTACTAACAATAAAGTGCTATAAAGAGGGAAAACTTCGAGTGTATTTTGATGGGCACGTTGAGTACAATTGAAAATATTCTTCTTTGGGTCTTTTTCAGCTTCACTCTTTTCAGCATAAACTTTTTTTTTTTTAATCAGGAAATAAGTATAATGACACTTGATAAATGAATATATATATATATAGAACACATCAACTTACCATAAGGATATGGAACCTTAGCAGCTCTACGAGCAGCACCAACTTTGACACCTAAACTGAAAACATAAAGTGCACTTGCAATAGCAGTACCAAGAACCTATTTAATTTATCCCCATTCATATTAGCTTCAACTGAAACAAATCATTCGTAAATAAGACTTACATAACCGTATTCAGAAGGAACAACAAGAGCAACCATTTTTTTTCTTTATAATTAAATAAAATGACAAAATAAAATAAAAAAAAAATATCTATTTATAATAATAATAAAAAAAAAAAACCCACCTATTTAAGTGGAATTAAATTACTGTAGTAGTGGTAGTGGAAGTAATAGTTTAATAATTATTATTATGCAGTCACCCATAGCTTATCTATTATATTTGCATTATTGGAAGATGCCAGAACAAAAATGTTATTGTATGATTGGCCAGTAGAACTTTAATCAAATAATTACGAATGCTTATGAATTAAAACATTTTTTCATTCTCCGATAGAAAATTGTTTACTAATGACATTGTAGAACTGAAAGGATAATAGCATCATGATAGACTGCTATTATAAAGCCAAAATTCTTTTACCTTATTATGGACTTTAGACTGTCTCAATATCCGAGGTGATAGGCATTTTATATAGCAAAGACAGAGAGGAGATTATGTTCAACTTTCTATACTACTGATCTGGAAATAATAGAAAACATATCTTCTTCTATAGTTATGGTATCCCTCTTCTTCTACCACAAACAATATTGTAATCGTTATTATCAAATGAATAAAAGTAGTGTAGCATGTTTTATTTAAGGGATATATCGAGTTTATTCATGTTAAAACATCTCAAGCATTAATATATATATTTTATGAATGTTGTCTGAAACATGATACTAATAAACTCTTGAGATTATTCTCAAGAACAAATAAAAGCCTTTTTTTTTTTTCTTTCTTTCTTTCTTTTGAAACAGTCTTCTTCAAATATTTCCAGACTAGCTTCCTTCATAAACAATGATGCGTTGGATTAAACTATTAATACTTTGACAAGATATACTTACTTCATGCTGGTTTATATTTCTTCTTCTTTTTTAGAAATTTCATCTTCTATTTTAATTCTTTGAGGGCATCAATAGTCATCATTCTATGATTTTAACGTTATAATAGTTAAATAAAGTAATTGTGTACTAAATATGAAGAATAGATTATAGTCTTTTGGAACTTTTTTCTTTAAGACTTTTAGTTTATAAAAAAAAACATACTTCAAAAAGAACATGTATATTTGATAGAGGTATTATTTATACGCATTATTATTATACGCTTTTCGATTTCTTGGGTGAATTGTATCAAAAAAAAAAAAATCTTCGACCTTGTAGAAAATAACAAAATTACTGAATTCAGAAATTAGTATAGAACAAATAATACTTTAGTACTTTTGTTGAGTAAATATCTGTACATTTTTAATATTTGTTTAGGCCTTGAATTTGCTAACATTATAGTGTTCATATTCATACAATACATTTATTTTGTTGATCGCTTTAAGGCCATTCTTAATTTATTTATATGTGCTATTAGTATTCACCCCACCCCCTTTATAGTTCTCTAGATTTTCTTTTCCAAATATTTAGCTGACGCTCATAAACATCTAATTTATATCTAGAACGTGTCAGCAGGATATTTCTATCTTTTAATATCGTGACAATAGTCAAGTTTTGACAGATACTCCCCCCCACACACACACAAACTAAAAAACCTTCCTCCTTCTCCTCCTCCTTTTCAAAGCTTTCGTGGAACACATTATTTCTAAGACTTTCATAGCTCGTCCTAATTATAATATCTAACGCGTCACTACAATTTAAAGACCATTTTCCACAAGAATGTTCGAAGGCATTTGATTTTTATCCAGTAATGGTAATACATATCTATTCATCAGTTGACTATATAAATGGTATTTTTAATGGAAAAAAAAACCGATAATATATAACTTTGGCGTAAATAACAAATGAGCATTTATTATATCAGATAGAAAAAAGTAAGTCTCTCTTTTTTTTTTTTTGTATATAGATATAAATAAAGCTTCAGTTTTAAGGTAAGTGATAGTCTAGAATTTAGCACCATGAAATATAGAGTGATGAGTTCATTAAATGCAAGTATTCTAGACTCTTGAGAAAACTTTACCTTGTGCATCCTTTGTAAGCAAAAAAAAAGAAAAAAAAAGAAAAGAAAAATAAATAGACCTTCTGTTGGACAAGCATGATATAATATTCTTTGTTGACAAAACTAAATATAGCTTTATTAATTCTACTTTAACAAGGAGTAAATACGGTCAGCGTCATCAGAAGATATTTTCATATTTAATTCAGACCAAGCTAAATATTATCCAGTTGAAATACATCCATATACCATGAATGAATAAAATATTCCTCATTAGTGATTAGTATTAACAAAGAGAAAAAGAAAGTTAGCCTTATCCCTCTTATTAGTCTAGATGTCAAAGAATCCAGTATTTTACATGATGGTACATAATGAATGTAAGAGCGTGATTCATTCTGTGATACTGTTAAGAAGAAGAATAATCTATATAAAAGTTCTAGAGCAGTCATTACTTATCCTATGATTACTAATTTATGTCTTCTGCTCAGTACTTGCTTCAACTCAGTAACAAACCGAACTTGAGATAATTTAATTATCAAGAAACAAATGTCTTCAATTTGTAGTAGCAACCGATTTTACTAATAGTAACCAAAGCTTCTTCTTATGATCTTTAGAGAGTATGTACAGGTTTCTTTTTCCTTGTGTACAGAATAAGTAAGTACCTTTTAATTTTTAAAATAATTTATTGAATATCAAAAAGCGCTATTGTTCATGTATCTAAACTTACAACAAGAAGAAATAGTTCATACTCTACTATATGTCAATATAAATGATATTTTACTTATCAACAAGCTCCAGCACTGTTTTAGACTACTATGATTCATTACGGGATCATTCATTTCTACTGCCTTAGATAAAAGGGCTAAATTACAAGATATAATTATTCTTTCTTTTAATGGTAAATAGTTTTATTTGACTAATTTTCAAGCTATATTCATTCCATGATTCCACTAAGTTTATATTCTTCCCACCCCGTCCCTTTTTTTTTTTTTTTTTGAAACTACGATTTCTGAATTTGAATCCTCCACATGCATTTTATTATTCCATTTAATCATACCCTATTAATCTTCTTCATCATTGTTCATGTTACCTTATTTCAATAATCACAAAAAAAATCTATTATAAGCTGTAAGAGTAGTCATAAGCTTAGCTCCCTTTTTTTTTCTCTTTTCGTTAACTAATAAGGTAAAATAGACACATTTATAAATCATCTTTCTTCATGTGTGAAGTTACTGATTTAAGTTAAAATTTATTGCTTATTAATATAGTATTTAATGTTCGATTGTAGACGGTTTGTAGAAGAAGAGAGAGAGAGAGAGTTATATAAATATATGCATACATGTTAAGGAGAATTTATGCAATAGCATATTGAGTTCTTGGTGAAACAATAGCAGTATTATGACTGGTTCACCACAAATATATAAAATGAAATAAATAAATAATAATAAAAAAAAAGGTTAGTTTGTTCTTTTCTTCTTTTTTTTCTTTTTTTCTTTAATGAATAAGTATGCATCATTCAATTGATAGTCCAAGTAAGCGATTATATATATATAAAAAAAAAAAGGGTTTTATAATTCAAATATGGTTCATAATTCTAACATTTATTTAAGGCACCAAATCATTTTGTATTGAAGATATTGATGATGATGAAAATCTTCCTCCAAATGCTTCTGCTATGGAAACACAGCAACTATTAACAACAGAAGATCAAATACCTCGGTATTTAACATCTTCACCATGTAAATAAGTGAAATTTTATTTATTTATAATCTTAACAAACAAAAAAATGTCTTTATAGTACCTTCCATAAGGTTAATAGATGAAGCTCCCAAGAATACTTGGAGTACTTTGAAAACTAGATCTAAATATTATCTCCCTATATTACAATGGCTACCTTTGTATAATCGACACTTATTCTTAGGAGATTGTTTAGCAGGAATTACTTTGGCTTGTTTATTGATTCCACAAGGCTTGTCTTATGCAACGGCTTTATGTAAATTAGATGCAATTCATGGTTTATATGGTATTGCATTTCCTGCTATTTCATATGCTTTCTTTGGAATGTCACGGTAACCATTTTTATATAGTTAGATATCCATCTATTTATTTATTACTTTATATAAATATATAGACAAATGTCTGTGGGACCAGAAGCTACTTTAGCCTTATTAATAGGGTCATCTATTGCGCAACAAGAACATATACAATCAGTAGATGATTACCAAATCGATCCTTTAGCTTGGGCATGTCTCATGACGTTGTTTGTAGGCTTATTTACTCTACTTCTTGGTATTTTTCGACTTGGGTTCTTGGATAGTCTTATGAGTCGTGCATTATTACGTGGATTTATAAGTGGTGTCGCACTTGTAGTCATGGTTCAACAAGCCATCACCCTCTTCGGTTTAGTGGAACTAAGTAAAGAATGGGGGATATCAGAGGCCTCAACTACAGTAGAAAGATTATATTTTCTTATTAAAAATATGAATCATGCTCATGGATTATCCACCGTTGTATCTATTATTTCTATCTTTATTTTATTAGCAATGCGCATTTTGAAAGCAAAGCATGGACAGTCTAAGAAATGGTTTCAACTTTTCCCTGATGTGTTGGTGGTAGTTGTTCTATCTATTTTATTAACTCAACATTATAATTGGGATCACAAAGGTTTGGCTATCTTGGGTAAAATCGAAAGTGCAGGTATTCCCCTCCCTTCTATACCTTCTTTCCCTCCCAGTAAACATATGAAAGATTTATTGGTTACCTCTGCTATGATCTCTATTATTGGCTTTGTAGAGTCTATAGTCATTGCAAAGATTTATTCAAGTCGTCGTAATTATTCTGTAAGCCCTAATCGAGAACTTGTTGCATTAGGAGTAGCCAATATATGCAGTGGAATATTTCAGGGGATACCTGCCTTTGGTTCAGTAAGTATTCCCATTGATGATGATTATTATTACTTGGATCATACTAATCATTATCATAATAAAAGGTATCTCGTAGTAAAATCAATGATAAAGCAGGTGCTCGTACTCAAATGGCTTGTTTAGTCACCGGTGTCATTGCTATTTTAGCCATCTTATTTTTATTACCCTATTTCCATTATTTACCAAAGGCAGTACTTTCATCTATTATCTTTGTAGCTGTCTTATCTCTCCTATCTGAACTTCCTGAGGATTTACACTTTATCTTTAAAATTGGAGCTTGGAGAGATTTGGGTTTACTACTTATCACTTTCTTTGCAACTATCATTATTTCTCTAGAATTTGGAACTCTCTTGGCAGTCTCACTTTCACTTTTAGTAACAATTCGAGAAACAAGTTATCCCCGTATTTCAATTATGGTAATGTATACTATTTAAATAAGGAGTGATAATAATATAATAGATAGACATATATAAAAAGAAAGAAGGAAAGAGAAGAGAGAGAGAGAGAAGGGTTGGAAGGGCTTGTGACTTTGGAAATGAATACAACAAGAATTTATGACTAATATCTGATTTTTTTTTTCTTATTTGGAAAATTGACATTTATTGTATATTAGGGAAGAGTAAAAGGGTCAATTAGTAAATTTAAACCTATTCAAGATGATTCAGGAGAAGTTGAACATTTACAAGATGTATTAATTATTCGTATAGAAGAAGCTTTATTTTTTGCAAACACAGGTAAAGATGAATAGATTAAAAATCTTCATCTTGTATTCATGCTTATATGTATATTTTTTTTTTTTTAAAAAAAACAGGCCAATTAAAAGACCGACTAAGACGTTTGGAAATGTTTGGAGATATGTCCATTCATCCTTCTGAAAATCCTCGACGAAGTGAGTCATTGTATACTATATTTGATGTTGGCAGTATGCCTACTATAGATGCAAGGTATATAAGAGGAACGGTTTAAATTAGTGAGCCAATCAATTCAACTAACTGAATATTGTTATTATTCTTATTTAGTGCCATTCAAATATTATATGAAATTGTCGAAGCTTATAAAAATAGATCTGTTGAGGTTTGTTTTGTAAGATTAAGAGAGCAGCCCTACAAGATGTTCAAGAAATCTGGGTTATTATATTTGGTAGGCCAAAACCACTTGTTTAGAAAGGTTTCAGAAGCCATAGAATTTGTTGAACTTGATATATCAAAGCGGGGTAACATTTGACAAAAATAGAAAAATATCTAGTTTAAAATGACTCGTAATCTATCCTTACAAGTGGAATATTATTTATTAGAAATTTTCTATTTAATATAAATGTTTAAAAAATGAAACTTATGGCTAATAAGAATAAGCTGTCTAGTTTATTATTAGTATTTTTTTTTCCTGAAAACTTTGAGAGCTTATTCTTTAAGTAATGAACATGTTTATTCTATTGAAGGTTATTAGATAACATGAATGAATCTCTTACTGCAGACAAACTTCACATAATGATTGGGCTATCATCCATCTTTTAATCTATTTTTTCGATTTTAATGTCCGATATATAAAATATGGTTGTAAGTCACTATAGAATATGAATATAAGAGAACTTTAAATTTTCCTTCCTTTTTTTTTTTTTTTTTTTTCTACTTTATAACTTAAGTTTCTACTCTTTGAAACCTATATACGTTTTGATAATGTCCGTTAAGCCTGTTGACCCCTGGAACACTTGTCTCAATACTTCTCTTGAACAAGAAGATCCCGAAATTTTTAGCATTGTTGAGAATGAGAAGCTTAGACAATGGTCTGGTTTAGAGCTTATTGCTTCTGAGGTATGTATTATTAATCGTAATTGCAAATGATGTACTTGGGACATTGGAATCCACTTGTGCTTCTATTATGTGTATAATTTTTTTTTGTACATATTGCTAATAAACATTTTTATATACATATATATATACGTTAGAACTTTACTTCTCAAGCTGTTATTGAGGCTAATGGTACTCCTTTAACCAACAAATATTCTGAAGGTCTTCCTGGTGCTCGTTATTATGGTGGTAATGAATTTATTGATGAACTTGAGCGTCTCTGTCAAAAGCGTGCTTTAGAAGCTTTTGGTTTGAACCCTGAAGTGTGGGGTGTTAATGTTCAACCCTATTCTGGTTCTACTGCTAATTTCGCTGCTTTAACGGCTTTAATTAAACCTCAAGATCGTCTTATGGGTCTTGATCTTCCCTCTGGTGGTCACTTAACTCACGGTTATCAAACACAAAAGAAGAAAATCTCATCTTCTTCTATCTATTTTACTTCTATGCCTTATCAAGTTGACCCTACTACTGGTTTAATTGACTACAAGCGTCTTGAAGAAAATGCTGCCCTTTTCCGTCCTCAGTTATTAATTTGTGGTGCCTCTGCTTACCCTGCTGAATGGGAATATGATACCCTTCGTAAGATTGCTGATCAACATAGTGCTTATCTCATGTGTGATATGGCTCATATCTCTGGTTTGATTGCCGGTAATGAAGCCTTATCTCCCTTTGAATTCTGTGATATCGTAACTACAACTACACATAAGACACTTCGTGGTCCTCGTGCTGGTTTAATTTTCTTCCGTCGTGATAAGGGTGATGATCTTGAAAATCGTGTTAACCAAGCTGTCTTCCCCTCTTGTCAAGGTGGTCCTCACAATAATACAATTGCCGCTATCGCCGTTGCTTTAAAGCAAGCTGCCTCTCCTGAATTCAAACAATATGCTAAGCAAGTTCGTGCTAATGCTTTGGCACTCGCTAAAGCTCTTAGTAACTATGGCTATAAGTTAGCTACTGGCACTACTGTGAATCACTTGATCCTTTGGGATTTGAAGCCCCAAAAATTGACTGGTTCTAAACTTGAACGTATCTGTGATATGGTGAATATTACGATCAATAAGAACTCAATTGCTGGTGATAAATCTGCTGTCACACCAGGTGGTGTTCGTCTTGGTTCCTCTGCCTTAACCTCTCGTTCCTTAAAAGAAGAAGATTTCGTTAAAATTGCAGAATTCCTTCACAGAACTGTTCAAATCGCTTTGGCTGTTCAAGAAAAATCTGGCTCCAAGTTAATGAAGGACTTTGTTGCTGCTCTTCAAGGAAATGAGGAAATTGCTCAATTGAGAAAGGAAGTTATTGAATTTGCTCGTAGTTTCCCCATGCCCGGTTTCGACCCTACCAAAATCAAAGCTACTGTTGCTATCTAAATTATTATATCATTCATCCTATTCATTTATGTATCCCGACACATACAAATTTATATTTCATATTTGTTCAATACTCTCATCAGTATTTTTTTTTTTTTTTTATAAAGTTCAATACATTTATGTATAATAAAAATAATATCCATTGTCTTAAAAAAAAAAAAAAAAAGAAAGAGAGAAAGAAAAGACAATGCAGACATATTAAAACTATTCAAATTATAGGGTGGTATTGATTTACATGTTTACATAATTGGTGCTACCTTAGCAAGCCAATTTAAAAGACCCAATGCATAAACGATTATAGATTATCAAAAAAAAAAAAAAAAATACATCTGTATATTTATATAATCCGTGTAACAATCATTGTAATTTTACAAGATAGTAATGAAAATTATACCTAAATTCAAACAATTTTTTTTTTTTTGAAATATTCACACATTAGAAAGACAGCAGTCTATTACTGATCACCAATACATTTACGAAAGAAAAAAAAAAGGCACATTATTTTAGACAATAAAACTTTTCAAGTGTGTGGTCTACTTATAGTAAGACCCTGAGTATTTTTTATCTTTATTATGTAACCTTCCTTCAGGCACAGACTAAAAGGCCTGGTCCAAGTAAATACTTAAAATATAAAACTTTTACTTTTTTATAAACAACAACTAACACAAAAAAAAAAAAGGTCTTTCACATAAACCCTAATTTTTTTTTCAGATAATGCACCTGACGTTTAAATAGTTCGATAAAGATAGTGCTATCCTATCCTTTGTATTCATTTGTATATTATATATACAAGTCTGTTATATATATAAATGTATACATATATGTGTGTATATGTATATATATGTGTGTATATATATAAAAGGATTCTTAATCATTTGATATAATGAGTGTGTGTGTGTGTGTGTGTGTGTGTGTTTTCTCGTAACTTATTTGTTTAGAAAAGAACAAGGGAATTAAAAGCTATGACCACCTAAAATACCATAAAAAGATAGACATATTATCTTTTAACCTGCCGAAAAAAAATAACAATGGTAGGGCAAAGTACAACAATAGAAAAAAAAAATAGCTAATCGTACGATGATAGTCAATGTTTTCAAATATTTGTATTCTTTTTTTGGAGGAAGAGAACACGTGTGTTTAAAGTTATGCTAATAATTACATTACATCTGCCTGCTTCTTCAGTATGTAAAAGCAAGAAAATAAATATTGATTTATTGTACATGAAAACATGATAATATAATTTAGAAAGAAATAGATTCATATGATGATTCTTTTATTATATCCATTTTACTGAGAAGGTAGGAAAACAAGTCAATATAAGATTAATATTGGCAAACAATATAATACCAATAAACACGTATTATACATTACTTTTTTTTTAACGTTCAAAAAGCTATTATACAAAGGTATAAATGTGTATATAAAATTCAACTTGATCTTAAACTTTTAAAATTAGAATAATACGAACTTTATATTTTATACACTTGTAAGGAAAACAAAATGCAATGTAAAGTAAGAAGAGGAGAGGAAAATATATTTAATATAGTTGAGCCTTTCCGCCTTTTTTTTTTTTTTTTTTTTTTTTTTTTTTTTTTTTTGTTATGTCTGAACAAATTAAAAATAAAAAAATAAGCTTAATGAATGTAAACTGGTTGCTGAGAAAACAATTCTTATTTAAAGGCAGAATATTTAAAGGTTTTTTTTTTTTTTTTTTTTTTTTTAAGAGAGAGAGAATTATCTATATTACTTCCTTTCTTCTTTTTCTGACTAGCTTATAATTCATGAGTTATCCTCCAGCTTAATTCATTAGGTAATCAACATTGTAGATCAAATATCAGATAAAATAGGGGAAAACAATTATCTGATCATCAAATTTAATTCACATCATAAAATCTTTTTGTATATGGCATAGGCTGTATTATGATCATATCTAAAGAACTTATAAAAAAAGAAAAACTATACAATAGTATTTGATATTTAATAGCACAATTTTTTTTTCTTTTGAACATAATCAGATACAAGCAAAATATCGTGAATATTTAATGACCAACAAATCTTCATCGATGATCTACGAAAATAGCCATATATTGATTCAAATTAAATGTAGAAAACCAAGACCAAATAATCCTCGACCACCGCCAAAACCTAACCCTCCTTTAACTTCAGTGTAGACTTTTTTGCTGCTTGATAATTTATATTTATACAAAAGAAAAGCAGCATTAACAACGAACATATCGAATAATTTTATGAGTGGATCCTTCATGACCGTCTATTTTTATTATATTTCCTTTCCCCCATTCCCTCTTTCATGTACTTAGTAGAGAATATCTTACTTGTATTATATTTGCAATGTGTATAACCCACTCTTTCTCTTTATTATCATTGTTATTACTATTATTATTACTATTAATCTTTACATTGTAATATATATATAAAAAAACCGTACATTTTATTTTCAAAATAATGATTTATTTATTTTACTATTTAAATAAAAGTTAGTATTTATATGGATAAGAAAAAGGAATATATGATTAGATCTATAAAAGAAGATGATATTGATACTATACAGAATTATGTTTATTTCTTAGTGATAATGTTATATTACTACAAGTATAAACTATAAATAACAATAAAACAAATTGAAAGTTGACAAACCAATTCGATTACCCCCCCTCCAAAAAAAAATAAAATAAAATAAAATAAAATAAAATAAAATAAAATAAAATAAAATAAAATAAAATAAAATAAAATAAAATAAAATAAAATAAAATAAAATAGAATAATGTAATAGTTGTTGCTCAATAACTAGTTTATTATTATTTCACTCTTATAGGCAATTTACTGTTAATAGTAAGTGTAGCTAAATTTATCATGATGATAGCAATTAACACGTAATATAATGAAGTTTTGTTTCTTCAAGTACATGTATACATACTAGTTGTGCAATTGTTGAATATGTTAGACAAAGAAACATCATCACTTTTTCCAGGACCCTTTCTGCTATAAGGTTTCTATCACAAATAAACTTATTTTCCATGGAAAAATTATTTGTAGCAGATCAAATCAATCGAAATGGAGCCAAAAGTGGAAAGGTCTATCATAGAAAAAAAAATAGCAATTACAACACATAGCAATTAGATAGAATCAAAGTTTAAAAACATACACATGCATATGTGTATATCCGCAGACACACACAATAGTATTATGTACCTTTTAATACAGCTTTTAACAAAGATATATATACATAGATTATACAAATCGAAAAATTTAGTATTTTGTTAGTCGAAATGATATACACAAAGGTAATACAAATCTGCATTAGTATTATATGTTCTGATGACAATGGTATGTGTACATAATGGTTACTCTGTATTTACACAATACAAAACATTTATCACTAAAATGTTTTTAAGGTAAAAATATTAAAGCAGACTATTTTTTTTTTTTTTTTTTGTTGGATTTCAGCTTTCAAAAGTACAATGTATAACAATATCTTATTACATGTTAAATGGTAATCGTTTTTTCTTCAACTAAATTTATAATTACTGTTTTTTATTTTAGTTGACTTCTATATTGAAGTACATAGCAGTAGTATACTATATATTTTAAAGCAGGAACTTATATTTGCATTCATCTAACGTGTGTTATTTATCCTCTTTGTGACACGCAACATCAAGCGGATAAAATAAAAAAAGGTATGATATTTGCAACTCTAGTTCTTCTATCATTTTTAGATTTGTTTTGACTTGCGCCAAGTATAGATATTGCAGTTTTTAAAATACATAGAAATAATTATTGTTTTTTTAATTATTTATTACAAGGAAATGTATGTAATAAGAAAAATAACTTCAATGCATGGGCACATAAAGATTTCGATACTGGAATAGAACGATATTAACTCTTTTGTTTAAGGGCACAGGTTCTTATTAACAGCAACAGCAGCTCATTCTAACTCGCTGTTATAACCATTTGAAAAGTAAAAACATTCTAATGCTTAAGCCTATTGTAACAAAAATTATTTTGTAATACATTGTTATTTAGATTTTGTATTCAATAATTGTCGTATTACAAGAAAATAAAACTGATATCTGCTTCTCAAAAACAAATTGGTAGCTGTTTTTATGCAAGCTTTTAAAATAATAGCTAAAAAAAAATAAAAATTTCCGACAATATTGGATCTTTTTTTGATTATTATTTCTCCTCAAACTGTCATTTTTTTTTCTTTATATCATCACTAAAATTAAGTATTTCTGTCTATGCCCCGACTCTCGCGAGAAATGTATCTCTATAGACCCCATTCTTATATTTGGTTTCTCAGAGGGCTTGATATTTAATAAGATTAGTTGACTACTAGAGGTTAATATGAGCAACTGCATCATGATGATTTATATCTTGAATTAATAAGTTTAAAAATAATATTCTATCTTTCTTTTGGAAAGATCAATATTATATAATTTTCAATTGTTATTCAAGTTAAATACTATTGAACATGGCTAAGATTAAACTGATTTCAAGCACTTTTGAATGCAGTTAAGCATTATAATCTTTTTTTATATATATCTGTATTTATCTTTACGTTGCTGGTTCAGGAACAATACTTGACATGTCAACTGTTTAATGATGAGTTTTACAATCTATTTGATATATTTATAGGTTTGATATGTAGTCGTATTTAAATAAAGAAAAAATATTTATTTTTACTTTATTCATGAAATAAAACTATTTAATGTAATCTCGTTACATAACTAGATCAAAAGTTGTGAATTTTGGCTTCTTTTTTTTTAGGAGGTATATCTTATAAAATATAATTTAAATTATTAAAGATAGTTTGTATGATTAACAAACCTGAAGAAGAAATAATACAGATATTATAAAGATTATTAAGTTAAAAGAAGATCACTCTATATAACATTAAAAAAAAAGGAAAAAAGAGAAAAAAAATATATGCATAAAACTTATAATTTGAAACTCTATAGGATCTTTTTTCGACTGTTTTTTTAGCCTTATGATATAACCATTAAAGTTATCCTTTTTCTTCATTATTTACCGAATTCAAGCTTGGTAAATGATAAGACTTGTAAAGTGTTTTAAAACGCTTGAAGGAAACAAAAAAAAATATAGCCCTATTTATAAGTTATTAAGATTATTGGGAAATTTTTCAAAGAAATCCTGTAAAATGAGGGAGTGAGTAACAGTTTAAGAGAGTCACAAAAGAAAACTAACTAAAAACTGGAAAGTAAGTCTGATATTCTACACAACAAATAAAAAAAAAGGGAGGGAGAAGGGAAAGAGAGGCTAATCAAGAAAGGAAGAGGATGGTAATCTTGAACCAGTATTCTGATAGAATTGGCCATTGACAAATAAATTTACATCTTTTGATTATCGCTATATTGATTTTTTTTTTTCAAATAAAGTTGACATATTTGGCCATCAGCCAAATGCGGTCGTGAAAAACTTTTGTTACGTTAACTGTCTTTAATCAAAAATTAAAAAAAAAAAAAAATAGTGTTATAGCATCATAAAATGGGTCCTATTGGTTTAATGTCTCATTTTCATAACATATTTCAAGTTAGAGAGATTTTTTTTTTTTGTAAAATTATAATTTTTATTTAAAATTAAAATTATAAAGGTGAGCACGTCATATTGAGCGGTGATCCCCGATGAAACAAATACAAAATGTAATTCTATTGGTATGACTATTTATGTTGATTTAGTTTTTGCAATGTTTGCTGTTAGCTTGCGGTGGAGTGTGAGCCTATGTAGGTGGTGGGCAAAATAGGACTCAGGCCGGTAGTTTCTATTTACTGATTCTGAAGAAGTGAAGAGATGGTACGAATGATCTTAGCTTGTAGATAATCAAGAGTAGCAGCAGTGACCGCTTGGGAGTTAGTGTTCCCGTGTTTCCAGTAGCTGTTCCATAAAAACCAGTGAGTAGTGCCAATAACGACAAGGAAGTCTTTATTGCGATGAAGTCCCTGATGTATGTGTAGATAACGTATTACCCCATACAATATCTCCTGTGAGAACAGTAGCGTAGGGAAGAACGTACCCAGAATTTTACACCAGACTGACTATTTTTTGGGACATTCGACAATAAAATGGTAGATAGTATCTTGATGTAGGTGGCAGTATGCACAAGTAGTAGAAACTGCGCGATTGTATTTATGAATAAATTCTTGTGTCGGGATGCGACCATGAATGGTACGATAGAACACCGTGCGAGCATTCGCAAATAGAGGACAGTATCGGAATTGCCGTACAACATGAGGCTTCAAAGAGTGGCCACCAGTGACCGTATTTTGAAAGGACAAATGAAAAGTACTTGCAGAAAATTTGGTCCATTTTGGGGAATGTCTGATATATTCCACCATTGGGTGTGTCAAGCTAGAGAGAGAGAAGGGTATAGACTTAAAGATTTTTTTCTAAATTCAAACAACGATCAAAAAATGAAATGGAATGGTTTATCCACCCAAGACAATCAGATACAGTTACTGTTCTTGCGGCTTCTTGAATACGAGGCATCAAAGAATCTTTATCTGTCAATTCGTTTCGACGCACACCAAACTTGATCTTGGACCACATTTCTTCAATGGGGTTTAGAAATGGGGAGTATGTTGGCAAGTAGGCATACTTATATCCGTGAGGTTCAATCATATTTACAGCATCGGCTGACTTGTGGATTGGAGCGTTATCCATGACAAGAAAAAGCTCCTTCATGGTTTTTTGGTTGAGAACATCCATCGTCTTACCCAAGAATTGCAAATAATGTTCTTGTTCCCACTCGGCCATTAACTTTGACCTCCTCATTTTGGACTGCAAAGGTTGTTCTTCTTCTTTTTCTTGTGGCGATGGCAGTTGGTCTACGCAGCGTCAGATTTACAATACCGTGTTCACACATTGCACCCAATAATTGTCAGGGAAACATCTCTTTGTGTGGGGATTGTACCTTTGGCGGTTTGACTCCTGTTTGACCGGGCATGGCTTCTCTTGATATGCATATTAAAACTTGCTTCATCAATGAACACGTAGTTTGAGCTGTGATCAAAACCTTTAAGCTCTCTCTATTCCAAAATGCGCTTCCTATTGGCTACCATAGTGCTATCATCGTTGCGTTTCTCTGGCAGCTTATCAAGCTTCTTCAAGGTAAAGCTGCGTTTTTTTTTCTTGATAATATTGACGCAGCAAAAGATCCAAATCTCAAGTTCTTTAATATAAAACTGGATAGGTTTGCGATCATATAATCTAATTTTTTTCTTTAGAAAAATTTTTATTTTACGAGGATGAATAGTTCATGTTAAAAAAAAAAAGAGGTAGATATAAAGGACAGTGATAACCTAGTCCTCTAATATATTTTACTTTAAATTTTAATTGCAGTCTGAAGGAATACAAATATTAAATCAACAAAAGTCTTTGTCTATATGACGCCAACTCGATTTCAAAAGGTGCCAAACTATATTTCAAAACCCGTGAATTTTAAGGAAAAATCTAGTTAGTAACCTTACATCCTGATTATAAATAAGGCAGTTTAAATCGTGATTATATTTTCTTTGCTCTTGTGAAACTTCTTATCTTTAGAAATTCCCCGAAATATATGGACATTTTAAAATTAATAGAATGAACTTCTACTAACAACTCTATAATATATTTATTATTATAAACCCTCCCCCCCCATTTCCCTTTAAAATACTATATGAAATCAGCTATTATATTCCTCGGTTTCTTTTTATTTTCTGAACACCTTGCACAAAAAGTAAAAGTGTTTATTATTGACTTTAAAAGACAGTAAATAATATGAATATTTATGATATAAAAACTTATAAGAATTACAAAAAAAAATAAAATAATATAATATAATATATAAATATATAAATCCTTATTTAGCAAGGCCAGCTTCCTTAGCCATTGAATAAAATACAGATTGATCATTCTCCAAGAGTTTAGTGGGCGAATCAAATTCAGTAATCATACCTTTATCCAATACAAGAATTTTGTCCGAGTCTAAAACAGTATTAATTCTATGGGCAATAGTAAGTATAGTACAGTTGGCAAATTGACGACGAATAGTATCTTGAATAATAGAATCAGTTTCAACATCAATCTATAGATATAAATGTTAATTTTTTGGTTAATTATTTTTTATTTATTATAATACACTTACGGCAGCTGTAGCTTCATCAAGAATAAGAACAGTTGTACGACGGAGGAGTGCACGTGCCAAGCAAATCAATTGACGTTGACCAACAGAGAAATTATCACCACCTTCTAAAACAACAGCATTTAACTTGCCATCCATTTTACTAATATGATCCTTAAGATGAGATAGCTCTAAAGCCTGCCAGAGCTCAGTATCATCATGTGTGCCAAAAGGATCTAAATTTTCTCGAACAGTACCAGCAAATAATACAGGATCTTGAGGAATGATAGTAAGTCGAGATCTCAAATCGAATAGGCGCAAACTAGAAATATCCACACCATCGATATAAATGGAACCCTTTGCTGCTTCTATAATACGGAATAAACTTAGACTTAAAGAACTCTTACCAGCTCCAGTACGACCCACAATACCAATCTTCTCCTTGGGTGCTACTGTGAAAGATAAATCACGTAAGGCTAAATCAAGTCCGGGTCGATAGCGAGTAGAATAATCACGGAATTCAATTAAGCCCTTTTCTGGCCACATAGGATTTACTCCACGAACCGCATTGTATTTTTCAGTAGGGCGATCAATATACTCCTTAATACGTTCAACTGAAACAATATTAGTTTCAATTTCACAATAGGATCGAATAACCCAATTCAAAGCTTGAGTGACATTCAAAGCATACGAGATAGACAAGCCTACTAAACCTGCATCAAGTGATGAGGTACCGTAGATAATACCAAGAGCAGCAAACAATGCAGCGGAAAATATAATAATGGAACCTAAAAATTCAAGACGAACAGCAAGCCATCTATTACAGGAAATAGAAGGGAAGTAAGCTCTTTGATTATTATCTAATTTGCATTCATTTTGGAATATAAATCGGTTTTGTTGTCCATAAGCACGAATCGTAGAAACACCAGAGATAGTCTCTTGAAAGTGAGAATAAATTGGGCTTTTACCGACAGAATCTAAACGCTTTAATTCACGTGAGGTAGTAAGATAATAACGTTGAATATAAATATAGATTATACCAAGAGGTACAATGACAATCGTAAAGAGAGGCGTAGAGAAAGCAATAATACAGACAGTTGAAATAACAGAAAATAAGACACGGATATAACTGTGAAAAGATCTAGGCAAAACTTCATCTACAGTATGTTGATCTTTACTGAAACGATTTAAAATTCTACCTAAGGGTGTAGTATCAAAGAAGGACATAGGAGATCGAATAATTGTTTCCAACATCTCTGAATGCAAGACACGAGCAGAACGAATAGCGCAGAAGACCCAAAGAATAAGTGTTTGAAGCATAGAAAAGACAGTAGAAGACCAACCAATAATAGCATAAATAGAAAGATAAAACCAGACGTTATTATTAGTACCATAGTCTTGATTCTTAGTAGACCAATACTTTAACCAAATATTAGTACCAACTTGTGCCAATTGAGAAAATACCATGAAAATAATCATGAAAACAACACCATATACTGAACAAGACTTTGCATACTGTTTATAAACTGCCCATGTAACGCTACCCTTAGCACTTTCTTCAACTGTAATCAAACGATGAGCATCCTCATCTGCTCCTTGAAGTTTTCCCTTCTTTCTGTCAATCGATACAAGAGAGGCACGACGAAGAGTTTTAGCGCTCATCATAGATACTTCACTGTTCATACGTTGACGTTGGCGACCTAAGACAGCATCTTCTTCTCGAGGAATTAATTCAATAGACGCAGTTTCTGATGCAAGCACTTCTTCATCATCATTTATATTAATGGTATCATTGTTTGATGCTTCTTCTTCATCTGATGACCTCTTATCTTGTTGAGCACCAAATTCAGCAATAAGCGAGTATAATTCTGATTTTTGACTCATTAAATCAGAGTAATTACCACTCAAAATAATTTGACCCTCACGTAACATAACAACTTGGTCAACGTGAGGCAAATAAGATATACCATGTGTCACGAATACACGAGCTTTGCTCTTCAAAATACCATTAGGGCCAATTACATTGTCGAAAATATGTCGGCCTACATGAGCATCTACAGCGCTAAGAGGATCATCTAATAAATAAATATCAGCACGCGCGTAAATAGCTCTTGCCAAGGAAACACGAGCCTTTTGTCCACCAGACAGATTGATACCACGTTCACCAATTTCTGTAAGATCACCACCACTTAAAATGGCAAGATCACTCTTTAACGAGCAAGCTTCAAGAACATGATCATAAAACTCAGGATCCCATCTATGGCCAAAAATGATATTATCACGTAGAGTGGCATTCATAACCCAAGGTTGTTGAGGAACATAGGCAACGGAGCCACGTAGAATAGCTTCGCCATTTATTTTTACGGTATCACCTAATAAAGCGCTAATAATGGTTGATTTACCGGAACCTACACGACCTACAATAGTAGTGACTTGACCCTTTTTAACTTTGAGGTTGATATCTTTCAAAATAGGCTCTTCATCATCTTCAGACCATTTAAAGGAGCCATTATTGATCTCTACAATTGGAGTATTTTCGTTGTAATTGGGATCAAAGCGGTAGTCTAAACGCGTAACGGCATTTGGATCTAATTCTTGAGAAGATAAATAATTCTCAATACGATAAAGAGAGACAGAAGCTTCAATAGTAGAAGTAATAACATTGGGAAAGACGACGATAGGGAATTGTAAGAGACCAAATAAAGAAATAGCAACAAATGCAATATCGCTCGTTAAAGGATGATCAGAAATGAAAACATAAATTGTAAAAGTGGAAAGAGTGACCAAGAAAGGAATAGATGTCCAGGTAAAATTTTGAACTGCAGACATAACACCGATCTTTTTCAAAGTAGCCAATTCCAAATCATTACGAATAAAACTAATCTTTTCCATAAAGGGTGTTTCCCAGGCGTAGAGTTTGATGACACGAATACCATTCAAAATTTCATTCATCAGCTTAACTCTGGAATCTTTGTTGCCCATTTGTGTCTTTTGATAAGTACGCATTTTACGAGCAAGATAAGTGTTTAAGGGAATTGCAAGAATTAAAACAGCAACACCTGCGCCGATACTAGGACCCATCGTATTATATAAGAAAATCAAAGCAATTATGATTTGAAAAGGTCCACTCCAGACAATATGGAAATAGGTGCACAAGTCCATTAATCTTTGAGCGTCAACGCTCATATGGTTCACGATTTCACCAACAGTAGATTTTTGACGACTCGTGTTACTTAATACTAACGTCTTCTGATAAATAGCAGTAACAAGTGCAGCTCTGAGACGCATACCAGTTGTAAAACATCGTTGAAAATATTGATGAAGGAACATTGTTTGACAAATAGCAGTAAGAAACATAGCAACAGCTATTAGAATACCACGATATGCAGGCTCAGGATTATCAGATGCATAACTTGTAACCCATCCCATTAATCGCTTAAGAAGCATAGGTTGAGTAAACTGCAAAACATCTTGAAGTGCTTTGAAGAAAGCTGCTAAAGCAAAAGGACCACCTAGAGTTCTAACAAGTACGAGTAAAAGGGAAGGGTTTGCTTTTTTTAGCTCCTTTTCCCAATTTTGTTGAAATTTAGCACTCACAATAGCGGATTGATCATCAGATTTAAGATTCCTATTGACAGTTATAAGACACATGTTTACTTTTATCTTACAAGTTAGTTATTATTAAACTATTTACCATAAATCTTCCATAACTAAAGGCTTTCTATAACCTAATTTCATCAAAGGAGTCATCCAGCCAAAGGTGAGTCTACTAAAAATATTTGCTTTTTCTTCAGGAGAATCAAGCTAAAATAATTATAAATTAAATATGTTCAATTATTTAAATAGTTACAATATCTATCTATATATACCTCATCTTCTTCAAGCAAAATATATTGACTCTTGGGCCTTTCCATATTCTCCAGAATAAAAATGATCACAGATAAAGTTGTATTTATAGCAAAGAATTTAAATTGAGTAGGATCCGTATACTGATCACCATTCATAATGTAAGTACGAAGTTTAATCCCATTCACAATCATAATAAATAGCCAGTAGAATAACAATACTCCAGAAGCAACACGATTGCGTGTATATTCAATATGATGCAACCCAATGACAAATATCTATAAGATTTTTTTTTTTTTGTAAATATATAGTAACTATAAAATGATTTGAATGTTTTTTACCGAAACTATCATAGATACGCCTAAAGATAAAATCTGAGCATTATCAATCCAATCTATACCATCATTTAAAATATAAAGGAAGAAATTTAAGCTTGTAACTAGTAAAATCAAAAACAGAGTAGTCTATAAATTTTGCATCAAATCAATAAATTGTAGTTTGTTTGTTTTTTTTTTTTCTTGCGTAGTAATTTTTTATGTACCATCTTTGCAAAGTAATGCCAGTTTTTAACCATGTCAGATGATAGTGTTTCACGCTTTGATAATAACCAAAATCTAATCATACCAGCAAATAGGACATAGATATGTGGAATTAACGTAATTACACTATAAAATTAGATAATATTAATAGTCTTTTTTTTTTTTTTTTGTTCTTTCAATTTATACATACGTATCTTCAAAACATGGTGTGAAGTCTGGTACTCTTTCTTCAGAAAAGGGACCCTTTTTTTATTAAAACATGGTTAGCATTTATTAAAACATAATATATTTATCTGTATATGTACATACCCAGCCTTCTTTATTTTTGCACATATTTGACCATGGTCGATCTTCGAGATCGGAATGGTGACTCACCACCCACTGACTTGTATCCATAATAATAAAAGAGCGTTGTTTGGCTCCTTTTAAAAATATAGTGGAGAATAAACAATAAAGAAATAAAATTACACATTTTTATACATTCGCTTTTTTTTTTATTTTATTTGCACAATATGATTATTAAAAGGAAGTCACTACTTGCTTTCTTGAATTCGGAAATAAACAGAATGTTTCAAAAAAATTTATTTCAGACAGATCATATCAATGCTTCTGAAAATAGGTAATTACATATGGGATACGTATTTTGTCTTTATTAACTCTATAACGCATGACTTTTATATAAATCAGCTTTGCAAGCAAATGCACCCTATTTTGTTGGCTAGTTTTGGATATTATTAATTAATACTGCTTTTTCTTTTAGCCTGGTTGTTTAAAATATATATTGCAATATTGATATTGTATTTTTTTCTTCTTTTAGCTTGGTATATATGTGTAAGCGTACTTAGTGGATATAGTCTTCTAATCATCAATAACAGTAACCATCATTTATAAATAACACACTTTTTTATATATAATAATAGTAAATCTTACAGAAAGAAGAAAAATTAGTTCTTCATTATTAGATCAATAAACATCATCTTTGCACAAGCTGCATGTGACTTGTCGAATGATTTTCGCATGTAAATCAAAATAAAAATGAATCCCGGATTCCATAGTTCTTCTGCGTTTAAATTCAACAATACAGAAAAAAAAAAATCTTCTATTCATTTCCAACTTTATCTACATTATTTTGAAGTCTTCAAAAAAAAAAAAATGGCAAAAAAGGGACCCAATTCTAAAGCTGAAGCTGCTAATGCAAGAAAAGCTGCTAGTAAAGCAGAAAAAGATAGAAAGGCTGCTGAAGCTGCCGAAGCTGCTGAGTCATCCAAATGGGCAGAAGGAGCCAAGAAGAACAAGAAAGAAGAACAAGAAGCTAAAAAGGTATACACATATACATCTATACATACATACATACATACATATATATGTATAGATGTTGTTTATGTGCTTTATCTAATAATGTAAAATATATAGGCTGCTGCTGCTGCTAAAAAAGCAGAGGCTGCAAGACTCTTGGTAAGATATCATTTAAACTAAAATAAAAAAAAAAAAAAGAACAGTATTTATAGTCTTTTTTTTTTTTTGTAAACAGGCTGAAGAAGAAAAAGAATTTAAAAAGAAGCCTACTTTGAAAGGTGTTGATGTAAGTTGATGGGTTAAAAAAAAAAAAAAAAAAAAAAAAAAAAAAGACGCACGATGAACATGAGATTAAAATAATACTTACGAATGCAGAAAAAAGCTGCTCAAAAATCTGCCAAGAATGAAGCTGCTGGTCATGCTAGACGTGTAATTCCTGAATTCTCAGCATCGGGTATTGATGATGCTCTTGATCTTTTATCTCTTAATGACAAGTCTGTAAAATCTAAAGACATTGAAAAGCATCCCGAGCGTCGTTTCAAAGCTGCTTTGGCTGCCTTTGAAGAACGTGAATTACCTAGATTTAAAGCTGAAAACCCAGGCTTGCGTTTAAGTCAATTAAAGGATTTGATCTATAAAGCATTCCAGAAATCGCCTGAAAATCCCTTCAATCAAGCTAATGTAGTAGCATATAATGCTACTATAGAAGAAGCTCAACAAGCTAAATGTAAGTGTATTAGAAAGTGAAAGATAGACATGAGTGAAATATTAATTATATACATGATATAATAGCACAAAGAAATAAGGCTATTGAGAATCGTCTTCGTACTAACTAAACATGTTATGCACATAAATAATAATAATAATAATATATGTATATTTGTATATGTATAAATGTATATGTATATATATATTTTTTTTATTTGTTTCAAAACACTATTGTACGCGAGAAACGATTTCTCGAAAACCTTTTATCTTTGTACATTCTTTTTTCAAGTTATTTGCAATGTCAGTATCCCATAATCCTGCTGAAATCATCAAACGAGTATAACGTAGACATACTTCTTCTCTAAAATAATCATAAAGTTTCTTATTGTATTTGCGCTATATGTGAGGGAAGGAAAGAGGATATTAACATAATTTGCGTAAACAGAATGAATGACCAGAATTCAAAATTTTACCTCTTTAGCTCTTGTCTCTTCTGGATAATGATGGGTTTGGTGAATTAGAAAATCATTAGGTAATACCCAATAATTAATACCAGCCAAATAAATTTCATATAAACATGCAGCCTTATTTGCACCATAGCCAATAAACCTTTCATCACACCATGGAGAACCTTCCTTCTTATAGATAACATATGGCTCATATGAATAATTATAGTCTATAACCTTATAAGGCTTAGAAGATTGATACCACTTTTTATAATCTGTAGATCCATGACCTCTTGTCCAATTTACATGGAACATATCAATCTTTTCTGTCAAGACAATGTTCATAAGGGCTTCTTTATCTTTTGGAAATAATCTCCAATCTTCACCATCTTTTTCTATTAAATATTCAAAGGCAGGAACGACAATAGCTCCTCTACCACTGCGAAGTATATCCATAACTTGACTGTTTTTCTTTATTGATTCTCTAAAATCTGTACAAATATGAAAGTCTACATCAAGCATCATTAAATAATCCGTCCTTACAAAGAATTTAGCAACATTTCTCCACATATTGAATTGTCTATCGAATTTGTCTACGACAAGATGAATATCAACATATTTCCCCATATCTGGATTATCTTCGTACATGCTATGTAAATCTTGTAAAATTCCACCCTTTGAATGATCGTCATTGATATGAATAGCGACTGATATGGGGCCCTTGTAACGGGTTGCAAGTCGACTGAGAACAGGGAATCGATTATGGGTAACTAAAGTAGCAATCGTAATTTCTTCCTGTTCAAATCGATGTGTCGCTCTAAAGTAATAAGGAATCACTTTAGAAGGTCCCATCGCATCTGAAAATACCTTACTTAGGATCAAGTCTTCAGGGATTGTTTGATTCTGCCCGCCTATATAAATATACACACATATATTTATTATCTTGCTACTAAAACCATTTATTTTAATTCATTTACCTTCTGCATTGGTCCAAGTGACTGTTTGAACTGTGTGGTACTTTTTTTGAAGTTGACTTACAGTAACCGAATCAGATTTTGAAGTAAAAGATTGAGATTTTAATGATGTTGAAGAAGAAGGAGAATAAGTTTGAAACCAATCTAAACCAAGTAAATGAACAGTAGCATATAATAAAGAACCAGCCAAATATATGCTAAAAAATATTCTTAAGATTTTTGGAATAGTCACTGTTTCTTCTTTCATCTTGATTAATGTCAAGAAGATTAATCAATTAACCAATCAATCAATCAAAGAAAAAAAAAATATACAAATAAGATAGAAAAGAATAGAAAAAAAAAGCTAGTATATTAGTCTGTACGACATACAGCTACTCTATTAATAAAGATCAGATTTTTGTACAACTATTGATTAAGGAACATAGACTTATAAGGGATTCTTTATAAGCTATTACAAAAAAAAGAAAGAGGGACTAACCCAATATCTTTGAATAGAATCAAAATACACATTATAAGCGAAATATTAGTCTATTCCTAACGATAGAACAATACAGTAATGTTATACTATGCTTTATTTGACCTTAATAATAGTGTTACAACAAGTATATTATCCTTTTGTAGTAAAATTAAGTTGTTAATGCTGACGTAAACGTTTCATTTTATATATTTGTATACAAATAGAAAATTAAGGAGCTGTCATAAATAATGCCCGAGCTAGAATGGACCGGCAAAAAGAAAAAAAAAATTCTGGCATGCCCCTAGTATTTCTCCAATATTTACTAAAAACACACACAATACGAATTTATCTCCACACTATTTTTTTTTTTTCTTTTTTTTTTTTCTTTTCTTAATCAACAAAATGTCACTTGTCAACAGACCTAATAACGTTCTTGCTCATCAAAGATATTTCCAAGTAACAACAATAATAAAACTTAGTTGAAAAAGAAAAAAAAAAAGATAAAGTTTTGTATTAAATCGAGTCTTGATATTTTAGGCACCTTCCAACACTCTTTTGTTCCTTCGTGGTCCCAGAGATAAGTTCTTTGTTTATACTACTTTCCTTGTCCTTGGTACCGGTGTTGTAGGTTCTCTCTGGGGTGCTATTAATATGGCTCGTGTATGTTCATACTATTTAAATATGTATATACATATATATTTATCATATATACTCAATTAATTTATTTATTGATAGGGAAAGAAATAGATTTTACCTAAATGAACTAATTTTTCAGACTGTAAAAAAAAAAAAAAAAAAAAAAATTATATTTACATAAATCGAGGAAAATATACAGTACTTTAGCAGATGTATATATCCGCATAAATGAATCAAGAAAAAAAAAATACATATATAGTATTTATGGACTTGATAATAATAATAAAAAATAATGTATAATATATGTGTATACATGTATATATGTGTATAAATTTTTATATATTTATATTTTTTTTTGTTACAAATACACAGAGAAAATAAATAAATAAATAAATGTACTCTCTATTATTCTACCATAATGAGAATTGATCTTTTGGCCATTGACCAGTTTCTCTTGTTTGCCAGTATTGTCCAGCATAAACCCATTCATTACCTTCTTTTACGAACCATGTAGGTGTCCATTCTTTACCATTTAATTCGAATTCTTTACGTTTTTCACGTTGTTTTTGTTCTATTCTTAACTTTTCATTATCTGCAAGATCAATCAAACCTATAGACATACATAATAGGGTAGCAAAATTAGAATAACACCATGTTGTACATATAGATAGATAGATAGATAGATTTATATATATATGTATTTACCTTTTTCATATAATAATTGATCGGGTCTAAAACGTGTGTCAGTAATAGGTAGTTTTCCTTCCTCAATTTCGGTTATTTCATTTAATTCAATGGCAAATTTGGTAAAACCAAAGTATTTTTCATAATCTTGAATCCCTGGGGGACGAGCAGTCCATAAAACGGATAATTTACTCCTATCTAATCCAACTTCTTCTGCTAATGCTTCACTCCATTTACCAACAACTCGACATCTTTTTTGACCATGACTATCATAAAGTGTAGCAACAACATCATTACGTTTAGTAGGCGCACTAAATAATCCTCCACCAGATCCTTCCTTAAATGTAACAATAGCATATTCACCTGTAGTCAAGTTTTGTACTTTACATTCACCTGAATGTTCAAGGTATTTTTCTCCTGCAATCATGTTCTTTAACCAAGTGGAAGGTTTAAAAAATGTGTAATGATCATCATGTCCAGTTAAAGTAATATGGAAGGTACCGTCTGTCATAAACTCCATTGATTTACCCCAAAATTTACTTTTAATATGGGTTGATTGCCAATACTTGAAGCCCTTTGCCTCTGCATGAGCAGCAATGATAAGTGGATTATGAGAGACCTTTTCAGAGATAAATCGAAATCCTTTATCAGGACGAATATTTTCATAAGTCTCTGCCATCATTGGATTAAAAGGTTTACGCCCTGTTCGATATTGAGTTGAAGCATAACTTGATATAGTAAAGACAGTAACGTACATGAGTCGTTCCATTGAATCCTCAAGTTGCGATGCCTTCTCAAGTAACTCACAATATTCTAACTCCTCGCAAGCCTTTTGAAGCATATTCAGAGGCTCATTCATACTAATAGGCATAGCAATCGTCGAAAGATCTTTACCGACATTTTTTCTAATAATAGAAAGTGCAGACCCTGCATCTGTAACTGCTGGAGAAGGCAACTCTGTTCGACGTATACAATTCCCTAAAGAGGTAAGATCAAGTACATTACCATTACTTTGAGTTTCTAATGATACATATTAATAACATGTATAAATATATATATATATAAATGAAGAAATATCTCCTTTTTCATTATGATTTACCACATGTATTTTCATCACTACTATCATCATCATATGTTAAACTTGATGTTTGATCAATACTATTATCCTCTTCTCTTTCTTCTTCTTCATCATCCTCTTCACCACTTAAAACGATATCTTCAGCATCAAAGAATTGTTCTGAATAACGAGAAGAATAATCGCTTCCTGGATATTGAAGGTCTGTTTCGGTATGATCTTCATGTATGATATTATCCCCAAGTGATGTTTGTTGATTATTATCATTATTATTGATATTAGGTGATATTGGACCAGAACGACGATGATTGAGCATATTAAAATAGGACTGTATATTTCTCCATTGTAAAACTTGCTCCTTTGCACCTGTTATTATCTGTAACTTTTGTTGTTCTAATTTTTCCATCAAACCTTGTATTGATTTCAAATCATTGTTGATTAATACTTGTTTGAGACTTTCAATGGTATCTGCTACTGAAGTGATACATTCTTGATGTGAACAAGCTGTATCTAATCCTTGTTCAATTTCAGCCCGTATTTTACGTTGATCATATCGAGAAGAAGCAGAAAGTCGTTTTCCAAAAGTAGTGTGAATATTGAGATTACTATTTTTAACATCATCATACATAGTAGTAATTGGCGAAGAAGAAGAAGCTAAATCATCATTTACATTCTTTCGACGTATATCCGTAAGAACGGATTGCCAATAATCAAAATCATATTCAGTCAAAGTCTTGAGTTGATAAAGCATTGTCCCTGAATCAATATTAATTTGACGTAAATTAGGTTTATAAGAAATAGTTGATACTAAAATCTGTATTGATCCTCTCGTGATTCCTCCTTGTGAGGCTGAATAGGAGAGAACACCATGATGTGAAAGATGAAACCAACGCTTTGCCCAACCTTGCATTCTTTTACGTTTCTTTTTCAATAACCAACCGGATACTTCATTACTCTGCATTTTTATATCTTCAGGTGTTCCCAAAGCGACTGAATAAGTTAACATTTTAGGTGTATTTCTTGAAAATGTATTATCTATAAAATAGTTAGCATTCGTTGTTTTGTTTTTTTTTTTTGGAAAGAAGACGGGTAGGTTGTATTTCATTTACCAAAGACCAATACATAATTTCCAGGTTCCTCTACTACATAGGTTCCTTCTACTTTTTGATCAGAAGATTGAGCATGGTGTATGGGTATAATTTCATCCATTCCTACTTCTTTTAATTTTAACGTAGCCACTGATTTTGAACGTGGTCTAGTCACATTTGTTTGGTTATATGTAGACTGGTTTGAAGATTGAACATAATTTGATTCTATATCATCATCCCCTATTGTTATTGAGCCTTAATAATAAAAAAAAAGACATATAAATTTTATTACCCCACATATTTTTTTTTCTTTTTTTACTTTTTTTTTTTACCTTTAACACCTAATTCAAACGGAATTGACATTTGTCGTTTTTGATGTTGTGCACGAAACAAAATGTCAGATGAGTTTGGTAAAGGATCTTTTCCCTTTCTACGAAATAAACCAAACGCGATATTGTTTCTTTTTGTTGTAAAAGACCATTTGATAACTGTACCTTTTGAAGGAACATAAATATTATGTAAGTAAGAATCTCTAGGCTGTACTTGTACTACTTCCATTGAATAATACGATTTATTTTATTTTATTTTTTTTTTTTATTTTTTTTTTTTTTATTTTATTTTTTTATTATTTTATTTTATAATATAATTAAAAGAAAGAGAGAAAAAATGTTTACTCGTTAATTTAATTTATTTAGTTATTTTTTCATAATATTTATTTATTTATATGTCATCAACAACAAACCAATTTTGGATCTTTTTTTTTTTTTTGTGATATTTTTCAACTTATACACATGTGGTAAAAAAAAAAAAAAAAAAAAAAAAAAAAAAAAAAAAAAAAAAAAAAAAAAAAAAATAAAAAAAAATAAAGAGAGAGAAAGACTAAAAATAGCCAAAAGAGAGATGAAAATTGCATTTATTGATACATATTTGGTTTTTTTTTAAGCACGTTGACGAATAACAAGATCCAAAAACTAACCCAAAAAAAAAAGTAAGGAATTATGACTTATTTATATAGAAATAGTATTAGTACTACTTACTTGTTCATAGTTAATTTGAATCCAACCATCATTATCAGTATCAAATTGTCTGAAAGAATCAGTCAAGGTCTTGACTGTAACGCAAGCTTGTACAAAATTATCAAAAGTAACATCACCTTTTCCTGTATTTTTAATAGTAGCTGTTAATTTTTTATTAATTTATCTTATAATTTTGAATGGAGTTTTTTTTTTTGAATTTACCATATCTATCGAATTTTTGAATTAAAATATAGATGAATTTAGGTGAAACATTAAAACCGAACGATCTTAAAGCATTACCCATTTCAGATTGGTTAATGCTACCTGAACGATCGGTATCGAAAGCTTGGAAACAACGTTTCCAGTCTTCAATATATTTCCATAATCCAGAAAATTCGTTAAAATTAATTGTACCGCTATTATCTATATACATGTATATGTTGGATAAGTTTATATATTTTTCCTATATCTAATAATAATAACAATCTAACCTGAATCAAACATATTCACCATTAAACGAACTGTTTCAATATTAAAGGGGCTCCAATCACCATTAATTAAAGCTCTTTGAAGCTCATCAGCTGAAAGTTGACCAGAACCATCTGTATCAACTGCTTTAAACCAGGACCATAATTGTTGATCAACGCCTGGAGGAGGTCCTGAAGGTGGAGGAGGTCTTCCTTGTGGACCTGGTGGTGGAGGTTCTACATTTATATATATTATAAGTATCTGTATATATTTTTCTTTTTTTTTCTTTTTTTTTTTTTTGTTTGTTCATAATACATACGTTGTCCATAACCTCCTGCACCACCATAATTAGGTGGTGGTGGACGATTATATCCTTGAGCTAGGGTACCTGGAGGAGGTGCTCCATAATTACCTTGTGGAGGAGGTGCTTGGCCGTATTGAGGTGGTGGTTGGTATGACATAACAGGAAGTGAAAAAAAAAATAAGAAAAAGGAAAAGGGAAAAAATAAAAAAGAGGGCTGTACGCGAAACTTTATTTATTTATAAGCTACTCTTATGACCTACTTTCTACTTATATAACATAAGACTCCGCCCCCGAAAAAAAAAAAAAAAAATTACATTTTTGCAGCATTTGCAGATTGCCACTTTTTATCATACAACCAAGCATGAATAAGTGTAGAGGCAAGAGATCCTTTAGGAGCTAAGGAAAGGGTAGAATTTGGATCATTATTAGCAGCTGCCATAACATCTGATCGAGTAAACCAAGTAGCATGCTCTAATTCATCATCAGAAAATTGAATATCCGAAGATTTAGCTTCTGCAATGAATCCAAGCATAAGCGAATTTGGAAAAGGCTATAAAGAAATAAGGTTATACATAATAATGTAATGTATATATGTATATATGTATATATATATATATATATACCCATGGCTGACAGCTATGATAAACCATACGGTCAATAATAATACCGGTTTCTTCATACGCTTCTCGACGTACTGCTTCTTCAAGTGTTTCGGCTGCTTCAACAAAGCCTAATTTACATCATTGTTAATACTACTTTTACTTGGAAGAATAATATGTGTCTACCTGAAATGCATGAATACATTTTTTTTGGCCATCGTTTCTGCCGACCTAATAAAATTTTATCTCCATTTGGATGAACAATACAGACAATAACAACAGGATCTATAGTAACGGTTAATTTATATACATCTACACACACACTCGTGTATATACTATAATATGACTTTTACCTGTTCTAGGATAAGAAAAGTTTTGGATACCTTTATGACTAATACATCTTTTATCGTCACTGTCTTCTTTCGGGCAACTACGCTTATAACCACCTTCATTTGAAATAGTACGTTTACCACATCCAGGACAATATTTATTTCGACTATTCCAATCCACTAATGGATACGTTGTATATAATTAATTTTTTTTTATCCCTATTTTATAACTTTAAAGGATATTTACCCATAGCAATTGCTTGAGCGATAATAGCACTTGTTGATTTTTCCATGGTAAATGCCCGTGAAAGTATAGAACAAAACTCAAAACCATTTGCTTCAAAGACTATTTTCATTGATTGAATTATAATCAATATATAACACACACACATACATACGTACATATTTATATATATATATATATTACCTTGGATTAATTCTTTACATTCTTTCTCATCTGCTTCTTTGGGTGTTAAATCTAATGCCCAATAAGCTTCTCCTTCTTCACCTTGACCTTGACTTTCATCAATACCCAAGAATATTAAAGCAACATTTGAAGAAGGGTTATAACTATTTTCCTTTGTATAAATTAAATTTACTATAGAGGCCAAGTCTTTATATTGAGCATAATGAATAGTTCCTTCATTATTAAATAGCACTTTTAAATCATTTAAAATAAGATATTTTGATTTTGGTGAATGAGCAAGTATGGATAAAAATTCAGGTTGATCACGTTTCCAGCCAAATCTTGAAAAAAAAAAAAAAAAAAAAAAAAAAGAAAAAAAAAGAAAAAAAAGAAAAAAAAGAGGAGAAAGTCTATACATACTCACTCTTATTTACATTTGAAATGTTCATATTTTATTACCTATTTAATGGGTTTCCTGCAAAAACGGTCGTATAATTTTCGGGAAATGGTGAACCATGCGTTGTATGTGTTAAGGTGTTATTTTTTTCACCTCCCAAAAGCTTAAAAATGTCATCATTCTTGAAGATTCTTGCAATCTCACATGCTGTTC